TAACACCCTAACACCCTAACACCCTAACACCCTAACACTTCCCTAACACCCTAACACCCTAACACCCTAACACCCTAACACCCTAACACCCTAACACCCCTAACACCCTAACACCCTAACACCCTAACACCCTAACACCCTAACACCCTAACACCTAACACCTAACACCCTAACACCCCTAACACCCTAACACCCTAACACCCTAACACCCTAACACCCTAACACCCTAACACCCTAACACCCTAACACCCTAACACCCTAACACCTCCCTAACACCCTAACACCCTAACACCCTAACACCCTAACACCCTAACACCCTAACACCCTAACACCCTAACACCCTAACACCCTAACACCCTAACACCCTAAACACCCTAACACCCTAACACCCTAACACCCTAACACCCTAACACCCTAACACCCTAACACCCTAACACCCTAACACCCTAACACCCTAACACCCTAACACCCTAACACCCTAACACCCTAACACCCTAACACCCTAACACCCTAACACCCTAACACCCTAACACCCTAACACCCTAACACCCTAACACCCTAACACCCTAACACCCTAACACCCTAACACCCTAACACCCTAACACCTCCTAACACCCTAACACCCTAACACCCTAACACCCTAACACCCTAACACCCTAACACCCTAACACCCCTAACACCCTAACACCCTAACACCCTAACACCCTAACACCCTAACACCCTAACACCCTAACACCCTAACACCCTAACACCCTAACACCCTAACACCCTAACACCCTAACACCCTAACACCCTAAACACCCTAACACCCTAACACCCTAACACCCTAACACCCTAACACCCTAACACCCTAACACCCTAACACCCTAACACCCTAACACCCTAACACCCTAACACCCTAACACCCTAACACCCTAACACCCTAACACCCTAACACCCTAACACCCTAACACCCTAACACCCTAACACCCTAACACCCTAACACCCTAACACCCTAACACCCTAACACCCTAACACCCTAACACCCTAACACCCTAACACCCTAACACCCCCCTAACACCCTAACACCCTAACACCCTAACACCCTAACACCCTAACACCTAACACCCTAACACCCTAACACCCTAACACCCTAACACCCTAACACCCTAACACCCTAACACCCTAACACCCTAACACCCTAACACCCCTAACACCCTAACACCCTAACACCCTAACACCCTAACACCCTAACACCCTAACACCCTAACACCCTAACACCCGTAACACCCTAACACCCTAACACCCTAACACCCTAACACCCTAACACCCTAACACCCCTAACACCCTAACACCCTAACACCTAACACCCTAACACCCTAACACCCTAACACCCTAACACCCTAACACCCTAACACCCTAACACCCTAACACCCTAACACCCTAACACCCTAACACCCTAACACCCTAACACCCTAACACCCTAACACCCTAACACCCTAACACCCTAACACCCTAACACCCTAACTCCAACACCCTAACACCCTAACACCCTAACACCTAACACCCTAACACCCTAACACCCTAACACCCCTAACACCCTAACACCCTAACACCCTAACACCCTAACACCCTAACACCCTAACACCCTAACACCCTAACACCCTAACACCCTAACACCCTAACACCCTAACACCCTAACACCCTAACACCCTAACACCCTAACACCCTAACACCCTAACACCCTAAACCACCCTAACACCTAACACCTAACACCCTAACACCCTAACACCCTAACACCCTAACACCCTAAACCAACCCTAACACCCATCGTAATTTTCTGATCAAACTCCACCTGGAGTTGACTGTTTTTTCTAGTACTTTATTTAAATCGAAGCTCCACTAGAAAAAGTAGTACACTATATTGCACAGCTTTGTGGTAAAGTTATGCTTTATTTCAAGTTTAATTTAGAGGCAAAAATATTAATCAAGCTGGATTAAAATAATTTGCTAATAAATAGGACTCATTTAATAATCTTTTGCTATTAACTCTTAACTCTTAAAATTTCTTGTTTTTTAATCTATTTGCATACCCATGCCCTTATTCAGCTAAAGCTTGGGTGCTATGCAGAGTTAAAAGAATTTTAAGATTTAAGATCTTACTTTTGGGATTATATTGATAATTGATAATTAAATAAAATTAAACAATTAAACTGAAGATGAGAGGGCAAGCTCACTAGCCTTTGTCTCTTCTCTGCTCCAAATAGCTTCAAAATACAGAGAAAAAAATTGGGAAATCAGAAGCTGCCAATTTTGATTTCCACTTCTGAAACACCAGTCTAAGGGATTAGTAAAAGGGTAGAGATTCTGTCTGCTGAGTTTCAGATGCCCCTACAACGCAAAACTATGTCTAACCCATCTGGTAGGGACAGAAAATTTAGTTTGCTGGGGTAATATTAGAGTCACTGCTCATTGACCCACTTCTATCTAATAAAATAGCAAATTCACCTTTAGATGTATCATTTTGATGTTCTGGCATAAAGGAGAGCTAAAATTCATATAATTGAGTTCTTGGGTCTTGCTAAATTGATATTTATGGGGTGTTTGATTTTCAAGTTCATAAATCGCTCTTAAGTCGCTATTATTTGTAAATTGCAAAGAAATAATAGAATATTTGATATTAATGGCTGTATCACATTAAAAGTTGACGATTCAGCATAGGAAATAATTTTATATACCTTTCAATAAACTTGTTGGGATAATAAATTTTCCATTTAGCTATCTGCTTGATCTTAGCTGAAAAAAGAAATCGAATTTGGTATATCTCTTAACTCAGTAGACAATCTATCAGGTTCTAGCTTGGAAAAGATATCATTCAAGATTTTATTTAATCGTTATTACTCATCTTAGAGCAGATAAGATAGACCTCTTTATTCAAAATTTACTAACAAAAGTTCAGAATAAAAAGTCCTCATTTCTCTTATTTCAGGCTAAAAACAGACTTCACTATCTCTTTCAAGTGCATGAGCAGCTTTATTAGTTTTTATTTGTAATTAAATTTCTTATATTATTTACTCTAACACCGTATAAATAAGTAAAATTTCTTTAATCTATTGCATTAATTCATTATCTTCTTGCAATTCTATCAAATGTGACACTAGCGCAAATGGAAGAGAGCATTCAACAGAAATCTTTAATAAGGTTTCTTTAGATTAGACTTAGCTTTTTTGCGTTTCAAAGAAATAATAATTAAAGAAAAAAAGCAATTACTTATCAAAAAATCTTTATAAACATAAGAGCTAAATGGTTTTATTACCCTTAATTTTAAATAGAGTTTAACATCGATATTTATATGAGCATGACCCTTATAAAAAATTAAATGCTGACTTTGCTATTTTATTTGATTAATCTCTCTTCAGCTGCAAATGAAGACAAATTGTCGTGCAACCAAAAATGATGTCAAAGCTCATGGGTGATTTTTACATAGAGAGGGGATAAGCACTGCGATACAAGCTGCATGACTTCGTACTGCAACTATGATTCAAGCTCCAATTATACCGTACGAGATCAGTCTTCATTCTGATACTCAGATTGCTATTACGATTGCATAAATAACGGATGCGCCGAAGCAGTGCTCGGCAATGGAAAGTGTGATGAATGCTGCAATATCCCTGAATGCGGCTATGACTTAGGTGATTGCGGATACTGCTCTCCTGGCTGTAATCTTTATTTAGGCTTTGACTATATGATAGGATCTATTTGCTACCAGAAATGCAACACTACTGCCTGTTATTATGACATGAGCATCTGCATGGACTGCAGTCCAGACTGCTCAACCAACTTGCTAGGAAACGGAAAATGCGATTCTGCTTGTAATACAGGAAGCTGCAACTATGATTTTGGAGACTGTCCTTCAGAAGAGTGCTCACGAGGATGCTATACATGATATATTGATGATGGAACTTGTCAAGAAGAATGCTATAATAGTGCATGCAACTGAGATGCTGATGACTGCGATTGTGCGCCTGGATGCAATTCAACACTAAAAACAAACAGTGTTTGTGATAAAGCCTGTAATAACACCAAGTGCGATTATGATAATCATAAATGTGGGAGTTGTGCCAGCGGCTGCTATGATAATATGATAGGGGATGGAATATGTGACCCCGCTTGCGATGTTGAAGCTTGCAACTATGATTTGACTGATTGCAGATGCTCGGCTTCATGTGACATGTCAATGTATGGATCTTGCAGTGAGAAATGCATGGTAGGAAGTTGCTTATACGATCAATTCAGCAACGATACAAGTCGAAGATGCTCTGATACGAATGCCATTCTATTTTATATGCACCTGCAACTGCTAAAAAAAGATTTATTTACAGTTCAAAGTATAGACACGTGTATGGGTATATGTCCTTATAGTGCTGGAAGTTTATTAAAAGAACAAGAATGCTATGCTGATTGCAATGACATAAATTGTATATATTCTTGATGTGAGTGCTCAGACCAGGAATATATGGGGATGATATGAAAAAACCCCCAGGGTTTTTTTTCATGTAGTTTTTTTTCTGATGAAAATGACTGAAAAGTAGAATTCCTGGAATTTTCCAGAAAAAAAAAACCAACGGTAATTTTCGAAAATTTTGCAAACCATACAGGAAAAAACCCCCCATCCTCAAAAAAGACCATTATCGAATTAAGATCATCATAAGTAGAGATAAAGCTACAAAAATTCAATTGCAAAGATTAATCACATAATTTATTCTAAACTCTTATTATCAATGAGAAATGAATAAAGTAAACAAATAGCATCTAAATTAATACTTGATTTTGACAGTAGTAATTTTTTGATTCTCAAAAACAGCATGAAAAAAAACTAATTAAAAATAAATCATTAATACAATCGCATAAGATATAGTCCTCAAAAAGAGCGCTAATATAGGAAAATAGATATCTACAGCAACAATACATCAAATACTTGATTATTAGAATCTAAACTCATAATAAATTGCAATTGTTATATTATATTAAAAAACAAATAAATAGGGAAAAAAATTACAGGAAAAAACCCTCATGAAAAATTTAGGCTAAAAAACTGCAGGAAAAAAACCTCTAGGTACCCAAAAAAATTACAGGAAAAAACCCAATGGTGGTAAAATCCTGGAAAATTCCAGGAAAAAAACCCCTGACTCTCCCCCTTTAAATTGAAACAAAATTTAATTTTATAGATAAAAATAAAAATTTTTATGTAAAAAGTTTTTATATAAGTTAAATGTTTCTTCTTAACTAAAATCAAAAATTCATTTTATCTTGCTCTTGTTTAAAGAAGAGAGCATAAAGAGCATCTTATTTAAATAAATTTATTATCCTTAATTGCTAAATTTTTAAAAACATTTAATTTTCAAAAATTTTTATTTTTTAAATAAAAATAATATTTTTTTATTTAAATAATTTTGATAAAAATTCAATGCAAATTCTTTACAAAAATTCAATATTTACTTTATTTCTTGCTTTATTTTAAGAATAGAGTATAAATAAATTTTTTTAAATAAAAATTAGCACTTTGATTAATAAATTTTCTAAAATGTTTTTTATCAATAAAAATAATAATTTTGTGTAAATAGTTTTGATACCAATTAATAGTGGCGTATTAACTAATAATGAAAATTTAGTTATATCTTGCTTTGTTTCAATGATTAATGAGTAAATAGCATTTTATTAAGCAAATTTATTAATCTAATTCGATAAATTTTTTATATAAATTTTTTTTATAAAATTTTCTTAACCCCTTTTAAATTGGAACAAAATTTTTTAATCCAATATAAAATTATAAAAAGCTTATTTGAAAAAATAATAATTTAAAAACCCCTTCACGAAAAGGTTAAAGACATCTAGCACCATTTATATATAAAGTATTAAGACGCAATAAAAACACATAAAATAAAATGAGATCAATGATTACACTATGATATCATTTATCCTATTTTACTATTTTAACTATTTCTCACATATTGTATCCACCTGCAGCACATCTTGCACTAGCTAACCTTGTATCATCATGTGCCACCTCACCTTGTACCACCTATGATATATCTGAACTAGATCATCTTGCATCAACCTGCAGCACATCTTGTATGGCTTGAAAGCATATTTTGATTTCTATGAAACTATGCCTGAAGAAGTACATTAGCTATCTGAAAAGTCAAAATGGAAATAATGGCATTTTTTATGAGAAGTACAGATTTGGCTTGGCAAATATTTTCAGTAGGTTCCCTTTGCTTACTCCCCCCCCCCTCCGTGAGCGAACAAAACCATTAGAAAAATCGCCATTTTTTGACCAAAAACCCACCCTCCGTGAGTGAACAAAATTTTTTTATAGAAAAAATTTTAATGGAAAAAAATTTTGATATATAAGTGATAATTAGTATAATGAAATCTAGAGCTAATTCTGTTTAATTTTAAACAAATTGCGTTTTAAAAACATAAATTTTGCAAATTAAATTAATATTTGCTTCCCAATTTTTGCAAATTAGGATTTTTTTAAATTTCGAAAAAAATATTTTTTATAAAATTTATATATAAATTTTTTTTAAAAAAAAAATTAACCCCCCTCCGTGAGCGAACAAAATTTTTTTGTTCGCTCACGGAGGGGGGGGGGGAGTTAGCCACACGTTAGTTTACAATGAAAATAGTCTTTGTCATTTCAGTTTTTTTATGATATAGCTATACTAATTGACCAAGAATAGCCCACTAAGGAGCCATTCTTGGTCTGCCAGAAAAAATTTTGACAAAAGATCCTAATCTGCCATTACCACTGAGTTTTGGTGTTTCCAAATTTTTTGGGCAAGCCAAATGCAATAAAAAAAATTGTTCTTTTGCAATGATGCATTTGGGTTGTCAAAAAAATTTGGCAACATCAAAACTCAGTGGTAATGGCAGAAAAGATCCTAATCTGCCATTACCACTGAGTTTTGGTGTTTCTAAATTTTTTTTTTGACAAGCCAAATGCATCATCGCAAAAGAACAATTTTTTTTATTGCATTTGGCTTGCCCAAAAAATTTGGAAACACCAAAACTCAGTGGTAATGGCAGATTAGGATCTTTTTGTCAAAATTTTTTCTGGCAGACCAAGAATGGCTCCATAGTGGGCTATTTCTTGGTCAATTAGTATACTTTTACTCTTTAGGTATTATTCCATAAAGATTAATATTAATCCTTTAAACTTTAGAGGCTAATATTGACATATCCTGCAGTACACTCACTCTGTACTAGCTAATCTTGTATCAACCTGTGACAAATCCTGTGCTAGCTCATCTTGTATCAACTTGCAACTAGGTTTAAGAGCTAAATATGATCAAGGTGTAACAATGTCTAAAGAGTAAAAGTAAAGAGATAAACTTAAAATGGAACTATTTGTCAAACCAAATCTGTACTTGTAATAAAACTGGAATTTATCAATTCCATCTTGACATATCAGATCACTACATACCTCTTGAGGTATTGTTTCATAGAGATCTAAACGTGTTTTAAAGCTTTGCACCCGATAATAGCTTACCTTGCATCACCTGTAATTACTCCTGAACTCGCTCATTTATCAATGAATAGCGCATCTACACTATATAGCTCACTTTGCACAACCTGCACTAGCTCAGCTTGTGCTACCTGTAGCAGATCTTGCATTAGCTCACCTTGTATCAACCTGCACTAGCCCACCATGCATATATGTGGGACATATCCTGCACTTGATGATATACTCTTGATAAATAAGCATTTTCATGTGCATTGAGGCTGCTAGATGTCTTACCTTTTTCGTAAAGGGGTTTTTAAATTATTATTTTTCAAATGAGCTTTTTATAATTTTTTATCAGGGGTTTTTTCCTGGAATTTTCCAGGATTTTACCACCATTGGGTTTTTTCCTGTAATTTTTTGGGTACCTAGAGGTTTTTTCCTGCAGTTTTTTAGCCTAAATTTTTCATGAGGGTTTTTTCCTGTAATTTTTTTCCCTATTTATTTGTTTTTTTAATATAATATAAACAATTGCAATTTATTATGAGTTTAGATTCTAATAATCAAGTATTTGATGTATTGTTGCTGTAGATATCTATTTTCCTATATTAGCGCTCTTTTTGAGGACTATATCTTATGCGATTGTATTAATGATTTATTTTTAATTAGTTTTTTTTCATGCTGTTTTTGAGAATCAAAAATTACTACTGTCAAAATCAAGTATTAATTTAGATGCTATTTGTTTACTTTATTCATTTCTCATTGATAATAAGAGTTTAGAATAAATTATGTGATTAATCTTTTGCAATTGAATTTTTGTAGCTTTATCTCTACTTATGATGATCTTAATTCGATAATGGACTTTTTTGAGGATGGGGGTTTTTTCCTGTATGGTTTGCAAAATTTTCGAAAATTACCGTTGGTTTTTTTTTCTGGAAAATTCCAGGAATTCTACTTTTCAGTCATTTTCATCAGAAAAAAAACTACATGAAAAAAAAAACCCTAGGGGTTTTTTTCAGCTCAACCCGAATATATGCAATGCTTTGACCAAAATTGTAAAAAATGCTATGGAGAAAACCAAGGAGATTGCTTCGAATGTGATTTTTCTAAAGGAAAAATTTCACAATTTTTTGGGTATTGTCTGGAATCATGCCCTGCTGGATATTCTACTAACAATATAACTGGGGTATATCCGCTTTGCTTACCTTCTGCTGATAACTCAACCAACAGCAATCCTGCTATTTACTATGTGACTTCTAAAAAAACAAACGACACTTTGGGAGGGCTTGGAACAATAAAATCGCCCTTCCAGTCTTTAGCTCTATCCTTGGCATCTATAAATACCAAATACTCAATTATTTATTTGCTTAATGATGGAGTTCATTATCTCGAGCAATTAAACCCAAAATACCCAATTGCTTTAACAGTGTCTGATACTGCTAGGGCAGATAATTCTCATAATCAAAGGAAAAGCCTCACAATAACGACTCAAAACAATGAAATTGTGTATTTAAAGCCAAAAATTGACGAGCCCATTTTAACTGTGACTCTAAGCCATACAGAGCAGCTCAGCATAAGTAACGTTGCTTTCGACGGAAAGTATTGAATTCATGGGGAAAATCAATGCTTGGACGAATCTTGCACGTATTGTCCTTTGGTGACTGAAAAATACGACTCAACTTATGTTGATGACCGAACTGCTGGGATAGTCAATTATACAAACCAGACTTATTGCAAGGAGAATTGATATTGAAACCTCTTTGAAGTGGCAGACGACACTACTTTGACGCTTACAAATGTCCAGTTTCTTAATTGGAGACTTCAAGAAAACTCACTGATTAAAAGCACAGGAGGCAGTGTTTATTTGTTTTGGGTAAATTTTGATAATATCCAAGTTGCTCCACTGAATGACTCGGCAGTTATTGTATTTTTGAACTGCAGAAGTGACAGCTCTTATGAATGTGGAGATTTTTATTACGAAAAAGGAGCAGTGACTAGGCTTAACAATGGCTATGAGTTTTCAGCTTCGCTGGATTTCAGAGGGTTTCTCACAGCATTTAAGATTAGAAGCATAAATTTCACGCAGGTAGAGTTCAAAAATAACGCTGTTTATTCAGCAAACTTTAATATTGCTTCTCTTATTTATGCAGAAATTTACCGCCAAATTAGCATTCAGGACTGTGTCTTCGAATACAACTACGCAAGTAATGGGCTGGTATTTTTATTTCCTGTTAAATTGGTGCTATCAACAGAAGTAAATGATCAAAATCAAGTCATTGACTACTTGATAAACCACATCGAAATTTTCAATAGCAATTTTACAAATAACTATGGTGTCTATGCAGGGATAATTTCAGCGTATTTCACATCTGAACTTCAAAATATATATTTCGAAAAACTGATCTTCGAGAACAATGGGGCTTCTGCAGGATATTTAGTGTACATAATGAACCACGTTTTGAAAAATTCTTACTTGTCAGAGACAACTGCAATAGTCCAAACATTCGCTAAAAGGATTTTTTCAACCCAAAGTCAAAGGAATTTTAATTGGAAAAATATCACTTTTAGCAACAACTACTTTTTGTCTGGGGCATTCTATTTATACCAATTGGTGAACATGAGAATCTGCGATTTAGTGATGGACTCAAATGGTGGAAACTCAAGCACAACTGGCAATCTTAACGAAATTCTAATGAATTCCTGGATTGCTGATACGTCACTTTATATTAAAGATAAGGTCGAGGCTACTAACTTTAATTGTGTTTCTCTTGCAACGTGAGAAGGCGTGTACTGTCCATCAATTGAATACTCAGTAATCACTAATAATTATTGTGCTGAGTCAACTCCAGCATGGAATTTTATTAATTCAACCAAGCTGACTATTCAATATTCAGATTTTATTGCAAACACTGGGAAATCACAATACACTCCAACGGTTTTGTTGATAATGGGTTTAGATAGCGCAGTCATTTCTGACGTAGCTTTTATAAATAACACAAATAGTGAGAATTCAGGGTATGGAACAGTATATGGTTGCGGTAGTCTTTTGAGCTTGAATTTTAGAGAATGCGATTTTATATCGAACTATTCGCCTATGGGAGGGTCAATTATGTTCAGTGGCTCTTATCTCGTTATAGACAGTTCAAGATTTGATTCAAATTACTCACCGACTGATGGGGGATCCATTTATATTAGACAAACAACTCTGAATTTTGCAAAATCGTGGATCCGGAACTGCACGTTTCACAATAATTCTGCTAACTTGGACATTCATGGAAACGGAGGGGCAATTTTCATGGATAATTGAGGAAACTCATGAAGTACGATTTCAATTGGCATTGACCAGTCAAATTTCACCAAAAATTCAGCAAACCACGGCTCTGCAATATATATTGCAGGGTCAATACGGTTGGTTAACAACTCAGCAATCAACAACTGCAAATTTGAGTCCAACACTGCCTTAGGATCAGGAACTCTCGCTGCGCTCTACAAATCTGGTTATCTTCAGATTTTCCAAACAATTTTCAATGAAAATGTGGGCAGGCTCGGCGCTTCAATATATGCAGAGCATGGAGAAAATTCTACAGCTTACCCTTCCTTGCTATATATTGTATCCTCAGTATTTAATTCTTCGCATGGCATTTCGGTCATCAATTTGGCCAATTCTGACATATTTTCATATATTTACACCAAAAACTGCTTGTTTTCAAACAATAACGCAACTGTTTGAATGATGGATTACGACCACTGGACTGATGAAGACTCGATTCTGGTTAATAACACCGGGAGATTAAGTGGAGGAGTTAAAATGGTGGATAATTCTTTAGTAAATTGTACAAATACAGTGTTCATCGAAAATCATTCGTATAGTAACGGAGGTGCAGTATCTGCTGGCACCAGCTCGGTGTTTCAGTGCCATGAATGCACTTTCGTAAAGAATAAGGCCAACGGGTCTGGCGGTGCCATATATAACGAGCAAAATTCGATGATAAATATTTCTTATTCAAGCTTTACAAGCAATCAATGTTCAGATAAAGGCTCAGCTATTTATTTATTGGGAGCATTTTCGCCGAAATCAATAATAAAATCTTCGATTTTTACTGAAAACATTTCAAAAAATCAAGCAACAATTGCACTGCTTGATGCTGATATAATCATAAGTGGTTCAGTATTTAACAGCAATCAAGCAGCTACAATCACTCCCGGGATACTTTTAACGCTTTCTAATGCAACAATAGCAAATAGTGAATTTCGGAACCATAATGGGCAAGAAGGGAGCTTTTTGTACGCTACAACGCAAAGCATTGTAGAAATTTCAAGCAGCTCCTTTGTTAATGGTATAAGTTACAGCTCAGCGGGAGCCATTTACTCTATTTCAAGTAGAATCAATATTGACAGTAGCTATTTCGAGGAAAATCATGCAAAAAATGGCGGAGGTGGGGCTATAATGTCTTATTCTAGTAGTTATTTGCTAATAACAAATACCGCCTTCAAAAATTCATTTAGCTCAGATGTGGGAGGAGTTATATGGTGCTACGAAAGCGACTTATTCATTTCTGGATCTCATTTCGATACTTTTTTCAGTGGTGCAATATCAGCTTCGAAAATGTATTCAGTGACAATCTATAGCTCTACATTTGAAGATGGGAATGCTACCTATGGCGGGGCTTTTTTTTGCTTTCAATGCGGCATAGTAGATATTGCTGATAGCTTATTTGCAAATAACTTTGCTTATCAAGGAGGGGCTATATATTTGACCACATCAGCTGACCTTTCAATAGGAAATCCCTATACAATTGTCAGATCTGCTTTCCACGATAACATTGCTTCTGTGGGTGGAGCAATTTATACAGACGACATCAGTCTGAACATATCATTTTCAGATTTCAGAGGCAACAACGCCACTGCCATGATGGAATCCACTACAGGAATTATTCCAAATCAAGGCCTCGGAGGAGCTATTAATATTGCATGCAAAGACTTCAAGGACTGCGCTTTTCATATATCACAGAACTCTTTTTGCAAAAATCTTGCATCATTCAACGGAGGAGCAATAAACTGGGTTGATATCATGCCTACAGCTGAATGCAATATTTTTAATGATAACAGCGCTAAATATGGAGCTGATATTTCATCTTTTGCAATTAAAATGGTTGCTTTATCTAAAAATGGCAGCTTAGAATGCAGCCACCGTGATCTAGAAGATGTTGCTTCAGAAATTCTTATATTAGAAAGCATTGCCCCTGGACAAGTTACTACAAGCCCTATATTACTTGCATTGATCGATCCTTATGGGCAAATTGTATCAACTGATAGTGTGAGTGTAGCTGAACTATCAGCAAAAGATACAGCTTCGACAACTCTTTCAGGCATTACAAAAGTTACAGCAGTGCAAGGCCTTTACTATTTTGACTCATTTGTAGTTTCAGCAGTGCCTGGAAAAAACGTTTCTATTGTGGTATCAACTGATGGAATTGATGAAGCCAAAATCAAAAAGGCTTCCATGAATATTACAGAAATTTCTACTATTAATGTCGATGTGATTTTGCGTGATTGTGAAATTGGAGAAATCACCCTTGCCACGAGCTGCCAAATTTGCCCTAATGGCTCATATAGCTTAGATCCAACAAGAGATCACTGTAAATCATGTGAAGACAAGATGAACTGCTATGGAGGATTCTTGATCGCCCCCAAGGCTGGATACTGGAGATCCAATAATCTGACTGACCATTTCTGGAAGTGCCCAAATCCTTCGTCCTGCCTTGGCTCGCCCCCATACCCAAATATTTCTTATTCAGGACTTTGTTGCGAAGGCTATGAAGGCAACTTGTGCCAGGCTTGCTCAACCGGGTATTCAAGGACTTCTGCAAATACTTGTGCGGTCTGCCCAGATCCTCTCCTAAACTCTCTTCGAATTGTTGGAATTATGGTAGCTGCAATTATCATATGCACTATAATGGTGAGCACCACTCGAAGCAGTGCTTACAAGCCTAAATCCATGGAGTCAGTCTATATAAAGATCTTTGTCAATTATTTGCAGATCGTAATGCTGACATCTACCTTCGACTTATCATGGCCTGATAGTGTTGCAGAGCTGCTGAGGATACAAGCCAACGCTGGATCTGTAAGCTACCAAGTGTTTTCTTTCGACTGCTTTTTAGATTCAGGACAGGGTCAGGCTCAAATTTATTTCAATAAGCTTATCATAATGAGCGTTGTTCCTATTATTATGACCTTAGGCACTGTTCTCTTTTGGGGAATCTATGCTATGCTGAAGCGGTCTATGCCGTCTTTCAAGAACGATATAATTTCTACATATGTCATCCTTTTTTTCATGATTCACCCAAATCTTATCAAAATGATGTTTGGCGCGCTATCCTGCGAGCAAATCGAATCAGGGGAATATTGGCTGGTCAATGACTTAGACATAAGATGCTGGGATGATGAACACCTGTTTTATGTCTTTTGTGTGGTCATCCCTTCTATTATTGCCTGGGGAGTCGGCATTCCTGCAGTTTCTCTGTTTTTCATATGGAGGATGAGGAAAAAGCTAGACTCAATCAGTGCCAGACTGAGGTTTGGGTTTCTATTTAACGGGTACAGGAGGAAGTGCTACTATTGGGAATTCGTGATTTTATATAGAAAAATTCTTATTTGCACTATTTCTATCTTTTTAGGAAACATCTCGCCAGACATTCAAGCTTTAACTGTTATGTTTCTACTTATGGTTTGCTTGTACATTCAAAATGAAAATAAGCCATACATTGGAGAGGTTTTAAACAAAATGGAATTCAGGGCAATCCTGGTGGCTTCTATAACCATTTACTGTGGCCTTTATTATTTAACTGGCGTGCTGGATGAGAGCTCTAAAATTGTGCTTTTCTCAATCATAGTGCTTGCAAACTTGTATTTCCTTTACTATTGGCTCTTCAAAATGTTTGCAGCAGGATTCCGAAAGGCCGCTACTCTAATCCCTTGGCTCAAGCACAAGTGGGCTCAGAGCTCTGATGGGTTTGATGATGACTTATTTGAAAAGCCCAGGCCTAAGCACGTAACCAGAAGGTGGGGCAAAAAGATGTTCTCTGTTGTCCCGACTGAAGATGGGATGCCAATTGAGCCGACTAATGCAGATGGCTGCGAAGTTGTTAGCCTTGACATGAAAGCAATTTTTAAGAGAGTGCTAAAAAATGATATAGAAAGAAATAAATTAAATTGCTCTACAATTGCAGATTCAAACGAAGAGATTTCTAACGCTCATTTAACTCTATAGAGCTATAATGGGCTTGCAGAAAATTGATAAATAATTATTCTAACTCCCCCCCCCCCCCGTGTGAGCGAACAAAAAAATTTTGTTCGCTCACGGAGGGGGGTTATTTTTTTTTTTTAAAAAAATTTTATATATAAATTTTATAAAAAATATTTTTTTCGAAATTTAAAAAAATCCTAATTTGCAAAAATTGGGAAGCAAATATTAATTTAATTTGCAAAATTTATGTTTTAAAACGCAATTTGTTTAAAAATTAAACAGAATTAGCTCTAGATTTCATTATACTAATTATCACTTATATATCAAAATTTTTTTCCATTAAAATTTTTTTCTATTAAAAAAATTTTTGTTCACTCACGGAGGGTGGGTTTTTGGTCAAAAAATGGCGATTTTTCTAATGGTTTTGTTCGCTCACGGAGGGGGGGGGGGGAGTAAGTATTAGCCTGTAATAGATTATCTTTTCCTCTTTGCGAACTCAAACTCTTTTCTTTCTTCGTCAGCGCTGGCTCCTACAGTTTGGCTACGCAAAAGTGACTTCCTCAGTCTGCCTGTGTCAGGGCCAACGGAGAGAAAATCGGGAGACCTATCAATTGTGGATACAGTATCAGCGAAGTTGACTGTCTTTTCTTCTCTTGCCTTTCGATAGGCCTCAGCTAGTCTTCTCAATTCTCCATCCATTAGATCTGAGTTCAGCAAGTCATAAATAATTGTAGGACTGCTGTTGTAAGCTTTTTCTATAATGTTTGCTGTAAGTCTTTTTGGGAGTTTGCTTGAGTCTGCCTTATTGATTAGGAAGCAAATATCTAGCAACTTATAAGCATCCCAGTTCTTTTTGTTTTTCCTTAAGCTGAATAGAAACTTGAGTACAAGAGGCTGCCAATTGTCCTTATTTGTTTCCAGTTTCGAGAAGATCTGGTTTTCGCTAGTCCCAATACTTCTGAATTGAGCTCTTGTGAGGGGTGCCATCAATGCATCCATCACTTGTATGATTCCGAACTCTCCGTAGTAAACATCAGTGAAATTCATTTCTAAATTGCTCATTGGTGACGATCCTACTATCAAGCTTTTTGACCTCTTCCTGCCTTCATTAAATCCGACTCTATCATACTCCATGTCGTGCTTGAATATCTTCTCTTTGATTGCTTCAATCATTTCCGTGGCTGAACACTTAATAAATTTTTCTTGACTCCCCCCTTTTAAATTGGAACAAAAAAATTTTGTTCCAATTTAAAGGGGGTTTAAGAAAATTTTTTTAAAAAAAATCATCAATTTACAACAAAAAAAAAATTATATAAAAATTTAAAAAAAAAAAATTCAAAAAATTTCTCGAATTAGATTAATAAATTTGTTTAATAAAATACTATTTGCTCTTTATCCTTTAAAAAATAGCAAGATATAACTAAATTATTATTATTAATACTATTAATTGGTATCAAAACTATTTACACAAAAATTATTATTTTTATTGATAAAAAAAAAAATTAAAAAAAAATTTAGAAAATTTATCGATCAAAGTGCTAATTTTGTTTAAATAAAAATATTATTTATACTCTATTCTTTAAAATAAAGTAAGAGATAAGTAAATTTTTCAATTTTTGTAAAGAATTCGCATTGAATTTATATCAAAATTATTTAAATAAAAAATATCATTTTTTTTTGAAAAATTTTTAAAACTTTAGCAATTAAGGATAATAAATTTATTTAAATGAGATGCCTTTTATACTCTATTCTTTAAAAAAGAGCAAGATATAACTAAATTTTGAATTTTAGTTAAGAAGAAGCATTTAACTTATATCAAAACTTTTTACATAAAAATTATATATAATATTTTATTATAAAATTAAATTTTGTTCCAATTTAAAGGGGGGCTAATTTACCAAAAAAATGGAAATTTTACCTATATTTTGTTCTAATTTAAAGGGGGGGGAGTGAGAAGTTTTGGCCTCAAAACTATTGATTGCTGCTTCTACTTGTTCGTACAGCTCTCTTGGAGATATAGAAGTTTCCTATGTTTGGCGCTGTAAGGCCGATAAATTCTGATCGGAATTTATCGGTAGGTTGCACCAAATCAATGCCTTGGTCGGACCAAAAAGCGATTTGGTCCGACGAACTTGGAAAGCTCCTGGGAAAATGTCTGCGCTTTTAGCGCTATATAGAGGAAACCTCTATACTTCAGAAGCCAAGAGGAGCTCATAACAGCTGGACTTTGAAAAATATTCATATGACCTTATGTTCATGTCGTGGACAATCCTACAGAATCGCTGCTGTGAAGAGTCATCAAATTTTTCATAAAAATCAAGAAACTGCATAAATGTGACAGAGTCTAAAAATTGTTTCCAGAACTCCTTCATCGTGCAGGTTCCACAGGTTTTTACCTCTTGCAGGAATAAGTCTTTTTGCATTTCGTACTCTTTTTTCATAGTCCTGTATGATAAATAGTCAGAAAACTTTCCAATTCCTATTACAAATTCTTTGAAGAAAGCATGCCTGATTAAGCTGACAAAAATTTCATCTCTTTCTGGGCCTTCTGGGGTGGAAAGCAGCTTTTTAGCAGTAGAAACATATTGGTTGTCTTCTAAATTCTGCTCCAGACTATGCATCCTGAACGTATTAAGTCGGTTTCTGTTTACATAGTAATAGGCTTTGGCTAGCTGAATTTTTTTAGAAATTTTAGATTTGACACAATCGCAAAGCAGAGGCTTTTCTGAAGTATACAAGATATTTGAGTCAATGTCCAGAATTGTTGCATCACTGTCTGCTCTTTTGGCTTCTTCTACGCTGATCACGTTGCTATTGATTCCTATTAAAATTGGTGTTGGGATTTCCATGTAGTCGACATCGTGGACAGGCATAACTGGAATGTAGCTTAAACTCCACTTCATAGGGAACAGCAAAATTTTATAAGCTTCTAGCACAAGGTATAACAAATACTCATTGCAGGAAACTAAAAATGCATGCTTATTGAGCAAAATGCTTTCCCAGAACTCGATAACATTTCTTATATCAATTAGATCAATTAGAACTGCTACACAGCTTTCGTTATGAGGAAGCCTGCTTTCATATTCTATTGGAACAGGAATATTATCTTTGCCTACTTTAAGAGAAATTTGTATATCATTTGGTGGGATTATGGTATCATTCAATAAAAATAGGCAAGTCCTCATAAATTCAGTGCTTGCTAACAAAGAACTTATATCAGGGTTTTCTTCTTGACAGATTTCTGATATGTGAAGATATAGAGACTCTAAAATATTTCTGAATAAATCAATATAGTTGCTATGTGTCATGATGCATAAAGCTACCGGAACGTAATAAGATGGCCCATTTTCTTTGAGGATTTTAGATCGCTCGTTGCGCGGAACAAAATTTAAAAGCCCACTTTTATTGAGTCGGTTTTTCGACTTCTCAATAATTGTTGGGGAGATTTTTTCATATGTTATTAAGCAATGCATATGAGTAAAGACGCCTTTTTCGTTAGTAATGGTTGTTGAAAAGAATTTCGGGAGATTTTGGACTGTTTCCAGATCTACAGTGCGGCTGGTGAAAATCATCTGAAATTAAAATTACGTTGATCTGGCCTGGAGAAATGGCTTTGGATGTTGGAGGAAGTTGAAGAATGACTTCAGGAACTCCTGAGGTTTTGCCTTCAATAAGGATGTCTGATTGAACATTACTTCTTAAAGATTTTACTTGAAGGCCAAGAATGGCAATGGAATTTATAAGTCTGATCGGCGGAGAGTTTTCTTCTCTGAAGAGCTTTTCCATTATTTTTTATGAGAGCCGAATATTATAAAATTATCTTTAGATCATAGATCTATGAGCCTAAATAAGAAAATTAGACTATAAAATAAGCACGCCAAAGTAAAAAAAGTATTTGAATTTCGTAAATTAAAAGAAGTTTCAAAAGTTTAAAGTTATATTAAATTTAAATTCTAGGTGAATAATAGCATTTTAAACAAAGAGGTAGACATTTGGTCAGGCTTTCAGATATAACGGCTTTCTATGGATACATTTTACATATTTAATTTTGATTTTTATAGTGCTCTGTTACTTCATATTTGAAAGAAAGTGAGTTACAAAAATTATGAAATTTATAAAACTATGAGAAATAGCTCGATGATATTGAAGAAGAGCTGGGCTTTTGGTTTCAGAATTTCTCTTCTTTCTTAACTAAGTTCATATCGCGAGCGGATTGACGAGCAAGCTGTGAAGTGCTATGGTCTTAACTCAGAAAGTATAAATAAGATAAAAGAGAGCATTTTTCTAATACTTTCGGTTATCTATTTAATAGCATACATGAATATTGTTTTTTAGTGAAATTAAATCATCAGCATAAGGACTCTAAATCTTATCTGAAATGCAAGCTTTGTTTATTGCTCAAAGGTTTCAAACTAATCAATCTGAAAATTTTGAAAGGAATCTTTAAGCAATTAAATTAATCGTAAAAGCTTTATATTGCTTTGTTCTTTGAATAAATAAAATGCTTTCTAGTTTAAATTTTCTTTTTCTATTATAATAAAATGTTACAACTTCTGCTGACACTTACCTCATTTTCTTTTTCTAGTTCAAGTTCAAAGAGCATAACCTGCAACGAGAATTGGTGTCCGAGTTCATATGTAATTTTTACTCAGAGAGGAGATGGATATTGCGACACAGGCTGCATGTATTCCTTTTGCAATTGAGATTCTGAAACTTCATCAGGAGACTACGATTTCTCAACATCTGATTGCTATGAAACTTGCGTTTATAATAATGGATGCGATCCCAGCGACCTTGGCGATGACTACTGTGATGATTCTTGCAATATAGCTGCTTGCGGGTATGATTTAGGAGACTGCGGCTACTGTGATCAAAATTGTAAGTCATAAGTAGGTTACAGCTACATGCTTGGAAGCTACTGCTATGATAACTGCAATACAACGGCTTGCTACTACGGCGAAAGTTATTGTTCAGAATGCAGTTCTGGGTGCACTTCTTCGAAGCTCGGAGATGGTACATGCGATTCTGAATGCAACACTGCGTCTTGTAACTATGATTTTGGGGACTGTTCCACAGAAGTTTGCTCTCCTGGCTGCTATTCTTATATGATCGATGATGGAGTCTGCAATAGTGAGTGCTATAATTCAGCCTGCAATTGGGATAACAAAGACTGTGACTGCTCTCCAGGTTGCTTAGCTAATCTTAATTTTCAGAATTTTAAAGTGCATCTCTTTCGTTGGAAGTAATTTCCCTTTTTAATTAATGATTTTGATGGCCATTTTGTTTGGAAAGCATTAGAGAGGACCATTAAAAGGCCAGAAAGCCCTTACTGGCCGCGTGAGCTCTCTCCTATCTGGCTCCATTGCGTGTTCCAGCAAGGGTGATTCTACTCAGGAGTGCCAAGCAATAAATCATATGCCTCCTATTTTCCTTGGGCCAGTGAATTACCATATACGCTAATCCAAAATTCATCTGTAAAAACTAAACCTTGTAACAATATAATTCATAGAGGAGGAGGAGGAGTAGATCTCGGAAAGAAATAATTTCGGACATAGCCATTTTATTACTATGTTCTCCAGGTTGCAATTCAGATAAGCTAAATCCTCCCCTTTCTTCGCGAGCAAGAAGAAAAATTTTGTTTGCTAAAGGTGTTAATTTTTTAATCAAATTTATTTTTTTGAAATTTATAAAATCCCACAAAAATTAGAAAATCTATAAATTGTATATTTGTCTTTTAAATAAGCAGTTTAAAATTCAACAGAATTAACTTGAGATTATAATAATCATTACTTATATATCGGATTTTATATGCAAATTTTAAATTAAAAATATTTGCTTGCTTAAAGAGATGGTTTTTTCCAAAAGATATAGATATTTCCAAGGTTTTCTCACTCAAGGAGGGAGGGAGTAAACAATAGTGATTGCGATTCAGAGTGTGATAATTCTGACTGTAGTTATGACAATGGTAAATGTGGAGACTGTGCAAGTGGTTGCTTTACCAGGATGATAGGTGACAAAAACTGTGATTCTAAATGCTATAATTCTAATTGTAAATACGACGCTAAGGACTGCCGATGCACTTCTTCCTGCACGAACGATAAATATGGGACATGTGATGAAAATTGCTTACCCTCCCTTGATAGAGAAAAATACATTTGAAAAATCTAATTCTTGGGAAATATACACTTTTATTAATATAATTAATGGTGCTATGATTAAAATGCGAGCTCGCTCTTTCAAATTTATGCGACATCATAAAAAAAATTTTTAAAAACAAAAATTAGCCCTTCCCTTTAACTCAAAAAAATCTTGTACCAATAGAGAGGAGCTAGTAGGAGACTGTTTATATGATCAATTTAGCACTGATTCTTCGAAACATTGCACACAAAATTATAATCAGCTCTTCCACATGCATGCACAGCTTATTAATAACGATTTAACAACTGTGAGGAATTTAGCAGACTGCTCAAGCAATGGAAAGTGCGATGGCAGTATGCTATTAACAACCTATGGTACATGCACTCAAGATTGCGACACTAAAAACTGTGCATACTCTTGGGCAGCCTGCAGCCCTGAAAACATGAACACTTGTGCAGATTCAAAGTGTCAGAAGTGCTACGGGACTAAGCAAGGGCAATGCTACCAGTGCGATCAGGCAAATTCTTATCAGTTTTACGGTTACTGTCTGGAGACTTGCCCTGTCGGCTATAGCGTTAATTATATTTCCTCCCTAAACTATCCTTTGTGTCTCCCTTCAGCTGATACTTCAACTTCCGCAAATCCCAAGTATTATTATGTAACAACTCTCGGGTCGACAGATCCGATGGGAGGAGACGGAACTCAATCGAATCCTTTTGAGTCTTTAGCCTTGGCGCTGACTGCCATCAATAGTGCTTATGCAATTGTCTACTTAAATAACGATGGAGACGGGATTCACTATTTGACCCAGCTCAACTCAACAAATCCTATGTCAGTGGTTGCCCCAGACTCTGCAAAGCCTTACAACTCGCAAACCAACAGACAAAGTCTTATCATTATGACTGAAAACAGTGCTACTGTGCACCTCAAGCCCAAAGTGGATTGAAGTCTTTTGACAATTACCACTCAAAACACTGTATCGCTTACGATAGCTAATGTAATTTTTGACGGGGATGAATGGGCTCATGGGAAAAATAATTGCTTACTCCTTTTAATTGGAACAAGATTTTCTACAAATTTAAAGGGGGTTAATTTTATATTTTTGATTTTAATTTATTTTATGAAGAATTAATTCAAGAAATTAATAAATTCAGTGTAGAAACTGTTTAAATAAATTCTAATTGCACTTTTTTCATTAAACTAGGTCAAAACTAATTTTATATTGCCTGCAAAATTTTTCTATTGAAAAAATTGTTCCAATTCAAAAGGGGTTAAAGTACCCAAAATATAAAATTTTACCTATATTTGCCTCAATTATATAGGGAGCTAGGAGGCTATTGCTCATATTGTCCCACAGTAACTCAACAGTATGACGGTTCATACAAAGATGATCAGGGGAATGCTATAACAGATTTTGCAGAGTCTACGCAATGTCAAAAATATCACAATCAAAATTTGATTGAAGTAACATCAGGAACTACTTTAATCCTGAACAATGTCCAGTTTAACAACTGAAGAATGGAACTCAACTCAATTATTCAGAATAACGGAGGAAATCTAGACTTCACCAACACTAACTTTGACAATATTCGTAATAATCCTGCATCTGGATCTGCTGTGATCCTTTTCAAAGACTGTATGCAAAGCTCATCTAATTCTTATGGCTGTGGTGATTTTACTTACAAAACTGGCAGTGTCGCGAGAATAAACAACGGCTTTGAGTACTCATCATCCTTAACTTTGAAAGGATTTTTCAGATCTACGAGAAGCCAAGCGATTTCTTTTAAAAGTATCACTTTCGAGAACAACGCAGTCTATTCTGCAACTAATTCTGTGGATGACTCTTTAATTTACCTAGAAATATTTAAGACCCTTACTATTGACTCTTGCACTTTCTCTTACAATTATGTGTACTCTTCTTTAATTTACTTAAAAGCTACGAATTTAGAGCTGAACTATGATGTAAACTCTAAGGATGAAATAACTGATTATTTGATCGATCATGTGACAATTACTGGCTCAACCTTTATATAGAAATTGCCCGAGGATGGCGCTATTTTGCGCCATCCTCGGGCAAATTCAAAAAATGGCCCCACACGGGAATCGAACCCACGTGTGGGACCATTTTTGGTACGTGTAAGTCGATGTTTTACACATACCAAAAATGGCCCCACACGTGGGTTCAATTCCCGTGTGGGGCCGGTTTTTTGAATTGCCCGAGGATGGCGCAAAATAGCGCCATCCTCGGGCAATTTCTATATATAACTATGGCGTTACCTATGGGATTTTTGCAGCTGTGTATCAAATTGAGCTACAAAATATTAACTGAAATAACGTCGAGATTAGCAATAATGGAGTAGAAAAAGGCCCAATTATTTATATTTCCAATGGCATTGTGCAGGATAGATACATATATGGTCAAACTGCAGCTGTAAGCACTTCAAAAGGAAAAGTCAATGCTTTTCAAAGACAAAGGACATTTTACTGGAAAACTCTCACCTTTGACAACAATAATTCTGGCAGCTCTGGATTGTGGGACTTTACCAAGCTTGTAAATCTATATATGGATGATATACAAATAACCTCAAATGGTGCAACAAATAACACTGTGAATACCCTGGTTTTCAAGCCTTGAAAAGATAACACCAACATACATTTGAAGACTCTTTCAGCTTCTCCTGCATTTCTAGACTTTACTTCATTGGCCTCAATGAGCACAATGACCAATTTTACGATGATCTCATCAAAAATAACTGGCAGTGTTGCTTACTCTTCAACACCATATGTACTTGTATCAAGCTCAAACATCAATGTTTTCAATGATGTGACTATTAGCGGCAATACAGGAAAATCAACCAAATACCCAACTTCATTGTATATAAATGGAGGCAACGAAACGCATATAATGAGCTGCTCTATAAAATCTAATGAAAATTTAGCAGAGACAGGATATGGGGCTATCGGTGCAGATGGGAGCGCTTTAAATATGACAATTAACGAAACTACTTTTGAGTCGAATATAGGCACGACTGGAGGTGGCCTTTTCTTTGCAGGGGTGAATCTTTATATGTATGATAATACCTTTAATAAAAATACTGCTTCCAAAAATGGTGGAGGAGTTTGCATCCAGCAGACCGCCACAGGAAGAATTACAATTACAGCAGTCTCATGCACTTTTTCTAATAACCTGGGGTCTAGTTATGGCGGCGGACTATACTTTGAAAATGTAGGAGCCGTATATAACTCAATTATATTCAATGTAGAATCTTGCACTTTCACTGAGAATACAGGTGGATATGGTTCTGCAATTTATATGGGCAGTGCCTTAAAAATCTATGAGTACAAAACTTCGTCAATTGTCTCTACTACTTTTTCTAAAAACAATGCGACCAGTTCAGGCACCCTCTCAGCTTTGTTTGCTGATGGGACTTTTTATATAGAAAACTGTGAATTCAGCTCAAATATTGGGAGAGTAGCGTCAGGAATATATCTGGAAACTGCGACTGAAAGTGACATCACGATTTGCAAAACACTTATGAAGAGCATTAAATTTACTTCAAACTCAGGAGCTGCTGTGCTTTATATGACAAATTCAGATGTTTATTCTCACATTGAGACCGATACATGCACATTCTCATCCAACACTGGTATACCAGTGTGAATGGACTACGATTATTGGATTGACTCAGATTCAGTCATCGAAAATAATTCTGGGAAAGCTTCTGGAGGCATAAAGCTGCTTGACGCTTCATTTGCTAAATGCACTAACACAGTTTTCTCTTCAAACACAGCCACTCAGGATGGCGGAGCCGTTTCATTAGGCTCAGCATCTACATTTTACTGCCTAAACTGCACTTTTGAAGAAAATACAGCTGGAGGCTCAGGAGGAGCCATCTTTAGCGAGCAGAAATCCTACTTTAACATCACCAATTCTTTCATATACCAAAATGAGTGCACTGATAAGGGAGCAGCCATTTATATGTTGGGCTCTTCTTCACCAACTTCTCTTCTCAAGAACTCAACAGTCCACGAAAACAGTTCTGCCAATCAAGCCTCAATTGCCCTTCTTGATTCTTCTATCAACATAGACACGACCACTGTTTACAAAAATACAGCTACTTCAATAACCCCTGGGATGCTTTTGACACTGTCTGATGCGACTATTTCGAATTCGAAGTTTTATAGCCAAAGTGGGGATCAGGGGAGCTTTATTTATGCTACAACCCAGAGCGAGGTAGATATGTATAACTCTACCTTTACAGATGGAGTTAGTACCAGCTCAGCCGGAGCCATTTTTTCCATTTCTAGTACTGTGACTATGGACAATTGTACTTTTACAAGGTCAAATGCAACTACAGGAGGAGGTGGAGCAATCCTAGCATACTCCAGCAGCATTTTGACTATCAAAAACAGCTTTTTAACTGACTCCTACAGTAAAGATGTAGGAGGAGTCATCAATTCATATGAGAGCGACCTCGAAGTATCCAAAACCGTGATGAAGAACTACAAATGGGGCGCAATTTATGGCTCCAAAATGAACTCAGTGAAACTCGAAAATTCTCAGTTCCTCAACGGAGTTGGCGCAAGTGGAGGTGCACTTACCTGCGTATCCTGTGAATCAATTACTATAACTAGCTGCACCTTCGAATCGAATACTGCTGAAGAAGGTGGAGCTTTGTACTTGTCAACTTCCAGCGACACCGAGATCACGAATCCATACATCATAAAAAGTTCTACATTTAATAGCAACTCAGCCATATTAGGGGGAGGAATCTACACAAATAATATTAATTTGAATGTTTCCAACTCAGAATTCACAGGAAACAATGCTACCACAACAGAAACAAACACAGGGTCAATACCAACTACAGGTAACGGAGGAGGAATAAACTTGGCCTGCACAGATTTTACAAGCTGCGTATTTAACTTGACTTCTAACAAATTTTTTAATAATACAGCAACATACAATGGAGGAGGAATCAACTGGGAAGATATCAGTCCCTCTGAGACTAATAATACTTTTAAGGGCAACAAAGCTTCTTATGCGGCAGAAATTTCTTCATTTGCAATAAAATTAATGTCAGTGGATGCGAATGGCAAGCTGGTGGACTATACCAGAAGGCTTGAAGATAACCCAACTGCTACGTCAATATCAGGCATTGCGTCAGGACAGGAAACGACCAGTGAGCTAAGATTAGCTCTGGTAGACTATTACGGAAACATAGTGTTGACTGACAGCTCCAGCACAGCTCAATTATACCCAACGAATTCTACTTCAACGACACTATCAGGCACTACAAAAGCTACAGCACAGAAAGGGGTCTACTACTTTCCGAGTTTCATAGTTTCTGCTGAGCCGGGCTCAGATGTGTCAATTTACGTGACTTCTACAGGCATTGATACTTCGAAGCAAAGCAAGCTTCCTGGTGCAACTTTTACCAGCACCGTAGATGTTGCTGTTTCTATGAGAGAGTGTATCATAGGTGAAGCAACAGTTGGAGTGAATTGTGAAGTTTGTGCTTCAGGATTTTATAGCTTACCCTCCCCTGTCGCAGCAAATATAAGCTATAGATTTTCTTAGAATTAATTTTGGTGCCTTTTAATACCAAATGCCGCTTTTTAAAAATTAACTAGTTTATTTTGATTATAGCTCTGATGGTTTAAACAACTTTTTGAGCTTATAATTGAAATATTTGATTAATTATATTCTCAGGTTAAAGCTATAAATCTATAAATTTGTTTATAAAATTTCAAGTCATACCCCAATTAATAGCGACGAAATAGAGCTCTTTATTTAATGGGAGAGAGTTAGACCCCAGCAACACCCAATGTCTCACTTGTCCGTCACATTCAGCTACTTGCTATGGGAATTGGACAATGGCTCCACAAAGTGGCTATTGGAGATCTGGCAAATACTCAGACAATTTCATTGCTTGCCCTAATTCGGCAGCCTGCTTAGGAGGGGCTTATAGTTCTACTAAAAATCTCTCTTACACAGGGGAGTGCAGCACAGGATACACAGGGAACTTATGCCAAGCTTGCGATACAGGCTACTCAAGATCAAGCTCAAACACATGTGGGAAATGCCCTGATGAAGTTACCAATTCCTTTAAGGTCATAGGGATTTGCATTCTAGTTATTATTGTGTGTGGAGTCATGGTCAGGACAACCCGAAACAGTGCCTACAAACCCAAAGCAATTCACTCAGTCTATATCAAAATTTTTGCGAACTACTTGCAAATGATTATGCTTATGACTATTTTATGTGCATAAAATGGTCGATGACGAGCGATCTATACTCTCCCCGGTGTCCTTTGTATATCCGGACGTGATTTTTTAGTGAAAGGAGCTGCCCAAGTGTTTAATTAGCCTCGAAGCGAGAGACCCAGCACCCAGCACTACCTCCGTTGATTAGTGGCCTGATTCAAACGGCAGTTTTTTGCATTTTTTTATAAGCAGCGCCCAGGTTTAGGTTGAGTGTCCTATAGAGGTAGGATGACTTACCTGCCTAGACTGCTTTGTGGCCTGCCCCAATCACATAAGAAGTTGACTTTTTTCCTAGGTGTCAGGGGAAAAAGGAAAGAGAGACTAGACAAAATTCAAGGACTTCAGTCTCTCCAGTTGAAAAGGGTCCGTGAAAAGGGCGGTCTGGCCTAAAATAAGCAGGGTTGGTTAAGTTGGCTGTTTGGGTTGGAAATGGAGGTTCCGAGAAAGTCCGTGTGTCTCAGGCCATGGAGGAAAAATGCCTCTACCGAGAAACCAAGGTTTCGGTCCGGGCTTAAGCTAACCGTGGAACTCAAGGTATTCAGGAAGTAGGACTACAAATGCACAGCTCTAATCTAATCTATGACTACTTTTGATTTGTCTTGGCCTAGCCTGGTTGTGGATCTCTTTGCTGTTCAAAGTCAAGCAGGGTCTGTAAGTGAGCAGGCCTACTCTTTTGATTGCTTCTTAGACACTGGACAAGGCATGGATCAAGTTTATTTCAATAAGCTGATCCTCATGAGTCTTATCCCAATAGTAATTGGATTAATATCTTTACTCTTCTGGGGGACGATGGCTATTTACAAGCGATCAGCGAAAACCTTTAAAAATGATTTGATCTCAACCATTGTCATTTTGCTGTTCCTTTTCCACCCCAATTTGGTGAAAGCAATGTTCGGGGTGTTTTCTTGTAGAGAACTCGATAGTGGAGAATACTGACTAGTGGACAATTTGGATATCAGATGTTGGAACTCAAGGCATATCTTTTACTCTTTGGTGGTAGCGGTTCCTTCTATCATTGTGTGGGGAATTGGGATTCCAACTGTTAGCTTGTTCTTTTTGTGGAGAAATAAAAGGGCCTTGGATACTATTAGTGTCAGATTGAAGTTCGGATTTCTTTTCAACGGCTATAAATATAGAGCCTACTATTGGGAATTCATCATTTTATATAGGAAAATTTTGATTGTGTGCTGTTCACTCTCCCCTGTAAATTGGAACCAAAACTCTATTCCTTATGCAGATATAAAAATTTATTGATTTTAATAGAATTCTAATTGAATTCCATTTAAAACAGAATAATTATAGGCAAATTTTATTTTGGCGACATTAATTGGGTAGAGAAAATATTGCTTTTACTATTAGCATAGTCAAATTTAAAGGGGGAGTCAGTATTTTTAGCAAATATTTCTACTAGCATCCAGGCATTAACTGTCATGATTCTGCTCTTGTTTTGCCTTTATTTACAAAATGATAAGAAGCCTTACAATGGAGAAGTTTTAAATCAAATGGAGCTCCGATCAATCATGGTTGCGTCAGTAACCATCTACTGCGGCCTTTACTATTTAACAGACTCTTTGGACTCTGTTTCTGAAAATGTCTTTTTCTTTGTAATTTGCGGAATAAACATCTATTTCTTAAATTACTGGGTAAAAAAAATGTTTGGAGCCTATCTTCAAATAGCAAGTGATCTCGTACCTTGCCTGAGGAAGAGGTTCAGCAGACGCGTTTTGGACGGGCTAAGTGACGATATTTTTGAGAAGAAGCATCCTGCTCATGTTATTGTAAAAGAAGGCGACAAATTCTTCTCGATTATTCCAGGTGATGATCCTGTGCCTAGCATTCCTCTTGATGATGATCTTGAAAAGGCACTGAATAGCGATATGAGGGACTTATTTTTGGGCATTGTTCACCGTCACGCTAGCTCCCCCATCTGTGTGCAATCAAAATATTGGAAAATCCATTTTTTTTTGGGGAAAAAGCCACCCCCGTGAGCGAACAAAATTGTTTATGAAAAAATATAAATAAGAGATAATTTATTATAATGAAATCTCTAGCTAATTCTGTTTAATATTAGACAGCTTGTATTTTAAAACATAGATTTTGCAATTAAATTAATTTTTACTCTCAATTTTTACGATTGAGAATTTAAATTTTAAAAAATATTCATAATAAAATTTATAGAAATTTTTTAGAAAATAATTAGTCTCCTTCAGCGAAGAAATATTTTTTATTAGCTACTGGGGGAGTAATGAAAAAAATAGAAAAGTCGAGGTTGTAGAAGATCTGTTTACTCATGAAGGCAATCGCTCTGCAACGATGCTAGAAGAAGAGTCTTATTTTATCTTATCTTAATTATTTATAAAGGTTTACATCCACTACGGGGTGGCCTTGTCCAGAAACTGCTGCCATCTTTATCCACGTGTCGGCCCATGGACCTCTGGATCGACCCATTTCGATTCGCCAAGGCACGGGTAAGTACGGCGTACGTCCCAGGCTACGTGCTCTTCCTTTTTGCCGAGAGCCGACCAAAAAACATTCATTTTTTGGGTTTCGGAAAAGCAACCCATGTCCACAAGCAAGTAGCTCACACATGAGACGTCGAAAAGCCGTGACGTTTGCCTTAGGCACACCCTGGTGATCGAAGCGGGTTGGCCCAGCAACCTGTAGGCCCAATGCGGCGAAAGGTAAAGCGGCAGATCTGGGGAAGAGTCTACCCGTAAGGGACGTTAAACGTATAAATTCTAATGTAATTCAGAGGTCCTTGGGGTAAAACCCAATCCCATAAATAAAATTCTTGAGTGAGAGAAAATTAGCGGAGCTAATTTCGCTTGAAGCAAAAGCCATTTTATTTATGCTAGAAGAAGAGTCAAAAGATGAATTTCCACCATCAAGAACATTTAGTCTGAGGGAGCTCAACAATCAAAGTAATAATAAAAATATTTACTATTAATATTTGAAAATTTTATTAATATCCGTTGCATTTCAGTCCAGGCTTCGAATTGAAATATGCCGAACGTTACAAATAATTAGCCAATAATTAATATTTGCGTGAGCATTGAAATCATGGCAATTAGCTAAGCCAAAATTTAATCATTCAGTAATATCTGACGACCAATAATCTTGTTGGGTTAAGTTGGATCCAAAACAAAATGTAATCTTAGGTTAGTCCCTATTGCTTACTTGTAGAGCCAATTCTTTGCGACTTTATAAGAATATTACAAAAGAACTTATATGGCATGACTTATTGAAAAATGGCATACTGTTTTCTTAACATCTTTAGCATTTTATGAATGACGACAATAAAAAATAGGACCAGGGGCTAAAATTTTATAAAAATATTTACTCCTTGCCTTCGTTCCCTAACAAAAAAGAGGTTAATTGTTTTAAAATTTATATAGCAAATATAAGTTTAATTTATAAAATTTATGTTGTTTAAAATCAAACAGAGTCAGTTAAGATTCATTATAATAATTATTAGTTGTATATCAAAATTATTTCATAAAATTTTATATTAAAAAATTTTTGTTCGTTATGGAGGGTAGTTTTTCAAAAAAAGTAGGGATTTTTTTAGTGATTTTGTTTGCTCACATAGGGAGACAGTTAGGATTAAATTGAATTCTAATAGATGAAAATTTTAGTAAGATCTTTTAACTCTACTCTGTATACTTTACTAAATTAATATGATTTAGTTTTAGTTTTTACTCTTATCCTTGATGCAATTTAATTAATACCAGGATGTTATTTATTTCTATACGCTTATAATTTTTTTAGTTTATGCGTTTTTTTTATAATAAGTTAGAAATTAATGCTTGAGAAAAGACGCAAGCGGAATTGAATAATGATTTCTTTCTTTATTTCTGTTACAAATACACATTAGAAAGGACTTAAGCTGCAAAAAAAGCACTATAAAAATTTATAAAATAGAAATGCTTTTATTGAACCATTTGTGCTTTCGCTGATATAATTACTGATTTTTAATTTTTCAATGGGCTTATTTGAGAAATAAAATAGATTTAATAAAAATTTGAGAGCAAATTTACGGACTTATGAAATTTAAGAATTTAGACTTAAAAAGGCTAAATTGTGATTAACGTAAATTATTCCTCTTTACAATTATTAATTAAAATTGTGTTCTCCCTTTTTCCCTTTACATCCCCCTTTAAATTGAACAACAATTTTAAATTTATAAATGCTAAATTTTATAGGAAAAAATTCTAAAATAACTTACTCCCCCCCCTCCTTAAGCGAACAAAACCATTAGAAAAATCGATATATTTTTGCCCAAAAACCCACTCTTTGTGAGCGAACAAAGAGTTTTAATAGAAAACATTTTAAGGAAAAAAATTTTTGATATATAAGTGATAAATAGTATCATGAAATCTCGAGCTAATTCTGTTTAAATTTTAAACAAATTGCGTTTTTAAAAAGCATAATTTTTACAAATTAAATAAACATTTGTCGAGACGTGAGATTTTTTTTAAATTCCGGAAAAAAGTTTTTTCTTTAAAATATATATTTAAAAAACAAAAATTAACCCCCCTCCATGAGCGAACAAGATTTTTTTGTTTGCTCAGAGGTGGGGAGTTAGCTTTTTTTTAATGAGAGAAGTTTAATATAATATTTTCATGCTGAATCGACTAAATGCTTTATTTTTTTATCATAAATAAAATTTCATGAGAGAGAATATTTGCGAAGCCAATTTTGCTCGAACCGAATTCCATTTTATTTATGGGGTTAGGGATAACTAGAGGAACTGCTCCCTCAGTGCACTCAAGAGGCTCAGGGTTTTACCTCTCAGCACATCTCCACGGGAAGATGACCCTTAGGCGGCGGCACGCGCAGGAGCTTTGTCAGGGCAACGGCAACGCACTGGGTGAGATGCGCTGTGAAGACTGGTGATGAAGCTTCGATAGAAGGCCTTGGGAGGTGGGCCTGGACCATCGTGAATCCAAGATGGCTCGGCGACAACACTAGTTTAGCTACAGCCCTTTTATAAGGCTGCTGCACTAGACACCTTAAACACCAGATACTAGGCTAAGTTAAGTTAAGTCAAGCTTTATTTTTGATTCATCATAAAAATAAAACTATTAAAATTACCCCACCTTTAACAGGAACAGGATATTGTGCTCCAATTTAAAGTTGGAGTAACAGTAAAATAAGAGCAAGCCTTTTATATTTTAAATAAAAGAGAAAAAGCACTAAGAATCTTATTAATCAATTAGTATTATTTGATTGTCAGCCTAAAAGACCATAATATTTATAAATACAAAATGATTATGTTTCTTATCATTTTCTCACATATCCCAGTTTCTTTTTCATTGACTATTACTTGCAATAAAAATCTATGCCCAGATTCATTTGTGAGCCCTATATAGATTGGCGATGGTCACTGCGACCAAAATTGTATGAATCCTTACTGCAATTATGACTCAAAAACAGGAAAAATCGCTGATTCTGATTGTTATTCTGATTGTATTTACAGAACTCAGTGTCAATTATCAAAGCTAGGTGATGGAACTTGTAATTCTGAATGCAATAGCTGAACTTGTGCCTATGACTTAGGCGATTGTGGCAAATGCTCTTCTAATTGTAAATGCTATTTAGGCTATGACAAAATGCTGGGGAGCAGCTGCTATTCTGTTTGCAATACGGCCTCTTGCTATTATGGACTTGGTCTTTGCCAAGACTGCAGCCAGAATTGTCCATCAAGTCTCCTTGGAGATGGAAATTGTGACTCAGCTTGTGACGTTTCAAGTTGTAATTATGACTTTGGAGACTGCCAAACCTCTGCTTGTGCTTCTGGCTGCTATATTAATATGCTGAATAACACTGTCTGCGATAAAGAATGCTATAATGAAGAATGTGGTTGAGACGGGACAGATTGTGATTGTAGCCCAGGCTGTACCTTAACTGAGCTTAATAACTCAGGGTGTGATGCGGTCTGCAATGTTGCTGACTCCCCCCCCCTCTGTGAGTGAACAAAAATTTTTTTTAATAGAAAAATTTTGATATATAAGTGATAATTATTATAATGAAATCTCGAGCTAAATCTGTTTAACTTTAAACAAATTGCTTTTTAAAACATAAATTTTATAAATTAAATTAATATTTGCTTTCCAATTTTCGCGAATTAGGATTTTTTTATAAAATTTATATATAAATTTTTTATAAAAAAAAAATTAACCCCCCCTCCGTAAGTGAACAAAATTTTTTTGTTCACTCACGGAGGGGGGGGGAGTGAGTGCGATTTTGATAGCCATGCATGCGGTGACTGCGCTTCTGGCTGCTTTGACAGCTTTATAGGAAATGGGACATGTGAGTCTGCATGCAATAACGAAAATTGTAATTGAGATGGCGGTGATTGTCAATGCGCATCTACATGCAACATTAATAGTTACGGTAACTGCTCTGAAGGCTGCATGGTTGCAGACTGCTTATGAGATCAGATAAGCACAAGCACAGACAAAAGATGCAGTAATACAGATTTATCAATATTTTACATGCGTTTGCAGCTAATGAACAACAATTTTACAGAAGTTCCAACTATAAAAAGCTGTTTAAAGAAAACTAATTGTACAGCGGCTGATTTAGCTGTTCCTGAAACCTGCAGCAGCGACTGCAATAATGACCGCTGCTGGTGGTCCCAATACAACTGTTTTCCTTATAATGAAACAGTTTGTGCAGACTCAAACTGTTTAAAATGCTATGGAGACGACCTTGGCATGTGCTACGAATGCGATTCGTCAGTCTCAAATAACTATCAATTCTTTGGATATTGTGTTGAAGAATGCCCCACAGGGTATGAGCCTCTGCATTTTCTAGAGCAGGCTTGAATTTGTGTGCTTGAAGAAGATAAGTCCACTGCAGATAACCCAGCAGTTTATTATGTGGACTGAAATACAACTGACTCTTTAGGAGGGGATGGGACTATAGCGAAGCCTTGAAAAACACTATCACTAGCATTGGCTTCTATAAGTACAGCATACTCAATTGTGTACCTGACTCCAGGGTACCACTATTTGACCGAGGTAGACAAAAATTCAGAAATTTATGTAACCATTGCAGATGCCTCAAGGCCTTATAATTATCAAGTTGTGCGCCAAAATCTGACAATAACTTCAAGTGATAGCTCTTACTTACTTAATTAATATCACGTTTTAACGTCCCCCACGGGTTGGCGTTCTGGTGTCCACCGCCTTTGACACTTAGGGACGATATACAGCCTCCCGGTACGACCGCACTGCGCACCTCCAGATGAAATCACTGACTTTGACGGCTCATGAGTGAGCGACTTCCCTTGCCTGCTCAGAAAATTCAAAATGGACTCTCGTCACAAAGGGAGAACACGAGGCCTGGGACTAACGCCAAGTTTCACGCTAGGGAGTTGCCCGAATGGTCCAGAGGACTTTGCTGAGCTTCCCTTTTCCAACCGCCGTGTCTTCCTTCCCTTCGAGGTAAAATCCATCCCAGTCGTCAAGCATGGGCCAGGCTCTGCCCTGCAGAATTGCTCACCTGGCATTGTTCCTCATTTCCAGAATGGCAAAGTCTTTGCGGATAAATTAAAATATGTGCTTGGAGCTTCATTGCCAGGAGGCCATGGCCAGGCTTTGACTCCATATTTTAATTTCAAGTGATAGCTCAACCCCAACAATAAAGCCTTACCCAAACAAAGACACAATTACAATAACCCTTGAAAACACTGTCTATATGTCTTTTACCAATATAAACTTTGATGCCTATTACTGGGAGAGCGAAAAAAGTAAATGCAACTCTTCCAGTGAATATTGTTCTTATTGCCCTTATGTTACACAGATTTTTGATGGAACTTATCAAAATGATAGAGGGGAAGCCATAACTGAGTTTCTGGATGCTGATGAATGCGCAGAAAACCATGGCTGGAATTTATTTGAAATTCCTGGAAATTGCAGCTTATTGCTGAAAAATGTAAATTTCACGAATTGGAGATTAGAAGAAAACTCGTTGATTTCCAGCAATGGTGGAAATCTTGACCTAGAGAGCGTTGATTTTAGCAATATAAGAACTGCTCCGTTTGAAAACTCTATAGCTTACACCCCGTTTTGGATCAGCCTTGAGCACCCCCTCCCCATGCCACCCACCTCCTAACGGTCCCAAATATTTTAGCATGTTAAATATTAATTTGACATGTTAAAAGGTTTGAGCGGACTTGTCAAATAATATTTTAGCAAATTAAATTTTCAGGACCGTCAGAGGGTGGACGACATGGGGAGGGGGTACTTAATGGTGAGCAACCATGAGGGGTGTGCTATAGTGTCATTATTTTTGCTGATTGTGGATCAGCTACTTATGAATGTGGGAATTTTCAGTATAATAAAGGAAATGTAGAGAAATTAAATAATGGATTTGAGTATGACAGCTCTCTGATATTAATGGGGTTTTTGAGAGTTCTTAAGGCCAAAAGTGTTAGTATTGCAAATGTAAATTTCAAAAATAATTTTATATCAGATCCTGAAGCTGATGATGCAGGAAGTGTACTTTATTTAGAAATCTTTAGGACGCTGTATATTGAAAAATGTGAGTTTTCGTACAATTATGTCCAGAACGGTATTATATTTATACTTGCGAGTAATTTGGCTTTGGAGCAGACTGTAGATAATAATGAAATTATCGACTATACAATAGATCATGTCACAATAAAGTCATCGAAGTTTTACAATAATTATGGGATAAACATTGGAATTATTGCAGCCTATTATGTCCCTGAACTACAAAATTATCATATAGATTCTCTTGATATACAAAATAACGTAGTCGAGTCAGGCAGTTTTTTTGTATTAAACAACACAGTAGTAAAAAACGAATATATATATGGAACAACAGGAACAGTGACTACAGATAATGGTTATAGGATCACAGCCCATCAAAACCCTCGCTGGTTCAACTGATATTCAGGCACAATCAAAAACAACTATTCAGGAAGCAATGGAATTTTTTATTTGACCAAAATTTTCAATATTTTTATAAGTGGGGTCACAATAGACTCAAATGGAGATACAGAAAGGTTAAACACAGGCATAAACGTTAACACCATTGTATTCAACTCTTGGATTAATAACCCAGACATGTATATGAAAGATGAGATCAAAACCAACCAGCTGACCTGCGAATATATGTCTGCTTTCTCCATAGTCACAAATATCACTATTAAAGACTCTGAAATCACAAACAATTACTGCTCTGAATCTAATCCTGTCATAAACTTTGACAGCTCCAATGTAGTCAATTTTACTAATACAACGTTTAACTCGAACTATGGGTGGTCAGCGAGCCTCTCTACAGTGCTGTACATTAATAATGGGAATCAAACTGGCATAACAAGCTCAAAGTTTCTGAATAACACAAATTACGCTGATACTGGGTATGGACTTATTTATGCCAAAGGTAGTTCCCAGGTCTTAGAAGTCAATTCGACGCTTTTTTATAAAAATTATGCTTCAGAAGGAGGGATTTATTTTGTTGGAAGTATTGTTAAGCTCTATAATGACACATTTGAATATAATGGCTCTCCTACCCATGGGGCAGGCTTGTATATTAGCCAATTAAGCTCTGGGACACTGTCCGTATATGCAGACTCTTGCACATTTTACAAAAGTTCTTCAATAAATGGTGGAGCAGTCTATATGGAAAATGAAGGAATCTCCACAAATACAATATACTTGGCAATAAAGAACACAACTTTTGAGTCGAATTATGGAGAATACGGTTCTGTAATATACTTGGAGGATTCCATTGCAATAGCTGCAGGCTCTTTCCTCTACAATTGTACATTTAAAGAAAACACAGCGAAAATATCAGGGGCCATTGCAGCTCTATATTCAAGTGGCACATTGAGCATCTCAAACTCTGTTTTTTATAAAAACACAGCTAGGCTTGGATCAGCGATTTATTTAGAAATCGGTCCTGATCTGCAATACTCAGGGACATTTTATATAGAAAACACTGACTCCCCCCACTTTAAATTGGAACAAATATAGGTAAAATTTCCATTTTTTTGTTAAATTAATCCCCCTTTAAATTGGAACAAAATTCAATTTTATAATAAAAAATTGTATAGATAAAAATCATAATTTTTATGTAAAAAGTTTTGATACAAGTTAAATGTTTCTTCTTAACTAAAATTAAAAATTTAGCTATATCTTTCTCTTGTTTAAAGAAGAGAGCATAAAGTTTGTTTTTAAAAATTTTTTTAAAAAAATTTTAATTATTTTAGATAAAAATAATATTTTTATTTAAATAATTTTGATATAAATTCAAAGCGAATTCTTTACAAAAATTGAAAATTTACTTTATTTCTTGCTTTTTTTAAAGAATAAATTATAAATAGCATCTTATTTAAACAAAATTAGCACTTTGATCGATAAATTTTCTAAAAATGTTTTTAATTTTTTTTTATCAATAAAAATAATAATTTTTGTGTAAATAGTTTTGATACCAATTAATAGTGGCTTATTAGCTAATAATGAAAATTTAGTTATATCTTGCTTTTTTTTAAAAGATAAAGAGTAAATAGCATTTTATTAAACAAATTTATTAATCTAATTCGATAAATTTTTTAAATTTTTGTAAATTTTTTTTTTTATAAACAAATTTTATATTGAATTTTTGTTTAAAAAAAAATTTCTTAACCCCTTTTAAATTGGAACAAAATTTTTTGTTCCATTTAAAGAGTGGGAGTGAGTTTCTTTATAACAGTGGGGGTGCCGTTTTATATGCTTCAAATGCTGACATTTTTTCTTTTGTGGTAACAAAATCGTGCTCTTTTCTAAATAATGTAGGATCTGCTGTATTTTTGGACTACGACTCATGGGTTGATAATGGGTCCATCATCAAAAACAATTCAGGAATGGTAGGCGGAGGACTCAGAATGGACGATAACGCATCAGCCAGTCTCACAGCCACAATATTCGAAGAAAATAATTCATCGTCACATGGAGGGGCAATAAGCGTTGCTGGAAACTCTAACTTGACCTGCAATTATTGCAGCTTTCAAAAAAACTTTGCAGATGACTCTGGAGGAGCAATTTACAACGAGCAGGATTCTGTTTTCAATGTATCCCATTCAGTCTTCGAAGAAAACATATCTACCAATAAAGGCTCAGCGGTTTATTTGTTAGGATCTCCAAGTCCTGTATCTCAGCTGCATAATGTAACGATTGCTTCAAATTATGCCTATAATGAAGGTTCTGTAGCACTGCTTGACTCCGCAATAAACATCACTTCATCCAAAGTGCATGAAAACTCAGCGAAAATGGTCACAGGAGGAGTTTTACTTACTCTTTCAACTGCCACAATCACTAAAAGCACGTTTTATTCGCAACAAAGTGTTCAAGGCAGCTTTTTATATGCGACCACACAAAGTACAGCGATTATCCAAGGCTGCTTCTTTAACAATGGCAAAAGTAGCAACTCAGGAGGTGCAGTGTTTTCTACAGCCAGTGAAGTTATAATAAGCAGCTGCACCTTCAGTGGGAATTTTGCCTATTCTGGAGGAGGGGGTTCAATTTTATCATACTCGGGAAGTTCATTAAACATCACAGACAGCAAATTCATTAATTCAAGCAGTAATGACTTGGGAGGAGTCATAGTAGGCTACGAAAGCAACTTGTATGTCGAAAACTCCTACTTTGATACCTTTTCTATGGGCGCCATAAGTGGAGAAAAAATGATGCACATTTGAATCAAAGGAAGCCAATTTTATAATGGGTACTCTCCAAGTGGAGGCGCCTTATCATGCACTGGCTGCGTCGAGCTGGAAATCTATGATTCTGAGTTTATTAAAAATAGAGCAAAACGCTTGGGAGGCGCTTTGTACATATGAACTACAAATGATAACGAAATAGCTAACTCTTATATAATCTCAAACACAATGTTTCAAAACAACAGAGGAGAAATCGGAGGCTCGATCTATAGCAATAACGTCAAGCTGAATATTTCTTTTTCCACATTTTCAGGAAACTCCGCAATCACCGATGACCCGATTACAGCAACTACACCAGTAGATGGTAACGGGGGTGCTATTAATACTCTCTGTGAAGATTTCAAGACCTGTGAATTTTATTTCTCGAGCAATACTTTTGTTGATAACTTCGCAACCTATGATGGTGGAGCTCTCAACTTTGAAGACATCTGCTGCATGCCATTTGAATGGAAAGTTTTGATCGTGCGGAAATTTTGGTAAAATCTCTGATAGATTTTCCTGTGTATTGATTTGTATTTCTATCTACATTGGACCGAATGGCACGCCAGCCACAAATTTTCCTGTACCCCTCGGACATTCCGTTCAAAAAAGCATGCACCCAAGACATCATGCCGGTATTGTCAGGAAATGTGTTTGCCAATAATACTGCGGCTTATGGTGACGATATTGGCTCTTATGCGGTAAAAATAGTAGCCCTTGATGAAAATGGAGAACTGATTGGATACCAACGAAGGCTTGAAAGTGCCCCTTTAGCGACTTCCTTATCAAATTTAGCACCAGGACAGACGTCTTCGAAAACGTTAAAGATTGCATTGGTGGATTATTACAATAATATCGTTACCACAGATAGCTCGAGCTCAGCTGAACTTTTGGTTACAAACTCTTCGACAACAACCTTCTCTGGGACCACAAAAGTGACGGCAGCAAAAGGGGTGTATGTTTTTAATGATTTTATCGTTTGAGCAATACCTGGCACTGATGTTGACATAGAAGTGTATTCAACAGGAATAGACTCAACAAAGTCAAATAGTAGCCAAATTACTTATATTTCAACTGTGAAGGTAAATATTTCGCTAAGAAAATGCATTATTGGAGAAGCCACTGTTGGAAATAACTGCCAAGTATGTGATAAAGGAAGTTACAGCTTAGATGGCGAGAATACTGCTTGCATAGATTGCCCAAGTGAAGCGAAGTGCTATGGAAACTACACGATGGTCCCTCTGCCAGGATATTGAAGGTCTTCTAATATGTCAAGCACTTTTTGGGCCTGTCCAAAGAAATCGGCATGTGAAGGATCGAGCAAAGAGCATTTCTCTTTGACAGGCCGTTGCGAGGAAGGCTACCATGGAAATATGTGTCAAGCCTGCTATTCAGGATATTCAAGAACGAATCCAAATACTTGTGGAAAATGCCCTGACCCAGTTTCTAATGCTTTCAGAGTAATCGGCATTGTTATTGCAGCGATCATTGTGGGGGCTATTATGGTCCGAACTTCTCGGAATTCTGCCTATAAGCCGAAATCAATTGAATCAGTCTACATCAAAATTTTCGTAAATTATTTGCAGCTCGTTATACTCATTACCACCTTCAACTTGGAATGGCCAGATACAGTTTTGCAGCTTTTTTCTGTCCAAAGCAGTGCAGGGTCTGTAAGTGACGAAGTATTTTCTTTTGACTGTTTTTTAGATACTGGGGAAGGAATGGAGCAAGTCTATTTCAATAAACTGATTATTATGAGCGTCATTCCTATTGCTATTGGCTGCGGGTCACTTTTGTTCTGGGTTTGCATGATGCTGCATAGGGGGAATTTTCTAACCTTTACCAATGATTTAGTGTCTACTATCGTTATTTTGCTGTTTTTAATCCACCCAAATTTGGTAAAAGTGATGTTTTCTTCGTTTAGTTGCAGAGAAATTGACGTTGGGGAATTCTGGCTGGTCGATAATTTGGAAATAAGGTGCTGGGATGATAATCACTTGTTTTATATTTTTGCAGTGTCTATTCCTTCTATTATAGTGTGGGGAATTGGAATCCCTACCGTCTCCTTATTCTTTTTATGGAAAAATAGAAGACATTTAAACGCGCTAAGTATAAGGCTAAGATTTGGATTCCTTTTTAATGGGTATAAGGCTAGGAAATATTATTGGGAATTCTTGATACTGTATCGAAAAATTCTTATAGTGTGCTGCTCTGTTTTTCTGCAAAATATTTCTACAGATATTCAAGCATTGACTGTGATGGTATTGCTTCTTTTTTGTTTAATTATGCAATCTCAAAACCAGCCTTATGACGGGAGCATTTTAAACCAAATGGAAATTAGATCAATTTTAGTTGCTACAATTACAATATATTGTGGACTTTATTATCTAACTGGTGCTTTAAATGAAGCTACAAAAGTTGTGTTTTTTATTGCTATCGTCCTGGTGAATGCCTATTTTATTTACTACTGGGTTTTGAAAATGTTTGGAGCTGGGATTCAATACTTAACTCTCCCCCCTTTAATTGAAATTAAATTCTTGTTCTATTTTAAAGGGTTTTTTTTCAAAAAAATATAAATTGAATGCATATTTTTGAGCTTTAATTTATTTTATAAAGAAAAAATTCAAGAAGTTTATCTATATGTTCTATTTGCATTTTTTCCATTAAAATATAAAATTAACTTGTATTTTCACTTATAAATTTTCGATTGAAAAAAAAATTATTTCTAGAAAAGGATATTTTTTCAAGTTTAAAGGGAATAAGTGAAAAAATCCCTTTTTTTAGAAATAGATTCCATAGAAAGGTGATGGATGGCTTTGATGATGCTTTATTTGAAGAGAATATTGAAAGGCATGTAATGATTAAAGGAGGAGAAAAGATCTTTTCTATAGTAAAAAACAGCCCAAACTCATTATCTGAAAATTTTGATGCCGCCGAAATTTTTAATCTAAATATGAAGCAAGTATAGCCTATGCGCCGTTATTAGTAGTAATCATTGAAATTTAAACGCTATAATGAATGGACTTGATGCATTCTATATCTTAGACTAGAATCCTATCATTTAGACAAATTCAGAGCTAAATAAAATTCTTAATTTTAATTCTTTGCTTTTATAATTAATTATTAAATTGCTCTTCTCGTGAAGTGGCGATTTTGAGCCCAATATTGCTTTGGCCCAATTTTAGGATCAGTGGTGAAACGCCAAAATGGGTAACAAGTGTGAAATAGGTTGGCAATAAATTAACCGATTTTTAAAATGCCTTTATAATAAAATTAATTTTAAATGAAGATATCCTTTAGTCTGGCATTGATGCATGAAGTTCTTAAAGCCTCATATAAATTGGCTCTAGCAAAATTAAAAATGGCTATTTAATGAACTTTAAAATATTTGCTTCCTATTGCGTGTTTTAGAGGATGGTTATTTTTTAAGAAAGTATAATCAAATTTGCTATGATTAATTGAACTTGCATCTGCAAAGTTAGCAGCAATGGATGATGAATCTACATTAAGTTCTTAAAGTCTCATATGGATCGGCTCAATCAAAATCTATGCTTGAAAGATATTTTTTTAATATTTGAAATTAATTTTATAATAGAGTCACTTTTAAAATTGGCTCATTTATTATCATCCATTTTTGACATGCTACTTTAGATCCCGAAAATTGAGTTCAAGCCGTTTTGCCGCAAAATCGCTACTTTTTATAGAGAAAAAAAAATTGAATTAAAACAAGAATAAAATAATTTAAATTAATAAATTTTATTTAGCTTTGAATTTGTCTAAATGATCGGGTTCTAGCCTAAGATGTAGAAGGCATCAAATACATTATAGCGGTTAAATTTTCAATAATGACAATTAATAATGGTGCATGAACTATATTTATGAGCATGGTGAAAAAAGGTTCAGAAGAAAATAAATTATTTTCTTCATTTGTTGACAGTGAGGAGATTCATATAGAGCACCCATCTACATATGATGAAATTTCTAGACTTGACAACAAAACAGAAACGGATGGAAAAATGGTAAAATCTGATACAAAATAATTAATTTGATTCTGTAGATAACTAACTAAAGAGTTTCAAATTGATATAAATTTCTAGGGTGTAATTTTGCATTATCAAGCATTTTTTTAAAATTTTTGAAAATTTCATAACTTTTTATTTGTATACTGATAGCAATAACGAAATAAACCACGGATGCCTTATATTAATTCTCCCAGATCTTTAAATAATTTTATTAAATATCTTTTTAGCAAAATGTCATATGGCATCGTGCTGCTTATAATTTTCTCGATTATTCCCTTTACCCTCTCTTTGACGATTACTTGCAACAAAAAATTATGCCCAGATTCATTTGTAATTTTTACATAGATAGGTGATGGCCACTGCGACCAAAATTGTATGAATCCTTACTGCAACTACGATTCGAAAACAGGCAAAATTGCTGATTCTGATTGCTATTTTGATTGTATTTATAGGAATCAGTGCCAAAGCAATAAGCTCGGTAATGGATTTTGCAATCAAGAGTGTAACAGCTGGACTTGTGCCTATGATTTGGGCGATTGTGGAATATGCTCTTCTAATTGTAAATTCTATTTAGGCTATGACAAAATGCTTGGAAGCAGCTGCTATTCTGCTTGTAATACGGCTTCTTGCTACTATGGACTTGGTCTTTGCCAAAACTGCAGCGAAAATTGTACAGCAAACATTCTTGGAGATGGAAAATGTGACCCAGCTTGTGATGTTTCAAACTGTAACTATGATTTTGGAGACTGCGAAAATTTTACATGTGCTCCTGGGTGCCATACTTATATGCTAAATAATACTGTATGTGATAAAAATTTCAATTATATAGTTAAACTGGCCATATGGAGGCAAGCTCGCTAGCATTTGCCTTGTATCAGCTCTAAAATAGCAGCCACCATCGTTTCACAAGATAGGTGGGGGAATGGAAGGTTGCCATTTTGGATTTCAGACCTGAACCACCTGCCCAAAGGGTCGACTCCTAGGGCAGAGCCACCGCCTGTAGAGTGCCCCGGTGATTCCGACAAGGGAAGACATATGTAGTATATAAAGCCTGTCTAGCCCATTTGTCAGGAGCAGTAAAACCCTCAGGGAGAAACAAAACATCCCTATTTGGCAAGACATCCCCTAGCATGAAGGCCTACTTCAAAAGGGATAGAGGCCCTATTTTCAGCTTCATAAGGATGGATCCTATAGGGAGTGCACCTCGGAGACCATTTCCGTCAACATCACCATTTTATTTCTGTATGTGATAAGGAATGCTATAATGAAGAATGCGGATGAGATTTGACTGACTGTGACTGCAGCCCAGGATGTAGCTCAGATTTACTTACTCCCTCCCTCCGTGAGCGAACAAAAATATCCTGTTAGCTCACAGAGTGGAGTTAATTTTTTTTCGAAAAAATTTATATATAAATTTTATAGTCAATTTTTTTTTCTAAAAAAATCCTACTTCACAAAAATTGGAAGGCAAAATATTAATTTAACTTGCAAAATTTATGTTTAAATTTCATTATACTAATCATCACTTATATTTCAAATTTTTTCTATTAAAAAGATTTTTGTTCGCTTACGGAGGATGGGTTTTTGGGCAAAAAATAGGGATTTTTCTAATAGTTATGCTCGCTCACGGAGGGAGGAGTTAATAATAATGATTGTGATGCGCTTTGTAATGTTTCTGAGTGCAATTATGATAATTATGCTTGTGAGTGCTCAAATGGATGCAAAAGTGGGTATATTGGAGATGGAACATGCCAGCCTCAATGCAATAATGCTAATTGCAATTGAGATGGAGGAGACTGCCAGTGTACATCTACCTGCAATATTAATAATTATGGGCACTGCTCTGAAGGTTGCATGGTTGTTGACTGTTTATGAGACCAAATCGGCTCAACTCCAAACCAAAGATGCAAGAACACAAATTTATCATTATTTTATATGCGCTTACAGTTCATGAGTTTAAATTTTTCACAAGCCCCAAGCCTAAAGCAATGCAAAACCGAAACTAAATGCCAGACGAAAAATTTGTTTAATCCGAATTTTTGTGACCCAAACTGCAATAATGAGTATTGTGGGTTTTCTTCGTGCAGTTGTTCTCCTCAGAACCAAACTAAATGCGCTGACCCGAAGTGCTTGAAGTGTTATGGCAATGAGATGGGGGATTGCTACGAGTGTGATTCGTCAATATTGAATAATTATCAGCTCTATGGGTACTGTTTAGATGAATGCCCATCAGGGTTCAAGCCTTTGCATTTTTTGAATGAGACTTGAATTTGCATTTTAAAGGCAGAAACCTCAAGCTTGGAAAACCCGGCGATTTATTATGTGAACTGGAATGTATCTGAGACCTCCGGAGGTGATGGAAGCATGGCAAAGCCATTTAAATCCTTATCATTTGCATTAGTATCAATAATCGCGAAATACTCAATTCTTTATCTTACCCCAGGGATCCATTATTTAACTGAGGTAAATGAAATTTCTCCTATTCAAATAGGTACGCAAGGCAGCTTAAAACCATATAATATGCAAATTATTCGTCAAAATCTTACAATCACGACAACTGATGGTTCAATTGTAACTTTGAAGCCTTATCTGAACAAAAATATAATAACAATAACACTGAAAAATACTCTTTACATGTCAATTAGCAATGTAAATTTTGACTCTTTTCAGTGAAAAACAGAAAGTACGAAATGTGGCTTACCAAGCAATTTGTGCTCTTATTGTCCTCATGTTATAATATATAAAAAAATGGATGGAAAATCGATATGCTCTCCTATTTAATGGAGCTGGCAATCGAAAGGGGGTAACTAGGAATTTGTTTAAGAAAGCAAGATATCCAGCCTTGTCTCTGCATTCCATCCAAGGAGGGAGCAGCAACACTGAATGATTAGTTATCAACAATTTCTGGAAAAGTTTACCTCATGAAAAGGTGGAAAGGATCTCTTAGTCCGCCCCTCTATTAGAAAACAAAAACATTGAAAAAATCTCTATTTTTTGGATGAAAATTTTAATGGAAAAATATTTTGATATATAAGTGATAATTATCATAATGAAATTTATAGTTAATTCTGTTAGATTTAAAATATTTTGCAATTAAAACATAATTTAGCAAATTAAATCAATTAAATTTTTAAAAAACAAATTCATTAAAAATTTATATATAAATTTTAAAAATCCTAAATTAACCACTTCTTTAACTCCCCCCCCTCCGTGATGAGTGAACAAAAAAATTTTGTTGACTCACGGAGGGGAGTTAATTTTTTTTTTTTCGAAGTTAAAAAATTTATATATAAATTTTATAAAAAAAGAATTTTTTTTCGAAATTAAAAAATCCTAATTTGCAAAAATTGGGAAGCAAATATTAACTTAATTTGTAAAATTTATGTTTTAAAAAGCAATTCGTTTAAAATTAAACAGAGTTAACTCTAGATTTCATTATAATAATCATTTATATATTAAATTTTTTTTTTCCATACAAAAATTTTTCTATTAAAAAATTTACGGAGGGTGGGTTTTTGGGCAAAAAATAGGGATTTTCTAATGATTTTGTTCACTCACGGGGGGGGGGAGTAAGTAAAACAAAATTTTTTGGTTCGCTTACGGAGGGGAGGCTAGGTTAGGTTATTAAAATTAGGCTTTAGCCATGTTGGTGACGCAGTTTTAATCTTAATTAAATTAGAAGGCGTCTGCCGCTTCGATTACGCAGTCACCAAGGACCCAATACCAATATCTTAGGGTTCACCTGCTTTGCGCCGTAGTCGGCTTTATCCACCGGGATGTCTACTCCTCTCCTTGCGGCTTGAGTGTTGAGTGGGTGGGCTATGGACTTCTGCGGCTTGCTGCTTGGGTTGACGAAAGTTGACCACTCAAAAATCCCAAAAAATGTAATTTCTGGTGACCTCTCGGCAAAAGGGGAAAATCCAGATCCTGGGACGTAACGCCCAGTTTCACGCAAGGCAGTTGCTCGATTGGACTAGGTATTGCCTGTAGACTTCGCTGGGCTTGCCCTTTCCAAACCTGAACCTCTCCTTCCTCTCGAGGTAAAATCCATTCTAGTCCTTGAGCATAGGCCAGGCTCTGCTCTGCAGAATTGCTTGCCATGGCATTGTTGTTCATTTCTGGAATGGCAAAACCTTGCCGGATATAATTAAAATATGTGCTCGGAAGCTGCTTGGCCGGAGGCCATGCTAGGTGGAGAAGCCATATTTTAATTATTATTGGTGACGCAGTCGCCAAAAGATCTCCCGTACGGGAGGTTCATCCGCTTTTCGACTCAAGCCCAGAGGGTCTTTCCAAATGGATGCCACTTCAGTTATTTTCTGTCTCATCAGTGGGGCCATGAATTTCTGCAGCCCTGCAGCATGCGATTGGCGTAGCTTGATTTCATGAATCGGTTCCTTAGAATCTGTGCATTCGATAGATACAGGAAAAAGACAACTATAGCCTGGTCCGAAACCCCAGTTTCTTGGTAGAGGAATACTTGGCCCCAAAGTTGTTGAGCTCTTCCATTTCCAATCAAAGTAAAGCAGCCAAAACATACCCAAATGCACATCTCTCTAGCCTGCTCTTGATTTTAGACTCGGAGTCATTACATTAGTAAGACGGGCTCGCGCCCTTAATTTTAACGCAATCACCGAGGATCTATTGTGGGATTCAACCGCTTTGCGACCTTCCTTTCGTCGGGTCTCCTCCTTGTTTCTTGTAAAAGACTCCAGTATTGAGTGGGCAGTCTACAGGTTTGTGCGGCCTCCTGATGCTGAGGGAATACGAAGTCGGCATTCCGAAATTCTAAAAAATGGAATTTCTGGTAGCCTGTCGGCAAAAGGATAAAGTCCAGATCCTGGGACGTAACGCCCAGTTTCATGCTAGGCAGTTGCCCGATTGGCCTATGTATTACCTGTAGATCTTGCTGGGCTTGCCCTTTCCAAATCTGAACCTCCTTTCCTTGGAGGCAAAAACCAATCTCGAAGTCGGACTTGGGCTAGGCTCTGCTATCTGCAGAATTGGTTACCATAGCATTGCTATCCATTTCAAGGCTAGAAAAACCTTGCCGGATATAATTAAAATATAAGCCGAAGATGATGGCCGGAAGGCCATACCTAGACTAAGACGCCATATTTTAATTATTTTTAGACTCGGAATTTGTCCCAGTTCGCCGTGACCAGAGGTCTGGACTGCTTGGCCAAGAGGGCAAGTTGACACATGTCTCCATTTTAATTTAAGGTAACAAAGAATTTAAAATATTCAGATAGCAAACTTATTAATAATCTAACTTAATGCCAATAACTCATGTTACGCAGATTTTCGATGGGAGTTATGAAGATGATAGAGGCAAAACAACAACAGAGTTTTTAGACTCAGAATTATGCAAAGAAAATTACGACTGAAATTTATTTGAAATTCCTAAAAATAGTCATTTACTGCTGAAAAATGTCAATTTTACGAATTGGAGGTTAGAAGAAAATTCACTTATTTACAGTTACGGAGGAGATGTTGAGCTCGAAAATGTGAATTTTAGTAATATTCGGACTGCGCCTTTTGAAAACTCTAGCGTCATAATTTTCGCAGACTGTGGATCAAATACTTATGATTGCGGCAATTTTTATTATAATATCGGAAATGTAGAGAAGCTGAATAACGGATTTGAGTATGACAGTTCCTTGGTAATAATGGGATTCTTGGCAGCCAAGAGAGTCAAAAGTGTAAGTATTACCAATGTAAATTTCAAAAACAATTTTATATCAGATCCTGCAGCTGATGGTGCTGGAAGTTTGCTTTACTTACCCCCCCTCCTCCGTCAGCGAACAAAACCATTAGAAAAATTCCATTTTTGCCCAAAAAACTCACCATCCGTAAGAATATAAGTAATAATTAGTAAATTATATCTGTTCTGTTTAATTTTAAAAACAAATTAAATTAATATTTGCTCCCCAATTTTTGCGCATGGGATTTTTTAAATTTCGAAAAAAAATTTATAATAAAATTTATATATAAATTTTTTAAAAAAAATTAACCCCTCAGTGAGCGAACAAGATTTTTTGTTCGCTCACGGAGGGGAGGAATTAGAAGCTTTCCGAACTCTTTTTATTGGAAATTGTGAATTTTCTTACAATTATGCAGAGGATGGATTGATTTTTATAAGTGCCAGTAATTTGGCATTGAGTCAAGAAGTGAATATATTCAATGAAATTATTGATTATACAATCGACCATGTAACCATTTCAGAATCAAAATTTTATAACAATATAGGGATTAATTTTGGGATTCTGTCAGCTAATTATCTATGTGAGCTGCAAAATTACAACCTAGCTGCCCTTGAAGTCTACAATAATTTGGTTGAATATGGCAGCTTGTTTTTTATAAACAACACTATCGTAAAATCAGAATATTTATACGGCGTCATATCAGCAGTTACTTCTAATGGGATCAGGGTAATTGCCCACCAAAACCCTAGATGATTTAATTGAGAATCTACTGATATATATAGCAATTATTATGGAGGCAGCGGGATAATTGAATTCTATAAGCTGGTAAACCTAGTTTTCAATAATCTCACAATTAACTCAAACGGGGATACAGGAAGCACTCATTCAGATATCAATGCTAATACTATTTTAATTAACTCATGGATAAATGATCCAGAGATTTATATGAAAAATCAGCTAGTCGTTACATCTTTATACTGCGGCTCACTGTCTTTATTTTCTTATCTGACGAATTTCACCCTGAAAAACTCTGAGATTACCAAAAATTACTGCTCAATGGCACAACCATCCTCGATCTTTGAGAATTCCAATGCTGTCAATTTGGATAATGTCACGTTTAGTTACAACTATGGATTTTCAGCAAAATCTCCCACAGTTTTATGCTTCAATGAAGGAAATCAGACTACAATAAATAATTCCAAGTTTCTGAATAACGAAAATACTGCACAACCTGGGTATGGCTTAGTTGCTTCATCAGGAAGCACCCAGGTATTAGAAGTCAATTTCACACTTTTTTCAAAAAATTCAGGGTATTCAGGTGGAATTTACTTTACTCCCCCCCCCCTCCGTGAGCGAACAAAAAAAATTTTGTTCGCTCACGGAGGGGGGGGTAATTTTTTTTTTTAAAAAAAATTTTATATATAAATTTTATAAAAAAATATTTTTTTCGAAATTTAAAAAAATCCTAATTTGCAAAAATTGGGAAGCAAATATTAATTTTAATTTGCAAAATTTATGTTTTAAAACGCAATTTGTTTAAAATTAAACAGAATTAGCTCTAGATTTCATTATACTAATTATCACTTATATATCAAAAATTTTTTTCCATTAAAATTTTTTCTATTAAAAAAATTTTTGTTCACTCACGGAGGGTGGGTTTTTGGTCAAAAAATGGCGATTTTTCTAATGGTTTTGTTCGCTCACGGAGGGGGGGGGGGGAGTTAGTGGGAAAATTTTAAAGCTTTATAATGACACTTTTGAGTATAATACATCTCCTACGTATGGTGCAGGAGTTTTTTCTAACCAAATTAGCACAAATATGTTTATTTATGTAGACAAATGCCTGTTTTATAATAACACTGCAATTAATGGCGCAGGAATTTATGTTGAAAATGGGATGATTTCAAGCAATGTGTATTTAGAGATAAAAAATACAGACTTCATTTCAAATTCTGCTATATATGGAGCAGGAATGTATGTTAGCTCTTATACAGCAGTGGATAAAAGCTCTTATATAGAGTCTTGCTTGTTTAAAGAAAATTATTCGAAGACTTCTGGTGCCCTTGCAGTTTTTTACCTAACTCCCCTTCTGTGAGTGAGCAAAATAATTTGCCTACTCACAAAGGAGAAATTAAAATTTCAAAATAAAAATTTGTTTTTCTAAATTAAAAAAAATTCTCAATCATAAAAATTGGAAATTAATTTAATTTGTAAAATTATGTTTCAGAATTCAAGCTATTTAAAATCAGCAGAATTAGCTAAGGATCCCATAATAATCATCATTTATATATTTAAATATTTTTTCTAAAAAATTTATATTAAAATAATTGTTTGTAAGCACAATTTTTTTATAAAAAGTAGCTCGCGCTACTCACGAAGGGAATAAGTGGAAGTTTGAAAATTAAAGAATCTTACTTTATAAATAATTCCGCAAAGCTTGGAGCAGCAATATACATTGAAATTGGAAGCTATGTTGAATTGTCGGGAACGCTATATGTGGAAGACTCTCAATTTATGCATAATAAAGGCTCAGCTTCTATTTATTCTGGAAATCCGAATGTTTATTCCTATATTTTTACTAATTCATGCTTATTTTCCAGTAATGAAGGATCAACTATAGCTTTAGACTACGATTATTTAGAAGACAATGGATCTATCTTTTATAACAACACATCAAAATTTGCCACTGGGATCAAAATTTCTGAATTTTCTTCAGTAAATCTAACAAATACTGTTTTTAAAGAAAATTATTCATACTCTCATGGAGGATCTATAGCAATCAGCACTTCCTCTAATTTAACATGTGATTTTTGCACTTTTCAGGAAAACTTCGCGCTAGACTCTGGGGGTGCAATTTACAGTGAGCAAAATTCAAATTTTTATATTTCCCATTCTATTTTTAAAAAAAATTCCTGCAAAAATAGAGGATCAACTATTTATTTATTAGGCGCTTCAAATCCTATATCAGAATTATATAATGTTACAATACATTTAAATAATGCTGGAAATGAAGGATCTATAGCATTGCTAGACTCAGCGATAACCATAAATTCCTCTTCAATGGCTGAAAATATAGCAAATATGATCACGGGTGGCATTTTGCTAACTCTTTCCTCGGCTAACATAATAAACTCTGATTTTTATTTGCAGGATGGGGAGCAGGGAAGTTTTATTTATGCGACGACTCAAAGCACAGCGAATATAAAGAATTCGTCATTTGAGTATGGAAAAAGCAGCAGTTCAGGGGGTGCCATTTTTTCTACGTCAAGCAATGTTATAATTAGCGGCAGTCATTTTAGCCATAATTCGGCACTTTCTGGTGGAGGAGGAGCCATATGGTCATTTTCGGGGAGTTTATTGAATATTTCGAACAGCGAATTTTTTTCGTCATATAGTAGCGATTTGGGAGGAGTTATTACAGGCTATGAGAGCGAATTAAATATAGAAAATTCTTGATTCGAAAGCTATGAAAGCGGAGCTATTTATGGGGAAAAAATGATTAATGCTTATATATATGAAACTAGCTTTCTATATGGAAATTCAGAAAATGGAGGTGCATTTTCATGTGTTGGGTGTATAAAAATGGAGATTGATAAATGCAATTTTATTGAGAACTCTGCTGAAATTGCAGGGGGAGCATTATATCTTGCAACTACAAGCGGCAATGAAATAGGTCAAGCTTATATTGTTTCTCGTTCAACATTTAAAAATAACTCTGCAGATCTTGGCGGAGCCATTTATAGCAATAACATAAAACTGAGCGTTATATCGTCCACTTTTATGGAAAATATGGCATCGACCACAGAAATCCCAACATCTTCTGTTCCTGTTTCAGGAAATGGTGGAGGATTAAATATACTTTGCCAAGATTTCTGGACTTGCAGCTTTAATATCTCATACAATAAATTCATTGAAAACTATGCCACTTATAACGGAGGTGCCATAAATTGGCACGACATTATTCCAGTCTTAACTTGTAATACTTTTACAAATAACAGTGCTGCTTATGCAGATAATGTAGCCTCTTTCGCAGTAAAATTGATGGCAGTAGACGATAATGGATCAATAGTCAGTTATGATAAAAGTTTTGCTTCTACTCCAACTGTTTTTTCATTATCAAATGTAGCTCCTGGCCAAGCGTCTTCTCAAACTTTGAAATTAGCACTAGTTGACTATTATGGAAATATTGTTGCTACTGATAGTGCCAGCTCAGCAGAACTTCTAGCAGAAAATTCTTCTGCAGTAATACTTTCAGGAACGACTAGGGTGACTGCTTCTAAAGGTTTTTATACTTTTGATAATTTTATAGTCTCTGCTGAGCCTGGCTCTGAGATTACTATAAAAATACCTTCAACTGGGATAGATGAAAGCAGCAGCAAAAATAGCCAAATTTTTTACGTTTCTGAAGTAAATGTAAATATTACATTAAGGAAATGTGTAGTTGGAGAGGCTACAATAGGTTTAAACTGCCAAGTCTGTGACAAAGGAAGCTATAGCTTGAATGGCTCGAGCACTCAATGCATAGAATGCCCCAGTCAAGCAAAATGCTATGGGAACTGAACAATGGTTCCTCGAGCAGGTTATTGAAGATCTTCCAATATGTCAAGCACTTTTTGGGCATGTCCAAGAGAATCATCATGCAAAGGGTCTCCTCGCCCACCAAATTTATCACTGACTGGTCTCTGCGAAAAAGGCTATACAGGAAATATGTGCCAAGCATGTGAAAATGGATATTCTATAATAAGTGCAAATACTTGTGGGAAATGTCCAGGAGAGTTATCTAACTCTTTTCGCATAATAGGTGTTATAGCTGCTGCTATTTTGCTAGGCGCTATTATGGTAAGAACCACCCGAAACTCGGCCTACAAACCAAAATCCCTACAATCAGTCTACATAAAAATTTTTGTGAATTATTTGCAGCTTGTGGTCCTTATTACAACTTTTAATTTATCATGGCCTGATACAGTATTAAATATATTTTCTATACAGACTAATGCAGGATCTGTAAGTGACGAAATCTTTTCTTTTGACTGTTTTTTGAATACCGGAAAAGACAATAAAAAAGTGTATTTCAAAAAATTGATGATAATGAGTTTGATTCCTATAATGATAGGCTGTGGGTCGTTTTTATTCTGGACTTTTATAAAATGATATAGGAAGAGTTTTGAGTCGTTTTTCAATGATTTTATATCTACAGTCGTTATTTTATTATTTTTAATTCACCCAAATTTGGTGAAATCGATGTTTTCTTCATTTAGCTGCAGAGAAATTGAGGCTGGAGAATTTTGGCTTGTAGATAATCTTAATATAAGGTGCTGGGACGGCAATCATATGTTTTATATTTTTACAGTGTCAATACCAGCCATTATTGTGTGGGGAATCGGAATACCTACGATTACTCTTTATTTTTTATTCAAAAATAGAAGAAAGCTTGACACTTTGAGCATTCGGCTGCGCTTTGGGTTCCTTTTTAATGGCTATAAAACCAATGCATTTTATTGGGAATTCTTGATTTTATATAGAAAAATCCTTATAGTTTGCTGCTCCGTATTTCTGCAAAACATTTCTACAGATATCCAAGCATTAACAGTCATGGTTTTGCTACTCCTCTGTCTAATAATGCAAGCACAAAATAAGCCATATGATGGTAGAGCTTTAAATCGTATGGAAATTAGATCAATCTTAGTTGCCACTATCACAATTTATTGTGGACTTTACTATCTTACAAATATTGTACATTAAAATGGGCGCGGTGAGCCAACCCACTTAAATCCTGTGGCAGGCATCCCACAAGTGTGTAGGGACCTCTAGAAAGGGAGGATGGCGTTCGGGATCTGTACTTGGCCAGTTTGGTAAAGCTCAATGCCAAGAGCTGACTACAAAATTTTTCCTTGGAGGGAATGGTCCGAGAGTTGGAAGGGATATCCTGGGAGAGCTAGATGCTATTCATGGCCAATCTAGTTCTCCAGAGTGGAATCAGGGGTTATACCTTAACTTTTGGCTTCCTTTTGGCTGAGAGTCGACTAGAAAACTTTAACCCTTACTTAACTTAATTAAGATCATCAAAAATCTCCCGGTAGGCTCAACGGTCGAGCCATATTCACATCTATAACCTCCACTAAAATAAGTAAAACCTAGCCTGACACACATTACAGAGCACCATCTCCCCACGTCGGGCAGGAGTCCCTTTGTAAAGTTGCGTGCGAATTGGTGAGCAAGGCAAAGGGGTATTGCAGGTGGAGGTAGTCCATAATGAATTGCAAAGGATTTTCAATTTTTAAGCTAGTGCTAATATTAGCCATCTTACAGATGCTTTAGACGAAGCAACGAAGGTTGTCTTTTTTATTGTCATTATCATTGTTAACGCTTATTTTATTTATTATTGGGTACTAAAAATGTTTGGAGCTGGAATTCAGCTTCTCAGCAATGTTGTGCCATTTCTTAGGCGCAAGTTTACGAGAAAGGTTATGGATGGCTTTGATGATGGTTTGTTTGAGCATAAAAAAAATAGTCATGTGGTAATCAAAGGAGGAGAGAAGATATTTTCTATTGTCAAAGACCGATCTGCCCAAATAGAATCTGTGGATTTTGACGTAAATGAAGTTATTGGTCAAAATATGAGGCAAATATTCATGGGTGTGCTAAAAAGAAATGCATAATTAAGTTAGAGCATAGCTCGATATTTTCTGGTCTTTTTATCTCTTGATATTTAATTGTGAGGTTTGGCTTCCCCCAACTATAAGGGAAGTAAGAGTCTGGTGGAAAATTTTCTCTCATATTAGAGAGTTGCGCCTTGGGCACAATAAAGCATTGGGATGCTATGACGAAGCAATTAAAACTTGTAGGGTAGGGATAACCTTCTTCTTCATATTAGAGAACCGAATCTTCCAGAGGGCACCACCTATCCAAGGTGACTAACGGATCCAAGTAGGTTATACAGCTCAAAAAAAAGTCCTCGAAGCCCAAACTTCAAGATTGGCGTCCTCATTGTGAAACAAAGTCAAAGGAGCCCATACTTTGGTGGTCGGAGCAAGATGGCGTGAATTTACCCCAGAGCAGTGTTGAAGGCATCAGTAGCAGCAGGCAACCTGATAGTGAACGTCAAACGAAATCTTAATAAATTTATCGTCATTTTTATTGCATGTTAAAAAGAAATGCGGAAAATTGGGTCGATAAACTTTATTGTACCCCACAAGATAGCGAAGAAAAACAGCAAGACGAAACATTTTATGAAATTTCAAGAGTTGAAAATGAAAATGAACTTGATATAAAAGCAAAGGATTTTAAATAAATTTTATCTGTGAAGACTTTCTTAATTTCGTTAATTTTAGTATACTCACTGAAGAGCATGAAAGCTGCTTATATAAAACTTTCTTTTGCTATAAAGTGATATAATTTATTTTAAGTAAAATAAGACTGATTATTTTTACTAATTATGGGGCAATCAAGCTTTTTATTAATCTTTAGTTTTATAGACACTCTTGATAATTAAAATAAATATTTAGTCAATTTTGAAAGAAATTCTAAGTTATAATTAGCTATATGATTTTAATATCCGAGCTCATCTCCTTTTGTGTCAGTTTCTCTTTTCTCCATTGACATAAAAGTGCTATTTAGTTCCTTTCCGTGATGATACGACACATAGCATAAAAACAGCAAGCATACTGAAATAACCACATTTAAGCACAGCATGACCATGAGCACAATAATAATGACGTCCGTAAAGCTGCAATTCTCATCAATCGTCGAGCTGCATTTCTCATCTCCATAATTAGCTGCCAAAAGACACACGAAAATAATCGATAAAATTATTGATGCTATATTAAGACAAACCAACCCAATAATAAATCCCAGATAAACTTTCATGACTTTGACATGTGATTTCAGAGCTCCATAAAGTCCGATTACTCCTGTAATTAAGTTTGGGAAGACATAGGCTACTGTAATCAAAATTGTTGCAACAGTAGATATCACGATTGATACAAATGTGGTAACCAAAATGAAATAGACTATAAAGCAGCATGACTCTATTTTTGTGAGCTTCCGGTTCTGGTCAATCATGCTTCGCTTAATAAGGTTTTCAGTTCCTTTTGCCATGGTTATAAGTATAATAATTTCAACAAGAAGTTAAAGAAAATATTTCAATAAAGAGCATGCTCTTCAGAAATAGCACAATGGACTTGAATCTTATTTAAAATTTCAAATAATACTTATAAGGTCAGATCCTTATTTTTGCATATTATAAATCCGTGTTTTGTTCAATAAAAATCTAATCTGCAGAATAATAATTAAAAGTACTTAAAACTCAATTTTAATTATAAGTTAACTTTTAATATTACTAAACAACAGGGGTAATCCTGTGTCTTAATCTACTTTTCGCTGCTTTTTTGAACCCTTTGAGAGCGATCATCATAGTTGTGAGATTATCTGTAGCTCTTCTTTCAAAAGCCAGCTGTATTATTGATTCGACTGCAGCGCCACATCGGTGGTGAATATTTTCACTCTCCCAGCAATCTGCTCTTCACGCTTGAGTTATTATTTCTTTATTAGTTAGTTACTTACTTAGAATTTATAACGCTTAACGTCCACTACGGGGTAGACTCTACCCAGATCTTCCGCTCGCCTTTCGTCTTATCGGGCCTACAAGTCGCTGGGTCGACCTGCTTCGATCACCATGGCGCTCCTAGGGCAAGTGTTGCCGGCTTCGACGGCATTTCTTTATTAGTCAACTGGTCAAAAATTCCATCTGATCCTAAGATAATAAAATCATATTCATCAGTAATTTTAAAAGACATTATTTCGGGTACTGAACTAATCACATTTGGGATCCCACCCATGCTTGGGATTTTCGCTTCAATGTCTCCAAATGTGCGGGAAACTGAAAGTCTGCCTGGGTTGACCCTAACAGGGCCAAACTTATTGTAGCCAAACGGAGTCTGATATAAAGACCCTCCAGCGTCAATTATTCTACACTTTTCAACCTCATCTGAAGGCTTGTGGTCGCGAGACAGCGCTTTAACTTTGCTCCCTCTTTCACAGCTTAAAATTGCTCGTGAGTCTCCAACATTTGCTACATAGCACATGTCTCCTACAAATAGGGCAAAGATACAGCAACTCCCTGAGGAGTCTACAACTTCGCCTTGCGCTCGCTTCATAAATTCTTGCTCAGCCTTGGAACAGGCTTTTTCTATAGCTTGTTTGGGGTTTGAAGGAAAACTTTCTTCCTGGATAATGTACTGATGTAAATTATTTCTTAAAAAATCAGCGCATGATGAACCGCCATGGCCATCAAAAATGCTGAAGTATGAGCACTTTGGAAGGGACTTGTCGGAGTTTGACTGCTTTTTTAGCATGTTGATACTGATACAGGCCCTATCTTCGTTGTAGTTTCGGACCAGGCCAGGATGTGTGATTACTGCATATGCTTTGGAAACACCATATGAGTTCGTAGAAAGTTTGGCTCGGTGCTCTTGGGAGATGCTAAAAGGCTTAATCTGCTTATAAAAATAAATTTTAAAATATAAGAAAATTATTTAGTAATTAATAGAATATTTTGAGAAAGGAAAGAGTTAGGCAAGCTCTCTTTGAGAGCATTTTTATGATGTTGGGCTCTTGAGGGTAAAAGCTGGTTGTCTATGAAATGGAGGCTTGGGGTTGGGGTTAGGATATTCGGGTTTTTTGGAGAAGGACAGTTGCTTGGTAAAGTGAGTAATCGAGGAGTTCTTCTCAGCCGGATCTCTTGGTCTGGCAATTTCCTTAAACTTCTTGAGTGTCTTAGCTCTGGTAGTGCAACAGTGCTCATAGCTGGAATCTTTAATTTTATAAAAAATGTTATTTGCTCCAATAGAATTAATGACGAATATTAGCAGGGGAAAATGCACAAAAAAATGAATTAGAATTATTTTTCGAGGTTTTTAATAGTGATTTTCCTTAAAACTTATTAAAATATTAAGATTAACAATTTTCACTATTTTTAGGATCTTCTGTATATATAGATTTATAAGTTTTGAGGTCGGATATCTTACTTTTATATATACTTTTGCATATTGTATGATTTATTATTTATAAGAAAAATTAAGAGCATTTTCTATAAAATATTGATTCTATTTAGCTAATAAGGGCTTAAATTTCTTAAAATTTTTGCTTGAAATCTTTAAAACAAGCTAAAAATTATTTTGAAGAATAAACAGTTTTCAAGTTATTTATAGTAAAAATTTGAGCATTTTCACCAATAAAGTTTCATAGATACATAATATAAAAGTTGATGCTTTGCTATTTTTTTTTATTAATTCATAGTTATTTTTGCTTTAAGTATATAAATTTCCTTGAATCTTGAAGTAAACTCATAATTTAGATTGCGATGGCTTAATGTAAGTAAAGTCAGTATTGAATAAACCTATTTTATTAGTTTCGCCCAGCAAGCTAAAATAACTTAAAATCAAATAATCATCTCTCATATTATTTTATTTTATCAAATATAACAATTTTTAGTGGTAATTTCATCCAAATAAAGTATAAAATGGATTTTAATTTTAAAAAGATGCCATTTTGTTAAAGATATGTCGTCTAAAGTAAAAAAGATAATGCATTTTTCAACTATTTTTTCAATAGTTTATCTATAATTTCTTTTCTAAAAAATTTTAATTGAATTTACTATAATATTTTTAAAGTGGTTTTGCAATTTTTAATTTTTCTTAATTTATATCCTTTTAAATACAACTTTTTAATAATAGCAATAAAATATTATATATTCTTAGCCTAATTTAAAATTTATTATTTTCCTTAAAGTTGAAAATATTTATTGTGACCAGAAAGAAATAGAATATACAATTAAATATCAACAATTTTGCTATTTGCTGAATTGGCCTATTTTTACTTGCTATAGAGGCAAAGCTTAATTCTTATATAATTTAATCAAAATTCATATTTTAACGCATAAATATCTCTGTTGAATAAATTCAGAAATGGATTTTAAGTTTCGAGCATTTTTGCTTCTCCATTTCATGCTTTTTTACCTTCCAATTGCAAGCTCAAATCCGTGCCCAAGTTACATTTGTAAGCCTTCTTCTATGGCTTTTGCTGCTGATACTTGCCTTTATTATACTAACGAAGCTTTAACTTATTATGCTAGAGAATGTTCAGGTAATAAGCTTTGCAAATACGCTACTGGGTCTAATAATAAAACCTGCGAAGATGAAACTCTTAGCTTTGGCCATAGCTGGGTAGGTGAAAAATGCAAAACAAATAAAGACTGCTTTAAAGGTGTTTCCTCTGGCTGCGTTGACGGAACTTGTCAAGGAACTCCAATGGGCCAAAGTTGTACATCAATCTATCAATGCTACCCAGGGAATTCTTGCATTAATAAGCAATGCATTCCTCTAATAGAAATTGGCCAAAAAGGGTGTTCATCTGACTTTGATTGCGTAAACAACGGTGCCTGTAATGTCACATCGGGTAATCCTCAAACTAACACTTGCTATGAAGTATTTTCATTTGAGCCTCACTCTCCTGTTGGAGATTGCAACAATAATCAAAGCATGCTATGTAAATATACGACCTGCGCCTTAAATAAAGCTGATTACAATTATTACTGTACAGAGATGCTAGTCTCTGACCCAGAACCAGCTTCGCTGTGTGATGTTAATCAAAATAGATGCCCTGCTAAGCCAGACAATTTTTTTAACCCACCTTATGTTGCAAATCAATATTGTGCGTGTGGCTACAATTCTGAAGGAAATTCGTATTGCAATCTATTCTTAGGAGACGGTCCAGGATTGTCTTTATTAAGTATTAGAGCCAAATGGTATTCAAGTGAAGCAATTTTAAAATGTAATACAGGGAGAAGAGAAGAATTTAACTGCATAAAGGATTATTGGGACGAAAAAAACTTCAAAGCTTACTATTATTGGACAACATATTTCCAGGAATATAATTATATAATAGGAAGTGAAAAATGTGTGCTAAATACAGCAGATTCTAGTTATGTATATGCTAAAAAGTTGTATGATGGAGAGGCTGGAGATAGTGGAGATTCTGATGAGAATAGCTCAGGGGGAATTTTGGGAATTTCTTTATTAATTGGAATTTTCCTTCATTAAATAATACTACTATTACTAAGTCTTATACATCACTAATATAAATGCTTTATTTCCGATTCTATACTTTTATCAATATGCGAAGAACCCCACCGAATAAAATTCAATAGTTGAATAGAACCATGAAACTCCGAGAAATATAATTGAGGTTAATTAGAAAATTACAATTTTATTTCATTTATACAGAATTATCATTTAGAAGCAGCTGTAATGAAAACTATTTATTACCATAGATATATTATAGCATTATCCTTATTTAAGACTATAAAAAGCCCCTCCATCAGACTTTGAAGCACCTTGTTCCATCCTTAGCACTACACGGCTTATCATGTAGCTGCACGTGAGATTACTGAGACGAAAAAATTTCGATAAATAGATTTAATTCTTAGATATCTGTAGGGATTTCAGGATTCGTCTTTTCTCAAATAATATAGATTTAGGGATTTCATAAAAATTAACTCTGATTACAATGAGATAGAATATAGTAATAAAACGAGACCAATTATATTATTTAATGTGGAAATAATTTATAAATGATGATATTTGGCAATTCTATTTTAACTAAATTCAAATAGAATTTTAAAAGTAAATTGGCAGCATGATAAAAACTCAAGTAAGCAAGCAGGCATTTTGACGGGGATAGGTCAGAATGTATCTAAAATTAAACAGATCGCTACTGAGCTTGAGTCATAGATGAGTTTGTATCTATATTTAAAGCAATATTGTTTGCAAAAATGATTTTTAAAAAATTACTGCATTATTAAATATCAACAATTTCGCTATTTGTTGAAAGCATTTATATTTTTATATCTAATATCTTATTGTTGAATAAATTCAGAAATGGACTTTAAGATTCACACTTTTTTTCTCCTCCATTTCGCACTTCTTTACCTTCCAGTTTTAAGCTCAAATCTATGTCCAAGCTACATTTGTAAGCCTCCTTCTATGGCTTTTACTGCTAACACTTGCCTTTATAATAATAAAGAAGCCTCTACTTCTTATGCAAGAGAATGCCCAGATAATAAGCTTTGTGTATATGCAGACGAGTCCAATAATAAAACCTGCACAGATGCAGTTCTTAGCTTTGGCCAGAGCTTTGTCGGCGAAAAATGCAAAACAAATGCGGACTGCTATAATGGTTTTTCCGCTTCTAACTGCGCTAACGGAATATGCCAAGGATATTCAGCGAGCCACTTCTGCACATCATTATATCAATGCATGCCAGGAAATTCTTGCATTAAAGGAATATGCAGTCCCCAAATAGAAATTGGCCAAAAAGGGTGTTCAAGCGACTACGACTGCGTTCAAAATGGTGCCTGCAATGTCACGTCAGAGCTTCCTGAAACTAATACTTGCTATGAAGTATTTTCATTTGACCCTCACTCTCCTGTTGGATATTGCTATAGCCCGTTCTCAGCTATAGATCGGGCTATGCCCGATCTTTGCCGGGAAACTCGGGGGTTGTCTGCGTCACTTCGAGGTGACGAGTCAACTCCCCGAGTTGGCAAATCACTATATGGTAGCTATTTGCCAACGGGGAGTTGATTCGTCACCCAAAAATTGACGCAGACAACTCCTCAAGTGTCCCAGCAAAAATTGGACATAGCCCGATCTATAGATAGGAACGGGCTATATAATCAGCAAAGCATGCTATGCAAATACACGACCTGTGCCCAAAATGGAGCAGATGGTAATTATTACTGTACAAGCTTGCAAGTCTCAGACTCAAAGCCAGCTTCATTGTGTAGTAGTGATCAAAGTGATTGTACTTCTAAGCCAGACAATTTTTTTAACCCACCTTATGTCGCTAATCAATATTGTGCGTGTGGCTACAATTCTGAAGGAAATGCATATTGCAATTTATTCATAGGAGACGGCCCAGGATTGTCTTTGTTAAGTATTAGAGCCAAATGGTATTCAAGTGAAGCGATTTTAAAATGTAATACAGGGAGAAGAGAAGAATTGAACTGCATAAAGGATTATTGGGACGAAAATAACTTCAACGCTTACTATTATTGGACAGTGTATTTCCAGGAGTATAATTATATAATAGGAAGTGAAAAATGTGTGCTAAATACAGCAGATTCTAGTTATGTATATGCTAAAAAGCTGTATAATGGAGATAGTGGAGATTCTGATGAGAGCTCGGGGATTGTGCTTGGAATTTCATTAATTATTGGACTTTTCCTTCATTAAATAAAACTTTGATGATTGATATTTATATATTGCTAATGTAAATGCTTTGCTCTCGATTTCATCTTTTTAATTGATATATTAGATTAGAATCGCTCTACAGAGCGCAAAATAAGATAAAAATAGTGTCAATATTATAGAGTTATATTCATTTCTATTAATTAATAATATGAATTAATTATCCTTTAAATTGGAACAATATTTTTATATATTAGCCAAATTAGCCACTTCAAATTGGAACATAATTTTAATTTTTTATATACAGCAGCAATATCTTCTATTAAAGCTTTAATGCAATTTAATTGAGAATTTACCTATAAATAAGGGATTCTTATAGAGTAGATTTTAGCGAAATCAGAATTTGAATTGTACGATATTTTTAAAGATGGGAAGGATTTAAGATAAAATTAGTATTTCATATTTTTTATTTTGGATTAGTAATAAAGAAATTGATTTCAACAACTTATTCAAGTATTATAGAATTTAAAATATCAAGTATAGCTTGAGCATCTTATGGATTTCTCAAGCCTTTACTGCGCCACCAAGTAGGGAGCTCACGAAGTCATCCCCAAATGACAATTCAAACCTCAGTTTGGCAAATCTGTGATATACAGAAGAATTGCCAAGCTGAGGTCTAGCTTATCGCTAGAGCTGAATTCTCAAGTTTCCAGCTTTGCTGCTGGAGCCAAAGGTTTGAGCAACCATATGGATCTCAAAATATATAGGCAGATAAATGAGAGGAAAAAAAGAAGTAAAAAGTGTGCCAAAATTCAGAGAGCTCGAAAAGCCAAAAGGGTTTAATGGGAAAGAGAGATAGCTGAGGAGATAGGCAGAAGGAAAACCAGAATAAGGCCGGAAGAAAACACAGAAGGAAACGCATAAGGAAACCCAGAAGTAAATCCGAAAGTAAACTAGAAGTAAACCTAAAAAGAGAGCCCAGAAGAAAACATAGAAAAAAGCTCAGAAGAAAGCCCAGAAAACATAGAAGAAAATCCCAGGAGAAACACAGAAGAAAATTCAGAAGTAGTGCCGAAAATTGAAAGAAAAGAAGAAAAATTCATAAAACCTGTTCATTGGCCTTCCTACTTAATTTAACCCAAACTCTTCCAGTGGCTCCTTTTGAGACCTCCCTCAAAAGTCCTTCCATGCAGAGCGACGCAGCTACAGCAGAAGGCGCAAAACCCTGCAGAATACGTTAAACGACATAGACTTAATAAGATAATGAAATAAGCTAAGATTTTATTTCTGTTTAATTATGAAAATCATTTAAACTTGATTAAATTTATAGCTTCTTACTCGCTAGCCAAAGGGGATTAAACGAATCTAATATTGAAAAAACTTGGCTTAGAAGCAAATGCATTTCTCCCATATTTTATATTTGCTATTATGATGCTAATGAAATAAGTGAAAGGCAGTTGATTTATCTATTTCATCTATATCGCTTCTCCACCCTACTAGATCATCATTAGCCATTTACTTAATTCTTAGATTGCAAATGCACTTTACAATATCTTGAAAAACTACAAAAATGCTTATCAAACCTAGACCATTTTTTAATAGTTTGAAACCTGACCATGAGCTATTATTGTAGATAAGCTATATTATATAGATATATTTGTGTAAAAACGAGAAAAGTTTTAAGTTTAATTATCTAATTTATCAACATCTGTTTTTTGTCTTAAATTTTACAATTAAATAAGGTTGAGTGCTATATAATAATATAGTAAATCGTGTTTTTATTTTTCCATGCATTTTCTACTTATTCTAGCAGAAGGTGTTCAAGTTTATTTATTTTAAATCTGCTGAAGATAAAACTTTGGACCTTTGATCGCCCCGGGCTACAAGAGACCCTTCCAACTAGTGGAGTCGATTCAGAAAATAGCACTACTAAGTAAATTTTACTACTGAAAGAGCCTTTTTTAGCTCAGGGCAAATAAAACGCGACCCTGACTATACTTGCAAAGTTCAAGAAACTTGCTACAACTGCAAAGATACAGCAAGCTTTTAATTCTAGCAATTTATTAATCTCATTGCTGAAGCATTTTCCATCTAAAAATATTTTAAAATAGTCCAAAAATTGCCGAAATCTTAATATTCTTTCAATATGCATATTGCTCATATAATAAATTTTAGGTGAATAAAATAAAAATGACCTTGGATATTCATACTTTACTTCTCCACTTATCTTTCCTTTGCATTGGAGTTTTAAGTCAAAATGAATGCTCAAGTTACACCTGTAAGCCTTCACAAATGGCTTTTGATGATGAAACTTGCATTTACTATGACCAAACAGATGATGTTTATTATTCAAAAGAATGCTCAGGTAATACAATTTGCAATGGCGCAAAAGCTTCTAATATGACTTGCGCAACAAATCAGCACTATTTTGGTCTCAGCTATCCTGGAGATAAATGTCAGCAAGATTCTGATTGTATTTATTCTTTAACTGGTTGATGCTCTAGTGGAGTATGTCAAGGAGGCACAAAAGATGTGACTTGTAATTCAAATTTGTTCTGTGTGCCTGGATACACTTGCTTCAATTATATAAAGTGCGTTCCTCAAATAGAAATTGGCCAAAAAGGATGCTTAATTGATACTGACTGTGTAAATAACGCAGCCTGTAATATCACATCTACCACTGATTCTCAGGCCAACACTTGTTATCAAGTGTTTACATTTGAGCCGCATGAGCCTGTTGGAAGCTGCCTAAATGGAGAAAGCCAGCTATGTAAGTACATAAATTGCGCCCAAAATGAAGCTGATGGTGATTTTTATTGTACAAATTTGCTGGCGTCAAAAGATAATTATGATGCTTCTTGTCAGGTAGGTAATCCAAAATGCCATTCTCAGCCAGATAATTTTTTTAACCCTCCATTTGTTGCCAGTTCAGTTTGTGATTGCGGCTACAATGCAGGTAGAAATGCGTATTGCAGCCTTTTCTATGGAGATGGCCCTGGAGTAAAAATGCTAACTCCCCCCTACTAGTGGTCCAGAGTTGGTGGGGCAAAATATGTTCCTCAATTCTCTCCCCTATTAGTGGACAAAATCATTGAACTTTTCTGGATAAAAATCCAATAAAAATTTTTAATATAAAATCTTATGGAAAATATATAATTTTAAACAGTTTGTATTTAAAACATAAATTTACAAATTTACTTTCCAATTTTTGCCAAAAGGGGATTTTTAATTTCGATAAAAAATTATTACCTCCTTTCGTTAGCAAACAAAATTTGTTTTTGAAGTAAGTTATTGGGCAAAATGGTTTTCAAGTCCAGCAGTTTTAAAATGCAATACAGCGAATAGAAAATCATTTAAGTGTATGCAGGATTATTGGGATGAAAAAAGTTTTACGGAACTGTATTATTGGTACACCTATTTCTATGCTTATAACCTTATAGTTGGAAGCGAAAAATGTGTGATAGGCACTGCGGCTTTTCAATACGCATATGCTTCAGAATTAAATGGTGTTGGTGATTATGACGATTCTGCAGTCGTCTTGGGGATTTCAATGGCCATTGCATTCATCTTTTCTTAAATAGTCTTAAATATTAAGATTTATAAGATTGAGATCTTCTATTTTACGACAAATTATTAATTATACAGCAAGATTTTTTACCATTTTATATTCTATATTAAAATCTAGGTTGGTTTTCCTGCCCCATTAAGCCATGATTTTCATGCTTTATCAACTAAAAATGCCACCTATTGGGCTATTCACAAGAAAAAAAATAGTTTCTACACATAAACGATATTCAATTAATTCTATATTAAAATAAATGAAAACTGTTAATAGGAATCTAAAATTTATACCAAAATGTTTTTCTATCAAATATAATTACGAAAGATAAATTATTTCTTCCCGATCCCTTCTAGGCAATCCTATTAACACTATTTGGGCTCTGAAAATCGCTCGCCTTAAGGTCTCCTAAATGTGTGAGGGTTAGTTTGCCATATCATTCTTATTTATATGATCGAGTAATCCAATTAAATTCCTAAAATTAATTCCCATCTTAATAGAAAGATTTACCTCTTCTCTAGTCGAGTGATGGCTACTTATAAATCAAGAATGAAGGAGCAAAGAAGATAAATATTTTTTTGTATTAAAAATTGATGACACAATTTTATGAAATTTTCAATAAAATGTATAAACTCTCTTGTGATTCAAATTTTCTTGCAGAATATAATTTTATTCTATCCTTTATTAACTTGCAAAATCTTTCAAAAAATACTTGCATTTCTCAGCTTATATAATAAAAATCAATAATTCAACTTGTAAAGAATAGTTCTTTTTCGATTCTATAAAAGTATCAGGATTTTAAAATTTTTCTCTATGCAGGCCTTTCCATTCTACTATTAAATTGTTGAATAAAATCAAAATGAACTTGGAGAGCAACATTTTTGGGCTATTTTATATAGGATACATGTAAGCCTTCATTTATGGCTTTTGAAGATGACACATGTGTTTATTATGACGAAGATGCCTATATTTATTACTCAAAAGAGTGCTCGGGTGACAAACTATGCATTTATGATTTAAATTCCCAAAATAAAACCTGTAAAGATGATAAATTTAGCTTGGGTATAAGTAGCATAGGAGAAACATGCAAAAAAAGTGCTGAATGTGATCCCATTTGGAGCAGAGGCTGCAATAATTGAAAATGCCAAGGAGTTTCTGCTGGCCAGTCTTGTAGATCAAATTATCAATGCATGCCAGGAACTTATTGCCTAATCAAGAATGTGTTCATCAAATAGAAATTGGGAGAAACGGCTGCTTAAGTGATTATGAATGTGTAAAAAATGGTGCCTGTAATATCACAGCTGCGGGAAACCCACAATCTAACACTTGCTATCAAGTATTTACATTTGAACCACATGCACCAGTTGGAGGCTGCTTTAACTCGAGAAGTTTACTATCCAAATACCTCACTTGCGCTGAAAATGCAGTTGATGGCAATTATTATTGCACAAACTTACTGATCTCTGATTCAGAACCAGCTTCGCTTTGCAGAATAAATCTAGATTAATGCTCTTCTAGCCCAGGCAATTTTTTTAACCCTCCATTTGTTGCTAATCAAGCATGCTCTTGCGGCTATAACTTAGAAGGAAAGTCTCATTGCGAACTTTTCCTTGGAGATGGTCCTGGAGCCATTTTATTAAGTTTCTGAGCAAAATGGTATTCAAGTAATGCAATTTTTAACTCTAATACAGCCAGGAGAAATGAGTTTAAGTGCATTAGAGATTATTGAGACAGCAAACATTTTGATGAATTGTTTTATTGGCAAAGCTATTTCAACTTCTATAGTTATATTGTTGGAAGCAAAAAAAGTGTAATAGATACTGTTGCCTCAGAATATGCCTATGCCAAAAGATTAGATGGCAAGGGAGATTCTGATGATAATTCTTTGATTCCTTTAGAAATAAATTTACTGATCCTATTCATCCTTTATTAAATAATCCTTAACATTAAGGATTAATAGTAACTGTGTTGATTATTTAAGAATAATCATTAAATAGTAAAAATATCAATCTTGGCATAACTATTATCAATTAATAGTTATTATATGAGAGGTCATTAGATTTGCAAATTGGCCAATGTGAAAATTCTTTAGGTTCAAAGTTTTGGAAAGCATTTCTATCCCTCAGAAAGACATATAATCTTCTAGCTATTCGCTTTTAAACTTGCCAAAATCAATGCTGGCTTTCACTTTGTAACTGAGACACAATAGGCTCAATTTCTAGTAAAAATCATCTCTATAGAAATCTATATGTCATCCTTAGGTATAGATGAGCATAAAATCGATAATGAAGTCAAATATTACGAGTTTATACCAAGTACTTGTAAAATAGACATCTATTTCGATGAAAATGATTCAAAATACTATCCAAGAGCAAATATGATCGATTTAGACTCTCAAACCATCGATGATCTGCACTGTTCCTCCTTATCAAAACTTTATAGGCCAGATATGCTGATTTCTGGCCAAGGCATTTGAGCAAAAGGCTATAAAACCTTAGGTTTCGAGCCGGAAGAAACTATCTTTCACACAATCATAAAATCTGCAGAACAATGTGACCGCCTTGAAGGGGTTTAAATTTGTCATTCTATCTGCTAGACACCGAAAGGGCTTGGAAGCTTAATTCTATCAGACTTAAGAGATCAATATCCTGCTAAATTAATAGAAAACTTTTCATTTTCATCTAAAGATCTGCAGATATTTCAATTTAAGTTTATAATGAAATATTTTCTATCAATAAATTGATAGGAAATTCAGATTCTTGTGTGGCTTTAGATCATAACTCTATAATTAAAGGTTTAGAAAGCCCAGCTATTCTAGCTTAGGTATAAATGACGCTGCCTCATCAATAAGATTTCTATGCAATCTAAATTCTAATTGAAGGAAAATTATTATGAATTTAAGGCCCTTTCCTTATAAAAATGCCCAAATGAAAAAAAATTTGAATTTTTATTCAAATGCTTGGCCCTGACAAATTTTAGCTAATTAAAAATACGAAAATTATTATTACATTTATGCAGCTTTATCTATTTTCGATGAAGTTACTAAATATAGAGAAGATGCCATTGCTGAAATAAAAAAAAGAAAATCTTTATGGTTTGTTTGCTTTCTAACTAGTAAGAGTTTTTTTTGGTGATACATCCCATTTCCCACCTACAAATTAAATGGCAAGCGCATCATCAATTTTAAATTGGAATTACATTGCCAATATTTTCAAAGAAATAGGTGAGATTTTTTGTGAGCTTTTTAGGAAAAAATCCTTACATGCTGGATGTAGAAGAAGGGATGGATTTAATGGATTTTACAGAAACATAAAGTAATGAAAACGACTTTATGAGTAAGGACTCAGCTTGGTGGACCTATGAGGATAAAGCTGGTGAATAATAAAAATGGATTACTAAATAAACAATGTTTATATACTTCGTGAGCAACTATGACTCAACCTTGACTGCCCCCTCATCCCACACCACCTTGGCTGTTTCATTTTAAATTAAAATGAAAAGTCATCATTATGAATTTAAAGAGTCAAATTTATATTTTCTATTTCATCTAAAATGAAACCATCAAAGTATTTTGCAAGGGAAGGATGAAGTCAAGGCCGTTGTAAAAATTTACTATTTTATATTTATAAAAAATTAATATAGCTTAATCTTCTAACTCAACAAAAAAAATTATCTCCCTTGATTGATATGCTTTTTTGCCTTGAGTGGCGCCCATACCGCGCCACTCAAGGCAAAAAGCTATAAAATTTTGAAATTATTATACTCACATAAAAATGCTAACGCCCACACTTAAATATCGTTAAAAATTTCCATATTTTAGTGCTTTAACTTTTCAATTGGGAAAATTGTTTTTCAATGCTATAATTTTGTGGTTTTTATAAAACTAGCTTTGACCTCATTTAACTGATGAGAATATTATTCAAAAACTAAAATCGATTATTTTGATCAATCCTTCATAAAAATAATTAAAATTCAAATATTGCGTTCAAATTAAAGGGGGAGTAAAATTAAATTAGATCAAAGCTGGTGAATAAATATACCTTTTTATAAGAACTTTGCAATTTTTTTGCTTTTTAGATTAAATTTATATATCTTATCAAATAGGTATAAAATGGCTGCGTCAAAAATGATTTTGGTTCTCCAGCTCACTATTGGTCTAAGTTTTGCTTTTGGCATTGACTGCTCAGCATATACTTGCAAAACTCCAGACCAGGTCTGGTATAGGCAATGCCTTTCAGTAGTGCGCTAAGCGCCCGAGACTTGCCGACGAAGTCTGGGCGGTGGTTTTGACCAGCTGATGTTGGTCAAACCAGCATCCAATTTGTCAAATCTTCTATATGAGAAGAATTTGTCATTTTGGATGTTGGTTTGACCAACATCAGCTGGTCAAACCACCGCCCAGACTTCTTCGGGAAGCCTCGGGCGCTAGCGCGCTACTCAAAGGCATTGCCTATATCCTAATCAATGTGGCTTTAATAACAACATAACCAATACCTATTACGTTCAGCCATGCCAGGATAGCTCTTTAGAATGCTATCCAGACCAACAGCACTCAACTTCCTATCAATTCAACTATACTTGCCAAGAAACTTATGTTCCACCTGTCAATAGCTATCCAGGAGAATGGTGCAAGACAGACGACGATTGTGCTCCTGGACTTTCTTTGACATGCCAAAATGGAATTTGTGTAGGTGTTTCAAATGGAGAATATTGCAGTTGGAGTGAGCAATGTAACCCTGGTTTACGATGCACAAATAACACTTGTATTCCACAGCTTCAAATTGGGGAATCTGGCTGCACCTGGGACTATGATTGTGTCAACAATGCAGCTTGCAATATTATTTCTTATTCTAACCCTTCCCAAAACACTTGCTATGGCTTTCATTCATTTAAAGTCCATGATGAGGTTGGAGAGTGCTATTCTGGGTTCCATACTTTATGCCAATATTACTACTGTGCTCAGAATTCCGATGGGAAAAGCTACTGCACAGACTTATTCTATACTTTACAAGGCCCAGGGTCTCAATGTGATGTCAATGGGAGAGGGTGCTATTCTAATAAAGATTCTTTCTTTACTCCTCCATACTCCATAGAGGGAGAATGCGATTGTGGGCTGAATAGTGAGGGGAACTCTTATTGTGAAGTTTTGCCAGGAGATGCACCTAACCAGCAATGGCTAAATATTTTTAATGAGTGGGTAAACAGCCCAGAGTTGTTGAACTGTAATACAGTTAAAAGATTTGACAGCAACTGTGTGCAGACTTACTGGAGTTCTAAGCAGTATAATGCGTTTGTCTATTATAACTTGCAGAGTAGCTTATATAATAGGCTGGTAGGGATAGAAGATTGCGTCCTAAACGCTTTTGCTGAAAATTATGTGCAGGCTAGGAATGCGTTCAATAACTCTAACGTTGAGGCTGTGGCCTTCTAAGTAAGCATTAAGTTAATCGAAAGATTTGACTTTAATTTTTTTAATAAATATAGATTATGGAGATTTTATAAATTTTCAACAAATTTTAGATCAGTCTAGGCTATTTTTCATTAATTTTAATTAAATAATAATACTTAAATATTATATCTAAATGTTTATTTTAATCTCTAATTGAGGTTTTAATTAAATACGTATATCTTAATTTATTAATGATAATTGATTAAATTTTATATTATAATTTATATATCCAAAATTTAATAAGGATTACCATTATGTCCTCTTTCACGAGGCCGAGCCAGAAGTCAGAGGAAGTATGATGGAATGACAATGATGATTATAGCATCAATTTAAATAATAGCAAAGACTTTTCGTTCTCGGCATACTAACCTTATTGACAATTTAGTAACTAAAGTAAAAATAAACAATCATAAATTCAATAATTATATATATTTATTAAAATTAATGCTTCAGCGTTGAATTCTGCGCAGAAAGTCTTGGAATTGTTTTAATACGAAACATTCCAGCAGAATTTCTTTATCAGTCTTAAATTAATTTTATTATGTTTAATTAATAGGCATAGGATTTCAAAAGCAGCATCTAATTAGCTGCATATATTAAGCTGCTACTAAGTATGCTTAAAAAGTGCAAATAATATTTATTTAAACCTGTAACATTTAATATATTACCTATAATCTTCTGCATTGAACCTATTATAATTTTTTTGAGTCAATACATAAATTTTTAAAATATAATTTATTTTTTCCACCCTGAAAGCTAGTTTAAAGGCAAAATAATTATTTAAATTTTGTTTAGTCTGTTTAAAATATTAAAATAATAGCATTAATCCAAAAACTTCGCTAAATATAGTTTACTATTTTTCTAATTTGTTGAATAAATAAAATGGCCAGGTCTTTAAGCTTCCTTTTCCTCTCTTTGTACACTTATTGATTTTGCTAGGGGTTGCTACAAATATGCCTGCAAAACTTCAGAACAAGTTTTCCTTCCTGAAACTTGTGTTTACAATGACAACTTAAGTTTGAAGGATATTCTTTTCTAAATTTGAAAATTACAAAAAAACCTTTATTATCTATGTATAAATCGCATAAATTTATTATCAAGAATGTAAGATGTTTAAAATTCAGATTGAGCTATGATATAATTACTTAAAATCAAAATATTTCATAATAAAAATGTTGGTAGTTCATTTAGGGGATTTATTTTACCCAAATAGGACTATATAATGCTTGCTTGCTCAGCTTGCACGGGGAGATAGAACTGCTAAACTTAAGCAGCATATTTTTAAATGCAATACTTTTTCAAGGCTAGACATCAACTGTGTTAAAACTTATTGGAGTACTGAAGATTACAATGCCTATAACTATTACCAAATCCAGTTAAGCATGTTTAATGGCATTATTGGGGCAGAAGATTGTGTTCTACAGACTTTAGCAGAAAATTACTTAGAAGCAAAAAACGCTTATAATGGGTATGGCAATAATGATGATGACACTGATAGCAGAACGACTCAGGAGCTTTTGCTCTAGGGATATCAATCTCAATTGCCATTATGGTCTATTAAGCTAAAATTAATAGAATATATTAAATAATATATTGCAACTCTTCTTTTGACGCAATTTTATTCCATATTTGCTCAAAACTTTTTCCCTCATTTGACATTTTGCCGAAAATTAAAGCTTTTGCTGAGAAAATTGAAGAAGATAAATAGAGCTGAAATAATTTCCAATTAAAAAAATATGTTGTCAATAATTATGTCGCATGAGCCAATAGTTATTATAACAAGATGAAAATAGCTTGATAATTAATTCCTCATTCAAGACTCTCATGTCTTATCTATCCAAATAATATTAAAATACCAAATATCCAGCTAAAATGACTTCCATATTTTATAAATTTATCTTAAAACAATAGAAACTTGCTTATGTTAATAGATTGAGGTTTTTTAGTTAACAAGAGATATATATTTAATAATATTGAATAAAATAATTAATTATGTTTTTCCTAGCTAAGTGAAGCTAAAACTGTTGCTTACATAGACAGCAATTGGTAAAATTTATAATTTCGTGTTGGCTCTAAAATGCAAATTCAAAAGAGCAAGCAAGGAATTTTGATATTATAATTTTTATTCTTATATTAGCGCATCCTTTAAAACAAAATTATATTAAACAATTTTTTGCTCATTCTAATATTATTAATACCAAAATATCCAGCTAAAGCGGCTAAAGCATTAATCTACTTGATGAGTATAAATTTATACTTTTATACTTATAAAAACTTGTTTCTGATAGCAGATTTAAATTTTTAATTTTTTAGTAAATCATAGATTCTAATTTCTAGCATTAAATAAAATAGTTGACTATTCTTTTATAAGCTTACGAAACTCTAAAACTATTGCTTATACAAATGAAACTATGCAAAATTTTAATTCAAAATATTTTGTTCATATTATTAATATTAAATATTAATAGTAAAATGTTTGCTAAAATTATAAATTACGTAAATCTAACTTGGCGAATATAAAAAATGGCTAGGTCCTTAAGTTGCTTTTTCCTCAGTTTGTTCACACTTATACATTTCGCTTGGGGTTGCTTCAAATATACCTGTAAGACTTCAGAACAAGCGTTTCTACCAGAAACTTGCATTTATAATGACAATTTAACTGATACTTACTATTCACGAAAATGCTCAGACTCAAAGTATCAGTGTTTCCCAGATCAAGCATCTTCATATCAACTTAACTACAGTTGTTCCTTACCAACTTCGCAAACTTACTCTAACTATCCTGGAGTATTTTGTAAGACTTCAGATGATTGTTCTTACTCTCTACCTTGTAAAGATGGAGTTTGCGTAGGAACTCCTAAAGGCGGAGAGTGCACAGCTGGCGGAATGTTCAGGAACTTATTGCAAAAACAACATCTGCGTTCCACAAATCAAAATTGGTGAGAGTGGCTGCACAAAAGGTAGCACGCTTTTAGTCGCGACTGCTTCTCAGAATTTTTTTGGTTATTTGATCAGCAAATTGCTATTCTCCAAGATAAAGAAGAGTTTCGACCATATAGTAATGAGGAAATGACCTAGTAAATATAAAATTTCCTCAAGGAATAAAAAATGTTGCTGCACAAACGATTATGATTGTGTAAACAACGCTGCCTGCAATCAAACTTCCTACAATGACCCTACAAAAAACACTTGCTATTTGAATAGGTCATTCAAAGTCCACGACCCTGTTGCCCAATGCTACGGTGGCAGGAGTGTGCTATGCCCTTATTTAGTCTGTTCGGAAGACCTCGGTAATAGAATCTTTTATTGTACAGATTTATTTTCTACAGTAAAAGGACAAGGTGCAGAATGCAATCCTGATGACGATGATGGAAGCTGCGGCTCAAATCCAGATAATTTCTTTGATCCTCCATATATTATACAAGGCCACTGCCAATGCTCATTTAATAGCCAAGGAACTGCTCATTGCTCAGCATTTGCCTGGAGATCCAGCGTCTGTTCAGTATAATAAGACCCGGACTAAGTGGGTAGAAAGCAAAGATATCTTAAAATGCAATACTGTTGCAAGAACAGACAGAAATTGCGTGAAAATTTATTGGAGTGCTAAAGATTATAATGCTTTTGTTTACTATCAATTTCAGTTAGATATGTTCAATGCCATTATTGGAGCTGAAGATTGTGTGTTGGAGACTCGAGCAAAAAATTGGTTAGAAGCAAAAAATGCTTTTGATGGGCATGGTAATAATGATGATGACAGTGGTGGAAATTCAGATTCAGGAGCATTTGCTTTAAAGATATCGATTTTGATTGCTGTTTGCAATCTCTTAAGCTAAAAATATTTAGATTTAAAAAGTAATATAATTTCATATGCTAAAATAAATAATATTATGACACAGGATGCTTGAAACCCTAAATGTCTGAAAGTAATCCTTACTCCCCCCTTACGCTGAAATTCAAAAAATATTTCCAGTGAAAAATGGCTAATAATAAATATTTTGTTCAATTTAAAGAGGGAGGAATTATGAAGAATTTTAAATCCATTTTCAAATAAATATGAGAAAAGTGAGCATGTTTCTTCAATAATATTTAATTTATGCGAACATAAATTAGCACATTTATACAATTTTATTTATTTTGAAAAGTCATTAATTCTCAATATTTTTCCAATTGTTTCAAATTTTTTAAGCTAAGAGCTATAATTTAAATAGCTTCTGCTTCATATTTAATAGTGTATTATTTGCATAATACTATTTTTAGATCTTTTACAATGAATCTTATATCTATACTCTTTATAAAGCCCTTTAAAATAATACAAATATATTATATTTTCAAAAATTTTCAATTCTTACATTTTTGGCTTATTCTCATAATATTATATTGATATCAAAATATACAGCTAAAATGGCTAAAGCATTAATCTGTTTTAGCATGCATTTAGACATATAAGAACTTATTTCTACTAGTAGATTTTGAATTTTTAAATTGTTTTAGTTAATCGTAGATATATTATTTATGTTTAAGTTTAAGCTTAACGAATTACTCTAGCAAATTGCTATCAGTTTCTTTTACTTGAGGTCCAAGCTACATTAACAGCTCTGGATAACGGTAGGTGGACCGGCCTAACCGTCAAACCCTTTAAAGTTAATAAGCCCGTTAAGACTTCTCTAGTCAGTGCCATCCTCAGCACTGACCTCTTATTTTCAAGCTGAGACTCTCAAGAAGCTTGGCTTCTCTCACTAAGCTCGGATGATAGGATCCGGTCCTGCATAGCAGGAGTTAGGACCTATTCTTAACTGACATTTTTAATATTGTGTATATTATTTATAGCATTAAATAAAATATCTGACAATACTTTTATTAGCTTAAGAGACGTTAAAGCTATTCTTTATACAGACAGAGCCTTACAAAATTTATTTTGCTCATATTTCTACTATTATAATAATATTAATTGAAAATTTGCTTAAACTATAATTACATAAATATAATTTGGTGAATATATAAAATGGCCAAGTCTTTAAGCTGCTTTTTCCTCATTTTGTTCACACTTATGCATTTTGCTTGGGGTTGCTTCAAATATACCTGTAAGACTTCAGAACAAGTTTTTCTGCCAGAAACTTGCATTTATAATGACAATTTAACAGATACCTACTATTCACGAAAATGCTCAGACTCAAAGTACCAGTGCGTCCCTGATCAAACATCTTCATATCAATTTAACTACAGCTGCTCTTTACCAACTCCGCAACATTACTCAAACAATCCTGGAGAATTTTGTAAGACATCAGATGATTGCTCTTACGCTTTACCTTGCAAAGATGGAATTTGCATAGGAACTGCAAAAGGCGGAGAATGCCAAAATAGTGGTACATGCGAGCCTGGGACTTATTGCAAAGACAATATCTGTGTACCACAAATTAAAATTGGAGAAAGTGGCTGCACAAGTGATTATGACTGCGTGAACAATGCTGCTTGTAATGAAACATCTTACAATGACCCTACTAAAAACACTTGCTATTTGTATAAGTCATTCAAAGTCCATGATCCTGTTGCCCAATGCTACAACGGCAAAAGCATGCTGTGTCCTTATTCAATCTGCTGGGAAGACTTTCATAAGTTTATTTTTAATCAATATTCGGCAAAGCTAAATATATGATCAATTTGCACTTTACCATATAAAAGGATAATAGGGTATTTTATTGTACAGATTTATTCTCTACAGTAAAAGGTCAAGGTGCAGAATGCAATCCTGATGAGGAAGATGATAGTTGTGAATCAAATCCAGATAGTTTCTTTAATCCTCCATACATTACAGGAGGAAATTGCCAATGCTCACTTAACAGTCAAGGAACTGCTCATTGCTCAGCATTGCCTGGAGATCCAGCGTCTCTTCAATATAATAAGATCTGGACTAAATGGATAGAAAGCAAAGATATTATTTTTGGTTGCTAATAAGACTAAATTTCTACAAAGCTAGCTTCTATTTTACAAAAATTAGGCTTCAAAATATTAGTATGATACTTCACTCAATCCTTTATGTATATATTTAAATGTAATACTTTTTCAAGAACAGACAGCAATTGCGTGAAAACTTATTGGAGTACTAAAGATTATAATGCTTTTGTTTACTATCAGACTCAGTTAACTATGCTTAATTCCATTATTGGAGCTGAAGACTGTGTGCTGGAGACTATGGCAGAAAATTGGTTAGAAATAAAAAATGCTTACGATGGGCATGGAAATAATGATGATGACAGCGATGGAAATTCAGATTCAGGAGCATTCGCACTAGAAATATCAATCTTGATTGCTGTTGCAATCTATTAAGCTAAAATAGAATTTAGCATTAAGAAGCAATATAATTTTATATCCTAAATTAAGTAATTTTATGAATAAGGATACTCAATCTCGAATAGCTCTGGTCTTTACCCCACAATTGAAAAAATAATGTGATAAAAATAAAGGATTATTATATGGGGCGGCAACCATTTCAAAAAAGCCAATATTTAAAATTTGAAATAAAAGTGAGGAATGCCCGATAGGAATAAAAACCCACTAGACATATATTATCAACAAAATCAGCCTCAGCTATATAAATATTCTGGTTTTCTTTAAAACCTTAATATAACAAAAATAATAAAATTATAATTTTTCAACCAAATTAAATAGGAAGCAATGATTTAAGCCTTTCTTGCTGTAATGTAGGACATGAGGATCTCCTATGGTCTGGGAGCTTACAGTAAGCACAGTTTCCTTCTCTTGTCACCTGCTCATCTTCTCCATCTAAAATCCCTTCTAACTCTATTGGAATATTCTGTCTGGAGTCTTCTAAAAAATGTTTAAGGTCACATAAAAGCAGTTTATCTAAATTATAGCTTAAATATGTGGTGATAACTGCCCTTTTTCCTGCTCTGCACACCCTTTGGATATAACTGTCAATTTCTTTAGGCAGATCAAAATTAATTATATGTCTCACATTATAAAAATTTAGCCCTTTTGCAGCGACGTCAGTCGCTGCCAGCACATCAAGTTTTCCTCTATTAAAATCTTTAATTGCTTGTGTTCTTTCATTTTGTTCTTTTCCTCCGTGCAGGCAAGCCACATCTATTCTTTTTTCATATAAAAATCTTTCTATTTTATCAGCATCTATTTTATTTTCACAAAAAATCAATATAGGTGGATTGGTTTTTTGCATGGTTTCTAACAATTTCAATAATTTCTGATCATGGCCTGCATATTCAACCTCTTGTGTTAATTTTAATTTGGATAATGATTGCCTTGATAAATTAATAAAAATTGGATCTTTCATAGCTTGCCGAGAAAATTCTTGAATTTTCTTTGGAATTGTGGCTGAAGATAATATTATTTGGCAAGCCGGCCTAGCATGGCTTAAGATAATCCTGATGTCATCTTCAAATCCTAAATCAAGCAGCCTGTCAGCTTCATCTAGGACAATTGCTTTGCAGTGGGCTAAAAATATTTTATGCTTTGCAAGCATATCTGAAAGCCTTCCAGGGGTAGAAATAATTATATGGACTCCTTGCCTCAGAATTTCCATTTGATGTTTCATATCAACGCCTCCAATGCACAAAATCACTCTGATTTTGGGATAATTTCTTGCTTCATCAATAATTTTTAATATGAATTTATATTATTTTTCCCAAAATTACATATGATTTTTTCATAAATTATTTCTTAATTTTTATAAAATATAATTAAAGCTTGTAAAAATATTTTCCTCATTTCTCTTATCAATAATAAATCTGATAAGCAAGCTCACGAGATGGGACCACAATTAGCCCAACCGGGCCTTCTCCTTCAATAAAATTCATCCTATGTTCCTCTTCAAACGACCCCATAATCAGCGGCAAACAAAATGCTAAAGTTTTTCCTGATCTTGTAAGCGACATCATCAATGTGTCTCTCCCTATAAGAATAGCAGGCAGAGCTTGCATCTGCAAAGAAGTTGGCTTCCTTATATGCATTTTTTTCAAAATTTTCCTAATATCTCGAGGAACCCCTAATCTCTTAAATGATTTTATTAAGGGAGGTATCGAATTTCCTACAGAAATAATGCTACGCTTTTCTCTGCGTATTTCTTTATGCAACTCGTCTAATTTTTTGTATTTATTGGGACATCTCCATCTGCTTAAAATTTACAGTGTAAGAGGGGATTCGCTTCTATTTATAGCTGACATATATTTTTATAAGATCCTAATTATCTTTATTCTAGGCTAGTATTTCCAGTCACAATAGTCTTTTACTGGGGAATAGGTAACGTGGACTTTGATATCTTTTGCAATTCGGGCGATCTCAGAGATTTTGACGATTTTTTTGACAGCTTCTTCTTCGTCTTGTTCAGTGATAACGCTCATGTCGCTTCTTCTTAAGATTTCGCCGGCTTCTCTCCAGTTAGTTCCACAGAGCCGAGCCACAATTGGCTTTGTCAAGTGGATTTTTCTGGCAGCTGATACTAACCCTTGGGCAATAATGTCACATCTCATGATTCCTCCAAAAATATTATACTGTGTTAAGTATAATGAAAATTAAAGGCTTTTTTTATATTTTTTAATTATTTTTGCAGAAAAAGTATAATAAAGATCCCATCAACTTGGTCATTTGTCTCCAAAATTCTTAATGCGTTTACAATCTGGTCTTCTTGGGCTCCTCCTCCTACGTCTAAGAAGTTTGCTGGGCTTCCTCCTACGAGCTTAATTATATCCATAGTAGCCATAGCTAACCCTGCACCATTGACTAGACACCCTATATTTCCATCCATAGCTATATAGCTTAGCCCATATTTATGAGCGTCAATCTCATCTTGGTTTTCTTGTGTCAGATCTCTTTGCGAATAAATTTCATTTTGTCGAAATGATGCATTTTCATCGAAATTCAATTTTGAGTCACAAATTATCCCTGTTTCATCTGATCCTGTATTATTTACTAATATAAAATCAGTTTTTATAGAAATTCATATAAAATGAGTATAAAATTTTATCATCTTGGGTAACACCTAACGGGTTTATTTCCAGCTGAATCATATCTAATTTCACAAATGAAGTGTAAAGATTTTTTAAGACCTCTTCAATTGAATTTTTCGGAACATTTAAAAGCTGAGAAACTTCGTTAACAACTTCTGGGGTGATTCCTTTGTGGATATTTATAGGAACACTATGTATCTCTTGAGGTTCTTTTCTGGCCACTTCTTCGATGTCCATTCCACCTTTTGATGAAATTACAATAACTGGTCCACCGTATTTTCTATGCTTTTTGTAATAATAGATATTAAAAAATTATTTAAGAAAATAAAAAATATGAGACACTTTAAATGGAATATCTAGTAAAATTGCTAAATAAAGCTCTCTCTTTAAAGAGACTTTTTCTGCGACCATGACTTTATCGCAAGGCTTTCCCTTGCTTCCTGTTTGTTTTGTCACTAAAGACTGACCTATCATTTTTGATGCAATTTCTTGTACAGATCCGACAGGGCAGATGTGGACACCTCCTTTAAATTCGTTTGGGATAAAATGCCCTTTGCCACGGCCACCAGCCAGAACTTGTGCTTTTACCACTACTTCAGGTTGATTAATTTTAAGTGCCTTGGTGACAGCCTCTTCAGGAGAATGAGCCACAAAGGAGAGAGGAGTTGGGATTTTGAATTTGTTGAGAATTTCAACACTTTGGTACTCGTGAAGATTGTAATTTCGCACAGGAGCCTTTAGAAATGAGTGAAATTTCAGAATCCTTGAAAACATTTTTTATGTGCAGTGTGATGTAATAAGAATTAAGATGATAAATTAGATAGAGCGATTTAATATTAATTATAAAATCTCCAAGATAAGGATTATTATAGATCTTTAAATTTAGGATGCCCATGTGATTTTTACTGTAAAAATTAGAGTTAAATTAATAATCTTTAATTATTTGGATATCTTTTTATATTAGATTATATATAAAATTTTGAATTCTTAAAATAAAGGCTGTCTTTGCAATTATCAGTATAATAAATTATTGGCTTAAGAATGCTAAAATATTTTCTTCCTCCAGCTTATTTAGATAAATATGAAAATTTTAATGATTTTTTGAAATATACTATAAGCGAGCTCTAAATTTATAAATAAATTTATCACATATATGGAAAGAGCATAAAACAGTCAGCTTTATATTTAAAAAAGCATTTCATTTATCTTGAAATGTATATTTTAATTACTCAAATGTCTCTCAAATTTAATTCAAGATAAAATTCGTAGATAAAGAGTAATCCATAAATTATGACCAATAAAGCAAATTATTTTATTTATATAATAAATAGCATTCATAAAAAATTGATTAATTTTATAAATGTCAGATAGCAACGAAAAGCCATCCTGCTATGCTTGTGGAGCTATACTTGAAAGAGATCATATAGGCATAACATGCCCTCAATATCACAATCTTTGTTCTGATTGCTCAAAAAAGTTCGTAGATAATATATTTGAAGATTACCAAGCGAATCTCCCTCCAAAATGCCCTATGTGTACATTAGAAATTCCAGCTTTGAATTTTGAGCGTCAGCTATCTCCTGCTGCCCTTGCTACCTACCAATTTTATTCCTTTATATATTAAAATCTCTATCATCAGCCTTTATGATCTTATTATTTAATAGAAAGTTTTGTCAATGGCTTACTAACTTATTGGTTTAAGCTACTCTGCTCCTTTATACTTAGCTTCTACAAAATTGGAAGAAGGTGAAGCCATGCAATGGTGCCCGAAATGCAATTATTTCGAAATATGATGCACAACATCAACAGCTACCCTATTTTATTGCAGAAACCCTTCATGTGAAGATGTGGTATGCATATTTTGTAATAAAAGTGTAAAACTCCCTGATTATGAAGAATTTACTAATAGAGAAATCAATAGTGATGAAGATGAACAAGATATTGAAGAAGAATACGAAAAAATGCTTGAAGAAGGCTTTTTTTATCATCAAATTTGTGTGGAATTGTATCCAATGAAGAAAAAAATTGATAATGCTATTGAAGAAGGAGAGTTTAGACGCTGCCCACAATGTGGACTTTCAGGGAGAAAAGACGAGTACTGCACACATATGACTTGCTCGGTTTGTCAGACTGTTTGGTGCTACTTTTGTGGAAAAAAAGAAGCGGACTGTGATAAAGATTATACAGGAAATGATATACGCTGGGAGAAGTTTTAAATTGACCTCAATCTATTATTGCTCTGATATTTAAAAATCAAAATATGAAGACAAGCACACCCGACTACTTTAGACAATTTTCAAAATCTCATCGCCAAGGTAAATGTGGTGAGAAACCAGTAGAGAATCTATGCCAGTTATGGCTTGTGTGTCCGGGTAAATTTGGGCTTAGTTCCTGTCGTTTAAATCAAAGAAAACCTCCTATGTCTTTCAGGGCCCTGGCCTTCTTCTCTCTAGACCAGGACAAGACGCCTAGGCATCAGGGATTAGCTCTTTTTCTCGCAGATACAGTGGAAGACACAGCACATGATAGACGAAAAGCTTCTCTACTTGGATCCAGCTGTATCCCTATCACTCTATGCAGCATAAATCCAGTCCCCCCTTTAGAAAGAAAGGAAAGCATGCCCTCAGCGCGCGACACTTTAGCTGTCCATGGCATCAGAAGCTAAAGAAGGAGCTAGGTGATGCTAGAACTAAATTTGCCAAGCGGTCATCAACCGATCAAGCATAGACAGAAGATGCCAAAAGCAGATGAACCAATAAAGCCCACCCATCTGCAATAAGATTAATAATAAATATTCAAAAGCAAAATGGCAAATCCGTCAACTTGGCATTAAAAATCCATTTTTAGCATTCATTTAATTTAAGATCGCCAGTTTGACTGAATAAAATTTGTATTTAAATCCAAATATAGTCGTGCACGCAATATATATTCTTTTCGCCTTGAAAAAGTTTTTTATTTTTATCAAAAATTATGGGATTTTCTATTGATATAAAAAACTTAGCTCAAGTTTTCATTTATAAAGATTAGAATATATGCCCATAATATCGATTGAATTAGAAATAATAAAAGATGCCCAATGCACTTTAACCAAATTCATGAGCTTGATGAAAGATGGCCAGAAAACGATGAAGATTGCTTAAATCGTTTTCATCAGCTCTTAACATTAAAATCTCTAAAGAAGGCTATCGACGAAATCGGAGAAAATAACTATCTATTATACTGTTATGCATAAACAGCGATTAACAATTCTATCCTTATTTATGTGGTAATTTTATTTAATTCATAGAAACCATATACAAAATTGCAGAGCACTTTCCAAGTATAAAAAACAATGGGTATGGTATTCAAGAAATTTTATCTGTGCAGGAAGAACCACTGATTGATATGGCAAGGGCTGATGAATTTTCTGAAGGAAGAAGAAGCCATAGCGATGAAGACAGTTTTAGGTTAATTAATTAGAGCTTCCTTGTTTTATGTCTCGCCCAATGATAACTTTCGGAGAAGACTTGTTCAGATCCCGCAAACTTCTGAGAGTATACCATCATTTATACCGAAATAGTGTGCTTCTGCTTTCGTGGCTATTGATGCTACTGCGGAACTTTGGAGTGCAAATTAGGGACTTGATAGATGACGCTTCAGCACTGGAGTTCCAGCTAGAGATAAATTCCTTAGCTTGCACTGGCACCAGCTGCCTTCGTAGTCGGTGCAGAGGTTAAAAGCTTTTTCTCAAATGTACAGAGACTTCAGATGAGGAAGGCAAAACTTACGAAATACAAATTTCTAGTATTCAAGATTGTGTTTGGGATCATACTATATAAGGTTCAAACTCTGAGCATGCCTCGAAAAGGGATTAATGACATTCCATTTTATTTGTGCTAAGTGACGAAGATAGTTTAGATCCTTTTGAAGACGAGGAAATTGAAGAACTAGCAGCTGGAATTGATGAATTATAAGAAATTAATACTTGTGATCGTTAATTTTATTGATTATATTGTTTTAAAGTAAATTAAATTTATAGCTTGTGGCAATTATTATAGTCAAATTTTATGGAGATTTTATAGACTTATGAAAAATAAATTGGTAGAATTATTTTAAACTTTTAGGTTGAAACTTGAATGCAAATATTTATGAGTTGTCTATATTATTACATCGCTCTTACTTACCCTCACCTTAGTTGGCGAGCATAAAAAGATAAAAGTTTTATGTTTACTGATTAAATTATCCAGCTAACTAATATAATTTTATACATATTTTATACATAAATTTGTGAAATTGAATTTGTCTATTACAATATACTTAAATTAAATGGGGCTCGCCCCATTGCAGTCCTCTGTGGACTTTTTCCTCCTTCATCTTTCCATTTCCTATTATAATTATAGTTAGTGACACTCACTGACACTGGGTGCTTTTGGCTCAGTTTCAAGCCAAAAGCACCCTGTGCCAGTCAGTGTCACTAACTATATTATTTATTGGGTACCTAACACCTTTTAATTTATCGTCTTCTTGCTGCATCCTACATTTGAGATTATAGATGGCTGACTTCCTTTCCTGTTCTCTCCTTTACCTCTTGTGCTTTTTCTTCTTTTCTTTTTATTATCCTTTTATGCCCTCCAGTATTATGCCCCAACTGGTTGCAGATCTCAAATGAAGAAATGTTGCCTGAGCCAGCCATATCCTTCTTCCTCTTATGTTCATCTCGTCTGTAGTTCTAAGGCTTGCTCTTCTTCTGCAAAATCGCCATATATTTTATACCTGCAATTTGGCTAAAGCGAAGCCCAATTTCTTCCTCTCCTAACTGTATTAAGTTGCCTATCACCACCTCTACTTTGCACCTTTAACTCATTACCTCAATAGTCTCCTCCACTGTTATTCCTGCTGGTATTGTTAATCTGATCGCGTATCTAGCAAAGTTAGCTTCACCATTTCCGATGTTCAGCCCTACGGGAACTTTTAGTTCCTCTCCTCTTGGACTACTTTCATCCATCCCTTCTTAGTTCTTCACTTTTATTTGCAATTGCGAATGTGACTTGTGCATTCCTAATGGAAGTTTCTGGCGCTTGACTATGTTTTCTGGCTGTCTCATCAATTCCAGAGCTACTATGAACGATGTATACGTACTCTTTTATCTTTCATGGCACCTCTCTGTAAATTTGGATAGGTACACTTTCAGAGTTTTTGCAATGTGCAATTTCTCTCAAACGTTGGCAAATTCCTTTTTGCACCAGATACAAAATTTTTTCATCCTGGGCAGCATTTAGAGTCTTCACTTTTTCACTTCTCATCTGAAAAAGAGCATAAATTTAAGAATTGAAAAAAATATCTTCAAAGCCATATTTATCTTGATTAATAAACTTTTAGCTTCAAAGATATACTTTTTAATAAGTTTAGGATTTTCTTTTCTACCCTTATGATTTCAGCTATTATTGAAGACTTTTAAGCTTATAAATCAGCTTTATTCTACCTGAATCAGCATATATATTTTTATATTTCTACATTTTTTTAAAGAAAATTGATCTGATAAGAATTATCCACAAAAAATAAATTGGCAAATAATTATTTTACTCATCTCCCAGTTTTTATGAATATAAAATAAATATTCATAGAATAATGATTAATTTTATAAATGCTACTGAAAGATGATAAAAAGGTTTCATGCTATACTTGCTTTCATTCTCTTGAATTGGACCATATAGGCATAAAATGTCCTCAAGACCATAGCCTCTGCTCTGATTGCTCCAAAAAATTTGTTGAAAATATATTGAAGAATACCAGCAAAGCTCTCACCAAAATGTTCTATATGCAATCTTGAAATTCCAGTCTTAGTTTTTGAGCGTCATCTTAATAGAGACTTATTTTGAATTTAACTTTAATATTTCAGTTTAAATATTAATTTAGTCGAATTGCTTAAAAGAAAGCAAGGCAAATAAAACAATTGTAGCATAATTTTACTAAATAAATCCATAATCAAGTATTGCTGTCCGTTATCATTGCTTATTCACACTATAAAATATAATATTTGGATCTATATTAAATGAGATAGAGTATTTATATATTGCTAAACATGCTAAAAAAATAGATTTAAATAGCGAATGTACTACAGTTTATTTATATTTCTTTGTATCAGCACAAGGTGCATAGTTTTTAAAGGGTGGCCAGATCGATTTCATGCTTAACCTGAAGGACGACGAAACAATGAGATGGTGCCCTAAGTGCAATTATTTCGAAATATGGCTTAAATCATCCACAACTACCTTGATTTATTGCAGAAACCCCTCTTGTGAAGATGTTACATGCATTTTTTGTGATAAAATGTCAAGCTACCAGACTATGAAGAATTTGCTAAAAGAGCCTCTAATTATGAAGAAGAGAAAGAAGTTATACAGGAATATGAAAAGATGCTTGAAGATGGGTTCTTTTATTACCAATCTTGTGCTGATTTGCATCTTTTGAAGAAAAGAATTGACAATGCTATTGAAAAAGGAGAAAAAAGGTGCTGTCCACAGTGTGGACTTGCAGGTAGAAAAGATAATAGCTGCACCCACATGACATGCTCAGTGTGTCAGACTTTATGGTGCTATTTTTGCGGAAAAAAAGAATCAGATTGTGATAAAAGTTATATAGGAGGCAACATATATCTATGACGTGTGATGGCATGCATGATTGATTTTCCCAGCGGCCTATGCGCTATGCTAAGGTTTCTAATTATGAAATAAGTGATATAGCTCAGAATTTCAATCAGGTATAGTCTTATTGTTAATTAGTAGCATTAGGAAGGCATTAATAATGATCCAAAAGCATTTGATTAAAAGGATTAAATTAGGATTAAATTAATTATTGGCGTACTATTTCAAACGCCTTATACTTTTAACGAGTCTTCAAAAATTTAAATCATGAATAGATATGTTTTCTTTTTTGAGGTCATCTTCAATATTTTGGATTTCAAAGAAATGCTTGTGTTTGCTGTTTTCTCTGCTAGTTCGCAATTTATCATCAATACTTCTTAGTGTGATCTTTGTTAAAAAGTCAATCTTTTCTCATTTTTCTTCACCTAATTCTTCTAAAAATTTTAATTCTGTAACATCTGAAATAAGTCAATTGTATATGCTTGTATTGTTAATATATCTGCCTATCATATCTTGTAATCTTTGTATAAATTTGATTCTTTCGTTTTTATATTTTATGCATTCGTTAAGAATATGTTTATCTGTTTCCTTGACTTTACATAATTCACATAAATTCGAAGTGTTATCTTGATTATTTCTGTTTCTCAATAGAACTAATACTTTAGATGGACCAGCACCATATCTTCAAGCAGCCTTTATTCTTGTTTCAGTAATTAGGTTTTTATTCAGTATTCAGAATTTTGGGAGTTTATTCGTGGTAAAAGTTTGATTCCTTAATTCTTTAAACATCTTTAATGTTACTTTTTTATTTATTATGCTCATGTTTTCGTTTCTTCAATAGATTTTGAGTTTATCTTTGACATTTCCTTTTCAATTTTTGTCATTTCAGCTAATCATGTTGTTATTAAAATCGAATGGTTTTGTAAAATTATATTTTTGAAGCAACTCTTGGTAGATTTTCATTGTCGGTGTAATTGTATTATCGAAATTTCTTAGGAAATGGGTTGCAATCTCAGATATATGTGTTAATTCAAAAATTTTTTGTAAAAATATCAATGATTTTTGGTCAATATATTGTTGTATTGTTGGAATATTTAAATCAAGTAATATGGGTTCAATAGGTGTTTTGTCATAAACATGGCAACATTCTCTTATAATCTTATTGAATGATCTTTGAATTTGTTTAATTGCAGTTTTGCATTTAATTCTTGAGCATATTTCAAGACCATATGTGCATCTTGGTAAGAATATTGCTTTGAAGCAGTTTATAAGAGTTTTACTTGGGATGTTAAGCATTCTTCTAATCATAGGGATTAGAGAGCAAGTAGATATTTTGCTTTTATCTTTGAGGTATTTATAATGCGCTTGGTCGAATCCTGTACCTCTTATATTTCCATTCATTATTTTGCCTAAATATTTATATTTTTCAACAACTGGTATTTCATGATTTTGGTATGATATTTTAGGTAGTTTACTTATAATATTTTTCCTATTTTTTGTTATGATTGGCATTATTGCTGTTTTTTCCGGTCCTATATTCAAGTTCATATCATTATCTTTTGATCATTTATCAAGTTTATTTAAAATGTTTTCAATGTCTTTTCAATCTTCTATTACAAAAGCTGTATCATCCGCATATTGAAAATTGATTTTTGATTTTAATTGGTGATTGGGGAGGAGTTCTATATTGATGTCATTATTTTCCTTTTCTATATCATCTATATATATATTAAATAACAATGGTGATATTGCACTTCCTTGTCTCACACCTCTTGTTATGTTTATTTTTTCTGTTTCAATCCCATTTATGACAAGTGTAGTTTGTTCACCTTTTAGCATTTGTGAGATTATTTTTCAGCTATCATTTTTTATATTTTTTGCTTTAATTTTCTCTAATAGTCTAATTCTATTAACTGAGTCATAAGCTTTTGAGAAATCAACAAATAATATATATGAGTCTCTACCTTTTCCAATCCTGTAATACTTACGATATTCCAGTGTAGATTTTAAGAGAAAAATCTGAGTCATGCATGACTTTCCTTTTGTGAATCCATGTTGTCTTTCTGAGATATTAACCGTATTTTCAATTCTTTTTAGTTCTGCTTTGTCAAGAATCTTCATAAAATTATTCATTAAGGTTATGGGTCTATAGCTATTAAGTTCCTTCGGATTACCTTTTCCTTTGTATATAAGGATTGTTTTTGCTTCATTGGCTTTGTCTGGGATTCCATTTAATTTGCAACTATTAAGGAAATGTGTAATTGCTTCTGCCATTATATCTCCACCTTTCTTTATTATCTCATTTCTTATATTGTCTGGTCCAGGAGCTTTTTTGTTTGGTAATTTTTTAATGATTTTCTGGATATCTTGGAAATCTCATAGTTCTTCTTTTGAGCATCCCTTTTGTGGTATGAATTCTATTTTACTTTTAAATTGATTTTCAAATTCTGTTGCTCAAGCTTTAATCTCTTCTTTGTTTAATGATAATGCGATTCTATTTTTATTCATCTGACGTTTTATTTTGTTTCAGGCTCCATATGGATCTTGCATACATTCTTTCAATCTGCTTTCACTGATTTTTTCATAGTTAGATAGTCTTTTTAGTTTATTTATTCATGCCTTTTTTACCTTTTGTAGTTTGTTAGCAAGTTCTCTATTATTTTGCGTTCAGCAAAATTTTATTCATTTCCTCGAGTCATTTATTCTATTTAATAAGATTTTCATTTCTGGGGTTCTAAAATGGTCTGGTTTTAAATGTTTTAGTAGGTATTTTGATTCTTCATCAATTGTTGATTTGATGTTATTAAATATTGCTAAAGGATCAAGAGTTTTGTAGATTCCTTTATTCTGGAAATTGATTCAGATTCTGTGTTGGAACGCTTCTAATTCCTTGCCTTCTAATTTATATCATGGAATCACGGATATTTGCTTTGGTATTATCTGGACACTTTTTATATGAGATAGTAATAATACGTGATTGGTGTTTAATTGTGGGACTTCTATGTATTTAATCTTTGATAGGGTTTCTGAAATAATATAATCGATAATAGTGTGTCTATTATTTCCTCTGAAAGTTGATATAGAAGTTTCATTTAATATATGTAAACCATTGTCTCTAACAAATTTGATAAATATTTTTCCAGCTAAATCATTTATATCTGATAAGTAACCTTCTATGTGTGCATTGAAGTCTCCAAGTAATATACATTGATTAGCATCATTTTTGTTTGCTTGAATTATTTCTTGAACATTCATGATGCAGTTCATATATTCGTTAATTGATTTTTCATTTTCGTGGTTTGCAAGTACTGGTGCATATATGCATATTATCAAAAAATCTTCTATCTTTGCTGCAGTTATTCTATGGTTATTAGTTTCAATTCAAGTTATTTCATTTGCCAGTGAATTATGAATTAATAAGCCAGTTCCACCTGATCCTCTGTAGCCTACTATAGGTCCATTATTACCTATTCACACAAAACCATCAATATAAACTTTATCTTTTAATCAAGTTTCTGCTATTCCTAAGATAGTAATATCGTTTTCGATCATAACATTTCTTAATTGTCTTCGTGATAGATCGTCTTTTCCAATTCCTGAAATGTTGATGAATCCAAAATTTTTTCTTATTATTTTTTCGCACAATCTTCTTGGATTTGGAATTATAATTTCCTCTTCAACTTGAACGGGTAGGACATTATTTTTTCTTAAGGGAGAATGGGTTATTTTCAATCATTTTTTTGGATCTGTGAGATTATCAGATGCTTCAATAAAGAGAATTGTGCATAGAGGTCTAATCATATCTTGGAACATTCTGCTCTCTAGTATTTGTATCTTTTTATTTTTGTAAATTTCTTTTTCATCTTTATTGATGAAAGGATTTTCAAACTTTTTCTTATTTTGGGTGTTATAAATTGAAATCAAGGGTTCAACTATCAGTTTTTCTTTCTTTTCTTTTTTATGTAAGAATGGGTTTTCGATTTTAGAAACGTTTATTTCAGGAAAATCTGTCATCAAAGTGGATGAATTTATTTCTGATGATGGAGAAAGTTTTGGAGATTTGGAAGCAGTTTCATTATAGGATTGCGAGGATTCCTTAATAAGCTTTCAATTTACATCTTCTCTTTCTGGTTCATTTTTCCTTATTGCTGGAGTCTTTTTAATTATAAAAATTTTTTTGATTGTATTTTTGTGATTTTCTTTTAGAATAGTTCTTCCTATGATTTCTATCGGCTTTATGATGCTCTTCTTTAGAGGAATATATGTCTTGATATCATAGTTGTAGGCATTAACTGGTTCATTATTCTGAGTTTTAACAGGAGGATGAATGTTTTTTTTGGGTGGCTTAATTGTTGAGATCTTGCGTGTTTTTAAGTTGTTTTCATATTTATTATCAGAGACTAAGTATTTTTGATCGATTAAATTTAAATTTCTTGAACCTTTCTTGACTTTCTTAGATTGCTTAATTCTTTTTCTTTTTTCTCTGATTTCAATAATTTTATCGTGGTAAAGCATTTGAAGGTAAGACTTTTTTATTTGAAAAAGATAATTTTTGCAGAAGTTATCGATGGATTTTATTAAAATATGGAAACATTTTTTGCTTATTATATCTCATGTATTGTTATTGATCGTAATCATTTAAAACTTTCCGTTGTAATTGACTTGACTCCTTCACATCTTATACAGAGTCATAATGATTTACAGAGTGAAAAAAATTTTATTATGTTTAAAGTAATTTTATATTATCTTTAATTAATGATCTTCTCTTGCTCCACTGGCGGCCAGCATCATCACTGCCAAATCTGGGATACAAAATTGATCACCAGTATAACCCATGCATTTGCTCTCAAAAAGGCACAAGGCACAATAGCAAATTTTGCTGCAAAATGGCTAAAGCCGAATTTTGGTCATCAAAGTGAAATGTCAAAAATGCATTTTTCAACCTTTTTGCACTTGGCCAACCATTTTTAAACATGCCATTTTGCAATTAAATCGCTACTTTTCATACAGAGTGAGAGAAGAATCATTTAATTATAAATAATATAAAATTAAAATAAAATAGCTTAAAATTTATGTTTTATATAAATGAATGATGGTTCTTGTCTAAGAATTAGAAAAAATCACTTCAATCATAGCGGTAAATTTTCAAATGATGATCAATAATGATGCATTTACTATATGAAGATAAAAGTGTAAGAAAAGAAAAGAAAAGATAAAAATAAATGCAGCGATTCCAGTGGTTTACTTACAAGAGTTAGATGAGCCTCTTTAATGCAGGAAAAAGAAGCATTCATCCTTAAAAATTTGAGATAAAAAATTAGGTGAATTTTGGTAAGAAGATGGGAGAATGCTGGGATGAAAATAAATTTTTGATCTCTAGATTTAACACTATAAAATGGAAAGGTAGGCGAAGCAGCGATTTATAAGAATATTTACAAGAAAAGCAATTAGTTGAATTGATAAAAAATTGAAAGAGAAGAAAGAAGTTGACCTGATCTCTCGCAGTCGATTGTCGAATTAAAATAAAAAATAATAAAATGCAATCGTATTAGTTTTGTATGGGTAAATTAGAATTTTTAGTATTGAAGCAGAGGCATGGAGTGAGAAAACCAATCAAAAACTTTTCTAAACAGAAATTGTTTAAATATCAAGTCTTCTTATTGTTTCTTTTGGGTTTGGATCCATCTTCAAAAAAACCAATATCTTCTATAAAAAATTTAGCACTTTCTTTACAAGTTTACGATTAAGAATTATCTTATCAAATATGCTGTATTCTTTCTACAATTTTTTAACTAAAATTAGCAGACAAAAACACAGTTTTATAAATGTCAGATAAAAAAGACAATAAAAAGCTTTCATGCTATGCTTGTGGGGTTGAACTTGAAGAGGATCATATAGGAATAAAATGTCCTCAAGACCATAACCTCTGCGCGGATTGCACACAAGGGTATGTGGAAAGCATTTTTGAAGACTACCAAGCAAACCTTCCCCCAAAGTGCCCGATGTGCAATGTTGAAATTCCAGCTTTAAATTTTGAGCGTCAGCTTTCTCCTGCTTTGCTTACGACCTACCAATTTTATGTTACTTCTACAAAAATTGCGGAAGACGAAACAATGAGATGGTGCCCCAAGTGCAATTATTTCGAAATATGGGCTAAATCATCAACAGCTACCCTGTTTTACTGCAGAAATCCCTCATGTGAAGATGTTACATGCATTTTTTGTGATAAAAATGTCAAGCTACCAGACTATGAAGAATTTGCTAATAAAGCCTTTTATGATTATTTAGGAGAACAAGCAGCTGAAGAAGAATATGAAAAGATGCTTGAAGATGGGTTCTTTTATCATCAAGTTTGTGCTGAGTTGTATCCTTTGAAGAAAAAAATTGACAATGCCATTGAAGAAGGAGAAAAAAGACGCTGCCCGCAATGCGGACTTTCAGGAAGGAAAGATGAGTACTGTACCCATATGACTTGCTCAGTTTGCCAGACTAAATGGTGCTATTTTTGTGGGAAAAAAGAAGCAGACTGTGATAAAGATTATACAGGAAATGATATATACGCCCATAACATTGAATGGATCAGAAATGAAAAAAGATGCCCGATGTACTTCAACCAAATCCAAGAACTTGATGCTAGATGGCCAGAAGATGATGAAGATTGTTTAAATCGCTTTCACAGGCTCTTGACATTGAAATCTCTAAAGCAAGCATTAGATGAGATTGGATTGCAGAACTATTAAAAAATCGCAGATCACTTTCCGAGCATCAAAAACAATGGGTACGATATTGATGAAATTTTAGCTTTCCGTGAAGAAGAGCTGATTGATAGGACAAATGCTGATGAATGGTCAGAAGGTAGAAACGAAGGTTTAGGCGACAGAGAAATTGAAGGTCTATTAATTCGTATTAACAGGTTATAGAAAAATAATTTCTTGACTCTTAATTTATTAATTATAATATTCACAAAAGCTAATTGCTTGTCATTTTATATAAATATTTAAATACATTACTTTTGGTTATATTTCTGGTATATTTTCAGTAGATGGGCATCTCACTTAAGTCATACCTTCTATATTTTTTATTACCATATTTTCATGCAAATATGTAGGATGCACTTATTTTCCGCCTAGATCTATCAGGAATAAGTGTAAAGTCTTTATCATTATTAGCAGTTTTGTATGACTATTCTCTGTGATTTGCGTCAAGCTATCTAAGATTTCTATATTTTTTTGCATTGCGAAATTATAATTATCTATGAACTTTATAATGATGAATGCATTTGTATCTCACAGAAATTAAAGAAATAAAATCTCATTATTAGGTATCTTTTTGAAGATATATAGTTACATAATTCCCTTATTTATTCCAAAGTAATTTCCTGTTAAGATTATCCACTTACTATTTCAGATCAAATTAATCAAGAGTAAGCAGTTTAATTGTGCATTATCAAGCGTATGTCCAGAAATTTTAAGGATGATCTGTATAAAGTTCTAAAAAATATTCAATAAAGGGATATTGAATATATTTTTTCATATTCCAAAAAACTAGTATAGGAATTGCCCCACACCGGGAATCGAACCCACGTGTGGGGCCATTTTTGGTGTGTGGCCAACATCGACTTATACGCACCAAAAATGGCCCCACACGTGGGTTCGATTCCCGGTGTGGGGCCATTTTTTGAATTGCCCGAGGATGGTGCAAGATAGCGCCATCCTCGGGCAATTCCTATAGTTATAAAAATACATAAAATTGCGCATGGAAGCGCCTGAAATTAAAAACAAGCCAAAAATTAGCTGCATTATTTGCGATAAAGAGCTTGAAGTAGACCATATCGGCATAAAATGCCCCCAAAACGACAACATCTGTTCTGATTGCTCAATATTATACGTAGAAGGAATTTTTGGAGGTTTTCAAGCAAATCTTCCCCCAAAATGTCCTGAATGCAAGCTAGAAATTCCTCCTTTAGTTTTCGAACGTCAGCTTTCCCTTGATTTCCTTAATCAATATATCGCCTGGTCAAACACAGCCAAAGACGAAGAACTTAAATGATGCCCCAAATGCAATTACTTCGAAATATGGGCCAAAAGCTCTACAGCTGACTTATTTTATTGTAAAATGCCCTCTTGCAAAGCTACTATTTGCATTCATTGTAATAAAAGTTTTAAATTGCCTGATTATGAAGAATTTTCTAATAGGGAAATCAATGATTATGAAGAAGAGGCAAATTTAGAAAAGGAATATGAAGCCTCACTAGAAGCTTTTTTCTACCATCAAGCTTGTGTTGAATTGCACCCTTTGAAGAAAAAAATTGATATGGCTATTGAAGAAGGAGAAAAAAGATGCTGTCCAGGATGTGGACTTTCTGGGAGAAAAGATGAAAACTGTACTCATATGACTTGTCCAGTTTGTCAGACTATATGATGCTATTTTTGTGGCAAAAAAGAAGGAGATTGTGATAAAGATTATCCAGGAGATGATATAGTTGGCCACAATTATGACTGAAACATTAATGACCTAAGATGTCCTATGCATTTTACGCAGATCCATGAAATAGACAAAAGATGGCCTGATAATGATGAGGGCTGTTTGAATTATTTCCATAGGCTTTTAACCTTAAAATGCCTCAAGCAAGCTATAAATGAGATAGGGCTTGACAATTATTATATTTTTTCTTATTAATTTACCATATATAAAAAATCTTTACTTCCCACCTACGTGGCGAACAAAACCATTAATATTTTGGGTAAAAACACCTCCGAGCGAACAAAAAGTTTTTAATATAAAATTTTTTATAAAAAAATATTTTTATTTATAAGTGATAATTAGTATAATGAAATCTCTAGCTATTTCGGTTTAATCTAAACAGCTTCGTTTTTAAAACATAAATTTTGCGAATTAATTAATTTTATTTATTTATTTTGGGATTTTTTAAATTTTGAAAAAGAAATTACTATAAAACTTATATATAAATTATGTTACAAAATAAATTAACACCTTGCGAGCGAATAAAAATTTTTTGTTCGCTAAGAGAGGGTCGGATTTAAGTTTATTGTTTATACATTAAAAAGTTTATATAAAATCGCAGACCATTTTTCAAGTATTAAAAATAATGGGTATGGAATTGATGAAATTCTGAATTTTGAAGAAAAATCGCTGATCGATAGGACAAATGGTGACATATAAATAAGAGATGGTGACTATTAGGATATACAGAGAAATGGCAATGTTATTTTAGCTCATCAAGTAGTTTTAATTAAGATAGAGACAGTGTATAAAAAGATGATGGCAATAATTTGGATAATATATTATAAAAAAGAAGATACCTTGTAGTATTTTTATTAGTTAAATTAATAATAAATGGAAGAAGGATTAATTCCACAGTCAGTCGCCATTATAGGTGCAGGACCTAGTGGGCTAGCTGCTTGTAAGTCTGCATTAGAAGTCGGTCTATTTCCAACAGTATATGAAAAATCATCAGATCTGGGCGGCCTTTGAAAAGGTCACACAGGTATTTGGAAAAACATGAATGCCATTAGCATTAAGTTAAATTATCAAAGACACTCTTAGTCGGAGTCTTCTGGCTATTATTAATTTCCATATTGCCCTATCGCTTGCTTGTATTGAAAAACATTATCTTTTTTGCACTTTTCCTTGAATTCAGAATATTTAAGTCATATTGCTAAAAATATTAGCTCTATAGAAATTTCGAAAAACTGAGTTTTCAGTCAATCATAAAACATCAGGTATTATTCTAGGCTCATAGTTCTTAGCTAAGATTATTGGCAAGCTTCCTGTGATACCTCAAATAGTTATTTATATCTCTCTGCATTACTTAGCGAATGCCTGGCATCTGCCTATCAGATATGCTCTTCCAAATATGGGCATGAACACTTGCTGGAGTGCAACGGATAGGTCATTACGCCGGAAGCTTGACTTAGGTTGCCCTTCCACTGGACGATATCGCCCAAGATGAATTTAGGTTGCCTAGAGTGCAACTCTTGGCATTGCGCAGGAAATTGCCTGATTTGCCCCGAGGACTATACTGGACTTTCCCTTTCAGCACCAAGCATTCATCTTCCCCAGAGGTAACTTGGCTTGGAATAAGCTGCGGTTAGCACTCCCACATTATGCTCCACTAAGCCAAGTAAGAGCTGACCAGATGCACACTACCGAGCGCCATTTTCCATTTCACAAGGTTTCCTAAGTTGCAGATGTTAAGATGGTTCGCCACACTATTTTAATTTATATGATATTTATTCTGGGTAAAAATCAGTTAACCTAGTAGGTATCTGCAGCGTTGAAAAAGCCAAACTCAAAATTAGGCTATGGCTATTCAATAAAGTATTCCACTTTGCCTGGGCTGAAAAACCTCAGATAGATACCAGACGATGCACTTTTTCTTCAAAGTTCCCAACCTTTTTAGTATGATACTGTAGCGCAAGAGCTAGTTTATCAGTTGATCACGCCATTTTAATATATACAAAGCATAAATGCCAATCTTTCTAAATTCACCTGTTCCTTTTCAGACTTCCCATGGGACCAATATAGCGCTCAATGCCCCACCAATGAAGAATTGCTTCAATACCTTCACCACTATGCAGACCACTTCAATTTACGCCAATATATTCGTTTCAATAAAGAAATAACAAGTGTTCAAAAAATAAAGAAGTGGGTTGTTAAAAGTAATGACTCTCCCAGCAATAATCAATTTTTTTGCTTTAGCCCAAATTTTCAAAGAGTAGATTTTTTGCTTAAACCTCCCAAGAATTTGATTATTACTGGGGGAGTGAGGAAGAGGCTGAATTCGATTTTATTATTATCACAACAGGGGTGTTTGCAGTTCCTCATTACCCAAATATTAAAGGTCTTGAAGAATTTTCAAAAAATAAAAGCTTAAGCCACAGTTATAATTATTGGGAAAATGATGAATTTGCTGGGAAAAAAGTGGTCGTCATTGGAGGATCGTATAGTGGGGCAGAAATTTCAGCAGAAATTTGTAAAGTGGCTGAAGAGGTACATAATGTGATAAAATATCCAGTATGGATATCTCCAAGGCATTTACCACCTAATAATATAGGGATTGATTTAATGATATATAATAGAGCTTGGACTGAGATGAAAAAAACAAAGAGTGAGAGAGAAAACAACCAAGCTAAAAATCAGTTTCTCACTCCCCCTCTTTAAATTCGAAAAAAAAAAATTCAGCTTACTTTAACTCCCCTTTAAATTAGAACAAAATTTTAATTTTTCAAAGTAAATTTTATAGTAAAAGTATTATTTTTATATAAGTAGCTTTGACCTAATTTAATGGAAAAGTGCAATTAGAGTACCATTTAAACATTTTTTACATTGAACCGATTAATTTTTTGATATTTTAGATTAAAATTTAATATAATTTTTTCAAAAAATTAACCCTCTTTAACATTGGAACAGCATCTTGCTCCAATTTAAAGGAGAGAAGTTAATAGATTTTTAAGCAAACAGGGAGAAGTATGTCCAGATCTTTATATAGACCCGAACAGTGAGGAAAATAACTTCATTATTATTAGTGATGAATATGTCCCAGAAATAGAAAGAGGTAAAATAGTCGTCCATAAAGCAGATATTTTAGAGTTTGATGAAACTGGCATGATTATCAATGAAAAAGGAGAAACTAAGCACGTTGATTGTGATTGTGCTGTATTTTGCACAGGCTTTGAGCCTAAGCTTGACTTCTTAGCAGATGAAATAAAATCTGCAATTGGCTATGATCCTCAAAACTTGCTGCAGCCAGTATTACTTCATAAATGCACTTTTTCAACTTATGATAAAACAATAGCATTTGCTGGGATTTATAGAGGGCCTTATTATGGAATTATGGAGCTTCAAGCAAGATGGGCAACTTTGGTATTTGCAGGAATTGTCCCTTCACCTGACCAAGAAGCCTTGCAAAAAGGAATCCAAGAAGAAATTGCAATAAAAAATATGAATCCAGCTCCTCAATTTCCTCATCCAGACTATGTATCTTTTGCGGATAGTATTGCAAAAGAAATTGGGGCTCTTCCTGAGCTTGATAAGAGCGATAGCTTGTATAGGGCTTTGTGGGAAGGGCCTTTTTTACCAGCACATTTTAGACTTTGTGGTCCTTTTAATAACCAAGAAGTTGCAAGGAGCATTATTAGAAATGCACTAATTGCTATTGGAAGGCAAGACTTATGGGTTGAGGAATCTATTAATCAAAATTAATAATTCTTCATTTGAATTTCGAATTAAAATTAAAAGCACGATAATCCATTGGTTTTTCGGCCATAAAGTTATTAAAATAGTAAAATCATTTGAAATTTTCGAGGTTAAATAATCTATTTTTCTACAAATCCATATTTCTTTATAAGCAAAAATTTATCAAAATAAAATTAATTCCTTTTAATAAATAATTAAATATTTAAAAATGGACGTTTTAATAGAGTACTTGCCAATCGTTAATAAGATAAAATGAATAAATATTCTTTAAAGCTGCTATCTTCTTAACTGTTTTATAATTTTTTTCTCAAACCCTCTTCATCGCTCATATTTAAAAATTCATTATCCTTCTCCCATATCTTTCTCATTCATTATATAGCGTATCAACACTATTGATCGCTATGATCCGAAATCTCCCAAACGAAGCAGAATTGGTTTCACCAAGCCTTGAAATGGCAAATCTGCAATATCTAATGTGTTTTGTCATATCAAGGGTAGGTGAAACCAGCTGAGTGTCTTGAGAGAGACGTCGGATCATAGCGATCCACTAGCGTAGATGAGCTATAATGGTCAATTAAATATCTTTCCATTAAATACTTCTATTTATAATCACTAATATCATGGGAGCAGGCTGTTGCACAAGTTTATCACGCCCAAAAACACAAAAACCCCTCCCCAGTAGCACAGCTCCAGGCAAATCAGATGTTGAAGCAGCGCTTGACCGTCTGGCTAAGACTGCTTCTAATCCAAATACAGATAATCATGAATATCAAGTGCATCCGCTCCAAAAGATTTTTGACACCAAGGAATGCGAAATGAATCGTAAACTGATCGGCCTTTATACAAAAGCAATTTATGAACAAAAACTTGGAATTGACCAAATTAATTTAAGTTTTTCAAACTTACTCAATTTAAATTTTAATTTTTTATAATGTTTATTGTAAACTTAAATAAAAAATCAATAAATTTATTTTTACAAAGTTAGGGACTACAGGGGCCCAGCATTTAAGCCACTTGCTGCCTTTTGCCGGCAGAGTAAGAATCCTAAAGCTTTGGAAAACCCAGCTTGGGGCTGCAGGAGTTAAAATTTTGTCCACCGCACTGCCTTTACTGAAAGGTCTTCAGATCCTTTCATTAGAAGATAATGCTATGAAAACAGAAGGATGCTGCTACTTAGCCCAAGCTTTATACGAAATGACATCACTTGAAGAATTATGGCTTCACATCAACGCAATTGGACCTGAAGGAGCTGCATTTATTGGAAAAGCATTAAAAAATGTAAAATCATTAAAAAAATTAGGCCTGGACGAAAATGATATCCAAAACAAAGGTCTAATTGACCTTTCAGGATGCTTAAAAGAGATGCAAAATCTTGAAGTTTTGGGGATGGCATTTAATTTTATTACAGGCGATAGTCAAAACGAGTTTATCGATGCACTGAAAGGCAAGAAAATGGTTGTAAATTTGACTGGAAACCATATAGATGAGGACATTAGAGCAAAGTTTATTAATGAGCTACCACAAGTTACGATAACTTATTAGCTGATTATAATAATATAAATGGATTATTATACAATTTTGTGTCAAATTTAAGTGAATAATTTGTTTAGGATAAATAATTATTACAAAAATTAATTTATTAAAAATGCCATGAAAAATATTTTTGACTGTTAAATAAGGCAATTAAGTATGATATGACATTAATAAATGCAAATGTGCTTTTTGTTTCTTTTCTAGGCACTTTATTTCAATAACTTGCATAAAATGCTGTTATAAATATGGATCTAAATTTTTCAAGCCCAAAGAAGTTTAACGGAATTTCATTAGAAGACTCAGGAGATCTCGTCGTTTTTAAAGATATTGAAAACACGCCTAAGACAAAAATGAATGATCGATACACAAAAACAGTCGAAAATTCCCCTTTAAAAGATGCCTATATCAAACCAAAAAAGCTAGAAATTGATATAAAGCACAATATCGAGAATTACAACACCCAGCCAACTCATCGCAAATATATGTCAAGAATCCCACTTTCCCCTGCAAATGAATGCATTTCATTGAAAAAAACACTTTTTAAAAAAATTGAGCCACCTTCTATGCTAACACAAAGAGCTTCAAGCGTATCACCATCGCGGACAATCGGAAGACGCACTTTTTTGACTGAAGAAAAAAATCCGATTTTTCCGCTTAATTCAGAGCAGTTTTTAAAAGAGTTTGCAAATGGAATTTCTGAAGCGGAAAAACGAGAAATTATAGGATATGGCACAGTTTATTATACCATTTCATGGTAATTTATAATAGGGATTAATTAATATAATATTTGTCATATTTTTAATAATAAGGATATTTTAATGCAAAATACTCAAAATCCAAGTACAACCCAATCGCAAGAGAAGATTTTGACGTTATTATAGGCGACCACGTAAAATATCGATATGAAATTTTAGAATATCTAGGAAGCGGAACTTTTGGAAGAGTCCTGAAGTGCTTCGATCACAAATTAGATGAGCCAGTCGCTATAAAGATCATGAAAAAAAATCCCAAGCACCAGAAACAAGGAGAATCTGAAGCAAAATTTTTAGAAATTTTACAGAGAGCAGACCCAGAAGACTCAAAAAACATTATAAGGATGAAGGAGAGATTTATGTTTCGAGGGTATTTTTGCATAGTTACAGAGCTCTTTAGCATTAATTTATACCAATTTTTGAGGAAAAACAGCTTCCAAGGGGTAAGTATGACTTTACTTAAAAGAATTGCTATACAATTACTGATTGCATTAAAGCATATCCATTCACAAGGACTAATTCATTGTGATATTAAGCCTGAAAATGTGCTTCTAAAGCAAGAAGGAAAATCAAGTATAAAAATAATTGATTTTGGTAATGCCTGTGAAAAAAATTTATTTCCTATTAATTTGAATAGGCAAATTATAAAATAAAAAAAATTTCTTATCAAAAATAATCCAGAGCACTATAGTTTTTCACACATATGTGCAAAGCCGAATTTACAGATCCCCTGAAGTTGTCTTAGGCCGCAAATACAACTGCAAAATCGACATATGGTCATTAGGCTGCATGCTAGTCGAGCTCTATCAAGGCACCCCTCTCTTCCCATGCGAGAACGAGCAAGACCTCTTACGAAGAATTGTTATCGCAATTGGGCTGCCTTCTGTAAGTTTCCTCCGCAGCTGCTCCCGAAAAAACATTTATTTTACCCCAGATTACAAGCTAATCAGGGTAAAAGAAAACAAAAGAAGCTACTGTCCTTCACCTCGGACTTTACTACAAATCCTTGAAGGCGCTGACTCAGATTTTTCTTCTTTTATTGAAAGATGCTTAACTTGGGACCCTCAAGACCGAATTACTGCAGAAGAAGCCTTGTCTCATCAATGGATAAACCCAAATAAAGAACAAATTACCCCACTGCGTAAGACGAGGTCACGATTTTTTAGTGAGACTCATAAATTTTAATTATCTTAATTATATATAATGAAAATTTGGGTAGGGCTATTATTGACTTTTGTGCTGGGAAGTATAGAAAAAGGCTTCCATGACGTGTCAATTGATCTTACAGATGAAAATTTCGAACATGAAACCCAAGCTTCTACAGGCGCGACAACTGGGGACTGACTGGTTTTATTTTACAGGCCGAGCTGCTGTGGAAAATTTTTGGACGAATGGAAGATTTTGGCCGAAAAAGTGAAAAAAGATCAAGATTTGACTGTGAACATCGCAAAGGTAAACTCTGTAGAAAACACAGAGCTTTTAAAGAGATTTGAGATATCAGAGTTTCCAACTTTTCTGCTGTTTAGACAAGGAGTAGTTTATAATATTGTTAGAAAAGAAAATGAAGACTTTTTCTTAAACATGCTGAAAACTCAAAGCTATAAGGAATTCCCACACAAGCCAGTGCCTCAGCCTATCTCTTTTGTTGAAAAAGCTAGCGAATATATGTCTCAGCTCCCTATTTATTATCATTCTGTATGGGCAGTTCCTTTATTAGCCATTTTTTGGTGTTTTCTTCAACCCTCCAAGGCTGAAGCCACAAAGCCAGAGTCTCCTGACCGTTCTTCATCCCCTAAGCGTCATAGAGAATAACCCTAAATCTAACTAAACTCTAAAACCACACATAACATTCCTTATCCATATTTTTCTGGTTGCGTCATTTGTTATAATTATGGAAAGTGGTGCTGCAGCAATCGTTGGTGAGGCTCAAAAATCCTTAAAACAAGGTTTCTCTTCAGGACAATCCAAAGCATACTCAACACGTGTAAAACTGCTTCGTGATTTAAGGAGAAGTATTGCATCAAGCACTAGAGAAATGGCAGATAGCTTGTTAGCTGATATAGGGAGAAACGAGCATATGTCACATTTAACAGAAATAGATGGACTGATCGGGAACATTGATTATCATCTTGAAAACTTGAAGACTTGGATGGCTCCAGAAGATTTCGACATCCCATTATTGTTATCTCCAGGAAAAGCAAAAGTTGTTAAAGAACCATATGGACTTATTCTTTTTTATAGTAAAATATAATTATTATATAATGATATTGATAGCTTATTTAATAGGAAAATATACTTAAAAATTAATAAAAATAAAATAATCAGTAGAATAAGAATACTTTAATTATGGGAGCTTGGAATTTCCCATTCGCTACAACCTTACACCCTGTAATTCAAGCTATTGCAGCTGGAAATGTAGTATGTGTAAAACCATCAGAACTTTCTCCAAATACCTCGAGAGTAATGAAAGCAATTCTGAGCAGGATGGATCCAAAATATGTCCAATGCCTAGAAGGAGGCCCAGAAATTGCTATTGCATTAACTCAAGCAAGATGGGATTTAATTGTGTTCACAGGATCTCCTCAGAAAGGAAAAATTGTAGCACAAGCAGCAGCTAAGCATTTAACCCCTACAATTCTATCTCATTCTAATTGAATTGCTATTTTTTTACATAAAAAATTAGAAAATATAATAAATTTACTATAGGATAGAGCTTGGAGGCAAAAATCCTGTTGTGGTAGACAAAAACGTCGACCTAGAAATGACTGCTATGAGAATTGTCCAAACCCGATTTTTAAATGCTGGACAAGTTTGCTTATCCCCTGAATTTGCTTTGGTTCATAAAGACATTCTTGAAAACTTTCTTGATCGAGCTCAGCACTATATCAGACAATTTTATGGCGCAGACCCTAAAAATAGCAAAGATTTAGGAAGAATCATCAATGAGTTCCATACAAGAAGGATTTTGAATCTGATTACAGCAAACCACGGAGGGAAGATAATAGTTGGTGGCGATTCTGATATAGCAGAAAAATATATTGCGCCTACTATCATTTTGAATCCTAATGAGGATTCCGAAATTGCTAAAGAAGAAATCTTTGGGCCTGTCCTTTTAGTTTACCCATACTCAGACTTGCAAGAAGCAATAGACTTTATCAATGAAAGAGAAAAACCATTATCAGTTTACTACTACGGCAGAAGCAACGAACACATGGAAAGACTCAGAAACGAAACCAGCTCAGGCAATTTCTGCTGGAACGAGTCTGCATTTAATTATGCTTGTCAAACAATCCCATTTGGAGGGGTCGGAGAATCTGGAAGTGGCAACTATTTTGGAGTTGAAGGATTCAGGTCTATGAGCCATCTCAAAGGAGTTCTAGAAAGCCAAGGCTTTAATGGTTATCCAGTCACATTAAGATACCCTCCATATACCCCAGGAAAGGTAAAATCCTTCCAAAGAATGAACGTGTTGATGGGTAGCACAGTCAATAAAGTGACTCATAATTTAAAAATTGCGGCCGTTATAGCGGCTACCATTGCGCTGTGGAGATATGGGTATTTAGATGGAGTTATTGAGCACGCCCAAAGCTGGTTGGGTGCTGCAGTTAGCTATATTAAAACTTTTAAGAGATAATTAATCATCATTATGATCTATAAAATAATAATCGACCATTTCTTCTGTTACTTCTTCAAGGGTTCTGGGGCTCCAAGGAGCAATATTATTGCTTTTTTCTTTCATTTTGTGTTTGACACCTATTTTGAAATTTTCATTTTTGTGGTATAAAATGTTGCAGTCTATGATAGCTTCTAGGTCGATCGCGTCCAAAAATGGCATATTTTTGCCATTTTTGAATTGCTTGAGGGCTATTTTTAAGGTCAAAGGACAAGAAGCTTTTATATCATTTAAGGTTTCTTTGGCGAAGCCAGTCTTGATTTTGTGGAGTTTTTCTATAATTTCTTCAATAGACCCTGGGTTTTTGAAGGCTTCATTTATTTCATCTTTATGGCTTAAATATCTAGACTTTTCTCTATCAGGGATAGAAGAGAATTTTTCTATTGATTCTTTTATAGACTCAGCCGTATTTAAATCTGTCCAAAATTCAGATAATCTCTCAGATTCCATATAATGTGAAGAAATTCCTGAAAAATATGCTTTTTTTCTTAAATTTGACCAAAAAATCAACCAAACGCCAATTTCTTATATAATTAATTTAATTCACTATAACAATCTTCGCCTGAAATTCTTTTATTAGTCAAAAATAAATAAAGCCCATAAGCATCATCTTCAATATGAGACAGAAAATAAGACGTGCCTGTATTAGGGACGCTCCCTATTAAATGCTCAGGCATGCTTCATAATGTACTTGGTAAAGAAACTAAATAATCACATGACATTGCTAACCCAACTCCATAACCTATAGTATGTCCTCGCAAAATACTTAAGGTTTCATATGGATAATTGAATAAGGTTTTAACTGAGCCATAAAATAAATTTCCAAATGTAGCCACATCTTTGCAGTTTTCCAGCATGTAAAATAAATTTCCGCCAGATTGAAAAGCCTTTTCCAGGGTAGAGAAAAATACGATTTTTTGACGATTTGATTCTGCTTCTTTGATTTCTTGTGATAAGATTGTCCCTAGTTCTCAGTCTATTGAGTTAAAGCGCTTGGAGTTGTTAAAAAGAAGCTTGCAGATATTTCCGTGGACTTCTTTTAGCAAGATACTTGACATTTATTTTATTATGAATTATAAATTTTAGTATTAATTTTATTGATTTATAAATAACGTTATATTTTTAAATAATCCTGAATCATTTCTTCAGTAACACTGCCAAGCGAACTAGGATTTCATTCAATTCTTTCTTTTGATTTATTAATCAATCTAGACGTGACTGATTTGACATAATTTTCATTTTTATAGCAAAATAAATTTGCGTCAACAATTTTTTCTGTTTCTAAAGCTTCGTTAAAACTTTTATTTTTTGCTATGATTGTTTACCTTAGATAGAAGCAACAGAGAATTTAGCAATTATTAATAGACAATTCAAGGAAAACACTATAAATTAAATACTTTAAACGCAATTTTTAGTGTCAAAGGGCAGCTATTTCTTAAATCATCTGCAGCTGCTAAGCTAAATCCACTATTAATATTTTCGAGCTTTTCAATAATATCTTCAATAGATTCAGGATTTCCAAATGCAGCTTTTATTTCATCTTTATACCACAAATATTCACAATCTTCTTTGCTAGGGATATTTGAGTATTTTTCAATAGGCTTTTTTATGCTGTTTTCAATTTCAATATCATTGAGGAAATTTTGTATAAAAAAATCAATTAAATAAGAAATTTAATAAAAAATGCTTTTAGGCAGATTTTTTATAAAAAATTCAATATAAATTAGAATAAATTTTCAAGCTCCATATTAAGATTAAGATTAAGATTAGCCGTTCGCACTTGCAGGGCCAGGGATTTGCACCCCTACACGCTCATCGCCTATGGTGAGGCCTCGGCGGACACCCTCCTCATTGCCTCAAACGAGGGATTCGCACATACGTGGGTTGTCTTTCCGAAAATCCATAAAAAATGGATTTTATGGTCGACTGTCGGTAGAAGGTGGAACTCGAAAGCCTGGGAACGTAACGCCCAGTTTCACGCTAGGGAGTTGCCCGATTGGTCCTGAGGACTCTGCTGGGCTTTCTCTTTCCAATTTCCGTGCTCGTCTTCCCCACGAGGAAAAAACCACCTCTGAATTTAGGCTTGGTCTAGGCTCTTAACACAACCAGAATTTTCAAGCTCCATATAATGTGAAGATATCCCTGAATAATAGCAATCTACCCCTGTTATTGTTTTACACGTCAAAAACAAAAACAGACCAAAAGCTTGATCTTCTAAATGAGAAAGATAATAAGAAGTCCCCGCATCTGGGACTATCCCAATCCTGTGCTCTGGCATACACCAAAAAGTATTTTCAAAAGCAAGCTTAAACTTGCAAGCCATCGCAATCCCTATGCCATAACCCATTAAAGATCCACGCCATATGCTTAATGTCTCTTCAGGGTATTCATATATTTTCCTCAAAGAATCATATGCAAGTGGCCCAAATTCAGGGAATGATTGATATTGATGCAAAATAGAGACCACGTCGCCTCCTGTATGGAAGCATTTATCAGATGTCGATGAAAAAATAATTTTTTGATTTAAAGAGGCTGCTTCAGAAAGGTCAGAATTTAAAGCTCGGTTCATTTCTCAGTTAAGAGAATTATGCTCTTGAGGACGGTTGAAAAATAATTTGCAAAAGTTTTTGGAGGATTCTTTTAGGATTACCCTTGACATTTTATGATTTAGCCGCTTATATGTGAATTTTAGGATTTTTTTTAAATAATGAAAAATAATTAAGAAGTAACATAATTCGCTAATTAATTATTGATCATTAGCGAAATTCAAAATTGACTTTTTTATATTGTTAAATGATCCATTAAAATATCATAAGAGCTCCTTTGCAGCTACTCTAGGCAGAGCTTAACTTAACATAACTAAAAAACAATAGCATTAATTTGGAAGCTGATTTATTATACTCATGTGCTCTTCAATTATACTCTCTGTGACTTCCTCTAATCTTGCTGGTATCCAGCTTGGCTTGCCTTGATTTCTCTCTACCATTTTTGCTTGAACTCCTTTGGCAAAGTTTTCATTTTTATGAACAATTAAGTTGCAATCAATGATGTATTCAGATTCGATAGCTTGGAATAAATCACGATTTTTTCCAAGCTGGAATTGCTTAAAAGCTATTTTTAAGCTAAGCGGGCATCCTGAGGTGATTTCCTTAACTGTTTGTTCTGCAAATGGCGTATTACTCTTTTTTAGTCTTTCCAATATTTCTTCTATTGAGCTTGGACTACTGAAATACTCATTTATTTCATCCTTATAATTCAAATAAGAACTCAGCTCTTTATTCGGCTCTGATGAGTATTTTTCTATCAAATTTTTCAATGAATCAGCTGTTTTTAAATCCGTAAAAAAACTTGCCAAATTTCCACTTTCCATATAATGAGTCGAAATCCCAGAAAAGTAGCAGTCTTCTCCAGAAATCCTTTGATTTGTTAAAAATAAATAGAGCCCAAACGCTTCATCTTTAAGATGAGAAAGAAAATAAGACGTCCCACTATTTGGGACAATCCCTATATGATGCTCTGGCATACACCACCGTGTGCTAGGTAAAGCTAATTGATACCTACAGGACATTCCAAGACCTACTCCATAGCCTACAGAGTGCCCGTGCCATATACTTAAAGACTCATTCGGAAAATTATAGAGATTTTTCAAAATTTGGTAAGCTAAAATGCCAAATTGTGGAAACTCTTGATAATTTGAACGGTAAAACAGGATATCTGCACCTGAGCAGAATCATTTTTGGCTTGAAGAAGTAAGCACAAGGTGCTGATTGAGGGATTTTGCCTCAAGAATTTCTGATAATAAAGCTTGGGCTAAAAATAAATCGCAAAAATTAAAAGACCGAGGGCGATTTATTAGGAGCTTTGAAATATTTCCATAGACTTCTTTTAGCAGGACTCCATTCATTTTTTTTATAATTTTAGAATTTTGTGCGGATTTATATTATGACATCAGTGCTAATTTTACCCGAGAACGAAAAATAAAATGTAATTATTTGATAACTGAAATATTCGCGCTTTAAGCAATTTTGTTTGAAGAAATATTTATATTTATTGTTTTTAATTATCTGCCTAAGTCCTGCTTCGTTTATATTTTATTTTTTCCTAAAGAAATATAGATATCAAAATTTTTCTCCTGAATCTAAATATAAAAATTAATATAATGATACCCCGGAATATATATGAAGTGGCTTTGAGCATGCCTTATTTTACACCTGTAGATGATGCTAGTGATGATTACCTGAATGATGCAAATATCATGCAAAAATTCAAGATCTGAATTTTCATCAAGGCAAAGCCAATTACAAATTTCCTATGATATAACTACGTCGTCTCCAAGCGGCAAAACTGAGCCAGCTAAGTTTTTTAATGCGCAATTTTTGCTTAGTTATTATAGTTTGATTGTTCTGTGCCTTTGTAACTCTTTAACATATTACTGCTATTATACACAGCGAATTCTTGTCCTTTTGGTAGGAATCACTTCTTTAATTATATGCATTTTATTTAGCTTGGCTGTGATTTTGAGAGAGCAGTATTTTAAAAAAGATAAATTCACTTTATGTACAGTGCTCTATGCTATTACAGGTCTTGGACTGATTTTTTCCGACCCAAATATTTTCAATTTGCTACTCAGCGTGGAAGATGAGCCTACCTTTGCTTCAAGCTTACAATCCTTATCAGTTTTAGCGGTTATTTCCATCAATAAAATTATATGAAATAAGCAATTATTTACACTTATGAGTGTTTTCTTACTCCCCCCATCCATAATCGAAAGGCTCGCCATCGTTCGATCAAGGGTTGAAAAGAGATGTTTTTTGGGAAAAAAAAATTTTATTTATAAAATAAAAAATATATTTTTTTTTTTATGCATTTTTAAAATAAGTATTTAATAATTATTTTTACATCAAAAAATTGAATTAATTTCATAAGAATACCAATTTTTAATATTTTGATTTTTTGGCTACCCCTTTAAACTGTATAAATTTTAATTTGTTTCTTATTGAATTAAAAATTTAAATTTTAAATAATCTCTAATTTTTAGATTATTAAGTTTTTAAGCCCAGGCTGATGACTAAAGCACTTCGGATGATTGATTTCGTAGCTTTCTGTCGTCTCAAAGCCTCTGACAACAATTTCATTAGGCACATCTCCCAAACTTTTGATAACTTATATATTTTTATATATGTATAAATTTTAATGAAAATCGTTCGATCAAGGATGGGGGTTAATTTCCCAATTTTAGGAATTTTTGCAGTCAATCGCTCGATCAAGGATGGGGGGACTTAGGGTTATTTTCTCTAAGCTTGAACTGTTATAATAGAGATAAAATTTTGCAAGAAATATTCCAATTTTTTTTATATTTAATATTGATACAAAATAGTCAAAATACATTAGCATCAAATAAAGTTATGATAGAAGGACAATATGTTATCCCTGAAGAAGAAGAAAAATTAAGCCACCCAGAAGTTCCGCTTTCTGACATTGAGGTCAATTTCACACAGAAAGATTCTGACGCTAATACTGGGCTTGAAGAAGTGGTACACTATATTAAAACTGCAATTGAATGGATGAATTATATAAAAGATTACCCTGAGGCTAGTTTTCGTGTTGGGATTGATCGCACTTCTCGCATTTTGGAAAGATGCTTACTCCCCCCTCCGTGAGCGAACAAGCCATTAGAAAATCCCTATTTTTTGCCCAAAGCCCGCCCTCTGCGAGCAAACAAAAATTTTTATAAAAAAATTGTTATATAAGTGATAATTAATATAATGAAATCTCTAGCTAATTCTGTTTAATTTTAAAACAAATTGCGTTTTAAATCATAAATTTTACAAATTTAACTTTTGGGTTTTTTTAAATTTTTATAAAATTTATATATAATTTTTTTTTCAAAAAATAATTAACCCTCTCCGGGAGCATCCAAATTTAGTTCGCTCACAGAAGGGGTGAATTAGCATTTTTAAGAAAATGCGATAATATTTATTCTACAGATTATAATAAAGTTACTAAACATTTGGAAACCGAGGATAAAAATTATATTTCTCAGTATTTTTACGGGGCATCTGAATCAATCCCAGCAACTGAGCAATCTGATAAAAGGCTCAAAGAGAAAAGCATCACTGCATCTTTTGGTTTTGATGAGACTGTAAATGTTCTCAATAGAATTTGTAGAAATTGAAATTTCAGTGTGTTTATGATTGACGGTCTTAATAACGAAGTTTTTCAAGTCTGTGGGAGATATGTATTTTTAAAGTATGGGTTGATAAAAAGATTTAAAATTCAAGAAACTGTATTAAGAGATTTCTTAATCGAATTAGAAGGAAAATATCAAAAAAATAAATACCACAATGCTCTTCATGCTGCAGATGTGATGTTTTCGTTTCTATGGTTAACATTCAACTCTGCCTGAAAAGATAAAATTCGGTCTCCAGAGCTTCTTATTGGGATCCTTGTTACACTTTCTCATGATGTTGCACACCCAGGCCGAACCAATCGATATTTAATTCTAACTCCCCCTCCGTGAGCGAACAAAACCATTAAAAAAATCCCTATTTTTTGCCCCAAAAACCCACCTCCGTGAGCGAACAAAAATTTTTAATAGAAAAATTATTTATGGGAAAAAATTTTGATATATAAGTGATAACTATTATCATGAAATCTCGAGCTAATTCTGTTTAATTTTAAACAAATTGCGTTTTTAAAACATAAAAACTTTACAAATTAAATTAATATTTATCTTCCAGTTTTTGAGAAGTGGGATTCTAAAAAAAAATTCTATAAAATTTATATATAATTTTTTTTCAAAAAAAAAAATAGCCCCCCTCCATGAGTGAACAAGATTTTTTTGTTCGCTCACGGAGGGGGGAGTAAGTAAGTAAAGATGAGCTCGCTACCTTATATAATGATATCAGCGTCTTGGAAATGCACCACGCATCTACTTTATTTTCTATACTGAAAAAGCCCAAGTTTAATATATTGGAAAACATAGATAATGACTCATGGATTTTTATAAGAAGACAAATTATTGAACTGATTTTGGCTACAGATATGGAAAAACATTTTGAAATTTTAGGAAATTTTAAAGCAAAATATTTAAGTATTGGAGAAAAGTTGGAAGATAACGATATTGATTATAGAACCAGTTTTATGAAAATGGCTATAAAGGCTGCAGATGTCGGACATGCCGCGAAGGAAACAGATATTCATGTAAAATGATCAGAGCTGCTGATGGAAGAAATTATTGAGATAGATAGACTAGAGAAGTCTCTAGGGATAAAACAAACTTTGTCTACAGAAATTTTGATGACTGATTTGCCACGAGATCAGTCAAGATTTCTAAAAAACATTGTAATTCCTTTGTATATTGCATTTAATGAGGTTCTTAAATCTGAAGAAATTGAAAAAAAGTGTATTACCCAGTTTAGTTTTAAATGAAATCACTTTATATCCAGTCTCCCTGCTTGAAGTCCAACTTGATTAACAGCTCTGAACAACGATAGGTGGACCTTCCTAACCATCAAATCGTTAATGTTATCAAGTCAGCTAAGACTTCTCTGATCAGTGCCAGACTCAGCACTGACCTTTACTTCACTCTAGACTCTCAGGAGGATCGACCTCTTTCACTAAGTCTGTAGGCCCTACCTGCAGAGCAGGTGTCTAGAACCTATCCCATAACTGCCATTTTAATATTGTGATTACCCAGTTAAATGACAATGAGGATTATTGAAAAAGAAAGTTAAGAAATCCAACTGTGTTTGTTCGAGCTGAATCTTTTAAAAATCCTACAAGACATGCAAGTTTGCCTGATCGAGTTCCAACGTCTGGGCATTTATCTTAATTTTTTGATTTTATTGATTAATAGTTTTAAATATGGAAGAAGTAAGAAATTTAACTAACTCCCCCTGTGAGCGGATAAATATTGGAAAAATCCCTATTTTTGTCCAAAAGCCCACACTCCGTAAGCGAACAAAAAAATTTTTCATGAAAAATATTTTATATATAAATGATAATTATTATAATGAAATTTCTAGCTAATTCTGTTTAATTTTTAAACCACTCGCATTTTAAAACATAAATTTGTAAATTAAATTAATTTTACTCCTCATTTTTACAAATTAAAATTTATATAAATTTTTAAAAAAAAAAATTAGCCTCTCCGTAAACGAACAATATTTTTTGTTCGCTCACGGGTAGTAAGAAACTTCTAAGATATGAAGAAATGCTCAAAAGATCAGAAGAAATTAATCAAAAGCTTGAGAAAGACTTAGAATCAGCTAGAAGAATAATCAAAAACGAAAAAGACAATAATACCATTCTAAAAAACGAAAACTCAAAAACTGTAGCCAATTTTAAATCACTAAAAGATTCTTATATCAAGCTTAGCGAAGACATTCAAGCTCTCAATATAAAATTCAGAAATAAAAAAAATCAAAGAGACCAAGAAAATCTGGAATGGGACCACAAAGTTCTGAACTTGAAAAGAGAAATCGAAAAAAAAGGTGAAAAATATCTAGATAAACTGCTAGAGATAAAAGAAAATGAGATTCATAGGCTTAGTCAGATTATTGACGAAAAAGAGCAAAATGTTGAAGAAATGAGAAGGCAGTTTGTGATTATTCAGCAAGATTTAAATAATCAATTGCAATATTCAAAGAATTCAGAGCTTCAGCTGAAAGAGAAGCTTGATAAGCTTCAGTCTGATTTTTATCAGAAACAGCAGTCGTTAATTAACTTCCAGCATAAATCTAGAGCTTCTGAAGAAACTTTGGAGCTATTTCATAGCATTTTAAGATATAAAGAAGATGAAATCCATGCTAATAAAGTGTAAAAAATAGACAGGAAGGCAAGGGAGCTAGAAGCAAAGGAGGACTATTTGCAAGAAGCAATAAATACTTTACAAGGGCAGCTTAGACTGATAAGACAGAAAAAAGAAGAAAAATTGCTTAAAAAGAGAAGGGAAAGTATGGAATCGAGGTGCTCAATCCGTACAGTTTAATTTAAAATTCATTAAAAGAGAAATAAATAGGCAAAATATTAAAATTTTCCCTTTTTCATGATAAATTTTAATTTACTAATTTATCATTATTTAACTTTTGCGTTAAAACAAAAATGTCTATGTATAATTTTGATACCTAAAAATCTTCAAATTTACCGTTCTCAATAATCAGCGTTATCAAATTAAATTTAATTTAGCTATATAAAAAGATTAGCCGAGAGAATCATTGTTTATCCGATATAATTCATCGCAGAGCATTTTTGGTTATTTTAAATAAGACAGAATAATCCCGAAATTTTAATTAATGAAATAATAAAAATTTAACTTAACTTAATATCTGGTATTTAAGGTGTTTAGTGCCGCACCCTTCTTAAAAAGGATATAGCTAAATTAGTGAAGTCACCAAGCCATCTTGGATTCATGGTGGTCAGCCAACTGCCTAAGCCTTCTATCAAAGCTTCGCCGCACGTCTTACCCAGCGCGTTGCCGTCGCCCTTGCTCTGACTCAGCTCCTGCGTGTGTGCCGCCTAAGGGTCATCCTCCTGTGGGGATATGCTAAGGGTTAAAACACTGCCTCTTGATGCTCTGAGGAGCAGTTCCTCTGGTTATCCCCAGACAGAAGTTCTCGAGGGAAAACCCAACCCCATAAATAAAATTCCATGAGGGCGAAAATTAGCAGCGCTAATTTCTCTCGAACTGGATGCCATTTTATTTATGAAATAATAAAAAACAGCCTAAAGATGTCTGTCAACGCATCAAGTATCCCTAAAGGCGATTCTATAGAAAAGAGCAAGCAGCTAAAAGAAAGAGGTAATTATTATTTTTCTCAACAAAATTACAATGATGCAATATCATGTTATACCCAAGCAATAAAATTGAATTCTAATGACTCTATATTTTATTCTAACCGAGCCAGATGTTATTTAAATTTATTTCGCTATGAAAACGCTTTAGAAGACGCCCAAGCTTCAATCCAATTGGATTCAACAAATATCAAAGCTCATATAATAGCTGTCAAGTCTCAAGCAAATTTAGCAAAATTCTCATACGATATGGAAAAAATTGAGATTGCATTAAATCAATGCAGAGCCGCTGTATTAGTTGCGAAAATAATGGGAAGCAAAGACTTTATAAAAATCTGTAAAGAGCTTAAACATAAAATTAAAGCCTTGAAGTGATGTGTGAGCATAGAGCATCATAACCAGCAAGTACATGAACTTTTAAATTATTATGGCAGGATGCCAGCACTAGAAAGCTCCTTGAAAAAATACGTAAAGTATATTTCTACTCCAGAAATCCCTGAAAGTTTAAATTGTGCTATAACTTTTGACCTTTTCATTGATCCTGTCACAAATTCAACAGGGCATAGCTATGAAAGAGAAGCTATTCAAGCTTATATGAATGCAGGCAGACATTATATTGACCCTATTTCTCGTCAAGAAGCCTTATGGAATGTATTAATTCCCAATAAAAATATGAAAGATGCAGTCAAATATTATGTAAAAACAGAATTCCCATGGGCAAGAATTAGTCCAACTCCAATAGAGTCTAGTGAAATAAATTTCTAGGTAATAATAATAATTTTTAGAACTTGGATTATTTAAATAAAAATAGCTAAATATTTGTGTGCGATTAAAAAATTTATTATAACAAAAGTGCAAAATAATAAAATGACAGAAGAAATTTTGTTCTATGGGTTTAGACAGGATGGGAGGCGGCCAGGAGAGCTCAGACAAATAAAAATCAAGCTAGGAGTAGTCGATAATTCTTCAGGATCAGCACTATTCCAAATTGGCCACACATCAGTTTTAGCATTCATCCATGGTCCAAAACAAACGAAGCACGAAAAAGAAAGTGGGCATATTCATTGCTATTTTAACCATTTTTCTAACTAATTTTTCTTTAAAAAAATAAAAAAATTCCTATATTATTTCCAAAAAATTTTCAAGATCCATATTTTAACACACAGCATATTTCAGCTCCTCAGGCGAAAGGCGCAAGTTTTCAAAGGGCGATAAAAAATCCAATGAATTTGAAGCAAACGTAAGAACTATGTTTGAAAGTGTCGTTTTAATGGAAAATAACCCGCATTCAGACATTGATATACACGTACTTGTATTAGCAGATGACGGCAGTGTTGAGTGTGCTGCTATTAATGCTATCACTTTAAGCTTAATCCACGCTGGAGTGCCATTAAAAGATTTTTTGGTATCCTGCAGCTCTGGATTTTATAGTGGGATGCCTTTAATTGATTTGACTTATAGCGAAAGCACAAGTTTCCAAGTAATTTCTGAGTATAGAGTCGCGGTGCTTGGCAAGTCTTTACAGATTGCATATCTGAATTATGATGATATAGGAGGACATAAGCTAACCCCAGAAGTTGTAAGAGAAATTACAGCCATGGCCATAGAAGGCTGCAAACAAGTGCATTTTATTATGAAACAAGAACTACAGAATGCTTGCAGCAATTAATTTATACTGTTTTTTATGAATTCTCTATAAAATATTTATATTTAGCCTATTTTATTATAAAAATAAACTTAGGAAATGGCTTCAAAATTATCCAAATATACATAAATTTTAGATTAGATTTAAGATGTGAAGATACGGGCAAAAAAGAATGCGAAAAACTGCTGCCCGGGTCAAGTCCCAAAATCAGCGGAAATTGGGCTGGGCCTCTCGCCTCGAGGCTAACTCTTCCTTTGAGTAGTTCTCCGCATCCAAAAACCATGTCTGGTAAACATAAGGGCACCCGCCACGGGAAGGACGGGTCGCTCGTCTCCGGCCATTTTATGTATATATCCAAATATACATAAATACCACATAAATTAATAAAATTCTTATTAAGAACCAACTTAATCTAAACCTTAAGAGCTTGGCTTGCTGCCATAAAAGCGCCTTGCTTTAACATCCCTGAGAGTTTTTGTTTGCTGTCTTTATTGCATTTATAATACCCAACCATGTTAATTCCAGTAAGTACCAAGCAAATCAAGGCAACCATGCTCCAAAAGAAGTCAAAAGTCAATAGATATGCGAGCAATAAAATAGACCAAGTCAACGGAGCTGCCACAAGTCCAAGCCAAAATGCATAAACGTCGATTTTATTTGATTGGGATTTATCATTTAAGCTTTCAAAAATCCATTCTTCTGAGCCGTCTTCATTTATTCTGTTTCTCCATCGGAGCCCTACAAGAAGCCGACCAGTGATATTTTGCACAGTCCAGAAATCAAAGGCAGAGAAAATCACGACGATGATAAAGGTTATTGTAGCGTTTGAGAAAATATTGAGGAAGAAAAAGCATAAAAGTGCAAGAGATTTGAAAAGATAGTGGAAAATGATTGCGATTGGGTGAGATGAACGCTTGAGAAGGCCTGAAAGACCTCCTGCTTCTTGAGGCTGGGCTGGCTGGAATTGGCCTTGAGAAGAAGCTTTGGGAGCTTCGTTATCTAAGCTCATCTGAAAGTTGAGACTTGCCATTTAATTATATGGGATAAAGGAATATAAGAATCGTAAATAAATATAGCAGGAAAGGAAAGAGATATGCTTTTTTGCCTTGAGTGGCGCGGTACGGGCGCCACTTCGGCAAGCTCCTTCTTCCAGTTGGCTCGGCCAACTCAGGTTGGTTCGGCCAACTCAGGTTGGTTCGGCCAACTCAGGTTGGTTCGGCCAACTCAGGTTGGTTCGGCCAACTCAGGTTGGTTCGGCCAACTCAGGTTGGTTCGGCCAACTCAGGTTGGTTCGGCCAACTCAGGTTGGTTCGGCCAACTCAGGTTGGTTCGGCCAACTAGAATTGACAAGTCTCCCCAAAAGGCCTCACTTGTCAATTCTCCAGTTGGCCGAACCAACCTGAGTTGGCTCGGCCAACTGGAAGAAGGAGCTTGCCGAAGTGGCGCCCATACCGCGCCACTCAAGGCAAAAAGCTATACCTATTTATTAGTAATAATTACCAAGGCTATTTGCTATCTAATTGTTAATTATAAGGATTGTATTTTTATGAATTTATTTTCAAAGCCTGAAATTTACGTTTTACATCTAAATTTTACTTCTAATAAAAATATTTTTTTATTTTTTCCCTTTATCTCCTTTATAATCCTTTTCACTTATATTATTATAAAAAATCTCCTTAATCTCCCTTTACTATCTCTATTTCCCCATTTCCTCTTCTCATCCTTTTTCTTTCTATTCCTAATATAATCTAACTTTTATTTCTTCCATCTTAATATTATCCACCATTCTTGATAATCTTTTTAATCCTACTTGCCTTTGCCAATCCCTTCTCCCTCCCTTAGCACCCTAATCTTTCGCTATTTCTCATCTTTCCTCATTCCATTAAAAGCTTTGTAATAATTAAATGAAATTGTGGAGGAGATTGCTTGCTGAAACCTACGGGACAGCTGCTCTTACATTCGTGATCTTTGCAAGTCACGGCAACGCATTCGCGGTCGGAATCGGCTTTTGGGTCATCATTGTCGGTACTGGGTTCATTGGTGGAGCCCATTTCAACCCTACAGTGACACTAGGCGCTCTCATTAAGGAATGGTGGTTTACCAAGACTTTGGAAAAGAGCTTCCTTAAAGAACACCTCTTATATTTCCTTTGCCAAATCGTCGGAGCCTTTTTTGGAGCCCTTCTAGGCACTTTAATTGCAGGCGGACATTTCTATGTCTTCGCCCCAATAGATACAAGCAAGCCAGAAGCTTATTTAGCAGAGGCAGCATTTACTGGACACTTGGTGCTTGTGGTCTTGGTGACCAGCGCTGTGTTGGACTCTACCATTGCAGCTGGTATGGCAATTGCTTTTACAGTGCTTGCAGGAATTAGGACAGTCGGAGGAATTTCAGGAGGCTGCTTCAACCCTACAGTGTGCATTGCAATTGATGTGGTCCAGGCAATCCGCTTTAAAGCCGACAGAAAAAAATTCAGGTAGGTTTTTTCCTTCTGCCTTTTTGCGATTAAAAATAACGAAGGATTTTTTCCTTTTTTTTTCTAGAAAAAAAAAAGCAATGGTTTTCAAAAAGTATATGGAATAAAAATATCTGTATTTTTCCTCTATTTTCACAGGAAAAAACCCTTATTTGTCAAATTTTTTTATCTAAAAATCGCGCACGAAAAACCTCCTCTATGAAAAGTATTTTATCGGGATCTAATTACCCATCCGCTACAGTGACGACCCTATTAACTATTTGGATAGCGTGCCTGTCTATATTATTGGACCTCTTATTGGAGTTGCCATTGGAGTTCTGCTTGCTATCATTTTCTTGACTGAAAGAAATGAAAAGAACGAATCTTTTATTAAGACTGAAGTTCCTAGCATGGATGCAGGCTTATTTTCTCTTGCGAAAAAAGCTAAATAAGTTAAGGAATTAATTAAGTAATTACACTAGTTAAGTGGCTTATAATAAATATGTTCTTTTTGCAGCCTAGTGAGGAAAAGAGTAAAGCTTCAAAGGAAAATACTAACTTTTCTATTAAAATCATGATTTTATTATAAAAAAATAAGTTCTAAAATAAATAAAATTAATAAAAAAAAAGTAATGAAAGGCAGTAAGAAATTCTTGAAGTATTTCGCTATAAGCATCGCATTTATCATTGGAGCAAGGCTAATTAGAAGATATACCAGCTCAAAATAAAAAAATCCACGATAAATAAACAAATTTAGATGAAAATAATTTTTGCTTAATTTTTATTAATTTTATCATTATCTTGATGTCACCCGAGACCAAAGCCACTGCAAAATTTCGCTGACGATGTCCGATATGAAATTATCTTCCACATCTTTATTATACTCCTTAGACCTCCTTACAGCATTTATTTTCAAATTTTGCTCATCTGAAATAATCTTTAAATGTGCGCAAAGCCTAGGGGAGTTAAAAATTACCAAATGAAGGCAGTCTTTGTCTTCGAATCTTCTTGAATCTTCTTTAAATACATCATATATACTGTGTGTCTTCTTTTATATTTCTGAAAAATATCAGAAAATGAGTTTAAAAAAATGATTTTTGTGAGCGAATCGTAAAATTGGCCTATTTCTAATTTGATTTATAAGTAAAAATGGCTATTTTAAGACTATTCTATAGGAATCCTAATGAAGAGTCTCGCTATAAATAATCAAAACAATCTGACGTAAAAACATTTCCAAGCGAAGTCAACAAAGAAATTCTCGGATCAATTTCTTCAATCGGCTGTACATCAGACGCCTGCAGTAGCTGCAAAAAGTCCTCATAAGGACAAATATCTTTACTCGGCAAGTACCCAAGCCTTTCCCACAGCTGGTCTCTCCTAAAATGAGATTTTGATTTTTTAATCGCTTCCAATATAAATTCCTCAGCTTTTGTTTTTATCTGTTTTAACGTGTCTTTAGGTCCACCTTTTTTGGTTTTTTCAAAATTTAATATATAATACCTGATCCTCAGCTTATAAATAGTTTCGCTATCTTCAAGGCGGAGAACTGGCCGAGGTCTTGAGGAATCATTGGTGTCTATAAGGGTATAAATAATCGCCCTTAATGACGTAGCATATTTAAGCTCAGGCGGAGGAGTAGGGATTGCCCCATCTGAAGAGAAATTAGAAATTCTCCTTACTGACGACGAAGGGGACAGCTCTAAAATTGATGCATTATTGCTGCCATTTTCTTGGTTGATCGCCAGCTCTTCGCCTGATAAATTAAAAACTTTATAAACAGGCCACGGTGTAGACCCTGCTGTAAATGCAGTAAACCCATATTCGTCACAATTTAGGGTAAAATAATGATAAATTTCTTTAATAGTGATCCCATTTAGCTCGCCTAAGTCAATTGACATCATTCCTGTATGCTGCCAATTATTAGCAGACGGCGGCTTGCTGTAATAAAGCTTCCCAATAGTGTTAAGTGTTGCTATTAGATTAATTGAAGGATAATCCCTGGGTCTGCATAAATAATAGCATAAATGTTTTATATGGGCGTCATAGATATAGGTTTCTGATTGTATTGATGTTTTTATTTTTTGTAATTCCCGCTTTAAATGCATAGAAGGGGGGTCGTCATCTCTTGAGGTAAAAGGGATTAATTTCTGGATGCTTTCGACACAATAAGAGCTTGTAATAATAAAATTTTTGTCATAAGAAACTTCTAAAATGATTATGGCTTGTTCTAATGCTTTTTTTAAAAATACTTGTATATTGGATTCAGTGTCAAACATCCCAGAACTTGTCCGTTTTCTTCGTAGGAGATTGCTTGAAGAATTTTCAGGCGAAAAGTCATGTGAGCTTTTTCTCATGAACCCATAATCCTCTTTCATATCGTCCAATTTCGTAGTCCTTTTGATTTCAATCACTAAATATCTCATAACATTAGCAATTAATTTCTGCATTTTTTGCCGCTCTCTATCAAGCTCAGTCGCCGGGACATCTAAAACTTCAAAAAAAAGCCTAGCTTTTTCACAATGTATCATTTGTGCCTGTGTAATTAATTCCCTCGCTAAATTGCTTTCATTCCTAAAGCTTCCACCTTTTTTAAGCAGCTGATTTACAATGCTCATTGCACTGCTATCTTTTTCATAGACCCATTTTTTAAAAGCATAGGCTAGTTTATAGCAGTCTTCATATATGGCTCTTTTTTTCTCATACATCATATTTAAAAAATATCCATGGAGTTTTACCTTGTCATTTGGGATTTCTTCAGTATTTTTTATATCTTTTAGCATAGGGAACATCCCAGTCATTTTGAAGGTTTGGACTGAGTCTTCAGTAGTAATTGCTGTGTGGGTTATTTCGTCAGAATTTAATAAAGAGTCCAGAGAAAATTTCTCAAATTCTTCTTTAAGCTCGAGGATTACACAGGCTTGAGGGAACATTTGGATTTGATGGGTTTTTCGTAAAAATGAGAAAGTGTCCATAGGGATATTGTGGTGGAATAGGCCGAGTTTTTGAGTTAAAGCGTTATTGACGAGCCTGTATCTCTGTCGGTTTCAATGCACGTGGGATTCTATTTGGCTGTGAAGTTTCTGGAGAGTTGTTTTGTTTCAGTTGTAGGTGTAGACGTCTAAGAAAGTGTTAGTGATTTCGATGTAAATGAAAAATGATCTGGGAATCTGCCCTAGCCCTTCTCCGATTTCGTCAGAGTAGAATTTCATATCGTCGCATTTAAATTCTTCAAATTGCTCACCAATTAAATTCCCTGGGTGTCACGAATAAATTAGCATATTTTTTCTTATAAAATCAATTACCCTTTTTATGGCTACAAAATTCCCTAAGCTTGAGGGTCCTCCCATAGCAGAAAATTTGAATTTTTTGCCAACACTTTTTTCATTGAGGTACTCAAGCTCCCATAATGACTGTAAATTTTCAATGCTGGATGAAATATGCTTAATTTCTCCTTCCTCCAGGCACATTACTAATGGGAATTTTTGCTTGTTGTTTTCTTGAAAAATATGCAAAATTTTACTAAAAAATTGGAATAACGCAAAAGGTGGGGCATAATGCTCGATTTTCTGTGTAGGAAAATGAAGGGATAGCTCAATCGCTCTCTTACACCCCTCTGTGAGCGAGCAATATTTGATATGTGTATGATAATTTTTTATAATGAATAAATCTAGCTAATTTTGTTGAAATTTTAGACGGCTTGCATTTTAAACAAAAATTTTGCAAATTAATGATATTTTAAAAAAAAATGTACTATAATATATATATAAATTTTAATAAAAAAAATTTTTTCGTTCGCTCATGAAGCGGAGGTTAGTCAAATCTGCTATTTGTTTATATCCATTATATCCATACTTTTCCTCCTTTATGCATGACTGTATCAAATTTTCAATTAAATACTCCGAAATGCTTTGATTTATGCATTTATTTAATTTTTCAAAAAAAATGCTCTCATTTAACGGGCCATTTTTGTAAATTTTTATTTCTAAATAATTTCCTGGAAAAGAAGGGCTAGACATCCCGCTTGTTTTATTTATAAGCATTTCAGCTTTGATATAATTTTCATTCCAAGTTTCAAAGGTGGGGCTACATTCATTAGTAACTTCAGTAAATGGTATTATATTTTCACCATTAAAATAATAAACGTCAAGATATAGCAGGGCCAAGGCTTTCCCAAACGTATTTCCTAAAAATTGAGCCTGTTTAGTTTCCTGTCTCGATTTAAATATAGGTGAATTTGTTTTATATGAGCTGCTTTCAATGATATTTAAATAATTATATACGAGCACAGACGGCTCCTTTTCGTTTAACAATTCTCTTATTTGGAATAGCACTAAAAATCTCATTAAATTCTGCTTCGTGTATTTCGCTAATAAATTTATATCAGAAACCAGCGAGGTAATAGGAAATAATATAATAATAGGTGGCAGGTTTCCTTGGATAAACTGTGAATCCCCCAGGGTCATTACATTTTTTTGATTTTTTATCAACGAATCTGCAAGCTTAAACAGTGAAATCTGCTGCAGCTGCTCCTGGACCCTTTGTTCTAGCTTTTCTATCGTATCCGCCGAAGGCGGATCAATTCCATAAATTTCTAATTTCACCATCCTGATTATCAAAGATGAAGAAGTCCTCCTATGACTCGGAGAATTATTAGGCGTCGTCTGGTGCTTTGGGTATGACGCTATTCTTTCTTGCTCAATCTCAGAAAATTTAAATACAAGAATGTCAGAGTCATGGGCAAGCTGATATAGCCCTTCACGATTGTCAATTAAAAATGGAGGAATTGAGAATTTTGAGACTAAGGAATTTATTGACTCATTTTTGGCAAGTCTATCAGAAACTATAAACTGGTTTGTATGCTGCAGAGGAAGCTTGTAAGCTGTAAGGTTTTTTGTGATTGGCTTTTGGTTGGGGAGGATTTTATTTGTGGTAGAAAATCGTGTGAATCTTTTTTTTGCGCGTTCTCTTGGGCCTTTTTCGTAGTTTTCATTAGGAAATTCAATTTGGTTATCAATATTCATCAATAAATTAGAAATTTTTCCAGTTTCCTCTAGCTGTTTTAGCAGCATCCTTTGGTTTACTCTAATTTCGATATCTTTAAAATACCCTGTAAGCCTTGCCTGGACCTTTTCTACAGTCAGCTCTGTATTTTTCATATGGTCTGGCAAGAAAAAGGAACATTCAATGATATTGGGCTGCAGGACATTAATAATCACCCAAAAAGGTACTGAATAATCATTATCCACCATTTCCTGGCAAATTCCTGGATGTGCTATCACTATTTGGCATACCACAAAGTGCACATTCCCAATAGTCCTCGTCGACACTACTTTTCCTTTTACAAATTCTTGGTTAATCAGCTCCGTGATATCCTGCTCCTTCAGCACAGACTCTACCTTATACTCAAATTTTACGGTCTCATGAACATAATTCAGCTGTTCTAACACAAATGATAAAGTTATAGGGTCAATCGGTAAATTTTTTGATAATAAATCCAAGGTAATTTCTGCATATAAAGACCGTGCTTTTTCTCCTACGATACTTAATAGCCCAGTTTTTATTTTTTTGGTAGGGGATATAGGAGATTCTAAATTTTTATGTTGGTGCCGCTCTTTAGAAAAAAAAGTTTTATGCTGAAGACTGTACAGATTTATAGAAACCTCAGGGTTTACTGTGCAGTGGCTTAGAAGGGTTGTAAAGTCATCGATGCTTAATAAACATTTTTCTTTATCATCGTTTAGGATAAAATAGTTACTATTAGGGATTCTTTTAAAATATTTTGATAAAAGCTTGTTGAATTTTTCATCAATTTCTCTAAATAAATCAGAATTCAGCTCAAGACTGCGAGAAATTAAGCATTTAGAAAGGTCTTCAAGGGAGTCCCACTGCTTGTGGAGATGGTTGTAAATTATTGAAATTTCTATTGTGTAGGTGCTGATTTCGCAGCAGGAAACAAGCCTTTCCATATCTTCAAAGGTGGCGAGTAATTCTTCGTTTTTTAATGCTTGGTAATAAGTTCCATTTAGCACAGCTTTATAGATTCTTTGGAGAAGTTGAATAGACCTGCATAGTGTTGTGTTCTGCTGGAGCAGGACAATTGGGGCGGACTGTCTTCTTTTATCAATATTCATAGTATCTAGCTTATGCTGGCTGCATTCATATAGATAAATTGGAAAGCTTTTCTTTGAGCAGCTTAAAGCATACAAAAATTCTTCAAAACTAGGCAAAAGCCATATTAAAATTGTATTATGCCCTTTTCCAATAATTTTTCTATCAAAAACACCCTTATATTTCTTAATAGGCTATATATATAAATTTCTTATAGAATTTATATATCTCACAAAAAGGTTCCTTCACACGAGGTCTACTCCATAAAGACTATATTTTTTTGGCCTATTTTTTTTTTGGCCTATTTTTTTTTTAGCCTAAGCTTTTTTGGCATATTTTTTTTTGGCCTATTTTTTTTTGCCTAATTTTATTTGGCCTATTTTTTTTTGGCCTATGTTTTTTGGCCTATTTTTTTTTGACCTATTTTTTTTTTTTGGCCTATTTTTTTTTGGCCTATTTTTTTTTAGCCTATTTTTTTTTGACCTATTTTTTTGAACTTTTTTTGGACTTTTTTTGGCCATTTTTTAGCTATTTTTTACTAATATTTAGGCCTAATTTCATACTAATGATTTTAATATGACTTTTAATGTATTTTAAACGATTTTATCAACATAAAATACACCTTTAACAGATCTCTTACTCCAATAATGCTAATTCATTGCTTTTTAAATTTCGAGAATTTTAAATTTAATTAGGATTTTTCCACTTAATTAACTCAATATTAATCGTGTAAGGAAATACATCCGTTACCCAATAATTATTTAGTTCTCTCAGCAGCTTCATGAATTATCCTCGACAGAAAAAATAGACCTAAAAAAAATAGACCTAAAATAAATAGGCCAAAAAAAATAGGCCAAAAAAAAATAGGCCAAAAAAAATAGTCGTTATGGAGTAGACCTCGTGTGAAGACACGCTCACAAAAAATGATGCACAGAGTCCAAACAGTCCTGATAATCTGACATATCAATAAACGCTGTCAAAGTATTAGAATAAAGTCTGCCAAGGGCTGATCTATAAGATTCTGATGCATAGATATGCTCTGAAGAAAAAACTTCCAAATCCAATGAATAGTAATTTGAGTGTTTTAACAAATATGGCAGTTTTGGGATGCAATTGCAGAAATTTTGAAAAGAGTTCATGACCTCATACATTTTTTCATAAGTCTGCGCTTTGATTTCGTCATAGTTTTCAGCTTTACTTAAGTCTTCTACTTGAATATAGCAAAATAAGTCATCGTCTTCAGAGATTTCTATGACTTTTGTGTCATAGTCATCGCTGCTCATAGTATCGTCTAGGCTTCCATTATCGAGCTTATGTTCTAAGCATTTATACCCACTTATAATAAATATAACCATAGTAGCCCTATTTTCATATAGTAAACGTTCATTTAAATTTATATATATATCAAAAAATCTAGGCAAAAAATAGAGCTATACATAAAATCGTCATAAGTCTCATATTCTTCTTTAATTTCTTGTAATAAATCATACTCAAATTTATCATAAAAACTAGCCAGAGCAGGCTCTACATATAATTCTGTAACAACTTCAGTTTTTTCAATATAAATTAAATACTGAATAAAAAAGCTTTGGCTTCTGTTGTCTATTTCTACTTCTAATGGTTTTAATAATAAATATTTGTCTCTTTCACAGTACCCTATAGAATAAAAACCTTGTTTTAGTCTTGACGCAAATAAAATATAGAAGTTTCTATGTTTGGCGCTGTAAGGCCGATAAATTCTGATCGGAATTTATCGGTAGGTTGCACCAAATCAATGCCTTGGTCGGACCAAAAAGCGATTTGGTCCGACGAACTTGGAAAGCTCCTGGGAAAATGTCTGCGCTTTTAGCGCTATATAGAGGAAACCTCTATATTTATCATAAGCTGGGCAGATCTCATTGTGTAGAGGTGCTGCCTTCTGATGCATTTGAACATAAACGATTTAATAGCCTTACTGTGTGGCCTATAAGTAAAGACTGAATAAACTTTAGACCAGTAGCTCTTTTTTTGGGCTGGAGCTTCCTCTACTATTGCTTTGCACATAGGTCTTTCGAATACTTCTTGGCAGGATTTTTTTAAGCTGCTATAAATTGATTCTAATTTTTCAAGCCGAAATTCAGTTGAGCACTCAAAAAACGCAAAATAAATGGCTGCTTTATTATAGATTTCCCAATTAATTTTTGCAGCGAAAATTCCAGTTTTTTCGACAATTTCTATGTACATGTCGTCCATAAAGCAGCCGCTTCCTAAGGTCTTGATTTTATCTCTGACTTTTTCTCTTCCATAATTCGGCTGATTTTGGTTTAATTTGACGATAATAAGATCTAGGCTTTCTACATGGAACCACCTATGCCATTTGGATAAATGGATATTTACCATTTTATCTCCTAAATATCTTATACCCTATATTTATAAATAGAAATTTGGTTATTTTTACCTAAAAATTAAAATATTTACTCCTCATTGTATTATATCATTCCTGGTTATCCCTTGATATAAATTTAATGCAGTCTGTTCTGTTTCCTTCATATTCTGTATTAGCCATATAACTCTTGCTGCTAATGAAGGCTTAGATTCTTTTGACAAAAGAGGAGACGTCAACCCTTTCATTTTTAATTTTTTGAAAAGCTTAGGTCTTCCTATAATATTAATTTGAATAGTGCTTTTATCATTGTCAATTGGATAAATAATATATTCGATTTTTGTGCTGCAGTGGCAGTTAAACCATAAAATTATTTTTTCTCCATCAATATTTTTCAGCATGAAGCCTTCTCTGAGGGTGCATTGGACTAAAATTATATGAGGCATTGGAACACAATACTCTTCAAACTGTGAGCACTGCAAGTTTTCGTTACCGTCATAATAAGTATCTCTTTTAGCAGTCAAAAATATTTTTCTCTCCAAAATAAGCTTGGTTTTTTCATGCATGTTGCTTGGGGTCATATAAATCCCGCCTGTCGCTTTTGCCATCAATTTTATATTCATAGGGTCTGGTAAATATCCAAACTGACTGGAATAAGACCCAGTTCCGTCTGATAAGTTTATTATGTGGAAAGCCACGTCAGCCCTGCAATACTGCATTACTAATCCATCATAAATCCCTAGTACCAAATTGCAATTAACAGCGTCTGTGATATACACAACCATAGGCAAGGCATCGTCATCCATTAAATTTAAAGCGAAAAGGCTTCATTTTAAGCTTGTGGTGAATTCAATTCCGCCTTCCAATCTCTCATTGGAGTATAAGGACGAAATTGTGTTCCCTATTTCTGACTGAATTCCATGTAAATAGAAAGAGAGCTGGTCAACTATGTCGATAGAGTCTTCAAAGTGCTGTAAACGGTAGGATTGGACTACAACTTTTATAGGCTCATTAGGCATTCTGACACAAATAATTCCTAAGTCGATTTTGGCATTTATGTCAGCTGAATTTTCATATAAAAATTCTATACTTTTTCAATAGAAATTTGACGATTTTTTTAAAAAAATATGCCAAATAATAGTCAGGCCAGATTTATAATTGTTTAGTATAAAAATTTTTTGACTACTGATGGAATCAAATTGATAGTAAAATCATTGTGTTTGGAATTATAGGAAAATACAGAAGGAGGCAAATCTATCATTATGATAATTCGATACTTTGTATAGTGAAAAGTGGTGATTGTGTTAGGTGTAATATTACTGCTCCCTGACATATGTGCTATATTGCTGCTTCAGGCAGATTCAGGATGTCTAGTTGAGTTGATGTATCATAAAGCTCTCTCGACAAAGGAAACTTTTCTAAAATTGGCAAGGACTGTGGTCTCAAGTCTTTCCATTTTCAAGGTAATTTATTATTTGTTGAAATATCTTCTAGTAAAGCTGTAGAATTTTTAAAGGATTTATTAGAAAATTAATTAAAAGTGAAGAATTTTAATAAGCGACAATAAAGATAACTATTTCATTATTTAAATCAAATATGGTATTATAGAGAAACCAAAAATAATTTAAGATAAAATTGATTAATATTTTTAGAAAATGCTAAAAAATGTTACTAAAATCATAATAATTAAATCTAAGAATTTGGAAATATTAAACTAAACACTTATAATTAAAAAAATTAATTCAAAAATTAAGCTGATTCCCAGTCTATAACAGAAAGCCTTAAGCACTGGCTTTTTAGTGAAAGCGTGGTAACTCCAAAACAAAACATCATTGCTAGCGCTAGAAGTACAAATAAAGTTGTTAGCATTGAATCCATCTCTCCAGAGCTGACTTTTGCCCCAATAAGTGCTAATAATGAAAAAATAACCAAAAATGAGATGATCATCGAAATGGCTAGATTTCAATAAAAAAAATAATTATTTTTAAAAAAAAAAAATTTAATACAATATCTTTCATCAAAATCACCAACGACGAGTTTTTTGAACAGTTTTTTCTATAGCTTCATATATACCTAAACTTAATATCAAGCTTACACTTGCAGAGCTCACAAAAATGAGCTTCGTCATCCTGTTTAGGACATGCGTCTAACCACTGCTTTAGACATGACTTATGGACAAATTTTAAGGAGCCTTTACACTTGCAAGGAGCAATTAACTCGTCTCGCCTTGAGCTATCTAAGCAGATTCTACAAGAAATTTGGCTTCTAGGGCTTGAATTGCTGGAGATGGTATCGATATTTTTGGTGAAATAATTCAGGCAGGTAAAATCTAAAGAAAACCTTTTTTTCATTTGGATTTTAGATGTCACATTGAGGAAGCACTCTCCGGTTGAGCTTCTTCGTTTTTGGTGTTTTTTCTCAACTTTTGCATGTGATTCAGTAGTAAACGTTGCAAAGAGTCTGATATCCATAAATTATTAGACTCAAGATCGCGATCTATTTTCTCCATTTTAGTCAGTAGCCCTATTAAGAATTGTTAAAGCTGTTTGTAGACTACTTTAGAAAGGGATTTTTTGTATCTAATTTTTATTTTCTATTAGCAATTAGAGTTCAAATATAATTATTTATTACTGTATAGTAATTTTTACCGATATTTAGAGATAATATATCGATTTTATATTAATTTTTACATATATTTTGAAATTGCTGGAGGTAATTTATGAGATTTTTGTTTGCAGGCCAAATTTGAGAACGAAATAAATACTATTTTTAACCAATAGAAAATTAAAAATTAATTTTATAAAATATTTTTCGCTTTAAGTGCTCTTCTTTACCAAAATATTTTTATGAATTTTCAATTTATATATAGGCATTTCACCTATATTACCCGATATGGGCTGAAAGTTGAGAGCACTTCCTCTCAAGTTGGTTAGCCAGCCTAAGTTGGTCAAACCAACTAGGATTTGTTTTCCTCTCTCTTAATCGACTCTTATTGTGTGCCTAAGAATCCTCCCTTATGAATGGCAAGTGTTGAAACCTGATGGTTTCTAAAATCAAAGAGGCAAGTCCTATTACCGAAGTTGAGTTTATGATGCCGAACGGATAAATAAAATATGGCGTCTTCGTCTGGGCATGGCCTTCCGGCCATGCATACTCGACTTATATTTTATTTATATCCGGTAAGGTTTTACTACTTCAGAAATGGACACAGCAATGCTAGGTAAGCAATTCTGGTTGTGTTTAGAGCCTAGCCCAAGTCTAAATTCAGAGGTGTTTTTTTCCTCGTGGGGAAGACGAGCACGGAAGTTGGAAAGGGGAAGCCCAGCAGAGTCCTCAGGGACCAATCAGGTAACTCCCTAGCGTGAAACTGGGCGTTACGTCCCAGGCTTTCGAGTTCCACCTTCTACCGACAGTCGACCAGAAAATCCATTTTTTATGGATTTTCGGAAAGACAACCCACGTATGTGCGAATCCCTCGTTTGAGGCAATGAGGAGGGTGTCCGCCGAGGCCTCACCATAGGCGATGAGCGTGTAGGGGTGCAAATCCCTGGCCCTGCAAGTGCGAACGGCTAATCTTAATCTTAATCTTAAAATGATGCCGAACGATAAGTTGAGATTCGATCCCAATCCCTTTAATTCAGCAACTTTCCCCATGATCATCGATGTCTAAATGTTGTAATTTCTTCCTTTTCGCCATTCTTAAGCACATCAAACTATTTGGGTCATCAGCTATTTTATTATTCTATTCTAATTAATACAATATGAAATCATAAGGATATATTTTAAGCTACCTATGTATGCTTCATAATAATTTTACATTTAAATCTCAAATTCCCAATTACTAAACCAAAATAATGACCTTAAAAATTTTTCCTAAAATTAAGCCAGTTTAAATTTCCAAATAAAAATTTAATTTTATGATGCAAAATTCCAAAACCAAAATAATAATAAATTTCCATGGGAAATTCAGCCTCATCAAACTCTCCAGTATTTACAGGTCTTACAGGCCAAGAAAAAAGAAGTCTCAGACACCAGAGTCGTAGAGGCAATTACCCAGATCCATATCACTCAGATCAATACACCTTAAGAGAATTTCTTCATGATTGGAAGCACTCAAGAAATTACGTTCTCCACTTCAGCTACCCCTTGGTAGAAGGCGCAATCTTTGGCACTCTCATTGGAGCCTCAATTATTCATCCTATGACAACTCATTCTCCTTACCTCTACCGTAAAGTGGCAATGGCTTTTAGACCATCTGAATTTATTCCTAGTGAGCTCGCAAAAATCACCTTTAGGAACTTCACCCCGCAGTATGGAATTATAGGAGGAGTTTTCGGATTTTGGGTTTGCTTTACCTCAGAATTATTTGACCATATGTTTGATGCAAATATTTTTACTATCTCACATAGGGCTTATAAAAAAAATTTTCAGTTGTGTATTAATAGGTATTGCTTTGGTAAAAAACAGGTAATAAATTGCTCATTTTAAGGAAAAAGGGTTAAGTTCGGAGTTTTAGGAGCAATTGATGGAGCAATTCTAGGAAAAATGACAGGGAGTATGATGGCTCCTTTCCGGTACTCACTTATAGGAGCCACAGTTGGGCTACTTATTGCAGGCGCGAGATCTTATTCATTCAGTAGACTAAGAGGCGATGTAGGATATTCAGTGGAGTACTTTCCTCACGTGACTGAAGAAGAGAAAAGAAGATATGAGCTGCAAGAAATAAGAATTATGGGAGGCAATCCAGAATTGGTCCTTAAGAGATAAATAAATAATTATCTCAAATAAAAATGTTTTATTAATAAGAATTCTTAAGAAATGCTTCTAACGTTTACATAATAAGATATCTGGTATTCTGATTTTAAATCCCTGCAAACTAAATGTTGGATTATTTGCCAAGACCCTGCATCGAGTACGTTTTCACAAATAGCTGACCCTGAAGAAAAAATCAAATTATAAGACCTGCTGAAATCTGAAGTTATACTCATAATGGAAGCTGACTCATTATGGGCTAGTATTGTGAATCCTCCTGATTTTACTATTTTATAAACTTTTACATTTAAAACATTCGCATCAATTTTTCCTTTTAGCAGAGCCACCGACATTCATGCTTGTAAGTTCATTTGCTCAGTTAAGCTATGTGTCACTAAATCCACATATTTATTTGAGTGCATTGTGAATACTACAGCTCTTGATTGCAAACTATAAAAATCGCTGTCATATCCTAGTAATGATAAGCAATTTCTTATTGTTTCTTCACCTTTATCTAGTGTCTGGGCCATAAAAAATTCATAGAAGCCATTTAAGGTAAGCCGGTTGCTATTGCTATCATAAGTCCTGCAGAGAATGCTAGTAAATTCATCCTCAGTAAGGTCTGGTTCAATTCTAGAGTACATAGTCATGAATTCTTGGTAATTTACAGCTTGGTTCATATGTATATCAGTCCTTCGGAAAATATCTTTTATTGTGCTTTGAAATAAAGGATGCATACTTCCTTCTTCAGTAATCAAAGGAAATACTTGTTTTTCAGAATCACTAGGCCTCGTAAAAGCTGTCCCAGAGCTTATAGGTGTAATTAAATATTTTCCTTGAGGTAAAGAGAGCTCCATTTGTAGATCTCTATCAGTCAGCATTTTTTCTGAGCAGCGGTAAGGCATATAGACATTGCCATCATAGCTCATTACTACTATTCCTAAGTCTAAATATTTCCTATATTTTTTTACTCCTACACTTCTTTCATCTTCTTGGTGAATCCCAAGGACAATTTCTGTGTCGTTTTCTCTTACAGTGATCATATAGCATCATAAAGCTTGTGAGCCGATTCCTTCAATTTTTTTAAAAATGTTTCTTTCACGTTTTTCTATTTCAAGCTCGATATTGCATAGATAAAGGACGTTAAAATATATCAAAAAATCTTCATATTTCATCCAGAAACTCCCATCGTCTAAGTTAAGACGCCCATTTTGGTTAACTTTTTCGATTATTTCTTGAGTTCAGCAGTCGGACCGAGGATTAAAATCTCCTGTTCAGCTGGCTCTTCCCCATGGATTTCTCAAGTTTATAAGCAAAAAATTGCCTGTTTGAACTACTCTTATTATTGTATAACAGTGAGTTGGGGACAATCCTGAATTATCTTGGATTCCGCTTCTTGTGGAAGCTACCATTGGGAATTTTTTACTGTTTCAGTCAATAAGTTTCAATAAAAATTCTTCAACCTCGTCTTTTTCTTGAATTATGTCAATTTCGTATCTAAATGAAGGAAGCCCAGTCAAGTCCATAAAGGCTTCATGAGCGAATCCTCCTTTTAAAGATAAATAAGAACCATGCACCTTTGCATAAGCTTTTTCTAATAATAGCATCCAAAAATCAACCCAGTTACTTTTGGTAAAAATTGGTGTGTCTGTGCCTGCAATGCACGGTATTAAATCATCAATGACGACATTGATGATTTCGCCGTTTTTGCAAAGCCTTATGTGATATTTTCCTTGGCTGTGCTCTAATTCATCAGTGCCAAATAAGCCGGCTATTTTCATAGGGTGCTCTATCAATGCAATCATATCACTGATAAATCAGCAGTTACCTAAATATCCTTGCTTTATGTCATCGGAGACCATTTCGTCAGAAAATAGCCTTGCAGCTGGCCCTAAAATCTGATGAGGCCTTATTCATTGAATTTCGTATGGTATGGTTCTATTTGGGCTATCTCCGTAAATAGAATACTCATTTGGGCCGAAATAAGGGTCTTCATATAGCATATTTCTTATCATATCCGAGTAAATTAATTTTTCTGTATATTTGTTTATGAATTATATATAATTAACATTAATTTTTTTATGGAACATAAAGTTCTTTCTGCACTCAGCATTTAAATTTTCATCCTTTCGAAATAAATGCTGAATTATTTGTCAGGATCCAGGGCCCAGAAGATTTTCGCATTTCTCAGACCCTGTAGCAAAATTCACATTAGAAGACTCACTGAAATCTGATTTTATGGATATCACTTCAGCGGACTTGTTATGTGCTAGGATAGACCAACCGTCTGATTGCTTTATTTTATAAATATCTACATTTTTAGAGCGTTCAACTTCCCCATGAAGTTTTGCCATTGATTTCCAAGCTTTCAAGTTTGTTTCTTCATTTAATCTTTGTGTCTCTAAATCAACATCTTTATTTGAATGTAGAGTAAATACTACGGTTCTTCACTTTTCACTGTAAAAATCTTTATCATAGCCTAGTCATTTAAAAGTTTTTCTTGTCTCCTCTTCATCCTCTAGGGCTTGGTCACAAAAAAACTGGTAAAAGCCATTTAGAGTCAGTCGATTATGTTTTCCAAAGGTCCCACATATTTCCTCATTAAAATATTCTTCAGTAATAAATTCGTCTACTTTGTGGTATACAGCCATAAATTCTTTGTAGCCCACAGATTGCTCCATTTGGATATCAGCCCTTCGGAAAATATCCTTTATTGCGCTTTTAAATAGAGGATGCATTTTTGATTTATCAGCAATTAAAGGGAAACATTTTTTTCAAGAATTTTTCGGTCTAGTTAAAGATGTCCCAGAACTGATTGGGACAACTATATATTCTCCTTGAGGCAAGAACATCTGCAATTGTGAGTCTCTACTTAGAGCAGTTTGTTTAGAGCAGCAATATGGCTTATATTTTTTGTCATCTAATCTCATCACTGAAATCCCTAGATCTAAGTATTTTCTGCATTCTTTAACCCCTACACTTCTTTCGTCTTCTTGGTGAAGCCCAAACACGACTTCTGCTCCTTCTTCTCCAACAGTTACTTTATAGTAAAATGTCGCTTTTGAGCCGACTCCTTTTTTAACTTTTTTAAAAATATTTTTTTCGCGTTTTTCTTTACCAAGCTCTATATTGCATACATAAAGGACATCAAAATACATCAAAAAATCTGCATATTCCATCCAGAAGCTACCATCTCTTAAATTGAAGTGTGACCAAACTCTTTCTATTGTATTTATGATACTTTGAGTCCAGAGTTCAGAGTTCAGACTAAAATCTCCGCTCCACATGCTGTATCCTGAAGGGTTTCTCAAATTAATAAGAAAATAGCCATCTGCTTGAATTGTTCTTAATATTGTATAGCAGTGATTTGGTCTCATTCCAAAACTTTCACTAATACCACACTTAGTAGAAGCTACCATTGGGAATTGCTTGCGACAATTCATAATAAGCCTACGCTTAATATTATCAGCTTCATTTTTGTTTATAATGTGAAAGCACTAATAGCAGCCTATAGGTAATGCCTTGCCTCTCATGCCTTAATAGCATCCATATTTTTAAAAAAAGGCGAAACTAAATACTTATATATAGCCATTAGAGTTAATAAGCTATATATCATATTTAAATGAAGGAAGCCCTGTCAGATCCATAAAGGCTTCATGAGTAAATCCAGCTACTAAAGCTAAATAAGAGCCATACACTTTTGCATAAGCTTTTTCTAATAGTGGCCACCACTTATCAATCCAATTACTCATGCCGAAAATAGGCTTACCTGTGTCTGCGCAGCATGGTACTAAATCATCAACGACGACTTTTCTGAGCTCGCCATGCTCATAAAACCTTATAATGTATTTTCCTTTCTTATGATTTGCTTTATCTTGGTCAAACATGACTCATATTTTAAAAGGCTGCATCTCTGTTAATGCAATTATAGCGCTGACGATCCAGCAGTTACCTAGGCGCCCTTGAGTTATATCAGTGAAAACCATCTCGTCAGAAAATAGTCTTGTAAGTATCCCTAGCACTTCTACAAGCCTTTTTCATTGAATTTTATACGAGATGTCTATCGTTGGGTTTTCTCCATATATAGAATACTCATTTGGACCGAACTCTGGGTCTTCGAATAGCATATTTTAGTTTTTAATGATTATAAAAATTATTTAAAATTAATTAAATTCTATTTCTCCACAGCAGTTCTATATGTAATGCTTTAAGTTCTCGATACGTAAGGAAAACAATATATACAGCAATTACGTGAAAAAATAGTTTCACATAGGAAACGCCAGGGATAAAATGATGTTTTCTTTCATTGGAAAAGCAGAAACCTTCAATGAGTTTTCATTCAGTGTAAATATCAGTTAAGGATATAATAATATAAGTTATACAGAGGACTCAGTTTTTACGAATAGTTATGCAGTAAAGAAGCAATAAAGATACCAGCATAATTAGTCCTCCAACAGGACTATATATTGACTGAAATAGTCCGAGCATACCTTGTAGTGCACAAAGAAATCGAAGCTTAGAAAAAAGCTTGTTTAGGCGTATAGAGGGTCGAACTTCAATTATTTGGAAAGGAAGCAATCCTAGCATTACTATTTTATTAAGTTTTCTTTGTTTACAAGATTACTAGGTCAAAGAGTTATTTTACATTCTAAATAAAATTCACTATGATCAACTGCTATTGCATTATTTAGCCTGATTTTGTATTATTTTCTGGTTTATTTGCCACTGCTGGTTTGACATTTAGTGTCTTTCCTTGAAAATCTTTGCCATGGAGCTGTAATGCTTCTTTTGCTTCATCTTGATTTGAAAACTGCACAAATGCGAATTTATGGCCAAATCTTCCAGGATTAAGCCTTATCATTTCAACTTTACCAAATTTTGAAAATAAATCCCCCAATAAAGTTTCGTTTATTAAATAGCTGAGATTTCCAACATAAACACATTTGGATGGGTCTCTGTTTTCAGGCCTAGTTTTGCTTTCTTCTGATCTACGGATTAATTAATTTTTTATATTTTTTGGGCTTTTATATGGATTTTTATTTTAAGGATTTTTTTCTAAATTTTCTATGCAGATTCTGATCTTGGCCTATCTGTTGATAGTGTGATTTTTAAAGGAGAGCCCATAAAATCAACTCCATTCATCTTTAAAGATTTTTTTGCTTGCGATTCATCATCAAAAGAAATAAATGTGTAGCTTGTTCTGTCCCCTGACCTAGAATTTAATGCTTTCGACAAAATTGGGTTACCAAAAGCCCGAAAAAGCTCTAAAAGATCTTTTTCTTTGACTGCTCTATTGATATTGCCCACAAAAATTTCACAATCATAGTTCCTATTTTCTTTTCTATTAAGATCTTCTCTTGGGCGTTCTTTATTTGCGGGTTGTGTTGAAAAATAATTAATTTTCCCTGTAAACAATCAAGATCTAGACCAAAATTTGTTGGTGGTGCAGATTTTAATTGATTTTTGTGTAAGTGAAAACATTTAATTTTAATCAAAATTATTTAAACCCAAAATAAAAATGCATAAATGCCTTTCAATCCAATTTGACAGTGAATATAAATCACTGTTTAATACCTTTTATTTCAGACCCAAAAAAGCACTTTGTGAAAGAGGAATATTTTTTATTAGTCTCAATTTTATTAAGATTAACTTTTTCGCTGTCCTAAGGTATATTTTCTGATATCAATACTTTACATAAACGCAATCAGCAGATTGCTAATATTGAGATAATTGGGCTTAGAGGCCAGCTGAGTCACTCCATAACTATATACATTTTGATTTCAAAATTAATTTATTAAATAATTTATTTTTAGAAATTAGAGAAATAATAGGGAAGATGCAAGAAAAATGGGTTTCACGTTGGCATTTTGTTAAACCTCTGGACAGGATTGTAGAATTATTAGTTTATACCTCAAGCACACTTATAAAGATATTTTATTTTCACTTTTAAAAATTCACCTTGAAGCTATTTTACCTAGAATAGATATTTCCATTTTATTAAAAATTGTCCATAAAGGCGATTCTCAAGAGTCAGATTTTCTACCCCTATAAGTAAATACTGGCTACTGCCTTGAGCTATTTTTTTAAAATAAAAACTAGATTTCTACCTTAAATAAGGGCTTTAGGTATATTCAAATTGAGATTGTCAAAACGCTCAGGAGGACTTTGCAATTACTCATTACAAAGCATCAAATTTTACAAGAGAGAGAGAGATAAAATTATAGGGGGTCCCAGGGGATTATTCCAGCCCCTACCCTTACACGGATTAGCTTCGCGCTTCAGTGGCGTTAAGCACTAATCCCAGCTAACGCCCTTTTCTGATGACGTCATCAAAAATGGTGACGTCGACATCTTTCGGGGAGACTCACCCGAACCTGCTTGGACCAAAAAAACTCCAGCAAAGGACTCTCTTAACCCCTGGTAGTGCTCAGGGTATGAGGGAACCGTCTGTTGCCTCCTTCTGGAACTACCTCTGCCATTTTACAGACAACATAATGCTCCTCCAGAAGTACCTGCTTGGTATTGCGCCGTCGGTCTTTCGTCTGTGGGTCGAGGAGAGGTCCGGTTAGCCCAAACCTGCTCCCACCCCGGAAAACCACACCTCCATCCGACCCCCGTGGCCCTTCGGGGCCGCCATTTTGTTAAGTGACCCCGAATTTAGGAACTTCCTGTTTTTCTGTCGGACTGCGGCCTTCGCCATCATGGAAGGCGTAATTTCTAATTTTACAAGAAGATATCAATCTAATAAAACCAACTAAAGAGCTTTTATAATAAAATCTTATATTTTCAAACATATTTTTTGTAAAATTATTTTTATTTAAAATTGAATCTACAATTAACCCCATCACGAAGGCTGCACCACAGGTCTTTGGTAATTCGGCTGTCTTGGGATCCCAATGCTTGGGGGAACATTATCATATTGAGCTTTTAAAGCTTGAATTCTCTGTGCGATAGTCCCTTGCGCATATGGGGAGTAAGAAACCACTTGCGGAACTTTATTTCTATTGACAGTGAATAAAAAAACTTACTGGTTATCTATTTTCATACGAAAATAAGGCAATTATCACAAGTAGGAATGGCTAAATTTACTATAAGGGGTATATCTAATTAGAATTTACAAGCTTGTGGTCTTTGCCGTTGGCTAATATCATGGTCTTCTCTATTCTGCGACCTTCTATCCGCATTATAAGGCCTCAAGGGTTCAATTTCAGGCAAAATGACTCTTTGAGGCAGCATTTCTTTCCCTCTCAGTTCTTTTTCGCTATAAACTCTTGATTTATTGCTTTGGATTTCACTAGGAATCCTATTTGTGATAGTATCACTGGCGTTTGACATGTCCTTTATTTTTTTCATGCCCGTTCTTTTTGTAACAGCTGGAACACTATGATAGCTTCTATCTTTTTCATAGCTGGCAGCTGGCAAATTGCTAGATAGTCCTTTTATCTGCCTCGGGATTTTTATAGTCCCTAATAAATTATTTTCTGGCAAATCCCCGACGTTTCTCCTTGTATTTCTCTGTGAAACCGCAGGTAAAGTGTGTTCTCTATTGAATTTTATAAAAAAAAATTATTATTATTAATAACAGTATTTTTTATTTTGTTTTTTTTTAAATCAATCTTTTTTGATATAAAATTTAAAATATTATCACATGTAGGTCTTTGTGCAGGGTTAACTTTTAATAATAATTTAATCAAATCTGACAGCTGTGACGAATACCTACTAGGGAGTGGTGGATAATCCCCTTTAATGACTTTCCTATACAAACCTTTCATATCTTGAGCTCTAAACGGCGGATTTAAAGTAGCAGTTTCATATATAACACACCCAAGACTCCATATATCGCTTTTCGAGTCATAAGGCTTATCTTTTCACACTTCAGGACTAGCATAATAAGGAGTCCCAGTCTGAGTATAAACCAAGCCCAGCTTAGCCACCTTTGACACATTCATATCCCCAAGCTTGACCATGCCATCACTACACATAAATAAATTGGCACATTTCAAGTCTCTATGTAAGATATTAAGGTCATGAAGCGCTTTTAGACCTCTGACAGCTTGGATAAAAATATCCCAAATTTCGGATTCTGAAAAATATTCAATGATAAATGAATTTTTTTTGAAAATAATTCTTAATGCAAGTTAGTTATAATTAATAAAAATAGGATAGGTGTTATTTTTTTGATGATTTGTTATCCTTTGAAGCAAGTCTCCATTATCTGCGAATTCCATAACAAGGCATAGAGTATTGGTAGATTCATCAATAAAAGCTTCTTTATAGCCAATTACATTAGGATGACTTATTGATGCTAAAATGCGGACTTCGTTGACGGCGTTTTCTTTTTCTTTGTCTTTTAAAGGCATGAAACGGACCTTTTTAAGGGCGTAGGTTTTGCCATCTGAGCGACGGCGGACTTTGAACACGGTAGAGTAGGCACCTTCGCCAAGTTTTTCGAGTATATCAAAGTCTGTTACGGACATTTATATTTTAAGTTAATGTATAGTTTTTTATTGCTGGAATGCTTCATAGTCAAATTTTTAATTAATATTTTGATAATTGCTTGCATCCCTGAAATAGCGCCTTAAAATATGTGAATAAATTATCTTTTAAGGCTTATTACCACTATTTAATTAAATTTATAGTAATAATTTTATTCTAAGAGAAACAAGATAAAGCAAATATCACAAAAACGTGAATATCTTCACAATTTTCTATTGAATTTAATCTCTTCTTTAATCTATAATTATTATATGATTCACAGGTCTTAATAATCATTCCTGTCAATTAGAATTCCTTTAATTTTATCAATTTTCTTATTTCAAAGCACCAGAAGCTTAATTCTCCTTTAAAAGTTTATATAAGAATAATTTGTATTAAGTTTAAGGAGTGAGCAAAATATTGTTTATTGGGATAAATACCAGCTTCACGAAAAATCCAATAAAGCCCATGACTGCAAATCCAACAGCACACGCAGTCGCAATTTTCACATATTCTGCTTAAATTTTACCTTTTTTGTCAGGCTTTGTGCAGCGGTTTAATAATCTTCTGCTATCTTTGGCGAATTCTGTCATGTCTGAAAGAGTAGATGAGACAATATTTTGCTTTTCGGACATCTTTATATTTATTATTCCACGTGGGGTTTTCAGTACTTTTTCAAGACAAATTTGAAAAATCAGTTTTGATTAAAATAAGAAGCCCATCTTATTTTATTTAGGTTTTCTAGCTTGAGAGATCTTAAAGGAACAATTATTTTATAGAACTGAACTCTAATGTAGGAAAAGCGGCATGGAAAATTTCAAAGAAAAGTATGGAATTAGGATTTTTCTGATGATTTTTAATTGATGGATTATTTTTATTGGTACTTTATAAATGATAATTTTCAATCAGCTATGTATTGATATTGAAATTTGAGAAGAAATAAATTTTATTTGGCAGAAATAAATTTATTCATTTAAAAGCCCTTTGCAATCTAGAAATTAATTGTATTTTAGCAATAGATTATGCTTATTATTTGAAAAGATATAATACTCTACTGAAATTATAATTTAAGTGTTCATCTTTGTGAATATTGATTGCTATGAAATCTTCTTAACAAATATCAAAAAAAAATAGCCCCTTTTCGAAGGGTAATATTTTACTATCTTATAGAGGGTATGAAGTAAAGCAATCATATACAATGCTCTCTAGAATTCATCATCAATTTAAAGTTTCATGATCAAAAAAATTTAATAAATTATTATTTTTAAAATACAATGAGTTTATTATGTGATTTTAAAAAAAGATATTTAATAAAACTATAAATATTAAATTTTATGATATCTGTTTTATAAAATAATTTTCCATTATGAATATTTATATAAATCAGTTATTTTCTGTATCTGAACAATTGAAAATATCCAAAAGCTAGCTGAATTTCTTTCGCATAATTCCTCTCCAGAATAATCATATTAACTTTAATTTAATATTTCTGAAAATGGTAGACACTGAGCTAAGGTTTGCAAAACTATGTAAAATGATAAACTCACCAGCTGACCACAGTAAGCATAATGCGATTGCTTATTCTGAAGCATGCAAGCGTGCTGTCGAAGAGCTGCATAAATCTTTAAGTGAAGAAGAAAGCACAAATTTACAGTTAAAACGATATTGATTACAGCAAAAAGAAAAAGCAGAAAGAGAGAAAAAACGCCAGCAAGACCTTCGTATAGAAAATATGTTATTCTTTATATAAATAATCAGCATAAAAGGCTGTTAAAGTCATTTTTTATTTTTTAATTGGGATTACTTATTAAATTTATTTCAATTTAGAGCATTCTTTATCATCTAAAATATTTATTAAAGGACAAATTAGAGAAAAAAGGCAGAGCATTAAGAACGAATCTAATTGGGAATCCCCAGATATTACAAGAAGTTATGGGTCAGCAAAATCGATTGAAAATTCAATGGAAAAATCCATTAATGAGAAAAAATATGAATTTAAAAACCAATTAGACGCTCAAATCCAGGAAAATCATAAACTTATGAAAGAGAAAAAGGCTAAAGAAGAAGTAATGGACAAGTTTATGCTGGAAAACGCCTTATTTTCTTTACTTCCAACTTTAGGTAATTTAATGTTTTAGTTTGTTAATAGTTGGTAAATTTATAATAATTATTAATTTCCTATAAAAAATAATTTTTTATTTAGAATATTTGAAGGTCTTAGAAAACAAAGAATTAGAAATAATTTTATTTTATTTATATAAATTATTATGAGGTTCAGGCTCAAATTAACACAAGGCCAGCAGAGCTTGACTTATAAAATACTCCTATAAATTTTTTTTTAAAGACATCTTTAAGTTTTGTTTGTTATTAAATAAGAAAGATAGAAAAAGACTTAAAACTCAAAGAAATGCAAAAACAGAAGCTTCAAAACCAGCTAAAAGAATCCTGAGCTTTATCATCTCAAGTTAAAAAGCTTAATAAAGGCATAAACCAGCTAAGAAATCTTAAATATTTCACAATTGTTGACGATCTCCATCCTTCAAAAAAATTTGTTCGAGAGAAAATCAATCAAAGCCAAATCAGCAAATCTGTAGCATCCGAAAGACTTGAATTTTTGCTGCACAAGGAAAAGAAAATTAAAAAAGAAAAGAAAAGGCTCAATCATTATTTAGAATCAAGAAGGAGGTCATTAAAAAGCGAATTAAATGGAAGCCCATTGACCATACCTGATATAAGAAAAGGCCGAGCATTATCTACAGCAAAAGAATATTAATTAAACTAATATAATTATTAAGCGAAATTTAATATAAATTTGTAAAGAAAATCTCCTAATTTCTATAAAAAATATCTATAACAAGAGAATTAATTTTACATAATTTTTCCTAATAAAATACATCACTTAACTTTATATTTAATCCTCTGGTTAGCACATACAAAGAATGCACCAAATTTTCTTTTTGGCTTGTTTTTATATGAGGAGCTGTAGAAGGCCTTGAATTTGCATCAGTAAACTGCCTAAACCCATCATAGCTTTTTATTCTTCTGTGCTTTTTTAAATCAGACTCCTTTTTGTAATCGACACTTGGATCTAGCCTTGAGGATGACAAAAAAGTTGTAGATAACTTAAGCTTAAGCCTTTCTTCTCTTAATTGAAGCTTTTCCAAGCTTAATAAGTTTTCAGTTCATACTATTTTAGGGTTATCTGAGTCATCTTCAGTGGTGCAGCATATAAATTTAAACCCTGCGCTAAGCATTTATACCTTTTAAGTCAAAATCTTTATTAGGGCAATTCGGAGCAGTGCTAAATTTTAAGATAAAAAATATTTTTTAGCTTCCAATACTTCAAAATGGCATTTTTCTGAATATTATAATAATTATTTGAATTTTTATTTAATTGTTCTTGTTGAAGCTCAATCTGTTTCTTTTTAATCTGATAGCTTGCATAAGCCCCTGGGATATTTGACCCAAGAGCATACAAAAATACTGTGGCTCCAAACAGCAAAAGCACACTTCTCTTTGATCTTTTAAAAAACCCAAAATATTTTTCTCTCATTGCGCTGAAATATTTTTGATTTTTTCTGAAATAATCTTTTATATGGGCTCTTCCTTCTGAGTAAGACGATTTTACATAGTCTTTTGTGTCATAGAAAAATGTTTTTGATGCCTTAGCAATTACGATGGGTGCTGTCTTGATAAAGTTTATCCCGAAGTTTTTGGCTGATTTTGCAGTATTTTTCGTTGAATTGTCAAAAGAGTTGACAACTTTGTCCCGCTTTTTGGTGTACCAGACCTCAAATCCTTTTAATGATTCATTTAATCTAGAATAGCTTGATTTATTTGGGATATATTGTCCGTAATTTTTATAAAATTGGTCTATGTTTCAAGTCTTTTTGAGCTCCTGTTTGTTTTGGTTCATATACATTAAAATGGAGGTGAGAGCCAACCCCCTCTTAAAAACTGTACGGCGTAAGCAGGAGACATTGTGGAATGACTGTGGCATTCGGCAATATGTATCCGGCTAGGTTTTACTCGATTTGGTAGAGCGCAATGTTGAATTAGGCCAACAGCAGCTCACTCCAGGTTAAGATTTACTTCATGGGGAGATGGAGCTCAGATTTGAAAGGTAAGCCCAGCAGCGTAATGCCAGATGTTGCGTTTGGGTTTTCAATTTTGACCGACAGGAGACAGAAAATTTTATTTTTCTAATTTTCTGTGTTTCTGACCAGCAGATAGCGAGTGCAAGCTCTTGTCCGTGAGGTTCAACACAATGAGTGTCGTGCTCAGACTGGCAACCAAGCCATGCAGCGATAATAGGGCGATTAATGCCTGAAATATGGCAGCAGAGGACTCCTCTTATAAGTTTATTAAATTTAAATTTATTTGGTTCATTTTGTATTGAAATCGTTTTTTAAAGACCTCAGCATCTCTTTTTAGCTTTTGTGTATTCACATTGTTTATGGCATCTTTCAGCTTTCTGAACATTTAATTTTTATTAATTTATATTTTTATTTTTCTTGGCTTGCGTGTTGATTCATGTTGAATCTTAAATAAAAGATCTTCAGGCGACATAAGCCAAAAGTAATTGGAATGAACAATTTTCCCAAAAAATGATTTTATTGGCGGAACAATGCAGTGCATATGAAGGTGATCTATACTGTTACGTGGGGGAACATGAAATCCAAATATATATTTTTGGTTTGGGTGACGGTCTTGTAATAGTCTCTGGCCAGTATCTCACATATGGAGAAGTAAAGGTATATCTTGGGGAGATAAATCATATATATTTTTGATGTGGCGTTTTGGAATAATTTGGAGATAGTCTTTAGCAATTGTTTTTCGGTCAACAAATGCTGCGACGAGCTCATCTTCGTAAATAATTCGTTCTCCTGTTTGAGCATATCTGCAAAATATGCATATTCCATTTTCATTATTATTTAGCTTATCTTCTTAAAAGGCTTTATCCTTTAATAACCTTAATATTTTCTATTATCTGGCCTATTTGATTTGGCTTATTATCCTATTAGAAATAATAATATAAATCGTTATTTTTATTATTTTTTTTCATTTTCATCATAAGTCTGATTTTTACTAGGGCTCAAAATCTTTAGTTTCTCCAGTATCCTTTTCGGCCTAATCATTGATGAGCAAACTGCAAGCAGTTCATTCCATTTATACCTATACATTATTAGAAAAATGGAAAAATATCCTTCATCTCCTTATAAAAGTTTTTGCAACTTCTCAGAAATTCCTGAGAGCAAGCTGCAATTATATAAGACTGAAATTGGCAAAACTTTGGATTCTTTAGAAAACGAATATCAGAATTTTCATAGAAGAGCTTTATCAGGGTCTTGTAAAGAAAATCCAAGACTTAGATGAGAGTTAAACAAACTTTTGGCAGAAAATAAAGAAAAAGCTGAAAGAATTAAAAAATTGAAAAATAAAATTAAAAGTCTCAAAAAATCAAACAGCATTTTCGTTATCGATCATGAAAACGAGCAAGAAAAAAAACAAATCGAAGATTTAAATAAAAAAATCATAAATATAGACAAAGCCAGCCAAGATGAAGAAGAAAAAAGCTTAATGTACGAAAGAATGATAAACAAAACCCAAAAAAAATTAAAAATATTCCAAGAAAAAGCGCACAATTCTATATGTGAATATAAAGACGCTAACTTAAAACTTGAAGAATGCAGTAGACTAAAGCACTTTTCTCTATTTGAGCTTAAAAAGGTTAACGATGAAATAAAAGAATTAAGCGAAAAACATCATGAAAAAACCAGAAAATTCAATAACGCTTATGAAATTAAATTGAATTTAAGAGATTCAGTCAGAAATCATATACAGCAGGCAGTTATGGCAATTACTCATGCAGAAATCCAAAAACTTGAGACTTCTAAACACTATGATCATTATTTATTTCAACTACTAGGAGAAGAGCAAGACCACAAATCCAGAGCTAATAAATCTTCGAAAATAAAAGAAGATATGCAAAACTTCTCCACACAGTTTTCCGTTATTTTGAAGTAATTTCTAATAAGGATTTTAAAAGAAAGATGAAATTCGTCGCTGAATATTAATGAAGGAGTTACTGATATTATAATTAAAAATATATCAGAATTTATGACACATATAGATTATAGGGAATTTTTTTTTTTTTTGTTTGAAAAATCATGGAAAGGCTTTAGAAAGGATATTAAATGGTGAAAGCAAAAGAGAGAAAGGTTTATATAAGCTCAGAAGACAACATGCTAAAAGAGCAGTATTTCTCGTTAATTAAGACTGTAAATTATAATTAGCAACAACAAAAAGAAAAAGAATGCGAAGAAATGCAGCACGAACTCAAATTGCTAAAAATTCCAAAAAACAAAAGAGAATTTGTTGAAGAGCCTAATATAAAAGTCTCAATGGACGCAGAAAAAGTAGAAAATTATGATAATTTGTGCATTTTAATGTATTATAAAACAATTGATATCTTCATAGGATTAATCAATGTTTTAAAAAGAATTCAAGGAATGTCAAAAGACATTTATGTTGACGAAAATATAAATCGGCTACAAATAGCATTACAAAAGCTAAATAAAGGGTTTTTTAAAGGTGAACAAAACGGCGCAGGCAAACAGTTATTGAGTATAAGAACCCCAAAAACTCCTGTCTTAACAATTTCCCACGAAAGTTTATTTTTGCAATCTGATGACATTTTCCAATACACTGCTTTATCCAAAAAACAAATAAAAAATTACTTTAGTGATTTTGCGAGCCAAACAAAATTTCTCAGCCTTTTTGAGCAATGCAAAATCGTTAAACTTGTATGTGACAATAAAATGCTTGAATCATTTTTATCACGGTTTAAAGTAGCTGATTTTTCAAGTTTAATTGCAGAATCTCATTATATTCTGCAAAAATATTTTTTAAAATGTGTGGAATTGGGGAGAAACTTAATAGAAATTATAAGTAATAGACAAGAAAAAACTGAGGATCAGGATGAGCTATTAAAAGCTCAAATGACATTATCGCCTGAAATATCAGATTCTACTAAAGATATAGCGCATAGTCTCTTTTAGATTTCTTAAAGAAATGATCCTCAAAAATTATTTTCAAAATGGATTTTTTTTTATTTTAATTTGGTCCTTAGTATAGCGGTATTTTCAAATTTTCCTATAGGAATCTAAAAGAGAGCTCTTACTATACAGTGTCAAGAGATATTAGTAAAGTTGGGAATACAATAATGAGGATGAGAAGAATGTCTCAAAGCTATAGAGTAATTCCAAAAATGGATAAAGATGAAAGGACAACTGATATATCGACACCTGGGTCTAAAAGAAGTAAACATACATCATCAATGTCTATGAGCATAAAACCAAAAACACCACAAACAGCATTTTCTCCTATGACCCCACGATCTCTTCAAAAAAAGATAATTTCGATAAAGCAGACAGAAAAAAGTATACAAAATAATAAAAAACTCTCAGGGGAAATTTCACCGAAAACTCCTGTGTCTTCAAAGAGCTTTACTTCAAAAACTAAAAATTTTAATTATACATTTAAATAAACAAATATAAACGTGCTTAAGCAGCGAGCAAAAAATTATTTGGCTGACCAAATTTGAAAACTTTGCTATTTTTTGCTTTTTTTTTAAAAAAACGGTATGCTTTTATCCTCCAAAATGATTTTAGTCTGTTAAATACTCAATAATATATTTTCGAATAAATGCTTTTTAATTAGCTTACCGGATACATCGGCATCATATTGACTCCACATATCCCATTTCCCCCTGAAATCGCAATGCGGATGTACCCATTTTCTCCCCACCAGCTTCCCCAAGAATTTCTGACAATCCAATATGGAGGGTTATTCCCGTTATTATAACCTACAATGTTGACTGCATGGTTTAAAACAATACCGCAGCTGCCTGTGACGATTCCTCCTTTGTAGTACATCCAAGCAGCTTGGTCAGCCTGAGCCCCAATCGATACAGGAGCTACAGCTACAGCTGCCATAAGGGCATTTGGATCATTTGCAGTTACTTTAACCACATATTTAATTGATGCAATTTTTTGAGACTGTTTTGAAGTATTACAAGTCTTGGTGGCAGCTTGGTAAGGATAAATGCTTTCAGAGGTCAAGCCATATTTCTGGACATATGAAAATCCATATACTATATTTCCGCCAGCACACCCATAATTTCCAAATGGTCCTCCGCAGTCTAAAAGTTGCTGCTCAGAAAGGTCAGGAAGTCCATGTCCTGCTATAAACCAACTGCTTTCAACAGCTGACACAGTTGAAAAAGACCAGCAGCCTCCACACTGGCCTTGATATTTAACGCCTTGAACTGCCCCTTTTGATCTCCAGTCAATCGAGGTAGGCGCTTCTACATTTTCATAGTGTTCTCTATGGAAATCTTCAGTTTCCTCTTCTTCTGGGACTGTTATTTCATTTGATAAATAAATTTCACGGAATTCATCAAGTGTCATATCAACGAACTGGTTAATGCCGAGAGTCCAGTCTTTGTCTAGAGAATTATGGACCCTTATAAAGGCAGAGTTTTCTCTGAAAATTTTGAATCTTTTGAGGTATTCTTCGTCTGTGTTGTAGTTTTTATTGAATTTTATCATATAATCAGTAAATTCTTGCTCTTCAGTTTTGTATTGACTGAGGATTGTTGATTCATGATTAGGCGTATTGACTATCATGAAGAGTCCTACAAGGGCTGCTAGTCCTAGAATAGCAAAACCTGCAAGGACTGTGTTTTTCTTTGGAGATTCAGACTTACTGATTAAGTAAAACCCGTCCATATTAATTTTTCCATAATTCATCTTTATCAGAAAAATGGGAATTATAATTTTTTTATTACTGATCACAAGATAATCTTATTATCCTATTTTCTATTAATATTTCCCATTAAATTTTATTATAAAAATTAGGGGTTTCTATATAAAAACGTATAAGTTTTTAATTTAATTTTCTTAATTTTTTAAATTTTCCTATATAAATCCATTTACTAATAAAAAACAAATTTTATCGAGATAATAAATAGGTCCTTAATCCTTAATATAAAATTATACATATGAACCAGTCATTTTCAAGCAACACAGCCTTGCATTTTGTTGACTTAGATTTCAGAGACTTCTTGGATTTTCCTCAACCTTCTCCAGTCCGAGTTCCTGAAGGCCTTGTAGATACTGAGGAGCCTTTTTCAACTCGGCGAAAATCCACCTCTGGCCGCAAGCAAATCGTGGACACCAAAATCCTTAACCGCTTTGAAAGCCTCTCCAAGCCAAAGCCTCCTAAAAAGGAATACCTCCGCTGCAAGATGATAAGAGGCCACAAGCGGGCCAACCGACAAATAGAAAAAGGGACTCTTCCTCAGAAGACATTATAGGCTATGATCTCTTTTGGTTTTCTTCTGAAAATACCTTACTTTTTAAAGCGATTTTTTTATAAAAATATAAATTTAGGTCTAAAATAATTCTATATGAGAGTCTTTACTATAAATGTTTTCTCAGACAAAGCTCAAAGTTACTGGGATCAACTGACCAAATGCTTCCACCTCTACCGACATATACTAAGTGAGGAAAGCAAGACTGAAGCTGGACCCAGGACTGACGGCAAATCAAAGCGCACCTGTGAAGAAAACGGGCTACAAAAGAGCTTTAATGGGAAGTTCTGTAAGAAATACTTTGAGCCGATCCAGGTGAGGGAGTCTTATTTTTATTACACAGAGTACATTTTTTCAGAGTTCGACCCTGATGTTTTGTGCAAAAAATTCAAGTTAAGGTGCTGCCGAGCTCCTCAGCATACTTCTGAGTGTATGAATAGTTGGAAATTGCTGAAGTTTTACGTGCAAAAGATCATGTTCGACAACATTGGGATTGAGCCTTGGATGTCGTTGGAAATGTCTTATGAAATTTTCTTAGGTCGAATTTTTTTATAGTAGAAAAAACTTTTAAGAGCTGTTTAAGTGCTTTATAAGGAAAAAAAAATGACTGAGGAACGCCACATTGAAAAATGTCTGATAAAACAGCATGCACCGGTTGGAAAGCACTGATGCTTCAAGCTTCTCGGCTTCATCAGGAAGAAATGTGGAAAAAGGGATTGATGAGATTATTGATGTGTGCTCTCCTCAGGATATTAGGGATGATTTCTGCTTGTTTAAAGAAGTGGAGGATGGGGATATTGATCCTGATCTGTTCTTTGGATTGTAAGTATTTATATATAAATATTATGTAATTAAATAGTTATCTTTTATAAAAAGTTTTTGAAGAAAATTTTTAGTTTTTTTAAATAGAAAATATGGAAGTAAATTAAAAATTTGAGGGAAGCTGCTAAATAGAAGCCATGATAGCTTTTTAAAATAGAAATTTACCCAATATCTTATATTTTTAATTTAACTATCTTTATTTTCTGATGCAATAATTACCTATGCTCTCAATAGGGAAACTGCGAAATGAAATAAAGCCTTCATTTATAGTCAATTAATGCCTTAGTGCACTCTATAAAATCTCTCAATCAATTATATAGTTATTTTTGAGATTTTTCAAAATGTTTGCATCCTCTGAAACACTTGTTTTAAATGAATATCTTGTTAAATATAATAAATAAATGTTTAGTGGTATTATGGATTATCTGAGAATGAGAGTTTTTAATCAAAATTCAAACGACAATATAAGCAAAAAGGATGACGATTACTTTGAAAATCATCACTTGAATGTCATCAGAACTTTGAAGCAATCCAAATTTATTAATTGCTATGACGCTGAAGATGCTGCCATCCAAAGAATTTCAAATCAAATTGCAACTATGTTTATCGAGTCAATTAACATGTACCCTGATTCTGATTACATGAATGAAGAAATCGATATGCTAAAATCTCTCTATTTGATAAAAAGCAAAAAGTTTAGAGAGTCATTTAGCATTGAGATAGGACAAGAAGAACATGGATTAAAAATTTATAAAGGAGAGACAAAAAAAGCCTTTCAAAGAATTCATGAGTTAATTTGAGATATTAGAGAAGTTGAGAGACTCTTTGAAATAATAGCTAGAAGAGAATAGAATGAGATTTCTAAAGTTGTTCTTTAAATCTTATATAAATATTTAATAAAGAACTTGTTAAATTTATTGGAATAAATGTTTAGTGATATCATGAATTATCTGAGAATGAGAGTTTTAATCAAAATTTAAATGATGTAAGCAAAAAAGATGACGATTGCTTTGAAAATCATCATTTGAATGTCATCAAAACTTTGAAGCAATCCAAATTTATTAATTTTTATGACGCTGAAGATGCCGGATTCAAAAAAATTCAAATTAAATTTCAAGGATGCTTATCGAGTCTCTCTCTTAGCATGCGCCCTAAATCTGAGTATATTAATGAAGAAATCGATTTGTTAGATTCTCTCTATATGGAAAAAAAACCAAAAAGTTTAGAGAGTCATTTAGCAATGAGATAGGGCAGGAAGAATACGGATTAAATTGTAAAGGAGAGGCAAAAAAATCCTTTCAAAGAATTCATAGGCTAATTCGAAGTGAGAGAATCCAGGAAATAATAAATGAGCCTAGAAGAATAAATGAAAGATATAATTTTAAAGTTGTTTTATATCTTGTATAAATATTAAATTATTAAAAATAAATCAATTGCGCAAATATATTAATCCTAATGCATATTTAAATATATAGAATATAAGCAAATAAAAACAGGAATTACTAAAATATAACTATTAATTAATTTGTCCTAAAAAACCGTTTTCTTCTTTTTGTACTTCTTCTTTGCTCAATTTTGAAAAAGGATTCTTTAAAGAAATAACTGTGAAAGATCTGATGCTTTTTATATCATATAATAGGGAAATACTAAAAATTATCCAGATAATCAATAAAACTGAAGAAATGATGATTCCAATACTCTCTCCCTCTTTGGAGTTTATAATAGATATTAATAGGTTCACGAAACTGAAAATTGTTATCAAAAAACTGAGAAAGTTTAAGCTGCGTTCAGTAGTATGAAGTGTCGGTACCTTGCAATTTATTTGAACTAAATGGTTTAAAATTTCCCTATCAATGAGATATTTGTATAAGCTTTCCAAGCATTTCTGCTTGAATATAGGCAAACGAGCTATGATTCTTATGAAAACCTCAGGGCGGCTTGAAGTTTTGATTCATTCAGAAATGTCTTCAATACTTTGTAAAATAATTTTTCGCTCAAATTTGTCAATGTCTTCCTTATCTTTTACGTACAGGATTTTTGAAGCAAGTAGATCAACCAGTCATTTACAAGTAAGACTGCCGCCGCAATCATCTCAATGTATCTTTGCCCTAGTTTGAATTTCAAAAATTTGCTCATTTAACTGGCTCAACTCTCGCAAGTCTCCAGCATTTTCCGCTATTTCTTGAGTAATGTAAGATTTATATTCATCAAGTAAAAGGTTAATTTTTTCGTTCAGAATATTTTTTTTGTTTGCAATTAAGGGACTCTCTTCTGATGAAGAAATAACTCCAGTGTCGTAATGCCAAGGAAAGCTGCGTTGAATTCTTTCTAAGTAATCTTCCATTTAATTATTAAGCCCCCTAATTAAAAATTTATTTAACTAATTGCATAGTGAGCTATTTATTACCCTCTTAATTTATAATCCCAATTATAATAATAAATAATTTTCTCTAATTTAATTCTATTTTATTAGCTAAGCAAAGCTAAAAAATACGAAATAATCAAAAAAATTAAATAGATTGTCTATGAGATTGGCTAAATTATATATTTTCCTTAATACATCACTTATCTAATAATTTCATATTTACAAGTACAATGAGTCGTAACAATCAATCTTTTGCACGCCCGTCCTCGCTTCACTTAAACGACTTCGACTTCAGGGACTTTTTAGATCTCCCACAGCCCCAGCCACTCAGTTCTCAAGAATCCCAGCATGAAACTGAGGAATTCTATTCCACCAAAAAATCCACAGGGAGAAAGCAAATTGCTGACACAAAAATTTTAAATCGCTTTGAAAGCCTATCTAAGCCAAAGCCTCCAAAGAAAGAGTATACCTATTTTATATATAAAATTAATAATAATTTAAATTATTTTTTAATAGAAAATTCATAGTAAAAAAGAATACCTTACTCCCCTCAAGGGTTAATCTTCTGTTTTAAATTTATTAGGGTTTTTCCTTAGACGCAAAATGATAAGAGGCCATAAGCGTGTCAACCGGCAAATAGAAAAAGGAATTATCCCCAAAAGGACCTTAAATGTATTTTCAGCTCAAGCCAAAAGCTTCTGGGATCGCCTCACAAAAACGTTTACCCAATATAAAAACATATTAAGCCAAGAAAGCAAAACTGAAGCAGGGCCGAAAACAGATGGCAAAACTAAGAGAAAAGCAGAAGAGGATGGTCTTCCAAAGAGCTTTAATGGAAAGTTCTGCAGGAAATATTTCGAGCCAATTGAAGTTAGAGAGTCCTATTTTTATTATACAGAGTACGTATTTTCCGAATTCGATCCTGACATTTTATCTAAAAAATTCAAGTTAAGGTGCTGCAGAGCTCCTCAGCATTCTTCAGAATGCATGAATAGCTGGAAATTGCTGAAATTTTATGTCCAAAAAATAATGTTTGATAATATTGGCATCGAGCCATGGCTTGCAGTAGAAAGCACCAATGATGTGTCGAACTTTTCACTGCCACAAAACAAGATGGTTGAGAAAGGTATCGATGAAATCATTGATGTCTGCGAACCTGAGGAAATCAACGCCGAGCCACTTTGCTTGTTCAAAGAGGTTGACGATGAGGACATTGATCCTGATCTGTTCTTTGGCTTTTAGATTTCCTCTTACTGAGTTAATTCTTACTATCTATAATTTATAATCCTTAATATTAAATAATAAATAATTTTCTATAATTTAATGCTATTTTATTAGCTAAGCAAGCGAAAAAAATTTGAAAGTTATCAAAAACATTTAAATATTTTGTATATGTTATTGGCTACATTATATATTCTCCTTAATACATCACTTACTTAATAATTTCATATTTACAAGTACAATGAGTCGTAACAATCAGTCTTTTGCACGCCCGTCGTCGTTTCACTTAAACGACTTCGATTTCAGGGACTTCTTAGATCTCCCACAGCCTCAGCCACTTGGCGCTCAAGAAGCCCAGCATGAAACTGAGGAACTCTATTCCACCAAAAAATCGACAGGAAGAAAGCAAATTGTTGACACAAAAATTTTAAATCGCTTTGAAAGCCTCTCTAAGCCAAAGCCTCCAAAGAAAGAGTACCTTAGATGTAAAATGATAAGAGGCCATAAGCGTGTCAACCGGCAAATAGAAAAAGGAATTATCCCCAAAAGGACCTTAAATGTATTTTCAGCTCAAGCCAAAAGCTTCTGGGATCGTCTCACAAAAACATTTACCCAATATAAAAACATATTAAGCCAAGAAAGCAAAACTGAAGCAGGGCCAAAAACAGATGGCAAAACTAAGAGAAAAGCAGAAGAGGATGGTCTTCCAAAGAGCTTTAATGGAAAGTTTTGCAGGAAATATTTCGAGCCAATTGAAGTAAGAGAGTCCTATTTTTATTATACAGACTACGTATTTTCCGAATTCGATCCTGATATTTTATCTAAAAAATTCAAGTTAAGGTGCTGCAGAGCTCCTCAGCATTCTTCAGAATGCATGAATAGCTGGAAATTGCTGAAATTTTATGTCCAAAAAATAATGTTTGATAATATTGGCATCGAGCCATGGCTTGCAGTAGAAAGCACCAATGATGTGTCGAACTTTTCACTGCCACAAAACAAGATGGTTGAGAAAGGTATTGATGAAATCATTGATGTCTGCGAGCCTGAGGAAATCAACGCCGAGCCACTTTGCTTGTTCAAAGAGGTTGACGATGAGGACATTGATCCTGATCTGTTCTTTGGCTTTTAGGTTTCCTCTTACTAACTTCCCCCTCCGTGGTGAACAAAAAAATCTTGTTCACTCTTTAAAAAAAATTTATATATAAATTTTATATAAAATTTTTTTTTTCGAAATTTAAAAAAATCTAATTCGCAAAAATTGGAAAGCAAATATTAATTTAATTTATAAAATTTGTTTTAAAAAACAATTTTTGAAATTAAACAGAATTAGCCTTAGATTTCATTCTATTAAAAAAATTTTTGTTCACTCACGGAGGGTGGGTTTTTGGGCAAAAAAATAGCGATTTTTCTAATGGTTTTGTTCACTCACGGAGGGGGTGGAGTAAGTAAATTTATTAGGTTTGTCACATAAATAATACTTTGACTAACATAATAATTTTAAATTTAAATGTAAAATACTAAAAGTTATCAAATTTTGAAAATTTTCTGTCAAGTTTTTTCTTAACTTGAAGAATTTTACTAGGTTTTGCTGTTCTATCAGGATTACTGCTTAATGTGTCATTATACCCTATCACACTTTTTGACCTTGAATTTTGATAGTTGAATGGCATAACTTTAATTTGTTTTATATTCGAGATATCATTATGTATCATACCAATATTGTTTTCTATATCTTGCAGCTTATCATACATATCTGCTGGTTTTTTATCGCAAATTAATCTTACATTTGCGTCTCTAAACTGCTGATTTTCTTGCAAAATCTTGTCCTTGTCCTTTCTAATAGACTCCAAAACTTTATTTACCCGATTTAATTCACGGTCTTTTGTAAAAATTTCATCCCTTGCCCTTTCTAGCTCAAATACAATTTCTTGATATTCGTGTGGCTGCTTATGTTTTTCTATATTTTCTATTCTTTGTGATAATATTTTGTTATCTTTTTCCAATTTTTTAATAATTTTTTCATCAGAAAAATGTTGCTTTTGCTGGGCATCAATTCTTGCCTGCATTTCATTTGTAAGGTTATTTATTTCTTTTAAATGAAAATCTTTATAGCTTATCAGCTCTTTTTCGAGGTCTTCTGCTTTACTTTGGTATTTTATCTGGTTTTGTTTTATTTTTAAGCATTCTTCAGATTTTAAGTTTGCTTGATTTTTTCAATGTTCTAGCTGGAGCTTACTCCCCCTCCGTGAACAAAAATTTTTTTAAATAGAAAACCTTTTTATGAACAAAATTTTTTATATATAAGTGATAATTATTATAATGAAATGTGGAGCTAAATCTGTTTAATATTAAATTAATTGCGTTTTAAAAACACTAATTTTACAAATTAAATTAATATTTACTTTCCAAATTTCATAGAAGTAAGATTTTTTTAAATTTCGAGAAAACATTTTATAAAAAATTTATATATTATTTTTTTAAAAACAAAAAAATTAACCCGCTCGGTAAGTGAACAAAATTTTTTTGTTCACTCACGGAGCGGGGGATTTAATATTGTCTAATTCAGAAGATTTATTTTGTAAAGCATTTTTTAGCTGCTCAATTGTATTTAATTTATATGTCATATCATTTCTAAGCTCATAAATTTCTTCAGTTAGTCTTCTTTCGTTATCAAAAAATTGCGTATTTGTCTGCTCGATATATTGGCTATTTTTAGAATTTTCTTCTAAAAGCTGCTTTATTTGAAACTGAAGTTTAGATATCTGCTCTTTATAATCACTATTTAAGTTATCAATAATAGCTTGCTTGTTCGCATTTAGATGCTCCATATCGATTTCATGCTTATTTCTAATCTGCTCTAACTCGATGTCTCTTTCTGTTATAACGACATTTAATTTTCTTTTCCATTCAAAATTTTCTTTTTCTAAATCCAATTTATTTTTCATTAATTTTTCTTCGTTTTCTTTATAATATCTTTCTTTCATATACCAGTCCCTGCCAACCTCATTTTTTTCTTTTTCTATTCTAATTTTCAGTTCATTTAAATTTTCAATTAATTCTGAATTTTTTTCTTTTTCTGAATCTCTTTCAAATACAAGCCTGCTGATCTCTGATTTAGCGCTTTGTAGCTGGATTTCGATTTCATCGACGCTTTTTAGCTTGTTTTCTAATAAAAGGATTTTATCATTAGCATTTTTCAGTTATTAGGAATAATTATGATTTTTTTTATTTAAAAATTTAATATGGAAAATTTTAGTAAAAAATACATGATTCAGTTCTTCGTCTTTAATGTAAATTTCTCTTAATCGTCCTGAGCTTGCTTGCTCATCTTGTGACCAATAAGTGTTCATAGGGCTCTTCCCCATGTTTCTAAATGACATATCATTAATTTTTTCTTCCAAATCTGCAATTTCTTCGTCTCTCTGCTGAATCAAAGTCAAGTTGTAATTAAAATCATCATGAAGTCTTCTTATTTGTGCCTCCAATTCAAAGATCGTTTGATCTTTGCTTGACAGCTGCTCTTGAAGCTGCATAACTCTCATTTTTGACAAGTTTTGCAGCTCTTTTTCCTTTTGTAGCAAAAGAGTTGTCAAGTTCCCATCTTGATAATCCATTTAAAAATTTTTCATATTTAACGGGCAAGTAATTATTCTATTTTTAATTGATTTTTATATAAAATTGAATTATTTATCTTAAAAGCCTTTTCAATTTAAAATACTATAAACTTAATCTTCACTTATATTTCCCCACTCATGGCCGTCTAAGTCAGATAAATCAGCCCAATGCATTCTGTCAGAATCTTCGTCACTGATTTCGTCTTCGTCATAATCGCTGTCTCCTACGTTTTCAATTAGACTTAGCCATTCTTGATTATGCAATTGGAATCTTTTAAGCTTGATTTCTTCTCTCCAATCTTCATCGTATTCTTGAACTAAGCTCAGCACTGTGTCAGCCATTTTTCTGATTCTAGGATTCTTATCCTGCAAAAGTTCTAATAAAAAGTTATTTCGAAATAAATTGAATAATTATTTAAAAATTAAAATTATTTTGAAAATTAAATAAAATATAGCTCTGGCAAAGCCAATGTAAAAACGAATTTTTAATAAGTCTGTATAACTGCTTGTGTTTTATTTAAAATTATAGTCCTCGTCGCTTTAAACAGCAAAAGTCTATAAAAAGTATACATAATCTGCATAACCATCTCATCATCCTCTTGTTTTTCTGACAAAAGTGTATGTAAAAGCTGTATTATTAAAGTATTTGCAATCATTTTCGCAATTTGCTCACAAGAAGTAATAGTCCCAACCAGCATAATTGACTCTAATACTACATCATCTTCTGCATATCCCACCACAAGGTGTTTTTGCAGAAAATCTAGCAGCTGTGGCGAGCTTAAATATTTAGCCCATTCTTCTTCTAAATCCATATTGACCATAGTTCCTAAGACTTCTACTACAAAATCCATATCTTCGTTGCCACATATAATACTGATGAATTTTTTGGCGTATTTTTCTAATGTTTCTTGGACATGCTGAGTTTTGGCGGCTCTTGCGATGTTACGAATCATTTTCATGATAAGGTCGTCATGGTACTCTAAAGCTCGCTTTACTAGAGCTTCTAGCTGGTTTCCGTCAGCAAAAACTTCAGCGTTACGTGGGTTGCTACATAAGTTTATGGCGAGGCCCATAAGCTCTCGGCCTACTTTGGCTTCTGGGAATTGGATCATCAACATAAATACAATGGGGATACACTCGGTATATGTAAATGTTGATTTGGACTTTTCGTCTAGGGAAAGCTGGTAGAGAATTCTTAAAGTGATGCCTCGAAAAGGAGCGTATTTTAATAAGGTTACAATTCGGGGGATAAAACCTAGAGAGTCGAATTGTTCTCTGATTGACTTGTCAAAAGAAAGGTTGTGGATTAGCCTGAGGACTATAGCTTGATCCATGCTATAGCTCTGTATAGGGAGCAGGTGATGGATCAATTTAGAGGTTGGCTGGGCGGCTTAAGTAGACAAACCATTTCTCAAAGTGACAAAGCTCTTGCATCATTTAGACTTGTCGTTTGAGAGTGGACAGACGATCTGAGTTAACAAGGCTAGCTTTGTCACTCTCTCCTTATCCATAGCTATAGCAAGGAGCGAACTATAATGAACAAATTTCTTGATGGTGAGGGGCTGGGACAAACTTTTGGAGCTTTTGCACAATATTTTCGTCCTGATACATCTCATTTTTATTTTCAGCAAAAACACTTATTTTTTTATTAGAAATTTGATTCAAAAATATTTATATTTTTTAAAAAAATAATTTTAATATTTAAATTTACAAAAGAATTAGCTTTTTAAGGAATGTGAAAACTACTTCAAGAAGTGTCAAATTATCCCTTTCTAGCATTTTCACAAGCAGCCCTACGATTTTCCTCTTCTTCATTTTTCTCTCAATCTGAATATCTTCTGACAAGTTCAACAGAATGCTAAAACAAACTGCTTAAAAATTACGCCATAACAATTTATTTTGTTTCTTTTCTAGAATTTCCATGTTTTTCAGCTTTTTTTCGTACTCTGCATCTTGTTTAAGGTTTTGTATTTCGCTTCTCCTCAATTCGTGCCTTTGTATATGATATTCAATGATTTTCATGCATGTATCTCCAATTTGGTTCTAATTGAAAATTATTCCTTTTTCCGGAGCATACTTTTTCCTCTAACCTTTTTGTAATTATTCGAGGACGTTTATAAGATTTTGTTCTTGTTAAAAATTTTATTGTTTTTTTTTTCGAGCAAAATCTCTCACAGGAAAAATTTTACCTGTTTTTACGAGGAAATGTCTCTCTCTAATAAAAGTCCCGATCAAATGGCATGGACCCCTTTTTCTATTAAATTATCCCAAAAAAATCAGAAGTTTTAATAGTTTTTAAAAAAAATAAAAATTAATAGGTTTAAGTATACTTGTAACACTATTTGGTGGAGTTGTGAATAGTTTGAAATTATATAGAAAACTCCAGCAAGGTAGAGACTTAGTTCCATGCTTGTTTTATACTCATCTCTAAGTGTACGGCCTAAAATCCCAGGTAATGACTCATGAGAAACAATAATTTCAATATTTTCCGCTTCATTGAAAAGATATAGCAACTGACGAGAAGCTTGGATTTTATCGTCTGGGTTGTCTGAGTACAGATCTTCTATGTATTGATCCAACCGCTCTATGCTAGCTGTAACTGTGCTTTCATACTGTTTTTTCGCTGTTCGGGTTAAGCCAGACATTTATTAAATTCAAATGCATTCCCAAAGCATATTTTAAGCCAAAAATTCAAAATTAATTTCTAACTCCCTCCCATTATAACTGAACGTCACCATTGGAAATTTTCTAAAAATTAGGAAGGTTAACCTAATCATTGATTCTTTATATAATTAGCATGAAGACTCACTCTATATCCTGCCCATATCTTATTACTATCTTTGACAGTAATGATACTAGAGATTATACCGTGTAATCTCTTTTGAGCAATACTAATGCATTTTCTAGAATATTTTTTAATATATTCTCTTGCGACTACTGCATAAAATAGTTAAACGAAAAAAAGAAGTAGTGTAAATTTTTTACTCCCCTCTCCGAGAGCGAGCAAAAGCATAGGAAAAATCCTTTTTGAAGTAAAATCCACCCTCGGTTAACGAGTATAAATTTTTTTTAATATAAGAATGTTTTATAAAAAAAATAGATATATAAATGATAATTAGTAAAATGAAATCTCTATACTAATTCAACAGTGTGCATTTTATAAAAAAGAATTTAATTTTTACTTTCCAATTTTTGTGAAAATGGATTTTTAAATAAATTTTAAAAAAGCAAAAATTAATCCTAAAAGTTTTTTTGTTCATTCGCGGAGGGTCGTAGTTAGAATTTTTGCTCTCAAAAATTTTTTAAGCTGTCTTTGATCAATCGATGGATCAAGGATTTGGAGTAAGAACTTAATAACTTATTAATCCTCACTGGTCCAAATTGTGAGATTATCCTTGATTAGCCCCAGAATTGAAGTAGCTTCTTTATAAGCTCTCTCATCCAGCTCTTCCAATGTCGGCAAAGCTTCATCAAAAGTTTTCCTGGCCAATTCACATGCTTTTTCTTGCTCTTTCATCCCTTCATAATAAAACACAGAAAAATTAAGAGCAAGCCCCAATCTAACTGGGTTATTAGCAGGCAAATGAGCAGCTGCTTCTGATGCACGCAAATAGGCATCAAGACTAGGCTGAATAACCTCATTATCCCCAGACTCCGCCAAATACCTATAATAATCGCCTTTCATTTTTAAGTAAAATACTTCAATCTCATCTGGTTCGCCTTTTTTCAGCAGCTTTTCGTCCACGAGGCGTACAACTTCAAGGCAGAGATCATGAAGCTCTTTATTGACCCTTTGCAAGTACTCAGAAATGATGTCCAGATGGTCAGAGCCTCTTGCGCGTTGCTTTTCTTGGTAAGAACTGAGGATTCTTGAGGCGTTTCTGCGTTCAGCAACAGCTTGCTTGTAGGCTACGCTTAGTAGGGTTCTTTCTTCGCTGTTTAGATCGCCTGCAGCTTCGTCAATTAGTTGTCGGACGTAGCTGACCATATCTGAGTATCGCTCAGCGTGCTCAGCCAGTTTAGCATTGTAGATGAGCTCTTCTCTGGACATTTTAATTTATGATTATCAGAATAATTCAACTTTTAATAAAAGTCACAATGTGTGCCATAATTAAAGACAATTTTCGAAAGATATTAATTTGGGAAATTTTGGGGGTTATTGAGGATTCTTAAGTAGAAGAGAAATACAAAGCTTCGTTTTTTCAAGAAATATAGCAAGAAATTAGCCTTCAGTTTTAACAAACGTTTCATGTAAAAATTTAATCTTTGGTTGCAGCATAAAAAACTATGAGGAATGAGAAATAATTAATATTTAAATTTTCTGATAACTATTGACATAGTCATTTTCATTTATTTTCCAATAATTTTTTTCGCATTTTTGCTATAGTTGAAAAATTCTATTTTAATTTTTCGCCTTCATCATTGAGTGCACATCTGGCATATTCCTTTGGTATTAAAATCAAAACTGTATATAATGAAATTATCAAAATCCTTTTAATTATAAATATGATTATACTTCTTATTTTATTACCCTTCTCTTATGGAATTATTAGTGATACAGACCTAAGCTTTAGCAAGCCTGCAGCAAAATCATGAGCATGATTTGTATTTGAAGAAGGAGGCTGAATTGCATTGAATCTTACAATAACATCAAACAGCAGTGGATCAATAGGAATTTATTTATGTGAGCCAGGAGAAGTAAACACCATTGCTCACGCTTTTAAAAATGATTTTTGTATAAATATCCCAATTGGTTTGATTTTTATTATCTCTACCAATAAATATTTCTAATTTCATACAAAATTAAACATTTTTAAAAATGGTGAATACAGAAAATTAATTTCGTTTGAAATAACACAAATGCAGGGAATTTTACGAAATGTGAGTATAATTTCACCTATCCCTTTTATGGGTCTGACTATAAAACAAATCCTGATTTTATCGCTTTTTTGGACGGTTTAAGAGTCCATTGATGGGATCTAACAGAAGAGCAGTGAGAATATTACCTAAAAGAATTTTCACGAAGAAATAGCATGAGTGATAGAGATATAAAAATTAAGAAGCATACAGATATAACAGCTAAAATCACAAGCTCGCAGCTCTACTACTTTGTGGCTGCTAGCTGTGTAGAAGATAACGTTGAGCTGAAAAAGTAAATTAAAAGGTCATAATGGCCATAAACGGGTAAACCCACTAGAGGTCGCTCATCTTGTCTCCAAAATGTCATCATTTTGGATTTCCATCTGAACCACCTGTCCAAGGGATTAGCTCCCTAAGACAGGGCTAATCTTTTAGAGGTGCTCATATAGTCCCGATGAGTGATAGGCAAAACTTGAATACACGTAATTCCAATAGATAGCCCTATCAGCGGGTGAATTGCCTGCTAAAATTAAAATTTGGTACGGCCAAAATTATTAGTTTTGGTGGGACCAAATTGTGAAATCAGCAGGCAATTCACCCACTGATAGGGCTATTAAAGGGAATTTTTTCTATACCCCATCTAGGTGGAACAGGAAAACCTTCGGGAAAGAAGCAAAACTTCCCTCTTCTGCAAGGCATCATCAAACTTGAAGGCCCACTTCAAAAGGGACAGAGATCTTATTTTCAGCTTCATCAGGATGGATCTTATCTGCTCTACACTGACTTCGCCTTGGAGTAGAATTTCCGTAAACGTCACTATTTTATTTCTAAGTTGAGCTAGGAATTGATTACATATTTATGAACCCTGGAGGCGAAAATCTTGGTGTCGGACTTTTAGAAATGAAATATGTAATGAATGGAGCTTCAATTGGCTGATTGGCCTTAATTGGGCTATGAATATTGTCTTGAGCATTTTTCAATTAAAAAATTTAGCTTATAAGATTTCCTAATAAATATTTATAAAATCGATATTTTTCTGTAAAAAATAAAATTTCCTTGATATTATCATGAGTTTTAGTGAGAAAGCTAAAATCATCATTTATACAAATTGGCTTAATTTTAAACTCTATGGTATGAGCAGGATTTTCATGACTATTTAAGACATATTGGGAAGACTATTCAGAATCAGGAAAATCTGATGAGCAAATGAAAGAATGGAGCCTAATTCTTTTTGCGACAGCTGAATGCATGTTTTTTTTGATTGTAATTATGATATGTGCAGGCTCAGGAATTACAAAACCGTCTTTCCAAATCTGGACACTACTAAAAGCTTTATTTGCGGTAGGATCTTTACACTGCTGTATGTGGCTTTACATTAAGCTTGGAGATGATGGGTTGTTTTCACTTGCTGGAAGCTATGTATTAATTTTATTTATCTGTATATGAGATATCACAAAAAATACCCAAAAATTATCAAAGCAAATTCGGTTATACCTCGATTAATTCAATTCAGGGCTAAAATATTAAAATGACAGTTAGGGGTAGGGTCTTAGTCCTGTTCATCAGGCTAGCCTTACAATCCAAGCATAGTAAGAGAATTTTAGCTTCTTGATGGTCTCAGCTTAAGTGAAGAGTCTGGCATGGACTAGAGAAGTCTTAAAGGGCTTTAACTTTAACGGTTTGACGGCTAGGCCGGTCCACCTACCAAATTGTTCAGAACTGCTATCGAAACTGAATTTCAAAGAATGAGGACTCAGAGGCACTGTAAGTGTTAGAGAAATTCAATTAAACTTAAATTCCAAAGGCTAAAATATGTTTCTCACCTCAAAAATCATTGCAATATGCTAATTTTTAAAAAAATCAAAAATAATATATTAGGGTTTAATTTCAGAGGCGGGATTTGATCCAATAAACACCCCGTTTTGGTCTCAGCTTCGAATGTTTCGTTTTTTACGAATCACTCTAGTAATTTTTCTACTTGCCTTAAGCACATGTGGAGTCATTACGGTATTTTATCTTGAATATTTACCTTGGATTGCAGTAAGCACACATCTCAGCATAATTTATCAATGCTATTTAGTTCTGCTGCTTTATTTTAGATTCAGAAAAATTGACCCGTTTTTTGATGAAATTGAGACTTTAAGTTTAGGCGAAAATGGTCCTTTGGTAAATCTTGATGATATTTTGCAAAAGTTAAAATAAGTGTTATAAGGCCATAAGACTATCTGGCGTAGATCTACCTAACTTAAGGATTAGCTCCCTTGATTAGAGCCACCTCTTGCAGATGCCTAGTTAATCTCGATAGATGAAGACTAAGCGGGAGGCAAATCCTCCCTATCCCATCTGATAGAGATTGGAAAATCTTCAGGTGGGAAACAAAACTTCCCTCTTCGGCGAGGCATCCCCAAACCCGAAGGCTATATCAAAAGTGACAGAGGCACTGTGTTCAGCTTCATCTGGATAGGTCCTACCTGCTCGATAGTGACGTGCCTCGGAGACCTTCTTCGTCAAAGTTCTATATTTTGCAATAATTAAACGATTATGCTGGCCATAAGTGGATAAACCGCTAACGCTACCCATCTTGGCTCTAAAAGGTCACCCTTTTGGATTTGAAGTCTGAACCACCTGCCCAAGGAATGAGCTCCCTCGGGCATAGCTACCATCTGTAAGGTCCCGATGAGAAGGATCCACGTGGTATATAAAACCTGTCTCGGCATCAGACAGGAAAATCTTTGGGGGAGAAATAAAAATCCTGTTTCGGTAGTCTTCCCATTGAGATGGTCTACTTAGCTTACGAAGAGCTTGCTTTCACCACCCATAATTATGGTCACCGTTCCATCAGAAGTTTTCTCCTCAGAATCCTATTTCCATCAACTTCATCATTTATTTCTATATTTTGCAAGGAATGTTCGATAGAAATGCACTTCTAGCCTACTCAGAAGGTATGATGCTGGTAATTATTATGTAGCCTTACGAAAAAGAGCGATTTTTATCAATAGTATCTGACGTAGCCATAATAGAACAGCCCGGCGAAATCTCCAGCTTGACCTTAGGAATCCCCGTCTATATTATTCCCAGTCAGCCTGAAATTGAAAATGACAATGACGCAATAGGCCTCCCTTACAAAATTGAAGAAAGCTGTATATCATTAGAAGACATCACTGTCGAAATTTAATAATAATCTGTTTCATAATCTTAAGATGGAAGGATTCAAAATTATTAAACTTCTAGGAGAAGGAGCCTTTGGGAAGTGCTATCTCTGCGAAAATAACTCAGACAAATCCACATGTGTAATCAAACAAATCGACATTTCTCGCATGTCAAGCCAAGAAAAAAAAGAAGCCTATCATGAAGCCAAAGTAATGTCAGCTTTTGACCATCCCAATATCATTAGGTTCAGGGACGTCTACACCACAACAAACGGAAAATTAAACATCGTCATGGACCATGCAGATGGAGGCGATTTGGCTACAAAAATAAAAGAACAGCGGGGCAGACCATTTAATGAAAATCAAATTTTAGATTGATTTGTACAAATTTGCCTTGCAATGAAGCACGTCCACGATAGAAAAATTTTGCATAGAGATATCAAAGGACAGAACATTTTTTTGATGAAAGAAAGAAATATGATCAAACTTGGCGATTTTGGGATCGCAAAAGTTTTGAATCATACCATTGATAAAGCCAGGACACAAGTAGGGACTCCTTATTATTTGTCACCTGAAATTATAGAAAATAGGCCATATAGCTTTAAAAGTGATGTATGGTCTATTGGAGTTTTATTGTATGAATTGTGCGCACTTAGGCCGCCATTTGATGGAAATTCGATACATCAGTTGTCGTGCAATATTGTTAGAGGAATTTATACCCCGCTTTCTAATAACTTTTCGAAAGATTTGAAGAATTTAATTGGACAAATGCTGTCTTTAGATCCGAATAAAAGGCCAAATATAGCGCAGATTTTGAAAATGCCGTTTGTGAGGAATAGAGTGCAGAATTTTTTGAGTGAGACTATAAGGAAAAAGGAGTTTTCTCATACAATTTTGCATAATCAAAATGTTTTTGTGCAGAAAAATGAAGAAGCATTAAAAAAAGCAAGGGAAATTCCAAAGGAAAAGCCAAAAGAAATAAAAAAGGAAATTTTGGAAAGGAACAGAGATTTACCATATGCGAGAGAAATTCCGAAAAATGACTATAAATATGAGATTCCGCAAAAAATTCAAGAAGAAAGGCAAAAAAACTATGAGATTCCTCAAAAACTGCAAGAAGAAAAGCCAAAACTCTATGAAATCCCACAAAGAAATCCTGATCCTAAAGGCTATGAGCCTAAAGCCTATGAGGTTCCTAAAAGAAATCCTGATCCAAAACCTTATGAAATTCCTGTAAGAAACCCAGATCCAAAACTTTTTGAAATACCCCAGCGAAATCTTGACATTCAGCCGAAACCATTCGAAATCCCTGCTAGGAATGAAAAAAAGCCTGAAGCAAAAATCCCTGAAATCCCTGCATGAAAACCTAAAGATAAACCTCCAGAAAACAAAAAAAATGCTCTCCCTGATATCCCTCCTTGAAAACCCCAAGCTCTTGCTGAAATCCCCCCTTACAAGCCTCCAGTCCCCAAAGCTCAATCTCCTCTTAACAAGCATCTAGAAGACGAGTTTAAGCCAGTCCAAAAACAAAGAAATGACCCAGCAGGGCTTGGACTAATTCAATGGGACAAACCAGAAGACAAAAAGCAAAATAATTTAAAAAAGAAAATCGATGATATGAAAATTAAAATGAAAGAAGAACAAGACAAAAGAGACGAAGAAGAAGCTAAAAAGCAGGCTGCATTAAAAGCAAAAGAAGAAAAACACAAAAAGCATTCAGAAGAAAGAAATGAAATGAGAAAAGATATGCCTGCTCACAATAAATAAAAATTATATAAAAATAGGGAAATTTATTATATATTTATTATAAATAGGTATATACCCAAAATAAAAAAAATATGATGATTTTTGTTTTAAAAAAATTTTAAAAGAATTTATAGAGAAATGGTATATGGAGAGAGACGGAAAAAAGAAATGAAAAAGAAAAAAAAGAAAAAAGAGGATGTAGTTGTAGAATGACTAGGAAATGGCAGCTCACGACAGTTGTATACAGAAGAACAAGACCAAGACAGAATGCTCCATGAGCTGCAAGATATAGCTGATGGAAATATCCCTGATGATATAGAAGATGAAATAATGCCTTCAATTGAAGAAATCGAAGAAGAAAAAGACGAAGACGTGGTAGACAGAATAGACGATCTTGAAAACCAAGCTGTCCCACCTATAGAAAAAATAGAAATTCCTGTTGAAAATAATGTAGTTTCGATTACTATAGAAAGTTTTCCAAAATTTTATGATAATAAGCTGACACCTGCTGAAACTTTGGAGCTCTTAAGAGGGTATTTAGAGGAAGAGCTTGGCATGGAATCTTTAATGAAAACATACCAAACACAAAAAACAATAGAAAAAAGAGCCCAAGAAAACCTATGGAGCGATGAAGACCCATTTGAAGCTGCTGCATTACAAAGAGGAAAATCCCATGACATAGGCTATAAATTGGTAGAAACTTTGATATTTTTGGAAGAAAATATTGATAAAATTCAATAATAAAATGGAACTAATTTTAATAGCTCAGCATTTCTATACGAGCAATCCGATAGAGAATTATGATGAAGATAGATGCAGATATATAAATAGAAAAGCGGTGCAGGCACCTATTATTACACTTTATGGAAGGATGAGAGATGGGACGAGGGCGGCATTGCATATCCATGGGGTAAAAAATATTTATTCTTCCCCTTTTTAGGGGGAGAAAAAATTCTATTTTAGGAAAATTAGCACCTTTCTTTAGTGAGAAATAAACGAATTTGTAATTAATCATTATAATAATATGATCTTCAGCTAATTATAATAAATTTTAGAATAACTTGGATCTTAAACATTAATTTTAAATTAGAGTAGATTTTGATTTCAAATATTTAAATGAAATTTTTAATTTATTTAAATTGGAATAAAAGATGAAATTAAATAATTGACCTTTTTTGGCGAATATTTTGCTCACTAGTTAGCCAGAAGGGTGAGTTAGTATTATCCTTTTTTCTATGTGCAATTACCTAAACCCTTCTGTGAGCAGAAAAGATCATTTGAAAATCCTGCTTTTTGTAAATTAAACCCCTTTAGTGAATGGGCAGAAAATCTTTTTTATAAAATAAACAATGACTCTTATTATTAAATCTCTATCTTATTTTATTGGATTTACGCAGCTTCCAAAACTTAAATTTTATAAATCTCATTGTATTTAGATTTAAAAATTTTGATGTTTTAAATTTTAAAAGCACCTATTGAGAGTGAGCAAAGCTATCAATGTCAAATAAGGGAAGTAAAGATTTTGAGCCAAATTTTGAAGAAATGACTGAAATATTAGAAAAAGAAATTAATTCAGGTAAAAAACAAGGTATTCCAATTATCCACGATATGCAGATCGTTGAGAAAATTCCATTTTACGGATTTCATACAGAAAAGGTCAGATTTATCAAAATTTCAGTTTACTCAACTGAAAACGTAAAAAAAGTGGCTGAAATCTGCTGTGATGGAATCTGTGGCATTAGGCTTCAGCCTTATGAAGCTCATATTGACGTTTTTCAGCAGCTCTACACTGATTACAATTTTGCAGGAATGGAATGAATTAAATCCAAAAAAGCCTTTTTTAGGCAGCCTTGCATTCTTCCCTCAGCTCCTACTCACAACATCAATAAATCCACCTATTGTGAAATTGAGGCCGACTGCATGCATTATGACTTAGAAAGGTCTGAAGTCGCCCCTCCTCATAATTTTGGACAAATTTCTATGCCTTCTATATTAGGTATCTGATTTGTAAAAAATATATAGAAAGAGTTCGAAAGAAGAATGAAAAGTAACGAAAGTATGCATGAACGTATATCAAAACTCCCTGAAAATTACAATTTTACATATGATTTTATCCAATCTCCTGAGCATAAACATCAGCTGCTATATTTAAAATCATTGCCAAAGGATAATTTAGATATTTTAAGTGCTAATCCTCCTACAAATTACGCAACAGTGAATATGGTAGATGAAGACGATTATAAACTATTAGATGATATTATTGATACATCAAAGCCTAATTTAATAGAAAATAAAATAAATGCTGAAATGATGAAGCTGGATTATATTTCTCCAGCACAAACGTATTATAATTGATATTAAATTAGATATTTTTATATTATGAAAAAAATTAGTTAAAATATTTATTTTAAAAATAATTTAATTTAGAGGGATTTACCATGAAAAAAGACTAAAAGATTTTACTGAAAGAATGACAAGTGCAAGGGTAAGGAAATTTTTTTTCTCGCAAAATTATAATGAAAACTTGAATTTTTCAATTGGCTTTGCTTATGAATATTCGCCGCAGCCACCAAAATATGAAGATGTTTTGGAATCATCTCAGTACAGCGTAAGAATAGTAAATCAACCTTTATTTTTAGGCACAAAAAATAAAATAATAATCCAAGGAATCACAAATCCAGAAATCTTATCAAATGAAAATTACAAAAATCTCCCCGATTTCGCACATAAGCTTGCAAAAAATCAAATAAAAGCTGATCCTTTTCAAAATAGCTATCTTTATAAGCCTATTCCTCCGAAATATAATGATATTTTTCAGCTTTCGCAGAGCGAAAGCTCATTAACTAATTCACAAGCTATTAACCTTCAGCCTGTAAAAGCTTATGTCCCCACCCCTCCTCAAAAATCCCACAATTCCTATGTGACTACCTTTTTTTTAGAAATTTTTTGTGAAACTCGAGGTTCTCTTCTTCCTGACCCAAAAATTGACCCTATAAGATTTATAGTCTACAAAGTCCATGACGACTTAAATCGAGCTGAAGAAGGGCTTATCCAGTTTGGTCACAAATCCTCATGCTATATAAGAAGCAAATACTCCTTTAATGTGACTTATGTAAATACAGAAAAATTGCTTATAGAATGAATAACATTAAAAATCCAAAAATCTGATCCCGATTTTATTATAGGTTTTGAGACTGAGAGAGCTAGTATTGGATATTTAATGAAAAGGGCAAAAGCTATAAAATATGACATGCCTTCACAAATAAGCAGACTTTTTAAGTTTTCTGCATTTAATCCTGGCAAAATAGGTGGACAGAAAATACCTGGGAGGATGATATTGACTGCATGAAGAATTGTGAAGGCTGAGGAGAATTATTATTCTTATAATTTTCATAATTTGGTGTATCTGGTATTAAATGTGAGGCTGCCTTATTATTCATCAGAAACTTTAACAAGGTTTTTTGCTGAAAATAGGTATCTTGTTTATGATTATATTTGAGACATTTTAAGCTGAATTTATTGAATAAAGCTAGCATTATAAGTCTAAAAGCATTTTTTAAATAAAAATAAACCCTAGTAGAGTCCTAATTCAGTTGAAAAATATATAGTTCATACAGAAAAGTTAATAGACCATTACACAATTATAGAGAGAAATGTGCTGTTAGCCCAAGTATACTGTATGGACCTTCCTAGTGTATTTACCAGAGGTTCCCAGTACCGAGTTGAAGCTTTAATGAAAAAAATTATTAAATCTTCTGATTATTTGCTACTTTCTGCTATGAAATCCCAAATTCAATCACAAAAAGAGCTGGAAATTATTCCATTAGTTGTTGAGCCTGAAAAAAAGTTTTGAGTTGACCCAGTTATTGTCCTGGATTTTCAGTCTCTTTACCCCTCCCTTATGATTGCTTATAATCTCTGCTATTGCACTTGCCTTGGAAAGCTCAATGCTCAGCCCTACAAAAAATTCGGTGTAACAACCATGAAAGGCAGCATTTATAGTGGTGAAAACGATATATTAATAGCTCCAAACAATGTAGGGTACATAAATTGGACCAGAAGGCGAGGAATTTTGCCTAGAATGATGTATGAGCTATTACAGACCAGAATTATGATCAAAAATGCAATGAAAAAAGTCGATAAAAAATCTATTGAATATGTCCAATTATTTTCCCAACAGCTAGGAATAAAACTTCTTTGTAATACCACATATGGATATACAGGGGCTGGGCAGTCAGGGAGGATGCCATGCAATGATATTGCTGACACAATTGTGGCGCTAGGAAGAAAAACATTAGAAGCTGCAATATATTTGGTTGAAAATAATCCTAAATGAGATGCTAAAGTTATATATGGGGATACTGATTCTATGATGATAAAGCTAGGAGGAAGAACGGTAGAGCAAGCTTTTCAGGTAGGAAAAGAAATTGCCAATGCAATTAATCAGTCAAATCCTAAGCCTGTAGAAATCTTGTTAGAAAAAGTTTATTGTCCTATGATAACACTAGCAAAAAAGCATTATACAGGCTGAAAATATGAAAAACCAGACTCAGTGCCTGTGTTTGAAGCTAAAGGTATAGAAACTGTCAGAAGAGATATATCTATTTATAATGCCTCGCCTTAATTTTATAATAAATTGAAAAATTCAATATAAATTGAGATAATTGTCCATTATCAGCCACTATATTACAAAAGGCTTTAACAGTCCTTTTTTCAAAAGACGTGTCTCAGCTTTATGATTTTTTATGTAACGAATGGAATCAAATTTTGACAGGAAAAGCCAGAATAATTGATTTTATTTTTCATGAAAAAGTATCTCTAGATGCCTATAAAAACCCTCCTCCAGCTTATATTATATCAAAACGAAAAGAAGACCAAGATAGAATGGCCAAACCTCTATGAGGCGAAAGAATAGGCTACGTCGTTATTTCAGGAAAACCAGGGGATAATTTATCAGACCAGGTTGTTAGCCCTGAGGATTTTTTAGCTAACCCTGACTATCAGCTGAATAGTTCTTATTATATTGAAAGAAATCTTAATACAATTCTAAACAGACTGCTTGAAACAGCTGGAATTGATGTATTTGCATGGTACCAAAAATACCCTAAAAGGAGAGGAAATACACAACTATTAAACAATAAGCCATTGGCAAAATCTGGGTCAGCAAGATTAGATAGGTATTACCAGCCTGCACATTGCATTATTTGTAAATGTATCTCGCAAACTGATTTTTGTGAGTCGTGTGGGAATGATACACAAAAATTGAATTTAGGGATACAGATTGTGCTTAAACAAGAGGAAAAAAAATTGAAAAATCTCGATGATATATGTAGAGCTTGTACTGGATGTGTCAGAGATATTGAATGTATTTCGTTGGATTGTCCTATTTATTTAGAAAAAAATAAAATAAAAAGAGAATTTGAAGGAAAATTGCTAAAAATGCATAAAAAATTGAAATAATTGAATTATTTTTTAAGGTATATTAGAATAAAAATAATGAAAGAATTAAATTCTTATTGAAGTAAAAGCTGAATCAAATCTCCAGCCGATTTGCCACATTGACGATAGTTGCTTCCACAATTGTTTACATCAGTCATCAAGCTATTAGCTTCTTCCATATGGGCTTTATAGTTACTAGCCACATATTCAAGGCTTAAATTAGCTCTAGCCCCACAAGTGTTCATAATGAAGACAAAGTCAAAAGCTGTTTTTTGGACGCTGCATGAGAAATTGAGGATATCTCTAACCTTCTTAAGGGTGCTTTCATCTTGGAAGCTTGGGGTTGTAAAGTGGTAGATATCATATGCAACTGTCCCGACGTCAAGAACTGTGCTAATGCATCCCCAAATACTTGAAAAACTTGCTTGGAAGCCTTCAACTATTTCTAAGGCTCCAGATAAAGGAATTCTTTCTGTAAATAATGAGATTAAATCTGATGTTGGCATACCCATAAGCTGACCAGCATATACTCCACACATTTTCCAGTTGTCAGAGCAAGACAGAGGCTGGTTAACACCAACTGACAACCCGGCCATGAAATCATCGATTGGATTAGCAGTGTTTTCGGAAGCAAATGCTGAAATCAGAAGAAAACTGACGAAGAGAAGTTTTCCTGCCATTGTTTATTATGAATTTGTTCGACCAAAATATGAAGATTTAATGGGATTGGAATTTTTAGGGAAATTTAATATTAAAATGCTGTTAGTTAATTTCATAATAAAAAAAGTTCAAAAAATTTGGAATAGCTACTAAAAGTGGTCGAACATTTTTGCAGTGACATTTTAATTGTTAAGTTGTCAAGTAAATATGGAAATTACTACTATTTAGAGCAGTGTACTTCTGAAATTCATGAATAGAGCTATAGTTATTGATAATATGAAGCTGAAAACAGTTATTAAAATACATATATGAAAAAGAATGGAAAATGAAGAGTTATATAAAATTTATCAGAATTTCTTGAAAAAATTATATTGCAAAAAGCAGTGAAATTTTACGATATAGTGCTTTATTGCAATAAAATAATGCACCATGCTAAGCACTCATTTTATAATATACATTAGACTTGATGCTGAACTGTTCGCCACAATTTAAAAAATTTGGTAACGCACTTTTTAATATAGTTCTAATTTTTCAAGGACGAAATAAATAAAATCCGATACTTTTAGCAGCAATTGGTCTATTTATATTAAGCCTCTAAAATTAGTAAATGCAAAGTCTCCAGTCATCCATTAAAAACTTAATAATTGGTAGAGAGATCTTCTTGATTAATAAATGGCATATTATTTTGAGTCATCCGAAGCATGAAAGTTCGATTTTGATACAGAAACCTGAGAGAAAATCGAAATTGACTGAAACGAAGATTTTGGATCACGATTTTGCACTCTGTATTATGAAAATTCAGTATTTATTATTGGAGGTATTTGTAATGGAACTTTGAATAGAGTTTTGCAATTTGAATCAGAATCCATAAGACAGTTAACACCTATGCTTTCTAGCAGAGCTGATCTATGTGCTATATGTTTGTCAGGGATTATTTATGCAATTGATAGATATAAAATGGCGATGACGAAACAACAGTCCTCTTGTGTGAATATCCTATGGATATCCGGGCATGGTTTTTGAAGCGAACTGGCATAGCAGTATATAATGACTTGCGGCGAGGATCCTAAGAAACGAGCAGAAGTTTTGTGGCCTGATCCTATGGGCAGTTATAAAGACTTCTTTATGCCAGCTGCACCCAAGCCAGTAGGCGCCCCCGAATAAGCAGTTTGATTAGCTGCTTAAGTTGCTATCGTGGTTTGCCCCAAATCGCGGAAGTGGCTGGGTATTTTTCCAGGATTAGGCATACATTTTATCTGCAGTCCCTCCGGCTGAGGGTCCTTTGAGTGGGGCGATCTGACCAGAGTAGAAAATATAAGATGGCGTAATATGGACAAAAAGACATGTACTAATTGACCAAGAATAGCCCACTAAGGAGCCATTCTTGGTCTGCCAGAAAAAATTTTGACAAAAGATCCTAATCTGCCATTACCACTGAGTTTTGGTGTTTCCAAATTTTTTGGGGCAAGCCAAATGCAATAAAAAAAATTGTTCTTTTGCGATGATGCATTTGGCTTGTCAAAAAAATTTGGCAACACCAAAACTCAGTGGTAATGGCAGATTAGGATCTTTTGTCAAAATTTTTTCTGGCAGACCAAGAATGGCTCCTTAGTGGGCTATTCTTGGTCAATTAGTATAGTTAGAAATGGTGATGCTGAGCAATGGTCTGCAGACCCAACGGGGCATTCACCACTGACAAATTGTTTTCAGCCTGGGCTCAGAGGTAAGTCCACCCAATTCGCTTGAGCCACCGGCAGAGCTCCTTAAGGAGCTGTACAGATGTCACTCATTGAAGTGGGGACTTTAAATATCTAGCTTCTAGCATAGCATAACATATGCAATTGGAGGGTATAATGAAGAATCTGACCACTCTTTGAGCACTGTTGAAGCTTATAATATTGAAAAAAATAAATGGACTTCTCTTCCTCAGTTAATTTATCCGAGAGTAAATTCATCTGCAGCTGTAAATGGGAGTTCTATTTATGTATGTGGAGGAACAGGGATTTCCTCAATAGAAAAGTTCGATATAAATCAGGAGGAATGAATTCTTTTAGATTTGGTGCTTCCAGGTAGCATTTCTTCATCAGGGCTTTTCTCAATAAACCAATCCATTATGATTTTCGGAGGCCAAGATGAATCTGAAACTGCTTTGCATAGCGTGTGGCTCCTTGACTTGCCAAATGATTCAATAGCTATGCAGCAGCAGCTTCGAAAGTCTTTTATGATAAACCAGCCAATCATAAACCGTTGTGGAGTATTATATTTATTCCATGATAAAGATTTTACAACTTATAATATCGGCCGATTTAAAGAAAGAAACGGCAGCGAAGTTAGCTTAACCCCATCCAAAATTGAGTATATAAGGACCGAAGACTTTTTAAGAAATTCCTTAGAACGAGGCGTCTTCCACGTCGACAGACACTCAGTGAATTCTTTCAAAGTCTCCCTGCCGAATTCTCCTAAAGTCCTTATCATTAGAAGAATCGGCAAAGATGACGAAATTGAGTCAGCTTTTATGAGAACAGTCAGATATCTGCTTGACAAAAACACAACAGTATTCGTAGAAGCTGACAGAACAAAAGACTTAAACCCTCAAGTTCACAAATTCCACGAAGGATTATGTGAAAAAATTAACTTAGTTATAACTCTGGGAGGGGATGGGACTGTCATATGGGCCATCAGCTTATTTAAACACACATCAATGCCGCCGTTGCTTTCTTTTAATACGGGTTCTCTTGGATTTATGACTTCATATAATATAGGAAGCCTAAACGATGTTTTAGACCAAGTTTTTACCTTGCCAAGTATTCATGTCGATTTAATATCACGTTTAAAATGCCATGGAAAAGAAGCGGGTGAAAAAGAATGGGGCCAAGCTGCCAATGAAATTTGTATTGACAGAGGTCCCGGGGTGTCACTTTTAGAGCTTGAAATATATCTTAATGGAGAATTCTGCACAAATGCTATTGGGGATGGGCTGCTAGTAGCCACACCATGTGGATCAACTGCTTATTCTTTATCAGCAGGAGGCTCAGTTGTGCATCATGGAGTCCCTGCTATATTATTGACACCAATTTGTCCACATTCATTATCATTTAGACCTATTTTACTGCCGGATTCTGTCACTATTACAATCAAAGTGCCGGAAAATTCAAGAATTCCAGCTTGGGTGGGGATTGATGGGCATTCAAAATTTAAGCTTGCAAGAGGGGCGTCTATGGACATAACGGTTTCTAATTATCCTGTGCCAAGTAAGGTTTATTTAGATATAAATTTGAACCACTGTATTGCATCGTGGCTCGGGAGACTGAATAATATTCTCGGGTGGAATGACAGAAGAAGGCAAAAACCTATAATACCTTATTAGACGCTTAAATTTATATAATTATTTACACCTATATTTTTTTATCTGAATCTCAGTCAATTGATATTTCATAAAAAAAAATTTAAAATATTTATAGGTAGATTATGCCTAAATTATGTCATATAAAAATAAATGACTGATTTGAACTCAGATCTTTTAGAAATAAAATGATTCTCAGCCTTGAGCACATTTTATTTATAGTTTTCCAGTCTAGAATGGACAGTAATTGGTAATGCACAGAGCCTAGCACTAGTCCTCTTTCAGGATTGGATTTTACCTCGAGGGAAAAGGTAGGTTGAGAGTTGGAAAGGAAAACCATGAGCGTCTATAGGCAATGCCTAGACCATTTGGGCATCTTCCTAGAGTGAAACTGGGAGTTAGCCCCAGGCTTTGAATTTTCCCTTTTTACCAAATTTGGCCAGAAATTCCTTTTTTGGAATTTTTGTGCAGACAGCTTTCATTCAGCCCAAGTCGATAGCCTTCCCACTCATCATTGCATTGGAGCTGGCTGCGTTACCAATAGGTGGAAGCCAATCTCTATTTAAGTTAAGTTAAGAATTCAGGCCTTTTAATGGTTTGCATAGTGATCCTCAGCTACTTAGTCTATCAAAAATTCAAACCAAAGGAGCCTCCACTATCCCCTGGCTTACCTCCGCTCCGCTTTAAGAGTGTGACAAAAATTTCCTCAGAAAAGTCAATTCTTTCATTGCCCAAAGTGTCCGAAATTTCATGGAGATCTAAAAAAGTTCCCAGAATTTGTATTTCAGGTGGGCCTTGTGCAGGGAAAACTACAAGCTTAGCAAGGCTGTCTTTAAGACTTCCTGAGCAAGGGTATAAAGTTTTTACGGTCCCTGAAGCAGCCACACTTTTAAGATCTGGTGGGGCGATGATTAATATGTCAAATTTTGATGATACCCAAATGACTCAGGCCATTTTTTGATTTTTTTTAATATTTTTTTTTAATTATTTTTAAGAAAAAAAATTTGGAAATAAATATTAAAATAACCTACACCCAAAAAATTGATTTTCAATTGAGATTAGTAAAACTTCAATTGGCCCTCGAAGATATTTTTACTACAATTGCTGAACACAGTGGCGGTAAAGCAATTGTTATCTGTGATCGCGGGGTTATGGACGGAGCTGCATATATCCCGCAAGATCTATGGCAAGCTTTATTAGATGAAATGGGTTTAACGAAAGTTCACTTAAGAGACTGTAGATATGATATTCTATTGCATCTCGTTACAGCTGCTCAAGGCGCAGAAAAGCATTTTTCTAATAAAAATAATGTTGCGAGATATGAAGATTTAGAAGAAGCTAGAAATATTGACAGGCAACTACTTAGAGCTTGGACAGGTCATCCAAAGATGTTTATTATTGATAATGAAAGAGTATAGTTTATTAGAAATTTTATTTATATTTAAATGTTTTATCGATCAAAAATTTAACACCTCATATATTTAGCATCATTTTTAAAAAAAAATATTTAATAAGCTATATCATCTTTTGACCAAAAAATAGAAAAATGCATTGAAATTGTCTTCAGTCACCTTAACTTGCCATCACAGAACCATTTTAATTACAAATTTTTAATAAAAATGCGTCCTCATGACTGGAAAATGCCAGACTATATAGAATATCAAAAGATATCAGTTGAAGAAACATTTTTAATGCGCCAGAAGGCTGACAGAACAATAGTTGAAAGAGTCCAAAGGAGAGGATATAACAATAGCTATACATATTTATATGTAAGGGAACTTATGATTGATGATGCTAGAAATTTAAAAACGACTGAATCAAATATAATATCATCAAGAGAATACATTTCTTATTTAAAGCGAAGAGATAGAACAAGGAAAACTGTACATAGGACGTTGCTTTGTTTTATATATGCTGAGGATTATATGATTTTAGATACTTTTGAAAATGTTGTTAAAGGTTTGACTATTTTGAGAATTCAAACAAAAAAGCCAAGAGATGAACTAATTTTGCCTGAGTTTGTCACTGTAATCAGAGACGTGATGAATGATATGTCATACTCCACCCATATATTGGCAAAAAATGACTATTTTCTGGATGAGATTGATGTCACAAAATTATAAAGCTACTTTAATTAAAATAGTCATAAATCTATATAAGTTAATTGTCTTCAAACAAAAAGGGTCTCAATACCAAGAAATTTTCAGCTGCTTCGTTGGTTTTGGCTGGGAATGCACTTATTTTGTTTGGATTATTTTTCGGATTTCCAGCTTTTTCATTGAAAATATCAGAATCTCCTCTTTTTATTTGTTTTTCGAGCTCTGAGTTTCTTTTCCTTAGCTCGTTTATTTCATCGTTTGTAGCTTTCATTCTTCTATCATATTCAGATTTAATAGAATCAATTCTATTTTTGACTTTTATTTCAAACTCAGCTTCTTTATTTATCATTTCGCAATGATATTTTTCTTCTAATTCTTTCTGGATTTCTCTCACTCTCTCATCATTTAAGTAATCTTTTTTTTTGCTTATTTTGCTTTGCAGCTCTTTATAAATCCTCTCTCTTTGCAATTTCAGCTCAATTTCTAGCTTACATTTAAATTGATTTTCACTAGTGTCTTTTTTTTCCTCAATTTGTTGTAGCAGTTTTTTATTTATTTGTTTTAATTCACATAATTCTTGTTCATAATGGTTTCTTTGAGCATCAAGTGAGTCTTGGTATGATTCTTTTGTGTGCTTAATATGCTGCTTTATATCAATTTAATTAAATAAGAATTATTATATGATAATACAGAAAAAGCCATTATATAATTTAAGCAAATAATAAGGTGTTATGCCTCAGCAAATGGCTCAAATTTTATCTAAAAGAAATAATATTTTATTTTCTTCACGAATATTTTTAAGCTCTTCTTTTAATTCCTGGACTTTTTCTGGGGATGAGTTTTCCTTGTCTGTTTTTCTTTTTTCTTTAATTTTTGAGAGATTCAAAGAAATATTCCCTAGATGCCTCTTTTTTAAAACTGAATGAGAAGACGACATATTTGGAATTATGCTGTGGAATGAGTCGAAAATGTCGGTATTCGCAATAGAATTCAAAGCAAGGAAATCTATTTCTCTTTCAGTTTGCTGCTTAGGCATCTGCATAGAGTAATTGTGAGCTTTTTTGGGGCTGGGCTGAGAGGATGACCTTTTGACGCTGCATCTTGATTGGTTTGCACTTTTTCTTGATTCTTCAAGCAATTTAACTTTTGCGTCATACTATTTTAGTCTTACGTGTTTGATTTTCTCTTTTAGGACGGAAAAGTTGCTTTTCTTACGGCTTCGAGGTTTCTTTTGGCTTTTTTGTACGAAATCATTGTCATTATTTATCTCCATTTTAAAATTACCCGCCTATCAAAAAATTATAATCATTTGTCTCATTTGTTATGCTTTATTTATTAATATAGCTACGCGCTTTAATAGATTTAGGTGTAGGCGATTTGAGATAGACAGTTGAAGTGCTTTTGCATTTATTGCCAAATAAATAATCTAGATAGCCGTGGCCAGTGAGAATTTAAGTATAATAGCTTAAATTTTAATAAAAATTAAGTCAAAAGTGATGGAACTTTTAAACGTATAACAGCGCTTTTATCATTGTTCCGCTTATACAATAAAAATCTGACTAATTCGTACCTCATGGGCCATGGGATTTGTTGTGTTCGTTCCATTTTTATCTCAGTCGTCAACCTATTTGATAAACCAAATAAAAAGCGAAAATGGCTAAATCTAATTCTTTAGCACACCAACTCTGATTATGAATCAGACTCAACCAAATTTCATAAGCTGAATATAATTTATTAAAAAAAAGTTGAACTTAGCAGTTGACTTTGCAATTCTGGATATCTTTTTTGAATATACTAATTTGATAGATTGCATCTAATATAAAAAATTTTAAATTATAAAGATGGCATTTAGATAATGAAGTTTTATAAACCATGAGTAGCTACAACTTTTTAAGAGCGAAAAAAAAATGATTGCAGGGTTTATACTAATGGTTAAAATTTCATCGAAAATTTTTTTTAAAAATTTTGCATTTTTTAAACTCATAAATTTGAGATAGAGACATAAGTGAAAAATTAAAACTTTAAAAATTATGAGTCACAATGATGATTTTAGGCAGAAACACTTAAAAAGATATGCTTATGGTTCAAATTTCACCGAAAAATTTGCTTTTTTAACAGTTAAAAATATAAAGATGAAATGAATAATTGTTTTTGTCAAATAAGGAAGTTGAGATAGCTGTGATTTAATTTTCATGGAATTTATTAAAAGAGACATATTTTCTAGGAATTAGTCTAAAGTTCAATTTTCATTTTTTATTTGGTTTGCCAAAAGGTTGGTACTTGATGTAAAAATGGAACGAGCACAGCATATCTCATGGTTCATGACGTAAGAATTAGTTAGATTTTATTGTCGTAAGCTTCCGAAACCATTATAAAAGTGCCGCAACGCACTTCTAATCAATTTTATTTCTTTAAGGATTCCATCGATTTTAACTTATTTTTATTTAAAATTTAAACAATTTTAAATACCCACTTGCCACAGCTATCTAGATCATTTATTTGACAATAAATGCAAAATCACTTCAACTATCTATCCCAAATCGCCATTAAAAAATCTATTAAGATGCGGATCTATACTTGAAACTTGTATATTTTCTAATTTATGAAAATTTAAAGTCCAATTTAATTGATTATAGTATATATTTTAATTTATAAGCTAATTATTTACTAAAAATATTGATTTCTATATTTTATTGTGAAATATAACAAATTGATTTTTACTGGCTGATTATATCAAAATTATTAATTTTTGATATATTGTTTAATTTAATTTTAACAAATTCCATAAAAATAAAAATGGCTTGAGATAAAAATGATAAAAAGTGTAAATTTTTAATGATTCTGTTAATTCTCCTTTCTAATTGAGTGAGTAAAGTTATTGAAAAAGCCCCAAATATAAAAATAATATAATGATAATTATTATAGCTCTATATATAAATTTTATAGATAAAATTATTTTATTTTTCATTTTTGCAAAATGTGATAAAAAAAGGTATCCAAACTTTAAAAAAAATTAATAATAAGAGCAGGCAAAAGCTTTACTCGAACTTGGAGGGGAAGAGTAAGAATTCCATTTACTTTTAGCTTTTTGTAATCTAAAATAAATTAAAATACCTTAGACTCAATAAGATTTATTTTCAGTCATTGATTATTGAATCAGATTACTTATGCCATATTACAAAATAGCAAATAAATCTCTTCCTAAAAGCTGCTCAGCAATGCTAAGTTCTTCTACTTTTTCTTTCTTCATCCTACCAGAAGCATAATCTCGATGTTGGCAATTTTCATTATTAAACTTATTGAAAAGCCTACTGCAGTTCCCGAAGGACCATCTCCATTCGTAATTTTCCCCACTTTCTTACAAGTCTGTACACAAACTTGCTCGACTAGCTCTTGCTGAAAGAGAGATTGACTCACTAATAGGCAGTTAGATATTTTGTGCCGCCATGTGGCTCATCAATAATGTTGCTCACAATGGAAGATTAAAAATGGTTGAGCTTTCTGATCGACTCTCAGCCAAAATGGAAATTTGACAACTCTTTTTTCACGCTAGGAAAAAGTCCGATTGGCCAGGACAGCAATCTCTAGCACTGCTGAAAGATCATTTTCCAACTTTCTCTGAGGCAAAAATCAAGATTTGAAGTAAATCTTGCAGCTGGCTTCACAGATTCCCGAACGCCCATCCCATCTTCCTTAAGTTCTGTTGAGTCTTATCTACAGGAATAAAGAGTTTATTGGCTCACCACGCCATTTTAATATGTCGATGTTGGCTATCGCTACTTCTTTTGACTCCAGCATCAGGACGCTTATGATAAGGATGTATAACAGGAGCTACAACTTCTCCGCTAACAGAAAGCCAGTCAATTTTATACCCTTTAATAATATTTGAGGCATCCAATAAAGATTTTTTAATCCATTTTATTATACTTTTATTTCACTATTTTCGATAATTACAATTTGGCTAGACAAGAAGTTTTGGCTTTAAGCACTAAAATAATTTTAATGAATACTAATTTGTATATATTTTTCCCATCTGTGAAAACTTTCCAAAGTTTTTCTAGCAGCTGAATGGCTTGCGAACTCTATGATCGCATACTTAACTTTGGAAGGATCCGTTTTAATTTTTATATTGACGATCCTTCCAGGGTTTTTAAACAGTCTTTTAACTGAAATTTCATTATCTTGATACGCTAACGGTGACAGTCTAAGTGACTGGTTTAAACAATTTCCCGACGGAATAATTTGCCGTTGGAGATTTTCATATATATCTATATTAGGAACTAAATATTCTGCCTTGGGTAAATTCTTATACACTGAGGCATACAAAAAATGCTTTTTCATTATTTGCCAATTTAAAATGGTTTTATAATGCTAAAATAACCCTTAAGATGCTTGTTCATGAAAAAAATAAGCAAAGCACAATACTTTATAATTATTTCCTGTGCTCTATTTCCCCTAAAAAATAAGATATTGTCCTCTATTATAAACAATTTTATTTTTTTTAATTTAATAAATTCCTAAACTTCGCTTGGTCTGTAAAAATATGTGAATATTTCATCAGCAACTCACAAGCTTCCTTTGTCTTCTTTTCTTGATGTAAAATACTTGCCAAGTCTTTTATAGCGCTTTCCGCTCTGTGCCCCATGTCTATAGCTTGTTGATACAAAAGTTTAGCCTGAGAAAGATCTTTATAGACATATTCAGCCCGCTTGGCAAGTGCATAAGGAGAATCACCTTTAGGAATTGGAAGAGAATCGGTGGTTGAGTTATATTGACGATAGCCATTTGTTGATACTTTGTTTATATAGTACTCACACCGCTTATCTTCAAGCTCAAGTGAATCTTGTCTTATAATGCTTCTTTGTGGAGTGTAAAAAATATCAACGTCCCACAAGGTTTTCGACCTTGGCTTTGTAGGTCTAAAGAAGTCATCTACATTTTCACTTGTCAGATTCCTAAACATTTTAAACCATCTTTAAGGATATTATTTTTCATGAGGATTACTTGGGAAAAATAGCTTGATGGACATATTTGATAATTATGGGGAATTGGTATAGATAATATCTGGCCACAAAATGAAAATATGGTTCTGATAAGATGCAGTTAGGCGTTTTAAATATAATATTCATATATTTTCAGTTGATTTATATAGAAATAGGATTTTTTGACTAATAAATCGCTTTTAATAAAGGATAGCGAGGAAGCTTTCTATTGAATAATGTAGACCTGTAAAGAAAAGTGAATAGCAAGATTAGGAAAATTTTGGTAATAATGATAAATATGAATTAAAGAGACTGTTCTGTATAGAAATTGCTTCAATTTTATTAATTTAAATGAGCTGAAATATATAAATTGATAAATTAAAAAAATATTTTTGACATATTTTATATAAGTATTTATTTTAGAAAACTATTTTTTCTAGTAATAAATACAAAGATTATAAAAAATCAATATTTTTTAATTTAAAGCAGCGTTTACAGAAAACCATTTAAGTTAAAATACTATAAAATGGAAGATAGAGATGCAAAAATAGAAAATTACTTAAACACAATTGACGCAATGGGAGAGCAAATGGAGCACTTAAAATCCAAACTTTCAGAAATAAACTCAAGGATTTCTTCAAAAGCATCTCAGCCAAACCTAAAACTCCTTGATTCCAAAATAAACCAATCCCAAAATGCACTCCAGCAAATGCTCCAAGAAATTGAATATGAGCGCTCAATATTCCGCCGCCTCACAGTTTCAAATGAGCCAGCTAACCCGAGTTTTTCCTCAGTGTAAAAATCTACATAGTGACAAAAATTTAATAAAAAGATTTGAAGAATTATCTGAAGAAAACAAAATTTTAGCTTCAAAGAAAAAATCTCTTGAGTATTCAAATTTGAGGATTCCTTCAGAATCCTCTAAAACACTAAATCCAAATGTTCAATTCTTAATGAAAAAAGCAATCCAAGTCGAAAACCAAAACCAGAATTACCTAGACCTTATTGTTAGGTTAGAAGAGGAAAGGACCAGCATAAATTCTGCATATTCAAAGATCACGCAGAGTCTTAATTCCGTTGACAAAATGAAACAAAAATTAAAGGAATTAGAAGATTTTATTGAAAATAAAAATATCATTATATCGAAACTTGAAGAAAAACTTAAAGAGAAAAATCAAGAATTAAAAGAAAAAGAGTTTGAAATTGAAAATTCTGAAGAGCAGATCATGAAAGAAAGCGTCAAAAACTTGAGGGTAGAATTGGATGAGACTATTGGAAATAGAAAATTATTAGAAGAAGAAATTAAAAAAATTGAAAATGAAAGTAGTCAACAGAAATTAAGGACAACGGTCTTATCTAGTAAAGAAGCCAATTATTTATGCAAAGAAGAAGTAAAAAGACTTGAGGCCGATATAATAGAAAAAAACAAAATTTTAATCCAAAGTGATAAAACTATTTTAAAGCTAAAATCAGAATTGCAAGAAATTCTAAAAAAACCCAGAAAATCTGTATCTAGATTTTCGCTACAACCAAGCTCGCATGCAAGTACTCCACTGCTTTCAGAGCCAAAAATGCCTTCATCGCCTACATCTCCAAAAACACCACAGACATTTGCTGCTAGAGCTGATCCACGTCGAAACACCATTATTTCAAAAATCAGTATAGCTTACACCCCGTTTTGGATCAGCTTTGAGCACCCCTTCCCCATATCACCCATCCCCTAACGGTCCCTAATATTTTAAATGTTAAATATTAATTTGACAAGTTAAAATATTTGAGAGGGACTTGTCAAATAATATTTTAACATTTAAAATTTTCAGGACCGTCAGGGGGTGAGTGACATAGGGAGGGGGTATTTAATGGCGAGCAACCAAGAAGGGTGTGCTATAAAGAAGGCATGACTAGAGATCTTAGAAAAACATTTCGGACTATTGGCAAGCCTAATCAAAGTCTTGGCTCTAAAATTGTTGAATTAAATCGTGGGCTGTTTTTATCGCGTATCAATTCAACCCCTACGCTATTTAAAAGCAAAATTTATACCTTTCCATATACAAAAATATTTTTCATTAATTATAATAGAAATATTTATATCTTCCAGACAAAATCAACACAAATAAAATGGTGACTTATCCAAGACGCCATTCTGCTATAGCTGTGGGTTTAAGAGGGAGGGGACTGGAACTTTGTCTCTGGGTGAATTTTTCCTATTTTAGATACTACGACAGAGTTTTTACCCTGACCCATAGACAATTAGGCCATGGTCCGCAAGATAACTCCACACTTTTAGATGTGAAGGGAAAAAGATCTGAAAAAGGATTTGGGATCGCATCCTATCTCTCATTTCCGGACAGATGGTGCCGACTACTAAGAGTTGTCCAAAGAAGTGCCTGGTGCGCCTCTCTAAGAGATTCTGGCATTTCCATTTTTTGGTGACGTCAACAGAAAAGGGCCTAAATGCAGCCAGATGCTTAGAGCAGGAAGCCTGAAGTCGGTGAAGGCGGAGAGGGACTGAAATAAACCCCGAAAACCCATTCTAGCTTTAATCTAATCAAGACAAAAGCATAGCTAATTTAACTAAAAATTCCATTTATTTTAAGGCCATGATTCGCCTCTTAAAGTTCTCTCCTTTCTTTTCTAGAAAACCTTGGTTTCCTTCAAGTGTTAGATGTTTCAGCGACCTCACAATGGTTGAGATTGATGACATCCAAAACCAAATTATTAAAGCCAAAGATCATAGCAGTATTTTCAGAATTGTTGGAACTAAAGATGACCTATCAATCCACACTTTAGCATTAAAGCATTTAGGAAAATTCATCCTAGAAAAGCAGCTTAAAAGAGAATCTTTGAGAAATAGCACATATTTCAATATGATTGAAAATGTACGGTCCAATTATGAAAAATTAAGTTCTAATGAAGTTAGTGATATTGGCTATTTTCTTACTTATCTATTTAATAAATATTATTTTTATAAATTTTTATTCTAAAACATTTTTAAAAAAATAATTTAAATTAATAATTAAATGATGGAGAATTAGAGCGACCAATTCGGGAGAGCTTGGCAACCATGAAAGCAGAATTTTTGATAGGGTTGCCGAATTTGCTAGCTCTGGAAGATTGGATGAGACTTGGATTGCGAGTGCATTTTTTGATTGAAGTATTTTGGGAAGAAGCAGCAAAGTGCTAGATAAAGTGGCTTTAGATTTATTGAAAGAAGAAGATAACGGGCTTCAATGAAGTGATATTAGTCAATTCATAATTGGTCTAGCAATGTGTAGGCACTGTTACTTTAATGAAATTGCTGATATACTTTTTGATAAAATACAGCAGCAAGAGTATTCTGAAATAGGGGCGCATAAAGTGGTTGATTTATTTTCAGTTTTATTAGATATAAATGCAGTTTACCCAGAAGGTGCGGCATGAAAAACAATAGAAAAAATGCAAAATTACTTGATAAGAAATCCAAAAGAAGTCAGAAAAAAAAAGCTCATAAAATTATTGGAATTTTTTTCTAGAAGTAAAAAAATGTATGTCAATTTAATTATTTTTCTATATAATTCAGCTTAAATATAAGTTTTGAATGACAAATTTGTATTAAAATTCTAATATACTGTAACACTCCACTGTTTGGGATATGTATGGATGCTTTAGAGCAGATGCCTGCTAAATACCCTCATTTTTTTCATAAAGAGTTCTCAGATATTATGTTTGCCCTAGAGAAGTTTTGTGCTAATACAGGAAAAGGCGTACCACAGCTATTAATTGATAAAATACTTGAAAATGATTATAGTACGCAGGGTCCTATTAAAATTGCATATCTTTGCAAAAATCTAAGCAAGATGACAAATACGGTTCCAGACTCTTTTTTAGATATGTTTAGAAAAACATTGAAATCGATGCCTAATACAATAGATTTTATGAAAATGATGCTTGGTCTTTCAGAGCTGGACCCAGAATTTGATATCAATTTATATATACACAATAAGTTTGACAGGCTTAAAGATCATATTCAAGGAGCTTCATTTGCAGAGAATATTGATCTTGTTAGCGTTATGAGAGAATTTCCCCTTTCTTCTGAAGCAGAATCTCTGCAAGAATTAGTTAAATTTATCAATGAAATATTTATTCAATATATTGATAGTAAGGAAAACGCTGTGAAATTTATCAAAGCTTTTACTAACAAGAACGTAGAAGCAGTCATCATAAAAAAACTAACCCCAGCCATTAGACATGCTATGCAAGTAATAAGTGACTATTGGGACGAGGAGAACCCTTGGTACGGGCTTTATCATTTGGTACTGATCTCTAAGGGGAATGAAAACTTTTTCGGAAAAATTATCAGAACAAAAAGAATAACAAAATCCAGCGTAGACACAGTATTTGATAGAACAAAAGGAGAAATTTCTTTAAAAGCGATAAATGAGATGTTCAGTGTTTTAGATAATAGCCCATTTGGTATTAGCCAAGCTCAATGTATGAAATTTGTGAATGCGAATTCTGATATAGAAGATGTTAAAAAATTGATAAGCAAACTTAATCCGCAAGATGTTCATCGAATAATTGACCATGAAGCTTTCGATATGAGCTATTTTGATTTTTTTAACACAATATATAGGAAAGGTTTACTACCACAAATGAAGGAATTTTTAGCAGCTTTATTTAATATTGCTGATGACTCTTTTATGAAAGAACACAAAGGGCTATTTTTAGGCAGTATGATGGCAAAATTGAAAATTCTTGACCCATCCTTAGCCTTAAAATTGCTTGAAATTCATAAGGACGCTAATGACGTTTCTGCTTTAATACGTATTGCAGCAAGCCTTGATGAGATACCTAGGGAACTTTATAATCATATTTTACAAAGGGTTTTTACTATTGATACAAAACACTCTTTTAAATATGTGTCGAATAAAGTAATTGAGTATTTATATTGGATGAGAAAGGATATACATAAATGGCGGACGGCGACCGACCCACCCTCTCAGTGGTGGTTACCCATGTATATCCGGGCATGGTTTTTGGAGCCGGGAGTTGGCCCAACAATGTTTTGGACTCGAGGCGAGAGGTCTAAGCACGGAGACCGCTGTTTCTGTGACAAAACCCATGGGCAGTTACTCGCGACTTCTTTTTGCCAGCAGCGCTCAGCCCAGTGAGTGCCCGAAATGAGGCAGGGCGACTTACCTGCCTAAGCTGCTTTTGTGGCTTGCCCCGAATGGCGAAAGCTGTTGAGTTCTTTCTCGGGATGACCGGAAAAGAGGGGAAGGCAAGCTAGACAACAAAACGGGAGTCTGTCCAGTTAAAAGGTGCCCTTCAATGGGCAGATCTGGCGGACGACGCGACAGTGTTGGCGTAAACTTAGGCGACGATCCAAGTTGGAAATGGAGGCGGTCAGCAAAGACGGTATAACACGTCCCTTGACCTTTACCTCTACCGAGAAGCCGGGGGTTTCGGCCCAGGCTTGGTGAACGCTCTGCCACCATACGGGAAACCGTAGAATGCTTCCTCGGACGAAGTCGGGACTTTAAATACCAGCGTAATCTTAAGCTTAATTTATATTGGATGAGAAAGGGAGCAGAGGATGAAGAAGATTTTATTTTTGAAGTAAAAGAGGTTGTTACTAATTTAAAAGATTATGAATATGAAACACTGCTAGAAATTATCAAAATTTTCCCAGCAAACTATAAAGGCCCTCATGAAAAGCTTGCTAACGAATTTTTATTAGCTTGCACAAACAAACTGGCAAATCTCAGCGCGCCACTCGGCATTAAAGAAAAAGTAGAAGCCTTAGAAACATTATCAGAAATTGCAATGATTGCAGAAAATGAGCCATTTCACGTTATATTAGATAGTTTTGGAAGCACTTTGCATTACGATGAACTGCGGTCTATAGCTAAAGCTTTTACAAGAAAAGGAATAAGCGACGAAAGGCTGTTTAAATCTATATCAAAAAAAGTTATGAGAAATCCTAAAACATATTTAGATGATGCACCAATGCTAGCAAGAGGAATTGGCGAGCTAGGCCTTCAGCACAACGAGTGGGCCAAAACCTTAATTTCAACCCTTTCCCAAGAAGTTTATAACCTGAATTATCAATTTCCATCTAAAAACACTTATATTCAATGAATATGGGGTCTAATAAGCTTTAACGCCCCACCAGAAATCATTGAAAAAGCAATTGAAGACTTCAATTCCTTGCCTGGCAAGGCTGATTTTAATCTCTATCTGCTGAACCTATGCAACTATTTTGATGAAAACCGGTTTTCTATAAGAATGAAGCTTAATAACCCATTGCGAGAATTAAATACTTTTATTGACCCAATTAAGGATTTTGGGATTTTTCCGAAGGGAATAAGTAATTTAGACCAAATTCTTCAATGAGATTTTAAAATAATTGCAAAAAAAAATATAGAGGTCGAAAAAGTTTGGAGCCCATATCACATCCCAGCATTGAAAACTACTATTTGGCCTGTAACTAGAGAAATATTGCTATTTAATGGACAAGACTTCAGAGGTACATTTTTGAGACATAAAGCACATTTAGAAAAACGCTGCAGAGTTGTGACTATTGATCATGATAATCTGATCAGCAAAGACAAAAAGTTTATAGAAAATTGGCTAAGGGAAAATAAAATAATATAGCAAAACTAAATACACATTAATTTACGATTTAGCTAATTATATAGGTCAGTAAACTGTTTTAATCTTGATAATTGTGTAGTCAAAGTTTCTTTTTCAGGAATCAACCGTTTACATTTCTCATACTCTTTTTTTATTTTTCCAAAAATATCTGAAGTCCTTCTTTTTAAGACTTTATTTTCAATATGCAAGCTGTCAATGTTTTTAAGCACAGAGGATAAGGAGTCTTCATCACTATGATGCTCTACATACCCAAGCCTCATTTTGGCTTGGGCTTTCTCGATGTCAACTGGGGAGATAGTTCTCAGATGGCAAATTTCCAGTAGAAAGTGGAGTCGTCATCTGGGGAGTCGGTTTTACCAAAAATTTTAGCAAACCCTTCTTCTCTGCTAACTTCGGGATGGCTTGAGCTAAAAGGAAGCTCAGGGTATACTATAGCCCATACCTCTATATAGATTTCTTTATAGAAAAATTGTAAAAGAAAGTCGAGAGACCAAGACAAACTCTATTAAAGGGACGAACTGGATCTCTATACTAGGACAAATGTGAGCAAAGTTGACAAGTAAGCGCGCCAAAGTGTTTAAATAGCTTTATTATTAAATTAATTTTAAATTTAAGATACCCTTTAGACAAGTAGCCCTAATAAATATCTTACTTCACCAAGTATTCAGCCATTTCTAATTAAACTTCAAATTTTATTGGATAGAGATCCAGTTAGTCCCTTTAAGAGAGTCAATCTTGGCTAATCAACTTTCTTTTGCATTTTGCTTTATAAAGAGAAATCTATATAGAGGTATGGGCTATAATTCTCGTCTTCCACACGTGCATATTTTGTCACATGTACATTGACTACAGCTTAATCCTAAATATCCTAGTGATAATGATTTCAAATGCTTTGCATTTTTTGGGCTTAAAATTGTGCCTTTTGGAGCAGATATTGGACTGTTTCTATTTGACGTAGATTTTATGCATTTTTGATTAAATTTTCTAATAAAAATATCTTTTTTTTTTGATTTATCAAAATAAAACAACTCTCACCTATTTTTCTATATATGATTTTTTATATTATCTGCCATATCTGATGCCTAGTTTTAACTCTATTTTTTGGGCTAATCATAGGTGTCGCAGCCGGTGAATTTCTATTGGATATCGTCTGAATCGTTTTTTTTTGCTTCAAAATATTCAAAAATCCATTACTTCCTCGTTTTTGAGGAAGTGTATGAAGGACCCCAATCCTATGGCTTTGCTGGTCATACATAGGCTTATATGGCTTCGGGGAAATTTGAAATCTTTTTCTGCAAAATCTCTTGTTATTTTGAAGCAGCTTTATTTCCGGAGAAACTTTATCTTGTGAAGGAGAAAAACTAACTCGGGTGAATTTAATTGCTTTATCAATTAAATCATTTAGATTGGGCTTAGCGTTATCTTCCATTTAATTAATCTAAATCTCTACTCATCGCGATAAAATCGAACCTTTCAAGCAGCTCTGAAGTGTGGGAAGACCCTTTTGACATCGCAGCCATATAAGTCGTCATCAGCTCTTCACTGATTTCTTGATTGAAATCATCTTTAAGCCTATCAAAAGGCGCAACTGGGATTCTATTACAAATTTCATTTAATTTCCTCATAAGTTTGTGGTCTTTTTGGACATCAGAATTTCCTGCTACCATTTCTACGAGTTTTAGAAGCCTTTTTTTGAAAAGTCTCATAGCACTTAAAAAAGTCATTAAATTTGAGGAATATTCAGAAAATTCCCCAGTGGCAGCCCCTGCTCTAGACACATAGTCAACTGCAATACGTTCTGGGTCAGTTGTCTCTATTGTATATGTAAGCTGCTTAAATTGATAATTAGTTTGGTTTTCCATCACTTGGACATGTGACTCATAAAGCTCAACTGGGAGGTCTTCAGACTCTTTTGGAGGTGGGTCTACTGTATTTAAGACAAGATAAAGAGGATTTTCATTGAAATTCACTAGGCTGCGCTGAATCAGCATGTCTCTTTCATGAAGCTTGCCAGTTGAGTACCATCCTAGAAATTCGTAGTTTGGGAAAATTTCAAGGAGCATGCTGAGCTTTTTTTCAATAAATTCTGTGTCAAGCTTGGTGTTTTCGCCTGCAGAAGTCCAGAGAGCTTCGAAGGAGTTTTGGATTTGGATGTTTCTGCCTGACACTGTTCCTACTAGAATCCCTATCACTCTTTGAGGAGAACCTTTATTTGCAAACGCACGGGTGAAATGGTCAGAGATGTTCATCAGAACCAAAGGGTGAAGACATACTTCAAGAGACATTTTTATAGGATTGGATTAGTAATTATAAGGAATATAATACAAATGATGAGTAATTCTAGAAATTTTATAAATTAAATTACCCACAACACTGTTTTTTCTCTTTTTCACTAGTCGTGTTTTGCTGGATTTTCACTTTTTTGCTTGACCTAGAAGTATATCTTTTATTTTGGCCTGACTCCGCCGCTTTTTGTTGTGTCTCATATACGAGCCTTGCCAATTCTTGAAATATTTCTTCAACCCCTTTTCCTGTTTTAGCGCTGGTATCAAAATGTGTGACACCAACTTTTCTTGCATATTCCAAGGCTTCAGCTTTTGGTATTTGCCTTTCGCTTTCTCTGTCACATTTATTCCCAGCGATAACTATACAAATATCCTTATCAGCTTGCATGCCAAGCTCTTTCACCCAGGAAACAACTCTATCAAATGATGATCTATCAGTAATGTCATATGCAATTACTGCGCCTTTGGCTCCTCGGTAATAATTCGGGGCAAGGGCCCGGAAACGTTCTTGGCCTGCGGTATCCCAGAGATTTAATTTGACGCTTACGCCTTGAACTGAGATCTCTTTGATGAGGAAGTTTGCATTTACTGTAGACTGCTCGTCTTCGTGGAATACGTTCCTGGCTGCTTTTAATGTGAGAGAAGTCTTGCCTACTCTTCCTTCGCCGAGAGTAACTATTTTGTATTCCTTCGCTGCTTCCATTTATTAGGTGGGTAGTTAAAATTATAATGATAGAAAATTAGTTTTTAGTTATGACAAATTTTAAATTTTTAAATATTTTTTATGCCAGCTGCTGGATCTAATGGTCTTATTTAAAAGATATCGATTATTATGGGTGACTTGAAATGGAGTTTCTTAACTCCAAAACCAGATGAAATAGTTCTCGTCATTTTAGTAAATCTGATAAAGAGAGAATGTATAGAAACCACAGCAGAGACAGTGATTATCATGATAGAAAAGACAATAATCATGATAGAGAAAGTGATAGCGATAATGCAGAGACTATAAAGGAAGAGATAGTTCTAGAGGTCGCAGAGTATCAAGAAGACCGAGATCTCCTCAAAGCAGACCAACTTACACTTACTAGAGAATTTAGAAAATTAAAAATTTATTATTTTTATTAATAAATCAATAGAGATTTTTTTATTTATATAAGCTAGATATCATTAATGAGCATCAGTCTCCCTGTGCTTTATTAACATTTTGTCATTTCAGAGTGCATTATAAACAATAGTGCTTCCAGTTTCATTTCTACTCATAATTCTACAAAATTTATCAGAATATGTTCATCCCTTTGTGGAGTCTATTTAATTTTTTTCTCCATACCAAAACAATTTAATATAAAATATTTCATAATTCAATACATATATTTTACCAGATTTTAAGAAAAAAACACTCAAATTCAGCAAAAAGAGAAAAGACCAAAATACTCCATCAAAAAACATTACAATTTCTCTTTATCGCGATAATCTCTGTTTGGGCTTCTTTTATACTTTTCAGTTCCCATATACTTTCCTGTAGTCTGGACATGTGCTTTATGTCTGTTGGCTTTTTCGATCCTCAATTTCCTTCCACCAAAGTAACGTTTATTTAACTTATTTTTGGCTTTCTCAGCATCTTCGTCGTTTTCATAAGTTGCAAATCCAAAGCCTCTTGATCTGTTAGAAATCGGATCCTTTATGATATTTAAGTCAAGGATTTTCCCATACTCTTCAAAATACTTTAGCAGCTCTTCTTCTCTTACAGAGTAGCTTAAATTTGTAAGATATAAGGTACTCCCTTGTTGATTGGGGTTTTTTGAATTACTTCTATCCATAAATTATTAAGCCTCATAATAATATGCTGCCTTGGACTAATTTTAAGGTAAATATAAATTTTATTAAATATCCTAACTCCCCCCCCCTCCGTGAGTGAACAAAACCATTAGAAAAATCGCCATTTTTTGCCCAAAAAACCCACCCTCCGTGAGTGAACAAAAATTTTTTAATAGAAAATTTTTTTATGGAAAAAAATTTTGATATATAAATGATAATTAATATAATGAAATCTAGAGCTAATTCTGTTTAATTTTAAACGAAATGCATTTTAAAACATAAATTTTATAAATTAAATTAATATTTGCTTTCAAATTTTTGCAAATTAGGGATTTTTTAAATTTCGAAAAACAAATTTTTTAGACAATTTATATAGAAATTATTTTAAAAAAAAAAAATTAACCCCCCTCCGTGAGTGAACAAAATGTTTTTGTTCACTCACGGAGGGGGGGGGGGAGTAAACATGCAGAAAATATGGTCTATGCCTTATTAGTTGTGCTGGATATTTAATAAAATGGTTCCTTCACACGACGACTATTTCATAACGACTATTTTTTTTTGGCCTATTTTTTTTAGCCTATTTGTTTTTGGCCTATTTTTTTTTGGCCTATATTTTTTGGGCCTATTTTTTTTTTTGGCCTATTTTTTTTTGGCCTATTTTTTTTGGCCTATTTTTTTTAGCCTATTTTTTTTACCTAGCCTCATTCATGAAGCTGCTGAGAGGACTAGAACCTTATTGAGAAACAGAGACTTTTTCTTCCGCGATTAATATTGAATAAATTAAGTGAAAAACTCCTAATTAAATCTAAATTTTCGAAATTTAAAAGCAATGAATTAGTATTCATGGAGTACGAAATCTGTTAAGGGCGCATTTTTTGTTGGTTAAATCGTTTAAAACACACATTAAAAATTATATTAAAATAATTAGTATGGAATTATGCCCAAATATTAGTAAAAAATAGTTAAAAATTGTCAAAAAATCGGCCAAAAAAATAGGCCAAAAAAAAATAGGCCAAAAAAAAAATAGGCCAAAAAAAAAATAGGCCAAAAAAAAATAGGCCAAAAAATAGGCCAAAAAAAAATAGGCTAAAAACAAATAGGCCAAAAAAAAATAGGCCAAAAAAAAAATAGGCCAAAAAAAAAAAATAGGCCAAAAAAAAATAGGCCAAAAACAAATAGGCCAAAAACAAATAGGCCAAAAAAACTAGGCCAAAAAAAAATAGGTCAAAAAAAAAATAGGCCAAAAAAAAAATAGGCCAAAAAAAAATAGGCCAAAAACAAATAGGCCAAAAAAAAAATAGGTCAGAAAAAAATAGGCCAAAAAAAAATAGGTCAGAAAAAAATAGGCCAAAAAAAATAGTCGTTATGAAATAGTCGTCGTGTGAAGATACGTAATAAAAATATCTCATAATTTATAAATAGAAAAATATTTCAATTAATTTGTAATTTGTTCACCAAGTCATTTCAGTGCTAATTTAAAGTCTTCGCTTTCTTCCATTAGATCAACTAATGCAGCTTTTCATTTTATTGTTTTGTGGAATAAATCTAAGCCGACTCTTGCTGTAAGCTCTTCTAAATCAAAAATTGGCTCAAATCGTGAGTTGAAAAGTATTAAAAACGCTGTTTCTCGAAGCTCTTCTTCATTTATTAAAATTTGTAGTTCTCTTCTAGCTTCTGCAAATCTCTCTTCTTTTTCTGCATCAATAACAAATACAATTGCGACAAAATTAATATTTCGATAGTAAAGAGGCCATAAGCATCTTAGCGTTGATTTTCCACTGACATCTCAAACACCAACATGAACAATTTGCCTTAGATGTATTTCTTCATAATTAAATCCAACTGTGGGGTCAAATTGATCTCATTTATCTGCATATAGAAAAGTGGTCTTTCCAGCATTATCTAGACCTAATAGCAAAATTTGAGGCAAAGTGCTTTGAGAACTGCAAATACCCATATATAATTACATTTAAGTACAAAACATTAGAATATGAAAAATTCAATTTATTCGATTGCATTTTTAGCCAAAAAATTTAGAGCTGTAGAATTGCATTTGTTAATAAAAATAAATTAACTTGATGTTTATGATAAAAATATTAAGCTAATGTACCCTATATTAAGACATGCTGCTGATTTATCATTTATATTGATTATTTTCTAAAGGCATTTCCTTAATTAAATTATTTTAATAAAACCAAAATAATAAAGCAATCTCTTTAATAACTGCATTCTTCACCATTTATTATTACTCTTTATAGCTTATGATGTTTAATATCGAAGATGAATTTTATTTTGTAAATTTTGGTAATAATAAAATAACGTATTAAACATTGTTAGAAAAATAATTAGAGCTAAAAAATAAAAAATAGTCCCTGCAAAATGAAATAGACTATTATTGACTGTCTGCTAATTTTCCAAATTGCTCTCTGCCTTAACAGTTTTTTTTGAAAATGCCCAAAGCCAAAAACTAAAAATCTTTTTTTGGTTTTAATATGCCTACTAGGCCCAGACGAATTATAAAAGTATTTTAGATTTTATCCATTTCGCCAGTAATTCAAGGTCGATGATTATCTATAGAGGCATCTCAGCTATATCTTTTAAATTTACTATCTTATTTATCATTCATTATTGTTGGTAGATGCAAAAATAAAATGGGATGCCTATGTTCAGGAAAAACTGAAATAAACTTTAATGCAAATAATAAACCAAGAAGAAGATCATTTGACGTATTTAATGACTTTGACTCTGGTGCTTTATCGCCAACTTCCATAAAATCATTAACTTTTCATCAAGTATATGAATTGGAGCCTAACCCAATAGGTGGAGGTCTTCATGGGGAAATCAGGAAATGTAAACATAGAAGAACTAACGAAGAAAGAGTTGTAAAAATTATACCGAAGGAAGGACAAGAAAGTGATGTGAATAATTCTGTATTAAATCAAGTAAACACTCTCAAATTCCTCGACCATCCTAATATATACTGCTTTTGGCTGAATTTTTATTTAATTTTATTTAATTATAAAAAAAATAAAAAATTGGTTCCTTCACACGACGACTATTTCATAACGACTATTTTTTTTTTGCCTTTTTTTTTACCTAGCCTCATTCATGAAGCTGCTGAGAGGACTAGAACCTTATTGAGAAACAGAGAATTTCCTTTCGCGATTAATATTGAATAAATTAAGTGAAAACTCCTAATTAAATCTAAAATTTTCGAAATTTTAAAAGCAATGAATTAGTATTCATGGAGTACGAAATCTGTTAAGGGCGCATTTTTTGTGGTTTAAATCGTTTAAAACACATTAAAAATTATATTAAAACAATTAGTATGGAATTATGCCCAAATATTAGTAAAAAATAGTTAAAAATTGCCAAAAAATCGGCCAAAAAAATAGGTCAAAAAAAATAGGCCAAAAAAAAATAGGCCAAAAAAAAATAGGCCAAAAAAAAATAGGCCAAAAACAAATAGGCCAAAAAAAAATAGTCGTTATGAAATAGTCGTCGTGTGAAGATACGTAAAAAATTTATTTAAATTTGTATATTGAAAATGATTGATTTTTTTGAAGGAAAAACTGATTATTTTTTAGTTTTGGAGTACTTAGAAGGAGGAGATTTGTGTGACAAAATCACAGGAGGAGCCAGATTTTCAGAAAAGCAAGCGTGCTCTGCTATGAAGCAGATACTATCAGGAGTTTGCTATATGCATAGTAGGCGGCTAGTTCATAGAGATATGAAGCCTGACAATATTTTGATAGTAAACTTAGGGGGAAACGAAGATTTTTGCTTAAAAATTATTGATTTTGACTTAGTAGTAAGATGTCCAAAAGGCTTAAGCCTTAAGGAGATCGTGGGAACTGTCGATTATATGGCTCCAGAAGTTTTCGATGGGAATTATAACGAAAAATGTGACTTATGGAGCTGTGGAGTAATTCTTTATACCTTATTAGACGGAACCTTACCATTTAATGGAAAAAATACAACATCACTTATAAACAACATTAAAAAAGGAAAATTTAGCCTGGATGGGCCAAACTGAGACGCAGTCTCAGAAGAAGCAAAAGATTTAATAAGAAAACTCCTCACTAAAGACCAAAAAAGGCGTATATCAGCCCACGATGCCTTATCCCACTCTTGGTTTCAAAATTTTATTAGTGAAACCATCAATATCCCTTCAATCCTCAGCAAGCTTCACAATTATAAAGCTTCTTCAAAGCTGAGAGAAGCTTTAATTTCGTTTATTTTAAACCAAGTTATGCTTCAAAGCCATTTTTCTGAGTTAGAATTAGCGTTTCGGGCAATGGATATAAATGGTGACGGTGTTATTTCACAAGCTGAATTGTATTATTACTTGCAGAAAATAATGGAAGATGAAGAAGCCAAGTCTCAAGCTGAAATTATAATGAGTAAAGTTGACAGAGATTCTAATGGGGTTATAGATTATTCTGAATTTATGAGAGCTACTTTGGAAACTAGGGCAATATTTTCAAGAGAAAATATATTATTATGATTAATTTAAATAGATATAGAGAAATCCAATAGTCATAATTATTAAAAAAATATAGGAATTGTTAGTTTTTTTGGAGACTTAATAAAGCTATTATGGTGTATTATAAAGACTTTCATTATGTTTGACCAAGAAAACAAAGGAATCATATCTTGTGAAGACTTAATAAAACTATTTTCAGAACAAAATAGTATGGATAGAGAACTGCTTGAAGAATTTCTGAGGGAGGTTGATCCAGAAAATATTGGGAAGTTTGAAATTAAAGATTTCGAAGAAATGTTGTTGTCTGACACGGAATCACTGGGCAAATTTGATGAAAATTTAGAAATTTCAGACTCAACAACTATATAAATTTATCATATAATTTTTGATAGTTTTGAATATAAATCATCAATCTGATATATAAAAATAGGAAATTTTAATTAAGAGTTTGTCTGAATTACTTTTATTCCCCATATTATTCTTTCCTAATGCACAGGGCATTCTTAAACGAACTAAACAGTTTCGATAGATCCACTCTTCGGCCAACTGGAAGAGTAAGTAAAGAAACCTTCGAACATCCAAGAAATTTATTGCTAAAAGATATAGAAAGGCAGTTCAATAAGCAAGAAAATTCTGATGTCACTATTGTATGTGATGATGGCAGAAAACTTTATGTTTCTTCCTTCATTTTGCAAGCGAGAAGTCCTCATTTTGAAAGAATGTTTCAAAGCGGGATGAAGGAGAGCTCAACCAAAGAAATCAAGGTAAATGCTAGCTATGAAGCTGCACAGGCAATGTTTAAGTATTTTTATTGTGATAGATTAGAAACAAGCCCTAAAATCGCATTAGAAGTAATGATTCTTGCTGATATGTATTTACTTGAATATCTTAAGCAATTGTGTATGAAATTTGTCAAAGAAAGTGTTTGCATTAACACAGCTTTAGATTTTTATGAGTGGTCGAAAGACTGCCAGTTTGAAGATCTAACTAATTATGTATCAAAATTTATTTGGAAAAACTTTGGCTATATAAGTAAAACTCCGCAGTTTAGAGGAAGCCTTTCGTCAAACCCTCAGTTATTTATAGATTTACTTAACGATTTGCCTGAAAATGCAAGATTCAGTAATAAATTAGATTCATGATAAATTTATATGCGATTATTTGAGAGTTTTTTTAATATTTCAAAATACCATTAATTATATTTTTAACTATTAGCTTTCAATATTTTAAAATATGGGATTAAAAAATTATCCTTCAAACAATTATAAATATCATAGATAAACAAAAATTAATTGTTTATTATTAGTTTCTTGAATTTTTAGATATTAATTTGAAGAGTTTCGTAGCATGGCTAATTATTTATTAAAACTCTTATAGAAGCAAATCAAAATGGCTTATAATCGTTATTGTAGAAATATGTAGAAACGTGAATAAATAATTATTATGGAAGATAAATGTTGTTTTTCTGGCTGTCTTGACAAACCTCAATATGTTTGTTCATGTGACAGAACAAAATTGTATTGTCAAAATCACAGCATATACCATGATAATAATCCATCCCTTCATCATGATTGAGGAGAATTAAATAAACGAATCAACGATACGACCAGAAGTGAAGTGCTCTCTTTTTTAATAGAAAAGGATGCCCAGCTCAATGAAATTAAAAGCAGCATTTTAAACCAAGGGCGTATCGATATGATTATAAGTAAGAAAATGCTGAGTGAAGATCTTTTATTAGTAGAAGCCGAAAAACATAAAGTATCAGGCTTAATAGAAAAAATTATTTTGGCAAAAGAAACTTTAGAATCCGATCCTGAACTCATGTATTTATCAATGAGCTCTGAAGATGCCATTAGAAAATTTAAAGAGTGTGCCCTTGATATCGAAAAATTAAAACAAAAAATTGAGCAAAATAAAGAAACTATTGAAAGCTTCATTAAGCAAAATAAAGAAACTACTGAAAGCCTAATTAAGCAAAATAAAGAAACTATTGAAAGCCTCATTGAGCAAAATAAAAAAACTACTAAAAGACTCTTTGAGCAAAATAACCAAGAACTTAATAATCATATATCTTTGTACCTGAAACAAAAAGAAGAGCAAGACACAAAAATAAATAAAATTTTACAGCTTGTAGAAGATGTATCAAAAAACAATAATAACGGAATCATAAATGAAATAGATGAACTTAAAAAGAAAATCGCATCAATTGACGGAAACATAAGAGAAAGAGATGAGCTTAAAAAGAAAATAGCATTCATTGACAAGATTAATGATAGTCTGCTTGATGATAACCAAGAAATAAATAAGCAAATAATTGATATTTGCAAGAGCTGCGAAATACAGAAAACTGAAATTAATAATTGTCAAAAAGCTATTGAGGAATTACAAAAATATTCCTTAAATTCAAATGAAAGAATAAGCACTTTAGAATATTACAATTTAAATAGCTTTAGTCCATTTAGAGAGCCCAATAATATGCCTCAAGGAGGTAGTGTAGAAGCGATAAGTAGAAGTGAACTTGAAGAGGCTATAAATATTATGAATAAAAAAATTTATGATTCAGATAAGTTATCATGGAGCAATATTAAACCTTGGTGAGATGAACAAATAAAAGAAATGCATGATAAAATTTCAGATATCAAAAAAATTGTGGATGATAGCAAAGAAAATTTTATGCGCAGAATTGGAGAAATTAAGTTAGACATAAATGAATTAAAATCAAAATTAGATGAAAAGTCAGATCTCACCAAAAAAATTTATGAAGAAAAAAGCAAAAACTCATGAAAGATATCAGAATTTGAGAATGAAATTAAAAAAATTAAAACCGATTTAAGTAGCACTACATTGCCTCTGAATCGAAGTATTACTATTGAAAATGCACATTCAATAAACCGTGAAAATAGGTCTCTACCAAACCTAAAAGAGCTAAATAAATATTTGAATCTCTGAAAAAAGAAGGAACACTGATTAGAATTATATACATCAGAAATAAGCAAAAATGCGAAAATTAAGAAGGATATGGAAAATTTAAAGACCCGCATAACAGTATTTTTGCAAGAATATACATTCCTGCCAATGTCAATTTACGATGATGTTTCAGAAATTGAAGAAAAAATAAAACATTATAACGATTTTAAAGTAGCTTTGCAAAGCTCATATGAACATATTAGTCTTGATTATCATGAAGGAAGTGAGCTCTATGAACTATTAAAGGAGTGCGAAGACCTTCAGAATTGCCAATTAAGCTACGCTAAGAGCTATTCGCTATGAAAAGGTATTGAGCAAATAATAGATGATGGTATTAACAATTTCAAGGAATTTGTAAGGGAGCACAAAAATAAACTGGAACTATATAAAGGTGAAACCATATTCTGCTTGCCCTCTACTGCTGAAAACAGAGTAGAATTAATTTCCTATAATATTGAGTCTAGAAATCGAGCTAAAGTCCCCACTGAAGGCTACTCTTTCCCATCTAATACATCCATCATTCAAATTCCAGGAAAACAGCTATTTTTTTTTGGTTTCAAATTCCCTAATTCCCAACTTTGCTGTATAATTCGAAATAATTTCGAAATCGTAGAACTCAATTATTCAGAAATATCTCGTGAAGAATCAAGCTGCATTTACTACGGAGAAAATTGTATTTATATATTTGGGGGAAGCGATATTAACGGATTACCGGTAGCTGTCGCTGAACTCTTCGATCTTGCTAATGAAAATGAAGAGTATTATCGTCTTCCTGACATGGTAGTGCCAGCTAGAAGATGCTCTTGTCTTCGATATAAAGATGAAATTTTGATCTGTGGGTATGAGCATGATAAAATTTATGGATTTTCGGTGCAAAAAAAAACATATTATCCTTTAAATAAAGCAGAGCAATTAAGTGCAAATAGTGATAAGTTTTTATTTTCAGGAAAAAATAAAGTTTTTATATATGACATGAAGGTTGGATCAATATTTATAGTAGATACATATCATCGTGATTTAGTTCCTATTGCTCAGAACTATGCTCTTAATTTCCAAAGTCAGCCTTATAGAACTTATTATAAAAATTCAATTTACTTTGGCTTTTCTGGTGAAGACGAAGCCCAGTATTTCAAATTTAATTTGGATCCATATGGCCTAGAACAACTCTAATAATAAGTTATTAACTCCTTCCACTCCGTGTGTGAACAAAACAATTAGAAAATCCCTATTTTTTACCCAAAAACCCATCCTCCGTGAGTGAACAAAAATTTTTTATGAAAAAAAATCATATACAAGTGATAATTAGTATAATGAAATCTTGAGCTAATTCTGTTTAATTTTAAACAAATTGCGTTTTAAAACATAAATTTTATAAATTAAATTAATATTTGCTTTCCAATTTTGCGAATTAGGATTTTTTTTAATTTTCGAAAACAAATTTTTTCTATTAAATTTTATAAACAAATTTTTCTATTAAATTTTATATATAAATTTTTAAAAAAAAAAATTAACCCCCCTCCGTGAACGAACAAGTTTTTTTTTTTACTCACGGAGGGGAGTAAGTATTTATTTAAATAATGAATATGAATTAATTACACAGACATTTGATGCCTCTTGGCTAAAGCAGCACTCATGTATTTGACAAAAATATTTTTCGGTCTTTCTTTCTGTCTTGTTATAAGCTTCAAAAATGCTTGCACTTTTTCTGGCTGAATTGATAGAATAATATCAGAAATATTTCTAAGCACCTTAAACATATGCTCATATTCATAAACCGAAGGGCATTCTGTAGTCAATTCTTCTGGAGGATGAGCTTCAAATAGCCTATTAAGCTCTACTAAAATATCAAAAACCCTTATATTCTGATTATTTGCTTGCACCGCCGTCAGCAATTTCGTCATACATTTCAGCAGCAGCCTTATATAAATCCCTCTATCATGAGGCAGAACTTCTCTAAACTCCCTTGGAATTGTTTCCTGCAATACTTGAAAAAGTATCAAAATCACTTGTGTCGGTTCTCTCCCTTCAAGCAGCACCGCAGCTATTTTCTGCAGCTCATTAGTCAGTTCTAAGTCTTGAGAATTTGCAAGAGACTCTATTAAAAGTGATTGTGGGGCACTTTTTTCACTCAAAAATTTTTCCAGTGAACAAAATCGCAATACAGCTTCAAGGACTGCTTTATAGACAAAAAGATTCATAGCAGCCAAAATGTCTTCTTGATTAAGAGCTGTATGCAGACTCTTTAAAAGGGATTGCTTATCTGCACTTGTTTTAAGCTGGGTATATGTATCAAGTAATGGCGATAAAAGTTCTGCATTTGGGTCATTGCAATATAGTAAAAGATGCTGAAAATTAAAAATCCCTTCAATTTTGTTATGGAGAGGAAGGAGACTGAAAGTTTCTGGAGGCTTAAAAATTTCGACTGCAGGCTTAAAAGGTTTTTGAGCAGTTTCTGGAATTTTTGGAGGGCTAGAGCTTCGCTCTTTTTGTGTATTAGTCTGATCATTTTTAGTATTTTTTAAATCATATGGAACTGGGATTGTCACTTGTTGCAAAGGCTGCCTTAGTTCTTGTTCTACTTTTATAGGATTAATAGCTTTGCTAGCCCTTATCTCAGGTCTTACTGGCTCCATTACTTTTGATGCCAATTTTTTATTCAGCTCTTTTTGTTCTTCAAGCTGCTTCATAAGTATATCATTTAAAGCTACCTGTGTTAAATATTCCTTATTTACTTCTTCCAGCATTTTTTGAGCCTCCGCAAACTGCTCATTTTCTTGAAAGCCTTTCTTTTTCCACAAAGTTCCAGGGGATTCAGGGACTAAATCAAAATTCAGCTTTTTTTTGCTGGACTCAAGCCTTCTGCTTTCATATTCAAGCTCTTTAGCTGTCAGCACACCACTTTGTTCTTCTTTTTTAATTGAGCATTCAAAGCTCACATCATTGATTTTTGACATCTGAGGAGACGATAAAACTGTTTGTAAAATTGCAGGGTTCTTGGGCTCTTCAAATTTGTGCAAATTATCAATCCATTTTGTATATACTTATATATATGAATTATTAATAATATATAAAATTATAATTTAAAATAAAAACAGACTGATATTAATAGCGAATTTATTATTTTTGGATAAAATTTTGAGAAGTTTTCCATGATTTATCAGCTGATTTTCTATAAAACGTGTAACTTTTTCTTCACCGAATTTTTGGACTAAAAATAAAAATAAAGCTTCTGAGGTTGAAATCATAAGTTGTGAGCTGGACTCTGATAAAGGATGTGACGAAATTAAAGGGCAGCCAGCCATACCTTTTATTAGAGCTACAAGAATAGGCGAAATAATATCAATTTCAAAAGTAGCTGATGGGAGCTCGACTGTCAAAATCCACTGTATTGCATGAATAAAAATCAAATTTATATTATAATCCCCATTTTCTGTAAAAAATTGCCCAAGGTTATTAATAATCCCACCTATCGGCATATGTGCAAGCCAGTCAGAGAATAGCTGATAGGCTTTTTCATTGAAATTTTTGACGAAGCTTGAAGTGGTGTGCTTTATAGGGATTTCAAATAGTAAAACTTTGAATAATGCTTCAGCTTCTTTATCAGTGATCACTATCCTTAAGCTTGTAAGTGCTTCCAAGGTTAAACGCTGAATTTCTTCAAAATTTGAAGGGTCTTGGACGTATTGTTTATATTTGCAGCATTGGGAAATGTCAATAACTAAGCTTTTAAGCTCGTCAAAAGAGTCAAATAAAGGTTTCATAAAGGAGCCATCTTGGCTTACCCTCCCCATACCTCTTCTTCAGGATCCAGGGTTTCCTGGCTTGGTTTTAAGCTCTTCACAAGCAGCAAGCCAATCTTCGACGACATGGATTAGCCTTGTGAGGCCTTCTAGCTTAAAATGAGAGTCACCTTCTTTTATCATTTTTGAGAGGTTTTCCATTTCTTTTTTAAAGGTGACTGAGTGTTGTGGATCATCAGAAAATTGATTATTAGTTATAGAAATTTCCGCTAAATCTAGCTCAAGTTTTTGATATTCCCTATTGATTACTATGACTTTTGCATTTTTTTTAAAAAAATATTGTTTAAATTTGCTTTTCTGACTAAATTCCATTATAAATAGTATAATTAAGCTTATCAATTGGAGAAGCACTTCTTGATTTTTGTGGAGAAATGCTGCTGGATTTCAATGGCTTTAATAAAGGTGACTGCTCTTTACTTTGTGCAGAGATTTTGTCTATAGACATCTTCTCTAAAGGTGACAGCTCTCTGCTTGGATTTATCATTTTATTTAAAACAGTCATTAGTTGCAGCTTGGCCAGCCTCAGTTCTTTTACAAAAATTTCAGAAAATTGAGTGTTTTTTTCATCTATATCCTGCACTGCAATAAGTAAAGTATTTAACTGTTCAGGCTGGTTCAAAAATAAATTATTTCCTAATCTTTGTGAAATTCAGTTAGTGATAAATCTTAAATTAACTTAAAATTAAATTACTTGTCGAGAAGTACCCCACAGGCCGTACTCGTCTCCGCATGGCGCTTCACCGTTTGCTTGCCAGTCCAGATACGACCTTACAATGTGTTGTTCCTTACGGAAGAGGGCTTCACTCGCTACCTGAGACTCAGAAATGCCGAGTCATAATGCCGTACGTCAATAGGCTTACCTTCAAGAAAATTCGAAGAAGGAATTTACTGGTCGGATTGCCGACCAAATGGAACCCAAACCCAGGATGCAACGCCTGGTATCGCACTAGAGAATTTGTCCGATTGGCCATGTGACATCCTCTGGCATTGCTGGGCGTCTGCTTTCCATCCCAGCAAACCATTTCTCACGGGAAAACCTGACTTGGGTGTGAGTATGCGTTCGGCTTAGCCAGATATTGCACTCCACCAAGACAAGTAAAACTGGCAGGATGCACATTTCCTAGCGCTGTCCTCCCTTTCGCAAGATCCCCGACTTTTCCAATGAACTTACGGCTGCAGATGTTAAGAGGGAAGGCTGTCTCGCCACGCATTTTAATCTAAATTAACAACTGCTTTAGACTCTTGAGTAAGCTTCGGATTTTTTCCTTTAATCATATTAATAGCATCAATAAACTTAACTCCCCCTCTGAACGAGCAAAAATTTTGTTGTTTTTTAAAACTTATATATAAATTTTACAGTAAAATTTATAGTAATTTTTTTTTCTAATCCATTTTGCAAAAATTGAAAAGCAAATAGTAATTTAATTGGTAAAATTGATGTTTTTTAAAATTAAACAGAATTAGCTAGAGATTTCATTATGTTAATTTATTTTTCATAATAAATTTTTTATATTAAAAAATTTTTATTCACTCATAGAGGGCGACTTTACCCAAAAATAGGGATTTTTTCCAATGGTTTTGTTGATCACGGAGGGGGTAAGAGAAATTGAAGGAAAATTAAGTGGCTCATGAAGAATTTCTGGAGAATCTATACTAAGTGTGTCTATTTTTATGCCTAAAGCTATCAGTTTTTCTTTCGAGCTGTTATCTGAGCAGTCAATTAATTTTCTGATTTCTTCACTTATGCTGTTTTCAACTTCGTCAACTGATTCTTCTGGTTTTGAAGGAGATTCATTTTCTTTAGATATTCCTATTTATATTGAGTAAAAATTATCTTATTTTCAAATGGTAACAGATAGTATCTATAGTAATGCTTATATTGATTTTAAATAGGTATATTATATTTTGATTATGCACTGATAATTCTTTACTTCCCCAGCTTTATAAGAGTAAAATTATGGAAAAACAATTTTTGGTCAAAGCCCAATTTTAAATTTGTTATAAGATATATATCAATATAAGTGACGATTATTATAATCAAATCTCCTCTAATCCTATTTAATTTTAAATTAGTTAAATTCTAATCATAAATTTTATAAATTAAATCATTATTACTTTCAAATTTTTCGAATGGGATTTTTTTTAATTTTCAAAAAAAATATTAAACCCCTTAATAAATTATCAAGATAATTTTGTTCGCTAGGGAGAATTAGAAAAACTTTCTTCTATATCAATCTGCTGTGTATTTTTATCAATTTCAATGATTCTTCTCTTTGGAAGCTTTGAAATCAAAATATCTAAATTATTAAACAATGGGCTTGATATTAGCGCACTCCTTAAAACTCCTAGTAACTTAATTCCAGCATCTCTTACATTAGAAGCTACATCTTTTTGGCATATATTGAACACTTTTTTCCCTATATTTTCTGAAATGTTTTCAATTATTGCTGAATACCATGGAGCAAAATCTTCCCCACTTAATAAATCTACGTTTTTATTAGAAGTTTTAAATTCATCACAAATCCAAAGTAAAGAAAGTTCTCTTACAGTTGGAACTTTATGAGTGATTGCAATTTCTACTAATAAATCAATTATATTTTTTTATTATATAAATTAAGCTAAACAAATTAGTTATTTATGGCATAATATTATAATAAAATGGTTTTATAGATATAGCTGAGCTTAATATAAAAAACTATATTGTATTGGCCGATAACACCTCATGGACTCTAAATAAATGCAAAATCTGATTAATTGAGCTGATTACAGGCTTCTTTTTTTCCTTAAATTTATCAGCTAAAAATTGAACATATTGCTTTCCTTTATATGTAAACGATTTTGAGATTTTTGGAATCAAAATTTCTATAGCTTTCATAGCTTCCATATATACTAGAACATTAGTGTTCTCAACAAGATGCAATAAGGTATTAATTACTGTCCCATAGTCTTTCATTTCAAACATAATCCCAGGCTTTTCAATTGCCTGTATGAATTTCCCCATTATTTCTCTTTTCGATTTAATATCAGCTGTATATGGAGTCTCAAAAAAACCTTGAGGTGTAAGAGAAATTAAATCTTCTTTGACGTTATCTTCAAGACTTTCACAAATCAGCAGATTCTCGTCTTCATTTTTTTTGGAATCTTCAAAAATTACCCACTTAATCGCGATTTTATCTTTATTCAGTAAATGGTCTTTAATTTCTTTTATCTGCTGAGGCTTTAAATTTAAATGTGGAATAAATATATCAATTGGGTCTTGGGTGTAGCAAAATAAATCGACTAGAAGATTCATTGCATAAATCCTGACTTCAGAAATATTATGGGCTAAGGCTTTATTTAAAGCATTATAAAGGCTTTTTCCTAAATGAGCTACAAGAGGTAGGCTTGGCAGTGCATTTCCTACACATTGGATAGAAAAGCAGGCCTCTTTTTGATTTTTTGCTACAAATCTTTTGATGATTAGATGGAATAATTGCAGTTCTGTGTCCCTTTCGAGCATCCTTACTATAATTTGGTTAACCATTTCTCCACTTTTTGGCTTTGTAAGTGCACATTTTGGAATGAGCTCATCTCCTAGATAAAAAACTGTGTTTTTTATTTGTGGGGCACAGTTTACATAGCATAGTAAAGTCTGCAGCCCTTCAAGCTGTGATACTAAATTACTATCAGACACAATATTTTTCAGCTTATTTTCAAAATATTATTCATTTAATTGATTAAAATCTTTTTGCTAACAAGAAATTATCTATGCTAATATAGCATTGGGTGCAAGTCCATTGATAGTGCCTTTTTGATAGTATGCATTTCACTGAAGTACTTTTGGTCGAAAATTTTTAAATATGTATCCATTTAGCCGAAATTTAACGGTTTTTTTTTCTATTAAAAATGACTCGAGCAAATCTTCCCCTCACTATCAAAATTCCACAGTCATTTGACATGGAGCCTATAACATTAATTTGCATAATCAAATACATTAGAATTGGTCTCAATTTCCATCAAAAATGATTTCGCTCTAAAACAGTCTGCAATATCCGCATAAACTTTTCTACGAACTTGCCACCTGCTATGGTTCAATCTTTCTGCTAATTCTAAATGCTCTCCTAAATCATCATCTTTTTTCTTCTCTTCCAGCTCTTCTACCCTAAACGGGTTTTGTCTTTCCACAAAATCCTCATGATTTATCCTGATTTCCTGGTATTTCTTTCTCGTTCTCATTGAATCTTGTTTTATTTCATCAGTGGACTCGTCAAGCCTCACCATATCTTCTTTTTTATTATGCTGAATAAAAAATTCTGGATTTTTCTCTGTCGGAATCACAGGAATTTCTATGTCATTTTCCAAGTCAATGTCTATATATCTTAAATCTCTTGACGTCTGAGGTCTTTGTTTATACAGAACATCTAGCTCAGGGTCACTATTATTTTCTATTTTTTCAGACGACCCGAGTGGAGACCTTAAAGCATGTTTAAACTCTTCATCATTGAAGCTTGGACTTTTGGTCCTCTTATAAAAAGGAGACTCAAAAGAAACCATGTCTTCTTCACGCCTTTTAACTGGGGTGTTAAGGGAAAGGGCTTCTGTTAGACTTTTATCTGTAATTGTATGGCGTTTTTTAGTTTCTCGGTGGTCTGGGTATAAAACACTGAAGGAACGTGGGACTTCAGGGCTCAGACTTGATCTTCTTGCATCCATTTTGAATTAATAAGCCCGGCTATATGTAGAGTATGAAAACCCCACATTTTAAGAAAAATTAAAAAATATTATAAAGAGTGTTAGTTAGTTCTAGCTGAAGCAATGAACTGTATTTGTTGAACCGCCCAATCTCCTAGCTTGCTTCTGCATTTAATACAGGATGCTGTATCGGCTGATTGACATTCTATGCATATTTCATCGTTGCAGCAGTCTTTCAAAATGAAATAGTCTCTTTCTTGTCTTCTATTGCACATTGAGCATTTTCCGAATATAATTTTGGCTATTTGATTAATAGAAGCTGAATCAAAATTTTTACTACATACTTTGCATTTCATTGATTTTCAGCCTTCATGTAAGCAGTAGCTGCATAGCATGTGGCCATCACATATAGAGGATAAATAATTTCCTACATAGTACACTGTATTTTTGCAGCCTTCACATAATCCTTGCTCGCTTGCAATATCCAAGGAATAAATTGATTGGCACACAGGGCATTTTGTTTTCCCACGCCGCATATCTGATGCTAAGCACTCTTTACATTGGTGTTTGCATTTATCTGCATCAAAGCATAATTCTTTTATTAGTGGTCTTTTGCAAGAAAAACATAATATTGATGAATTAGCTGCTTCTTGCTTGGTTTCTTTATACTGCTTTGTAGCAAGGTTGATTCTATCCTGTTCAACTTGTCTTAGTCGCCGATTTTCTTTATAAATCTCAACTTGATCACCTATAATAAATTCTATATCTTTTTCAGATAGCTTTTTTTTGCATTTTGGGCACATCTGATGGAATTGCTCTTCCTCATTTTTGGTTAAAAATATATAGCCCCCTGTGTATTTTTTAAGTCCTTCAATAGAGCAGGCCTTACACAATTTATGATTGCAAGCGGTGACTCCTTCGTAGTACTCTCTTCCACATCTATCACAATTAAAATAAGACAAAAAAGTAGAAAACGAAGATTTCAAAGGCTCAGGGGCAGCAGAAACAAGGCTGCATAGTTTGGCGTATATGATATTATTAGAACTGCATTGGAACATCTGGCGGTGATTAAAAAGAGTTGGTAAAAGTCCAGCTATTTTTGAAATTGTATCAAAATACTTCTCTTGGCTATATCTAATAAAATTAAATTCAAAAAAAAAATTTTTTCTATATATTTAATTAAATTTATTATAATGAGATATAGCTTTATTTAGTTTTTCTGTCTGAAAATCTGGAATAATTTCCTCATGGTCACTTTCGCTGGAACTAGAAGAATAATTTACATTAGACTGAGGCTTAATTTCTTGAGTAGGAACTGGCTTGAGTATTACTGGTGATCCATTAAATATAGCTGGATTCGGTGCAGGCAAGTTCGCAATTGAAGGAGGGGGTTTAAAATTTTCAAAAGCTGGCAGATTAAATGATGAAGGTGGCTGATTTGGAGGATTATTAGATTTATCTTGCTCTTTTGGAGGCACTTTTTTTATAGGTTCAAATGGCGGAAGTACATTAATTTTGCTGGGAGGCTGATTTATTGGTTGAATTGGCTTTGAAGGATCAAAATTTTTTGATAAGGGTGGCTGAATTTCAGGTTTTGGAGATTTATCCTGCTCTTTTGCAGGCTCTTTTTTGATAGGCTCAATAAATAGAGATGCTTTAATTTGGACTGGAGGTTGAGTTATTGGCTTGTTTTGTTTTGAATCAGCGTTTATTAATTGTGGTGGAATATTTATAGGAGATTTATCAAGCTCTTTGATAGGGTTAAAAGCTTGAGGCTGAATTATTGGAATATTTTGATTATTTGATTGTTTTGGAGGGTTGAAACTTTGAATTTTTGGAGTAGGAGGCATAAAAGGAGAAGGGCCACTTAAGGCCGGCTGAGTTGCATAAGGATTTTCACTTTGTATAGTTACTTCTACACTAGAATCAGAATCAGAATCAGAGCCAGTCTTATTAGATTGAGTTTCCTTAACTTCCAAGGACTGCACTTTTGGAATATTTACAGGCATATTTCCTGTAAATTTCGGAGGAGGTGGCAATTGTAGAACTGATGGATTTTGCTGTTTTTGAGAGTTAAAAATTGGTGGAGGAGGAATATTTATCCCTGAAGATTAGATTAGATTAATTAGTTTTAGCGGGTCACGAAGGTTTATTTCAGCCTCTACCCAGCGCTGCCAGCTTCAGGCTTGCGCCCTATGCACGCGCAAAAAATGGTGACGTTGCCATCTGACAGGGAGACTCACCCAGGTACTCCTTTGATCAGGGTCTAGTGACCCGGCGCCGTCCTTTCTGGGGAGGGGGAAAAGTAGCCTTCCGGAGTCTTCTTCAGGTCCCCAAGCTCCACTACAAGCTTCCTCACTTCCTTCTAGTCCTGAAGTGTGACTCCTGATTCTGCGGCTCTGGTCTTCTCGTCTTTGTGAGAGGCAAAAAACCTTGTCGTGGTGTCCCGACCAAGGTAAAAAAACCCACCCTGGACACAATATCCAGGCCCCGTTTACTTCTTAAACCCGTAGTCCCTGAGGGTACAGGAGAAGGACGGGTCGGATGGCTCGCCATTTTAATTGTGTTTAATCCTGAAGAAGAAGTGGGATTTATAGCTGCAGGAACCGGAGGAGGATTAAAATTTGGAGGCCCTGGAGGTTTAAAAGCTTGAATAGCAGGAGGATTAAAAACTTGAGGCTTAAAACCTGGAATTTGAACCTTATAATCTTGAGGCTTATGCTCATAAGATTCTGTGTCTGATTTAGAATCAGAATCAGAGCTAGAGCTGACACTTTTTACACTTGTTGGCTGAGTCGCAGGATTTTTTTTCTCATTATTTGCAGGTATATATATTAAACATATAGTTTTGGCAGTTTTTTAATTTAAAAAAAAATATTCCATATTTTTATATACAAAGTATATTAGAATTTGGTTTAAAACTTGGAGGAATTGGGAATGGTAATCTAGCTGGCAATGCAGAAATCTTTATATCTTCTTGCTGTGGAGGCTTAAAAGGCTGTGGGGGATTAAAAGGCTGTGGAGGGCATGCTTGACGCACGTTGAATGGGGTTATTTGGATTGGAGTTGTAGAGCCTGGAATTTGTGATGAAGAATTAGGGACAGTAAATTTTGGAAGATTCTGAATGGCATAAGGTGGAGGAGGGATATTTTGAGGAACACCGAGAGGGGGAGGTGGAATGTTTGGTTGATTATTTATTCCTGGATTGGAGACCTTAGGCTGAAAGCTGGGGATTGGCAGTCTAGAGGGAATTGGTTTTTTTTGATCTGCAGTGTCAAAAGTTTCTTGATCTCTTCGAGCTTCAATGGTTTCTTCTATAGACTCTTCAGAATCTGAGTATTCATCACTTAAGCTTGACATTTCTATAAATTATATAATTTATTGATAAAGCGAACATTTAGATAATCATAATAAATATTTTTTAAAACTAGTCTCAAGTTTTTATTATAGATAGCGATAAATTAGCCTAAAATAAGACTCAAAATATAAAAATTATTTATATAGGAGGGCACTTAAAAACTCAGTATTATGTTACTTCAAATTCTTAAGAAATTTTAATTCATATTAAGAAAAGTAGATCTATTATAATAAAAATCAAGAAACATTTAATTGTTTCATAATTTTATCCTAAATTAATAGTTTCTAATATGCCTTTGCAGCAAGCTATTATACAAGATTAAATATCTATTTATTTTTATAATCTGATAAATAATGATAATTTAATATTCGCTATTAAATAATTGTGTCAAATTCTATAGCTAGTATAAAATTCCTTATGTCTCGAATTAAATATTTTTCTTTAAGAAATATGTCAGCTGTTATAATATGAATCAACAAGAACTAAACTTACAGCAAAGAAAAGCTGCCATAGAGCAAAGACTTATTGAAACTGGAGAAAAAGAAAGATTACTAGAATATTTGCGTCAAAAGCTTGTAGAAAGTGGATGGAAAGATGAACTTAAAAATTATTGCAAAGGTAATTACTAAAAAGAGTTGATCAGAAATAAAGGGTTAGACAGAATAACAGTGGCTGATCTTGTTGAAGAATTGAAACCTCGAGCAAGGGCTACTGTTCCTCCTAAAGCTAAAGAAGAACTTTTGGCAAGAATCAAAAATTTTATTGAAAATAATCCTTAACTTATAAATTTAGAAATTAAATCAAAATTTCTAGCATCATCTAGTTTTAAGTATTTTTATAAGCTTTCTGCTAATTTGTTTATACTAAATGATAAATTAAGCTTCAAAAAGACCAGAAATCTGAAAATTAAAAAGTAACCATGAAAAATGATTTCAATTATGAATAAGAATAACTATATATGCTAAAAATATTAAGAAAATTAATAAATTAGATTAAGGTTACTAACTCCCATATTCTCCAAGAGCGAGTAAGATTTTCTACACTCTTAACGGCACTTAATTTTGTTTTTTAAAATTAATATTATAAAGAAAATTCTAATTTTCTTTAAAATTTAATAGAGATAACAAAAAACTATTAATTATAAATAAAATATTTTATACAAATCAAAGCATTTTTTGTTTGTTTCTAAAAGAGAGTCATTTATTCAATTGTTTTATTCTCTTAAAATAGGAGTAAAAATTATGCTAAAAGAAGAAAAAGAATATTTAAATATACAATACACATGAAATGTTTAAAAAGAACTTTATAAGATCTGCTTAATGGTAAAAATAAAAGTAAGAGAGTGACTTTAATTACAGGCTGATTTCTTTATAGCTATCTTTAAATTTTCATTATGAATACACTTATTAAAATATTCATTGATTTGAAGCAATAAATATGAGCGGCATGATTTTTTTACTTTCAAACTCTTTTCAGACATATTTTATCCTATATTTTTCATTTAATTCTGATACTTTTGTTTACGATTTATACTCATAATCTTTTATATCTCTATTACCTATGTCTTTAATTTAATGATACATATTGATAAATGTTAATAGGCCTTAAACGACTTAATAAATATTCTATCTACCACTTGTTTAGCGAGCAAAATCATTAGAAAAATCTTTATATTTGGGGAAATTCAACGAGTAAAAAAATTGTTTAGAGTAAAAAAAAGATAGATATAATTAATGATGAATAATATAAAATCTGCAAGCTAATTTTATTAAATTTTAGACAGCTTGTGCTCCTAAATATAGATTTATAAATTAAATCAGATTTTTATTTTCAATATTTAAGGTTTTAGAAATTTAATATTATCAAGTCCATAAAACCCCTTTTGTAAGGGTTTAACTACAAAAAGGGATGTTTACTGACTATAAAAAGCTGTATATTTTATATAATTTTTTTAATAAAAAATTAACTCTGGTTGAAAGCAATATTTTTTGCTCTCTAACAAGTGTATTGAGTGAGAAATAATTTATTTTTTTGCCAATAAAATAAGCACTGTTATAAGCCAAAACTGTTGGTTTATTTATTAACATTTGAGTATTGATATCAATAGCTTAATATTTAGTCTTGGAGTGATTTTTTATTTGCTTCAATCATTTGATTAAAAAACATGCTATCATTTAAGCTCGCTCTTATAGAGCTAGGTGACACTAGAAACGCTAGTTCAAACTCATTTCTATAAAGAGAAGAACCTAGAGATCTAGTGCTGACGCTTGAAATAGACCTTATATGAAATTGTGTTTTATCCTCTGTTATAGGCTCAAATACTTGAGAATCTTGATGGGAATTCAGACTAATATCGTCAAATTCGTCTTCTATAACTTTCATACTTTCAGTATTTGCTGGAATCAGCACAAGCTCAGCTCTTTCGAATCTGTGAAATTGGCAACAGCCCATATTTTGACAAATTTAAATTTATTTCACCTTGGAATAGATGGAAACATTTGTATTTCATGAATTTTATTTTTTCAGAATTTTATTTTTAGATTGTTTAACTTTGTTATTTTAGTATTGGAATATTACTTATGGCTATTATATGAATATAAAGTAGAAATTGCTGTTTTATAGCTCCTCTTTTAATAACGAGCAATTTGTTGCTTTATCGTTAATTGGACTTATAGCTTGCAAATTAAAGAGAAGTGCTGAAAAATCAGCGTTAAAAATAATGTAAAATTAAAAAAATAATTTACAAATTATAAAAAAAATTTATCATAAAAGATATCTAATTGAGAAAAATATAGGGAATTCCTATAAACTGCCCTATAAGGGAGGGCAGGCAATTGGAGAAGGAAACTCTCCAGTTTGTTCGGCCAATCAAGTTGGCTTAACCAGAGGCTCATTTTCTAACTCTTCAATTGCCTATCCTTATAGGGTAATTTATCGGAATTACCTATAAATAAAAAGATAAATATTAATAAACTTATAAATTTACATTATATTCTGTTTATAGTCCGATTTCGCTTTTCTAAAAAATTATTGCAATTGCCCGAGGATGGCGCTATCTTGCGCCATCCTCGGGCAATTACTATATATTTGCTTACTCTTTATAAATGAGTTCAGGATTAAGATTAATTTTGTATTTATTTCATCTATATATCCTCTAGCATTATTGAACCTTGATGCCTCGCTTATTTTAATAATTGCAATATTCTAAATTTATACCTTCGTATCATACCTTTCAATTCTAATCTCATTACAAATCTGCATAAATATTCATATAAAAATAACATAAATAAATTAAAAAATCCTTCTAAAGACTATTTATTTCATTTCGAGCTCTAAACTAAAATTAACCGATCTTCAAATAAAATGGATATAGCTCCTGAAACTTCAAGTAATCTTCCTCGAACAGTTTTCCTCACCGAAGCAAATCAAGAAATCGATATTCCGGTAACAAACTATTCAGCAAGGACTTGATGACCATCCTGAATATGAATCCATGCTTAAAAAGCAGTTAAAGTCAGAAAGAATAATGACTTTCACAGGACTTGACCATAATGGCGAGCATGATGGCAAAAATGACTGAAGAGACGTTTACATGAAAAATTATTCTGAGCTCCAAAGGCTCAAATCTCTCCAATATCGCGAACAAATGAATGAAAAATACCAAAAAGAAATGCTTTTAAAAGAGCAACTTGCATTAAAAGAAGAAATTTTTTTAAAAAGAATGCACGATAAAGCTTTTTCTAAAATAAATTTTACCCCAGATGACCCTAAATATTCAAAATCTCCTTTTTTCCCTGGTTTCTATTTTTTCGAAGCGTTACTTAAAAATGTGAAAACCACGTCCTGTCGGCTAAAAATAAATTTTCCGCAAGCATTTTATATTTTGGAGTCACAGTCTTATTGGATTTATACAGATGAGACAACAGGAATATTGATGAATTCCCAAGAATACACTAAAATGCAGGCTTATGAAGAGTTGAAACATTTTTATTATGAGCCTTTAAATGTAGCTGCTGTGCTTGCTCCCTTAATTTGTAAAACTAATGTTTTAAATTAAATTGAACAGAATTAGCTAGAGATTTCTTTATAATAATTAGGCAAAAAATAGGGATTTATCCAATAGTTTTGTTCGCTTGCGGAGGGGAGTTAGAAGGAAAAAAGAATTAATTGAGTTGGAGTCTAACGCATTATCACAAATGGAATTGCATGATAAACTTTTAAAAAATGCCTTAATTCCCCTCAAGAAATAAAAATGGTGACATTGACGGAAATTGCAATTCGAGGAGTATTCCCTATGGAGCAGGTAGGACCCATCTGATGATGATGAAAACGCCTGTTCCTTTTTGAAGCAGACCTTCAGACTTGGGGTACCTTGCTGAAGAGGGAAGTTTTTTTGTTCTCCCAAAGGTTTTACTGTCCCTGCCAGGTGGGCTACAGGCTTTGCTACCAAATGGTTTCTTTTTATTGGAAGCATCGTATCTTCTTGCCCTAATGTCAACATTTTGGAGTCAAGGTGGGTGAAGGGAGTATGCTTATCCGTTTATGGCCAGCATAAACTTTTAATTTAATTTATTTCCCCTCATTAAGGAGGCAGAAAAATTTGCTCACACAAGGAGGGTTTTGATTTTTATTTTTAATTTTTTTTTTCAAAATTAATAATGCCTTTATTAAAATTGGAAATTAAAAGTTTAATTTAAATGCAGGCCATTTAAAATTTAATTAAATCATCATTTATTATATATTATAAATATAGCGCTTTCCCGAGGATGGCGCGGAATGGCGCCATCCTCGGGAAAGCCGGGAAGGCATCCACACGGGAAACTGGGAGTTCCACGTGTGGATGCCATTTTGACATGTGGAAGTTTGGATCCCACATGTCAAAAATGGCATCCACACGTGGAACTCCCAGTTCCCGTGTGGATGCTTAGTTGACTTTCCCGAGGATGGCGCCATTCCGCGCCATCCTCGGGAAAGCGCTATATTTGTTTAAAAGAATTTTTATTCAAAATAATTTTTGCTCGTTCATGGAGGGATGAGTAGTTAGTTAGTGGGGCTATGATACAAAGATATATAAAATGCAATAATGATAGGCCAACTATTACAAGATTATTCTATATAAATACAACCAAAGTGACTAAGGCTTCACACGCATATTGCATATCTAGCAGTTTAAGCTCCTATGAAAAATTCAGCCAAGCTAAAGTTTGCTTATGCACTGGTATATTGAATGGTTTTGATATTTCCCTTATGCATGGGATGGCCATTGCCGAGTATCAAAAATACGCAAAAAATATTGTAACTTTTTTACAGATTTCTCACAGTGTCAGGATTGAAGAAATCGTACTTGATTTTGTAAAGGACCAATCAGGGAAAATTTGGTTCTTAGAATGCAAAGGTTTTAACTTGGATTATAACAGCGCAATAACTAAAGAAATAAAATTAAAATTAAAAAGCTCCAAATCCCAGCCTTTATTAAAAGAATATTTAGAAGAAACTAAAGACCAGCTATTAAGTTCTATTCATTGCAGATTATGCTTATTGCCGTTTAAAAACTCAGATCTCTCGCATTCTTTACCATTTAAAATGCTTTTGCTATATAAAAGACATATTAGAAAACAAGGACGAAAAGGTTTAAAAATATCACATATCCGTACTTTAAGCAGCGATTTTTTAAGCCACTCAGTAAGAATTTGTAAGCTTTGCTATATGCTAATCTTGCAAGAGTATGAATTAATTGAAGCAGAAAATAAATTGGCTGAGTATTTAAATGTGGATGTTGAGTTTGAAGATTTATCGAAAAAACTTGATTACAAGGGCTAATTTATTTTTCTGCATTTTTTTAATAATAATATATTTATTTATCTTGAATAACCCAGTAAGAAGCAGCTTTAAGCAGATTTTTATACATGAAAATCTCAATTTGCCTCTTTATGAAGAAAAGTAAATTAAGTTAGCTAATAAATAATTCAACTTTTTTTAACTGTAATAAAGGGTTCTTTTATATTATTGATGTATTCTAATTTAGAGTCATTTGGTTTGATAAAAAAACTTTTAGGAGCTAAAATGCGAAGGCATATAAAAAAATAAGTTTACAAATGTATGATAAGTTACTAAATTTAGATAAATATGAAGCATATCAGATTTTGTCAGAAAACAGCTAAATTATTTAAAATAAGACTTTATATCCGCGCATCTTAGACTATTTTGCCTATAAATTAATCTAAATCGATATCCATGCCCAAATATAAAAGTCGGTGTCAGTCACGTAAACTTTTGTTATTCATCTGTTTCCATCTTTAATTTCAATTTAAGGTTTGAGGTATGGCCTGAAGCATGAATAGCGATTTATGCATAGCTATTACTTATATTCTGCATGCGAGATGGTCTCTTAGGTGTAAATTTAAATCACATGCTTTTTAAACCAAAATTAATGTGTAGTCTAAATGTAGGCGCCAGACGTGCAAACTTTTGGAGTTCATCTGGGTTCCATATTTGATTTCAATTCAAGTTTTTGAGGTATGGACTGAAGCATGGGTAGCTATTTACACATAATTGTGCCTTAATTTTAGCACCCACTTTTAACCTATTCATTGAGTTTTACTAAAATTAAGCTATTTCTGTTTCTTATTTGAAATCAAAAGGTATTATTATAAGCTTTTCAGCTGCTTCATTTTTTCTGACAAATTCTGATATGCTTCATTTTTATCAGAATTCTGATCACAGATTTGACTCCCTAAAGTCAATTTAACAAGCCGAAAGACTTTCAATAATGCCTGCTATTAATTAATAATTTTTTAATCTTGAACTACTCTGATAACCTTTCTAATTTGTTTTTTTCATAAATAAGGAAAAATAGATTTTGATATGTTAAAAGTTGTCTGGCTTACCTTAAAAATGATTCTTACTTGTCTATTCAAGACAATTAAGTATATAGAAGTTTCCTATGTTTGGCGCTGTAAGGCCGATAAATTCTGATCGGAATTTATCGGTTGGTTGCACCAAATCAATGCCTTGGTCGGACCAAAAAGCGATTTGGTCCGACGAACTTGGAAAGCTCCTGGGAAAATGTCTGCGCTTTCAGCGCTATATAGAGGAAACCTCTATGCATATCTCAGCAACAATTTATCCCAAAAATTTTTAATATCTAAAAGCAGTTAAATTTTCAGCATATAAAAATTTCGAATAATAATTACTATCAAAAAGTACAGTGTGAAATTATGCACCAGATTACAAACATCCACCATTTTTGCCTAATAAAGTATACCAATGAAGAGTACTGCTTTATTTTAAATCATTAGAACTACTATCAAGACAAATGAGTTTCCGAAATAAAACATTTTATATTCATTTTAAATTTTTTGATAAAGCTTTTTATTTTAAACTGCAAAACCAAGACTCTGACATGGTAAATCTTTCGAATTTGCATTTAATTTATTTTTATGCATCTGATAATAATCATGTAAGGTTATTATCAGAATCCGAAAATTTGCAAATTTTGGTATCTGATGATATTTCAGGGAATAAAATAATAGCAGCTGGCTCCACAAAAGCGCTAGGATTATTTTCCTGCGAAATGGGGATTAATGATTCTTTGACACAAATGAAATCGACTACTCTGTTTAATAAAGCAAAAGCAGTGATTAATATAAATTTTATTACTGGATTAGTTTGCGACCATATGATGAACTTAAAAACGCTTCCAATTGATATTATAAAATACAATTCTGTATATCTCCCTGGGAGTTCTTATTTTTCATCAGATGCGCTTCCGGATTCTTGAATGGAAATATTTGAAGAAAACTACAAAGAGGAGGACAGTTCGAAGCTACTTAATACATCTGCAGAAATTAGTGGATTTTATACTCCAACTATCCCTGAAAAATTAATTTATAACATGCCTATCCAAACTCTTAAAAAATATGCTACACTTGAAGCAAAAAGTCCTAAATCCCCTCCATGAACGAACAAAATTATTTTTGTTCATTCACGGAGAGGGTTAATTTTTCTTTAAAAATTTAAAAATCCTAATTCACAAAATTGGAAAGCAATTATTAATTTAATTTGTAAAATTTATGTTTAAAACGCAAGCTGTTTGAATTAAACAGAATTAGCTAAAGATTTAATTAAACTAATTATCACTTATATATCAAACTATATTAAAAAATATTTTGTTGGGTATTTTTAGAAAAAATAGGAGTTTTCCAATGGTTTTTGCTCACTTAAGGAGTGTGAGAAGTAAAGAATCTCCTAAAAATTCTCCGACAATATCAAAAATCCCAATTCGTCCATTATCATCTAAAAAACCCCCATCAGAAAAAGCAGGTGCTACCTTAAGATCATCTATAAGTGCCAGGTCAATTATATCAACCCGGCCTACTTCTTCCACAAAAGTGATTAGAACAGAAAATCCTTTATCATCACCATTACTTGTACATAAAAGACCAACTACCGCTCTTTCAGTCAGAAATAACATAGACTTAGCAATCCATTCATTTGAAGACGAGCCTGATGACCGTAAAGAGGCTTTGCCTGAAGATTTTCTTTTTAAAACAGTTTCCAGCTATCTCACCCAGAGAGGATTTCATAAAAGAGTAGAAAGTTGCCTTTCTCAAAACACCCAAGCAACGACTAAGGCAAATTCTCAAGAAAGCACTAAAAAAAGAAAAATAGCTCGCAAGAAAAAGACCAAAGCCAGTAGTTTAGCAATACAGAAACCAAGTGAAGATAAAAATGAATTACTGTGTGATATATATGCCCCACATGAATGGAGAGCTTATAAAAAATATAAAACATATGAAAAATAATTTATAACTAATAGATATAGACTGCACTCTGGTTTGGATAAGGTATCCATCCAATGTTTGCATTTGATTTATTATTATTGTTCGAGCTCTCTCAATAAAATAATTCCTTATCACTGCTGATTTCTGGACTATAAGACAAGCCACCTTGTGATTAATTTTTGCTTACTCGCCCGCCTCAGTGAGCGAAAAAAAATTTTTGATATATAAGTGATAATCAGTATAATGAAGTCTCTAGTTAATTCTATTTAATTTTGTCCATGTGCAATTTAAAACATAAATTTTTTACTAATTTAAATAAATATTTGCTTTACAATTTTTGCGAATTAATTTTTTAAATCTCAAATAATTTTTTTTTCAAAAAATAATTAACCCCATGAGTGAAAAAAAATTTTTTTGTTCGTTCATAGAGGGTTAAATATGCGAAAAATAAGGTGGCGTAAAAGTTATTATGACTCAAAATTATTTTTAAAAATATTGAAATTTCAAAAAAATGCCTCAACAATAACTGTCCATCTCAGTTTCCATTTAAAACTATAAAAAATCTGAATAATATATAAATGCATAATGTTTTACACAAATATCACGCTTTAAGTATCGCTCAAGAGAATACAGAAATAAATAGCACGTCGCCAGCTTATACAATTAACAAAGAGACTGATTTTCGAAACCAAGATTACGAAAGTTACCCAGTCGAATATTCGAGTGAAAGGACAAAATTTTTGTGAAACCGAATAAGGCACATAGTTCTTATAGTAGCTCGGCTAAATTTGATGTCAAAAGATATCCAAACATATGGAGTCACCAGAAAATATTTTGGAAACGTAGAAGAAGACTTATTTACTCAAACGATGCCAAAATTTTTATTTCACCCATATGGGCAGTTCAAATTATATTGAAATTTCATTATGCTTTTACTGATGCTATACACAGGATTCGTCACTCCTTATATTACTTGTTTCATTGACAGTGTAAGTACTGCTTTATTCTACACAGAAATTTCTGTAAATTTTGTATTCTTTTTGGACACTATTTTTACATTTAATTCTGCCTATTTTGACCAAGTTGAGATGCTGGTTGTGAGCAGAAAAGAAATAGCGAAAAATTATATTAAATCATGATTTATTATAGACGTTATTTCTTTTATTCCTTTTGATTTACTGTCAGGGAGCAGTTCTACAGGAATCAGTAATTTAGTTAAAGTTTCAAGGCTTTATAAGATTTTTAGGTTATTTCGGCTTGTGAAAATGATGAGGTTTGCCAAGTCGAAAGCATTTTTTGAGGAATTTGTGGACAAGCTGAAATTAAGCAGCGGTATGGTGAGGATGTTTAAATTTATGTTCATTGTGCTGGTAGCTGTTCATATTACTGGCTGCCTTTGGTATTATACTGTTTTGAGTGAATCTAGGATGATAAATAGTAATAGGCGTTTATATAATAAAAATATTAGACAAAATTAGTATGATTAATTTTTATTAAAAAATCATACTTGGGAAAACTAGAAAATTTTAGCTATGATTCATGAGTAGTAAAGGCTAATTTAATTGATAAATCCTATTTTGAGAAATATATAGCATCAATTTATTTTGCATTTGCAACTGTTACAACAGTTGGATATGGAGATATTCACCCAATAACTAATAAAGAAAAAATTTTTGCAATGATGCTGATGGGGTTTGGCGTCACGTTTTTTTCTCACATGATTGGGAATATTCAAAATATTTTGTCTCAAAAAGACTCATCAGAATTATCGCTGAGGACAAGACTTCAATCACTTCAAGAATTTGCAAGAATTGCCAAGATCCCTATACCGCTTCGGCAAAGAATTAAAAAAAATATTATGAGGACTCATTATACTTTTTTATTTTAAATAAAAAATTATCCATTAATATTAAAAAAAATTATAAATCAAACTAAGCAAGCTTACCAAAATATATCCAGGTGATCTGACCAAGAAAACCTTCTCAAAAGTATTCCTGCACGTCTTCGTGTCGAGATCTCATCTCATTTAAACACAAAACTAGTAGAAAGGATTTATTTTTTAAAAGATAAAGAACAGCTGTTTTTAAGCTTCGTCGTCCCCAAGCTGAAAACAGCTCATTTATTATTTAAAGAATTTGTATATCGAGAAAACGACTACGCAGAAGAAATGTATTTTTTAGACATGGGAAGAGTCCATGTAAAAGCCCTTAATGGGGTTACTTTTTGGACTTATTCCAGTGGAGCTTATTTTGGAGAAGTTGAGCTAATTGATGAAACTTCTAGAGAAGGCACAGTCCAAGTAGCCTCCAGAACTATAGATCTATTGATACTATCAAAGCCAGATTTTTTAAAAATGATGAAAAATTTCCCTAATGAAGAAGATGAAATTAAAGAAACTGCCGCAGTCAGAAAATTGAAGCTTGAATCAGCAAAAAGTCATGTTTTAGAGCTTGCCTTGCCACAGATGACACTTGATATAAACCGTGAAAGACTCAGCATTGATGCTTCACCTATATTTGATAAGAGAGATACTGGAAATGAATTAGGGATTGAAACTTTTTCGACAATGGAGAAGAAAAGCCTACTTAAGCTGTGATCTGATGCAATAAAAGGAAAAAATGTTAAAGAAAAATGGATTTACCAGCAGACTTCTTATACAGGGACTATAACTCCTTCCAGCTTCAGCTTTAGCAAAAAGTGCTTTTCGTTTAAGAATATTAAGAAGAAAAAAACTAAATTAGAGTGACTAAATGAGCAAGTTAAGTTAAAAGACATACTGGCAATGAGAGGGTAACCCATAGCCTTCGCCTATCTTGGCTCCAAATCTCGCCCTTTTGAATTTTTGATCTGAAGTTTATGTCCAAAAGATTAATCTAGGGCAGAGCCATAGTCTCGGAGTTGCCCCGATAGTCTCGATGAGAAGGATCCATGCAATAGGAAAACCTTGTCTAGTCCATCAGCTAGGGACAGGAAACCTTCGGAGAGAAACAAAACACTCTGCTTCAGCAGGCTTCCCTACTCAATTTAGCTAACGAAGAACTTATTTCAACACCCATCCTGTAGGTCCATTACTCCATCAGGAGGTGTTGCCTCGGAGTCCTAATTCTGTCGGCGTCACCATTTTATTTCTTAAATGAACAAGATTAAAAGATCAAAATCTTAAACAGCCATAAGTGACCTCTCACTAGCCGGGCTACTGTGACTCCATGAAAAGTAGTATACGCTGGGTGCATTTAAAACAGATTGCAAATAGTATAAGGCCCTACTCTAATTTTCTGGTGAAATTCATCTCTCTAGGTGAGAGCCATCATCTGTCGGATGTCCCAATAGTCCCGATGAGAGATAATCATGTGTTAGGCAAAAGCTGTCTATAGCCCAGGGCCCTGCTTTGGATTGGCCTGGGTCTATTCGTTATGTAGGACTGACTCGGGCAGCATCAGCTGCCAAGTCAACCCCTGAAGTTGGCAAGTGTCAACCCCATAGTTGCGGTGGCAGCGTGTAGCCCAGGGCGATCCAAAGCAGGCTCTGGGCAATACCCATCTAATAGTTACAGGAAAACCTTCGGGAGAAAAGTAAAACTTCCCTCTTCGGCAGGCATCCACAAACCTGAAGGCCTACTTCAAAAATGGACAGAGATCATTTTTTCAGCTTCATCATTATGGGTCCTACTTATTCAATAGGAGTATCCCTCGAGCCCAATTTCTGTAAACGTTACCATTTTATTTCTTTAAATGAGTAAGTTAATTTAAGTGTTATAAGGCCATAAGCGTGTAAACAACTAGCCTCCTATCTAGGGTAGACTCACCTAGCCTAAGGATTAGCTCCTTAGGTGGGAGCCACATCTTGTAGATGCCCGTTAGACCAATAAGTAAAGAATAAGTGGGAGCAAAATCTGCATAGTCAGAGACAGGGAAAACCTTCGAAGGAGAAACAAAGCTTTCCTCTTCAGCAGGCATCCCTACAACTTCAAAAAGTGACAGAAGCACTATTTTTCAGTTTCATCGGGACTGGCCCTACTTGTTCTGTAGGGAATAAGTCTCGAAATCCATCTTCTGCCGGCATAGCTTTTTATTTTTTAAATGATCAAGGAATTGAAGAAATTCTGCACAATGGGAATAATAATCATCTTGAAAATGCCCCAAAAATAAATGATTCTGAAATTTCTATAGAAGAAATCACAAATCAATATAAAAAACCTGATCCACTAGCAAAAATGAATAATCTTTCAAATAATCAACTGCTGATTATGCAGAGCATTGACTCTTTAATTGAACTTTTAAAAATTGGCCACGGAAGTTAAGGCTGAAATTTTAATCTATTTATGATACTTATAATAATAGTTTCAATTTTACAAAAAAAATTTCCCAATTAGGCATTCTTAATCACGTTAATTAAATCTTCCAAGTAATCCAAATTTGTGCCATAAAAGAATGAGCTGTGGTCTTGATCATAATCATATTTTCTATGCACAATTAAATTTTCTGGTAAATATGCTGAAAACTCTTCAAGATCTTTATTAGTCACAATATGGTCACGTTTTCCTCCAAAAATCGCCACTTTTATTTTAATTTTTGAATGGTCTAGCTGCCCTGCTTCTTCTCTTCCATAAAGCTCTAAATTTCTTTTAGGCCCAAAATCTTCTAATTTAATTTCATAAGTATCGCTTTCCGCAAACTTCTTTACAAATTTTAAATTTGTGACACTAGTGCCTGCACTATATTTTAAAGAATAATAAGCTGTATTATCTAAGCTGTCCTCATTTAAATAAGGGTCATAATTATCTTTTCATAGTCAATAATTGTATAATGAGAATCCTTTTATGAGCTTCCCCATATAAATAGTGGGCCTTTCCACAATAATGTCCATGCCTAAAAAGTCCAGCATTTTCAAAAAATAATCATTTATTGCCAATCGAATCACGCCACTATTGCATGAAAATCGTGATCCTCCTGCAAGTGATACGACTATGTCTAAGTCATTTTCAAATTTTGGATTTAAACTGAGCATTGATAACATAATAGCGCCTCCTAAGCTGTGCCCGACGTATGACACTTTTTGGACACCTGTGGCTGATTTTATAAATGAAATTATTGGGGGTAGGTCAAATCTTCCAGTATCAATTGCACTGAAATTCCAAAATTGATGGGAGTTTATGTCTAATGAAATGTGAGATCTGCTGTCTATTGATCCACGGCAATTTGGAAGGTATTTAAAAATTTCTATTTATTTTTTAAAAAATAATTTTTTATTTTAAATAAATTGATTATTTGGAAGCCATACATCAAAACCTGCGTCTATTAATTGATAAGCTGGGCCTTTAATCCTCATATTAGAGATCCAAGCATCTGCTGCAGAAAACAGTCCATGCATAAGTATAACTGGTTTGCCTTTGGGCTGGCCTTTAAAAAGCCGATACATAGTTAGAATGTATCCATCTTCTGTAGTAATTTTATGAGTTGATGCTGAGTATCCATGAAATTGAGCTAGCTCTACAAATGATAAGTAAGCTTCTTTTGGTAAGACTTGATAATCAATGTAGACATGGATAAGGATCAATGGGACTAAAATAGCCAAACTGAGCTTGATCCACATTTATAGTCACCAATATAATGCACCACCAAGGAATTTTTCATATATATTTAATCTTTAACCAAAATTTAGCATATTATTATTTATCAATAAGTCCTTTAATACAATATCATCAAAAGCAAATAAATTTACTAATAATCGTTGCGCTGATTTGTCAATATAGATGATTATCTTATTCCCCTCTCCTTGAGCAAACAAAAATATTTTGATCGCTCATATATTTTATAGTTTAAAATTTAAATAAATCAATTGGAAAGCAAATATTTATATAACTGTAAAATTTCAAAATTAAATAGAATTAGCTAGAGATTTCATTATACTAATCACCATCTATACATCAAAATTTTTATATTAAAAATATTTTTGTTTAGGTTTTGGGCAAAAAATAGGTATTTTTCCAATGGCTTTGCTCGCTCAAGAAGAGGGGGGAGCTAGGAATACTGATTAAGGGTTATTACATAAATAATCACTAAAAAATTAAGCTAAAATAATCAGATTTAATACAAATCGACTTTTATCCTTAATTTTCATGCGGCTTCTATTTCTACCAAGCTTTTTACAAATGTGCAATAAATATGATATCTTTTCATTCAAGAACTATGAGAGGGTTTGGATCTTCTGACGAGCTCAAACAATTTTTGCTTTCCGCGCCCACCATCGAGCAAATCCTTTCATTTTCAACAATTGAAGAAGAAGTCCAATCCAATAACCAAAGTTTAATGAGCTAGTAATTTCTATTTAGTCTCTCAAATGATCACATCAGATATCTAATTACATTAATAACAGAAGAACCTCTAGACGACTCAAATAGAGACCGTGCTTACAAGTTTCCTCTTATAGCCAGCCTTTTCTTTGGCACAGACCAACTCACAGTTTTAGATTTTTTTTACGAAGACAAAACACTCCTAGATTTGCTTTTTAATTTCCTCAACAAAGAAGAAGACCTCAACTTTCTGCTTGCTGGGTATTTCGCTAAAGCTTTTGACTCACTTATAAGCAGAGATTGTGACGCTCTTTTACAATATGTGTTTACTAATAGTTTTCATACAAAAATGTTGAAACATCTTTATAGCCAATCTATAGCTGATGTCATTTTTAAAACTGTGGCCGCTTATAACTGTGAGGAAGATTATCTGTCTGAAAGGCTTGGAATTTTGGAAGAGCTTATAAATAGCTTGTCAAATACAAATCCAGCTGTAGCCATGAATGTAGAGTACGTTATGGAAAAAGTTATAAATGATAAGTCAATTAACTTGTATGTGGCTTTATATGAGTATTTATCAAGCGAAGCTATAACTGAAAAAATTTTTAGAAATTTGGAAAATGAGTATACCTGGATCGCGAGATCTTCAGCAAAAATTTTAAAAAATTTACTTAAGCAGTATCTTGAAGAAATAAAAGACTCTGGAGAAGATGTCCCTGATATCGTTGGGATATTTGAGAAAAATTTGGAATTTATGAAAAACACACTTGAAAAGCCAAAAGATAAAAAAATAAGCTCACAATTTTGTAGAGAAATCGAGGCGTATTCAGAGGAAAAAATAATTGTAATTGATATACTCACAATATTATGCACAGTTGAAAATTATTCATTATGAAAGACCATTGTCAGCTTGAAATTTATTGAGACGATAACTGCTCATTTTAAGACATATATATGGAACTCTACATTACACACTGCCTATTTGAATTTATTATATGCAATTTTGACAGGCGAGTCAGAAGAATTAATTCAAGATATATTTAACGCTAAAATACCTGACATGGTTTTAGACCAAGCAATAGTGCCAGATGAAGAAATAGATGGGATTAGTATAAGAAAAGGGCATATAGGGCACATCTATAAAATAGCGAATCTATTAAAGACTGCCAGAGAGAGTCAAACAGTTATTTTAAATTTTTTTAACCATGTTGAAGGCTGGTATGAGTTTGAGTCACATGTTTTAAGTATCTACAATGAAATTGAGTCAGTGCCACTTGGCAATAGAAAGAGCAGCGCTGCACCAAATTCTGCAGTAAGAATTATATAGAATGATATTGATATTTTGCAGGATTTAACACAAGGAATAGCTTTTGATATGCCTTCGTATGGTTAACGTAGCTTTTTAAATCAAAATCCTTTTGATATTAAAGAAGTTGATGACCCAATGATTATAAATCAACTAGAAGAACAAGGGGAGATAAAGAGTAGCAATATATTTATGGAAACAATTCCAAAGGATAATACTTTTGCGAAGCTTATGGAGACAGAGTTTATGGACAACAATTTCTGGAAAATCAGTAAAATTGTAGATGAGGTTCCAGAATTAGGATAAAATTATTTAATCAGTTTGAATTATTTTTTAGATTATTTATTAAATTAATGATAAATCATCTAGCAGTAAACCAAAAAAATAGTGAGAGAGTAAGATGATAATTATGATTTTGTGATAGTCCTATAGTGAATCGCACTTTTTTCTGGTCGACACTTCGCACGCCTAACTTTTTGATATTGGAAGTCTCTAAACTCAGGTCTTTGCGTATCTTATACAATCTAGCAGCTATATACCCGCAAAATGGTCCTTATGAGCCTTGTGTCAAAGTGCTATTAAAGGAAAGCCATTAAGTATAGTGTAGGGTAAATGAAACTTTTTGTTTGCATGTTTTGCGTGACCGCAGCTCAAGGCAGACTTTTTTGCATGCACTCCCATTTTCTTCCATCAATTCGCTTAAAAATAAAAAGTGGCCATCACTTCTAAAAAAAATTTTGCATGTTGGAGTATCGATCAGAAAATAGTGCAATCACTATAGATGTTTGAATAAAACAAAGTAGCAAGATTTGGTAGATTTTTTTAATATTAGTCACCCTGAGATAAGGCCGCCCAGAATTTTACTAATAAAATATGACATTTTCTTACCTTCTTAGGTAGTAGCAGCAGACACCATCTGATATGGCCGTGCTTTCAATCTGCTCCTCCTGGCCCAGAAATTCCCAGGATTTTCCTGAAGCTATAAGGGCTTCTTAAAAAATTTTTTATATTAAAAGCAATAGAAAATTGTCTTCAAACACTTTGAGGGCTGGTGTGAAGCACCAAATGCTAGCTTCCCCATTTTAAATTGGAGCAAAAACATCTTTTACAATTTAAAAGATTAATTATTTTTTAAAAAATTAAAAAAAATACTAATTGAGCTCGATTTTTTCGTTTTAATTTTAATTTATGAAAAAAAAATTAATTATTTCATTAAATAATTAAAATTAATTTAATGCATTTTACCAATAAATTTTCCCTATAAAAAAATTTTATTATTAAATTTAAAGGGTTACTAAAAAATATAAATTTGCATATATTTTGTTTAAAAGGTGGAGTAAGAATAATCAACTTTGTGAAAAGCTTATTCTTAGCATTTAGTAATCACAAATAAAAACAATTATTTTTTATTTATAATTTGCTCTAAAGCTTTGAAGTGCAATTTTTAGATTAAATTTTCTTCTATTCAAAGAAAAATAATTGATATTAAGATAATTTTTAAATGTTTAATTGAGATAATTAACTTAGAATGGAGATATTTTAAAGGTGAAACCAGGGCTCTTTTATAGGTTCTGCAAATGTTTTAATAATTTTCTTCTTTGAGGTTTTTAATAATCTTCACCAGACTGCTATTTGTGCAAAGCTCTAAATCATTACCGATTCATTTTAATAATTCTCTTCCTATTTTTTATAAAATGGTAAAATATTAAAATTTAACATGAAACCAATTTTTATTATTAAGCTTGCATTTCAACATCTTTTTCGACTTCCGGCTTTTCAAGGTGAGCTTTAATTGAAGCTTGAATTTGCTCCATCTCTTCAATGGCTTGTTTATACTTGCTTAAGTCAACCTCCATAATAGCTTTAAGAGTGTTTGAGACTTGATCTTGCAGTGTTACAATCCCATTAAGCTGTTTAGTTAGGCTATCCATTTGGTTTGAAAGGAGAGACGGATTAATAGCTTCAGGAGTCTCATTTTTGGGGGCTGACTTAGAAGGAGATGGATTAGCTTGGGCTTGTCCATTCCCATTAAAAACTGGAGGATCTTTAGCTGCTACTTGTGCAGGCTGAGGCGGAATGATAGTGGTAGGTGCTGGAGGGTTTGGATTGAAGCCTCTTTGTCTGGTATCGTCAACGAACTTTTTGAGCTTAAAAGTGTGTCCTTTCAGCATGCCGATTCCGTTCATAAGTGTGGTAAGCTGATCAACAGAAAGTGCAAGAAGTTCATCTAGACTTGTAATTCCTGAATTATTGAATGATTCAGCATACTTTTCAAGGTTGATTGTTTCGAGAGCAGTTTGGATTGATACCATTTTTAATTTATATTTACCCCCAATTTTATTTTTGAGAAATTCAAGAATTATTATTTATTTTAATGATAAAATTCTGCTTTATTGATTTTTTTGTGACAGTAATTATTTTTGATTAAATTCAATTTTTTTGTGCTTAAAATTTTTACTTCAATATAAAAATGTAAATAAATTAAATTAAAAATTTCTTCATAGTCTTAGTATTTAATTAAAAAAAGTTGAAAAATTGAAAATATACAGTTAAAATGGAAATCAAGAAATCCTATGAATTACAGTTAGATCTAAAAGAAGTCACAGGACTTCCACATGGACTCACTTGCTGCAGAGTCAATATAGAAAACTATGAAAATATTTTAGACGGGCTCAAGCCTTTAATTATTACTCTAGATACCATATCAAATCTCACAAAGCTTTCAATAACGTTGCTGTATAGAAACAACGCAATTGGAGGCTGCCAAATGTCTTTGGTAACTTTATTCGGTGAAAAATTGCAAGGAAAAATCGATAAATGGATAAAAATCAATCAAGAACAAGTCAAGGACGTCAAAATCAAACTTTCAGCAAATTTAAAAATCAAAGAAGTCGAGGTAACTCCTATGAAATCTCAAAAAAATAAAGAGCCAGGAGAGTTTGACTCAAAATGTGCTTATTTATGCGCATTAGTAGATAATAAAGCTGAAAGCCAAGGCGATATTCAGAAAATAAAAATTGATAGGGAATACCCTATTGATGAAAGAGAAAATGAATTGATTAGAATTACACTAGACTCCGAGCCACAAAACAGATTTGTAGCTGAACAAAGCTTGTCACTCTATCCCGGCTTAGAAGAGCTGAATCTTGAAAAATTAATTGAAAGTGGGCCTACTCAAATGCGAAAATTAATAAAAATTTTGGGTGAAGAAATAAGGTCTAAGCATGCCACTTCGCTGGATTTACCATATGTTGTAAATAAACTAAACACAAAAATAAATGAACGAAAAGAGCTGGAAGATCAAACTCAATCAGCAGTAAATACGTTATCAGGAAATTTAGAAGGAAAAAGTGCAAAATTAAAAGAAATCCAATTGCAGAGAGAAATAATTGCAAAGGAATTGTTAGAAGAAATTGAAAAAATAAGGAAATCTGAATGGGAAATAGAAGATTTCATTAAAGATGTAGAAGAAATTAAAAGGCAGAATTTGGCAATCCAAGCTGAAAATGTAAGAAATAAAGACTTTGGTAAAACAGTAAAATCATTACAAGGACTTGTAAGTAGCTATAAGCAACGGAATGAGGAACTCAAAGAAAAATCTGAGAAATCTTCAGCAAACATGCAAACAATAATCGAAAATTCACAAAAGCAAAAAAATTCCCTCAGCCATGACATCGAAATTGCAAAACAAGAGCTTTCTGATACAAATTCTCAAACAAAATCAATTTTATTACAAAATGAGCAGCTGGAAAAGCGCATTGCAGAGCTTAAGCAGCAAATGTCAGGCGATAGAAACCTAAAGCAGTATCTTCAAGACTCATCAGCCATTTCTTCTTCAAAGTCATCTATTCGAGAACAAGCTCAAAGAGACCTTTATCAGTTTTCTTCCAGCATAAATTCTGAAGCTGACCATTATAAACAAAAACAAAAAAATCTTTTCGCATCAAAAAAAAGTGCAGCACAGTCTCTCCATACTGCTGAACAAGAAATTGGGTTGAGAGAAATCCAGATAATTGAGCTACAGAAAAATAAATATATGTCGACCAATAAGCAGATTGTAATGGAACAAGTTTGCTGCATTAGAGCAGATTTAGGAGTTATGACTGAAGAAGTCTCAAAACTGCAAAAAAATATATGCAATTTTAATAAATCTGTATTTTTTATTAAAAAAATAATAAAAAATATCACAAATTGTCGTAATGAAATATAAATTATATAAAAGGGTCACTTTTTAGAGAACTAGAAAACGGCTCTCAATATGCAGCTACAGAAAGCAAAAATATCCTAGAAGAAGCTAACAATTTAGAATCAATGATAGACTCCATTGATGAAAAAGATATTGAAATTGGCAGCCTAAAAGCAACAATGGGAGACGTTAAAAAAAGAAACCCAATTTATGTCCCTGAAAAAGACGATCCAATTGATATTGCCTTAAGCGAGTTTTTAAACACAATGGTTGATGTCATACCTGTGCCATTTACTCGTGAAGATGAAGGGATTTATTTATTTGGAACAAAAAGAATTTTCTTGAAGCTTGAACAAGGGCAGATCGTTATAAGGGTAGGAGGAGGGTTTATGGGGATTGACGAGTTCATTGAAATCTATACTCCATTGGAGCTAGAAAAGCAAGAATCTGTGCTTACAGAAGCAGGCCCTGCTTTTACGAAGTCTTTGTCTAGGTTTTTAAGTGCCCCAGATATCGGGATGTCGCCTCAAAGGGCGTCTCGAATTATAAAAGGAACGGTAGAAGCTATATCTTCAGGCTCTCCTCTTAAGCCTATCGCTTCTCCATTAAGAAAAGTCAGGCCAATTCTAGAAAAAGCACGTTCATAAAATAACATATTTAGATTTAATTTTCGTTAAATAGTCAGTAGAAAATTTAACGTTTATAAAAATGTTTTATTTTTTTATTATTCTAGTCCTTTTCCTCTACTTATAAGCCAGCATATAATTTCATAAAATATATATAGTTGATAAGTAATTAGATCTATTTTTAAATGATATTTATTTTTAAAATAATTTAATTATAATTGGGATATGCCGAAATTAAAGTATGTTTATTATAATCGATCTTCTGATGAAACGCCACATCGATAACCTAATATATTCCATTTTTTCCACAAGATGAATTACCTCAGATCCTTAGTCTCAGGACAAAAGAAAAGATATCGTGAAGACGGGTATAACCTTGACCTCTCATACATCACAGAGCGAATAATTGCAATGGCAATTCCAGGTGAAGGACTTACCAAAATCTACAGAAATCCACTCGAATCAGTTTCTAAATTTTTAAATGAACACCACAAAGGCAATTATATGGTGATCAAAAATTATTAATGTTTTTTTATGAAAAAATAATTAAATAAAAAAAATTATTACTCAATTACATGATTTTAAATCTCAGCGGAATCCAGTATGACTATGCCAAATTTGACCACAATGTCAAAGAGTTCCCATGGTCTGATCATTACCCTCCTCCAATTGAGCTCTTATTTAAAGCTTGCCAAGAAATGCATTTTTGGCTTGCTGAGTCCATTGACCATATTGTCGCCGTTAACTGTCGAGCTGGTAAAGGTCGGACTGGGACCCTAATTTGTTGTTATTTGATATACTCAGGCCGATTCTCAGATCCAGATCAAGCTCTAACTTACTACCGAAGAAAGCGCTTTGTCAAAGGTGGTGGGGTCCAGCAGCCCTCACAAATCCGCTACGTCCGATATTTTGCAGAAATTTTCCATGGGAGGGTCAAATGTCCTGTAGTCTCCAAACTCACAAAAATCCGTCTCCTTACCTCCCCGCACTCTGCTGGTATTTCTTGCAAGCCAATTATCGAAATTTCAAGCGGAAAAACTGCACTATACACAAACAAAGCAGACCACAGAGAAGACCAAAAAAGCATATTGGACTCATGAGAAGACATCAGATACCATGAGATCTTTAATGACGAGCTTGCTTTACAAGGGGACATTTTGTGTAAAATATCCCATTGGGGAGCTATAAAACAAAAAACTGTCTGTAGGTTTTCCTTTAATACAGGATTTATTGAGCCTAGCGGCATTTTAAGACTTGAAAAAAGTGAAATTGACCCTTTTAAATTTGCGTATAGCAAAAAAGTTTCAGACCAATTTGCGATTGAATTGTCATTTGAAGAAATGTGCCCGTGCACTCCAGATATGGCAATTAATGATAGATGTCAAGCTTGCTATTCGAAGCTTGACCCTGATGAAATTATGAAATGGCGAAATATAAAGAAAATTATCTTTGAGAGAATCAATGAAAATTCGTCAAGGCTGCTGTTTGGGAATACAAGGCTCGATGATATTGATGAAGTTCTTAATCAAGAAATTACTCCTACAAATTCGTGCGATTGTGAGGAGGAATAAGCTATATATAATTTAAAAACTACAGACACATTATATGGTATCAATTCTAAAGACTTAATAATGTTAAAATGTCTGCTGTATAAGTTTTTCATTGAGCATTAAATCTGGTAAAAATCAATATATATGAGGCGTATGGAGGTTTCATTAGAAATCCTTTATAAAATTAATTAAAATGGACCCAGAAGACCCTATCAGCATATTTGCTGATATGAAATTAAACTCAGATGACTTCTTTCAAATCCTCGAAACTCACCGCAAAAGTTGCCAAAGAGAAGGCCGCTATGATGAAGCTGAACTAACTCGTTTACGAATCTTAGAATTGCGAGCTCATGAAGAAAAAGCCAAAAAAGATTATCTCCAAGCAAAGCACCAAGCTGAAAAAGCAGGCCTTGTTGAAGCCCATAAAATGGAAATAGAGAAATTAAATGAAATTTGGGAAACCGATCTTATGCCCAGATTTGAAGACAGTGTAAGAAGTGCAGTTATAGAACTCAGAGACAAACATAGAAGAGAAATGGAAGAACTTAGAGACAGAAAAGAAAGAGAAATAGAAAAAATAAAGCAGCATCCTCCTTCAGAAATACTTAATCTTAGAAAAAGAGTTGACTCGTTAGCGTCTGCTGGAGAATATATGGCTGCAAAGAAAATCAAAATGAACTTAATTGAGGCTGAAAGTGGCTGGCAAGGGAAAATTGATGGGAAGTTAAAGGATAAATGAGCTGAAAATATAGAAAAATTAATAGAAAAACAAGAAAAAGAGCTTAACTCACTGCTGGATAAGCTTGAAAAGTAATTGATAAATAGACAAAGACAGCTAAAAAAAGCCCAGTGGGACAAAGAGATTGAAATTTTGAAAAAAAGATATAACAACGTAAGAAATGACCTTATAAACCAGCAGAAAATCGAAAAGCAAAAACTCGTCAAAGAATTCAGCGTAAAAAGACAAGCAATGGAAAGCATCACTAAAAAGCCGAAAAAACCAGCAAATCTGAGGTAATTTCAGGTTTCTGCAGTTAGGGTCAGCTGAAATCTTATAAGTTAATAGAATTAGTTAAATTGAAAAGTTGAAATATATGAGCTCAGCACTTTTCTATTGTTTGGATATTCTGAATTAGTATTACCTATGTCGTTTTCGAAGTCTTCCACAATTTCTAAGGCTTGGCTTAATGGCTGGCCTTCTATCATTCTTGTCAAAACGACTATGCAAATATTAATCTTATCTTATCTTATGGTATTTATATCGCTTAACGTCCACTACGGGGTTACGACCCCAGGTTTATCACTCGCCTTTCGTCGCATCGGGCCCACCAGTCCGCTGGGGACAGACTCGCTTTGATCACCAAGGTGCTTCTAGGGCAAATGTCCACGTCTTCGACGGCTCATGGATGAGCTACTTGCTTGTACATGGGTTGCTTTTCCGAAAAACCCAAAAAATGGATTTTTCTGGTCGGCTATCGGCAAAAAGGAAAAATGCAAAGCCTGGGACGTAACGCCCAGTTTCACGCTAGGGAGTTGCCCGAATGGTCCAGAGGACTTTGCTGGGCTTCCCCTTTCCAACCTTGCACCCTCCTTCCCCACGAGGAAAAATCCACCCCTAAGAACAGACTAGGGCTAGGCTCTGAAAGCTACCAGAATTGCTTACCTAGCATTGCAGTCCATCTCTGAAATGGTAAAACCTTGCCGGATATAATTAAAATATGAGTCGAGTATGTATGGCCGGGAGGCCATACCAAGACGAAGACGCCATATTTTAATTATATGCAAATATTAATCAAATTGATGTGGCTGTGGATTATTTTTTTCCTTTCACTTCTATAAACAAGCTTGATTATGAATTACAGCAAAATAAAAATGAGGTGTGGAAACTTGGTCAAAAAGAGAAAAATCTGCTTCTAAAGTAGTTGGGAACTCTGCGAGCTCAGCTTGAAGGATGGATAAGGCATGGTTAAGCACGCTGACTTCGTAGTTCAGCGAGGCAGGGTTGAAAAAGGCTTCTTTTGGCTTGCTGCTGTCCCAATTTAAAGCTCTTATAATTCTAAAGATATCTGTTTATATGCTACCTAGGCACAATTCATGATGTTTTAGCTTAAATGGAATAAGCTCATTTATTTCTTTTTTTTCTAAAAATTCAACAATCGCTGGATTTTTGGTAAATCTTTCAAATTTTACTTTAATTCTGGCATAGTTATATTTGTTATCTCTTAAAGCAAAACCATATACACACAACAGTTGCCTGTTCGAGTATCTTCCATAGCTCATGTATATTTCAGATCCTTTTTCATATTTTTCAGTAGGGCCAGCTACCATTTGCATGCATTTATTATCTCCTTCAATCAAAGTGTCAGAAAGCGGCTTTCAATCATTTTTTCGTCTATTTTCGATTTCATCTTTCCTATCTAAGGTTCAAGCTTCTGTTTGTATTTCTTTATAGATATCAGTATCTTCTAATGGAGCTAAGTTTTGGTTGGCTTCTACTAAAATATGATATGAATAACGAATTATTCTCTGATTAATAAATAAATCAATATTCTCTATTAACTCTTGATAAATAAATTGCAAGTAAATTTAATTTATACAGTATAAAAGGTCTCTTTCACAAATTCGATCATCATGGTCTTCATAATCTTCATAGCCATTATATCTACCTGATGAATCAGGGGTTTCATCAGGTGCGACATAACAATAATAAGTCTCAGTATTATCATGATTCAAAAACTCGCCGACAGGGAAAAATGTTACATGTGGGACAAATTTTCCAAAAGTCCTTGTCCCTATCAGTCTCCAAGCCCATATAAAATTTTTAAACGTTAATAAATCCTGTGGGAATTCCTCGAATTTTGAGAGATTTTGCCTTCATAGAGTATAAGCATAATGGTGATAGGTAAAATGCTTTTCTGAATCATACTCTAAATCAGGGTCTTGAAGCTCTTTTAGCTCCTCAGGGCTCCAGTCTTGAATTGTTTCTGGGTTTTTTGGCTGCACGCTGAGGAATGGAGCCCATTCTGATGTATTGCCTTTGTTTTTTTCCCAGAGGATATAGGTGATTAAAAGCATATAATCGTAATAAGAATTGGTTTCTTCAAAAAGATCTGGGCATTGGCTTATTAAGTTTGCTAAATCGCTTCTTTTGACTGTTTCTGTTGTGAATAAAGCACTATTTGGGGCTGATATAATAACTTCATTTGGATAAATTGTATCAGTTGCTCTTGTGCCAATATACCCAGGCGGGAAAAGCACAGGATATTCTATTTTATCCCACCTAACGCCTCTAGAGCGAGCCCATTCAAAGAAGGTTGTTAATTCTGGTGTGAGTGGAAGAGGCTCAGATCCTTCAATAAGCTGATACATTTATAATACTAAGCTCATTACGAAAAATTAAATTATGACTCTCTATAGCAAAATTAAGTAACTACACAATTGCTTCTGCCATAAAATATGAAAATAATTTATTAAAGCTTATAAGATGGCTGAAAAATCACGCGCTAATGACTATGAGATTATTGGAGATCTCGATAAGTCTAGAAACCTCTTAAAAGTTGTTAGGAAATGTAATATTTAGGCAGCTGACAATAGCACTTATGCTATGAAAGTGGTTAAAATCCCTCAATCTGAGAAAAGAAATCAGCAGGAATTAATAAATGAAGTGAAAATCTTGACAAACTTAAAGCAGCAGGATTCATTTAGATATTTTGACTCCTTTTTTGAGAAAAATACTTTGCATGTGGTATAGATTTTTCACTTTAATAGATCATTATTGACCGTCTGCTCATTTTAAAGGTAGTATTTCGAAATATCAGTTTTTTTGATAAGCCAAAACGAATTTTAAGAAGCCTAATTAGTCTTTATTTAGACCCTATTTTTTCAGACTTGTATTTTGAATGACCATAGCGATCTATTACGGTGGATAAGATATAATGGAATTAAATGAAAAAAGTGATCTAAGTAATCAAATAAAATCCCAAATAGAAGGAAATCAATTAATTCACCTTTGCTTAAGACAGAAGCGAGCCAGAGAATCTCTTTCTAAAATCAGAGATAACTTGCCTGACATAAGTGAATTAAAAAGACCAAAAATAGAAAGAAGTAAAGCTTTTTATTGGGGAAATTTTAAGAGTATAATTTATGCACACCATAATAGATCGCTGCGTTCCAGGAGAATACCAGCACCAAAAAAATATCGTACAGGACACTTTTCTTATATAGAGTCTCAGTCTGATTAGGCATAAACGGAGATTTGCCATTTTCTTTACACTTTTCAAAAAAACTGGCAGGTGCAAATTTATTTTAAAAATTAAAATGCATGGTCAATTATGGTCTAAAAATTGTCAGGGGCTATAGGTATGTGAGGTCTTCAAGCAACGAGAGAAATGATAACAGATGAAGAGAAGATTTGCCAGTGGTAGAAATTGGCAATAAAAATCAAGAAGAATCTGAAGGGAGCCTGGAATCATGGAAAAAGAAGAATTTAAATCAAAGTTGTGTTGAAGAAGTTATAGTAAATAAAAGAGATATCCGAACCACTCATGAAATGGAAAATCCAATAAATGAATTACAAAAAGATCAACAAACAATAAAAGCTTCAAATATTTTTTACCCATCATTTTTTGTTCATAATCCTAATTCACGCTTCAATAAAAATTAACTTCTATATATTAAAAAAAATTCTATAATAAGCATTCAAATAATCGTTTTTTTAATCCTATGGCATTCAGGAGAGTAAAGAAATTCCAATAGAAGACTCAGGCTTTGTTGATGACAATGATGAGCTTATAAATATCGAAAGCGATGCAACTCCAACATTTAATAAACAGCCAAGCACTATCCAATCATTTTTTGCTCCAGATTCTATTCAAACTCAAGCCTCAACGCTAACAAAAGATTCGGAGCTTAAGCTAAAACCTATTCAAGGCACATCGTCGATACCAATAAATCAATCAGTTTCTCCATCATTTTTTACCCAAAGCCAAAAAGAAACTATTTTTAGTCCTCCAGAAGAAAAATCTTTAGAAAGCAAGCCAATAAATTGCCAACCCCCAAAAAATTCAGTGCCTTTATGCCCATCATTTTTTGTACAAAATCCTCAAGAGGTTCCAATTGAAGACTCTGGGTTTGTTGATGAGTCCAGCAACGATTCATCAAAAATCCAAGAAAATGCTTCTCCAGCTCAAAATAAAACAGATACCCAAGAAAATAAAGGCAGTCTATTTCAATCTCCAATTCAAAGCTCATTTAAACCCCTATTTGAGAAAAAGCCAAACCCTTTAACAGTTGGAAAGCCCCAAATAATAGATAAAAATTTGCAGAGTCCTATTTTCACTAAAACAACTTCTTTGCCTTTATATACAAAAACAGCTCCCCTTTCTCTATTCTAATTAAAACTGTATAGTAAAAAATCATTATTATTTATATAATTTTAATATTCATATTAATAAGTATAGGTACAAAAACGAGCTCTCTGCCTTCATTTTTCGTAACTAATCCTTCAAGTGAAATTCCTTTAGAAGACCCTGGATTTATGGATGATGCAGATGAAAATTCTGAAAAAGAAATTGAAGAAAATCCTCCAAAGCTTGATAATAAGCTTTCATTATTCAATCCATCACCAATAAGCTCGCAGGTTAAATCAATATTTGACAAATCATCTGAAAATAAAGCAGCTAGTCTATTTGGAGGATCTTTGTTCACCCAAACAAATCAAGACTCTCAGCCTAAGCTGTCATTGCTTTCATCCCAAACAGCAGAAACCAAATCCTTGTTCGATAAATCTGCCCCATCATTATTTTCAACTCAAGCAGCAGCAACCAAATCCTTGTTCGATAAACCAGCCCCATCATTATTTTCATCTCAAAATCAAGGAACTAAATCTTTGTTTTCAGCTCAGCCTATATCTGATAAGCCTTCTTCATCGCTTTTTCCAACTCAGCCTATATCTGATAAGCCTTCCTCATCGCTATTTTCAGCTCAAAATACTTCCGATAAAGCAGCCCCTTCATTATTTTCAGCTCAGCCTACATCAGATAAGCCTTGCTTATTTGCAAACCAATCTACGTCTGATAAAGCTGTTTCACTATTTTCAAATAAAGAAACTAAATCTTTATTTGACAAAAATTCTTCATTTTCTGCTCAAAAGTCAATATTTGATAGTACACCAACTCAAAAAAAAGAAGAAAAATCTTTATTTGGCCAAACACCACTTAACCAAAAACAGGAACCTGGATCTTTATTTGGCAATTCTTCTACTGCAGCAAACAATCAAAATCTTATATCAGCTGCCAAGCCACAAGCAAATAATCAAACTTCTTCATTTTTCGTCCAAAATGTAACAGCTGATATACCATTTGATGACCCAGGCTTAATAATTAAATATGGCGCTTCAGCTTAGACATGGCCTCCCGGCCATGCAACCTCAGGCAAATATTTAATTATATCCGGCAAGGTTTTACCAAGCTGGAAATGAACAGCCTTTTTGCCGACAGTCGTCCAGAAAATCCATTTTTTTGATTTTTCTGTGCAGACAACCTCGTCGCTGCAGCCTGAAGCAAGGCCCGGGAATTCGTAGTCTGCCCACTCAGCACTGGAGCCCAATGGAAGTAGCAAGGAGGAAGTGACGGCCAGGCAATCCGCCTTTTCGGCAATCGGAAGTAGACGCTACCACAGAATGAATCCCCTGGTGAGATCTCGGTAACCGAGTTAGCAAAGTGGACTCAAACCACCCAATAAGTTAAGTTAAGATGACCCAGGCTTTGCTGATGATTCAAATCCAAATTCTGAAGATGGCGAAGGAATTGAAGAGTCTAAACCTTCTGGCCCACAAAATTCATTATTTGGGCAAAGAGTAGAAATATCAACTACAAGTTCTCCATTTAAGAATATTTTTGAAGCAAAGACTGATGAGAAACCTAAAGGAGGGTCACTTTTTGATATTAAAAGTGAGGGAAAATCTACAGGAGGATCACTTTTCGATTTAAAATATGATGAGAAGCCTAAAGAAGGGTCACTTTTTGATATTAAAAGTGAGGGAAGATCTACAGGAGGATCACTTTTCGATTTAAAATATGATGAGAAGCCTAAAGAAGGGTCACTTTTTGGTATAAAAAATGAAAATAAGCCTATAGAAGGGTCACTCTTTGGTAAAAAAAATGATGAGAAACCTAAAGAAGGGTTACTTTTTGGTATAAAAAATGAAGATAAACCTACAGAAGGGTCTCTTTTTGGTAAAAAAAATGATGAGAAACCAAAAATGCCTATTTTTGAAGAAAAAAGACCTGAAATGAGTCTCCAAACTCCAACTTTTCGAGCTGAAACTCAAAGCAGCCCACAAGTGTCCTCATTTTTTGTATCAAATCCTACCTCTGAAATACCTTTACTCCCCCTACGTGAACGAAAAAATAAATTTTGCTATTTTTTTTTTAAAAAAATTTATATATAATTTTTTAAAAATTTAAATATCCAAATTCGCAAAAAATTGGAAAGCAAATATTTATTTAATTTGTAAAATTTATTTATGTTTTAAAATGCAAGCTCTTTAAAATTAAACAGGATTAGCTACAGATTTCATTATACTAACTATAATTATATGTCAAAAAAAAAAATTATAAAATTATTCTATATTAAAAGGATTTTGCAATCGCTTTTCTTGTTCACGGAGGGAGGAGTTAGAAGACCCTGGATTTTTAGACCAAGACTCTGAAAAAGATTCATCTGAAGCCCAAAAAGAAGCATCTCCACAAGAACCTAAATTATCCTTATTTAAAGGAGTGCCTCAGCCAGCCCCTCCATCAAATTCTCTATTAAAATCAATTTTTGAAAAAAAACCTGACGAAAAGAGCACCTCTTCTAATAGCTCTTTGCCTAAAACAAACGCTTTTCCATCATTTTTTGTTGCAAATCCTATTGCAGAAGTCCCTATAGAAGATCCAGGCTTTTTAAAGCATTCTAATGATAATTCAGCTGATGAAGATGCAGCAGAAACGGTAAAGCCAATCGCAAAACCATCATTATTTGGGACTCCTATGCCGAACGAAAAGACTACTCCTATAGCGTCATTATTTGGAGGCTTTTTTAAAAATCCTGCACAAATGCAAAGCACAGCGGCATCTCAGTCACTTTTCTCACCATCGAATATTACACAAATCCCATACAAATTTAGTACTCCAGGAAATCCAATTCAAATGAAACCGGGTACATTTTCATCATTTTTTGTAGCAAATCCTCCTGCAGAAATTCCTTTAGAAGATCCAGGATTTGCTGAAGACTCAGATAAGGAAGAGCCAGAAGCGTCTTAAAAACGCTAGATGATTAAAATAATAATATTGTTGGTAAGCTCAGTATCAATCAGTTGTGTTATTTGTTAGAATTATTTACTTTTGATAAACATATCAATATTTTATAATTTTAATTATTCTTGTTTACTCACCCTTTGTTTAGAGAGTAAAGCCATTAGAAAATTTTTTATTTTTATTGTCAGGAATATTTTAATGATAATTGTGATTATATTAGTGAAAACAACAAAAAAATTATATTTAATTAAAATGTCTGTCCTCTAAAGCCTAAAAAATTTTCATTTAAAATATTAATAAAATCTAATTATGTCAGTGATCAACATATTATTTAGCTATCCATACAGGGTAGTTACTTATCTTAGCAATTCATTATTATATGATTATATGCAATTATGAAAATATGTTAATTTTATTTAACATCTAGCCTATATTGTATTAAGAATACTTCCAATATAAAATATGAAATTATTTAAAACCAAGAATTCAATCAAGCGCAGCATAATTTATTAAATTTTTTTAAGATGTCTAAAAGATCAAGCGTAAGTGACTTTGAAATAATTGGAAAGCTCGGAGAAGGAAGCTTTGGAACAGTTTTCAAGGTGAGAAGAATAGGTAATATTTATTTCAGTTGACAATAACATTTATGTTATGAAGATAATCAAGATTTCTCAAATGGATAAAAGAGGCCAGCAAGAATCAATAAATGAGGTTCGAATATAGCTTAGATACGCATTTAAGGTAGTCTCAGACTAGCAAGGTTCAAAAATTGATCAAGTGATAAGGTGACGAACCTGTAAACTAAGCCAATAGGCTAGTATTAATTCAAAATGCTCAATTTTTGAGCATAATCTGTATCAAGGAATGCTAAAAGTGTACCCAATCTATATTAGCAAGTTTAGACAACCCTTACATAGTCCGATATTTCGATTCCTTTATCGAGAAAAATACTTTACATATTATCATGGAATTCTGCGACAAAGGCGATCTCAGCAATCAAATTAGAATTCAGAGCGGTCGACTTTTCGCAGAAGCCAAAATTTGAAAATATTTCATACAAATGTGCATGGGACTCGAATATCCCATAAACTAAATAATTGCCCTAATAATTTACTTCCTAAAACCTTATGGGCTATTCTAAGTCTATCAATATATATTCATTCCAAAAAAATTCTGCATCGAGATATCAAAAGCATGAACGTATTTTTAGTCAAAGAAGACTCCGTAAGAATTGGAGATTTAGGAGTGGCCAAGGTTTTATCAAGCACAGCCGCATTTGCCCACACAACGGTAGGCACTCCTTACTACTTATCTCCAGAGCTGTGCGAAGAAAAGCCTTACAACGTAAAAAGTGATGTGTGGGCATTAGGATGCGTTTTATATGAAATGTGCACATTAAAACACCCATTTGATGCAAATAACCAAGGCGCGCTTATATTAAAAATTCTTCGAGCTAATTATTCCCCAATAAGTTCCCAATATTCTCCAGAACTCAGAGACCTTGTAACTATGTGTTTGCATAAAGATTATAAAAAAAGACCATCAGTATCCGGGATTCTTAAACTGCCAGGAATGCGAGATAGAGCGAATTCATTAAATATCCCGATACCTAATGGGTCAGTTTTATCTGAAATTCCAGCTCCTAAAGTAATTCCAGCGCCTTATCAAAGCAGAATGGATGTAATTGAAGAAGAAAAAGTTATGAAAATAAATAGTGACGCTTCAAAAGCTGGAGATATAGCGAAAAAACCTGTCCTTTCAAAGTCACCTTCTGCACAAGGTAGGATTTCTGCAGGCAAACCTGATATTCCAAGACCTGCACCAGTTCAGCCTAAAGTAAATAAACCTATTGAAAATCCAAAACAGGTATAGAACTTTTCTCTTCAATAGCGCGATAAGGCGTGCTTCCTGGTTTGACTAAAAGGTCTTTGGACCCATGAAAATCTGATGTTCCTTCTTTGTAAGAGAGTCATACAGTGAAAATAAAGAGTTCTGGCTGATCAATCTCGAGAACTTAAAGAGAGGCTATTTGCAAATTTACACTTTTGGTTCGTCAAATGGATCTGGCGAGCCAATTCTGGCCAGTACTTGAAATTATAAATGATAGTTGCCAGAATTTTATTAATTTTCTGATGGCAAGTATGATCAGAATTTTAATAAATAGCACAGGATAAGGCAACCCACTTAAAAAATATTGTTAAATTAAAGTCCCATTTTATAAAAGATATAATAAATTTTAAAAATTATTATTTTTATTTTAAAAATATTTTTTTATAAAAATTGATATAATTATTTTAAACTTTTATTTTTTAACATTTGAAAGAAATTTAAAAATATTATAACTCCCCCCCCCTCCGTGAGTGAACAAAATTTTAATAACATTAGTAAAGTTCGTAAAGAGCAACAAGCGCTTAGCACAAACTTTGGCTTTTATAAAACATTTAATCATAATTAAATTGGCATCATTATTTAGAAAATCTATCCTTCCGCAAAAACACAACAACTCGATAAACGAGTTTTTAATTATTAACTCCATTTTAATTTTCTAACGAAAACAATATGAGTCATTAGTAAGTTCGTAAAGAGCAACAAGCGCTTAGCACAAACTTTGGCTTTTATAAAGCAGTTAGTCATAATTAAATTGGCATCATTATTTAGAAATTTATCCTTTCGCAAAAACACAACTCGATCAACAAGTTTTTAATTATCAACTCCATTTTAATTTTCTAACGAAAACCATATGAGTCATTAGTAAGTTCGTAAAGAACAACAAAGCGCTTAGCACAAATTTTGGCTTTTATAAAGCAGTTATAATTATTACCAAAGGAATTATTAGATCGGTTTGAAAGGAAATAAGTTGTCTGATCCTGTGCCATTTATTAAAATTCTGATCATACTCACCATCAAAAAATTAATAAAATTCTGGCAACTACCATTTTTCATTTCAAGTACTGGCCAGAATTGGCTCGTCAGATTCATTTGACGAACCAAAATGTAAATTTTTCACACAGCCTCTCTTCAAGTTCTCGAGATTGATCAGGCAGAATTCTTTATTTAGGCTGTTTTTCTCCCCTATGAATAAAGGATAGCAAGTTTTCATATGTTTAAGATCATCTGATAAAACCTAGGAATGCGCCTTATCGCGCTATTGAAAGAAACTTCTATACCTAAATATGCCCCAGTCCCTGAAATCCCAAAATTCCATGGAAATCAAAAAAAAGCCCAAGACGAGCCTATAAAATTTGATCAGCCAAGACCGATTTCAGCTTTGAATGCACATAGAGTTCCAGCCAATATAAAATCAGCTCCAAAGCAAAAAGTGCTGAAACCTGCTATTCCACAATATCGGCCACCCCAAAGACCAAAAGAAATCCCTCAAAGTGCTAGACGAGCTAGTGCGGACGTCAATAAAAAACTTTCTGATATAGAGTCGATCCCAAAGCTTCCTGAATACCCTAAAAAGATCAGTGTAAAAGACTTAAGAGAAGAAGCTAAACAAGAATCCCCAGTAAAGCCAAAACTCGAGCGTCCAAAATTAGTAAAAATAGAAACAAAAAAGCATGAATTTTTGAATAAACCAGTGATTTCTTTATATTTTTTGAATGAAGAGAAGCCAGTTATCCAAAAACCCCAAATACAAAACAAAATCCAAGAACCTCAATTTTCAGTCCACATAGAAGAATCACAGCTCTCAACTAAAATAAATTCAGAATCTTCAGAAGAAGTAATTAATAAGCAGGAATATGAAGAAATGACTACACATTCATTGGATAACCCAGATACATACAGAAACTATGAAGAGGAAACGATTCCAATATCAGTGACTCAAAATTTTGACAATTCTATATATAGAGTTCATTATGTAAAGCCACAATCTATATCTTATTTATTTAATCCTTTCAGCATGGCTATATATAGATAATATTAAATATATCTAAAACAAACCCTTTTCTCATTTTTCTAAATGCCAGACTGATTTCTCAATTAAAAGCCAATAAAGTGGGTAGACAATATAATTTAATTTAATATACTCCAAGTGAAGCAATTTCATCTGATAGTGAAGACCAGGCTTATGAAGAACCGAGCTCTAGCAGTAGTGAAGATCAATTTTGGAGCAGTGGAGAAGAGGAGGAAGAAGAAGATGAAGAATTCAGCAAAACTAGACAAGGAATGCAAATCAAGCTAGTTGAGTATGCCAAAAAAGAAGAAGAATTTGAAAAAATGATCAACCAAAAAAAGAAAGAACTAATCAAAAAAGTCGGAAAATCCACTTATGAAGAAATTTATCAATATTTCAAAGCAAAAGCAAACGTAATTTAAACACAGGAAAAATCTGAGCTAACTACTCAAGAAGAAGCAGCAATCGAAGAATTCGTTTCTTTGAAGATTTCAAGTGAAAATATTGAAGTAATATACACAATGTATAAAATTTTGCATTTGGAAGACGAATTAGCTAGGTTTAGAGAGGAGTCTTCTCAGCTTCAAAAAAAGCTGTCATAAATTAAGATTTTGCAAAAGTCATATGCTTTATCATAATTTTGAAGCAAAAACCATATTTTTTATTAATAATTCCATAAATATTATGAAAAGTGGATGAACTGGCTTCAGAAAGTTTTCAGCTTTTAGAGGCAGTACTTCTAAAAGCCAAGATATAAGGGATAGTTTATCAGTTAAACATCAAGAATATGGGTAAAGTCTATGCAGCCGAAACGTTGCGCCAATTCCACGACCATTTGAAAGTAATTTTACATATATGAGCCACAAAGGGACCATTTTTGGAAGTATCCCCGGAAATTTCAATTCTTCAGAATACCTGCTGGAAAAGCTTGATAAAATGAGCCCAGCAGTCGTCTGCATTTCTTTGCTCCACCCTCTTTCATATTTAAGCTATAAGTACTGCAATACCCCAAAACAATACGAAAATCTTTCTTTAGGGATGAATCAAGAAAAACTTTTGCCAATTCGAGAAAAATTTAAAGGCTATTTTGCTAATGAATTAAGGAGAACATTTTTCCACTTTACAGACGATTTTGGGGTTTTTTATTTAGTTGACCCAGTTAAAAAAGAACTGCTCCCTGATGATGGATTAACAGCTGTTAACTGAGGAAGTGAAAGCAACCAAGCAGGCGTTGTTGCTGCTGGAGCTCATCCCTTAGCAATTCATGAAGACTTAATTCACAACATAAGCTTGCCAAGGCTAAAAGAAATATTTCACACATCATTAAACAAGCATTTAGCTAGAGCAAAATCATTAGGCTTTGAACCTTCGATTAATACTGCTGAATTTTATTACTATTTAACAATAAGCGCAAGACTGCATTTCCAAAATGAGCTTTTGAGGACAAGAAATATTTATACAGCAGCGGTGCTTAAAAAAACATTAGGAAATTTTGATAATGTCGCACTGGTGCATGACCATAATGAATGCGAATTGTTACTTAATATACTTTTAGATGAAAAAACTCCTGATTTTGACACAATTTTTATAGGAAAAGAATATAATGGGTCATTTGAAGAAGCAATGGAAAAAATTGTGATTTTAAGCCAAATAGATAACAGGTTCTTTAGGCAATGCATGGAAATGGGCGAAAATCCTTTGAAAATTATGTTTAATGGGTCTATGAAAAATTCCCTTGAAGAGGTAAAAGAAGCTTTTAAACATTTCAACAAAGAGTACTCAGGCTCGTTGACAAAAGGCTTAATTCAAGAAATTGAAAGAATTCCAACCTTTTCAAGAAGGGGGAGGAACATATTCTCAGCTTTTGAGCGTGCAAAAGAAATAGAGCAGAGGACAGGTCTCATTAGGTCAGGCCACATACATGATTCAATTGAAGATGAGTTTCTAGCAAGAGTGTTATTTGCACAAATGCAAGTAAATATTGATAGAAAAATAAGAGCTGGGATTTCACAGGCAGAAGAAATAATAGCATTACAACAGCTTATGCAAGGAAAACCTACTGCATTAAACGTAGAAATTTTAAAAAAGCTGTCAGCTGAAGCAAATGCACAGCTAGGACTTATGAAAATGCCAGAATCTTTGGCAAAATACACAAGAATGCTTGTAAATGACACAACTCCTAAAGAGTTATTGAGGATAAGCAAGAATATGCCTGTAAAAGTGTTTTCGCCAGATGATGCCAAAAATAAAGGCACTTATTTATATGATAAAAACAACCCTCCAAGAGAAATTTCTGATAGAGATGCAAAGTATACACATTTTGTGATAGGAAAAGGAGAGTTTCCTTATGATCTTAAAGGGAAGACTCCTGAAGAGCTTAAGGCGTTAGGCGCTAAAGAAGTTTTTAATAATACTTATCAATCAAACCCTAACGGCAGACTTGGCTTAGGGACTTTCAAAGAAGCAAGACAAGCTGCAAGAGATCTTGAAAAAGGGCTCGATTTAGAGGAAGTTTTAAAATCACAGAAGCCCCAAGAAACTAAATAAAATAGTTTATTATATATAAGCTTACTTTCATCCAATTAAAATTTATTTAAGATTGCGATAGCTGCTCTTCCCAAGCCACCAAATTTTTCAACCCATTCACAAACTCCACAAAGCTCTGTGCCTCAGAAACTCCGAACTTCTTATTATACGACATATTAAGGTTATCTCCTTCTCTTGTGTATGCCATATTATTTTCACTGCAAAACGCATCAAACCCATCTTGTAATGGTGCATTAGAAAGAGAAATCACAGCAGTTAATTCTAATGCAGTTCCAATATTTAAAAGTGTGGAAGCCAGATACCCAAACTGCCCGTCTGTCCACATTTCTAAATTAGCTTCAATTTGTGTAAGAGTATCAACCAGATTTTTGATTCTTGGCACCATTTGTGAGCTCTGTGATTTTGAAATTATAGTTAAATGCTCAGTAGCATTTACCCATGCTATTAAGTCTCCATTAGGGTTTCTGAAGATTCCTCTATATCCTGGCCAGTCTCCTTCTCTTCCGCCTTCTGGCTTTGCAAATAATTCTCCTTTGGATATCAGTCTTTTGGATTCGCTTTTATTTATTTCAGTTATTGGGGTTCAATCTACAGCTAAATCGCCACTGAGCTGGCTTAAGACTGATTTAAGAGAACTTTCGACACTTTCTCGTTGGGCTGTAGACAAAGCTGAGGTGAATGGAAAGCTTGCAATATTACGATAGGCAGTAAGCCTGACTGATTTAATATATTTTCCATCATTATCAGGCTCTTGGAGATCAGGAACAGTTAAGTCTTTTTGATAAGTGAATTCGGATAGGCTGTATAGTGATTGGCAGAGATTAGTAATTATTGAAGAATAGGCAGAATAGCTGTCTTTTGAGCAAAGGGTAAAGCCATTATCAGGATTTTCAATAGCTGCTGATATATGTCTATAAAAAGAAAATCCATCAGAAGTTGAAGAATTTTTGAAATTATCCCAGACATCTTCAGTTACAAAATTTCCTAAATTTCCTTCAATTTTTGGATAAAACAAAACTTGCAGCTCTTTTTCCCAGTCAATTGCTTCTTTTATAGTTCTATTAAAATCAATCACAATTTCTGCAGACGATTTGCCGATTCTTGGTTTTTCAAAAATTACAATACTTTTGCCATCATCTCTTTTTTTTAAATCCAACTCATGCTGAATTGCCCAGTTTTCAAGGTTCGGGTGTTTAGCAATTAAAGGAAATTGGATAAAAGCGCTGATGTTGGTTCCAGTTCCAATTTCGCTGATCACTGAATTCAAATAGCCATATTCGTCATCAAATTCGAACTCTAAATCTTGTTGGAGAAGGGATAATAGTTCATGGGCACGATTCCAAGCACTTTGCAGCTCTGATCCATACCCTATGACTACTATTTCAATATGCTCTTTGGCGTTGACCCAAATATAGCTTTTATTTGGACAAATTAAAACTGCTCTGCCTTGAGGCCAGTTTTGGGCTGAAAAATAATAATCCCCTATAGCTTTTCCAGGCTCTGCAGGGAAATATAGGCTTAGTTCTTCTTTTTCGACATCAGTAGCGCTTTCCATGTCTAAATATTTTCCTTCAATTTTTTGAAGGACAGGTCTTAGGGTTTGTTCAAGTTTTGTTCTGTCGTCATCATTCATTCCTGGGACCATCTTTTGTCCTTTGATATTTCTGCTTATCTTGATCCTTAAGTTTTGGACAAATTCACTTGTGGGATCATATGAAGGGAGATCAGCATCAGTACCATCTTTATATTTCAAATCTTTGCCATAATAGTCCTCAATTATCCTTTTCAAGGAAAATAAATTTTTAATTAAAAATATCTAGTATAATTAAAAGCTAAAAATTGGCTGCATATTATTTAACCCTCACATATAAAACTATACATTTTTGAATAAATAATCAAAAGTCCTATAGCACTCTGCATCTTTTGCGACGATTCCAAATTTCGCTTTGCTGTCAGGATTAATGCAAGAAACAGCTGTAAACCCATTAGACGTCTTTTTATCATAAATTTGTCTTCACAGATCATTAGTCCAATACTTATAAGCTAAAGAATTTGATGAACCAGTAAATTCAGGACATATTGGGGCTTGCTCTTGTTCTTCAACAGGGGATGGTTTTTCTTGAATAATTGATTCTCTCGCTTGAGTTGGCATGTTTATTGAAATCCCGGCTTCAGCCAATTCTTGAGGCGTGGATAACGTTGCTAGATGTTTGATCATAAAAACAATAGGAGAAGGATCTTTAGCGTGAACTAAAGCATTTAACATTTGTCCGACGACTTTTTCGAGCTGGTGTCTTTCTACGTATGTTTTAGCTTCTTGTTGAGCTTTAGACAACTTATGCTCCATATTTAAAACAATATAAAATGATTAAAGATTATATTTTGTCGCTAGTCTGCTCAGGTTTCTTTTTCTTGCATTTTGATACTATAAACTGCGCAATATAAATCTTGATAAGTGTAAAATCTACATAAATGCTCATTACCCCAATAGCCCACCTTCCTTTGATAACAGGCCTAATTTTTCCGTTAGCAATATTTTCTGAATGCCACGCCATAAAGCATCCATAAACACATGTAAATAAAGGGCAAAAAATCTATATATCTTTTACATTTAACAATATGTTTCCAGGCTCAATAAAATAAATTGTCAAAATATTAGCAATTTCAAAAGCCAAAACTGATAAAATACCACGAAATATAGAATATTTTTTGTACTCGAGTAAAGAATGAAGCAGAAGAACGACGTGGACTGAAATCAATGCAATCAAAACAATCAGTCCTGGCCTTTTTCCAAATGTTGGAAATATGCTGCCAAATAGCACGCCAAGGAAAAAAGTTGCTAGAAAAGCCATTAGTCATGAAAGTCACTTATTGTCTGCAATTTTATCATATTTGAATAAAGCTCATAATACAGGGACTAGTAAAAATTTCAAGAGAATTGCTAATCAGATTTTTCCATCAAAAAAATTATTTATTGTTTTGTCCAAAAGCATAAACCCAGCCAGCAGCATTGCCAAGCTAATCTGAATTGTCCTCATAAATAGCACAGTCCTTATATAAACCAATTGTTCCTTGCAGCTTGGTTTTTCTAACAATGTTTCTAGCTCATCTTGCATTTTATTATCAGCAAATTGCCTATTTATCAGACAGTTTATGTTTTTTTTAAATATTAATCACTAAAATTTATATACCAAAAGTGCTTGGATTATTAAACCTATTGCTTCTTATATTCTCATACTCTGCCTCTTCTTTAATGATTTCTGGCTGCTCCCTATGTACTTTTTCAGGGGTTGACATGAATTTACAAATGTTGTAAATTACAGTAAATTTTGCTCCTATAAAAGTGACTGTAAATTTTTTTTCAAATTTGCATGAAAAAACAACATTGGAAAAAAAAATTTTTAAAAACGTACATGAAAAAACAACATCATAAAATTTTTTTGCTCATTTTTCCATGAAAAAACAACATCCAACAATACTAGATAACTTATTAATTATTAGTCTATATAATAAAGATCAAATGAGTTAAGAAAATATATTGTACCCCAATCAGAGCTTGATTTTGCTGTTTTAAAAAATTTTTATGCTCCAAAAAATTGCATGAAAAACCTGAAAATTTTTTTTTAATTTGCATGATGTGTATGCAATAGAGCATTCAAAATAATGTTTAATAACTGGTATATACTCTTCTAGCAGCTGTATCCTTTTCTTTTAAAATTAAAAGAGCATTATTCCTTACAAATAATATAAGTAATGTTTAAAATAAAAAAATTAATCGCCTTAAAAAATTTGCATGAAAAAAACCCGGAACTTAATTTTTAAAAAAAAAAAATCGCATGAAAAAACAACATATGGTTTTTGAAGAGCCAAAAATTGCATGAAAAAACCCATAATGGATTTTTATTTTTTAAAAATTGCATGAAAAAACAGCAATTAATTTCTAAAGAAATTTAATGAATGTTTTAATAAGAAAAATGGAATTGAGATTTAGCAGCTTTGATAATAATAAATATTTGTTTTTGAACAATTTTAACGCGATTTCTAGCATATCTGTAAATATATTACATACTTTATCTCTCATCTATGGTAAATACATTTTTTAAAGCGAGTTACAAGATAAATGTGCCTAATTTAGCTATATTATCTTCACTTTAAACATAAATCTAGCATAAATTGCTATAAAAAACGGGTATATCGCAAAAAAATTAATGGTGGTTTAATATTTCAATATCATTACATAATCTATCACTGATAATGTTAAATTAATGTGTTTAGGTCGTTTATAATACTTATTTATTTATTAAAACTTTAAATATCTATTTAAATTTATAATAAATATATAAGTCAAACTGATATTGATTGTCCTTTGAATTCCCCTTACTCCCCCCCCCCTCCGTGAGTGAGTGAGCAAAAAAAATTTGTTCACTCACGGAGGGGGGTTAATTTTTTTTTTATAAAAAAAATTATATATAAAATTTTATAAAACAATTTTTTTTTCAAAATTTAAAGCATTCCTAATTCGCAAAAATTGGAAAGCAAATATTAATTTAATTTATAAAATTTAAGTTTTAAAAAGCAATTCGTTTAAAAATTAAACAGAATTAACTCTAGATTTTCATTATACTAATTATCTCTTATATATCTATTTTTTTTTTCATAAAAAAAATTTTCTATTAAAAAAATTTTTGTTCACTCACGGAGGGGGGGAGTTAGTTTTTTGATAATTTATTGACAATTTCGACCATTTTTGCCTTGTCGAAAATGATTTGACAAGTCAGCTCAAGTTTGCCTGAAATGAAATAAATTTAGCTAATCTAAAACATTTGAAATCGATAAAAATCGATTGAGAAGTGATAAATTAACCCTATGGGAAGCTATAAGGTGGATACAGTATATATATTACAATTATATTTTTTTTTCAAATACATTGCATATTAGCGTGGATAGAAATCGAAGTATATTAGTTCATATACAGTTCCAATGCTATTTATCACGCAATCTCTAAATATAAAGCTTTTATCTTTGATCAATTTGAGAAAAATTAATTTATAAATAAATAAATAAAAATTAATAAAATAAAAAATAAATCAATGATACAAACAATTATTGATCTCTTTGTGATATACCCGTTTTATATAGCAATTTATGCTAGATTTATGTTTAAAGTGAAGATAATATAGCTAAATTAGGCACATTTATCTTGTAACTCGCTTTAAAAATGTATTTACCATAGATGAGAGATAAAGTATGTAATATATTTACAGATATGCTAGAAATCGCGTTAAAATTGTTCAAAAACAAATATTTATTATTATCAAAGCTGCTAAATCTCAATTCCATTTTTCTTATTAAAACATTCATTAAATTTCTTTAGAAATTAATTGCTGTTTTTTCATGCAATTTTTTAAAAAATAAAAATCCATTATGGGTTTTTTTCATGCAATTTTTGGCTCTTCAAAAAAACCATATGTTGTTTTTTCATGCGATTTTTTTTTTTTTAAAAATTAAGTTCCGGGTTTTTTCATGCAAATTTTTTAAGGCGATTAATTTTTTATTTTAAACATTACTTATATTATTTGTAAGGAATAATGCTCTTTTAATTTTAAAAGAAAAGGATACAGCTGCTAGAAGAGTATATACCAGTTATTAAACATTATTTTGAATGCTCTATTGCATACACATCATGCAAATTAAAAAAAAATTTTCAGGTTTTTCATGCAATTTTTTGGAGCATAAAAATTTTAAACAGCAAAATCAAGCTCTGATTGGGGTACAATATATTTTCTTAACTCATTTGATCTTTATTATATAGACTAATAATTAATAAGTTATCTAGTATTTATCTTCAATTTTATTTAGCGATTTCTCTTTTCAATATTATAAATTAACGATTTCATACTTTTTGTTGAATGTTGTTTTTTTCATGGAAAAATGAACAAAAACTTTATGATGTTGTTTTTTTCATGTACGTTTTTTAAAAAAAAATTTTTTTCCAATGTTGTTTTTTCATGCAAATTTGAAAAAAAAAATTTACAGTCACTTTTATAGGAGCAAAATTTACTGTAATTTACAACATTTGTAAATTCATGTCAGCCCCTTTTTCAGGGATTGTTTTTCTTTCTGCAACTGACATTGACAGTTCAAAATCACTGTCCAGCAGCTCATCATCTGGTTTTAGCAGCTTGGCTGAGGCTTTTAAATGCTCTTTTATTTTTGCTAAATAAGCTGGCTCATCAGTAGGAACTTTGGTTTCTTCAATTTTTTTAAACTCCAATGGCGCATTTTGAGGTTTCAGTGCGTCAGTCAATAAATCGTAATGCATTCCTTTTAAGTCAATATCTTCAATTTCTTGTTTTAACTTCTTTATCTTGGATTTTTGTTTTTTGATTGCAGCTCTCATAGCTGTATTTTGCTTTTTTTCATGCTCAGCTGATTTCACCATTTCTTCAGTCCAGGTCTTTAAATGAGATTGGCTGTATAGGAGATATTGGATGCCAAACTGCATGATTTTTAGCTTTTTGAAGACTTCAGGATTTGTGCCTACGAACCCATCTTTTTCAAGATCAACATATGCGAGATCTTCGATTACATTATTGAGAGGTCTCAAGTCGCCCTATGTTGATTTTACGTTTAAAATGTTAGCGATTTCTGCTGAGCATATATTTCTTCAATTTATCCTGCGGCTATCGTCATATACAAGTCCTAAGTTATATTATACTAAAAGGTGCAGCTTGCATTTAATATTTTTACATGAATTTCATAATAAGGAATTATGGAGTTTAATTTAATTAATTATTTTACAAGTCCTTAATAAATCGAGAATCTGAGTTTTGGTCTTGAAAATCTGTTAAATCGTGGGTGTCATCTAATAAAAATGTATCGCCTCCTTTAGTTAAAGTGCTCGGCTCAATAGAAGGCGAATATCTAAAATCACAGCTGCTATTTTTCTCTATTTCTTCAAATCCTTCTACAGAAGAAAGCGTTATCATAGGATTTGTCCCTAAAAAGCTTCCCAAACTTTTTCTGCTCTGTTCTGTGGGTATTGTTGCAGGCTTTGCTTTTATTTCGCTTTCATATAGATCTTCTACAGGAAAACCTTTATTTTTAATAACTTTTATAAGTTTCCTTAAAACTTTTAATTTTTCTTTTAAGCCTCTTGATCTCTCTTCAGATTTGGTTAAATAAGCTTTTACCTTAATTCCCCCCCTCCGTGAGTGAACAAAAAAATTTTGTTCACTCACGGAGGGGGGTTAATTTTTTTTTTTAAAAAAATTTATATTTAAATTATTTAAAAAAATATTTTTTTCGAAATTTAAAAAAATCCTAATTCACAAAAATTGGAACGCAAATATAAATTTATGTTTTAAATAGCAATTCGTTTAAAATTAAACAGAATTAGCTCTAAATTTCATTATATTAATTATCATTTATATATCAATTTTTTTTTCCATAAAAAATTTTTCTATTAAAAAAATTTTTGTTCACTCATGGAGGGTGGGTTTTTGGGCAAAAAATAGGGATTTTTCTAATGGTTTTGTTCACTCACGGAGGGGGGGGAGTAAGATTTTCTTTTTGAAGCATTTCCAAATTATTTTTTGTGATTTCTTTTTCGCGGGTTGTACTATTTGAAATTATACTTAAATGTGCCTTAAGTTCTTGGATTATCTTATCTTTTGTCCCTAAATCCGAATTAATTTGCATATTTTCTTGTGCCAGTCTTTTAAATCTTTTTTTTAATAGTTTCAAGGTATTTTTTTCTTCCTCAAGCTGAGATGTCAGCTTATAAATAGTTTCACCTTTGTTTTCACAATCCCTTAATAAATTAGCTATCCATTCTTCATATCCACCTCTTATAAGCTCCAAAATATGTTTAAATGGTGTTTGTTTAGAAAGCAGCTCATCCCAGATTTCTTGAAAAATTCGAAATTTGTCTGAGTTCATCGGTGATCTTTGGCCCAAAGTTTTCATTTGTTCGTTAAGCTTATATTCAAGGGCAAATGCTTCTCTAGCTTTGTCAATTGAGGCTTGGGTTGAAGGGGTCAGCTCTTCTTTGCAGTCAGGTGATTCTAAAGATGCTACATCTGAGGAGTTTATTATTGATTCACTTAAAGAGTTTTGTTTTGTCAGTTTTGAGACGGAAAATGAGGAATTTAAATGCGGCTTTATTTGGGTTCTGGATTTGGATTTTACTGTTTTTAAAGTTAGTGGGTTTTCATATGGAGTTAAATTTGCCAGCTGCAGTTTGGGGTTCCGGGGTAAGGTTTGGTTTTGAGAGGAACTAGGAGGTGCAGGAGAGCTGTGACGGTGAATTAGAGGGTTGTCTGGGGAAATATGGGCCCTTGCTTTATTTGTGCGTGAAATAATTTTAACAGGTTGTGACATAGATTATTAAATATGCTTTAAATTATCTGCTTTAAAATCCTTTCTGGATATCGCACCATATTATCCAGCATTATTATTAAAGCTGATGAAGATAAATTTAAAGCATTTTTGTGATTTTGCATTAAATAGAGTCTTCTACAAGTAAAAATAATTTGATAAAAAGATATATTCTATTTTATATCAGTTAAAATGATTAGATTAGATTAGATTAAGCCGTTTGCCTTGCAGGACCGGAGATTTACACCCCTGCACGCTCATCGCTCCTGAGGAGCCTCGGCGGACACCCTCCTTGTTGCCTCAAACAAGGGATTTGCACAACCAGTCTTGACTTCCATGGCTTCTGGAGTCTAAGGGCCAACCACCTGGGTCGAAACTCCCAGTTTCTCGTTGGGCAAATACCGTCTTCAGGGTCCGAGGGTCATATTGCCCTCAAACATTGGCCGACCTTGCCCTTTCCAATGGTTGTTCTGGAGGGAAAACTCCAAGTCCGAGAATTAGCTCCTCGGGCTCGAAGAAAACCCAGCCCGACTATACATAAAGGATTACCGGCCCCTTTCCCTAAATCTCCGACACTGGGTCGTTGCCTGCTGATGTTGAAGAAATAGGGTTGAGAGGTCGGGTGGTCTGTCGTCACCATTTTTATGTATATATATCAGTTAAAATGATAAAAATAGTTATTTATTAGCCATATTATTTAAAGAAAAATGGTATAGCTTCTTATTGGATTATAAAATGGAAGGGATAGCTATTAAAACCCAATTGACTATGACTGAGAGCACAGTTTACGAATTCAACGCCCAGGTCGACGCATATCAAGCTTTTTGTGAGGATCGCAAAGTTCTTTTTACTGACATCGAAAACCCTGGCGAAATATTGGTTTCCAGCAAGAATCAATATTTATTTGTAAACGTAAACAAGCAATTTATTACTGTTTTTGATATCACGTCGAAAGAAAAAGTAAACGAATTGACCTATGATGGAGTGCTGCACTCATTTTCTGAAGAAAACGATATCTTAGTGATTGCTGGATCCGTGGGCCTTGCTATCTGGAATGTCAAAGATTTTACACTTATAGGGAAGATTGGAGATGAATATGATATAAGAAGTGTTATGCATTAAAATGGGCGAACCTACCCACGCTCTTAATATATATAAAAATGGTGATGACAAACACCCCGACCTCCTGACACTTTTTATTCAACACCAGCAGGAAACGGCCCAGTGTAAAGGGGAAGGGCAGAAAGAGGCCCGTAATCCTTTATGTATATCAGGCTAGATTTTCCTCGAGTCCTAGGAAGCTAATTCCTGGAACTTAGGTTTTGTCTCTGAGATCATCATTAAAAAGGGCAGGACCAGAAGAAGCCCCGAGAAGATAATAATAAATCTCTTGAGCAGGGCTTCAAGGCGACATCTGCCTAACGAGAAACTGGGAGTTTATGGGCTCAAAGGCTCCAGGAATCATAAAAGTTGAGACGGTGTATGCAAATCTCTTGTCTGCAGCGGCGAGGAGGGTATACACCGGATCCTGCGGAGGATGAAGAGTATATAGGGGTGCGAATCCCCACTCTGTCAAGGACGAACGCATATAACTAAATACTAAATAACTAACTAATCTTTACTCCTGTAGCTGGTATCCCACAAGATGCGTAGGGATCTTTAGGAAGGGAGAATGGCGTTTGGAAATGTGTATCGGGCTTGGTTTTTCTTGGTTCGATGAGACGCAATGTCGAATTTAGTTGTCCGCATCCTTTACTATAATGTCAAGTGTTTGCCTCAGTGGGAAATGGACCCAGAAGTTTGAAAGGGGTTTCCCCGCAGAGCTAATGGAGTTAGCCTTGGCCAATCGGGACTATTCCCCAGTACGAAACCAGGAGCTACGGATTTCCATCTTGGCCAAGAGTCGACCAGAAAATTCCGGCACCGATGCAACTCACCCAGCTACCTGGATGCAAGTGAAAGCCCTCAGCAAGAGCAAAAATTATAAGGTCGTGTACAAATTGGCGATTAGACGAAGGGAGCGTTACAATTTGAGGTAGCCTTATAGAATTACTGTGAGCTTCTCTATAAGTCTTAATAACTAACTGTTATAAGAAAGTGTAAGTGTCAGCCAAGATGGACTATGAGCAGTCACAGGCCATCGAGATGGGACCTTGGCTAAGTGAAACTTAAAAACACAGCAAGAAGAAAACTCCATCTTTGCCCATCTCCAAACTGAAATCAATAAAGTCGTCATTTTCCCTGATGGGCTGCTTATAGCTTCTTCAGGAGGTGATCGAAAGGTGCGCATATGAAGTTCTAACCTCGAAGCTATTGAAGAGCAGCGCGTCACAGGAAAACACTCCTGTCTTTCAGTAACCAGCGACAATTTCATCATCTCTGGAGGTGGATCTAACCAAGTCTGTGTATGAAAATACCTAAAAACAACAGATTTCATGAACGGAAGAGTTAATAGCAAATTTAAGTCATTTTCTGCTGTGGCTGTAACTTATGACTCCAAGTACCTTTTTGCGTATGATTCTTCTATTAGAGTTTTTTCATTAGAAACAAAAGAAGAAGACTTAAAGTTCCCATTAAAAAATGAAAAAGTCAAGAGTATGTGCATTTCTAGGGACAATTCAAAGTTCTTTGCGTCAACTGAAAATAATCATATATACTCTTTTAATCTTTGTGAAGACTATAAAGCGAAGTTTATAGACTCTGTTGAAAAAGGCATCACTTCTCTGTCAATTTCTCAAGACTCAAGGTATATTGCAGCTACTTTTAACAATAGAAAACTTAAATTAATTGATAGAGAACTTAACAAGTCAACAAATTACCAATTCGACAAAGCAGTATCAGAAACTTTTTTTTCAGAAGACAACGCTATGCTTGTAAGCGGCATTCAAGATTCAACTGTATGCATAAAAACTTTAGACGGTACAAGAAAAGATATAATTCTTACTGCACATCGAGACGAAATCAGATCAGTCTCTGGGAACTCTGATATTTTCATTACAACGAGTGGAGACAAAACTGTCAGGCTTTGGGACACAGGAAACTTCTGCTGCTTAAGAACTATTTGTGTTAGCTGTGAAAGGCTGAGAGACGCTTATATCAGCTCAGATGGAGAACATATTGTGGTGCTGGCAGATAATGATATACAAATATGAAGAGTTAATATGGAAAGCGACTCACCTATTAGAATCATTGAAGCTCCACATGAAAAAGTAGCCTGTATTGGAGTGTCGAAGCTTGGGAATGAGTTTTTTACAGTTGGATATGACTTTGAAGTGAGGATCTGGAGCTTTGCAAGTCATCTTTGTATCTCAGTAATGTCACTGCCAAACTTTGCATTGCCGATGGAAAATATTAAAGAATTATGTGTAAGCTCAAATGATGATAAATACTTGTTTACTGCCTCAAATAGAGGAATTCAGATCTGGTCACTTAATGACCAAATATACCTAGGGAATATTCCTATAAATGATATCACAGCATTCACAATAACCAGTGATAATAGCACCTTGATAGTAGCTGACAATTCAAAAGTGTATGAAATTATCAACCCAACCTGTGAAACTTCAGCTGTCTTAGTTCTTGCACCTTTTGAGTATAGTTTCAAATTCTGGGAGCTGCTTAAACAGATTTTCAACCTTAAAATCAATGAAAGCTACCCAGAAATAATGAACCATTGTATAATTATGCCTCATTGTATTAATTTACTCCACATATTTACTCATAAAAATCAATTGGATTTGCTTGAAGCTGCTATAGACCGTGGATGTAGTTTTATTAGAAATGCCAATGGAAAAAGTCCACTTACATTATCTCTTGATACTAAAAATAAGGACTGCATCAAAAGAATTACTAAAAAAATTGCAGCTATGGATGATCCTTAGTCTTAGTCTTAGTTAAATTTATAGAGTAGCTCCCGGCCAGGATCGAAGGTCCTTTTCTTCCACCTTTGGACGCCTCGCTTGCTTTCCTTGCCCTGCTCCCAGTGTGCACCTAAGTGTCACAGGCTACCACTCAGCTCCTTCCGGTCATGGGGCTTGGTCATGCTATCCCGGAAGTAGGCGGACTGGGTCACCGTGCTTCACGTCGCCAGACTAGGGTTAGAGCTAAGGATTAACTCCTTAGCTCTTGTCGGCTCCTGCCATGCCCTCCAAATTTGGCACTAGCAGTCCCTAGAGGAAAACCCTTTTGCCCCGTGTCCTATCGGGACGACCCTAGGATCGTCGTTGCTGGACTGGGAGGGAAACCTAGCCGGACACAAACTACCAGTACCCATTCCAGACCTTTCCCTGGGCGGATTGGCTTCAGGCCGCAGCAAGGTCCCCAATCTCGCCTGTCGTCGCCATTTTATTTGTGTAGCTATGGATGATCCTAATATCCTAATAAGGACTGAAAGCGATCTTATTAGGCTTAATAAATGTGCAACTGAGTCCTTGGTTCATTTTTATAAGCAGTCATTTAAAGAGCCTTCAGAAAAATTACCGAAGTTTGCAATTCCATTGAAAACTCCAGTCAATTTTAATACTTCAATAAGCAGAATTATAGATCCAACACTATATATAGCAGCCCAAAGCAGAGAGGAAATTAGATCTGAAAAAGATGTATTGCTGAATTTCAAAGTTAGCAACTTTAGACTTAATTACACATTAGGATCTCAGGAAAGTATCGATTTCTTACTCCCCTCAGTGAATGAACAAAACAATTGAAAAACTCCCCAAAACCACTATAAAAATGTTTTATGAAAAACATATTTTTAATATATAAGTGATAATTATCATCATGAATTTCTAGCTAATTTTGTTTAATTTTAAACAGCTTGCATTTTAAAACATAAGTTTTACAAATTAATTTAATATTTGCTTTAAAGTTATCTCAAGTTTTTATATATTGAAAAAAAAAATCAACCTCTTACGTGAGGGAAAAATTGTTCATTCACTCACACAGGGGAGTTAGTATCTTTACTTGACTGCACAGAAGGAGAGATTTTCAAGACTCAATTCATCCAATCAATTTTATATTACAAATGGTCAAAGGTACAACTTTTGCTTGCAGCTCAAGGATCTCTTTATGCGATTTTTATAATATTTCTGAGCTTTTATACAAGTTATGGAAATGCTGAATACGCTTTGCATCCTCTGCTGTTTCTTAACTTTTTATTCTTACTCCCCCCTCTGTGAGTGAATAAAACCATTGGAAAAATCCCTATTTTTTCCCAAAAACTCACCCTCCATGAGCGAACAAAATTTTTTTTAATAGAAAAAAAAAATTTGATATATAAGTGATAATTAGTATAATGAAATCTCGAGCTAATTCTGTTTAATTGCATTTTAAAAACATAAATTTTACAAATTAAATAATATTTGCTTTCCAATTTTTACGAAATGGGTTTTTTTAAATTTCAAAAAAAAAATGTTTTAAAAAATTTATATATAAATTGTTTTAAAAGAAAAAATTAAGCGAAAAAAAAATTTTGTTCGCTCACGGAGGGGGGGAGTTAGTATATGAAATCATGCAAATGACAGTTGGCTGCATCGATTATTTCAAAGAGTTTTGGAACTGGGCCGATTTGTTCAGAATCATGGCATTCAACGTATACTACGTATGGACTCTATTTGGAATCGATGAATACAAAAATATCCTCTTCATCGCTGTGATAACCTTTTTCACCTGGACTCGTGCCATTGCCTATTTCCGTGTTTTCAAAGAAACTCGTTATCTAATCAGAATTATCCAGGACATTATTTCTGCTATTATGCCTTTCTTAGCTGTCCTCTTCTATTCAATCTTAACATTTGCCTTGCTTTTCTACTCTGTGAATAATTACTCAATATCAGAAACCCCATTCGATAAATCTTGGAGACATTCCTACCTTATAGACTATGGAGATTTTACAACTGATGATTATACGTGGAAAGACTGGGTCATTTTTGTTATGTCCACTGTCATTAATCCACTTATTATGATGAACCTTTTAATTGCCCTTATGAATAATACCTATGCCAAAGTACAAGAAGAGGCAATGGTGGCTGATTTTAAAGAAATGGCAGGGTTTATATTAGAATTTGAATCAATTATGGTGTGGAGAAGAGAAAATGGGAAAAAAGAATTTTTCCAGCAGTGCTCGGTGACTGAGGTGCTAGAAGATAAAGAGGAAACTCTTGAAGAAATTGTCTTACTCCCCCCCCTACGTGAGTGAACAAAAAAATTTTGTTCGCCTACGGAGAGTTTTTTTTCGAAATTTTAAAAAAAATCCTAATTTGCAAAAATTGGGAAGCAAATATTAATTTAATTTATAAAATTTATGTTTTAAAACGCAATTTGTTTAAAATTAAACAGAATTAGCTCGAGATTTCATTATACTAATTATCATTTATATATCAATTTTATTTAATAAAAAAATTTTCTATTAAAAACATTTTTGTTCGCTCATGGAGGTGGGTTTTTGGGCTAAAAATAGGGATTTTTTCTAATGGTTTTGTTCACTCAGGAGGGAGAGTTAGAAAAAACTGCTGCTATGACGCAAAGAATTAATGGGCTGAGTGTACAGGCAGAAATAGTAGAAACTAAGCAGGAGGAGGTTGCTAACTTCCCTATCATTGATTGAGGGATAGCCGATGTTCAGTTAAGGATAGGGGCTAAACTATTTTAAAAATAAGGATCCCCCCTCATTTGTCCAATTTTCTAGTCTTTTGTCATTTGTCCATTTAGTCAAAATTTTCATAGAAAAAATAATTTCAGGACCTCAATTGCATCATTTTCTATTGTTATTTGCAAATTTTTGAACTTTACCACCTAAGTGTGGAATTTTTTCCTCGTGTGAAAAGGTGATTTCACGTGTGGAGCCCTTTTGATTTCATATGTGGAATCCTCTTTTCACACGCGGAAAAAATCCACACTTAGTTGGTAAAGTTCAAAAATCTTGCAAATAACGATAAATTTTTTAAGGTAAAAAACTGAAATTTAGGACATTCAAAATAATCCAAAAAAGACTAGAAAATGGGTCAAATCATTTTTGACTAGATTTTGGGACAAATGAGGTCCTGAAAAATTTTTTTTTCTATGAAAATTTTGACCAGAAAATTGGAAATAAGATATATGATTTATTATATAGAAATTTGTTACTATAGATCAAGGATGGAGGAGTAAGCAGATACAAGAGAGCATTCAATTGGCTGGAGATAAAATGAATTATAGGATAAATGAGCTGAATAAAAAGATTCAAAATGAAAATAGAGAATTGATGGAGGAAGTAGAGAAGTTATTAAACCTTTAATATTCTTTTAGAGAAAATAAAGTCTATAATATAATGGCTAGCTGATGGCTTTAGATATAAAATATGATTAAATAATAGCTTATGATCTCAGTAACTAGCTAATTCTTATGACTATAATTTAAATATTTCTTTATAATTTAATAACTTCCAATTATTATAAAATACCCTAAAATAAACTCTCTGTTAAATCTTTCAAGACATCGAAATTTTCTTTTTGTTCAACTGGCTCTTCATCTTCTGATACTATTTTTACTCTGAATTCAGATTTCTCAGTCCTTTGAGATTCATCTTGTTTTGATTCTTGCTTTGAGGATTTCAGGATTTTTTTAAGTTCTTTCTCATTCAATGATTTTGAGCTTACTTTTTTAGTTTTAGGGGATTTGCTTTGTGTTATATTCTTTGTATATAGCCTTTCAAATACTGATTCACCAAGCTTTTGCGCTCTTGTGCTTTTAGGTATATCAGGCGTAAAGCTATACAGTTGAATTTTACTTCGTTCCTCTTGTAGCTTTTTTCTTTTTTCTATTTCCTTTTCCATCCTCTGCTCAAAAGGTATCATGTTTCTTGTTAATTCATGTGATTTTTCATTCACTTTTGGCTGAAACGTTGAGTCTTCCAATTCTTCTTTAGCTTTAGCTTCCCTTTCTCTATTCTGCACTTCCGTTTTAATTTCTTTTCATTTATTCATATAATTATAATACTCTTCTGTAGTTCTTTTTTTCCCAGGGCTTTCACATGTTTTTGGCTTAAAAGTAAGTTCCTTATTTTCTTCAGCCAATTTTTTAGTATTTGTCTGCTGTATTAGTTCTTCTATACGTTTATTTTTATCTTCAAGCACCTCTTGTACACGCGAATAAATTGGTGTAGATTTGCCTATTATTTTTTTTGAATTATTGTTGATGGTGGGAGCATATGGGAAATTACCGACTTTTTCTTTTTCTCGAGACTCTTTAGCTTTTTTTAAAGATTCTTCGTGGCGCTTCTGATAAGCATGCATTCTTGCCAGTGTTGTTTTTTCAAAGGCAGTTTTAGACATTGCTCCTGACTGAGGTTGAGTTTTTTCCTTTGAGACGGTAGGTTTTGGTTTTTTGGGCTGATTTTTAGATTTGAGGATTGGGGACTCTTTTCTGTGTGATAAGGGAGATTCTGCTGTTGTTTCTGAAGCTCCATCTTCAAGCATTATTCGTCTTATTTTATCGACTACACTTCTAACATCTTCGGTGGCAAATTCTTGAGTATCCATATTATATTTGATTAATTTAGAATTTTTTATGAGTTTTTAGCCCACACATATATGAAGGCTATTATCTGTGTAAGCAGATTACATAAGAACTTGTTAGTTTGTGATAAAATTATTTATATTCTTCTGGATATTTCTAGATGTTTACTTTTTTATTGACGAATAATTCTTATGCATTAAATTATTTGAAGCATTATATTCGAAATAAAATAGTAAGGCCAATTCCAAATAAACGTTATAATACTCTAAGTTGGTTGAAACCTCCATGCTTAAACCAATAAAAAAAATTCTAGTCTGCAGCTCATATCAAACGCATCAAATATAAATTACCAAGCACATACTTCTTACCTTCTAATTCCACTTTATCTAACACATTTATTAATATAAATCTGTCAGTTAAAATTTTGAATAATTCTAAAAAATGGCCGACAAAGATCAACGAATAAGAGTTATTGTTAGAAAACGTCCACTGAATTCCAAGGAAACAAAGAGAAATGACCCTGATATCCTATCTCTAAAATCTTCCAACACTATTGTAGTGAGAGAACAAAAAAGCAAAGTTGATCTTTCTAAATATATTGAAGAACACTCATTTACTTTTGATGGTGTGTTTAATGAAGATACCACAAATCAAGGCTTATATAGCTCCTGCATCCAGCCACTGGTCCAAGCTGCATTCCAAGGCGCAAAAGTGACTTGCTTTGCCTACGGACAAACAGGAAGTGGGAAAACCTACACAATGATGGGAGAAGGAGAAATCCCTGGGCTCTATCTCTTAGCAGCCCAAGATGTTTTCTATTTGAAAAACACCTATTATCCTAGAGTTGCCCTTTATGCTTCATTTTATGAAATATATTGTGGTAAATTACATGATTTACTTAACGATAGAAATATTTTGCATGCTAGAGAAGACGCTAAACAGAACGTCAATATTGTAGGACTTCAAAGAAAAGCTGTAAATAATGTCAATACACTTATGGAAATCATTAATCAAGGTATACATGCGAGAACTACTGGGCAGACAGGCGCGAATGATGATTCCTCAAGATCTCATGCAGTTTTAGAAATCAGCTTTATGGAGCAGAAAATGGCTAACTCTCCCCCTTAATTAAGACAAAAATTTTTTCAATAAAAAATTTTTATCAGTAAAAATACTAATTTTATGAAATTAGCTTTGACCAAATTAATGGAAAAAATATAAGTAGAATATTATTTAAACAGTTTTCACATTGAATTGATTAATATTTTAATTAATTTTCCATAAAAAAATGGATTAAAATTAAAAGTATTGTGCTCAATTTTATATTTTTAATTTTTTTATATAAAAAATTTAAAGGTGAAAATATTAATTTTTATAAAAATTAGTTTTGACATAATTTATTGGAAAAAAATGCAAGTAGATTATTATTTAAACAGTTTTCACACTAAATCGATTAATTTTTTAAATTAATTCTTCACAAAAATAAATTAAAATTCGAATTATTGTAATCAATTTATAAATGTTTTTATTCCAATTTAAAGGGGGAGTAAGGGGAAGATGAGCTTTATTGATTTAGCAGGAAGTGAAAGAGGGGCCGACGTTAGCCAATCAGACTATAAAACTCGTATGGACAGCGCAGAAATCAATAAATCATTGCTAGCTCTAAAAGAATGTATCAGAGCTTTAGATCAGGATAAAAAGCATACTCCATTCAGAGGAAGCAAGCTAACACAAGTTCTTAAAGATTCATTTGTAGGAAACTGCAGAACTGTAATGATCGCAAATGTTTCGCCTTGTCTTTCAAGCTGTGAGCATACCTTAAATACTTTAAGATATAGTGACAGAGTTAAAGAGCTTAAAAAATCTGATGGAACTAGTCCGCCTCACAGTGTTCCTAATCCTCTTATGCTTCCTCGCCAGGACTCAAACACAATCCGCTACAACTGTGAAAACAATGACCCCCAGCTTGATTTATCATTAGAAAAACCTAAACGCGCGATTACACCAAAAACCAGGACTCCCCATCAGACCAAAAATTTTAAATCAAAAACTCCTCGAGACCTACACAAAAAAAGTATAGATATCAGCAAAATCACTATAGAGCATGAAGACTTGATTAAAGTCATTTTGACTGAAGAAGACGAACTGATAGGGAAACACAGAAAAATGATTGATGGGATTGTTGATATCATTAAAGATGAAATGGCGCTGCTAAGCGATATTGATAGGCCTGGGAGCAATGTCAATGCTTATGTGGATGAATTGGAAAAGATGCTGGATGCGAAAGAAAAATTAATCCGGGAAGTAAAAGGGAAATTGTCGAGCTTTAGAAAGCACTTGTGTGAAGAAGAAGTTATGAGTAATGAGTTTTATCGGCTCCAAAAGATGACTGCTGAAAGTTTTGATGAAGATTTATTGAAAGGAATATCTGTGGAGTGTTAAGTGGTAATTTTAATTTAATGATGATGGTTTTTTTGTTTAGTGTTTTAGTAGTGCGCCATTAATAAATTTGATTTTAAAATTTTTTATTATTAATTACAATAGCTAAATAAGGATAATTTCGTATTTATAATTAACGACCACTCAATATAATTTTAGGGACCAAACTTTGAATCATCTCAATATCCTTATCAGGCACATCTTTCATATCAAAGGTAAACTCTTGGAAACTTGGGATCGCATTGAGTGCTTGAGCAAGGGCAAGAAGTCCTTTGCTTTTGATTTGATTTTTATGGATAGTTAAAACTCTTAAATTTCCTAGCCCATTCATATTTTTTGCTAATTCTTGTGCCCCAGCATCAGTTATATCGTTGTTTTCAAGATTTAGCTCTTCGACACTATTCAAATATTTGAATGTTGCAGAAATATAGTATAAGCCTCCATCACCTAAGTGATTTTCAGTAACAGCAAGTTTTTTAAGACCAGTAGCCCTTATCAGCTCTTTACTTAACTGGTTAGCACCTTTTTCTTGGAGATTATTATCTTTTAAATTCAGCTCTCTCAAAGATGGAAGTTCTGGAAGAACAAAGCTCAGCAACTTACTTCCTGTTTCGTCCAATTGTTCCCATTGAATTTTTATCAGTTTAATTGAGCCAGCATCTCCTTTTAAAACTTGCTCATAAACGTCCTTAATTTCTTTGACCATCTCTTTCTGATGAGCCTCATAGATATTACTTAAACTTGTCTCTAAATGAGAACCAAGCGGAACCGCTTCGACTGTGTTACCCTTGTAATTGAAACAATTTCCCATTAATTTTTTATGGCTAATCATGAAATCCAGAAAATCTATTTCATTTAATTTCTATTCCTATATAATTAGGTTTATAGAGGATTAAAATAGATGACAATAGAAATATTTTAATTTTATTTATTTAGCAAAGATATATATATGGGAAATATTTTAACAATATATTTTTTGTGTTAAGGATGAATTGATATACAATTTCATTAACTCTCTGCATGGGTTTTTATCTTTATAACAATTGTTGAATTCATTATGATTATTTATAATCACAAAATTGAGTGACCAAAGGCCATTTATTCCAAAAAATTTTTTACTTCAACATTTTAAACCTGTACATTTTTCAAGGTAAATGGGCTTTTATAAAAATGCTAAATCTTTTAGGAATCAAGTGCTCAAGAGGGACCAAACTAATTTTTAACTTTATCTTAGTAACAGCGCTTTGGTGGTATTGCATGAATCTCGAAATAGGAAGCAATTTTCATTTCACAGTCTCTGCTTTTCCATATTGGTGCTTAATCGCATTTGGCTGTAAAGCCTTGATAAGCATCGGGTATGATTTATTTGCCTTAAGAGACTGCCCAGAAGAAGCAGCAAGTCTCCATAAAGAATTAGAAGATGCAAGGATTTTTTTAAGTAAGAAAGGATTAAAATTATAAAAATAAACTTGATCAGCACTATAAAGTGCAACGTGGCAAAATTTTACAAAGATGGTGAAATTGAAGTCAAGTTATTTGTAATATATAGCCCTTATTTGCTTATTGTAAATAAATCAGATATAAAAATAATTATTCCGGATTCATATTAAGACAATATAAAATGGTTCTTGGTGAATTAGGCACTCGAATTTCAAATGCTCTGAGAAAACTTCAAAATGCTACTATTATAGACGAAGAAGTCTTAAAAGAATGTTTACTCTCCCCATCTTTGATCGAACGATATCATTGAAAATCTAAAATTGAGGAAGTTAATTCCATCCTTGTTCGAACGAAATTCTCATACTTTAGAATGATAACCATTCCTTTTTAGTCTCAGAAATAAAATGGTGATGTTTATGGTAGATAGACTCCGAGGCACACTCCTTATAGAGCAGGTATGACCCGTACCGATGAAGCTGAAAATAGTGCCTCTGACGCTTTTTTAAAGTAACCCTTTTGGGCTTGGGGATGCCTGCCGAAGAGGGAAGTTTCGTTTCTCCTCAGAAGAGTTTCCCTGTATCTGCCAGATGGACTAAACAGGCTTTGCCTCCTATTTATTTTTTGCTTATTGGGACTAACTGGGTATCCGCAAAAGGTGGCCCTACCTAGGGAGCTAATCCTTAGGCTAGGTGAGTTTACGCCGGAGAGGTAAGCTAGTGGTTTGTCCTTTATGGTCTTATAATTTTAGCTTCAACTTACCCAGTCTCAAATATAACTATCCATCTTTGATAACGGTGAATATTATTAATATATTTTATCATCATTCCGATACAATTGTAATGCGATTTACAATTATATTGCATCGCTATAGACTTAAAATATTTTTTTTGGGAAAATTTAATATATAATACTTTCAAATTTAATTTTTTAAAAAAAATATTTTAACTCCATCCTTGATCAAACAATGGCGATCTGCTCCGTCAAAGATGGGGGAATTGGGAGAAGTAACTAAAGCTCTACTTCAGTCCGATGTCAATGTCAATTATGTTAAAAGGCTTAGAGATCAGGTTTTGCTACAAGTTAATGTAGAATCAGACGCAGCGGGCACAAATAAGCGAAAACTAATCCAGCGTGCAGTTGTGGGCGAGCTTCAAAGTATGTTGGAGTCAGAAAAGAAGCCTTATCAGATGAAAAAAGGAAAAATCAATGTAGTTATGTTTGTCGGTCTCCAGGGTTCAGGTAAAACCACAACTTGTGCCAAATACGCTTATAACTACCTCAGAAAAGGCTGGCGAGTTGGACTTGTATGTGCTGATACTTTCAGAGCAGGTGCTTTTGATCAGTTAAAACAAAATGCAACAAGAATTAAAGTCCCGTTCTATGGCTCATACACAGAAACTGACCCTGTAAAAATCGCTCAAGAAGGTGTTGAATATTTCAGGTCACAGAATTACGATCTGATTATTGTCGATACCTCTGGTCGTCATAGACAGGAAGCTGCATTATTCGAAGAAATGGAGCAAGTAGAAGCTGCAATTAATCCTGATGAAGTTATTTTTGTTATGGATTCAAGTATTGGGCAAAGTTGTTATACTTCCTGAAAGCAATTTCTGACATTAATAAATTTTATAGGTTAATTTTATATATAAAATAGGAATTTTAATATAAATTTTTTAAAATTAGCTTTACTGTGAAGTATATGACCAAGCATTAGCTTTCAAAAAATCAGTCAAAGTCGGAAGTGTCATTGTCACAAAACTTGACGGCCATGCCAAAGGTGGAGGAGCTTTAAGTGCTGTTGCAGCTACCGAATCCCCTATTATTTTTATCGGTACAGGAGAGCAATTTGATGATTTCGAGCAGTTTGAAGCAAAAAGCTTTATTAGAAGACTTCTTGGACTTGGAGATATTGACAGGCTTTTTAGTGTCGTTCAAGAAGCAATCCCTAAAGAAAAGCAGCCAGAATTAATGAATAAAATTAGTCAAGGAAAATTCAGTTTGCGAGACATGTACGAGCAATTCCAAACAGTCCTTAAAATGGGTTCAATCAGCCAGCTCATGTCAATGATCCCAGGCATGAATTCTGGACTATTAGAAAAAGGCAACGAAAAAGAAGGAATTGCAAGAATCAAAAGATTTATGTGCATGATGGACTCTATGACTGACGATGAGCTTGATGGCAAATCCTCAATGGTTCCTTCAAGAATCACAAGGGTTGCAAGAGGATCTGGAACCTCGGTCAGAGAAGTCACACTTCTGCTTGAAGAACATAAAAGATTTGCAAAAATGGTGGGCAAAATGGGGAAAATGAGCTTAGGCAAGGCCAACGACATGCAAAACTTCATGAGAAACCCTCAACAAATGATGAGAAAAGTCCAGTCTGCAATTGACCCAAAAATGATGAAACAGCTTGGAGGGACACAAAACATGATGCAAATGATGAAAGAAATGAGCAAAATGGACATGTCAGAAATGATGAGTCAGCTGGGACGTGGCAAAAAGAAGACCAAAAGATAAATTATTTGATTTTTTATAAAAAATAGTTAAATTCCTATATAAATAATTTTCCATTTTAAAGTAACATAAATGTCAGCTAAAGGAATCCATGAGGCGCTAATTGATCAAAAGGCTGAATTTCTGAAGATAGAAATCGATGAGCTGAAAAAACGCGAAACAAGTTTAAAAAAGATGAATGAATCTTTGATTTTAGCAGTCCAGCAGTTTAACCCGTTTCAGGTAAAAATCATATAGGATCTCGCATTGGAAGAATTAAAAAAAGTGAATGAGCAGCATGAAAGAGATATAGAAAGCATGAAAAAGAGGTATAATGATAAGATTGCAGCTTTAGAAAAACAAAACCATGATTTGATATTACAAAATAAAGAGCTGAAGCTTGATCTCAAACACCAAAATTTCAGATTCGAGGGAGAAAGGCATGATCTACAGGCAAAAATCCAGTCTATGGAAACTGATAAGCTAACAACCCTTAGCTCACCTAAAGCTCTAATAAGTCCGAATTATCAAGAAAAACTGAGCTTTGAGCAGGAGTTTAAGTATAACGAATTAAAAAAGAATTTCGATGAAGAAAAGGAAGAGCTAAGACTCAAGGCTCAACAAGCTGAGGAAAGCATTGTTTCTTTAAAGAACAATTACGCGAAAGAAATAGAGACCTTGAAGGTTCAATTAAAATCTCTCCAATTCAAAAATAGACATCAAGCGGAAAAAATAGAGCAGCTTAAAAGTAAAGAAAAATTAATGGTAAATAAGCAAAGGGCTGATGAAATTACGGTGCAGACGACTTCAGAGACTTCATCATCTATGAACTCACAAGATAACTCTCCTAAAGCTAGAATTTTCAAGCAAGAAAACAAATCAAATATTCTGAAAAGCCAAGTTTTAAACTCTCAAAGAGATTTTTTCACCTGTGAAAGCTGCAGAATACTTAAAGGACAAATACAAGAAAAAGAAGATCTTATAAAAGATTTGTCAAACAAGGTCGAAAATGAAATCTTGCAAAAAGAGAAAATTAAGGTTGATATGGATAAAGCTTTGATGGAAATTAAAAATCTTAAACAAATCCAAGTTTTATCGCACGAAAAATATGCGGAAACTGAAAAATCGCTAAAAAATGAAATAAAATTTTTAATTGGAAAAGTGTTAAAAGCTAAAAGCAAGCTGGCAGTTGAATCAGAGCTTAATGATTCGTTCAAGAGAGATGGAATTTTAAATACCATTCGGAGTAGATCAGTAAATAAAGCAAGAGGAACTACGAAGCCTCCGTCACCGTCATTAAGGTCAATTTCGCCTTTGAATTTATCAGTTATCCCTACATCTGAAAGTCCAATTTTAGAAGACCTTGACAAATAAAATGCTAATTATTGTTGATATATTTTGTTAAAAATGTGATAATTATAGCTAATTATATCTTTCAAAAAATATAAATTATCTAAATTAAATGCAAAAATGATAATTTTTTGTTAAAAAACTTCTATTAAGGTAAGTTCAGATTTATATACTATGGAAGCAGTTATGGATCATGCTTGATTACCCTTTCTCCTCTAATCGAACCAATTAAAAGAATATATAAAAAATAACATGACAGATCATCATTATAATTACATTTCATTTTAACTGAAACTCTACATATATTAATTAAAGCTTATACGGTATCTAGTGCACACACCCTCTAAAAGGTTTGAGCCAAACTAGTGATATCATGGGCATTTTTTGTAATCCATTGGCTAAATTATCCCAAACTAAACCATCAACCAACCTGACCGATGTCTCTTGCCTGGAGTCTCAAACCGATACTATTTTATTTTGATTTTAGATGAAAAAGAAAAAACTATAATGAGGGAGGGGCTTAAGGTCAAAAAATAGCTATGCTTGAGAATTATCGTTGCGAGATAAATCATAAACACACAATATAGAATTAAAATGGATCTAAGTGAGATGAATAAAGTTGCCTATCTGCAAACTGAAAATCAAAATCTCAAAATCCAATACCGAACAGCAGAAGAGGAATCGCATGGCAAGTCTCTACAAATAAACGGTCTATTGCAGCAAATAGACCTATTACAAAAAAAACTATCCAAGTATCGAGAAGGGAATGTTGATAAAGAAAATTTGATTAAGGAAAAAAACGATTCTTTAGAAAGAGCAAAGCTATTAGAAAATCAACTGAATCTAGTCAGCCTAGAAAATGAAGATTTTAGAAAAGCAAACGCAGAAATATCGAAAGATATTTTAATATATATTAAATTCCACCAATTTTTGCTATGGCAGTGTCTATTTTTTGGAAAAATCTATTAAAACTAGAAATATTTGCCTATAATCATTACCAAAACATTATAATTTTAACTTTCAGAAGAAAATTAAAGATCTTGAAGAAAATGCAGTTATCTTCAATAAACTAAAAGGCAATTTAGAAGCAAAAATTGACCAATTAACGAAAGAAAACTCAAGATTAAATGGAGAAATTGTAAAATTGCATCAATCTTATGAAGAGACTAAGATTAAAGCTTTAAATGAAATTATTGCAGAATTAAAAGTAAGAACTGGTGATCATAATATTGAGAAAGAATCACTAAAAAACGAAATCGAGCAATCTCACTTGATTATCGAAAGGCAAAATCAATCTATCAGCAACTTGAATACATCTTTACGTTCATCTCAAAATATTGTAAACGAATTAAATGAAAAATTATCTTACACTTAATTAAATTATTCATAAATATTTGTAGATTAATAAAACTATTATTAATTTCATATAAAAATAGGCAATTATCTGTACTCAGAAAATTAAGGAAAAGCACCTATTAAATTCAGGGAAAATAAGCAAATCTAATCTTGAACTTAGACAGGCTCAAGAATTACTGCGTGAAAATGAGGAAAAATATATTACTCTAATAGAACAGTTAAAAAATGAATTAAATAGAAATGGAATGATATCAGAAGAAATGAGGCAGCTGGCTTTAAATTTATGTATAGAACTGAATTCCTTAAAAACCAATAATAACAACGAAGAACTGATTAATTTAAATATCATAGTTTCGAAATTGCAAGCTGAAATAGCAAATAAAGAAATAAATTTTGAAGCCGCTTGAAAAGAATTAGCATTTTATAAAGAAAAATCAGAGAATTTAGAACACGCTTTACTAGAAATTAAACAAGAAAACCAATATTTACAGTCAAAATTATACAGAATTGAAGAAGAGCACCAAAAGAGTCAGTTTCATATTCTAAAGCTGTCAGATTATATAGACGAATTAGAAGGAAGAGCAGCCCAAAATGCTTTAAAGCTTGAATCTGCATATGAAAAAATTTCTTTCCTTACAAAATCTTACGATGAGAATAAGCATATTGAAAATGAGAGAAACAATCTAAAAGAAGTTACTGAACTTTTAAGTGAAGAAAAAAATATTTTAGAAAAAGAAAACAAACAAAAAGATGCTAAAATTAAGCAGCAAAACAGCAAGATAGCAAGCACCGAGAAGCAACTTGCTGAGCAGTCTGATACGTTGTCTTTAAAAGAACAAATTATTGTTAATGCAAATAAGCAAATTGAAATTCTTAACTCACTCCATCCTAATCAAAGAACGCCTTTGAAAATTGCATAAAAATTGGAAAATTAATCTCCATCCTTTATTAAACGATTTTCATATAGCCAAGCGTCCATATCCCTTCTTAAATCAAGCTATCTCTTAAATAGATCTTAGAGATTATACCTACAATCGCTTCTGTGCAATTTTAATGTGATTAGTGTGACTGCTTATATATTGAGTACTTTATCTTTTGTGATAACTCATAAAATTAATTATATGAAAATTTAATATAAATTTTTATGTTATTAAAATGTCTATATCCAATCTCCTTTCTAAATCTAACAATAGCAATCAGTGAAGGAGTAAGAAAAAGCTTTTATCATCTCCTCCTCGTAATAAGCAGGTTCCTAATGAAGATTATGACACGATAAAAAAGAAAGTCGAAAATTTAGAGAGTCAAATTAAGCTTTTAAAAGAAGTCATAAAAGGGCTTCAAAGTGACATAAAACGAAAGCAGCAAGAGATAAGCAAACTTAGAAAAGCTAACTCAATTAGGCACTCTCCAATCCAAAATTTCTCCCCACCTCGGGACTGAAACATTCATTCTTTTATTCAAGAAACTGAAGCGATGCTCCATATGCCAGATTTAGATGAGCTGAACAGAGAATCGCCTTTTGTTCGTAAAAAAAACGCTTTAAACATCTTCAAAATTTCTTCGCCTATTAAACAAAAATCAAAATTCGATATAAGGAAATCAGACTTTTAACATTGATTATCTCTGCTATTTTAAATTAATACCCCGAGACTCCCTATAAAATATTAACTAATTTTCTAACACCTTCAGCTCCTCTTCATCTATAATCCCAATTACTAATATTCATAATAAAAAAGCTACTTTACAAAATATTTTTTCTTACTCCCCCTCTGTGAGCGAACAAAAAAATCTTGTTTGCTCATGGACAGGGCTAACTTTTTTTTCGAAATTTTAAAAAAATCCTAATTTGCAAAATTGGAAAGCAAATATTAATTTAATTATAAAATTTTATGTTTTAAAACGCAGTTTGTTTAAAATTAAACAGAATTAGCTATAGTTTTCATTATACTAATTATCACTTATATATAAAAATTTTTTTCTATTAAAAAAATTTTTGTTCGCTCACGGAGGGTGAGTTTTTGGGGAAAAATAGCAATTTTTCTAATGGTTTTGTTCGCTCACGGAGGGTGGAGTTAAAAATTCAAAATTGTGGTCTCCATCCATATTTCAATCGCTACCAATAATTCCTAAAAATTACTTGCAGAAACTCAGTTTAATTTAAGTTAAGTTAGCCATAAATCTTCTTAGTCATAACTGCGTAAAAGTCGTCAATAGTCATTGCTTTTTTATCAGCAGAAACTTTAGCAAGAGCCTCTTGGAGTTCTTCTTCAGTCATGCTTTCTCCGAGCTCTCTAGCAACTCTAGCTAAGTTTTTGACGTTGATTGAGCTTGATCCGTCTGCATCAAAGAGATCGAAAATCCTTTGAATACCTTCTTTGCTATTTCTATGGCCGAGTCTTTCGCTGATGTGGCCTAAGAAGTCATCAAAAGTGATGGCTGCTCCGAGTTCTTCAATTCCTGCAAGAAGTCTGAAGATGGTTGGAGTTCTGTCTTGGCCAAGAGATGCAAGAGCTGCGTTAATTTCTTTAGGATCGATGGTACCAGAGTTATCTGAGTCGAAGAGATCGAAGGCTTCCTTGATTTCTTTGATTTCGTCCTCAGTAAGGTTGGTGGTCTCTGGAGCCTTTTTGGCTGGGGATTTTCCTCTTGCTGGTACTTTCTTAGGGTCCTCTTTGGCTGCTGCTCCTCTTTTTGACATTTATTATAAAAGCCATCCATTATTTTGGGAAATTTTGCACTAACGGACAGCCTAATTCAACTGAAGTATCAATTAAACTTTAAATTAGAAAATTATTAACTCTTGCTTCATTTAACTGTAAGCAAAATCTGAATATTTTATAAAAATTATTTATTTTTTTATTCAAATATTGCTGCTTTTCAATTTAATATTGATTTTAGCCTGCTGAATATATAATTAGAGCAATTCTCCTTAAGCTTAAAACGAAGAATAATTTCAACCATTCCCATTTTATTCTCCAAATTCTTTATTTAATGACTCTAATTTTCTTAAATATTTTATGAAAAAGTTAAATATTAGCTAGATAATTTAAAAGAAATGGCTATAGGTTTTAAAATTGGAGAGAAGTAAGTTTCATTTTTACTTATTGAATCTTCTTTTGCAGGAGATAAATTTTATATATATAGTGGTTTCAATAATAATATCTGCAATGCTTTATTATATAAAAAGAATAACTTAATCTTTATTTACTGTTATTATCTGCATCTTTGAAACTTAAGTATTTTTTACAAATCCGTTTTAATATTTAAATATATATGCAAATAAAGTTTACAAATTAATTTTAATTCTATAAAGCACTTTATATCTTAAAATGTCACATTATAATGATTGCAGGATCTATTTCAGTGCACTATTTCTCTTATTTAGTGTTTTCAAATCAAACAAAATAAAATAATTTAAATGGAAAACCAAAAGGATTCAGAAAAGCATTCAAAATTTCGCAAAAATCATTTACTGTCTTCAAGTGAATCAAGAAATATCAGTGATATTTCAAGTGACTCAGTTATGAATAGACTCTCACATATTTTAGGTGATAACAGTGAAATCTACGTTGAAAGTGCAGGCTTTATCAAAGATGAAGTTTCAGAGTCCCAAATAACAGAAGTAGAAGACGTGGCAGATTTACCAGAAAATGATAGACCTTCCGTTCCCAGACTCCAATTAGATAGGAGTAAATCAATAAGTAAACTCTATTTAGAATCGAAAAGCACAGAAAGCTACCCAAGCTTAGGAACTGTAATAAGACATGACACACCAAAAATCACAACAAATCAAAAGATCCTTAATAGCCCTTATAAAAAAAAATCAATAAAGCGCCCTCAAAGCGCTAAATTGCAGAGATCTAGATCAGTTAACTCAAAACAAGCTAATGATGAAGCTATACATTTGACACAACTTATTTCAAATGATCTTGTAAAATCCATTCATCACGCATATGCTTCAAAATATCCTGGAGCATTAAGTAATTTAGACCAAAAAGAAATTCAACAATTTTTCCAGTTCAAAACAAATGAGTTTCAAGAAATTCTTGAGCGGGAGTTAGGACAAAAACAAGTGGTAAATTTTATATAGGCTCCATATCAAAGATCTAAAAGGGAAAGACTACGAATCAATAATAAAGATAAAGAAAAAAAGCGCGAAGAAATAAGACAAAAGAACTTTGAAGACGAAATGTCAAGAGTAAAAAAATCCACTGAGTTATATCACGAAACTTGCGAATTTCGGCTAAAAAAATCAGTGGAGTCAACTCTTCAAAAATACAAGCGACAAAAAATTATTGAAGACAGTAAAATAATAAAAGAACAAAAAGAAGTAAAAGACGTCGAAAAGAAGCTTATAATCGAAAATATAAAAAATCTTTATAACGACAAAATTCAACTTTTAAAAGAAAAAATAGATGAAGAAAAGTTTCAGAGACAAATAGATGAGCAAGAACAGAAAAAGAGAATGTCAGAAGCAGAAAAAAGCAGAAAAACACAACGACTACTCCATCTTAAAGAACAAAAAGAAATTTTATCAAAAGAAAACGAGCACTCTGAGCTGATCTTATTAGAAGCAAAGCATTTTGAAGAGAAAATAATAGAAAGGTATAAAAAAGAAAAGCTTCCATAAATAATTGTTATAGATACAGTGCAAGCTAAATTAATAATTTTAGATTTTATATTTAGACCATTTCATAGTTAGTATTCCGCTTTGCTATTTTTTCTTTAACTGCCTCTATCCCTGATTTTGCTTTAGTTGTAGCTAGGCCTACAAATTCTTGCAAACGATTAGAAATCGAGACCCAAAAAGCATAATGAGGGATCATATCATCACCTGTTTTTCCTCTTAAAAAATTTATAGCCATTCCTCCTGCAAAGTAAAGCCAAAATAATGCGCAGATGCCGATAAGCCACCACCATCCTATATGTCCACTACTCCCACCAGAAATAGGGCAGCCAAAAGGTGTGTTTTTAGACAAAAATACATGGCAAGATCCACTTCCAGATTCTTCGACAACTTCCCAGTCGCTATCAACATCGCTGCAATGCAATTTAAAAGTGATTTGTCGATTTAAATCAAAGCCATCATAACAAAGATCTCCTCCCTGATAAGTTAATCTCTCAAGATTAATTAAGCCTGGCTTTTATAATTAATTCCTTATTTTTTATTAAAAATGGATAATAAAGCCCAGAACAGCTTTAGCTTGCCCTAGGATAGCAATTTTCCCTCCAGCTAGTGGAATTGATTTTTGATTACAAGTTGCCAAGCCAACTCAACGATTTGACAAATAGCAGTGCATGCTCACCTGCAAACTTGTAGAGTTGGCTTACCAACATTTGCCTTAAGCCAACTCCACTAGTTTGAGGGAAAATTGCTTGCCCAAGGCGAGCTAAAGTCATCCTGGGCTATAATCTATTAGGGAGAAGCTCATAATTATTGCAATAAATATATCTTAAAGCCAGCTTCAGGGAGGTCTGATTTAATAAGGTCATAAGCAATCATTTCTTTTCTTCCTAATACATCGCAAGATTCAAATAAATCATCATACATTTGCACAACTTCTACAGCCGCAACGTCTTGGGCTCCACAAAGCTGAGGAACATTCTGTCCAAAATTAAAAACATAAACAGTGTAGATTGAGGCAGCGTCACCTGAATTTACTTTTCATGGCTGGTCATAAGGGCGCTGCAAAGAGTCATAAGAATATACTGCTGATGATGATGGGTCAGTTCAAGACAAGCTAGCAGCTGATGTGAGTGAGAATAAAATCAAAAAAATCATAATGGATGGGAAACGAATATCCGAACTTGAGTAATATTAATTTCTATAGCATAAGCTTTAATATAATAAGAATCATAATTTTTTGAATTATAACAAAGACAAAGAACGTAAAGGGCTCCTCTGTATGACCCTTCTCCACAATGACTTTTTTTTTCAATTTTATTCTTTAGTTTATTTTTTGGCATATTTTTTAAAGTATAGTTGGCGTCATGTGAAGTCACCAACGTAAGTGAATTGTTTTAAAAAATTGCATGTTTAACAGATATATTACGATCAATTTCTTCGTTTTTATTTTGAAATTCTCTAAGTTTGAGCTGTGCACTGCATATAAATTATCTTATTAATTTTCAAATTATCAATTAGTAGATACAAAAATAAATCTAGCTGATAATAAAATTCACATATATATTAAATAGACTATTTCTTCTTAGAGGAAAATCATTGCTAGTCCTCCAAAAGATAACTTGCTTATTAGATACTCACGAAATAGAGATTTGCTACCATTTCCACTATCTTTAAAGGGGATATCAAATTTAAGTAAGAATAGAGTCATAGATTCATTAATTTTGAATTGATGCACAATTGTATAAGAGATTGATTGATAATTAAAATCAAATTTCATAATCTATATCTTTAGCCATTTTTATATTATGAAAGCCATATAATTTCAATTTTACCAGAATTAATAGTTTAAAATTTAAATATTTTATTATTTTTCTATATACTTTGCCCTCGTTTATTAATATCATGTAAATTTTCAGGCTTTTTTCCATAAGCAAATTGTTAAAGACCGTATCATAATAAATTATGTCTCATCACTTTTGTTAAAATATTTGGATTAATTCTATTTCTCAAATCAACAGTTAAAAATATAATTAAATACACCTAAATATATGGTTATTTATAAATTTGTGGCGTTAAAGAGATTAATATATGTTTAAATCTTATCAAATAACCATTTTATTGAACTTATAAATATTTATAATTGCAGCCCTATCTAATTTTTAATAATTACAGCCTATTAATCATGGATTTATAAAATATTTATTTTTACTTAAATTTCCAGTGGCGAAAGTTTTGATTTGCATATTTATTATTTCTTAACTTAAGAAAAAGAAATAACCTGGTTTTTTTATTATATTTTAAAGCTATTAATGGTAGACAGGAAAAATAGAGATGCCTCAGAATTTCGCGAAATTGCTCTAAACAGAGGCCGAAATGATAACGCCAACATATTCCCAAACAATTTCATCACAACAGCCAAATATACTACTATAACCCTAATTCCAAAAAATCTTTTCGAACAATTTCATAGAGTAGCAAACATATGGTTTTTAATTGTTTCAATTTTTCAAATTTTACCCCTCAATCTATCTCCAACATCTTCTTGGGCCACAATAGCTCCTCTTTCACTTGTTCTTACTGTTACACTAATTAAAGATGCGTATCAAGACTACAGAAGAAGAAAAAGTGATAAAGAGCTAAATAACAGAGAGGTAAAAATTTGAAAAGAAGAAATAGGCACTTTTGAGACAGTCAAATGAATGCAGCTACAAGTTGGAAGCTTAGTTCTGCTTGAGAGCGACTCAGCAATTCCAGCTGATCTAGTCATTTTTGCCACTTCTCATGAAGAACATATATGCTATATTGAGACATCAAATTTGGACGGAGAAACCAATTTGAAGATAAGAAATTCATTGCCTGAGACGTCTGCAATTTTTGAAGGGGAACTTGAATCAGCAATGAAGATGATATATAAACTTGATAGCAGCAAACTAAAAAGTGAACACCCTAATAACCGCTTATATTCGTTTGAAGGGAGTCTCATATTAAAAGGACACCCAAAGGCTGTTCCGATTGATAATGGGAATATTTTACTTAGGGGCAGTACTGTCAAAAATACAAATTGGGTGTTAGGCTGTGCAATATTTACAGGGATCGATACTAAGCTGATGATGAACTCGAAAATGCCTCCTCACAAAAGAAGCAATGTAGAAAGGAGGGTCAATAGATATTTGAGCATTGTCTTTACAATTTTATTAGTGATTTCTTTGCTTTCAGCAACCATTTCAGTTGTATATAACTATCAGAATCCAGACGCAGTGGAGTATTTTACAGGAGACAACAATTCTGCGATGTCAGTCCTCAATTTTATTACCTTTTTAATCCTATACAACAGCTTGGTTCCAATTTCCCTGTATGTGACTATGGATATTGTGAGGGTTATACAAGCGAAGTTTATACAGTGGGATTTAAGGATGTACTATGAGCCAATTGATAGGCCAGCTATAGCTAAAACTGGCGACCTCAACGAAGATTTAGGACAAATTGAGTATATTTTCTCAGACAAAACAGGCACACTAACTGAAAACCAAATGGAATTTAAAATGTGCTCAATCAAAGGCAAAATCTATGGCTCAATGGAAACTGAGGGTAACACTGATAGAGCTGAAATTTCAATTAACCCTCATCCGCAATTCAAATTTTACGATTCTTCACTCCTGAGTGACTTAAGGGGTCCAAGAAAAAGAGAAGTCAGCGAGTTTCTTGAACTTTTGTCTACATGCCACACTGTTATTCCTGATAAAGGTAAACAAGGAGAACTCATATATCAAGCAGCGTCTCCTGACGAAGAAGCTCTTGTTATAGCAGCTCACGCTTTAGGATATTCTTTTACTAAATCAAAACCAGGATACATAGCAGTTAGAGTAAACGATGAAACATTTGAATATAAAGTGGTCGGGGTCAATGAATTTAATTCGACTAGAAAAAGAATGTCAGTGGTTCTTGAGTCGTTGACTGAGCCATCAAGACCTCCTATTTTATACTGCAAAGGGGCTGATAATATTATCTTAGAAAGAGTTAATGCTTCTGAAGCTGAAAAAAGTGAGTTAAATAAGCAGCTATATGATTACTCAGTACAAGGGCTTAGAACACTTGTATTGGCAAAAAGAGAGCTCACAAGGGCTGAGTCACAAGATTTTGAAAGAAAATGGCAGGCTGCCAAAAATGCAATGGCAGATAGACAAAAAAGATTAGACGAGGTTGCTGCTGAAATTGAGGTGAATATGGAGCTAATTGGAGCTACTGCTATAGAAGACAAAATCCAAGAAGGGGTCCCAGAAACAATAGCTGATTTAATGGAAGGTGGTGTCAAAGTCTGGGTTCTTACCGGCGATAAACAAGAAACAGCCATAAACATTGGATATTCCTGCAAAATGCTTAAACAAGATATGGAAGTTATCATCATTAATTCTCATTCCCTTGAAGCAGCCAAACTACAATTGAAAAAAGCTTTAATGAAGTATGTTTACAAAGAAATCGAGTCAAATTCTTCAAATTTGATCAGAATCCAAGAAGATAATAATAACAATGAAAAAGAAATTGACGTCGACAGTTTGAACCTTGGACTTGTTATTGATGGAGAAACCCTTTTGTATGTGTTTTCTGACCTCCAAGCAATGAAGCATTTTGCGATGCTTTCTTGTCTATGTCATGCTGTAATTTGCTGTAGAGTTTCTCCACTACAGAAATCAGAAGTTGTCAGGCTTGTGAAGTGCAATTTTCAGTTTGCGCCGATTACACTTGCTATAGGGGATGGGGCTAATGATGTGTCTATGATCCAAGAAGCTCATGTAGGTATTGGGATTTGTGGAAAAGAAGGCTTGCAAGCTGTAAATTCAAGTGATTATGCAATAGCAAGATTTAAATACTTGATCCCTTTGCTGTTTTTGCATGGGAGATGGAATTATCAGAGAATCACTATTGTTATCTTGTATTCGTTCTATAAAAACTTTATATTGGTGCTCCCTATGTTTTATTTCAGTTTCTTCAATATGTACTCAGGAACTGCACTTTATGATTCATGGCTACTTTTATCATATAATGTTGCATTGACGTCTTTGCCTATTGTTATTGTAGGTTCTGTTGACAAAGATTTAGAAGCAGATGAAGTGCTGATTAACCCTTCTCTGTATCAGGATGGGATATAGGTGTTTTTCCCTATATGGCCCAATAAGGGCAGTGGGTTCTCCGTGGAATCCCTCTGCTGGCTGAACCAACCAGTGAATTGGTCAAACCAACGCACTGAGTTGGTTTGACCAACAGAGGGATCCCACGGAGAACCCACTGCCCTTATTGGGCCATATAGGGAAAACCCTTATATACTCAAAGATGTTTAATGCAAAGATTTTCATTAAATGGACATTTAAAGCAATTTTTCAAAGCATCATTATTTATTTCCTTATCACTATGAATTCTTACGAGCTTATATCTACTGATGGAGATCCAGAATCCTACAATTTGATGGGGACTGTTTGCTTTTATTCGCCGTCGAAGCCGGCAACACTTGCCCTCGGAGCACCTTGGTGATCAAAGCAGGTCGTCTCCAGCGAACTTGTAGGTCCGATGCAACGGAAGGCGAGCGGTAGGCCTGAAGATGCCGACCCTGTAATGGACGTAAGCGATATAAATTTTATGTAATGTAATGTTTGCTTTTATTCAATAGTGCAGACTGTTACTTTAATGATGCTTATTAAAACTCACAATTGAAATTATTTGTTTTTGATTGTTTTATTTTTAAGCCTGGCTGTATTTTTCCCATTTGTTCTGTTTTATGATTATACCAAGATTCCAACTGCTGAGCTAGCTGGAGTCACTAAAAACATGTTTCGTGAGCTAATTTGGTTTTTAAGCTGAACTTTGATTCCTTATATTTGCATTCTTATAATCCTCGCAAAAGATTTTGTTTATTCACTATGGTTTCCTTCAGATATCGATCATATAAAGTCGAGAAAAATAGGGAAAGTGCACCCAGAGATTGCTTATGAACAGCCAGATCAAGAAGAAGCTAACTCTCCCCCATCCTTGATCGAACGGCTCGCCATCGTTCGATCAAGGATGGGGGTTTAAAAAAATGTTTTAGGACAAAAATTTATCTATAAAATAAGAGGGTTAAGAGTATTTAATAATTATTTTTATAGCAAAAAATTGAATGAACTTCATAAGAATACCAATTTTTAATATTTTGATTTTTTGGTTACTCTTTTAAACTGTATAAATTTTAATTTGTTCATTATTAAATTAAAAATTTTAATTTTAAAGAATCTCTATTTTTTAGATTATTGAGGTTTTAAGCCCAGGTTGATGACTTAAGCACTTCGGATGGTTAATTCCGTAGCTTCCTGTTGTCTCAAAGCCTCTGAAAACAACTTCATTAGGCATATCTTCCCAAGCTTTTGATAATTAATATATTTTTATATAAAACTTTGCATGATATGAAAATCGTTCAATCAAGGATGGGGGTTTAAATTTTCCCCAATTTTTAGGAATTTTTACAGTCAATCGTTCGATCAAGGATGGGGGAGTAAACAATTAATTGTGTCAAGAGCTTCAAAATATAAAACAAGACTATCAGACGTGTTTAATCCTAAAGGCATCAAGCTGAAAGCAGTTGAAGAAGAAGCTCCAAAAAATGATTATTCGCTAAAAGCGTTGACACTAAAGTTTTACAATATACCTCAAGAATCCTTATTATGAAGTTAGGCTATTTTCATGCCTAGTTAAAACAGCTTACGTACTTATAAATGTTTTACCTAGACTGATACACTTAGTCTCAAAAAAGGCTTTCATTTTATTTTTAACTTACTATTATATGATAATTATAAATTTTTAACATATAGAAGAATATCTAGGGTATATATACCTTGAAAAAAGTTTCAGCAGGTACACAACAGATAAAATTATGAAATTTATAAGAAAAATCTTTATCCTTTTATTTATTTTGAGTTTAATATGAACTGTATACGACATTGCTCAAGGATCAACAAATAGTATGATTGCGATAAGGGCTGGCGTTGTGGTAGTGTTTTTTGGCTTTATTATTTTTGTCCATTCAAAACTGTTTGTAAGATATTATGAGCCAATTGTGCTTGCTGTTTTGGTTGTTGGACTGGTAATTAAAGTTGCTCTTGAGTTTATTAACCAAAATGATGGATCAATGACAACAGCATTGGTACCGATATTAACCTTTGTGCTATTTAGTGTAAGCACTTATAAAGTATTTTTGATCAATATTTTATTTTTGCTGATTTACCTTATAAGAGTTCTCGCTCATTACTCATCATCTCTAGATGCAGTTGGCATGGAAATAATTTCTATGAACTATATCGTTCTCTTAGTCGGTATTACAATTATCAGTGCTTTTGTCGGATACGCTTTAGAAAAAGCAAGAAGGACCAATTATATTCTTCGTAAAAAGCTTGAGCACCAATTCCAAAAAGGACAGGAAATCCTAGGAAATTTATTGCCTAGATTTGTAAAAGACAGAGTTAAGCAAGGAGTGAGGTATATTGCTGAAGACCAAGGGATCGTTACCTTATTGTTCTGCGATATCTATAATTTTGATAAAATTTGTGTGACTCACAGCCCTAATGAGCTTCTTGATTTACTTGATAAATTCTTTGGAATTTTGGATGGACTGTGTGATAAGCATGGAGTAACGAAAATAGAGACTGTTAATAAAACGTATTTAGTTTGTGGAGGGCTAAAAGATAGTGAGGAAAATCTTTCACAAAAATTGCTTCAAAAAAATCATGCACAAAGGGTATTGGAATTGGCTGTGAATATTCTTAAAAAAATAGAGCCTGTATAGCCCATACCCTATGTGGATTTATTATCGAGCAAAATGTAATTGACGATTGAACGATCAGGGCAGACTATATCAAAGGGACGAGCTAGGTCTCTATAGTAGGAAGGATTAAAAGTGGCATGTCAAAAAAATTTTGACAAGTGTGAATATTTTTATTTATTTTTAATATTCGCATAAAATAATCTAAATTATGTCTAAGTACTGAACCATAAAATGCGATGGCAAAAATTGCAGAATGAGATACAGTCAATTTGATATCATCAATAAGTGTTCAGCCCAATTCAATTGTAACAACATTAAAAAAAATAAAAAAGCTAGACTACTTTTTAAAATTAAAAAAAGACACAAAATGTGGCCAAAATTGCAGGAAGTGATTCAGTATTTTGACATTTAAATTAAGTATACTGGGATATCGCTTAATATGCAAAGTGCTCGCCCAATTCAATTATCACAGAAATCTAGAGATCCAGCTTGTCCTTTTGATAGAGTCTATTTTGGTCTTTCAAATGTCTATTGCATTTTTGCTCGATAAAGAAATCTATATAGAGGTATAGGCTATATATACCATTAAAAAATAAATTAGCTTGAGATATCAAAAAATATGAATTTAAAAAAGTTCCATTTTAATAATATTGCATTATATTGTCCTTAAACTTAATAATATATGGGATACTTGAAAAATGGAGACAAATTCCAAGTCAAAATGGGAATCAACAGCGGCCCAATTATCGCAGGAGTTGTAGGAGACCACAAGCCTCAATTTTCTTTAATCGGTGATACTATCAATACAGCAAGCAGAATGTGCTCTACCCTAAAAGAGCCTTGTCAAATCCAAATATCATCAGATACTTATGAATACGTCAAAGGTGAGCCTTACTTATTTACCCCAAATAAAGTTGAAGCCAAAGGCAAGGGGATGCTTGACACCTATATAATAAAAAACCAAGAACCCAAAAAGAAAAACCGCCGAATCACGACATTTGAAGAAATGGTTCCTTCCCAATTCCAGCAGCAACAACAGCAGCAGCCTCCTCCAGACAAATCTCTAAACGTATCAAGTCTTCCTTTATTACCCTCTGAACAAGAAAACATCAATATAAAAGAATCAAGCACAGTCTTTGACATTGATAAATTACAATACGAAAGCTTTGATGGTGATGAAGACTACACTGGACTTGCAGGACCTGTACAATGGCTCACTTGCAGCTTTAAAGAGATGGCAATGCAGCACGAGTATAGAGTTACAACGCTAAAAAGCGAAATGAAGAATATGAAATGGGGATTATGGATGACGATTATTGTGTATGCGGTGCTGTTGATGAATTTTATTGTCGGATTTAAATTGATGACTAGCTTTGGAACAGGGGTTTTGATTGGACTAAGGGCTGGAAATTTAGGTGCAATGATTTTACTAGCGTTAGTCTTAAATAAGGTGTATGAGAATATGATGTTTCCTTGGGGGGTAATGGCTATTTATGTGGCAGCTAGCTATATTAGTACATTGTCAATATCAAGAATTGGGTCTGATTTCTTTTATATTATTGTGCTTGAAGAAATGTATACAAATGTAGTTATCAATCATATTTCAGGGTTGCCATTTGGACATATTTTGATAGCTTCATTGTGTAGCATAATACATTGGATAACAACTGTTATTTTGAATCCAGATGAGTTCTCAAAGTCAATTGAAGCCACGTTTTTTGTGATCATTTTTACCTTTATTAATGGTGCAGCTAGCTATATGAGAGAATACAATAATAGAAGAAATTACAATTTAAGCAGAATGGCTCAAAGAGATATCCAAAACACCGAAAAGCTCCTCAGCCAAATGATGCCTCCATCAGTTGTCAAAAACTTACACAATAACGTCACAACAACCGATAAATATGCAGACGTTACTATGATTTTTGCAGACATCGTTGGGTTTACTGCATATTCTTCTGATAAAAAGCCTATAGAAGTTGTTAGCATGCTTTCCAAGCTTTTTTCAAATTTTGATCATTTATGCATGAAAAATAATGTTTATAAAGTCCACACTATTGGAGATTGCTATGTTGTTCTTAGTTTTAGTGACAGTGGGGATAATGGCTATACAAGAAATATTGCTAGAGAAGTTACAAATATGATTAATATGGCTTTAGATATGATAAAATGCATTAAAAGAATCAATAGAAGCAAAAATATGAGCTTAAATATGAGAATTGGCCTCCACACTGGAGAAGTTACAGCTGGAATTACAGGGACTAATATAGTGAGGTATGATATATATGGGCCTGATGTTGACATCGCGAATAAAATGGAAAGCAATGGGCAAGCAGGAAAAATAAATGTAAGTGAGGTGACAAAAGCACTTTTGGAGACACATTGCCCAGATAGGTTTGACTACATCTTTAATAAGATTGTGACTCATCAGCCTGTAAATCGATCGTTGAATTCATTTTTTGTAAGAGCAAAGCTAGCTGATGATATTGAATTTTAAGTCTTTAATTATATGTTTATATTTTATTTTATACCCCTTACAGTTTAATATATTGTTGGTATCAAAAGTTAATAGGAAGTTAAAAAAAATAAAATATGTGACAATACAATATATGTTGTGATATTTAAAACAAAATGAAAATTCATTCAAATTATAATTTATTTATATTATTATAATTATAGGCTACATTCCATTTTATCAGAACGATTTGATAGTATTACATTTTCACATAATATTGGTCGGAATTTTTTGAGAGTGAGAAATCTACTCCAGAAAAAGTGAAATTTCGATCAAATGTCTTACAAAAAAATTCAACTAAATCTCTGAGGAATGTCAGGACTATCAAAAACTCTAACACTGATAATTATAATATTAAAATATATAAAATCTATTTTATTGGCTTCTAAAAAATTACGTCATAGATAAGGATCTAAACCCATATTATGCCTAGAGTTTAAAAAAATAAAATATTTACCCAAAATCAGCTGACAGCTGCTTTGGTATTAATTTTTTCTCTAGTTTTAAGCATTTGAATCCAAATCCACTAACTCCCCCCTCTGTGAGCGAACAAAACCATTAGAAAAATCCCTCCTCCGTAAGCGAACAAAAATTATTTTAATATAAAAATTTTTTATGAAAAAAAAATTTTGATATATAAGTGATAATTAGAATAATGAAATCTCTAACTAATTCTGTTTAATTTTAAACAGCTTGCATTTTAAAATATAAATTTTGCAAATTAAATTAATTTTAAACTTCTCAGTTTTTACAAATTGGAAATATTTTAAATTTTTAAAATAATAATAAAATTTATATATAAATTTTATAAACAAAATTAGCAACAAAATTTTTGGTTCGCTCACAGAGGGGGGAGTAAACATATATATAATAAATGTTCCGAAGAGCAGCTGCACTGCACAGATTGTTCAGTATTACCACATATCAACATATGGAATTGTCTGAATTATGCCCTAAGGAGAAATAAATGTCCGAGAAAGCATGCTCGACCGACCTAGAGCATGCTTAAATTAAGTTAGTTATTTCTCCCCAGGTGAGGTTTTTGGCTCAGCAGACCTTGAGCTTTTCCTCAGCCGGGCCCTGCCATCGGGTCAACGGACTCAGGGCTCCTGGGATAGGATGGCTGGCGAGATAGACCGGCATCAAGGCGTGTGGGACGAAGACTGGGCAGTGTAGGCTGCACGAGTCTCTGCTCAATTCAGAGTTGGCAGAGAGGTGGATCGTCTAAGGCAAGATGGAAGCAAGTCCGCAGCTCACCGGACTCCGATGGAGGAGACGCAAGTTAATGGGGTGTAATCAAATCGAAGACGGGTGTTCTGGCCAAGACAACAGGCGTGAGATGAGGAGATAAACTACCTTGTCGTCGCTAGCGGTGGGTAATTAAGGCCATAAGGCCTAGCGCGGTGAGCTTTGGCTCCGCCATAAAATGGTCTTACGACCTCTAAATCATATAAAGATAAAGAATTATGCCCTAAGGATAGCAATCATGGACACCCATCCTTAGGGAAATGGAATTTTTGAAAATTGCCACCTATCCAGGTGCTAGAGATTAAGACCTTTAGAGTGCCTGCGGATGCAAATTTGTTTTGCCCAAGAGCTGGAAGGACAGCTGTTGAAATCCGGACACCCGAAGCCGAGGGCCATTAAGATCAAGACAAGGTAGTGTACGAGGCATGGTCGGATAAATAACTAAGTTAAGTTAAGTTCAGCATTATCAGAAAGCCTCAAGTAAAGCTCTTCACTCCTGGTCCACTTAACACCACACCTACAGTCAGAGAAGCCATGATGTACGACTTTGGCTCTCGCGATCCTGACTTTGGTAAAATTGTTGAAGATATAAAAGTTAGACTATTGAAAATTGCTGACGTCAAACCTAAAGACTATGCTGCAGTCCTTGTACAAGGAAATGGCACATACGCTGTAGAATCATGCTTAGGGACTGCTTTCCCTCGTCTTGACCCAGGTGACCGGTCTCAGAGAATGCTGATTATTGCTAATGGCTCATATGGCGAAAGACAAGTAAAAATCTGCGAAGTATTGGGCATCCCACACATTGTCCTTACTCCCCTTTCCGTGAGCAAACAAAACCATTAGAAAAATCCTATTTTTTGCCCAAAAAACCCACCCTCGTAAGCGAACAAAATTTTTTTATGAAAAAAAATTTTGATATATAAGTGATAATTATTATAACGAAATCTTTTGCTAATTCTGTTTAATTTTAAACAGCTTGCATTTTAAAATATAATCTTGCAAATTAAATCAATTTTCACCTATCAATTTTTAAAAATTGGAATTTTTTTAAATTCTGAAAAAAAATTCTATAAAATATATATATAAAATTTTTTAAAAAAACAAAATTAACCCCCTCTGTGAGCGAACAAAAAATTGTTGTTCGCTCACGGAGAGGGGAATTAGATACGCAGACTCTGAAATAGTCAATCCTGATGACGTAAAAAGGCAACTTAACGAACACCATCAGATTACCCATGTATCAGTCATCCATTCAGAGACCACAACAGGGATCATCAATCCATGCTTGGAAATTGGAAAGGTTGTGCATGAACACAACCCTAACTTGATTTACATTGTGGACGGGATGAGCAGCTTTGGAGCAGTTCATCTAGATCTATATGAGGGTCACGTCAATTATCTTATAAGTTCTTCTAACAAGATGATTCAAGGAGTCCCTGGCTTTGCCTTTGTGATTGCGAAGCTTACTCTATGGCCAGAAAACTTGTGATCGTTTGATCTAGGAGTGAAATTCCAAAGACCCTTGAAAAATGATATATAATTTATTAATTGGGTGTTAAAATTTTTCTAATGTAAATGTTTTGCACGCTAACGATAAGAGAGAATGCAGAACACTAGTAAGCATGCTAGAAATCGCATTATTGTGTAGTTATTGCAATATTGTAATCATTATTATCAAAGATATTGGACACATGGTTCGCTATATGAAAGTTGTGCGATTAAGAGCGGGGGGATAATTTTCCTTATGGAATCGTTCGAAGAGTTAGTGATTTGATGCAATGCCAAGGAAACTCAAGATCAGTAGGCCTTGATCTATATGAACAGTGGGATTATCAGCTGAGCAACCCTGGACAGTTCAGATTTACCCCTCCAACTCATGTTATGGCTGCTTTCCATCAAGCTTTAGTTGAGCACGAAGCTGAAGGAGGAGTCAAAGCAAGAGGGGAAAGATACAGAAATAACCAAAGAATTTTATCAGAAGAAATGAGAAAACTTGGGTTCAAATTATACGTGGATCCAAAGAATCAAGGAGTCTGCATTACTACATTTATGCAGCCATCACACCCTAAATTCAATTTCAAAGTTTTATATGACTATTTGGCAGAAAGGAACATTGTTATTTATCCCGGAAAACTTAGCAAAGCACCTTCCTTTAGATTAGGGAATATTGGAGAACTCTATGCTGACGATATGTACGAATGCATCAATAAACTCAAAGAAGGGTTTAAATTCATGGGAGTCCCATTGCCTTTGGAAGAAGATTAAGCTAGATAATTTATTTTATTGAGATAGATCCTTATATAAAAAATAACTTACTCCCAAATCACTCTGTTAAGGAGCAAAACCCTTATTTTGGGGAAAACCCTTCACAATAACTCCCCCCCCTCCGGAGGGGGGTTAATTTTTTTTTTAAAAAAATTTATATATAAATTTTATAAAAAATATTTTTTTTTTCGAAATTCAAAAAAATCCTAATTCGAAAAAATTGGAAAGAAATATTAATTTAATTTATAAAAATTATGTTTTAAAAGCAATTTGTTTAAAAATTAAACAGAATTAGCTCTGGATTTCATTATACTAATTAGCATTTATATATCAAATTTTTTTTCTATTAAAAAAAATTTTGTTCACTCACGGAGGGTGGGTTTTTGGGCAAAAAATAGCGATTTTTCTAATGGTTTTGTTCACTCACGGAGGGGGGGGAGTAAGCAAATATATTTCATATATAATAATTGGTGATAAAAATTTGCTATTTCATAAACTTTTAAAAAGCCTTGCATTCTCAAACATAAATTTTATAAATTAAATCAATTTTTCTGTTCCAAATTAGATTTTTAAATTTCAAGAATAAATTTAGTTCTAATGAGCGAGCAAAATTTTTTGTCTACCTATGGAAGGAATTAGCTCTTAATAGCCAATTCTAAAAATAATTTTATATTTAACTTATCATGAAACTCCCAAAGGTTTATGAAGAAAACATTAAATTAGTGACTTTTTTTTGCTTTTAACACCCACATCTTGTTCAAGAGTTTGGGATCGATTTCTACTCTTAATAATGCGTTGTTGTAATATTGACTTGTCTTTTTTAAGCTCAGTTATCTGCATATTGAAGTGAGTGTTTTGATCTAGCTGACTTTGAATCGCGCGTTGGAGGTCAGCCATCAGTTCATCGATTTTTGTGGACGTTAAGGCTGAGGTATCATCTGCTGAAAGTTTTATTGAACTATCCATTGATCTAAGCTCAGCTCGGATGTCTTCAGCAAAGTGTTTGCAATCTCTTAGATTTGATTGCAAATTTAAAATAGACTCTTCTGCTTGATTCATGTCTTGCTTCACACTGTTTTCTTGCCTCTCCGTTCTTTCCATGCAATTTAGTTAATATTAAAATTTCAGTTTTTATTCATATATTAGGAAACTCATATTAAATTGTATAATTTAATTTTATTAATTATGATATTTAGGAATATAGCCAGCTTGTGCAAATACAGCTTCGCCTACTAATGAATCAAGCTCAGCGTCAGATTTTACAGCTTTCAGGAGATGTCTTGCTTGAATTAATTTTTTTTTCTCTCCTTTCACGGAGATTGCTGCAGATTCTAAAACTTCAGAGCATAGATACTCGAAAACGCCACTTAAAAAGTGGCCGCAGCTTTTACTAACTCGGTATTTTGTTTCTCTTAATTTTCTTAAGATTTTTCCAGGAGGAAAAATTTGTTTTTGTCTATTGCCTCCTGCAGTATTTTTGCCTTTTCCTGCTTTAAAATAAGTATTCTTCTTTTCACTTTTATGGGCTTTCTTTTTTTCTTTTTTCTTGCTTAAATTTTGAGTGCTTAATTTAGCTTGAACCATTTTGATTTGCTTATTTTGATTTAATGGCTGTTGAGAGCCATCGTTTAAATTATTTGGAGCTGCTTGGCTGTTTACTAATTGTGTTTGAGGTTGCTGACTCCTCCCCCTCCTTGAGTGAACAAAGCCATTAGAAAAATCCCTATTTTTTGCCCAAAACCCCACCCTCAGTGAGCTAACTTAGAACTTAGATTAATTAGAGTGTTTAACGTGCTTCCCTGGTTCCGCAGGATGATTTAAATAAGCCACTACGGCTCACCCCAGTAGACTCCAACTAGTGAAGTCACCGGGCATTTCAGACGTCACCCTTTTTATCGGGTGGTTTGACCATCCTAAGCAAATGACGGCCAGCGAAGGCCAGGTCACACGGCCTGCGTAGTCTTGCTCAAAAATTGACTCCTGTGCGTTGTGCCACCTATAGGTCTTCCTCCTCGGAAGTGTCAAGCAGAAAATCCCTATGCCACCAATCCCTCCGTGAGCGAACAAAAATTGCTTTAATAAAAACATTTTTATATATAAGTGACAATTATTGCAATGAAATCTCTGACTAATTCTGTTTAATTTTAAACAAATTGCGCTTTAAGACATAAATTTTATAAATTAAATTAATATTTGCTTTCTAATTTTTGCGAATTAAATTTCGAAAAAAAAAAAAATCTATAAAATTTATATATAAATTTTTTTTAAAAAAATAATTAACACCCTCCGTGAGCGAGCGAGATATTTTTGTTCGCTCACGGATGGGGGAGTGAGGATTTATATGAAATATATTATTTTGCAAATTATTTGCTTGTGCAAAATTTGGAGTCACTGGCAATTGAGGGTTCGATGGATAAAAAATTGAAGAATTATTACTGAATGGATTTAGATATGGTTGAGGCTTATGAATAGGAACATTTGGATAATGATTTTTTAATATCCTGATGCAGGTTTCCCTATTCTTTTGATCTTCATCCACAAGCTTAGATAAAAGTTTTGAAAATCTGCATGATCCCGCAACTGCTTTACATATTTCGTCACCTGAATTTAGTAAAATCTCCAAGCAATCCAAAGCTTTTTCCCTATGCTCATAATCTCTTTCCGCAATTCTACACAGAACACTAATTAAATTATTTTCTACAAGTTCCATTATATGAGTATAATTCATCTCAATCGCAAAGCTCCAAATAATTTTTAGCATTTCGCCTTTTACTTCTTGATTATGGGAAGCTAAAGAATCAATTAGAAATGGAGCTATTCCGTGAATCATCATTTTATTGCGAAACTCAGGACCTTGGCTTGCTAATTCGTGGGTTATTTTAGCTATAGGGACTATTATGTCTAATTTATCGTTTCTTAGCAAAGCAATAAGTGTCATTAAACTTGAATCAGCAAGATAAAGGGAAAAAAATTCACTCTTTTTTAATTGCTCTAGCACTTTTATAGTAGGCTGTCTTACTTCTTCATCTTGATTTCATAATTTATTTAAAATAATTCCTGGTAAATTAACATTTTCCATGGCTATTGCAAGAGCTTTATCATTGAATCTATAGAGTAGATCGTTAAGCATTCTAATTGAGTAAATTGTTAGATCTTTTTCTGATGATGTCTCTAGCGTTTTAATAAGGACTGGAATAAGTTTAAGAGCATCATTCTCTTCAATTTCATCAAATGATAAAGTTTGCAAAATTTCTGCAGCATAAGCTTTACCTTCTTCATCAGTGCTTTCGGAGATGTAATCTACAAATGCATTGAAATTCTCTATATATTTGGGGTGATAAGGTAAATCTAAAGCAAGGCTTAAGAATTTCATAGTTATTTTCTGTATCTCCTTTGAATTATGAGTAACTAGATATGTAAAGTGCTCATCAAAAAGTTTATGGAGTAAATCAAAGTCTATTGTCTTGTAATTTTTTATAACTCACCTCTTGAAATTGGGGTTTCAATTTAAAGGGATTAAATATTTTTAATAGAAACTTTTATTAAATTTTTATTTAATAAATTTTTTTTAAATTCATAAAAATTAAATTGAACCCAATATGCTTGAAATTTCAATTTATTTTTATGAAGAATTAATTCAAAAATTAATGAAAACTGTTTAAAATAATATTTTAATTGAGTTTTTTCTGTTAAATTAGGCCAAAACTAATTTTTCTATTGAAAAAATTTATCCACTAAAGTACCCAAAAAAAGCAGTTTATCTATATTTGTTCCAGTTTAAAAGAGGGGGAGTAAGAATATGAGTAAGAGCGTGGATGCACTCGTATTTGACTTGAGGGTCATCATTTTTTAAATAATTGAATATTTTGCCAAAGAGATCATCGATTTCTGTGCAATTCTGATTTTTAGCATATTTTCTTAAGGCTTGGGCTTTCTCTATGAGATCTTCGGAAGTCCTTAAAGTTTCATTCAATTCATGTTTCTAAATAAATTTTACATTGTAGTTGTCTTTATACAGCTCATCTGTATTGAGAATATTGATATCTTCTTGCATTTAATGTAATTAATATTTATTAGAAGGATTTTTTCATATTTAAATTTAAAAGTTATAAATTTTAATTTAAAACTGAGAATAATAAAACCAACTACGATTTGATGTATAATTATTTTTAAACTGGCATAAGACCGCTATTAAAGAATTATTTCGAAAAACAAAATCCTAAATAGTCATCAGCCATGTATATGTTTTGCTAATATATATGAAATATCTGATCTATGAGGTATATTGCAAAATTTTCCCATACTGCTTACTACTAATTTATTAGAAGTAAATGAAAATTTCCATTTTTCCCATATAGCAAGGGCATGCTTTTAGTGTCCCCTTACACTTGTCTGCTATGAAAACTGGAGGTTTTACTCGCCAGCTTCAAATAATGAATCAAATCTTCAAGCTGCTGCGAAAGATTAAGGGCAGGGGAACTAAAAGTATACCCAGGCTATATCAGAATATTATCTCCTTTTATTTAAAAAATTAAATTGATGGAAATCAAGTACAACAAAGAAATATGATATGTGATATCTGTTCTTGTCTTAATAGCAGGTGTCAGTTCTACAATGGTTAGTTTATCTCCCAAATTATCAAATAAATATGAATCGCCTATGATCATTATCACATTGACACTCTCAATTATCAACATGCTAATGATAATAAGAATCGCTGTTATAAATCCCGGCACTCTAATAAAAATGACAAATCCACCAGAAGAGCCTGTCCGGATTATAGAAGTTTTCGGAAACACTATTTTACTGAAAACTTGTTCCACTTGTAATATTATAAAACCGCCTAGAGCTCATCACTGTAAGATATGTAATGTCTGTATTGATCGTAGAGACCATCACTGCCATTGGGTTGCAAATTGCATTGGGCGTAACAACCATAGGATGTTTATTTTTTTATTATTTTTTCTTGTTGTCCAGTGTGTATTTACTATTGGAAATTCTATATATATGATAGCATGGATTGTAACTGATACAGGATTATATATTATTGAATCTGTTTTAATTGCTATTGGAGTTTTATGTCTCTGGCATATAGGGGGATTATTAATATACCACACATTTTTAATTTTCACAAATCAGACAACTTATGAGCACAAAAAAACAGTTTTTCCATCAGGAAATCCATTTTATAAAAGCTTTTTTAAAAACTGTACACTCTTTTGGAAAATGGTTCCTGAAGAAAATATAAAAGAACAAAAACCAGAATCCCCTGCAGGCGAAACACAAACAAATAATATTCCTTACTCCCCCCCCCCCCCTCCGTGAGCGAACAAAAAAATTTTGTTCGCTCACGGAGGGGGGTTAATTTTTTTTTTTTAAAAAAAATTTATATATAAATTTTATAAAAAATATTTTTTTTCGAAATTTAAAAAAATCCTAATTTGCAAAAATTGGGAAGCAAATATTAATTTAATTTGCAAAATTTATGTTTTAAAACGCAATTTGTTTAAAATTAAACAGAATTAGCTCTAGATTTCATTATACTAATTATCACTTATATATCAAAATTTTTTTCCATTAAATTTTTTCTATTAAAAAAATTTTTGTTCACTCACGGAGGGTGGGTTTTTGGTCAAAAAATGGCGATTTTTCTAATGGTTTTGTTCGCTCACGGAGGGGGGGGGAGTTAGCTTTCTTATTAAATTTATATTAAATCATAAAAGTTTACTTAATATTCTATTTAAGATTTTGAAATCTCGACTCCAAATCTGACATATTGTTCTCTTTCTGAGGTTCTGCTTTTACTACTGGGACTCCGCCTTCTAGCTGATCTGAGATCTCTACACCCAATTCAGACAAAACTTGTCCCACAACTTGATCAGAAGCTTCAAGGTCTCCTTCCGCATCTAAAGCCATGTCTACAGCTTCTCCCATCATTTCTTCAGTCATGCCCATTCTTTCGTTCTCTCTCATGAATTCTTGCATGATTTTATTCAGTTTTTCGTTGTTGATTGACTTATTGAAGGCTTTCATGCTTTTTGTGACGTTCATTAAAGCCTGACTCATGCTATGAGTTGATTTTACAGTCTGCAACTGCAGGAGGACCCCTTGGAGTTTGGATCTCATTTCGTAAAACTTAGTGACGTAACGACGGGACCGAACCAAATCTTTTGCGAGGGTTTTGCATGCGTTGATTTGGCCATTGCGAGCTAGGGTTTTTATTTCCATTTGAATTTTCTTCTCTTCGTTTTGAAGGTGGACTCTTTCGCGGTCCAGTTCACGAATTGCACGATTTATAAGTCTCTTGGACTCTCTCATCTGCTCTTCAGGAGTAGGTGCTTTGTTTCCCATATTTATTTCAACTTTATTAAGATACTTGAATTAAATTTATAGACAGCCTATTCTAAGGAAGTGCTACTATAAATTAGCTTACTGTTTGTGTGATAGATATATTTGGAGGCTAACTCCCCCCTCCGTAAGTGAACAAAACCATTAGAAAAATCGCTATTTTTTGCCCAAAAACCCACCCTCCGTGAGTGAACAAAAATTATTTTAATAGAAAAATTTTTTATGGAAAAAAAATTTTATATATAAATGATAATTAGTATAATGAAATATAGAGCTAATTCTGTTTAATTTTAAACGAATTGCTTTTAAAACATAAATTTTGCAAATTGAATTAATATTTGCTTTCCAATTTTTGCGAATTAGGATTTTTTTAAATTTCAAAAAAAAATATAGTAATTGCCCGAGGATGGCGCTATCTTGCGCCATCCTCGGGCAACTACTATATTTTTTATAAAACTTATTTATAAATTTTTTAAAAAAAAAATTAACCCCCCTCCGTGAGTGAACAAAAATTTTTTGTTCACTCACGGAGGGGGGGAAGTAAGTAATTATAATTTTTTTTGATTTTTATTTAATTTAGATTTTATGAAACGTAACGTAATAATAGTGTATATAAATTCTGCTATTTTTTAAAATTTTTGGAAAGCAACTATTATAGATGAGGCTTTTAGCCAAAACAATGAAAATAATCTTATTTAATATATTGTTTAGATATATTCATAAAAGATAAGTGAGCTATAAAATCATTTAATTGCAAACAGAATTAGCTGATTAAAAGAAATTATTTCCATATCTATTGAAAAAAAAATCAAGATAAAAAGATAAAATGAAGGGATCAACCGTAAATTGTTATTCGTTAATAACTTTTGAATTATTTTGAATTTCGTTTTCTCTTTTTATAACTTATGAGAGCAGCTATTTATTAGATTAGATTATGATGGGTATTTAAAGTCCTTACTTCTGAAGCACCCTGAATTTCTCGACGAACGTTAGATGGGTGGGCCCTCAAAACAATATGAGCTCGGACCAAAACTCTGGTTTCTCGGTAAAGGCATTTTCCCTCCTGATCTTGAAGAATCCATATTTTACCGAGAACCTCTATTTCGAACCCAAATGCCAAAATTGCCCAACTCTGCGTAGCTTAAACCAGATCGTCCCGCTGGGACCCTTTTAAACTAGAGAGATTAGCTCTGAAAACTAAACGTATTTGTGCAGGTTCGGGACAGGCCACAAAAGCCACTTAAGCAGACGAGTTGCCTGCCTCTATCGGATGCCCATTCTGGACCTGGCGTTTCAGTAAAAAGGATTCACAAAACTGCTTCTCAAGCCAGGGCGCAAATCGGCAGAAATTATGTGTTTGGCCTCTTGCTTCAAGGCTAACCCAACCATTGTGCACCTTGCACAAAAAATCACATCTGGATATACATAAGGTAACTCGCCACATGGGTCAGATTGCTCGCCACTGGCCATTTTATTTATATATAGAGCATTATTTATAAATGGTAACAAATTAAAAAATTCTTTACTCCATTTAAAGTGCAAGCAAGTTTTTTGGCTAGCTATAAAATATGAGTTAACTTTTTTCAAAATGCTTTATATTAAATTATATATAATTTTTTTTTCCTAATCTAAATAACGAATAATTGAGAAGAAAAATCTAATTTAATTTATAAAACTTATTTTTTAGAATGAAAACTGTCTAAATTTAATAGAAATCAGCTCCAGATCTCATATTACCAATTATTAATTTTATATTAATTATTTTTATGAAAATACTGTTTCTCGCTCTAAAGAGGGGAGTTCATTTCTCAAAAAAAAATCTCTTCAATGGTTTGATCGCCCTTCAAGGAAGAGTTAGATAGTTTAAGTGGGTGCAGTTCCAAATATTTTATACTTTAGATAGTTTAAGTACATGCCCAATTTAAATTGTATATGTTAAAAAAGCGCACAGCTGCAGGGACTACAAACGGGAAGATTCGTCGAGCTATTTTTCGAAATCCTTGAATTATGTAATACGCTATGATAATAGATGTCTTCAAAACAATCTTCATCGTACGCTTCTTCATTTATACTAGAACCATGCTCCATTGATCGTCTTCCTATTGTTCTTTTTCTTTGAACTTTTCTGGAAAAAGACCCAAAGGTTGCAATACCATCTGATAATTCTGACTTAGGAGTCTCGTCATAATCAATCATATTAATTTTTTATTATTTGTCTGTTTCTAATTCTTATACTTTTCGTCATGGCATTACAACTATACTTTTGCCGACTGATAATTAGTGATGAAAAACGACTGATCTTTTATTCTGCTATGATTTTGATTTCAATATATATTTTTATTCAAAGAACTATACACTCTCTTCATTTAACGGTTAAATAAATTACATACAAAAGCATTCGAACAAAATTTACAAATTATATATAAGCTAAGTTGTGGAAAATGGTATCTAAAGCTTCTATTTGAATTTTTACTTGTTTAGGATTATCTTTCATGTGTGTATTCTGTGAATCCAAAGAATTACCTTTTCTATGAGTTCCTTTATGATATAGCGAAAGGCCTTTTTTATTCAAAGCCAGCTCTAAAATATCTTCCTTCATAGTCCGTGGGCTGCTCATGATTGAGCTCTGCAAATCAATTTCTTTTTTGACAGTTTCAATTAACTTTTTTGGTGTGATAAAAGCTTTAATCATTTTTGGTGTCTCTTTATAAATTTCTTTCTGTCTTTTCTCGATCATCAAAAAGCTTGAAAGGTTAAATTTGAATTTCGGTGCAAGAGATATAGGCTGCTGTCTTTTTATTGAAGATTGATTACTGAGAAATCTTTGTCGTTTTAGTTTTATAGGATTTTCTTCAAAAGAGTCCTTCCCAAAATTGTTTTGGGAATTTCTCGAGAGATTGCGAGAAGCAGATTTTATACTTTTAGGCTCTAGAGGTGGAAGCTCATAGCTGAGCTGTTCTTGAAGCTGATAAGTATTTGATTTTAATTCAGTAGGGGCGTTGCTTTTGATTTCTTCTTCAATTTCTTGCTTTATAATAATTTCTTCTTCGCTGATTTCGTCATCAGATTCGCTTGAAGAACTATCTTGTTGAGGCTCTTCTTCTTTTATGATCTAAATAAAGTTTACGTTTATCCATTCCTCTAATTCTTTTTTTTCGTGAAATTCTGGCTCGAATTTTAATGAAAAAATAGAATTTGTTGGAGATTTGTCGCTTAAAACTGGTGTATTTGTGCTTTCTTTATTGGGTTTTTGCTTATTTGACTCTTTAAAAGCTGCAAAAGATTTTTTCAAGAATTGATTTATATTTTTCTTGTTTTTCTTGCTTTCTAGCATAAGCTGATATTCTAATATACTTCTAGCCACTTTTTCTCCCAATGTAAGTAGGTCTGTTGTAGTAAAACTCTGAACTTCTCTATTATCATTGATAAAGCCATAGTAAGAAGTTTCCAATGTATATGAATTTGCTATCCCAAACTCTTTCCACATGACTCCTCTTGCAGCTTTTTTCTTTGATTTTTCTATTTTAAATCTGGAAGAATAATATCGAAAAATTGGTGTCCTCTCGCTCAATAACTTTGGGATTATTCTAGTCTTAAAATAATTAGAATGATGAATAGGATAGTAAGGACCATATATAAAAGAACCTTTTTTACTGAAATGTCCATGCATATCGATAAACATAAATATTGCCTTATTTTCTGAAATCAAATTTCTTACTAGTGATTTAATATGAAATCCTGTAGGATTCATATTCTCGTCAGGGTTTATATATAGCCGATTCAAATCTTTTCCATCTATAGAAGTTCTTGAATTGCCAATTACAACGCCGTCAGGATTGCACATAGGAATTATTTTAAAAACAAATTTTTTTCGAAGTTGCTTTGCTTCTGGATGTTTGCTCGAAATAAAGCGAATGAATCCTTCCATTACCCATGAGCCTACAGTTTCTGCAGGGTGAACTCTTGCAGTCGCAATAATATATTGTTTTTCAGCTTCAGGAACTGAAGGATCAGTAATCGTAATTATTGGGACATCGATCCTACATAGTGTTTTGCAAAGTGTTTGCACTGAAACATGCTGAATTTGGTACGCTTTTTCGTCTGATACAATAGAATTAAGTATTTTGTCTAATCTACATAGGGTATATGGAATTGCAGTTGCAAACCAAACTTTATCATTAGGGTACTCAAAATGATAAGAAAATGTTAGGATATAATAAGGTCTTTTTGATAAGATAATATCATTAATTTTGCTCAGTTTAAATTTCACGTCATCTCCAACATAATCTCAGTTTTTGCTCAGTCCTAATCTAACTTTTTCTGTGCTGAACCCAACAGGTCTCATATTTGATTGGTACAGGACACTTGACCTCGAAAAATTTACAATATTAAATCTAATTGTCCTAGGACTTTTTATTCCTGACACAGAAAAATAAAATCAATGAAGGTGACCATTAGTATTGGTATCGCATCTCATATATAAATCATATTCATCTTCAGCAATCATAATTGCTCTATCCAGGTTCCCACTTTCAAAAAATGAGTCAAAAATCAACCCTGTTGGATCCTCATTTTTTATTCTTTCAGCTGATGATTTTTGTTTCGTCAGCATGTATGTATTGATATGAGGGTCTGAAAAATCAAACTTATAAGTATCATCAGAACCATCAGAAAGTTCACGATGAAATGAATAAGAATCGCTTGGCCGGTATCCACTATATACCTTTTTGTACCCTTTTTCAGCTTTCTTCCAAGTAGGAAAGTTTAATGGAAAATTGATTTCGATTGGCTGCCTGATATTTTTCGGCCTTCATCCAAGTAGCATATCAGCTTCTAACGAGTATCCTTTAGGCACCAAAGGGTTTGCTTCAGGAATTCCTTCACAGCTTTGGTCTTCAATATTTTTCTCTAACATAAAATTTTGAGTCACTAAATTAAAACTTGCAATTTCATCAAGCAAAATGGTTATGCTAATTATCTAATTTAGACAATGGAACCTGCAATTCAATCATGTATTTTAAGAATCAACGTAAAGCCTTATATAGCAATTGCTGATACCAGACGAAATTTTACCTTATAATGTTGAAACAAAGCTTGACCACTTCAGTCAGGCGATTATTAAATCTGATTCTGAAAGGACCCGTGCGGACCAATTAACGGCTGAAGAACGCAAATTCATTGAGCGTCTCCTTACACGATATTGTAAAGAGCATGAACTTGGATACATACAAGGCATGAATGAAGTTATTGGTCCATTTGTATATATGATGAGAGACGGTATCCCAATTCACAAAGTGTATATACCAATTTGCTATGATTTTAGTATTGCACTCGATATTATTATATAATAAATAGAATAAAGCGACCAGAAAGATTAATTTTGTTTATTGCAAATGGACATAGCTGCTTCGAGAATTTCGTTGGTGTATGCTTGCCTTATCTATTTATTGATAAAAGCTTGAGACCTGTTCAAGGATTATTTTTAATTTTCAAACTGCTCCTAAGATACCATGAGCCTGTAATTTGCAATTTTTTGCAGTCAAAGTGCATAACCCCAGAACTTTTTGCGACTTCTTGATTCCTCACAGGCTTTGCTGGCAAAATAAAAAATTTGGAAGTTTTATATAAGATTTGGGAAGAAAGCATCATTGAAGCTGATCCTTTATTTTTCTGTTTCATTGGGATTGCATTTCTAAAAAAATTCAAGAATTTTATAATGAGTGCTGAGGACGAGAGGCTTGCCTCATCAATTTCCAGAATGTTTGACTCAGAAATAATTGACCCTGGCGAAATAATTGACTCCGCAAGGAAAATGAAGAAAAATATGCCGAATTCTATGCACAGCAAATTGGCAAGCTATGAGCTATATGACTTAGAAACAATCAACTCAACAATACAAAATCTTAAAAAAGAGTGCACGCTGTCAATTCTTTCACGAGAAGCAATGCAGAGGTGTTATCCTGATGTCAATTTTTGTGGATGCACACACAGGGCGTGCTCGTGGTGCACTGCAAGTGAAAATGATGTACTTGTAATGATTTTAGACTGCAGAACTGAGTATGAGCAGAAAGCAGGGGTTTATCCAAATACAGCACTTTTAGACCCAAATGCATATAAAGACCACAATATACTCATGCAAATTCCAGATATGCTGGAAGGAATCAAAGGGGTTTATCATATCTGTCTGCTAGGAAGCAAGTGTTTCAGAACTTCCAATTTTGATTTGTCTGGAAGCTATGACACCAATAACCAAGATGCGGTCCAAAATATGTTAGAAAATTTATTGCAAATCCTTTTTGCAAAAGATTTTCCTTATGTAAGCGTTGTAGAAGGAGGTTTTGAGCGATGTCATGAGATCGCGTTATATAATGACTTGCTGATTACCAATCATTCTCATGATTATTGCTTGGTCTGTTCTCCAAATGGGCCTAAATATACTTCAATAGTTAAAAATAAGTTGTCAAACCTGAAAAGGTCAATGGTTGGAAGAGTTCGAGCGCTTTCTTTGAACTTAAAAGGGATTGGAAAATCAATTTCTCTCCTTGAGCCATCAAAAAAGACAGAAAGAGAAAATATTCCACTAGTGGTAAGTGCAAATACAAAATATTTTTTATGTAAACAATATGACAAGTCAACAGGAGAAAAGTCCCAAGATAAGCCATTTTTCTATAACTAACTATAAAAGCACCAATAATCTATATATTAAAATAGCCACCATCGAAATAGAATAATTTTTCACTGGTGGTTTCAGATTCAGATATCTACCTAGGCCTCGCTCCAAGCTCAGATCCCAAAAAAATAGTGGAACTGATTGGCTGCTTCAAGATTGAGAATTTACTGAAGATGAGCTCTCCAAGAAATATAGAAAATAATATCACTCTTCATTTCAGTAATTTAGATAAGCCTCTCTCATTATTGATGACCTCGAAGTCTCAAATGCAAAGTTGCGTGGAATTTATTTCCAAAAAATACCATAATCTCAAACCAAGTCTTAATAATTAAACCGCCTTTATGAAAATATTACATTAATTAACACCTAATTCGGATTCGGTGTGATTTTGCTCGCTTTTTCTTCTTGATTCTTTCCATTTCTATCATAGCGTTGTATCTAGCTCAAGCGATGTCAGCTTTTTCTTCTTTTGTCTTCATTGTCATTCTCTGCATGTTGGCTGCAGGAATAAAGTTTAGGGTTAAATCGTCTTGAATTTTTATATCTTCAATAGCTTGTGGATGGATCAACGGTTTTTGTTTTTTCTTTTCTTCAGCTACTTTGATTTGTATTAGTTTCTTACGGCTCTCAGTCATAGATCCAAAAATTTCTTTGGCTTCTTTTTTATAGTCAAAACTTTTAACTTCCATATCTACAAGTGCGTGGTTCATATCAGCTAGAAGGTCATCAATATTATTTGCGTTGATTGGACCGATAGGACTTTCAACAATTTCTTTAAGCTCAAGTTTGGGATTTGGGGTACGAAAAGATTTTATAGTAGACCTTGATAAGTCTTTTTGTGAGTAATCAGTCGGAAAGGAGTGTATTGACCTTTCAAATGATTTTTGTGATTTCATAATATCATTTTTTAGTTGGATTTTCTGAGACAAAATGAGAAGGCAGTAGACTTGGTAGCACCTTTCACAGACTTTTACTGATTGATAGTATTTAAATGGGAACTTCATAGCAAAATTTCTTAGTTGCAATTTCTCAACATCTGGGCCTCGGTTTGATAAAGGATGGAAAAGCTCAGAAAAATCAATTCCTTTTAAACCTTTAGGGTTCAGAGAAATATTAGACCGCTGCAATAATTGCCTGCCTAAGATCAAATATTTATAAGGAACTACTCGCTTTTCTGTTTTGCATCTCATTTTGTCCATTTCTTTTATCATATAATCAACTGCTATTCCAAGTTTGATGCTTGTTGTTTCTTTGTCTCCTTCGCTGCTATAAGCTTTTTTAACTTTTCGTAGCAGTTCATCATAGTCTATTTCTTCTTTGTAATTGATATTTCCCATTGGATATTTTTTTTGTCTCTATTTTTAATAGAAAATTCTGGAAGATTTTTATGGCTCTTGATAATTAACTCATTTATTAAAGAACGGCAAAAAAATGCTTATCTAGAATATCTTTATTTATCACTATATAATTGCAAAAATCTCCAGGACAAGCTTTCTTTTGTGAGTCAAATCCATTTAGAGAGCCAAGAGACTCATAAGTGCCTGAAGAGTATAGCATTGCTTGACGATTCCCATAGTTAGAAGAACTGGAATTGGAAATATTTAATCTAGATCCTTGAGGTTTCATTTATAAAAGTTAAACTAATTTTCTACTAATAAAGAACCTTCTCAAGCTCCAAATTTGCCAGACTCCAGAGACCAAAATGACCACAGTTTGGAATATAGTGAACCACAGAATTCTAGAATTCACCTGCTCACTTTCATCCTTAAAAAGTGCTTCTTTTTCTCTGGCATAGTTTTGGCCTTTCACAATTTCTGACAGTCTTTCATTAACTGCAGTCACAATTTCGCCTAAATGTGTGACTTGTTCTTTGCTTGCCAAGTGCTCATGGTGGATTTTTTCCCTTGTGTTGTCCATCCCAAGGTCAAATCTTATCTTTTTGCTAGTCCCGAACCAAGAACTTGACGTCGGCAACAAGCAAATGCGATTTTGTCCGCTGGTCTGAGATGTAAATGAGAATTTCCCAGCTGACCTGACTAATCTTTGATGGATTATGACTCCATTAGGGTCAGTGATTTTTAAGTTCACTCCTTGATCTGGGGCGTCTTCTGGAGGTGGGTCTAGCAGGTTATACTCTCCTAGCACAACAGTTTGGTCAGGGACGTCCAAAATAAAGCATTTCTCGTACCCTTCTGTAAGATAAAAGTGCAAAGCAGAAACACTACTGAGTAGGAAGATATAGAAAAGGCCTACCATTTTATTATTTGTAAACTTCTAGTTAGCTTTTAGATTACTTTGGCTTCGTTGCGGAGTTTATCAAGAAGCTGGTCGACAGATTCAACCTTGATACCTGCTTTTCGTTTGTCTGGAGGCTCGACTGATAAAGTTTGGTAGCCAGGGGTTAGATCGACTCCGAGCTTGTCGGGGGTTAAAGTTTCTAATGGCTTTTTCTTGGCTTTCATAATAGCAGGGATAGCTGTAAATCTTGGAGTATTCAGCCTTAAGTCGCATGTCAAAACAGCTGGAGGAGGAAACTCAATTGTTTGCAAGCCACCATCGATTTCACGTGTTGCTCTAATTATTTGCCCAATTTCGAGTTTATTTAGAAAAGTTGCCTGTGGCCAATTAAGAAGCCCTGCTAACAGCTGCCCGACCTGGTTGCTATCAGAGTCAATTGACTGTTTTCCAAGCAGCACATTACCATTAACATTAAATAGACTTATCGAAAATCTCACTAGCTGGACGAGGGCCTACTCTCTCTGCCTATAGTAGATAAGTTATGCTATGTGCCGAGCGTAAATAAAGATTGTCCATCATAGAAAGTTAAAAGAGTCGAGTATTTTAGTTGGCTCTCTACCAGAATGTAAATCCGATGCACAAGTGTAACTCCTGGTTGGCTATAGTAATTGCCCGAGGATGGCGCAAGATAGCGCTATCCTCGGGCAATTACAATAGGCAACTAGCTGTGTCACTTCTGGGAGATCTCTTTCAATTTGTGGGCTCTATTTCCCTCTGAGGTAAAGCCTTGATCAGGAGTAAAGGATGCGGTGATAACCCGACATTGCGCTTCACCAAACCAAGTAAAGCCTGGCCAGATAGGCATTCCAAATACCTATACTCCCTTGAAGAGGATCAGTTACAGGAGTTAAGGCTTGCCGTGCTATTTTTAAGTATATGGCTGTTTCCAAGCAGCACCAAATTGTAGTTATCTCTAGTAATAAGTGCTCTGAAAAGCTGAGCAATGCTTAATGGGAGAATATCTCTATCAATTCTTTCTTCCACATGGACATGAATTGCTTTGTCTGCTCCCATCGCAAGAGCAGCTCTCAGCACATCAGATGCTTGCTTAGGGCCAATAGTTAAAACTGTGACTTCTGACGCTTTTCCAGCTTCTTTTAGCCTGACTGCTTCTTCAACAGCAATTTCACAAAAAGGATTCATAGCCATCTTCACTGTGCTGAGATCTACACCTGAGTTGTCAGGAAGTAAGCGTACCTTGGCATATGCATCAATGACTCTTTTTGCACCCACAAGAACCTTTACTCCCCCTCAAGGGTTTTTTTTTTTAAGTTTTTATATATAAATTTTATAGAAAAATTTATTTTTTTCGAAAAGTATAAAAATCCCAATCCCCAAAAAAATTGAGAAGTAAAAATTAAATGCAAACTGTTAAATTTTAACAGAATTAGCTAGATATACCGTGAGCACAGTTATAGATCGACCTTAGAACCCCCCTCCCCTCCCCCCACCCCCTGATAATTTCAACTTTATTGAAATCTGCAAATTAAATTTGACTAGTCAAATCCTTAGTGATGGATTTGTCATTTTGAATTAACAATGTCGTTCAAATTGAAACCGTCAGGGGGTGGCGGGGGAGGGGAGGGGGAGTTTCAGGTCGAGCCATACCTGTTTTGGAGGTATATTTCATTATACTAATTATAAAAAAAATTATATTTTAAAAATTTATGTTCCCTCATGAGGTGGATTTTTGGGCAAAAAATAGGGATTGTTCCAATTTTTTTTTTCGCTACAGAGGGAGGAGTTAGCATATTTATGTTATATTTGTTCGAATTTAATAACTTTAAAGCAATTTTGTTATAGCTTAGGCAGGCTTATAGCTTTCTGGAATTAGATTTGTGTGTGCAAACCTTAATTTAACAGGTTTAGGCTTAATGTTTGGCTTTACAAAAGTAATAGAAGCGGATAAGCTTAGTTTTTATTCTCGATAAAGATCCATTGCACTTTATAAGTGTAGCCTAGTCACACAAGATTATAGAATATTTATTTCAATGATCGAGAAATTTTTGATGGATTTTTTATAAAAACTCAGCTTTAAAACATGGAGAAATCTCCTGATTTCCGAATCCGAAATAAATCAACGAACCCGAGGTACGCGTCGCAGTTGTTCAAAAACAACCAGAAGCCTCAACAAATTGTTGCGATGTGGCAGTCCCGAATGAACTCACCGAAAGAAATAGAAAACCAGCATGAATCAGTAATGGAATCCCAAGAGTTCATAGAAATGAAGACTGAGTTGGAAAAAATAAGGGAAATAGATAGAAAACAAAGAGACGTAAAAAAAATTTAGCAAATAGCCCAGGCCAGGGTGCAAATAGGAAAACAAAAAGCCATCATTAAGAAGCTTAAAAGCGAAAATGAGGAGATGAAGCAGAGACCTGAACGAAGACGAATTGACCCTAGGCAGCTTTTAATTATACTGCAAACAAATTTGATGCAAGAGCAATACAGAGAAGAAGCATTTGAGCAAATGCAGCTTGAAATGATGATAAATGAGTCAAATGCTGCTCCAGAAGATTATAATCAAGGCCACTTCCCAGGGCATGAGCATTTAGCTCATATAGGGCTTCCAGAAGAAGAAATTGCAGTATTTTTTATATAGAATATTCCGGTTGTCCGAATAGACTCAGATCATCTATGTTCGATATGCATAGATAGAATAAAGGCAAACCATGATGCAAAAATCCTTGAGCAATGCGAACATAAATTCCACCCTCAATGCATAGATGAGTGATTAAGATCCAATAGTTATTGCCCAATTTGCCTATCTATGGTTATATAAGCCTAATTTATTGCATTATGAATGTTGGCTAATAATTTTAAAAAAATTAATTTTTTTCTATTAAATATTTTATTGAATAAAATTAATTTTTTTAAAATTTTGCGAATTTTATTATTGTTCATTATTATATGATTTACTAAATTGAAGTAAAAAGTAATCTGCAAATATTTTTATCTTTAGCACTCCATATATCAAGTTATTCGGTAGATATAAGCTTTTTTATAGAATTTCGTTTTTTATGTATAGGGGGTAGTCTGCTTCTTTTTGATTCCTCGTTGCTATAATTGTTATTATTATCTATACTTGCAATATTACTTGCTGAAGGTGAATTTCTAGCTTTTGGTCTTTGTGATGTTGGGCTTTTACTGTTTTTTCTCATAATAGATATAGGCCTGTTTTCATTTTCCAGCGCTTTTATCAATCTCTCTATTTTTTCATCCACAATCATTGCTTTTTCCCTCAATGCCTACGTAACCCTTACCAAAGTCTGTGCCTTCAATGCCAAACTTTTGCTCTGAATCTGTTTTTTTAGTGCAGAAGGAGAATAAGACCTTCTCAAGCTCATATCCATAGCATTCGAAGTGGCTGCTGAGCTTTGTGTACAGCTTCTCGATCTTTTATGCGCTTTTTCACTTTTTTTCATGCCTGCAATCTTATCAAAAGTAAACTCTTTCTTAAGCTCGACAATTTCCATCAAGTCAATTATTTCGTTCATCGCTTTTGTGTTTCTCCTTTTCCTTTCTTCTGCCACACTTTTAACTGATGAGGCTACACTTGGATATTCCATCATCATAGTATCAAAAATTTGTTTTTTCATGACAAATAATGAACATTTTTCAGTAGCCATAACTGTGAATTTTCTAGGGATTTTGTCAATTATTTCGATTTCACCGAAATATGACCCTTTTATCATATTTTTGAACACAAAATTGTTAGTGCCATAGACGTAGCCGATTCTTCCTTCTAACGATGACACCTCCCTCAATCTTCATGTCTATTGCAACAAAAATGCAATTTTTTAATATAAAATTTATATAAAAAAAATAATAATTTTCATGTCTCTTGCAACAAATTATATGCATTAAAATGGAGACACGTGCCAGCCTGCCCTCTTGGCGCAGCAATCCAGACCTTATGGCTACGGCGAACTGGGACGGACTCCAAGCCGAGAATCAGATGCAGGCTCAAGAAGTGTGTATCCGGGTAGGTTTTGGCTGCTTTCCTGTGGTTGGAAATGGAGGTGCTCAACAACGTCCTTGGATCCGAGGACCCATGGGTATTCCTCTAACGAGAAACTGGGGGTTTTGGCACAGGCCACAGGGAACAATCTTTTTCCTGTAGCTGTCGAAGGAAGGCACTTTGACACCCAATAGACTCCAAGAGCCTATCCTTGGAATCAAGCTACTCCAATCGCCCGTAGCAGGGCCGCAGAAATCCATAAGCCGCCCACTCAAGACTGAACTCCCAAGGCAAGGAGGAGACAGAAGGTACCGAAAGGGGCACTCGTAAGAGGGATAGATCCTCTGGGCTGGAGCCGAAAAAAGCGATAGAGCCTTCCGTACGGGAGGTCTTTAATGACCGCGTCATCAATATGGCTAGCGCCTGTCTGTAATAATCCTAATCCTCTTGCAACAAATTTTCGATGCGCATCTTAAATTTTTCCGTACTTTTTAGCTAGATAAGTTTAATAAAATGGCGAGCGATGGCAATAGCCGTCCAAATCTCGATGAGAAGGTCATTGACACACCTACAGCAGCGCTGTTTTATGGTTTTTTTGAGAAACTCACCTAGAGAAAAATGCATTAATTGTTTTTATAAAAAATGTTGTGTTGCAGTAGGTATGAAGATTTTTTCGAAAAATTTTTGTTTGCAGTAGACATGAAGATTGAGGGGGGGGGTCATCGTTATAAGAAAATATACTTCATCTGCATAGTCTTTGTACTTATATAAATAATCATGCTCATTTAATTCTAAAAATTTGAGCCACAATGCAATATCTGCTATAAAAGACTCATCTTTGTTTCGAAAAAAATCAATTGTTTTGATTGCGTTGTCGTACATCGCAATTGCCATGCCATATCGAAGTTTTTTCGGTAAATGCAAAATAATATTCGTTTTTTCAGACTCATCCAGAGCTGACAAGTCAGCAACGTCCTTCATTGTTTTCTTGATTTTATCTGCAAGCTCTTTAGGAATCATTGTATCTTTAGCAAATAGGTCGACCTTTAATAGCTTGCCATTTATTTTGGCTGCTTTCTCGTCTAAAGAAGTCATCACAGATGTAATTGTACCAACAATAAATGAATAAAATCCTACCCCAAAAAGCATCCAAATGATACAAATCAACATTTCTGTTTCAGTTAAAGCATGAATATCCCCGAACCCGACTGTAGTTAGAACGGTTATAGCTCAATAAAGAGCAGTCAAATACACTCTTCCTCTTCCTGAATTATGCAAATCATACCTCACTATCCAAGTATCAGGACCAAAATCATCAAGCTTTGCTGAGTATATTCATATACAGGCTATAAAATGCGCTATAATCCCAATAATAATTAGTCCACTAACAAGCCTTGATATCCCATGATGAGTCTTCAAAAGATTTTCTAATGTTTCAGATTGAGTAATAAATTTAACTGTAGAGGCTAAAGTCCTTGCTCTCACAATTTTAGTAATCCTACTCAGTCTTAAAAATCTTACAAAAACATTTGATTTATTTCCAGCTAATTCAGAAAATGGTATGACTGAAATAATATCAATTATTAGCATTGATTTGGCGTAGTTATAAAAAATAGCTTTTCTTGAAGTCACTAACTATTACTTTAATCCGTGGATGAATACAAATATTTTGTTAAATTTATAGAAAACAATAATTTTTTCAGTATAAATTTTTGCTGTATAAAAGATTACGATCTATATATAGCTCAAGGAGATCGATTGTTATAATTAGTGATTATAATAGTGAGATCTATAGATAATAAATTTTGGATAGTTTGCATATTATACTTTATTGTCCCCTTTTTTAACTTTCCATAGGGTTAATTCTTTAGTCACAATCGATTATAAATTTATGTTGTTGGCAAATATCTTTGAAATTCCAGACAAAAGTGATTTTCCTTGTCAAATCTATTTTTCATGGCAAAAAAATTGAAAACATTTAAAATAACTCAAAAACTCAAGGGCATCTCTAGCTCTCTCCACCTTTAAATTGGAACAAAAAATCCTCTTCCAATTTAAATGGGATTAAATTGTTATTAAAAAACAAATTTTATATAAAAATTTTCTCTTCATATAAATTATTAAATAATTCTACTTAAATTTTCCTCAAATTAATTTACCTATAAATTTTTCCTATTGAAAAAAATTTTCTTCAATTTAAATAATTTTTACCAATATTTGTTCCAATTAAAGAGGGGAGGAGTAAGTAAAATTAAGCTGAGCCCGCGAACTATACAATATACATTTATAAATTAATCCTCATCAAAATTTTAAAATCAGATTTAAAAAAAACAAACCCTCTCTTTAACAAGAAAAAAACTTGCCTGCAAGCCGTGGGAGAGTAAGACCCCATCTTTATCATAATAAGCAGTATTCAAAATTACAATAATATCAGCAATAAAAATTGCATTTATCGAATAGTCAAGCCATGTCCATACATTAATAGCTTGATCATTTTCAAAAGCCATCGAATAAGGCATCAAAGTAAACGTATAAAGCAGCCCAATTAGCACAATCGGATTCCAGAATTTTTTAAATTTCGAATTAGGGTATATGATTTTTGCTTTAGTTACTGCAACTTCATGCTGAGTATTAACCTTAACTTGATTATTTTCCACAATATTTGATATATTCTTTTTATAAGTCCCTTCCACTCCAAAAAGACATGCACTAGTCCCATAAGTTTTTATATCTTCAATCATTTTCAGTCACAATAAGACTCCTCTTACCCTAATAACAGCCCTTTGTAATTTTTTAGCTAAATCGATTTTCATAACTGGCCTGGACAGAATATGGTTTCTTCATCTTTCTGTAAGAGTGCTGTCAGCTATAGAAATTTCCCATAGATGGCGCTGTTTGCCCTTGATTTGCCCATGAGAAAAAATTTTTTGGTTTGACCAAACCATATGGGGCTGGTCGAACCAAAAAATTTCCCCAGTGGGCAAATCAAGGGCAAACAGCGCCATCTATGGGAAATTTCTATAGGTCATCAAATGAAAAAGAGTTAAAAGTGGGGTCCTGGTTTGATTTTAAGCTTGTTTCGTGTGTAATGAATGGCACAAGCTCTGTAGCTGTCGATATCGTGATTTCTGGGATTATTAAGTTCTTTTTCTTACCCATATATTATTAAAAAAAGTGTTAATCCTATTTAGTTTCTTCCTTTTTCTGGATTTCTTCAAAGATTTTCTTCAATTTTTCTTGGTCTATCTGTTCTTTTGTCATTCTTCCTGGCATCTCATCAAATGCAGTAGCTTGGTAGAGTTGGTGCATTGGGAGACCGAGCTTGGCTTTCATCTTTCTGGCGTGTAGTTTTTGTTTTAAGTATGCTTTTTTGTCATTAGGTCTTGCATTTCTTTGGTTTGCAAGGTTAGGATCAGTTGCAATAGTCCCAGCCGCAAGTTTCTTCAAGTTTTCGATGTTTTCTTCACATTCCTTCATTCTTGGATGGTTTTCCGGTAGAATTGCTTTAAAAATATCAAGGGCTCTAGTTTCCCACAGCTTAGAAGCTTCATAATCTTTCATGAACTTATACTCAGTTGCCAAAATCTGTGAGGATTCTGCAACCCTTAAGTTTTTTTCTCCATAAAGTGCTAAACACATTTCCATGACATGAGACAAAACTCCTATAGAAGTATCATGAAGTCCAAGCTCTCTATACATAACTCCAATGCTAAGCAAAGCTGGTATAGCTTCTGGGCTCATTTCTCCACTGTTTACAAAGAAAATCTGCAAAGCATGCAACATATGTTTCATAGCGCGCTTATACTTACTGATACCTTGATAAAGATACCCGAAATTCATGTAGCTTTGGCCAACCATAAGATGGTCATTCCCGAGAATTCTTTCCATAATCAATATTGCTTTGTGCTGGTAGTTTATTGCTTGGTGCAAATCTCCTTGTGAAAGATAAATTTGGCTTAGTTTCTGGTAAACAAAACTGATATCATGATGAAGTGGCCCTGAAACCTGCTCTTGGATACCTGCGCTCTGTATTAGCATTTCGGCCGCCATGTCAATATTCTGCTCGTTAAGGGATTTCATGGCGTTTTCATAAAGCCATCGGCTTTCCATGCTTTTCCATTCTATTGATTTTACACGAATGTTGAGGCTTGCAACGCTTTCAGAGGTAAAAGGTGAATCAAAAGATACTGAGTGGTTCAGCTGGATGCCTGTTTGTAAACAAACTTCTCTTAAAAAGGCAATTCTAAGCCCTGGAGAGCTTGCTGCTTCCCAGAACTCAATCCTATTAGGCAGATTCAAGCCAAAGTGCTTGTCAGCTCTAGCCTTTATTTGTCCCCACAAGATTTCTGGGGTAATCTGTAAGGCTTCTGGCCTTTCAAACTCAATAAGGTTGGCTTTGACTTCTGACTGCGCCTTTTTGCTTTTCTTATTTCTCCTTTTTTTCCCTGATTTTGACTCTTGGGTAGCTGACAAATTGTTCATTAAACAGTTTAATAGGTGGGCAATAGTTTCTGCAAGATAAAGGTCTGATGTGTTTCTTAAGTGCTCATTAATAACTCTTTTGGCACTTCTTGCCACTGCAAGTCTTTCACACATAATTTTCACGTGTTTGTGCTCTGGCTCTGCTATTAAAGTGCTGATTTTTCCTAAATATCTAGCATTGACTCCAAACCTGTGCAGCACTTCAATAAAGCTGTTCCCTACTCTTGTCCAGCTTCCATCATCATTGCAAATTAACTTTGCAACCAATGGCAGCTGCTTTTCTCTCAAAAATGTGCTGATTTCAAGCACTTTTTGTTCGCTTTCTTCTTGTCCTTCAGCAAGTTTTGCAGACGTGAACACATTTGGATTGAATTCCAGCTTTGGTGCTGCTTTGACTATTTCTTGTAGTTCTTCAATGGTCAACTTGCTTTCTTCTGTATTTTCTTCCTTCTTTTTCTTAATGGCTTCTTCAGCTTTGTTTTCGATAAACTCGTTAGTCTTGATCTGCTGGAATTGCTCTACTAATTCAGGCCTCAATAAACAAAGGGCGTATTCTTCTCCTAAAAAGTTTGCGTCTCGTGGGGTAAGTCGTAGGGTTTCCAAGAAATATTTTCTTTGATCAGATCCTCTGATCCCTTTGGAATCTACAGCTCCCCAAATTTCGTGCTTGTTTCCTTCGTAGTCTAGGACGACTGATTTGGAAAGGCAGAGTTTTTCACAGATTTGCTTCATGATTTCGTGGAATTCTGGGTCTGTATGGATGGTTTTACCATCGTCAATGCTGCCGTATTGAGCACTGGTTTCTGGAGTTCTGTCCAAAATACCTGGAATGATGCTTTGACACAAAACTCTATAGCCCCTGTAATCTACAAATGCACTTGCAATGCAGTGCAGGCCAGGGATTTCAGCATTGCATAAGAATTTTATGGCTCTTAGGTCGTGGTTTGCAGAAATCAAGGTGTAACAAGCATCTGGGCCTTGATGTTGGACGTACTCTGAGTCGTCTATGAAGCTGAAAAAAATATGGTTAAATATGAAAAGCTGCTGCTTTAGAGGATCCATTGGGTTTAATGGCTTCAAGCCACCAGCAATTATTGTTTTTGCACCTTTTACGGCTACTTCTAAAAAGTCTGAGTAGACTTTGGCTAAAGCTTTATCTTTTTGTATCCTCTGTAAAGGAGACTCTGCAGGAAGGTCTCTTATCATTTGGAACTCTTCGTTCCAGTCTCTTATACTTTCTACGTCAAACTCTGTTTCTCTTTGAGGTTCTGGCTTGACTTGGACAATCCATTCTGGAGTTGGCAAGCTTGTTTTTATTTCTTTGTAGTTTTCTGATTCTGCAGCTTTTACTAATAGCAATTGCCAGTCATCTTTAAATTTCTTATCCCCTAGAAAAATAAATATAAGATAATAAATCCCATTTACCCCAAAATAAAAATAAAATTTATCAAGTATACTCACTGTTTTCAATAATTCCACCAATGTTTTCCCTGCAATTTTTTTATCTGATATTTCAGGTCTAAATATGATGCTCCCATTATCACTTGTGGTAGCATTCACATAAAATCCGACAACTGAGCAAGTAATGTAATAAGTTTCCCCTTCCAGTGTCTGGACCACAAGATAAGCCAAATCTCCACAAAGTCTTCTTTTTGGTGAAGGAGTCCTTAATTCATAAAAATTAATCGCGCCCACACACTTTGGCAATTCTGTTGAGATTTCCTCTATATCAGTCTCATATATAGGCAGCTGTGATGGAGGAGAAAGCAGCTTGTTAGGCACACAAAGCAGTTCTTGTTGGTCTAATAAAGGTAAAGAACTATCTGGAGCTGTAGAAAGGGTCTTGGTTTCTTCTTTTTCCTGCACAAAAATGTTTGATTTCGGGGGAGATGGGTTCGCTATTGTGTCTTTTATCCTTTTAATGTGTGTCTTTATGGCCTTTTCGTTATATGGGTCCAGCACAATGCGGACTGTGGAGCCTGACTGAAGTCCTTGCTCAGCGAGCTCGACATAATCGCTTAGTGTGTGTCCTGAGGATTCAAAATGGTAATTTGTAAAGTAAGAAGTGGGTGCGTAGTCAGCCAAACATGTCTTCAGTTCAATCAGAAAATCTGCTGGAGTCAGCCGAATGTTGTGCTTTTGCTCTTCTGGGTCAATAAGTGTAATTTGAATGATATTGACCTCCTCGCTGCCTTCCATTTTATTACTATGATTTGTGGTGAAATGGCATACGTGATCAGTGGCAGAGAAAAGAACTCCACTAAATTATGATGATTTTAAGTAAAATTAAAATAAAATACCACATAAACGATTTTACCTTATTTTTTTGCAATTTCGTGGATTTTTGATGAATAAGGGCATTTTCTTTTTAGATATATAAAAGAGACAGCCTTTGGATTAATATAAGATTTAGATTCCTCTAATACAAAAAAATTTATTATATAAAAATCAGACAGAAGATTATTCGGTATTATAATTTCTAGACGTGCATCAATATTATATTAAAGATGATGAGAAGCCTGCTACCGACGAATGCATTGATTTCGACACAATCCCTTTTTTCTCAAGTATCTTCAGTTGCTCTTTCAGCTTATTTGTGAGCTCCTTGGTTTCCAATAAAAGTTTTTTAAGCTCTTCTTGGCGCTCTTTTTTATTTACTTTTGCAGAAGGCTGCTGAGTAGACTTCATTAGATTTTCACTTACTGATGGCTGGGTAGTTATAGCAGCTGCTTGGGGTTGCATGTTAATGGCAGGTTTTTGCTTTCTTTTCAGCCTTCTCCACTCTCTTAGAAAGTTATCAAGAGTGATTTCTTCAACAAATTGGTCGTTATGATAAATATGACATTTGGTTGTCCCATCTTCTTTTTTTATTGCTCTATATATTGTTGGTAAACCCATGGACTGGGCAATTTCATTTGCCTCACCCATTTTGTGCAGACTTTCGTATTCAAATTCTCGTTTGCATTTATCAACAGTTAAGGCTAGTTCTTTTTCTGCTTCTTTTTGTTTGGACTTTGTTTCTTGAAGGTAGTTTTTCTTAAAAATAACCCTGTCTGGTTTAGTTTGAGAAAGCTTGGATCCTTCGTAAGCACTGACAGGTCTGAATGATTTGGCACTGGAGCCATGTGATCTTATAGCCCCAGAAACAGGTCTTTTTAAAGATCGATCGCTTTTTTGCTTACTCCCCTCTGTAAGATAGGAACCCTTATCTCTTTCTAAGTGGATTATTTTTTGAATTATAAAGTTAAAATTAATTTATTTTATAAATTTATGTTTTAGAGTGCAAGTTGTTTAAAATTGAATAAAATCAGTATATAATTATCATAAATTTTATTTTACAAAAGTCTCTCCCACAGAATTTTTTTCCCTAGGATTTTCTAATGGTTTTGCTCGTCCACGGAGTGGGAGTTAAGTTTCTTTGCGAGTTTTGGCTGAGTAGCTTGTAGTAGCTTTTCAGCTTCTCTTCTTAATTGATCAGGGTTGTTATCTTGAGAATGATGAGAAGTGTCTTCTTCCTCTTCTTTTACTTCGTTGATAATTTTGGAATATATTTCACTTATCCTCAAGATCCCGTTCTTAGAGATGCCATTATCTCTGAATAAAACTATTCTCCAGCCATTTAATTCAACTAAATCCAATATACTATTTCAAATTTTAAAATTTTTGCCTAGACTTATTAAATTTTATCAATTCAATCAAGCAGAGCATAAGATTTCATCCTCAGTCAATTCAAGTCCCAATGTGGAAAAGCCATTTCGAAACTTCTCAAGTGTTGAAAACTCACCTAAAGCTGAGACCACTTCAGATTTAGGAATACCTTGAGCTGTCAAATGGTTTGCGATCTTTGAATAGACTTGAAATGGAGGTATTATGAAGACTGCTACTCTTGGGTCAGGGTCATCTCGATGTCTAGAAGCGGTTTGCGGTCTATTCGAAGAAGATGAAGATATTGGCCTTGAATTTGATTCTTTGTGGAACTGATAAGATTCTTGAAGCTTCGTCTCAAATTCATTTGAAGGATCATTGTCCTCTTGGAACTCATCGCTGGAACTGTCCATTATGAAAATTATGAAAGTGAAAGAAACTGCTAGAATTGAAGAATTGAATTATAGAAAACAATTCTCTTGGAAATTATTTAAAATCAGTTTTATATATTTTAGAAATATTAAATCTTTAAAAATATAATGATTTTGTTAGATGTTTAATTCATTTGGTAATCGAAAATTGTTTTCACATGAGATAATAGGCTTGCACATGTCAAAAACAAATTTTTAGATGCAGGCAATTATTATAAGTTTATATATCAATTTTGGCTAGATATTACTCTTAACAAGGATTAAAGCGTTAATCGTTAATTGTATTTATAAGGGAAATCTGGATTAGGTGCCGAGGCCCTAATTTCATTCCATAGTGCCTCAAAGCTTGCTTGACAGTCCGCGCATGGCCATGCACTATACTACTTTTTCTGGACAAAGACTTGCATTTGCTCCAGGAAGTTAGAGAATTTGTGCTATCATGCCACTCGCCGACAGAGTCTCCTTCCAAAAAAATTTAAAATATCGAATTATTTGCGAGCTGACAGCAAAAATGGAAAAATCGGCAACGCGCCTAATATGAGCTGGGTAAGTGTCATTATTGGCAAGAAAATTTTTGGTACTACTGGATAAGCCCTTTCCAACGTTGGCCTGTTTCCCCATTAAAAACCTGCCCTAGGATTAAGCTTCAGCTGATTAGCTCAGCACCACCACTCCACCTGCGTCAATAAAACCTATCCCATATGAATCCAAGAGCCTCCTCTCTTCCCCATGATCCCCTATCTCTGTAAGGCATTGCTTAAAGGATTTTCGAGGTCAATTCAGTTGCCCACCATTTTAATATAAAATACAAGGACTAATACAAAAAATGAAAATTATTTAAATAAAGAAATGATTCCAGACATATGGGCTCTGTCTGAACAAACAGCCTCTCAAGAATCTACTCCCAGCGAGCGAACCATATTTGTGCTAGGAGAAAGAAAGTCAGGGAAATCAACATTAGTAAATAACTTCATATCACAATCATCCAACACTGAAGAGCCAAGACCTACTGTCGCTTTAGAATACTCTTACGCCCGAGCGCCTCTTGGTATAAACTCTACTCGTGATTTAGGATATATTTATGAGCTAGGCGGTGGCCGACTTCTTGCTAATTTAGTATCAGTTCCAATGACAGCAGAAACGCTTTCAGAGCTGATGATCGTAATTGTAATTGACCTCTCACATCCATATAAAGTTATTGATTCCCTTCTTTATTGGCTACAGGTTGTCAGGAACCGAATTAATGAAATCTTATCTCATCTCCCTCCAAAAGAAGCCCAAAAATACCAAAAACGAATTGCAAAAAAATGAAACAAACATGAAGATTCAGCAAGACTGGAACCAATTCCGGTGCCTGTATATGTAGCTGCTACGAAGTATGATGTGTTTTGTGACCAGGAAAGTGAGAATAGGAAATGAATGGCAAGAGCACTGCGATATTTTTGTCATAAAAATGGAATCAGCTTATTTTATTGGTCTGCTAGAGACCAAAAACTAGTAGGCGCGCTTAGGATGGTTCTGTCTTATCATTTATTTGGGTCGCCTATAAGAAAACAAAGCCAAAAAGACCATGCCCAAGCAATTCTTGTATCGTCTGGAGAAGACTCTTTTCAGTCTATTGGGCCACCTCCAAATGTAAGTAAAGGTTCCCATGGAAATCAAGATGAGGAGTGGATGAGAGCAATTCAACAGAGTTTTCCTAAACCTAATCGAAAATAATAAAATAAATATGGGAAACAAAAATAGCTCGATTTATATCAATTTGAAAAACACTAGTTTTTTCGCTGGAGAAGTCATTTCTGGAGAAGTGTGCTTATCATTAATACAGAATGTAAAATGCGACACTTTAGTTTTGGAATTTTTAGGATTTGAAGAGACATTTTGAGAAGAATTTTCAGATAAAGAAGAAAGTAAAGTGGCCATAAGAAAGGGATATGAAGTTATTTGTCATAATTCAATAGTCTTATATCAGTGCCATAATAGGAAGATGAACTATGGAAAGTATTCTTTTCCTTTTGTTATTATGCCACCTGTTAATCTCCCAGGAAGCTTTAGCTATTCTTCAAAGATGACGCAGTCGGCAATTAAATATGTTATATCTGCCACTCTTGACTCAATTCCAGAACCTATTTTAGGGAAGCAAGAAATAAAGCTGATTCAGAACCAGCCATTAATAAAATGGCTTTCGCTCAAGTGAAGTTAGCTCTGCTAACTTTTTTTCACTCAAGCAATTTTATTAATGGGGTTGGGTTTTTACCTCGAGAACTTCTGCACAGCAATAGCGGTTTAACTTTGGGGATAGCCAGAGGAACTGCTCCTCAGTGCACTCAAGACCTTGAATTTTTACCCCTCGACACACCCAAGGAGGTGGACCCTCAGGCGGAACACGCGCAGGAGTCGAGTCGAATAAAGTCGTGGCGACAGCATAGCCCGTCGAAGCCGGAACGCTATGTTTGCACGTTCCCTGGTGAAAAAAGGGATCGATCCGAGGTCCACGCGCCCGACACGTGTACAAATATGGTGGAAGCTCTGGAAACGTCTACCCCGTAGTGGACGTTAAACGTTATAGATAATTAAATTAAGATTAAGATTCAGAACCAGCCAGAAAAGATAATAAAACTTTCATCAGCAACAATATCGCAGCCAATAAGGTGATGCTGTTTTCATCAGGGAAATATTTTTATGAGAGCCAATACTAATAAATCTGCTTATTTGATAGGAGAAAAGCTTGAAATTAACTTAGAAATATATTCAGAAATACGACATAATAATGTCCCCATTTATAGTGAATAATTAATCTCTGACTTGCTGATATTACCCTTTTTGCTTTAGTATCATAATACGCCTGTGTTAAAAAATTATAATTCACTATATTTTGGCATGCATCAGTCGAAACTGTTTTATATAAAACTGTACTATTCAAGAGCGAGAAAAGAGCTACTAAAATGATAAAATATAGAATCATCCAGCATAGGAATATGGCAAATATAGGGCCAAATGCAAAAAGGGAGCCTAAGAGTCTTAAGATTTGTTTTGGATTGGACAAAGGATTTGTTAAACAAGAAATAGATGAGGCGTATTCTACTAGGGGAAATTTAATTAATTGTTCCTATTCAATTGTTTCTACTGTTTACTTGAACTCAATTACTTTGCATCCTAATCCAAACATTGAAATATTTATTGATATATTACCTAAAATAAAACGACAAAAGCATCCAGAGATAAATGATTGGAATCCAATAAAGATGCCAGGTGTTATGCTGCAGCCATCTGCTCCTCAATTAGAATAAGACTTAAATATTAGCTGAGCTTTAAATGTTACTTTTAAGCTCTATTTTGATTAGATTTTTCAAATTGGTTTTGGCAGCTTGTTATTGATATTTAGCTTTATTTTAAAATAATTGTCCTAAAATAATAAATATTTAATAAATTAATTCAAATTATAAAGTATTTGAATCATTTACCCTAGAATATTTTTGAATATCTGCTGTTTTATAAAATTCTTCCCAGTTACTTCCTTCAAAGGTTTGCCAAATAATAGAAGTTGAAGGTGTTTTATCGATACAATATATATTAATTCCATAACCATCAGGGTTTGATCTCGGCCTATAAAAAGATTCAACTCCACAAATTTTACAAAATAAATGCCTAGCTACATTCGTGTTGAATCTATATTCTGTAAGTACATCTTCTCCAGTTAAAATATGCATTGCAGCTTCAGGAACTATGAAATGATGATTCTGCTTCATTACACAAATTGAGCAATCACAACGCCACACGACAAGGTCTGATGGTGCTTCGACTTCAAAAGTTACAGCATGGCAATGGCAGCTTCCTGTATAAACTACCATTTAATTATTGATAATAAGCTATATTTTATAAGCTTATCTTATTAAAGAGCTAATACATTGCTTATTTATCCAAGTGCTGTTTAATATAAATGACAAATAAATCTTCTTCAAGTCTGGATTTATTCAAGCTTATAAGGAATTCTAATGCCCAAGCAGCAAATTCTAGTAGATTGCATGATAAAAATAGTTCTGATAACAGTGAATCTGAAGCAGAGTCTGATGAATGAAAAAAGCTCAAAAAAACTTCAAAGCTGAAAATACTTGCCGCAGGGTTCCTCAAATGTGCGTTTTCGGCCCAAAGCACAAAATCAATAGAATCTCTCAAATCAAATCCAAACAAGTTCAAAAACTCTCTTCAGCACCCAGAAAGTTTTCAAATCATGAAAAGCCTTTATAAGCTCAGTAGCATCACATCGAAACATGAGCAGGAGAAAGACCATACCCTCAACCCTGGATTTATAGACATGGTCTCTAAAACAATGATAAAGTCCAGAAACAAGCGAAGCATGGCAAGAACTTCTCAAGAAGAAGACGATAAAGAGTTAGAAAAAGAAAGACTTAAAATTCTCCAAATAATAATTGAAGGAAACCACACTCCAGCAAATAAATATTTACTGAAAGATGATAAAAAAAATGTTGACCCAAAAAAATCAGCCTTTGCAAAGAAAAAAATTATCGCTCAGCCATTAAAGCAAAGTTTGTCAGTCCAAAAAATCCCAAAGCTTCTGCTTCCATTAGAGCTCGTAAACCCGAACCCTTTTAAAGAAGTTTCTTCCAGAGAGCTTAATAAAAGTGCAAGTCCAAGGTCCTTTATAATATCTCAAAGGCTTTACCCAAAGGAGAGACATACTACACATAAAGAAATGAACCATTCTCACATCGAGCCAATGAAAAGACACTGTTCTCCTTATTTAACAAGGTTGATTTAACACATTATTAAATTGTTTACATATAAGCTAATAGCTTTCGGTTTCTTTGACTTTCTTTGTAGATCCACTATCAAATCAAACGTCTTCAATCTTAAAAAGCTTCGCAGTCATCCCATACCCTAAATTAACAATTTTGTTCGGCTTCACAAGTGGGCAGCCATGAAAGTCCACAATTTCTCCGTTATTCTCACTACTCTCAAACCAAGTATCTCTATGAAAAATTGCTTGTTCAATTATAGAAAGAGTCGGAGAGTAGCTATTCAAGTCTTCCCCACAAATAATGTAATGGCAAACATGACCATCTTGAGGGTATTGTTTTATGCAATAATTCACGGCTTCTTTTAAAACTTTGCTTTTTTTGATTTTCCCTGTTTTATCTTTGTAGATACTTTCAAGCTTGCTCATTAAGTGGCTGATAAGATTATCTATTTTAATCGCCATAAAAACAGATAACTTGCACATCACTTTTAAGTTTTCTCCAAAGCATGATGACAAAGGACGCCTATAGACTTCTCTTCAAGAAATTGCGTCATTTAAATAGTTTAAATAGCTTGCATTGGCACACTTCATGGATTCAGCTTGGTTTCGCAAGGTATCGAGCTCATTAGCTTTTTCATACATTTCTTTGATATATTTTGGGAGAGTTTCGTATTCTTTTTTGGCGTCGTAATAGTAGTCTCGATAAGGGAAAAAGGTATTGTGGATGCACATATTGTATTTGTCAGCAATATAATAGACTAAGGGAGATCTTGGAGGAGTAGGGTTAAAATAGCTTATATTTCCAGGCTTGGTTATTGTTGATTTCAAAATGCTGCTTAATGTTGCGGGGCTGTCTATGATTATTTCTGGTAGGTAATTTCTCAGTCATTTCTTCTCTTCGTTTGCTTTTGCGTTGTTCTCGCTTCACATTTTGTCTTTTAGTCGATAAAATTGGGTTGCTATTCCTTGAGCTTTATTTGATCATTTGCTTTGGTCTTTTTCTTTATTTTCTCATCTTTTTCATAAGTTTAGAGAACTGTGGTTGATGTCTGAGGTAAGTTGGAGTTTTTCATTTGCGAAGCAATATTTTCCATTTAGTCTGAGGACAAAGGGCTTTTTCATTGCTGCATTTTTCTTGACTGATTTATTCCATAGATGCTTGAGCTGAGACTCAGAGGTTCACATGTCTTCAAAGTTTATTGCTAAAACCTCTTGGCAATATTAAGCTCATTTAATTACTAACTCCCCCCCCCCCTCCGTGAGTGAACAAAAAAATTTTGTTCACTCACGGGAGGGGTTAATTTTTTTTTTTTAAAAAAATTTATATATAAATTTTCTAAAAAATATTTTTTTTCGAAATTTAAAAAAATCCTAATTCGCAAAAATTGGAAAGCAAATATTAATTTAATATATAAAATTTATGTTTTAAAAAGCAATTCGTTTTAAAATTAAACAGAATTAGCTCTAGATTTCATTATACTAATTATCATTTATATATCAATTTTTTTTTTTCCATAAAAAATTTTTGTATTAAAAATATTTTTGTTCACTCCGGGAGGGTGGGTTTTTGTGCAAAAAATAGGGATTTTTCTAATGGTTTTGTTCACTCACGGAGGGGGGGGGGGGAGTAAGGGGGCTATTAATTTATTAATTTTATTCTTTTTTTAAATATGGTCTTAATTTATAATTTGTGACTATTAAAAATTATTATTTATTATTTTTTAGAAAAAATTTTATAAAATAAATAAGATCAACAGATAAAGATAGATTTATCTCTCTAAAGCCACACGACTTAGAGATGCATTTTCTTACTCCCCCCCTCCGTGAGTGAACAAAACCATTAGAAAAATCCCTTATTTTTTGCCAAAAACCCCACCATCCTTGGAGTGAACAAAAAAATTTTTTTAGCAGAAAAAATTTTTTTATGGAAAAAAAATTTGTATCTATTAATGATAATTAGTATAATGAAATCTAGAGCTAATTCTGTTTAATTTTACAAATTGCTTTTTAAAACATAAATTTTATAAATTAAATTAAATATTTGCTTTCCAATTTTTGATAAAATTTATATATAATTTTTTAAAAAAAAAAATTAACCCCCCTCCGTGAGTGAACAAAATTTTTTTGTTCACTCACGGAGGGGGGGAGTTAGCAGAAAGCATTATGCACTAATTATCATCATAATTAAAATGGACGGTGTCACATGCACATCCTGCAGAGTGATACTCACTTCCCAAGACGAACAAAGAGAACACTACAAATCCGATTTCCACCAATACAACTTGAAAAGAAAACTAGTTAAGCTTGACCCTGTTTCTCTCGAGATCTTCACTGCAAAAAAAGCAGAAGCTGAAAAAATATCCACAGAAGTTCATTTCCAATGCATTTGCGCATGCTGTCAGAAACAATTCAATACAGCCAAAGCTTATCAGAAGCATATAGAAGCAAAAAGAAAAAGAGAAAGTATGAGTGAGTCTCAGGCCGAATACAACCCTTTGCTGGCTTGCTTATTTTGTGGTGTCTCAAGCTCAAACTTGGACAATAACTTAAAACATATGATGCAAGAGCATGGGTTTTTCATTCCTGACGTTTTATATGTGAACAATGTGGAAGCTATGATGGCTTATTTACAAAAAAAGGTCAGAGAAGGCATGATTTGTCTATACTGCAATAACAAGGGGGTGAATTTTAACAGCCCTCAAGCAGTTCAACAGCATATGAGGGATAAGCAGCACTGCTTTATAAACACAGAGGATGATGAAGAAGAATATGAAGAATTTTATAATTGGGCAAACAGTGATGAAGAAGGAGAAGAGGAAGAAAAAGAGTCTGGAAACACTATGCTGCTGCATAGAAATAGAATCACTGCTGAAATAACTAGCACTGGAGAATTGAGGCTTGAAAATGGGAAAATTCTTGGAACTAAAGAATTTGCAAGATACTATAAGCTATCCTTAATTTATGATCAGAATTCTGGTAGGTATAAGACTTGCTCGCCACTTGCTCCATCTCAGCCTTCACTTTTTATGCTCCAGCATCTTCTTGACCCTCTGCAGGATGCCCGTGGTCAAGTGCTGTGGCAGGATGCTATAAAACAGTACTACAGGCCAAGACCTCAATATCAGCAGCAGCTCAAAGCAGTACTTGCAGAGGAATACAAGTCTTTAGCGATTTGCACATCATGGCCTCAGGCTCCAAAAGACAGAGTTCAACAAGCCAAAGATACGCTAGCAGTCGATCTCAGACAAGGGATGAAAAACAACCACTTAATGAAGCATTTCAGGTCACAAAATCCGCTTTAAATAATAAATTTTGGCTAATCTTTTCTCAATTGCAATTAATATGAAATACATAAAATTTCTATGTCTATGAAACAGAGTCCAAGCAGAAGATACTCAGAAGGCTCAATATTAATTTTGGCTTTACCATGCCACTTAGAGTTGCCACAAGGGGTTGAAAATATTGAATCAGGGATTAAAATTTCAAATTTACTGAGTATACACAAAGTTCTTACTACTTTTGCTTTTGATTGGGAAATCGGGACATTAGAAGGCGAAAAGCCATCAGTAATAAATGATGACAGTTCAGAAGACGCTGTTGATTTCTATCGAAGCTACTTAGAAAGACTAAATTCCCCAACAAACCTCAATGAAATCCGAGGAAACGAGTACTCTGCCATCATCATTCCCAGTTTTCCTGCGATTATTGCAAACTTCAAAGGCGAGCCCCTCATAAACAAATTAGGGAAAATTCTCCGAGAAGTATATCTAGAATGCAAAGGAATGCTTTGTATCGGCCATGGAATTGCCGCAGCTTTTGAAAGTAAAGATGCTAAAGGTAAATGAATTTTTGATGGTTTCAATATTGCAAGTGTCCCACTAATTCAGCAATGAAACGACGAATATTTCCCATTGATCCCTTTCTTAATAGAGGACAAAATCCGCGAACTTGGAGGGAACTTCTGCTCCAGCGAGCCATCTCAGCACCTTATAATAATTGACAGAAAACTAATAAGCTGCCAATGCGAGCTCAGCCTAAATCTAGCATGTACATCTTTAGGATATTTATTAAGAGATTCAATTGACTAAATTTCATAATTAAATTGCAGTCCACATATAATAAATAGGGAAAATGCTTTACGCAGGCAGGTTTGTCACTCGTAACCTGGTTAGACCATTCACTACAGCCCCATTCGTAGAACGCACAAAGGCTCTCTTAGCTGAGGCAGCACTGCAAGCCAAAAAGACCGAAGAAGTATCCAAAGCTTGGCTATTGAAAGAAAATGATGAAAAATTGCCGAAAGCTGGAGTTTACAAGCATCCTTACTGCACTGAGGAGTTCCCAATTTCGATTCACGGCGACTACTTATATAGAATTATCCTAAAGACTGTAGGCCCTGAGCCAGTTTCTCCTCACTTCGATAGCATTGAGGAGTTTGGAAAATGGTTCAACTATTTCTTCCTCTTTCTCGGTTTTTGCATTGTAATGAGATCTCACCAAAACCATGCATTTGGCTTCGTTGTCTTTAACATGATGTTCGGTTTAGAAATATGGCTTTATACACTAGCTATTTATTTCATGAGAGGAACTGCAATGATTGTTCCAAACCCATGGAAACATATATGGATGGAATATAACATGAACCAAATGATCTCTGCTACCTGGGAAAACGAAGAAAACGGAGCTTTCGAGAAGAAGAAAGAATCTGTGAGCCAAGCTGATTATATGAGAATCCACAACGAATATATCGGCACCAAGACATTTTTGTTAGAAAAACACTTACAAACTAGCAGACTTCTGCTTAAGAAGCATACTTATGAAAGAACTATTGCAGCCTTGAGGGCAGCAGATAGATTTGAAAAGGATAATGCTGAAAAACTCCTTCGAGACATGTTAGACTCAGCTGTGGTGAAAATGGAAAAAGATTTAGAAGCTGACAAAGGTGAAATTAAGAAACAGGCTTTCCAAGCAGCATTACAAGGAATCAGACAAGGAAAAATGAGCTATGAAGGTGATCCTCTATTGCCAAGAGTTTTGAAATACGTTGATGAATTCAAGGCCAAGGCTGAAAAGTTCTCCCCTGAGGTTGTAGCTGAACTTGTAGGATTAAAGGCAGACCAAAAAGAAGTGCTGAAAAGCAACGATAAGAAAGCAGAAGAGTACTTTTTGAAAACTCTGCCACCTATTAAACATCCAAAAGTGCTAGAAAGTAGCAAATTCAAGTCTTTGAGTGCTTAGTTTCTTAAACTTAACTCAAAATTATCTTAATTATATGTGTCGAATTAGAGAAGCTTACCTCTTAAAAAAATGACTAATAATAATTCTTCAGGGTAGATTTCTATCCTTAATGGTGTTAAAATTATTATACAGTTAATTAAAGATGAGCACAAGTTCAAGATATACTAAGAAAATTCAACGTAATTATAATTTAGCGAGAAGAGTTCATATTAAGTTAAGCTTAATAAAGAAAAATTCGCCAGAAAGAAATTGTGATCTGCCAAGGCCGTTTGAATCCATAACAGAAAGAAATTGCAGCAATTCCAAAAATTGAGAGAAATCATCAAACCCATTTAAAGTGATTACAAATACAGCCAAGCCGAGATACTCAAGTCCAGAATTTTACAGGCAAAGTGAAGATAGATGCAGGCCTATTGAGTGTTTGCAAAAGAAGAGTTTACAAATTAATTTTGAAATTAACGAAACTAATAAGGGGAGAGCATCACCTTTAAAGCTATCACATTGTAGATGTAATAGCGAAACTGCTTTAGAAAAGGAAAATAAAAGACTGTACAGAAAAAATCTCCAAAGGCTATCCCAAAACTATAGAATTAATAAAGATTCACTTCCAGGTCATTTTTCGAAACTTTTGACAAGAAATATTTCAAATTTGGTTGTAAGGACTGATCACCGTTGTGTTGCGTAATATATCGAAGCAAAAAAATCAATTCTAAATATAGAATTGCTTAATTAATATAGATTTGTAAACTTAAAATAGAATAGAATTGCAATAATCATATTTTCATAGCATCAAAAATTTTTGGTTCAAAATTCTTATAATATTAAATTAAAAAATATAGATTAAACAGAAGATTCACTTTAGTATTCCTTTTCTTATGTTTAAAATAAATTAAGAGTCTATTTTCCCATATCAGATATTTTTAAGATTCATCATTTAATATTGATAATTATTAATTGCATAATTCGGTAATATTTATATGGACATTAAGCGAATTTACATGTTAAATCAATTGTTTTAACAGCTTCTTGATACTTTTCCCAATCATGTAAGTTAAAATTTCCTACAATCGCATGCATAGGATTTCGGAAAATATAAAAGTCCGCCACTAGCAGCGCACCTTTATAAGAAATATGGTTCAAACAAATAATGAATGTATCCAATTTTTCTAGACAATCTCCACTTTCCCTAAGTAAATTCATTCCTCTATCCTCAATGTAATTTCCTGACAAGTCCAAATATTCCAGACTTGGTAGGTGCCTCAAACATGGAGCAAGGTTTCTGACAATTTTATGTCCCAGATAAGAATTAACAATGGATAAGCTGATGATATTTTGAGGGATAGAAGAGACCATAATTGCAAATGATTTCAAAGACTGTGGATTCATCATGATCGATAAGCTCTTGTTATCATAACTCACTTCATTTTTTGCTTGGGAATTATCTTCGATAGTCAGCAGTTTCACACGAGTACCCTGATGACTTTCCTGGTTTAAAGAATAAGCATAAGGCGAATATAATGAATCCATTTTATAAAATTCGCAATCAAAATATTCGCAGGATAATAATTGCTTTCCACTTTGCATATTTTTATTATTGGCAAAAAAAGATAAAAGATAAATGCATATTTTCATTCTTTTTGTTTTAATGCTATAATTTTTATAAAATAAGTTAATCTAGCTATAGAGTTGCTTTAATAATCTATTTCAAAATATTTTTCTGGTGATAATATGACGCGTAAGCCTTTTTTTATTTTTATTCGGTTTTTTGATTTGATGCTAATTTAACTGTTTATCTTAACTCCTTTAATTGGAACTAATAATGGCAAATTTTTTATTTTTTGATGAACCCTTTATAATGGAACAAAATTTTAATTTTTCAATGAATAATAATTTTTATAAAAATAGCTTTGATAAATTTTAATCGAGGGATTTGCAAGCAGAATATTTTTAAATAGCCTTGGATCGATCAATTTTATTAATGAATTCTTCAGAAAATATTCAATTAATGCATCAATTTTCCGAAAATAAATTTTATAATAATTGTTTTAAAATTAGCCATCTTTAAGTTTAAATCGAAACAGAGTTTTTGATTTACTTTAAAAGGGGGTAAGTATTTAAAAATAGATAATAGCAGAATAAAAGTTTGAAAGTATACTGGCACATAAAACTAGATTTATAGGATTGAGTTTCATACAAGTAAATGATAGAGCTCAAGTTTATGGTAATAATTTTGAAGATAAGAAGTAAGATAGCACAATTAACTTAATTATTTAAAGCATACTTTTTTAGACATAAGCTATTTTCTGAGCTTTATTTGCTTTTGCAAATTATGGTTTTAAAATTAATTATTAAAATATGGAAATTTAAGTTTTAATCGGAATCCTTCCCCAAATAGCATTTTTATGTATCTAGTATCCTTCTGTAATCAAGAATATCTTTTTTAAAATTTTATCTTTAATTATTTAGGATTAGAAAAGCTTTTTTTAATATAATTTGTATATTGGTATTTTTATTAGATACTAGCGAAATTATTTACTCGCCCTTTTAATTGAAACAAACATCGATAAGTTTTATATAAATTAAATTGGATCAAACATAATTTTTATATTTGAGAATAATAAATTATATGAAAATTGCTTTAATGAGGGGCTAATTATAAAATTAGTTATATTTGTACTATATAAGTGCAAGTAAAATTATTATATTATTTAAACAAACTTGACATTGGCACCTATTAAGAGCAAACCAAAAATCTTACTTCTTCAAAGAGGGGTAAAATATTGAATATTCTTATTAATCAACAGTTTACCAAGTAACTTAATGATTCATAAAAATTCTTAGACTAAAACTATCCTTTATCATTCAAATTAATCTATTATCTAACCAGAATATCTAAATATGTTTACTTTCTTTTAACTCATCAAATGTCCCCGTAGCAATAATCTTACCTGCATGAAGTACTGCTATTCTATCAGTCAGAGCTTTCAGCGTTCTGATTTTATGAGAAATCAATAATACTGTGAAACCCCTATTTTTGACTTCTCTTTCAAGAATCCCTTGCACAGTCTTCTCTGACTGATGATCTAACCCAGACGTTGCTTCATCTAAAAGAAGCATATGAGGTGTCTTCAAAAGTGCCCTCGCAATTGCCACTCTTTGCTTTTGTCCTCCAGAAAGAGCAGAGCCTCCTTCTCCTACTTCACTATCAAACTTATCCTCAAAGTTATTGATAAAATCATACGCATCTGCTCTCTTGCAGGCATCAATAACTTCTTCCATCGTCGCATTTGGATTTGAATATTTTATGTTGTCTAGGATACTTCCTGAAAACAAGGGAGCTTCTTGGCTTACAATAGAAATTTGTTGTCGTGCCCACCAAGCTGGCTTTGTGTGGATATCTACGTTATCAATATATATTAGCCCAGAGGTCGGCGCATAAAGATGAGTTAATAAATGAAATAAAGTTGACTTTCCGCAGCCACTTGGCCCTACTATTCCCCATATTTCTCCAGATTTGATCTCTAGGTTAATATTATCCAGCACTGGAATTTCTCTTCCTGGATAGGTGAAGGAGACATTTTTGAAGATAATGGAAGCTGTTTAAAAATTACGTCCTACTGTGGATTTTGGCAAAATTGTTGGGGAAATTAAAATTTCTTCTTTGTCATCGATAGAAGATTTTGTTTCGAGAATTTTATTGTAAACGCCGGCTGCCTTTTTTAATTCAGTGTAGCCTGAGGCTAATAATCTGAATCCTAGCCCAGCATAGACACTATACATTGCAAAAGCTGTTAAAGCTCCTACACTTAGCCCAGAGCCTGTAGAAATCAGATAAGCTCCATAACCTAAGCATCATAGAACTGCATTTTGGCCCATTGCTTCCATCAGAGCATGGTGCTTTGCTGAATACCTTGCTACATCAATAGCTTTATTGTATACTTTTGTCTGCTTTTCTGCGTATTTCTTAAGCTCAATACCTTCAGCAGTAAAATGCTTAATTGTCTTTATCTGAACAAGTCTTTCTTGTGCAAACGAGTTCAGCTGCCTTAAATAAATAGCTTGAGTCTCCCTTTCCCTCCTAAGCAGATTTCCATAATATTTTGAAATCGATGCAAGCGCCATCATCGGAAACAAAGAAATCATCGTAAGCGGAGGGCACGTATATAACAAAAATCCTGCCCCGCCAGTGAAAAAAGCTACGCCACGCATCGCAGAAGAAAATTCATTCGTTATTGTGTACGCAATTGTCCATATATCACTATTCAGCTGATGTGACAAGTCCCCTGTTGTGTTTTCTCCGAAAACCTGGTATTTCTTTCTTAAAAGGTCTTCGAAAAATTCAATTCTCATTTTCATTGCAACAGTATTTGACTATATAGACCATACCAGATCCTCAATGGCCAATCTTCTCATATAGGTGGATAATGCACCAGCTCCAAAGACAGCGGTTCATTTTCCTACAACTCTGACAATTTCATGCTGAGATGTGGTAGGAACGGCACATAGGTTATATATATCTTGCTAAATAGTGTTTACCAAGGCTAGAGGAAAGCAGAGACTTACTCCAGAAGAAACTGTTAAAGAAAATGCAAATTTCATTAGCAGGGTCTTTTCTGGAACTAGGAGCTTGAATAGGTGATGGAATTCAGATGAAGCGGATCTTCTGCAATTGTGCAATAACATTTATATGAACTATCATTAATGAATCTTGCATCCATTAAGATATGCGATTGATATTTAAATTAAATATAGGGAATTACCTAGAATCTCATGCTAAAGTAGGCGATTGGGAAAAGGTTCATTTGCCAGCTTATTCCAGGCGATTCTAGGGAGTTTCCTATATGAATTCAAATTTTAATATTATAAAGATCAGATTAATCATTATTCTTTTGCAAATTGAACCAGCTGGCATAAAAATTAATTATTGCAAAGTTCCATTGGATCGCTTCCTTCTAAATCTTCGTCATTTGGAGAAAACATTGCACGAGTCATTTCCCAAACTTGCAAAATATTATCTTCAGAAACTGAAGCCATCATTAATTCTTCATAATGATTCCACGAGAAATCTGAAATGCTCGAAGTGTGTCCTCCATGTATAAATAGCAGCTCAGGAGGTCCATCTAAAGCTTCTTCATCTGTTTGCGGGGCCCCAATCTTCGATAAATCCCATATCAGCACTCTTCTATCCTTTCCTGTTGATGCAAGAAGTGTCCCAGAAGTTGGTGACCATCTGACATTAAATACAGTGTCTTTATGAAACTCAAAGGAATGGACCTTCTTCTGCATGTTTCTTATATCCCAAATCGCTACAGTCTTATCTTTACTACCTGTCGCTAATAAATTCTCCTCAAATTTATTGAAATCAACAGAATTTATTTCATTGCTGTGAGCATCAATAATTTCGATAGGGTTTTCTTGGTTTAAATCCCACAAAATTAATTTTCTATCATCCCCGACTGAAGCCAGAATGTTTGGGTTCGAATAATTTCATGAGACATCTCCAACAATATTTGTGTGGGCTGACAGGACTCTATAAGGGTTAAGTCTAGAATTTGCCTCGGCGTGGCCTATAATGTCCCATACACAGACTAAGCGGTCATCTGAGCCACTTGCTAGAAGGTTTGTGTTTTCTGGGTTCCAAGAAAGCCCATATCCTTCTTTTCTATGTCCTTGCAAGATAAGTTGAGGACCTTTATCAGAAACTTTAGGATGTTTTGTGTAATCATATACATAAACTAATCCTGAAGGACTTTTAGTAGCAAGAATTCCTTCTGATTTGGGCATAACTCGAACTCGATTAACTTCTCCGTCGTGGTTTATTTTGACAGAAAGCTCTATTTTGTTTTCAGTGTTAGCGAGAAGTCCTACTCCTCCTACATCTTTGGTGTTATCTTGGTAAACCCTTGAGTTTATTATAGACTCTTCAGTAGGGATTTTAACAGTAGCAATTATGAGCTGGTCCTGCTCTGATTTTGAAGTGTGAGTGCCTATCACGAGCTTGTGCACAGTGTAATCTGTGTTATTTCTTTCATCAACAACTGGAAGCCAATCTACTGTTAATGAGGGCCATTCGAGAACGTGGGTTACTACGTAATCATAGAGAAATGGTGTATTCTTCTTTCATATTTTATATTCTTCGTTTATTTGCTGCTCATCAGACTCCTCTACAGTATCTTGATCTTCTCTTGCAAGCATAAAATTAAAGATGAAGGCTGAAAACTTAAAGGGGATTTTTTATCATGCTTTAATAAATTCATAAGTTTCAAAAAAAAATTGTAAAATTTAATTATCTTAATATCTGTTTTTATGCACGAATAATGACTTTTATTTATAATTCGAGAAGCATCTCATTGAGAGTAAAATATTATAATAATTGTTTATTTTGATTAATATATATTAATTTAATAATTTGCTTTTTGACGATTTTCTATAAAAAATAAATTATTAATGTCATTATTAAGATAATTTTATAAGCAGATGGAATTTTTTTTACATTCAAGTTATTTCTTTTTAGCCTCAAATATGGAGTTTTATTGTAAAAGACAAAATTTATACTGGAAAAAAAGCACTAATCAGAACAATTTAACGGTAATAATATGAAAAATTTATGGAAAAATGGTGCATTATATTAGCAGTGAGTGATAAATAGGCAATTTAATATCTTGCTGTCTCAAATAACTCTCAAAATCAATTGGAGGAAGCTCAAGACCTTCTAGAACAGCCTGCTCTCTCTCTTCATCGTCTGAACTCTCTTTGGATTTCACTTTCCTTGAGCCTGCTTTCTTTTGATTTCTTTTATGAACCTTTTTGTGGACGCTTAATTGTGAGGATTGTCGATAGCTCTTTCCACACCCTGGCTCTTCGCAACTAAACGGCTTCTCCCCTGTATGCGTATACATATGTTCGGTAAGGTTTTGCTTGCTTACTAACTTTTTATTGCATATATCGCAATTGAATTTTTTAATACCGATATGAGTCGCATTAATGTGTCGTTTGAGATTATATTTGCTATTGAAACTTTTGTCGCACCATGTGTAGTAGCAGCTGAATTGTTGCCCTATCATCCTTATTTATATAAAAGGTATCATAATTTGAATTTAAAATGGATATTCGGAATTCAATATTTGCTAGAAACAGCATACTATTAAAAAAGCCATAAGAAGCATATAAAATCTAATAATATTGACTGATTTAATCATTAATTTTGTTATCAGAATATAAAAATTCAAAATCTTCCAGTAAATTGTAAAATTTACATATTTTTCTTTATTTTTTAAAAAAAAGTAATAATGGAGATAGATCTTAAACTAATTTTTTCTAATTAGAATTGAAAGTTCAAAATGATCATAAATCCTTATAAAGTCAGTTGCTAAATCTCAACAAATAACTAAGAAATACATTAAAAATAGTTTCAAAACAAAATTAAATATAATTCGATTTTATTTGGCTTTATCCATTTCCATTTTGGTGTAATAACATTTATAAAGCATTTTCCATGGATGCCGAAATTCAGCAGCTGGCCAATGAGTTTTTATATGCAATCCACAATTTAAAATCCAAGTCTGATGAAGAGGTGCAGACATCTCTTCAACTGATCCAACAAATATTATCTCTACACTTTGCAATACCTGAATCTTTTTCCAAACAAATCTTTATTCAGCTTGGCTTTCTCAAAAAGAAATCAAAACACTCTGATACATTAATAAGAGCCCTGCAAATAGAAAGCGTGCTTCTCACCAATTACGACTCATCTTGGCTAAATGAAAATTCTCAAGAAAGCGAAATGCATGTTACAATTCTTTTAAGCGGGATAATCAAGCTTGCAGAAGAGAGTGATTCACGGGTAAGAAAAGAAGCTTGGAGTACACTAAATTCGTTTTTTACAGTAATTTCTCAACAAGAAATAATCAAAAAGTGCTATCCTGGAATAATGAAATGCTTGATAAGTGAAGTTGAAAGATTTAATAATCAGGGGCTCGGGACATCAAAATATGCGTTTGGGATAACAATTGAAGTCTTAATTAAAGTGCTGGAATATATTTCTGATAGAAATAATGATGAGTGGACGATTTTTGCCAAAGAAAAATGCAAAGGTTTTATATCAAGCTTATCTAAAGAGCTAATTTCTATAGTTGCATCAAATTACGATTATTCAAAAGAAATAATGCTTGATTTGCTAAAATTTCTCCTTGAAAATTTGAAAGAAACTCTCGATTTAAATTTCAAAGAAATTTTGAAGTGCTACATATTAATTTCAGCTGATCTTGAAGTATTTCCTTTTTTATCACTTATAGATAAAAACGATTTATACTCAATATCATATTCATTACTGAAAAGTTTAATTTTAATCACTGATATAAGCATGAAAAAAAGATCAATGAATTCTCTAGTTTATTCTTTACAACTACTAGGAGACTCTTTGCCTTATTTTCTTACAAGAAAAGCAAATGAAATTGTGAGTATTATAAAACAAATTATCAAATTTTCTGTTTCGGTTTTAAGAGAGTTCAGCCTTAAAAATGTAATAGAATATTGTGAAAGAGATGAAAACTGTCATAAGTCTCTGGAAAAGCTGTTAACAATCATTGTGAAATATGAAATATTTGATCAGCTGATAGAGGAGCAGAGTGAGGGGCAAAGAAAATTAGCTAAAAATAATGATTTTGGCATAGCTGATGACTTACTGAAAATTGCTTATCTCCTAAGCTTCAGCTGGCCACAAAACTCAATTTACATCCTCAAAGAATTAACTATTAAAAGTTGTGAGACTGAAAATAAATTTATTATTAGAAGTCTGCTTTTGCAATTAACTCTAAAACATTCTAACTCCTCCCCTCGTTGAGCGTACAGACCATTGAAAAAATCCCTTTTTTTGGTAAAGCCAACCCTCTGTGAAAGAATAAAAAAATATTTTATAAATCTTTGTGATGATATATAAATGATTGCTATTATAATGAAAAATGCCAAGCTAATTCTGTTTAATTTTAAGCAGCTTGCATTTTAAACATAAATTTTACAAATTAAATTAATTTTAGCTTTCCAATTTTCACAAATTGGATTTTTTTTAAATTTTTGGTTAAAAAAATAACCCCTTCCGTGACCAAACAAAATTTTTTGTTCGCTCACAGAGGGAGGGGGAGTAAAGAAATGGAGCTTACTGACATCTTGGATAGCATCATGCTAACTTATGAAGAATCCACAAAAGAATCTTGCTTAAATTTAATTGAAACAATATCAAAAGAGAAAAATTTCGAAAGCATTAATGAGATGATTAAAAAGGAGTATTCAAGTCTGAAGCAATCAATGATCGCGAAAATTAAGATCTTTGGGATTGATCAAATTAAATCAGCCTTGCTTTGTCTTCTTGAAATTTCTCAAAATGTCGATTTGCTGACAGATTCATTGCTTGCGTGCCTGCAGAAATTTGATAAATCATATCAAATTATGGATGTGAAAACTAAGCTCGGCTATATTGAACTATTTTCAATGCTAGTTCCATACATTCGTGAATTCCAGATTTCAGAAAAAATCCAGAACGCAAATCTTATCAGAAGCATTTTGATGAGATTAAAGCTATTTTTAGCTCTTAAAATGAATCAGCTTGAAAATCGTAAGCTTATTATGGCAACAATCAACTTTTATATATCTTCAGTCCCGTGCTTATCTAATTTTCCAATAGAAATTGATAGACTAGATAAATCTCCATTCGCTATAGAAGAAGGACTCAATGTTACAATTCCGAATGCTCTAACTGAAATTTCTTATGAATATTTTCCATCACTTGTATTTTGCATGAAATCATTGGCAGACTCAAATTGTTTCGGTATATCATTAGCAATTTTAAATCTGTTTTCTTTAATATCTCAAAAAAACCCAGAATTTTTTGTAACTGAATCAAGATTTTCAAAACGAATTTTCCCAAATATAAAGATTATCATGCTTCAGCCTCATTCAGATCAATCTTATAAGAGTAGACTATATCGTGAAATTGTGGACCTAATAAAACTTTTAGATAGAAAATGCATTGATGAAATTAAGCCTGAGATTATTGGATGCTCAAAGTATTTAATTAACTCACAGTTTGAAGAAATCAAGGCAATTGGTGAGGAACTTAATAGTTACGTTCTGTCTTCTTAATAGATAATTTAAAAATAACTATATATTATTGATATAATCAAAACAATAATTGATATATATGAAAAACAGCCACTCTCAGTCACACAGTTTGAATGTGAGCCGTCAAGCCTCTAAACCCCGAAACCAGTCCCTATCTAAAAGCATGCATGTCAGTAACAAATCTTCAAAGCTACTTCCCCCAATAAATCATCATCTTGTTCCTATTCACGGAGATGGAACGCCTATACTTTCCAAGAATTCAAGTTTTTCTCAAAAATCAGGGTTTTCTCAATGAGAAATTTATCTAGCCCAAAAACCTCTAACTATAACCCTTGGCTATCGAACAAAACCATTAGAAAAATAACTAAGTTTCGGGTTAATTAAATCCCTTTGTGAGTTGTTTAGCATAAATATTTTAAAGAAATGATGGCTTGACATATATAATTAGTTTGCTAAAATTTCTGATCAGCTCCCACGAGCCAAAGATGGATTCCACGTGTGAAAAATCCGGAAATTCCACGTGAAAACCCATTTTTGGCTCGTGGGAGCCGATCAGAAATTAAGCCAAAATATTATGACTGATGATTATGATGGGATATCTAGCTATACCAATGAAATTTCAGATAATTTGCATTCTAAAAACATAAATTTTATAAATTGAATTAGATTTTCCCTTTTTAACATTTAAAATTTGGGTAAAAAAAATTAAACCCCTCCATTTGCGAGCCAAGAAAACCTTCAAAGAGTAAGAGACAAACAAAGAGATATTATCTCAAAACTGCATAGACGAATTAAAGATCATAGAATATATAGCGATTTCTTAATTCAAAAAAACGAAGTTGAAAACAATGACAGGATCCTGAGATCACTTTACAATAAAGCAACAAATATTTTCTTTAATTAAATTAATATTGACTTGTATTTATGGCACAAAATTTTAAGCAGCATGAGAATTGCCCAGTAAAAAGAACTTAAGAGCATAAAAAATAGGGCTTATTTCACATGCTTAGCTTTAATCAAATACATCCTTATATCTTTCTTGGTGAACTTCCTAAAATACAGTTATAAATCTTTCTACTAATTAAATGCTTTTGTAAATCAAAATCAAATAGTTATTTATAGGTCTTTCCAAAAAATCAGAATAAATATCATTAAGATGGTACATCAGATTTTGTTTTTGTCTTTAAATCAATTTTAATTGATCATTTAAACTTCGAGAAAACCGCATCATTTTAATTCGTCATTAGTTTTAAATGGCTAGGCTTGGAGTTTACGGAGGTAAGCAATATGTTAACGACGGCATGGATGCTGCAATCAAAGAGCTAAACTTAAGTGAAGCAGTTATCCCTCACTATTTTAAAGCAAGCCTCAACATTGAAACTGTTTCTCTCAAATAATAAAATGGCATTCGGGTTTAAGAGAAATTAGCTTTGCAAAATTTCATCCCTAATGGAATTTTTATTTATGGGGCTTGGCTTTACTTAATCCCTCCATGTGAGCGAGCAAAAAAAATTGGAAAAATCCCTAGTTTTTGTCTAAAAATACCCCTTCCATGGGCTAATAAAAAAATTTTTTTATGAATACATATTTTGATATATAAGGGATTAGTAATATAATAAAGTATCTAGTTAATTCTGTTAAATTTTAAACAGCTTGCATTATTTTACAAATTAAATCAATTTTTTGCAGATGGGTTTTATTAAATTTCACAAAAAATTTACTAAAAAACACTAACCCCATTCATGAGCGAACAAAATTTTTTGTTAGAGAACTTCTAATCAGCAATAACGGTTTAACTTCTAGCCACATAAGGCAAGAGGAGCTGCTCCCCGTGCATTTGCGAGGCTCAAGGGTTTCGATTCGCATAACAGAGAAGGCGACCTTAGGTGGAAAATGCTCAGAAAGCTGAGTCTGTAATTGCGATGGCAAATGCGCAGGTGAGATGTGCAGCAAAACCTGCCAAAATGAATTCACCATTTACGCCACTTGTTGACTGGCCTAATCCTCTTTTTAAAGAACTAGCGCCAAACGCCTTAACCACCTAGTTAATTGAAATCGAAACTGTTTCTCTCGCCCGCCCGAGGCTGCGTTGCCATTGCAATATTTGTCAATGACGATGCATCTGGAGCTGTCGTCCGCGAGCTTCACTCAATTGGAGTAAGAATAATTTTATGCATGTGTGCAGGCTTTAACATGGTTTCTCTTGAAACAGCAGAAGAATTAGGGGTTACTGTTGCAAGGGTTCCTACTTATTCTCCTCATGCAGTGGCTGAATTTGCAGTCGGGATGCTAATGTCACTTAACAGAAAAATCCACCGTGCTTTTAACAGAACCAGAGAGTGCAATTTTGAAATTGAAGGACTGTTGGGATTTGACCTATACCAAAAAACAGTCGGAGTTCTGGGCACAGGGAACATTGGAAGTGTTTTTTGCAAGATTATGAATGGGTTTGGGTGCAAAATCATTGCATATGATATATACCACAACCCAGAGTTGGCAGGACTCGTGGAATACAAATCATTAGATGAAGTTCTTGCTGAAAGTGACGTTTTAAGTGTATTTTTGCCACTCTATCCCAGCACTTATCATACAATCAATGAGGAAAATATTTTCAAAATTAAAAAAGGAGCTTTCTTAGTCAATGTGAGCAGAGGAGGGCTTATTGATACCAAGGCACTGCTGAAAGCCTTAAAGCAAGATCATTTCGCAGGAGTCGCCCTGGATGTTTATGAGCATGAGTCTTCAATTTTTTATCATGATCTTTCATCGACTGGAGTTGTTGATGACACAGTAATGAGACTTTTAAGCTGGCCTAAAGTAATCATTTCGTCCCATATGGCATTTTTCACAGTCGAAGCTGTGAGAAATATAATGCAAACCACTTTGACTTCACTTATGCAGTTTTTGAGGAATGAAAAAGTAGAAAATGAGGTCAGAATTGAAGTAATGCAGGCTAAATAATGATTAAGCTTCATTAATTAATGGTTCTAGTCTTTTAATTATTTTTATTTAAAGCTTTCTTTGATGGAATTATGATTTTATAATATGAATAGAGCTCGACATTTTTCCTCAATTCTGATAAAAAATTCAATGGCCAAACTTGGGGTATATGGAGGTAAGCAATATGTCATGGACGGAATTCAGTCAGCAATTCAGGAAAAACAAATGGAAGCGTACATTAAGCCAAAATTCTTCAAAACAACACTTAATGAAGAAACAGTCTCTTTAGCTCAGGACTGTGCAGGTGTCGCAATATTTGTAAATGATGATGCTTCTGAGGCTGTAATTAGGATTAGATTAGGCTAGGTTATTAAAGATAGACTTTAGCCATATTAGTGACGAGCCACCAAAGACCTCCTATATGTAAGGTTCATTTTCAGCCCAGAGGGTCTATCCCCCAAATAATGGGTGCCACTTCCGGTGCCTTCTGTCTCCTCCTTGCCTTGAGGCTACAGTCTTGAGATGGGCAGCTTATGGATTTCTGCGGCCTGCGGCGGGCGATTGAAGTAGCTTGATTCCAAAGATCAACTCCTTGGAGTCTTTGGTGCCGAAGTGCCTTCCTTCGACAGCTACAGGCCCGGATACAAATCTCTTGAGCCTATCAGTTCGCCGTAGTCATAAGATCTGTACTGTTACGCCAAGAGGGCAGGTTGGCACTGCCACATTTTGATGTATATGACTGTAATTAGGAAACTACATAATTTAGGAGTCAGGATTATTTTATGCATGTGCTCTGGATTTAATATGGTTTCTCTTGAAACAGCAGAAGAACTAGGGATCACAGTAGCAGCAGTCCCTTCTTATTCTCCTTATGCTGTAGCTGAGTATGCAATTGGAATGATCCAAATGTTGAATCGCAAGCTGTATAGAGCATATAATCGTACAAGGGAGTGCAATTTTGAAATTGATGGACTTATGGGGATGAATCTTTATCAGAAAACTATTGGAATTCTTGGCACAGGAAGTATTGGTTCTCTTTTTTGTAAAATAATGAAAGGATTTGAATGCAAGCTACTTGCTTTTGATACGAAGCCGAATCCAGATCTCTCAGACTTTGTAGAATATAAATCTATCGATGAGGTCCTTGCAGCCAGCGATATTTTGACTATATTTCTCCCTTTGTTTCCTAGCACTCACCATTTAATCAATAGTGAAAATATATTTAAAATGAAAAAAGGCTCATACCTCATAAATGTCAGCAGAGGGGGCATTATCGATTCAAAAGCCTTAATCAAAGCTTTAAACCATGACCATTTCTCAGGGGTTGCATTAGATGTCTATGAATATGAAGACTCAATCTTTTATAAAGACAGGTCCACAAGTGGAGTTCAAGACGAAACAATGATGAGACTCCTCGGCAACCCAAAAGTAGTTGTAACCTCTCACATGGCATTTTTCACGCAGGAAGCTGTAAGTGCGATAATGAGCGGGACAATTACCTCTTTATCTCAGTTTCTCAATAATGAGAAGGTAGAAAACGCTATTAAGCTCGAAGAAATTAAATTGCGGTAATCCTTTTTTGTCTTAAATTATAAAGCTGTAGAAAAATATGAGAGAAGTCTTCGTCTCAAGCGTAGAAGATTTTGTTGCCAAATTTGAAGAGCACAAGCGTGAAGGACCGCTTCTTGCGCTGTTTGTAGGATCAGTTGACCCAAGCACAGGAGAAAACTGGTGTGGTGACTGTAGAAATGCCCATCCTTTTATCCATAATGCTTATGCTTCTGGTGGGGAAAAAACCATCATCATTAGTGAAGTAGGGGTAAGAGATGTGTGGAAAAACCCAGAAAACAGCTTTAGGAAGCACCAAAAAACACGTTTGAGATGTGTGCCAACTCTCATTAGATACCAAAATGGAAATGAGGTGATTAGATTAGAAGAAGGACAATTAACACGACAAGAAATGGTTGACGAAGTCTTCAGTTAAATAACTTTATATCTTTTAAAAATTATAAAATTAAATGCTAAGTCACAGTTCAAGTCGAAATTTTGAACCTCCTGAAATTGCGATAAGAGAAGACCCTAATAAATCAAAAACAAGATCCCCAAGTAACTCACAAGTCTTATCAAAAAATCCATCAATGAACTCAAAAGCTATGAATGAACTCTATAATACTCGGAATATTGATCGTCCTGAAATTTCAATAAAGGAAAACTCTGGTAATGCAAGTGTCAAGTCGCTAAGCCACTCCCAGGTTTTGTCGAAAAGCCCACAGAATAACTCCCAAAGCTTAAACTAATATAGGCTGGTGGTTGCCTATTGGTAACGCAACCACTAAGGATCCCTGCAAAGGATTCATACTCTTTGGGACGTTACCAAGGACAACTTGCTCGAATGATCTGATGATGTAGCGTAGCCAAGGCTCAGACACCACCCTTCTTATCCTTCAGCGACTACTATCATAGTCATCTGAAGTATAGTTCTATGTCTTCGTCTCCTCCTTGCCTTGTCGGCTCCAGTATTAAGTTGGAAGGCTATGGATTCTGCACTTTCTGTTTGAGTACACTACTAAAAAAGGAGTTCCCTGGTAAAAATGAAAAAATCAAAGCTTAAGACATAACTTTCAGTTTCATACTAGAAAATACCCGATTTGTCTAGGGATTGCCTGCAGACGATGCTGTGCTTTCTCTTTCCAGCTCTGAACCCAGCCTTTGTAGTAAAATCCAATCCTGAACGAGGCTCTGTGCATTACTAGAATTGCTTATCTCATTTCTGAGTTGGCAAAACCTCACCGATATGATTAAATATATGCTCGAGTCTGTATTCCCCAAGTAGCAATACCCGGGCCAAACACCATATTTATTTATGAATAACTCCAAAGCAGCGAACGAGTCTAAAGGCTTGATGACAAACCCATCAGTTTTCAGTTTAAAACGAGCTGGAAACAGTATTGTTCAAAGCGCAAAAGATTTAAATTCTTTTACTCTCACGAAGCCAATAAACACAGACACAATGAACCCCATCCTTATCACAAGAGGAAACGGAACTGTCAGAGGATCAGCTTCCCGATATACAATGTCAAAAGCCTCACCTTCAAAAGCAGCAAGAAGTGAAAATATTGATGAGGAAGAAGAGTTTTTAGATAATTATTATAAGCAGATTGCTCCTAAACCTAAGCAGCCGGAATGGCCAAAAGAATGAATGATTCGTTCTATTTTCGCAATTTATTTTAAAAGTGAAGGCTATAGTTCTGAAAAAAGATATTATGGAATGCCAAATGGGATAGGGATTCTATTGAACGAAAACTTGTGCTTGACTGCACACTCTGTGATTCCTGAAGAAGAAATCGCTATTAATTGCTATGCACAATTCAGAGGCGGCGAAATTTTCAAATTTGATCCTTACCGCTGTTTTGTAACTTCTATAGAAGATGGTTTCACCATTATAGCATTTAAAGCACATACAGCAACAGCTTTAAGATACTTCAGGCCTATCAGAATTAAAGAAGAATTCGAACTTAAAATGGACGACCTTGTCTTTTACTTCCCCTTTGATGAGTACACTGTCAAAAAAGTCCTACTTCTAGACGAAAACAAGTTTACCTTTACGTCAGGAAAAAAGGAGTATATTTGGTCAAGCACAGGTAGCAACCCTACACCCCCACCCCCCCTAAAAATGGTACCCCCACCCCCCTTTCACAGATGGCACCCCCACCCCCCCTCTCGGGTTTATTCTATAGATATAATTGATAGGAAACAAGCAAAATAAATTAAATATAACCCAATTAAAACACTATATTGATAAATTAAGTCCACAAATTACTTTATATTTATGATTAATTAATAAATTTAAATTAATAGCAATTAATTAGAAAATATATTAAATTTGTTTTTTATATTTATAAATATAATGCCAAAGATATAGATAATGGCATTAATTATTAAATGAGCCAAGCACAACACAATAAATTGCATTAAATTTATTGATTCATACATTAAAGCTAATCTAATATCCATTGTATAAGGATTGCAGGACTGAATTGGTAACAGGATTCAATAGTGGTAATAAAAAATAGTATTTGCTATTGTCAGTTTTACTTTTGGATCTCTAATTCGACTTTTAGCCATTATTCCACAAAGTTCATAAATATATGCAGGATATATTGCTAATTAATACCAAAGATCAAATTTTTATATGTGGTGTGCTTAGTAGTTATAGGAAATTCTCACCTCATTCCACCTACTCCTTAATCGATTGTGCTACGCTATGTGGATATTGTATAAATCAGTAATTTTGAATATTTAAAATAATAATTTATTTATTACGTCTGCTCTAAATTGGCATTTGTCATATATTTATGCTATATTAAGGGGGGGTGGGGGTGCCATCTGCGAAAGGGGGGGTGGGGGTGCCATTTTTTAGGGGGGTGGGGGTACCATTAAAAAAGGGGGGGGGGTGGGGGGGTGGGGGTATCACTTTTAGGGGGGGTGGGGGTGTAGGGTTGCTACCTGTGCTTGACCATATATTCTCCCAGGAAACCCTATATTTACACAGCAATGGAAACTCCAAGGAATGTACGTGAAATGTGAAGGGCAAATCAATATTGCAATGAAAATCAACCCTATGCTTGAGTACATGGAAAACGCTTTGACTCTTCTAAATCTCCCATTGCTAGAGCAATATCTCCATCAAGACCACTTAGGCTATATGGAGAAATTCCATGACCGCTATTTGTATTATTTTGAGTGGCACGGGAAGAATATTTGAAGATATGATATTGATAGAGAATTTTGGGAGCAAGCCAAAATGAGAAATAAATTAGCGCTGAAAAGAGATAGAGGAGGGGATTGGAGCTTTAATTGAAACAGCAGACTTGTGTATCTATCCAAAGGCTCAATTATGATAATTGGTGGAAGAAGCAGAGAAACTGGCAATGAGATGAGAGATGTATGGACATTTTCACCACAGAAATACCATACACTAAAGAGTTATAAAAGCATGATTTATCCTAGAGAATGCCCAACTTGTCTATTAGTGAATGATTATGTGTATGTTCTTGGAGGAAAAGGTATGAAAGAATGCGAGAGAACTAATATAAATACAAAGTCATCTTGGCAGCCTATAGCTTCTATGTATTACATCCGCCATGAAGCTGCAGCGTGTACTGCGCTGGATTCTACTTATATTTATGTTTTTGGAGGAGAGCCAATCACTCCAACTGGTAACACAATAGAGCGGTATAATATTCTATTCAATCATTGAGAACTTTTAACTACTACAATTCCAAGACCACTAGCTAGGCTCTCTGTTTTTCCTATTACTAATAGAAGAATTGCCATTATGGGAGGAACTGGCTCTCACTGAGTCTTTGTAATGTATATTGAAAATTCCTTAGATATGCAAGGAATAGGATATAATCCGCAAGGAGGTGCAGAGATATATAGAATTGAAGACTGTCTAAGGCCTTTAGATGAGCCTACAGAGACTGCTTGGCCGATTACTTTCTGTAGATCTAACAATACCCTTTATCTTATGAATTTAAACAGAAAGGGAGAAGGAGACCAAAAACCAGGAGTAATCAAGTATCAGGTCGAGTATTTCGATATAACTACACATGTTGATTATTCTTCGAAACCGAGGGAAATGAGAGCGAAAATGAGGACCCCATATGATTTAGGAATATTCAGATAATCGTGTAATTTATGCTTATTTATACTTAAAGCTTTGGAACGATCAGCATTGGTCTTGCGTGCCAGTGAAGATGATCTTTAATGGTCCTTTGGTTGTAATCAATTTTCCAATGTTGATTTTTAAAATATTGGTTAGCTACTTGACTCAGCTTTGATTTTATTTCTTTTCTATGTGACTCTTTTGCAAAGTTTGTGTGCTTCTTATATACAGCCATAGGGAGCTCGCATTGATCGCAAATCATTACTGCGAAATCATCACAGTCAAAAAACCATTCGGATATCTTTTCTAGTCTGCATAGTTCGCAGTGCAATTTATTATCCCAGTTCTTCAACTGCTTTAGAAATCCAGGATTTGGATTAACCTTTCTCACTTGGTTGATAGTGCTGAGAGCATCTTTCAATCTCATTTTCTTTTCTTTAATAAGGTAAGCAGCATGGCTGGGTATATATGGAAGTCTGACTCTACCTAGCAGTCTAGCTATACCTGGCAGTTCGACAGTCTGGCAGCTTGGCAGTCTGGCTCTAGCTGGCTCTGGCAGTTTGGCTCTAGCAAAATTAATTTCATGTTTTTGAAGTTGGAATAAGGAATTCCATTATATAGCTCTGTAAGGGCTGTAGATTCTGTCCGGAATCCTTTGCCTGGTGGAATCATTACATTAGAATTATTACGCTTAACGTCCACCGCGGAGGTCAGCAAGAACCGGACCTATCACCTTCTCTTCCACCTGTCGGGCCCACAGGCCGCCGGCACAACCTGCTTTGTTCGCCAGGGCAGGCTTGGAGGGATGTTACCGACTTCGACGACTCATGAGTGAGTTACTGGCCGTGCCTTACGTAGTTGCCATTCCGAAAATCCAAAAAATGGATTTTCTGGTAGGCTCTCGGCAAAAAGGAAATACAAGTAGCCCGGGACGTAACGCCCGGTTTCACGCTAGGGAGTTGCCCGATGGGTCGTGTGGACTCTGCTGGGCTTCCCCTTTCACCACTTGTCACCTTTACCTACGAGGTAAAATCCACCCCGAAGACAAGCTTGGGCTAGGCTCTGCACACAACCAGAATTGCTTACCTAGCATTCCTGCTCACTTCAGAATGGCAAAACCTTGCCGGATATAATTAAAATATGAGTCGAGTATGCATGGCCGAGAGGCCATGCCCAGACGAAGACGCCATATTTTAAACTATTGCCTGGTGGAATCAGCAAGTGAGTTGGTCAGACCAACGCACTGAGTTGGTTCCACCAACCAAGGATTCCGGGCATAATCCGCAGCCCTTGCAGGACTATATAAGGGAAAACTTATAACCATATAGAAAAAGAGGCTCATTTCACATCTTGAACGAAAATTTGATTAATTTTTGAAAATTTAGCAATAGATATAAATTTTTTAAAGATGTAAATATTCGTAAACTCTCTAAATAACTTTGATTTTATTAATTTATAGACTCAATAATTTGCATCGCTTATTTTCTAAGTGAAGCATATTACTGCTCCTTTAAAATATTACCAATTTTAATATTTTCAGAGAAGTTTATTTATATTGATTGATAAGATATTTTTATATTATAAAATGTTTTTATTATACTATAATATACTACTTATTAGCTTAAATATTGCAAAATTGCTACTATAACTAATATAGAAAGGTAGGATTTGAAGGGGAATAAGAGAAGAAAAATTGAATTTACTTTCAATACTAATATTAAATTTTAACTGAATAAAAGTTAAAAAATAGATTCTTTTTAAAATATTAGACGAAAAAATTATTTGAGAGGTTTTACCATCAATGTATACCTTCTCTACTAAACAAATTATTTTAAAAATGAGCAAAATAAAATTTAAAATAAGAATTTAATGGATTTATTTATTAATGATCAACTGAGCAATATGGTAGATAATCCACATAATTTTTCAATTATTTTTTTGAATTTAAATTGTTTTTCAATATATAATTAGCTTTTATATGTCAAGATTTTGTTCCTAACTCCCCCCCCCTCCGTGAGCGAACAAAACCATTAGAAAAATCGCCATTTTTTGACCCAAAAACCCACCCTCCGTGAGTGAACAAAAATTTTTTTAATAGAAAAAATTTTAATGGAAAAAAATTTTGATATATAAGTGATAATTAGTATAATGAAATCTAGAGCTAATTCTGTTTAATTTTAAACAAATTGCGTTTTAAAACATAAATTTTGCAAATTAAATTAATATTTGCTTCCCAATTTTTGCAAATTAGGATTTTTTTAAATTTCGAAAAAAATATTTTTTATAAAATTTATATATAAATTTTTTTTAAAAAAAAAAATTAACCCCCCTCCGTGAGCGAACAAAATTTTTTTGTTCGCTCACGGAGGGGGGGGGGGGAGTAAGTTTAAAAAAAGCAGATATAAATTGATAATTAAAATTTTCTTTAATTTTTATAAATTTTTTATCTATATGCCTTTACTGTTTTTCAACTATTAAGATTACTTATTATAGAGTAATTTTAAAAAAATGCATAAGCCATATAAGCAAAAGAATTTGGCTAAAAGATATTTATTTTGATTTAATATTAGATGGCTCTCGTTACAAAACACTATTAATACTCATAAAAATCCCTATAGAACTTGAAGTAGAGCCAGAGCTATTGAGCCTGGTAGAGCCAGATAGACCCGGACTACCAAATAGAAGCTGACTGCCAGACTGCCAGATAGATCCACAGACCCGGATAGACCCAGAAAGGGGTTGACCAAGCAGCAACAATTGTTGCGCTTCTTGATCTTCCAGCAGTGCAAAAAACAAGTGTGCTCCCTGATTTAATAAATTCAATGCACTCTTCAAAAAATATTGAAATATCCTCATCAGTCTCATCTTCAACATTAAGAGTTTTTGTTGTAAAACCGCTTGGCATATCTTTAAAATTGTTCACTGAAAGAAGCTGTGTAATTCCAGCAGCTTTTATATGCTTTATAAGACTCAAAGAAAACTGAGAGCCAATAAAAAGTCCTGGTATGACTTCTTGAAAAGAGTGTCGTGCTCCAGACATTTATTGCATTACAAGAATATTTTAAATTTGGCACCACCAGAGCATTAATTGGTAATTTAACAAAATAATCTTGTAAAATTTATTTCTTATATATCTAATGATCAAATAATATTTAAATCAAGGATATGATGAAAATAAACAATTAATTTTGAGATGCTAGTAAATATGATTATTTATAAATAGCATTTAGTCATGACTGATGATAAAGCTGCAGAAACTTCTCTACAATCAGAAAATAAATCCAAAGTCTGAGTAAATGTCGATTTTAAAGAAAATCCAAAAAAAGGCGACAAGTTCACACTTTCAACCAAATCAGCAAAAAGTATACACATAAAAAGTGGATTTTCTCTAGAAACTAAAGCCTTTAGTCTCAAAAGCCAGCTAAAAAATCAGACAAATCAAAGCTCAGTCCCAAGAGAAGTAAAGTCAAGTCTATTTCCTCGCAAAACGCTTCCTCAAACATCGATATTGCTATGAAGTAAAAAAGCTTCAAAAAAACCGAAAACAACTGACAGAGACATTGAATGGCTAAGCTCTCAAAGTGCTGCCTTTTCAGAGCGGCAACCTCTAAAAGCTCAATGAGAACCTTCTCAAGAAGAAAAAGAGACTGGAAGTTTTTTATATTTCTTAACTGGAGACATAAAAATTATTGTTGGCTGAAAACTGAAAAAGCTTCTTGATATAATCTTAACAAAATTTCCCCAAAGCAAAATTATTAGAGATTATTATAGAAATTCTGTGGATGAGGTTTATGATGAAGTGTTTCATTATCTTTATTCTTCGTATAGTGATTTCCCAATCATTAAAATTGAAGATCTCCCAGAAAAAAGTGATATCTTTATTGTCAGCCCAAGAAATAGGCTGAATTTTGATCCTTCACTCACTGGCTATGACCCAGACACTCAGATTATTATAAACACATCGCTGCTCGACCCTGGACTTGGAGGTACTTTCAAAATTTTGCCAAAAAGAGGCAAAACAGTCATAGAGGGAAAAAACAAATCTCCAAATAAAGAAGGTAAGCAGACTGAAAATAACAAAAAATCTGAGAAAAAATGCTGCAATTTTATAGAATTTCTTCCTCTTGTTAAACGTAGCAAAAGTACGCAGCATTTTAATGGAAAAACTGATATGCCTTTAACATTGCCTTTATTTGCAAATATTGAAGAAACCAAGCTTATCGGGCGATGTCAAATGACAATGCATTTTTGATAGTGGGAAATTCATAGGGAAAATTTTGTTCAAAGCATTTTTGATAGTGGACTTTGGCCTTTAACTTTCAGCCAAATAAAACTATATAAAGATTTCTTCGATGAAATGCACACAATTAAAGTGCACGATCATTGGGCCAAGCTTATCAGTTGGCGAGCTTTGGTTCAAGACATGAAATTAAGTCTTCCAAAATCTTCCAGAAAATCAATCATAATTCAAAATAACTTTGAAACAAAACCTTCGACCTATGGAAGCGGCAGAGAAAAGTCTCTTAATGGGTTTAAAGTAAAAGAAGGAACTGGCGGGTTTAGAAAAACCTCACTGCCTACTTTAAAGCTGGAAAATGACAGACGAAATTACAGAATTCAAACTCTCCAAATGCCAAGTGAATATCATAATGAAGAATCCCCTGCCAAGCTTCCAAAAATGAAAGACGTAGTTAAAGAGATTCAATCAGTAGATATAATATTTATATTGAATATAATTACTCCTACTGTGAACTGCTATCATATTTCATATAGGTTTATTTATTGTAAAAAACTATAAAAAATTCTAAAAAATTCTTTGACACGAAATGAAACAATAGCAATAGCAACAGAGTATTGCTCTCTTCAATTAAAATCTGAATCAGCAGAAGGTTTAGCTCCGAATATAGTATGCATGAAATATTCTCTGCCTTTTGGAGTGCTGAAAGGAATTAACGAAAAGCTGCTTGAAGGGGATAAAATGACGTGAAAAGAGTTTTCTTTATTTTACATAATAATATATAAAATAGGCGAACCTCCTCTCATGGACGGTAACTAACACATATCTGGGCATGATTTTTGGAGCCTCAAAGAGAGAGCCTAAACACGATCTCTCTGGATTGTGGTTTAATCCACTTGCAACTTATTTTTACCTGCTGCACCCGGATCAATGGTGCCCGAAAGGAGCAGGATGAATTACTTGCTCAAGTTGCTGTGGTGGCTTGCCCTGAATCGCAGCTGAGTCTTTTTCATAGACGACCTGGGTAAGGGGGAATTGAGATAGATGACGAAAAGCGGTCTCTCCAGCTGAAAAATTGCCCTTTAATGGGCAGATCTGGCGCTGGAAAGGGCAGTGCTGACGTAAACTTAGGCAACGTCTTGGGTTGGAAATAAAGGTTGCCAGCTGAGCCAGTGAATGCAATCTAGCAAAGCAGGGGCTTTAAAGGCCCATTTAATCTTTAATCTTATTTTACATAATTTTGGTTCTGGAAAGAGCGGAGCTCTACAATATTGTTGTCTTTTTATTCAAATATCTTGGGATAACTAAAAAAGAAGACATTGATGAAAAAAAGATGAATAATGCATTAATTCAAATATTTGAAGATAAAAAATGCCCTGAATATGCTAAAAAACAATGAAATTCTATATGCAATGCAGTGATGGCAAATAAAAGCGCAATAATTCAAAGGCCAGGACATGATGATATAGATCTAGATGATATAGTAAATATTGTGGCGGAGGCTAGAATATCACTTATAGACTTACGTCTTTTTCTCTCAATGATTACTAAAGGCCTTTTAAAGTAGAAAATCTATTTTAATTAATATCAGTGTGAATAAAACAATCCTTTGCACTTAATAAAAATATTCCTCAATTAATTTTTAAAAGAAAAATGCTTCGATAAGGAGAAATTGATACAATATCTCTTCAAGGGTCAAAAAATTAAATATAATGCGTTTTATTTTTTTTCTTTTACCCAGAAATTGCCAATCCTTATTTTGTATTTTTTTAATATGACTATTGATATAAGTTAAAGTTTCTTGTAAAATACAAACTCTTTTCTATTTTTATTATTAATTAACTTCATATTAAATTATTATTAACTTGCTGTCTTATTTACTGATTAGACTACCGAATTTTATGCATTGGCAGATATAATATATTGCATATTTTACATCAGCAAATATATTTAATTCGAATAATCAAATGATTTTTTAATATTAAAGTCAATTTGCAGCTCAAAATATTTAATAAACAATACCATTTTTACTATTTATAAACTCTGATGTTTTCTGAGCTTTCCTCTATATTTTTTCATTATAGTAATCTTCTTTTAAATTGAATCTAACAATATTATATATTTATTGTCTCTCTAAAATGTTTATAATGAATTTATATCTTGGGAAGTATGACGTTCTCTTAAAAAGCATAAAAATAAATGTCCTCTGAACCTGACTTGAAGCTTTTTGTTTCTAAGCTCCCCAAAGAATGGGACGAGACCAAAATAAGAGAATATTTCGAATCTTACGGAACTATTCTTGACACATCAGCCTTCAAAGAACAAGGAAAAAGTAATTTTCATTCAGGCCTCGGATGCGCTTATGTAAGATTTGCCAAAAAGTCTCAAGCTGAAAAATGCATTCGTGATCTTGGAGGGACAACTGTAAGGTAATTTCCAGTCAGCTCTATATAGAAAAATATAACTCTTCGATGGGCTGATGGCGAAGAAGAACGACTTGCCGATTACAAGCAAGCCCCTGCTCAGTTCGTGTCCACATTTGTTGAGTACACTTCTTCAGACGGCCGCCCTTATTACTGAAACTCTCAAACTGGCGAAACCCAGTGGGAAAAGCCTGAAAATGCCCTTGTAATTCCAGTTGACCAGATTCAAGTTTCCTCTCCAGCCCAAACGAATTCTCATCAAATGGCTCAGACGAAGTCTGGCTGCAATTTATTCCTGTTCCATCTCCCAAACGAATGAACAGAAACTGAGCTCGTTGCACATTTTGCTCCGTTTGGGAAAATAGTAAGTGCGAGAATCATGACAGAAAAAGACTCAGGGAGAAGTCGTGGCTTTGGTTTTCTCACTTATGATAACCCCACAAGTGCCTCGAACGCTGTAAGGGCACTTAATGGGTTCCAAGTCCTTGGTAAACGTTTAAAAGTGCAATTAAAGAAAGGAGACTCAGCAGCCCCTGCATATTTATATCAGCCTACTCATCTAGGTTAATTTTAGATAGTTTAATGCATATTAATGTCTATAGTGCATGCAAGGACAAGAGAGAAGGTAAGGATGAGCAAACACTGAGAGAGGAAAAGAAACTGAAAGGGAAAAAAGAAAGAAATGATGATATTGGGAAGGATGAAAAGTGTCTGCACTAAGAATAAGTGTCAAGATTAGCTTCTATAAGGGTTTTATAGCTAGAAATGAAGGGCTTAAGCGATGAATAGATCATGGTGAAGAATTAACCTTGCGACTGTTCTCTTGTGATTTGCATATCCTTTGACTAAGCCAGCATAATGAAGGACTTTTAAGCAATGCCTTTGCCTGGTTTAGGGATTTTTAGTCATAAGGAAAGTTAGCTGAAAATTTGGATCAAAATAAGTGAATTTGATCCAAATATTATATTAAAGGACTCTTTGTTGCAGTCTTATTTAGCTCTTTGCTAGGAGTCTTTATGCAAGCATGAAAATTCAGAATATAATTGACCTCATCAATTCAGGCAACTATTCAATCATCATGTAAGGTTAGTTTATCCCTTTTGGATTGAGCATATTTTACCAAAAAATTATTATATCATTCTCAATAAAAAGTTTTCCAACAGAAAAATGATAATCCAAATTTCATAAAATTTATATCGTTCTTAATTATTGGAGTAGCATAATAGAGATTAGTTATCACTATTAGCTATATAAATGGAAATCATTTTATTGAATTGATTTTGAAGTCAGCTCTAAAGCACTAATAAAACAAATACTTTATTTTATACATTTTTCAGTGCTATCTAAAATTAACGCCTGAAAAAAATTAGTGAAATGTATTAAAAAATTTTTGAAACCAAAAATTAAGAAAAAATTAGATATCTTTCTTTTTCTTACAATAATCAGTTATATAATTACCATTATTATTGTCAAAAACAAATTAATCTAAATATAAAAATATTCCTAAATCCGTAACTTCAATTATTATATTTTCTACGTATTAGGCCAGCTCATGTATTCTTGGTTTCTCAATTGCAATTTTTTAATGGAATTATAAAATGAAAGGCATCCCATATGTACAATATAAAGTAATCTTCTTGGGAGATGTAAATGTAGGAAAGACTTCCTTAATCTGTCGGTATATGTACAATATATTTGACCCTGCATACACAGCGACGATTGGGATTGATTTTATCTTAATCTTAATTAAAGGTCGGCTCCTACAGATTGGTTGCACAGTCACCAAGCACCCTCTCTAGGGTTCTTCAGCTTTGCGACGCCGCCGGCTAAACTGACCATGATTGAGATAAGCCCAGTGAGAAAAGGATCTGCATCACTTGCTCTTATTTCGAACCTTGACGCCATGGGACATGTGAAATGTTCACTCTTGGGCCTCCTCCTTGCCTTGCGGCACTAGAGTGGGCGGACTATGGACTTTTGCAGTTACTGCTTGAGTGCACGAATTTTGTCCACACAAAATCACAAAAAATGGAATTTGGAGTCCTCTCAGCAAAAAGAAAAATTCTAGGACTAGGTGTAACTCCCAGCTCGCGCTATGAAAATTGCTAATTATTCCAGAAATTTCCCCCTTTGGGTAAAATCAAACTCTGAAAGCAGACTTGGACTAGGCTCCCGCGCTGCTGAAACTGCTTACCTAGCTTTGTGTCCATTTCTGGGTTAGCAAAACCTTGCAGGATATAATTAAATTTGCTCGAGGCTACGTTTTGGAAGCGATGCCCAGACCAAGACGTCAATTTTAAATATATGGTTGATTTTTTTATCAAGGACTTTATACAAAGATGAACAACTTCTTAAGTTGCATTTCTGGGACACAGCTGGGCAAGAAAAATACAAATCTTTGATTCATGGCTACATCCGTGACAGTACTATAGCTATTGTAGTTTATGATGTTACTAATAGAGAAAGTTTTGAAAATCTGCAATCTTGAATAGGATTAGTAAGAAAAGAAGCAGGAAATTCTGTTATCATCATAATTGTTGCGAATAAAATCGATCTGGATAGAATCGTTAACCAAGAAGAAGGAATGACTAGAGCTTCAGAAATGGAAGCTCTCTACATTGAAACGAGTGCGAAAACAGGGGAAAATGTGAAGGAACTGTATACATTGATTTTTCAAATTGTGCCACTTTTGAATACTAATTTTAAAATAGGTGATCTATCCAAAGGACTTGCACTGCAGCCACCTAAAAAGGTGCAGCGCTGCTCATGCTAACTCCCCACATCTTTGATCAAACGAACACCTGTCGTTCGATCAAGATGGGGTTTAAAAATTGTATAAAAAATAATGTATTATTTTTATTGTTTTTTATAATTTTTAATATTGTGTTAATTTAAAATTTTAGTTACCCCTTTCCACTCTATAAAAATATTTCTTTTCCTTATTAATTATTTTTAATTTATAATAATTCTAATCTTTTAGATTATTAAGCTTTTGAGGCCAGATTTATTATGCTAACTCCCCCCCTCCGTGAGTGAACAAAACTATTAGAAAAATCGCTATTTTTTGCCCAAAAACCCACCCTCCGTGAGTGAACAAAAATTTTTTTAATAGAAAAAAATTTTATTGAAAAAAATTTAGATATATAAATGATAATTAGTATAATGAAATCTAGAGCTAATTCTGTTTAATTTTAAACGAATTGCTTTTTAAAACATAAATTTTATAAATTAAATTAATATTTGCTTTCCAATTTTTGCGAATTAGGATTTTTTAAATTTCGAAAAAAAATATTTTTTAAAAAAATTTATATATAAATTTTTTTAAAAAAAAAAAATTAACCCCCTCCGTGAGTGAACAAAATTGTTTTGTTCACTCACGGAGGGGGGGGAGTAAAGTACTTTGATGATTAATTTCGTGAAGATTATTAAAAAAACGATAAATTACTCTTAATTTGCCAATTCAAACTATTAATTTTCATAAATTATAATAAATTTTGTAATATATGAAAATCGTTCGATCAAGGATGAGCTAATTTTCTAATTTTTTAGGAATTTTTCAATGGAGTCGTTCGATCAAATATGGGGGGTAAGTAAATTTATAACATACTAATGATATCATTATATTTCGAAAATTTTGTCTAATAAGTATTAGTTTTTTGTTGTATCTATTTTTTCATTTTGTTTTTACCAGTTTCTGCCTGCTCGCATATCTAAATTCGCATGCTAAAAAATTGCTATCAAATATCAAAATTTCGTGAATTAAAAATGAATTTCCATATTAGATGGTTTATTTTATAAAAATAATCTTTAAGATGAGTGTCTTTTAAATTCGATTTATATTTATGTTTACAATTAATTTAAGTTTCTTTATAATTGATAATTATATTTAAATTATTAAAATAGAAATATAATCTGTCCTTTTACAAAGTCTTCGAGAATTCTTCTATTGTAACTGCTCGGTACTAGGATTAGGATTATTAAAGTCAGGCGCTAGCCATTTTGGTGACTGCGTCACCAAAGACCTCCCGTACGGGATGTTCTACCACTTTTTGACTCCAGCCCAGAGGGTCTATCCCTCTTGCGAGTGCCCTTCCGGTGCCTTCTGTCTCCTCCTTGCCTTAAGGCTTGTCATGAGTGATGCATGAATTAGGATTAGGATAACTGCTCGGTACTAATTATAAAATTTCAAAACTTGCTTATGAATTAAAATTATTATTTAAATTTTGATAAGAATACCACACGTTTTAATAGAACAAAATTGGTTTCATTAATTATTTTTTAAGCTTTTTTGATACTTCCAAATGATTTTGTCTTTAACAGAGATATTGAGGTCTTTCTCACAAACTTCATCCCAATCCCATTGGGAATTATTTATATAGACGACCCACATTTGTCCTTTATATGGAGAAGTCTCATTTTCAATTTCAATTCCCATAAGTTTCTGCACGAAATACTCGAACCTGTCCTTTGATTTATTATATCTGGATATGAAATTTGAATCTAACTCTTCATCAAACTCAGTTTCAAAGCATAATAAATTCATCAGCGTGGTGAATGATATTTTGTCCTTGAATGCTGGATACTTATACTCATAGCAGTTTCCTTTGTTTGGCAATTGAATTTGGATAATAAAGTCATTTTCATATGGAAGTTTTAGGTCATATTTCTGCTTTTCATGGACTCCAGATTGAGCAGAGACAGATGTTGAACTTCCCATTATTTTTATAAATTTCACCATTTTTCAAAAATAATTCAACTTTTGGCAGGCGAATAAATGATCATATAATGGATTTATTACTGATTACGTGGAGTAATGATATGACGAAAATGGACAATACTAATGAATTTTGATAATAATGGACATTTCCTGTTAAGTTACTGGATTTTTATATCATACTTTAGAAAGATTCGAATGTGCTTGGAGCATTTCACTGATGATTACAAGGTTTACTGAATACTATATCATGCAGAGTATGTATTATACTTAAATAATTCAATTATTAATTAATAAAGAAAGTTAACTTCAATCTCTAATTGACTACTGAAATATTTCTTAATCTATAGCGTGTAAAGAATTTTCTCATCAAAATGTTTTTTGAACTCTAGCCCTGTTTCTTGTCCGATTAGCTCTTTAAACTTCCTGCCAATCTCCATTGCAATATTCTCTTCAATTGTGTCTATCCATAGACAAATTCTGAACCGTTTCATGCGAACGCACATTTCGGTTCCACAAATATGTGGCATCAGCTCAAGAAAAAAGCATCCAATTAATCCAAGTTGTGTATTCAGCCATTGCTCATTGATTTTTTCCATGTATTCTGTTCTCAGAATTCATGCTCCTCCATTGGCGTTTGCTGGATGCTCCCATTCAGGTAAAACGTCACCTTTAAACAGGTAATAGTCTCCTCTCCCATAAATGTCTGTAGGGACTTTGATGTTATTGTAAACTTGCCAAAACTCTTCAGCTTCTTTAAATGTCCCTATTTTCTTTAAACGCTCTTCCCATGCTTGAAGAGTTATTTGTTGGCTGGTTTTTTTCTTGCTTCTTGTCACATAAAGTGACCAAGGATATTCGAGTTCGTGTCCCATTTTATAAGTGCATATGGGTTATATTAATTTTTAGATCAAAGGTCATAAATCTGAATAATTTTATAATTCTAATCATTTCTTAGCTTAAAATTATGATTTTAATGAGCTTCTTACTCCCATCCATCCGTGAGTGACTGGAGGAGGTTAAAAATTTTATATATAAATTTATAGTATTTGTTTTTCAAAATTTAAACAAATCCCAATTCGCAAAAGCAGATATTAATTTAATTTGTGAACTATATGTTTTAAAATGCAAGCTGTTTTAAATTAAAGCTGAGATTTCATTATTCTAATTATCGCTTATATAGCAAAATATTTTTTCATAAAAAATTTTTATTTTAAATAAATTTTTGTTCGCTCGCGGAGGGTTGGTTTTTACAAAAAATAAGGATTTTTTCAATGGTTTTGTTCGCTCACGGAGGGGGAGTTAGGAGATTTATTCATAAAATGCATAAAGTTTCTTTTATTTTGATCTAATATGTTTTATATGATTTCCTTTTCATAATTAAAGCATCGCAAAAACAGAATATTCTACAGCGTCTAAAGTATGGCATAACTTATCAATAGTCGTGGGATAGCATGAAGTTCTTATGCTCATGCTTTATAAAGGGTTGGTCTTTTTGGTCTTGATTTCATAAACTCCTTTAATTTCACTGAATCTACAAAATCTTGCTCTTCTTTTAATGTTCTATTGAAATTGCCTTAAATAACAACTCAATTTTATGAAAATTATTACATTTTAAGCTTAAGCAAAATTAAGTTTGAAGCTATTTTAAAATGGATCAGCGAATAGTCCAGTAACGATGCTTTATAAAAATGCACCAGCATCTATTACAAATATTAAATGGCCGACACAAAAGCAATCATCTCTAACGGTTCTCCACTAGAAACCATAGGAAGTTCTCTATTAACAATCTTTATAGCTGAAATAGGCGACAGAACATTTTTTATTATTGCGGTTTTAGCTATGACATACTCAAGATCTGCGATTTTCTTACTCGCTTCTTTAAGAGCTTGAAAAGTTTTTTTTTTTCACTCTTTAAGGGGTTAATCATATTATCTTTTCAGATTTTCATATACTTGCTAATGTCGTTTATAAGATTTATAAATATTTTTAAATCTATTAAAAGATTTATATATATAAATATTCTTTGTATAAATGTTTTTATATATATAAATATTGTGTATTAAGAGATCTACAGCTAGTTATATTAAATTTTAGATTAATTTGTTTGAAATTAGTATTTTCCAATGGTTTTGCCGCTCTTGAAGAAAGTGTGAGTTAGGAAATCAACTAGCTATGACATTTATTGCTGCAGTTGCTGCCTTTATCGGAGGAGCTGTGATTTATTTGATTGATCCTTTCTGGATTGCAATTGCTTCAAGCGTGATGTTTTTGGTTTATGCAATTTTATCATTTTATGAAGCATATGCAGGAGAAAGCGAAAAAATTGAAGGAGCTAATCATGAACCTCTGATATCATACCCAACATGGTTTAAAACCTTTTGGAAAACTGCAGCAATGGTATTTTTTGCTGAATGGGGCGACAAATCAAACACAAGCATCATGGCCCTTGCAGCACTTTCAAATCCTGTCTTTGTCGCTATTGGAGCAATTATGGGATTTGCAGTCATCGGATTTTTAGCAGTAATCCTAGGCAAAGTGATTGGGAAGCACATTCCTGAAAAAATCGTAAAAATTGCAGCAGGTGTTTTGTACTTGATATTTGCTGTATTAACATTGGCATTTCTATTAATATAAATAATTAACACATTTATGAAGATTAAGCTTAATTTAACTACAGCATTGATTGCTGGGTGGAGGTTTATGTCTCTGGCTTAAAGTTTCTGTGGCTGCTACGTTGTCTTGAAGAGCTGTCGGGTCGCGCAGAATAATCATTTCTGAAAGGGTATTAAAAGCCTCTACGACATTTTTACCACTTTTAGCGCTGACCATGATAAAAGGAATCCCATATGAGTCTGCAAGGGCCTTGCCTTCAGGAAAATCGTTTTGATCTATCAGGTCCATTTTATTCCCCACGAGAATAATTGCAACTTTAGGGTCTGCTTTTGCACGAATTTGTTTCATCCAGCTTTCCACATGTTCTAAAGAAGTCTTATCCGTCAAGTCAAATACCAAAACAATTCCATTAGCTCTTCTATAAAAGGTGCTGGCAAGAGTTCGGTGGTATCTTTCTTGTCCAGCAGTATCCCACACTTGCAATTTTAATGCTCTGCCTGAAATTTCAGTGTATTTTGTTTTGTATTCTATCCCAATTGTAGGCATTGTAGTTTTGGGGAATTCGTCGTCTGAAAAACGTAGCAAAATTGAAGTTTTGCCTACACTTGCATCTCCTAATGTCAGTATTTTTAATGTGGGAAGCTCTTCCATTTAATAAATTATAACTCTAATATCAAGAATAGTGTCCATTTTTATAAATTTGATAAGATTTTAAAAATATAATTTCTTTAAATCCATTTTCGGTATTTTTAAGCAATGAGAGTAGGGAAAAGCTTTTTAGATCATAAAAGTCGATTTAATTAGGCGTTAAATAAGTTTATTGATATTTTATATTGCTGTAATTTAACATAAACTTTTGCTGTAAAATAATTGCAATTAATTATAAGATGCAGTTTGTATATAAAATTGCAATTGCGTAAGAAATGCAAAATACTTGAATATAAATAATTTATTTTGTAGCCAAGCAGGATCACTGCTTCAATAATTTCATTATTATCAATATTTGATCTTCCTATTTTTAACATTTATTTGCAAATTCAATCTGTAATTTATCTGTAACTTTTTAGTAAAAAAATTATATTATTTTATAATTATGGGATTAATTTTTAGGTATGCTGTTATTTTTATATTTTAACCTCGATATATAATAAGAAATTTTAAATAAAATATCTAAACATTGTCATATTTTGAACAGTTCATTATTACTTCCCCATTCAAGAGTGAACAAAAACTATATTGGAAAAATCCCTATTTTTTGTCCACAAACCCACCTTCAAATAAAAATTTGTTTTTATAAAAATTTTTAAGAAAAGACCTTTTGATATATAAGTGATAATTAGTATAAATCAAATCTCTAGCTAATTCTGTTTAATTTTTAAACAAATGTAAAAAAATATAATAAATATTTGCTTTCCAATTTTTGCGTTTAGGATTTTTTAAATTTCGAAAAAAAAATTACTATAAAATTTATATATATATAATTTTTTTTTTAAAAAACAAACTTAGCCTCCCTTCATAAGCGAACAAAATTTTTTGTTTACTCGTAGATGGGGAGTTAATAAAATGCCAGCTATCTTCTTCGCTCAGCCAATTTTTAAAATCTTCCAATTTTTGGTCATTTTTGCGATATCTGGATCCTCTGAAATTTTAATAGTATACTCAAACTTTACAAAAAGTGCTCTACCCGGCTTTATGGCTGATATAAGATCATCTTATAAAGATATGATCGATATTTTTTATTGTGATATTTTTTTTTTAGATTATGAGCTTTCTCAGCACTCGAGTTTAAGTGCACTTTTTGACATTACGAATAGTATAAGTTATCAATTCGAGATCTGTAAGATTTCGGAAGCCAATTCTCTTGCCCATTTTTTGGTTTCTGACAGGCTGCCCTGCCAAAATAAATGAACATTTTTACTGTCAAGTTCTCAAAAAGATTTAAATGAAGCATTCATTACAGTTTTGTCTTACTTTAATTGAACTGATGGGGTAGCAATTAGTGATGTAGAAAAGCATTCAAGCTTATCTATGGATTCGAAATATTTTTCAAGGATAAATATATTTACTGCTGAATCACATACGCAAGTTGAAGATTTAGTTGAAAGAAAAATAATGGGTTTGGGTTCATCTTTATTTTACTTATTTCTCGATAAGGAGATCTCAATTGAATTCCAGAAAAGTTTAATTACTTCAAAGCTATTGGTAGCTGGAGCAGGGATCTTGCTGATCCAAGATAGCAGCTATGATTCAAATCTCGAAGGCTCTCTCGCAATTGTGGATAAGGGAAAAGAGCATATAAACTCAAAATCAAATTATTTATTGGCGACATTTTCAGAAATGATAAAAATTTTGGGCAATATCTCAAGCTCAGAGGACGCACTAAAATTAATTTCAAAAGCATGCCTAAATTCCTATTGTGTAACTGAGTTTTCACTTATAAATATTCATAAAGGACAAAGAAAAATCGTCGGCTCAATAAAAAGCAGCAAATTAATACTAAATGCATCAATTATATTTCCAGGCAATTCTACTGAAATTCCTAAATCATCAAAAAAAATATTGTATTTTAGTGCAAGTAATGGCCCGACCGATCCTGGAGGAAATCCGCAACCATCTTGCCCCATTAATGCTAGAGGTATCACATTAGCTGTAAAAAATGTGAATACTATTGGAGATATATTGCAAAATTTTTATTTAAAACTCAATGATTTCGATTGTGGAGTTGGCATCTATAACCCTGCTTTTTGTCTAGCTTGCTTTGGAAAAGATATAAGCAAATTGGGTTTAGCCCATGTTGGTGGACTCACTTCAGGGATGGCTTTAGGAGAAATCGAAACATTTAAGAAACTGAATGTTACTATTCCTATGGTTAGTGCGACAAATACTGATACTGTATTAAGCAATTCGACTTTTTTTCCATTTTATTCAAGAGTTAGCTTGTCTAACTATGGATATTATGCCCAAATCCCATTGCTATTAAAAGCTATGGGCTGAAATAGCATGGCAATAATATATCAAAACATCAGTAATGGGATATCAGTGAATCATTATGTCTCACAAACAGCTGCAAAACAGAACATAAAAATCCTTAATAGCCAAAGGGTAATTCCAGCCTCCACGAATCGAGAACAGCTTCGAAATTGAACGAAACCGTTTCAAGAGGTCATAGACCTGCATGTCAGATTCGTATTTTTGGTCTTAAATGCTCCTCTATGCAACTATGCTCTTGAACTATTTTATGATTTAGGAATAAGGAAAGGAGATATTTTTATATTTTCCTTCTATTCAGATCAAATAAATTCAATTGCAAATGATGATGACTACAGATATAAAAGGCTTGAAATTGGGATTCCATTGATGATTGCACTCCCTACAAATTTTGTAGGTAATAAGGGAAAGCAAATTTATGATGAGCTTTATACAGAATATAATAAGACTGAGCCGGGGCCATATTCTTGTCCTTATTATGATGCAGCTTATTTGATTGGAAATGCTCTGGAATGAACGATTAGCAAAGGAGCTGATTATAGCGATCCTGTAATCCTCCAAAAATCGATAAGAGATATCAAGTTCATCGGATGCACCGGGACTGTATATATACAAAAAGGAAGTAATGATAGATTGCCAAGCAGTATCACTGTACAAGCAAATTCGTATAGTCCTGAGACAGGGATAACTGTTTACACTGTAGGTTATCTCAGGCCATATAGTTCAACAGTATTAACGATTATTCATCCTATCATTTATTCAGATGGAACTATTAATAAGCCTACAGATTTTAGAGTGACAAGAACAGATTGTCCATTTGATAACAAATTAAAGAGAGTGTTTCCAAAAGGCCGAGCTCTAGTTTTTGGAATTTGCTTCTTTGTTGCTTTGGTAACTGCAATTGCGACCTTTATAATTTGACGAAAATGATGGAATATAAAGGTTGATGAGCTGATGAAACGCCAAGAAATTTCAATCCAAGATTTTATTGTTGGTCTTAGCATTGGAATTGAATTTTTCCAGCTTATTGCAATGGGTCCTGATATTCGACCTATAAACTCTTTTATTGCTGATATTGGAGATCTTACGTCATTGGATCTTGGAACCTTTGTAAAACTTCAAAATGGGGTTTTTTGGTGGCTTTTAACTGTAGTCATTTCTTTATGTGCACTTTGAATTTTGCTTTGTTTTGAAGTTTTATATCAACTTGACGAAAAATATGGGAATATCTGATTTTTTAAATTTTCAGGCTTTTTAGCTGACAATTTAATGCCGATATTAGGAAATTTATGTTTCATTCCATTTGTTTCCACTCTCCTAGATGTTTTTGTATGTGATGAATCAATTGGGAATAACTTTACTGAAAGCTACCTTGCAAATGATTGCTATCAGTTTTGTTGGCAAAGTACTCATATAGTATATGTAGTTTTATCATCATTTGCATTAATTTGCTATGAGCCTTTTGCAGTGTTTTGCAGGCCTCTTTGGCAAGAACTGCAATCCAATCTGCATGTCAAATCAATTCCATTGTATCTCATGACGAAAACAATTATTCAAGTAATTTTGGTAGTCATGAATAAAACCTTGAAAAGGGGCAGCAAATTGGCTCATGGGTTTGCGTTTACTGCTGTAATAATTTTTAAAGTATGCTTTATATGGAAATTCAAGGCTTATAACTATGGGAGATTCAACTGGTGGCAACTATTAAGCTTGATTGGAGTTGCCTGAATTGCATTTCTAGCAACTTTTGGATCACTCTATACAAATTCAAATTTCCCATACACAGCATTAATTGTATGTGGTTGGATTTTAATCACTTCTGTGGGACTTTTTGTTCAGAGAAAGAAATTCCCAAGCTTGCTATTCAGAAAGAAAGGGAAGGATACTTCAACGTTATTCAGATTCGCATTCACTTTTGGAAAGAATTCAAGAGTACTTAAATCGAAAATTACACCTCAAACCCTAGACTGGATCAAAAATTATTAGCTCTGCGCTTGAGATCATGAGAAAGTCCATATCCTCAAGAAATATTGAAGAAGCTTTAGCTAAATTTCCTAGAACTTTTATTATAATGCTCTATTTTTTTTAAATATCAATAATATCTATTAGTAAAATGCCATTAAAGAATTATCCATCTTTAATCTTTGAGACCCAACCTCTGCCTGCTTCAAACCCATTTCTGTAGTTTCTGAAATCGTCAAGGCTTTTTCTATTTCTTCACGACTGTTCAACTGCTAGAAATATTTTCAGACCTAGAGCATAAGTTAGTTCATTGATTTATACAATCAGATAATAAGATATAGATCTTCAGCTCATCAATTTTGTTAAGTAATACTCCTCAGCCTCTTGATTGGTGTTATACTCGTTAAAAAGAATTTCTTTTTTACATATAAAAATAATATCCTTTTACGATATTTATAAAAATTAGCTTAATAACTCTGTCTCAGTACTGCATTCTAGTTATAATATTTTTAAAGTTTCATATGAATTATTCAAAGACTAGGTCTAAGCTACGGAGCTAAAGATACTTCTTGCTTTGGTATTTTTTTCCATTTTGAAACCTTTATATCACATTCAAGCCCTATAAATTTAATAATAGTTAAATCGAAATGATCGTATATGATAATAAACTTGTGAACTTGAAATAAAATATATAAAATCAAGTTATTTCTAAATTATCAGCACATAAAATAATGAAACTTCAAATTCTTTAAGTTTGTTAATATAAAATCAAAAAAATAGTTATATGCTACTCGCAATTTTATGATTTATCACCTATTCAACATCAGATGCCTTGCAATTAATGAATCAAAACTCAAATATCGTATATACTCAATTCCAAGTAACTAATGACATGATTACATCAAATCTTACAATTGAGCTATCATCCAAGTCTTCAAGTGTCCCACTCATATTGCTAGTTAAAAAAGAAGGAAAACCAAACTTTTATTATGATATTCCATCTGATACCTATTTTATTGATGCGGACTATGTTGATTTTCAAGCATGAATTCAAAACTCTGCCAATTCTTTTATTACTATACACCAATCTGATTTATCTGTTGGAAGCATTTACTACATTGGAATTTATTCAGAAATCTGAGATGTTTCTTATTATATTTCAATATATCCTAAATTAAACAGCGTATGCCTTCCAGGATGCGTCTCTGCAAATTATAGCAGTTGTGAAGGAGGATCTTGCTCATGTGGAGAAAAATACTCAGGTAATGATTGCTCAATACTTTATAATATAACAGAAATTGATGAAAACAGCACTTTTTCCTTGTCTCCGAGTGAATGAAAATTTTTTGCATTTTCTATTTCAGATAGCTACGGTTTTACTACTACTCTTGAAAAGCTCTCTGGAGACCCAAAATTTTATTTCTATCCTTATTGGGCTGATCCATATCTTCCAAGCATGTTCTATAATTTATTCTCAGCATCATTTGAAAAAACAAAAACTCATTTATCAGTGGATTATGATAATTCTCACTGAGATTTGTGGACTTATTCTGTAAATTGCAGAGGAGAAGCCAACTGCGAATTTGCTATCAAAATTACTACATATTCCGATTCTTCAGGTAAAAATTTGATTTGGATAATAGTCGTTGTAGTAGTTGTTGTCTTTGTTGTATGTGTCTTAATACCAATTGCTATCAGGACTATGATTAAGTTTAGATCAGAAAGATTAGCACAAATGCTTTATGATAGACCTGCAAATCCTTTAACTCCTGAAGAAATGGAAAAGTTATATCCTTCGGTAGCATGATGTAGCTTAGAGAGAGAAAAAGAAACTTGTTCAGTGTGTTTAGAAGAGTTTGAAGGTGAAGCAAAAGTTAGGAAGTTAATTTGTGAACATATTTTTCATGTGAAGTGCATAGATGAATGAACTCAGACTAATGCAAAGTGTCCTCTGTGTAAAAAGGTATTAAATGGAGAAAATCAAGATGAAGATATCTCAACGTCATCAAGAAATCCTGCACAGCCGGAAATTCAAAGAGAAGAAGAAAATAAGGAAAATGAAGAAAATAAGGAGGCTGAAGAAGAAAGGGAAGAAAGCGAAACGGAAAGAAGAAAAAGAAAAAAAGAGAAAAGAAAGAGAAGAAAAAGAGAAAAAGAAAGTGAAAGAAATGAAGAATTAAATGGAATTGAAGAATTTAAAGAAAGTACAAGAGAAGATAATAATGCTGAAGAGAGCGAGGTAAGAAAAAGACATAAAAAGAATAAGGGCCAGAAAATTGAGAGTAAGGAAGATAAGTCTTTTAACTAAAAATTGATTTTAACTATATTTTACATATTTTATAGAATAAAAACAAAATGTGCTTTTAAATTCAGATTTTCAGTCTACTCCTCCGTGACGAGTAAAAACATTGAAGATTTTCTAATTTTTCAGGAAAAAAAATATATATGAGCTAGTTCTATTGAATTTAAATAGCTTAATTTAAAACAAAACATTTTCGAATTTTTTTAAATTTTTACCCTTCAATTTTTGTCATTGGGATTCTTTCAAATTTTCTAAAAAGTGCCCACCTTCCGTGAACGAGCAAGTTTGTTTGCTTGTTCAAGGAGAGGGGGAGTTAATAATTTATTGCAATGCTTTGATCACATCTGCCAAGATTTGCATCCACCTAGCCAGGGCATTAGATCTATAGTTCGCCTAGCCTCGATCGCAATAGCGTGCTTTCCAACAATGCTGGATATTTAGGGAACTGCCTTTCAGAGTGAGTCAATGAAGCATGCTAAAGGTTCCAGTTTCCATCAGCAGGGTCTGGTTTGACACTTTGCAAACACTTACGCTGCTCATTGTGGGCTCTTCTCTCCTGTCATATCTAGGACAAATCTTATCGATAAAGCAATTTCTAAATAACAACTTGATAGGGGAGGAATTTATGTCTGGAAGACAGAAAAATTGAACGGCACCATATTTGATTTTCAGAATTTCAGCTCATATTCGAAAATCTTTATTATAAATAAAATCTTAATAAAACTGGCTCTTCAAGATTATACATTGATTTCAATAATAAGAATTATGCTTATTTCTACGATCACAAATTTTTCGATTTTGCCTACAACCTATGATATTTCCTTACGATTTAGCAAATATCTGCTTAATTTTTCCATAAAAAATAGTTTGTAGCACTCAATATCTATTAATAAAACTTTTTTCATATCTTGTCTCAACTTTTATCCAAAATGACCCCCATAAATTTAATACAAAATAAGTCCCTATTATAACTAAAAATATACCGAAAAAATGTTCAATTATTATTTAATATAGCCTAAAATCATTAAAAACTCTTTTGATTCCCTAAAAATACTCTAACTAAGCTTGAATTATCATGCTGATATTTCTATCCTCTTTCTCCTAAATCCTCCAATAATATTTCAGATCGTTAAAAAAATGGCGTTTTTGGTACCAATTTAAAAACACGATTATAATTAATATGGCAAAAACAAAACAAGCAAGCAAAGTAGCACCAAAGAAAGCAGCAGTTAAGAAAGCAGCACCAAAAAAAGTCATTACCAAGAAGGCAGCAGCTCCTAAAAAGGCTGCAGTCAAGAAGCAAGCAGCAAAGCCAAAAGTTGAAAAGAAAGAAGAAGCTAAAGTAGAGCCAACTCCTGCTCCTGAGCCAGTTGTAAAGGCCACTCCAAAGAAAACCCCTGCTAAGAAAGCACCAAAATCTTCAGGGAAAAAAGTTCCGCCAAAATCCCCTAAATCCCAAAAATCTCCTAAATCACCAAAAGTTGCACCAGCACCTGCCCCGAAAGTAGATGAGAAAAAGACACCTGCAAAAGCTGCAGACAAATCGCCAAAGCCAAGCGCTAAAAAATCTGAGCCAACACCAAAGAAGACCACAACCCCTAACTCCCCGTTTAAATTGGAACAAAATATCGATAATATTTCCATTTTTTGAGTACTTTAACCCCTTTAAATCGGAGCAATTTTTTATAATAGATAATTTTATAGGTGAATTAATAATTTTATAAAATTAGATTTGACAAAGTTAATAGAAAAAAATGCAATTAGAATATTATTTAAACAGTTTTTTTATTATTTTTTTTGAATTAATAAAATAAAAATATTGTTTTAATTTATATTTTTTAAAAATATTAACCCTTTAAATTGAAACAGAATTATTTAACAGGGGGGAGTAAGAAAACACCAGTAAAGACACCGAAAAAGACCCCAGGAAAGTCAGCAAGCAAAGCTTCAGCTTCAAAAAGTGTTAGGTCTTCAGGAAAAGCTATTAGTCGGAGAAGATAAATTGATTAAATAATACAGCTTTCCATTTATTAAAAATATGAATTTTATGCAGGCGCTATAATTAAATTAGATAAGCCACTGATTTGTAACACCTCGTCTCCAGAAAATGTAGAACACGCAAGATAAATATACGCCCAAGTATAAATACAGCAAGGCCCTGCCAAAATTAAGTATTTAACTTCCTTGGTTAGAGTTACTCACCTTCAGCTATCTCTCCCAGCGACAAAAGTATATCACTTTCTATTGTAGGAATAAGCCATGCCTGCTCTACAAGCAGCCTTAGAGTTCGACTTCTTTAAACACCACCATTTTATTTCTCCATATGCATATAAGCTAAGTTATAAGTTATGCTGGCCATAAGTGGGTAAACCCCACTAGCTGTCGCCAATCCCTGCTCCAAAAGGTTGCCCATATTGATTTCCAACCTGAACCACCTGTCCAAGGGATCAGCTTCCTAAGGCAGAGCCCTGACGGTCCTGATGAGGAGAAACCATGTGATAGGCAAAACCAGTCTAGTCTATCTGGCAAGGACAGGAACACTTTAGGGGGATAAACAAAACTTCCCTCTTTGGCAAGTCTTCACCAAGCCTAAAGGCCTAATTCAAAAAGGGACAGAGGCCTCATCAGAATGATCCTCCTACTTCCTAATGAATGCACCTCGGAGTCTAATTTCTGTCAACTTTACCATTTTATTTCTATACAGGCACATGGAATGTTTAATTTATATATATTTTATTGTCTAAATCGCAATAATTAATTCTTATGAATCTTTATATAAGAAGTATGACTTTTGCATTCATTAATAAAGCTTAAGCTTCATTAACCTCTAAATTAAAAATAAGCAGTAATTTAATAAAATATTGTCTTTCTAAGAATATTTAAGTATTCTCTTAAAATAAACTAGGTTTATATTAATTATTCAGTTTTATTAAAAGTTAGAATCAAAACTTAATTTTAGAAGAATTTCCACAGCTAACGACTATTTTTCCACCAAAATAAGCATTGTAATAAAATCATAATATGAAGCTCAAAATTCTCATTTAGAATACTCATAAATTCAAATTAAATAAATTCTTGATTTCCAAATTTAAAGCAAATTCAAAGATGATATTATATGATTTAGAATTTAAATTATGAGTCGTAAATCAATTTTCTTTACTTTGCTTTTTGAAAATATAAAAATGAAATTCGTTTCAATTTTATTCTTCATCCATATCGTGACAACTTCTGCCCTCTCCATTGGCTCTCACGATTCCTTTCTAGATCCGGGCAGAATCACATGACCAAAAGAAAACTGAGTTAATAACCCTATCGAAGTTTCAAAAACAAATGTTGGCTCGGTCGTTTCCATTACTATCTCTTTCAGACCTTCCACAAGTCTTTCTTCTTCTATAATTGAAGTCATTTTTCCATCAACTTTCATTACCCGCTCTCTAATAATCAATTCAAGCTCTTTAATAGCAAATACTGACACTTCCGTTTATTATTCAGGACTAAAATTACCAACAACAGTTGGCGCTCATGGACCTATTGGAGTCGTTTCAAGGTCTTCACAAACTGGACAAATTTACGATATAAACTATATTTTTGGATTTATAGCGACTTCTCCTATAGCTACAACAGATGATTCTCTACTGATTTCAACTGTCAGCGGTTATCATACTCCTGCTGTAAAATCTACTGATGGACTTTATTTTATATTCACTTTAACAATAAATTTATGAAAGCATGATATAATTGAAATAATTCCAGATGATAATTGGACTCCTTCATCAACTGTAAGGTGTAATTCACAAGACATACCTGGAATAAAAAATGTTATATATGGCCCAAATTCTGATAATAAATTACCGTGTGCATTAGCAGAAAAAAGCTCTTCTATAACAGGCCCAAAATATAAAGCAGGACAGTCTGGGAAAAATAGCATTTATATTTATGGGATTTCTCAAGATGTTTTTCTTAAAGATGGATCACTTCCAGTAATTATTAGAGTCTCAACATTTACTTTGCCTGGGTACACTAGACTTGCAACACAAGAGAGCTGGAGCATAAACATATGGAGATGGGGAACAAATACTTTAATTGCTCAGTATACAGCTTTAATTGGACCTGTTAGTACAGGAGCAGGGGCGATTAAGCTTAGCAGCTGAGCACCGGTTAGCAGTATTTTGGCAAGCGACATACCAGCTGGAGCAACTATCTTTACTAAAGTCACTTTTACAAATCCACATGAAGTCCCTTCAGGAGGGAAATGTATTATAAATTTTTCAAATGTTGATATTAAAACTCCAAGCTGGTGGTCAGATTTAGATGGATCAAATTCGCAAAATTCCTTATGCTACTTAACAACCTATATTGAAGGTGCTTCTTGCACTATTGATTCCAAAACTCAAGTAACCATAAAATTTTCCATTGGAAAGCCCTCACCCTCCTTTAAATTGGAACCAAAAATCCTGTTCCAATTTAAAGGGGGTTAATCTATTTTAAAACAAAATATATATATTAAATTTTCTTAATATTAAAAAATATAAGTTGAATGCAATATTTTGAATTTAAATTATTTTATGATTAATTCAAAAAATAAATCTGTTTAGTGTGAATTGTTTAAATGATATTCTATAAAATTCATTAAATTAGGTCAAAACTAATTTTACTATTTAAAAAATAAAGTTAGTTTTAAATTAAAGGGGAGGGGGAGTTAGGAGAAATGTCTATTGCCCTTCTAACCACTTTTTCAACTGCTGCAAAAATCAACTCAATCACAACTTATACGTCATCTCTCTATAAAATTGATGCTCTAAGTAGCGGAGTATTTTGAAAACTCAGCTCAAGTAACTTTTTGCTCTCAAAATTCCAATATCACGCATATAAATCTGCTGTGTCAAATAAATATCCGTCAATAGGCTATAACACAACGTGGTCAAGTGGAGATTTAATAGGTGCTGACCAATCGAAGGATTTGTATTGGGCAATTAAATCGCATGCAGGAGTTGCATGGACTGAGTCGACACTAATAAAAGTTTATCTTCCGATGTCTACATCTCTTGCTCTAACTGAATCATATATTGATAGTTCAAATGTGTATGACTTGATTGATCTTTTTACAGCTCAACAGTATTTAAGTTCACATACCTCAGCTACTTATACCCTATCTATAAAGACTAACTCAATAATTATATATTCTCTATGTATAGAATTTATAAAGAAGATTTATAGCTAATTTATATATTCAATTCTAAAAAGTGCTTATGTTATTAATTTTTTTAAGATATTCATTTATTTTTATATATTATCCAAGTGCCTTGCTAGCAGGTCATTATCTTGTGTTTTCGTATAGTGGAAATTCTGCTTTACCATATGTCCAGTCAAACTTAGGAACTTTTTATGAGTGCTGGGCTAAAGTGACTACAGGGACACAAACTGAAATAGGAAGCTCAGTTTTCAGTGCTTTCACAACTGATTATTTAGGTGTAGGATTGGCTACACTTCCTCTGTGTTCTGACAATAATGCTATTGGTATCCCAATTCTAATAACTTTTATTGCAAAAATAATGGCTATTGATTTTACATCAGAAAGTAACTTATTTGCAGTTGAAATAGAAATATTCAATGGAGGAAAGTTAGGACTAAATATAAATGATGGCGACTTAATCCCTATTTCTTCTAGCGTAAACGGAACCTATGCATCCTTAACTGTTAGCAGCAGCGGTTCCAGCATCATTAAAGTTCGAGGACTTGGGGTTGTGAGTCCATCGACAAGCACCATAAAAACTTTTATTGCTACTGGAGATATTACATCCTTGCCATCATTTCAGTCAGTAATGACTGTTTACTATACAAGATTAAGTGATCCTACTTTACATTATGTCTTATATAAAAGCACAAGTGGCTCAATAGCTTTAGGTGGATCTTCTCATTTATTTGATGCCAGCTCTGCATCAACATCAAGCTCATGGACAGTTTCAGAAATAGGTGGTCTTTTAATTACTGGAGCTACTCTTACAACCCCAACCTCATCAGGAGATTATATAGGGATAAATCTTCCATATGGCTTTTCTATTTCTTCTGATCCGATTTTTCAAATAAACAATTCTCCAATGAGCTCATTATATTATGCATCATCTTATACTAATTATAATAGTGTTGGATTTATATTAGGTACTGCTTCTACGTCATTTTTTAATACTCCAACAACAATTTCTCTGACGAATATTAGAGCGCCATATAATTCTGGGTCATTTAGCTTTAATATTTTTAGTGCGACAACAGTGGGAGGAGCTTGCAATTTAGCTGATGCCACTCTTACAAATACAGTCAACCCTGGAATTATAAATAATTATGATATTTCTTGCTCTCCAAAAGAAATTTATACTCGTGGGCCTGATTCAGCTGATACTGAAATGACGATTTCGGTAAAAACTATTCATGATATTCCAGGAAATGGAAAAATAGATATAGCGCTGGATTCGAATTGGCAGTATTTCGATAACAATTGTGAAGTTGAAGGCCTTGATGACTATGATGATACTACTAAAGTTAATTGTGCGATTTCCGGAACCAGCTTAGAAATAACAGGGTTTAGTAATTTTATAGCTGGAGAAATTATTATAAATATCTTGCACACTTTTCCACCCTCCTCTGGGTCTACTGCAAATTGTGTGAGCTCAATAGCAACTTATGGCCTATGAAATACTCCTATTGACACTGCTTCATCTTTATCTCAGCAAATTTCACTAATTTCTTCATCTTTACCAGGAACTTGTTATGGACTTTCTGCTATTGCCTACCCAAATTTTGCAGGAGCAAAAGATGTGGATATTTTCCTGACTTTTTCCTTTACAAAACCACTCCCATGGAACACAATAATTTATATATCTCCAGGTTTTTCTACCTGAACTCAGCAAGGAGACATAAAAGATTATTGCTGGTCAAATATTGATTACCTGTCTTGTAATATAAACAATGGAAAAATTGAATTGATTTTATCAAAAAAATTAGATGAATACTATACTGTGCAGATATATTTAGACTCTGCCTTAGATCTTCCTATAAATGCTGGGGTAACTTCAAATGGCTGACAAATTTCATCCTCCTGAAATTCTGTAACTATAACAAGTGATAGCTTGCCAGGGATCCCTTTCAAAGTAGAGCCCTCAATCAATGCGCAAATTTCTATATGAGGGATAAGTGTGAATGATAGAAAAAATACTGGAGAAACCACTTCGTATTCCTTCAATTTTTCAAGTGAAGTGGCTGTTGAAATTGGAGACTATTTTGTTATTCAATTTCCTAGAGACTTTGATGCATATATAGGAGATGCAGTTCAAAGCCTCCCTGATTGTTTTCCTGATGATTGATTCTTAGATTGCAGCTCAAGCTTGCTTGGAAAAGTTGTATGTAGGGTTGACCATTGGTATCTTATAGTAGATGAAATTTCGTATAGAGTGGCTGAAAATAAATATATAGACCTAACAGTTAATAGTGTCAAAAATCCTTCTGCAGGAGTGACTGGATATTTTAGCATATTGCAATATAATGAGTTGGAAGCAATCAAAGCTTTTATTGGCACCAAAAAAACAGTTTCAATTTCAGCTGCACCTAATTTAGTCACTTTTAAAGGAGTTTCTACAGAAAATACAGAGCTCTCTACAGATAGGGCTTCATATTTCTTTGATTGATATGCAACAGGAATATATGATTCTGACTATGTGTTTTATATAACTTTCCCTCCTCAATATAATTTGAAACTAAACCTCAATAGGGCTGTTGGCTGCATTCCCTCTTATTTTGACGACTCTAATAATCCGATTGCAGGAATGGCATGAAATAATGATGGTAGTTGCACAGTGTCTGGCTCCTCAGTTTTTATGTTAATTGCGCCTGGGGTGTCTAACTCCCTCCATGAAAGGGCAAAAAAACCTTAAATCACTCTTTGAGCCAGCGAAAAAATTTTATTAAATCTATTTTGATAAATAGTAATAATTATTATCTAAAATCTCTAGCTAGTTCTATTAAATAGCCTTGCATTCTAAAACATATTTTTATAAATTAAATTAATCTTTCTTTCCAAATTTTACGACTTTCCTTTAAATTTAAAAAAAAATTCGCTAAAAACCATAAAAAATTAAACCCCCGGGAGAGCGGGCACATAAATTTGCTCGCTTATAAGAGGGAGGGACTAAAGAATTTCAGTCTCAATCTCGTATCCGTTTAAATATTTATGACATTAATAATCCTGAGTGAGGATTGCAGCGTTTTGATGATTTATGAGATATCCAAGATCCATCCTCATTTGGCTGATATTCTTTATTTAGTGAGAAATTTGAGGTGAGCATCTTAAATACAAAGACTCATTTGGTCAGTTCTAGGTCATATGGAGTTCTTCATTCAGGATTTTTAGGATACTCATTAAACTCGTATCTTATTGATATCAATGGTTATGATCCGAAAACAATAGCAAATAAGGTCCAGATTATCCCTGGAACTCATAAATAAAATATGGCGTCTTCGTCTGGGCATGGCCTCCCGGCCATGCATACTCGACTTATATTTTATTTATATCCGTTAAGGTTTTACTACTTCAGAAATGGACAGCAATGCTAGGTAAGCAATTCTGCTGTGTTCAGAGCCTAGCCCAAGTCTAAATTCAGAGGTGGTTTTTTCCTCGTGGGGAAGATGAGTACGGAGGTTGGAAAGGGGAAGCCCAGCAGAGTCCCCTGGACCAATCGGGCAACTCCCTAGCGTGAAACTGGGCGTTACGTCCCAAGCTTTCGAGTTCTACCTTCTACCGACCAGAAAATCCATGTTTTATGGATTTTCGGAAAGGCAACCCACGTTGTGCGAATCCCTTGTTTGAGGCAACAAGGAGGGTGTCCGCCAAGGCCTCACCATGGGCGAAGAGCGTGAAGGGGTGCAAATCTCCGGCCCTGCAAGTGCGAACGGCTAATCTTAATCTTAATCTTAAATCCCTGGAACTCAAAGCAAAGATATACCGATTTACTTGGCATCAAATTGGCCTTTAAGGTCAAAATCGTTGAAAATCATGCCAAAAACTAATGAGAATTATCCAGATAATGGGAAACTTAGCTATACCTCTATTCACCATAATTGAATTATGTGGCAAATGGTGTCCAAAATATATTTCAGAGTTGCAGCAGATATAAGCATCGACAATGGAATTTATTGCATTGATTGGGATATTAAGGAAATCACACAAGAGAAAGTGGATAATCCGATTTATAGTGCACCACTGAGCTTTTTGGTTGAAGTTTGTAGTCAAGAAAATTCATTAGTTTCAATTAATGTAGCTGATATTCCAAAGCTATATATGGGAACTACAAGTATTCCGATAGCTATTAGTCTTGAGTATAATTATCTTGATTCAATAGGCTGATAAGGCTTGAGTTGCTTGATTCCTGGCTTTCTAATTGTCAACTTGCTTATGAAAAAAACCTAAATTCTAAGCTTTAAGATACTCAAGCCTTTATCAGCCTATTTTATATAAATAAGTATATGCTCCAGCCAATGATTTGATGATAAAATTAAATACTGATTCGCAAGAAATTTCAATTTATCCTTCAACTTTATCATTTTTACCAGACATTGATATATTGTACTTTCAGATTGAAGTTTCCCCTTCATACAGCCAAGGTGTAAACTATCCTAAAGTGAGCTTTACTTTAGAAGGAACTGATTTTTCTGCATATTCCACACCATCAGCAAAAACAGTCCGCGTAATAGAAATGGCAATTTCTACCCCTCAGGCTAAAATATCACTTGAAAGTGACATAGTTAGTGGCACTGAAGTTGTTATTACAGCGAATTCATTAGAAAATGGGGTAGTCTATTGGTATCTTTCTTGTTCTGGCTCAATTATTCCAACCTTCCAAGAGCTGTATAATCTTACTTCAGATCTTGTGATCCCTAATAGTCAAGCAACTCTCCAAGATAAACTTGATAAAGAATATGCTGCTACCGAAACCGATTATGATCCCAAAAAAGATCCAGACATCAGCTCATTCTTCCGTAGAAAACATTCCGAGCACTGCTCAACTTTTTGGGCTTCTTCTCAAGTTCTTTACTCAAAAGTGCCAATTCTGATTAATTTGAGTTTCCTGATGGCGGGCACTTCATATACATTTGCGACATATCTTGATAATAGACTGTCTTCTAATTTTTCTAGTTATATTCCAACCATAGAAAGTTTCACTACAAAACCGCTCCCGGTTATGCAAGCTTTTTCTGTTAATTTTCCTGGGGGTATTTCAACAACAAACACTGAGCCAATCAGATATATTTTGGGGAAAAATATGGGAATTAACCCAGATTGGCTTATAAGTGCAGGAGTAAAGACCGCATCTTCTAGAAGGCTTCAAAGCGAAGGCACCACGAGTTTTATTTATTATGTGCTATGTGACAGAAGTAAATCTTTTTATGACTCTGCTAAGATTATTGCTAACTTTAATAGTATCCAAGCTACAAATGAGCTAGCCAGTTTGGTCGGCATAAATCCAACTTATTCATGAAATGGAGTATCCTTAGGGGTGTCACCATTATGGACTGAAAATCCAATTTTGGCAGGCATAACCTACACACAAGTGACGTTTATTGCAACGCAAACGCAGGATGGGATCATTTGTGTATCATGCACCAGCTCAGAAATATCAAAAGCTACTTATGCCTGGCAAGTTATTGACTCACTTGATGGTAATTCAGCCTCTGCTCATGGAAATTGTATAAATAGTACAGCAGAGATAAACTCAACGCTTACTGTATCAAGTTTGAATCCTTCTACGAATTATACATGCCATTTTACTGCTTGCAATGACTATCCACTATGGCCGGCTTGCATTGAGGCAGAAAACGGTATTCCTTTGGCTAATTTAACAGTCGCAACTTTATCTGTAGAATTATATGATTTTGGAAATTTCATGCAAGTCTCTTTTTCATTGATTCTGATTATTAATTAATTACCTTTATAGTTAAAATTCTAATAGAATTACTAAATTTCGCTTTATTTATAAATTAAGTTTGCATTATTCTAGATATTCCAGCTTTTTCTCACTCAAATTGAACTTGTAATAGCAAAACTTTGAATACTGATTTATCCCACTTGAATAAATGCAGTCCTTATGAAAAGTTTTATAGTTTTGAATAGAGGCTATACATCCTGATATCTTTGTTTTCTTCCAGGAATATTCATTTCCGACCTCACTCTCATAAACTGTCTGTGTGTCATCAATCGCATAAACTTTGAAGTTTGCAATAAAAAGGATTTTTTCACCTCGCTTCAGCTCAATTGGAAGCTCAGTAAAGCTATCAATGATTGTGTCATATTGATATATTTTTGAATGCAAATTCCCTGTAACTAAAATACTTCGGTTAAATGGAACACAAGAACACCATCGAGAACTTGCTGGTAGGGGCTGTATACTGTACCATTTATTTTTGGTTAAATCAAACATTTCAGCAAAATTTGATGGCGAATTAGAATTTTTTGTAATACCTCCGAAAGCATAAACTGCGTTGTTTAAGTAGGCTGCTCCAGCGTCAAAGCAAGGAGTTCCATTGGCTAATCGTTTAGTGTCGCAATTTGAGTCTATTATAAGCGTGATTCCTGAAACTGGGCAAGAATTCCCAAAACAGAAAATTTTATTGTTCGGAAGCTGTGCTACGCATGTGTGGATGTGAAGAGGCTCAGGTGTATCTAAATATGTGACTTTTAGCTTGAGTGTGTCTGCATCATAAGAAACCAGGCGGGTTTTCTTTCCTGGAGCTTCAGAGATGTTATAGAGATACTTGCAACAGAATAATGAAGAGCCTGATCTGCTTTTGATTTTTGAAATTAACCTATCAAAAGACTCTTTATAAAGGTACGCATAAAGATAACAGGCTGCTTTGATTTCGTTATCACACCCACATAAGAATTCAAAAATTTTGTTTTCTTCAGTAGATTTCACTGAATTTGTAAAATCTTTTGATAGCTCTTTTATTTTTTCTATTAAGCTATTGAGTCCTCCTTGATCGATTTCTATATCGTCGCTGCAATATTCTTCTAAAGGATACTTAGAATTGCTTGCTTGAGATCGGTTAAAGAATTCTTCCAACTTGGCTTCGTATGATAAAATTTTGCTGATTTTTATCTCTGTATCATTTTGCATTTTTCTTAGGTTTTCATTGCAATTTTCTTTATTTGTTAGGGCTCGCTTTGCTATTTGAGCCCAGAAAAAGCTTTTTAACTCTGAATGACAGCTAAATTTGACATTTTGAAAGACACTTGCAAGTTCATCCATATTCTTTGCAAAGAGTGTGGCTTATTTTATCTAATTTAAAAAATAAGAAAATATAAATCTAATATTAATTATGGCTCAGATCACTCAAATATTTCATTATGTTTAAATATTAATTAATTAGAAATATTGGGAAATAATATCTTTATTAGCTAATTGTCTATAAGTATTTAAAATTTTATTTTTAAAGCATATTAAATAATTAAGAAATTTTGAATGCTATTTTTTTTGGTTCTATTCACCACCTCTTATGGTAATTGATTTCAGAATTTTGAATTTTTTGGTTTGTAAATTAAATTTATAATAGTAAAATGCATATGATCCTTGACATTGAGAAAAATATATTGAATTTTTGTGTAAGACTCAGAAAGTTTGTCCTATTGAAGCATGCATAAAAGAGCTATCAATCTTATTCCATTTGAACTCATTTTCTGCATCACTTTCATAAATTGCCCCAGGCTGTTCAATTACATAAATCCTTGAATTTCCATATAGTAAAACTTTATTTCCAGTATTTAAATCGCTTAAAATTTCTGAGTATCCGTCAATGTCAATATCATATTTATAAACTTTACTATGGTTATTTCCAGACACCAATATTGAATTATAATAAGCTACACATGCGCATGAACAAGAAGGACTTGGAAGCGGGGACAATTTAAATCATTTATCTGCCTCTAAGTTAAACTTCTCCACAATAGATAAGCCCATTACTGTATTCCAAGTGCCTCCAAACACATAAACACAATTCTGATAATAAACACATCCAGGATAACTCCGATTAGATGAATTTTCAATAATTCTCATTTGAAATTTTGCATCAATTATGACAGCATAACTTTTTCCCCTATCTCAAGAGGTAAAATATCTTCCAAATACAAAGAATCCAGAGTTTGGAATGGCTGTAATACATGAAGAAATATCGATCAAAGGTTTTCTTGTGTATTTTTCACTATCTATTATATTGTATTCAGACTTTTCAGAATCACAGTCAAAAGGTATGATGACTGTATAGCTATAAATATTACTTCGGTAGATGCTGTAAATAATTTTACCATGGTGAATGCTTAAATCTTTTTCTTTTTGGACAATTGCATTATGAAAAGAAGAGGCAGTTTCCAAGAATTCGTTGTATATAATTCGATAGAAGCGCTCCAAATTATAATCATTCAAATTCTTGAAAATCACTTTAAGAGATTTCTGATCATTTTTTACTTGTTTTATATTCGATATTAATCCATTTATATTATCTCAGTATTGCTTTGAATCATCAAGTAATTTCATTGTGATATTAAAATTAGGGAGTTTTATGTTTGTTTGGCTTTTAATGATGCTTTTCATACGCTTTTCTAGTAGTAAAATTTGATTAATTTTTAACTTCAGCTTTATCATATCTTTACTCTCAATTATCTCATTTTTAACCCCTCACTCCCTCTTTAGAATGAACAAAAATTTTCTTCAAATTTTGGGTTATATAAAGCCTAATTTTATTTTGCAAAATTTTAAAAAAATCATTATAACTATGTTTTATTACCCTAATTGAGTAAAATTTAAAGTGTTTTAATTAAAACAATAGATAAATATTATTATAAAAATATGTATTTATTATTCTTTTTTTTAATAAGAGGAAGTAAAGAAAAATTTTCAGAAATCTTTCCAAGAGATGATGATTTAATAATTTGCTTGCCACTCTACTAGGAAAAAATAATAATGATTGGGGAAATTTAACAGTTTTTAGAGAAAGTTCTTGACATTACCAATTTCGATAATTAAAAATTGATAATAATCTATATCTTCGACTATTTTTTTTAATTTTTGGTATCATTCTTTCATTAAGCAAGAACCTTCTTCAATAGAGGATATAATTTGACTATATTTATGTCTCTTTTTAAATACAATAAGAGAATCTAGAAAGCTCAGAATATCGTCTTTGGTTGTCAAATCTGGATTATTATAAGAAAATCCAAATTTATGATTTTTTGATTCAGCTTGAAGGTGCTCTTTCAGATGCTTTTCACAGTAAAATTTTGATTTGCATAGACAAAATGCTTTTTAATTTTAACTTAATATATAGAGAAGTCCACCGTAATTCCCACCTAAGGCCTACCTTCACCCGTAAACGCTCCACTCGGCTGCTCACCACCAACCGTCTTACAGCCTTCAAAGTGTTGCTTCTTCTGGACGAGAATGTGCACTCGCTACCCGAAGTTGGATGAGTTACTCCACCGTGCCGTACGCCAACAGAGTTGCCCATTCCGAAAATTTGAAAAACAAATTTTCTGGTAGAACTCTCGGCCAAAATGGAAATCCAAAGCCTGGGACGTAACGCCCAGTTTCATGCTAGGAAGTTGCCCGATTAATCAAGTGGGTATCCTTGGTATAGCCCCCCTTCCAACCTTGGAAACAATTTCCCCTGAGGTAAAAAACCCCTGACCTCAGAATGAGCTGCGGTCAACCAAATTTGACGTTGCGCTCCACTGTATCAAGGAAAAACCTAGCTGGATACATATGCCGAGGGCCAAATTCCCTTCCACAAGGTCTCCGACGACCTGTGGGACATCGGCTACAGGTGTTGAGAAAAAGGGCTGATTCGCCGTCGCCATTTTAATATGCATGCATAGGCAAAATGCATTTCCAATGCAATTGCAGCGTTTATTTTCGCAGAAATTCATTGCTTATGAATATCGCATATATAATACTTCTCATGAACAGAATATTGATGCAGTTTGAAGAAACCATGTTTTAATTCATTTTTTGAAGTTTATAAATCTTGAATATTAGTTTAAATATTTTCAGCGCTATTACCTTATTAAATAAATTATACAACTGAAGCTTGCTTATTTATATATAAAACTCGATTTTACTGTAATTATTTCCCATTATTTTAAAAAATTTCCATCCTTCCAAACTCCTTCCGTTAAAATCCCACTCCATTCTAATATTCCTTTTCCTTCTCTTTTCCCATTGCTTCACTCCCCTTCATATTTTTCTCCACTGCTTAGAATCTCGACTCCAAATCCTTCACTTTTTCCTTCTTTTCATTCTCCAGTATATTTTCTTCCATCAATTCAGCAGCATTCTCCTATTCCCTCAATTTCATTTTTTCTTCATTCTCCTCTATACACATTTCCTTCTTCCCATCTCATTTCTCCATGCCCTTCCCTCTCCCCCATAACAAAATTGCCTATATAAGTACTTCCATTGCTATATGACTTTTTCCCAGAGCCATGCTCCATATCATTTTTTCATTCGCCTTCATAGCTCTCTCCTATTCTACTCACAAATTTACCTCGTCCACATCGTCGATTTCCTTTTCATTCTCCTATATATAAGCTCCCGTCTTGATATATTTTTTGTCTAAAAGTTCTTATTCCTATAGAGACTTTATGTGAAGGAACTCCTGCGTTTGTTGAGATTTTAATTGAGTCAGAAATTTGAGCATTAATAAATTGCAATTTTTGATAAATTTTTGTTAGTTTTTCAAGGTTTGAAGGAGATAAAGGGTCTAGCTGAGCTTCTTTTATTAGAAATTGCTGCTTTTGATGGAGCCAAAAGTAGCCATCTGAACGTTTTGACTCACTATTTACCTTTTCTCTTGAGGAGGCTTTGAAATCTTTCCAAAATCCTTCAAAGTGATCTCCATCAGGAAAGGTAAATTTTCCATACCCATATGGAACTCCCCAGGATCAATTGCCTGAGTATTGAGCCCCAGAAATTCATGTCATCGTACCATAACCATCTCTAAACCCACCTCTTCAATCTCCTATACTATTTTAGATTTTTTCCATTAGCCATGCAGAATTAAAAGCTTTTATAATGCTCAAAAATTGTGTCGCTCCAAGGATGAAAATAAATTATTTAATCTTTTATATGTAATTAGAACCATCTTTATATCGATATGTAAGTTTATTTTCTCGGTGCGGTGGAGGAGGGTGAGTAGAACTCAAAGTCTCTCTCATTTCTTCTCTGTTTAAATAAAAAGTAAATTTTGGGATAAGTTTGCTTAGAACTCGGCACATTTTTCGTTCCTGAAAAGCTTTCCAATTCGCTTGAATTCGTATGATATATGACAACATGGCAAGGTTGGTTTCCGGAACTTCATGCATCTCTTCAATTTTTGAGGTGTCATCCATAATAGTGTTATCAGGTTCTGTGAATTTGATTTCTGTTAGTTGCTCCTTATTCTTACAGTCACAGGTTTTACAACTTAGCTGCCCCATACGTTAGATTATTTCATTTATCACTAAAAGATGTTGAAAATATTAAATTTCAAAACTGCAGAAATTATTTGCAATTAAAATTATCCTTTACATTGGGCTTTAATTTAATCAATTTATGCCTAGAACACATTATATAAAATAATTGGCTAGTGAACTTGATGTTTAAATTAGCTTTCCATTTCGCCTTTTCTATCGTGGTTAATTATAGGAAGACACGCCACGCACTTTTGGCTGAAATATCAAACATATTTGACATGCCAAAAAAAATAATTAAAATCGACGAAAATTGGATATTTAAGGTATACTCAAAAGGAACTAAGGCATGATGCAAGCTAAAGCTACTAAATATCGACTATATATATACTTATTTATTTTAATAATGAAATATAACTAGAATTATGAATAATTATGCTTACTCCCCCCCCTCCGTGAGTGAACAAAAAAATTTTGTTCACTCACGGAGGGGGGTTAATTTTTTTTTTTAAAACAATTATATATATAAATTTTATAAAAAATATTTTTTGTTCGAAATTTAAAAAAAATCCTAGTTCACAAAAATTGGAAAGCAAATATTTAATTCAATTTGCAAAATTTATGTTTTAAAAAACAATTCGTTTAAAATTAAACAGAATTAGCTCTAAATTTCATTATACTAATTATCACTTATATATCAAAATTTTTTTCCATAAAAAATTTTTGTTCACTCACGGAGGGTGGGTTTTTGGGCAAAAAATAGCGATTTTTCTAATGGTTTTGTTCACTCACGGAGGGGGGGGAGTTAGACATTCAAGCTAGCTCGCAAAATAAAATTTTTGTATTTTTTTCGTTTTGAAATCAAACTTATAATAGAGATTACTAGTTCCAATATTAATTCCAATATACGCAGAATTCTGATAATAAGTTACATAATGTTGTAAAAATCAGTCCATGCTTGACTTTCCAACATCATTTCAATTATAAACATTTTCAGCTCCACATTCATAAATTCTCCCAAGTCTTTCTATTATATACGCTCTGTTATTTTCAGCAAGTAATATTTTTCAAGAGTTTCCAGACTCAAAAGAAAAAGCTATCGAGTAGCTATCCAGTTCCATATTATATTGATATAGATGTTTATGACTAAATCCAGATACAAGAATATTGCTTCTAAAGATAATAGATGAGCAGGAATGAGAAGATATAGGCAAGGACAATCGTTTTATCCACCTATTATTTTGCAGATCAAACTTATAAAAATTAGGTAAATCTCCTTTTGTGTTATTTCCACCTCCAAAAATATAAACAAAGCCATCATAATATAGCGCGCAGGATGAATAGCAAGGATATCCAAGAGTCAATCTTCTCTTTAAAGAATAATTTTGAAGATCTATGATACAAGCAAACCCAGATGATGGGATGCCTTCAGTTCCGAAGCAAAATAACTCATAGTTTGGAAGTTGAGCAATGCAAGTGAATCTCGTTAAATTTATTGGAATCATTATAGGGATATCAGATATTATTTTATGCTCTAGATCACAGACTGTAAGAATTGTACTTTGTTTTGACTCAATCATAAGGATCAGTTTCTCCATTTTGCTCTTGGCAATTATTTAGTTTTTGTTTAATGCTATAGATGATTTTAGTAATTCCTGCTTTAGTATCCTAGCAATAATAAACTTATTTACTCAAAAAATGAAAGTTTTATTCAATTTACAGGGTTTAGATTTTGGATGCTTTATATTTGATATTTGTTCAGTGAAAAGAACATGCGCTAATATTTTATAAGCTGTCCTTCTTCTATCTATAAACTAAGCAAAACTATTGAATTTTCAATAGCCCAATTTTTTAATAATTATCAAATTAATTAAAATTGGGGTAAATTTAATCATTTTGATGATTTAATTATAAAATGATGTATGAAAACAATAAATTAGTTATTTGCCATGGATAACCAAGTAACCCTAAGATTTTTTCAATCATGTGCCCCAGATTTCTTTTCAAAAGAATTAACAAATATTATATCAAGATGAAACCAAATACCTGAATCTACCAGCATCATCTCATTTCTAAGCACTTTGGACTCCTTAATAGACTTGATTTCAGAAAATGGTGTTCCTGTCAACCTAATATTACCAACTACTTTTCGGCCCCTTTTACTTGAAGAATTCAGATTCCTATCCTCAGTAAATTTTATTCAGACCCAATTAAAATTCCAACTAATTTTGCATTTAGAACTGCTTAGAGTTGATAAATCACCTGAATTAATACACAAATTAGGTAGAATTGGTAGATCTTTATGCATGAGAATGGCAATTGATGGGGATTCAAGCACATTTTACCGATACTATATCTCAGATATTTTGCCTAGATATTCATCAGTAATTTTCCATGAAGCTTTATTGGAATTTAGTCAAACCATTGAGCTATATCAAGAAACTTTGGAATTTTTAGATGAAATAAAACCCCAAAATGATAATGAAAAGAGTGAAGATTTGCCTCAAAAAAGAATGATTTCACCACCAAAACAACGACATGAAAATCAAAAGCATCTTACAAAAGAAAGCAAGTTTATTGATAGGAAGTTAAATACAAATAGAACTAAAGAGGTTGCTTTTTCGAGAAGAATTGTACTGAAGGAGTCACCAAATAGGTCTCCAAGAGATAGCCAGCCAAAACTATCAGCTGCTGCACTAAAGATGAAGGAGTTGCTAGGGAAAAACTTTTATAAGCGCAATGATACTGAAAAAAAGGAAATTTCAGAGTGTAATGAGAAGAAGACAGAAAAAAAAAATGATGATGTGCTTATTTTGGATACTCCAACTAAAAATGAAAAGTAAGCTATTTAAATATAAAAAAATAAGATAAGTATCAAAGTTTTATAAAGCTAAACAGTTTATATATTTTTTATAAATAACTTTGTTATTCTTACAGATGAGAATTAATTTTTTTAAAAATTAGTATTTTCTATCTTTAATTTTTTGTTATTTAAAGAAAATGAATTATGGAAACTCAGCAGCCAGAGTTTGGATTTCCATTTAACCCTTCACATCATATGAAGACCAACAGAATCATCTGGCACATGCTCAAATGCTCCAAAAACCAATCAGAATCCAGCAAAAAAACTTTAGCTAAAGTCCAGTGCTCCTATAATAAAGAACACTGAATTGAACAAGCTGAATCATTCGAACACATGCAGCATGAATGCTCTGACAGGCTGACTGAGTTTCAAAATATTAAAATCTTGATTTCTCAGATTCAACTTTTGAATCCTAATTGGAGGACATAATAATTTCTGATTGATATTAAATTCTGGCTCTTTTATTTTAATTACATAATGGCTCTCTATTTCATGTTCATACCATATCTTAAATTTTTACAAGAGCTAAAAGATTCAAAAAAATCACTCAATCTGTCCACTAATCTCAGAAATTGTGCTGCCTTTCAACTATAAACTTCGTGTGGTATTCTCAGATCACTGAAATTGCTTCGGCAGCTTTGATACCAACCATTTCTTCGGATGACATTTGCTCTTGTGACACTTGCAGAAATGATTCTCTTAAGACGTTTTCTCACAAATTTCTCATCGCTTTTTCCTAGAAGATATTTGAGAGAGATAAGTAGCAGTGACATCAGTCTTAGGCATATCCCTAAGATATATCCCCTGAGGCATGCTCTTGTAGGCACTTTCTCTGATATTTTTTCTCTGAGACATTTCCTTTAAATAGGCTATAATGAGAAAAAGGAGGTTATGAGCAAAAAGTCTTACTACCAATGTCTCGGAGAAAAAGAGTTTTGATAAAATTTATCCTACCAAATGAATTATTTGCCAAATTCTTCGCTAGTTCGTTTCTGAGGCTTAATTTCCCGAACCTATATCTTAGCTTGTCTAATTTTCGAGCTGTTTTTCAACAATTTTATAGTGTATAATCTAATAAATTGATCAAGTAGACTTATATTTATAAAGAGTTAAAAAATAATAGAGACTTAAGCTATTTTTCAACCTAAAGTCTTCTTATAGCCACAGCGCAGAGAAAGCATTAAAAAATACATTTTTAAATTAAATTGTTAACAGAAAAGTTCATAATTAAAATATGAATATAAGTTTTATAAAAATAAATGATTGGCTTTACTTTTATTTTCTGAACATTTGCTAAATTAGCTATGAGTGAAAGACTACTCTGTAGCCTATTTGATTGCCCAGATTCAAAGGTAAAAATTAATTTAGAAAGGAAATGGTCAATGTGACCCAGCTTGCATGACTTCTTACTGTAATTATGATACAAATTCATCAGTTAATGCTCTCATTCGCAAAGAACAATCAGATTGTTATTGAAATTGCATTTATATAGACGGCTGCAAAAAAGAAAAGCTTGGAAATGGAGTTTGTGATAATGTGTGCAATACTAAAAATTGCGGATATGATTGAGGAGATTGCGGACAATGCGCACCTTCATGTAAGCTCTATTTAGGCACAAGCGCGAAATTGTATCAAAACTGCAATCCCAGCTGTAATGTCACATCTTGCTATTATGGACTTGGGACTTGTAAAAAGTGTCACTCTGGGTGTTTTTCGAATTTATTAGGTAATGGGGTCTGCAACCCTGAATGTGCTTACCCTGAATGCAACTTTGATTTGGGTGACTGCAAAAATTTAGCATGTGCTCCTGGTTGCTATATGTGAATGATTGGCAATTCAATCTGTGAAGAAGCTTGTCGAGTTGCTGAATGCAATTTTGATAATTATGATTGCGACTGTTCTCCTGGCTGCTTTGAGTCAATGCTTGGGGATGGGAAGTGTGATGAAGCATGCAATAATTGAAATTGTACACTAGATAATCATGATTGTGGGGCATGCGCTAGTGGATGCTATCCAGAAATGCTGGGAAATGGAATTTGCGATTCTGAGTGCAATAATTATGATTGCGAGTATGACTATAAAGATTGCCAATGCTCTGATGGTTGCACTTATCTAGATTATGGAAAGTGCAAGCCAGAGTGCTTAGTAATTGAATGCAATTATGACAAAATAAGCCAATATCCGAACTCTTGATGCCAAAACACCTCTTTAGCTATTTTTTCTTCATATCAGCAAATTATAAATAGGAATTTTAAATATGTGGCTCACTTAGAAGATTGCTATGCAGCTTCAAATTATGCTTGCTCTTTCGACAAAGTTTTTGATATGATAAACTGTTTTCAGGAATGCAATATAACAGAATGTAACTTTGCAAATGGTAATTGCAATTCAACACAATCTCAGGAGGAAGATTGCGCAAGGCCTTACGGAGACGGCAGCGGAGAAAACTGCCTATCTTGTAAAACTCTATATTGGTGAGAACAAGGATGCACTAGACAATTATCATATTTTCTATGACATTTCCCAGATGGATCCTTAGGTATAAATAGACTAAGTGATATCTCAACAGCAAAAAATCCACGTATTTATTTTGTATCCGCATTAAATACAACCAATTTTTTTGAAGGTGATGGCACAGCTAAGTCTCCTTATAGATACTTTCTTTTGCCTATATATTTTACTTTGACAACTAATGCAATTGTCTATCTTTTGGATGACGGAGATTACGATTTAGATTGAGAGGAATCTTATTATTCAAGCTTGCACTTAGGGATTTTAAATCTTGGATTAACATCGAGGAATTATCTCTTTACTCCTTGAAATTCATCCCATGTAACAATCAAATTTCATGACTCATACACCATTCTGATTGAAGCACGAAATTCTGTAGTAGAATTCCGCAATATCATAGTGGAGGGAAAAGGTTTTTTGACTTGTAATAGCAGCATATATTGTGAATACTGCCCAGTTGTATATGCAAACTCAGATTCTCCTGCTGAGTATTATAATGATAGACATGAAAAAATATCTGAATATTTATCTTCAACTTGGTGTGCTCCATACCGAAACGTTTATATAATAAATTTAAAAAACACCCACTTAATATTAACCAATGTAACCATACAAAACTATCGTTTTGGATATAAGGGAATAATATCAGCTTCGTGCGGCAGCAATATCACTATGGAGAATGTATCATTTGATAATATAAAATTATCAGAGATAGAAGATTCTGCAATTATTGTTTATGCTTATCAGGATTATTGTAAAACGCTACCTGCAAATCTTTACTACAATCATGGAAAAGTGAGCAGGTTAAATAATGGTTATGAATTTAGAGATCCAATAAATTTAAGAGGGTTTTTATATGCTCCTAATATCACGTCTATAGTGATCAAACATGTGGAGTTTGAATATAATATGATATATCAGAATCCGCTGAATGTCTTGGGTTCAGCCTCTTTGATAGAGCTTGGATGATTCGAAACACTAGTGGTTGATTCTTGCACCCGTCGAAGCCGGAACGCCTTATTTGTCCGTGCCTTGGTGATCAAAAGGGATCGATCCAGAGGTCCACAGGCCCGACACGTGTACAAATATGGTGGCAGCTCTGGAGTTGGCTACCCCGTAGTGGACGTTAAGCGTTATAAATTTTATAAGGTAAGATAAGATTGATTCTTGCACGTTTTTATATAACTACTGCGAGTTGGGCATTATCAATATACAAAACACTGAAACCCAATATGCAATTGAATTTAATGAAAGTTTAATCTTGAATTACTCAACCTTTACTCATTTGCATATAAAAAATACATCATTTATATCGAATTATGGCCAAAAAAATGGAATTTTATCTGCAAATTGTTCTTAATCTTATTTGACAGTAGTTGGGTAGTACCAATTTCAGAATTTCCGTCAGATGAAGATGTTCGCCTAGTCCTATTTTTTCACCGGCCTCCTCGTAGTGATATGAAAGTTGGAATTCTTTGGGTCTCCTTCTCGTCGGGCTTGGCCACAGTATATCCATCAGGGCTTCCAGTTAAAATTTCAAGAATTTTTTTCAGGCTAATTAGGCTAGATGTAGAAAAACATAGCCTGGGGTGCAACGCATAGTATCACACTGGAATTCCTGATGGGTCTAGTTGTGTACGTAGACTTCATCTAGACTGCCCTTTCCAGCTCTATATCCATTTATTTACAGAGACAAAAAAAAACCTCTGGACTGTATCACTGTCCATTTATAAGCTAGCAAAAATCTAATCGGCATAATTAAATATGCTCTCAAGGGTCTCTGACCGAAATGCCATATTTAATTATCCTGCAAATTATTTCAATGAAACTCAGAATTTCCTAATAGAATCTTCGCGGTTTATATCAAATGGAGTTGAAAGCAGCAGTTTGCTATCAATCTGAAGTCAAACACAGGAAGATGAATTTATCAATGGTAAAAACATAAATTCGTTAACATCAGGCGGAATACCAGTCACTGTCAGAGTTTTACCTCGGTGGTTAGAAATCAAAAATCTCACTTTTACAGATAATTATTCAGGAGGCTCTGGCTTAATAGAAATAAAACAAATGGCAAATATAGAGATAAAAGACACTCAAATGAATGAAAATGGTGGAAATTCAAATGAAAGTAAGGAGGTAAATTCGATAATCCTAAGAAACTATGTTAATAACGATAACATTTATTTGAAGCTTGAAGCACCAAACCCAGTGATTTTGTCCTGTAAATCAATGTCAATCATTAGTGCCTCAGTTAATTTCTTAATGCAAAGCATCAATATCACTGATAACTATTGTGCAAACTCTTCGCCTGCAATTATTATTGATAGCACACAAGAAAGCATGATATATAGTCTACAATCAGAACGAAATACAGGAAAAGGTAATACTGGTATTTGTTTATCTTTTCAAAACAGCTACTCAGCATCTATCAAAAACTCAAAATTTATCGGCAACAAGAATTATTTGAGCGGAAGTGCAGGAGCAATTGAATTCTCGATCAACAATGCTTTGACACTAGAAAATTGTACTTTTATAGAAAATAGTGCTGATCTAGGAGGGGCATTGTATTTTTCAGGCCAAAATCTGGCTATTAATGGCTGTCACTTTATATCAAACCAATCACCTGGATTATCTGGGGGAGCAATTTATTATATGTTGCCCCAAACAGTAAGTAGCTACTCAGAACTTACTATTTCAAATACTGTTTTCAGAAATAATTCTTGCCTTCTTAATGGTGGATCAATATATATAAACAAAAAATTTTACTCAAGCATCAAAACATCCTTATCAATTCACGATACAAACTTTTATGAAAATAAAGCTTTCAACGGGGCCTCGATACATATAAGCAATTTCATCAAACTGCTGGACAGCTCATCAATTAATAACTGTGTATTCCAAGCAAATAATGCATCACTCTCAGGCTCGTTTTCGATTTTTTATGCTGATGGAAAACTATCAATAAACAATTCAAAATTCATTGAAAATAAAGGATTGTATAGCTCAGCCCTTCATATATCTATTAATGAGGACTCTAAAAATTTTCCTTCAAGAGTAATATTAAACTCTTGCATTTTTCAAAAAAATTCCGGCCCTATTATCATTTTAATGGATGATGAAAATAAAAGATCAATTTTAGAAACTCATAAATGTTTATTTGAATATAACTTAGGCTCAATTTTTTCTCTGGATAATGATACGCTAGTGGAAAATGACTCAATCATACAACATGGGCATTCAGAGGAGCCCGGAGCAGGACTAATAGTTATCAACTCTGCAGTCGCAGGTCTTAGAAACACAATATTTTATAATAATACAAGCAAAACAAATGGTGGAGTTGCTGCATTGAGCTACAACTCTCACTTCACCTGTGATTTCTGTGAATTCAAGGAAAATGCCGCTCTTAATGTAGGAGGAGTTGTTTATGCAGATTCAGATTCGTTTTTCACTATCAGAGACTCAAAAATAATCAAAAATTCATCCAAAGGTAAAGGTTCTGCATTTAGCATGATCCGCTGCCTAAGTAAAATTTCAGAGATAATAAATTGTGAAATTAGTGAAAATCAGTCAGTAGATGGAGGTGCATTATATCTTCTGTCATCAGCCATTGCATTAGATTCCTCAATTATTCATAATAACATAGGAAATGATGATAACCCAGGAATTCTAATGACTTTTTCATCAGCTAAAATACAAAATACTACTTTTTTAGATCAGCATGGAAGCCAAGGATCTTTTGTTCAGCTGAAATCAAATAGCTATGCTTTAATTCAAAATTCAAAATTTTCTAATGGTTTAAGCAGTAGTACAGGTGCTGCTATATTTTCTATTTCAAGTAATATCTCTGTTTTCAATTCTTTCTTTCATGATTTAACTTCAAATATTGGAGGATCCATATTTGTTTATCGAGAAAGCTATTTGTGAATAAACGATACAACATTTGAAAACTCAAAAGGCTCAGATATTGACTCATATGATAGTTTTATTAATATTGAGCATTCTTTATTCATAAATCCATCGTTCAGTGCTATTTATGGAGATGCAGATTATTTATTACGCATTGAAAATACAGAATTTCGCAATGGATCAGGAAAGAATGGAGGAGCTATTTATTGTTCAAAATGTGTATCATTACTAATAGATTCCTGCTTATTTAGCAAAAACTCTGCATCATATTCTGGAGGAGCAGTCTATCTTATCACTGAACAAAGCTCTCCAGTGGACCATTATATGATATCCTCTTCAAAATTTCTAAATAATGAAGCTTATAATGGTGGGGCAATCTTTTCTGAAAATATTAATTTGACTATCTATTTATCTGAATTTACGAAAAATTTTGCAGATTCTTTAAGATCAGAAAATAATGATAAAGGGGTGATTGATGGTATAGGAGGAGGGATTAAACTTAGCTGTAAAGATTTTGACAATTGCTTGCTTAACTTATCATCTAACCTTTTTAGCGAAAATAAAGCAATAAATAATGGAGGAGCAATCAGCTGAGCTGACATAGAGCCAGTGTTTGATAATAACTCTTTTCAGAGAAATTCTGCAACTTATGGAAATGGCATTGCTTCGTTTCCGATTATGATGTTTTATGAAGAAAATAGAAGCGGTAGCAATTCACCAACTCGAATTTTGGAAAATCCAACTATCAGCGGAATTGCTTCAGGCCAGAAAAATAATAAGCCAATGTCATTTGCTTTAGTTGATCATTATAATCAGGTTGTCAAAACTGACAATATAAGCCAAGCCCAGCTACTTAATTTAAATTCTGATACCATCCTTTTTGGGGTAACCATGACTACAGCATTAAATGGGATCTTTAACTTTACAGATTATGTTATCACAGCGAAGCCAGGAACCTCAACCCAAATTAAAATTTACACTTCAGCCATTAAAGAAGCAAAAGGAAATTCCTACTCTAATTCAGTTCTCTATGCAAATGTCGATCTTAGGCTATGCACATTTGGAGAAGCAACGGTAAACATAACATGTTTGGTTTGTGAAGAGTCATACTATAGTTTAAATCCTAATAATCGTGCTTGCCTGCAATGTCCCAAGCATGCTATTTGTTATGGAAATTATACAATGGTGCCTCGTCATGGGTATTGGAGAGATAATAAATATACTGACCAGTTCTGGGCATGCCCTTATCCTTCAGCTTGCTTGGGATCTCCTGACATTCGTAATATATCATATACAGGTGTTTGCAAAAAAGGGTATAAAGGTAATATGTGCCAGTCTTGTGCCTATGGATATTCAAGGCTATATAAAAATGAATGCAAAGTATGCCTTGACTCAAGCACGAATGCCATAAGGATGCTAGGGTTTTTTGGCATATTTTTTATTATTGCTTTGCTTACTATAAAAGCTTCAAAAAAGTATATTTTAAATTCATCCACATTTACTTCAATATACATCAAAATATTTTGGAATTACTTGCATATTACAATCATTATTACCACCTTCAATTTAAATTGGCCACGATGAGTGATGGAATTTTTTTATATTGAACTAAGCATGAACTATGTCGGAGAACAATTATTTTCTTTTGAATGTTTATTGCAGGACTCTAATGCCAAAATAGAGATTTATTACATAAAACTTGTTCTTATCAGCTTCGTTCCATTAGCGGCATGAACTTTATGTTTCATTTTGTGGGCATTGTATTATAGGCTAATAAAGCATGCTTGGAGATTGTTTTCAGATGATTTTATTTCTTCTTGTAACGATGACCCCCCCTCAATCTTCATGTCTATTGCAACAAAAATGCAATTTTTTAATAACAAATTTTCGATGCGCATCTTAAATTTTTCCGTACTTTTTAGTTAGATAAGTTTAATAAAATGGCGAGCGATGACAATAGCCGTCCAAATCTCGATGAAAAGGTCATTAACACACCTACAGTAGCGCTGCTTTATGGTTTTTTTTTGAGAAACTCACCTAGAGAAAAATGCTGTGTTGCAGAGGCATGAAGATTTTTTCGAAAAATTTTTGTTGCAGTAGACATGAAGATTGAGGGGGGGGGTCATCGTTATTATTGTACTTTTTTTAATTCATCCAGGAATTATTGAAACTCTGTTCAGTATTTATAGCTGTAGAGAAATTAACTCTGGAGAATTTTGGCTTAATATTGATCTTGACATACAGTGCTGGACTAAGGATCATTTTTTTTACTCGTATTTAATAGTTTTACCTGCAATCTTAATATGGGGGATTGTCATTCCTGCAACATGGCTGATAAAAATAATAAAATATAAAGTAAAACTAGAAGAAACCGCGGTCAAGTTGAAATATGGATTTCTTTATAATGGCTATAACTCAAAACACTATTATTGAGAATTCGTGATTTTGTATTGCAAAATTTTGTTAATCAGTTTTTCAGTCTTCTTGTCAAATATCTCGATTTCTGTGCAGGCTCTTGCTGCAACAATTTTATTGATTTTTTTCCTTTTGCTTCAAAATAGAAATGAACCGTTTGTAGAAAAGCCCTTAAACAAGATGGAACTGCATTCTAGGGTAATTGTATTAATTACAATTTTTACTGGCCTTTTCTTTTTGACAGATGAACTGGGGGATCCTGGGACAGTTTTGATATTCCTCATAACACTTTGCTCAAATATTTGGTTTATTATTTATAGTTTATTAAGAATCTTCAACGAGCTTTTAAAGTTCGTTAAGGAGAAGCTTTTATTTATGGGAAGCATACTATTCAGAAAATCAAGAGTAAAAGTAAATTATATAATTGATGAAAGCCAAGTTGACGATGGAAAAAATACAAACTTGAATTATACATATATCACATCTACCAGGATTATTAATTCTGCACAGGAAATTGAGGTCAGTGGCCTAGAAAGTTATCAAAATAATGAATCTCATCAGCAAGTAGAGATTGACCCTTATCCTTCTGAAAATAGCGCATTCACAAGTCAACAAGAAATTAAATAAAACCTAAAATAGTTTTTAATAAAGCATTCATAAAATTGAATAATAATTTTTTTATTTACCAGTCATTTAACTTTCAATAAAGCCTCTCTATTATTTAATAGTATTGCTTCACTTATTTGATTAGCACTTTTTGCTGCTGTGCACGGAATGCGCATAAAATGCAATTTAAACAAATGCTCGCCAATGGCTGTAACACACTACATAGAGAGGAAATGGCGTATGCAGCCTAGACTGTATGAATTCTTTTTGCAACTTTAATTCATATCTTTTGGAAAACAATGAAGTTGATTTTACAACAGACTGTGAATTGTATTTTATATATGCTGACTGCAATCTTGGAGATCGCGGAAATGGAGTTTGCGATGAGTAGTGTAATGCTGCTTATCTTGGCTATGATTTAGCTGACTGTAGTTTTTGCGGACCATCTTGTAAATATAATTTAGGCAATAAAGCTCAACTAGACGATTTGAGGAAATGGAGTATGCGATGAAGTCTGTAACAATGTTGAATGCAATTTTGACATGGAAGATTGCGTTAATTCGACTTGTGCTACAGGTTGTAATACTTGGATGGTTGGAAATTCCATCTGCGATGGAGCCTGCTATGTTGAAGAATGTGAATATGACAAAACAGACTATATTTGTGCACCATTTTGCTCTGATAATCTTTTGAAAAATGGGATTTATGATGAAGTCTGCAATAATTTGAACTGTAAATTTGACAATGGGGATTGTGGTTACTGCAATTCTGAATGCTCAGAAAAAATGCTAGCAAATAATCTATTTGATCCAGAATGAATACAAAAGAGTGTCAGTGAGATTATTATGCTTGTGGATGCGCTGATGGGTGCGCAGTTAAGGATTATGGAAGCTGCAAACCTGAATGCTTAGGAACTTGCAATTACGATTGAATGAGTAGTGATACCAAAAAATGGTGCTATGATAGAGATCTAGTTTTATTTACTGTTTATCAGCAGATGCTTGTAAATGATACAAGTTTTTCTGTAGGCTATGAGAAATGCTTTTCTGCTCATAATACAAATGCAGTCTACCAATGGCTCTTGATATGAGCCAATGTCACTCAGAGTGCTTAATTCCTGAATGTAATTATGGATTATAGAAATTGCCCGATGATGGCGCTCAATGCGCCATCATCGGGCAATCAGTATATGTAATATTAACTCTTATAGTTCCTGCAAAGCAAATATTCCAAGTTCTGGATTAAATCTCTGTAGAATTTGCGCAGCCCTCTAAATCCGAACTCCCAAAGCTGAGGGGCCAGCTGATAGAAGCCAAAGGCACTAGACGCAGGATGGGCATAATCCTTGCAACTTAACTCTCTATTTTTCTGATACAGTCTTTCTTTTAAACTCAATAATAATTTTTCATTATTTTCTTCAGCCCACTTTAAAAGCATTGGCTTCATAAAATTTTACTTTTTGGGGGGATAAAGCTTTGTGAGAAGTTTCTGCATGCTTTTTGCTTGAATTTGAGCCTGATGCTACCCAAATTTTTAGGCTGCTAGTTTTCAAAACAGAGTATTCCAAGAAAAATGGATGAAAATATTTGGCAAATCAGTTATATTTGTAGCGCTTGATAATATTTTGGTTAGCATCTTCTATGATCCAGCATCTTTTTCCCCTTTCAAGTGCTATCATTTTCATTTCCTTGAAAAAATAGAATTACTAATAAAAGAATATGGGGAATTTGATGCAATATTAACTAGGCACATTTCAATTTGCATCATATTCTGTTGCCTTCATTTTCCAAGAAAAAAGATGGGATGGATTTGTTTTTTCACAATCAAATTCTTATAAATGCTGATATCATATCATTTTTCTTGAGATAAAGGTAGATTCAGAAAATCAATTTTATTAAAATATAATTTGCAATCATTTTTATCAATTCCATATCTGCAATTCTTGCATCAATTTTTAAATTTGTAATGACTTCCGAGGCAATCTGCAAAAGCATCTTCTATTTTTTCCATTTCTTTATCGATTCTTCATGCTTCAAATGTAATTTTTGTTATAAAAACATCATATTCATCATCATATGAATTGTTTTCAAAGCTCGATTTGATTTGTTTCTCAATTTTCATTTTGGTAGCTGATAAATATATTAATTTGCATTTGTATTTTGGCTGATAAGTTTTTATTACTGCTATCTTTCGGCTTGAAATATTTCTTTTTCAACGATTTCTTCATAATTTTTGTTAATATCAATTGAAATTTTCTCCTCTTTAATTTTTCTTGATTTTTCCCGAGAGGTCGCAATCGCGTTCATGTTTCTCTTGATAATTTTTTTTCATTGAGGCATGTGTAAAATGATCAGAAATCATACATTCCATCAAAATTGAATTATCTGCTCCTATTTTTGAATTATGTCTTGCATTTTCAAGGTATTTATTTGTGTTATCAATATCTTCAAGAAGATTTGGTAGTAGAGTTTTGATATAAATAAATCAAGGCAAGGTCTGTGCTTTTTCTTTTCAAATACGCAATTATAGCATAAAGGCGAATTATTGTGTCAAGGGTTCATGCATTTTAGGCAGACAGATTTCAAGCAGCATTTACATTTTTCGCAAAAATCAAAGCCATTGAAGCATCATCATACATTTCAATACTTTTAAGCTGTCTTTGGTATAAAACTGCATATTCTTCTAAATTTTTGTATATATTGATACTGCTTTCATATTGATATCATTTACCTCTAATTTATTATTCTTTAGCATTACAGAAGTGATCAAATCCATATAAATTAGCTTCTTACAGATTAGGCATTTTGAATTTTCAAATTTATGATAGGACTTAAAGAAGGAATCAGAATTTTTGGGTAAAATGTTTCAAATTAATGCTGAGGTATGAGAATCTTGGGTTTTAATAGTATATGAAAAACCTCCTCCTCCTCCTCCAATGTAGATGACTTCGCCAATTTTCTGTATGAAATTGATTTCGTTTAGCTGTGAAGATATTGAATATAGATAATTCCTGGGGATAGCGCGGAATACGCTATCCCCAGGACCAACCGGGATCGGATTCACACATGGAACGGGAGTTCCATGTGTGGATCCATTTTTTACATGTGAGATATTTTACTTTCACGTGTGTGAAAAATGGATCCACACATGGAACCCTCGTTCCATGTGGGATCCGATCCCGGTTGGTCCTGGGGATAGCGTATTCCGCGCTATCCCCAGGAATTTTCTATATTTTCTGCAAGATATTGTTTCTTGATTATTTTCTTTATTTGAAAAATTTCAAATAAGGCCACCAGGGCAAAAATTTTCAATTGTTTTGGGAAGATCCAACAAATTTCGTTTTCAGCCCCTTATAAAATTCTGTGAAAATTCAAAAATTATAGGATTGTGAAAGTTTTGAATATTTAAAGTTTGAAATTGTAAGCAGTTTGAAGAGGAGTTACAATTTAAATCACTTGGAAAAGATGAGAGTCCTTTAAATAATTCTTCAATTTTTGATTCTTCGATTGAAAATGTTTTAAATTCCTTGCTTTCAATCAAAGAAATAAAATGGTGACGTTGACGGAAATTGGACTCCGAGGCTCACCTCCTATGGAGCTGGTAGGATCCATTGCTGATGAAGCTGAAGACACAGGTCTCATTCCTGTCCTAAGTAGGCCTTCAGTTGTGGGGAAGCCGTGCCGAAAGGAAGTTTTATTCCTCCCCCGAAGGTTTTCCCTGTCCCTGCCAGACGGGCTAGACAGGTTTTTCCTACCACATGGTCTTCCTTCATCGGGACCATCGGGCACTCAGACAGAAGTGGCTCTGTCCAAAGGAGCTGATCCTTGGACAGGTGGTTTGACCAGAAATCAAGATGGCGTCTGGCCTGGGAGTATGGCCACATCAGAACCCGACCGGGAGTCGTCTTTCGAGCTGAGGTGTTGAGGTCAGTGGCTCAGCCGCTTAAGGCCTTACAAAAATAACTTAACTTAACTTGCTTTCAATCAGTCATTTTTCTGAGTCAAGAGGATAATGAGCTTCATCGACAAACAAAAATGATTTAATAGCATCAGCTGAGTCTTTGGATAAATTTAACAATGTTAGCATAAACGTCTGGAAAATTTGGCATTAAGCTAAGTTAATAACTTGTTCGTGGTCAGCAGCTTGGCATTGCCCAAAATTCTTGATAAAACCTTGTGAGTCTTCTACTTCTTTTTCTTGGTCCATTTCTCTTTTACTCAAATTAAATTAATCCCCCAACTTCTTTTCAATTGATTTGCAAATAAAATTGCTTAAAGACTATAATTTCTGAAAAAACAGAGAAGTTCACGAATCTAATAATATAAGGTTTTTGCTCTAGTTGTCAGCTCTTTAAATATCTAATTTATTTCTTATTTTGGCATCAAAAATTTTACTTTCTCTCCAAATAAGAAATTATGTTAAACCTATTTCTTTTTGTTTAATGGGTAATCAGGATGACTAGGATTTACAAAGAGTCGGCTGAAAGAATACTAATCCTTATACTGGTTTTCACGATCTTCAAGCCATTAAAAAAATCCTCCATAAATAAAGTTATCGTAGTTCTTATGCAATGATCAAATATCATAAAATTCTTGATATAATAAGAGATCTTCACCAAAACCCTTTTTAATTATCATCGAAAATGCAAACAGCATGGGCTTAAAGTTTTTACCGAATTTTGGAGTATTTTGACTCAAGATACTACATTTATGATTTGTGAAGCATTTATTTGACGTATTCTGAAAGGATTATTCATAGAGACATAAAAATCATATATGCAATAAAAATGTAAATTAATTATTTTGCATTTTAAGCACTTAATTTCAAAAAATTGGTCGACATATTGAGAAGTGTAAAAATTTATGCCTAGAATTCAATTTGTTTTATCGTCAAGAGCTCATGCTAATAATGCTGCTTCAATCTGGCATCAAACATTTGAGAAGTTTGAAAACTCCTTTCAAATTTTTCTTCAAAACCTCCATTTTATTTAATATTTTAATCACATGATTAATTTTTAATTTTCAAAGAGAACAAAAATAAAGAGACTTTAATTTGATGATTTTGGCTCTGAACAGCTTTTAATATCAAATTTTTAATTTTTCTAACTATTTTCATATACGGCAAATAGAGATCTTCTAAATTTATTAGTTTAAACGCCCCATATGAATAAAATGAAAAATCAATTGTTTAGTGCTAAAGAAAGAGTTAAACCGATCTCAGTTTTTAAAGATAACTCTCCAAATGCAAGATCCAAAAGCCAATTAGAAGAAAGCAATGAACTTCAAAGCTTCTGGGTAGATTATGTTCTAAGCAGCTCATCTCAGTCATTAAAAAGGATTCCTACCAGATCTTATGACCCTATGCATCAAAAGCTGAAAAAGAGAGATAATGAAGAGAGTTATCATGAAAATTTATTACCCAAGGATCGAAAAAAGAAAAGAGAGAAGCTAAAACTAATTAAAACCTCTAACAAAATGTTTGAGGAATATATGATGGCACATAACTTAAAGTTTTTTTTTGAATTTGATGAAGAGCAGAGAGCCCCATAAAGTTCAATACATGTGAAGAATATAGCTTGGAAACTCGGGGTATACATTAATTGGCTGCTCGGCTCATTTTTACATGAATTATCTAAATCAATTTGCCAAAGGTGCTATGAAAATAGAAATTTAATGAAGAATGCTAAATTGAATAAAGAAAATGAAGGAAACTACTACATCAATCGTCAAGAGCATTTTAAAGTGCTCAGCAAGAACTATACCTTTTTTTAGATGCATGAAGTTCTTGGAAGAAATTTCTAATAATTTTTTTGGGATATCAAGGGGTCATTACACTGGTGGAATAGGCTTCAACATGGAGCAGTCTAATATGAAAAAAAATGTGAATGATTGATGAATGGTACCAATCGGTCAATTTACAAGTGAGAGCAGAGAGTTCGCAATACTTTCATTCTGAACGATTTCAATCTTATTGAATATTTACTTGATCCAAGTATACAGCCCATATTTAAAAAATTTCCGAAAATACCCAAAAAAGCATTTGAAGCCTTCTGCAGGAAACTAAACTCCAGCCAGCTTTTTGCCCTTAAAAATATTTGAAATAAGAGGGAATAAGTCTCCTAGAAGGACCAACCGGAACAGGTAAAACTTATACAATTTTATCACTAATATCTTTGCTGGAATTCTCTACTTTGGATTATATTCCTAAAATTCTCGTCCGCGCCCCCAGTAACGTAGCAATTGATCAGCTAGTAACAAAGATGATTGAAAATGGACTTATCAATAGCCATGGCTTATCTGCATGAGCTTTCAACTTAGTCAAACTTAGTAACAAAGAAAGTAAAAAAAAAATCGAACTATTCCTCTACAAGAATTGAATTATCATATGAATTAGAAGATCTTACCTGAAATAAATTTGATATAATTTTAAACGAAGAAATAAATCGATGTAAAGAAAAGTTGGCCGACTTGAATAAATCTGAAGAACTAAATAGCTTTAAGTTAAAACTGTCTCAGTGCATAGATCTACTCAATAAAGCCCTTCAAGAATATGAAAGAGGAAATCCAGAACCAGCTAGCAAGACATAGTCGAATATCTGATTTTGAAATATTCTAGCATCATATGTTGCACACCCAGCATGGCTGGCTCTTTTAAAGTGGTCAATGCAATAAAACAATTTACTATCTGATCATTGATGAAGCTTGTCAAGGTGTAGAGCTTTCCAGCCTTATTGCATTCCAATACAACCCAAAGCAAGTGATATTAGTAGGAGATCCCATCAACTTCAGCCTACAGTTTTTGGATTATATTTCTCTTGCAAGAGGATACAATAAATCACTATATGAAAGACTAGAAATCAAAGACTTACACGCAGAAGCCTTAGTGGAGCAATATAAAATGCCGGAAATGATATGCAGGTAGCCATCTGCCAATTTTATAATCATAGACTCGCTAGATCAAAAAACCATCCCATATGAGAAGCCAAAATGGTTGCCGTATGGAACAGAATTATTATTATTCGATTTAATCAATTCTTCACAATTATTAAATGGATGCAGCCGATTAAATTTCCAAGAAATCCGATTGATCAAAGTCTTAGTAGTGAAACTTCAGAATATGAATCCAGATGCTGAAATTGGAATCATAACGCCTTATAAAGCTCAAGAACAAGAAATTAAAAAATATTTTCCTCAAGAAGATCCAAACAATAAAAATATCTCTATTCATACAGTTGATGGCTTTCAGAGCCACGAAAAAGATTAAATTATTTATTCTTCGGTAGCAACAAACCGCCCTTATAATTTTATATCAGACGAATAAAGGCTGAATGTGGCTTTTACAAGATCAAAGCATATCCTGTGAGTGATTGGAAAAATGGATTGCTTGGAATCAAATAGATTATGAAGAAGCTTTTTCAGCTACATTAAAAATTTAGACATAAAGAAGACCTTCTGATCCTTTTGGTCGTCTTCTGGAATGCTTGCTTGGTAGGATAGCTGCTGGCGTCACCACTTAGGAGTTAAAAGGCGGGCTTCCTGTCCTAAATAGAGAAAAAGGTAAAAATCTAAATAATTAGTAGTTTTTTGGGAAATCAAGAGCTAAAGTAGACTATATAATTGAAGATAGTCAAGCTGAAGATGAAAAAAAGGCGAACTTAAAATTATACACATATCACAGCTAATAGAATAATTAGCAGCTCACAAGACATAGAGAGTGAGTTCTTCGCAAATAACGAGAATGAGAAAAACTACGCTTATGAGAAAAATCCTTATCCCTCTGAAATTAGCATTTTATCAAGCAAACAAGAGAATGCATAAATTCATAGAAAAAACAGAATTAAAAATAAGAGTTAAATTTCTTTATACTAAAATAGTTAATATTGTCTTATAAAAAAACTATTATGGCGTCACTTATATGAACTATTTTAACTACTGCTCAAGGAATGGAAATTAAATGCAATTCAAATCAATACTCACAAATGAAAGTAATTTATGTGCAGATCGGGGATAATATATGTGATAAAAATTGTATGAGCCCATTCTGCAACTTTGATGCTTATATCTTAATTAACGACGAACAGGAATTTTCATCGGATTGGTTTTTGGGCAAAAAATAGCGATTTGTCTAATGGTTTTGTTCACTCACGGAGGGGGGGGGAGTTAGAGGTTTTAACGTGCTTCTCTGATTCCGCAGGGTGATTTAAATAAGCCACAAGGGCTCACCCCAGTAGACTCCAACTTGTGACGTCACCGGGCATTTCCGACGTTACCCTTTTTATCGGGCTGTGAACGATCCTAAGCAAGCGACGGCCAATTGAAGTCCAGATCTCACGGGTTGCGTTGCCTTGCTTGAAACTTGACTCCTGCGTGCTGTACCGCCTATGTATCTCCTTCCTCGGGAGTGTCAAGTAGTAAAACCCTATGTTCATCAAACATCCAGGATCAGGCCAGGAGGCTGTGCACCCCTCCCCGTTGCTTACCTGATATTGCTGGATAAGATCCCAACGGGAAAACTGAACCCTATAATAATAAAATAGGTCAAAGGAGTGAAAATTTTTCATGGAAGAATTTTCTGGACGACGCCATTTTATTATTATTTTCTATATCCTTACAATCATTTTTTTTTATTCCTTTATGTTTCGAGAAATGTTCGAATGCCATTATTTACTTCTTAGATGATGAAGATTATTTTATTGATATCGACTTGGCTATTATCCCATCGTGAGTTCATATTTCTTTTTATCAGCACTCAAGAAATATTCTTATGGTTTCTTGGAATGGAAATCAGATAAGGGTTAAACAGAAAACTCCTGAAGCTGTGCGATATAATCAAATATTTGAATTCTGATATTCTTCCTTACTCCCCCCCTCCGTGAATGAACAAAACCATTAGAAAAATCGCCATTTTTTGCCCAAAAAACCACCCTCCGTGAGTGAACAAAAATTTTTTATGGAAAAAAATTTTTGATATATAAATTATAATTAGTATAATGAAATCTAGAGCTGATTCTGTTTAATTTTAAACGAATTGCTTTTTAAAACATAAATTTTTATAAATTAAATTAATATTTGCTTTCAAATTTTCGCGAATTAGGATTTTTAAATTTCGAAAAACAAAATTTTTAATAAAATTTATATATAAATTTTTTTTAAAAAAAAAATTAACCCCTCCGTGAGTGAACAAAATTTTTTTGTTCACTCCACGGAGGGGGGGGAAATAGAAATCAGAAATTTGATATTTGATGGACAAAATTTTATCACTTGCTCTAATAGCGAATACTGTTATTACTGCCCATATGTTTTTTCCAATTCAGATTCTTCTAACTCGCCCCCTTTGTGAGCAAACAAAAATCTATTCGCTCATGAAGTGGGGTTATTTGTTTTTTAAAATTTAAAAAAATTCCACTTCGTAAAAATTCGAAAGCAAATATTAATTTAATTTGTAAAATTTATGTTTTTTAAAACGCAATTTGTTTAAAAATTAGACAGAATTAGCAAGAGATTTCATTACATTAATTATCACTTATATATAAAATTTTTTTCCATAAAAAATTTTTGCTCGCTCTGGGTTTTTGGGCAAAAAATAGAGATTTTTTCCAATGGTTTTGTTCGCTCACGGAGGGGGAGTAAGCATTATAATGATAGGCATGAAGAAATCTCTGAATATTTAAGCTCACCTTTTTGCGAGTATCAAGGCGAGTATTATTGATTTTTGATTATTAATAGTAACCTAACCCTCACCAATGTAACTTTCCAAAATTTTCGATTTGGCTTTAAATCATTAATGGATATAGGATGCAACAGTAATCTTACTTTAGCAATGTAACTTTTGATAATATAAAACTATCTGAAAATGAAAATCTGCAGTTGTTAATTATATTAATTATCAGAATTATTATCCAATGTGTAGTCCTCTACCTGGAAATTTTTATTATAACTATGGCAAAGTAAGCAGACTAAATAACGGTTATGAGTTTGGAGATCCAATTAATTTGAGAGGTATTTTATATGCTCCTAATATTACTACTGCAATCATCAAAAATGTGAAATTCGAATTTAATATGATCTACTTGGATCCCTTAAAATCTTTAAATACAGCTTCCTTAATACACTTGGCTGATTAGAGTTATTTGAGATAGATTCTTGTTCATTTTCATATAACTATTGCGAAAAAGGCATTATTAATATTCAAAACAAGAATAGCTATTATTCAATTGAGTTTAACGAAATTCAAATCATAAAATACTCAACCCTTAGTCATGTACACATCAAGAAAACATCATTTGTATCAAATTATGGGAAATCAAATGGAATTTTGTCTGCAAATTATTATAATGAAACGCAAAATATATTGATTGAATCTACATATTTTATAGCAAATGGAGCTGAAAGCAGCAGTCTAATATCAATTTGAAGCAGCTCAATAAAGGATGATTCTATCAATGGTAAATTCGTAAATGCAGCAACCCCAAGTGGATTGAACGTTACTATCAAATTTTGGCCGAATTTTGTTAAATTAAAAAATCTGACTTTTATTGACAATTATTCAGGAGGTGCAGGCTTGCTAAATATAGAGCAAATGGCAAACATAGAAATAAAAGACATTGAAATGAGTGAAAATGGTGAAGATAGCAACATTAATTCAGCAATTTTGAAATACTACACAAGAAACCCTGATACCTATTTAAAGCTTGAAGTGTCTAATCCAGTGACTGCTTCTTGCAAATCAATAGCACTTGTTAGTAATTCAGTTAATTTTTTAATGTATAATATGAAGATTACAGATAATTACTGTGAAAATTCATCACCTGCAATCATCATCAATAGCACAAAAACACAGGGAATTGACTCCATTCATTCTGAAAGAAATTCTGGAAGAGGTATCACTGGAGTTTGCTTGTCTTTTCAAAATATGAACACAGTAATATCAATCACAAATTCAGAATTTATTGGTAACAAAAATTATTTAAGTGGAAGCCCAGGTGTGATTGAATTCTCAAAGATTAGTGCTTTAGCACTGGAAAACTGTACTTTTATAATGAATAGTGCTGATTCAGGAGGTTCTTTATATTTTTATGGCCAAAGCTTGCTTGTTAATAATTGTCATTTTGAGCATAACCAATCACCTGGCTTTTCTGGTGGATCAATTTAGCGCAATTTCAGATTTTACAGTCTCAAATACTATCTTCAAAAAAATTCTTGTTTACTCAATGGCGGAGCGATATATATCAATAAAAAGTCTCAATCAAGCACGAAAACATTCTTGAAAATTATTGATACAGACTTTTATGAAAATCAAGCTTCAAGTGGAGCATATATTTTCGTCGATAATCCTATAGAATTACAAGTTTCCTCGACAATCAATAACTGCACATTTTCAGGCAATAGTGCTTCTCGCTCTGGCTCGGTTTCTCTTTTCTTTTCTGATGGCATTTTAACTTTTATCAATTCTAAGTTTATCGAAAATAAAGGACTTTACAGTTCAGCACTTCATATTTCTGCTGGTGAAGATTCCGAAGAATTGCCATCAAGAGTAGTTTTAAATCCTGCATATTTAAATAGAACTCTTCATCTGCTGCTATTTTAATGGATGATCAAAATAAACGGTCTACATTAGAAACAAATTACTTAATGTTTTATAACGCTTAACGTCCCTTGACGGTCCCCAGGTCTTCCGCTCACTCTCCAACGCATCGGGCCCACAAGCCTCTGGGGCGACTTGCTTTGTTTCACCAGGGTGCACCTTGGAGCAAGTTTTGCCGGCTTCAACGGCGCTTGTTTGAATACAATATTGGCTCAGCTTTTTCTCTTGACAATGACATTCTTTTAGACAATATTTCAACAATTCAGCATGGCTACTCAGATTCATCTGGTGCAGGAGTAGCACTCAAGCATTCAGCAATAGCTATGTTTGTAAAAGCTGTTTTTTATAATAACACAAGCGCAAAAAACGGAGGGGTTGCATCACTGAGCTATGAATCTGAGTTTTTAAGCACTTCTTGTGTTTTGATTGGAAATATTGCAGAAAACGCAGGTGGAATTGCTAATGCTGAGTTAGATTCATTTTTTATAATAGAAAATTCAAAAATATAGAAAAATTCAAGTAAAAACAAGGGATCTGCTTTTAGCATAATTAGATGCTCGAAGCATTTATCAAAGATAATAAATTGTGAAATTAATGAAACAGTTCTATGAAGAGCGGAACTATTTCACTTTTATCATCAGCCATATCTCTAGATTCTTCAAATATTCATCATAAGACTATGTGAGTTTGGGGAAGCAGCTGTAAGCATCACTTGCTTGGCTTGCGAGGAGCCTTATTACAGCTTAAATCCAAAAAATCCCCCATGCCTTGCCTGCCCTGATCATGCTGATTGCTATGGAAATTATACAATGGTCCCTCATCATGGATATTGGAGAGATAATAAATATACTGATCATTTTTGGAAATGTCCATACTCTCCAGCTTGTTTGGGATCTCCAGACCTCAATAATATTTCATATACAGGAATCTGTAAAAAGGGCTATAAAGGGAACATGTGTCAATCTTGTGATTCTGGATATTCAAGACTCTATAAAAATGAATGCCAAAAATGTCCTGATACTAACACTAACATTATAAGAATGTTTGGATTTATCATTATTTTTATTTTCATCGCACTGTTAACTATAAGGGCTTCCAAAAATTCTATTCTAGGGATTTCAACCTTTACTTCAATTTACATCAAAATATTTTGGAATTATTTGCATATTATGATAATCATCACAACTTTCAATTTAAACTGGCACGAGAATTGATGAAATTGTTTTATATTGAATTAAGTTTGAATTATATTGGAGAGCAACTATATTCTTTGGATTGCCTCTTTCAAAACTCAAATTTCAAAATAAAAATATTTTATACTAAACTTATATTTATTAGCTTTATACCTATAATGCTACGGACTGTTTGCTTTTTTGCCTGAATAATTTATATTAAAGTTCGAAAAAAAAAGTGAAATCCAATTTCTGATGATTTTATTTGCAACTGCATTATTTTATTATTTTTAATTAATCCAGGCCTCATTGAAACTTTATTTAGTATATTCAGTTGTAGAGAAATAAACTCTGGGGAGTATTGGCTTAATATTGATCTTGATATTCAATGCTGGGATTTTGATCATATCTTTTATTCGTATTTAATAATTTTACCTGCGATCTTAATTTGAGGGGTCATCATTCCAGGATTATGACTAATAAAATTGATTAGATATAAAGATAGATTGCAAGATACAAGAGTTAAATTGAGATATGGCTTCATCTGCAGCGGCTACTCTAGCTCCCCCTCCGTGAGCGAACACAAAACCATTAAAAAATCCCTATTTTCTGAACAAAAGCCCATGATCCATGAGCGAACAAAAATGTTTTATGAAGAAAAAAAAATTGATATATAAATGATAATTGGTATAATGAAATCTATAGCTAATTCTGTTTAATTTTAAGTAAATTGCGCTTTAAAACATAAATTTTAAAAATTAAACTAATATTTGCTTTCCAATTTTCGAATTAGGATTTTTTTAAATTTCGAAAAAAAAAACTTAATCCCCTCCATGAGCGAACAAGATTATTTTGCTCACTCACGGAGGGGGGAGTAAGGAGTTTTTCTATTGAGAATTTGTGATTTTATATTGCAAAATTACATTGATTAGTTTCTCAGTCTTCTTATCAAATATTTCTATTTCTGTCCAAGCTCTTGCTGTTACAATTTTATTGATTTTTTTCATTTTTCTTCAAATTAAAAATAAACCATTTACTGACAAGGTTTTAAATGATATGGAACTGTTTTCCAAAGCGACTCTATTGATTACAATTTGCGCTGGTCTTTTCTTTTTAGCTGATGAGTTAGAGCGTCCCGGAGCGATATTTATGTTTCTTATAGCATTTTGCTCAAACTTATCTTTTATTATTTGCAGTTTACTAACTGTCAGTGAACAAAACATTTTATTCGCTAACGCTCACAAAAGGGGGTTAATTTTTTTTTTTAAAAAAATATTATTTTTTTAAAATACAAAATGTTTAAAATCAAACATAATTAGCTAGAGATTTCGCTATAATAGTTGTCATTTTATATCAAAATTTTTATATTAAAAGATATTTGTTCACTCACCGGGCCTCACCGGGTGGGAGTAAGAATCTTCAACGAGCTTTTAAAGTTCGTTAAGGCGAAGCTTTTATTTATGGGAAGCATGCTATTCAGAGAATCAAGAGTAAAAGTAAATTATATAATTGATGAAAGCCAAGTTGACAATGGAAAAAATATACATATTTCACATCTACCAGGATTATTAATAGTACACAGGATTAAGATTGAGATTAAATTTTTGCCTAGCAGGTACCGGGGATTGCACCCCTACACGCTCATCACTTCCGAGGAGCATCAGCGGAAAACCCTCCTTGTTCCCACAAACAAGGGATTCGCACTGACCAGTCTTGACTTCCATAGCATCTGGAGCCTAAGGGCCAACCACTTGGGTCGAAACTCCGGTTTCTCGTTGGAAAATGCCATCTGTTGAGTCCTGCGCGAGGGAATTAGCTTCCACTTGGGACTGTCGCCAATCTTATCCTTTTCTAATGGTTGTTCCGGAGGTAAAAGCCCGAGTCCTACGAATTAGCTCCATAGGGCCTGAGTAAAACCTAGCCCGATGTACACAAAGGATTTCCGGCCTCTTTCCACCTAAATCCCCATCACTGGGTTGTTCTTACGAGTGTTGAAGAAATAGGGTCGAGAGGTCGGGTGGTACGTCGTCGCCATTTTTATGTATATAATAGTACACAGGAAATTGATATCGGTGGCTTAGAAAGTAATCAAAATAATGAATCTCATCAGCAAGTAGAGATTGACCCTTATCCTTCTGAAAATAGCGCATTCACAAGTCAACAAGAAATTAAATAAAACCTAAAATAGTTTTTAATAAAGCATTCATAAAATTGAATAATATTTTTTTTATTTACCAGTCATTTAACTCTCAGTTAAAGCGTCTCTATTATTTAATAGTATGGCTTCACTTATTTGATTAGCACTTTTTGCTGCTGTGCACGGAATATACTTAAAATGCAATTTAAACAAATGCTCACCAATGGCTGTAACACACTACATAGAGAGGAAATGGTGTATGCAGCCTAGACTGTATGAATTCTTTTTGCAACTTTGATTCATATCTTTTGGAAAACAATAAAGTTGATTTTACAACAGACTGTGAATTGTATTTTATATATGCTGACTGCGAACTTGGAGACCGTGGAAATGGAGTTTGCGATGAGCAGTGTAATGCTGCTTATCTTGGTTATGATTTAGCTGACTGTAGCTTTTGCGGACCATCTTGTAAATATAATTTAGGCAATAAAGCTCAACTAGGAGGGACTTGTGACGAAGAATGCAATGTCCCTGAGTGCTATTATGATATGGGAGCATGTAGAGAGTGCTCTGTTGGATGTAATATGACGATTTGAGGAAATGGAGTATGCGATGAAGTCTGTAACAATGTTGAATGCAATTTTGACATGGAAGATTGCGTTAATTCGACTTGTGCTACAGGTTGTAATACTTGGATGGTTGGAAATTCCATCTGTGATAAAGCCTGCTATGTTGAAGAATGTGAATATGACAAAGCAGACTGTACTTGTGCACCATTTTGCACTGATGATCTTTTGAAAAATGGGATTTGTGATGAAGTCTGTAATAATTTGAACTGTAAATTTGACAATGGGGATTGTGGTTACTGCAATTCTGAATGCTCACTCTTCCGTTTTAATAGCGATTGGTTAATTTTAATTTTTAATTTTAATAATTAATAAAATGGATTATTCACATAGCGCTGCAAGGCGAAAAATTATACGAAATGATTGTTCATTGAAGTTTTGAAGAGAAGAGGCAGCCGGATGAATTGATAAAGAAGTATTTGGTACAGTTGTTTGATATCAGGAAAGAGATTTTGAGGAGAGAAAAAGTTGAACTGTAAATGCACAGGTGATTATCGAATTAAAAAATTTAGTAATTAATAAAATATTTTTCAATTATATTCAACTGTTTTGAATAATTTACTTTATAAATAGGATTTAGTACCTTACTTCCCTCTGTAAGTGAACGAAAACCTATTTTTTGGGAAAAAAGCTATCCTCTGTGAGTGAGCAAAAAATTTTTTAATATAAAAATATTTTGATATTATGTGATAATTATTGTAGCAAAGTCTTGAGCTAAATCTGCTGAATTTTAAACAACTTAAATTACATAATTTTTAGTTCTCAATTTTTGCGATTTATTATTTTTTAATTTAAAAAAAAATGTTTACTAAAATATTATAAATTTTTTGCTCATGAATGGAGGGGAGTTTAGAATATATCTATCATATATAAATAAAATTTAACAAATTTCTTTGTTTTTTCATTATAGACTTTGAAGCTTCTATAAATTAAAAGCATTTTTAAGCATCAAAATTATTTTAAAAATATTTTTAAAATATCTATAAATTTGCTACGACATGGGGAGAATCAGAAAAAATGCTAGCAAATAATGTATGTGATCCAGAATGCAACACAAAAGAGTGTGAGTGAGATTATTATGCTTGTGGATGCGCTGATGGGTGCGCAGTTAAGGATTATGGAAGCTGCAAACCTGAGTGCTTAGTAGGAACTTGCAATTACGATCGAATGAGTAGTGATACCAAAAAATGGTGCAATGATAGAGATCTAGTTTTATTTACTGTTTATCAGCAGATGCTTGTAAATGATACAAGTTATGTTGTAAGCTATGAGAAATGCTTATCTGCTTCTAATTACAAATGCAGTCTAACAATGGCTCTTGATATGAGCCAATGTCACTCAGAGTGCTTAATTCCTGAATGTAATTATGGATTATGTAATATTAATTCTTATAGCTCCTGCAAAGCAAATATTCCAAGTTCTGGATGAAATCTCTGTAGAATTTGCGCAGCCCTCTAAATCCGAACGCCTAAAGCTGAGGGACTGCTGATAGAAGCCAAGAGGTTCTAGACGCACGATGGGCAGAAAGCCCTAGTAAGTGATGTGTTAGTACGGTGACCCAGTTCGCCTACTTCCGGGATAGCATGACCAAGCCCCATGACCGGAAGGAGCTGAATGGTAGCCTGTGGCACTTAGGTGCACACTGGGAGCAGGGCAAGGAAAGCAAGCGAGGCGTCCAAAAGGCGAAGAAAAAGGACCTTCGGTCCTGGCCGGGAGCTACTCTATAAATTTAACTAAAGACTAAGTGATGTGTTATCGGCTATATCTAATTAAATTAATTGAAATTTGTGCAAGCTCAACAGAAACCCTAGGCGTAGCTTCATGCAATCAATGTTTCGATACAAGCATTTATTGCACGAATCTAAATTTATTCGGTGTTTTTCTAAATTATTCCAACTATTTACCAACATTTGATTTATTTCCTCATCTCTCCTTTTATTATGTAACTTCTAAACAAAAAAATAGTTCACCTTCAGGCGATGGATCAATAAATTATCCATTTGAAACAATAAAATACGCGTTTTCCTCAATAAAAACCTATCATAACATTTTTCTCCTAATGAACGATGGATCATATGATTTAGAAAGCATGGACTTAGGCAACAATTTTGAGTATAGAGCGTGAAAAATAGCACCTCAAGATGACAGCAAAATTACCCTATATGCTAAAAGTTGAAATTATCCTTTGATCCAAATTTATGGGGCTTTTGAAATGGAAAATTTAATTATTGAAGGAGATAATAAAGAGGGAAGTACTTGCAAAGACTCAATTTATTGCTCGTATTGCTCATATAACACTTATAATAAAAATGATGGATTTTACTATAATGATAGAGGAGAACGTGTATTAAGCAATTTGCCAAACGACTTATGCAATAGTTTGTATTCAAAATATTGGCAGAAATATAATCGCCCACTCTTTCTCTCCAGGTCTGTAAGACCAAACGTTTACGAAGGCTGAATTCCATCTATTTTCGTTTTTAGAAATGTAAAATTTATAAATCATAGGACTGGCTACAGTAGTATCATTGGAGGAGAAGCTAATTTAAGGCTTTACAACGTTGATTTTGACAATATTTGACTAAAATGATACGATACAGCTGCAGTGATCTCACTTACAGGCGAAGATTATTCAAATGCGGATTTAATATATATTGGGGGATCAGTAACCAGATTAAATAATGGGTATGAGTATGATGACCAAATGGAGTTCAGAGGATTTTTATACTCACCTACAATAACCTCTGTTTTAATCAGAGACGTTGAATTCAAATATAATCTGGTTTATAGAAAAAAAGACAGTATATATGCCCAGGCATCTCTAATTTATATAAGTGCAATAAATTTTCTAAAAATAGATAATTGCACTTTTATGTATAATTACTGCGAGAATGGAATAATAAACCTTATAATTAAATATGGAGTCTAGGTACTATGGGGTCGGCTGCGCCGACTTCCTTCGAGCACATATTTAATGATATCTGGCAAGGTTTGCAAATACAGAAATGGACAGCAACGCTAGCTAAGCAAGTTTGTAATGTACAGAGCCTAGCCCTAGTCCACTTTTAGGATTAGATTTTACCTCGAGGGATAAGGTGGGTTCAGGGTTTAGGGGGAAAAGCCCAGCAGCGTCTACAGGGAACTACTAGACCATTCGCGCATCTTCCTAGCGTGAAATTAGGCTTTAAATTTTTTTCCTGTTTACCGATAGTCCACCAATATTCCATTTTTTGAGGTCTTTCCGACAGGGCAAGGAGTAGATCGAGACACAGAATCCTCTTCACTGGTACCATGGCATTATGTAGTGAAGAAGAGGAAATTAGAGGGTCCTTGGTGACTGCGTTACCAATAGGCAGAAGCCACAACCTACAATTTAAGTTAAGGAATAATAAACCTCGATTTGAGTGTGAAATTTTACCCTGGAGGTTTAAATGAAACCTATTATATATCTTACTTATATGAAGATCATCTTTATATAAATAGTTCAAGATTTATTTCTAATTATGGAAAATCTTCATTGATCGATATTGATTTTTTTAATTATCTCATAAATATCCATTTTGAAAACTTAACTTTTGAAGGCAATGGGATAGAGCAGGGACCTGCAATAACTATTTCAAACTCATATATATTAGACGAATACAAAGATGGAACTGTAAGGCCTTATAAAATGAGCTCTGGGAGAACCTTAGACGCAATTTTGGGACCAAGATGATGCAAAATGGACAACTTGTCATTCAAGAATAATCATGGGGTTGGACTGATAAGTCTGTCTAAAATGGTTCATGTCTCCCTCAAAAACATTGCTATAGATTCTAATGGATCCCCAAATGAAGATAAAAATTTAAACTCTTTACTTCTTACCTGTTTCATCAGAAATCAAGATATTTATTTGAAAAGAGAGGCAGTAAACCATAAAGCACTTGATTGTGATTATATGGTTTCTATATCAAATTCATATAATGTTGATGTATCTCCAGCTGCAATTATAAAAAATACTTGTAGAAACTCATCGCCAACTTATTCAGTAGTTAGCTCAGATACTGCTGACATTGCCTCTGTAAACTGCTCATCAAATGTAGGGAATGGTGCTTTACCAATATGCTTTTTATTAACAGGAAATTTTATCAGAGTTTTGAAAAATTCTTCGTTTGAAGAAAATGTTAACAGCTATGCTACAGGTGCTGGAGCAATAGAAATTAAAGACAGTCTTGGTCTGTACATAAATAATTGCACATTTACTCCTCCTCTTTGATTTGAAACAAAAAATCCTGTTCCATTTAATTTGGGTTTATTTTTTTTAAAAAAAAATAAACTGAACGCAATATTTTTGAGTTTTAATTTATTATATGAAGAATTAATTCAAAAAAATCAGTGTGAAAGCTGTTTAAATAATATCTATCTCAATTTTTCTATTAAATATGTAAAAACTAATTTTATAAAAAATAGTTTTCAAATATAAAATTTCCTATACAAAAAAAATTGTTCGAATTAAAAAGAGGTTAATGTACGTAAAAAAAATCGAAATGAAACCAATATTTTGTTCCAATTTAAAGGGTTGAGTTAGAGAAAATACCGGAGATTATGGCGGTGCCATAAATGCAGCAAGCCAAATGATCTCTATTGAATCTTCTTTATTTAAATCAAACTATTCTCCAAATGGATATGGAGGAGCATTACTCTATCTTCAAACATTAACAAGTGGCATAAGCTTGTTTGAGATATCTTCAACAGATATCAGAAACAATTCAGCTCTCTATGGAGGTAGCATTTTTATTGCTCAACAGTGGACAGGATCATCAAAAACAGATGTTTCAATAAAAAGCTCGAATTTTTATTTTAACACTGCATCTTATGCGTCTTGCTTATATTTTGATAGCACAGTAACCTTGGCAGATTCTTCAGCTATATGATATTCCAATTTTATCGAAAACAGCTCAAAAATTTCTGCATGTGTCATATTTTACAGCAAAGGCAATCTAAATTTTTCATTCTGCGATTTTCTTACAAATTCAGGCAGGCTAAGTTCTGCTCTTCAGATAGATATAAGTGATTCAACAGTTACTTTTGATTCATGCAAATTTTCAAATAATAAAGGACTTTCAGTAATACTTATAGACAATCAAAACAGCATTTCTTATATTAATACAATGAATTGCATATTTGAGTATAACTATGGGTCAGCCATTTCTTTAAACTATGACTCGCTGCATGATTCTGGGTCTATTTTTCGGCATAATTTAGCAGCATCTGGGTCATGCTTGAGATTGCAAAACTCTGCGATTGCAATCTCTGATTCCAGCAAGTTTTTAAATAATACAAGCTCCACAAATGGTGGAGCAGTTTTGTTGAGCTCTGCTTCAGAATTTTATTGTAGCTCATGCAGGTTTGCAAGCAATAAAGCTCAAACTGGAGGTGCAATTTATGCGGAGCAAGATTCTGTGTTCTCAATTTTTAGCTCAGATTTTAACAAAAACTCATGTGATGAAGATGGGTCTGCTATATATGGATTTAACACAAATAGGGAATCATACCTCAATTTCAGCAAATTTTATGAGAATAATTCGAAAAATGGTGGATCGATAGTCTTCATAAATTCCAAAACGTTAATTGAGTCTTCAAGAATATATAGCAATCAAGGTGGAATTATATGGGTCATCAAGAAAAATCCTCAGGTAGGTTTTTCATGCTACCTTTTACCGTCAAAAACGATGGAAAGTTTTCCTTTTTTTTTTTGCAGTAGAAAACCCAAATGGTTTTAAGTATACAAGAAAAAACCTACCTATTTTTTTATTTCGAGTTTTACAAAAAACCCCTTTTTTTAAAAATATTTTATCGTAATCTAATTATTTTAGCTGGAGATTTAACCTTAAAAATTTAATATATAAAGACTTGCTGCAATTTTAATTCTAAAACCAAATGAGAGAGAGAAATCTTTATTACTTAAAGGCCTTTATTTCAGGGCCATGTCCCGATTAAAAATTTTTTAACTTTCTTCTTTTCCTAAAATCTTTGGATAAAATTTTAGTAAAATTTTCTGAACCCACGTAATCCGCGATTTTTTCGATTTCTGAGTCTGATATGAATTTTCTATTTCTGATGAAATTTGAATCTGATCTAAATTTTATTTTCCTGATAATGTTTGATTCAATTTTATTTTTCTGATAAAATTTGAATCTGATCTAATTTTTTTTTTTCTGGTGTCCAGGATTTTCTTATCGATTGTCTTCTTATCATCAATGATCACCTCAGTCTTCCTATATTTGAAGGTTTCCTGAATAGGATCTATTTCATCTAGTATTTTTCCATCTAAACGACTTAAAAACTCCAATATTTTGTCATCTGTATCAACATTTTCTGTATCACTATCATTTCATTCATATTCTGATTCAGAATTATCAAGAAGAATAGGAAACATTACTTTCCGAAATCTTCCATTAAAATTTTTTTTTTAGAGAGAAATCTTTATTAAAACCAAATGAAGAAAGAAATTACATTATATATTTTTAACATCAAATTGTTTTTATTCAATAATCGTATTAAAACACCCTTTTCTTGAAAAATATTTATCGATCTAATTATTTCAACTGAAATTTTAGTCTTAAAGATCTAATATATAAGGATTTGCAACAATCTAAATTCTAAAACTTAAAATATAAGCCAAATGAAAGAAATTCCATTGTATCTTAATCAATATATTTTTTCGAACGTCAAATATTTTTATCCAAAAATCAGATAAAACACCTCATAAAAATTGGAAAATTAATATATCAGCAATAAATAGAAAGGTTTAAACATTAATAATTCAAAATTTAGACTTCTCTGGCAAATTAATTTTAATTGATAAAATTTGCAGATTAGTAACTAATAGTAAATGATTATAGATATATGTGATCGAAATATTAATCAAAAATCTAGAGTTTTTCATGTTGTTTTTTATTCAATATTTCAATCACACATTCATTATTGTTTCTTATGAGCTAGAGACCTATCAGTTAAAAGATCCAAATATATTTTATTAGGAAAGTTTAAATCCTGGATTATTAGTATTTTTGAGCTTTCTACTTATTGCTAATATATGAATTTTTCAATTTTTTATTAGGCTTTTTAATCTGATTTTTAGATAAAAAAATTGATGGCCAAAAAATATATTGGTTAGGATACAATGATTTCTTTCTTCATTTGGCTTACCTTTTTATGTTTTAGAATTAATCTTGCAGCGAGTATTTATAAATTAAATCTTTAAGGCTAAATCTCTAGCTAAAACAATTAGATTACGATAAAATATTTTCAAAATTTTTTTTCCCTGCAAAAATCGATAAAAAAACATAGCCAGTGTACTTTTGTTAAGACCATTCATTTTTTATTACCTGGAGAAAAACAGAATAAAACCCTCCGTCATTTTTGACTGTAAAAAGCAGCATGAAAAAACCTACTTAGTGTTTGGTCCTGATAACCAGAATTAAATTGTCACTTTCAAACTTGAGTGTCTTAAATTCCCATTTTTCCAACCAGAGCTGTACTCTAGGCTGCTTTATTTATACTTCTATTAATAGTGATGTTTACATAAAGAATTCTATATTTTCATATGGGATTTCAAATGATTCAGGAGGTGCAATATACTCATCATCAAGCTCTGTTGAAATAGAAAATTCAGAATTTAAAGATTTATCTTCCTTGAATTCTGGAGGAGTTATTTATTCCTCATTAGATGTATCTTTAACAATAAAAAACTCCAAAATTTCAGATTCCCATAGTTTGGAAGGCGGAATTATTTATGCATACCAAACACCATTAACCATAGAAAATTTCACATTAAATAATTTTTCAAAATCTGGAATATATGGGAGCTATCTAGAAAAACTCGAAATTTCAAGATCTTCAATGTCAAATGGAAATGGAAGATTAAGTGGCGGAGTATACTGCTATTCATGTGGGAACATAAAAATTAAATCTTGCTCATTCAATAATAATGAAGCCTCACTTGCTGGAGGTGCCATATACTTTGATAGTCAAACATCACATAGTAGCACTTATGAAATATCTTCGTGCTCATTTACTGAAAATTCAGCAAATAAAGGAGGTGCATTATATATAAATGATCTAAGTGGATCCATATTGACAACAACTTTTACTAGTAATAAAGCAATTTCAAATCAAGACTTTTATGAGTCTGAAATAACTGAGGGCATTGGAGGAGCAATCAAGCTGAGCTGCATAAAAAGTGAAGAGTGCAAATTTAGCATTAAATCATGCAACTTCACTGGAAACTCCGCGACTTATAATGGAGGTGCCATCAATTGAGATGACTGAAAACCGAAACTAAATGATAATTATTTCATGAATAATGTGGCTGAGTATGGAAATGATTACTCTTCCTACCCTATTAAACTTATGAGCGTAAATGAAAATGGAGAATTAGAAGGCTATAAGAATAGAAGGAGATTAGAAGATATCCCAATCTCAAATTTCAGTTTATTATCAGTTGCACCTGGACAAGATAGCAAAAAGCCTATAATGGTTGCGCTTGTTGACAATATGAACCAAATCATAACAACTGACAATGCTAGTCTTGGTGAATTAAAATCACAAAATGTGAGTACAATTATAGCAGGGATCACCAAAGTTAAAGCGCATAAAGGTATTTTTACTTTTTCTCAGTACAGAATTTCGGATGAGCCAGGATTAAATGTGACTATTGGAGTATTTACCTCTGCTATTGACAATAATAAAAAAATTAAATCAGGTAATCCAGTTTTTGATCAAAATTTGCTGATTAATATTGAACTGAGAGTTTGTGAAATTGGAGAAATCAAGGCTGGAAAAAATTGCGAAGTTTGTGGATATGGATATTATAGCTTAGCAACTATAGCAACTCAATGCCTAGGCTGTCCAAGTTATGCACAATGCTTTGGAAGCTATCAAATGGCTCCAAAGCCAGGATACTGAAGAGATAATGCTTACACAGATAAATTTTGAAAATGCCCAAATCATCATGCTTGTTTGGGATCTCCTGATCCTAAAAATGTATCTTATACTGGTTTATGCAACTTTGGATATAAAGGAAATAAGTGCCAATCATGCAAAGCTGGATTTTCTCGTACAAGTGCAAACAAATGTGAAGAATGCCCTTCATTTGCTAAAAACTTACTCTTCCTCTGTGAGCGAACAAAAAAAATTTTGTTCACTCACGGAGTGGGGTTAATTTTTTTGTTTTTAAATTTATATATAAATTTTATACTAAAATATTTTTTTTTAAAATTTAAAAAATTCTGATTTGTAAAAAGTTAGAAGTAAAAATTAATTTAATTTTTGAAATTTATGTTTTTAAAATGCATTTGAGAAATAGCTAGAGGTTTCATTATATTAATAATCACTCATATATCAAAATTTTTTTCATAAAAAATTTTTTGTTCGCTCACGGAGGGTGGGTTTTAGGGCAAAAAATTTGGGTTTTTTCTAAATGGTTTGTTCGCTCACGGAGGGGGGAGTTAGCGATTATAATAGCAATCGCAATTGCATTATTTATATTAGTCTCCATTATGGTAAGAGCAACCATAAAGTCGGCATTCAAGCCAAAGACATTGACATCAATCTATATTAGAATTTTGTTGAATTATTTACAAATGGTCATTTTGACCTCTACTTTCAAATTGAATTGACCTAGTGAAATTTTAAAGCTATTTTATATCCAATCAAGCACAGATTACATCTATCAGCAACTTTATTCTTTCCAATGCCTTTTAGAGGATGAAAATTCGTATAGTAAGGTCTTCTATAAGAGCCTCATCATGATTTCTTTAATTCCAATACTCATGGCCATTTTAGCAATTATTATTTGGATTATAATCAAGCTTAAGCAAAGATCACTTAACTCCCTACTTGTGTGAGCAAACAAAAAAATTTGTTCTCTCATGGAGGGGGTTAATATTTTTTATGTAAATTTTTTTTTTCGAAATTTAAAAAAATCCCTAATTCGCAAAAAATTGATATGATTTGTAAAATTTATGTTTTTTAAAATTTAAAAGCTGTTTAAAATTCAGCAGAATTAGCTAGAGATTTCATATCACTTATACATTTAAAATATTTTTTATTAAAAAATTTTTTGTTCGCTTACAGAGGATAGGTTTTACCAAAAAATAGCGATTTTTCCAATGATGTTTTTTCACTCACGGAGGAATTAAGAATTTTTGGGATGATTATATTTCTACTTGCATTATTCTTTTATTTTTAGTACATCCTAGCATTATTAAAAAAATGTTTGCTTCATTTAATTGCACAGAAATTAATTCAGGAGAATATTGGCTAGAAGAAGACCTTGATATAAGATGCTGGGACGATGAGCATAAATTTTACGTTTTGGTGGTCTCTTTGCCATCTATTCTTTTCTGGGGAATATTATTGCCTACTATCTGCTTGGTTGCCCTAATTAGGAAGAGAGGACACTTGGAGGAACTAAATGTGAGACTTCGTTATGGGTTTTTATTTAATGGATATCATTTAAAGCAATATTATTGGGAATTCATTATCATCTACAGCAAAATTATTCTAATCTGCTGTTCTGTCTTTTTGACAAACATTGCACCAAAAATTCAAGCGCTGATTGCAGCAATACTTTTGACAGTATTTTTGCATATCCAGTATTCTAATAGTCCTTATGTTGAGGCGAACTTAAACCATTTAGAGCTGCAAGCTAAGTTTGTGTGCGTTATTACAGTATATAGTGGATTATTTTATTTGACTGGGTCTCTTGGAGATAATGCTAGCTTATTCTTCTTTTTTATCATTCTTATTGCTAATTGCTACTTCTTGGCCTACTGGACTTTTTGCATTTTCAGAGTGCTTTTTTGTTTTATTTATCAAAAAACCAAAATTTGGCGAAGCCGCTATAGAATTTCTAACGATCCAGATATCGAAAAAATTAGAAGCCAAATCATTATAAGCCATCATGGATCGAATGAAAATTTTGAAGCCAGTTTAAGCAATGAGCAATCCTATCTAGCTCACACCTCTATTGAAAGAATTTTTTTTTTTTATTTTGCAATATATAAACTTCTGAAATTTTAAAAAAAATCCAAAATTAGAAAGTAAAGACTAATTTAATTTGTAAAATTTATGCTTTGACTAAAAATTATTTAAGTTTTACGGAATAAGCTAGAGATTTCATTATAATAATTATAGCTTATATATTATCGTTAGTTGCTTAAATTGCAACTTTCACATGTGGAATCATCTTTTCAACACTTGGAAAATATTCCAAATTTAGGTGGTAAAGTTGCAATTTAAGCAACTAAACTATAAAATAATTTTTTTTGGCTTGCGGAGAGTGGTTTTTCCTAAAAAATAGGGAATTTTCCAATATTTTTGCTCTCTTACAGAAAGGGATTAAGTAATAATGAAAGCCAGAAAAATGAAATAAGCATCGATTATGATGAGAGTCTTAATAAAAGATAAAATATTAAAAAATTATAATATGACTGGGTTTGCTTCTTTTGGGTTTCGTCAATTTCCTTAAAATATAAAAATAAAATACTTTTAGCCTACTTCTTATAAAAAAATTTGCCTGAATATCTGAAATAAAGAAGAAATACAATAAAATATTAGTTGGATTTTATGATCTAAGAATGAAATAGAAATTAAATATTTTAATTCTTAGTTAATTTTTTATTTAAAAAATTAATTATATAATTTTTTTAAAAAAATCTCAATAATTTTAAAACAAATATATTTTAAAATACAAGCTATTTAAAATTTAACTCAATTAGCTAAAGATTTCATTATACTTTATTATTAACTTATATATCAAAATATTTTTTCAGGAAATTTTTATATTAAAAAATTTTTGTTCACTCATGAAGGTGGATTTTTAGCAAAAAAATAGGGATTTTTCCAATGGTTTGCTAACTCACGGAGATGAATTAGTTTAAGATTATAGAAAGCTTCCTTTGATATCCTAAATAAGCATTCATCTCCACCTTGCAACGCAATTGACTGCCATCTACCTATCTGCTATACTCCTCCAGAAATAGGCTCGCACACTAGCTAGAGCATTACAGGCTGAATGACGCCTGACATGGGTTGGCTTTCCAGAAAATTCGAAAAAATGAATCTTCTGGTCAAGGTATCGAACAAGATGAAACTAGTTGCCCAGGGCACAAATCGGTACCGCGCTAGGAAATTTTCCAATTGACCTAGGGACTCTCCTGGGCTTTTCTAACACCAAACTTCTATCTTCCAAGAGATAAAGCCTTGATATAATAAGTTGCGGTAAGCCTAATCTGGGATTACACTCCACCAAACTAAGTAAAATTTGATCGTATACACATCACCGAACGCCATCCCTTCAACAAAGTTCCTTGAGTTCCCCAGCTACTGGTGTTAAGTGAGTGGGCTGGCTATCACACATTTTAATGCATATACAAATTAGATACATAATTTCTAAAATTAAATTGTGTTTTCTTAATCTATTACTTACATTTGTATCCTGACAACTTTATTGAGTGACTTTATTGCTTATATAGTTATAAGCATTCATAATAAATATGTGTAAATCTTATTATTTATCTGTTTTTTTTGGGAGCATGATTATCTGATATGTTTATAACTTCTTAAACTAAAATAAACTTGCTAACTCCCCCCCTCCGTAAGTGAACAAAAGCTTGCTATTTTTTGCCCAAAAGCCCACCCTCTGTGAGTAACAAAAATTTTTTTAATAGAAAAATTTTTTATGAAAAAAAAATTGATATATAAGTGATAATTAGTATAATGAAACCTCGAGCTAATTTTTGTTTAATTTTAAACGAATTGCGTTTTAAAACATAAATTTTATAAAGTAAATTAATATTTGCTTCCCAGTTTTTGCAAATTAGGATTGTTTTAAAATTTCGAAAAAATTTTTTTCTATAAAATTTATATATAAATTTTTGTTTAAAAAAAATTAACCCCCCGTGGGTGAAAAAAAATTTTTTGCTCACTCACGGAGGGGGGGAGTAAGTTATTCTTTCAAGAAAAGAGTCAAGGGATTAGATTTTAGACTCTTTAAATACTCAACATATTTCTTATAATTCTAAAACTATCTTACTAAAATGCATTCAATATATTTTTCATAATCTAAATTACTTCATAAATTTATCATAATAAAAAGATCAACATCAAAATGTCATAGGCAATTTAATCCAAAATGTATCAACAAATAGTAGCAAAATTTATTAGTAGAAAACTATCTAAATGCTCTCTCAATTGATTTAAGTTTCAAGCTTACTCTGTATTCCATGAAATTTATTTGACCAAAATTTTTTATTTTTTTATACCCACCTATATCTCTTAAATTAAATAATGACAGAAGTAATATTACTTATAAATAATGGCGATTCTTTGGGTCTTTTTCTACTGAATAGCTGGCACATATGCGAATGGAAAACTTTCATGCAATTTGTGAGAATGCCCAGATGTAAAAGTAATTATCAATCAGAAAGGAAATAGCCATTGCAACCCAGAATGCATGAAACCTTATTGCAATTATGACTCAAGCATTTATGTTGATGGACTGGTCAATAAAGAAAGCTCAGATTGTTACTGAAGCTGCATTTATATAGATGGCTGTAATAAGGAAATGCTTGGGGATGGAATCTGTAATGACATTTGCAATACTATGAATTGCGGTTATGATTGAGGAGATTGTGGGTATTGCGCTCCTTCATGTAAATTTTATTTAGGCACAGAAGCCAGACTTCAAGAAAAGTGCTACCCTGATTGTAATGTGCCATCCTGCTACTATGGGTCTGGGTCTTGTAATGAGTGCCAGCCTGGGTGCTCCTCTAATTTATTAGGCAACGGAGTCTGCAACCTCGAGTGTGCATTTCCTGGATGCAATTTTGATTTTGGTGATTGCGCTAATTGAATTTGCGCACCTGGCTGCTTTATGTGAATGTACGGAAACTCAATTTGTGATGAGGCTTGCCATGTACCTGAGTGCAACTTTGACGGATATGATTGTGACTGTTCTCCAGGGTGCTTCGATTCCATGCTTGGTGATGGGAAGTGTGATCCAGCGTGTAATAATTGAAATTGTGTTCTAGATAGTCATGATTGTGGAGCTTGCGCTAGTGGATGTTATCCAGAAATGTTAGGGAATGGAATTTGTAATCCTGAATGCAATAATTATGATTGTGAGTATGACTATAAAGACTGCGCATGCTCAAAAGACTGCACTTATTTAGATTATGGAAAATGTAAGCCAGAATGCTTAGTAGCTAATTGCAATTTTGATAGAATAACTCAATATCCAAATTCTTGATGCCAAAATAATGGCCTAGCAATTTTTTCTTCATATCAGCAAATCATACGCCAAGATTTCCAATATATTGCATACTTAGAAAATTGCTTTAAGGCCTCGAATTATGCTTGCAATATTGGCAAAGTTTTTGACATGAAAAACTGTTTTTGGGAATGCAATATACTTGAATGCAATTTTGCAAATGGTAACTGCAATTTTTATGTTATACAAGATCCTGATTGTTCGAGAGTTTATGTCGGCCAAAATTATCTAATGTGTCTTTCATGTAAAGCACAATTTTTATATCTCGGATTCTGCATTCATGTTGGAAATAACCCACGTACACAATTTCCTGATGGGTCTTTAGTTTATGTTCCAAGTTATGACATTTCATCAGCTAATAATCCACATATATATTTCGCAACATCAATTGCTGGCTCTGATATTTATAAAGGCGAAGGAACTAGATGATCTCCATATCGGCACTTTCTTGTTGCTTTATATTTTTCTACAAATGCTTATACAACGATTTATCTCTTAGATGATGGGGATTACTTCATTGATCTAAATTTTGATGATATTTATACGTGAGGCTATTTTGATTACAAAAAATCGTCAAAAAACGTTCTTATCGCTTCTTGGAGTAGAAATCAAATAAGAATTAGACAGCGAAACCCTGATACTGCATTTTACCAAAAATTATTTGAGTTCTGGTATTCTTCATTAGAAATGAGAAACTTGATATTTGATGGGAAAAACTTCATTACCTGCGGTGGTAGTCCATACTGTGAGTACTGCCCGTATATATTCTCAAATTCAGAAAATTATATGCGTTATAACGATAGGCATGAAGAAATTTATGAGTACTTGAGTTCAGCTTATTGCGAATATCAAAAAGATTTTTATTGATTCTTAATTGCCAATAGTAATCTGATCCTTAAAAATGTAACTTTTCAAAATTTTCGATTTGGCCATACTGCCCTAATGAAAATAGCAGGCAGCAGCAATGTTGTCCTCAATAATGTAAATTTTGATAACATAAAATTGGCTGAAATTGAGAATTCTGGAGTTATACTTTTTGTTGCTTCCCTGAGTGATTATTATTTTTATGATCCTACTCCGGGAACATTCTTCTATAATTATGGTAAAGTGAGCAGGCTAAATAATGGTTATGAACTCGGAGATCCAATTAATTTAAGAGGATTTTTATATGCTCCAAATATCACATCTGTAGTAATAAAAAATGTGGAGTTTGAGTATAATATGATATATCAAAACCCATTGAATATCCTGAATTCAGCCTCTTTAATTGCTCTTGGATGATTTGAAACATTAGTAATTGATTCTTGCACATTTTCATATAACTACTGCGAACTAGGCATTATCAATATCCAAAACACGAATAGCTACTATAAAATTGAATTCGATGAAGCAGAAATCATAAAATATTCGACTCTTACTCATATTCATATAAACAATACACATTTTATATCAAATTATGGAAAATCAAATGGGATTTTTTCTGCACATTATTATAATGAAACGCAAAATATATTGATAGAGTCTTCATATTTTATTTCAAATGGAGCTGAAACCAGTAGTATAATATCAATCTGAAGTGAGTCAATGAAAGATGCAATTGCCAAAGGAAAATACATAAATGCGACTACTCCAAGTGGGATTACTATTGCTGTAAAATATTTACCTAATTTCCTCACATTGAAGAATCTGACTTTTCAAGATAATTTATCAGGAGCAGACGGATTAATAGAAATAAAGCAAATGACCAATATAGACATAGAAGATATTCAAATAAAAGATAATGGAGATAAATCTTATAAAGAGGACAATGTCAATTCAATAGTTTTGCTAAACTTCATTAGGAATCCTTATATTTATTTAAAACTTGAAGTGTCAAATCCAGTACATCTGTCCTGCAAATCAATGGCTTTAATAAGTGGTTCAGTTAATCTCTTAATGCAGAACATCAGCACAGTCAATAATTATTGCAGCAGATCATCACCTGCAATTATCATTGATAATACAACATCGATTCTTATTGACTCATTAGATTCTGAATGAAATGTAGGTGCAGGAACTGCTGGGATCAGTTTATCTTTACAAAATCTTAACTCAGCAACTATCAAAAACTCAAAATTCATAAACAATGTAAATTATTTAAATGGAAGTCCAGGAGCAATTGATTTCACAAACAGCAGTACATTATTGGTAGAAAACTGCATTTTTTTAAAAAATAGTGGCGATTCAGGAGGTGCTTTATATTTTTCAGGTCAAAACCTGCATATCAACTATAGTCATTTTGAATCAAATCAATCACCTGAACTATCTGGAGGAGCTATCCATTGAATAGTGCCCCAAAGTTTGACTACTTCCGATTTAGAATTTATTGTTTCGGATACATATTTTAAAAATGATTCTTATATACATAAAAATGGCGCATGACGTCCGACTCCTCTCGTGCGACGGTAACCCATGTATATCCGGGCAAGATTTTCAGGAGGAATGATATGGCCCAGCATTATAATGAGCCTAGAAGAAGGTTTGTGGCCTGATCATTGGGCAGTTAATCATGAATCCTTTTTCCAGCAGCCCGAAATGGAGCAGAGTGATTTCCCTTCTCAAGCTGCTCTTGATGGCTTGCCCCGAATCACAGAAGTGGTTGAGTTTTTCTCAGGGATGTCCTGGAAAAGGGGAGACAGGCTAGGATGCATGCAGGCGATCCCTCTGGTTCAAAGGGTCCTATAAAAGGACAGCGGCCAGGGTAGGTACAGTTGGCCTTAGAAGGGCGAAGGGACTGAGTTGGAAATGGTGGTGCCCAGCATAGGTCTGCGGGCACAAATAGGGCAATCCACTACCGAAAACCCAGAGGTACCAAAGGTGGAAGTCCACCAAATTCGCTTGTGCCACCACGCATCTGGAAGTAGAGACTTTAAACATCCAGCACTTACTCCCCCCCTCCGTGAGTGAACAAAAAAATTTTGTTCACTCACGGAGGGGGTTAATTTATTTTTTTTAAAAAAATTTATATATAAATTTTATAAAAATTTTTTTTTTTCGAAATTTAAAAAAATCCTAATTCGCAAAAATTGGAAAGTAAATATTAATTTAATTTATAAAATTTATGTTTTAAAAGGCAATTCGTTTGAAAATTAAACAGAATTAGCTCTAGATTTCATTATACTAATTATCATTTATATATCAAAATTTTTTTCCATAAAAAAATTTTTGTATAAAAAAATTTTTGTTCACTCACAGAGGGTGGGTTTTTGGGCAAAAAATTGCGATTTTTCTAATGGTTTTGTTCACTCACGGAGGGGGGGGAGTTAGCATAACTTTACTAACTTAAAAATAATTCTTGCTCTCTCAACGGTGGGTCAATTTATTTGAATAAAAAGTTTTATTCAAATACAAAAATGGCTTTATCAATCAGCAATTCAACATTTTTGAAAAATAAAGCATTTAACGGGGCTTGCATTTATATTGGAAATTCTATAAAACTATCAAGTAACTCTCTATTAAATAATTGCACATTCAAAGAAAATGATGCATCTCTCTCAGGCTCTCTTTTTATTTCTTATTTCGATGGAATCCTTTCTATTGATAATTCTAATTTTATTGAAAATAAAGGATCATATAGCTCAGCTCTTCATGTTGCAATCAATGAAAATATTGAAGAAATTCCATCAAAAGTTGTTTTAAATTCTTGTGTTTTTCGATGGAATAAAGCATCCGTCACTATTTTATTAAGCGATGAAAATAAAAATTCAACGTTGGAAACGGAGTATTGTTTATTTGAATACAATCTTGGTTCTATTTTTTCCTTACTGCCCCCATTTGTGAGCGAACAAAACAATTTTGTTCGGGACAGGGTAGTTTTTTTCGAAATATTAAAAAATCCCAATTTGTAAAAATTGAGAAGTAAAAATTAATTTAAATTTCGAAATTTATATTTCAAAATGCAACTGTTTAAAATTAAACAGAATTAGCAAGAGAGATTTCATTATAATAATTATAACTTATATATCAAAAATTTTTTTTTCCATAAAAAATTTTCGTCGTTCGCCAACAGAGGGTGAGCTTTTACCCAAAAATAGGATTTTTCTAATGTTTTTTCAATCACGGAGGGGGGGAGTTAGACAATGATACACTAATAGATAATAATTCCACATTTCAGCACGGATATTCAGATTTATCTGGAACTGTAGCAACATTAAAAAATTCAGCAATCATGAATCTAAAAAATGCTTTTTTCTATAATAACACAAGCACAATAAATGGAGGAGTTGCATCATTAAGCTACGAATCTGAATTTTATTGTATATCATGCACTTTAATTGAAAATTATGCAACTAATGCAGGGGGCATCGCTTATGCTGAGTCAGATTCATTTTTTATTATCAAAGATTCAAAAATCGAGAAAAATTATAGTAAAAATAAGGGATCTGTATTTGCTATGATTAGATGCTCAAAACATACTTCAGTAATAAATAATTGCGACATTAATGAAAATAGGGCCCAAAATGGTGGAACTATTTCACTTTTATCATCAGTCATAGCACTTGTTTCTTCAACTTTTCATCATAACCTTGCAGATGAAAATAATGCAGGAATTGGCTTATCTTTTTCAAACATCACTATTCTAAATACAAGCTTTTCAGATCAATCTGGAAAGCAAGGATGCTTTATAGAGATAAATGCAAATAGCAATGCTGTAATTGAGGAATCGAGCTTTGCAAATGGATTTTCGACTAGTTCAGGAACTGCTATTTTTTCTATTTCAAGCACTGTAACTATTTTGAAATCATTATTTTCTAATATAGCTTCAAGCAATGGAGGAGCTATCTTTATTTACAAAGAAAGCTCATTATATCTTAATGATACAGTAATTCAAAATTCTCAAGGATCTTCAATTGATTCATATAACAGTCGTATCAAAATAGAAAATTCACTATTTAAAAAATCAACCAAAAATATTATTTATAGCGAAGAACTACATTTATTGACAATTAAGTCTTCAGAATTTTCTGAAGGATCAGGATCAAATGGAGGAGCTATTTATTGTTTTAAGTGTATGTCATTAATAATTGATTCATGCTCATTTGATAGTAATTTTGCATCAGAATATGGAGGGGCAGTTTATTTTGCTACTGAAAAAGATTTTCCGAGAGATCAATATGCGATATCCTCATCTGAATTTTCAAGTAACAAAGCTATAAATGGAGGAGCGGTTTATATTGAAAATTTAAATTTTACTGTTTCTTCATCTAAATTTATCAAAAATTTTGCAGATTCATCTGGATTAAAAAATAATGATAATGGAGTGATCGATGGGATTGGAGGTGGAATTAACTTTAGCTGCAAGGATTTTGGCATATGCTTTTTTAATGTATCTTATAGCAATTTTACGGAAAATGCAGCAGTTTATAATGGAGGGGCTATCAGTTGGAAAGACGCTGAGCCAATGATTATATATAATAACTTTGAAAGAAATTCTGCAGAATATGGAAATGACATTGCTTCATTCCCTATTATGATGGCATATCAAGAAATTAAAAACACGAAAAAGGCTTCATTACAATCACCGACTATAGATGGGATTGCTTCGGGTCAAAAAAGCAATAAACCTATTGAATTTGCTTTAGTTGATCACTATAATCAGATTGTTAAAACAGACAACATAAGTCAAGCACAAATGCTCAGCGCTAGTTCAGATACAATTCTTTTTGGAATAACTCTAGCAACAGCAGCTAATGGAATTTTTAGCTTCACTGATTATGTCATCACAGCTCAGCCAGGATCCTTAACTAAAATAGAGATTTATACTTCTGCCATTAAAGAATCAGACGGCTATTCATCATCTAGTCAAGATTTTTATGCAGACGTAAAAGTCCGTTTATGCGAATTTGGAGAGGCAACTGTAAATATTACTTGTTTGATTTGTGAAAAGCCTTATTATAGTTTAAATCCAAACAATACTGCATGCCTTGCCTGCCCTGATCATGCTGATTGCTATGGAAATTATACAATTGTCCCTCATTATGGATATTGGAGAGATAATAAATATATACTGATCATTTTTGGGGGTGAGGAGGGTTAGACCGACTGTTGTATCTATGTCTACGATGGAGTAGTGTTAGTTAGATCACCTCAAAATGGTGCGACATAGGTATTGGAAATTTTTAAAAATTTCCAATTAATCACAACCTCTTTATAGAGCCGGCCTATCCCGATAGGGGTGTATCGACTTAGGCCGACTCACCAAAAAATTTTTCGGGATAGGCCGGATGCAAAAATTTGGTATAGTGTTAGGCCGGGAATTTTTTTTGTTTTGTTTTGGCAATAGATTTAGGCCGTATTTTTAAAATTTTTTTTTTTAGCAATAGACTTAGGCCGGAAAAAAAATACAGTCGTGTTATGCCGATTATATATGTTATTTTTCAGATAAATTAATTTAATAAAAGATAGTAAGAATATTGTAAGAATATATTTGAAATAATCCTTAAGCCTTTAATTATATATGATAAAAAATCGTTTAAATTTAATATTGCTACGCTTAATAATAAAATTATTCCATTAGATGATCCAAGTCTTGATCTCCAAATGATGAAAGCAACCCATCGTCTTGAGGTATTGTCCAGAATATAAATTAAGTATATCTTTACTTATATATTAATGTGTTGATATTAAGGAAAGCTATGGAATTATGATTAGTATTATGTAAAAAATTAGTGATTGTACAGAATAAACATTAAAATAATAATTTTCACTGCACAAAATTGCTATAACCTGATTAAACCTTAAGTATTCTGCAAAACCTTCATGAAATTTTTTCCTAGTTTATTGGGTTTCGGCCTAAAACTACTAAAAAAAAATTTGTTTTTAAAAATCTGGCCTATCTCTATTTTTTTTCTGTGATCCGGCCTAAGCCGATACTACCCGATTCCTCCTTGTCGACATAGGCCGGCTCTGATAAAAATATAGGAAAATTTTAAGAATTTCCAATACCTGTGTCGCTAAATTTAAAACAAAAAAAGCTATCACTACAAAAAAAAAGACATAACTTTGTAAGTCGGCCTTACCCTAACATAAAGATGGAGATAGGCCGACCTACGAAATTATGCATATTTTTTTGTAGTGATAGCTTCTTTTTACTAAAATTTAGCGACATAGGTATTGGAAATTCTTAAAATTTTCCTATATTTTTATCAGAGCCGGCCTATGTCGACACGGAAGAATCGGGTAGCATCGGCTTAGGCCGGATCACAGAAAAAAAATAGAGATAGGCCTGATGCAAAAATTTGGTATAGTGTTTTAGGGCCGGAAAATTTTTTTTTTTTTTGTTGCAATAGATTTAGGCTGAGAAAAATAATTTTTTTTTTTTGTTTTAGCGAGTTAGGCCGAAAAAAATTATTAAGAAAATATATATAAAATCGGCCTAACCCTATTAAATTTTTTTGTTTCTTCTTTTTTCGGCCTAAGCCTATTGCGAAAAAAAAAAAAAAATTTTCCCGGCCTAACACTATACCAAATTTTTGCATCCGGCCTATCTCTATATTTTTTGGTTGATCCGGCCTAAGCCGATACCCCCCTGCTCTTCCCTGTAGATATAGGCCGGCTCTGATCATTTTTGGAAATGCCCATACCCTCCAGCTTGTTTGGGATCCCCAGACCTCAATAATATTTCATATACAGGAATCTGCAAAAAAGGCTATAAAGGGAACATGTGTCAATCTTGCGATTCTGGATATTCAAGACTCTATAAAAATGAATGCCAAAAATGCCCTGATACTGATGTCAATATCATGAGAATGTTTGGATTTATTATTATTTTTTTTATTATTACATTATTAACCATAAAAGCTGTAAAAAATTCTATCCTAGGGCTTTCAACATTTACTTCAGTTAACATCAAAATATTTTGGAATTATTTACATATTATAATAATCATCACAACCTTCAATTTAAATTGGCCACGATGATTAATGAAGCTTTTTTATATAGAATTAAGCATGAATTATGTTGGAGAGCAACTATTTTCTTTGGATTGCCTTTTTCAAAAATCAAATCTGAAAATAAAAATATTTTATACCAAACTTATATTTATTAGCTTTATACCTATAATGCTATGAGTTTTATGCTTTTTGTGATGAATATTATACTATAAGATAAAATTAAGAATCTGAAAACCGATTTCTGATAGTCTAGTTTCCACCTCAATTATTTTAGTATTTTTGATCTACCCGGGTCTCATTGAAACTCTGCTCAGTATTTTTAGTTGTAGAGAAATAAATTCTGATGAGTATTGACTTAATATTGATCTTGATATTCAATGCTGGGATTTTGATCATGTCTTTTTTTCATATTTGATAGCTCTGCCTGCAATCATAGTTTGAGGAATTCTTGTCCCAGCAATTTGGCTGGCAAAGTTAAATAGATGTAAGAACAGATTAGAAGAAACAGCAGTCAAATTAAGATATGGCTTCCTCTACAATGGTTTTACTAACAACCCAGTCCGTGAGCAAACAAAAACCTTTTGCTCGTTTACGTAGGGGGTTAATTTTTTTCATAATTTTTACATATAAATTTTATAGTATTTTTTTTTCTTCAAAAAATCAATATTGAAAATAATTTTGAAGCAAATATTAAATTAAATTTTAAAATTTATGTTTTAAAATTCAAGCTGTTTAAATAGAAATAGCTAGAGATTTCGTTATAATAATAATTATTACTTATATATTAAATTATTTTTCTTAAAAAAATTTGGCAATGCTTTTGTTCTCTCACAGAGAGGGGGAGTAAGCAATACTTTTATTGAGAATTAGTGATTTTATATTGCAAAATTGCGTTGATAAGCTTTTCGGTGTTCTTATCAAACATCTCAATTTCTATCCAAGCTCTTGCAGTTACGATTTTATTAATTTTTTTCCTTATTTTACAAAATAAAAATAAACCATTTGCAGACAAGCGTTCAAACGAAGTGGAACTATTTTCTAAATTTACTTTATTAATTACAGCGTGCACTGGTCTTTTCTTTTTGACTGATGAATTAGAATATCCTGGAACAGTTTTTGTATTTATAATAGCATTGTGTTCAAATGTTTCTTTCATTATTTATAGTTTACTACGAATCTTTAGTGAATTTCTGAAATTAATTAAAGAGAAGTTTTTATTGATAAGAAACATTTTATTCAGAAAATCTGAAGCAAAAACAAATTATATTATCGAAGATAGTATAAGTGAAGATGCAAAGAATAAGCATATGGATTATACGCATATCACAGCTAGTAGAATCATCAATAGCTCTCAAGAAATCGAAAATGAATGCTTTGGAAATAATTCAAATAATAGAATCAATTTTCGAGAAGCTGATCCGAACCCTTCTGAAAATAGCGCTCTATCTAGTCAAAACGATAATTAATTAAAAATATAACAATAAAATTAACTGCAATTAAGCAATCCATATTCGCTCAATAATAAAATACAATATATAGATTAAATTTTAATCAGCAGTAGGCGAAATAAAACTTATAATACTAGCAATTGTGCTGATGAATGAGTCATTGAAGGATATAGCAAGTTTGAGTATTCACTGTGAAAAATCTACAAGGTTAATGTAGCGATTTAATATATTAATCTTTATGCAATTTAAACATCATAAAAATAAGATAGTATGACATTTATAATAAAATATTAATTCATAGCACATAAGTTCCATAAAAAATTATAAAGAGCAGAGAAACATAATAGAGGTTGCATCTGCTCCATCAAGAAAGATAGGAACTTTACTTGCATCCATTGATTTTATTTTTCAATTTGGTCTAATATCAAGCCAGAGGATCTATAAAGTCTGTATGATCCATTGCTCTTTAGATTAATAACGCTATATTTGGCTTTTATTGAAGGTAATGAATAATTTATTGTTTCAAATGGCTAATTAATTGTTCCTTCTCCAGAAGGTGAATTATTGTGTTTTTAGAAGTTACATAATAAAAGGAGCCAAATGATGATAAATAGTTGTAGTAATATACAGAAAGACCAAATAAATTTAGATTCGTGCAGTAATTGTTTGAATCGAAGCATTGATAGCAGAAATTATACCTAGGGTCTCAGTTGAGCTTGCACAAATCTACAAAGGTTTCATACCGATTTTGGAAGGTTTGCTTTACACGCACTATAATAATTAATATTGCATAACAAATAATTAAATTCAGGAATAAAACGTTCTTAATGGCATTGGCTCATATCAAGAGCCATCATTAAATTACATTTATAATTTAACAACTCTAACTCCCCCCCCTCCGTGAGTGAACAAAAAAATTTGTTCACTCACGGAGGGGGGTTAATTTTTTTTTTTAAAAAACTTTTATATATAAATTTTTATAAAAATTTTTTTTTTTAAAATTTAAAAAAATCCTAATTCGCAAAAATTTGAAAGCAAATATTAATTTAATTTATAAAATTTATGTTTTAAAACGCAATTTGTTTAAAATTAAGCAGAATTAGCTCTAGATTTCATTATGCTAATTATCACTTATATATCAAAATTTTTTTCTATAAAAAAATTTTTGTTCACTCACGGAGGGTGGGTTTTTGGGCAAAAAATAGGGATTTTTCTAATGGTTTTGTTCACTCACGGAGGGGGGTGAGTAAGGAGTTATAGCATAACTTGTATTATTTAAGAGCATCTGGGAGTAAAACTATATTTTTATTGCTACATCATTTATTAGGATCACTGCTCATAGCACTTTTTCGAGCCAAAAAGAAAATTCCAAAATAAGTTAATCTAATTAATTTATGACTGAAAAAAATCCAATTTTATATCTTAACAATATAAATGCTATCCATGCTTATAAAATTATATTTATTAAAATGAATTTAATTGATTGAGAATAATTAATTTAGGGAAAAATCTATTAAATTATTATAATAAAATTTTATTAAAAACTTCAGTTACCCCATTATATAATTATTGATTTTCTCCAATTAATATGAAAGAAAAGAAGCCAGTTAAAAGTAGAGCTAAAAAGAGTGATGAAGCTAAGAAGCCTGCAAAGAGAAAAGTTTCTGATTCTGAAGAAGAAAAAATCCCTGCCAAAGCTTCCAAACAGGCTAAACTAATTTCTGAAGATGCTAAAATTCAAACAAGCAGCCTAGGCATATTTTCAAGCCCAGAAATTCATATAGTCTCTTGGAATGTTAATGGGATTCGTGCTTGCATTAAAAAGCAATCCTTCATCACTTTTACAGGTCGCGATAATATCGATATCTTATGCTTCAATGAAACTAAACTCCAAGATACAAATATCCAAGATTTCAAAAATAATTTCCCAGCATTTCCTTACCAATATTGATCTTGCAGTCGAACTAAAAAAGGTTATTCTGGGACTGCAATTTTGAGTAAAATTGAGCCAATTAGCATTGTAACAGGACTTGGTCGCCGTAAGCATGATGATGAAGGAAGAGTTATAACAGCCGAATTTGACACTTTTTTCCTTATTTCTACTTATGTTCCTAATGCTGGCCAAAAACTAGATCGACTATCTTATAGAACACAAGAATGGGATAATGATTTTAGAAATTATTTAAAGCAATTAGAAGCAAGGGGGAAAAGCGTTATTTGGCTTGGAGATTTAAATGTTGTCCATCAAGATATAGATATCTATAATATGAATGGAAAAGAAAAATGTGCTGGATGCACACCACAAGAAAGAGAGCAGTTTACTCAAACATTGGCTGAAGGATTTGTAGATTCTTTTAGACATCTTTATCCTAGTGAAAGGAAGTATTCTTGGTATAGCACGAAAAATCCAAGAGCGAAAAGCGAAAATATGGGTTGGAGATTGGATTATATTGTAGTAAGCCAAGCGTTGATATCAAGAGTGAGAGATAGTTTGATTCATAATGATATTATAGGAAGTGATCATCACCCTGTTGAAATTATCTTAATCAATAATTAAATAATTAAATATCATAATATGTAACTAATTTTAAATTTTTCTTGAGATGCTCCTCATTATCGAGCTAAAGGCATTAATCAAAAATTTATATTTTTTACTTAAGCCTTATTTTAATCAATATATAAAATCTAGATTAAATTTATTATTGGATCTTAAAATATTTAGCTTAATGATGGTTTACAAGAAAGAGAGAAATAAATAATTATTAAGAACACACACTAGCACTCTCAACTATCCAAAATTTAAATTATCATGGTTAATTATTTATTGACTTTGCATTCAGTTAGACGCCTAAATTTTGACTCAAACTTATAGTAATTTATTTTGCCCTTTAAATCATTTTTTGATATAAAAAGTAAGAATTCAGAAGCTATTGTGAAAATATTTCCCTTTAAATCAATATTGAAACGTAATACTTGACTCCAATTTGAGGTTCATTGAAAAATCCCACTTTGCTCAATAATATAGATGTGAGAGCTTGCAATAAAGATTATTTTGGCATTTTCTTTTTCCATAGGCAGCAGAGTAGTTGAGTAAGTGCTTTTTTCAATATCATATTTAATCAAACGAGCTGACAATCCACATATTCATATTTCTCCATCATAAATTACGCATGAGGTTTGATACATCTCTACAGGAAGAGGCGGCAATTCTATTCATTTATTTTCAACCAAGTCAAACTTCTCTGCAAGTTTCAAAGCAATACCATTATTCAAAGCCCCAAATACAAACACAAACTGATTATAAAAAATACCTCCTGCGCGCATACATTCTCTACCTTCAGGTAAAACCTTTTTAAGGGAATATGTTTTTAGATCTAAAATGCAAGAAAACCCAGATTCATATGATTGATCTTCAGAAACAAAAGAATCATAATGGTGAGAGTTCCCATAGCAAAAGAGTTCAGAGTTCGGAAGTTGAATTATCAATATACATGAACTAAGAGGCTCCATAGTAAAAATTGGAATTTTGTTAAGCCTTTGATTTTCAGTATCATATATGCACAAGAGAGCTTGATGCTCATTATCATCAAGTATGCCATATATATATTTTATATCATCTACGCATTGACTAATGATTAGTTCTAATTTGCTAGAGATATTATTACATTTCTCTGTGTATTTCGCATATATAAATCTTATTCCTTCACTAAATTTCATTAAGTTTCTCAAGCTTTTATCATCTGATTGCTGTATATCCAGGCTCGAAAAAATTTTACTATCTCTTTCAAAATCACTTTTTAGCTGTCTCTGCTTGTCAATGCTCCTTAATGTTTCATTAAAATCTAACAAGTAATTCTTAGCCAAATCTTCTACTTTTAGTTCATAATTAGAAATATCCTTTAATTTTTCATTTATTTTAGAAATAATGGCAATTGAATTCAATTCTCTAAAATTTTTATTTATTCTTTTAGCTAGCCCATCAAGACTAGACTGCAAATCTTTGCAATAGTTCGCATTCTTTTTAATTTGAGTTTCTAAATCCTTTATACTAGTGATAAATTTTGAATCGACTTGCTCTAATTTTATTTTTACTAAACCAAATTTATCCTTAGCTTCTTTTTCATCCATTTGGTTATATTCGCAAAGTATTTCGTCAATATTTTCATACTTTTCAATGTTAAGTCTTTCTAATTTTTTCTTTATAAAATCAATTAATAGATTGCTAAGCTCTATTGTAAAATCCCCCAAAAAGCTATCTTCTGTTATTTTAGCCTTATTTAAAAGGAAAAGTTTTACATTCTTTAAAGCGTTTTGACTATCAAGAATTAAAGACTTTAGAAAATCGTCATTTTCAAGTTTTGAAATTTTCTCGTTTTTCATAATCTTAAAACACATTTTATCGATGTCACAGATCTCCTTATTTAAAATTTCAATATTATCTTTGACTATTTTTGAAGCATTTTCTACATTATGAAAAAACAAATCTAATGCTTTCGTTTTTATTATTTTGTAATTTTCTTTTTCAGATTCCAAAAGCATTAAAATTTTCTTCTTTGTTTCTTGTGAAGGCTCAATTCAAGCAGATTCAATTTTATGCTCTAGATCTTTAGATGTAATATGCTCTTTATGGTGATTTATGCACAGAAGAGTATTTGGAAGGCTGCATTTGCAAATATATTCAGCTACCTCTTCGCAATTGGGATAAGAGCAATTAGTAGTTTCAGGCTGGTTTGAGTCACTTAATGGATCCATTTATTATTTAGGTGTTTATAAAAATAATTAATTATTGACCTGCCCAGGCAAAATATTTTGATTCTAAAATGCAAGCCCCCCTGCACGGTACAGTTGAGAAGATTACATTATCATCAGTAACAAGAGGGTTATTCTCATAAAATTTCAACATCTTTCTATACATTTCTTCTAACTGCTCATTCCTCACTAAGCTTATACAGCATCCACCCCAGCCAGCTCCTGTTAATCTACTACCAATCGCTCCTCCTTCAATAGCGAGCCCAATAAGCGTTTCCAATTGTTCTGAACTGCACTCATATAGATCTCTACAGCTATTATGGCTTTCTGTCATTAGTCTCCCAAGCCTTTCACAATCCCCATTATTTTGGCACACATTTTTGAATTCATAAACTCTTTTAGCTTCATTATAAACATGTAAGGCTCTTTGTCTTGGTTTATAAGAAGTATTGTTATTTAAAACGATATCAGAGTATTGAATATCTTTCACAATTTCTATTAAAAGTGTTCCAAATGTTTCCTCAAGCATAGCTGTGGTATATTCTTCTTCTCTGATATGCAAGTTTACAATTTCTATCATTTCCTCCAAAGATCTTCCTAATTCTTCTTGAATTTCTTTGAGTGTTTTAGGGAAAATAGGCAAATTAAAAGCTTTTGCTATAAGTGCAACTGCGATTCTGCATTCAACAACTCTTTTGTTGTACCTTGTTGCTATAGTTAAAACTTTAGGAGAAGGAGTTAATGAGTTTGCAATCACAAAAGTGCAGCCGCTAGGCAGAGGAACAGCCTCAAGCCGAATTGGGTTGAATTCTATAAAAGAAGCAGTTCCTGCCTCAGCCAAAATGCTAATAGTTTGATCCATCCCTCCGCATTGAGTTCCAACCATTCTTTCAAACCTAGTGGTCAATTCTGCAAGCTGAATTTTGCTAATTCTTGTCGAAGCTACATAATAGTCCTCAAGCATATTTTTCGCCTTTGGATGGTCTTCAGGAAGATATTCTTTATAAGAAGTCTTCCCAAATGGATTATTTGCATAAAGTGTTGCTAAAGCTGCACACACCGTAAAGCTTGCTGAAGAGCTAAGCCCAGACGCAATCGGGACATCTCCATCTACCATAATAAGCATTCCAACCCGGTTTTCCACCGGAATCTCTTCAGTTACCGACCTATATCCTGCCACAAAATAATTTGTCCACACATGTTCATCTGAGAGTTTTTGATCCAGTGAAAAAGTCGCCTCAGGAAATTTATTTCTTTGGATGTTTTTGATAACAATATTTCTCATCTCAGTTCTTCTTACAGCCATAATAGTGTCTCTATCTAAAGCCATAGGCAGAACTGGGTATCCGCTATAATCAATATGCTCGCCTATGATATTAACTCTTCCAGGAGCTCTTGCAAAGAATCCTGGATATGAGCCAAAGTCGTGGAAAAACCTTTGAGCTATGAAATCGTATTTTGCTGTCTGGTCTTTGTCATAGATTTCTCTTACGCTTTCAACAACTTCGACATAATCCATTTTTTATTCTCTTTTACTAGAATTATCTTATAAAGTAGTCTATTGAAGCTATAAAATTTTAATAAAATGCACCCTGGAGGAATAAATCGAAGCGTTAACCATGAAGAATTGCCGAAAACTTATTCAGTTTGGCGATTTGTATCAGCGTAATGATTATTTAGGGACGAAAATAAAAGAATCGGTTCTGCACCAGGGCCTTCCGTTAATCCACTTGTATATTACCCGCAAAAAGTGCCAGCTAGTTCACAAAAATATTCTGTAAATTCAATGAATTCATTGTCAGGAATACCTTTTTCTCATGGCAACAATAAAGTTTCTATGAGAGGATCAGGCTGAAACTCTTCACAAATAGGTCCAATAAAAACAAATACAGTTGGTCAAGCACAGATGCCAACCCTCCCGCCCCCACCCCCCTAGTATATATGGATCACACCCCCACCCCCTATGTTAATAGATCCCACCCCCTCCACCCCCCCCCCCCCTCTATCATATAGGTAAACATATAAGTATCAAATCTTACAAATAAGACATACAAGAAAATTTTAGTTATTTCATAAATGGATTCATAAATAGATTCATAAATAAATATTAATGATCATAAGTATATTTTAGCATAGACTGATATAGCCAATATATTAGTAATACATTTAAAATAAAATAATTGCAAAAAACTTGTTTACATAGAAAGGAATCAATAAATGACTCAAAAAATATTTTTTGATATCTCTTATAAAGTCTCTAAATCCCCCCCATTAATAACGAACACTTTTTTAGTTCGTTATTAAATGGGTCTAACTTATAAAATTTTTGGGAAAAAATATATAAAAATTATATTAAATATCTATGATTTTTATATAAAAATTTCAATAAAGGGTTAATAATAAAAAAGTCAAATGATGACAACATAAAGATAAAGCGCCTAAGTTCATGCGAAAAATAATAACTATTGCTAACTCCTCCCCCTCCGTGAGCGATCAAAACCATTAGAAAAGTCCCTCACTCTTCGTGAGAGCAAACAAAAATTTTTTTAATAGAAAAATTTTTTATGGAAAAAAGTTTGATATATAAGCTATAATTATTATAATGAAATCTCTGCCTAATTCTTTTTAATTTTAAACAAATTGCGTTTTAAAAACATAAATTTAATTAATATTTGCTTTCCAATTTTCGCGAATTAGGATTTTTTTAATTTCGTAAAAATAATATTTCTATAAATTTATATACAAATTTAAAAAAAAAAAATAAATCTTCTTCGTGAGCAAACGATATTTTTGTTCACTTACGGAGGGGGGAGTAAAGCACCATCTTAAGATTAAGCCACTATTAGCTCTTATTTATTATTCTTTGCTCGATTATGCTTGTCTTTATCTTACTCTAACTACTTAAAATTAATAAACTGTAAAGACTAAATTAGCTTATATAAATTTTATAGTAAATTTTGTTCGTTATTAAATGGCCTAAGGAAAATTTTTAGGAAAAAAATGACGGTTTTGTTCATTATTAAATGGCGGGGGGGGAGCTAGCCTGCATTCTTTGGAAATTTTTGACCTTTATATTATTTAAAAAACACGAGGTATGTGCTTGAAGGTTCATTGAAAATATGCTTCCTCGTTAGCACACTGCATCCGATTTTTTTTCTCATCCCTATGACTTTGAATTTTTTATGCTGTCAGCAATTAATATGTTTTAATTGCCTTTAATACAGTTTACATTATATAGGGGGTGGAGGTGGGGGGTAGCATCTATTAATGGAATGGAGGTGTGGGTGGGATCCATAGATGCAAAAGGGGGTGGGGGTGTGATCCATACATACTATCTGAGGGGGTGGGGGTGTGATCCATACAGGGGTGGGGGTGTGATGTATACATCCAAACTGGGGGAGTAGGGGGTGGGGGGGTTGGCATCTGTGCTTGACCATACAGTTATAATACCAGATATCAAACCGAAAACTGCAAAATATGCAGAAGATATCAAGCGTCCTGTCACTTTTGGCTTCAAAATTGCTAGATTAGAAGAACCCAATGAAGCCCCAGCTTCCAGAGAGGTAGAGCAAAGAAAGCTGCGTCCGCCATCAAGACATAAAGATCCACCTAAAGCATTAGGTTTATATTTGCCTCCTGGGACTTGTACGCCTCCAGATACACATTCTTCAATGTCAGAAAAATTTTGAAATTTAAAATCAGGGAGAGGAAAGTCTCGAAATAGAGAAAAAAGAATTGATCCTCCAATGACTGCTTTGCCAGTTAGTGAAGTTCAAGACAGGCCAACGACCCAAGGCAGACCGAGAACAAAAATAAGGATCCAAGGGCCGATGAAAAGTCCTGCTTTTGATGATAACATGTTTAAGCGGCCTGCAAGTGGCAAATTGTATGATGTACCGATAATTATTAATAGGGATGAAAAGATGAGCAGAAGGGTTTTAAGTGCGAATTTAACAGCAGGAAGGCAGCAAAATATAAGGCCTCCATCATTTAAACCTTCAGCTCAATTCCATTCGTCATTGGATTCTGGGTTTTTAAGCTTGTTCAACGTATAAAATTAGGTTTTTTTAGTAAAAACTCAATGATAGTTTGTATTTATATATTCTTTATTAACACTTTTAAGTTGTGAAGGACTTCATTCAGTGAAACGTCTTCACCTAGGCTTAAAGCAGCCCTCGATATTCTTAAAAACGATTCAATTTCGCGTACAAAAATAAATGTCTGGTCTATTGTAGACAAAATGATGGATTTTTCTTCAGGAATTTCATATAGATGGCAAAGATGCTGGACGACTTGTTCTTCAAACGAAAATTCCCTTCTTGTGCTTTTTGGGGTAGTCCTGCTGGCATCTTCCAAAGGACTTTTATTTCTTGAAGAAGCCTGATTAATTCTCATTTCGTCCATTGGGCTTTTATTCCTGGTGCTGTTTTCTTTTGCTCTTCTTAGCTGATCTAGCTCAGAAAATGCTTTTTTAAGCTTTGGAATCACGTCATCCATTCTCTGGCTACAAATTAATTTATTCCTTTCCTCTCTTAATTCAGGGAATACTATGACACAAACATCTTTGATAAATCTTTCAAGATGAGGAACTGCACGTAAAACTTTTTCTAACTTTACTACGGCTTTAATTATATGTTTCGGGTCTTTTAATGTAAGAATTTTACAAATTTCACTAATGAGTGCGTTATTTTCTTCAGCTTTTTTTGATAAATCTTCGTTTAAATACTCAGATTTCGATAATTCTTGCTGTAATTTGTGATAATTATTTTTCAGCTCGTTATAGCTTTCTTCTATTTCTTGATATTTTCCATGGGATCGCGGATTTCTTAAGCTTTCTTCTAATTGTTGGATTTTTTGGTTGAGTTCTTTTGTCTTGTTTTCATAAGTTAATATTAATTCAAAGGTTTTAAGATCCATAGGGTTTTTTGGGCTGGAGTTTCTATACTAAGCCTGAATAAATAGCTTTAAGCTAAAGGCTGATTTAGTTTTAAAAAGAACTTATATATAAATGGTATACCATAGAATTTTTTAAAAATAAGCTCTGTGTCTTCATTTTCGTCAATATATCTCTTATCAAAAGCACTCAAAACTTCATTCAAAGCACATAATAATGTTTGAATATTTATACCTTGATCCAAAGGCTCAAAATTATTTTTTATCAGCATTTCATTGATATTATTCAACAACTTTTGATGTGGCTCTTTCATATCAGTCCCTTCAGGTTTCTTCAATAATAAGCTTTTCAATTCTGAAGTGTTTTTTAAGAAATCATCAGCTGATTTCAAGACTCTCATATCTTCACTTTTTAAAGGCTCTTCTAAGTCACTAAATATTCTTCTTTTTCCTGAATGGCCGTGAGAGCCATAAAGTTCCCTGTTATCGATAATTAAATCTTCGTTGCTTCTTTGGGCTTCGTCAAGCTCATCTTGAAACAGAATTGAGTTTTCTTTTTGAAAGCTTTCTCTTGAATACTCATACTCATCTTTGTCAATGTCCCATTCGGTTCAATTTCGGTCCCTGCTCTCATCTGTTGCAATGAATGTGCTGCCTTTAATCGGTGTTTTTGACATTTTAAATTTATATTTAACTTATTTCTGCATTTTGAAGATTATTGCAAGAAAAGCTTCAAGCAGTAGAATGGATCTTAAGCTAACAGTATTAAATTATATGAAAATACCGAATAAATTTTAGATTATATATCTGGGAGATTTAAAAATTCATTAAATTCTTTGCAGTGATTTTGGTATTGCCCTCTAACCACGCAGTTCAAAAAATTTTCTATTTCTATTTTTCTTCTTTCAACAACCTTACCTTTTAATTTTCTTTTTATAGTAAATGTTTTGCTTGGGAATCTTAAATGTTTTATTTCCCGAAATTTTTTTATAAGCTTTGATCTTATTTCTCTGAGCTGTGAATATCTAAATTTAACTTTCCAATTCATCCCATCTTTTCTGGCCAAAAGCATTTGGTATTCAGTAAACACTTCTCCGTCCTTTATAATAGTCTCATGACTAATAATTTCTATTTGGATTTCTTTTGATGTTTCTAGTCCAAAATAAGTGAATTCCAGCAAAGCTAATGGACTTTTAGAATTATTTGGATTTTTTTCTTCCATATCTTCGGTAAATGTCTTAAGACATCCATCTTCCAAACTGCTAAAAGTTTCAGATAAATCATTTTCGCTGAACTTAATTCACAGCTGCTTTCCTTTTTTCCACTGTTTGAGTGTTTCTATAGAAAATATCACTCCAGATATAACGATATCCCCATCAAATTCATCGTGGTCCATCAAGCAGCAAGTCAAACTTTCAAATCCGTCTAATTGAATATCAAAGTTTTCCATATAAAAGGCAGAGTTTTTTGTTTGTTTTGGCCTTGTTTTAAAGGAATAAGAATCTCTTGTAAACTTAATGTAAGGGCTGAATTCTTGTGAATTTTCGCTAAAACTTTCTAAATTTCTCAATTCTATAACTTTAACCGACAAATAAGGATACTTTAGGTACCCATATTCAGAATAGGTATCTGTTGTAGTTAACGAAGATGCCATAATAAAGATATTACAATCATCCTTCTTTATGATTTTCCGGTCGGTCTTAACGATTTAACATTTTTATTTTTTTGAGTAAATAGTCAAAAAATAATCACAATTGAGTAACCTTAGCTTTAAATGATTTTTTTTGTGTTAACGGTATTTTCTATTTAAAAGGGGAATTTCTCGTTAGATATAAATTTAATGTCTGAATATTCTAACAGTATTTTAGATCCTCAAAGTATGAGAGACTTTTATTCATCGATGTGGGAGGGATCTTCGACACAATATTATAGCTTTTTCAATGAATTTACAGATTATTCTGCTAATAGCGAAAATCTAGTCCAAAATGATGAAAATGCCTATGCTACTATAGAAGATGTCTCATATAAATATGCACTTCAAGATCAATTTTCAGCAATATATGCAGGAGTTCCTCTGGCTCTGCAAGAATCTAATGCATATTTGCTGCCAAAGCCCCAAAATTCCTTTCCCTTTATTATAGACAATTCCTCATTTCCATTCGTCCCTAAACTCCTAAACAAATTTCATGGGAAAGAAGAAATGATTGATTATACCTTGAAAGCTCAACAAATGCGCTTTGGCGACTTGTCAACTAAACTTCCTCCATTATTATTTAATAATCCTTACAAAAATGAGCTCGAAACACTAGAGTTTACCAAATGGCAAGTAAACCCAATTGATTCTTATTTCCCTGACCTAGAGTCAACTCCTTTACAAATTGTGGACAATTTAAGCGACTTAGAAAAAGTAATTGAAGAAATAAGCAATGAGCGAGAAATTGCTGTAGACTTGGAGCATCATTCACTAAGAAGCTATCAAGGATTTCTATGCTTGATTCAGATTTCTACTAGATTTAAGGATTATATCATTGATCCTTTAAAAATTCCTGATAAAATCTACCTGCTTGGAGAAATTTTTGCAAGTCCAAAAATAGTCAAAGTTATGCATGGAGCCATAAATGATATTTATTGGCTTCAAAGAGATTTTGGGCTTTATTTAGTAAATATGTTTGATACAGGAATAGCATCCAGAGAGCTTAATAAAAGCTCTTTCAGCTTGGCATTTTTATTGAAAGAATATTGTGCTATTGATGCTGATAAGCGATACCAGCTTGCAGATTGGAGGCTTAGACCATTAACAGACGATATGGTTAAATATGCAAGAATGGATACTCACTATTTGCTATTTATTTATGATAAAGTTAAAGAAGAATTAATACACAAGGCAATGAATATAGGAATCCACCACCTTTCATTTGTGCTTTCAGTGCTTGAAGCTTCAAAACAACTTTGTTTGAATTCTTATATAAAAGGAGAATACTCTTTCCAGAATCCAGACAAAATCCTAAACAAACTAGGCCAATTTAGAGACTTGATTGCAAGAATGGAAGACGAAAGCCCAGAATTTTTAGTCTCACAGACTTCATTAATAAAAATAGCAAAAGCTAAGCCTAGAACAATTGAAGAGCTGTCAACAATAGACTCATCCCCTTTTATCTTAAAATACTCCAAATATATCCTCAAGCATTTCACCCAAAAAGAATCTTTTAAACCAAGAAATAGCTCGCAAGATATTTTTATTTCTTCAGGCTGGGACAAATCACAAAACTTGCCGTACTTTTCACTTTACCAAAAGCTGTCAAAGCAAGACGGAATTTCACCAGAGTCCATCTATGATTTCTGCAGCGATTTAGATGAAAAAAGAACTGCATATCATTTACTTAGAATAATAAAAGAAAAAAGCAAAGCAGATTATATTAAAGGATTAAATCAATCAGAAAATCTAGCTCCGAAGAAAAAAGAAAAAACAGCTGTGCTTGACTATGCGAACATCGATGAATTGTTAGAAAATACTGAAGTTGACGAGAATCAAATACCAAAAAATATGCAGGAAATTTATGAGATTTCAAAATGCAGCAAAAAGAAAAGCAAAACCAAGTTAATTGTAGCTGAAGAAGTTACTGATGTTAAATGTAAGGGAAAAGAAAAAAGCATTGAAAATTTTTTGCAGGAAATTGGATGGGAAAACCAATAAGTTAAATATTATAAATTATATATGAAAAAATCAGATTTATTTTATAGAATAAAAGAAAATTATTTCGGCTTTATTTTTAAGCTAGTTACTAGTATTATTGATATATAATAAATATCTTCAGCTAGTAGATATATTTTATGGCTTTCACTGCAAGTGAAACGATGCTTTAACTATTTTCTAATCTTCAATTTGTATTTCATTTATTCATTTTATTTAGGCAAATTCTTATATATAAACTTATCTAAATGTCAAAACAATGTATGAGACAGGATTTCAGCTCCTATTGGCCAGGATTCTTTCTGCTATGAGCTTTTATGATTTAAAAGCCCTCTATTAAAGAAAGTGGTGAGAAAAATTATCATTGGATGACATATACTTAATATAAAAGCAGGAAATTTATGAAACCAATTGCAAGATTGAGGCCAGGACAGAAGATGACTATGCACTTGCACATCTATAAGCCTTTAAGTCGTCCAGCTCAGCATTACTTGAGAGAAATAGAGCAAGATATAAGATTTTTTGAGTTTTCGATTTGGGATTAAGGAATCAGAGGAGTTTATAAGACTTTTCATGCAATGAAATAATAAAATCTTATTTATCAGCTATAATATTGAGAAGTTAAAATTTATTTCAATTAAAAATAATATTTTATCTGCCTTTATGAGATTAATTATCTTTTTTAAGCTATAAATCATTCCATCTGATCATTACTCTTAGAGAATCATGCATTTAAGTAAAGCACTTAAGAGTTAGATAAATAAAAATAAAAAGGACTAAATTTAATAACTAAGTTAGTTAGTGACTACGAGTAAGAGGTCTTGCAGCGACAAAAGTTGATCTCAGGGCTTTAGAAGGTGCTCTCACAGTTTCGTGCAATAGTGGGAATCTGATTTTTGAGTTATAAAATTGTCCTGTTGTTGAACGCTTAACTTGATCATAGGTGTGCAACACTTTGGTGTGGACAATATGGATTGTTTCAGGTCTTGCTCTATGGCGGCCTGCCATATCCATATAAAGTCTGCCAATTGCACCACATAGTGAAGTTTCTCTGTATTCTTTGTACATGTTAGTGACTCCAGTCCTAGTTTCGTATCTCAAAGTAATACCATAGGTTTTGGCATGCAGAGTTCTTTTTTCTTTGATTTCTTTGACAGAAACGATTTCACCGTGAGATGGCTTGATTTTGTTCATTCTCTTTACGAAATACCAAAATCTTGATTTGGCTTTGACTTCATCACTTGCAAAGATTCTCATCCTATAGATGGTAGGATTTTCGTCTTTTTCAGAAGGAAGTCTTCGGCCAGCAATGATATACTCTCTGATGTGCATTGCGAGTGTAGGGTCGCTTTTCACCATTGCTTATTATTATGATCATCTTAATTAAGTTAATCAAAGGATTATACAAAAACCATAAAGCTTTAAATAAATAAAGAAAAGGTAAAAATTGATTAATTGGATTAATTTGAGTCAGAATTCAAAAAACAAATAAATAATCAAATAGCTACCATGGGCAAAAAATTAAAGTTTTGCTTTAAAAATAAGCTTAAATTGCTTTAAACGTCACTCAATAGGCTTTTCATGATGTTCATTACATATCTGTTAATTTTAATAAGTTTTGATTTAGAAATTTTAAAACCATGGTAGAGAATCTAGATGAAGAAATTTGGAAAGATGAAGGCAAAAAATCAGTGGAGCAGCTCATCAGCAATTGAACAGAGAGATATTACTACATGGTAAGATTTGTTGAAAGAAGCTTCAATGACTTCAAGTAACTGTTATTTAGATATATAGCAGAATTTAGCAAGCCTACTTCATCTAAGCCAGTCCCAGAAGCTACAGTTAAAGTATACTTTACAGTCACTTTCGGCAATGATTCTCCCACTATTGAGTACATTTTCGAAAACGAAAATCTTAAGCATCGCCCTGATCTTACCTTGAGAACGGCCCAAATGGAAGTTTGAATTGACAGAATTTACGCCAACAAACTAAAAATTCGCCAAATCATGAATCTTGTGACCAATTTTGAGTCAACAAGAATGATTTTCCAAGAGAAACTTCCAGAGCAAGAAGATTCCTTCTATGAAGGCTGCTCTTTATTAGAGTCAACACTAGGTGAAATTTCTTATCACGATGAAATAGACTACGATACTGAAGCCATTTATGAGCTTCTATTAAAATATATCGATGAATGTGCATTAAAAGGAGCTTCTGAGTCAAAACAAAAAATTATAAAAATTTCGACGTTTTCAGCTATAGCACAAGTGCTAGGGAAAGTGGAAGAAGCTTCGAATAAAAGAGTTGGAGAAAAAAGCGCAGAACAAAAAATCACAGAATTTTATAAGCTTTATCCTCATATAGGAGAAATAGAAGCCCAGCTGGGAAAGCTGCAGTTTTCTCAAGATCATTATTATTACTATGCAAGAAATGACCAAGGGGTCTTAGAAAAACTCCCTCTTGACTTAACGGCAAAGCGCCCAAAGAGAAATGCTGAAGTCTCGAATGAATTGAGAAAGGATGGTACCACTACTGAGTATATTTATAAAGGCGAGCTAAATAAGAGAAAAACAGGCAGAGAAGGCAAAGGCAAAGTCATATGGCCTGAAGGAGTTTCATATGAAGGTGGATTTTTTGACGATAAGCAAAATGGCTTTGGAAGATTAATTCATAGACTTAGAGATGTATATGAAGGTGACTGGTTTGAAAATAAAGCACATGGACCAGGGATTTATTATCATATGAATGGTGTAAAATATGTCGGAACCTTCTTTGACGATTTGCCTCATGGGAATGGCGTTGAAGAGTGGCCAGATGGATCAAAGTATGATGGGCAATATGTGGCAGGGAAAAAAGAAGGGCAAGGGATTTTTAAATGGAATAGTGGAAATGAGTATAGAGGAGGTTTCCATAATAATCTCATGTGGGGAAAAGGGATTTATATGTGGCCTGATGGGAGAAGCTATGAAGGAGAATGGGGCAATGGAAAACTTAATGGAAATGGGATATTTAAATGGCCAGATGGAAGAATGTATCAAGGAAACTATCAAGATAATGAAAAGCATGGCTATGGAGAGTATTTCTGGCCAGATGGCAGAATATTCAGAGGGAACTGGGAAAGAGGAAAACAGCATGGAGAAGGCTATTACACTTCAGTTGCTGGAGAAACAAGAAGGGGATTGTGGAAAAATGGTGAAAGACAAAGATGGTTTAGAGATTAATTTAATATTAGATGTTGCAGTTCAAAATAATTATTAGCTAAATATTGCTTTATTATAATTAATTAATGCTGATACAAAAAATCCATTTAAAAGCAACCCCGAACATTACAATAATAAACTTAAATTATTTCAAGCTACTCAAATCTTAAAGGAACTGGAACCTTAATATCATATTGTGGAGTCTCTGCTAAATACTGCAAAGTTTCATCTCTATAAGGATTATATAATAAGAAAAATACATGATGAGTGATCATCAAGAGAATAGTTTCCGCACTCTCAGAAGTGATTTTATAAGAGCACGGTGTCTTATCTCCCATCAGAATTCTCTGCCCAAAATACATACCACGTGGTAAGTACAAATCCTTCATAGATTCAGTGTAAAACACTTTTTGTTTTATATAGTTAATTTTCGGGATTTTTGTCGGGTAAGAAATTCTCACTCTTCCATTATAGATGATGTACATACCTTTAGGGACTTCCCCAGCGTTCAAAATTACTTGATTTAGCGTGTAATATTGCTGCGAAATTGTATTAGATAATAACTTGAGATCAATAGAAGGGATTTTTTCTAACGCTTTTAGTTCTCTTAAAAATTTCAAAATTGAGCCTTCAGTGTCAATATGGCTTTGGACAGCATGAATGTAATCATCAGAACTAATTTTTAGCATATGACAAGTTTCTCCTGCAAAACACGTCGCACTTCGTTTAGCTGCCTCAATATTAACGCTTCCCCTCACAATTGCATATTCTCCTATGACTTCTCCGTCATATCTTGAATTAATTATTCACGGGACTGATGTAGTTTCATCAGTCTCTTTTTGAACAGACACAGAACCACTTAAAATTACCCATATATGTCTTCCATCGTCTCCTTCTCTAAAGATAAAGTCGCCTTTAGCATAAAATTCATATTCAGAAGGCTGTAATAGCATTTTCACAATATTTTCGTTATACTGTGCAAAAAATTTCAATTTCTTTGTGACATGATATAATTTCTCAATATCTCGATCTGGCCGTGTTAGTTCTTTTATGACAAAATTTAGTGCTTGCTGGGTAAGGGTTTTTCCTTCAGGTAAAACTGATGTTGGGCTTGCTTCAGTAAATTGTAGTGGTTCTTCTAGAAGGGTGATTTTTGTTCGCCGCCTATTGAAATTGATAATATTTTTCCGTTCTTGGACTTCTTTCATTTTGAAACCAAGAGATTTTGAGGATAAAGTAGATGAACTTGGACGAATAGGTGCTCGTTTCGGATTATTGGAGATAGTTAATAGTTTTGCAAGCGAATTACTCTTTGAATGGTTTGGCAATTTTTTGGGAGGAGATTGGGAGACAAACGAATTATTGATTTCAATATGTTTAGGCTGCTTTATAGGGAGGGTAGAATTCAGCAGCTTATTTATGGTATTAGGCTGATTTGCAAAAAAGTTGTGCAGGTATTTTATAGCTTTTCGATGATAGAATGCTTTGTTTCTTCCTAAAAGTATTTCATTATTTTCTTCTATGTTCTTTTCATCCATTTTTATCAATATTTACTTGATAGTCTGGAATTGCTGCTAATAAGCATTTATCAGAGTATTAATAAGGAATAAATAAAATTGAAAACATAGCTTTCGGGTCTATTGGAACAATTCAAGAATTAAATACTAAAAAGCAAAGCTTTAGCACATATTTTATACTTCCTAACTGTTTTAGTTTTATTCTTTGTCCTCTCATAGAATGGATTTTAGGAATTCCTTAAATAAAAATTTTAAAATGAGTTTATTATCGTTTATGAAGTGAATTTAGCTCAACCTATAATAAAATCATTATGCAAAAATATCAAGAAATTGAATCTGAATGGGACTATAATTTATTTGATTGCGATAAAAACTGCCCAATGTGCCTTTTTGCGTTAATTCCAGGAGCCGGCATATTGATGCAAGCTTACAATGCAGAAGCTTCCGATCCCTCCAATCCCAATGCTTGCCCTACTGCATGTCTTTGCGGTGTTATATTTTGCTGTATTGGATCTATATATAACTCTTATAATCTTGCAAAGAATTTGCATTTAAAGCACAGCTGGGTTGAAAATATTGGAATTTCTTTACTATTTTGCCTTGATAGCTGTGCTAACACCCAAGAATGGATGGAAACAATGCATAAAGTTAAAGGGAACCATAAAATGACATTATGTGACTACTGAGACTCTCAAAGTCCTGATCAAGGTCCTATGATTTAATTAATAATTTCATAATAAAATAGCAGATCTTGTATTAGTCGCTGAATTTCATCAAACAGAAGGAGCAATAATAAACTTTCAGTATCCTCGCGCTCATTCAGAGTATTCCTAACTTACTCACTAATACTCATAGCGAGCATTTTTTTCAATTTATAATAGTTTATAATTGTTTTTTGTTCTTGTTTATAGCTCGAGAACCAATTAGATTGCTAAAAACAATACCTAATGAGGCAAAGTAGTAATCTGGTGAGTTAAAATGGAAATTACAACTACCATTATTCGGACAAGATAAAATTTGACAAATTTTATCTATAGGTTCTGTTTGCTAAACCAAACATAAAATGCCTAGAAAATAGCATTTTTCATTTTCAGCCTGGCTTTTCATATCAATCCTTTACCTCTTTAGGTATTGCTCCAGAGCGATCCAAAAAATATGCGTTATAGCTTCTAATTCTTTAAATCAGATGTTTCGATTAAAACAATTTAGAGTGATCCAGTTGAAAAATAATATTTAATTTAAAAGTGCTAAACGAAATTCAATTCATAAGATTTTTATCTAAGTTTAATTAATTTAATTTTGAATTAAAAATGTCTTTTATTATAAAAACTGAAGTTAGAAATCTTGCGCCTTATCTACTAGCAGAAGGATTGCACAATCACAATCAAGACACAAGCATCTTTATTTTAAGAGAAAGAAAAGAAAGTAAAGCAGCTTCAATTTCATCTCATCCCAAGTATTTCTTATATAGATTCTGGAGATTAAGCAAAATAGAGCACTCTGTTGATATTTACAAATTCGATCAAGATCTTCAAGAATGAAAACTTAAGTCAAAAGATGACGAAAATGGCTGCATTTTAAAAGTCAGAAAAGAGGAAGAATTATGATATATAGACGCTTATCAAGAAGGAAAAATCATTGAATCTATGTAGATTTCATATAGAAAAACCCATCAAGACTTACAGTATACTGCATTAGATTCAAATTTTGCTTCACTTTATACAGAAGACGGAGAAGCTGTTGGAATATTTTTTAAAAAAGATACACAAGAAGAACTTGAAGAGTTGCTTCATTATGAAGAAGCATTAAATGATGAAAAAGGAGGAATTAGTATGCAAATACCAATTGAACAAACTGAGATTACTTATGGAATCAGCGTGGTTATGATAAAGCATTCTGATGATTATGCAAGAGGAGCAAAAGCTATGTCTATAGGTGTATGTACCAAGCAGAAACATTTTTACTGTTATAGAGTAATAAATATACAGAATTTACTATTGGTAGCTTTAGAAATGATTTTTTCAGAAGAATATTCACAAGAAGAAATTGCAATACAAGTCTATAACTCGTTAAATAATGCTAATTGAGAAAAATTACCAATTTTGTCAGAAGAAGAATCAAGAATCGCCAAATGGCTTTATTATAAGCAGCTTTCAGAAAATTTCACAAATGAAATAATAGAGACTACTTTTTTAAATCGAAATATGTATTTTGAAATTGACTGCACATTGGAAGCTTCTGAAATCATGCCAGTGTCATTTTTACCATTGTTGTCAATTTTCAAAGAAAAAACAATGTCACTTTATGATGCCTTAATTAGAGGAAAACGAGTGAATTCTATTTAGATAATTTTATTCTCCAAAAATAAGCCAGCATGAGAAGTATGTACTTTCGCCTGTGCTCTGACACAACTAGCGAGCCCTCCATTGATAAATATTGCTGATTTGCATTTGCACCCATATGCTCATCTGAATAACCTTGATTTTTTGAATTCTCAGTTTTTTATTGCAGGAGTTACAAATCCCTTATTTAAGATCCGCCCTCAATGGTGAGATATATTTGGAGATCTTGACTCTGGAGAAATTATTTCTCATTTGCCACCACCTCTAGAAGCAGATCTAAATTTTATTTCTTTTTTACTGGAAAATTTGCCTAGTGAGCATAATAAAGAATCTTATATACGAAGCCAGTTTTTTGATTATACACAAAATATCATTGATTTGGCCATATTTGAAGAGGATTTTCAAGAAAAAGGAAGCAAACTTCAAAGAGCAAGGGATTGGAGGGGCTCAGTTGAGTTTGAGTATTATTCAAATCATTATAAAGGGAAAATATTTGCTGATGAAAGAGAGCCTCAATATTTGATATATAAATTATTGACCAGGATTAGAATTGCATTTGCTAAAGAAAAAATTAAAGGGATAAGAAAAATGTATTATGAATTAGATACACTACTGTCCTCAAGAGATGAATGCTTAAAAGTGAGATATAAATAGTTCTTATCTATGCTACCAAATAATGGGGATCTTCATTGCTTGACTTGTACTTTCTTTTTGGATAATGACTTGAAGACCTCAAGAGTCGCTTGCTCAATTCTCGCAAAACTAGAAGAAATACCAGTATTTTCTAAATAGGAAGGGAAAGCATTGATTTTAGCTTTACCTCAAAATGAACTCAATTCTTATTTAGCATACAGACATCGGCATGCAATATAAATTGAAAGAATTATAGTAACATAGATAATAAATGAATATATATAGTGAACTACACTGACTGGCACGGGGTGCTTTTGGCTCAGTTTCGAGCCAAAAGCACCCCGTGCCAGTCAGTGTAGTTAACTATATTTATTTTAGACAATAAATCAGCTCAGAAGGCACTTTAATTATTTAGTAATAATTGCTCAGCTTAATATATATCAATTTAATCCTAAATAAAATGAGTTTAGAAGAGGAGAGAAAAAAGGCTTCTTTTAGCCCGACTGAATTGACTCAATATTTATACCCAAACTATCTCGTTCCTCAACTAACTCTTGAGCGTATTATAGAGCTCAATCTCAAATGCAGCAAAATCCCAGAGCTAAATTATTCCCTTCAAAAATTCCACGATACTCGCCAGCAAGATATAATCCGTGCTTATCAATTTGGTACAGCTTTGAAGAAATTCTCTGAGTCTGAAAAACTGACAAGATGGGAAAGAAGATTTATCATGGGTTTTTACCCTGAATTAACAGCTCATGTGGCTCAATATGAGTTTTTCATCCCTTCATTTGCATTACAAGCTAATGAAGAACAAAAGAAGCTACTTTTGCCAAAAATGGAAAGCTTAGAAATCACAGGCTGCTATGCACAAACCGAGCTAGGACATGGCTCAAACGTCCGTGGAATTGAGACCCAAGCAATTTATGACGAAAATACGCAGCAGTTTATTATGCATAGCCCCACAATTACCTCTTATAAGTGGTGAATTGGAGGATTAGGACTGACTGCAACTCATGCTTTGGTGGCTGCAAGACTTATTGCGAAAGGAAACGATTATGGTCCACATATATTTTTAGTTCAAATACGTGATACAAAAACTAGAAAACCATTAGACGGTGTTGATGTAGGAGATATTGGCCCGAAATTTGGACTCAATGGCAATGATAATGGGTTCTTGAAGTTTGATTATTATAGAGTTCCTTTTGATGCAATGCTAAATAGATTTGCAAGACTCACCCCTGAAGGAGACTATGAGCTCTTAGATCCAAATGGTATCAAAATCTTATACGCGACTTTGGTAAGCTTAAGAGCAGGAATAGTTACCGACTCCTGGTATCGCTATGCTTGTGCATTGACGATTTCTATTAGATATTCACTTGTAAGAGAACAGTTCCCCGACCATGAGAATCCTAATAGAGAAAGAATGATTTTGGACTACCAAATACAAAGACATAAGCTGTTCAAAAATCTAGCAAGGCTGTATGGGCATGTCTTTGCAAAAAAGCCTGTGTCAGATCATTATGATGAGTGTGAAAGAAGATTATTTAAAGGTGATGATTCCTTATTAGCAGAAAGCCACGCTCTAGTTTCGCTATATAAAGTTTATGTGTCGCATTTCACTGTGCAAGGTTTGGAAGAATGCAGAAGAAGTTGTGGAGGGCACGGGTATATGATGCTTTCTGGCCTGCCAAGTTTATATATGAATCATTTGCCAACTGTGACTTATGATGGCGATAACAATATTCTTGCTTTGCAAGCAGCAAGGTATTTAATAACACTGATGAAAAAACAAAACCCTCAAGGTGTATTTGGCTTTTTAAATACTCCAATGCCAGATCTCAGTGTCTGCCCTGATATAAAAGACTCGACATATCATCAGATATGTTTTGAAGCTATTGCAAAGCTGAAAATCCAATCGGTCTTTAAAAAAGAACAAGACTTGATTGCGAAAGGCTTTAAAAAACCAAGAATATGAAATGAATTTTTACAAGTGGAAGGGATTGAAGCTACAGAAGCAGTTTATCATGCATCTTTGCATTTCTATTATATTGAAGGAATCTCTAAAATAAGCAATCTTTTAATCCGTAATGCTATAGAGATCCTCAGGCTTATTTATGCTTCCACTGAACTTGCAAAGTATCATGCTGAGCTAATTCGCTTACTCTCCCTAAGCGAGTTAGCATGCTTTTGTATATAAAAACTTCTATACAAAAATGCTAAAATATATAATGAAATCTCTAGCTAATTCTATTAAATTTTAAACAGTTCTTATGCTGAAGCATAATTTTTTTGAATTAAATTATTCAATTATTTGTACATTGGAATTTTATATTTTTTTCGGATTGAAAAATTATAAAAAAAATTTTAATCCTCAATATGACCAAGCAAAAAATTTTTCCAATCACAAAGGCAGAGTTAGGAATGCCTAATAGTATATTTGAACAATTAAAAGAAGTTCAATTGGATTCTCTTGATAGAACTCGTCCAAATGCACTAGCATTAATTGAAGCTTTCGAAATTTCTGAAACGACCTTAAACTCAGTCATTGGAAGAAAGGATGGAAAAATCTATCAAAACATGGTCTGGACCAGCAAATATATGAACCCAGTCAACAAAGGAAAAGTCTTCCCAGGAATTCATAGATATTTAAGGCCAAAACTTTAACTAATTAACTAATAAGATGGGATGCATGGAGGCTAAATACCCGAGAGAAATAAAGAATCAAGTCTCAAAAGTGAAAGAAAAAGAAGTTCTTTCAAAAACTAATCTAGCGCCACCTTCAAAAGGAATAAAGGCTACAAGTTCTCCAGATTCTGAAGCCCATTCGCTAGTTTCAGAAAAAGACACCAGAGAAGAGCTTCAAAAGATTGATCAAAATGCAAAAATCACGAAACCTAAAATTCCAATGATTAAAACAGCCGTTAACAGCCCAAAAGATGTTAGCTATGTGCGAAGGGCAGGAGAAATTACGGATGATGCAAAAATTAAAGAGAAAACAGAAAATACAAAGGAAGAAAAATCTTCCTTAAAACCAGAAAACTTTGTGAAAAAAGAATCAGAGGCTATTATTATAAATACAGAGCTTAAAACTGATAATAACGCAGTAGCAAAAAGTAATTGTGAAAATCTCAAACCATCAGAAAAATTAATTTTTCCCAATATATCTCCTAATTTTGATTTTTCGTTCATTGACGAAAAGGACGAAAATGAAAAAATTCAGTTTGATGTAGTCAAAGAAAAAGAGACAATGGTTGACCAGCTCATTCAAGAGTTCATAGAAATCTAAATTTTTTAAAACTTCAGCAGCAAGAAAAAGTAACTACTCAAAGTATTTAATTAAATTGGTATAATATTTTCTATTTTTATAAATTTATGCAATGATAAAATAAAAAATTCATCGCTTGCAAGTTTTAAGGTAATTTTTAAATTAATAATTATATATTATAAATTGATAAACACAATAATTTATCTTTATAGTTAAATTAAGCAGAATATGTCATCAGCCAGAGTTGAGTCATCTAGATTAGGAGGAGGAATTGATGAAGAAGCAGTTGTAATCGAAATCGGCTCTCTATATACAAAATGTGGCTACTCCAGAGAAGCACTCCCTCGCAGTATAATTAGAAATCCTGAATCCTTAATTTCGCTAACCCATGAAAGCTCAAAAGAAGATTATTATCCCATCCTCCGCGACTTTTTGCAGATTATTTACTTGCATAAAGTGCAAAAATCCCCCAAAGACTCAGCTACAATACTATGTGAAGGTTTGATGGCACCTCGAGGTCTAATCGAAGCTACGGTAAAAATTTTGCTTGAAGATTTACAGGTCCCAATTCTATATATAATCATGTCAAATTCTTTGCCTCTTTATACAACTGGTTCGTATACAGGCTTATTAATTGATGCTGGATACTTTGGAGTTGATATTTTGCCTGTAATTTTACTATAGTAGATATATGAAGGAATTCCCATTATAAATTCATTCGTAAGCGCAGACTGTGGAGGAAAAGCATTATTATCTTCATATAAAAATATATTGGAAGCGTCTAATCCTGGGCACCGATTTTCATTAGAGACTGTTGAAGATATAGTAGCAAGACTATCAATAATTCCATATGGAAAATTAAGAAAGGAATTACAAGAAAGGCCGACAGCAAATAAAATTTATAATTTCATTCCCCTGAAGCATAACAGGGCAATCTCAGTTGATTTTAAACAAAGACTGATACCTGAAAGCATATAATTAAAATATGGCGTCTTCGTCTGGGCATGGCCGGGAGGCCATGCAGTCTCAACTCATATTTTAATTATATCCGGCAAAGTTTTATCATTTCAGAGATGGACAGCAATGCTAGGTAAGCAATTCTGGTTGTGTTCAGAGCTTAGCCCAAGTCTACTTTCAGGGATGTTTTTTTCCTCGTGGGGAAGGAAGGCACGGAAGTTGGAAAGGGGAAGCTCAGCAGAGTCCTTAGGATCAATCGGGCAACTCCCTAGCGTGAAACTGGGCGTTACGTCCCAGGCTACGTGTTTTTCCTTTTTGCCGACAGCTGACCAGAAAATCCATTTTTTGGATTTTCGGAAAAGCAGCCCATGTCCACAAGCAAGAAGCTCACTCATGAGCTGTCGAGCCAGTGACGTTTGCCCTAGGCGCACCCTGGTGATCAAAGTGGGTTGGCCCAGCAACCTGTGGGCCCGATGCGGCAAAAGGTAAGCGGCAGACCTGGGTTCGGTCTACCCCATAAGGGATGTTAAGCGTTATAAATTTTAATGTAATGTAATGATACCTGAAAGCATCTTTTTTGGAGAATACTCCCAAGATTCGTCAAATATAGCTGCAAGCATTTTGAGATCACTACAAACTTGCGATATTGATACAAGAAAACAGTTAATTAATAGCATTATTGTTTCTGGAGGATGTGCTATGATGATAGGGTTTATGGAAAGATTAGAAGAAGAGCTCTTAGATTTACTTCATAATGAGCCTGATTTTTCTAATATAAAGCCACTTGCAGACTACGTTCAAATCAATCAAACCCCTTATCCAAGAAATTTGCTGACGTGAATTGGTGCTTCTATTTTTGGCTCTTTGCCAGGGCTAGATAGGTTTTCACTTAATCTCGAAACTTATCAGCAAAAAGGCCTTGAAGATAAACTTGGGAGATATTATTTATTTGGAGATAGGCCAAGCTTGCAAGAAATCTATCAAACACAAAATCTTCCAATGGAGAGAATGAGGCTTTCTTTCATAAGGCTCTAATAATTCTTAAATTTATAGAAAATATTATAGTTATTTTATCCAGTTAAATATGAAAACTATTTCATTTAATTAAAGATCCCCAAATGTATTAATATCAAATAACTTTCACCATGTTATGCCCACACTGGTATCTTTTAAATAGCCATCGAGAAATTCCTGAAAGCGCTTTTGTCCTACACGAAGTCCATTGTAAACGCTTTCTGTACCACTGCAAAGATTGTGATGAGCTCATTCCAAAAACGCAAAAAGAAGAGCACATTAGTGAATTTCATTCAAAAGAAAATTGCTCTTATTGCGGAAAATCAATAAATAAGCTTAAACTTGAGATTCATATGAAAAATTGCGAGGCTAAGCCCAAAGAGTGCATGTTTTGTGGTGCTGTTATGGACTTGCTAGAGCTGATTCGACATGAAGACTTTTGTGGAAGCAGGACAGATTTTTGTGAAATTTGTAATAAAAATATCCCTAAAAAGCGATTTGAGGAGCATTTACAAATTTGTATACAAAGCCTGGATAATTTAGAGTTAGGTAAGAGGCAGTCTGAAAATCACATTGACACATGCAAGAAAAAGCCAAAATTAGAGTATATAATGTATTGAATTAATATTATGACTGAATTTAATTGCAGTCTGTAAGGAAAATAGGAAACTGATTTTTTTAGATATGAAAATACAAAGATGCCAATTTCAATCAGCACAGCATAATTAATTTTTCCATATAATTATATAGGATAAAATTTAAACTTTTAAGTATAAGTTCAAGCATCAGCATATTATTACCTCTATCAATTGACATAAAATTTATTAAACTTTCTAAATCCAATATTTTATTAAAATAGAAAAATATAATTAAAAAATTGCTATACATTACATATATTGCGCTGTTTTTGCATTAAATAGTGCTAGTGATGGAAAAGGGCCAAACTTATGGTATTTTGCAACGTTTTCGTTTTTAGTTGGCATCTGCTTTTTTCGTACTTTTGCAACAGGCTCTTCAACTTCTATCATATCAACCAAATTTATCATTGTGACTTGATTTTTATGCTCTTCTCTGCTGTTTGACTTTAAATGCCTCATTCTTTGATTCCTTCCAAAATAGCTTTGTGCGAAGTGTGGAGTTCTTATTCGTTTATTGATGTCAAAACTTGAATCAATTCTTTCCCTGGTTGGAGATGAAGGGTCTGATCCAGGGCATCTTGATACTTGTTCACTTTTCTCAAAATTATCAATATGTGGTATGCAAACTCTTATTGAGCTCTCTAAATTATTATCATCTGAATTCTTTGATTTTCTTCTGACCGAAGGCAGCCTTTTACACTCAAAACTTCTAACTTAAATCTATAAATTTATTTACTAGAAAATATAGATCAATTTAAAAATAAAAATTTAAAATATGCTTGCCCATTGCCCGAATGAGGAATAAGTGGACTACTAAGCCTTAAAAGAGAGCTTGATCTCACTTTTTTGCCAGGAGTCTTTGATCTTGATTTTCTATTATCAACTTTTTGAGAGATATTTCCTGTTGACTTATAGATCATTTCTCTAATATTGACCCTTGTGTCAGCAAGTTTATCAAACTCTTTTATAGCAGAAATCACGATATTTCTTGCTTCAATATTCTCTTCAGCATTTTCTTCAGATTCAGACTGAGAAGATGCAGATGAACTGTCTTCATTTTTATCTTGTTTTATTATAGTTATAAGCTCTTTCATTGTATGGATAGGTGCATCATTTCTGTTCCTAAAGATTCTTTTCACTTCAATAGCAGTTGGGGCAGTTCTTAGTTTATCGTGAGCTCTTAGCAATGAATCTTTTAAATCTTCCTTCTTTTTCTTCAGTTTTTTCTTTTTCTCTTTTCTTTTCTGAGCCTTTGCAGCTTTCTCTTGCTCTTCTTGGACTTGCATTAAGTGAAATTGATAAATTGCATTTATTAAATGGTGGGATAAAGTTTCTAAATGCTTGAGAGTATATATATGTGTATTTCTTTGTTCATCTAGATATCCATATAAGGAATTTTCAAAAGTATAGCAATTTGAGATGCCCATTTCTCTTGAAAAAAATAGCCTTGCTGCTTGTCTTTTTGATTTTTCGGCACGAAATTTGCAGGAGTAATAACGAAACATAGGAGTTTGTTCGCTGATTAATTTTGGTAATACTCGGACTCGGCAATATTTTTCAGAATGTAGAGGAAAATGTGGGCCATACATAAAGCTTCCTTTTTTTCTGAAATGCCCGTGAATATCAAAAAATGCCAAAACTCCTTGCGGAGAATTGCAGAGTCCTTCTATCAGTTTTTTAATCGCACAAGTGATTGGATGTATAACGGAATTAGGCTCGCTATAGATTCTATTAGGATCATCTCCTGATAAATTTACCCTTGAATTCCCGATAATCACACCATCTGGGTTTGTCATTGGTATAATTTTAAAAATAAATCTTTTTTTCAGCTTCCTCGGAGCTCTCTCATTTTTAGACAAATAATCAATCAGTCCCTGAACAATTCAAGACCCAACGGTTTCGCTTGGGTGTGCTCTCGCAATCACAACTATATATTTCTTTTCATTATAAGGTGTGTCTAAATCTGTAATAGTAAGTAGCGGTACATCGACTCCACTTAAGCTTTTACACAAAGTTTCTTGGGTAACTGTGCGTGGCATAATTTTCAAAAAATTGATTAAATCAGAATACCTATAAGGAATGCTTAATGCAAAATAAACTTTTTCTTCTTTATCAAAATGAAAATCAAAGCTCAGCATAAAAAACCTTCCTTTTTTACAAACTCTATTAAGCTTGCTGTTTCCATATTGGACATCGCTCGTAATATAATGCCAGCTTTTATTATCTTTGCTATAAACCGGCTTCATTCCTTGCGTCATCAAATTATAATTTGTCTTAAAATTCAGAACATGAAAATTAGTTTTTCTTTTTTCAGGTGCCTTATTTTCTGCTGAAAAATAAAACCATTTGTAATTTCCATAAGTATTTGCATCAGTCCTCATGTACAGATCATATTCCTCGTCATTTATCCTTACAACTTTATCCAAATTCCCACTTTCAAAAAAGCTATCAAAAACCATGCATTTTTCATCTAAATTTGGCTTCATTCTTTCAAAAGCCCAGCCTGACGGATCTGGCTTCTGAGCGATTTTTTTTGACAAGTATTCAAGTGCTGATGTCATAGGAGTAGAAAAATCGTAAGGGTATGCCCCTTTCGCCTGGGTGAAAAATTTATGCATAGCAAAGGTATCCCTTGGTCTGTAGCCATGGTATATAACTTCTGATTTTGTGTTCGTTTGAATATCAGTTAAAACAGGTAAGTTGTTATAATGGAAATAGAGAGGAATCGGCCCACCATTTGTTAAAGTCTTTGGCTTTCACCCAAAAATCATATCAGGTTCAAGTGAATAATTCTTCTGTACAAGAGGAAGAGCTGCTGGAAACTCAGATTCCATCAATATGGACATTCATATTTAAACTTGTTTAAAATTAAGAATCTTATTTAGCTACATGAATCCGAACCCTTCTTTCCCTTCACTGATTGCAAGCTTGATTCGGCTGTAAACCATGTCTTTGGAAGTGTATTCAGGAAGGTCCAATTGGTTCATACAGGTGTGAGCTGTTGGCAGCCTGTCAACTGTAGTGAAGCTCTTATGTATTTGGAATTTCTGAGGCCCGCTCATCCCAGCTAAGGCTTTGAAGCCTTCTAAAGGTACCTTGCTTGAGCCTGTCACGAATTGTAAGAACTCTGCTCTTTCTTCTTGGGAGAACTCATACAAAACTTCCCATAGCCATCTGATCACTTGAGAATCTCTTGTGTAGTTATGATATTCGGTGTTCGCTCTTAGGTCTTCTAAATCTATATCAGGCAATCCTGATATCAGCAGTTCCAGCTCTTTGCTGTCAAAAATCCCTATGAGTTCTTTAGGCACCATCTCGTAAAACCCTTCTAAAAATGCATTGATTTGTTCTTCTATATTCTTTGTCGTCTTCATGCTGCATAGCAATTTTATATACTCCATCTTGTTGTCTTCAGTCACTCTGATTTGTGCTCCATTTGGAATCAGTTCTTTTATGATTAATTTTCCAAACTCCTCTTCTTCGTAGGCAAAATAATACTCATGGAACTCGTTTTCTGTTAAACTGATATCTAGTAAATACTTTAGGTTTTTATAAAACTCAGGGTCAATGTCTTCCATGTCTTGATAGTTTACTTCTTGGCCAAGAATATGCTTGTAAAATGAACGAGTAAAGTAGACATCAAGGGCATACCCATCACACAGGGCTTTTCCAATAATTCTTCCGACAAACTTAAAGAATTGCAGATGCTCAGCATTTACATATGATAGTGGGTTAGGCTGGAAAAGGACCCCGTTTGCTGAAGGGATGAAAAGAGCGTAGTTAGGGTTAAACATCTCTCTTGCAAGAAGTCCGTACCATTCTCGAGTCAAACCTCCAGCGTCTACACCTTCTTCTCCAAAGAACTGGACACGAAGTTTTCCATACATTTCAGCTGGAGTCCTAACTTTCAACTGATGGAAAGAATCCATGAAAACTTCATTTCTTCTCACATTAAGTCTAATCGTATCATAGCCTCGCTCTGGGCGCATTTTTCTGATTTCTGAACGGAAAAAGCTGCGTTTGTTTTCAAAATCCAAAAGTGATGGGAAACGGGTCACAAGGGAGTTGAAGGTATCGTTTAAGAGGCTTGGGTTTTGCTTGACTAATAAATTAAGGACTTTACGATTTTTGTCACAAAATGACTGGAAACGTTCGCCAAGCACTGAATTTATATGAGAAATGAAAAAGATTTCAATAATCGGCAAGAGTTTGCTGAGGGTTGGGCTTGTGGTGCTTGATAAGTTAGTGTCTCTTTCTGTGATCACACTTAAAGCTTCTGTTAATGGATCCCACAAATACTCAAGCCCTTCAACATTGTCTGAAACACTGTTCAAAACTTTGTATATCCTTAGCAGCTGCAGTTCCCTTTGTCCATTTGGCGAAGTTTCGACCCTCCTCAAACTTTCAGCAATTTCTTCTCCTAAAACTCTGATTTCTCTTGTGAGTGCTTCTTGTATCTGGGCCTTATTATTTTCATTTTTCGCTAGCTTTGTAACCAGTTCCACAACAGTTTTTACAGTCACTTCATTTAAGCTTTCATAGCTCAGTAAGCTGCAAATTTGTCTGATTGCAAATTCGTCTAAAGTTTGTATGTCATTTTCTTGTTTTTCTATAACAGCTGCAATCAGATTGATAAGAGGTGTCAAATGAGTGCTACTTGTTCTATATAGCCCTTGGTCCATTAGGCTAATTAAGCTTTGGAAAGCTCTGACTTCTTCGTTTCCTTTGAAGGACTTTACAATGCTCAGCCGATGTTTGGATTGACTTGTCAGGTCTGATGCGACCTTTGGGTTAATTTTGGTGAGATATTGAAGCAGGTCTAAAATTCGCCCTGACACAATTGCGTAGGCTTGGTTAAAGTTGTCCATAAAAGAATCTGACCCATATAGCTGGCGTGGAGGGAAATCACGACGAGGGGATAGCTGTAAAAGAATGCAGACAAGGCCGTCTAGAATTTTTTGACGAGAAACCTGATGAGCTGAAAGGTTTAATAGCAGAAATGCTAAAATATCTCGATTTATAGGACTTACAAGATAAAGTGCTTTTAGCAGAAGCTCCAAAAAGTTGTCTTCAACTTGTATTAAAGAGTTTGATAGTTTTTCATCAGCCACTATATCAGAAATAGCTTTGCCTTCTTCTTGTGAAATTGGGTTATGGCGTTGCTGAGGAATTTGCCTTTCAATAATAAAATTGTGTCTCTGCTGAATTGCTCTGTCCTGAAGAAGCCTTGCTTCAGCTGCAAGCTCAGGTGGGAGGCTTAGCATCATCTCTTCACTCACTCCCAGTAAAACTTCCCTTCTCAAATCAGGTGCCAAGCTGGCAATAAACGTAGCATTATCCATTTCAGCAGCCTGGCCTATTTGAGGCTGGTTCTGAAGTATAACTTCATTTCTTATATCAGGTGGCAGGGCATTTAAAAATTCTTCACTAATATTTGGCTCGATTTCTTGTGGCTGGGGATCTGCATGTCTGTATTGTGCAAGGACTTCTTCTCTAATGTCAGGAGGGAGTGCGTCCAAAAATGCAGGATCGATCCCTTCAGGTAGCTGGATTTGGACTTCTTCACGCCTGCGCTCCTGTGGAATATTTTCAACGACAACTTCTCTCTCTTGTGGCACTTGTGCGGGGCTTTCTTCTTCAACTTCCATATCGAAATTCAGCTGTTGGGCTGGCTGAGATTCTTCAGCTTCTTTTTGTGAGACTTCTTGTGCAATCAAAGCGTTTTGAGCAAAAATAGTGGTCAGCTCTGAGATGGTGTTTTCAACTTGGTCAGTTCTGTTGTACTCAGGAGGCCTTATTGGCATGGCTTCACCTGTGTGACGGTTACGATGTAGCAAGACTTGGAGAAATTCATCGTTAGGGTTATCAAAATCTCGAATCAGCTGCATGATGGGACCTTCATCGTTAATTTCTCTGACAAACTGACTGGGGGAGTGATTCGAGGTTTGGAAAAGGATTCCAGGGTGAATTTCGTCAACTTCAGCGCCAAAAACGCCTTGTTCAAGTAAATGCCTTTCTGCATGGGTAAGATCAGTAGGTCTAGCTTGCATCCAGCCTTCTCTTGCAGGGTCTTCTTCTTCCTCTTCAAAGTCATCAGCCCAAAACGCGTCTGTGTTTCGATTTTCAATGACAATATCGTCTAATAGCTCTTCATCTTCTATATCGTCGCTTTCTTCTTCAATTAAATCGGCATCTTCGTCTTCTTCATGGTCTTCCATGCCTTCTACTTCTCCTATTTCAAGCTCTTCTTGGCTTTCACTTTCTTCAGTGCCTGAGTTTAAGCTGATTTCGCTTCCTTCTGCTTCCTCTTCTCCTTCTCCTTCCTCTTCTTCTATGTCCTCTTCTCCGTATTCTTGCTCTTCTAAAGGATACATATCATATTTGGGCACATCCTCATCTTCAGGGTTTTCATCGACTACTTCTTCAAGTTCATGAGTTTGGTGCCGGGCCAAATGTAAAGTGAAGTTTATGTTATATCTTGTGAGCAATTCTAACTCGTCCAAGAGAGAGAAAATTAATGGAAAAATTAATTATGGTTTAAGAGCGAAGAAAATTCCTAATAAAATTATTTATATAAAATATTCTTATACATAATTTAATAATTGCTATAATGAGAACTCAAGTTAATTGCATTAATATTTCACAGCTTATACCATAAAACATAAATTTTATAAACTAAACTTGATTTTCTTTTTATAGAGTTAGAATACCAAAAGCAATAATTAAAAAAAACAAATTCCTCTAAAAGGTCTAAAAAGTGTTGCTCGCTCTTAAAGGAATGGTAAGGGTGCTAATAAGAGATTGAGAAGAGAGCCAGCTTTTTTAAAGGAAAGCTTAACTCCTTTTGAGCAGTCAGAAAGCAGTCTAACCATATTCAATTGGTCAGAGACCAAAAATCTTGCGATTTCTGCAGGATTGTTGCGTGTGAATGGCGCTTTTGCAGGCTCTCTTAATAGTTGCATGATGGTGATTGCTATATTTTTGATAGTACTCATAGATTTTTCACTATCAGACCAATTCTTTTTTGACTCTTCTGCAAGCATCTCTTTCATTTCTGTGAAAATTCTTTTCCTTGCTTTCAGTACAGGGATGTTATTGCTACAAATTGATGTATTGAAAATGTGCGCGACAGGGGTATTTGGCTGTCTATGAGCTTGTTTAAAAGTCAAGGCCCTTAATAGTTTTACATGAGGTTTTTGAATATAGTTTCTTACTAGCTGTGTTAAAAATCGTCGTGAATGCTTATGACTTGAAGCAGGTTTTACCCCTTTAACGTTGAGCGGGATCAAGCTTGATATCATAAGAGGATAAGTTTGTATTAAATCTGCCAAAAGTGACATAATTTGTTCACTTTGTAGCAAAAGCTCAGACTTCCCTGTTTGCTCAGCATTAAAAGCTTCTACAAGTGCATTTGCAATTGGTGTAACCATGTCCCATCTTGGAGCAGAAATTTCTTCTCTTTCCTTCCTTTCTTCTACATACACCTTATTATCCCTCCTAAAGCAGGAGCACACGTTTTCAAAGGCCCTCTGGAATATGTCTTTACTTCTTGTGACTTGAGAGCGGAAATTCTTCATGAAATTGTCTAATGAAGGTGAACCAATCAATGCTCCTTTAATAGCAATTTCGAAAACACTTTGCAAAATATAAGGGTCTTCAGATATTTGTTTGAGGAAATTGAAATAAGTGGTTAGGAGACCTCGAACTTTTGGTTCTGGAGAAATTACAGTGACAGTTAAGAGAGAAAATAAAGCGTCGTTATCCACAAATGACTTTGCATAGGAGGGGTCTGAAGTCAGAGAAATTAAAAGCGTTAAAAGAGAAAAGACTTCAGTTTGGGCAAGCTTGGATTTTGTTTCGTGGGTAGATTTGAGGAATTTCGAAATGGCTTCAATCATGTCGAAGCTTCCAGCATTGCAAAGCCGGACTAGGGTATCGAGAATTGAAAACAAAGGAGCCATCCACTCGTGGTTACCTTTTCTGGAATTTTCATTTGCGGCTGATATAAAATTGAGGGCATGCTCTGTAAAGTTATTTTGCTTGACAAACTCCAAAATGTCATTGGATTTAGCTGATAAAAATGAAAGGGTTTGGATGGCAGCTGACAATTGGCCGAAGTCTGCTTCTATTTCAACTGGCTGCAGAGAGCTCATACCTAGCGTGACATCATATAGGGAGCTGACCCCTAGCAAGTCCTTTGCAAGTTTACCTATTAAGGAGAGTAGCATGAGAGCGATTTCTGGGCCTTGAGAGTTAGTTTTATTGCAGAGTTTCAACAATAAATCTGCTACACTTGAAGCTAACGGTGAAATTGCAGGCAAATAATCGATTAAAATTTGGTGGACATTTTCTATGGTAGGTGCAGGAGGCATATTAGAAAAATCACTATGACTGTGCCTTGCATCTCTAAAATGGTGATAGTTTGATGACCCTGGCTGCATATATAAATGCCTTTCTAAAGCTTCATTTAACCCCATCTCACCTATTGGTCTTGCTGCAGCTTGATCGCTAAAGTGTGGAGGCGATAAATCATTATCATGCGGCTGTTCTAACACTTGCTTGATTACTTCTAATACAGATTTCGCAAAAGCTGTGGATAAAACTCCAGTTTCTAAATAATTCAGGTCTTTAATGCAGTCAACTGCTAAATTTTGCATTTTTCTGACAACGTGTTTGCCACTAGCGACTCCAAGAGATTTTAGTACTGAATTGATACCTGGAGGGCCTTGATATTTTCCATTAGCTAAGCCTTCCATAGCTTTTCCACACAAATTCCAAAGAATTTGTAAAGAGTTGGCCAGGTCATAGGAAAGGTCTCTTTGCTTATGAAGAGAAAGCGAAATAGCATTGAGCTGCTTAATGAAGTTTATTAAGTGGTCTATTCCTCCTGCTTGGAAAAATGCCCATATTGTGGAAGGGCTTGATCCTTGGTCATGCAAAAGGATTTTTAGTATGTCAGACAGCTGCAAGCAATAATAATACGCTTTGCTTTGGCTAGGCTCGTCTAAGTTCAAAAGTTTGATAAGTCCTGCCATTAATTCTCCCATAGTTTTGCTGATTTTCAAGCTTGAGTCTTCACTGATACTATTTCTGCCTTTTGCAGCTGAAATCCTTGTCGCAAATCTAAAAAGTCTTCTAACAGATAGCTGACAGGTAAAATAAAAATTTTCATCATAGCTTTTCAGTGTTGCGTTTTCAATGTCGCTGATATCAATTGGCATGTTAAATTTATCTGTTTTCTTCTCATTTGGTTTACTAAATGGTGATAGTCTTGCTTGTTCTGCTATTAAAAGTCTCATAAAATGTGATAACTGGACTAAAGTTGCACAAAGGTCACTGACTATGTTGCTTATTCCGGTACCATATTGGCTTACAATTCTTGTCATGTCTACAAATGAGTCTATTGATGTCAAAACATGCATAAACTCGTCATGGTTATTAGCTGTCACATTGCTGAAGTCTTTAGCTAAATGCAATGGACCAATGAAATCTTCTAGTTTTGATAAATTTTGGTTTAAAATTGTAAGAATTTTGCTGAGCACGACTAGTGTTAGGTTCATAGGGATTGATTTAAAGCATAGTAAAGCTGAGTGGAATTCGTTATTATAAGTAAGAGGCAAGATAGGGAGCCTGAAAATTGCAAAATATCCATCTAGGCCACCTTTATCAATAAACCCTCTAATTAAGTCATTAGAGTAGTTAAAAAGCATTCCTAAGAGTTTCGCAATATTTGTCAATTGGGTGAAAAAGGATTCTTTCGCAGAAAGATTGCAAAATTGCGTTGTATTCACCAATTGAATGCAGCCATCTACTGTTTTATCTCTCAATCCAGGAACCAAAGTCATTAATTCCTGCAAGCTTTCTCCAATTCCAATAGCAACTTCATTAGAAAGCACAGAGGTTTCATAATTTCCCAATGCTTGTAAAAGTCTTGGTATCGTATTGAAATTTTCTATAATTTTGATTCCTTCAGTATTCAAAGCTGTAGCACATAAAAATCTTGCCAAAATTCCCATAAGTTTAGGCTGTGGTGGCAGCTGTGTTTCTAACGAGTTAAATAAAGCAACAATAGTTCCATCTGACAAAAACTCGTTGACCAGATGTGGATTATCATTTACCATAATTGATAATAGCTGCAAAGAAGGCTCATAAATATCAAATTTCTGTTTTTCAAAATTTTTCCTTAAAGCTGCCATTAGTCCGCTGTCTATAATAGTTCTGATTTCATTATGAGAAACTCCTGGGACTGTTTCCAACTTATTGAGTGCGATTTTAAGGATACGTAAGAGAGTTCTAATTAGATAAGATCTTACAGCTGGAGACGGCACAATATCAGAAGAATGCTCATAAAAGCAGTCAACTGGCTCAGCATTGATAACGAGTTCATGATTGAGTAACCGTAAAACAGTGCTCATTCCATCGATTTCTCTGAACATGTCAATATTATGTGATATCAAGACTGATAAAATTCTGACACCCTTCGCAATAGATTCCATCATAAAGCTATAAGTATTGTGCTCTGGGAGCTTCAATAGAAGCAATAGTGAACAAGTCATTCCATGGACATGGGACGAGTCCACTCTGAACTTGTAGTCAGCAATTATGCTTGAAAGGTGCAGAATTGAGGAGACAAATTCTGGGTTTCGAGATGTCTCAAAAGTAATCATTGCAGGAGATGGGTAGACTATGTCACGCAGAAGAGACTGCATTAGCCCGTGCTGCTGCCATGCTGCAAGCAAATTGTGGGTCGCTGTTATAAGCTGGCTTTGAGAAGGCTCATGGCGATTTGTTTGTCCTTCCATCATGACCAGAATAGCTGAGAGCAAATAGATGACTTGGATATGAATTGAGGAACTAACCTGCATTCTTAGCAATTCTGACAAGCTTGGAAGCAGCCACAACTCTGGTAATGATCTGCAAAAATCCTGTATCATATGGAAATCGGGGTTCATCTGCAGCAGCACACTTAGTGCTAATAGCTGGCATGCAGCAACGAGCTGCCTTTTTTCCTTATTCCCAATGATCTGGTTTGTCCTCTTTCTATTTTCCCAAATATATTTTAAATGTTCTGGGACATTTTCATCTGTCTCAATTAGTTCGTCTCCCGATAAGTACTGAAATTTCAATGGCTGGACATTTTCTTCCGAACAAAGCATTTGTAATGAAAGGGGATTCGGATTATTCAATGTTGGCCCCAGACCTATCGCATAAAGTTTGTTGGCCAGCACAGAGTTACTGTGAGCTTTCGTGGTTTTCATCGTCGGAGTGATTCGGTTGACTAATACGTGGAACACCTGGAGCGCCTTATGCACAATCTCCCAATCTGGCATATCCAAAATCAATAAAAGCTCGTCTACGGAGTTGTAAAGTGATTTAGATGTTGCTGATTTTAGGAGAATTTGGGTCTTTTCTAATAGAAAGATCAAGAGCTGATGGTTTTCCTCTTGCAGAGCTTGATTGAGAAGCTCATCTATTCGGTCAAGAATCGGAGCGATGGGGGATAAATCATCGATTCGTTGCCATTCCCAATGTTTTAGGTTAGAGAGGTATTCAATGAACTGACTCCCCTTTAAATTGAATAAATATAGATAAAATTCCATTTTTTTGTACTCTTTTCAACCGGATTAAATTTTCAAGTAAGAAATTTCAATTGGCCTAATTTAACGGATAAAGTGTCATTTAAGCAGTTTCCACATAATCGATTAATTTATTTATTAATTCTTCAGAAAATTCAAAAATATTGTGTTCAAACTATGCTTTTTTAATTTTTAAAAATTTTATAATAGAGAAAAATTTAATATAAGATTTTTTAATCCCCATTAAAATTGGAATAGGAATTTTTGTTCCAATTTAAAAAAGAGGGGAGTGAGTGGATGGAAGAGATTTCACTTCTTGAACCCATTCAGAGACACCTTCGATTGTGTTGCCATTCGCCTCACCGATTTTCATATTTAGAAATATTATGGAATTAGGAGAAAGTCTAATGCATAAGCAAGGTGATAGGTTGATAGAAATTGGGAATATGAGGGGAAAATTATATTAGAAATAAATTGAAGGGAAGAAGGAAGAAATAGTGTCTTTTAGGAGAAAAAGCAGTTAAATTTGAAATAAATAAAATCCTATTTTAGTCCTATTCTGGATTGGAATTGGGTTTAGGACATTTTGCATTTTAAATCAAAATTTTGGAATTTTACTTTAATCTTTATTTTTTGAATGTGAATGAATTTTGAAAAAAATATTGCAAAATCAATGCTAACTCCCCCCCCCCCCTCCGTGAGCGAACAAAACCATTAGAAAAATCGCCATTTTTGACCAAAAACCCACCCTCCGTGAGTGAACAAAAATTTTTTTAATAGAAAAAATTTTAATGGAAAAAAATTTTGATATATAAGTGATAATTAGTATAATGAAATCTAGAGCTAATTCTGTTTAATTTTAAACAAATTGCGTTTTAAAATATAAATTTTGCAAATTAAATTAATATTTGCTTCCCAATTTTTGCAAATTAGGATTTTTTTAAATTTCGAAAAAAATATTTTTTTATAAAATTTATATATAAATTTTTTTTTAAAAAAAAAAATTAACCCCCCTCCGTGAGCGAACAAAATTTTTTTGTTCGCTCACGGAGGGGGGGGGGGAGTAAGAGAAGAGTATATTAAGTATTTAATTTTTTTAAAGTCAAAATAAATTTCGAATTATTTTATAATTGTAGTTTGAGCATAAGAAAGAAAATTCTCAAACTTGATGCTAAGCTTTGAAATTAAACATTATAATAATAGACTATTTAATTAACTTTGAAAGGAAAGAATAAGGCCTTTCATAGTTTTCAGTAATTATTTCATTTTCTGTATATTCTTTTGCTAAATTATATTTGCAATTAAAAATGGGAAGTTGAATGTAGGGCAGGCCCCTACAGCTCGACTTAGTGAAGGGAATCCTTGATTCCTGGAGATTTGGAGATTTGGAGCAAAAACTGAAGATTTCTTGGCTGAGTCTGGTCAAGGCTGTCTGAGTCCTGATGGGCTAAGAAATTGGATATCGAGTCTAATGATGACTCATTTTCCCACCGTTACTCTCAGAGTTAGTTCAATTCGAGCAAAGACGATTCAAGAGTAGGGTTAAAGGAATAGTTATCTTTAAACTTAAACTTAAATTATATTTGACTTTCTCCAGCCCAGCAGTTTGAGCAGCTTCAAGCTCTAGTGGAAATTTCGATAACCCAAGTACTTGAAGTTCATCCATAGCAGGGCAGCTTGGAGTTCTCAAGGATTTCGTTAATGACAAAGTCTTCAAAAGATATGGGCTATCTTTATAAGTTTTTAGACTTGATTTTGTAAGTCCAGGCTTTCTTATCAGCTCACAAGGAGTGTCTGGGCTTTCTTTGACTCTAACATAAAGTCCACCAAGAGGTGAGCCTATATTTACATAAGCGTCCAAGACTTCTCCTGGGCAGTGCCTTAAGGACATAATTCAGTCGTATCGTCTATATTCTTCAGATTTGTTTTTGCCTTTTTCAATATAATCCAGCTCTTCAAACTTTGATCTTGACTCTCATGCTCGTGTTGATAGCAAGTCCTCGGGCGATTTATGGACTTTTCTACTTAAGTTTCTTTCAAGTTTATCTCAGTCTTCTTGTATCTTATTAAATGTTTTTAAAGCCTTTGTATCTTTTAAAATAACGTATTTTTGGTCTGGCCTTAAATTAAGATATCTTTCAGTCATTGATCTTTTGCCTAGGTTAATATTCTCGCTGATTTGGGTGATTTTTTCTTTGAATTTGGAATCGTAGTTAACATCGCTTATCATAGTCCTCCTAATGCTAGTGAATTTCCTGGTTTGTGTTCTATGAGATGAAGGTAAAGAATCCCTTCCAAGGAATTTGGACCCTTTATCATTTTCAAAAAGCTTTGGAGATCCCACAATACTTCTTGGCAGAATTGTACCTTTTTCATCAAATTTTAATCCCTGATCAAGTTTTGATGGAGAAGTGAAAAACCTCTTATAATCGCCTGTTTCTTCAAGTTCAAAGTCATCTTCAATGTGAATATTATCGGATGCAGTTCTTCGTGCAACTTTTACCCTTCCAATTAGTTAGCGAGCAAAGCTATTGAAAATCCCTATTTTTAAAAATAAACCTCCTCTTTCTTTATCTTTTTAATTATATAAACTATACTTCAATAAATATAATTAATGATTATAACAATAAATCTCGAGCAAACTATATTAAATTTTCGAGAGCTTGCCAAAATTTTATAAATTAAATTAGTCAAATACTTAAAAATTTGGTTTTTTAAGCACGAAAAAATAAAAAATAACATTTTGGTTAGCTAGCATTTTTTATCGCTGATTTGAGGGAAGTTAGAGTTTTTTGCGATTTTTTGGAGCTTAGACTGTTTTTCCCACCTGTAGGAAGATCAGTGATTAGGAATTTTTTAAGCCTAATGTCTGGCAGCATTATTATTTTTTTTAGACTTGAGCAATAATTGATCGATTTACAAAAATAGGTTAAATAAATATTCTTTAAATTTGAAATTATCATTTATAAGGCTTATTTTATGCTATTAGCATAGAAATAATAAGTTTATTAGACTTCTTGGCCATATTTAGTGTTTGTTATCTAATATTTAATTACTTCAAAAACTTCACCTTCAAATAATGCAAAATGGCACATTAAAGCCTGCAGGGCTATCATCAGCCCAAATTAATAGCACAACTCATTTTCATCTCTCTCGATTGCCTGACTATTTAGCTTATCCAAACTCTCAACCAAATTTTAATGCAACTGAATTTAAAGGTGCTCGTGTTAACTTACAAACAAGAAGAAGTAACTCTTTAGCTTTATTTACAAACTCAACACCTTTCATTGGAATCCCATCTTCAAGCCATCTTCAGGTCAAACATTATCATGCTAACAGTGAGTCTGAGGGCACTGATTGACGATTTAACAAAAAGTTTTCAATGATTAATTATCAGAAAACAAATTTTGACCCAATTTCGCATGCTAATATAAAATCTAGACCAAGCACAACCAGCCATAAACTTCGAGGGCTTGAGGACTATGCATTAAAAACAATCCCTAAGATGCACAAAAAGTACTAATTCTCCTAATTCTTGATCGAGCAATTAAGGAAAATTGATCCCATCCTTGATCAAACGTTTTCCATATTGCCAAAAATGAAACCCGCTCCCTTTACCGACCAAATCTAACTACCCAGCTCTGCTAATAATGAATCTTTAGATATTACAGTATAATCACTTTTAAATAGTTTTAAATCGATTTCTAGCATATTTTTTAATGTTTTGCATTATCTATATACTATTATCCTATCGCTAGCGCAAAAAATAATTTATATGGAAAAGAGATTTAATATAAAATTTCAGATTAATAAAAAAAATTTTCCATAATTTTTTTAAACCCCTCCTTGATCGAAATAAGTCAATCTGCTTACTCCCCCCCCCCCCTCCGTGAGCGAACAAAACCATTAGAAAAATCGCCATTTTTTGACCAAAAACCCACCCTCCGTGAGTGAACAAAAATTTTTTTTAAATAGAAAAAATTTTAATGGAAAAAAATTTTGATATATAAGTGATAATTAGTATAATGAAATCTAGAGCTAATTCTGTTTAATTTTTAAACAAATTGCGTTTTAAAACATAAATTTTGCAAATTAAATTAATATTTGCTTCCCAATTTTTGCAAATTAGGATTTTTTTAAATTTCGAAAAAAATATTTTTTATAAAATTTATATATAAATTTTTTTTAAAAAAAAAAATTAACCCCCCTCCGTGAGCGAACAAAATTTTTTTGTTCGCTCACGGAGGGGGGGGGGGGGAGTTAGTCAAGCATGGTGGGAGTGAGAAGCTGTTTCCAATGACACAGCAGCATTTCGGAGAAAATCTGGAGAATTCACAATATTTGACGATGCATGCTTGCAGAGAAACGGAGGAAACCCATTCAGATATCCAAAACTCTCTAGAAATAAAAGCATGATTGAGAAGCATAAATAGCTTATAAATAACAATTTAAAATCACAAAAACTGTTTTAATTTTAAATGGAAGTTTATGTCCTCAGACATGCGCAGTCTACATACAATCAATGAGCATTCAAGCATTGGTTTAAACCATGGGAATGGATGTCCGAATCTCCTGAATTTTATGATGCCAATTTGACAGAAAAAGGGAGAAAACAAGCCCGAAAAGCTAGAGAGAAATATCAAGATGTCGTAGCCAGATGCGACTTGATTATTTGTTCTCCATTCACCAGAGCTATTGAAACTATGAAAATCGTATTTGAAGGCTCAGAGTGCCCTGTAATAATCACTCCTCTGATTGCAGAAAGAACAGACACCACTTGTGATATAGGATTGCCACTATCACAGCTCAGAGCTCTACATCCAGACTATGAGTTTATGCATTTCGAAGACGAATATTGGTGGTTTTGTGATAAAAATAACCCGAAAGTGTTAATCAAAGAGCCACGAGATAGCGTATGTCGAAGAGCTTTAAGATTTGACGACTTCTTAAATACGAGAAAAGAAAAAGTTATTGTCATTGTTACACATGGACATTTTATTAGGATGTTTTTAAGGGAAAATCTCATGCTTGGGAACTGCAGCATGAAGAAGGTGAGATAATTTTATCATAATTATTTGAATTAACACTATGACAAAGGTGGAATATAATAGTCAAGCAAAGCTTGCAGACGATAAATTTTGAATTTAAAATCTGACAAGCTTGAAGAGTTGAATTTGAAATCGATTTTTAAGCTTTCCTCTTTTACTTCTACAAGCTCTTCACTTTTCTTATTTTTAATCCACTTTCTTAGGTCAGGCAAAAATTCGTGGACTTTTCCGAATTTGTAGCTCCTATATAAGTTTGAATTTTTGTTTTTTTTGGATGGAATGTCGTCAAGCTTAATTCATTCTATTAGACCAATTTCACCTTTTGTGTTAGTTTCGAATTTATAAGTTTCAGCGACATTTGGGAAAATATAAAGTTTGATATGTCCTCCAGGAAGCTCTAACTCCCCCCCCCCCCCTCCGTGAGCGAACAAAACCATTAGAAAAATCGCCATTTTTTGACCAAAAACCCACCCTCCGTGAGTGAACAAAAATTTTTTTAATAGAAAAAATTTTAATGGAAAAAAATTTTGATATATAAGTGATTAATTAGTATAATGAAATCTAGAGCTAATTCTGTTTAATTTTAAACAAATTGCGTTTTAAAACATAAATTTTGCAAATTAAATTAATATTTGCTTCCCAATTTTTGCAAATTAGGATTTTTTTAAATTTCGAAAAAAATATTTTTTATAAAATTTATATATAAATTTTTTTTAAAAAAAAAAAAATAACCCCCCCTCCGTGAGCGAACAAAATTTTTTTGTTCGCTCACGGAGGGGGGGGGGGGAGTAAGTAATCGCTTGGGTTTAGCAAATGTGAAGCGTCATATCCGACTTCTTCTTTGACTTCTCTCAATGCACATGCTTCATCACTTTCTTCTTCGTTTATTTTGCCTTTGGGAAAGCCAAAGACTCTGCAGTTGTAATTTGTGACGAGCAAAACTTTGTCCATTTGAGAGTTCAATAGGATTCCTCCTCTTACTGGGATCTGTGCTTTGTAGTCTTCATAAATGTCGATAAGCTCTTTGGTAGAGTAGTTTGGGAGGATGTTAAATGTGTCTTTCATGTATTTGACGAACTTGTGAAATTTTAATGATGGGATGTCAATGTTATTGGCAAGCTCGTCTTCGTAAAGCCAGTGTGCTTGCTCCATGTTAACCATTAGCCTTTCGGGCTCTTGCTCTTCTAGAGGGAGATTATATAGGAACCTTACGTAAGCTTCTTCAAGGGCTTCTTGCATTTTTGCACTTTGATTTTAGCTATTATAATTATTGCTTTAAAATTTGGCATTTGGAAATTAAAGAAAGAATGGCGAAATAAAAAAAAACAAAGCCAAGTGATTTATAATTGATTTCCTTTAACAACGAATTTTCTTGAAAACTCATAAATATAAGATAATAAATGGACGTGCCTGACGACTATGGATGGGTGATTTTTATAGAGATTCTAATTGCCTTTCAACTTACGCTTTTTACGTATGTTTTTGTTTCTCCAAGTAGACTTAAAACTTTTACACCAAGATTCATGAAAGAAAATTTCACTGAAGAATTTATTGAAGCGTTTCATAGAGAACCAGATTTCCAAGGGTATCCTGACACTGGGAGTGGAAGATTCTCAAAGAAATTGCCCTTAAAGGATTGGTACGATTTCAATAATGCGCAAAGAATTCAATGAAATTATTTGGAAGGTGCTCATGCTCCTTTAGTTTGTATTCCAATTGCAGGTTTAGAATTTCCATATTGGACTATTGGGCTAGGAGCTGCTTACATTATTGGTAGAACTGTATATTCTATCGGGTATAAGATGAGCGGGTCAAGAGGGAGAGGAATTGGTGCAGCGATTTTAGATATTTCCTTGCTTGGGCTTTTAATTGTTGCTTTTGTCTCATGCTTTTATATGGTCTACGATTAATTAAATAGCCAAAATAAAAAATACATATATCTTTAAACAAGTTATTTCATTTCATATCTAGAAGAAAAATATTCCATAAAATATTAATATTAGGAGCTAAAGAATAAAATTATTTTAAAATCTAGCTAGCTTGAGTTGCTTTCTATTAATTTTAGTAGAAGCTAACTGATGTATTATCATTACTTTATGTATCTACCCAAACAGTTTATCGAATTTTAATTTCAAATTTCTCATATCAAATAAAAAGGTTTTATATGTCTTTTTATGCACATTATCAATTTTTAAAATGGAATATCATTTTGGATTGTAATAAAAATTTCTGCATCCTCAGCTTTAAGTCAATCATATTTCTCATAATTTATTAATTAGCTCAAATTAATGTTTCAAAGTGCTAGTTTATACATTTTCTCCTATAAATAGCTATAAGTCTAGTGTTCATATATACTTCCTGTTGACTTTTTAATCATTTGAAGAACATCAGGGTTTTCCAAAGCTGCAGCAATTCTTTCTTTATCGTTCACCTGCTTGTCAACTATATTAATATTACTTTCCATCTTTGTCACATGAGAGCCTTCTTTTAAGATGATGTCTAATTTTAAGTTTATGTCTGGGTATTCCTCCTGAAGCTTGTATCTCATGCACAGGGCAATATTGTTTGCATAAGAACATGTGCTTTTTGTTGGAATTCAGACAATTGTTGCATGATAGTTGCTATCAGTAGCTTTAACTTCAATGCGATCTTCTGCAACAATATCTAAGTCTTCAAGGGTGTTTGGGAGTTCTGGGTCTTGTATGTTCCCTATAGCGTCCATGATCATTTCTTTGAGAAATTCTGGATCATACTTCGGTTTATTATTCATTTTATGACGAAGCCTAGAAATCAGAATTCTGTCTTAGCTTATTAAACTTTATTTACTTATTCCAGATTGCTTATCTGCTCTAAAAAGATTTCATTTTAATCTGATAATTTATATATGACCAAATTTACTTACCTTAACAAAAGAAGCTATCCAATGAGGGAAATCCTATAATAGCAGATAAATTGCTATTAATAATCGACTTATACCATTAAATTTCTTATTATATGCCTAAATTTCAAGTTCCCTCTAAAGTTGTATAGGGATACAAAATTTCGCAACGACAGTGAAAAGGTTGAAAATTCTGGGCTTTTCAAACAGACCTCATGGCCTCTATCACAAAAAGTCCCCTCTTCTTCTATAAACTCAGGTTAGCCTAATATATCACTATCAAAAATTTATATATGAATCAATCAATCGTATATAAAATATGAAAGACAAGCTACCTGAATTTAGATGCACTAAGTGCGGGCAGTCAGGAATCCATTACTGCAGGGGAATGTGCAATCCTTGTTATCAGCGGCACCTAAGGCAAAAGCATCGCGATAGAAAAACTCAAAGCAATAATAATTGTCCGATAAAAAAGAGCAAAAATAATTACCCATTTCGCTCGTCAAGAGTAGGAGATCAGTTCCAATCCTCAATTCCAGCCTTCGCCAGACCAACTCAGGAGCTCAAATTCTCAAAAAATTACAACTTCAACGACCAAGAAAAAATCGAGCAATTTCTCAAGTTCTGCAAGCTGGTCTTCACGGACTATCAAATTGATGGAGATATCATCAAAGGAGGCTGCGGCGTTGAAGAACGAGCTTTGAAATTGCTTGAAAAATATGGCGACGTCTACAAGGCTATGTACGCTGTACTCAAGCCAGTTTCGCTGATGTTCAACCCAGAGCTCATCCATAACTTGCCATACGAAGAAATCGTCAAAGAAGTGGACGACGCCACCAAAGAACTGACAAGGGTAAAAGTAGATGGAAAAGAGGACTTTTTGGACAAAATGAAAAAATCAGTTGCAGATGGGATCAGTGAACAGGAGCTGCAAACTTTGCTGCAGATCGCAACGAATATGAAGGCAAAAGTTCCAGGAGAGATAGCTGATGAGCTTTCTGAAGCTGAAGTTTTTTCTCAGGGAGCAAGAAAAAGGCTTAAAGAGAAATTGCTGAGCGTAGCGGAACTGCAGGAATTGGTCCAAGAAAGCGAGGCTTATAAAATCCAAACATCGACTATGAAAAGCATGAAAGAGTACTTAACAAGAGCCCAGGAATGGACTGAAAAAGTAAAAGAGCTCAATTATCCTACCCTTAAGCAGCTGCATTCTCTCGTCACTGAAGGCTCAGCACTGCCTGTGAATTTGCCAGAGCTGCCATCTGTCAAAGAAAAGCACAGAAAAACCAAAAAATGGATCGAGTCAGCCCACAACCTCATCCGCAGCTGAAAAGCTCGCAAGGAAAACAGCCGCACAAGTGTCCAAGAAGTTATGTGCTTGCTAAATGAAGCCAAAGAGCTCAAGTTCACTCACCACGAAATAGGGGTGTTAGAAAACTCCATAGAGCAGGTCAAAGAGTGGCAAGAGAGAGTGAAAATGTCAGAAGAAGACAAAGAAAGCGACTCCATGATGGCTGTGCTTGAAGAAGGCAACAATTTACCTTTAGAAGTTGGAAGCCTCGAAGGAATAAAGAATAACGCCCAATGGTCTTTGAGAGCTAGAAAGATATTGGAAACTCAAGTGATTAACCAAAAACAATTAACTCAATTAATAAATGAAGCTAAAGGGAAAAAGATAAGCAGCCAGTTGTTTAAAGAACTCCAATCAATGCTCAAGAAGTTCAAAGAGTGGAGGGAAAAGTCCAAGCGGGTACTTGCAGGGTCAGAAGTAATTGAAATCAGCAAGTTAGAAAAACTGTGCAAGCAAGGGGAAAATCAAAGAATTGAGGTGGAGCCGACACTGACAGAATTGAAAGAAAAGCTTAGCATGGCTTTAGAGTTTCAACAAAAATGTATAGAGATTGCTAATATTGCCCAAGAAAAATGAAGCTGGGAGCAGGTAAAGGAAATCCAAAACCAAAATGACAACCTTAAAGTCAGTTGTCATGAGTATAAATCAATCAAAAATAAAGCCAAAACAATTGAGAATTGGGTAAGTGATGCTACTGAATTCCTTCGAAAAATTTCAAAGCAGCGCCCATCAATCAACGATCTCCCAAGTCTAGCAAGACTTTTACAGTCATGTCCTGATATCCTTAAAGGGTCACAAGAATTCCAAGAACTTACTCGTCTGGACCAGACTCAACAAGAGTGGGCTAAAGAAATTCCAATTGTAGTTAAAGACAACCCAGCAGAGCAGCTAATGATCTTGTCTGACAGGAATTTTAAAGCTCCAGTCCACTCAAAGCAAACTGAAGAATGGAGAGAAAAGCTTCATACAGCTTGCGAAGAAGGTGTCATAGATAAACTCATTGATCTTTATAAAGAGTCCAAAAGCATCCCAGTGCCTGAAACCCAGAAAACTCTCCTTAAAAGATCTTTAATTGAAATCTGTACATGGAAAGAAAGAGCTAAAGATATCATAAATAACGGAGGGGAGTACGCAGAGCTGAAAACTTTAATGAAGGAAGGAGATTTGATTTGTTATGAAACTGATGAGTTCAACCAACTCGCCAAAATTGCTGAAGATCTTAAAGGTTGGAGGGTGAGAGCAAGAAAAGTGCTATCAGCCCTCCCAAATCCTCCACCTCGAATGCCTATTAACCCTCGATCTCTTAAGAAGCGCTGCACATTAGAAGAATACATCAATCAAGAGCCAGAAGAAGCATCCCCACAAGAAAGCCCTGTAGATATCGATATTCCTTATAATTTCTACGCATTCCCCCTTTACCACCCAACAGAAGGCATTTCTATGATTTTCCGAGTTAACAAAATTTTCCCAAAGATAAAGCCTCGCAACCTAATTGATTTCAAAAGAAAACGCGCCTTAAATTTCAAGAGCCGCCTTAACGATGAAGTAAAGCAGACCAAAAAATCTTCCAAGCGGCCAAAAGACTTTACAGTTCCTTGGTCAACCTTTTGTGTATGCAACTATGAACTGAATTGGGATGACACAGTGATGGTTAATTGTGATTCCTGTGGAGAATGGTACCATCCTTCTTGTATTGGGCTTGATGCCGGTGAGATCGACAAAATTGAAGAATTTATATGCTTTTTATGTAATGAGAGGACTGGCTCAAGAAATGAGAAAGCTCGCAGACAAGTGATCTCTACTGAAGACTTCGTAAAACTGATAGAAGAAGGAGAAAAATTCAAAATCAATGGAGACGAAAGAAGGGAACTTAAGCTTGTCTATGAGAAAATGCAAGCTTGGAAAGGCTCAATTAATGAACTATTAGATGCTGGGTTGCAAGCGAAAAAATTGGAAATGCTTGTGATGCAAGAAAATCAGGCATTAGAAAACGAACAAACTCTGTTTGATTGCAGAGTAATGAGAAAGCTAGCAGATTATGAAGGGCTTCCTGTAGTAATCCCTGAGCGAGAACTCCTTATGAAGCTTCTTCAAAAAAGGGATTGGCTTAGAGATGCTTATAAAAGTCTTTATGTAAAGATTTCCTTAAGAAACATGAAAAAATTAATTGCTGACTCTCAAAACTGGGCTGAGCCTGAAATTGTGGAAGTTGTAAAACGACTAGAAGAAATGATAAATAAAGCCTCAGAGTATACCCAAAAGCTGCAAGACTTGGAAACCCAAAAAGTTTCAGTTCAAGTGCTGAAGAATTTTATTGATGGAGAAGATCCTCACTATCTGAAGATTGAAAAAGTAGACCGACTGAAGAAAAGGATAGAGCTCTTTGAAGCACTAGTAAATGATATACAAAAAGAATTGAATGCAAGCAGGGATTATGCCAAGCTTAATGAACTAAGGAAAAAAGCTCTGAAGATGACTTTTGCTGAACCAGTTTTGGATGAACTTTACGCTCTTCTAAACTCAGCAGATCTGTGGATACAAAAAGCAAATACTGCGATAGAAACTGATCAGCCAGGCTATCACCTCAGAGAAGTTCTGCATGAGTACCAGACTTTAGGCTTTGTTCATCCTTTATCCCAGCTTATTGAAGAAAAATAAATCTTAACTTAACTTAACTTAACTTATTAGGTTCTGTATTTAACGCCATTCACGGGGTAACCCTCCCCAGAGCTTCCCGCTGCTTCTTCGCCGCATAGGGCCCGCCGACCGTCTGGGGCCAGTCAGCCTCGATCTCCAGTACGCGCCTCCGGAGCAGTGTTGCCGACTAAGGCGGCTCATGCCTGAGCTACTTCGCTTGAGGACATGGGTTGCCATTCCGAAAAATCCATAAAAAAAATGGATTTTCTGGTAGGCTTTCGGCAAAAAGGAAAAACACGAAGCCTAGGACGTAACGCCCAGTTTCACGCTAGGGAGTTGCCCGATTGGTCCTAACGGACTTGGCTGAGCTTCCCCTTTCCAACTTGCGTGCCTCCTTTCCCATGAGGAAAAAACATTCCCGAAAGTAGACTTGGGCTAGGCTCTGAGCACAACCAGAATTGCTTACCTAGCATTGCCGCCATTTCTGAAATGCAAAACCTTGCCGGATATAATTAAAATATGAGTCGAGTATGCATGGCCGGGAGGCCATGCCCAGACGAAGACGCCATATTTTAATTATGAAGAAAAATTAAATCAAAAGAAATAATGATTTTTATTAATTCTATATGATTTGTGAAGGGTATAATATCACTTTGCCGCTTGAGGTGTTACTTTTAAACGTTTTAATTGCTTCACCATATTTGTTAAGTGGAAATCTACCTGTAATTTCACTATTAAAAGTGTGACCAAAATTCCTTTGTACAGCCCCAATTGCAAGCTTAAGCTCAAAAGGTGTTTTCTTTTGCATCCAGCTTGTAAGCCATAAGCCGCCTAATAGTTTATTTCCAAAATAAAGGCCTCTTGTATTTATCCCAGAAATATCTTGTCCTGATAGAGCTCCATACACATAATGAATAGAATTGTCAGGCATAGCATTCATAATAACCCCTGTCAGTTCTCCACTTACAGCGTCAAAAGCGATTGTAGGCTGTAGTATTTTGCATAGATCTGATAACTCTTCTTTAAATGTTGGGCTTGTTGAGTTTAGAATGTACATTGATCCAAGATTTTTAAGCATCTCAACTTGTTCTGGTCTTCTTACAATGTTAATTATTGGGAATTTGGTTCTTTCGCCCCACTTTACCATCATTTTGCCGAGAGATGAGGCTGCTGCTGTTTGAATAGCAGCTTTGTGCTTGCCTGCGGAAATTTTTTCTGTGAACATTTGGGCAGTCATGGGATTGATGAAAAAGGTAGCGCCTTGCTCAAATGAAAAATGATCCTTTAGTTTTGTACAGTAATGTGATTTAGTCACCATATATTCAGCCCATGTCCCACTTTTTCCAGGAGCTGCTATGCAAGATACGCGCCTTCCTTTTAGAAAACTAGTAAAAAGTCCTGGGCCAGTTTCAATTATAGTTCCAGCGCCTTCAAATCCACCTATAGCAGGCAATTCTGCCTTGATTCCATATACCCCTTTCATTCAGTTTAAGTCAGATGGGTTAATAGGAGCTGCTTCCATTTTGACTAGAACTTCTCCAGGGCCTGGAGTTGGTATCGGAACTTCTTTAATAAAAGGTTTGGGATCAGGCAAAAATTTATCAAAAGCCAGGGCTCTCATCATTTTTGCCATCTTAAATAATAAGATTCATTAATTTTAGCATTAAAAATCTTTCTTATTTGTAGCAGATTATTATAAAAATCATTTCCTTTAGTCATAAAATTAATTTATTATTCAATAATAAATTAAAAGACTTTAGTTGTCAGTAGCATATCTGCATAATCCATTATATCTTTGCTAAGCATTGCATTCATCCTTTCTTTTAATGCGTTTCTATCAACTCTATGCCCAGGCTCAGGCTCAATGACGTCAGGTAAGCTTGATATTGCTTTTTTTATATCTTCAAATTCCCTTTCCATTCTCTCCAAATAAGTCTGAGTCCTGTCTTGGTTTATTGGCCCTGAAACCCTCCCAGTCAGAATTTTCCGAAATGCTTTTCTTGATTTTTTAACTCTATCGATCTCGTCTTCTTTATCTTGGTTTTTCTTCTTTTTGAGCTTGCTTAAAGCACTGAAAAATGATGATGTGTCAGCTTCTTCGTCTGAGTCTCCTCCTTGCTTAATCGGATTTGTTTGCAGAGAGGCAAAACCGTCTTGAATAATGGCGATAAAAATATTGTGAATACAGCAAATGAAAAAGACTAGAAACGCATAGATATAAAGTTGGCCAAAAATTTTATTTGCTGTGTAATCAGCACTGATAAAGAAATACAAAGAGTCGCCGTTGAGCATACAAAAGTTGACTATCATTGCCCAAATTGGTGAGGAATATAGCCCAGTTTCCCAAAATAAGCATATGCTTAAAAATGAAAATGCCATGAAAACTGGCAAAATTCCTACCATGTAAGGACCAAGAATAGGGAAAGCTCTTTGCATGGTGTGAACTATTGTATATGCATTTTTAGCAGGCTCTAACTCCCTATTCCTGAGCAAGCAAAGTCATTGAAAAGATCCTAATTTTTGGAAATTAATCCTTTCTATGAATAGAAAAAAAATTATTATTAAAATTTTGTAGTCAAATATTTTGTATATAAATCACACATTTAATATAATGAAATTTCTCATTAATTTTATAAAAATTAAGCTGTATGCATTACAAGAAATTATAAAATTGAGCAAATTTGGATTTTTTTAAACTTGAAAATTATAACCCCTCCTTGAAAAACAACAAATTTTGCTCTTTCATGGATATGGTAAGTACCTTATGATAGTGATCCAGGAAAAGAAACAGCCAAAACCAATAAAGATCTCATGGATGTTAAGAACGTTTTGTTCGTCTATAAACGCACTTAGTGATCCAAAAAGCTGACATAGATTTCCAAAAATAGTGACTAGGATCCAGAGATCGATGAAATGCAGTTTTTCTTTTGTGGATAAAGAATCCCACGCATAAGCCATCGTCGCTCTTGGGTTGTATTTCAATCTCGAAATTAAAAGTGCTCGATTAAATAAGTAAAGCATAGTTATTACTATACTGGATAGCGATAAAATCAATACTAATATATCAAGCCATATATAAACTTTTCTACATTATATGCTCTCGAACTGGTTTAATGCACATAAGAAAGTATTTTAATATTAATTCAATCCAAAACAAGGTACTTTTCAAAAACATTGATGGAATCAGAGTGGCAAACTCCTCTATCAAATTCTTGGAACACTTCTATTGTCCCATGATAAGTATATTGATAAATCTGACTTATCGTCCATTCATAGCAAGTTGAAGCTGTGTCTACATGCGGATTTAAATGATGTAAAAGTGTGAACTGAAGCTGAAACTCACTCACTAAATCCAAAAAATCTTTTAAATTTACAAACTCAAATGGACCAAGATCATTAGTGGTCAGGTCGTATTCGTCTGAATAATGTTTATCTTTCGCCTTTTCTCTATCAGAATATTTTACGAACATTTTCACAGGCTTTTTGTCACCGTATTCATTGTACTTAAAAGAATAATTGTCTATAGCATGACTGTTTATGTCATAGTATTTTTCAACTGTTTCTTGGACATAGCTTTGGAGCTTATTTATTCTGAATAAAGTAAATGTGTAAGATAGGGAAGTATCACTACCTTGGACGTCCTTATTCAAAAATAATTGGTTTCAAAGCATAAGCTGCGAATAGCTATACAGGGCACTTGAATTAATAATTAGCACGACTTGGCATGAAGCAAAAAGAACGAGCAATAAATGGATAACCATTGCCCAAGGAAATATCCCAAAGACACTGTACTTTTCGAGAGGGGGCATGTATAATTGGTCCCTCAAAGATAGATTCTTCAGAGGCTTGACTGATTTCCTTGGAGTTTTCATAATTTTAATTAGTTAACATTTTTCAATAATTATTCCAAAATTTACTTTACTTTATTATTCAATAACAATTCTGATTTCAGTTAAAGCCAGTTAAATTAAATTAAACTAAATGATTAAACTAGCCGAGGCCTTTGGGCCCGATTCGTGGAAGAGTAATATAAATTTAGGTAAGTAAGTAAGATTAAACTGGCCATAAGCGGGCCAGCCCATTCGCCTTTGCCTCATCTCTGCTCCAAGAATAATTGCCTCCATAGGAAAAATGAAGGCTGTCATTTTGGATTTCCGGTCTGAGTCACCTGTCCAAGGAATCAGCTCTAGGGTAGAAACACTGTCTGTAGAGTCTCCGATGGTTCCGACAAGGGAAGACTATGTGGCAAGCAAAACCTGTCTAGTCTGTCTGGTAGGGATAGGAAAACCTTCGGGGGAAATAACAAAACTTCTATCTTCTGCAAGGCATCCAAACCCTGGACACCCTACTTCAAAAAGGACAGAGGCCATGCTTTCAGCTCCATCAGGATAAGTCCTACCTGCTCCATAAGGAGTCCGCCTCAGAGTTCAATTTCCTACAACATCACCATTTTATTTCTTAAAGCCAGTTAGGCATACTGATGAGATATATAGTTATTAAAACTCTTACTTTATTATTTTAGCTATCTTTAAATTAAATTTCTCAGAGCTGAAATCATACATTATGGACTTACCGGATTAATATTGATTTCACAAGTTTTGGTATAGTGATGGTGATTAATTCCTATGCCTTTTCTTCCTGAAATGGCTGTTGTCTTTAATTTTATTTGCCTTTTAGGATGACTCTTTATAGGTTGCTTGCTTAAATCTTGCTCAGTCCTGATTTTTCTTAATTTTCCTGTCATTGTACCTTTTTTAATCAAATTTTTTGGAGTTGGAAGCGTTTCAACTGTAAATGTCTGTAACTTATTTTCTGATGTTGCAAACGATGGAAATTTTATACTATTTATTTGCTGCTGATTAGGATGATTTGTAGGCCATTGAGTCATGCTTCTTTTTCTCTCACTTCCCCTTCGCCTCATATATTGGTCCTTATTAAAGTAGCTAGCTATCATTTGAGAAAGTCTCTTTTTTTCCTGCTTTATTTCTTCATCAGTATTCTCAATTGAATTATTTTTCCTTTTAAGCTTAAGGCTAGTTTTAGTTATAAGCTCCATAAAGTTCTTGTTGATATTCAGATTTTGGAGTGCTTTTTTAGGTGAGGGCTCTGTCAGCAGGCTTAAAGTTGAGTTTCTTCTTAAATCTTTCTGCTCTTCATCTATTAATACTGGTGAGTCTTGAAATGATGTCTTACGGAAATAGCCATTTCTTTTTCCAATTTCAGGGGTTGGAGGTGTATTTAGGCTTGAAAGGTTAGATAATTTTGGTATCTCAATATTAAAACTTCCTTTGATTTTTAGTAGATCATATGATTCTTTTCGTTTAAAAGGCACTCCTGAGTCCTTGGAAATGCCAGAGTGGTATGATAGGATTGATATTTTATTATAAAAATGTTTTAAGAATGTTTTTGCTAACCATCATTGTTTATTATATGGAAAAATTCTAGTTCAGCTTCTTCTTAGACCCATATTTTAGGCTGGACAAGCTAGGACTTTCGCTGTAAATTGGGCTAGTTGCCCTAGGTGAAGGAGAATATGACCGAAAAGACGCTACCCAATTGTCAACTGACTTTGAAAGCAAAGGCATTGTGATTTCTTGTTTTCCTACATCTTCGGGCTTTAATTTATATGGAGTCACATACGATCCTTGAGATTTCCCTATTGAGCTTGAAACCAAAGCCTTTTCTGGTGATCCAGGTGAGAGTTTTAAAGGAGAGTGCCTGTGCATCTCTTCTTCATTTCTTAATGAAATTATCATCCCAAGCTGTTTTTGAATCAAAACATCTTTTTTGGCCTACTAAGTAAATCTTACTAGTTGATTGTTCATTCTTTCAAAAATTTCTGTAAACCTTTTACTGTTTTCTCTTTTTTCATTTAACTCTTCTCTTGCGGCCTTGATATCATCTCTTATTCTCTGTACATCTAGCTCCTTAATAGCAAGCATCTCCCTCAGCTCGTTATTTCTTTCTTTGATTTTTTCAACTTCGTGGTCTGTGCTTTCTTTTAATTTTTCTCATTCTTCGCTTTCTTCAATATGAGCGATCTTGGCTTCTTTTACTTTATATTCTAATTCTTTCAGCTCGTAAATAACGTTTTCATAGGTATCTAGGAGTTTTCCCATGTCGAGGCTTTCATTTTGGTAGGATTTTTCGTTATTTGTGTCTTCAAAATCACCAAAACTAGTAAACCGAAAATGGGCAGTATCGTTTCCTGATTGCTCAAGGTCAATGCTTTCTTTTGATACTATTACGTCTTGGATTGAATTTTCTACAGGTTCTATGATACCTCCTATATCAATATTAAGGGAATCTAAATATTGATAAACTTCTTGAATATTTGTAAGTTCTTTTGGTGCGCTTTCGCTCATATTTTAACTTAAAATAGCAATTTTAGATATTTAAATCTCAAATGACATATGAGGTTTAGAGCAAACAACTTAGTGTTTATCAAGGAAAGAAGATCTAGTAATAAAGAAAACGTAAAAATATTAATTAGTCAATAATAAGAGTTTTTGAACATTCAACAATTAGTCTGAGAAATAGATTAAATCAAAATGAAGTGAAAATAGTTATGTGCCTCAATTGTTGAGAACCTTCACAGAGTTAAAATATAGAACTTTGCATTTAAGGAAAGATTTTAAATTCATAGGATAATTAACCTTAATAATAAGTATTTCTATCAACCCAGCCTCTGTTCTTGGGGTTTTTCTTCCGAGTTGCCCTAATGATCCATTTTCTGATCTCATCAAAAACTATAAACAAAACGAAAAAAGGAGCAGCAGGAAATCCCCAATGCAAAAATGCAAGAGGCCTTGTGCCTAGTCCAACATTTAAAGGAGGAGTATATAGTATTAGCATTGCTAATGCAGTTTCAAAAAACAAACCAAATATCAAGGCCTTGTTTTTTATTCCTTGTTGCAAAAGTGACTGAGCTCTTGTCTTCACATTTAAAATATTTGCCCACTGAGTAACCACAATTGCAACCCAAAACGAGCATTGAGCATACTTTAAGGCTTCAGAAGTATAGCAAATTGTATGTCCAGTAATTTCTGAAACCATATCTGGATATCTGCAATCATTCCACTCGTCCTTGCCAATTTTCCAAAACCAAATTCTTAAATCATGCTTGCCATCAGCATCCGAAATATAGTCAACCAGCTTATCATCATACTCAGGGTCCCCAACATGACTGTTGCCTTTATGTGGAAGATAAGGATTATAAATGTCATGGGCTCCAGGCGTAGTCCCATCTTCTCTTAGAGCAAACCATCACAAAATAGATGGGGTAAATCCATAATCGTACATAACTGTGAAATATGCCATAAATCCGGCACAGCATTGGATTTCTCCCATGATACAGTAAGAATAAAATATTAGTTGACCTGTAACCAAGTAGTCTGTCTTAGCATTTCTTGGGTGTCGTTTCATTATATCTAGCTCAGCAGGCTCATAAGCCATTGAAATAGAAGGCACAACATCAGTTCCTAAGTCTATACAAAGCACTAACTCCCCTTCCCACCTTTAAATTGGAACAAATTAAGGTAAAATTTCCATTTTCGGGTGTTTTTTAATAGGAAAATTTGATAGATGAAAATGCTAATTTTCTTAAATTTATTTTGGCCTATTTAATAGACAAAATGCAAGCTGCAAGCAGAGTACTATTTAAACATTTTTCGCACTGAATAGTTTAATTTTTTTAATTATTTCCTCAAAAATATATTAAAACTCAAAGTATTGTGCTCAATTTGTTTTTAAAACAAAAAAATTAACCTCTCTTTAAATTTAAAAGGATTTTTTCCAAATTTAAAGGGAGGGAGCAAGACGGTTGATAAAGGCAAAGGAAGCTGGAATATAACAAGTGTCAAAAATGGAACAATTTCTGGAATGTTTGAAGTTATAATATAGCAAATAACCTTTTTAAGATTATCAAAAATAACTCTGCCTTCTTTTACACCATCTACAATAGAAGCAAAGTTATCATCAATTAGAAGCATATCTGCAGCATCTTTAGCTACATCGCTTCCAACTATATTCATAGCTATCCCTATATCTGCTTTCTTGATAGCAGGACTATCATTGACTCCATCCCCTGTCACAGCCACAATTTGGCCTAATTTCTGATTTGCATCTACAATCATGTATTTTTGTGCAGGAGATGTTCTTGCAAATACAATTTCTTTTTTTAATAGCCATAATGCAATTCTTTGTTGGCTAAAAGGCAATTCTTCATCTTCAGTGTGGGCTTTAGAAAGCATGTCTCCATGGACTACAAGTGCATTGCTTTTTTCCATTGCACTATCCCAGTCCATTCCATCCTCTACAAGCTCATTGACTGTTTTTGGCTCTGTAATAATATTCACTTGTCGAGCAATTGCAGCTGCGGTTAATGGCTGGTCCCCAGTTACCATGATAACTTTGATTCCAGCTTCATGACATGAAATCACTGCTTCTTTGACTCTTTTACGAGGGGGGTCCATTAAAGCCATTAACCCGATAAATGTTAAGCCTTCAAGTGGGAAATTAGGACCATCTTCTAGATTAGGGTTGAAAATATAGTCTTTTGGATACTTTTGCTGGTCGAGCCATAAGAAAGCAAATCCTAGGACTCGTTGGCCTTGGCTTCCAAAAGTTTTATTTGCCTCATTAAATGTTTTAACCCATTGTTCAGTAATTTGGACCTCCTCTCCACCATTCATAATATGTGTGCATCTTTGCCATAGTTGTTCAGGGGCTCCTTTCATAAATAAAATACAGTCATGCTGATGTTCCTGTGGAAATCAGCTGCAAGGCTCATGAATTGTCACTGCATACTTATTTTTTGAGTTAAATGGTATTTCTCCTTTTATCCCTTTTCTTACAGCTACAGGGTATTTTTTTCGAATTTCTTCAATCTCACTTATAGGATTAAAAAATTTTATAAGCGCGATTTCTGAGGCGTCTCCTCCCACAGTATTCCAGGCTTGCACTGATGACGCAAGCATATTTTTTTTAAAGTTAATTTTTATCTCCTCAACTTTATCTTTTGGATAAGAGTTTCCATGTTTATCCTCCAGCAATTTCTGATCAGGCTCAAAAGTAAACTGCGCTTTGCTATTTAAGGAAGCGCATTTTTGGAGCATTAAAAATGTAGGATCAGCAATTTCGTATCCCAGCTCTTCAATTGTTTCTTTTTCTTCATAATTTTCGACTTTTCTGAGCATTCCATCATACCAAATGTTTACAACTCTCATTTTGTTTTCTGTCAAGGTTCCTGTTTTATCTGTACATATGCAGGTTGTTGACCCAAGAGTTTCAACAGCTTCTAAGTTCTTGACTAGGACATTTTTGCTAGCCATTCTTTTAGCGGTAAGTGTTAGAGCCACAGTTACAGTTGGCAGAAGTCCTTCAGGGACATTGGCAACTATAATACCAATTCCATTAACCATATTCACAATTGCACTATACCCATAAAGAAATCCTAACTCCCCCCCCCCATCCTTGATCGAACGACTCGCCATCGTTCTATCAAGGATGGGGGTTTTAAAAAAAAAAATTTTTTTGGGAAAAAAATTTTATATATAAAATGAAAAACATATATATATATTTTTTGTTATTTACTTTAAATAAGAGGGTTAAGAGTATTTAATAATTATTTTTACAGCAAAAAAATTGAATTAATTTCATAAAAATACCAATTTTTAATATTTTGATTTATTAGTTACCCTTCTAAACTGTATAAATTTTAATTTTAAATTAATTTTTTTTTTTAAAATTTTAAAGAATCTCTATTTTATTAGATTATTGAGTTTTTAAGCCTAAGCTGATGTCTAAATCACTTCTGATGGCTGATTTCGAAGCTTTCTGTCGTCTCAAAGCTCTGAAAACAACTTCATTAGGCACACCTTCCAAGCATTTTGATAACTAATATTTTTTATATATATAAAAATTTGCATGATATGAAAATCGTTCGATCAAGGATGGGGGTTAATTTCCCCAATTTTTAGGAATTTTTACAGTCAATCGTTCGATCAAGGATGGGGGGGGGGAGTAAAGAAAAAAATAGCACTCCGAACATGATTGCTATTGCACTTATCAATTTTACAAATCTTGTAATTTCTCTGCCTAGAGTTGTTTCTTCTGTAGTCGTGGAAGAAGCAAGTTTTGCGATTTTCCCCATAACTGTATTATTCCCAGTAAAAATAACTAATCCCTTACCTTCTCCTGAGCTGCACATTGTCCCAAAAAATGCAATATTTTCAGACTCTAGAGGGTTATGCTCATTTGTACAAATTTCTGATCTTGGCTGTTGTTCGCTTTCTCCGGTAAGAGATGAGTTGTCAACTTTTAAGTTATTGGCTTCGAAAATTCTTAAATCTGCAGGAACTCTTCCACCCTCTTTTAAAATTACCACATCTCCTGGTACAAGCTTGGCTGATTCAAAAATTCTTGTGCTGCCTCCTCTTATAATTGTGCAGGTTGGAGGGATCATATCTTTGAAACCTGCCATAATTGCAAGCGATTGAGATTCTTGATAATAGCTAAAGCAGCCAGATAAAAACACAACTATTGCAAGTACGATCCCTAAGTATAAGTTTGCAGGGTCAATGGGACTAATGCCGTATGCAATAAAGCACAGGAATGAGCCAACTCATAAGAGCAAACAGAAGAAGCCAGTCATTTGCTTAAAAAAGAGGCAGTACCAAGGCAGTTGAGATTTTTCTGTTAATTTATTTTCCCCAAATAGTTTAAATTTTTCATTAGCAATTGCATCTTGGAGACCATTTTCTAGATTGGTTTCTAGCTGTTTAATAAGTTCACTAGCTCCCCATCCCTCTGTGAACGAGCAATATAAATTTATAATAATTTAAAAAAATCCCAATTCGCAAAAATTGGAAATCACTATTAATTTAATGTGTAAAATTTATGTTTTAAAATGCAATCTGTTTAAAATTAAACAGAATTAGCTCGAGATTTCATTATAATACTTATCACTTATATATCAAAATTTTTTTCCTAAAAAAATTTTATATTAAAAAAACTTTTATTCGTTCACGGAGGGTGGGTTTTGGACAAAATTTAGGAATTTTTCCAATAGTTTTGTTCACTCACGGAGGGGAGTAAGAGGAATTTTATGCTCGCACATATTCCTAAAATTTTCAGATTCCTTAATAGCCTCTCCTGCTTTATCCTTCCCTTTTAAAGTTTCGGTTTTTTTTTCTTTTTCTTTGTCTTTTTTCTTTGTCAGATTATTAGCTTGGTCTTCGAGCTCAATTTGATTCTTAATTTGCTGGTAGCTGATAATAAAAGAAGAGCTGTTTCTTCTTATAGGCTTTGACATATTGAATTCTAGCCATTGCCATACTTAAAGGCAAAATCGTTCAAAGCATTAAGGTTTTTTATCTTAAAAAGAGAATAAATTAATTTTTTTAGAAATACCTTCGCTTCACAATTTTTTATTAAAGCAGTTGCAATATTTTTCATCAAATATTTTTAGTTTTGAAGGAGGTTGTTGCTACTACCAGATTAAGAAAATATGTATCAGATTTCATAATTTTTTTATAACTATTCCATAATTATGAATTACAATCTTGTAAATTTAGCAAGGAATCAGAAATTAATTTTCTAGATAATGAGCTCAATTTAGTTGATAGTAAAATAAAAATTAAAAATTATTATTTCAATGCTACACAAATAAATCTGAATAATTTTGAATTTCAGCCTTAAATTCAAAATATAAGGATAATGAAGGCTATTTATTAATTAGTTCTTCACAATCCCAGGTGAAACGAAATGAAAAATAATTTATTATATAAATAAGCAATGTCAGATAAAATCCAAGAAGAGCCTACTCTAAGAAAATCTCAATCAGGCCTTCTGAGACAGTCACTCACAACTCTCAAATCGACCCGGTCCGTCAAATCCTTACCAACCGTTATGAAAGAATGCCCACTTTCAGATCCAAGCATAGGAGTTATTTCTGAAAATGATCACAGAGTAGGATTGTGCCTTTGCCCTCTCTGTACATGTGGAAAACATAAATGCCCAGGCCCTATTTCAATCGAGCCCTATCCTAAGTCAATGTTCAATACTCAATATACAGACAATTTCCATAAGCACAAACCAGCAAGGCCAGCTCCATTCAAATCCATTAACAACTTTTATTCAAATCAGCTTATAGATTTTGAGACCACAAGTGAGCAATTCTTTAAGCCTATCGTAACCCAGCCAGTTTTATCATTGCCAGCATATAGGCCAAACCCACCACCTCAAATGGGACTATCAGGACTGACTTCTTACTCTTCAAACTTCCCCTCATGGGGAACAGGTGGCGTTTATTATGTAAAACAAGCACATATTCGTCATACAAATGACAGCTTGCCTCTAGCAAATAAAACCTCTTATACTGAAGGTTTCAGAGCCCTAGATGAAGAAGAGCTAAAAATGGCCAAAAAAGCAAACCAAGACCTGTCAGCTTTTAGAGCTAGTGTGGGGATGAAGTGTGGAAGCATGCAGGCTGTGAAGGAAAGCGTTACGAAAAGAGATTTTGTAGACTGGAGTAAAAAGAATTTGATGGAAAGAGCCCCGAGGCCTGTTGATAATATTTTGAAGCAGCATATCACAGGTGATCATTTTGTGACTAGTGCTAGGAATGACTTTAAACAATATGATTCGTCAATTGACCATAGAAATCTAAGAAAGAGACTGGAGAGAGAAGGAATAATAACCCAGGAATTCAGATAATTCAATTATATATCTTTAATTAAGTGAAAATAAATTACTCATCAAAATTACTAATTTTTTGAATCAGCATTTTTAAAAGATGGCGAGAGGTGAATAGGTCCAGGGAGAATGGCGGGTTGATCTCTAGTGAATCCAATTCTTTTAGAAGTTCGGGGTAGGTTTTTGCCTAATCAGGAGCCACGAAAGGTTTTTATCCTAACCCAAGATGACAAACCGAAAGCGCAAAGTCGGCTTAAACTTCTGGGAAGCAATTTTACGCCTGAAAAAGGGCAAGGTAGCCCAGAAGAAGACATTTGGCGCTTCTTCATACTTTGAGCACTACCAGGGGGTTAAGAGAGTTCAATGCCACAGGACTAGACCCAGCATTGTCGGGTGTCTCCTTGAGAGACTGGTGACGTCGACAGAAAAAGGCTTTGTGTGGCACCTGCAATTAGGGTGACCTTGGGCTTGAAACTGTCCAGAACAGAGAGGGGCTAAAACAATCCCAGAAACCAACTATATTTAACTTAATCTTTTGAATCTGCTGATCTAAATAAAATACTGAGCCAATTAATAAAGCAAATATGCTTCGATTTACCAAAGGCCAAAACCCTTTCCTTGAATTATAATGGCCTCATGTTAAAATTTAATTATGCGGATCCAGGTATTCAGGAGTTTTAGAACTTCTATGAGACTTCTTGCAAAAAAGGACTATTACAGCATTTTGGGTGTTCCACGAAGTGCCACAGAATCTGAAATAAAAAAGGCCTATTTTAATCTTGCAAAACAGTATCATCCAGACGTGAATAAATCTCCTGATGCCAAAACAAAATTTGCTGAGATCAACAATGCTTATGAAACCATAGGAGACCCTCAAAAGCGACAAACATATGACTCAACAGGCATGACTGGTGACGAACAAGACCAAGCCAAGCAAGCTGGCTTCGGCGATTTTGGAGGATTTGGAGGCTTCAATCCATTCGGTGGAGGATTTGGTGGTGGGTCTCCTTTTGGAGGTGGCGGCGAAGGTTTCTCAAGCTTTGAAGATATTTTTGGCGAATTTGAAGGAATTTTTGGTGGCAAAAAGACAAAGAAAAATTTGAGAGGAGAGGACATATCTGTGTCTATGGAAATTTCATTTTTAGAAGCTGTACAAGGAGCTGCTAAACAGTTCACGATATCTAAAAACAATACATGTGGCACCTGCAAAGGCAAAAAAATAAAACCTGGCTCATCTCCGACAACTTGTACGACTTGTGGTGGAAGAGGACATGTGCACTATCAACGTGGTCCAATGTCTATACAAGTCGGATGCCAGAAATGTGGGGGCTCAGGGACAATCATAAAAGACTATTGCCCAACGTGCAGAGGGTCAGGCATTGGTGCAACGAAAGTCACAGAAACAGTGAACATTCCTCCAGGTGTGAATACTGGCCATACACTCAGAATGGCTCACAAAGGCCATGCTTCTGAAAATAGCGGGACTCCTGGAGACATTCTTATTAAAGTGACTGTAAAAGAGCACCCCACTTTCCAGCGTGACGGGTATGATATTATCTCACAAGTTCCTATAACAATCTCACAGGCAGCCCTTGGAGCAACAGTAGAAGTCGAAACTTTGCAAGGGAAAGTCCAAGTAAAAGTCAGTCCAGGAACTAACACAGGCGACACCCACAGGATTTCTAACTTCGGGATTACTCATCTGCCTCCCCACAGCAGCCAAAAGGGCAGCCACATCGTAAAATTCGTTTTATCGATCCCTAACTCCCCCCCCCATTTAAATTGGAATAAAATATCGGTAAAATTTCCACTTTTTTGGTAAATTAACCCCCTTTAAATTTGGAACAAAATTTAATTTTATAATAAAAAATTATATATAATTTTTATCTAAAAAGTTTTGATATAAGTTAAATGTTTCTTCTTAACTAAAATTAAAAATTTAGTTATATCTTGCTCTTTTTTAAAGAAAAAAGTATAAAGAGCATATTATTTAAATAAATTTATTATCCTTAATTGCTAAATTTAAAAAAAATTTTTGTTTTTTTTTTGATAAAAATGATATTTTTTATTTGGATAGTTTTGATATAAATTCAATAGGAATTCTTTATATAATTTCAAAATTTACTTACTTCTTGCTTTATTTTAAAGAATAAAGTATAAATAACATCTTATTTAAACAAAATTAGCACTAAATTTTTCTAAAATTTATTTTTTTTAATTTTTTTTATCAATAAAAATAATAATTTTTGTGTAAATAATTTTGATACCAATTAATAGTGGCGTATTAACTAATAATGAAAATTTAGTTATATCTTGCTCTTTTTAATGGATAAAGAGTAAATAGCATTTTATTAAACAAAATTTATTGATCTAATTCGATAAGTTTTTGAAATTTTTATATATTTTTTATAAAAAATTTTATATTGATATTTTTTTTTAAAAAAAAAAATTAACCCCCCTTTAAATTGGAACAAAATTTTTAGTTCCATTTAAAGGGGGGGGGGAGTAAGAAGCTTTCCGAGTCCCAAAGGAAGCTGTTCGAAATGCTGGCCAAAGAAGGTGCTTAATCGACAAATAGTTTAATAGATAAATTGATATAAATGGTGAAGAAGAGCAAGAAGACTGCGGAAGGCATGAACTCAAAACTTGCTTTGGTCATGAAAAGTGGAAAAGCAGCTCTTGGATATAAAAGCGCCCTTAAATCTCTGAGACAAGGCAAATCAAAGCTGGTGCTAATCTGCAACAATTGTCCACCTCTGAGAAAGAGTGAAATCGAATACTATGCCGTTATAATAAATAAAAAATGCCCATTTTTATAGTAAATATAATCAAAAAGTCATTCCACATTATAAACTTGTATACTCTATGCTTGGAAAAGTCGAAGTTTACCATTATACAGGAAATAATAACGAACTCGGAAGAGCTTGTGGGAAAATGCACGCTGTTTCCACCTTGTCAGTCATTGAAGCTGGAGATTCAGACATTCTTGGAGCCACTGCTTAAACCACAGATTAACATAACTTAGCTAATAAAAATGGATAGACATTTAATTGCTCAGGGAGCTGAAGGAAAAGTGTTTTTGGGGAAACTGTTTGGAGAGGATGTCGTGATCAAAGAAAGGATTGCAAGGAAATATCGTCATCCACTGCTGGATGCAAAAATCAGGCAAAAAAGAATATTGCAGGAAACGAGAAATATGGGGAAAGCGAGGAAAGAAGGAGTTCCCATTCCTGCTGTGCTGTTTGTAGATGCAGCTAATTGTGTAATTTTCATGGAAAAAATAACCCCTGGGATCACAGTTAAGGAATTTCTGCTGAAAGCACAAGATGTGAGCAAAGAAATAATGATTGATTTAGCACACAAAATTGGAAGAAATATAGCACTGCTACATAACATACAGTGTATACAGGGCGATTTAACGACGTCTAATATGATGATAAAACCATTTGTATCTTTAGGGGCAGAACTTAATGACTCAAATGACATTATACAAGAAATTTTGAAAAATAAGGATGTAGGAACGGTGTATATGATAGATTTTGGGTTAAGTTTTATATCAAATTTGCCAGAAGATATGGCAGTTGATCTATATGTACTAGAAAGAGCGATTGGAAGTTTGCATCCTGAATGTAGCTCACTTTTTGAGGATATTCTTGAAGGATACAAGCAAAACTGTACCAAAGCGAATATAAATAAAATGGCATTCGGTTCGAGAGAAATTAGCTCTGCTAATTTTCTCTCCCTCATGGAATTTTATTTATAGGGTTAGGTTTTCACTCGGGAACTTCTGGACAGCAATAGCGGTTTAACTCTGGGGATAACCAGAGGAACCACTCCTCAGTCCACTCAAGATTTCGGGCTTTTACCTCTCAGCACATCCCCACGGGAGGATGACCCTTAGGCGGAACACGCGCAGGAGCTGAGTCGAGCGACAAGGGCGACGGCAACGCGCCGGGTGAGACGTGCAGCAAGGCTGGCGAAGCAGGAGTTGATAGAAGGCTTGGATGGGGCTGACCCGTGCCAAGATGGCTCGCCTACGTCATCAGTTTTGCCATAGGCCCTTTTGGGCTGCGGCACTAGACACCTTAAACACCAGATAATTAAGTAAGTAAGTACCAAAGCGAATATCAATTTAACAAGACTAAGCCAAGTAAGATTGAGAGGGAGAAAGCGACTTGCATTTGGGTAATTATTAAATAAATATAAAACAAAAGTAACTAAATAAATTAGTGGTAAATTATTGATAGGTTACGTTATAAATAATTTAAAGATGAAATATGCTGCATTGTTAGGTTTCGAATATAATTATTTTACTATGTAAATAATTATCTATTATGCCTTGGCATAATTTTGGGATGGTCCCACACGTTGGGACATTTTCCGGCGTGCCAGACACAAATCCCACATTTTTACTTTCTAAACTTGATTGGTTCCACATGTGGGATTTGTGTCTGACGCGTGGGAAAATGTCCTGACATGTGGGATCCTTCCAAAAATAATGCCAATAGATATAGTATATTATGACTTCGAATTTTTACGTTAAATTAATTATTTGCAAAAAAGAATTTAAAAATTGTAAAGGTAAGAATAATCCAACATTAGTTAGCAAAAGAGGTAAATAGTGGCTCCATGCCAAATGATAGTATATTTATTGACGGTGCCCATTTCATCGAAGTACATTTGATCGAAATTTAACGATTTTTTTGAGTCAAATATCTCACTATCAATAGTTTCAACAAATTTTCGACCAAATGTACTTTGATGAAATGCACACTATCAAAAATGCACGATCATTGAGCTTGCACCCGTAAATAGTATCTGAAATTTGGTTAAAAATTAAATAATGCACACAGCAAATAGAAATTTAAGTGTAGATAGAGAGCATGAGCCCATCAACGAATCTGGCTGTTTTAGAGCCTATAGTGGCAAGAACCGCGACACAATTAACAACTGAGTCAAAGCTCTAAATCCGAAAGGATTAAAATTCGTTGACAGAATGGTCTTAGATATAAACAGGCGTGAACTGCTAAAACAAGAGCTAGAATCAAGATCAGTAATAATCGAACAAGAAGAAACGCCACCTGAATATATACTAGCTGAATCCAATGGAAGATATAACGATTCAACTGCTTGTGAAGAATTTTCTCCTGATTTCAAAAGGCAGCCTTTTAACGACTCCAACAATGTATTTACAAGATTAAGCAGAGATGCAAATATCAGAAAAAGCATGATAGAGCTCCGAGACCACAACAAAGAACTACTAGAAGAAGAAAATCGGATTAAAAACAAAAAGACCATTAACAAAGAAAAATTAAAACTCATCATTGACAGGCTGAACTCTACAAATGTCAAAAAAGAAGAAAGCATAAGGATAGCGAAAGAAGAAAGAGAAAAATTCGAGATTGAGGAAGCAATAAGACTTGCCAATTTGCATCATCAAAGAAAGCCTGATCCAAAAGTGATGGAAAGGCTGACAGAAGAAGACAAAATTATAGAAAAAGAGTACGGGATTCATGAAGAAGTGAGAAGTAAAAGTGCACAGAGAAGCTTAAGCTTGTCAGAAAGTAGAGCTTTAGGAGACAGATTAATGAAGCCAGTTTCGAAAAAAAAGATGAAATGTGATGGTGGAGAAAAAGAAACTAAAAAAGCTACAAGTGAGCAAGTAGAGAATATTGTGGCGAGGCTTTATTATTCGAGACCATCAACTCCTACAAAAGTGACGAGTCTTAATACAAGTATAAGCACATCTAAAGGGAAGAAAAGGAGGGGGGAATTGAAAGAATCAATTTTTAGACAGAAAATGATGAGCGCAAACTCAGTTCAAGAAAAACTGTGCACACCAATTCATGCTGCAAGAAAAAATAACCCAAACACTGCTGAAAAACAAACAAATCGCTTTAATGAGGAGTCTTCATTTACTCCAAATTTGAAAACTCCTGTCAAAATCCAAAAAAAAGCTTACACAGAATGCAAAAATTGTGAAAAAGAGCTTAAAAAAGATAATTTCCCTATCCATGATATCCCAAAGCTTAATTTTGACATCAACCCAGCCGTTGAAAAACGAAGTGTAGAAGTCCAGGCTTTTTCTGATTTAAAACTATCGCCTATTGATAAGAAATCCCATGGATCCTTTTCTTTTCTATCTGTAAACTTAGACTGGCCTAACTCTACTTCTCATCATCACAAGTCTTCAAGCATAGGCCAATTGGATTTTAAAGATGAAAGAACCAGTTTGTCAAACCTTCTTTACTCAAAGAAATTTGAGTCAAATGGGGATGATTTTATTCTATCACGAGGAGATGAAAATAATGCTTCTGGCTTAAACCAATCGGCATTATCTTTAGCTGCTCGTGTATCTGACACACCTTTGCTGTCACAGTATTCATCTATATGCAATGAAAACTCTGATATAATTGAGAGAAAAGATAGGGGGATAAATAGTGAAATAGGATCCAGCGTTGCCCAGTCACAAGATGAGCCAACTGAAATTCCTTTAACGCATAATAAAATTCAAAAAAATCCTCAAACATATTCTCAAGAAACTTTATATTTAATGTCAAATCCTCTGAAAGCACAAATTGAAGACCAGTGCTCTCCCAAAATCAATGAAAAGGCGCATCAACTTTTTGATACTTATAGATTCATAGTAGGAATCACAGAAAGTGGAGATTTTATTTATGAATAATAAAATATATAAATATATCTTTAAGATTTTTCACCCAAAATTATCGGCCATCCCTGTATTTCAAGATACTCTTCTGAAATTAATTTTCTCTCAGCATTCGACCTAATTAAAATATTTTTGAATTTCTTGCATCATTCATCTGATTTACTGACTCCTATGTGTGCGAATAGCTTACTTAATTTGTAATTCGGGTCAACTTGGTTATAAAAGCACAGCTCAGTTCTCCCATCTACAACTTCTATTGTTAAAAAACCAATATGTATGACCCCTCTTGAAAACTGTTTGATTTCTGGCTTTAGCTCATGGTCAACTGAATAATATACAACCACCACCATATGATTATGAATTCCTATAATTCGCTTTTCAATATAATCACCTTTGTATCCAAGTAAAGAAAGAGAATAATAGAGAGTATAGCAATTCTGGATATCCCCATCAATGATTTCATAGGATTTAAAGTTTTTGTCTCAAGACACTCTTTTTATAGGTGAATTTAGATGGTCTAAAATCATATATAACGGCAATCTTTCTTCAAGATGAAACCATATTTTACTGACAGGATAATCTGGGTTATATTTACTTCCATCGATTTTTTGAATTTTTATCCATCCGTCATTTTTAACATTTTTCCAGTTATTTGCTCTATTTAGCTCGTCAATATATTCGACTATTTCTAAAGCTTTTGTGTCTCCTTTTTCCCTTAGGTGGCTAATCTGAAGCATTTTGGCTTCCGAGATTAAAGGTACATTTAGAAACTCTATAGTTCTGTTATTTTTAATGCTTCTCTGAATGGATTTTACTTCTCTCGATTCGCAGCATCCCATTTTAAATAATGGCAAATATTTATTCAAATATTTGTTTAATTTATTATCAGATTTGTACCATTAAGAAAACTCGTAGCTGTCTGGAGTCATTAGAGGGACTATTTCATTTTGTTCGGTGCTGAAAAACTGTTTTATAATAGTTTCTGCAGCTTCTTGGATCTTTTCGTTTGCATTGTTAATTCTGATATCTTGGATTATGTCTAAAATTCCAGCATCTTCATACATCCTTGAGACTTTATTATTGCCATCAGAACTTATATTTTGACTTCCTGCCCGAAGCAAGCCTTTGGCAATTTCTAATATTAGCTTTAGAATTTCTGGGTCAAGTGTGTCTAAGGATTCTTTCAAAATAACTAAAATTTCTGAATCAAGTAGTGATAAAATACTTGAATACATCCCGAGTCTTACTATATTTACAAATATAAAGCAAGCTTCCTTTCTGATCATAAGATTAGGGTCTATTAGAAATCTCATAGCTTTTTTGATAACTGGATGCTCAACTATCTTACTTATTTGAGCTCTTGAACTTGCTGCTAAATTACTAACTTCCTTGCTCAATGAGCGAGCAAAGCTATTGGAATAATCATACTATTTAGGAAATAAACATTCCTTGTGAGCGAGCATAGGGAAACTAAAAAGAAGAGAAACAAATGCTATTAGACTTAGACCTTAAGAACTTAAGAATTCGTCGAAAAATCCTTGTGAAAAAGATACCCATTAAATTTAAAATTCCTGATAGACTCAAAAACTCGATTATCAGATTTTTTTTTAAATCTTGAAGATGAGAAGTATCAGAATTTTTTCTTTATATCAGATCTATTTTTTTATTTTCGTCAGAAAAAATTAAATTTGCATGATTAAATGAGATTTTAAATTTTTAATGAGTTGGACTTAATTAGAATTTACTGAAGAAGGTCAGACTAAATTAATAAGCTAAATTGTGAAGAGAGCAAAAATTTTGTACATAAAAAATATTTTAAATCTGATGGAAACTCTTTGCTAACTCAATTAATTTAGACAAATTGCATTCCAAAACATTTATTTTATAAATTAAATCGATTTTACTTCTAATATTTGAAATTGTGATTATTTCGAATTTAATCTAAACATAAATTTTAAAATAATTGAAAATTAAACCCCTTCATGAGCAAGAAAAATTTTGTTCTCATTACAGGTAGTAAGTGACCATAAAGCATCTTTTTTGATTTTTGCGCTTTTTGATTGGAGAGTTTCATGCAAAATATCAAGAATCTTTAAATTCAAAAGGACTTGCTCCTGTTGTGAATTTCCAGTTAGAATGTTTCCAAATATCCTCAAAATAGGTTCTTTAAACTTGCCTGTATGCATTTTCGCATATTTTGTTACCCTTTTCAAAATCTGGGAATCTATTACCAGCTGAATCTGTTTCTCACCTCCTTCAGCTAGAAAAGCAACAGCTCATAAGCAATCAATTTTAATTGCAGGCTCGCATTCGTCCAGTCAATTTTTTAAAAATATCAGCAGTGCCTTGCATGTATCTTCCGGAATTACAACTCTTTTCCTTACCAAATTATGCAAAGTTCATGCTCCTGTTCTCATAACTTCTCTGGTTAGCCTATCTTTTTCTTCTAGAAAATTAATTAAAATTCCAATTATGCCACTGTCAATCATTTGCTGTCGAAAATGTGCATGGTAATCACCTGCAATGTTTCCAATGCACCAAATGGCATGTTCAGCTACTTCTTGGTTTTCTTTATTTAATACGTCCAAGCAGGCTTGGACAGCACCTGAATTAACTAGCTTTTCAACAATTCCATTATCAGAAGCAGCAAGATTGCATAGACACCAAGATGCTTCCAACTGGATTTCAATTCTATTTTGAGGGTTCAAGTAAAAAATCAATAATTGGATATAGCCTATTTCAGCTGCTTGCTTTATAGGAATAGCAGAGCTTTGTGAGAGCAGTCTTCTTACAGAATTTAATGCACTGTATCGAATTTCATCAGATTGAGTTGTGGATATTAAATAATAGAAAGATTCTAGTTTTTCACGGGAATCAAGATATGGGTTTGATAGCTGTGGGATTGCGGCAAGCAATGAATCAGAGTAATGGGCTTCACCTTCGGATTCGCTCATTATATCGCGCCTTTTGTTAGCGTTTTCTAGTCTTTTTGTTTTTCGCAGTTGAGCTGTGAATTTTTCTCTTTGTGAGTTGTGCTCTTCAAGAGTTATAATAGACTGGAAAGAATGGTTTCGATCTTCTAGTCTTGAAGGTGTGCTTATCTTAGTTCTTAGTTAAGATTATTAAAAGCTCCCTGTAGAATCTCAAAAGGGTATTTTATCATCTACCTTGCTTCGTTGGGACGCCTGCTGTCGCATGACCAAGATTTTAACTCCTCTCTGTATCAGATTCGAGTCGTGGCCGTGCCATATGCCAGACGAGGGTTGCTTGCACTAAAATTCCAAAAATGGAATTTCTGGCAGACTCTCAACAAAAGGAAAACTTGTAGCCCAGGGCGTAACTCCTAGTTTCATGCGAGAGATTGTCCGATAGGCCTAATAGACTTTACTGGGCTTCTCCTTTCAAACTTCCAAACCTCCCTTGCCCTCTAGTTTAATTTCAGCTTTGAAAGCGGACTAGGGCTAAGCACCAAACATTATTGGATTGCTTAACTAGCATAGCTGTCCCCATTTTTGGGCTAGAAAAAACCTTGCCGAATATAATTAAATTATCCTTTAGGCTTCATCGCTGTGAGGTCATATCCTGCCGAGATGCCTTATTTATTAGATGAAGGTGTGCTAATCATTTTATTTATAAATCAAATTTTATTCTTATTTAAGCCAAATGATTCAGTTTTTCATATATGATATTAACAATTAAATATATAAAACGGATTCTTGCTTATAATTCTTTTTAGCTACCTAGGCTTATCTTAATTTTTCTACTTGTTCTATTGAAATACTCTTGACCTGGCTTGCTGGAAGTGGAGCTTGGTATCCAGTGTGAGTTCTATCCTGTTCGTCTTTGCTTACTCCCCCTACGTGAGCGAACAAAACCATTAGAAAAATCCCTTTTTTTGCCAATATAAAAATTTTTTTATGGAAAAAAATTGATATATAAGTGATAATTAGTATAATGAAATCTCGAGCTAATTCTGTTTAATTTTAAACAAATCGCGTTTTAAAAAATAAATTTTACAAATTAAATTAATATTTGCTTTCCAATTTTTGCGAAGTGGGATTTTTTTAAATTCGAAAAAAAAAATTCTATAAAATTTCTATATAAATGTTTTTAAAAAATAAAAATTAACCCCCTTCTGTGAGCGAACAAGATTTTTTGTTCACGGAGGGGAAGTTAGGATGATTTCAACTCCTGTAAGATCTCTTTCTGCAGTTCTGTCTTCTAATCCTTCTTCCTGAGCATGATATAAGACCTGAATCTTTCTATTGTTGAAGTTATTAAGTTGATGAAGTCCTAGCTCGTGTCTTTTGATTTCTTCAACAACTTTAATAGCTTTAGGGATGGCAGCTCCGCTAGCTTTAATGACAATGGTTCTTTTTCCATCTTTCTTAAGGAGTAACAAAGCTTCCTTCAAGAAAAAGCTTTCACTTCCTTTCATGCTTACAAAAATTTCGTTATCTTCCTTCTTGGTTGCTTCTCTTACAGTTTCTCTGACATATTTTCCTTGCTCTGGTGGAACTCTTCTTTCCCCTTGGAAGTTTCCATATCCTCTACCTCTTGAGCCTCTTGGGCCTCTTGAGTTTCCTCTTCTTTCACCTCTTTCAGCTCTGTCACCACCTCTAGTGCCTCTTGAGCCTCTGTCACCTCTGTCACCTCTGGTGCCTCTTGGAGCTCTTTCTGTTCTTTCAGTTTGGCTGTATGGCTTACTGGCAGGCTTTCTGGCTTCTCCCTCTTTTGCTGTTTCATGAGACTTGTTGTAAGTTCCATGCTGAGCTGGTTTGTGCTCTTCTCTTGGGTGCTGTTCTCTCTTTACTGGAGGTCTTTTATTTTCTTCAGTGGCTGATCTTGTTGGCTGGTTCTTAAGTTCAGCAAGAGTCTTTGCCTCGACTTGGCTTTCAGGAATAGGAGGCTGGTATCCTTTGCTTGAGGCATCGAGTGGGTCTAAACTCAATAAGAAGACGACTCTGGTTTTATTGGAATTAGGGACTCTTTCAAAGGAGTTAATTTGATAGAGACCTTTCACCTTATGCTTGATCAGCTCGACCAGGTTGACTGCAGATGGAATGGCTAAATTGATTGCGGTGATCTTAGCCTGTCTCTTAGTCTCCAAGAGTGTGGCGACTTGTGTTACTTGTCTTCCAAAGCCTTGGGTGCTTGAGACAGTGACTTCGTCAGGGCTAGCCATTAATTTTTACAAGCCGCTCATATGGTAAAGGTAAAAGCAATAAAATGGTGAGGCTTGAATAAAATTAGTGAAATGCTTATAAATCTAATTAAACTGTTTAGAAATACTATAATCTTTTGCAATAGTTTCATATTGAGTGTGGAGCCTGCATCATTGATTGGCTCCTCATACAGAATTATTTTACACATTTCCGCGTATTGGATGAAATAAGAAATTATCAAAAATAGTTATACCAATATACATGAAAATCAATTTATTTGGGTACATCTAAATTAAAAATATTATAAGTAAATTTCATGCTCAAGTAATTAAGTTTTTTAATGTAAAATTATGGAATAAAATGAAAGAGACAGAAAGGAAGAAATCTTTAAAGCAGAAAATCCGTGATTTGAAGAGATCCATTGAAAACACAACGAACCAAGAAGAGCTGGCACAAAAACAAGAAAAGCTGGCAGAGCTTAAAATTCTTAAAGGTCTCGGCTTGAAAAATGCAAATATTTGGGGAAAATACAAGACCATAAGATTTTTTGGTAAGCATTATTTAGAACAAAAAAAGGTTGGCAGAAAACTCAAAAAAATCAATAAGGAAATCGAAGAGCAAGGAGAAAACGAAGATCTTCTCCAGCAAAAAAGATCATTAATGGATGACTTAAACTACATTAAATACTACCCAATCAATAAGAAATATGTCTCACTCTTTGCAGAGAGTTCTGAAAACTCAGAGAAAGAACGAATTATAATGAGAAAGCATATAAATAAAATCATTGAGAAGAAGCAAAAGAAAAAGCTTATGCATTTAGAAGAAGAGCTAAGAGTTGATGCCCCTAAAATCAAGGAAGACATAAAAAGAGAAATAAAGAAAAATATTAAAGAAGAAAAATCAAAGGAACCTATTAAAAAGCATGATGATGGGAAAAAATTGCGAATTAATGAGCCTAAGGTAAATACAGAGAAAAAGGAAAAAGAACCCAAAGTAATAAAGCAGAAGAAATTTGAAGAGGTCAAAGAGGAAAGAATTCCTTTGAAAAGGAAAAATAAAAGTAAAAATGAGCTTTCAAATAAAAAAGCTAAGTCGTCAAGATTTGCAGAGGAAGAAGAGGATACTGTGAAAATTATCCCTGTGGAAAAGGATGATTTCTTTTTACTCTAAAAATAATCCATACACAATTTATATAAAAATGCCCGAACTTTTTAAGAAATCTATAAGCAATTGATTGATAAGCCTGAACATTAGGGTTTTAATTATTTCTATTTTTTGTATTCAATATATTTGTTTATCTTTAGTTTTACTGCTAGATCTTATCTTATAAAATACTCAGAGTTTTGGCCATATTTCTTCTTTTGACAAATCTTGATCACATCTACCTTTATATGTTTCTGCTTTATATTTTTGTTCAGCACATCTGAAAAAGCACTAACTCTTCCCTCTCAGTGAACGAGTAAACTCTTGAAAATTCTACGTTTTTGGAAATTAACCCCCCGTGTAAGAGATCAGTATATAGTTATGATAATGATAATGATACTTGGTCAAGCACATATCCCAACCCCTCAGCCCCCCTTAATAAATCCAGAAAAAACTCGCTTTTTTGAAAAATATTTTATCTGGACCTAACTATTTTAACTGGAGATTTTATTTTGAAAGTTTGATATTCGAAAATATAAACATTAACAAAAAGAAAATCTTTCTACGGAGGGATGAGTAAGATTAAATATTATTTAAAGAATTTATCTTTCAACTAATTAATTAAATATCATCACTCCATTGCATTTATTGTAAGCTCTTGCAATCAAGTTACACATTTTGCAAAAATATCAGCTGTCTTCAAGTTCAAAAGCTGCTATTATGAGAATTCATCATATTCTAAGTCATATCTGGAATACCGACTATAAGCTTATATGAATCATCTTATTCTGTGATTAATTTTGGATTATTTGTTCACTGGTTACAATATCTTATTTTTTATGATTTTAAAGCTTTATTACCAATTTTCAGATATACTTTACCATAAATATTGACGAAGACGATTGCGAAATATCTTCATAATCGATTAATAGAATATTCTAATAAATTAGTTAAGCTTTCTTTTCTTCTGGCTTGCAGCATTCCTTCTTTCCTGTGCATGGGCAAACTTTAGACCATAGCTTGAATGCAGCAACTCCTAGTACAAAACCTACAGCTCCAACTAACAACTGCTTTTTAGTATCTGCGTCCATATTTTTATATTGGCTCTAATAAAGATGTGCCATCATCAATAGGCGTTCTCTAAATATGGAAATTCGTATTAAAGCTTAGTTTACAATGGGTAATGATTTTTCATGCTTAATTTCAATTTTTGCTGTTTTATTGAATAAAAATTATGCTCTCTTTTATAAAATAGAGCTCATATGAAAATTAAAATATTTATTCTAAAAATCTTATAAAATGGTATATGAAGCTTAAAAAATTTCTATTAAGATACTACCCACCTGGAATCATACTTGAATATATTCGATCAAATGGCCAAGGAGAAAGCAAATACATAGATCTCTTGAATTTGAACCCACAAACAGATGTAGATGCCTTAGTTGACCAAATCCTTCTTGAAGAGCCCGCTATCTCTCAGTCGCGGAAACCTCAGCTGAGAAAGCTAATCCTGAAACTTATTGAAAAACTGCAAACCAACAAAAATCAGCGTTTCGAGCTCTTTAAAACCTTAAAAGCCCATATTCTTCCTCTAACCAATTGCGCCTTCAATAAATCAGGCGACAGATTCATTACAGGTTCATATGATCGAACTTGTAAAGTGTGGGATACTACAACAGGCCAAGAGCTTCATAGTTTAGAAGGGCACAAAAACGTCGTATATGCAATTGCATTCAATAATCCATATGGAGACAGAGTTGCAACTGGGTCTTTTGACAGAACTGCAAAGCTATGAGACACCAACACTGGCGAATGTTTATATACATTAAGAGGCCACCAAAAAGAAATAGTCTGTCTTAGCTTTGATACTAATGGATTCCTATTTGCTACTGGGTCAATGGACCAAACTGCATCAGTTTGGGACGTTGAAACAGGCCAACAAGTTTGCTCATTTGCGGGGCATACTGGAGAAATCGTCAGCATCATGTTTAACACTGATGGGGATAAAGTATTGACTGGGTCTTTTGATTTTACGTCAAGAATATGGGATACACGAACTGGGTTGTGCATTAGGGTGCTTGAAGGCCATTCTGGAGAAATATCTAATGCGCAGTTTGATTTTTCAGGAGATTTTGCAGCCACTGGGTCAATTGATCATACATGCAAGCTGTGGGATGTGAATAGTGGAAAATGCATAGAAACTTTGAGAGGACATACTAATGAAGTGCTTGATGTAGCCTTTAATTCAACAGGGACCAAACTTGTAACAGCTTCAGGAGATACTTATGCAAGAGTCTATAATGTTTTAACTAATGCTTGCGTAGGCATTTTAGTAGGCCATGAAATGGAAATTTCAAAAGTGTCGTTTAATCCTCAAGGGACAAAGATAATTACAGCAAGCAATGATAGAACTTGTAGAATTTGGGATTCTGAAACTGGAGAATGCTTACAAACACTTGAGGGGCATACTGATGAGATTTTTTCTTGTGCGTTTAATTATGAAGGGGATACAATTATAACAGGATCAAAAGATAATACATGTCGAATTTGGAAGGACACTGCTTAATTCGTCTTAATAATTTAAGATAAAGACCAACTTAGGTTGAAAAATTAATTAAATTAAAATATCTTAAATTCTCCTGAATTATTAAAATGGCGAGCGGAGTTGGGAATTGGATCCAATTGATGATAGTTTTCTGGGGTGAATTTTTAGTGGTAAACCTTTTGTCTTCGACACTCAGACAGCAGATCTAGCGCAGCATCATTTCGTACCTACTGAGAGGTAGGCAGGCCAAAAATGAGATTTTGACGATTCAACAATACGTCAAGCCCCCTGCTAAGGGTGACAGTCCTTACTCGCTGGTCAAGGATCAAGACCTTAATGGGTGAGTCTCCTATAAGCTATCTGACGTCATCATTTTTGGCGATGTCGATGGAAAAAGAACGTTGGCTGGAGCTAGTGTCTAGCGCCACCTGAGTATGAAGCTAACGCGTGAAGGGTAGGGGCTGAATAAATTACAGTGGCTCACTATTGTATGGGTAAAGTACACGGGCCATACTGATAGCCAGTTCCATATCTCAGACTTGGAAAAATAGGGAACTGTATTCAGTATGGCACGTGTGCTTGCTCCTTAAAGAGCCAATGCAAAATAGAATTAATCTTAATCTAATCTAAATACTCCTATATAAATTTGATTTTCAAAATAATAACCGCAAATACTAATTGGCAGTACTTTTAATTATTTAAAAACGATTAATTATCATTAAATTAACTAGAGTCACACCCAAAAAACTTTGAGGCACTTATTGCAAAATCTTGATTAATGGCCGGTTGATATATATAACCTGTAATTGGATATGTCGGTGAAATCTTTGGGTTTAGTTTAGTATAAAGTGGGTTGTAAAGTGCAGGCTTATTGAAAATGCCTGATGGTTTACCTTTCTCGTTTGGTAATGCGCTAACTCGATATTGCGCATTCAAAGTAGGCTGGTCAAACAGAAAATCAGAAGTATCCTGTATCACATTGGTTATCGGATTATAGCAAATTGTTTTTGCAGTTTTCTTAGTATGCCGTGGAAAATTCATTGCATTTGCCAAATATTCACTCGAAGGGTCGATAGATTTCTTATTAAAAGAGTATAAGTTCTTGCTCTCCTTGTTTATCCCATTTTGCAATTCTTGATTATTTAATTCTTGGCTATACATTTTTTTTTTGATCATTTCATCAATTCTTTTTCTCATTTCAATTTCATTCAAAATTTTCATATCTTCAAACCTCCTCGATTTTTCCCTATCTTTTTCCCACAGCTCAAGCTCCTTTCTTTTCTGTCTTATCCCCATTTGGTAGTCAAGGCTTTTATTTATTTCTTCTTTTTGATAAGAGTTTCTATTTAAATCATAAAGACTTTTCTCATATGAATTAATATGATAAGGGTTTCTGAACCCTGAAGCAGATCTTTTTATCAAAAAAAATTCTTCTTCTTTTTTCTTTATTTTTTCTTTCAAGCTTCTTATTTCTTCTTCATATACTTCGGATTTATTCTTTCTTTGGGTTGTTTCATCAAATGACTTGTTTATTCTACTTTTTATTTTTTCAATGGAAGCATTTCCAAAGGGACAAAAACCACCTAAGGCGGCTTCAATTTCTGATTGGAGATTCAGCATTGGTGCGGAAAAACCTAAGAAAATAGCTGACATAAACAAGTTTTATTATGATTCTAGTGAAGAGGAAGACGAAATGAGTGAACTTGATGCGATAGAGATGCTAATGATTGATGAAGGAATCTTGATGGAGCTAGGCTACGAGGAAGAAAAAGCAAAGATGGCGCTGAATGCATGCGGCGGTAACTTAGAAAAAGCCTTAGTGTTTCTGAGATTACTCGAAGATGATGAATTTTGTGATGAAGAAATTGATAAAAATTGGGAAGAAGAAGATGGCAGTTGAAGAGAAGAACTGAGTGAAGAAAATGAAGAACTCGAGATGGCAGTAAAGTTGCTTGCAGGATTACAAGGAGAAGTCTTGGATGACGGAGAAACAATCCTGACCACTCTCAATCCGTCAGGGCAATTGAAATAGAAATAATGGCAGGAAAGACAGAAATACCAACAAAAACGTTAACAAAAAGACCGACAGATATCCAGACAGAAACTTCAACAGAAATTTCAGCAAAAAGCTCAAAAGCAACCTCAACAAAAATTCTAACAGGATTCTCAAAAATGCCTATAAAAACTCACCAGAAATCCCAACAACATCCTCGACAAATATTCCAATTGAAATCCAACAGAGACACCAGCACAAACCTCAAGAAAGATTCAAAAGGCAACCTAAAAAACACCTGCAGAAATCTCAAAGGGATCCTTTTAGAAGATCTCTCAACAGAAAACTCAAAAGAAATCGCAAAAGAAATTCAAGCAAGAAGTTCAATCGAATTTCAAACAGAAACCAACAGAAATGCCAACCAAATTCTCAAACAAATTTCTCGGCAGCAATTTTGACAGAAGATGGAAGAAGTAAGATGATGTGGAAGGCAAGAAAGAAGAAAATAAAAAATGAGGCCATAATAGAGCGAAAGAAAAAAAACACTGGAGAAACAAAAGGCAGCATGAAGCAGCAGCAAGTGAAGGTGGATTGAAGCAGGCAAAATTGAAGGAGATCTGAGGATGAACTGATGGAGGCACTGATGGAGGCACTGAAGAAGAAGCTAATGGAGAAATTGAGAGAGGAGAGTGAAAGGAAAAAAGAAGGATGGAAAATGAGGAAGAAAAGGAAATTATTAACAAAAACCCATAAGGGTTTGCTTCAGGCTTACCTGCTGAATAATTGATGATGACTTGTTTATTCTATCAAATTCATAGGATTGGTTTAATTGGGATTCATATAGTTTACCGTTAATCACATCAATTTGAGGGAAAGGCCGGACTGTTGAAAGCGATCGGGATTTAGAATGATGAGTTGTGGGGCTAGGAGAGGAACTGTTATCCAATGGCTCAAGCTTGCGAAATGGCTGAAACCTGTGAAGAGAAGGTGAAGTATACAAATATGGCTCACTCTCTATATTTTTATGAATATTAAATCGTCTGAGTCCAGTTTTTTGCTCGCCTGGCATCTATATGGGATTTACTGTATTTAGTTGAGGGTGAATCACTGTGAAATATGAGCTATCATGAGCAGTTTTATAACTCATATTTACTGTAAGTTTATTATTTAAAGAGAAAGCAGATAGCTTTTGATTGATGAATAATAAAATATAAGATTTCAATATTTTATCAATTCATTTTCTGTATTTTCTTAATTATTTATATTGATTTATTTCGCAGTTCAAAAATGTCGAATTAAAATTCTTGAGTCTTCAAGAAAAGCTATTTAAGGCTTGGTCGTTCTTTGGAGGTTTTATTTTTTGGAAAATTAAGCATTTTTTAAATAAATAATTAGAAAACTTTAATATATATTAGCATTTCGACTTATAACTAAACAGAAGGATCTCAATTAAATTGTAGGACTTTCGTTACATTCTTTAATGTGCCAAAGGGATCTTTAATAAATTCTTATGTAAATGATTCTTCGTATAATCTTATAATCAATCTTGATACCTCCCTTTTCAATAGATACTTTTAGCTCATCCTCAATCATATCAAGTTTGCAGCATCCCATTTAATGTGATTCAAATAATCTAATTTAATATTTAGGCAAATTTTAATATATGCCCTTACTCTGGGATTCACATAAAGTTTCAAATTCATCGAAAAATAGAAATAATTTAAATTATCTGGAGTGCTTCGAAATATATATTTGCATGAAATAAAAGTTTTCGCAAAGCACTTAGAATCACTTGCAGTGAAATCATTGTTTGCAAGCAAACTATATATGATTTAGAATAATATGAAAATAAGTAGCTGATAATGGATATTGGCAAGTCTACAACGAGACCCAAATAAAAAGCTGATCTGCTTACTGGATAAATTGCATCCCAAATATTTAAATGGCTCGAATAAAAATATCATAAGTTATTAGATACTTAACTTAACTATTATTCGGTTTTTAAGGTGCCCAGTATTAAAAGGGACGAGACCCATTTTTGACGTCACAGGCTATCCTGTCACTTAAAATGGCGCACCATATGGCAGACATTCCTTAACATGCCGCCACCAGTTAAGGCTGCACTTCTCACCACGCGCGTTGCTGTCGCTCTTGTCTGACTTAATCCCAGCGTGTATTCTGCCTAAGGTTCACCCTTCTCGGGCGTGCTAAGTGGTAAAAACCCAAGTCTCTTATGTACTGAGGAGCAGTTCCTTTGTTATCCCCAAAGCTAAACTGCTATAGCTGTGCAGAAGCTCTCAAGTTAAAATCAAACCGCATAAATAAAATTCCATAAGAGTTAAAATTAGCAGAGCTAATTTCTCTCGAACCGAATGTCATTTTATTTATCTAATCTTTAGATACAAATACATAGCTTTCTTATTAATTTTATAGTTTGTTGATGTGTTATAAGCTCTCACATAGTGTAAAAAATATGCTCTGACATATGAAAAATTTAAAAAATAGCTTTAATAAACCATACTTTGCATATCTCAACACATAACTATTCTTGATAGCATAATCTTAAAAAAGAATAGCATTTAAATTTATTCATAAGCTTTATTTGTAAATTCATGCTGACATCTAGACATATTTTAAAATGAGACTGAGTTCAATTCAGCTTAACCAGTTCAAATTTAGTGCCGCATTTGAAAAATACAACAAGTTTATTTCAGAAAACCCTACACTTGAGCAAATACTCGAAAACCCTTCAACCCCGGACCAAATCACTGTTGGGAGTAAGATACTGATAAGCTATCTTACCCCTGAAATGGTAAGACAGCTTCTTACTTTCATTACAGTAGAGCCAAGCGAAAGTGATTCTCCAGCCAGAATCCACACATATCCTTTTGTTTCAAGTCTCTTTTTTTCGGTCGAGTGTGGCGCATTATTAGATCTCGTCCATTCCGACCAAACCTTATTAGAAAACTTGCTCAACTTCCTCAAAGGAGATGCGCCTCTCAACTTTTTGCTTTCTGGGTATTTCGCGAAAGCATTCGACATTTTGATGCGCTCTAACGAAAGAAAATTATTAGACTTCTTTTACAGTCAAAATTATCATTTCTTCCTTCTCAATCACATATATAGCCAGTCAATAGCTGATATAGCCTATAAGTGCTTATCATCTTCATTCACCTTTAAACAGCAGAGAACAGAAATTATTGATATATTAGTTTCTAAACTGACTGTGGATTACAGTCCTTTAGTAGCTTTAAACTCCCAGAACATAATTTGCAGAGCCTTAAATGATTGTTTCCCAGGGATTGAATATCTGGCAAATGAAGCGGTCATTTCTTCATTCTTTCAAAATTTGAAATCAGAAAACAGAGAAGTGGTGACCTCATCAGCCAAAGTTCTGCTGTCTATTTTTGCAGCTTTTAAAGAAGAAAGCTCGATTTCTTTGAAATTTTTACTGCAAATAGAGACGATTAGAGACCTTATCTTCAAAGTAGAAAAGACATTGAAGAACCAAGCAGGGTGTGAGGCTACTATCATTGGAGAAACAAAACTCGTCATTATGCAAATCATCAATATCTTATGTGGTGCACATTTACCTGAGGTTGGTAGACTCTTCAAAGTAGCCGAAATAATTCCGAAGCTAACTGAGCTATTTGAAAGCCATGATTGGAACTCCCTCTTGCATGAAAGATACTTCAATATTGTAGAATCGATTATATACTCAGATTCGCAAGATTTGCAAATTGCTTTGCTTGAGGATGCAAAGCTTCCTCAGCTGCTTATTAGATTAGGCAATTCTCCTTATGTTCAGTATGGAAGGGCACTTATTAAAAGAGGATCTATGGGGTATGTGTACAAAATAGCTAATTTATTGATAAGCAGCAAAAATAAAGGAATAATAGAAGATGAGGTTATAAATAAAATTGAAGGATGGGCTTCGTTTGAAAAAGAAATAGTTGAGGTTTATAATAGAGTAGCAAACTCTGAGCTAGGTGCTATTTATAACTTTGAAAGTGCAAGCTCTGAAGGAAATAATGAAACTGAAAGCTCAAATTTGCCTGTGTTCACTGATTCTGATAATGCTCAAATTGAACCAATTTCTTCAGTGTCAGATGCTCAAGGTTTTGGAGGAGACGAAACTGCGAGTGAATACTTTGAAAATGTGTATTGGAAGGTAGAATTCGACCTGAATGAGTTGGAAGAAATTTAGAGTCTTATTTTAATAGATCTATTGAAAATAATAAGTTTAATATAGAAAGTGAGGAAGAAGGCTTAATGTTATGTTGGAGAGTGATTAGGGTTTTTATTTTTGACAAGCCGGAATATAAACTCAGCAGGTTTAATTACTTTAAATAAATTCTTTTTCTTTTGGCAATTGGATCAGCCTTCGCGACGCCAATACCCTTCTTAGGCGAGTTTGAAACGTTTCTAATTTTATCATCTTTGCTTACCATTTCAGGAGAATACGATCTCATCGGAGTTTGCGACAATTTAATTAGCTTTTTCTTCCTATCCAGATTTTTTATTAGTTTTTTCAGCTGACTTTCTTGTTTTTCTAATTTCACAAGATGCTTATCTCAAGTGGTATTTAAATTTTCATTTTTAAGCTCTGGCAGCACATTAGATATTTTGGCCTTCGTCAGCGGTATAACTGCTGACTCCTCTCCCCCTCCTTGATCGAACGATCCGCCATCGTTCGATCAAGGATGGGGGTTAAAAACAAACTTTTTTGGGAAAAAATTTTATATATAAAATAATATATTTTTTTTTTTATTTACTTTTAAATAAGAGGGTAAGAGTATTTAATAATTTTTACAGTCATTCGTTCTATCAAGGATGGGGGGAGGAGTGAGCGTTTTGATGAAGATGAATAAGACTCAGACCTCAGATGTGATCGAATTGCTAATTCATATTCTAACGCACGGTCATTTATCGGTTTCAATATGGACACTTTGGAAATTTCTGTAGATTTAGGGGTTGGACGCTCTATAAGAGAAAATCCCCATCGAGAATTTTTTGTTCTTTGGTCATCACCCTTAGCTTTACTAATTAGCTTTTTCCTGATTAAGGGAGATTTAATGTTGGAGTCAAATGAGTGCCTGATTAAGGATTACATAGCTTGGATTGTAGTTTTGGATGGTTTCACAGGCCCATCTTCATTCTTCATCCGCAGCTGTTTTTGCATTTGTCTGATCTTTGAGTAACTTCCCATATGTATTGTATTTATTTATTGTTTAAAGCTAATAATAAAATGGAATACGCTTATTCAGCTGCTATTCTCATCTTACCTGCTTTAGTTACTGGAATCTATTGTGCTCATTGACATGTCTCTAAAGAAGTAGAAAACGACAAGCTAATAGAAAAGCACTGTAACAAACAAAATGCTGATTTGCATATATGCATACTCTCCAATGGGGACAAGAAATCATGCAAAGATGCCCAATCTGAATTGGATTATTGTGTATATCAGCACAAATGAAATTAGATAATATCTTTTAATTTGCATTGTGTTTTTTTTTTGTGTGTGTGCTATTAAAGTTATAATAACTCAGTTATTGTTCCTATTTTAATTTATGTGATTAACTGAGAAAAAGTTTCATCCATCTTATATAGTAATGACCTTTACAGCATACAATTTATAAAATAAATTTTATATGCTCTGGAACAAATTAATTTTATTATTAAAAAAAATATTTGAATTCACATAAAATGCTTTGGCTAAAATTTAAAATCTATAATTGAGGCCAACAGTTAAAATTGTTTGCAAAATGCATTAGTCTACCGAAATTTAAATGCCTTTACCCCCCCTTTAAAATTAGAAAAAAATATAGGTAAAATTTCCATTTTTTGGTATTTATAACCTCCTTTAAATTTACTTTGTAGGTGAAAATACTAATTTTCATAAAAAATATTTTTGGCTAAATTTAATCGACAAAATACGAGTAGAATATTGTTTAAACAGTTATCACACTGAATCGATTATTCTTTTGGTTGTTCTTCATATAAATTAAATTTAAAAAATATTGGGTTTAATTTACATTTTTTAAAATTTTTAAATATAATTATGAATAAAATTTATTTTGCTTATCATGGTAAATTAACTTTTTAAAATTTTCAAAAAAATTTTGACATTCCATTTAAATATCAAATTGAGTCCATGACATGTTAAAATTTTTATGAAATTTTAACAATTATCTCATTTATGAAAGCTAAAAGAAATTTAAGCAATGGTTTATTTTAAAAAACTTTTTTCTGAAAATTTAGCCCTATAATTTCTTTTTAAATAATAAAATTAACCCCCTTTAGGACTTTTTGTTCCAATTTAAAGGGGGAATTAGCAACATTCAATGATTCTAATAAATAAGATGGAAAAAGACGATGACTCAATTCTTAGTTTATCTAATTTGATTGTACATTCCCATTCTATGGATCCTAAAGACCCAAACGCTATTTTGAGGCCTCAAAAACAAATAACGCCAATTGATTTTATCCCAAAAGTTAATTATGATATGCCATTTTTAAACTCTTTATATCATTTTCCTAATAGTCAACTTAAAATCACATAAAAATACCCTATTGTTATACATTATTAATAATGCAATTCTCGTTAACAGTCATACGATGTGAAATAAAGAAGAATGAAATGGGAAATTTTTGATCCATGCAGAAAGCTACTGAAAACTCGTATGAGATGTCTTTATATTTCTAGATTTGCTTTCTCAAGGAATTTACGTCCCTTTTTCAATAAGTTTTGATATCACGACAACTGGGCTTTTAGTTTATTATGATTTTGTTATTTCACTAGCTTTATTAACTGATATTATCTTTAATTTCAACACAGGTTACTTTAAAAAAGGTACATTGATTATGAACAGAAAGTTAATTGCTTTTCATTATTTAAAATCATGATTTATGCTTGATCTACTCTCAAGTTTTCCTTATACTTGAATTATTGATGGCGGCGTGTTCCAAAGTGATGGAACTAGCTCCTCACAGTTATTAAAATCTGCGAGGCTGCCTAGGTTTTTTAAAATTATTCGGCTGCTAAGATTTGCAAAAATAAGGCTGATTATATTGAAAATTGAAGATAGCATAACTCATGAGCTGCTCCTTCAGATATTTCATTTATTTCGGTTCTTAACCCCCATAATACAAGAATTGTATTTGGTTGTTATTAATTGCAAAATTGGTTCGCTTTAAATTATTCTGAAGAAAAAATGGAGAGGAGTTAGTAGCTATCTATATGTTTGCACATTGAATTGGTTGCTTGTGGTATTACACAGGGTCTTCTCAAGGTTTAAATGCTTCTGATTCATGAGTAAGAGTGTACGAAGAAAGTGATCAGATGGGCGATCTTTCATTAGCAGAAAAATATGTAATTAGTTTATACTGAGCTTTCACAACGCTACTTACAATTGGATATGGGGACATCCACGCTCACACAACACCTGAAAAAATTGTTGCTATGATATGTATGGTTTTTGCTTCAGCATTTTATGGGTATGCAATTGGGAGCATACATGAGTTTGTAGAAAGAACAGATCTCAAAGAAAAAAAGCACCGAGAAGAAATAATCTCAATGACAAACCATTTAAGAAGAAATAGAGTACCTAAGGATTTGCAGTTTAAAGTAAGAAGCTATTTGGAATATGTATATGAGAACCAAAAAAATATCAACATAAGAGAAGATGATATTCTAAATCTTTTAAGCGAGCCTCTTAAAAATGAAATATCTGCATATATTCATTACCCAGCCATCAAAATCTGTCCTACATTTTCAAGATTTTTAGATTTACAGTCTTTAACCACCATTTTAAAAAATCTCAAAGAAGAGACCTATGCTCCAGGAGATGAAGTCTTATCTGAAGGCGAAAAAAATAGAACGATATATATTATTATAGATGGCTCAGTCTATCTTTATTACAAGCAGATGAAAGCTCACTTAGCAGAGCTTCGAAAAGGCAGCTACTTCGGAGAAGTTGGATTTTTTGTCGGCCACTCTAGGACAGCAAGTGTAAAATGTTCAGCATTTTCTGATCTCCTTACTTTGAAATTTGAAGATGCTTGGCGTTCTCTTCACAAGGACGTCAAAGCTCAAGAAGCTTTAAATTTCATTCAGAGTGTCTGTGAAAAAGAGGACTATTCCCAAATTGGCGTTACCTGCTATATTTGTAAACGAATAGGACATGTCGCACTAAAATGCAATTACCTGTGATCTCAAGAAGAAGAGACTAAAAAAGAATGGCTAGCTAAAAAAATGAATGGGAGAAAGAAAATTAACCCTCACGATCCAAGAAACCCAACCCATTTTAGGAGGCGAAGGCACACAAGAATGAAATATGAGGCCAAAAATATTTTGGGAATTAAAAGAAGCCCAGAACAAATGTACAAAAATGACGCAATTTTACGCGATAAAGCATCGCATTATATATCGGATGTCAATGCCAATAGTGTATCTACTAGTTTGTCAGAAGCAAGCGCGATGCCGAAAGAGACAACAACACTATTTGAAGTCCCATCTTTTTATAGATACACAATGATTCTTCCTGACACAGATAGTGATGAAGAAGAAGAGGCTGAAGTTGAAGATCTTGATTATTAACTGTATATAATGATTTCCTTTATGCTCTTCAGCATACAATTCAAGCCATTTTCTATTAGAAAATTTAAGGGTGATATGTATACTTATAATTATAAATCACTTAAAATTTTTTCGATCAAAATGTTTATTCCAGGAATCCTCTCACTTTCAGGTATTTTGCTAATCGCTTTTTCTATATCATTTTTCTTTATTTTAACACCTTCTTCTGTCATATTTTTAATATGGTCTAAAATATAATAAGTGGTTGGACTAATATCAGGACATTTTGTAACTGCAAACCACAACAAATCTCTATATCAGCAGACCTGGCTTATCATTCCTCTATACTTTTCGAGTCTTTCTTTTTCAGCATCAATCCTCATATTCCACAAATCAAGCAGCCTGCCTTGAAACACGCTCCTTTTTTCTGATGTTTTGAAATGCTTATGCTTCAATCACACTGCTTCAGATCTGTCGAATTTTAGTGTGGCTAATAAATCATTTAGTTTTCTGTCCATTTTTTCTTTGCCTTTTTTAAATTCTTTGCATCTTTGGAATAGTTGATGTATAGGGTCAAATTCTAATGAATAATTGTCAGTAGGGTCTTCATTTAAAATGGAGCCTATCAATCTTGGAGAGACTATTGATTTTGGAACAGAAAAATCTCGCCTTTCGTGCTTATCAGTAGTTTTGTGGTGATAAAGCTTGTCAAGCTTATCAAATTTTTTAGATAAGTCCTCTTCGTTCTCTTGGAATTCTTTTTTCTTGACTCCAGCGTTTAGAATTACTTCTTTAAGAGATGGAAGCATTAAATATGGCATATGAGGAGAAGAATTCATTAAGCTTACATGGCGTTTTCTTCCAATGTATATAAGTTCGCTATTTAAAGGGTCAATTTGTGGGGTGCCTAAATGGTCTCTATGGTAGTTTTCTTTAGCTGGTTCTACGAACCTTAGAGGAGATGACGGAAAAACAAAATTTAGCGGTTTTCCTGCTCTGACACTTTTAATGCGATCTTCGCTTAAAGCAATTTCTGTCCTTAAATGGTTAGTTTCTTCTAAATGCTTTAGGTTTGACTTGTTATCTCTAATAATTGATGAGTTTTTATCTGGAGTAATAAGTCCTTGGCTTAGTTTAGAACGAAAGCGTAGATGATTAATGGCTTTTGAAGCAGTTGGAGACTCAATTGTAGTTTTATTGAGAATAGATCTGTCTAGATTGGATTTCAGTTTTTCCGCAGTTTTTGCTATAGGAGGGAACTTGATTTTTCGATCGAGAGATATTTCATTCATTATAGATATCAATTGATGCTAAATTGTTAGACATTTTACATAATATAGGGAAGATTTACACTTAAGGATAGCAGAAGTATATGAGATATAATGCTCATGATGCATTATTTCAATGACTTTTAATTTTTAATTGAAAACATGTTTTGAGAGGAGAAAATCAATAATTATAAATATAAACTAGTAAGTAAATCAAAATTATCAAAAATAACTAAAATCATGAGAGAACGAATTCAAACCAAAGAAAGCCCAAACGCCAACCACCAAAGTCTGCAATATCGACAAACTATAGAGAGCCTCAAAGCAGAAACCAAGAAGCTAAAAGACCAAATGCAGCTTGATCATATTCATACAACGCCAATTGGAAATGAATCTCACATTGCCCGTCTCCAAGATCAAGGGGACATTTACACCCGAAAGATCGAATACGAAACCAAGAAACGTGACGAGCTTGACAAAAAGATCATTGAAATCCAAGAAAAAATCATCAACAAGCGTGCTTCAATTGGAGCTGCCAAAAAAAACAAAGAAACTAATGACACAATTGTACAGAAAATAAAAAAGACTGAGCATAAGCTTGATAAAACCCTGCAAAAGTACAATGAAGCTGTAGCTCAAAACAAGAAAATCCATAGCCAGATTGATTCTTTAAGAAGAGAGAAAAAAGTTTACCTTAACTTAACTTAACTTAAGATTATTGATAAGCTCCCTGTCGGGGCCCGAAAGCCCTTATTCCCTCCCGTAACGCTCCACTCGCCTGCTCGCCAACAACCGTCTCTCACGGCCTTCAAAGTCTCGCTCCTACGGACATGGGCCTGCACATGCACTCCGCAGTTGGGAAGTTTGGGTCACCGTGCCGTACGCCTGACGAAGGTTGCCTGTCTCGAAATTTAAAAAAATGGAATCTCTGACCGACTTTCGGCAAAAGGGAAAAACTTGTAGCCCAGGGCGAAACTCCTGGTTTCTCGTTAGGGAGTTGCCCGATAGACCTTTACAGGCTTGGCTGGGCTTCCCCTTTTCCAACTTCAAAGTCTCCCTTCCCTCGAGGTAAAATCTAACTTGGAAAAAGGACTAGGGCTAGTTATCTAGCATAGCTGTCCATTTCTTCGCTAGCAAAACCTTGCCGGATATAATTAAAATAGGGCTCGATACTGCTTGGCCTCTCGGCCAAGCCAAGTTGAGACGCCATATTTTAATTATAGAAAAAAGTTTACCCAAACCCTTCGTCAGCGTTTAACTGAAGAAGTCGAACAAAAGCAGCAAGAATTAAAACAAATTGAGTCTCAAAAAGAGCAAGCCAAAATCCAAAGGGATGATGCAAAAAAACAGCTATTAAGCCTAAAAGAAACAGCAGAAAGAGAGCAGACGAAGTTTAAACAAGAATGGCAAGAGCTAACTGAGCTGATAAGAAATGATTCTAAAGTAAAAGACTATTTGGATTTAAGACAAGAAGAAAAAGAAGAAGAGAACCAAGAAGAAAGCTTATTGAAAAAGAATGATATGGATATCATAAAAAATTTAGACCATACAGGATCTATAAGTAAAAAAGATCGAGAAAATATTAGAGAAGCAGTAAAAAAAGTAGAGCAATATGAAGAAGCCTTTAAAAAAATTGAAGAAGCAACTGGGCTTTCTGATATTGATCAAATTGTTAGAACTTTTGTTGAAGCTGAAAAACACAATTATTCTTTATATAACTATGTAAACGAGCTAAGTAATGATATAGAAAGGCTAGAAAAACAAATAGCTCAGATTAAGGCAGAAATAGAAAGCTACAAAGGAAAAGGAATAAATACAGATAATCAAAGGAAAAAAATTATGAGTGACTTGGAAGTAAGGCTTAGCACAACTGAGTCAAGAGCTGAAAATTATGAAAGGAAATACGAAAAAACAATGAAAACTATAAATGCATTGAAAATTGGGATTCAACAGATTTTGAAAAAAATTGGGTGCAATAATGAGATGACTGAAATGATGCTGGACACACAAGGAGTTGATGAATCTAATATGATGCAATGCTTAGGTGTTATTGAATTAAGAACTAATGAAATATTGCAGATGTATTGGGGATGCACAAATGATCATTCTTATGCTCCAACTGGAGTTATGCCTGCAAATACTCATCATAGCCAACAAAATGCTATAAAACAGCCGATTAAAATTGAAATTGATGCGCAGCCGATTAAAGATGAAAAAGAGCCTGGGGAAGAAGATGATAAAGCTTTCTTGACAAGAGAAGAAATGAATGATCGTGCAATTATTAAAAGTATCCCATATAAGAAGAGATAATAAAATTAATGAAACTCATTTTAAAAACTATTTATAATTAATATTGAATAAAAAATGGAAGACCGGGGTATCGATCCCCGTGCCTCTTGCATGCTAACTTCTGCCATTGGCTTGTTAATAAAATCATTTGGTAAATCCATAATTAAGCCTCTGTTCGAAAGCAAAAAAAACTTTAATATGAGTTTTATTTAAAAAATATATATTAACAATTGTAAGATGAGATCTCCAGCTAATTACATAGAATTTTAGATATTATATCCTTTAAAGCTAAATATAAAAAATTAAATGAGATATATTTAAAAATTTGAATTTTATGAAACCAAGAACAAATAGCTCCCTCTGCTAGTGAGTAAAAAATTCACCGTCTTTAGTGATGAGGGAGTAAGCAAGCGCTCTACCATTTGAGCTAGACTCCCAAGTGAGATTATAAGCTTTAGATTTATATTTATAGCAAAATTAGACAAATTTATTAATATTAGTTGAGCTTTTATAATGGCAATTTATACCCTTAAATAAAATAAATTTATATTTCAATAGATTGCTACAGAATTTTCTTTCCAAAGATTGCTGTTTCGATTGGTATATTATATACTTAAAAAGATATTAAAAATAATAATAATTTTTATATTAAATTGCATCTGCCATTTCTTGATCCACCATGCCTGAATCTTCTGTCTCCATAATTGTGCTCTCATCACAAAACAAACTTGACATATTAGGATTTGCATTTTCATCTTTCCAATTTTTCACTACCTCTTTCTCATTACTGTCATTTCTCCATTGTCTTATTACATTTCTCGAAATAGGTTGCGCTTTAAAACTCATACTTTTTCTCAGCTCTGCTATTTCTTGTTCTTCCCTGATTCTCCTTTCTTCCTCCTGCTGCCTTTGTATTTCTTTTTGCCTCCTTTCTTTTTCCCTTAGGTTTTCATCAAACAAAGACCTTTGTTCAGCTCTTCTATCACTGTTCAATTCAATATCCATAGGATAAACAAGTGGAATATCTGAGGATTTTATAGGAGTTGGAGTAGTATGGCATCAGGTTTTAGCTCGAAAATGCCGCATATTTTGCTCACTTCCCCCTCCGTGAGCGAATAAAACCTCTAGAAAAACCCCTATTTTTGCCCAAAAACCCACCTCCGTGAGCGAACAAAAATTTTTTTATAAAAAAATTAACCCCCTCCCCTCCGTAAATGAACAAGTTTTTTTTTTCGCTCATGGAGGGGGAAGTCAGCAACATTTTTTTCATTAATTTGTTTTTCGAAATTTTGCTTTTTGGCACTCCCTCTTATTTCAGTCCTAAGGTTGAATTCTTGATGCTTTGTAGGGCTAAACATTTTTTTAGGGGTAAATGGTGATGAAAAGTCTGGTAGTGGCAGTGCTTTGAATCCTGGGCTTTCAAAGCTTAATTTTTGGGCTGAGCCATGAGGAGTTATATCTTGAAGTGAGCGATCTGGGCTAAAACAAAGTGAGTGTCTATTTACAGGAGACGATAAATTAAAATCACGTGGCACAGTTAAAGGTCGATCACTGCTTCTAATAAACAGCTGAGGCTGGTTCATTGTTTTCGGGATTTTTCTAGCTTTAAATGTCGGTCTAAAAATATTTTCTTCGGTCTGTCTTTTTTTAGGTGTTTGAAATCCAGTAGATCTTGGCGTAAAACTTGGCATTCCTCCATTAATTTTATTGTACATCCTTTGATGCCTTTCCATATCTTCCCTAACTCTTCGCTTTTCTTCCTCAATTCTTTGCAATTCAATTTCTTCAGATGTCAAGTTTTTTACCCATTCCGTCCTGTTATCGAGTTTTCGCTTTTTAGTGCTTCTATTCGCATCCTTAAAAAATCGTTTTTTCGCTCTGCTTGTAGGCCCTTCTTCAAAGTGGTTGCTATTATTTTCAAAATTCATTTTTATTAACGGATTAGTTTAAACTAGCGGGATCCGCAATTTATTATAGGTTAGCTGCTATATCAACGAAAAACTTTTAAATTTAAATTCAATTTTAATAGCAAAGCCATTAGAAAATAATTTTTTGGCCAAAAAAAATTGATATTCTAAAGCTTATAGCAAATTTTGTGAACTAGAATAGTTAAAATGAGATACTGTTGCGTTATGAAAATCGCCAAAAGTCATACCTTTTTTGAAGCGAGATTTTAAGGATGGAATTCCTTCATGCTCAACAAACATCCTGGAATGGTCTTCAGGGACTCTTAATACCAAGTCTGGCTTTGGTCCCATGAAAACAGCGAAGGTATTTCTAGAAATATCAGGGAAATTACCACCTGTTAAAACAGAATGAGGGGTCGCTTGAAGCCATCCATTAGAAATTATTTGCGAGGTCTCTGCGATTTGGAATAACAATAAATCATTTGTGAGATGAGCCTTCAGGATTTCACCTTTTCTATTTCTGATGAAAAGCCCAGTTTTTACATCTGGTAGCTCATTAGGAGATACAATTTCTCCAGTAGTCTGATTAAGGTATAGAGGACAAGTAAGTCCTGTCAGGCAAGAATGGTCGTTGTGCCAGCCACACCATTCATGGGTTGACCCAACTTGAGGGAAATAATGAAGAAGTCTTCCAACGGTATTTTTATGATTTTTTACGATATCTTCTAATAAGCCAGGCTGATATTCGTTATAACGAGCAAGAACATATTTGTCAAGTGATCTAGCCAAAAGTCCAGCAACCCTCATAATTTCTTGGCCTAAATCTCTGAATGCTATTCTAAGTCCAGGCAGACTTTCAGGCCACACATTATCGTGAAAAGCTCCTTCGTAGCGAGGGGCTTGGTCTACCTCTGGGTTTGCATAAAAGGACCCTTTTGAAAAATCAGCAGTGCCCTCATAAAATTCTTTTCCGTGGCTCCACCCAATCATGTACTTTATTTCAGGCAATTCTAGCTTTGCCTTTTCAGCGTCAGGAAGTAGAGCAAGTCTTCTAGCATAAGGTAAAAGAGCCATACGTTTTTCTTGGTAGGCAGGAATATTTTCCACAGTAATAATTCCTAAGCCATCTGGCCCAAAGCCTTCTTCAATCTTTTTATCTATGTCAGCATTATAAACCAACTCTTGATAAGAAATTTTTACTGGGCTAAAAGTGCTGATGAGCCTGGAAATATATTCTGATTTAATGGTCTAACTCCCCCCCCCCCCTCCGTGAGTGAACAAAACCATTAGAAAAATCCCTATTTTTTGCCCAAAAACCCACCCTCCGTGAATGAACAAAAATTTTTTTATGGAAAAAAACTTTGATATATAAATGATAATTAGTATAATGAAATCTAGAGCTAATTCTGTTTAATTTTGAACGAATTGTTTTTTAAAACATAAATTTTATAAATTAAATTAATTTTTGCTTTCCAATTTTTGCGAATTAGGATTTTTTTAAATTTCGAAAAAAAACTTTTTATAAAAAATTTTTATATATAAATTTTTTAAAAAAAAATTAACCCCCTCCGTGAGTGAACAAAATTTTTTTGTTCACTCACGGAGGGGGGGGGGAGTAAGTATTTTTAATTAATAATTAAATTTATTATTTTCTTATATTGTTGTTGCTTAAAAATGGTATAGCTTTTTTTGCACATTTGCTTTAAAAGTCCAGAAAATTGAATTAGAGGACGAAGCCTATTTTGATGGCATAGGAGCAGCTTAAGCGTATTTAATTAGGATCTTATAATAGTAAGATCAGGTAAACTGATAAAGACTTTGGAGAAATACTTGGCTCTTGTAGAGACGAGCTCCATCTTTATGAAGAAAGTTATACTTAATTGAAGATTTGTTGGGTCAAAAGTGAGTGACGCTGAAATGGATAGTTGAAACTCATTCATTAAGGTCCTAGCAGCATCAGAGGTAAATCGATAAAGATCTTGGGGAAATTTGATTATTATGGGTTGTGAGGAGTACTATTTTTATGAAAAAAAAATTTTACTGAAATAAAGATTTGTAGAGTCAAAATTGGGCAACATCTTCGAGGGGTAAATAAAAGCACATTAAATAAGGTGCTTATGCTAGTAACATCAGAGGTAAACTGATAAAGACTTTGAAGAAGCACTCGATTTTTATGGAGATAAATGCCATTTTTTAAAAAAAAAATTCTATTGAATTCAAGATTTTGTAGAGTCAAAAATGGGTGACACCTTAAAAGGGAAATAGAAGAGCATGCAGCAGCGTATCTCTTTTTTATCTTATAGACAAAATTATAAAGATCTTTGTAAAACGATAGATCCTTGTGTAATCGAATAGCATCTTTGTGGAAAACTTAACACAAATTTTTTATTAATATAGCCAGATTTAATTTTAATCAGACTTGCCAAATAAAATTTGGCTTCTAGAAAATTGGCAAATATGAAGCGAACGTACCAAAACTTCAAGGAGTCAATAAACAATATAGAGGACTTTAAACACTTTTAGAGTTTTAACTTAAATTGTCTTTTACTCCCCCCCCATCCTTGATCGAACGATTGACTGTAAAAATTCCTAAAAATTGGGGAAATTAACCCCCATCCTTGATCGAACGATTTTCATATCATGCAAATTTCTATATATATAAAATATATTAGCTATCAAAGCTTGGGAAGATGCACCTAATGAAGTTGTTTTCAGAGCTTTGAGACGACAGAAAGTTGCGAAATCAACCATCCGAAGTGATTTAGTCATCAATCTAGGCTCAAAAGCTCAATAATCTAATAAAAATAGAGATTCTTTAAAATTTAAAAAAAAAAAAATTAATTCAATAAGGAACAAATTAAAATTTATACAGTTTAAAAGGGTAACTAATAAATCAAAAATATTAAAAATTGATATTTTATGAAATTAATTCAATTTTTTGCTGTAAAAATAATTATTAAATACTCTTAACCCTCTTATTTAAAAGAAAATAAAAATATATATAATTTTTTTTCCCCAAAAAAATTTTTTTAACCCCCATCCTTGATCGAACGATGGCGAGTCGTTCGATCAAGGATGGGGGGGGAGTTAGTATAATTTTGACTTATTTTATAATTTTGGAACTCAATATAATAAAAACCTGATAAAATAGTTTTAAAATTGTTTTCTGTTGGCTTGGCATATCGAAATATTTAGGTTCGACAAAATATTAAAAATGGAGCCATCTCACCAAATTCAAACAATCAAAGCCAATCAGACCCCATTTGAACTTTCAAGATCTACTGATTATAATATTCACCTAAAACACTCTAATGAAGGCAAGGCAAGGCATTGAGCATGAACAAAGAGCTTAGATGCTTGATAAGAAAATGCTGCTTATTATTTTTAAAAACGATTTTAATATTAATAGGTTCTAATAGTTGAGGAATTTAAAGCCTTGCACTTCTTTTTTAATACCAGAAACTTATATTATTGATATAAATCTTGCCCTCTATGCTAAATTTATTGTTTTCCAAGCAAAAATGCCAAAAATGGTATATATCTTGTTCTCATTATAATATGGTTGATCTAAATTCAAATAAATAGCCATGATTTATTTTAATTCAATATTAATCATTTCGCAGACAAAAATTTAATTTAAACGTATCTAGTTAATTAGGAAATTAACATACACAAAAATAAATAAAATTTTTAACAGCTAAAAAGTCAAATTTTGATTTATTGATTCTTATAAATTATAATACCACACTTATTAATATAGTCACCATTAAAACTTAAGCTTAAATCAGCCATAAATCATTATTATAAAGATCAAATTATCTTATTTCTAAATTGAAAACTCCAACAGTCCGCTTACAATCTGTCCAAATGCCACCCCTGCATTTATGTATTCTTTATTTTCGATACTTGTAGACATCAGTTGTAAGTTAGTCATTATTTGAGAGTAGTTATTGCCAATATTTACAATAGCATTTCCAATCCCATTTGCAGTCCCCAAGCTTTCTAAAATTGTAACCAAGTTGTTTCCTCCGCACAAATCCCAGGAGCTTACAAGTTTGTTACTGTAGTCGTTGAAGTTGGTGATTGATACAAATAAATAATTGAGATCCATGGTTGTGAAAATTGATTCAAAGCCAGTAATAAGAGCAGAGTAAGAGACTGATAAAGGAGTAAATGATTGTACACAAAAGCTAGGATATAAAGGATTTTTCTGGATTCCCATGTAGAAACCGTACAAAAAGTCTTCAGAGCTTGAATCTGACTCATTTTTAAATAAAAATAATTTAGCTGAAATAAATATAAAATGGGAACGTTAATAAATAAAAGATATGTAGGGGAAGTAAAAGATTTTCTGAGCTTTTGGAGCTTATGAAGTCTATTGCAGCTCTGATCATAAATTTAGCACATTTTGGGTCCTCAGGGTTAGCGCAAACTGTTTCAAATTCTTCAGAAGCACTATTTTGTGATATAGAAGCTGAAATAACTAACCCTTCCTCTTAGTTAGCAAGCAAGATTATCCCTCTAATAGAGTGATTAAAAATTAATATTAAATTCTAAAAATCCTTGCTTTTCGGAATTCAAAAGTCCAAATTTATAAAAAATTGTAACGAAGATCTAATTAATTCATAAAAATTTATTCTGTTTAAATATGATTAAATTAAAAAGAGTCTCCATTATAGGCACTATTAGTTAAACATCAAATTATTTATGTGCATTAAAAATTAGTTTTTTGCTTTCTAGCAAATAAGAATTTAATTTCTAATAATAGGAACTACTAACGTTTATGTTCGCTAATCAAAGTGAGGAAGTAAAGAAAAGCAAATGAAACCAATCAAATATTTCATATTAATTATTCACCCTGTTTGAAATGACTTTCATGATTAAATGGATTAAATAATTTATATCGACTTCATACTTCTGTCTTACAAGATATATTCTATTATATAAAGCCATAAAATTTTTCTTCCAAACCACCTTAATAAATATGCTATATCTCGCTCCCTGCTATTGCTCTGCATAACGAACAGAGCGACAGAACAACTCAGAGAAATGGCTTATGAAGTCAGATCTCAAACTGACAAATCTGCATTATATTTTTGGCATATCAACTTGAGTTACTCAGTCACTCTGCGTCATATGTAGAGCTATAACAGGAAGCAAATTATATCTTTTCGCTTGATCCGAGCATTTAATACGAAGCTTATTCAACCTCAACTTAGAGCTTCCAATTTCACAGAAAATATAAGCGAATTCCAAGATGCTAAAGTTACCTCTGGAAAGGCCTGGAGCGCTTTTCTTTTACGCCGAAAATCTCATGAAGATCTCGTCAAGTTATGGTTTGTCTTATATAAAGAACAAAATCTTATTCGCGCAGACAATCAACTCAAGGTGCAACTTGGGTCGCAGAAAGGGGCTCAATGGAGAATGAAAAAGGTGAAGCAATCAATGGCCAGACTCTTGACAGTCATAAGAGAAAGGGAAATTATAAGAGAAAATTATTGGAAACAATTAGAAGCTGAATATTTAGATAAAACAATTCCGAAAGAAGAGCCAAAACCTAAATCCCTCGTCCTTGAGCGAACAAAATCATTGAATTTGTAGGTAAAAATTCCTTCGTTAGAGAACAGAAAATTTATTAATATAGAGATGTTTTATGAAAAAATATTTTGATTTATATCGTTATTATAATGAAATCTAAGCGAATTCTGTTTAAATTATATAAATAAAATTAATTTTTGCGATTGGGATTTTTTTAATTTTTAAAAAAAAAAATTGCTATAAAATTTCATTGAAAAAAATATTAACCCCCTTAGTGAGCGTACAAATCTTTTTGTTCGCTCATAGAGGGGAGAGTAAAATTAAGAGAGAGCTGACTGAGGAAGAGAAAGCGAGAAATGAAAAGAGAAAAATCGCGGAGAGAAATGCAAAAATTAATAGGAATTGGAAGAAAATGTCGACACATCAAAGGAGAGGAGCAATACAAGCAGAATATAGAAAGCTGGCAGTCGTAGCAAAAGAAGAGTTCTTGAAGGAGCTTAAGTATTTAGGCCTCAAACTCAGAGAGAAAGGAATCAAGCCGAAGGGGATTGAAGAATTACTGCCTCAGCCAATTATTAGGCCTCCTATCTCAAAGGAGCAAAATAAATAATAGATTCTATTCATCATTAATAGTTAAATTAATTAATATTTCCCAAATATTTTGAATTAAAATGAATATCAAGTAATATTGATTTCTTATTATGAGATTTATGATTTAATTTTTATCTGAATTAATTTTCTATTTCTATTATTCCAAATTATTAGTTTATATTAATTAATCCTCAACTAAAAATAAAATTCAAAACAATTTTTTATTTTATCTGATGATCTTTTCAATTTTATCGCAGTCTATTATTAAAGAAACTATGAAAATGAATTTAAAAAGTTTATTTTAAAAAAATCATAGCAGAATTTGTATTAAAATCTTCAAAAGTAAACAAAGGAATTTTTGCCCGCCATCTGTATTATATAATTTAATATGCAGGACAGCTTAATTTATTGGGAAAAACCAATAATTTCCAGTTTTCAATTCACTTCTCTTTGGGAGTGCTCTAAAAGCGAGCTATGTATGGAAATAAGCTTCGATGAAAGCTTACCCACCTTTCAAATTGCCGGAGACGTACTAGAAGAAATATGTCACAGAAACAAGAATTGTGTCCTAAAAAGCTTCAAATCAAAAGAAAACAAGTTTTGCATTGAAGAAGTGTCATGGGAGCCTTCCAACAACGGCGATTACTCAGTTCCTTTACAAACTTCAAACATAACTCCTACCCAAATTGAGAGATCATGTGACTGGGCTCTTCACAAAGCAGATTCAGCCATTGATTTAATCAGTCGATTGCCAGAGGCTTTTGACTATATAATTACACTTGCAAGCTACACAATCAAAGAAAAAATTGAGTTTTCTTGGAGCTGGATTTACCCGAAAGCAAGTTTCCAGTTCAAAATATTGCCGAGTTTCAAAATTATTTCAAATCCACTTTCTAAGCAGCTGACTCACAAGTCCAGTGAAAAATTCAGGACTGGGCTATTGACGATGGACAGTTTAGGAAGAGTGATCGCTTTGCTTGGCACTGATCCTATGGTCCAGCAATACCCTTGTGTAGGAATTTGGGTGTCTGGACTGAATGAAAATAAAAGGAGTTCAAAACTGTCATTATGGTCAGCTTGTTTTCATTACACCCAATCAAAGAAAATCAAAAGATTGTCATCAAGCCAAGAAAAGCTGAGTTTCATGATGGTCATTTTTAATAAAAAAGTATCCTTTTATGAGGTAAATTTAGATGAATCTGCCACATGGAATCTTCATTCAGTTTCTATAGAGACTACAAATTTGAATAAGCCACTGTTGGTTTCTGCATCATTGCTTAATAACCCACAGCTGAATTCACCAAGTAATGGCTTAAGAACAGCACGGTTTGGGGAATCTCCTTCTTTAGATTGTTCAATTTCAGATATTCTCTCACAAAGCCAGTCAGATGTAAGCTACTTTGGCCCGCAGTCAGAGTCATTCTCCCGTGACCAAGAAATTAAGAAACTTCAAGACCAAATTACGAATTTGACGAATTTAATCACAAATTTGCCGAACGTATTAATGAAAACCCCCTCAAAATGCACAATCGGCACAAACACTACTTTTGAGGTAGCCAAAGAAAGCCCGATTTCTCCACATTCAGAGTCCACCCAATGCTATTCAGATTATTCATCTCCAGAAGAGTCAAGCTTCAGATCAAAATCATTTTGGGACTCTCCCAATTCATCAATTCCAAAAATCATGTATAATTCAAGGGAAAACACATTTGAAGGTATATAATTAAATAAAAAATTTTCCCATATAATTACTTTTGCTGTTTCTCAACCTTTAGAGATTTAAAAGAATTCTAAGTCAGGCAGTTAATTATAATATGGCAGACCGAACAAGAGTAGAAGTCAAGCTCGATTTCCCTGTCCAAGTTGAAGACATTCTTATCCCTCCAAACAATTTCATTATTAATTTAAAATATAAAATTAAATTTTGAATAAAAAAATTTAAAGAGCTTTTGACAAAAAAATGTCATACTAAAAATGATAAAGCCTAGAAATGATAAGCAAAAATTTTATATCGTTTAAAAAAAGAAATTTTCAAGGTGGAGTCAGCGTATCCTTTAATACAAACAATTTCAAGCTTGTGTTTGAATTTATACTGGATATTCTCCGAAGACATGAAAATGCTATGCAAGACATAAGGTAAGTTTTAAGTAGAAACTCCACAAATTCTACAGGATTGGATTCAGAAATAGCAAGGCTCAAAGAAGCCTTAGCAGCTCAGCAGCAAAATATTGATGAGCTTAAAAAAAATTCAGAAGAGCAAAATAGTAAAATCCAAAACATTGATGAGAAAATCAATGAAAATTCAAAAAGCCAAAACGTTTCTCTTGAAGATATTTATCATCGCCTTGAGCAGCACCAAGAGCAGCTTAATAACCAAGTAAGGCAGATCGATTCTTTAAGAAACGAAGTTGACGAACAAATAAAACGAATCTCAGAAAATGAAGCAAAAACAAAAGAAATTGAAAAGAAAACTGACAAAAATGTGGCAGATATCAATGATCACGAGATTAGAATAAGGCAGCTAGAGCAGAATGTTGATGATATTATCAATAATATCAGAAGCGGCGCTATTGGAGGAGACAAAGGAGAAAACCGTGACGAGTCCAAGAGAGTTACAGAGCAGTTTAAAGATAATACGAGCAAAAATAGTGATATATCAAGGGTAAGGTTAAAAAAGTACAATATATTTTTTAACCCCTCCCAAAACATAAAATGGCTTTAATTTTTAAAAAATGTTTTTTTTGATATAAAAAGTTTAAGCAGTGCTATTTGAATTTTTCTAACCAAGGTATTTTTTTCCTAATTATTTGTATTTTTTTATATATTTTCAATAATTTATTTCATAATCACTTTTCTTGTATCTTTATAACTTTGGAACTTCTATTAATATAAGAATTAATGCCATCCATGCCTAGTAGCGATAGGATGAACTCAAAATTTTTGCCAGAAAATTTAAAAATGGCAGAAAGGCCACTGGGTCGCAGGTAGCTAAATTTCGGAGTGGGCATGGTCTGGGCTAACTGGGTCTCCCCTCGACTCACAGATGAGAAGGCCGACGACTCAATACCAATCGAAGACTTCTGGAGAGCATTATGCTGCCTGTAAATGGCAGAGGTAGTTCTAGAAGGAGGCATCGGACGGCTCCCTCATACCCTGAGCACTACCAGGGGTTAAGAGAGCCTTTGCTGAAGTTTTTTGGTCCAAGCAAGTTCGGGTGAGTCTCTCCCCGAAAGATGTCGACGTCATCATTTTTGCTGACGTCATCAGAAAAGGGCGTTAGGTGGCTTTAGTGCTTAGGGCCACATGGGCGTGAAGCTGAAGCTCGACTGGATCAGGGGCTGAAATAAACCCCGCTTTAACCCTCTCTAATCTAATCATCTCATCTCTATTAATATATTTAACTTAAAAATAGAATTGTCTGTAATTATTATTAGACTTCTATGTCCAACTAATCTGCATCACTTTCATTATTTTGTATTTTTCCTATTATATTGAAAGAGAAAAATTTTAGATTTTATATCATGCCACTCTAACACTCATTTAGGCAATATTGTTTGATATTTGTTAGTATGCAATATTATACCTGTTTATCATAAAATCCTATCTTGAACTTTTTCTCTTAAATTTGGATAGAATATAGATTTTTATATGGACATTTTCCCTTACAGTTTTTTTTGTTCATCCTTGCTTGGAAAAAATTCAAAAAGTATCATCTATGCTTTTTACTAAAAATCCATTTTTAAGAGTTAAACTCATTTTTATATGTTTTGGGAGAGGATTGAAAAAAATATAGTGTACTTTATTTAACCTTAACCCAATATCAAGAGAAGTAAGAGATCTTAATATAAAGCTAAGAGAGCTTGAAACCAAGCTGAAATCAGTTGAAGATAAGGTAGAAGACACCAAAATAATTTCTGAGCGAGCTGACGAGAAAACTCGTTTTCATGATGGGAAAATCAGTGAGCTTGAAGAAGCCTTGAGGAAATTAGAACATTCGTTTAAAAAATTTGATGCCAATGGGCAGTCAGTATCAGATGAAATAGAGTCCTTAAGGAAGCTTTTTAGGTCATTTGAAGAGACATTAAGAACAAAAGTTGACGTTGAAGACTTCGATCAGCTTAAATCAATGCTACAAAACCAAGGAGGATCAGCAGGTGGGCATTCCCAATCAGGCGGCTCTGGAGGATCTATTTCTACCAAGGATTTGAATTTATTAAGAGAGCTTGGAAAACGCTATGATGACCTCAGAGAAAAGCTAGAGTCGTTAAGTGGAATTACTCCTCAGCTTATAGATGACATTTTAAGCAGAATCAGCAAGCTTGAAGAAACTATTATCAAAAAAGCTGATAAAAGTGATCTGGATGACCTGAGATCACTTTTAAGCAAAATTAAATCTGAAGTGGAACGCCATGAGCGGTCAATTAGAAGTTTAGAAGAAAGGCCAATTTCGTTTGCTGGGGGAAGTGGAGAAGATGTGGGAGGGGGCGCTGATTCTTCTAAATTGAACTCACTTGCGAGAAGAATTGCAGTTATTGAAGAACAGCTGAGATTGTTGGTGCTGCCAGAAGGGATTGATTTAATTCATATGTGGAATCTCCTTCAAAGAGTAATCGAGGATACCAAAGAAATTAAAGAAAGGGTTGAAAAAATGTATAAAGAATTATCCACTGGTATATTGATTTTTATATTATCAGATTTTTACAGTAATTCGATTAAAAATCAATTAAATATAACATATGAAATAAAATGAAAGAACTCAATGATCTATTTTCAGGCTTCGCCAGCCAAGAAGACCTCAAAAACTTAGAAAAAAGCTTACAAGAAAAAGTTATCGCAGTATGTGATGCAATGGGCAAAAAATTCGCTGATAAAACAGATACTAAAAAAGCTCTGAAATATTTAGAAAGACTGATTCGAGAAATATATGAGTCCCCTGGCAAAGAAAGAAGGGACGGAGAAGACGCCATGCTTGCTAAAAAGCCACTTGGCGGCTGGTCATGTGCTTCTTGTGAAAAGCAACTTGAAAAACTCGCAGGAAGAGTCGCCAATTACCAGCCTTGGAATAAAATGCCTCATCGCGACCCCGCAGACCGCATCGCAAGGGCAGGTCCTGGGTTTTCCAGAATGCTTGCCACAGTGAACCCAGAAATGTTATCTCCCCCCTCCGTGAGCGAACAAAAAATTTGTGTTCACTTACGGAGGTGGATTAATTTTTTTTTTAAAAAATTTAATATAGAAATTTTTTTTTCGAAATTTTAAAAAAATCCCAATTAGCAAAAAATTTGAAAGCAAATATTAATTCAATTTATGTTTTAAAATGTAAGCTGTTTAAAATTAAGCAGATTAGCTAGAGATTTCATTAAACTAATTACCAAATATATATTAAAATTTTTTTTATAAAAGGTTACGGAGGGTAGGTTTTGTCAAAAAAATAGGATTTTTCAATGGTTTTGTTTGCTCACAGAGGAGGGGAGTAAGTAACCGCACAAGAACCTCCCACTATCATGCCCAGTCTCCTATAAACTCGCACTTTGAAGAAGACATCCCTGCTAATTCTTCTGACATGATAAATCTGCCTCCAGTTCATAAAGGCGAGCGCCCTACAAGCTCAAACTAACTATTTTTAAATCAGTTATAATAAAATGGGTATAAGTGAATCTCACCAGTTACACCCGGGACTAAAATCCTTGGTCATTTCAGGAGATCAAGCCAGCCACCTCCGAGAGAGATTTGAGCTCATCAGCGATTCTTTTGGTCTCGACCGCGAAGAAGTAGCAACGCTCTATAAGGCAAAGCCAGACCAGCTCGATACAGTTTTTCAAATCTTCGATCAGCACGGCAGGGACAAAATCGACGCCTATGAGTTTATTGCAGGGATGATTATTATTTGTGACGCTTCATTAGAGGTAAAAGCCGACTTACTGTTTGAGCTCTACGATTTTGACCATTCTCAAGCAATCACCTTTGATGAATTAATCATATTGTTAGCTCCCTCTTGTGAGCGAAAAAAAAATTTGGAAAAATCCTATTTTTACTAAAAAAAACCCATCCTATATGAGTAGAAAAAAAGATTTTTTGTAGTGAAAATTAATCAAAATTAAATCTCGAGCTTATTTGCATTTAAAACATAAATTTAAATAAATTAAGTTAACTTTTACTGTCCAATTTTGTGGATTTGGGAATTTCTTGAATATCAAAAAAAAGCTATATAGCTCATACCCCGTTATTGATTTTCCTATCGGGAGGGGTTCGATGGACGGTAGAAGCACCTTGAAAGACTCCATTGGGGTGATGAGAGAAATCTCTTGCACGCAGAGAGGAAAGAGATCCACAATTAATTAAAAAATTTAAATCCTAAACTAAAATCAGCGGAATCCTTAAAGAATCAAGGTTAATTTACCGAAAAGAATTTTAATTTTCTGTGTTCATGCTCAAAGCCCCTTTTCTTTCGTGGGAATAGTGGTCTTGCAATCTGAAATAAGGTGACCGCAATGAGGGCAAGTCCTTATAGAGTCATGGCAGCAGAATTGGTGCATGGGCTGAGAGCAGCAAACTGTGTACTTGAGTCCTGGACGACTTGTAAAGCAAATGATGCATGGGAGAAGTCTTGAGTCCTCAGTGAGACTGAGTGAATCTGGGCCCAAGGAGAGTCTGGCAAAGATCTCTTCGACGTTCGTAGCCAAATACCTTCTGACAGTGCCACTCTTCCTGACTCTAGGCAAACGAGCTGTCATTGCGGCAGCGAGATGGGAATTCAGCATCCGAACTGGCTGACTCGTTCTGGGACTGCCTGATTCCCTTGTTGCATTTTGATCCAGGCCCAGACTAAAAAGAGCTGACTCTGGCTCATAGTAGTAAGCCAACGCCTTCAGATAGTCCTTTCCCAGACGTCTATGTTAATCTTACATAGAAAACATTATTGTAGGGTTATGGCTGAAAGCGATTTCAAGGTACTTCTTTCTGGTTCCCTTGCACTTTCTTGGTGGAAGTTGGATTCTGGACCTCATCGGAAGGGGTTGAATTGAGATGTAGGCTGATGCCAAAAAGGGGATAGAGCAGAGGGTAATATCCGGGAGGAAATAGCCAATATGTGATAAAAGAGCATAAAGGCTGCCTTTATCGTGATTTCCAGCAGCTTGAGAGAGTGAAATCTGAATAATTCTTACTTCTTGCGTCGCAGTTTGTTGTGTTCGTTCCATTTTTTATTGAATAATTTGCCGAGCCAAATAAATCTGACAAACTAAATAAAAAGTGAAAATGGAAGAGGATGTGCTTGCAACACACACAAAATATAACAGTGCATCAAACAGATTTAATGACCCCTTTTAAACTTTGAAAAGTATCTTTTCGTTAAGACTTGCATTATCAATACAGCTGAATATGAGAATTCTCCTGCTCAAAGCTTTTATGAAATTTGGGAGCCAAGCTCCATACAAAATGAAAATGCTAACAATACTGATTTTTTGCATCAAATAAAGAAAAAGATTCAGTTCCTTATTGAATTTGATTATGGAGACCATACAAACAGAATCCAAGAAAGCACCAATGCAAATAATCTCAACATCAATATCGATGAGGAATCAATTAAAAAAATTTAAAAAGCACAAAAGAAATTATAAAATCAAGCTTGAAGATAAAATGAGAATTATTAATTCTATAATTCTCATCAACTTGCCACGTATGCAGAAATTGGAAAAAAGTTTGGAGTGTCTCCATGCACAGTGAAAAGAATCCTTACAAAACATAGGGAAAGGTAATTCTATTGAAGATGGAAGGAGCGATAAGCCATTAAAGCTCAGTAGTGCAGCTTCACTTGCATTGACTGAAGCGTGCTTAAATGGTGATCCAACAATTTCAATTCCTGAAAGAGTTGAAAAATTAAATAAGCAATTAGTAGATGAAAGGGTTACTTGCAAGCAAGCGTACAAATGCATGAAAAAGCTTGGCTATACATTCAAAAAATGCTGAGAGCACCCAATCAATCGGGTTTCTAATATAAACCTGATCAAGCGCCAAAATGTAGCATTTCGTTATTTAGAAATTTTGGAGAGAAATAATGAAATCATAAATATCGACGAATTTCATATTGATAACAGCAGCAGAAGTCACGGATGGAGTAAAAAGGGTCAAAAATGCATTTCATTTAAAAAGCCAAATTATAGAAACTATACAGTTATTTTAGCAGTATCAAGTAGTAATGGAATAATTGCCTGAAGAGCAATTGAAGGAGGAAATAATAGACACACACATTTAATTGCTTTATTGCAGATTTAGTTCATCTTTTAGAAAATAGAAATCAAAATTTCAGAGAAAATACTGTTATATTCTTAGATAATGCTGGAGTTCATAAAACCTACGAAAACATCAATTTATACAAAAAGCTGTTAATTAATATTGTGTTTAATTCGCCATATACACCTCAATTTGCATTTGTTGAGAGAATTATATCGATGATAAAAAACAAATTTCACATGCTTGAGCATAGCTCTATACTCAGAAAGCTGAACTTAGCTATTGATTATGTAGAAGAAAATTTAAACGTTGGAAGTATAATTAGAAATATCTTGAAGAAATACATTATGAACGCAATTAATTTGGTAGATTTAGGAGATTAGTGTAATAGATTTTATCAATTTTAATTATTTGTTTATGTATGTGATAATTGATATTTAATGATACCTAGTAAATAATTCAAAAGTGTGGCTCCCCCATTAACCATCAAAGGTCTCCAAGAGTTGTTACTTCAGTTGAGACATCTCTTAAAATCTCCAATAATTTTTGGACTTATGCATGATACAATATGGCGTCCTCTATGAAGAAACTAACTTGAAACAGTTAATAGAAAAAAATTTAAAAGTTCGACTCCCCCCGTTAGCCTATCAAAGGTCTCCAAGAGTTAATGCTTCAGTTGAGACATCTCTTAAAATCTCCAATAATTTTTGGACTTATGCTTGATACAAGATGTCGTCAAGATGGCGCCCTTTATGCAGGAGCTGACATGAAATCCTATATATAGAAAAATTTAAAAGTGCGACTCCCCCAGTTAAGCTATTAAAGGTCTTCAAGAGTTAAGGCTTCAGTTAAATCATCTCCAAAAACTCCAATAATTTTTGGACTTTATGCTTGATACAAGATGCCATCAATATGGCGTCCTCTATGCAAAAACTCACTTGAAATAATTTATTGACAAACACATTTAAAAGTGCGGCTCCCCCCGTTAACCCATCAAAGGTCTTCAAGAGTTAAGGCTTCAGTTAATACATCTCCAAAAATCTCCAATAATTTTTGGACTTATGCTTGCTGCAAGATGGCGTCCTCTAAGCAGAAACCGGCATGAAATCCTATATATACAAAAATTCAAAAGTGCGACTCCCCCCATTAACCCATCAAAGGTCTTCAAGAGTTAAGGCTTCAGTTGAATCATCTCCAAAAATCTCCAATAATTTTTGGACTTATGCTTACTACAAGATGTCGTTAAGATGGTGTCCTATATGCAAAAACGCACTTGAAATAGTTAATAGAAAAATTCAAAAGTGCGACTCCCCCCGCTAACCCATCAAAGGTCTCCAAGAGTTAAGGCTTCAGTTAAGATATCTCCAAAAATCCCCAATAATTTTTGGACTTATGCTTGTTACAAGATGTTGTCAAGTGTCGCCAAGATGGCGTCCTCTATGAAAAATCTCACTTGAATAAGTTAATAGAAAAAAATTTAAAAGTGCGACTCCCCCTGTTAACCTATCAAAGGTCTCCAATAGTTAAGACTTCAGTTGAATCATCTCCAAAAATCTCCAATAATTTTTGGACTTATGCTTGATACAAGATATCGTCAAGATGGCACCCTTTATGCAGGAGCTGACATAAAATCCTATATATAGAAAAATTTAAAAGTGCGACTCCCCCAGTTAAGCTATCAAAGGTCTCTAATAGTTAAGACTTCAGTTGAATCATCTCCAAAAATCTCCAATAATTTTTGGACTTATGCTTGCTACAAGGTGTCGTCAAGATGGCGTCCTCTAAGCAGAAACCGGCATGAAATCCTATATATACAAAATTCAAAAGTGCGACTCCCCCCGTTAACCCATCAAAGATCTTCAAGAGTTAAGGCTTCAGTTGAATCATCTCCAAAAATCTCCAATAATTTTTGGACTTACACTTGCTACAAGGTGTCGTCAAGATGGCGTCCTCTAACCAGAAACTCACTTGAAATAGTTAATAGATAAAAATTTAAAAGTGCGACTCCCCCCCAGTTAACCCATCAAAGATCTTCAAGAGTTAAGGCTTCAGTTGAATCATCTCCAAAATCTCCAATAATTTTTGGACTTATGCTTGATAAAAGAGAAACCGAGAATGGCATCAAATGAAAAACTCAAGTTTCATAAAAAATTAAAATTAAGTGAATAAGAAGTTATTTATTATCCGTTAAGAAAGTAAAATAACTTCAGTTAAGAAGAATTGGCTTCTTGATCCTGCACAATCCTTCAACTCAATGGTATCTTTCAACCTCAAAGTTTTAGCTTGGCAAGGCTTCATTCTCCACGAATTAAAAATTTGAGCAGGCTCACATCCATTCTTCACGCAATAGCAAATATGAGGCGGTCCTTTATCTTGATCCAGCTTCAAGATGAGATGATTTTCTTTAGATTGAGTTCAGAGTTTAGGTTTTTCTGCTTAAGATTTCTGCACTGCACACCCATCCTGCTCATAACAAGATCCAACTGATTCTTTCCAAGGTTATTTTTTCTGAAAATATCAACCGGAATGGTCCTATTCATTCCGATTGCAGCTGCAATAACTGCACACTCAAAACACATATCACTTTCAATTCCTTGAAGAGGTCTTTCATTTAAGGACATTCCAAAGCGATAACAATCCACAATTCAACCTTCATAATAAATTGGACCTTCTGGTTGAGTTTCTGGTGGTGCTTCAATCCTTTGAGTCAAAATAATTCTGTTTCAGTAATGGATTGCTTTTTGCACCAATCAGAAACAAAAGTCCCTCGCAAATAGTCCATCATTGAATTTGTAGGACTTTCTTTTTGGCTTCGAGCAAATCACTTCTCATTCATCCTTTATCAAATTTATTGAAAATTGCCCTCTTCAATAGCTTATGATTGTTGCCCCAGCCGGTAATATTTGACCTTTTCCCCTCATGGTCGAACTTTAGCAAGCACACTTCAATATAGTTTTCTCCTTTTTTTCTGCGTGAATCCCAGTAAATATTTAACTTTTTTCTGGCGGTGATCCATTCATAAATTTTCAAAAATAGACGTCCTGTATTCATTTTCCTCGTCAAAGAGGGTAAAAGTGTCTGACGACCATTTCTGCACCCATTTGAAGCCTTCGACCAAAGTTCTAATATGATTTGATGGAAATACATGATTGTCGAATTCAAACTTGAAATAGCGATCACTTTGAACAAAATAATTGATGGCCTTTTTCTGAGGTTCGGAAATCACTTCATTCATTTCATTTTTTTTTCCGTTTTTTGGTAGGCTTAGGTTGTTTGACATCTTCTTCCTCATCTTCAGTTCAATATGAGGCCTTGATACGTCCCCATGTTAAAAGAACTAGTTCATATTCATCGTGGTCGAGGCTTTCATCATTGATTTTCCGAATAAAGTAGCCATGGTCTAATTCAATATTTTCCTGGGCAGACTCAAGATAGTTATCCATTGGTGTTCATGATCCTTGAGGGTTAGGAACTATGGGCTTGCTTTTCTCTGAGGTAGAGTTTTTAGTTCGAACCATTTAAAATTATAATCCATTTAATTTTATCAATAAAATTCAATAAAAAGCCCCCAAATTAATTTGATATAAAAATATTATTAAATCAATTATAAATTTATGTAAATAGCATTTTCTAAGTACATCCTCTTCCATTTTCACTTTTTTATTTAGTTTGTCAGATTTATTTGGCTCGGCAAATTATTCAATAAAAAATGGAACGAACACAACAAACTGCGACGCAAGAAGTAAGAATTATTCAGATTTCACTCTCTCAAGCTGCTGGAAATCACGATAAAGGCAGCCTTTATGCTCTTTTATCACATATTGGCTATTTCCTCCCGGATATTACCCTCTGCTCTATCCCCTTTTTGGCATCAGCCTACATCTCAATTCAACCCCTTCCGATGAGGTCCAGAATCCAACTTCCACCAAGAAAGTGCAAGGGAACCAGAAAGAAGTACCTTGAAATCGCTTTCAGCCATAACCCTACAATAATGTTTTCTATGTAAGATTAACATAGACGTCTGGGAAAGGACTATCTGAAGGCGTTGGCTTACTACTATGAGCCAGAGTCAGCTCTTTTTAGTCTGGGCCTGGATCAAAATGCAACAAGGGAATCAGGCAGTCCCAGAACGAGTCAGCCAGTTCGGATGCTGAATTCCCATCTCGCTGCCGCAATGACAGCTCGTTTGCCTAGAGTCAGGAAGAGTGGCACTGTCAGAAGGTATTTGGCTACGAACGTCGAAGAGATCTTTGCCAGACTCTCCTTGGGCCCAGATTCACTCAGTCTCACTGAGGACTCAAGACTTCTCCCATGCATCATTTGCTTTACAAGTCGTCCAGGACTCAAGTACACAGTTTGCTGCTCTCAGCCCATGCACCAATTCTGCTGCCATGACTCTATAAGGACTTGCCCTCATTGCGGTCACCTTATTTCAGATTGCAAGACCACTATTCCCACGAAGAAAGGGCTTTGAGCATGAACACAGAAAATTAAAAATTCTTTTCGGTAATTAACCTTGATTCTTTAAGGATTCCGCTGATTTTAGTTTAGGATTTAAATTTTTTAATTAATTGTGGATCTCTTTCCTCTCTGCGTGCAAGAGATTTCTCTCATCACCCCAATGGAGTCTTTCAAGGTGCTTCTACCGTCCATCGAACCCCTCCCGATAGGAAAATCAATAACGGGGTATGAGCTATAACTATTTATAGGGGAAAACCCTATATAAAAATTTTTAAAAAACAATTAGCTCGAGCTAATTTTTTGCTCACTGACTAAGGAGAGTAAGGACTTCAATGAATGCGCTATGCTATATGACTGGTGGCTCCCCAATGACAATGCAAGAATTAGAAGATAAGACTCAAAGACTGTTTACCAAAATTGATTTAAACCATGATAATCAAATTACCATTGCAGAGTGGCTAAGCTTTATAACTAGAGATGTGGAAGTTGTAAAAATCCTTGAAGTTTTGCAGCTTGTTACTGTGGAGGACATCAGACCGAATTTTGGCTCTGAAGAAGATCCAGGCATGGACAGCGATTTGGAGAATGAGACGAATCGAAGAGAATGGTCAAGGTCGACTGTTCAGGAAAGGGTTAAAGAAGGAGTTGAAACTTTAGACGATACACCTTTCTTGCTAGAACAAGTAGGAGAAGGAGACCAATTTTTAGCTGTAAAACCTTGGGAAGGAGTCGTCAAGCATTCAGTCCCAAGCAACTATAGGCCGAAAAAAGGAGACGATGACCCTCCAGATGCAAATTTAGAGCTGGAATATATCCATGGATACAGATGCCACGATGTAAGAAACAACTTAAGATACTCCAACAGAGGAGAAGTCGTCTACCACACCGCAGCTGTAGGAATTGTCCTTAACCAAGGCACAAATACCCAAAAGCACTTTATCGCTCACACAGACGATATCATTTCTTTTGATATACACCCTCAAGGCACAATGGCTGTTACAGGAGAAATCGGCCGAACTCCATTAATGTGTGTATGGAATACAGAAACTATGGAATGCGTCAAAAGTTTTAAAGGAATCTTAAAAAAAGGAATCACATGTGTATGCTTCTCTGCAGATGGGACTAAAGTGGCTGGGCTAGGAGCTGACGAAGAAAAAATTGTAGTAGTCTATGACTTAGGAAGAGGAACTGGCAAGCCTGGACTTATGCAAAGTGTGGTGGCCAGTGGAAGTGTAGGAAAAGATACGTTTCTTGATATAAAATTCCATCCTTCTACACCTAATAAAATCGTTGCATGTGGAGTTAAGGTGTTTGCTGTGATTAATATTGCAAATGGAGCTATTACCGCTAAAAGAGGAACTGGATGGGGAAAAACCCCACAGACACAGCAACAAACTTTAATGTCAATTGGGTTCTTAGGGGCGAGTGCTGTGACTGGAGCATTTAATGGATGCGTTTTTAAGTGGAATGAAAGCACCCTTTCTCAAGCTGTAAAAGTACATGAAGCACCTGTGGTGTGCATTGGACAAAGGACTGGAGGAGAAGGGATTATTACTGGAGGAAACGATGGCTTTATCCATATACTGGACCTTAGTTTGGGGAAAATCCAAAGTATTGATCTCAAAGACCTAGGAAGCATTTTGCCAAAGCCTCGCAGTGCTTGTGAAGGGCCTGGAGGGAAAATTTTAATTGGTACTAGAGGAGGAGAAATATTTGAAGTCACCGGACAAAATTCAAAAGCTCTGCTCAAAGGACATTATGACAAAGAATTGTGGGGAGTCTGTTCTCATCCTACAAGGCTGGAATTTGCCACACTTGGCCAAGAATGCATGCTTGCAGTGTGGGATGTGCCGACCAGAAAGCAAAAAACATGCAAAAAACTAGAAGGTCCAGGCGGTGCTTTAGCTTATTCTCCCAACGCAGCAGTCTTACTTGCAGGCTTAGAAAACGGAAAAGTTGTAATTTTAGATGGAAATTCCTTACTCCCCCCCTCCGTGAGTGAACAAAAAAATTTTGTTCACTCACGGAGGGGGGTAATTTTTTTTTTTTTAAAAAAAAATTTATATATAAATTTTATAAAAAAAAATATTTTTTTTCGAAATTTAAAAAAATCCTAATTCGCAAAAATTGGAAAGCAAATATTAATTTAATTTATAAAATTTATGTTTTAAAAAGCAATTCATTTAAAATTAAACAGAATTAGCTCTAGATTTCATTATACTAATTATCATTTATATATCAAATTTTTTTTTCCATAAAAAATTTTTGTATTAAAAAAATTTTTGTTTCACTCACGGAGGGTGGGTTTTTGGGCAAAAAATAGCGATTTTTCTAATGGTTTTGTTCACTCACGGGGGGGGGAGTTAGCTGTCAAAGATACTAAATTTGATAGAACAAAATGTATCACAGATATCAAATTCTCTCCAAACGGGAACACTGTAGCAGTCGGCGCCAAAGATTTTCTGATTTTTATATATGCAGTCAACGAAAACTACAGAATAAAAAATAAATTTAAAGGCCACACTGCGTCTGTAACTCATATAGATTTTTCAGTGGCGGGCGATATTATTCAGTCAAACAGCACAAGCTATGAAATTTTATATCACAATTTAAGCTCAGGGTCTGCAGACCCTCATGGTGCAACTGCTTATAAAGACGAGCCTTGGGCTACATGGACATGTGTGCTTGGCTGGCCTGTTCAAGGCATTTGGCCTCCTTGTTCAGGAGGTGACGATATTAACAATTTAGAAAGAAGCAAATCCCACAAGGTCGTCGCAACTGTCGATGATTTTGGTCAAGTAAAACTCTTCAAAAATCCTTGTGTGAATAAAGGTGCAGGATTTAACGTCTACAAAGGCCACTCCTCTCACGTCACAAATCTGTCATTTTTAAATGGATATTTAATAACAACTGGAGGCAATGACAAAGCAATTTTCCAATGGAAGTATACAGAAGAACATATAGAAATTAATGCAAGCGATGATTTATTAGAAGCTACCAGAGATGAGACCAATTTATTTGATATTCAAAATGTAGGAGAAGGCGACCAATTTTTAGCTGTAAAGCCATGGCTAGGAGAGCTAAAAGCAAGCACCCCAAATGATTATACCCCACCAAAAAACCAAGGAAAAGCTCCAGATGAAAATATTACACTGATAAAAGTGCATGGATATAGGTCATTTGACTCAAGAAATAACTTAAAATATACATCGACTGGACAAGTTGTATATCCTGCAGCTGCACTAGGAATTGTGATGGACCCTGCTTCGAGGCAACAGAAATTCTTCCAAATGCATGATGACGACGTAGTGTGCCTTGCTATACATCCGAACAGAAAAATTGTAGCTACTGGGCAGATGGCTCATATAGGGAAATCAAGGGAGCTTGAAATCCATGTCTGGGACTCAGATACTTTGCAAGGAATTTCTTGCCTTTCAGGATTTCATAGAAGAGCTATTAAGCATGTAGGATTTTCCCCAGATGGAAAAAGCTTATTGAGCATTGGAGAAGATGACGACCATAGTTTGGCTGTTTATGAATGGCAAGCTAAAAGAATGATCTGCAACTCAAAAGTCGAAAAAGAGCCAGTCCTTGGTGCAAGCTTTATTTCTAACACTGATTTAGCTGTTTATGGAGCAAAATTCATCAAATTCTTCACAATTAATGGAAAAAATGTCACTGGGAATAGAGGAACTCTTGGAAATGCCTCGAAACCTTTTGAAGCTCAGCTATGTGGAGTAGCGTTTAACAATAATTTCGTAACTGGCACTCATGCAGGAAATATCTGGATCTGGGCAGGAAGAAGTCTAGGGAAATCAATGAAAGCCCACAATGGCCAAGTATGGGCTCTTACAGTAGTAGAAGGCCAGCTATTAAGTGGAGGCTCAGATGGGGTCATAATAGTATGGGACCAAAACATGATGCAGTCTCAGTCTGTAAGCATTGATGCATACGCTTTAAACCCTGGGGTGAGGTCATTAGATATCAACTCTGCAGGCACTGTCTTAGTCGGTACCAGATCTGCAGAAATCCTTGAAATCCGAAACTGGCAAGAAGTGGAATCTTTAGGCTCAGGGCATTATGATGGAGAATTGTGGGGACTTGCAATGCATCCTGAACACCCTCTCTGTGCTACTTGTGGAGGAGACAAAACAATCAGAATTTGGGACTTGGCCCAAGGCATTCAGCTGTTAGCAATTAAGCCTTTGTCCCATGATATGAGAGCTATTGATTGGTCACCAGATGGCAGATATTTAGCCTCTGGGCTAATGAACGGCATGGTAATTTTGCTAGATGCTAGCTCCTTGTCGAATTTATCCAGCCTACAAAGCACTTTTAAAGGCAAAGACTGCTGGATTGAAGACCTCAAATTTTCTCCTAGAGGGGACAGAATCGCTTTTGGAGCTCATGGAGGTGCCTCAAAAGTAGAAATAATGGGCATCCAAAACGGCAAACTAGTAAAAATGTATGCAATTAATGCAGGCCTCACATCAGCCCTTACCCATTTAGACTGGTCAATTGATGCGTCTTTAGTAGCTGTTAACTCTCAAGCTTATGAGCTGAAATTTGTAAATGTGGACGGAAAAATTAACGTATCCTCCAGCTCAGTCAAAAACGTAGAATGGTATAGCTGGACTTGTGTGCTAGGATGATCAGTTCAATATATATGGCCAGAAGGCGCTGATGGCACTGATATCAACTCTTGCCACCGCTCTCACAATTTAAGTGTCTTAGCTACTGCTGATGACTTCGGAAAAGTAAATTTATTCAGATACCCAGTCGCAGTAAAAAAACAAGCCTGCAAATCTTATACAGGACACTCCTCCCATGTAACCAAATGCAAGTTTTCAAGCAATGATGCATTTTTAGTAAGTACTGGAGGAAATGATAAATGTGTCTTTGTATGGCAAACTGATATGGCAGTTCCTGATACTGACCCTGTTTATGACGAAGATAATAAAATTGAGTTTGAAGATATACCAAAAGAAATGGCGCTGAATAAGAAAAATGAAGAAGTCAAAGAAAAAACAAAGGTAAAAGTAGCGGCTGCTTTGGAAAATAACGACCCGAACAGCTTTTTCCAGTTCGAAGAACTTGGAGAAGGAGACCAGTTTTTAGCTGTAAAACCTTGGGAAGGGGCTATTAAGCCGCCTTCTGGGTTTATTAAAGCTCCAAGAAACCAAAACCAAGCTCCTGCAATAGACTTGAGCTTAGAATGAGTCCATGGATATAGAGCGAAAGACTGTAGGAACAATTTAAGATACTTGCATGATGGAAGGATCATTTATCATGCAGCAGGACTAGGGATATCTCTTAATAAAGAAACATGGACGCAGACTTATTTTAATAAGCATATAGATGATATTATTGCTTTTGCGTTGTCGCCTAACTGCGATCTGGCTGCTACTGGAGAAGTTGGGAGAAGGCCTAATATCTTTATATGAGATACAGCCTCTATGATGCCTATCGCTAACTTTAAACAACCTTTAGAAAAAGGGATCAGCGCAATTGCATTTTCTCCATCTGCAACTAAGCTTGTAGCTATTGGGATGGATGATAACCACAGTGTAGCTATTTATAATCTGCAGAGTAATAGCCTTATTTGTACAACAAATGGTGATAGAGAGATAATCCTTGATGTAGGATTTATATCAGAAAATGAGTTTATCACAACTGGTCCTAAGCATTATAAACAATGAACTCTTACTCCCATGGTGATTGCAGATCATTAATTATTAGAAATTCAAATATTAGTTAATATAAATAAAATCCCTCAATCAATTAATTAAGAAAATAAAAAATAGCCTATTTAACAGCAAAATTATTCTAGATTTGAGGAGCTAGTGGAAATCAATTGTCAGGCAAAAAAGGAGTTTTTGGCAGAAACAATAATTTATTGATGTGTCTGGCCATACAAGGGACAAACATTTACACAGGGACAGCAATTGGAACTATTATAAAATGGGCTGGAAATACAGCCGGAAAATCATTCCCTATCCACCAAAGAGGTGTAGACAGCTTATGGGCAACTCATGCTTGCATAGTATCAGGAGGAAAAGATGGTTTGGTCTATATCCTTGATAACAATTTAAACAAAAGACAAAGCTTTGATTTAAGCTCTCCTCAATATGAATCTGTATGCCCATTCATAAGATCTGCTTGTATCAGTGAAGACGGAGGAAGCCTCCTTGTAGGAACATATGGAGCCGAAATCTACGAAATTGACATCACAAGTGGAGAAGGCAGAAATCTTATAAAAGGCCACTATACCCCTTCTAGAGGAAAAACAGTCACCAATGAAGTCTGGGGCTTACACGTTCTCCCTGATGGAGCCGCCTATGCCACTTGTTCAGATGATGGGACATTAAGGCTCTGGGACATAGAAAACAAATCCCAAATCAGAATAATCAAATTCACTGACAATGAAGAAATCCCAGACTCAGCTAAAGCCAGGTGTTTGTGCTGCAACCCTGATGGATCTATGATGGCAGTCGGATTCAAAGATGGAAGTTTCAAAATCCTCGACACAAGCACATGGAACGTCCGAGTTTCCAAAAAAGACCGCAAAAGTGAAATTTCTGATATAAAATTCTCCCCTGACAGAAGCAAGCTTGCAATTGGCTCCCACGACTGTGTAATTGATATATACTCAGTTCCAGACTTCAGGCAAATTGCAGTCTGCAAAGGCCATTCCTCTTATATCACCCATATTGACTGGTCTACTGATTCTGGCTACATTCATTCTAACTGTGGAGCTTATGAATTGCTATTTTGGGATGGGAATTCAGGAAGACAGAATACAAGTGGTGCCTCAGCTCTAAAAGATGAAGAATGGAATACTTGGACATTAGTAATTGGATGGCCTGTACAAGGGATTTATCCAGCTTATGCTGATGGCACAGATGTAAATGCAGTTGACAGAAGCAAGAAAAAATTCGGAAATAATGAATATCCACTTGTGGCGACTTCAGATGATTTCGGAATGTTGAAGGTGTTTAGATACCCGTGCTTGCTTAAAGGATCAGAAGGAGTTATTGGTAGAGGACATAGCTCGCACGTCACAAATGTTAGATTTAGTGTGGATGATCGGTATATATTTACTGCTGGAGGTGATGATCAATGTGTATTCCAATGGAAAGTTACTGCAAAAACATCAGCAGCTTAATATTAATCTAAGAATTATTATTAATAATGACACAAAGTAAATATAATAAGTTTAGTAAAATTAAAATACAAAACCTTAAATTAAATGGTAAAGCTGTTCTTTGTCTTGTGAACTAGAAAAGTCAATCCTTGATGGTAAAGATCAGCTTCATCATCTGTTTTACATTGGATTCTTATCTTTCCTCGATTATGGGGTATCATCATACATTAAATGGTATGGAGAATCGACCTGACCTCTTAATTCGTGTAACAACACGCGTATAAGACTAGCAGAGTAAACAATGCTAAGGTAGCCAGACAAGAGTTCAATCCTTGGGTAGGTTTTTCTTAATGGAGAAATATAGGCATGGAGTTGAAAGGGTTCTACCATCAGTACCTGAGGTAGTTTCTAGTTAGTTGGCAAATTTACCCAGTGCGATACTAGGAATTGTGTACTGGGCTTCGAGTTTCAATTTTAGTCGAAAATTAAACCTTAAAATTTTTTTATGGACGGCAACCCTACTGATGCATCTTCTTAATTCCAGAAAACTAGTTTAGGCCATCATCAGAAGGATTAGCACAGTGCAACACTATGTGAGGACTGGAGATAAGCGGTAGAACATAAGGAAAGGGAATAAAGGGCTTCTACTGCCTGATATTTGAATTCTTTTCTAATCATAAATAACGATATTTGCAATGGTGTATCACCAACTCATTATTTTTCCCTTTAGAAATTCCATCAGTATCATTGATATCTAAACTTATCGCAAGATTCATATTGCTCAGTTCTCTGCATTCCAGCAAATAATTTTCTTTTACAGCTGAAAATAAGTTTTCATTAGGAATTATATTCAATAGCACCCTAATCCACCCATTATTCACATTTACTTTGACAATTCTTGGAGTCAGCAAAAAGCAAATCAAGCTCTCTGCATGCGATAAGCATTTCTGAGAAGGAGAGTTAAAGACCATTTCATTTTCTTTACCAGGGATTTGCAGCTGTTGTAAGCTTGGCGCATAAATCAGTCTTTTGGTTTCTTTTTTCTTCCTTAAATCTGCTATATACATAAGCTTCCTTTCTTGCTGGATTACTTGTTTTTCCATAGCGTCTAAAGTTGTAGGTGATTCTGACTCATTGCTAAAGGAGTATTCCTGGAAATCTCCAACCCCAAAGCTGCTTCCTTCCCCTTGATGAGAATCGTGCCCTGAGGCTTTTGAAGAATCTGACTCACTATGTGTTTCTGGCTTTGTGCTTAAAACAGTTAGAGCATTCTCTATTGATTCCTCAATTCTCTTTTGACTAATCCTTTTATCATCTTTAAAAACAAAAGGCCGCCTTCTGTCATTATTAATTGGAATATCTTTGAATTCCAGGAAAATATAAAAAAGCTGCAATAATAGAAAATCAGGGTCATTATTTTCTTTGAATTCTTCCAAACTGAACAGAAGCGGAATTTTTGTCCTCGCCACTGACTGAAAAAAATAAGAAAGATTGTGATCAACTTCCATTTTGTTTTCTGGAATTGAGTAGACATTAGCCAAAGCAAGCTTTGGCTCATCCATAAATAAATGCAGAATGCATATCAAATTCACGCCATTCGCAAAATCTTTGACTAATGTGGTATAAGGCTCTTCAATGCTTTCTACTAACAAATTTTTGTTATAAACCTGAAGTGATGATTCAAGCCAGTTCATAATTACTCCATTAAAAGATTTGACTTCTCCAATCATCACACTTCTTATCATAAATTCTAAAGTGGTCCAAGCAGCCTCAGGACTTCCTTGATATAGCTGGCTGACTATTTCTTGTCCATTTCTCATTCCAAAATTCCCAACCAGTCTTTTAACTAGAGATTTTATATTAGTTAAGCATTGGTCTTTAGAGCGAGGTTCTAGAAAGCAGCGAGAAATGTCGAACTCTGGGTCAATCCTTTCTAGAAGCTTAAGAGGGAGAACTCCAGTTCTGAATCTTTCAGGGAGATCTGAAATGGCCAGCTGTTTTCAAATGTTTAGGTTATTGATTCATTTCAAAATAATTTTTTGGGTGCTTTGAGATACTGAAATTGAAGGTAAACTTCGAGAGCTTGAAGTTCGCTGGGTGCTTAAACTTCGCAAAGACATTTTGTAATCTTTAGACAAATTATGCTAACTGAAATTTTTACTTAGGCTTATTAAAAATAGAGGTTAAGAAGTCAACAGTCAGTAGTGTGATGATTACATGAGGAGCAATACGAACCACATATGTGCTGAATCCAACGTAGTATCCTAAGAAACCTTCATTCTTCAATGACCTCATAAAGCAGTCCATAAAGCTCTTATAAGGATAAGTACCGTCTGGCTTCTTCGCCATTCTTTGGAATTTAGTCTTCACGTTATCAAATGGCAGAGAAAGCACGCAGGCAAAGAATGCTGCAATCAATGATGAGGCCACTCTGATTCCATTGAATTCACCAAAAGACTTAGTAAGAAGTTCTTTAGCCTGGTCATATGGGCCTAACATACCAAGGTTAATGGCCATTGCTCTGTAGATTGTAGGGGTTGAGCCTCTCCACAAGCTGAAAAATCCTTCTTCTTTGATAATTCTGGTAATTGCGTTGACAACTCCAGTGTAATGTCTTCTTTGGGCTTCAGGAAGAGTATGGTCACTCTGCATTCTAATCAAAGCTAAATCAGCAGGGTTACCAATTAGAGCTGCAAAGCCTCCTGCAAAAAGAGAGTATCCTGCCTTTTGCCAGGCTGGGACAGCTCCTTTGTTGAATTCAGCACCCCAGTCCATCAAAGACTTGTAAGTACCCATTCTTGTAGTGGTGTAAGTAGCTTGTCTTAGCAAAGCAGAGTCTAGGCCAGTGTATAATCTTTTAACACCGAATTCTGAGATGGTTTGTTTCAGAATAGTGAAAGGATTAGGCCTTGCACCTTTAACACCCTCTCCTTTGATTTGGAGTTGGACCTTAACGAAATCGATAGGCTGGATAATGGTTGTAGCAATCATACCAGCTGCACCTCCGATGATGTAATTTTTTACGATGCTTGGCTTCTTATCTCCTGACATTTATTAACCAATGGAGGATTTTGGCCTTTTATGATTTTATGATATGCAATGAAAATTTGCAATATAAAATAATCTGAAAATCGCGAAATCCTTACTCCCCCTCCGTGAGTGGCCGTGAGTGAACAAAAATTTTTTTATGGAAAAAAAATTTGATATATAAGTGATAATTAGTATAATGAAATCTAGAGCTAATTCTGTTTAATTTTAAACAAATTGCTTTTTAAAACATAAATTTTATATATTTGCTTTTCCAATTTTTGCAAATTAGGATTTTTTTAAATTTCGAAAAAAAAAATTTCTATAAAATTTCTATATAAATTTTTTAAAAAAAAAAAAAATTAACCTCCCTCCGTGAATGAACAAAATTTTTTTATTCATTCACGGAGAGGGGGAGGGAGTTAATAAAAGAATTTTTAGGCAAGTTAAAGCTATTGAATTGCTTTAGAAGGCTAACAAGGCTTAAAAAAATAATATTTTCGAAATTTATTTTTGATAATTTTAGGAGGCAGACAGAATTTACTGTTTTTCCTTCTATTAATTTATTTTTGTAAAATTAATCTTAACTACGCTATTATTTTTAAATAATTGCAAAATGCAGAATAAAAGTACTAAATTTTCGACTTTCTTCTAATTACCAGCTTTCGCTCTTATTGGAGATTGGCTAGTTGCAAACAGTAGCGATTCCATGCTTCTAGACCTCTGATGCCTTGTCGCTTTTTTATAATTTTTTATAAAATGGCTTTCCTGCTTTTCAATATGCATTTTGATTTTATTATTCAAGCTAATCAACCCTTCGTCAACTTTAAAGTCTTCATTATTTTTTATAACATACTGTATAGGCTTTTTCTTTTGAAAACCATTATACATTGTCGATCTCAACGCTGACTCAGAATTTGAGTCAACTCTCAAGAAATGAGGCTGATCTGCTCTATAAGAATAAATTCCTTTATATTTCCCAAATCCTTGAGAATTCATATGATTTTGGAATCTCTTATAAAAATCGATTTTTGTTTTTGGGGGAGATTTCTTTATAGAAGACATATCAATAGATACGCTTGGTTTAACTGAATGGAGATCAATTGAGCTGTGCATGTAGGTTTGGTCATAGAATGTTTGGAATGGAATTGAGCTGCCTCTTCTGCTTGGAATTTTTGTCATAGATATGCAGGACTCAGGAGCTCTTATCCTTGATGAGGGAAGGTGGAATTCGTCAGGTGATTCGATACAAACGTCATTTTTTTGAGTGGTGCCTAATCGATTATATACATTAAAATGGAGACACGTGTCAACCTACCCTCGGTGTAACAGTCCAGACTTTATGGCTATGGCAAACTGGGACGGGTTCCGAGCTGAGAATCAGTGCAGGCTCAAGAGATGTGTATCCGGGTAGGTTTTGGCCGCTTTCCTTTCGATGGAAATGGAGGTGCTCAACAACGTCATTTTGGATCCGATGAACCATGGGCATTCCTCTACCGAGAAACTGGGGCTTTCGGCAGAGGGAATATTCTTTTCCTGTAGCTGTCGAAGGAAGGCACTTTGGTATCCGACAGACTCCAGTTGATCCTTGGAATCAAGCTACTCCAATCGCCTGTAGCAGGGCCGCAGAAATTCATAAGCACTCAAGACTGAAGCCGCAAGGCAAAAGGAGACATAAGATACCGGAAGTTGCACCAATTATTAAGGGTTAGACCTCTTGCTTGGAGTCAAAAAGTGGATGAAACTTCCGTACGGGAGGTCTTTGGTGACTGTGTCACCAATATGGCTAACGCCTGTCTTTAATAATCTACCCAAACCTAGTCGTTTGGAAGATGAAGTATTCTTTTGTTGAGGGTTAAATACTGAGTACAAAGAAGCTGTAAAGTAATTTGGAAGATCTGCTGATATAGCAGTTTTTTTACCTTTCATTTTTCTTTAGAAGTTAAAATATTAAGTCATCATTAGGAGTTACTCTAAAAAAATTTTTATTTAAATGTTAGATTTATTTCATTAATATTGGCATTTAAATCAGCTAAAAAGGTTTTCAAAATAAATTATTAGCATCTAAAGTCACGATAAATTAAATAAATTCTTAAATAATCTAGCTAATTAACATTAATTAATATTAAGCCTCATTGTTGAAATATTGATTTATTAATTCAGAAATAAAGCAAAAATGGGTGAATTTTCAATGATCCCCGAATCAACTGAATACAAAGAATTTAGATATAGATGGGTCATCCTATTAGTCTATTGCTTTGAAAATGCTATGAATTCAATGCTTTGAATAACCTTTTCTCCAATCACAACTGAAACTCATAAAGTAATTCTTACTAATAGACTTATGGAGTTGATGAGTTTTGAGTTGAGATGTGTGCTTTATTATCTATGTTTATATATCCGATTTTAGTTTTTCCTTCTAATTATGCTCTTGATAAGTATGGACTGAGGTTTGGTGTATTTTTCACATAGATAACAATTGGGGCTATTTTAAATACAATCGGGGCATGGATTCGTATAGGCGCTTATGATAATTTCTGATATATTTTCACTGGGAGTGTCTTTGTAGGTATGGCTCAGCCTTTTCTCCTAACAGCTCCATCAAAATTATCGGCATATTGATTTAGGCCTGAGGCTGTATTAGTTATATAGAGAACAATGTCAACCACTATTGGATTAGTTTCAAACCCATTAGGAATTATTGTAGGCTTTGCGTTGCCAGGGATCTTTGTGCTGAATGAATCTAAAACTGAAATCGGAAATTTAATGCTGATAGAAGCCATTTTATCAACAATTTCTTTTATTTTAGTAGTTTTCTGTTTTAGAGCGAAGCCAAAAACTCCGCCCAGCAGTTCTGCAGAGGTTGAAAGAGTCGACTTTAGGCAGTCCTTGCCAATTTTGCTAACTCCCACTTGAATATATTTGGAAAATAATTCCCACACTGGTGTGCATATCAAATGTATTTAATATAGAATTTGATATATTAAAAACAATAAATTATTAATGACGTCTCACAAATTTCAGACAATTTTATTATAAAATATCTATTTTTTAAATTATACTATACAAAACTATACACAAGGAAAGCATTATTATGGATTAATACAACCATTATCGTATTTCTTCTACAAAATAAGCCATTTTGAAGAATGAAAATAGGATTCAAATACTTATGAATTGAAATTTCCTATAATAATTTATAAATAATTATCAATCCATAAGGACATAAAGATTTTTTCTTCAGAGAGGGTAGAGTAAAAAATAAAAATTATTTATTACTGCTTATTTATTTTTCAGCAGGTATTGGGACACAAAACACTTTAGCTACAATTATTGAGCTTATTGGAAAACCTTATGGGTTTTCTTCAGCAGCTGTAAGTTTATTTGCAGCACTAAGTATAACATTTGGTTTAATTGGTGATGCAATTGCTTCCAAAATTGTTACAAAGATGTTAAAATTTAAGCTTTTTTGCTTAATAATAGGCTGTTTGTCAATTATAGCTTTTGGAATATTCACTTTGACACTTCCGATTGGCTCTATCGCAATTACTGCAATTTCTATCTGTCTAGTGGGATTTTTATTAATGCCAATGCTTCCTATTTCTTATGAGCTTGGATGTGAGCTCACATTTCCGATTGGGGAAGCTATGGCTGGAGGCTTATTGAATTGTGGAGGCACAATTTTCGGGATTTTGGAAGTTGGAATCGCCTATTTATTAAATAATCAACCAATTGCATCCTGCATTATTTGCATTATTGGACTTTTGATAGGAACAGTTAGCATATTTTTAGTAAAAGAAGATTTGAAGAGGATCAGACAAGAAAAGCAGCCTCTAAACGATTATAATCACTTTGAAAAAGAATTAAATAAGGATTAAATAGACTATTTTTCACAATATTAGTATATCTATTAAAATTAAAGGGTGATGTAAATAAAGCTTAAACTTTTAATAGCTTTGTCTGCGATATTAAAGGGATGTAAATTTTTTTTTAGTTTATAGGTGTTTAAATTAAAAGTTTATATACATAGAATGGCGTATGGCGACCGACCCACCCTCTCAGTGGTGGTTACCCATGTATATCCGGGCATGGTTTTTGGAGCCAGGAGTTGGCCCAGCAATGTTTGGGACCTCGAAGCGAGAGGTCTAAGCACAAAGACCGCTGTTTTGTGACCGAACCCCATGGGCAGTTACTCGTGACTTCTTTTTGCCAACAGCGCTCAGCCCAGTGAGTGCCGAAATGAGGCAGGGCGACTTACCTGCCTAAGCTGCTTTTGTGGCTCGCCCCGAATGGCGAAAGATGTTGAGTTCTTTCTCGGGATGATCGGAAAAGAGGGGAAGGCGAGTTAGACATCTAAACGGGAGTCTCTCCAGTTAAAAGGTGCCCTTCAATGGGCAGATCTGCGGACGATGCGGCAGTGTTGGCGTAAACTTAGGCGACGATCCAAGTTGGAAATGGAGGCGGTCAGCAAAGACGGTATGACACGTCCCTTGACCTTCACCTCTACCGAGAAACCGGGGGTTTCGGCCCGGGCTTGTTGAACGCTCTGCCACCATACGGGAAACCGTAGAATGCTTCCTCGGACGAAGTAGGGACTTAAAATACCCAACGTAATCTTAATCTTAATCTTGAATTAAAAGTTTCATAAATAATTTTTTTTCTCTTAAATTAATGATACCGGATTTCAAGGAAAATTTAAAATAATTGAGCATATAATATATGGCTCAATAATAAAAAGTCTAAATAATCATAAAAATTATTTTTATAACTAATACTGTAAAAATTTGATTATTTTTCTTTACTCTTCTTTCATTTGTGTGCGCAAAATTATTTTATCTACTGCCTTTCAAGTAATTAATAATTTCATTTATTTTTAAAAGTTCAATGTAGAAAATTTTTATTATAAAGTTCAAGCTGCTTTAAATTTAAGAGAGTTATTTAGAGATTTAATCATAATAATTATTATCATATATCAAAATATTTTATAAAAATAATTTTTTTCTCATTTCAAAGGGTGGGATTCTAGATTTTTCTAATGGTAGCTTGCTCATAGAAGGGTTAGTGATTTTTGATAAAAACGCTGACTGTATAATAGATGCAGTATCAAACTTGATTGTCTTTAATTTCTGCATTCTTTTTTCTTCCTTTTTCCTTTCCATCAGCTTAAAAATAGCATGAGCACTAACAGAGCGTGCCGCTTCTTCTAATTCTTCTCTATTAAAAGGATCAATATCATTTCTATGAGTTCTGAAGGTGACTACCTCATCTCTGTCATCACAAAAAAGATTAGCTTCAGTTATAACAATATCTTCTTTATCATCACCCATTTGAGCATTTAATGAAAACACAGAGTTCTTTGAAGGATTGGCTTCTTTTCCAAATGCTAACTCGAGCTCTTGAATGCCTGCCTGGCAGCAACCCATTAATATCTTTATTAAAATTATGAAACGTTTATTTAATGTTTTTTATATCTTTTGAAATGAAATATTGCAGCAATCAAATGAGTATATAAGCAAATTTTGGTAAATTTTGCTACTTTATAGCGGTACAGCTTGATTTCATATGAAAAAATTGATGAAACAAAATATTTAAAAAATATAATTTTTCTAACGATTAGAGATATGGAAAATTAAATTGCCTTCTTCTTTTTCTAATTATGATAGGTTAAAATTAGCATCCTGTTTGACTTTACTAACTTCATAGTAATAAAATAATTTTTTATGATCATCAAATCTATTTATTTCATCAGATTTCAATTTTAAATAAGCCAAAACTGCATATGAAGCTTAAATTTTATATGGATTCTAAATTATGAATTTACATTTTTTTATGACCAGAGAGTTGCGATTTCTTGTGCATTTTTAGAAGTTTATTAAATCTGGCCCTAAAATGGAAGAGGAATTGCTGGATTGGGAAGAAAACACACACAACCTGCTCTTCTGAAAGCACATGATTTGTGGCTCCTGTGCAGGAGTTGTTGAGCACTCTATTTCTTTTCCTTTCGATACAATCAAGGTACCATTAACATAGACATTTGCCCAGGCAGAATCAACGAAGATGATTACATTTTCAGATACTGCTAAGCTTGTCCGAAAAGAAGGTATCCTTCGTATGTGGCATGGAGTTTCAACAGTAATCTGTGGCTGTGTTCCAGCCCATGCAGCATATTTTTCTATCTATGAATTTTCAAAGTCACATTTTGATATTCAATCAAACAGTCAATATTACTTGTGGTCAACCGCCATAACTGGAGCCTTAGCATCTACATCTCACGATATCATTTTAAATCCTATGGATGTAGTTAAACAAAGAGTCCAGCTGAATAGAATTAAAGGGCCTTTTAAAATGATGCTTGAAATAATTAAAACTGAAGGCTTTTTTTCATTATATAGAAGTTTGCTTATTACCATTGTAAAATACATATAGCTTATGAATTGGCCAAATGCAGCACTTTTTATGACGTTTTATGAAAACTTGAAATCTCATTTTTTTAGTGATGGGAAGGTAACGATGCTTGGATATTTTAGCTGTGCTGGGATTTCTTCAGCTCTTGCAGCTGGGCTTACAACACCCCTTGATGTCATTAAAACTAGGCTGCAAACACAAAATGAAGAAAGTCCACTATATAAAAATAAGGGTTTTGGGATGGATAAAAAAGATAAGAGAAAACTGAGGTATAAGAGTATATATGATACAGCTAAACTTATATATTTAGAAGATGGAGCATTAGGATTTGTTAAAGGGATAGTTCCGAGGATGCTGTTTTTCTTGCCAGGGGCTGCTGTGTCATGGTCTGTATACGAATATACAAAAAGACTGATTTCTAAATATTAATACACACAGCAAATATAAATAAATTAACCTCAATACAGTTAATCAGCCTTTATTAAAATTTAGATATAAAAAAAATTAAGATAAAACTGCAAAATACTAATTAATTCATGCCACTACTGGTGGCTGAGTTTTCTAACAGAAACTTCTTTTCTTGTCAACTCTTCTTCTTTAGCTTCCGCATTTCTCTTCATATAATCAATCAAATCCAATTCTCTTTCTTTCCGTTTCCGATTAAACTCTTTATGAAGCTCTACATTCGCTTGTCTTATTTCAAAATGTTCGATTGCGTCATTCTTAAGTCTAATAATTTCCGTGCTCAGCTTTATTTTATTCTCTAAATCTTCTAAATCGTATCTTCACACGACGACTATTTCATAACGATTATTTTTTTTTGGCCTATTTTTTTTTGGCCTATTTATTTTTGGCCTATTTATTTTTGGCCTATTTTTTTTTGGCCTTTTTTTTTTGGCCTATTTTTTTTTGGCCTATTTTTTTTTGGCCTATTTTTTTTTGGCCTATTTTTTTTTGGCCTATTTTTTTTTGGCCTATTTTTTTTTGGCCTATTTTTTTTTGGCCTATTTTTTTTTGGCCTATTTTTTTTGGCCTATTTTTTTTTGGCCTATTTTTTTTTGGCCTATTTTTTTTTGGCCTATTTTTTTTTGGCCTATTTTTTTGGCCTTTTTTTTGACAATTTTTTAACTATTTTTTACTAATATTTGGGCATAATTCCATACTAATTGTTTTAATCTAATTTTTAATGTGTTTTAAAACGATTTAACCAACAAAAAATGCACCCTTAACAGATTTCTTACTCCATGAATGCTAATTCATTGCTTTTAAAATTTCGAGAATTTTAGGTTTAATTAGGGAGTTTTTAACTTAATTTACTCAATATTAATCGCGTAAGGAAAGGTCTCTGTTTCTCAATAAGGTTGTAGTCCTCTCAGCAGCTTCATGAATGAGGCTAGGCAAAAAAAATAGGCCAAAAAAAATAGGCCAAAAAAAATAGGCCAAAAAAAAATAGGCCAAAAAAAAATAGGCCAAAAAAAAATAGGTCAAAAAAAAAATAGGCCAAAAAAAAATAGGCCAAAAAAAAATAGGCCAAAAAAAAATAGCCCAAAAAAAAATAGCCCAAAAAAAAAAATAGGCCAAAAAAAAAATAGGCCAAAAAAAAATAGGCCAAAAAAAAAATAGGCCAAAAAAAAATAGGCCAAAAAAAATAGGTGAAAAAAAAATAGGCCAAAAAAAAAATAGGCTAAAAAAAAATAGGCCAAAAAAAAATAGGCCAAAAAAAAAATAGGCCAAAAAAAAAATAGTCGTTATGAAATAGTCGTCGTGTGAAGGAACCTTCTAAATATTCCTGCATTTTTGAATTTTTTTCTTTTAAAACTGAAATGTGCTCTTCACGGGCTGCCAATGTCTTAATGGTTTCATCTTGACAATTTAATTTAGTTAGCCGCATGCCATACTCTTCCCTTTTTATAGCAACCCTTGATGTGATTTCTGAATTTTTATTCAATGAATCCAATTCTTTTTCTTTCAATATTATAGAGTTTTCGAGATCAGACAGTGATTTCTTTTTATTAGAAATATTTTCTTTTAAAATGCTTAAAGAATCCTTAAAAGATTTTAGCTGAGCAATAGATTTGTCAACTTTTTGGAGCGCAGAATTGAAATCTTTTTTTGAGTTATAAATTCGAGATTTCTCTTCAGATAGGTATTCAGAATATTTTATCAAAGAATTCTTTTGGTTTATTAGCAAAGCCATTTGGTTTTGCTTTGCATTTATTTGACTAATCAACTTGGTCTTTCAGATCATTAAATTCTTCAATGCTTGCTCTCTTTCTGACTGCTGCCTGTACTCAAAATCGTTTATTTTCATGGATTTATAGAGCTTATCATTTGCTTCAATTTTATCTTTAACCCTTTTTTCAATTTCTTTAATTTCGTTTTCTAGATGTTTTATGCATTTTTCTTTGTTTTTAACTTCCTGATATTTATCCTCTTTAAGAGATTTTTCATTTTCTAAAAATTTGCTATAATTTAATTCATTTTTTCGATTTTTTGCTGATTTGACCTGCTCCTCAATATTCTGCTTCTTTTTTTTTATCTCGTTGTATTTTATTTTAATTATTTCCGTTTCTCCAACTCACCTCCTCTTGGTAGAGAATAAAGTTTCTATATAATTTTTTTTTAATTAGTATAATTAAATCTAATTTATTTAAAAAAAAATTATTATTGTTTTAAGACTTTATTTTTATACTAATTAATATAAAAATTTTAATTAGACCCTTCACGAGGCAGTAAAATCTTACTATTCGCTTACATAATGGGGTATTAAGCAATCTTGAAGATTTTTTGCATGCATGCTCTTCGTAAGATATTAACTCTTTGAAGTGTGCAGATCATTTGTCACTCTTAGGAGTTTTTATTATTTCTCGGTGTAATTTTTCTTCGTATGATTCTTTAGAAATAACAGCAACTTCACTTTTAAGCCTATTTGAACTTTCCCTCTGATCATATGAATAAAATTGATAAGAAAAAGTCCTTTTTTTATTGCTAGAGTTTAAATTAGCTTTAGGTGTTCCACATCTTCTGTTCATTTGCAAACAATTTTTTTCTATAAATGCATTTTTCTAATGATTTTAAATGTTTGAAAGCCCAATCTAATTATTTGGTTCACTTAATCATTCTTACTCTCTCCTTTTAAGAGTGAGGGAAAAAATGAGCCTGCTTTAAGAGGGAAAAATTGTTTTATGCCCTTTTATATAAAATACTATTATAACGAGACTTTTGCTAATGATATTAACCTTTCAATAATTTTTATCATTAAACATAAATTTCAATAATTAAATTAGATTTTTCAAATTGGAATCTTTGAGTCAGAAAAAATTATGTTAATTTTATATATTTAAAATTTTTCAAAATATTGCTCTTAAGCGGGAGATGTTATCCTGAAAAAGAGAAGTTTCATTTTTGGATAGCCCGAGAAAGGAGCTAGAGATTAATTATACAAAGATAATTCATTAAATGCAAAAAAAGTTTAAATTTTTTTTAAGAGATTATGTAGATTCATAGGGAAGATATATGGCTTCAATTACAATGTTTAATAGCTATATCATTAATTCAATATAATTCATATGCTAACATATAACAAAATATTTATTTTATAATAGTAAAATCTAACAAATTATGTCGGTTAAGGATTTATCCCAAAATTCTGTCTCATCAGACCTAGCAAGTGAGATTATTCACACAAAAACACTTCTATCTCTTAATTCCAGATAATTTTTTTAAAAAATCAATATTTTATAAAATTTTTTAATATATAGGGCTGGAAAAGTCTGATGTAAGAAGCTCCTCTGTGACTTCTCAGGAGATCGTTCCCAAACTCAAACTTTCCAGCATCTCAAATGACGTTAAATTGAGGCATAGAAAAACTCAATCTTTATCTATATCAACAATATACATAAAATAGCTAGTTATGAGCCACCCGTCCTTCCTGTGTCGGATGTCCTTGTGTTTATCGGAGATGATTTTGATGCAAAGAGCTACCAAAGGGCTGGGTTAGCCTTAAAGTGTAAGTCCCAACACTAATTCTACTTATTAGTGGCCTGGCTCGAGCGGCAGTTTTTTGCATTCTTTTTTTAGCAGCGCCCAGGCCCAGATTGGGTGTCCGATGGGTGAAGTGGGTTAGACCGACTTACAAAGCTAACCCGATTTTTCATATCTGAGCAGGAATTTTCGGTAAAAAAACTCGGGTTAGGTATTGGATTTTTTTAAAAAATTTTATATTAAAAGAAAAACAAAAGAACGTATGTCGGCCTAACCCGCGGCCATGCAGTGGGTTAGGCTGATTTTTAAAAATGCATATATACTTAGGCCGATTCTAAAAAATGGGTCGCTGGTTAGGACGAATTTTTATACTTTTTTTTTAGGGGTAGTGGGATAGGCCGAAAAAAAAAGTAGCATGCGGGTTAGGCCGATTTTTCATCATAATTTCCAGACAAAGCCTACCTTATTTTTATTTAAATAAACTATTAAAAAATATAGCATAAGTACACTTATTGTATGCTCTGATGCAGTATCTTGAAGTATTAATGCAAAAATGGCATCCCAAACTAAATTACAATACAAATTTAATTCAATAGAGCAAATCCTTATTACTTAATTAACTACCTCAATTTTAGGGAGCAAAGCGAGTGCTGTAGCTATCACTCAGAATATTGCATCAGGGCACATAATCATTTAAAACCGAATTATTAGTGCGCTAATATTCAAAATTTGTTTTATTAATTGCTAATTTATCGCCAATTAAATGGAAATGAACTTTATTGACAGAGAAGCAGAAGAGTGTGTGATGATGTAGAAGATCATTTATTTAAATATTATTCGAACAATTGAAATATTCCTTCAACCATCAAGTGCAGCTCGAAAGTGAGTTTGGAGACATCCTATTATAGTAAGGTTTCATTCGTCATCATTATAGCTATAATACTATCCTTTGCTCAAATTATGTACTTTTTGATTGCTGAAAAGTATCATTTATACTATATAATATATACTATATGCTAGATGTGTTAAAGATGAAGGAACAGTGATTATTATTGATCATATAAACCCAAGAAGTGTCCAAATAAGATGCTTTTTCTCTGAGAAACGTGATTTGAAAAGCTTTCCTTTAATTGACTTATCAAAGCTATGCCCATTTGAAATGAAATGATTAATAGCTCAAGATAGATTCAACTATCTGGAATTTACTTTAATGTCTATTGTAAGACAGCATTCTCATAAAAGATTAACGATGAATCAGATCACATATGAGCCTAAATTTCAAAGAATACGCAATATTTTAAAGATAAAGCGATTGAGTACTACAAGCGTCATTTGAATCTTGGCCAAATATATGACATATTGAAGATGGAATTTTCAGGTGATATTGTTCCTTTTTCTAAATTAAAGCTTAAGTACTTCTTAGATTATTATCAAACTCAAGCAGCGAAGAATTTTACATTTGAAAACCTTGTAAAAACTAATGATGATTTAAATACCATTATTACAAGAGATCCAATTAACGATAGATTGTTTATAACTACTAATGACAGAATTAATATGTGAAATTACTACCAAGATGTAATTCTAATAGATTTAACTTATAAAATTCATGATAACTATTATTGCGCTGTTGTGATATTGAGTATTTATAATTTTGGCCATAATTATTTATTAGCTTTCGCCTTAACTCATGAAGAAAAGTCTGAAGATTATCAATGAATATTTGAAATTTTTAGAGAAGAAGGACTGAAATGTCCTAGAACAATTATTGTTGATCAAAACAGAGCACAATTGAAAGCAATAAAATTCTTCTTTGGTAGGCATATTCATATAGTTTTTTGCTTTTGACATATTAAGAGAAACATTATTAATTCGCTACCAGGAAAGATTGATGAGTGGCTTAATCTGCAAGCTGAATTCTATGAAGTCTACAACTCAAGAAATGATGCAGATTTTGACTGCAATTGAAGTCTTTTTATAGCAAATCATCCAGAGCTTGAAACAAATATTGTTTTTAGTAACCTTTATGAAAACAAAGAATGCTGAGCGAGGTACTCTACTAGACTTATGTTTACTGCTGGAATGTCAACAACCAGTAGAATTGAAGGGATGCATGCGAATTTTAAAAAGAGTTATGAAGAGTCTTAGAAGAAATTGTGATATAAAAATATTTATTGCATTTGCTGAAATTGTTAGAAGATGAAAAAATTGCTTTAAAAAAGTATTTTCATTCGAAAAATAACACACTTTACAACTCAAACTATGCGAAAAATAAGTCAAATCTATACAGATTTTGTTTAGGGCATTGTCAAAACTCTTTGATTGGTGCGAAATCTTCGATTTTAGTCAGTATTGATAGTAGGGGAAGATTTATAATAAGGACGAATTTTAAAAATCAATGGAAAGAAGAGAGAACTAATAAAGGCTTATTAGAATGTACTTGTGGAAAATTCAATAGATATGGGATTCTATGCCCTCACCTTTTATTATAGCAAAAATTACAGGTGAAGATACTGTCATGTTCATTGTAGAAAATACTTCAAGACGGTGGTTACTTCCAAAATTAATGGATATGAATTTAGAAGATTTATTAAGATAAATTTAATAGGCTATTTTATTCAAAATAATATATATAGTCTGATAACAAATAAAGTAGGTAAAAAACAGTGTTATCTTATATGATTTTAATTATTCTAATGCAAATAGTTGTTTCTTAAAATTATAATGAAAAATCGGCCTAACCCGCATGCTACTTTTTTTTTCGGCTATCCCACTACCCCTAAAAAAAAAGTATAAAAAATTCGGCCTAACCAGCGACCCATTTTTTAGAATCGGCCTAAGTATATATGCATTTTTAAAAAAATCGGCCTAACCCGCTGCATGGTCGCGGGTTAGGCCGATATACGTTCTTTTGTTTTTCTTTAATATAAAATTTTTTAAAAAATCCAATACCTAACCCGAGTTTTTTTACCGAAAATTCCTGCTCAGATATGAAAAATCGGGTTAGCTTTGTAAGTCGGCCTAACCCGCTCGACCTGTGTCCGATAGAGGCAGGGCAAAGTACCTGCTTAGGCTGCTTCGTGATCTGTTATCGAAGAGAATAAGTGGTTAAACTTTTCCTTTAGTTATGAACCAATGGAAAAAGGGAAGACAGGCCCGAAAAGAATCTAAGGGCTACAGTCTCTCTAGTTTAAAAGGGTCCTGTGAAAGGGCGGTCTGTCCTAAGCTAAGCAGAGTTGGGTAATTTAGTTGCTTGGGTTGTAAATGGAGGCTCCTGGCAAACTTCGTACGATTTGGACTATGGAAAGAAAATGCCTCTACCCAGAAACTGAAGGTTTCATTCATGCAAAAGTTAACTGTAGAAGACCACTCCGTTGCTCTCACCGTGGGCCGATGGTGCTCAGGAAGTGGGAATAAAGAAGCATCTCTATCTAATCTAATATATATCAACTGATATTCCAAAAATCCTCCCAAAGCACTCCTCCTTGAATAACTCTATATGCTCCTCTAAGCATTCCGCATACATCTCAGCTTTCAACAACTTGGATTCAAAATCCTTCATAGACGACACAGAAAAACTTGAAAAACAAATAAAATCCGACATCGCACTGGAATCAAAGCTCAACCACTTAGAATCCAAGCGTATCAAAGATATGCAAATTACCGTTAAAAAAAAGGAATTCAAAGAAAACTTTGAATTCTACCGTCAACAAAATTTACAGTTCCAAGCATTAAAAGAGAAAAAAGAAAAACTAAAAAAACTAGAAGAGAGAAAATATACTGTTAAAGCAAAAATAAATGCTGGGAATAATATATATTTGTATGAAAAATAATAATCTATTTAAATTGGTATATAAAATGGAAAAATACAGAGAAGAAAAAATTGCAAAATTCGAAGAGAAAATCAGAAATGAAATAGAAGCAAAAAACGAATTAGAAAGACAAAGAGAATGGAGTTCAAAGCAAAAAGAATTATTGGAAAATAAGAAAAAGCAAGAAAAAGAAGAAAAAAGAGAACAAAGAAGAAGCCAGCTTGAATTCTGAAATTGTCAGAAAAGAATGCAATGGGATGAATATATTAAAGAAAGAAATGATCTTTCGTTTGTTAGTAACTCGGTAAATTTCGAAGAAAAATGAATCTCTACAAAGCAAAAAAGCACTGAAGTTAGAAGTAGACTGGAGCGGACACTAAAGTTGTTGAATATGTAATCTGGGTTAATAATAGATAAATAAGTTTTATAAGCAAATCTCAAATAATGCAAAATACTTCATAGCAATTTTGTCTATAAATAAAGTTTTGACTCCATTTCAAATCATCGTGCTATTTTGATAGCACGGCATTTCCTAGGAGGAAATTTGTTCGAAAATTTTGTGATAGTGAGACATTTGACAGAATAAACCATTAAATTTCTACCAAATGGCACACTATTTAAATAATTTTCGACAAGTTTTCCTCAATGAAATGCACTCAGTCAAAGTACACGATCAATGGACCTTGACCAAAAGTTTTAATAATCAGACATAAGGTTCTATTTTAATAAATTCCTATTAAATAATAAAATTCTCATAGTAACTTTAAAATACAACGATGATTAGTTAAAGTTCTAATAAAAATGATTTTATGCTCGTTTTAATTGCCTGTATTGGTATTTCTTTATGAAATTCAAAGCTATACAGATCTGGCTTATACCCCTCAATCAAATTCTTAGCAGCTTCACTCAGCAATATTCGTCCAGCAATGCCATTGCTTTCAATTTTGTTTGCTATAAGCACATCTTTTCCATAAATATCATATCTGACTATATTAGTTCCAGCGATTCCTCCCACAATACTCCCGGTATGTATCCCAATCCTCATGCTAAGCTTCGACATATTCAATTCATTTACTCTATGAATTATTTCTACCATTGATTCAGCCAACTTTATTATCTGCAAGCACTCTTCTCCAGGGTTTCTTTCAATATCCCCACTATATCCCATAGCCACATAGCAGTCACCTATAGTATGAACTTTATAGACCTTATGCTCCACACATTTCATATCAAATTTACTGAAAAGTTCATAAAGCATTCCTACAACTCTATCAGGCGTTCTATATGAAGACCATTCTGTAAAGCCTACAATGTCTGCATAAAGAAGGGTTACTTGGGTTAAGGAATCAGTTATTGTTGTATCTTCTTTGAGGTTTCGATAAACGTGAGGTGGCATCATTTGTTTTAAGAGGTTTTCTGTCTTTTCAAGTTCTTTTTTGGCTAAATCTTCTAACTCCCCCCCCTCCGTGAGTGAACGAAACCATTGGAAAATCCCTATTTTTTGCCCAAAAACCGTGAGTGAAAAAAAAAATTTTATGAAAAAAATTTGATATATAAGTGATAATTAGTATAATGAAATCTCGAGCTAATTCTGTTTCATTTTAAACAAATTGCGTTTTAAAACATAAATTTTATAAATTTGCTTTCCAATTTTTGCAAATTAGGATTTTTTTAAAATTTCGAAAACAATTTTTATATAAAATTTTATATATAAATTGTTATAAAAAAAAAAAATTTAACCCCTCCCTGTGAGTGTACAAAATTTTTTTGTTCATCACAGAGGGAGGGAGTAAAGCATAATTGAATCTTAATGCTTTTTCTAAAAAATATGATATTGAAATCATGAAAAGTTCGAATGATATAATGGATATCAAATATATGTACTTTTCATCTTTATCATTTAAAATCGCAAGATCCAATACTATCAAAAATGCTGAAACAATTGTGGTGCTTATAGTATGCTTAAAGAATGAAGAAATGCATTGAGATGATAGCAATGTGCAAAATAGGAGATATGCTTCTTCTACAATTTTTATTTCAGAATTGTGATTAATTTCAATGATAAGGAATAAAATAAATGGGATAAGATAGCCACATTGCATAACCCATGGAATATACTTTGACTTTTTTATCTTAATCCCCTGCAAGCCATTTCTAATTTTTATCTTTCTATGAAAGTATAATTATCATTGGTCTTAATTTAATTATTTAAAAATAATTCAAAAACAGTTAGTAAAAGTTTTCCAAAGCAAAATATATCAAATAATGGAAGACAAAAAATAAATAGTTGATATAATATTATATGTTTTGGCTTCAACGAGCGTTATAAGAATGATTTTCATTACACCTAAAAATAACCCACAAAAAATTATTGTTAGAATTCTGATTTTCAATATTCATTGATTATGCTCCAAAAAATATAACCTTAATTCACAATATTTAAAATGGCAGTTATTGATAGGGTCCTAGATCTGCTCATCAGGCTAGCCCTATTATCCGAGCTTTGTGAGAAAAGTTTAGCTTCTTGAGAGTCTCAGCTTGAAGAGAAGAGGTCATACTGAATCTGGCATGGACTAGAGGAGTCTGAAAGGGCTTTGTAACTTTAACGATTCGACGGTTAGGCTAATCCAACTAACGTTGTTCAGAGCTGTTATTGAAGCTGGATCTCAAGTAATAAGGACTTTAAGGCACCATAGTGCTAGAGGAATTCTATAAGCATAAACATAAACCTTAAGTTTTTCTCTTGGTCAGTCTCAGAGCAAGAAAATGGATGAAACTTAATGGGGTCTATTTTATCAGTATCCTGCCTTTTAAATAGCTGGGCTTTATCACTGACACCTAAGCTTACCATGATTGACTGTCTCCTCATATCTGGATTGACAACAGACTGTCTTCTCTCTGCTGGATTTATTATAGACCCTCTTCCACTTGAAGTCATCACAATCGATTGCCTTCTCCCATCTGCAGCAACAGGTAAAGGAATTGGAAGGCTTTTAAACCCCGCTACATTTGCGATTGATTTTCTCCTTTCATCTACCACAGTTGAGTGTCTTTTTGAATCTGGCGAGCTTACGACTGACTGTCTTCTTTCAGGACTCCACGCATAATCAATTGCTGTCCTTTTTCTTGTATTCCGAATTGGGCTGGATCTTGCTAAAAGAAAATCTGTTTGTATATCGAACTCAATAATAGGGGACAATGGCGAATCTCTATCTCCAATATCTTTTTCTTCAACTTTAAAAGCCTTTATAGAGCCTTTTCCTTTTGCTTCGACCTGAAGTTCTGTAAAAATAAAATCATCCTTATCACCAATGTTATTATTATAAGTTTCTTCCGATATCTGAATAGTGTTTGGTTCTTGATTGGTTGAGGACATTCTGCTAGCAGTATTTACTGTATCTCCTACAAGAGAAAACTGAGGCTTGTGGTATCCAACAACTCCAGCTGTTACTGGGCCGCTATGAATTCCAATTTTTACTTGTAAATTGCCTCCATTTTTTAGCTTGATTTTTTCTGCAGTTTTTAAAACTGCCATACCCATCTCAATAGCTCTCCGTCCATGTGGGACTGATTGGAAAACTCCATCTAATTCAGCTTCACTGTCTTTAATGCCAGCACAAGCCATATAAGTTTTCCCTACTGTTTCTATTTTTGTTACCCCAACTAATTCGCATAAATTATCAAATTGCCTATAAACATTATCTAAAAATGCGATAAGTTCATGCAAAGGATATGCTTCTACGATATCTTCGAAATTATGTATGTCACAAAACAGCACAGTTGCTATTCCTTGGTCATCAGCAATATATCGTGCCCCGTCCTTAACCCTTTTTCGAACAAATTCAGGCAAAACGCAGTCTAAAACTTGTTTGGATTTTTCGACTTCATTTTCGACCTTTTTAAGTAAAATAAATTTTTCTCTGTCGTATTTTTCAATGCTATAGCCTATTATAGCAGAGGAAATTCAAATTGCGAAATAAATGACTGTAAACTCAGTTCCTGAAATGTAACATTCAATTGTAGATAAATAAGAAGAATTAAGATAGGCTGAGACACATACACAGGAAGATATAATCAGTGAAAACAAAACACCATAAATTCAGTCCATACATGAGCCTATTAAAATTAAAGGAGGCCAGCTTAACTCCTCCCTTTAAATTGGAAAAAAAATCCATTCCAATTAAGCAGTTATTTATTTTAATAAATAATAAATTTTTCACTATAAAAAATTTTAAAATTTAAAAAATATAAAATATAAATGTATATATTTTATGAAGAATCAATTCAAAAAATTAATTGATTCTGTTTTAAAAATGTTTAAATAATATTCAATTTCGCTTTTTCTATTAAAATTAGTTCAAAACTAATTTGAAAAAAAATTTGTGTTCCAAGGGGAGAGTAAGTAAATTGCAGGAATCTGGAAATCAAAAATAAATGAATGGACTATTATCATAATGATATCATAGATATTCATTAGCATTGTAACCATATTTCTTTTATACTTAAAATATGGTATGAAAGAGAGGATTGCAAAAATCCCATAAACAGCAGAGCAAGCTGTATAAAATGGAGGAATAGCTTTTTCACTAATATCAACATTCCAAACATAAATAAAAATGCACAAAATTATAGCACATCTATAAATAGCAAATGCTCGATATGGACCTAAATATTCATTTATTTTTTCATTTTGATAATCAATTTCTGTTGACGGGCTTAAAAATTTTCAAGGTATAAAAATGGCATTGACCTCTTAACCCTTGCAGTCTGTTATCTGATAGGAACCGAAACCTTGAGGAAGGAATTACGGTGATAGCATGTGAACTGGCTAGGTTTTATGGCGCAGATGATTATCCAATGTTGATCTGATCATCCAAATGTCTAATCTCGGAGGTTTTTCTGCATGGGAAGGTGAGGTAAAGGATTTTTCCAGCAGTGGCCGATGATATTTTTATGCAAATCTGGAGTTAACCTGTGTAATACCATCAAATTGTTAAATGATTAAATTAGTCATAAGCGGGCGATCCACTAGCCTTAGCCTCGTCCAAACCTGAAGGCTTACTTCAAAAGGGACAGAGGTCTTACTTTCAGCTTCATAAGGATAGGGCCTACTTACTCCATAGGGAGTGCGCCTGTGAGTCCAATTTCCGTCAATGTCACCATTTTATTTCTCGCATAATATCAAGATTCGGCTTCTAGTTTTCATTTTGGGTGAAATTTCGACCTTTGAATTTTCAATGGTAGGCAGCCTAGTTAACGTATGGCATAGTGGATAATTTCGGGAGCAAGCGCAGGCCTTACCCAAAAGGAGTTGTACAGTGCAAAACCGTATACAAACTGGCGAGCAAGTGTAGAGATTATAGAACACAATAAAGGTCTTCATATACTACAGTGGGCTTTTCTATAGTCTAATATAATGATAACAAGTTGAAAATTTTCAAGTCCATTTATTTATGGTAAATTCAGTGCTTTCTTTAGATTTTCTAAATGCTTTGCTATCTTTATAAATCTTATCAAGTTTTTCATTAAACGTAGCAATTCTTGACTTGGCTTCATAATACAGTTTCCCAGCGAACTTATTCCTGATAAAATCAATAAAACTCGGGTAAAAAAGAACTTCGCAGCATTTAATTGCATAATTAATTATCAAGCAAATCAATGGTAAAAATATCATATGGCAGTACATAAGTGGAGAAATATACGTCATCTCTAAGTCTCCATTCATATGAGAATTAGGAGCCTCAGACATGATTTCTAAAAACACTATCAAAGATATCAGCGAAAACACATAGCTTGAAATAGTATAAACATTATAAGAATACGTTTCAAGAATCAAATAAATAAGAAATGAGCTGTATAGTGATATATACATAACTATAGACATATATGCACTGTTCTCTGTATACCCATTATCATTTAATATTCCACAATAAAATACAAAGAAAAAAATTAATATTCCTTGAGCAAGAGCTTTCATAGCCACAATTCACAGTCTTTTACTTATAAACATCAGCTTGTAAAGCCCAACATTATGCATTTCAGGGAATTTTGCTATTTGTCGGCCTTTTACGTCTTCATCAAAAATCCCAATTATAATTAAAGGAATTGCTGTTAGAAATCCATAATAGTATCATGACATTCCAATGCTAAAAATTGAAATCCCACCAGTGTTTTTTACACAAGTATAGCAAAAAATTATCCAAGTATGCATAAAACTCCCAAACAAATAAATTAAAATAATATTTGAGACATTGACATAATTCCAATGTCCTTCAAATAAAATCAAGTTTTTTATTTGTGAGAAATCTCTGACTGCAATATGCCCAGCATCTGCTGCAAAATTTCCTCTTTTGCCAATAATCCCTACGCCTACATGAGCCTGCTTTATCATTCCTACGTATATATATATAACAATGGTAAAGAGAGATCACTTGACCTACTGGCCCTTTTTCTTCAATACCTGCAGGTAGGGCCTAGTTTAAGGGGATGGGCAGAAAGAGGCCTGCAATAATTTGTGTATTTCGGGCTAGGCTTTTCTCCATCCTTAGGGAGCTAATTAATGGGACTATGAGATTTTGCCTTAAAGACCATCATTGGAAAGGGTAGGGCCAGCAAAGCCCCGAGAGGACGATAAAACCCTCGAATAGGGCTCATGAGGTAGCATCTGCCTAACAAGAAACTGGGAGTTTTGACCCAGATGGTAGCCCCATGGTCTCAAGGAATAATGGAAGCCAAGATCGGCCGTGTGATATCCCTTACCTACAGTGGCAAGGAAGGGTGTCTGTCAGGGTCCCTCAGGAACGATGAGCATATAGGAGCGGAAATTCCCATCCATATCGAGCACGAAGAGCTTAATCTAACCTAATAATTCCTACGTCGCCAGCTCCATCTCCTATAGCTAAAAAAGTTGGATTATAAGAAAAATTGTTCCTAAGTAGCGAGGCAATTTGCCTTTTATCTCTTGGTAATAGTGAATGAAAACACACACAATGGGCTGCACTAAGCATAGCACAGAATAATTTTCTATTTTCTTCACAGCTAAGCTCATAACTAATACCTCGTGCATCAATAGATAGCACAAAATAAACAGTATCCGCATTGAATTTTGATGATAGCGGAGCAGACATGTTTATTGTAGTAATTTTTGCTAAAAATGGATGAATATTGGTAGATTTTTCTTTTAATGAGTTTTTTCGCTCAATAATTTCAGATAATTTTGGTGTCCAATTATGATCTACTTCTGATATCTTTGGGAAATTCAGACAATTCTGCGAAGTGTTTGAGGGTCTGTTATTGTATTCACGTGAAGTCTGAAGGAGGTTTGTGTCAAGGTTTTCTTCTCCACTATGTATTATATGTCTTTTTACAATTTTAATCATATCCATGGTGCATTCCAGCTGAGAAGAATATGACTTTAGCCTAGCTATCGATGTATGCAAATCAAACATATTTGCAGAAATAGCAGTCGTCAAAGTAATTTCTTCATCTTCTCCACTCATAAGTCAAAATTTAATGCCCGCTTGACTCAGGAGTGTTACTGCTTCTCGTGTTCGCTTCGAAACTTTATCCTCAATTGCGACACAGCCTAAAAATTTTAATTTCTGTTCAAGTGCTTCAAAAATGCTTTCTATTCTGCCTTCACTGTTTACTGGGGAACGTTTTGCGTTTTTATAGCCAAAATGAAAGTGCTTGTAGTCTTTATCACTGAGGACTTTATAGCCCATAAAAATCAATCTTTTGCCTAGAAGGTTACAAGAATATAAATTTTCTTCAAAATTCAGCCTCTCTTCATTTGTTAAATCAAATAATTCGTTCATGGAGTCTTTTGCTCCTTTCACGAATAAAATGGTTTGGTTTGACGAATTATCGTAGACTATGATGCGATTTTTTTTGCTTTTAGATGAAAATGGCCGATAAGCAATAACAGAAAATTCAAATATATCTCCTAGAATGTTCACTATGCAAGATTTATTGGTTCGATTTACGAGTTGGATACCTAGCTGTCCAGCTGTTTCTACAAAGGTTCTGTCGTCTGCAGATATTGATATGCATTTTCCAGACATTTTGGGGAAAAATTGATTGCATATTGCCATACATAAGATATTCTATTTTATACAAATTAACTTTTCTTATTAGATACCATATCTAAATTTCCTTGAAAATTAAATAAAAACTGCTATTAATTGTTTTGAAAATAAACTAAATTAGGATTAGGATCGTTAAAGACCGAAACTGGCCATATTGATGACGCAATCACTAAAGACCTCCTGGAAGCTAATCTGCTTTGCTGCAAACTGCTCAGTAGGTCTAGCCGTAACCGGTGTAGTTGGCTTAAGGCTTCAGTCTTGAGTGGGCGGCTTATGGATTTCTGCGGCATTGCAAGTGGCGATTGGAGTAGCTTTAATTCCAGAGATCAGCTCCTTGGGGTCTATCGGGTATCAGAGTTTCTTTCTTTAAAAAAACTACGGGAAAAAGACTGTTCCCTATAGCCCAGACCGAAACCCCGGTTTCTTGACAGAGGATACTTAAGAGTCGGAAGATCATTGCTGAGCACCTCCATTTTCAACCACAGGAAAGCAACCAAAACCTACCCTGATACACATTAGCTGAGACCGCACTTGCTTCTGAGCTTGGAGTCTATTCCAGTTCGCCGTGGCCTTAAGGTCTAAACTGTTGTGTCAAGCGGGCAGGTTGATACATGGCGCCATTTTAATGTATGAAAATAAACCAAATAGTATAAAGTTATAAACATTCCCTCTATTACACGAATGAATTAGCTCATGCTTTAAAGCGTCAAAAGACTGACTTTCGCTTGATATTCAATTATTGACTTGAGCTTCATTCGGATCAACAGTCCTGAAGGGCGAATTTTCAGTTTTAAGTTCCGGAGAGTTATCATACTGTTCTTCAATATTAGCATAAGCTATGCCATTAACCATACATGATGATATAATCAATTTATTTTTTGTAATAGTCCCAGATCTATCAGTCAAAATGTACTCGACTTGTCCTAGATCTTCATTAACTTTACTAGAATGAAAGGTAACTCCTTTATAATATTTCGAAATTCTTCAAATTTGGACAAGCCGAATTATAGGCAAAATTAGGAATAAAAATATAGGCACATGCTTGTTTAAATTAAACGCAATAGTCATAAATAGTGATAACGCATTGTCTCCATATTTTGTCCCATAAGCAAGAAAATTAACTAAAAATGATATCAAAACCATGCAAAAATAAAAACTCCCAATCCATAAAACTCATATATTTAACTGTTTTTCTGTATTGGAAATATTTGCCCGGTTTTTTATTGAAATTGATACAGAAGTTTCATAGCCTGTATATATCACAACCCCTAAAATTCAGGATGTCTCTATAATATGCGACCATTGCTGTATAAAATTGTCTGGATTTATTTCTGTTTGACTAGGGTTTATACTCATTTTAAAAGTTCCGCAAATATCATTTGAAGAAGAGTCTGGGATCTTGATTTTCGCATTAATTCTATTTAAAATGGCAGAAGCTTCTTCAATATCATCTGTATCAAATAATCTCTGAGTATCTTTTATAGGCTTTTTTACTTTAATGTCTGTGCCTCCGATTATCCCAGCCCTATCAATATAACAGACTTTTTCTTCTTCTCCGATACAAATAATAAGAACATCTGCTGGGGCATAATCATTTTCATTTACTCTCGCTAGAAGATTCATTTTTTTAAAAAAAATTATAAAAATATTTTTTAAAGTATAATTGCATTTTAATTTAGAAGATATATGCTTGAGAATGCTAGCAATTAACTAGCTAGAGGTTTTGCTATGATATTTATTACATATATATCAAAAATATGTATATTTCTATAAATGTCATTTAATTTTCTAGAAAAATTGATTTTCCCAATGGCTTTGCTAGCACACTGATGTTAGTAAAATAATATCTCCCACGCAAATATTCTTGCTTTTTGTTGGCACGAATTGAAATCCATCTCATATTTCGAACAATTTATCATTCACCGATTTATCATTTTTATGATTTTTCACATCTCTGCAAGCATCAAAGATACAAGTTAAAATTATTAAAAAGACTATAGGAAATGCTGAAGTTCAATCTCAGGAGTATGGATTTTTGATTAATTCAGAAATTGGATCTATGAGATATAGGTAATAGGCATAATTTTGAAATTGCTCGGATATATTTTTAGGGAAGAAATTTCATAAAGTGTATCGTGATGTCATTACTAGGTTTTTTGGGTAGCCTTTGTTAGGACTTTTGGAGCTGCCAAGTAAGTGAATATTTCTTCAGTTTTCAATATTTTTGTTTTCTTGATTTAGGTTGGAATTCTTAATTAAACTTATATTAGAACCAGGCTCCAGATTTACCTGATATAGTTGGATAAAGTTTCACTAGCTAAACCAAGCCCCATACTAATAAAATTATTGACTTAATAGCTCAGAATTAATTATTTAAACTGTACTTTATTTCTGCGCCTTTTTCATAAATTTTCAAAGATTTAGTTCATGTTTCGAGATATTTTTCTGAAATGAGACTATCTTTTAACGATTGTATTTCAAATAAATTTATTAAAGATAGGAAATTTCTTAGAGAGAACTTATTCCGAGGACATTATTATATTATGCTAGGTTGGAATTCAATGACATTGGTATAATAGAATAAGCCTCTCAAATATTTTTACCTCAATTTATAACATGGAGTAGTTGCATAAGGTTTTTGAAAAATCAAAGGAGCTAGAATTAATTTGAAATATCAGAAAATTTAGTTATTCGTGCTAAAGAATTAACTTTCCAATTAAAATTTTAATTTAGATTGCGTGAAAAATTATTATAGCAATTTTTGATACAATAACCAAAACTGCTGGATTTCTATACGTGATAACTCATTTTCCGATTAATTTAATTCCTGACAATTTTTGTGGTTAAAATATAATAATTTGCATATATTATATATAATGTAAAATTAAATTAAAATGTTTTGCATAATTAAAATTTATTCGCTTTAATATTTATAGAACAATATCGAAGAATTTGTATTTAAAAGAACAGTGATAAAGATTAATGCAAGTATCTAGCACTGCCTATTATGATTTGTAATCTTGCCTAGATTTTATCTTTTCGAGTGCCTCATGAAAAAAGCACTTATAAATAATTTTCTTTTATAACTTCTCCAAGAGCTAGCCAAACTATTGGAAAATTCTCTAATTTTTAGGAAAAAACCTCTGTTAGCAACCAAAAAAACTATTTATAGAAAATATAAGTGATAGTTATTATAATGAAATCTTAAGCTCTAAAATATAAATTTTATTAACTGAATTAGTTTTTCTGTTCAATTTTGTGATTGGGTATATTTTGTTTTCTTAATTAAAATGTTTTAAAACAATTAACTCTCCCTATGAGCAAAATTTTCTTTACTCGCTCACAAAGGAGGGGTAAGCAATTTTAAACTGTTTTTTGTTGTTTTTTGAATATTTTATAAATTGATAAATTTATCAGTGATTTTGCTGCTAATATTTTAGCTACTTTGGCTATTTGCCTACTTATCACACAAATTCAACCCTTCCTAAAATAATTGCTCATAGATGGAAAGAAGATTAATATGGATAAAAGCCATTTTATCATTCCACTTGTGGGCGAATAATGATTATAATAGTTCATAAAGATCAACAAATTTAATAATATATTATCATGCCTCTAAATCCCTCAATTTATAATAAATAAATCGCATTTTTTTGTTGTTTTGGGTAATATTAAGTGTCGAACATAAGCTCATAATCACTGATCATCGCCTTGTCTCAGCTACAAGTGTCAGTCAGTCTTCATAAAGCTTGGAGTTTAATGAGGGAAATGTAAGGCTGCCATCTAGGATTTCCAATCTGAATCATTTGTCCAGAGCCACCTTCTGTAAGATACCCCGGTACTAGCAAGGAAAGACCATGTGGTAGGCAAAACCTGTCTACTATGGCTGCAGTGACTGGAAAACTCCAAATCTTCCTGTTTACAGGCTTTCCATTAAGATGATTTGCTTCGATCACTAGAGCACTTTTGCCATCCATCGTACCGGTCTATCTGCTCTATTAGACACGCGCCTCGGAGTCCTTTTTCCATCAACATCACCATTTTAACTCTTTGTTTTGGCTAGTATTAATATAAAAATATTAAATTAATTAAAATGTTAAGATGCCTAACACCACAATCCCAGTAAAGGGACAGAGCCACCCTCATGAGCGAACAAAAAATTTTTTTGATATATGAATGATAATTAGTATAATGAAATCTCTAACTAATCTGTTTAATTTTAACGCCAGGATTGGCCATACTCCTGTAAAATACTCCTGCAAAATACTACTACTCTAAAAAATTAGATAAATTGTATATTTATGGGAAAAATAATTTCATAATAATACGGAGAGTGACGAATCTAAAATTGATGAATCTAATTGTAAATCATTTGGAAAAACTTTCTCGAAGGAAGAAGATGAAGAAATATCTTCTGACGATAAAATTTGCCCTGAAGACTAACTTGAAATTAACGAACTCCTGCTAGGTTTAGCCTGAGATCGACCACTAAATTAAACGATTTTGAATTTTTCATGGTTGGCAGCCTTTGTTGACATGCAGTAGGGTAGCAAAACTCTTCGATAAACGAGTTGCGTGCAGCCCTCTCCAGGCAGAAGCAACCTATGCAATGTGTGAAATGCGAGCTGGCAACCAAGCGGGAAGCGTTAAGGAAGGATGCAATCCTTCGGGAATTACAGCGTTTTTCTATAATTTAGATAATATTATTGCTAATGATATAATTCTTTGTTTCTTATTAATATAATCTATTGCACATATTTCTTATTGCTCAAGGCATGTGGGAAATTTCCTCACATTTTAAAAAAGTATTCACATGTGAGGTCTTACATAAATTCAGGCTTCACATGTGGAATATTTATTGGCATGTGGGAAATTTCCCGCGTGCCTTGCACATAAAAAATATGTGCAACAGATGATATTATTTAAAAAAATAATTAATGCAAATGACATAAAAATATAAATTACAATTATATATTAATATTTAACAAAAATTTCATTAACTTTTAGTTTGTTGACTAAGAAAAACAAAGATCGCTTGCACTCTAGGAAAAGCCTCTTCAAGCAAAGAAGTGATTATTGATCTCATTAATGCGGGAATGGACATTGCTAGGATCAGTGATAGATTCCTCGAAATTGACAAGCAAACTGTCTTAAACAATCTAAGGGACGCGATGAAAGAAACAGGAAAACACGTAGGCGTTATGCTAGGGCTCAGAGAAAGCGACTTAAGACTTGGAAACTTTAACTCTAGTATTTCCCTTAAACTCAGAAAAGGCGATTTTGTAAGGATTTATAGCTCGAATTTACTAGAAATTAAAGGAGAGAACATAATCCATTGCAACAATAAAGAGTTCCCTAACCTCGTCGACCCTGGAGACAAGCTTTTAATTGATTTTGGAAAAATTGTTTTTACAGTAGAGTCAATTCAGAATACTAACAAGCCAAAATTTCCTTCCTCTCTACAAATTTCTCACAACGGAGGCACTTCTCATCATGTCCCACAGGTAAAATCCTTTGAAGAGAGATCAAGCTCAACTGATCGTCCAAAGCTCTATAAATCTGACTCTTTAAACATTATTCGCCGACCTAGACGTCTAACTCCTCACATCCCCAAATCCCAAAGAAAAGAAAAAATCGTCTGCTGTCGGGTTGACCACGACTGTGTCCTCAGTGAGCACAAGCCTTGCCACATCCGTCCCTCCGGCTCCAAAAAGCCACCAATAAGCTGTGCGAATGATATTTACGATTTCGCTGACATTAGATGGGCATGTGATAACGATATAGATTTCATCGTCTACAAGCAGCTAAGAGACGAAGAAGACCTGCACGATTTCCACAACATTCCTCTGCCTAACGTAAAAAAATTCATAGGGATCCAAAACTCATGTGCTGCCCAAAACTCAGAAGCTCTCATACAGGCATGTGACGGAGTTATGATAGGAAGAGGGATGTTAGCCTTAGAGACAAGTTTAGCTGACGTATGTACAATTCAAAAAGAAATAGTAAAAAGATGCAATGAACTGTCTAAGCCAGTCATCATCTCGACGCAGCTATTAGAAACTATGGTACATCAAAAGCATCCATCTAGTGCAGAAGTCACCGATATTTCGAATGCAATTTTAGATGGATGTGATGCCTTATTGCTGACTGGTGAGACAGCATATGGCGATCATCCAGTATTAGCTTTACAGACTTGTGAACAAATTTGTCTGGAAGCTGAAAAGTACCTTGACTATAATTTTCAGTGTGAAAAAATTTTAGAGACTATACAAAGCAGTATTACGATTGCGGAAAATGTCTGCTATTGTGCAGTGAGGAGTGTGCTGGCGTTGAAGGGGAAAATTATTATTTGTCAGACGAGGTCTGGGAGAACTGCACAACAGATATCAAGGTTTATGCCGCCTTGCTTGATTTTGGCACTGACGAATTCGCCAAAAACCACTAGGTTTTTGAAGGCGGTAAGAGGAGTTTATCCGTCTATGGTGGAAGATCCTCAGAAACCACTGATTGAAATGTAATGTTTATGTAGAGCTATTGACAAAGCGAAAGAAGTAAATTTGGTAGAGCGCGGAGATACAGTTGTATATGTAGGAGGCACAAGAGACACATTTGACACTGAAACGACAGCATTCAATATTATCCAGATTTCGTAAATAATTTTTATGCTACTTAACTTATGATGTTTTTAAAAAATAATGGGAGTTTTTGCATCAATTATTTTACGAATAAAATTTCAAAAATTAATTTTAAGTAGAAGATTCTGGAAAAATTTGCATTGCACTTATTAATCTAATTAAGTACTTTTTACTAACAAAAAATATATCTCTATGCCTATTCATCAATTAATAGCGAAAATTATTTAAAATCTTGTTTTTTGATTTTTTTATCATCCTCTATACGGGAATTCTCAGAAAGTTATCAATTATTTCTTTTTGAATGTGGAAGAAATAAATGTCTTCTTTGACCCATCACAAAGTTCTACGTACCCCTCTCCACCCTCCTTTCCCAAGCCACCTCAAACAAATCATGTTTGGAATGGGCTGCTACTGAGGCGCAGAAAAAGCTTTTTGGCAGCTCAATGGAGTCTATACAACTCATGTGGGGTTTTCAGGCGGACGTGTCCCGAACCCTACTTATGAGCAAGTTTGCAATGGAAGGACAGGCCATAATGAAGTGGTTCGAGTTGTTTATGATCCAGCAATCATAAGCATTTGGAGGCTTCTGAAGGTTTTTTGGGAAGGTCATGATCCAACACAAGGAAATAGACAAGGAAATGATGTGGGTGACAATTATAGATCAGCTATCTATACGTATTCTGAAGAGGACCTAAGGATTGCAGAAAGGTCTAAAGCTGTGTATCAGGAACAGCTGAAAGCAAGGAGATTCGAAAAAATCACAACTGAAATTAACATGGCTGAAGAGTTTTATTATGGGCCAGATGACCACCAGCAGTATTTGCATGATATACCTTGGGGATATTGTGGGCACGGACACACTGGAGTGCATTTTGAATTTGAAGGGATTTAAAATTATGAAAATATTTATGGAATTTTATGGTCTTTACTCCCCATCCCCCTTCCCCTCCTTGAGTGAACAAAACCATTAGAAAAATCGCTATTTTTTGCCCAAAAACCCACCCTCCGTGAGTGAACAAAAATTTTTTAATAGAAAAATTTTTATGGGAAACAAAATTTGATATATAAATGGTAATTAGAATAATGAAATCTAGAGCTAATTCTGTTTAATTTTAAACGAATTGCTTTTTAAAACTAAATTTTATAAATTATATTAATATTTGCTTTCCATTTTTGCGAATTAGGATTTTTTTAATTTTGAAAAAAAAAATATTTTTTATAAAATTTATATATAATTTTTTTTAAAAAAAAATTAACCCCCTGGTCAAACCTGGCTGGCTCTATCAGGCTCTATGGCTCTATCTGGCAGTAAGGCTCTACCTGGCAGTCTGGCAGTCTGGCAGTCCGGCTCTATTGGCTCTATCGGCTCTGTCAGGGTCTACTGGGTCTACTGGGTCTACTGGAAGTCTGGCAGTATGGCACTACTGGCTCTACCTGGGTCTATATGGCAGTCTAACTCTACCGGCTCTACTGGCTCTACCTGGTCTATATGGCAGTCTGGCTCTACCGGCTCTACTGGCTCTACTGGATCTATATGGCAGTCTGGCTCTACCTGGCAGTTTGGCAGTCTGGCAGTCTGGCTCTACCTGGGTCTACTGGCTCTACCAGGGTCTACTGGCTTTACTCATTAAATTCCAATCATGTTTATAATCTAGATATCTTTTTATAAATAAGGAAGGCCATTTGCTCAGATAAAATAAGGTGCAGCCAGCTAGGACTCTTCACTAATTGCAAATATTATTATGTTAAAATTAAAAAATCAGTTGTGCTATAATTGTTTTATAACTATAGATAAATCATAAAACAATTCTAATATAAAATTTTTTAACTCTTATGACTGAATCTTATTATCTTATTCGATAGACGGGCTCATGCCCTTAATTTTAACGCAATCACAAGGATCCCTTGGGGGATTCACCCGCTTTGCGACCTTCCTTCCGTCCAGTCTCCTCCTTGCCTCTTGTAAAAGGCTCCAGTGTTGAGTGGGCAGGCTATGGGTTTGAGCGGCCTCCTGAGGCTGTGGAATACGAGGTTGGCATTCCGAAATCCCAAAAAATGAAATTTCTGGTAGCCTGTCGGCAAAAGGGTTAAATCCAGATCCTGGGACGTAACGCCCAGTTTCACGCTAGGAGTTGCCCGATTGGTCTAGGAATTATCTGTAAACCTTTCTGGGCTTGCCCTTTCCAAATCTGAACCCTCCTTTCCTTCGAGGTAAAAACCAGTCTCGAAGTTGGACTTTGGGCTAGTCTCTGCCTCCTGCAGAATTGATTACCATAGCATTACTGTCCTTTTCAAGGCTAGAAAAACCTTGTCGGATATAATTAAAATATGAGTCGAGGATGTATGGCCGTGAGGCTATATCTAGACGAAGACGCCATATTTTAATTATGATTTCACTGTTTTCAGTCTATTGCTAATAAATATCTTTAAAATTTTGATTTAAAATGATTCTGTAGTAAATAATATTTTGTTTTTGGTAGAGCCTTACTGCCAGGTAGAGCCAGTAGACCCAGGTAGTCCCAGACTGCCGGACTGCCAGACTGCCAGATAGAGAGCCATAGAGCCATAGAGCCGGACTGTCAGGTAGAGCCATAGACCCAGATGGATCCGGACTGCCAGACTGCCAGGCTGCCAGGTAGAGCCATACTGCCTGGTAGAGCCGGTAGAGCTAGTAGAGCCTGACTGCCAGACTGCCAGGCTGCCAGGTAGACCCAGACTTCCAGACTGCCAGACTGCCAGGTAGAGCAATAGAGACAGACTGCCAGGTAGAGCCGGTAGAGCCAGTAGAGCCGAACTGCCAGACTGCCATATAGAACCAGTAGAGCCTTACTGCCTGATAGAGCCAGTAGAGCCAGCCAGGTTTGACCAACCCCCCTCCTTGAGTGAACAAAATTTTTTTGTTCACTCACGGAGGGGGGGAGTTAGAATTAATTGTTTAATAAAAAATAAATTATTTATAGTTAATTTAGGGATTAATTCTGGCTCCGCAAAAGTATCCAAATATTAGGAAGGTTTGAAAAATTTCTAGAAGTCGTTTTAGCAAGAAAAGTATTATGTCTGTTTTCGACAAGAAATAAACTTTTAATAAGAAATTGTGAGGATCTCTAATGGTTTTATTTAATAACATAAATGCTATGCTTCCATATGCTTATATATTTTTGCGGATATTCAGTGAATTCGATCATTTAATCTATAACATAAAATTATTAAAAATCAGCTATTTATAAGAGCTGTCTAGTTAAAACTAAGCCAGGGATGCAATAGTGCATCCCTCGAAGTGATTCGTTCTTCAGGTTTCAACCTTAAGCACGCTTCTATAAATTCTTTCAGCCCAGTCCCTTCATACTTCGGCCAATGTCTTTTATGAAATGGAATCGGTTGCCCCGGTGTTCACTTCATTGCATGTGGTGTATACCCGACAGCTAAATTATGCAAAAGTAGCCCTAAGCTCCACATATCCGCAGCAGGCGAAATCCTTGCCCCATCATTAACTTCAGGCGGAACATACTTATCAGTCCCACATTTTTTTTCTATCAAAGCATATCCAGTTTCATCTACTTTCCTACTAAGCCCAAAATCACAAATTTTCACTAAAGGATACTCATCTTCATCTACGTCTGTATACAATAAAAGGTTTCCTGGCTTTAAGTCCAAATGGATTATTCCTTGTGAATGCAAATATTCTAAGCCCTGTATGACATCATAAGAAAAACTTTTCAATTTTTGGACTCCTCCATCAGGTTTTAAGTTAAAAGGCTTGTTATTTACCTCAATTCTGTCAGTAAAATAAAGGTAGCCAGGTAGATATTCAAGCAAAAGGTTATAGGCGTCTTCAGTTTCTCCTGAGTCGTAAAATGTGACGATGTTTAGGTGTCGGATGGATTGATGGATTTCGATTTCTCGGAGCGCTGATATATTTTGGGCATGGGAAAGGATTTTGCACTTTAAAAGCTGCTTTAAAATCAAGATTGCGTCGGTTTCTGTATCTTTTACTAGGAGAATCCTAGAAGGAGATGCAGGCTGGTCGTATATTGTGCTGAGGATTTCATAGCGAGGATTTATTATGGTTTTGCCTTCTGGAGAGGTGACACATATGCAATGGCTGATGGGAGATGCTAAATCTGGGGATTGAAGCGACCTTTTACGCTTTACTTTAAATTCTTCATGGGGAGATTCAGTTTCCATATAGTTTATAGATCATTTATCTTTACTGAATGTGGATAATGGAGTGTGTGTTAATTAAAATTGAGATATCTTTTAAGAGAAAGCATTTTAATAAAAAAAATTCAAAAAATTATCATGAAAATGCTCTAATTATAGGCTAAGTCATAAGATAAATAATATCGTAACCTTTAGATTTAAAAATATTGAGCATATGAAATATATAATCTTGATAAGCTGGGGATGATTAGTATTGATTTGTACTAGAATTTTTATAAAAGAAATAGATTAATGATTATTGCATTTAAAATAAAATATCAAAACCAAAATAATGATACATTTTCTGCTCCTTAATCTATTGAGAAAAATCGAATAATAAAGATTATTTGTTCTCTTTTTCAATCAAAGCATAATTTCATATTATAATTTAAATTGCTTGAGTTTATCACTTAAGTAGCATCTCTTAAATATATAAAATAGTTATTAATTATCTACAATATTTCTTTGCGAATTAACTCCATTTCTTTTTTTGCCATATTAAATTTATATCAAAACATTTGTGATCTTGCAGCAAAGCTTGCATAAATATTCCCCATATAGTTAGTAAATGTGATTTCACAAGGTGTTTCACTAATTCCAAAATCACTATTACCAATGATATTTCATTTAAATAGGTTATTTTCTTCACTTTCATAAATGAAGCTAAGGTAAAGTGTATTAGGATTAGTTAGTTTAAGAGCCAAATGATCCACCATATTGGCCACTAAAAATGGTGACGTAGTGGGTCCGTCACCACGCCGGTGAAGTTCCAGAGATTTTCTTCCGACAACTCTTCCAGGGGAGATTTGATTATTCTTTACTCTCCTTTTCAGGATTTCACTACCTGTTCTCCTACAAGAGTAGGCTTTTGTTGTTCCCAACGACCTTCTGTTCACGAGGTCTAAAGTCATCTCTGCCACGCAGCCAGGAGAAAAAGCCGAAGCAGAAAAAACTCCTGGGAAAGTCCTTGGCACCAGTGCGACCTAAATCTTTTCCCAGGCGACTTGTAAGACCACCCAAACTGGGGAAAAACCCGGAGCAGGGCATTTCAGCCTGCTCCATTTTTAAATGTTTCTTAAATGAAGCTGTTCTGCATTCACAGAAAAACCCTTACATTATCAGTAAAAATAAATTTCTGTGCTGGTATATTTTCAAAGTAGTCAATTACTGAATAATTCTCAATAATAAGATCATATAAATACAGGCTAGAGCTTTGATAATCAGACACTAGGATACAGCTCTTATAAAGGGCTAGAGATAATTTATTATTTAATGGTGGAAAAGTTAGACTGGATCATCTCTTTCTGACTATGTCATATTTCATGCAGCCAGGACTCCAGAGGTCTCCAAACTGATACAAGCAATTTTCATAAAAAATAAATCTACCACTTCTACCGTACAATCTGTTTTGGTTAGCAAAACTAATCAGCTCTCTGGTCAGTTTAGTCTTTAAATCCATCAATAGCACGTTGTAGCAGTCTTTAAGAGGCCCTATTATGAGTAAGCTTGAGTTTGAAATTTTGATAAGGTTTGTTACTCTTTCTAACACTGGCTTATCATAGGATCTAATTTTTATTAATATTGTAGTTGTTATTATATCAGAACCTATATCATAAATATAAAGCTCTGTTCCATTCATAGTTTCTGTAGCATTATAAAGATAGTTGAAATCTATTGTAAGAAGATCATGATATCTACGATTATGAATTTTTAGGAGTAACTTGTCTAATAATAATTGAATTTTTTCACATTTATTGGCAAAATTTGTATATGATAAATAAATGATGGTATTTGAATTAATTTTTGAAAATATATATCTGTCATATTGGTCGAAAGTAGAAATCTCAAGAAGTTCAGATCGAGCTTGACTGTGCTGATTAGGGTCATTTATAATTGAAGATGAATGCTTTTGAATATACTTGCGAATTTGGGAGGTTTTTTCTTTCATAATTAAATTCGCCAAGTAATCTTTATTTTCGTTTACTTCTGTTTTAATGATTTCTCTTGCTGAAGGTTTATTTTCTATGTAGATTTCTCCTTTATCAAAATCTGAAATTATTTCGTCAATTCGATTTATACTTGCTTCCAACTGACCTAATTTTGTTCGGAGCATGTCTTGTGGGGACTCTTTAAGACTTTTTGTCAAAGTAGTTTCATAATTAAATATGGCTTCTCAGCCTGGGCCTCCCGACTATGAACTCTCAAAGCACATTTTTAATGATGTCTGGTAAATTTGCCAACCCAGTAATGGACAGCTATGCTAGGTAAGCAATTCCAACATTGTGTGGGGCCTGAGAGTTGGATTTATCCCATGGGAAAGGGAAGCTCAGATGAGCATACAGGCGATGCTTATGCCAATCGGACTTCTCCAGTGTGAGGCCAGGAGATACATCCTGGTCTTCAAGTTTATCAGTTTTACCCAAAGATAGCAGAGAATCTTTTTTTGAATTTTCTGTGCAAACAATGGTGAAGAAAGTAGCAATCTATTATCCATTGAAGAGGTAGCATCTTTCTCAAGTGTGCTGCAATTGCAATCAAAGCAGGCTGGCCTGGCAGCCTACCAGACCTTTCATGCAAAGAAAGCGAAATAGTGGATGAAGGCGGCCCATAGTTGATGTAAGTAATTAATAATATAATCTCAAACTATTTTTCATTTCTATCATTAATGATTTCTCTTTATTTAACTCCCCCCCCTCCGTGAGTGAACAAAACCATTAGAAAAATCGCTATTTTTTGCCCAAAAACCCACCCTCCGTGAGTGAACAAAAATTGTTTATGGAAAAAAAAATTGATATATAAATGGTAATTAGAATAATGAAATCTAGAGCTAATTCTGTTTAATTTTAAACGAATTGCTTTTTAAAAATAAATTTTATAAATTAAATTAAATTTGCTTTCCAATTTTTGCGAATTAGGATTTTTTTAAATTTCGAAAAAAAATATTTTTTATAAAATTTATATATATAAATTTTTTAAAAAAAAAAAAATTTAACCCCCTCCGTGAGTGAACAAAATTTTTTTTTTCACTCACGGAGGGGGGGAGTAAGCATTTGAGAATTTTTTCTTTTCCTACTGAAAAACTTTGTATCTTGTGTAAATTGCTGGCTTTTAGATGGCTACTTTTATGGTCTTTGCACATCATTGTTTCTGGAGCTGTGCAGCTACAAGAAAATTTTACTTGACCTTTGCATGAAGGCATAAAGCATATAATTTTTTCAGTCATTTAACTATTGCACATATACAATAATTAAATAGAAATTTATAATTTTATTAAATAAATAGCTTATATAATACGTAATCATGCATCCAAGATGTTCAGCTTCTAACTGCAATGATTATGCTGAATTATATTGCTTATGCAGCAAAACATGCTTTTCTTGTAAAAAGCATGAGCATAAGTTCTTGGAGAATCCTCACAAACTGATCCCCTTCTTTGTTATAGTTGACCAATCTGATAAAAAAAATTTCCTTCAGATTTTGACTGATATGAAAATTCGCCTCAATAAATTTAAAAACTCCTTACTTCCCACCTCATTTATATTAAAATCATAAAAGATCTTAATTCGCAAGTTTTTTGAAAAGAAAAATACAAAGGTTTATTTATATTTAAGAATGCAAGCTGTCAAGCATTAATAAATTTATTAATTATATATAAAAATACTCTGTATAAAAGATGACTTTTTTTGGCTTAAAAGAGGGTTAATTCCCAAAAATAATTATTTTCCAATGGTTTAGCTCTGTCTTAAAGAGGGAGTTAGAAAAAGAACTTCTCCAAGCCCTTTCAAGTATAACATCAACTCTCGAACTCTCTTTAAAAGCACTAACCAAGCTAAATTATCACTACAATACATTAATTAGCAAGCTAAATCGCATTGATAAATGCTCAACAACCTACGCTTACTGTGGTCTTGATGCTTTTATTAGATCTGATCATCAAGCTATATTAAATGAAATGAAAAACTATGAGATAGACTATGAAAAGAATTTCGTAAAGCCCGTTTTACCTATGATCGATATAGAAATAATTGAAAACCTCTGCAATAAAATTTATGAGTTTTATGATAGGTCAAATACTCCTTTATGTGGAACCTGTGAATATATTTATCCAGGATTGTCGGAAAATGATTGTTATTATGGAAACTGAAAAAATCATAATTCTTCCCTTTGGCGAGCGAAAAAATCTTGCTTGCTAGCCAAGATTAATTTTTAAAAAAAAAATATTTAAAAATCTAATTTAATTTAAGACTAATACGCTTTAAATTAAATAGAATCGCTTGGAGATATTACATATCAAAATATTTTATACCAAAAATTTATATTAAAACTATTTTGCTTAAGAGGAATTAATTCCCCAAAATAGCAATTTTTTTAATAGTTTTGTTTGTTGATAATGGCGCAGTAAGAGAAATGGATATGGAAAATTAATTTGGAAAAATGGGGATACCTATGAAAGGAAAACATTAAAATGGTGGCACGTGCCAATCTGCCCTCTTGGCGCAACAGCCCAAACCTTATGGCGACGGCGAACTGGATGAACTCCAAGTCCAGAATCAAATGCAGACTCAAGAGATATATATCCGGATAGGTTTTGGCTGCTTTCCTGCGGCTGGAAATAGAGGTGCCCGGGAATGTCCTTTGGATCCGAGACCCATGGGCATTCCTCTACCGAGAAACTGGGGGTTTCGGTCCAGACCATCAGGAAGTAGTCTTTTCATGTAGCTGTTGAAGGAAGGCACTTCGACACCTGACAGACTCAAAAAATCCATGGAGTCAAGCTACTCCAATTGCCTATAGCAGGGCCGCAGAAATCCATAAGCACTCAAGACTGAAGCTGCAAGGCAAGGAGGAGACAGAAGGTGCCGGAAGTGGCACCTGTTTTTTGCTGGGTTGGAGTGAAAAGCGATTGAACCTTCCGTATGGAAGTTCTTTGGTGACTGCTTCACCAATATAGCTAACGCGTGTCTTTAATTAACCATAACTTAACCTACGAAGGGGAGTATAAAGATGATATAAGAAACGGAAAAGGAAAATTTACTGAAAAAAGCGGGGCGTTTTATGATGGAGAATATGAAAATAACTTAAGATGTGGGTGAGGTATTTTTGTTAACAATGATGGAGACAGATACGAAGGACAGTTTCAAAATGACAAGAAAAATGGAAAAGGGACATTGACTTTTTCAAATTGCAGCAAATATTGTGGGGATTTTGTATAGCGCCTTTCTTAAGATGGCGCGCAATGCGCCATCACCGGGCCATGTCGGGAGAGGGTTCTCCACGAGGAATGGTTCCACGTGTGGAACCCTCTTTTTGGCTCGTGGAAAAAGAGGGTTTCACACGTGGAATCATTCCTCGTGGAGAACCCTCTCCCGACATGGCCCGGTGATGGCGCATTGCGCGCCATCTTAAGAAAGGCGCTATAGATGATGCTTTTCATGGAGAAGGGACCATAATTTATGAAAATGGAGACAAGTACGAAGGATTTTGAAATTATAATAAAAAAGAGGGTAAAGGTAAACTCACTTTGGCAACAGGAGAAATTTATGATGGAGAATGAAAAGATGATATGAAAAATGGCTATGGAATTTACCAGGACGAAAATGGCAGTTTTGAAGGGAATTTTGTAGATAATGCTAGACATGGCATTGGAAGCATCGTTTTAAATGACGGAAAACGATTTGATGGAGTTTGGGTGAATGGCAATATGACAGGGCCTGGAAACTTTTGTATATTGAATGAAGTAGAAAAGAGATATAAACTTATTTATAAAGGAAATTTCAAAAATCAATTGTATAGTGGAAAAGGGGAAATACACTACGAAAATGGAGATAAATATAAAGGAACCTTTAAAAAAGGTAAAAAACATGGGCAAGGGCTGATAAAATGCAAAGAAGGAGAGTGATTGCAATATGAAGGAGACTGGCTAAATGATTTACCTAATGGCTGTGGCAATTTGAAACTTAGAAATGGAGACTCATATCAGGGATCTATAAAAGACGGCTTATTTCATGGTGAAAATGGTAATTATACTTATAAAAATGGAAACACCTACAAAGGCAGCTGAATTGATGGGAAAAAGAATGGTCCAGGAGTATACCAATATATAAATGGAAATTTTTATAATGGGGATTGAGTCAACAATTGTATGGAAGGATCAGGAATCTTAAAAGATTCATCATTAGGTATATATGAAGGCAGTTTTAAAAATAATAAATTTGATGGACAAGGCAAGATTACCTATAACAATGGAGAAGTTTTTGATGGAAAATGGCTAAATGGCTTAAAATCTTGTGGAGTTTATTTTTATTTAAATCGAGATGTATATGATGGAGAGTTCGTGAACGAAAAGAAAAACGGGGCAGGAACTCTAACATTTGCAAATGGAGAAATTTATCACGGGCAGTTTAAAGATGATGCTTTTAATGGTTTTGGGACTTATTATTGGACAAATAGAGACCAATATGAGGGAGAATGATTAAATGGATTAAAGCATGGAGCTGGTAGGATGAGCTTTGATAATGGAAACTCATATGAAGGGATTTGGAATAAAGGAAAAATTAAGAAAAAAATTAAAAATTCTGCAGGAAATGAATCACCGAAATAAATTTCTTTTATAAACTTTCGAAAAATTTAACATTTATTTAAAAATTTTTATTCTTGAGTCAAAAAGAACTTTTCTTTTTATCATTCTGAAAAACCTTTGAATATATATCACAGCAGCTTTAATTTCTTTATAAAGTCTTGAGCATTGATATCTCCTTAAATTTTTCTGTATTGTAATTGCAGCATTTTTTAATTTTTTAAATCTTCTTCTTTGTAAAAACATTCTAATCCATGCTTGTAGGCCAACAATAGTAACTGATTTTGATTTTTTAAATGGAGTTTTCTTATCAGGGCTCTTTTTTATGAGACTTTTAGCTTTTTCTTCCTCTTTTAAAGGACTTTTTATCACAATATTTTTAGTTTTTTCTTCCTTGTTTAAAGGAAGTTTTAGTATTCCGCTTTTAACTTTTTCTTCCTCTTTTAATGGGCTCTTTTTTAGTTTCCTCTTTTAGTTAGTTAGTTATAAATGGTATTTTAAGTCCCTGCTTCTGCGAGTGACATTCTGCGCAGCCGTCAGGCTGCATGGTGGCCCAAGCAAATAGGATGGACTTCCACCTCTGGTACCTCTGAGCCCATGCCGAAACCCTGGCTTCTCGGTAGTGGTTGCCCTATTGGGTCCGCAGATCGTTGCTGAGCACCACCATTTCCAAAGCAGTCTCTTTACCCCTATTACACCACTCCTACCTCATACTCCTGGCCAGATCGCCCTTAACGGGACCCTTTCAACTTAGCAGACCGCCGTATGATTGTTGACTAGCCTCGCCTTTCCAGGTCATCTCTAGGAAAAACTCAACCGCTTCCGCAATTCGGGGCAGACCACAGTAGCAGCTTGAGCAGGTATGTCGCCTTGCTCCATCTCGGGCGTCCAGTGGCTTGGGTGCTGCTGGAAAAAGGAGTCGCAGGAAAATGCCCAAGAATATATTCACGACCAGCGGGTCTGTGCTTATGCCCATCACTACTGGGATCCACCAAAAACCATGCCCGGATATGCACAGGTTACCGTCACTGGGAGGACGGGTCGGTCGCCGTGGCCGTTTTATGTATATTAGTTTCCTCTTTTATAGGACTCTTTTTAAGATCATTTTTTGCTTTTTCTTCCTCTCTTAAAGGCCTCATTTTACTATCATTTTTTGCTTTTTCTTCCTCTTTAAATGGTACTTTAAGTAAACTCTTAAAGCTTTTCATTTTTTTCTTTTCTGCAAGCTGCTTTAACTGTTCAGCTTCTTCAAGAGCTTTTCTCGCCCTCATCTCAGCATTCCTTATCTTTAATTTAAGGCTTTCTTCAAATTCTTTTCTCTTTTTTAAAAGATTTTTCCACCAATTTTGTATAATAGAAGCTGCTAAATTTTCTTGCTGATGGTGCTTGATCGCGTCTATTCTTTTTCTGACAACTTTTCCGGGCGCTGGGGTTTTAGTTCTGATTTCTTCGAATTTAGGCAAGTTTTGTCTAATTGCGTTCATTTCTATTTGCTTAGGGGAGCCTGAGGAATAATTTAATGGTGCTAACTCCCCCATTTAATCGGAACAAAACATCGATAATATTTGGATTTCTTTGTTACTTTAACCCCTCTACAAATTGAAATTGAATTTGTCTTTCAATAGAAAAAATTTTATTGATGAAAATACTAATTTTATAAAATTAGTTTTGATTTAATTTAATAAGTGTGGAATTTTTTCCGCGTGTGAAAAGGTGTTTTTCACGTGTGGAGCCCTTTTGATTTCACATGTGGAATCCTCTTTCACACGCGGAAAAAATTCCACACTTAGGTGGTAGAGTTCAAAAATCTGCAAATAACGATATAATTCTATATTTAAACAGTTTTCGCACTAAATCGATTTTTTTTTTTGATTTAATTCATCATAAAAATAAATTATAATTCTAAGTATTGTGCTTTTAAAAAATATTTAAGATGAAAACACGAATTCTTATAAAATTAGTTTTGATCTAATTTAATGGAAAGGTACTAGTAGAATGCTGTTTAAACAGTTTTCACACAGATTCGATTAATTTTTTAATTAAAATAAATTAAAATTCAAAATACTGTTGCTTAATTTTATATTTTTTTAAAATTTTAAAAATCTTTATAGAGAAAAATTTAAATATAATTTTGTTTAGGATTTTTTGTTCCAATTTAAAGGGTTGGGATAAAGGATTGCTCCTTTTAGGCTGATGCGAAGTATTTTTTCTGGATTTTGGTGGAGATTTTGTTGAGGCACGCTTAGGCGTTTTTTCAGCAGACATAGACATATCTACATGAGGCAATAAATGTCTATTTGGCACCTTATAACTTTCAGGGCTTGTTTTAAATTTAAATTTTACAGGCCTTTTATAGCTTGTCTGGCTTGCTTCTTGGCTTTGGCTTCTAAACCTTTTTGCACTTTTGGCTCGTGGAGAATCTGCAGCACCGCTCGTAACAGAACTTGCTTGCCCAGATGTTTTGCAGCTGTTTACTTCTTTTCTAGCATCCTCATAGCTTTTTTTTAGTGCTTTTGTTATTTCATTATCAAGTCCCAGCTTAATTTTGCACAAATCAAAGCCTTTCTTAAAGCAGTCCATGGCATCTTTTGTTTGGTTTAAGTACTCATACTCAATTCCAGCATTATGATAAGCAATTCCAAGGCTAGTTAATAGATAAGGGATTGCAGGATAGCTGCCTCTTAAAATGTATAATGATTTTAATGCATGCCTTAAGGCTCTTTCATGTTCTCCTTTTTCAGATATACTATTTTAATATCATTATTCTTATAAAATAATAATTCATCCTATTTATTAGAAGCAAATTATACATAAAACTGAGAAAAATTAATAAAAAACTGTATAAAATTACACAAATATTAAGATGTGTGCTTGCCACATCTCCAACTTCTGCTTTTTTTGCTTTTTCTAAATCAGCAGCTTTAAATAGATAATCAAGAGCTTGCTGCTGTTTCCCAGTCCTCCTAAAAAAGCAGCCTAGGTTGTTATAAGTTATTGCAAGAAGCTTATCTTTGATGTCAGATTTTTTAAGAGAGCGAACGTTAATTAAGGCTTGATTTAGAAAAAATAAAGCGTGGTCATACTTTTCTTTACGGAGAAGCTCCATAGCTTGCTTATTTTGGGCGATAATATTGTCTTCGCTTTCTTTTAAAACCCCAGATCCTGATGATGCAGTGGTCTCATCATACATTTTGAATTATATAGACAACTAAATATGCTAGGAAACCCAGATATTTTATATTTAATCTGGTAATTGCAGGCTTATTTTCTTTTTTCTATTTAAAATAAGCTGGTGAGCAAATCTTAATATCATTAAACCGATCTATATGGATATATATGCTCTATTTATGAATAATTCACTATTGATAAAAGCTTAAAGTATTGCCAAATCAAACAATATAAATATAAAAAATTAATTGATATAATTGATAGATAATAAATATGTACTCGCCCGTCGATGAAATCATTCTTCACGCTCAAAGGGCTTTTGATGTTTGCAGAGAACAAGTATATGACTATGAAGATTGCAGACAATTAGACTATATGGGACAACACCGTCCAGAGCTTTGTCAAAAAGAGTCATTAAACTTATTAAAATGCTACGAAAAGGTTGAAGAAGTTGAGCCTATCTGCTTAGAACCAATGAATAATTATAGAGAGTGTTTTTATAAGTATTCTGGAAATTTATTAGCGTGCGAGCTTGAAATGGACTTGTTCAATAAATGCCAAGAAAACCCGAAATGGTATGCAGAAGAAGGAATAAAGAGGTGGGGTGGGATACGTCCAGACTATGACACTAAGAAAGATAGGCCTAGATTCTAAATAATATTTACTCCATTGATAATTTTAATGAAAATTATTTTTTCAAATAAATAGTCTTAAATAATAAAATAAAGTTTCAGGATTTATGGTAGGATAATCTGCGTTACCATAAAGATCGTTTTGTTTTAAGTGTAATTACACAATATTAAAAATGTCAGTTAGGGTTAGGTCCTAGCTCCTGCCACAAACAGGATGGACCTATAAACCGAGTTTAGTGAGAAATGAAACTTCTTAAGAGTCTCGGCTTGAAGAGAAGGGTCGGTGCTGGCACTGGATAGAGAAGTCGTAACGGGCTTATTAACTTTAACGGTTCGACGGTTAGGCGGTTCACCTACCGTTGCTCAGAGCTGTTAATTTAGCTGAGCCTCAAGTGAAGGGACTTTTATGCATTGAAAAATGCTAGAGTAATTCAATAAACTTTAAATTTAAAAAGTGTAATTATTATGAGAAAACTATTAGATTTATTACATCAAATTTTTGAATTAATAGCAAAATTAATTCGATTGTGAAGTCATTAGTTTGAAGCCATATATGATTATGAATAAGTAAGCAATGTGAAATATCAAAATGATTCCTGAGGCAACTCTACAGCTAAGGTTAAATATTGTTATGCATTCATTATCCAAACAGATCCACACTGTCCCTATTACGTTCCAGCAAAATGATAGAGCCAAAAACGATCCATTTACTCCTTTATATAGGGATTTCCTCTACTTATGATTTAATTTTAATTGATATATTTTAAAAAATTTTTTATTTCTATATTAAGGTTAGTAAATTCATCGGCTTATTAGATATTTTTGATAAAAAAATCATGATCGCAATATATAAAATTAGATATATAATTGAGCTGACAGCAAAAACTTCAAGCCAAAGTCTAACTTTTATACTTTTATCATCGTTTTCCATAAATAGAATGATTAAAATTGAAGCTAATCATGGTATCATAAGCAAAGAAATAAACAAAAGCACTTTCATATCTCTTTGAGATGGATGCTGATATAGCTTTTCCAAAAATGTTGGACAAACAAAATTCAGATCTGAATTGTCTTCTGGAGTACTGGAAGTAAAATACAAGTTTACATCTGTATTTTCTTCAGCCATTTATATTTTTATATCAGAATACTCAAAGAATATTCATTTTTCTTATAAATCTCTAAAAATTTTAAGAAAAATATGTAAAAAACTTTCTGATTCTCATCTTTATCAAAAAATTAAGAATTTAATTGATTTAAATATACCAAAATAAAGAATTTGTTGACTCTAGCATTATATCCACCTTCTCCATCTGAAGTACAGCATAACAATAATATAATATCCTAATGATCCTCCTACAATAGTTACAAAAGGCTTTAAATCTCCTCCATTCGTACTATAATCCTGATATGGAATTCTAATATTTACGCTCATCATCCCTACAAATATCAGTATCGGTATAAAAGTCGTGGCCGCAACCATAAACAGTCTTGTTTGAAAAGCTAGCTTAAATGAATTTTTTGTCAAAGCATCATCAGTAGCTACATCATATAAATATTGTGCTGTCTGGATCATATGAGTATGAGATTTTATCACATGTGACATTTTCTTAGCTCTATGAGCCAGTGTTCTTAAATAGTAGCAAAAATTTATTGAGCCTTTTTTATATTCTTTTCTCTATAATTTTTTCCTATCCCATTATAAAATATTTTCGGCCTAAAATCAAGGCATTAAGAATATCTGCTTAAATCAGACAAAATTTTTGCTTTTGGCTTTATTAAATCCTGCAAATAAACTAAATTTCTTTCCGCAATGGAAGACCTTAATATAAAATCTGATCTTTCTCGAAAGCTTAAACTCGTTGCAAATCTGTTACAGACTTTTCCCTCTTCTCCTGCTAATAAAATATATTCTTCAAATCTGGCAAAAATTACTTCAATAATTCTGTGTAAAATTGCTTCAATTTGTGAACAGCCGTCTTCTTCTCCGATTTCCAGCCTAAGGTTGCTTCTGATTCTGTGGGTCATGAATTTTCATTGCTCATGACCAATATTCATATTTGGGAAATCAGAAAAATTAAGCTCTTTTTGAAAGCATTGCTCAATGCAGTAAAGTGGCTCTGACGCAAATATCAGCATTAAATTATCTCTCAGCAAAATATTTATTTTATTTTAAATTAATTTTTCTGCATAATAGTCCGCATATTCTAATTCATTAAATTTTTATATAAATTAATAATATTTAGTATATTTTTGCAGGCTTATCTAGATCGTCATAATAGCTCGCATCAGAAATCGTCAATAAGATATCCTCATCTAGCTTTGTAATATTATCATTACCATTTCTAAGCATAGCTTGAGAGCACTCTGTCTCTATAAACGAGTCAATATTATACACAAATTTTATATCTTCCAGATAGTCATCACTTTTCATTTGGAAAAGCACTATACAAGGTTCTTCAGGGTGGACGAAATCTTCATAATTCACAACCTCTTCCATCTTCAGCTTTTTGCACCACTTTTCTTTTAGATTAAACAACACAATGCATTCATCAGGTCTCAGCTTCTTATTCAAGACATGAAGTTCTACAGATAAGCTTGAAATTTCCTCAGATTCGTGCCTGTTTTCCATATATTTAATTACACCTAAATTATATCCTTTCCTAGTCTATATTAAATTATCAATTTTTAGTCTATTTTCGGCTTTAGGGTAAATAAAATGATATATAAGTTTTTTAATAAGTTATTTATTACCCAAGATTCAGCCTGAAAAGGATGTTTGTGCATATATAAGACCCGCCTGATGGAATTAAATGAAAGACTTGGGAGAATTTAAGTGGTGCATCTTGGTCCATCTGCAGCTGCCCTGTGATAAGAATGATCATGCTTCCAGGAGTTGTAGAAGGCTGCACATCTAAAGTCAAAATATGATGGACAATGCTTTGGGCTGTAAGAGAGTGAAATTTCCCTATAATGGCATCAGCACCTTTAAATTGGTCTGACTCGAACGTTAGCATAGAGTCCGCGTTGAATAAAACTCTTAAGCTTTCTCTGTTAGTCTGGAAACCATTGTAATAGAACTGTGCGAATTGGAGCCCAAGAGTATTTATATCTGCCATTAAGATTATAGCTGGCCCTATTTACTTTGTAATGGAAGAAAGCTGAACTCAGCTACAAAACCTCGAAGCTCATATAAAAGAGCATAATATTCAATTAGAAAGTCTCTCCCCTGTCAAACAAAAAATTTCAAGCCAATCTTCTGTATCAAGCGAAATGAGGCTGAAAAATCATTATAGAGCTTTCTCTTCAATAGCGCGATAAGGCGCATTCCTAGGTTTTACCGGAGGGTCTTGGACATATGAAAACCTGCTATTCCTTATTCATGGAGGAGACAAACAGCCTAAATAAAGAATTGTGCCTGATCAATCTCGAGAACTTGAAGAGAGGCTGTGTGGAAAATTTACATTTTGGTTCGTCAAATGATCTGACGAGCCAATTCTGGCCAGCACTTGAAATAAAAAATGATAGTTGCCAGAATTTTATTAAATTTCTGATGAAGAGTATGATCAGAATTTTAATAATTCTTTTTGACAATAAAATTCAAAATTCAAACTTTTAATAGAAGATTTAAAGAGATAATTAAATCGTTAAAATAACGTAATGAATACTCTTTACTGCCTTAGGGACACGATGCCAATAATGATTTTCAAATTTTGACTTTTTTCATAGTGACTTAACCATCTTAATAATTTTTAAAAATTGAAACTTTTAAATAGAAGATTTAAAGAGATAATTAAAGCATTAAGTAAACGTAATAAGTACCCTTTACTGCCTTAGGGAGACGATGCCAGTAATGATTTTTATAATTTGACTTTTTTCATAGTGACTTAACCATCTTAATAATTTTTTAAAAATTCAAAATTGAAACTTTTAATAGAAGATTTAAAGAGATATTTTAAGCATAAAGTAAACGTAATCAGTACTCTTTACGGCCTTAGGGAGACGATGCCAGTAATGATTTTTATAATTTGAATTTTTTTCATAGTGACTTAACCATCTTAATAATTTTTTAATTTTTTAAAAATCCAAACTTTTAATAGAAGATTTAAAGAGATAATTAAAGCATAAAGTAAACGTAATGAGTACTCTTTATTGCCTTAGGGAGACGATGCCAGTAATGATTTTTATAATTTGAATTTTTCATAGTGACTTAATTAATTACTTGATCCTGTGCCATTTATTAAAATTCTGATCATACTCTTCATCAGAAATTTAATAAAATTCTGGCAACTATCATTTTTTATTTCAAGCACTGGCCAGAATTGGCTCGTCAGATCTATTTGACGAACCAAAATGTAAATTTTTCACACAGCCTCTCTTCAAGTTCTCGAGATTGATCAGGCACAATTCTTTATTTAGGCTGTTTGTCTCCTCCATGAATAAGGAATAGCAGGTTTTCATATGTCCAAGACCCTCCGGTAAACCCTAGGAATGCGCCTTATCGCGCTATTGAAGATAAAATTCTATATATGGAAAACATCCCTATTACAATGCAGCAAAGGGTTTTACAGTTAAGTAAAGATGTGAAAGACAAAGAAAGAGAAATTTTAAATTTGCAAAGAGATTTAGTGTCACTTGATAGTTATAAAGAGCAAAATAATAATCTTCAGCTGCAAGTAAAAGTATTAACTCCCCCCTAATCCTTGATCGAACGACTCGCCATCGTTCGATCAAGGATGGGGGTTAAAAAAAAAATTTTCGGGAAAAAAAATTTTATATATAAAATAAAAAATATATATATATATATATATATATTTTTATTTACTTTTAAATAAGAGGGTTAAGAGTATTTAATAATTATTTTTACAGCAAAAATTGAATTAATTTCATAAAATATCAATTTTTAATATTTTGATTTATTAGTTTACCCTTTTAAACTGTATAAATTTTAATTTGTTACTTACTGAGTTAAATTTTTTTTTTTTTAAATTTTAAAGAATCTCTGTTTTTAAGATTACTGATTTTTCAAGCCTAGGTTGATGACTAAATCACTTCGGATGGTTGATTCTGCAGCTTTCTGTCGTCTCAAAGCTCTGACAACAACTTCATTAGGTACATCTTCCCAAGCTTTTGATAACTAATATATTTTTATATATATATAAAAATTGTCATGATATGAAAATCGTTCGATCAAGAATAGGGTTTAATTTCCCCAATTTTTAGGGAAATTTTTACATTCAATCGTTCGATCAAGGATGGGGGTAGGGAGTAAGAGAAAAAATTGTTATGTTTGAAAGAGAGATAAACCAAAAAAACTTAGAACTGAATAATATTGAAGGAAAAATCAAGCCACGCATGGAAGATGTAGAAAAAGAGCTGCAAGAGCAGCTTGATATAAACGCGAATCTTCAAAAAACATTTAATCAACTCAAAAAAGAATCTGATGAAAAAACTCATATAATTCAAAGCTTAAGGCAAGACTACACAAATCTAGAAAACACTTATAAATCGACTGAAGATGAAAAAAGAATTTATAAACAAAAATTCAATGATCTCGATGAAAGATATAAAGGCCAAGTCGACGAATTTGAAAGAGCTGCTTCAATTGTGCAAGAAAAAGAACAGATAAGTTTAGCACTAGAAGAAGATAATGAAAGATTGAGATGCGAGCTTGAAAAAGCTATGGACTCATTACAAAAATGCCAGGTAGAATTGAGCTTTATACCAAAATTAAGGCAGGAATTACACCAAAGTGAGCAACTAATAGCAGCTGCTTCTAGGGAGCTAGAAAAAGAAAAAAATTTTAAAGCAAAACTACAGAATGATAAAGAAGAAGCTGAAGAAATGCTGAAAAAAATCACAAAAGCAACTGAAGGGAATGACCCAGTTGAATATATTGAAGAATTATTAAATAAATTAGAAAAATCCAAAAATGATTTAGTGCTGATACAGGATGAACTGAATGAACTTGAAGAACGGCAAAGATATGCGGATAGAGAAGCCTCATATATAGTAAAACTTTTGTCGAATTATTTTGAAAAAATCAGTGAAAGCTTGAAATCAGGCATTTTCTTGTGTGAAGAAATCCCGATGTTCCCTAAAATAGAAAGCGATGTTGAAGCAAGTGTGGCGTTGCTTTATAATGTTTTACAAAAGTGCAAAGTAGAAGCTCAGGAAAAGGTTAGAGAGCAATCAAAAGTTAACCAAACTTTGACTGAAAGACTCAATAAATACGAAAAAAATATTTCCTTGCTTACTCCCCATCCGTGAGCGACAAGAAATTTTTGTTCGCTCAGAATTAGCTAGAGATTTCATTATATAAATTATTACTTATATATCAATATTTTTTCATAAATAATTTTTATATTAAAAAATTTTTTGTTTGCTCGCAGAGGGTAAATTTTGGGCAAAAAATAAGAATTTTTCCAATGGTTTTGTTCGCTCATGGGGAGTTAGAGAAAAGCAGGAAGAAGTAAATGTCCAAATCCAAGAACAAGAGATCTTATCACAAGAGCTTGCTAATGAAAAAAATAGGCTAGAAAAAGAGCTAGAACAAAGGGTTGTCGAGCTCGAAAACTCTGAAAATATCAAATATAAGCTGACTGAAGATTTAGAAGAAGCTAAAAAGATCATCGAAAAAACGACCCAAATTTTGAGTTTTGATAAAAGAGGCAGTAAAAACGAGCTCGATAGCCTCGCAAAAGTTGCAATGATAAGACTTGGAAAAGCTGAAGATGATAGAAATAGACTTTATGAAGAAGTCGAGGAGCTTAAAAAATGGCAGGATACTGCTGTTCAAGATAAAAAAGCTTATGAGCAAAGAACAAAAGAGTATTTATCAAGAATGCAAGAAATGAGTCGACAAATAGAAGGATTAACTGAAATAATTGACCAAAATGAAAAAAGTATGAAAGATGTCTTAGAAAGATATAACGACGCTATTACCCAGCTGCATGAAACTGAAAAATCATATAAAGAGCTTGAAAGTGATAACAGAAAACTTGTATACTGCATAGAGGAATCAAAGAATAATGAAGAAATTCTCATAAAAGCAATCAGTTTTGCAAGTCAGTCTGATGAAAAAATAGAAATTTTAGAAAGCTTGTCAGAAGGAAAAGAAAAATCCAAAGCAACTGAAGAAATGGTCAAGAATTTCAACGAATTTATAGAAGGAATGCAAGAAAAAATATCAAAACAGTCAAATGTTATAGTAGAAATGAACGAAAAAATACAAGAATTAATGAAAACGAGGCAAGAAAAAGAAAATGAGCTTGAGCAGCAAAGAAAACATCGTGATGCCTTAGAGAAGCAAGTTAAAGAAATGGCAGAAAAAATTGAAAATTTAATAAAAGAAAACGGAATTCTTGTAAAATACCAAGACGAAGTCGGAAAATTAGCTAAAAATGTAAAAAAGTTAAAGAGAAATGAAGAGGTTTTAGAGGAAGAGGTTGAAAACTACAAAAAAGTGATGATTGATTTGCAAAGGACTTCAATTGAGCTGCAAGATCATGTAAAAATTTTAACAGCTCAGCGATCAGAGCTCCAAGAAGACAACCAGCTTAAACTTAAGCACATAAAATCCCTTGAGCAAATCGTCACAAGACTTGAAACTTCTCTCTCCCACGCAGACAATGCCAGAATAGCATCTGAAACTTCTCCTAATAAATCTAGTGAGCAGCTAAGCCAAGAAGTCACTCAGTTAAGTGACCTATTAAAAAAATTCATCGATGGCTACGCCTTTCTTGAGTCAAAACTCAATGAAAACTCAAAATACTGTGAAAATATGGTAAGAGAACTGACTGTAAAAACCAGAAAAATCCAGCTGCTAGAAGAAGAAAAGAAAAAAATCGGCGAGCTTGAGCAGATTGTAAAGGATCTTAAATTAAGAAACGAGGCTCTAAATTCTAAGCTAGAAGAATATGAGCTAGCTGCTGGAATTCCAAAAGAAGCCACCCATCCTCCATTACATTCTACAAGCTCTTGAATTCCTTTGAGCTAATTATTAACCAATTACAAGTTTATTTATTTCTAAAATTTTATCGCCTGTGTTTTTTATAAGCAAAGTGTTACCGATAATCATAAATAACAATCCAATAATATATAAAATCCCTGCTCATGAGCTAACGGGGCTGTTTATACAAGAACTTGTATCTTCTGTGCATAGATCGCTGAAGTCTTCACAAATTGAGGTAGAGCTTGAGGTTAAATTTAAAATAAATAGAAAGTGATTACCCAAATTATAATAAATGCAAATTTTCTTTAGGGAACTATTACTATTTTTATATAGTAAATATAATAACGGCTAATCAGCATATTCATCATAAATAGGCCACTAATTCATGTGATAACCCCCATAACTAATCCAAAGGGGAGAATAATTTTGTTAAACCTCAACGCACAAGAAACCATCAATAATAAATGTGGTAATATCTTTATCGAGTTTTGCCATTTGCTGAAATCATTATCATCTATATACTCTTGTACCAGCGCAGGAACTGTCAATAAAATTCCTAGCCCAGAAAACCCTAGATGTAGTATTATCATTTATTATCTATTATTTAAAGATGAAGCTCTATGCATAGGTGGGAGCTTCGGCGTATTAGGATTAAGCTCTTGCAGAGCTTGTCTATCTTTAAAAATATTTCTGTCTGTTGGTTTCGCTTTTAAAGACGCTCTCAGTATAGGTGAAGGCGTCATCACACTATTTAAATTCTTTTCACTACCTACTTTTCCATAGTTTTCGACGTCGTCTCTTCTTCTTGCGCTTTGGTTTCGTTTTTTCCCATCATAGTTAGGTCCTGGGAGCTTGGCTTTTAAAGCTCTTAGGCTTGGAGGTAGCCTGATGGTTTCTAGCATTCCATTATTTTCAATGATTTCAACGTCATTTCTAATATGGATATTTCTGCTAACAGCAGGCATTTCAAGCAATTGCTCACAGGATGGTCTGCTACTTGGTTTAACTTGCAGCATACATTTTATTATGAGATTTAAGTCTGAGGAATAATTGTCAGGCAGTCTTGGGATTTTCCCAGAAGTTACTTTTCGATATAAGCCTTTCATATCTGCAGATTTAAAAGGTGGCTCTAAAGCAGCTAGCTCATAAATGACACATCCAAGTGACCATATATCGCTTTTAGAGTCATATGGCAGATCTTTCCATATTTCAGGCGATGCATAATAAGGAGTTCCAGTTTGGGTATAAGCCAAACCGTTAACTATTTTTGAGACATTTAAATCTCCAAGTTTAACAGCACTTTCAGATGACAGAAAAATATTTGCGGACTTTATGTCACGATGCAGAATTTTCATGTCATGCAAAAGCTTAAGACCAGTGGTGGACTGGTATAAAATATCCCAAATTTCTTGCTCAGAAAAATAGGTGTTATTTTTTTTGTGGTTTTGGATTTGCTGCAATAAATCGCCCTGCTCTGCAAAATCCATATACATTTTAGGGAAAACGTGATAAAAAATAAATAAAAAAATATTTATTATGATGTCGATAGAAAAGAGGATAATTAAGCAGAGGGTTGATGTGCCTTCATCAATAAATGCTTCTTTATATGAAACAATGTTAGGATGGTTGATTGATGCTAATATACGGATTTCATTAAGAGCATTTTGCTTGTCACGGGAAGACATTGAACCAAATTTGATCTTTTTAAGTGCATATATTTGGTTGTCGACCTTTCTTTTTACTTTGTAAACTGTGGAATAAGACCCTTCACCAAGCTTGTTTAAAAACTCAAAATCGTTAATTCCCATTTTTAAATATACTTGAATTTATAGTGAAGCTAAAAATTAATTAGCTAGTAGCATATAAATAATGATTTAAGTTAATTTAATATGATATAAACCTTATTCATATAATTCAGCAATAATTCTGAGCTAAATCATAACTAGTAGCACTTCTTCATATAAATAACGAATTTTGCAATTATATAGCATATTTATCGATACGAAAATTTAACAGTTAAATAAGAAAAACATTATTTAAAGAAATGATAGTTTAATACCATAAAAATCAGCTATCATAGATTAATATTTCAAGGTATCAATCCGCTTTGTTTATTTATTTCAAAAATGAAACCTTAAAAACTATTTTCAAATATATTATCATAAATTACTAGTAAATCACTTAACTATAATATTTAAATAGAAAATTCTAATCAATGCTTGCTTATGCTTACTCCTCCTATCACGAAAGAGCAAAAACATCCCTCCTTATATTTTTCAAAATTAGCCCCTTTTGTGGTCCTACTACACTTTTTAATATAAAAAGTATTTATATAAAATTTTTTAAAAATCGTAATTTATAATTATTATAATCAATTTTCAGGTTGCTTGCATTTTAAAGCATAAATTTATTAATTATTTTAAAAATTTTCTATTAAAAAGAAATTTTATAAAAAAATAAAATTGCCCTCCATAAGATATCAAGAAAATTTGTTCGCTCAAAGGATAGGAGAGTTATTAAAAATCTTTGAATTAATAAAAATAAAAAATATGCTTATTTGTCTAAATCCCCCAAAATAATTTTCAGATGATTGAAAATAAAGCCCAAATAAATAAGCAATCCTTCATGGAAATAAAGAAAAATAGCTTCAATCAAGCAGAAACTCAAACATCTAAATCTTCTCAAGTTGAAGTTGATAAAATACCATTTGATGAGCTGAGTCCTGGGAAATTCAAATGCGGAGTATGCTCTAAAGTGGTCCATAATATCCTTATAAAAGCTCATGCATATTCTCATGCTTCTTTAAATGTAAATCCACCTGCTCCAGCTAAAGAAAAAGAAAAGCCACTTAAAGATTCTTCTATGGAACAGCTCCCTGTAAAGGAAAAAATCAGAAATTTTAAAAATTCTTATGTAGCGGAATTTCCATTAAAAGAAAAAATCATTAAAATAGGCTCAGAAACAGAGCAAAAATCAAGAGAATTTTCAAATAAAACTGCAAATGAAAATGCAAATGAAAATGCAAAAAAAGCAATTAAAAAAGATTCAGAAAAGAAATCAAATCCTATTGAAGCTCCCATTCAAAAAGCCCAAAAAGCCATTAAAGAAGATGAAGTAAAGAAGCCAAATGCTATTGAAGCTCCTATTCAAAATGTCCAAAAAACTGCTAATGCAGATGCTGTAAAGAAGCCAAATTTTCATGAAACTCCTATTCAAAATGCCCAAAAAAATATTTACTCAGATGTAGAAAAGAAGGCAAATCCTTTTGATGCCTCCATTCAAAATGCGCAAACAATTATTAGTGGAGACGCAGAAAAGAAGACAAATCCTATTGAAGCTCCCATTCAAAGTGCCCCTGCTCATATTTCTAACTCCCCCTCTGATTAGCGAGCAAAACCATTAGAAAACCCTATTTTCGGTAAAAATTTATCAATTAAAAAATCTTTTAATATGCTTTTTTACTGCAATATTTTATATAGATTTAATGATTATAATAATGAGACCTCCTTCTAATTTTATTAAATTTAAACATTTGGATTCTAAATTCAAATCTTTTTTTTTATATAATAATTTTTTTAAAAAAATTATCCCTTGGGTGAGGGAGCATAAAATTTGTTCGTTAGCCAAGGGAGGAGTAATGAAAATGCATCAACATCTCAAGCTTTAGCTACTCTTAACCCATGCTTAAAATCCTCTAGGCTTCCTAAAACAGCTGCAAATTTGCTTGACAATGAAGCATTAACTTTGCTAGAAAGAGCAAGATCTCGTAAAGCTGAATGAAATAACAATATGCTTTCACAAGTGGTTTCCCAAGCTTTAAATTTGCAAAACACCCCAGAGCCTGAATTACCTTTGAAGCGCCAAAGATCAATTGAATCAGTCACAGAACTCCTCAAAAAAGCAAAAATGTGTGGAATTATAATCAATCGTTTAACCAAAATTTCTAGCCGAGTAATTTATATAAAAGAGCTGCATTCGTTTAGAATATGGAAGCGTATAAACAATAAATTTTATTAACCCTAATTCATAAATTATGAGGCGACTATATGCTCTCTGTGAATTAAGTGAGTAATTTCTTCTAACTCTTTTATTAAATAGCGAGCAAAACTTCTTGCATTTGAATTTAAAAACTAAATTTTTTAATTTAAAAAAAAATTAGTATCCATTTAATTTTAAAATTAATATTATACGTAATTCCAATAGATAGCCCTATCAGTGGGTGAATTGTCCGTTAAAATTACAATTTGATCCGACCAAAATTATTAGTTTTGGTCGGACCAAATGCGAACTCAGCGGGTAATTCACCCGCTGATAGGGCTATTAAAGGGAATTTTCTATATCTTAAAATAATTATTAATTAAAAAAGATTTATAAATAATGCTACAATTAATTATTAAAAAAATTTTTTGTTAAAAAATGGGGAGAGTAAGCGATTAAGCAGTCCAAAAATATTCCGTCTGAGCTAATCTGAAATCAGCCATTTTTAACCTAAAAAAAATGGCATAAAGCTTTATTCTCTTAAAACAGCATATCACTTCCCCACTCATTTAATTGATTTTGTGGCTCTGAAGGTTTCGCAAAATAAATATATTTTTCTGGCCTGTTTATTTTTGCAGAAAATCCCATATAGCTGACCATATCTCTAATTTCTGCTTCAGTTTCATCAACAGTGTACTCCAGCAATTCCGCAAGTCTATTTAAAGTAATTTTTGAATAATAGCTTTGGACAACCCTGATATTATGCTGATTTATTCTTCTCCTCAATAAATTCCATTTTTCTGGGCTTAATAACACTTGAATTTCGCTTGGAACTTTTCCTATTTCTTTTCCCAATAAAATCTTTATCACATGTCTCAAGCTAGATTCAAGCTCCTCTTTATCTTCAACTCTTCTAAGTAAGTCACTTTGTTCAGCACTATAAGGGACTAACAATAAATTTAAAACCATTTGTTGTAAAGCAGATGCTGCATCAAAGCCTTGGCCTTGGACTTCATAAAGGGTTTGGTAAGACAGCGCAGAGTCCATATAGCTTTTTTGGTAATCATAGTATTGGATCATGAATTCTAAAAATTTTACCTTGGCTGGCTCCATTCCAGGCTCGTCCAAAACTTTTCTATTGACTTTTTTAGAAATTATAAAAAATCTCACATAGTCTTTGAGAGCTAATAGAAGCCTTAACTGTTCCAGCAAATAATTGAGTTTTTCGTTCTTGTCCATAGATCCATAAGTCTCTACTTGGACTTCTTGTAGAAGACTTGATGCCTCTTCTATGTTTCCTTCTTGTTCTTTAAGTTCTGCTAATGTTTTTGTAAGCCTGGCAAACTCGACTTCTAAGTAGATTTTTCCTTCAGAGACTTTTCTGAGGACTAAAAGCAGAGGGTGGCCTTTAGGTAAGGAGTCAAGATAACTAATGGCGAGCTGAATCATGCCTGTAATAGCTTGTTTAGGCTGCCTACGACGTTTAGCCAAAGCTTGGATCCATTCAGCGACAGATTCCCAGTTTCCAGTCTGTCGGACTCTTTCTATGATTTCGCATATGACTTTTTGCGACTCTGAGGCGTTGACTTCTTCAGCTTGTCTTAGCTCTTTTTCCTTTTTCAGAAGATCTTGCAAATAGTCTTCCTCCATTTTACCACTTATAAGACAAGGAATTTTGCAAAAATTTATGAGGGAAAATAAATTAATTAGTTATAGATGAAAATGCTGAGCCTTTTGGACTTTGTTCAGGGTGTAAGCTGTAAAATGTATCGGAGACTCTTGAATGCACCCAGGGAGGGCTCATTACATAAGTAATGAACCCGTCTGTTTTAAATCCTCATTTCTGGACAATCTTTCTAAGCTTATAATAATGGATTTCTTCATCATTTTCTATCAGTATCCCTTGAAATAATTTTTTTAAAAAAATCTTCATTATTTTTCAAAAATCTCTATTTATTATAAAATATTATAAAATTCATATAATTATGTAAGCCTTTAGGATTTTCTATAGTTTCTTCTTCAAACCTGATTTCTATCATATCGTCACTGTTAATTCCTATGACAAACATACAGTCTTCTCAATCAACTACTATTTTATTCTTGATAAAGCTTATCATATCTCTAATTTGCATTTTTGATAGGTTTGTTTCTGGCTTTAAAGGTGGCCGAAAAGTTTCGCTTGGCATTTGGCATTCTTTTATTCATTTCATTCTGTAGGCTTGACTGTCAAATGAGTCAAATGGATCGTCTATTGTAATATAGGCTCGCTTTCCATCAGAAAAGCCTTCGTGCGCTTTTGATTTTTTGGAAATGCCAGGCCATCGGAATTCATTTTGGCTAATCAATTCACGTTTTTCTTTGTTTTTTTGCCTTTCTTTTGAGAGAGCTTCTTTTCAGTTGTTGTAGCTATCTGGCATTCATTCAAAATGGTTCTTAGATAAACTTAAACTTCTAGGCTTCCTTGGCGTCTCTAAAACGCTTCTTGACAATTTCTTCAAATTATTCGTCAAGCTCAACGGCTTCAGCCTATGCGGAAACTTTGACAAATACGTATAATTCCCCGCTTCAAAAGCTTGCTTAATTAAGTCCTGCTCCCTATTGGTATACTCATAATTATTCGCTGACAGCGTCGGCTTATAATAATTAGGGGCAGCCATTTTTTAAGAATTTTTATTATGTCCTTCCTCCCTCTTTCGAAGGCTGTCGCCTATAGGCATGACGTTTATATTTATTCTTGTGAGACTGCATAAGCTCTAATGACTCCATCAGTGAATCCTCCGTACAGTACGTCTCCATTTCCAGACCAAGCCACTGATAAAGCTCCAGGTGATCTAATTCTGGTCTGTCCGTCCTTTCCGAACTTCTCTGGTACAAAGTCATTGATCAAGGTCTTTGAGTCTAAATCCCAGACTTTAATTCCGCTATCAGTAGCTGCAGCAAGCCAATACCTTGTAGGTGAAAATGCCAAAGCATTTACTGATGACCCAGTGTCAAGTTGGTATAACAAGACTTGGTCCTTGATGTGCCAGATCATGACGCTGCAGTCCTTTCCTCCTGAAGCACAGAAGTTTCCGTCTGGAGAAATAGTAATAGAGTTAATGCAGCCTGTGTGGCCAATCAGGTTGTGCTTAAGCTTATAGGTCTGTTGTTCCCAGAGCTTGATTGTGTTGTCCCACCCAGCTGACACAATAAGTGGGTCTTTTGTGGTAGGGGTGAACCTTACTGAGGAAACCCAGTCAGAGTGAGAAGATTCTGTGTCAAACTCGTATTTCATCTCTGCAATGGTGTTCCAAAGCTTGATTGTCTTGTCACGAGAACCAGAAAGGATCTGACGGTTGTCTGGGGACATAGCGACTGTCAAAATGTCTTTGGAGTGTCCTACAAATCTGTAAGTGGTGCGGCCTGCACGCAAGTCCCAAAGTCTCATGGTGGTATCCCAAGATCCGGTGAGGGCAAAGTTGTTGTCAGAGGACAGGACGACGTCTGAAATAAAGTGAGAGTGGCCTTTTAAGGATCTATGAGGGTTAGCAGTGACTGTTTGGATGTAGCCTTGTTCTTGAGACAGGTCAACGTTCCATATGAGGAGTGAACGATCTCTGGAGGCAGAAACGAGAAGGTTGCCGTGCTCTTCATTGCCGGTAGCAAGAGAAGTAACCCATCCATTGTGACCCACAAGGTCGCCAACGTGTCTAAGTCTTTCTTCTTCGTTGCTTCTCATCTGCGGTCAAAATTAATGCTAAAATGGTGGAATGACTATATGTGGCAGATGGCAAAATTTTTGAATAAAAATTTGGAATAGAGAAGTTGTGTGAGATTAAATTTTATTATAATATAAGGAGGGATTAACGGTCTGTTAATTTGTTGGCGTGATACAGCTTTTTAGCTAATGACTCAGATCTCAGCAGGTCTGAGCTGCTTCTTATGTGCCCAATATTGTAAAGTTTCTTTTTGCTGCTGATGTCTTTTTTTTTGTCTTTTCTGGGGGAGGTGTTGGAGCAGCTTGATTTTTTGAGAATTTCAAATAAGCTTGATGCAGATCTCCTATTTATACAGCTCTCTATGAGTCTCATATACCAAATACTAGTAATTTTTATTTCGTATTTATAGACAAAATAATACATCTTTATTGTCCCTTTTAGCTTGGAAATTTCTTTTCACGTCAATCAATTTTACATCAGCTTTGCTAGCAGAATTTCTCCCTTGTGATTTTTCTTCATCTTTAAATAGCATGATTTTTGTTTTCCCGTTATCTTTATTTTTATCATCAAGAATCGGTTTTGCTTTGACTGACTCTTCTACTGTTATTTTCTGCTTTAAATCCAGCTTTCTCTGTTTTCTCCAGTCAAAAGTTTTGAATTCTGGCTTATTTGTGTCAAAATCTTCCTGGCTATCTTTATTGTGCTGCTCAACTGTCTTATAAATTTCTTCTTTAAATTGGTCTTCTATTGATCTTAATTTAAAATCTAGCTCGTTTTCATTCATACTGAGCCTGCTCTTTTTTTTTAAGTGCCTGATTTGTGATTCTTTGTCTTTTAGGTTTTTTTCTTGCTCTTTTATGCTTTTTATGTATTCATTCATTTGTTTTTCTAGGTCTTCAATTTTTCCTTGGTAGATTTCTATATAGATTTTAAGCTGATTTTCATTGCTGAAATGAGTCCTGATTTCTGCTTCTGATTTTTGTAATAAAAGTTCCAGCTTTTCATTTTCTAATAACAGATCAGATATTTCAGATTTTCTGACTTTCTGCTTAAAGTCTAATAAATTCAGAACGGTTGCTTTAAAGTTTTCATAGACTTCTATTGGCCGGAGTTTCTCTAATGTAACTAATTCTTCTTCGGTGACCTCTTCATCATCAAGGCTGCAATTTTCTGTAAAAACTCGTTTTAGCAGATGATGGAACTTTTTAATTAAAGATTCTTCAACTTCCATTGTTCTATTAAATATTTCATACTCCAAAAATTAATTAAAATGAGAAAATAATAGAGTTTTTTAAGTAATGAGGCAATTAATTTAGTAATAATATCTGAAAATAGTAATAAAGGATGTGAAAGTAGTGAAATTATTTATCCTCCCTCTATAAGTGAATAGAGAAGTTTTATAATATATAAGTGATAATTATTATAATGAAATCTCGAGCTAATTTTGTTGAATTTAAATAGATTTTATTAAAAAATAACTTATAACTTAAAGCTCAATTCAGCACTCCTCTTGTTTTTCTCAAGCAAACAAAACATCAATTTCAACATTTGCTTCAATCAAACTCCAACTTCAGCTTCAACTTAAGTATCAATAACACATGGCACATTAATCAGCATCTCCAGTAATTTCCAGGTTCATCTAATACAGTTACTAATTTAAGCTCCTATTTTTCCTCCAAGATGGGCTAGCAATATCTATCCGCCTTCATTGCCTGAGCTTCACCAAACTTCAATAATTATAAGCTCTATTCTTCTGAAAAATCCATTAGGCCATCATATCTTTCCATTTTCATCCCTTCCACAAATTAACAGATTTGGCACAACAGTCGTCATGCTAGCATCAAGTTACACAATTTCTGCAATGACAGTGAGATTTTTGCAAAAAATATCCACTGGATAATTTCTCATTCTTTGGCGCGAAAACACCATTATGTCTTAAAGAAATTATCTTATTAAAAACATAAATTAAATTAATTTTTACTTTCATTGCTTTATAAATTTAAAAAAAAAAATATTATAGCATCTCCATGCTTTAGCCCCTCTCTTTTCTATGTTTCCGGAGACAATCTGGGGGTGTTTTCAGCAGCTTATGTTGGTGAAACTACTCTATCTTGAGGATTTGCCACTTTAATGGTTTGTTTCACCAACATAAGCTTGTGAAACAACCCCCGGTAGCCTCAAGGGATATCGGGACAAGAGGAGGCTAAAAGCGTGGAGATGCTATAATCCCCCTCATTAGCGGGCAAAATTTTTTTGCTCTCTTAGAGAGGGAGTTATAAATAGTAAATTTGATAGAAATAAGCAATAAATTGTTTCAATTAATATGGGAACTGGCTCTTCTGCTATAGAAAAAATCAAGACAATTGGAAATGACTACTTCAGCAAAGGTGAATACTCAAAAGCCATAATTGCTTATACAAAAGCTTTACGTTATGATCCTTATAATCATCTTTTATTAGGAAATCGCTGCGCAGCCTATCTAAAATTAAACAAGCTTAAAAATGCTTTGGAAGATGCACAAGAGTGCATAAAACAATGTAAATCCTGAAATAAAGGCTACTACCGTCTCGCTTTAGTTTTTAAATCTCTTGATCTAAACAGTGAAGCATTATTACTTTTCTAGCTGCCTAAATACTACTCCCTAATGATAAATCAAAATTATTTTTTTTTTTTTTTTTTTATATACTTTCCCATTCCTTATGCTTATTACCTATTTAATGCAGAATATTTAATCTCCGCATATCTCTTGCTTTGCAAGCTGACCCTACTGTATCATCTTCCTTAAATGAACTTGAAAATACAGTCAACCAGCTAGAACGAGGCAAAGCAGTTCTATTAGAACTAGGAAACCACTCCTTAAGACCTACTCCAATCCCATACCTCATAGGAGTCCAAATAACTGAAGTGTAATAATTAAATAGCGCCTGTGGAATAGCTCATGTTTTAGCCCTTTCCTTCGCAAGTGAGCTTTATGTATGAGGAGACAACACCCAAAATCAGTGCGGAATAGCAGGAAGTACCAACAATCCAAGAATTCTGCCTAAATTAATTGATAAAGGAGTAAGGGCTGTTTGTTGTGGAGGCGGCCATTCTATGGCATTTTGCAATAATGGGGAAGTTTATGCATGAGGAATAAACGCATATGGGCAATGTGCATTGCCAGGGAATAATATCCCTGAGCCTACATTATTGAAATTAAATACAAAGATCAAAGCTGGTTCTGCAGGGCTAGGACATACTGTCATTTTAGATGACAAAGGCAGAGCGCTGGCAACTGGGTGAAACAACTGTGGGCAATTAGGTATAGGAAACACTATAAATTCAAGGGATTTTGTAGTTATAGGCGATTTGGCTAATATAAATCATATTTCCTGTGGTGCTGCACATACACTGTTTGTGACTATTAACGGAGAATTATTCTCCACCGGCACAAATTCATGTGGCCAGCTAGGTCTAGGACATCTCCAAGACGTTTTTTCGCCCCAAAAAATCCCAACCGCAAATTCTATATCATTTGCCAGATGTGGGGAAGAATTTTCAATTTTGGTTTCAGCAGACAGCAATGTGTATGCATTCGGCTTAGGAAATGTAGGACAATTAGGAAATGGTGAAAACTCGGTTAACCCTAATATGAGTATTATCACGAATATGCCAAAAATGCTAGGGACTGAATATGCAGCTTGCACTAAGTCACAAGTTTTAGCTGTGACAAGAAATGGGCAAACTTATTCATGAGGGTTAATTGGTGATTATTCTGGAAATCCACCTTCTATAAAATCGCCTATGCTGCTTTCAAGCTTAAAATCACGAGAAGTCAAAGAAATCCAATGCCTTCGTGAGACATTTTTAATATCATTAAAATACACACACCCTGAAAAATGCTTTATTTCGCATATCCCGCTTGAAGCAATTGAAGCGGGGAAAAAATATTCATTATATTTACAACTAGTAAATAATGATTTAGAATTTACTGTAAGTCCTGGTGATAGAATTTCAGCCAAAGCTTTTAGCCATGATACAGGAAATTTAAGCAAAGGGGAAATTATTGTATATTTTGATAATAGAAGATATATAATTGAGCTTAGACTTATTGAAGCTGGAAACCATGACATCTATGTATGATGCAATGGTCTACAAGTAACAAATTCTCCAGCAATTTATACAGTTTCCCCAACATCTTTATGCTCATGCAAATGCTACTTGCCGATAATCAATAAAAGAATTCAGGAAAATAAATTAATTGTTCATGCAGGAGGGGAGTTTATGCTAGATTTTTTGGGGTTTGATAAATATGATAATCAGTCTTCTATAGGTGGAGAGCTTTATATTGAAGATGTCTTTATTGAAGGTAGTGAAGGCCTAGAAAAAAAATTAATTGATTTAGGTGATGGGAAATATCAGCTGTTCCTTAAAGGAAAAAGAGCAGGCGATGTTTTATTAAAAATCAAAGTAAAAGGGCTTTACGTTGAAGCAATTCTTCAAGATTTAGTCATTGAAGATGGAGAGCCAAAAATAGTAGAGATTGGAAAATCTGAAGAAATATCAGTGCAGATTTTACCAGGAGCTGCATATGGACCGAGTTGCATAGTGAATAAACTTAAAGACACCTATTTTGCTGGTGAAAATTTACAATTTTCCGTTGATGCCATTGACTCTTATGGAAACACGACTTGGAATTTCTCTGAGTTTGATATAAAAATATTGATAAATAACAGAAATGTGGAATATAGTAAAATTACAAGTGTTGACTATTGTGGAAATATTATTTCATTCCCGTCATTTATAGCGGGAGATTATCAAATACAAGTAAGCTATCAAAATGAGCAGATTATTAATAAGAAAATTACTATTTTCCCTGGCCCAGTGAGCATCTTAAAATCAATAGTTAAAGGAAATGGCATTGAAAGCTTCCAGATATCGAAAAAGAAAAATGGCCAGAGGTCAATAGAAATCGAGTTTTATGATGACTATGACAACCCTGCAAATCCTGAAAATCTGGACTTTTCTGTCAAAGATTTTAATATACAGTAAAATGGAATGGTGAGCCAGCCTGCCCTCTTAACACCTGTAGCTGTAGGTTCATTGGGAAAGCCGGGGACCTGTTGTGGAAGAGAGGACAGAGTTCAGAAAAGTGCATCCGCCAGGCTTTACTTGGTTCGGTGGAGCGCAAGGTTTAAACCTAATGGTGACCTAGAGTCTCTGACTCTCGGATAGCGAGTGCAAGCCCTCGGCTGTGAAGATCAACAAAGTGGAAGGCCGGTACGGACTGGTAAGCAATCATTGGAGCTTTTTGCGGAAGGAAGTACTGGTCTATAGACTGCAGGGAACTTCTTTAAAACTAATTTAAGTTTAACTCAAAGATTTTAATAAAATCCTATTTTAACCTCAATTTCTCAGTCTTCTTTTAACATTTACACCTGCTCTTACAATATAACCACTCATGGATTTTATACAATAGATTTATTTCTCCCACAAGGCCGCCTAAATTTGTTCCCACTACAAATAAACGCGTGAAAGGACCCAAAAACAATTAAAAAAGAGCTTGAACTTATCATGAAAGCAAAGCTTGAAGAGCAAGAAAGGCTAAAAAAAATTGAAGAAGAAAGGCTTAAAAAGATAGAAGAAGAAGCAAGACTATTAAGAGAACTTGAAGAAGAAAAGAGAAAAAAGGAGCTTGAAGATAAAAGGAGAAGAGAAGAAGAGCTATTGAAAGAAAAACAGAAAAAACTAGATGAGATTGAGTTGGAGAAAAGGAGGAGAATAATGCAAAAAATCAAAAATGAAGAAGTCACAAGAAAAGGTTTCACGATCTAGCTAACTCCCCCCCCCCCCCCTCCGTGAGCGAACAAAAAAATTTTGTTCGCTCACGGAGGGGGGTTAATTTTTTTTTTTAAAAAAAAATTTATATATAAATTTTATAAAAAATATATTTTTTTCGAAATTTAAAAAAATCCTAATTTGCAAAAATTGGGAAGCAAATATTAATTTAATTTGCAAAATTTATGTTTTAAAACGCAATTTGTTTAAAATTAAACAGAATTAGCTCTAGATTTCATTATACTAATTATCACTTATATATCAAAATTTTTTTCCATTAAAATTTTTTCTATTAAAAAAATTTTTGTTCACTCACGGAGGGTGGGTTTTTGGTCAAAAAATGGCGATTTTTCTAATGGTTTTGTTCGCTCACGGAGGGGGGGGGGGGAGTAAGGATAAAAGTAAATAGGTTTTTTTTAATGCAAATTATAAATTTTAAATATTTTTTAAAAAAAAAAATATTTTAATTCAAAATTATTAAAAATAAAATAATTCACCACAAGAAAAAGAGCAACTGAGGCTTTAAGGAAATTTGAAGAACAAAAAGCAAAAGAAGAAAGAGAAGCCAAAGAAAGAAAGAAATGGAAGAGAATTGGAGGAGGCTTTAATGTGCCTTTTCAGGTAGATGATTAATTAAGTAACTTAAAGTGATGCTTTATATGATAAATATTCCCTATCTAACTTTCTATTAAGACTTTCTAAATCTTTGCATAAATCTTCATAGACCTTTAATTTGCAGATTTTTAGCTGAGCAGGGTTAGCGAGTTCTTCACATTTTTGTTTATTTTCTCTTTTCTTACTCGTCCCATTATTGAAGAGCAATTATCTAATAAGAAAAATCCATATTTTTAGAAAAAAAAATCTATTGATTCTATTTTTGCATAAAATTTAGAAGTTTTTAAACTGTTTGATACTAAAATATTAAGGTGGAGCAATTGAAGATAACGGATTGATTAATAAAACCATCAAAGAGCTGCATTAGGCTAGGCATAAATAAGGTAATAAAGTTAAAGATACTAAAATATTAATTAATGAATTAAATTAGATTTTTCACCTCAAATATTTTCATATTTTTGCTTGCTAACAACTGAGGAGCTAGCATTAAGCCTTCTTTTCCCATCAGAAAATACATGATATAAAAATACTGAATTTTTGCTGCACTCATTATAGTCTGCTTTTCTTTTGCTGTGATGTTTTTCCCAGCATTTTTTCCCTTCTTCTAACGAAATATTTATGGATTTTTCTTTCAATTCTTCCCTTCTCTTTTTATAATTTTCATAAAAATCCATTTATATTCTTGAAATGCTTTTATTTTCACTAAAGAGAGCTTTTAATTATTTGTCTTTTGCAAGCAAAAGATTCAATATTTCCAGGACTAGCAGATTCTATACAACAAAGTCATCTTCTCCTAATAAGAATTGAAGAATTGCCGAACCATATTTAAATCTTGGCCAAATCTTAATCTTAAATTATTTATAACGTTTAACGTCCTCTACGGGGTAGCCTTGTCCAGAGCTGCCACCATATTTATCCATGTGTCGGCCCATGGACCTCTGGATCGATCTACTTCGATTCACTAAGGCACGAGTAAGTGCGGTGTTCCGGCTTTGAGGGGCTTTCTGCCGCTACAGGTTTATACGACTCAGCTCCTGCGCGTGTTCCGCCTAAGAGTCACCTTCCTCTGGTGTGCTGAAGGGTAAAGGCCTGAGCCTCTTGAGCGCACTGAGTAGCAATTCCTCTGGCTATCCCCAGAGTTAAACCGCTATTGCTGTGCAGAAGTTCTCGAGGTAAAACCCAACTCCATAAATAAAATTGTTTGAGGGAGAGAAAATTAGCAGAGCTAATTTCACTCGAACCGAATGCCATTTTATTTATAAATCATAGCCAAATCACTGAAATTTGTCAAAAATTCAAGAAAAATGAAATCGGTGTTGAAGAGCTGGAAAAAGCCTTTGCAAAAGCCAGCCACTTAACATTTCAAGGTATTTATGACGAATTAGCAAAATTTATAAGCACAGTTATGAGAGAAAATTTTACAAGGCACTCATCAAAGAATGTGCTAAAAGTATTTGAAGAAGCTGTTGCTAAATCATTGAAGCATTATACTGACAATAGAGATATTGAAATTTGTCTGGGCAATATACTTTCAATGCATAAAATTGCTGCTATTCCAAAAAATGAAAATATTGAAGACGAATTATTAAATTATTTATCAAGAAATAGAAGCTATTTGAGAGTAAAAAAGCTCCATTCGATAACAAGACTTATTGAAGCTCCAGTTAATGTTGAAAAATACAAAGAAATTTATAAAACACTAGCAAAAAATATAAATCGAAGCGATTTGGAAAACTTAAAATCACACAATTTTTTCTTATTGTCAAATGCTTTTACTTTTGCAAATTCTTATGTGCATGGAGGATTATCGCTGAAAACTGAAGAAGGAGAAAATTTGCTTGAAGTTATACAGAAAATTTTTGAATCTCGTTTTCTAAATGGTGAACTAAATGCCTCAGAAGCATGTATTTACTTTACTCCTCCCTTCATGAGCGAGGAAACCATTAAAAAACATTAAAAACAGCTTTCAAGAGTGAACAGAAAATTTTTAATATAAGATATGTAGATAATATTAAAAGATTTACATCAAGAAAATATTGAAGAAAAAGATATAAATATTTTAAAAGAAACTACAAAGGCCCGATTTTATAATTTTGAGCCTAATAAAATCTTAAATAAAAATAAAAATAATTGTAGATAATAATTATATTATGAAATCTCTCGCTAATTATGCTGAATTCTTAATTTCATTGCATTTTAAAACATAAATTTTGCAAATTAAATTAATTTTTTTGCTACTATAAATAAAAATATTTTGGTTCGCTAACAGAGGGTGGTTAGATCTTTTTTATTGGATAATAATCAATATCGAGAATTATCTCAAGAAATTGGATGTTTTTTAATTCAAAAAATCAAAAGTATTGAAGATTCATACTTTGCCTCATTTTTATTCTGTATTGGAAAATTGCCTGAATTTCAGTCCGAAAATGATCTAGTACATAAGATAATTTATGAGAATTTCTTACCCACCGAGAAAAGTTTTTTACTCGTTCGGAGATTGATTTTTATTTTAGGTATTTATATTAACTTTAGAAACTAAAAATTTGCTATTTCTAAAATTTATGTTTTAGAATGCTAGCTATTTTGACTTTAATATAATTTGCAGAAATTTCAATATTTAATCATTAATTAATTAATATATACATAAAATGGCGTATGGCGACCGACCTGTCCTCCCAGTGACGGTAACCCGTGTATATCCGGGCATGGTTTTCAGGAGAAGCGACTTAGCCCAGCAATATCTGGACCCTAGTGGCGACTAGGGGCGAACACAGACCCGCTGATCGTGGCCAGATCCTAGGGCAGTTAGTAGCATCTCCTTTTTCCAGCAGCGCCCAAGCCAGTGGGTGCCCGAAATGGAGCAGGGCGACTTACCTGCTCAAGCTGCTACTGTGGTATGCCCCGAATCGCGGAAACGATTGAGGATTTTATCCAGCAGATAAGCTGATAAAAGGGGAGGCAGATTAGACGACCTAAAGGCGGTCTCTCCAGTTAAAAGGGTCCTTAAATGGACGATCTGGCCACCGGAGACAAAGACTGGCGTAATTCGGGGCGAAAGGCTGAGTTGGAAATGGTGGTGCTCGGCGACGGTCGGCTGACGACCCAATAGGGCAACCACTACCGAGAAACCAGGGGTTTCGGCCTGGGCTCAGAGAACCAGTGATGGAAGTCCATCCTTTTCGCTCGTGCCAGCACGGCTCCTCACGGAGCGCGGAGGAATGTCACGCATGGAAGAAGGGACCTTAAATACATATCGCTAATTATTATTATTATTATTAATCATTAATTAATATATTAAAATATTTTATATTCAAAAATTTTTGAAACAGTAGGATTTTGGCTTGCTAATTGAAGGTGTTAATTTCATTTTCCATTGGTTACAGAAAGGGAATTAGAAAGATTTCCAAAAATGACTAGTATTAATCTAACACTGTCAATCAAACAATTTAATGAGCAAACCTGCTATATTGATGATAGATTGATCCAATTGATCAAAGAAAAAATAGATACAACAGAATTTTCAAATTTAAAATTATTAGAAAAGATAGATTTATGCTTAGAACTTATATCGATTCTATGAAACAATTATGAGAATTATGATACGGAGCTATTAGAGCGGCTTAAAAATATTTTGTTTGAGAATTATGATGAGGCAAATAATGTGCAGAAAACTAAAATAGCTTTATTTTGCAGCATTAGTAAAGATTATAATGAAAAATTTTGGAGGAGCTTTCTTGATGAGACAATAATTCTATCAAGCTACGAGATCAATTGGAATTATCTTTATCTTATTCATGTTTCTTTGTATGACTCACCTTACCTTTATGAATTTTTAAATAAGATTGAGCCTTATATCGATGATATTAATGCATCATGGAGATGGGCTCGAGATAGAGATTTGAGGAAAAGCAACTCGACTAGTGCCCATACACTTATTAGCGATTATTTATTTACCAATTTAATTAGAAAATGCATATTATCAAAAAGAATAGACATCGTAAGAGACTACTATTGCAATTTCTATTTTGATTTTTCAATTCCGTTATCAAAGAAATTGATAAAGATTAATAGGTTTTCAGATTATGTTTTGCCTGCAAGATTTTTAAAACGCTTTAATACAGCGTCTAATAAAAGTTTAGAGATGAAGGGGTGGGAAATTTTGAATATTGGGCCATTTGATTCTGATGAGGAAATAATAGGAAAATTAGATAAGCTAATAGCTAATAAATAAGACTCTAGTTAATGTGATTTTTTGGATAATGCCTTTATTATTTAATACAATTTTACTAACTCCCCAGCTCCGTGATTGAACAAAACCATTGGAAAAATCTTTTTTTTACCCAAAAACCTACCCTCCTTGAGTGAACAAAAATTTTTTTAAATAGAAAAACATTTTTATAAAAAAAATTGATATATAAGTGATAATTCGTATAATGAAATCTCGAGCTAATTCTGTTTAATTTTAAACAAATTGCGTTTTAAAACATAAATTTTATAAATTAAATTAATATTTGCTTTCCAATTTTTGCAAATTAGGATTTTTTTAAAATTTCAAAGAAAAATTTTTTCTACAATTTATATATAAATTTTTTTAAAAAAAAATATTAACCCCCCTCCGTGAGCGAACAAAATTATTTTGTTCACTCACGAAGGGGGGAGTAAGCACAAACTTTATTGATAATTGTTTACTGTAACTGTGATATCCTAAAATTAAACAATTATTTTATGGTTTATTAACTCTTAAAGTACTCTATTCTATAAATTTCCAAAGATTAATCCTATTTTTATTATATTTCAATAATTTATCTGCTTAGCATCCTATTTCCCTTCAAAATTCACTCATCACTCTAAGACCTAAATTTAATAATAAAATCCTAGATTTCCCAAAAAATGTCATGGGTATAATTTATTCAATTTTAAACAAAACCAAAAAAATCTCCAATAAAACCGCCAAATCTTAATATCTATAAAATAGTATAGTTCTTCTCTAGCATGGAAAACAGTACTGTAATCAAAGTCAGCCTTCGCAGACCTTATCCAGCTTTTGTAGCCCACTCAAAAGAAATTCTCAAAGAGCATGGCCACGTGGAACTTCAAGGTTTGGGTGAAGCCAGCGCTAACACTGTGAGGGCTGCCGAGATGCTTTGTTCTCTAGGTTATGCTGACTTGGAAAAGTTCGAGACACTCTCAGTGACTGAGCCTGATCATAAAAACATTGATAGACGCAGAAATAAAGTAGTCGTTGCCTTAACTCGTTCAGCAGGCTTCGACAAAGCTTATAATGAGTTCGCAAATTCTAGAGAAACTCCTAAATAAGTTTTTATTTACTAAAATAAGTTGCTTTTTAGCTAAATTCTTGTCTAATTGGATAGCGTCATTATTTATAAATTAAGGTAAGGATTATGCTTTTTATGGTAAATTTATCTGAGGGGATGACTTGGATTTTTGATAGAAAATTCATTGAAAAGTATTATAATTATTTATTATGAAATTTGTTACATATTTTAATTTTTATCTCTTTGAGTGCAGCCAAGAAGACCTGAGAAGAAGCTTCCAAGCCCTGATTTTTCTTTTTTCTTAGGTTTTTCAACTGCCCTATAATTAGTTCGCTTTGCTCCGTTGGTATTTTCAATTGACGAAACTAGCCTATTGAGCTCTTTTTCTTTATCTTTTAATTCTTGGTTTTGCGGCTCAGACTTTTTTATTGGTTTTTCTTTGCTTTCAACTGGCTTGATTATATTAGGCGCCTTCTGGATTTTGATAGCAGGACTTGGTTCAATCTTTTTTATGTTTCTTTTTGATGCTTCTCTTATTGGCCTATCAATTGAAAGGATTGCTAGTTTTACAGCTTGTTGCCGCTTAATTATAAGTGAATCAATTTCTTCATCGTTTAAAAATAGCCCACCTGCTCCTTCATTTTCATCGAAAGCAATATTTTTCTCGATTTCGATAATTTCTTCTTCTTCTTCTTCTTCTTCATCTTCTCTATATAGCTCGAAATTTTCAATTATTTCAATTTCTTCCTCTTCACTTTCTTTGACGTTTTCTTCACTTATTAGTACACTTTCTTCAGGTTTTTCTGCTAATATTTCTAAATGGTTGTTTCCTTGAATTTTTGATGATGTTTTTTCTGATAAAAGCCCTAATCCAAGGCCTCCAGCTGTATCTCTAACTATTTTCTATGATAAAAATATACAAAAAATTATTATGATTATTTTAAAATAAAAAAATATTTAAATCATAAAAAGGGTTAAAAATCCTCTTCATTTAATTCACTCTCATTTTCATAAATAATTTTCAAAATGCTCATCGCATCTGAAATTGTAATTTTTAATGTAAAACTTTTTTCTGGAAAATACACAAATACAATTAACCCCTTAGCTTCCAGAATAACCCCTTCTCCATACTCTGGATGCCTCACTTTGACATTCGGCTCAAATTCATTATCAGGAACATATAGCTCAACCCACGGGTGTGTTAAAATTTCTAGCAAACTCAGCCTATCCTTTGCCTCTTTCTGTAATATTTTCAATATTAAATCTTGCACCTGGTCACTTAAATTATTTTTAAATTTTACCTCACTCCCCCCCCCCCCCCTCCGTGAGCGAACAAAAAAATTTTGTTCGCTCACGGAGGGGGGTTAATTTTTTTTTTTAAAAAAAATTTATATATAAAATTTTATAAAAATATTTTTTTCGAAATTTAAAAAAATCCTAATTTGCAAAAATTGGGAAGCAAATATTAATTTAATTTGCAAAATTTATGTTTTAAAACGCAATTTGTTTAAAATTAAACAGAATTAGCTCTAGATTTCATTATACTAATTATCACTTATATATCAAAATTTTTTTCCATTAAAATTTTTTCTATTAAAAAAATTTTTGTTCACTCACGGAGGGTGGGTTTTTGGTCAAAAAATGGCGATTTTTCTAATGGTTTTGTTCGCTCACGGAGGGGGGGGGGGGAGTCAGCGTTTATGATTTGTTTACATTTTTCAGTATCTTTTATCGATCTAAAAGGTGGGTAACCATGAATTAGCTCAAACAACAAGACTCCTAAAGCTCATATATCGACCTCAAAAGAGTGCCCATTACTTAATATCATTTCAGGGGCCATATAATCTAGCGTCCCACAGAAAGTATTTCTAGTTTCGTTACTCTGAGTGCACCATCCAAAATCACAAATTTTTACATTGTCGTTTCCATCTAATAAAATATTCTCGGGCTTCATATCCCTATGAATAAAATGATTATCATGCATATACTTTATTCCTATACAAGTCTGGGTAAAATATTTTCAAGCTTTTTCTTCAGGTAAACCTCTTTGCCGCCTGATTAAATGGAATAGTGACCCTCTGGCTGCGTATTCAAGCAAAATATATACAAATTCTTCATCTTCGAAAAATTGAATTAATTGGATTATATTTGGATGGTTCAAGGTTTTATGGATTTCGATTTCTCGTCTTAAGATGTCCACAGATGATGTTTCGATGTATTTATCTTTTTTTATTTGCTTTAAAGCGTAATATTGGCCTGATTCCTGATGCTGGACAAGTCGAACTTCTCCGTATGTTCCTTTGCCTAAAATTTGTTGCTGGGAATCTTCAATTTCCCTGAAATCTTTGAGTGTAAAAATTTTAGGTTTTTGGCATTCAAATTGATGTTTGGAAATCCAGTCAATTCTACGACAATTGGAAGAGCAGTAATGTTGGGCGTTACAACGAGGGCATATTTCAAAGTCGTCTGCTTTATTTTGGCAAGATGGGTTTGAGCATGACATTTATATAGATTCAAAAAAATAATTAATAATCAATTGATTGCAAAGCAAACATAAATTTGTTGATTTAAAGAAAATAAGAGTGTAAAGAAATACACTTAATTTTAAAGCATGAAAAAAAATAAATAGTCAATTTTTGCTTTGGCATAAAAATTTATTTTCATATATAATAATGCATTTCAATATTTTTCATTTAGAATGATGACTATAGGAATAAAAATATTAAAAACCTATTTATTGTGTATTTATCAAAGATCATTATCATTATTTACGAGAATTAACAGCTCTTTTCCAAAGCAGCAAATAGGCAATAACTCTATATCCCACCATAAGAATGCAGAGATACAAGACATCTTCTCCAATACTTCTAGTAAAATCATATTCCCTTAGAACATCGCACTTCTTGCAATCTGTACAATGCTGGCAATGCATTCCCAAGTCATTATACTCATTTACCATAAGAGCTTCAGAAGACCATCTCATGCACTAAATAATTCTTACAGAAAAGTATTGAATCCAAGAAAATCCTTGAGGAAAATCATCTACATGTGGGAATAATCCAGACCATAGCATCATAGGCTGCATAAATATCGGTGTAAGAGCGAGCGCAAGAGTCTCAGTTTTGACCAAAGAGCCTAAAATATACCCAACACCTGTCGTATTTAATTGCAGCAAAATAAGTATAAAGTAAAAAATAAAGAATTTGCTAGCATCATAATCGTTAAGAGGAATTGCCCAATAAATAATAAGGCAATAGAGTAATATTGGAAGGAATTGCATAGGAATGTCAGCAAGTGATTTAGAAAGGTAGTAAGAAGCTGTGGAATAAATCTTTTGCTTACTTTCTTTAAGGAATAAAGGAGTCTCATTTGGAAATTGCATAGCTGAATTTTGGCATGAATAAAAAGACACAATTGTGGATGAAAGAAACAAAATTTGAGTTCTGGTTGTTGAAGAATCATAATTTTTTGCTAAGTTATTACAAAGCAAAGCAAGCAGAGCACCCATCGTAATGTATTCAGAAATAACAATTTGGCCAGCAAGAGGATCTCTTCTAGAGTTTGTCCAAGCTCTACTTAATAAAATCATAAACTGAGTAGCGAAATTTGTAGGAGATGCTAAATGTTTAGTTTTCAAATGCTCAAGTTTTGATTCATCATAATTTCCTTTATCCTGCTCTATTGAATCATAAGCTGCCACAATGTTTTCTATTTTTTCATGCTCTTTTTCAGTAAGATTCTTCCTATCTACAATATGAAGTAATCTCATATAATAGTCAGCTGGATTCATGAGTTTGGGGCACTCATAGCCAATTTTTGTAAAATATTTTGTGGAATCAGCAGCAAGGCCTTGATATACAATGTGGCCTTCTGCTAATAATACTAATTTATCAAACTTATCAAACATGCTTGAACTTGGTTGGTGAATAGTTGACATTACAGTTCTACCTTTTCTTGATTGCTCTATTAGTAAATCAATGACGACTTCCGCAGTAAAACTGTCAAGTCCAGAAGTAGGCTCATCAAGTAAAAGGACAATAGGATCAGTGATAAGTTCCATCCCAATGCAAACTCTTTTCCTTTCACCTCCTGATAGTCCTTTTTTGGTTATGCTCCCAACGATCTTGTCTGCACATTTCATCAATCTCAAGTCTTCGATGATCCCATCAACCCTTTTTACATGTTGTTGATAATTACCAGGCATCCTAAGTCTTGATGAAAACATTAAGGACTCTCTTGGGGTTAGATTAGGAAGCAAGATATCCTCTTGGGTTACATAGGCTGAATAGTACCCAAAATCAAGGTCTTTTATGTTTGTCCCATTTGCTGTTATTTGGCCAATAATTTTTGCGCTGCCTGTGTTATTAAGTCTTCCAGCCAAGATGTTGAGAAGTGTTGTCTTTCCAGCCCCTGATGACCCCATCAAAACTAGAAGCTCCCCAGGATTGGCCTTTCCTGAAACTGATTTTAGGATCTGAGTCTCTTGACCTTCTTTTTCGATGACGTAGCTAACATTATCCCAGCACAATTGGATTTTAGTCCTTTCATCATGTCCGTTGGCTTCTGTAGGGGATTTTTCTTGATAAACTTCTACTAAACTTGAATTTTCTTCTTCTTTCATCACTGGAATCTCTATATTACTCTCTTGACTCTCTCTCCTGGAGAAGACTTGCGGGCTAACCATTTTATATTAACCATCGCTTAATTTCAAAACTAAGTGCATAAATTAGAATTAAGCTAGAAAGAAGTGACATCTAAGAGAGATTTGCTGTTTATTTAGCTTTCTCTTTGATAAAATTGATAATTTTTATTTTTTACCAAAAATTCCCTGAATTTGCTTTCAAGCTCATATTTTTATAAACATTGGTGGCGTTGCAGAATTACATTTGATAGTTATAATCTTTTATTATCATATGCTAATTTTACAATTATAATTTATCAATGCTAATAAGTGCTTGATAAAGCTTCACCATGCTAAAGCATAGTTTCCTATTTTATGGAATAGGAGCTATTAATGGCTCTATCCTGTTGCCAGACAAATATTGCCACTTTAATTAAGTTTATAGCTCTATATAAAACAGTTTAATTGTTTTGCTTTTGCTGATAGTTCCTTTTTTAATCATCTTAATCCTAGAAAAATTTTTGTTTCCTAATTTTTCTGCGACCTCTTTTAACCTATTGCAACTCTACATGATAACAAAAAAATATTATCAATATTCATAGCTTAGTGATTTTGAACGACATTTAGGTAATAAATTTTATTATAGCCTCTTTTATGGCTAATAACTACTGCAATTTTTGAAAATAATTATTATATCGTAAAATTTCTTTTGAGCTGGCATCGTTTTTATAACTTTTCGTTAAGCTCAAGATGCTTAAAAATCGAAAATTTCAAGCAAGCGGTTACAAAAACTAAATCAAAATGGTTAAAATTATTTATAAAAACAATGGATAAAATGGTGTTTGAACTATAAAATAGACAAATGATATTTTCAAATACCAAAGTTGTTAGACTTCAAAAAAAAATTTTAGTAGATTATCTATAGTTATCTATTCATACACATAAATTTTATAAACTGTATCAAGACTATTCAAGAATTATTTTTAGATAAAATTTTAAAGTGTTATTAAATGCTTTTTTATAAGGACTGCAATATATTTTGTCAATTGATTGCATCTGGTGAGATAGTAAATACTTCTACTTTGTGGGAAAAAATAATTTGAAATTGATATTTATATTAGATAATTATTACTAGTTATCTAAGTGCATTTGCAACTCTCTTCTTTACATATTTTATAGTCAGTCTCTTTAAATTTAACAACTGTTTATGATATTAACCGAATGTAGTTAGTAATAAAAATGCAAGAAGTCTGTAAATATCAGGAGAATTCATTGATATATAATTTCAATTTTTCTGCTATTTTTCTTTTATATGCTTAAAACTTAATATGATTTGATTAACTTGACTTTCTCTATTTGTTCCTTTCCTGAGAACCTTGATTTATTGTAATCTTTGAGTGAAAAAGTTTTTGTCTTTGCGATAAAATTGATGTGTGGAAATTCATCAACTCTATAGCAATTGGAAGATTTCTGGGCACTAGAGCAAGGGAATATTTCTAATACGTCTAAATACTTAAGCAAATGGGTTTATGAATGACACTTATGCTGACTCAAAGAAAATAATTATATAATTTATTATGATTTAATTGGAGTATAATTAATCAATAGGAAAGGAAACACTAAAATTTACTTCTTTTTTTTAAAGAATGATAGAAATGTAAAGAGGTATAATTGATAATTATAATTGAGAATTGCCAGGTATAATGAAATCATTTATTTTAACTTTAACTAACTTATTTATATTTTATTTATTTAGAAAACTATTTTGTCAGTGGATATACATCTTTATATTTCCATTGAAAGCTATTTGTTTAGGCAATATTGAAATCATTTAATATTTTTATAATTACATATTTTTATTCAAAGAATTGTTATCCTTATCTACGAGAATTAATAGCTCTCTTCCAAAGTAGCAAATATGCAAGAATTCTATAGCCCACAAGAAGAATGCATAGATACAATACAGTTTCTCCGATGCTTCTAGTAAAATCATAATCCCTCAAAATATCGCATTTCTTGCAATCTGTGCAATGTTGACAATGCATTCCCAAATCATTGTACTCATTTGCCATAAGTCCTTCAACAGCCCATCTTACTAGCTAAATAATTCTTACAGAAAAATATTGTACCCAAGAAAAACTTTCAGGATAATCGTTTACATGAGGAAATAAACCAGACCACAACAACATAGGCTGCAAAAATATTGGGACAATAGCCAAGGCAACAGTGTCGGTTTTGACCATGCAGCCTAAAATATACCCAACTCCTATCTGGCCTATTTGGAGAATAACCAGAATAAAGTAAAAAATGAAGAACTTGCTAGCATCATAATCATTGAAAGGGATTGCCCAGTATATAATAAGGCAATATATCAACAGCGGGAGAAGTTGCATAGGAATATCTGCAATTGACTTGGCCATATAGTATACCTTATTAAACAATTTTGATTGTCTTTTAAAAGACTAATTAAGAACGATAAGTTTTACTTTGAAAAGCATAAGAAATAGTGGAATAAATCCTTTGCTTACTTTCTTTTAGGAATAAAGGAGTCTCATTAGGGAATTGCATAGCTGCATTTTGGCATGAATAGAAGGATACAGTGGCTGTTGACATAAATAGGAGCTGAGTTCTGGTTGTTGAAGAATCATAGTTTTTTGCTAACTCATAGAGCGATAGCAAAATTTTTTTTAATAAAAAAAATAAACCACAAAATGAAAATGCTTTTTTTTCTTATATATTATTTGAACTATCATTTAATAAGATTAAGTTATTGCAAATCAAATCGAGTAAAACAGCTATCATGATGTACTCGGTAAACAAAAGCTGACCAGCAAGAGGGTCTCTTCTTGCATTTATCCAAGATCTCTCCAGCAGTATAATAAACTGCTCTGCAAAATTTGTAGGAGATGTCAATTTCTTGGTTTGTAAAGGCTCAAGCTTTGACTTATCATAATCTCCTTCATCCTGCTCTATTGAATTATAAGCTGATACTACATTTTCTATTTTTTCATGTTCTTCTTCAGTAGGATGCTTCCTATCTACAACATGAAGAAGTCTCATATAGTAGTCAGCTGGGTTCATAAGCTTTGGACAATCGTAACCAATTTTTGCAAAGTATTTGGTGGACTCTGAAGCGCGGCCCTGATATACAAGATGGCCTTCTGCTAATAAAATTAATTTGTCAAACTTATCGAACATACTTGTACTTGGTTGGTGGATAGTTGACATTACAGTTCTACCTTTTCTGGCTTGCTCTATCAATAAGTCAATAACGACTTCTGCTGTAAAACTGTCAAGACCTGAAGTAGGCTCATCAAGTATTAGGACAATTGGGTCAGTGATAAGTTCCATCCCAATGCAAACTCTTTTCCTTTCACCTCCTGATAGTCCTTTTTTGGTTAAACTTCCAACGATATTATCTGCGCATTTGGCCAATCTTAGATCATTTATGATTCCATTTACTCTATCGACATGATCTTTGTAATGGCCTGGCATCCTAAGTCTAGAGGAAAACATTAAGGACTCTCTTGGGGTTATACATTTTTAATTAATTGAATTATCTATCTAAAGATTGTAAAAAATATTTATGCATTTATCTAAAAAAGGATAGATTAGGAAGCAGGATATCCTCTTGGGTCACATAAGCTGAATAGTACCCAAAATCAAGGTCTTTGATGTTAGTCCCATTTGCTGTTATTTGACCACTAATCTTTGTGTTGCTTGAGCTTTTAAGTCTTCCAGCCAAGATGTTGAGAAGTGTTGTCTTTCCAGCCCCTGATGATCCCATCAAAACTACCTTTTATGTAATAAATAATGAAAAATCTAATAGAAAAATAAAATATTTTAATACATGCCAAATGATATAGAAGCTCCCCAGGGTTGGCTTTGCCAGAAACAGATTTTAGGATCTGCGTCTCGTCGCCTTTGTTTTCGATGACATAGCTAACATTGTCCCAGCACAGCTGAATTTTCATTCTTTCATCATGTCCTTTATCTGTATTCGGAGTGTTTTCTTGATAAACTTCAATGAAACTTGAATTTTCTTCTTCTTTTAACCTTGGAATTTCTATATCACCCTCTTGACTTCCTCTCATGGAGAATACTTTTGCCATTATTATAATAGCCATCGTTTCATTTCGAAAATAAGAGAGAGATTTTAAAATTAACTTTAAAAAAGGTATGTATTTGCTTAGTGCTGCGTCTTATTTTAACTCATCTTCGGTTTAAATAGATAAGTTTTATTTTTGAAAAATTAAAAAATCAGCTTTTTGGGGATATTTTATATTCAGCAGAAGGATTTTTTAATTTGCGTTATCTAATAAAAAATTTTATTTTCTTTACTAAGACTTTATAAAGCTTTTATATATGAAGCAGATTTTTCAATCTTTCTAGATAAGTAAATTAAATTTTCAATTTTCAATATCAGGTGAACAATTGCCTTGAATATTTAAAAAAACTCAAGTTATCAATAATAGCTTATTTACAAATAAGTAATTCCTGCTTTTCGATTATAATTCAATCTAAACTTCATTTTATACCTAAATTATCTCTCCATTATATAAGCATAGAATAACTGCTACTATAAAAACATTAATGATTTTGAATAAATTTAAGCTAGAAATTTTCTGTCTCTGTTTATGGCTTCAAACTTACTTAAAATTTTATATTTAGCTTTTATCATTCCTTTAATGGTTAATTTATTAAACATTATCCCATTTACCTTTTAATTTGAAAAATTAAAATAATTGAATATTTCATACACAACTTCCTTATCAATTCATTAATTTTTTCTATCTTATTGCTCTTAAATATTTAATCTTAATCTATTTAGATAAATTTTTTTGTTTGCGAATTTACTTTAAAAGATGGATAACCTATCTGATTAAGGCTGTATTAAATAAAAAATAAGAAATTTGATTTTTTTAGCTTTTAGTAATTTGGTAATAAAAATTATTAGTATCATTGTATTAATTATATAGATAAAATTGATAAGATTAATAAATTTGATCGTTATAACTATATTATATTTGTGAAAATAATTTATGAAAATTTAATATTTTTATCTCATAATTATATTTTTATTAAATAAACTTTTTATTATATGATTTATATATGTGCACTTGAAGCTCATTTTCACAGTAGCATAAATCAAGGAGTCTATAGCCTACAAGCAAAAGCATTGATACAATATAGTTTCTCCAATACTTTTGTTTAAATCAAAGTCTCTAAAAATATCGCATTTCCTGCAATCTGTGCAATGTTGACATGCATACCTAAAACATTGTATTCATTCGCTATAAGTCCTTTCTCATTTACTAAATAAATCTTACAGAAAAATATTGTACCCAAGAAAATCCTGCAGGGTAGCTATCTAAGTGTGGAAATAATCCAGTAGGTTGTAAAAAAAAACTGGAGTTATAGTCAAAGCAAGAGTTTCTTTTTTACAAGACAGTAAAGTGAACTGCGTAACAAAATTTATGGGCAAGGCTAAATGCTTAGTGTTTAGAGGCTCAAGCTTTGTCTTATCATAATCGCCATCATTCTGTTCTATTGAATTATAAGCTGCTACTATTTTTTCTATTTTTTCATGCTCTTCTTCAGTACGATGTTTAATATCTCCAACATGAAGAAGTCTCATATAGTAGTCAGCTGGGTTATTGGCTCTGGACACTAGTAATCAATTTTTTTAAAGTATTTTATGGAATCTAAATGCAAGGTTTTAATAAAGCTCTGACTTATGTTGGGCTTTAGTTTTCTAGCCAAACAATCAAAAAAATTAACTCACTAAAATTCTGTGATTTGCTGACTACAAAAAATTACTCAAAAAGATAATTAATGTCAGCATTGATTAAATATGTCTTGAATTCAGCGCACTATTTTGGTCGCAAAAGCCACTTTACCTAAACCTGAGTTTAAGCGCTTTAATTCTAACCATTATTTGTGCCTAGGGTGGGCCCTATGGGATGCGTGACCACTAAGCCAACTGGTTGCAACTTCCAGATCCAGCAAATATGAAGTCTTGGCAGAAAATGCGCAGAGGTAAAGAAAAATTACGGGGAACTTTAATACCTTTAGTTTGACTCAAAAGATAAAACTGAGATAAAAATAAGAAGTTTTTTTTCTTTAAGTCTCAAATTTTTATAAAATATACTTCTTAATTTAAAAATTATAATAAAAATACAAAGAGGTATAATTGAAACTAAAAATTGAAAATTGCCAGGTATAATGAAATAATTTATTTTAACTTTAACATGCTTATTTCTATTTTATTTATTTAAAAAACTATTTTGTCAGTGGATTTCCTTTTTTATATTTCTATTGAAAGTAATTTAATTAGAAAATATTGTAATCATATAATATTTTTATAATTGAATATTTTTATTCAAAGAATTATCCTTATCTACGAGAATTAATAGCTCTCTTCCAAAGTAGCAAATATGCAAGAATTCTATAGCCCACAAGAAGAATGCATAGATACAAGACAGTTTCTCCAATGCTTCTAGTAAAATCATAATCCTTCAGAATATCGCATTTCTTGCAATCTGTGCAATGCTGACAATGCATTCCCAAATCATTGTACTCATTGACCATAAGTCCTTCAATAGCCCATCTTATTACCTAAATAATTCTTACAGAAAAGTATTGTACCCAAGAAAATCCTTGAGGAAATTCGTCTACATGAGGAAATAAACCAGACCACAACATCATAGGCTGAAAAAATATTGGGACAATAGCCAAAGCAACAGTATCTGTTTTGACCATACAGCCTAAAATATACCCAACTCCTATCTGGCTTATTTGGAGAATAACCAGAATAAAGTAAAAAATGAAGAATTTGCTAGCATCATAATCATTGAAAGGAATTGCCCAATATATAAGAAGGCAATACACCATCAACGGGAGAAGATGCATAGGAATGTCTGCAATAGATTTGGCAATATAGTAAGAAATGGTGTGATAAATCCTTTGCTTACTTTCTTTTAGGAATAAAGGAGTCTCACTAGGAAATTGCATAGCTGCAGTTTGACATGAATGTAAGGATACTACGGCTGTTGACATAAATAGGAGCTGAGTTCTGGTTGTTGAAGAATCATAGTTTTTGGCTAAGTTATTACAAACCAAATCGAGTAAAACAGCTATCATAATGTACTCGATAAACAAAAACCTACCAGCAAGAGGGTCTCTTCTTGCATTTGTTCAAGCTCTTTTCAGCAGTATAATAAACTGCTCTGCAAAATTTGTAGGAGCTGTTAATTTCTTGGTTTGTAAAGGCTCAAGCTTTGACTTATCATAATCTCCTTCATCCTGCTCTATTGAATTATAAGCTGATACTACATTTTCTATTTTTTCATGCTCTTCTTCAGTAGGATGCTTCCTATCTACAACATGAAGAAGTCTCATATAATAGTCAGCTGGGTTCATAAGCTTTGGACACTCGTATCCAAGTTTTGCAAAATATTTGGTGGACTCTGAAGCGCGGCCCTGATATACAAGATGGCCTTCTGCTAATAAAATTAATTTGTCAAACTTATCGAACATACTTGTACTTGGTTGGTGGATAGTTGACATTACAGTTCTACCTTTCCTGGCTTGCTCTATCAATAAGTCAATAACGACTTCTGCTGTAAAACTGTCAAGACCTGAAGTAGGCTCATCAAGCATAAGGACAATTGGATCAGTGATAAGTTCCATCGCATAATTAAAATATGGCGTCTTCGTCTGGGCATGGCCTCCCGGCCATGCAGCCTCGACTCATATTTTAATTATATCCGGCAAGGTTTTACCATGCTAGAGATGGACAGCAACACTAGGCAAGCAATTCTGGTTGTGTACAGAGCCTAGCCCAAGTCTGGTCTCGAGATGGATTTTTCCTCGTTGGGAAGGGGGGCGGGAAGTTGGAAAGGGGGAAGCTCAGCAGAGTCCTTTGGACCATTCGGGCAACTCTCTAGCGTGAAACTGGGCGTTACATCCAAGACTATGTGCTTTTCCTTTTTGCCGATAGCCGACCAGAAAATCCCATTTTTGGGTTTTCGGGAAAAGCAGCCCATGTATGAGCAAGTAGCTCATTCATGAGCCGTAGAAGCCGGCAGCACTTGTCCTAGAAGCACCCTGGTGATCAAAGTAGGTCGGCCTAGCGACTTGTAGGCCCCGATGCGACGAAGGTGAGAGGTAGACCTGGGAAGGTTGACCCCGTAGTGGACGTTAAAACATTATAAATAGTATAAGATAAGATAAGATAAGATAAGTTCCATCCCAATACAAACTCTTTTCCTTTCGCCTCCAGATAGTCCTTTCTTGGTTAAACTTCCAACGATATTATCTGCACATTTGACCAATCTTAGATCATTTATGATACCATTTACCCTGTCCACATGTTCTTGATAATGGCCTGGCATCCTAAGTCTAGAGGAAAACATTAAGGACTCTCTTGGAGTTAGATTAGGAAGCAGGATATCCTCTTGGGTCACATAAGCTGAATAGTACCCAAAATCAATATCCTTAATGTTAGTCCCGTTTGCTGATATTTGGCCACTAATCTTTGCGTTGCCTGAGCTTTTAAGTCTTCCAGCCAAGATGTTGAGGAGTGTTGTTTTTCCAGCCCCTGATGACCCCATCAAAACTAGAAGCTCCCCAGGGTTGGCCTTGCCAGAAACTGATTTTAGGATCTGCGTCTCCTCACCTTTTTTTCGATGACGTAACTAACATTGTCCCATCTCAGCTGAATTTTTATTCTTTCTTCTTGCCCTTTATCTGTAGTCGGAGTATTTTCTTGATATACTTCAATAAAACTTGAATTTTCTTCTTCCCGAAGCCTCGGAATTTCTATATCACCTTTTTGATCTCTCCTCATGGAGAATATTTTTTGCAATTGTAACAGCCATCGATACATTTCTAAAATCAGATCAAAAAATTAACTTTAAATAAGGTGTATATTAGTTTGGAATTGCTGTTTATTTTAGCTCATCTTTGGAAAATTTTTGTTCAAAGGGAAGGCTTTTTTATTTTATTATCTAACTCCCCCCCCCTCCGTGAGTGAACAAAAAAATTTTGTTCACTCACGGAGGGGGGTTAATTTTTTCTTTAAAAAATATTTTTTCGAAATTTAAAAAAATCTAATTTGCAAAAATTGGAAAGCAAATATTAATTTTTTTTGTAAAATTTATGTTTTAAAAAAGCAATTCGTCTAAAATTAAACAGAATTAGCTCTAGATTTCATTATGCTAATTATCATTTATATATCGAAATTTTTTTCCATAAAAATTTTTTGTATTAAAAAAATTTTTGTTCACTCACGGAGGGATTTTTCTAATGGTTTTGTTCACTCACGGAGGGGGGGGAGTAAGGAATTTTTAATACTTTTCTATTGAATGCTAAGGTTTTATAAAGCTTTATATATGAAGCAGGCTTTTCAATCTTTTTACTTCCCAATCCTTGATCGAACGACTCGCCATCGTTCGATCAAGGATGGGGGTTTAAAACAATTTTTGGGAAAAAAAATTATGTATAAAATATATATATATATATATATATATATATTTTTTTTATTTGATTTTAAATAAGAGGGTTAAGAGTATTTAATAATTATTTTTACAGCAAAAAATTGAATTAATTCCATAAAATACCAATTTTTAATATTTTGATTTATTAGTTACCCCTTTAAACTGTATAAATTTTAATTTGTTCCTTATTGAATTAAATTTTTTTTTTAGATTTTAAAGAATCACTATTTTTTAGATTATTGAATTTTTAAGCCTAGGTTGATGACTAAATCACTTCGGATGGTTGATTAAGTAGCTTTCTGTCTTCTCAAAGCTCTGAAAACAACTTCATTTATGTACATCTTCCCAAGCTTTTGATAATATATTTTTATATATATAAAAATTTGCATGAAATGAAAATCGTTCGATCAAGGATGGGGGTTAATTTCCCCAATTTTTAGGAATTTTTACAGTCAATCTTTCGATCAAGGATGGGGGGGGAGTTAGGCAAATAAATTAGATTTTAAGCTCTCCATATTAGTTGAATAATTTCTTTGCACAGATATTTAAAAACACTTAACAAAGAAATAATAGCTTATTTACAAATGAAATTATGCTTTTTCGATTACAATTTAATTTATACTTCGTTTTATTACTGAATTATCTCTCCATTATATAAGCGCAGATAAACTGTTATATAAAAACATAATTACTTTGAATAATTTAAGCTAAAATTTTTTTCTGTAGCTGTTTAAAGCTTTAAACTTACTTAAAATTTTATATTTAGCTTTTATCATTCCTTTAATGTTAATTTATTAAACATTATCCCATTTACCTTTTAATTTAAAAAATTAAAATAATTGAATATTTCATACATAGCTTCCTTATCAGTTCATTATTTTTTTCCTATCTTATAGCTCTTAAATATTTAATCTTAATCTATTTAAGATATATTTTTGTTTGTGAATTTACTTTAAAAGATAGATAACCTATCTGATTAAGGTAATATTAAATACAAACAAGAAATTTGATTTTTAGAGTTTTATTAATTCGTTAATAAAAAGAATTAATATCATACAAATTATATAGATAAAATTAATGACGATTAATAAATTTGATCCCAACAATTAAATTAGATTTGTGAAAAAATATTTGTAGAGACTTAAAATTTTTTTATCAACATTATATTTTTTATTAAACGAAATTTCGATTATATTATGTTTATCTACGTGCATTTGAAGCTCGTTTCCACAGCAGCACAAACGCAAGGAGTCTATAGCCTACAAGCAAAATGCATTGATACAATATAGTTTCTCCAATGCTTCTGTTAAAATCAAAATCACTTAAAATATCGCATTTTCTGCAATCTGTGCAATGTTGACAGTGCATTCCTAAATCATTGTATTCATTCGCCATAAGTCCTTCTACCGCCCATCTCATGCACTAAATAAATCTTACAGAAAAATATTGTACCCAAGCAAATCCTGAAGAGTAACTATCTACATATGGAAATAGTTAGACCAAAGCATCATAGGTTGTAAAAAAACTGGAGTAATAGCCAAGGCAATTGTTTCTGTTTTAACACAAGAGCCTAAAACATATCCAACGCCAAGAGCATTTATTTGCAGTAAAGTGAGCAGAAAGTTAAATATCCAGAATTTACTTGCATCATAATCATTAAAAGGGATTGCCCAATATACAATAAGACAAAACAGAAAAGTGGTAGAAATTGCATAGGCAGGTCTGCAAGGGACCTGGAAAGGTAATAAGAAGTTGTAGAATAAACCGTTTGCTTGCTTTCTTTTAAGAATATAGGAGTCTCGCTTGGGAACTGCATTGCTGCATTTTGGCATGAGTAAAAACCTACAGCCGCTGCACAGAGAAAAAGAGTTTGAGTTCTAGTTGTTGAAGAGTTATAATTTTTTGCTAAATTGCTACAGAGCAAATCGATTAAAACACCCATCATAATGCGCTCGATAAATAAAAGCTGGCCAGCAAGAGGGTCTCTTCTTGCATTTATCCAAACTCTTCTAAACAGTAGCACAAACTGCGTGGCAAAGTTTGTTGGCGAGGCTGAATGCTTAGTTTGCAAAGCCTCAAGTTTGGTATTATCATAGTCTCCTTCATCCTGCTCTATTGAATTATAAGCTGTTACCATTTTTTCTATTTTTTCATGTTCTTCTTCAGTAGGATACTTCCTATCTACAACATGAAGAAGTCTCATATAATAGTCAGCTGGGTTCATAAGCTTTGGACACTCGTATCCAATTTTTGCAAAGTATTTAGTTGAATCTGATGCAGGGCCTTGATATACAAGATGGCCTTCTGCTAATAATACTAATTTGTCAAATTTCTCAAACATGCTTGTACTTGGTTGGTGAATGGTTGACATTACAGTTCTACCTTTCTTTGCTTGCTCTATCAATAAGTCAATAACGACTTCTGCTGTAAAACTATCAAGACCTGAAGTAGGCTCATCAAGTATAAGGACGATTGGATCAGTGATAAGTTCCATCCCAATACAAACTCTTTTTCTTTCCCCCCAGATAGTCCTTTTTGGTTATACTTCCAATAATATTATCTGCATATTTGGCCAATCTTAGATCTCTTATGATTCCATTTACCCTATTCACATGTTCTTGGTAGTTACCTGGCATCCTAAGTCTTGAAGAAAACATTAATGACTCTCTTGGAGTTAGATTAGGAAGTAGTATATCGTCTTGGGTTGCATAAGCTGAATAATACCCAAAATCAAGTTCTTTGACACTTGTTCCATTTGCTGTTATTTGCCCTATAATTTTTGCATTGCCTGAACTTTTAAGTCTTCCAGCCAAGATGTTAAGAAGTGTTTTTTCCAGTCCCTGATGACCCCATCAAAACTAAAAGCTCCCCAGGGTTGGCTTTACCTGAAATTGATTTTAGGATCTGGGTTTGTTCACCTCTACTTTCGATGACGTAACTAACATTGTCCCAGCAAAGTTGGATTTTAGTTCTCTCATCATGCCCATTAGCTGCATTTGGAATTTTTTCTTGATAAGCTTCAATAAAGCTTGAATTTTCTTCCGCTTTTATCACTGGGACTACACTTCCATCTTGACTCATATTCTTGGAGAATTCCTTTGAGATATTCATTATTTATAAGCCATAAATGGCCGTTCAATAAAAGTGTTTGAAAATACGGGAATCAGTCAGCGAAAAAGGAAAATTTCCTAGATGAAGCTTAATTTTTGTTGCATTTGGTGTGCTCGATAATATTTATGTTTTATAAAATTTAGGGATATACCTAAAAGCATAAACGTATTTTAAAAATGTTTTTTAAAGATAAGGCAAAATATTTGAATTTTTTTGCATATTTATATATAAATGATTGATTAAATTATAATTTTTTACTCACTTGGCAATTTAAATTATAAATCTTTGGTATTTTTTTGATTTTTTTGCTTGGAATCAAGCTAAAGCTAATTATTTAAGATTGCAGGATGCAATTGCTGATTATTAGGGATATAGCTTGATTGAATTTAAATCCATTTCTTCATTTACTGAATTACATTCCATGGCTGGTTTTTAGTCTGCTTATTGGGAGATTCATTTGTGGATTGCTGGAATATATAATATTTGGAGTTTTAATCAATGAATGCTTAATATATCCACAAAGGAGCGTTAATATTAGCATTTTTAGACCAAGTGTGGGAAAGTCCTAATTAATCCTAAACAAAGCTAAGCTATCATTATCTTAGCAGAGTTGAATTTTAGCTTCCTTGCTATAGCTTATTACTTCAATTGGACTTTTTACTCCAGAAATTTATAACTTTCTTTTGCCTTCAAAACTTTTATTTATATTCCATATTTACTTTGGCTTTTGGAGAAAACTTTATAAGAAACCGATACATGTAGCCATTTAAAAAATATCAAAAATGCCTGAATTAGCTCGAAAATAATATATATTAGTTCCCAATTCTATTGGGAAATTTTATCGGTTAAACGCTTTCAAAATTTCGAAGAAAACTTATCAAATTTAATTATTAGATTTTTAAAAATTTTATTTATTTTCTTTAAAGCCAGTCTGGCAATTTTAATCTAGCTACTTATAATATTGACTAGCAAATAGCTTAGTGGGATTTCTTTTATTATTTTTATTGATATTACTTAAAGGACTAAAATTAATAAAATGCATAAAAAGTTAATTTTAAACTTTAATATTTTTGGCTTATAATGCAAGCTTTAAACTTGATAAGCAATTTAATCGATAAAAATTTTGCTAATATTTGGATTCAATTAATCCTTCTCATTTTTGGAAATATATTTGAAGTTCTTATTTCCAAAATTAAGCATTTTTATTAAAAGAATTAATAATTATGTTATCTGCGTGCATTTAAAGCTCGTTTCCACAGCAGCACAAACGCAAGGAGTCTATAGCCTACAAGCAAAATGCATTGATACAATATAGTTTCTCCGATACTTCTATTAAAATCAAAATCACTTAAAATATCGCATTTTCTGCAATCTGTGCAATGTTGACAGTGCATTCCTAAATCATTGTATTCATTCGCCATAAGTCCTTCTACCGCCCATCTCATGCACTAAATAAATCTTACAGAAAAATATTGTACCCAAGCAAATCCTGCAGGATAACTATCTACATGTGGAAATAGTCCAGACCAAAGCATCATAGGTTGTAAAAAAACTGGAGTAATAGCCAAGGCAATTGTTTCTGTTTTAACGCATGAGCCTAAAACATATCCAACACCAAGAGCATTTATTTGTAATAAAGTGAGCAGAAAGTAAAATATCCAGAATTTACTTGCATCATAATCATTAAAAGGGATTGCCCAATATATAATAAGACAAAACAGAAAATTTGGTAGAAATTGCATAGGCAGGTCTGCAAGGGACTTAGCAAGGTAATAAGAAGTCGTAGAATAAATCCTTTGCTTGCTTTCTTTTAAAAATATAGGAGTCTCGCTTGGGAACTGCATTGCTGCATTTTGGCATGAGTAAAAACCTACCGCAGCTGCACAGAGAAATAGAGTTTGAGTTCTAGTTGTTGAAGAGTTATAATTTTTTGCTAAATTGTTACAGAGCAAATCGATTAAAACACCCATCATAATGTACTCGATAAACAAAAGCTGACCAGCAAGTGGGTCTCTTCTTCCATTTATCCAAGCTCTTCTAAAGAGTAAAGCGAATTGCGTTACAAAATTTGTTGGGGAGGCTAAATGCTTAGTTTGTAAAGGCTCAAGCTTTGACTTATCATAATCTCCATCATTCTGCTCTATGGAATTATATGCTGATACTATTTTTTCTATTTTTTCATGCTCTTCTTCAGTATGATGCTTCCTATCTACAACGTGAAGAAGTCTCATATAGTAGTCAGCTGGGTTCATAAGCTTTGGACACTCGTATCCAATTTTTGCAAAGTATTTTGTGGACTCTGAAGCGCGGCCCTGATATACAAGATGGCCTTCTGCTAATAAAATTAATTTGTCAAACTTATCGAACATACTTGTACTTGGTTGGTGGATAGTTGACATTACAGTTCTACCTTTCTTTGCTTGCTCTATCAATAAGTCAATAACGACTTCTGCTGTAAAACTATCAAGACCTGAAGTAGGCTCATCAAGTATAAGGACGATTGGATCAGTGATAAGTTCCATCCCAATACAAACTCTTTTCCTTTCACCTCCAGATATTCCTTTTTTGGTTATACTTCCAATAATATTATCTGCACATTTGACCAATCTTAGATCATTTATGATTCCATTTACCCTATCCACATGCTCTTGATAATTGCCTGGCATCCTAAGTCTTGAAGAAAACATTAATGACTCTCTTGGAGTTAGATTAGGAAGCAGTATATCTTCTTGGGTCACATAGGCTGAATAATACCCAAAATCAAGATCCTTGATATCTGTTCCATTGGCTGTTATTTTGCCAATAATTTTTGCATTGTTTGAACTTTTAAGTCTTCCAGCTAAGATATTAAGAAGTGTTGTTTTTCCAGCCCCTGATGACCCCATCAAAACTAAACATTTTTTACAATAAATATTGAAACTTTTATCATTCTAACAAATAATTCAAAAATATTATTAAATAGTATAGAAGCTCCCCAGGGTTGGCCTTGCCTGAAATTGATTTTAGGATCTGAGTTTCCTCGCCTTTTCTATCGATGACGTAACTAACATTATCCCAGCAAAGTTGGATTTTAGTTCTCTCATCTTGCCCATTAGCTTCATTTGGAATGTTTTCTTGATAAACTTCAATAAAGCTTGAATTTTCTTCCTCTTTTATCACTGGGACTACACTTCCATCTTGACTCATATTCTTGGAGAATTCTTTTGAGATATTCATTATTTATAAGCCATAAATGGCCGTTCAAAAAAAGTGTTTGAAAATGTGGGAATCAGCCAGCGAAAAAGGAAAATATCCAAGATAATGCTTAATTTTACTCGGATTTGGGGAGCTCGATAATCGCTATGTTTTATAAAATTTAGGAGTATACCTTAAAAGCATAAAACTTATTTTAAAAATGTTTTTAAAGTATAAGGCAAAATATTTGAATTCTTTGCATATTTATATATAAATGATTAATTAATATATAAGTTTTTACCCACTTGACAATTTTAATTATAGATCTTTGGTATTTTTTTAATTTTTAGCTTGGAATCAAGCTAAAGCTAATTATTTAAGATTGTAGGAAGCAATTGCTGATTAGTAGGGATATAGCTTGATTGAATTTAAGTCCATTTTCTTCATTTACTGAATTATATTCCATGGCTGGTTTTTAGTTTGTTTTTGGGAGATTCATTTGTGGATTGCTGGAATATATAATATTTGGAGTTTTAATCAATGAATGCTTAATATATCCACAAAGGAGCGTTGATATTAGCATTTTTAGACCAAGGGTGGTAAAGTCCTAATTAATCCTAAGCAAAGCTAAGCTATCTTATTTCAGCAGAGTTGGATTTTAGCTTCCTTGCTATAGCTTATTACTTCAATTGGACTTTTAACTTCAGAAATTTATAACTTTCTTTTGCCTTCAAAACTTTTATTTATATTCCATATTTACTTTGGCTTTTGGAGAAAACTTTATAAGAAACCGATACTTGTAGCCATTTAAAAAAATATCAAAAATGCCTGAATTAGCTAAGAATAGCTCGAAAATAATATATATTAGTTTCCAATTGTGCTGGGGATAATTTATCGATTAAATGCTTCCAAAATTACGAAGAAAAATTATCAAATTTAATTATTAAATTTTACAAATTTTATTTATTTTCTTACAACCAGGCTGGCAATTTAATCTAGCTACTTAGAAGTAATTATAATATTGCTAGCAAATAGCTTAGTGGGATTTATTGTATTATTGATATTGCTTAAAAAGATTAAAATTGATAAAATGCATTAAAAATTCATATTAAAATTTAATATGTCTGGTTTATAATGCAAACTTTAAATTTGATAAGCAATTTAATCGATAAAAATTTTGCTAATATTTGGATTCAATTAATCCTTCTCATTTTTGGAAATATATTTGAAGTTCTTATTTCCAAAATTAAGCATTTTTATTAAAAGAATTAATAATTATGTTATCTGCGTGCATTTAAAGCTCGTTTCCACAGCAGCACAAACGCAAGGAGTCTATAGCCTACAAGCAAAATGCATTGATACAATATAGTTTCTCCGATACTTCTATTAAAATCAAAATCACTTAAAATATCGCATTTTCTGCAATCTGTGCAATGCTGACAGTGCATTCCTAAATCATTGTATTCATTCGCCATAAGTCCTTCTACCGCCCATCTCATGCACTAAATAAATCTTACAGAAAAATATTGTACCCAAGCAAATCCTGCAGGATAACTATCTACATGCGGAAATAGTCCAGACCAAAGCATCATAGGTTGTAAAAAAACTGGAGTAATAGCCAAGGCAATTGTTTCTGTTTTAACACAAGAGCCTAAAACATATCCAACACCAAGAGCATTTATTTGTAATAAAGTGAGCAGAAAGTAAAATATCCAGAATTTACTTGCATCATAATCATTAAAAGGGATTGCCCAATATATAATAAGACAAAACAGAAAATTTGGTAGAAATTGCATAGGCAGGTCTGCAAGGGACTTAGCCATATAGTAAGAAGTTGTTGAATAAATCCTTTGTTTACTTTCTTTAAGAAATATAGGGGTCTCGCTTGGGAATTGCATAGCTGCATTTTGACAAGAATAAAAGCCTACAGCTGCTGCAGAGAGAAATAAAGTCTGAGTTCTAGTTGTTGCAGAATCATAATTGTTTGCTAAATTATTGCAAAGCAAATCGATTAAAACGCCCATCATGATATACTCAATAAATAAAAGCTGGCCTGCAAGTGGGTCTCTCCTTGAATTTATCCAAGCTCTTCTAAATAATAGCACAAACTGTGTTGCAAAGTTTGTGGGCGATGTTAAATGTTTAGTTTGCAAAGGCTCAAGCTTAGTATTGTCATAATCCTCAGTATTGTTACCCTCTGATTCGTAAGCTTTTACTAGTCTTTCAATTTTTTCATGCTCTTGTTCAGTATGATGTTTCCTATCTACAACATGAAGAAGTCTCATGTAATAATCAGCTGGATTCATAAGTTTTGGACATCCATATCCAATTTTGGAAAAATATTTTGTGGACTCAGAAGCAAGGCCTTGATATACAAGATGACCTTCTGCTAATAATACTAATTTGTCAAACTTATCAAACATACTGGTGCTTGGTTGGTGGATAGTTGACATTATAGTCCTACCTTTTCTGGCTTGCTCTATCAATAAGTCAATAACTACTTCAGCGGTGAAACTATCAAGACCTGAAGTAGGCTCATCAAGTATAAGGACAATTGGGTCAGTGATAAGTTCCATCCCAATACAAACTCTTTTCCTTTCACCTCCAGATAGTCCTTTTTTGGTTATACTTCCAATAATATTATCTGCACATTTGGCCAATCTTAGATCTCTTATGATTCCATTTACCCTATCCACATGTTCTTGGTAGTTGCCTGGCATCCTAAGTCTTGAGGAAAACATTAAGGACTCTCTTGGAGTTAGATTAGGAAGTAGTATATCTTCTTGGGTCACATAGGCTGAATAATATCCAAAATCAAGGTCTTTGATACTTGTTCCATTTGCTGTTATTTGCCCTATAATTTTTCGTTGCCTGAGCTTTTAAGTCTTCCAGCCAAGATGTTGAGAAGCGTTGTTTTTCCAGCCCCTGATGACCCCATCAAAACTAGAAGCTCCCCAGGGTTGGCCTTGCCTGAAATTGATTTTAGGATCTGGGTTTGTTCACCTTTACTTTCGATGACGTAGCTTACATTATCCCAGCACAATTGGATTTTAGTTCTTTCGTCTTGACCTTTTACTGTTTCTGGGACGTTTTCTGGGCCATCTTCTAAAAATAGTGAATTTTCTTGAACTTTTTGTATAGTGTTTTCTAATCCATCTTGATCCTCGCTCTTGGAGAAATCTTTTGGTGTAATCATAATTATAAGCCATAAATGGCACTTTTAAAAAAGTGCTTATTCCCAATATATCTAGAGAGCTAGATTTTTGTCCACCAACAGGTTGTTAATATTTTTTAAAAAATCTATAAAATCCAAAACAATTAATCTTAATAAAAAATAATTTGAAAATATTGTTTTCGCATTTTAAAAACACCAACAAAATTTTGCTAGCTAAAGAAGAGTGCTAATTTTCCCAAAATAGATATCATTCTAATAGTTTGTTCACTAAGCAAGCGGGTGCGAGTTAAATCTATGGAAATAGCTTGGGAAAAATCGAAATTGAGTTAGAAAATATTGCCTATATTAACTGGTCTTTGATCGATATAGTTAATCTAGATATTATTTGAAAATTTGAAAAATAGAATTTTATAAAAATTGACGATTAATATTTAAAATAATTTTTTGACCAATTATAGTTGCTTTTACTAATCATTTAAATACGTTTGGATTTTGCTTGGAGTAATCATTAAGCTTCTTATTCACTAATTTAGCAAGTAATGATATTATTGAGCGGCATATAGCTAGCTGGTATTGTTCCATTTTAGTTCTTAAGGGAAAATACTTACTCAGTTGCAATAAGTCTGCTTCCGAGAAAAACTCCTTTACGGGGGAGTAAGCTGGCATGGCAAATAAAACAATATTTTCAAATTTTTTTCTGACCTCTTTTTTGTTTAAAATTTACTTTTAGAAGGTATTCTCAAAAGACTTTGCATAAATTGAGTTTTCCTACACAAATTCCCAAACTGGAGACTTTTTAATTCATATTATATCTAAAGGCTTGAGGTATGAGTGGGTTATAAGGGATATACATGAGGATAATAATTTGGATGGGATGGTACTAAATCTATGTTTAACTTAAAATCTTGAAGCTTTAATAAAAAATAAGTCCACTATCCTCAAAGAATATAAAAATTTTAAAATATTTAAGTCCGTTAGGACTTTTCTTATAAATGTTGAGATGCATTTTAATTTTTTGAAAAATAAAAATTTACTTAGTCAAGACAAATTTAATAATATTTATAGTATATTATTGAATTTTCTATGCTAATTAAAGCATTTTCAGCAATTCATAAGTGACATATTTGCTAGATATAAGAATATCTCCAAAAGCAAAAGAAATATGGAATGGAAGTTACTGTGAATAAGACACAATAAAACTTGAAATTTCTTCGATTTGTCAAAAATAACCCTAAACGCAGGGAAGCCATGAAGAAGCTAAAATCCAATTGTATTAGGATAAAAGATGATGTCATCAAAAGCAAAATCAAAGAAACTCAGATACTAAAAATAGAGTATATTTGTGTTATTGCTTGGGAGTGCAACCTTTAGATTTTTGAATTTAATTTATATTTTTATGCTTCAAAAAATTTTTTATTTAGAGCTCTATTTAATAATTTATAAATTGTAGTTAAAAATAGATTGGTCTTTTTATTCAATATTTTAGACTATTTTATATTATAAGTCGCGTATAATTTTTCTTTGAAATTTAACCGACTTATTTCTTTTATAATAATATACTTGTCAGGCCAGGTAAAATCTAAACTTGTATTTAATATAAAAAATTACTTGGAAGGTTTATTTAAATCTGCTAAAACTAAAAAAATCTAAAGGGCAGCCTTAATTATTAGTATATAAAAATATTAATGAATAATTAATTTCAATATATTGAATCTATAAATTTAATAGCTTTACTCTTCTGTTTTACAAGCAATGCATGAATCACATATCCACTCTGGAGCATCGAGATCAGCATTTACACACTCAGGATGGAATAATTCTAAGCAATTGTCACATGATACATAGAGAACATCTGGGTTAAAAATTTTATTGCAAACACATGCTCTTTTCCATTCTGATAAAGGGGGAGTTAAAGAGGAATCTCTAGAGTTATAAACCGCTCTTCAGAAGAATGTATTATCATCTACTTCATCAAGATTATGGTATTCTTCAAAAGGAAGTACTCTGACCTTATCATAGATAGTTTGAATCCACACATCTTGAATATAATCTGAATCAAAAAGTTCTGCACAAGAAATAAAATCATGATGCTCATGGAAAATGTCACTGGGCTTATAAAACCATCTAATTTTCGCATATGCATCACTATTTTTAACTTCTTTCCAAATTTTCAATATAGTCCCATAGCAACAATCATCTTTATATTCCTTGAGTACCACTGCATCTCCGATTTCATAAAATTCACCATTGAGGTTCAATTTCTTGTACTCGGTAATGTTCTTAGTTTGCTTTTTGGCTACGGGCCGTGCTGTTGATGCCATATTTTTTAATAATTTAGGGGGATTTTAATTTTAATATAATTAGATAGAGAATTTAAGATCTTTAGAATGGGCACACTTTAAATGCCTAAAATTTTCTTCTTTCTCAGAAATTGGCAGATTTGGCTCATTACGTGAAGTCGATGAGTAATCTTTAAGCTAGAAATTACGTGAGGCGATATAGCAAAATACAAATAAAAATTATTTGAAATAAGGCTTATAATTTTATTAGTTTCAAAACCGAAATAAGAATTTATCCAAGCAAAGCTTTATTGCTATAAGCATTTGCTGTCTCAACATTTTTTGGCTCGTCGTTTTTCTTAAATTCGATTTAATTAACTCTTAAAATGAAAGCAATCATAAGAAGCAAGGTTTGCCCTTTAAGATATCGCAGCCGATATAAATTAAGTAAATTAAAATTGATTAAAATGATTTTTAATCATAATTATCAGAAAACCGCACTGCGAGAATTTAAAACTCTTTTCAAAAGCAGCAAATATGCAATAAATCTACAGCCCACGGTAAAATGCAGAGATATAAAGCACACGTTCCATGGGATTATTAAAGCCAAGATCTATAACCAAAGTAATATAGCAATTTATAGAGGTAGAAAATGCTCATAAAAATTGTGAAAAAAGCATTTAAACTTTTCAAAAAGTATACTATCATCATAAAGTAAACAAAATCATAATAAATTACTATGATAATTTAACTAATCAGTTTTCTTTAAGTTATTTATAATAAAATACGTATTGAAAATGTTTAAAATGACACTCTTGTTATATATTTTTTAGTTATAAGAAAATAAAGACATAAAAGACGAGAAAGAAATAATAGTCATTCAATAGAAGAGGCTTAATTCGCATTTTTGAAATAAAAATAGGATGTTAATTTAAAAATAAAATTAGTTTTAAAATCAATATTATATGTTCATAAGTCTCTCAATATATTTGATTCTCTTAATTAAAAGGCTCAATTAATTTATATCTCTTATTTTCTAAGTGAAGTATCTCTCTTCTCAATATTAATATTTCCAGATAAATCTATTTATATTGATGAGATGTTTTTATTCGGGATATTAAGAGAAGAGGAAGGGAGGATTTTTGCTCCATTCTCTATGAGCGAGTAAAAATATTGTGGGGTAAAAATTAATCTACCGTGAACGAACAAAAAATTTAATATTAAAATTTTTTATGAAAATTAGTCTAGATCAAAAACACTATCTTTTGGTTTGACAAATATAATTTCGGTATAATCCGGAAATACATATAGATGCCCTTTAAGGGCGAGCTGCTATTTTACTTTAAAAATTATCAATTAAGCATAATATTATTTTTAAACTGAATTTTTAAGTATAATTTTATATATTTAATAATTCATTATTAAGCCAAGATTTTATTTATCAGAGCATTTTATCTTAAAAGGTGTCTATTTTCATGATAAAATCTAGATACAAACAAGAAGAACATTGAAATTAGTCTGGCAATCTTAATAAATTGTAAATTGAAAATTTTACTTATAATTATTTTAAAATAAATCCTTAATACTTCGTTTCGGTTGATTTAAACTATCAAAAACAGCTCAAAAAGCACTAATAATTGTTGCATAATTCAGCAATTGAAAGTATTTATCAACTTCATAAGAATTTGCAGCCAATTTTTTAGCCCAGGATTTGCAGAGACCTAAGTCATCAAAGCGAAAAAGTTAGAAAATTAACCAAAATACATAGAAAGACGATAATTCTATTTGAATAAATATAAATACATTTTATATTCTTTTATAAGATGATAAGGATTAGTGAATTTAACTCTTAATTTAAGAGTTTTAGCTTTATGAAACAATTTTTTTCATTAGCTAAAAATTATTGAAAAGACGTTTTATCATAGTTATAAAAAAACCCTTTATCTGCGTGAATTCACAGCTCTTTTCCAGAGCAGCAAATAAGCAATAACTCTATATCCAACAGTAAGAATGCAGAGATATAAAACGCAGGATCCAATACTATTAGTAAAATCAAGATCTCCTAAAGGATCGCATTTCTTACAGTCTGTGCAATGCTGACAATGCATGCCTAAATCATTGTACTCATTTGCACAAATTGCTTCAACAGCCCATCTCATGCTCTAAATAAATTTTACAGAAATATATTGGATCCAGAAAAATCCTTCAGGATAGTGTTTGACACTTGGAAATAGTCCAGAAAACATCATCAATGGCTGTATAAATACTGGTGTAATTGCAACTGCAAGAGTTTCTGTTTTAACCATAGCACCTAAAATATATCCCATGCCAAGGCAGCTTACTTGCAGTAAAAGTAGAACAAAATAAAAAATGAAAAATTTGCTGGAATCATAGTCATTTAAAGGAATTGCCCAATATATCATAACACAGTAAACTAACAAAGGCAAAAACTGCATTGGAAGATCTGCTATGGATTTTGCCATATAGTAAGAAATTGTGCTATATATCCTTTGCTTGCTTTCTTTAAGAAACAAAGGTGTTTCATTTGGGAACATCATTGCTGCATTCTGGCAAGCGAAAAAAGCTACAGAGGACATTGACAAAAACAAAATTTGAGTCCTGGTGCGAGAAGAGTCATAATTTTTTGCTAAATTATTGCAAATAATATCAACCAAGAACCCAACCATAATATATTCAAAAAATAGTACTTGGCTTGCAAGTGGGTCTCTTCTTGCATTTATCCAGGCTCTCCTAAGTAGGATTATAAACTGCTGAGCAAAGTTAGTGGGTACTACTAAATGCTTGTCTTGTAAGGGCTCAAGTTTTGAGGTATCAAAGTCATTATCTTCTTGGTCTATTGTGGTATAAGCAGAAACCAAATTTTCAATTTTTTCATGCTCTTCTTCGGTTGGGTGTTTTCTATCTACGACGTGAAGTAGTCTCATATAAAAGTCTGCTGGATTCATAAGTTTAGGAACTGAGTATCCAACTTTGGCAAAATATTTCGGAGAGTCACGGGCCCGACCTTGGTACACCAGATGGCCTTCTGCTAATAAAAGCAATCTATCGAATTTATCGAAAATGCTGGTGCTTGGCTGATGGATTGTTGACATAACAGTTCTGCCTTTTCTAGCCTGTTCTATTAATAAGTCAATAACGACTTCTGCTGTAAAACTGTCAAGACCAGAAGTAGGTTCATCTAGCAAAAGGACGATAGGGTCAGTGATAAGTTCCATCCCAATGCAAACTCTTTTCCTTTCGCCCCCAGAAAGTCCTTTTTTAGTTATACTTCCAACAATGTTATCTGCGCATTTTATCAATCTTAGTTCTTGAAGAATCGATTCCACCCTAGCCACATGCTCTTTGTAAGTCCCTGGCATTCTGAGTCTTGATGAGAATAATAAAGACTCTCTAGGTGTTAGATTAGGAAGGAGAATATCCTCTTGAGTCACATACGCTGAGTAATACCCAAAATCAATGTCCTTTATACTTGTCCCGTTTGCAGTTATCTTACCAACGATTTTGGCATTATTATTACTTTTAAGTCTCCCAGCCAAAATATTTAGAAGCGTTGTTTTGCCTGCCCCTGAAGAGCCCATCAAGACTAAAAGCTCTCCTGGGTTAGCTTTTCCTGAGACTCCTTTTAGGATCTGAGTTTCTTCACCTTTCTTCTCAATGACATAGCTGACATTATCCCAGCACAATTGAATTTTTGTTCTCATATCATGGCCAATATCTTGGGTTGGAGGCTTTTCTTCATACGCTTCAATAAGGCTTGAGTTGTCTTGCTCCTTGAGCGTATTTACTTCAATTTCGTTATTGCTTTCCTTTTTGGAGAAAATTTTTGCGGATGACATAACAATTATAAAGTCAAAATGGTCTTCAAAAATAAATGTTTGATTAATTAGTGCTAGTTTAAATTAAGTTTAATCATAACTATAGTGCATTTGGAAGGTTTTATGCTTCATGAAATAAAAATCATTGGGAATTAATATAAGAATCAAGAGTGATGAAGAACCCTTTTTACTAAAAATTCCTTATTTTATGAAAAACCTGAAATAGATGCACTTTGAAAGCCAAGCTACTATTTATAGTGTAAATTACCAAGATAATAATTTTTAAATTAATAGTTAGGGAACTAATTTTAGATAAATTTAAATTTAAGTTTATATGAAAATTAAGGGTAATTCTAAAAAATTGTGATTTTTCTAAATAGCTTAGAAGAAGGAAATGCAATGCAGTTTAAAAAATAAAAACACTTCTATTTTTAAATTTTTAGCAAGCCTAATAAAAATGATGAGCTGTGATAACATGTCCTCAACACAAGTGAATCTCTCTCTGGATAAATGCGAAAATTCATAAGAAAGTCATTTGCAATAATTTATATTCCTCTACTCTTAGCAAGTTAACTGCAATATAGAGTTTTGCTGCTATATCAGTTCCTGCTCTGATAATATGGCTTATTGCAATCCCAAATTACTCTACCTTTAGAATCTAAATTTAAAAGAATTTGTGTAGTGATAAGAATAATAATCAATAATAATGAAAAAGAATAGCCTTATCATTTAGAAAAATAGCTAAGAGTTTATTATATAAAAATTTATATAGCTTTTAATAGTTGAAAACAAGAAATTTAGTCTTGCTCTGGTAAAATTTAAAATTTTAGTATTTGGTAATATTTATCTTAATGATTGCAGAGGGTCTATGGGAAAGCTGGAGCATAATTAAATTTATATCAACTGCATTTTTCTCTCGATAATTAAGATAAATTTGCTATGGGTTTTTGGACTTAAGTTTTGTTAAAATGGCTACCACTCATGGATTAGAGGACAAAAATGGTTTCAAATTTTTAGACAGAAGTAAAGGTGACTTAAATGAAATTTTATTAAATAAATTTTTAATCAGTTTAAATTGTTATTTTTTGCAGTTATTTATTCTTAATAAGTTTTTGAATTTAAAAATACTGAAGAAACCTTTAAGTCATTCAAATTGGCTTCTTTAAAAATCTAGCTCCCCTCATGAGCAAACAAAACCATCAGAAAAAGCCCTATTTTTTTGCACAAAAACCTCCCTCCGTTAGCGAACAAAAATTTTTTTAAGAAAAAAAATTTTGACATATAAGTAATAATTAGTATCATGAAATCGCTAGCTAATTCTGTTTAATTTTTAACAAATTATCGTTTAAAACATAAATTTTACAAATTAAATTAATATTTGCTCTCCAATATTTGCAAAGTGAGATTTTTAAATATCGAAATAAAAATTTTTCTATAAATTTATATATAAATTTTTAAAAAAAAAAATTAACCCCCCTCCGTGAGCAAACAAGATTTTTTGTTCGCTAACGGAGGGGAGTAAGAATTATTTCCAGCAGATAAGTCTCTTAATTTTTATAAAGAAGAGCAAGTTTTATTCATAGAAAAATTCGATTGAAAATTAATTGATAGACAAATATGCTATTAGAAATCAGATTATTCAATAAATATAAATAATTAATATGCTTATTTATCTGCGAGAATCAATGGCTCTCTTCAAAAGCAGGAAATATGCTATAACTCTATAGTCCACTAAGAGAATGCACAAATAAAACACACATTCTCCAATAGGCTTACCTCACCTTCCTCGATCGACCTGTTTACAATCATTCTATCAAGAGGAGGTTTTGGAAATTTTTTATATATAAAATATTTTATAAGCTAGCCATAAGAGATAGAGTAAGCAATAAATAAACAAATATGCTAAAAATGGCATTAGAATTGTTTAGATAAATTGCGTAGATGATTCTAGCATTCATTAATATTAATTAAAGTAGTAAAATTTGAGGCAGGATCGGGATTGAGCTTTATGCTCTCATATAAATTTCTGGGGTTAAATTTCATAATTTTTATAATGATGTTGTTCGGTAGGATAAGGGAGTTAGTAAAGTCAAGATCTCTTAAAGGATCACATTTTTGGCAGTCTGTACAATGCTGACAATGCATCCCCAAGTCATTATATTCATTCGCACAAAGAGCTTCAACCGATCATCTCATACACTAAATAAAAATTACAGATATATACTGAATCCATGAAAAGCCTTCAGGATAATGATTTACACTAGGGAATAATCCTGAATAAAGCATCATAGGCTGTAAAAAGATCGGACAAATTGCTAAAGCGACAGTTTCTGTTTTCACCATACAGCCTAAAATATAGCCTAATCCAATAGCAGCTATTTGCAATAATACAAGCACAAAATAAAAAATAAAAAACTTGCTTGCATCATAATCATTGAAAGGAATTGTCCAATACACCATTAGGCAATACACTAAGAGTGGAAGAAATTGCATTGGGAGGTCAGCAATTGACTTTGATAAGTAATAAGAAGCTGTGGAATAAATCCTTTGCTTACTTTCTTTTAGGAACAAAGGAGTCTCACTTGGAAATTGCATAGCTGCATTTTGGCATGAAAAAAATGCTACAGTTGCCATGGAAAGGAACAGTAATTGAGTACGAGTTCTAGCAGAGTCATAATTTTTGGCTAGATTATTACAAATCAAGTCGACCAAAACAGCAACCATAATATATTCAGCAAACAAAAGTTGCCCAGCAAGAGGGTCTCTTCTTGCATTTATCCAAGCTCTTCTAAATAATAGCACAAATTGTTCAGCGAAATTTGTAGCTGCTACTAAACTCTCCCCCCTCTTGAACAAATAAAATTTTTATTAAAAAATATTTTGAATATAAGTGATAATTAGTATAATAAAATCTCTAGTAATTCTGTTTTAATTCTAAGCAGCTTGCATTTTAAAACAAAAATATTTCTAATTAAATAAATTTGCTATTTCGAATTAGGATTTTTTTAAATTTCATAAAAAAAAAAATTTCTATAAATTTTTAAAAAAATAAATTAACTTCCATTCGTAAGCGAACAAAATTTTTTTTGTTCGCTCACGGATGGGGAGTAAGTGCTTATTAGCCAAAGGCTCAAGGGCAGATTTATCATAATCATCTGTAGTCTCAATCGAGTTATAAGCAGAAACCAAGTTTTCAATTTTATCATGCTCTTCTTGCGTAGGATGTTTTCTATCTACAACATGCAGAAGTCTCATATAAAAATCTGCTGGATTCATAAGCTTTGGGACTTCATATCCAGTTTTTGCAAAATACTTGGGGGAGTCTTTAGCTTTCCCTTGATATACAAGGTGACCTTCTGCTAATAAAATTAATCTATCAAATTTATCAAAAATGCTTGTGCTTGGTTGATGTATGGTTGACATAACAGTTCTGCCTTTGCGAGCTTGCTCTATTAATAAGTCAATAACGACTTCTGCTGTAAAACTATCAAGACCAGAAGTAGGTTCATCTAGCAAAAGGACAATAGGGTCAGTGATAAGTTCCATCCCTATGCAAACTCTTTTTCTTTCACCTCCAGAAAGGCCTTTTTTAGTTATACTTCCAATGACATTATCTGCGCATTTCATCAACCTTAGATCTTGAATAATTGTATTCACCCTATCCACATGTGCATTATAATGACCTGGCATTCTAAGTCGTGAAGAAAACATTAAAGACTCTCTAGGAGTAAGATTGGGAAGTAGAATGTCCTCTTGAGTGACATAAGCTGAATAATACCCAAAGTCAATGTCCTTTATATTAGTTCCATTTGCAGTTATCTGACCAATAATCTTGGCATTATTGCTGCTTTTGAGTCTCCCAGCCAAGATATTTAAAAGCGTGGTTTTGCCAGCCCCTGAAGAACCCATCAAAACTATAGTGCCTTGCCAAACTTTTGGGAGGCCTCTGGCATGTGGAGATATTCTCCACATGCCAGAAATACTTCCATATGTGAAAGAAGAGAAATACAGTAGCTTCACATGTGGAAATATTTCTGACATGTAGAGGATATCTCCATATGCCAGTGGCCTCCCAAAATTATAGCAAGGCGCTATAGAAGTTCGCCTGGGTTGGCTTTTCCTGAAACTGCTTTTAATATTTGGGTTTCTTCCCCTTTATTTTCTATGACATAGCTGACATTATCCCAGCACAACTGGATTTTAATACGCTCATCTTGCTTTTTTGTTAGACTGGAGGCTTTGTCTTCATAGTCTTCGATTAAGCTTGATTCATCCTGCTCTTTCATGGTTATAACTTCAATTTCACTGCTCATCCCTTTTTTGGAGAATACTTCAGGAGTTATCATTTTTTATTAAGTCAAAAAATTGATCCAAAATAAATGTTTTTCGAAAGGTTTTGTTATAAAACCCTGGAAAATAATGAAATTAATTGTATTGCACATATCAACTATTATACTTTAGATAATTACTAGCTTTTGATAAATATTATAAGTTTTTGACATGAAAATTGTTGACTTTACAATAATTCAATTTCCTTAAATTTTAACAAAAAAGAAAATTGTGATGATTTATAACAATGCATTTTTATTAAAATCCTGGTCTGTTTAAGAAACAAGGATAATTTTCATGAAAAAATTTTATAAATAAAAGATTTTTTAAACATAAAAATAATTGAAGCTCAGACTTTAAAACAATATAAATTATTATAGAAACATAAGAAAATCTCAATTTTTCCATCTTCAGTTAATCTTATTTACATATGAAGAAGAAAATGAAAATGGTAAATTTTATTCTTTTTTCATCTGAAGAAAATTGTGTTTAAGATTATCTAATTGACTTTCTTTTAGTTATAATATTATGTTTATATTGCTCAGCTCCTTTTAGCTCGGGTATATAAATTATCTGCTTAAAATAGTTTAAGAGGTTGATTTAAAAAAATTATAATTTTTATTTAAACATAAGGCGCTATTAGTTTGGTGCAAGTAATAAGGCATTTTATAGCGTTTTACCGCACTCATCATGAACTTTTAAAATTAAAATTTAAGTTTACTATAATTAAAAAAATAGTAAAAAAGTCAAATGTCGATCTCTTAGTGGGTGATTCAATATTGTAAGGTAATATTATAGTTATTTGAAAATTCTTAGAGGAAAAATTTTGCAAAAACAATTGTTAAGTAATAGACACTTCTTATATGTAGCCCTTTTATATATTTCAAAAGCAAACTTAATACAATTAATAAACATTTTTAACTCTATTTTATAGCATTTATTAAGAGAAATAAAAACATGCAATAGAAGTATATATCCAAATAATATTTTAGAATTCTAATCAAATGTACATTTTTTAAACAAATTATTATTATAAAAGATTATTGCTTGTTTATAATTTCTTCAAATAGCCGATCGCCAATGTATAGCAGCATAACTATTTAAAATTTATTATTTATTAATATATAAGTGCATAGCAAAATCTACATATATTCTATGAATTTAATACAAATATATATAAAATAGAAATTCAGGTTTTTTAATAAAATTATTTAAACTTAGTAATTTTTATTTATCTACGAGAATCAATAGCCCTTTTCCAAAGCAGTAAATATGCTATAACTCTATAGCCCACCAAGAGAATGCACAAATAAAAGACGCACTCTCCAATGGGGTTCGTGAAGTCCAGATCTCTTAAAGGGTCACATTTCTTGCAATCTGTACAATGTTGACAATGCATCCCCAAGTCATTATATTCATTCGCACAAAGAGCTTCAACAGCCCATCTCATACACTAAATAAATCTTACAGATATATACTGAATCCATGAAAAGCCTTCAGGATAATGATTTACACTAGGGAATAAACCTGAATAAAGCATCATAGGCTGTAAAAAGACTGGAACAATTGCTAAAGCCACAGTTTCTGTTTTTACCATACAGCCTAAAATATACCCGATTCCGATAGTAGATATTTGCAATAATATTAAAACAAAATAAAAAATAAAAAACTTGCTTGCATCATAATCATTGAAAGGAATCACCCAATACACCATGAGGCAATACACTAAAAGTGGTAAAAATTGCATTGGAAGGTCAGCAATTGATTTTGATAAGTAATAAGAAGCTGTGGAATAAATCCTTTGCTTACTTTCTTTTAGGAACAAAGGAGTCTCACTTGGAAATTGCATAGCTGCATTCTGACAGGAAAAGAAACTTACAGTTGCCATAGAAAGGAACAGCAATTGAGTCCTAGTTCGAGAAGAGTCATAATTTTTGGCTAGATTATTACAAATCAAGTCGACCAAAACAGCAACCATTATGTATTCAATAAACAAAAGCTGTCCTGCAAGAGGGTCTCTTCTTGCATTTATCCAAGCTCTTCTGAATAATAGCGTAAATTGTTCGGCGAAATTTGTAGACGCAACTAAGTGCTTATTTGCCAAAGGCTCCAGCTTTGATGCATCAAAATCATCCTCTAGCTCTATAGAATTGTAAGCAGAGACCAAATTTTCAATTTTATCGTGCTCTTCTTCGGTTGGGTGTTTTCTATCTACAACGTGGAGGAGTCTCATATAAAAGTCAGATGGATTCATAAGTTTTGGAACTGGGTATCCAACTTTGGCGAAATATTTTGTTGACTCGCTAGAACGACCTTGATAAACAAGGTTGCCTTCTGCTAGTAAAATCAATCTGTCGAATTTATCAAAAATGCTTGTGCTTGGCTGATGGATTGTTGACATAACAGTTCTGCCTTTTCTAGCCTGCTCTATTAATAAGTCAATAACGACTTCTGCTGTAAAGCTGTCAAGACCAGAAGTAGGTTCATCTAGCAAAAGGACAATAGGGTCAGTGATAAGTTCCATCCCTATGCAAACTCTTTTCCTTTCTCCTCCAGAAAGGCCTTTTTTAGTTATGCTCCCAATGATCTTATCTGCACACTTTACCAATCTTAGCTCTTGAATAATTGTATTCACCCTCTCTACATTATCATTATAATTACCTGGCATTCTAAGTCGTGAAGAAAACATTAAAGACTCTCTCGGAGTGAGGTTAAGATTAAGATTTATAGGCTATAAGCGGAGCCCCACTAACCGGAATACCTTGACACAAGAAAAGTGGCCTATGCTGGGGCGTATACACCAGAGTGCAAAAAGTGTAAGGCTCAGCCAACTTTAATTTTGTGAAAAGGCTCACCTAAACTTAGGATTAGCGCCCTAGCTTAGAGCTACCTTTATATGGTGCCCCGATAATCCCGATATACGAAAACTATAATTGAAGCAAAACCTGTGATCAGGTAAGAAACAAAACTTCCTTCTTCGGCAAGGCTTACTATAAAGGGACGAAATCTGTTTTCAGATTTATTAGGATGGGGCCGACCTGCTCCATAGAGATTGCTCCTCGAAGACCAACTTCCATAATCATCACTGTTTTATTTCTTGAGTAAGGTTAGGAAGTACAATGTCCTCTTGAGTGACATAAGCTGAATAATACCCAAAATCAATGTCCTTTATGTTAGTTCCATTTGCAGTTATCTGACCAATAATCTTGGCATTATTGTTATTTTTGAGTCTCCCTGCCAAGATATTTAAAAGCGTGGTTTTGCCAGCCCCTGAAGAGCCCATCAAAACTAGAAGTTCGCCTGGATTGGCTTTTCCTAAAACTGCTTTTAATATTTGGGTTTCTTCGCCTTTGTTTTCTATGACATAGCTGACATTATCCCAGCACAACTGGATTCTAATACGCTCATCGTGTTTTTTTTCTGGATGGGAGACTTTATCTTCGTATACTGCAATCATGCTTGATTCATCCTGCTCCTTCATGGTTATAACCTCAACCTTTCCATTGCTCTCTTTTTTGGAGAATACTTTAGGAGTTACCATATATTATCCAGCCAAAAATGGTTTGAAAACAAATGCTCAACAAAGAGATTTTATTTAAAAAAATCTAATAATTAAAAATATTGCCCAAGCTAAATAAACTGTATTTTTTTCATTGAGATTTAGACTTTTCAAGCTTCTTGAAACTTTTTTGTTACATAATGCGAAAAATAAGACCTATCATAAAATTTTGATTGGAGATTAAAATTCCGTTAACCAAAGCGTAGTAATTTAAAATAGCTGAAAATTTCTTCATAAATACGAGAAAATCCAGAGATAACCCCAAAGTATAAATTTTTTATTCTTCAGTAATCCCTATTATTAGTCGAACAAATGAAAATGGTGAAAATTTGGGTTTCGACACCTTAGATTTTAAATTTTTGATTTCAGATTGTTCGATTATTTTTTTAACTCATAAATAAAAAACTAGCACTTTGCAAATTAAATCAAAAGATTAGCTTTAAGAATTATTTTTTTAAGGGTTAATAAATTATAAATAAAGTTTTGCTTGATTTGATTTTAAAATTTTTCTGGTAGAATCAAATCTGTTAATAATAAAATCTCCCTTAAGACAAATTTTATATGCAAAAAATATAAATAATTTTAAAATTATCTGCGTGCATTTACAGCTCTTTTCCAAAGCAGCAAATATGCTATAACTCTATAACCAACTAGGAGAATGCAGAGATATAAAACGCATACTCCAATACTATTTGTAAAGTCCAGATCTCTTAAAGGATCACACTTATAGCAATCTGTACAATGCTGACAGTGCATCCCTAAATCGTTATATTCATTAGCACAAAGGGCTTCTTAGCTTAGATTACTTACAGAGAAGTCTTCTGTAGGCCCGCAGGCCACTATTCGCCTCTGTATAACGCTCCACCTCTTGCTTACTGGCTGGGATGTGGTATTCTACTGCGTTGCTCCTCACAGACGAGGGCTTGCTCTCTCGCTAACCGAGAGTAGAGATGCTGGGTTATCATGCCGCACGTCAACGGGTCTTTCCGAAAATTCGAAAAATCGATTTTTCTGGTAGAGCTGCCAGCCAAAATAAAGCTCGGAGCTCAGGACGTAACACCTGGCATCGCGCTAGGGATTTGACCGAATGGCCAAGCGACAACCTCTGGCTGTGCTAAATGTCCCCTTTCCAACTCCAGCGAGCCACCTTCCCACATTGTAAAACCTTGACCTGGATGTGAGTGCACGATCAACTAAACCTGAAAATGTGTTCCATCAGACCAAGTCCAGCAGGATACACATCTCTAAACCCTTTCCTCCTTTCCACAAGATCAATGAGCCTACCGCTACAGGTGTTAAGAGGGCAGGCTAGCTCACCACACCATTTTAATGTATATAGCACAAAGAGCTTCAACAGCCCATCTCATACACGATATGTATTGTATCCAAAAAAAGCCTTCAGGATAATGATTTACACTAGGGAATAAACCTGAATAAAGCATCATTGGCTGCATAAATATCGGCACTATGGCTAAAGCGACAGTTTCTGTTTTTACCATACAGCCTAAAATATAGCCTAATCCAATAGCTGATATTTGCAACAATACAAGCACAAAATAAAAAATAAAAAACTTGCTTGCATCATAATCATTGAAAGGAATCACCCAATAAATCATCAAGCAATATACTAAAAGTGGCAAAAATTGCATTGGGAGGTCTGCAAGTGACTTTGATAAATAATAAGAAGCTGTGGAATAAATCCTTTGCTTACTTTCTTTAAGGAACAAAGGAGTCTCACTTGGAAATTGCATAGCTGCATTCTGACAGGAAAAGAAAGCTACAGTTGCCATTGACAAAAACAAAAGTTGAGTCCTGGTTGATGCAGAGTCATAATTTTTGGCTAGATTATTACAAATCAAGTCGACCAAAACAGCAACCATTATGTACTCAGTAAACAAAAGTCGCCCAGCAAGAGGGTCCCTTCTTGCATTTATCCAAGCTCTTCTAAAAAGCAATAAAAATTGCTCCACAAAGTTGGTTGGGACTATTAAGTGCTTGTGCTTTAAAGGCTCAAGTTTTGAGGAGTCAAAATCGTCTTCAGGCTCGACCTGATTATAAGCGGAGACCAGAATTTCTATTTTGTCGTGCTCTTCTTCGGTCGGGTGTTTTCTATCTACAACGTGAAGAAGTCTCATATAATAGTCTGCTGGGTTCATCAGTCTTGGACATTTGAAGCCGAATTTCGCAAAATATTGAGGGGAATCTTTTGCGGATCCTTGATAGACAAGATGGCCTTCTGCTAGTAAAATCAATCTGTCGAATTTATCGAAAATGCTGGAGCTAGGCTGATGGATTGTTGACATAACAGTTCTACCTTTTCTTGCCTGCTCTATTAATAAGTCAATAACGACTTCTGCTGTAAAACTATCAAGACCAGAAGTAGGTTCATCTAGCAAAAGGACAATAGGGTCAGTGATAAGTTCCATCCCAATACAAACTCTTTTCCTTTCTCCTCCCGAAAGGCCTTTTTTAGTTATACTCCCAATGACATTATCTGCACATTTTACCAATCTCAGCTCTTGAAGAATCGAATTCACCCTATCCACATGTGCATTATAATGACCTGGCATTCTAAGTCGTGAAGAAAACATTAAAGACTCTCTAGGAGTTAAATTAGGAAGCAAAATATCTTCTTGGGTCACATAAGCTGAATAATACCCAAAGTCAATGTCCTTTATGCTAGTTCCATTTGCAGTTATCTGACCAATAATCTTGGCATTCCCAGTGCTTTTGACTCTTCCAGCTAGAATATTTAAAAGTGTAGTTTTGCCAGCCCCTGAAGAACCCATCAAAACTAAGAGCTCCCCGGGATTTGCTTTTCCTGAAATACCTTTCAATATTTGGGTTTCTTCCCCTTTATTATCAATCACATAACTTATCGCATCCCAGCATAATTGAACTTTTATGCGATCGTCTTGGCCTTTATCTGTTGTTGCTAAACCATTTCCTTGGTATTCCACTATTAAGCTTGAGTCTTCTTGTTCCTTTAAGTCAACTATTTCTATTCCTTCCTTGTTGCTATGCTTAGAGAATTCTTTTGGTGTTATCATAATATATATTAGAACATAAATGGCTGACAAAAAAAAAGGCCTTAAATAAATAATCTTAAATTAAAAAATGATGGAAAATGGAAGATTTTTGATAGATTTTTTGTTTTAGAACAGAATTTTCGATTTTTTTTCATTTTCCAAAGATACTTACTCCCCCACTCCGTGAGTGAACAAAACCATTAGAAAAATCGCTATTTTTTGCCAAAAAACCCTCCGTGAGTAGAAAAAATTTTTTATTAAAAAACAATTGATATAAGTGATAACTAGTGTAATGAAATCTCGAACTGATTCTGTTTAGTTTTAAACAAATTGCGTTTTAAAACATAATTTTATAAATTAAATTAATATTTGCTTCCCAATTTTTGCAAATTAGGATTTTGTTAAAATTTCGAAGAAAAATTTTTTTTCTATAAAATTTATTGTTCACTCACGGAGGGGGGTTAGAAAATTTTTAATTTGTTTGGAAAGACAGGGTTAGGGTTTTATGGTAGCTGATCTTGAAGAAATTAAAATTTTGAATAGTTTTTGCAAGAAATTGTGCATGGCTCCTGGATGAAATACAAAATTCTTATGGAAAGAAGAAATATGACTATTATTTTACCATTTATCTGCCAGATTTCATTTTGGCAAATGAACTAGCATTAAGTTATAAGGGAATCAGGGATTTTCCTAAAGATTAAATAGGCAAGTATAAATTAGTGCTAATTTTGATTTTTAATATCAATAAATTTTATAATTAACTACTAAAAAAAGCTAATTCTACCATAGAAACCTCATCGAGAGGGGAAAATTTTTTTGCTTGCTTAATTTTTATTTTAATATTTGCAATTATATTGCAATTTTTTTTGAAATAAATTTTCAAGTTTAACGATTTAAGTTATCTCATTATAATAATGAAATAAAAAAATTTTAAGCAAAGCAGCTTTGCTTTCTAATGGAAGGTGGGTTTTTCATCAATAATAATAATAATAATAATTTATTTATTTTTGTCGCTTACACATTGAGATGAGAAGTAAGGCTCCTCAAACCTTCTATCTATAATTGTATATCTAAACTATTAGATTTCCCTGCTATTTGCTATTCGATAAAAGCCAGTGTGAATAATTATTAAGCCCTTTTAGCATAAACTGAGAACTATTTGTATTATTTTATTCTAGGACTGACTTATAGAACCAAAGAATTTAAAGCCAAATTTAAATTAAATATTAGTTTTTCTTAAAGGAAAGTTTATTTAAATAGTTCAAAATTTCCTCAGATTCTATGTGCATTATAGTGCCTAGTCTTCCTTTTAAATAATAATGCTTAACCCGTTGATAAATAATTGCTGTGACTATTTGCAATAATAATTTATGTTTGGTTTTATCATGCATTTTAATTACACTTGTATAGGGCAATTACTATTTATTAGCCAAATTTTGAGACTATTATATAAAGAGTTAACTAGATTAAACCAGAATATGCATTTCTTGATGAGCTTTTAATATTATTAAAATTTAATAGATTTCTAAACCTCAATAATATATAACTTCCCAAACATAAAAATAATTTCTCTAACTGAATTATTTTATTTTTATCACTTAAATCGCTAAATTTCAAGTTTTTTTCTCATTAGATAATATAATTTCTATGCATCTCTTATAAATGGCAGATAACCCAGACAAGCTCCTAGATTCCGCCTTAGACGAGCTCGAAGAGCACAAAGAAGAAGAAAAAAAGAAGAAGCCTTCGAAAAGACCATTAAAGAAACAATAGAAGGTCTAGGAGGCGCAGGTGCTGAAATTCCAGAGATTCCTGAAATGAGAGGGTGGCCTGAGATGGAGAATCTTTTAAACGCTTTTGCGCCAGAACTTGAAGCAGGTATAAAAGAATTTCAAACATCATGCAGAGATTTATTTGAAGAAATGAAAGCGAATGTAGACCTCCTAAACGAATCCATGGTAGAGCTAAGGGATAAATTGCAAGAATATATCGACAGAAAAAGGACTGAACTTTCAGCTGAAGATTTATCTCGTTATTCAGCTCAGCTAGACCTCTATACCCAAATCTGCGACAGCCTTGCTAATGGTCAAAAAGACCAAGCCACGGAACTTATAGAAAGATTATCTGACCATGGAGATCTCCCCAGCCAATTAATACCTCCACCGTCAGAAGTTTGCACAATTATGTAGCTAACCTTATTCTCTAAAATTTACATTAAATTATCTAAATTCTTCATTTTCCATCAAAAAATTAAAGTCTCCGAAATTTTCGCAATTTCCTGGAAAAACATTCCAAAACCTTAAAGTTTCGTCGCCTTCGCCAGCCCCTGTCACGATATTTTGTCCGTCAGCTGACATAGCTAAATATAAGACTCTTTTGGTATGTCCCAACATAATTCCTATTTTCTGCATATTTGGGTAACTTCAGACAGTAATTTGATGCTGAGAAAACCCATGTGTTGATACCAACTCTTTAAGGCTCCTCAAACCTTCTATCTATAATTGTATATCTAAATATTAGATTTCCCTGCTATTTGCTATTCGATAAAAGCCAGTGTGAATATTTATTAAGCACTTTTAACATAAACTGAGAACTATTTATATTATTTTATTCTAGGACTGACTTATAGAAATCAAAGAATTTAAAGCCAAATTTAAATAAAATTATAATTACACTTGTATAGGGCAATTACTATTTAGTAGCCAAATTTTGAGACTATTATATAAAAATCTAACTAGATAAGACTACAATATGCATTCTTAATGAACTGTTGATATTAAAATTTAAAAGATTTCTAAAACTCAATAATATATAACTTCCCAAACATAAAAATAATTTCTCTAACTGAATTATTTTATTTTTATCACTCAAATCGCTAAATTCAAGTTTTTTCCTCATTAGATAATATAATTTCTATGCAACTCTTATAAATGGCAGATAACCCAGACAAGCTCCTAGATTCCGCCTTAGACGAGTTCGAAGAGCACAAAGAAGAAGAAAAAAAAGAAGAAGCCTTTGAAAAGACCATTAAAGAAACAATAGAAGGTCTAGGAGACCTCGGAGGCGCAGGTGCTGAAATGCCAGAGATGCCTGAAATAGAGCATATTTTTAGCACTCTTTCACAAGAACTTGACGCAAATCCAGAGCTAAAAGAAGAATTTGAAAAATTAAGCGACGATTTATTTGGAGGAATCAATGGGAGCGAAGGCGTCCTAAACGAATCCATGGTAGAGCTTAGAGACAAATTACGAGAATATATCGACAGAAAAAGGACTGAACTTTCAGCTGAAGATTTATCTCGTTATTCAGCTCAGCTAGACCTCTATACCCAAATCTGCGACAGCCTTGCTAATGGTCAACAAGACCAAGCCATGGAACTTGTAGCAAGATTATCTGACCATGGAGAACTCCCCAGCGAATTAATGCCTCCAATGCCAGAAGAATGCACAATTATGTAGCTAACCTTATTCTCTAAAATTTACATTAAATTATCTAAATTCTTCATTTTCCATCAAAAAATTAAAGTCTCCGAAATTTTCGCAATTTCCTGGAAAAACATTCCAAAACCTTAAAGTTTCGTCGCCTTCGCCAGCCCCTGTCACGATATTTTGTCCGTCAGCTGACATAGCTAAATATAAGACTCTTTTGGTATGTCCCAACATAGTTCCTATTTTCTGCATATTTGGGTAACTTCAGACAGTAATTTCGTGTTGAGAAAACCCATGTGTTGATACAAGCTCATTTGTAGTCTTAGAAAACATTATGTTGCAGACCTGGGAATATGTGTTATATGAGGCTAGTTCTTTTAAGGTAAAAGTGTCCCAAAATTTAATTGTCTTGTCAGCAGTTCCCCCACCTGAAGCTAAAAGGCCTCGTTGATGTGGCGACCAAGCTATTGCTTTGACTGCTGCCGTGTGGCTTGAAAATTTTTCGACAGGGCTGGAACTTCGAGAACTTCATAAAAAAATTTTATTGTCATTGCCGCCTGATGCCAGCTGTTCTCCGTCAAAACTTCATTTAAGGCCGCAGATTTCTTGTTTATGTCCTGAAAGCTTAGAAAAATAGTTGGAAGGTGACCTGAAGTCGTGCTGGAGGATTATTTGGTCACGGGAGCCTGATGACAAAACGACGCTATTTCAAGATAAAGTGCCGATACGAGAATTATGGCCTTTAAAGCAGCGGAGCGGGTACTCTTTTTCTACGTCGTATAAGAAAAGCTTGCCTTGGGAAGTTCCAATTGCGAGATGGGTACCTTGTGGACTTCATGATAAAGAAGAGGCTGATTCTTCACATAAATCATGTAAAAATCTTGCAGGTTTTATGGTGTCTGACCACAAATAAACTGCTTTATTGAGAGCTACGGCAAGGAGATTATTGCAGGACCAGTCTAAAACGTTCATATAGAAATCGTCGAGTAAGTTTGGGGCGTCTAAAGCTTTGTAAGGGAATTTTGGGATTTTTCGAGAATTTGGGAAGGCAGGCTCTTCAGGGCAAAATATATCAGAAAAGCTGGCTTGAGGAGAAAGTTGGGATGGAGAGGCAAAATACTGGGGAAAGGAAAACAAGGATTCTGTTCTAAGGATGCTTGATTTTAATAAGGATTGAAATGTTCCTTGTGCTTCTTCGGAATGAGATAGCCCAATTCCGTCTGGTTTTGAGAGGAGAGAAGATCGGCCATGGATGAAGCGGCCATTTGAGTTTTCTTCAGAAGTGGCTACAGAGATAGAATGCTTGAGAGGTGGGCTGAAAGATCTCTTATAATAAAATGCATACGAGACCTATCTCTAAAGCTAAATTTTTCATATTTTATATCTCATAGATATTTCTCCTAAAGATGCAAAGAATCCTTAGCTTACTCCCACCAAAAGCTGTACCTTATTTCAAACTTGGCCGTTTCCACAAGCCAATTGGTGCATACCTTGTATTATGGCCTACAACTTGGTCAGCAGCCCTTGCATCAGCCTCAGGGATTCCTCATATTGGCTGACTTGGGTGTGCAGTCGGGGCATCTTTTATGCTAAGAGCAGCAGGCTGTACAATAAACGACTACTGGGACACAAAATATGACAAACATGTAAGAAGAACCAAAGAGCGTCCACTTGCCAATGGAGAAATCTCTAACTTTGGAGCCATGTCCTTTTTCCTATTTAACCTAGCCCCAGTACCTGTTATTTTAAGCTTGACTGGGCCTGTATGTCAAAGTCTAATTCTTTTCTCAATCCCACTTATGAGTTTATACCCATTAGCAAAACGCTTTACAAACTGGCCACAAGCGGTACTTGGATTTGCAATGAATTATGGATGTGTAGTAAATTATGTGTTTTTAACTGAAAGACTGGATTTAGCTATTGTTCTTCCGCTATATTTGGGAAGCTGGTGCTGGACTATGATTTATGACACAATTTATGCGTATCAGGATAGAGTTGACGATCAGCCAATTGGAGTAAAATCAACTGCATTATTATGGGGAAATACAAATAAGCCATATTTTGCTTTTTTTACAGCTGCTGCAGGACTTTGCTGGTTTTCAGCAGGATATATGGCGAATTTAGGGCTTCCTTATTATATATGTATATCAGGAGCGTTAGGGCATTTAACATATCAATGGACAACTGTAGATATAAACAATGAAAAAGATTGCTGGAATAAGTTTGCTAGCAATCAATATACTGGCTTTTTGATTTTACTAGGAATTATTTTCGGAAAATTAACCTCAAAAAAAGAAAATAATAAGATAGATGATAATCAAAAATAGTTTAACTAACTTAATCCATACTCTTTTCTAAGGTCACTGCTGCCCATCTTGATTTCCATGCTAGATAGCTTAAAGTAATTGTAGCCATTGTAGCCCCAATCACTAATCCATACCAAATCCCGTAAATATCGAAATCAGCGTGGAAAGCCATCAGATACCCTCCAGGGATTGCAAAAACGTAATATGATATTAAAATCATAATAAACGCGATACTTTGTCTAGCAATTCCCTTAAGGACACCACATAGGACGACTTGGAAAAAGTCAATAGCATTAAAGAGCATCACTGGGATAAAGAGTTTTGCGATAATTTCTGAGACTTCAGTGTCATAAGTGTAAAGCTGACTTAAAGGCTCCCTAAAGGTAAGAACTAAGACTTCTAACGGAAAGTTTGTAAGGAAAAAGAGCATTAAGGCTGCCCATGAGTACAATTTTGCCTTTGCTGAGTTTCCTTCACCTACGAAGTTACCTACAATTGAAGTGATTGAAATACCAAGCCCTAGAGGAATCATGTATAAAGTAGTAACTGTGTTAGCAACTGCAACATGTGCAGCTTGAGTTTTAACCCCTAAATGGCTTGCTTCAACTTGTGTAATTTCAAAGTTAAGCTGATCAAGGAGGAGCATTCCTGCTGAAGGCAATGCATATCTTAAGAATTTTCTGATGTCATGCCAGAAGTTTTGGAAGTTGCAGGATTTGCATGTTTTTTGTTCAAGTTTAAAATATTTAATCAATGCGACCATAACCACAAAGTTTGAAATGTAAGTCACTGATGTCGCAATTCCTGCACCTTTTTCTAGCCAGTCACATTCTATAATAAACAGCCAGCACCAAAATACATGTAAGGTTGTTGTGATTCCATTTACGACCAGGCCAGGCCAAAAGTACTCTTGAGCTTGCAAATATCTTCGGAAGAAATCAAAGCATAAGAAGAACCAAAGCCCAGGTAAAACACATGATAAATAATTATAGCTGTATTCAGCAATTTTTTCTTCAACTCCCATAAGCATAAGAACTTCAGCTGTATAGAGGATTGCAACTGTAATTGGAATAAAAGCAACTGTCAGCACAACTACTCCTCTTTGCAGCCATATGCCGACCATTTCATATTGCTTGTTACCGTTCGCTTGGGAGCATAAAGTATCAAGGCCTCCTGCTAGACCCCAACCCACAGCGACTCCGATAAAATTTCCCCACATGTTGCCAAGGCCGATTCCATCAAGACGTTCTATATCAATATTGCCAATAAAAAACATATTGATAATTTCGACCAGAAACTGAAGGATAAATGAAAGAATCGACGGCCCAGCTAGCTTCACAATGGCCATTTCGGCTTGCCAAAGAGTTTCTTTTTGGGCTGGAATAAGTGGGACGGACAAATCTCCCATTTTAATTAATAAACCATATAATCTGGTAAAATGATAAAGCTATCTCATATTTTTTTTGGCTAACGGCTTTAGGTTGATGGAATCGGGATTTCAAATAAATAAAAGAAATTATTGGAAAATAATAATAAAAAGTGACAGCTTAAATTACGGCTCAGGTAGGATTTTTATTGTGATTAGCTGTTTTTGTATTTAGGTCCTATTAATATTTATTTTGAAGTTTTTAGCTGTGATATAAAGCATATAAATTCCAGAGAGTTTGTGCTGAATTAAACTTTGAAAAAGAGTTTTTATGTAGTGGCGTGCATATTTTTAAGTAATTTTAAGATGAAAATGTATTTTTCTTAAACGTTTTTATTTGATTTATCTTATGATAAGAAGAATATTATTTTTACCTTATTAAAATATTTTTGAAAATTGTATAGATTTCGTATAAAATGGCTGCAGTTTCTATGAGTATACTGATTTTTCTTTTTGTGAATACAACAATTATGAAGCATTTTAATATAATTTTGCAGCCAATTGCTAACCAAAATACCGGAATTTATTAGCGGATCCAAATTTAGAAGAGAAAACACAAATATTAAGCCTTTTGAAAAATTTCAGAAATAAGCCATTTCCAAAAAAACAAGCTTTTTGCCATATGAGAATACGAAACACTTCCTCTAGTAAACTCTAAAATTTTAAAAAAATTTCTTAATGTAGGTGCCAATGCATTGTAGCAAATCCAAGCGAATAAGTAACCCTTAATAAAAATCAGTTAGTTAGGTTAACTAGAAAAACCAACCAAAAGGTATTTAATCGTATTGGAAGATGACGCAGTCACATTAAATTATTTCGAAATTTCCCTATCATTTGAAAATATTAATGACATCATATAGAGGCATGCTAGTTTAGTCTCATACTATTAATGCTGGATATAGTAAATAATTTTAATTTTTCTATAACTATTTTAATCTTCTTTATCAAATATAAATTTATTCATCGACTCTAGCATCATTATCAGTCCTTCTTTAATATATTGAAAGTTCATCTTAATCCCAACAATATAATTTGAAAGATCATTAGTATTCATATCTAATGCTCTAAAGATATATGACACATTTTCCCAGCTAGTTTCAATGGCTTGAAGGATATTGACACTATTAAGGAAATTAGCCGCCACTTTAGCACGATCTATTTGGCTCCTTTTTGCTAAGGCGAATCTACTTGTTGGGTCTGCGCTACTTGGGCAAAATGGCTTTAAAAAATCTAAAAATACGCGTTCATCCATATAGAATGAGTCTTTTTTTACATAAAAATCAATCAAAAATAAAGATACTTCTCCATTAATTTCAAGAAATCCAAAGTTTTCTTTGTTTATTGTAGTATCAGTTAAGCATAAAATTCTTGAAATCAAATCTAATTTTAACAGTTCGTCACAAATATGGAAATATTCTTGAGGGATGTCTTCTAATGCTGTTTTTGCTGGATCCAGAAACTTTTCATAAAGCTTGCTGTACTCGTTAAATGATCCTCTCTCATTCAGATCCTCTGTTGCAATATAAAAACTGATCTTATCTTCCCAGAAAAAGTGAACCTTAGGACCAATATTTAATTGATAAAGAAGATAATAAATAAAAGCCTCTTTTGGATCTAATTCTTTTAGTTGGCTCCTCGTGCTATAATCATCGAGTGCTCCATATCTCTGGGTTTTAATAAAATACTTCTTTGATTCAGAAGGAGAAACAGCTATAGTAATTCTTCTTCCAAGCTGCAAACCGCTTTCTTTCTCAGAAAACGATATACTTTCTGGCCCGCTCAGTTTAAAAGTATTAATAAAATATCTAGCAGCAGCATTTTCTAGAATTTTATAGCGAAGGTCTTTATAAAAATATAATGCGAAGTAATCCAATCATAAGACTCTTGTTTTTATATTGGAAGGCCCATCTCAAAAGTTCATCCGCTGCCTTCTTCTGTAATTTTTCATTCTGAAGTATTAGTAAAACTTTTTGAATTTTTTCATCTTCAACCCCCCCTAAAAGTTTTTCCACAACAGCTTTGTTTTCTGCTAATAGCTCTTTGTCCTTATCGAGATCGTGAAAAGCAAAAGCCTTAAATGAATTATTTTTTGGTTCTTTTCTTTCTTCATCCGACATTATTTCAATTATAATTATCATTTTTCAATTTATATTCTAACTCCCTCCCCCTCGTGAGTGAAAAAAATATTTTTATTAACTCACGAAGAGGGGTTAAATTTTTTTTTTTAAAAATTTTTATATATAAAATTTTATAGAAATTTTTTTTTTTTCGAAATTTAAAAAAATCTCACGTCTATAAAAATTTGAAAGCAAATATTAATTTAATTTTAAAATTTATGTTTTAAAACGCAATTTATTTAAAATTAAACAAAATTAGCTCGAGATTTCATTATACTAATTATCACTTATATATCAAAATTTTTTTTTCATAAACAATTTTTCTATTAAAAACATTTTTGTTCACTCGGAGGGTGGGTTTTTGGGCAAAAAAATAGGGATTTTTCTAATGGTTTTGTTCACTCACGGAGGGGGTGAGTAAAAATTATTATCAAATTATTAAATTATTCACTTTCATATATGTAGCTATTTTAAATTAAAGTTAATTGCTTATTTTATAAAGTAAAAAATTTATTTGAAGTCCAAAAAGTAAAAATTTATTGCTTGAAATAGCGCAAAACTTACTCCCCCCCCTCCGTGAGTGAACAAAAACCATTAGAAAAATCGCTATTTTTTGCCCAACAACCCACCCTCCGTGATTGAACAAAAATTTTTTAATAGAAAAATTTTTTATGAAAAAAAAAATTGATATATAAATAATAATTAATATAATGAAATTTAGAGCTAATTCTGTTTAATTTTAAACGAATTGCTATTTGAAACATAAATTTTATAAATTATATTAATATTTGCGTTCCAATTTTTGTGAATTAGGATTTTTTTTAATTTTCGAAAAAAAATATTTTTTAAAAAATTTAAATATAAATGTTTTTAAAAAAAAAAAAACTAGGTGAGTGAACAAAATTTTTTTGTTCACTCACGGAGGGGGGGAGTTAGGAAATTGTATTTACCATATTAAAAAAGAAAACAACGTTTACTTTTATTTATCGTTTATTTTAAAGATTTGAAAAAAATTATTAAAAGCATTAAAAATAGGTTTTATAATTATTAATTTTATCTTTGTACTAGATTATCCTAATCAATTTTAATATTTAATCTATTAATATTGATTTATTGGATTATAAATCAAAAAAGGGTTTCCTAATTAGAATTTATCATCAAGATCTAACACCCCGCAATTTATTAGATATCAAATAAATCCTTGCTCATTAGCTAAGGGTTAAATTTTTTAAATAAATCTAATCGGTTTTAAAAAAATAGGTATTTTTTCTAATGGTTTTGCTCGCTAGCAAATAGGGGAACAAGCTGCATATTTACTCAAGATGAATAAATTAATTCTATATGCTTATTACCCCCCTCCATGAGCGAACAAAACCATTGGAAAACCTTATTTTTTCTCTAAGAGCAAACAAAAAAATTTTTATGAAATAATATTTATTATCATAAAAAATTCTCTATCTAATTCTGTTTAATTTTAAACAGCTTGCATTTTAAAATATAAATTTTACAAATTAAATTATATTTGATTTAAAATTATTTCAAATTGGGATAAATTTTTAAAAAAAATATTAAAAATTTTTTGTTCTCTCCACGGAGAGGTGGAGTTAAAAAAATAGCCCAGGCTTCAATTTTATTCAGAATCTAGCACTCATAAGCCAATTAGCTAAGCTTAAATAGCTCAGCTTCATACTTCATATTATTTTCTAATTTGAAAATTCAAATTAAATTATACTTTTAAAAATGAGCATAGCTCTATTTCTGGCTATATAAAAATATAATCCAAAATAAATACAGACACCAGCCTTATATAATAAAAAAAAATAATACTCCAACAACTGCATAGTTAAATTCGAAAAATTGCTTATACACTTTTTCCCAAAATTGGCGAGTCAAGCAGTAAATTATAAGAAATTAGTCTCTTGTTTAGAAAGATATTTCCTGAATTAGTTCTTCTTTTTCCTCTTGAGCTTTTACGAGGACTCTCAGGCTTGATTTCGTGCGATGCTTTAATGATTTTAGGAGAAATAAACTGCCTGTGGGCAAAAACGTCTGGAGTGCTTGACCTAGTTGGCGGAGTCCTATCATGAAGTGATTGCCTGCTTGTGATAAATGGGGAACGGCATCTTGAAGGAGAAGGAGTTTGATGTTGTAGAGGGATTCATGACTTTATAGCTGAGTTTATATCCTTTTTCAGCTCCATTTAAAATTTCTTTTAAAATCAATAAGAAAAGTAAAAGTTATGAAAATTAAAAATATTTAAATAAGTTATGAAAAATAAGCGCGCTTTTAAATATATTGTTTGAAATAAATTTAGTAGTTTTTTTATTCTAGCATCCTATTTTATATATAAGTTAAGGATTTGCTTTTTATTGATAATTTATTTAGAGCTTGATATTTTAATCATATTATCAAATTTCTTCTCAAAAAATATTGAATTTTCGCCTTATGAAAGAATGATCTATCAAGAAGAAAATAAATAAGTATAATGGTAGAACCCATCAACTGAAGCAGCATTTTAGCTTTATTTTCTTTCCTTTCTACCTTAAGCTGTATCAGTTTTATTTATCTTTACCTCAAACTAAAATCTTTCAACGCAAACATCATCCCCCAAGATGAATATCCAAAAGAAATCTCCCCATCCTTACCACTTCCTAAATTTCCTAACTATTTCATCTCTCTTATAGGATCAGGCTCTCAATTTTTACTATTAACCTATTTTTTATCAATTCTCCTTGCAACTATCTCAGTTTCATCAAAATTTTTAATCGTAGCAGGGCTTTTATTTTTTATGATTTCTTGCTTCATATCAGGCTACATTTCAGGATCTTTTCAGCAATATTTAAACCAAAAAAACTGGTTGCAAAACATTATATTTTCATCAGCTAATTTTTATGGTACTTCTATTTTACTTGTCAGCTTGCTAAGCTTAATTTCATCAAATTTACCGTCTATATCAAGACTGATCCTTTTATTAGTCCTTTTAATGATTATTTCTATGCCTATAACGTTTTATGGACAAATTTATGGAAAAAATTATACAAATTGTTGCCCTCACTTGGCTAATAACACAAACATCAAAGCTGAGCTGCCAAAACCGATTAATTGATATGCAATTATGAGCACTTTTTTGATTATTTATATACAAGTATATATTATTAGTAACTCAAGCTGGACTTTTTATATAGGCATTTATCATTCAATCTGCTTTGTTAGCTTTACTTTAACGTTGCTTTTTGAAATTTTATCACAGTTTATTGTAACTTATTATGTAATAGCCAGCAAAAATCCATATTCTATGTGGACAAGCTTTCTGCAAGGAGCAGCCAAAGGGGTATTTTTATTTTTATTTTTAGCTATCTCTACTATAAGCAGCACTTTAGGTTTTGAAGAAATTATTCTGAATTTAGCTTATTTGCTTATAGTGTGCTGGGGAGTGTTTTTAACCTTAGGAAGCTTAGGCGTTTTAAGTTCATTTTTCATATATCAGCATTTAATGTCAAAAATCAAACTTACAGTTTAATATAATTAAAAAATCTCGCACTTGCAGGGTTGAGTGTTACGCTCGACTACTGAGAGTTCTTCAAATTTGCTATCTCTTTTTATTTCTTGGCTTGCTATTTGATTTTTCAAAGATTTGATTTCTTCTTTTAGCTCGAAAATTTTGGTTTGTTCTTTTTTTATCAATTTTTTGAATTCTGCTTCAGATGTGGCACCTGATATGCTGACTCTAAGACTGTCGTTTTCTTGTTGTTCGCTTATTATTTGGTCTCTTAACAGCTCTAAAGACTCTGCAATCGAAACTTTGTCTTGATCTTTTTGAAATTCCATATCTTTGAGTTTTGCATTTAAATCAATATTTTCTCTTAAAGTCTGCTTATTTTGAGAAGATGCTGCAATTTCTTCTTTTAAACGATTTTTTTAAAAATTGTATAAAAATCATCTTCGCCTTTTTTAATTTTGCATAAAAATAAGATTTTAAGGTAAAAAAATAAGAGCTATTATTAATTGAAAACAGCGTAGTTCTCTTATTTCTTTGACAATTTCAAAAGTTTTTTCATTTTGCAAAATAATTTCATTTTCTGCTTTATGGATACTGCTTCTCAACTTTTCTTTTTCGTTTGCTAGTATCACAAGCTGAGACTGCGACTCTTCAAAATTTTTTAAAGTATCATAATATTTGGTTTTATTTATTTTATCTTCTTCTCTGCTATTTCTATGTCCTTTGCTATTTTCTAGTATAAATTTTAATTCAATAATTTCAGATTCCTTTTGTTTGCTGATGAATTCTAGGTTTTTAACTCCCCTTTGATTGGAACAAAAAATATAAGTTTAATTTCGATTTTTTGGATAAATTAATCCTTTTGAGCTTATTATTTCGAAATTTTATAGATGAAATTACTGATTTTTATGAAAAGTTTTGACTGAGTTTAATGGAGGAAGTACAAGTATGCTATGCTATTTTAATTGATCTTTTTCTTTGAGAGGACTGGGTATTTCCATCCCTACATAGTTATCGTCCCCGAGGGACCTCGGCAGACACCCCTCCCCGCTCCCGCAGGGAGGGGCACCAATTTTGACTTCCATGATTCTGGACCCTATGGGCTCACCACCTGGGTCGCAGCTCTCAATTTGTCATTAAAAAAGTCACCTCTTGAGTCTTGCTCGAAGGATTTCTTGTCCTCTCGTGGGCTTTTTCTGATCTTGCACTTTCCAATGATAGTTCCGGAGGCAAAAATTCAAGTCTCAGGGATAAGCTGTATGGAGTGCTATTATAACAATTTCACGGTAATTCTTTATATAAATAAATTAATTACAAAAATATTGGTTTCAATTAACATTTTTAATAATTTTTATACATTTTTTATATAAAAAAAAAAATTTTTATATTTCCCCAAATTGGAACAAATTTTGTATTGAGGAGTAAGTGTTCTTTCGTTTTCTATTTGATTTTCTGACAATTTTTGTAGTGACTCTTCTAAGTGTTTTAACCGAATTATTAAATTCTCCTCTATTAATTTTGCTTTATCTTTATTCTGTAGTTCTGCGTCATAGCAGGAATTGCAGCACCTATTTCCATTGATTCTATGAGACGAGCAATTTCCGCAAACTCCTCGAAAACAAAATTTGCAAAAATATTTTCTTGTGTGAGATAAAGAAGTTTTTCCAAATTTAATGTGGCAAATGACACAATTTTGGTCTTTTAAGTATGCTTGTTGATCGATTCCATCAGGGTGGTCTGTTGGTGATGAAGAGGTATTAAAATCTTCAATCGAATGCGAGGATTCTTCTGTATTATCCATTTATTAGCGGGTTTGATAGAAGCCGCTCAATTATGATTATTTTAATAGAAGCTTGTACGTTTTTATTAAAAATTTGCTATGAAAACCCATTAAAAGGTTCAATTAATTTTTTTTTCTATATATTATAAACATTTATTTTATTAAATTTTTGTACCTCGCCTTCCCTCTTTTCTTTTATTTTCAGTTAACGGCATGATAACTTCTAAACTTTCGTCACCTCCTGCATCGCATATGGCGTAATTCAAAATGCTTTCGACCCAGACCTTTCCAACATAATCGTTCAAAAACTGAAAATAAATGTCCTCAGCTATTTTTCCGATTATTTTTGGTCTCTCAGTTTTATATGGTCATTTTTATTAAATTCTAATTAATATTTCCTAAAATAAATAAAATTATATTTAATATATTAAAATATATATATAGTTGCCTGTACATTTAAAGGCAAAATTTTTCACATATCATCTAACCTTGCATAGCTCAATTGATCTTCACATAAAATTTCAAGCCAATCTTCTTCTACTAATATTGACATAATGTCAATAAAAACCTCATGGACTATTCTCTCATTTCATTCTTTTTCTTCTGCAATTGATTCCTCAACTATTTCACCTATTGGGATGCATAGAGAGTATTCACTCGAAAGTAAATCAGCTATTTGATATTTCGCTGTTTCATTTGCAGCTTCTAAAAGCTCTTCTTCTAGCACAGCTCTTAATATTTGTACCTGAAAATCGATATATTCTGTATCAGTAATTTCTTGTTTTGCTTCCCAAGCTACTTGTGGGATCATTTCTGACAAAACTTCGGTTAAAAATTTGTCTAGAATTGACGATGTAAATAGCACAAGTGCGGCTGCTATCATTTCTTTGACCCCATCAATAGTTATTTGTGTGCATTGGATATCAATTAATTTCGAAATCAAATTATTCGTAATCTCATTAGAAAGTTTTGTGGTGTCTTAAATTTTCCTTTATAATTTTATTTAAAAATAATGGAAATTTTCTTAAATTAAAATTTTTTAGAGTTTCGTGTTAGCTTTTTGCTCATTTTCATCTTCATCTGAAGACTCATATTGGCTGGGGCGCTCAGATTTCGGAGATTCATTAGGCTCTTGGATTAAAGGCGGAGACTCTGAAGGAGGCAGCTTTTTTTGAAAAGGAGCCACTTTTTTCGGATTTAGGCCTAAATATTTTTCAGCTGATTTTGTAACTGTTCTTGGAGATTTGCTGAGAAGTAATTTTGAAGGAAATTTATCAATGCTACGATGGAGGTTTAATTCTTTTAAACCTATTCTATGAGCTGTAATTGTAAATGTATTGGAATGATGAGGGATGCTAAAATAATCTAATATACGGCCTTCTAATAAAAACTCTATATCGTTTTTCATTTTTTCTAAATAATCTTGATTTTCCCACAAAAATTCAGCAGATCGGTCACCAATTTGTTCTCGTCACTTTTTTACAGCGTCAATAATTTCTAAGCTCCTCAGTCTTAAATTTCTTATGTTTTCACTGATTTCTTGTAGAACATGCTCATCATTTTTTTCTTCAATTTCTTCTATTTCTTTTTTCAGCTTACTCCCCCCCTCCGTGAGTGAACAAAACCATTAGAAAAATCGCTATTTTTTGCCCAAAAACCCACCCTCCGTGAGTGAACAAAAATTTTTTTAATAGAAAAATGTTTTATGGAAAATAATTTTGATATATAAATGATAATTAATATAATGAAATCTAGAGCTAATTCTATTTAATTTTTAAACGAATTGCTATTTAAAACATAAATTTTATAAATTAAATTAATATTTACTTTCCAATTTTTGCGAATTAGGATTTTTTTAAATTTCGAAAAAAAATTAACCCCCCCTCCGTGAGTGAACAAAATTTTTTTGTTCACTCACGGGGGCGAGTTAGATAAAATCATCTCTCTAGAATTTGTGGAATTTATTGCACGTAAAATTGGAGCAATTCCTTTATTTAATTCATAAATTTCTTTTGCTATCTGATTCGCAGATAAAGTAGCAGAAGGGATCGAAATGAATCGAGCTTGGAAGCGGTTTCTGTGAAAATATGGGATTTCGTAAGAATTTCATAGAAAATCCAGCTCTTCTTTTAAGCTCAATATTTGGTCCTCAGTTATATCTAATTTAAATTTCGAAACTATATGTGAAGAGCTAGAACTGGCTATTTTTGGCAGCTGATGAGTACTAGTTTTCGTGCTTCTGATGATTTTTCGCTTTGCTCCTTGAGTTTTACTAAATAGTGCAGCTCCTTCATAATTAGGAATTTTGTCTAGCCAAAATCTGTCGTTCCATTCTTCACTAATTTTGTTATTTATAGGCCTGTTTATTGGTCTGGCACCTGAAATTCTCAATTTGTCTGTTGCCATATTATTCATCATATGGATTGTTTTTTATAGTTAAGTAATGCAACATCTATTGATAAATTTTGTTTAATTCCCAGATGATAATTAATAATTGATGAAAATTAATATTATTAATTTTGATAAATATAAAGACAAGTTCTTTTAAGAGTCTTCTATATTATCTCCAGATCCTACTGAATCCAGCATACTTTCTAGCTCAGCTAACTCTTTCTCAATATCCTCAATTTTTTCTCATTCTTCTCCTTTCTCTGCTTTATTCTTATTATTATCAATAATATCCACACTGTCTTTTCATTCTGATAGCATTTCATTCAGCTTTGTCCCGACCTCATAAAGGCTTGATCCATCAATATTATAAGAGAAATCGTTCTTATTTTTTCCTGGGACACTGACATCTGTTACTTTAACCATTTCAATCTGCCTGTGCCTAATATTGTCAATATTTATTTCTTTTAAATCAACGTGCTCTTCTTTTTCTTCTTCATCTGCGATTTCTTGGCTTGGGTTGTTATGAACCAGAAGCTTTTTATTGAATTCTTCATCTAATCGTTTTTCTTCTTCTTTTCAGCTGTTTAGCTTTTCAATTGTATCGTTGACTTCGCTTAAAAGAGCTCCTATGCTGCCTTCTTCATTTCTTCTACCGAGTTTTCCATGAATTGAGTTAGGAGCATACATTAAGAAATTTTATTAGGTAAAGTTAAGGATTTATTTAATTACAAAATAATTTTAAATTAATATAGTTATATGAGTGCTATATTTCACTTGGTTTCTTGTCAAATGTTCGGATGCTTTTGATGGTATTTCCTCAAGGCAATTTTGTTAGAATTTTTTTGATAAAAAACTGAACTATTCAGATTTTCGACCAAGTTTTCTTGGATGAAATGCATAATATCTAAAGCATACGAGAATTGGGCCTATGCCTATTTCACTTAAAGCTTTCATCCCAATTTTTGTTAAAACTACCTTAGCTGCAGACTGTAATTTTCCTTTTTGTAATAATTTCATAGATGATGATAATAATAAAATGACTAGGTAAGAAGAAGAAGAAGAAGAATTACGGTTACCCTACCCTACATTACCACCAAATCAGCACCATCAGCACCAGTAGCGTCATTAGCACCATCAGCACCATCAGCACATCAGCATCACGCCAAGCATCTTCCACTCAGCACAAACCAACTCATTTCCAGCTAAATTAAATTCTCATCACTATGCTTCCATCTTTTCTGGTGACTTCCTCAAAAATGGTGACGTCACCATCTACAGGGGAGACCCTTGTTCCTTTAGCTTCCGGACCTAGCGGCCACAGGTTCCTACTCCAGAGGGGTATTGGCTCTGGAGATGATGTTCCGCGCCTTCTTCACGCCCCAAGCTCCGCACGAGGCATCCTCACTTCCTTCTCGCCGTGAAGTCCGTCCAAAATTGTTGCCCACACCTCAAGGGCCTAGGGAAAGGCCAATTTTGTTAGCAAAACTCACCCCCTGAAACTTTCTTGCCAGGTTACGCCTTTTTGTTTTGGCGTCACCTGGCCAAAAAAATGTCATGACTAGGTAAGGAAGTGGCTGCCCCGAGCCATTCCTCCTCCAAAACATTTATTATTATGAGGTTTAGTTTTTCACGTACCTTTATCCACAGTGCCAATATGATTACCGCATAGAGTAATTTGGTAGCCTAAAACGAAAGGAGACATATAGCTTTATTCCTGACACACCTGAGGAGGATAAAATTATGCGAAATACGTGCTGGAGTCAGGTTCAGTAGAGGTCAACGCAACCAGTGGAGACCTTCTGGCTCTTTTGGTGAATTGTCTACTTGCAAGAGAAGATGGCTGCTGACCTCATAACTTGTAATTTAAAAGTTTAGCTTCAGCCTAACACCCTCCTGAAGAAGGGAAACTTTAAAATCTGAATAACTAGCTAAGTGCTTAACTATTTCATAGTGATTTCTTCTTTATTTTTCCTATGATTTTCTTCTTCATCCCATAGCTTGATAAGCTCCTGAGCATTATTTTGGTCTGTTTCTAATGAAAACAATAAAGTTTGGCAAAACCGGTCTTTTCCCATCCCTCCAAAATAAAGGATTTTACTACCAATTGAGACAGCTGAAGCTCCATGTCTTGGTCCAGGCTTTTGCCCTTTTAATAGCAAAGTTTCCCATCGGCAGCTTGCTATATTATAAGCAGAAATGTCACTTACTTCATTTCCAGTCGTTTCAAATGAAGTTGAGTCATTTCTCCCACCAATTATATATAGATGCCCTCCACATAGGACTGCTGAATGGTTATATCTCGGCAATGGGACATTTCCAGATGGTTCTAATTTTATCCATCTTAATATACTTTCGTCATCTCTTATACTTTTACGCTTAGGCTGCAGCATAAATAAATCATTAAAAATTACTCCATGATGGTTCATTCCTCCGAATAAGTAAATCCCTGAGGTTTTCCTTGTAAAAACATCATCATATACATTTGGCAGCGAAAAGATATCATTTGTAAACTGCCTCAGCATTCCACAATGATAAACTGAAGTAAAAGAAAATGAATGTCTTGGGCCTGGCTTCACAGACCCTTTTTCTACTTTAGTTAAAAACCATTGCATTGACTCTAAATTTAGCCCACACAAATCGTTCAAAATTTTACTGTTACTGTCAATCCCACCATATACAATCATTGTGCTGCCAATTAAAACTGCCCCATGGTTTCTCCTGGCATCTGGAAGCCTACCAAGCGGCTTGTGGGCTTGTCACTGTAGATTCACTGTATCAAATGCATGGATAAGTGGGAAACAAGCCCTTATATGTAACGTCTGATTAAAAGCGGCACCTCCTCCATATACCACGATTGAATTTTTATATGAAATTGTAGTGTGTCCAACCCTTGGCTCAGGGTATTCTTGCATTTTATTTGAATTTGAAGATGGGTTTACGCCTTCTCAATGATAATTTTTATAGTCAAGCATTTTAATGTCGTTTATCCTGTCTCCAGATTGTCCGCCAAATAGATAAATGTTCCCATTTACAACTGACATAGTAGCGCCTACTCGTGCCTCAGGAATGAAACCTTCCGTTCTTTTAATTTCCCAAAATAGAACTAAAGGCTTTATTCTTTGGACTTTGTTAACAATGTCAATGAATTCTATGTTTTCCCCTGCAGAAAAGGCTTTACTAAAAGTTATAAGAAATTTTTATAAAATGAAAAAATTCCTTATATAAAAGTCCATTAAATTCTAGGAAATATATAAATCTAATTTACCTTGATAAAAATACTGATGCTATAGAAAATCTTTGAATAAGCTCATCAATAAAGTTCGTTTTTGTCTCTGTGAGATTTTCTGTGTTATTATGGAAAATTCTTAATGATGGTACACTTTTAGTAAGTGGAATTGTAGGAATTGATATGCGTGAATTTATTAGACTTCGTGGAATTCCTATAATGGTGTCGAGAAATAAAATGGAGACGTAGGCCTCTGGCCCTTTTGAAGTAGGCCTTCATGCTTGGAGATGATTGGCTGAAGAGGGAAGTTTTGTTCCTCCCGAGGTTTTCCTGTTCCTAGTAGTGGGTTTTGCTTCATATGGTCCTCTCTCATCGGGACATCGGCCACTCTGCAGGTGGTAGCTCTGCCCTAGTGGGCTAATCCTTTGTACAGGTGGTTCAGGTCAAAAATCCAAATGGCGGCATTTAGGAACCAAGGTGGGGGCTAGTGGGTTTACCCGTTTATGATCAGCATACCCATTCAATTTAATTTATAACAGTGTCTGGACCTATTTGGAGCCTTCGAGTGTTTTTAATTTTAGGAAGAGTTGGGGTTTGGCAAGTAGAATCTCCTTCATACATTGTTTAAAATAATTTTATTATTGAGAGTAATTATCTTATAAACCTCCTTTGATCCTTTGAGCTATCAAATTATATTTGGTCACTAGGAAAGAAGCTGATTTTTTATAAGCATCACAATAATTTGCAAAATTTAGAAAAGCCCTTTAAAACTTAATAAAATTTATTTTACTTATTTAATACAAAAACGTAAATTGCTGCTAATAAGCTTTTCTCTAAACGATTAGGATTTTTCCATTGTTTTTGCTCGGTCACAGAAGGGGAAGTGTAAGAGAATCCCAAGCTGCATTTTAATGAGAAAAAGATATATATTAGTGACACCGACTGGCACGGGGTGGTTTTGGCTCAGTTTTGAGCCAAAAGCACCCCGTGCCAGTCAGTGTCACTGACTATACTTTCCTATTGAAAATAAAAAAATGATAAAAAATTATCTCATAAATTGAAATTCTGAGTAAAAATTTTGTAAAACTAATATGAATATCAAATTAAGCTACAAATAGCCTTATTATCTAACTATTTTCTTTATCCTCCTAGCTTATTTTTCTATTATATTAATATTTAAAAATATCAGCTAAAACGTCCATAAATGTAACACTTATGCAGGCAGCCTTTAAACCAGATCAATCACATAAATCTCAAGCCTTTAAGTCAGAGGCCTTTTTCCATCTCTAAATCTCAAAGTACTCCTAAAATCCGTGGATCAACTGACATGCGTCCAATTGCAAAAACAAATTATCTTCCTAACTTTCTTTTCAAAAATATAAAAAAAAAATTTTAAATAAAAACAGTTTTCCCTGATAAAAAAAAATGAAAAAAAGGGGTAAGACTTCAATGGCATTTTCAGATCCAGCATATGTTTCTAGGATTCGGCCAAGGCAGATTAATATAGATAAAGAACGCTTATATGAAGAAAATCTCATTTTAAAGCAGCTCTGCAACACTATATCTGAAGAAAACACTCAATTGAAGACAAAACTATCTCAGCTAGAAAAAGAGCTTGAAAAAAACCAGCAAAGCACTTCCCCAGATATAAAATCCACCTCCCACCTAGTAGAAAACTTGAAAACTGTTATTCGTGATGTTAAAGCTGAACTGCAAGCCAAATTTTATTAATTATCTATATCTCCTTTAGCGTCCATTAAAAATAATTAAAATATTCTAATTATAACAAAAAGGCAGGCCATATTAATAATTAATGCCAAGCCAAAGACAAAGAGCTTGATTTATTAAAAAGATCAACACGACTTACCAAAATGCAAGAAATGGGTGAAGAATTGCAGCAATATGCCAATGAATGCATGAGGCTGAAAAGAATGCTTATGGAAGTCGTCAATGATAAGAAGCCTTGGCCTGATAATTCAGGATTTTTAGAACAATTACAAAATGAAAGGGAACAGTTACAGCAAGCTTTAAGATTTTACCAAGATTCTGATGCGTTGAAAAGTGAAGAGATTGTATAGGATTTTTAATCATTTTGACTTAAAATTTGTAATGCTATTAATTAAATGTCCTATCTTCTAGGAAGAAATAAAAGGTGAGGTTGATGGAAATTTGACTCTTTGTGGAGCAGGTAGGGCCTATACTAATGAAGCTGAAAGCAGGAGCTTGTCTTTTTTGAAGTAGGCCTTCAGGTTTGGGGAAGCCTTGCCAAAGAGGGAAGTTTTGTTTCTCGCTGAAGGTTTTCCTGTCTCTATCAAATGGGCTAGATAGATTTGCCTATCACATAGTATTCTCTAATCAGGACTATCGGGGCATTCTAGAGGTGGTAGCTCTACACTAGTGATTCAGGTCGGAAATTCAAATTGGCGATATTTGGAGTCAAGTTGGATAGCAGCTACTGGGTTTAGCCACTAATGGTCACATAAACTTTTAATTTAAATTATCTTCTAGGGTAAAATGCACAAACGAAATGGTGACTTATCCGACCCATCCCTTTACCTATGCCTTTGGGTTTTTTATGTTTAAGGGAGATTATACCTGAAAAATATGTCCGATTTGGTCAGGACACCACGATAGGAGTTTTTTATCCTGACTTAGAGACAATTTCACCATGGTAACCCACATTTCAGGATGCAAAGGGTAATTGAGATCAGAATAAGGATTAGGGGTGCCTCCTATCTCCCATCTCTGGGTAGATAGTGTCAACCACTATGGCTTGTTCAAGGAAGTGCCTGGTGAATCTCCTGGGAGATTCTGACTCACCATTTTTTGGTGACGTCGACAAAAAAGAGTGTAAGCGCAACCCGATGGTTAGGGCGAGTAGCCTGAAGTTAGCGAAGGGGAGAGGGGCTGAAATAAATCCTGAAGACCCATTCTAAATTTAATCTATCTAGGATAAAATAGGCATTTATTTTTCTAGAATTATAATAGGAGGGTTATATACAGTTAATTATTAATAACTTTAAAAAAACAATTGAAGAAAAATGACCCAGAGAAGGACACAAGCAAAAAATTGATGAAAGACGAGCTTGAAAAATTAAAAAACCAGCTAAACGACGAAAGAAAGATAAACGAGCTAAAACCAGAAAAAAATGATGTCGCAATGCAAAGCAGCTTGGCTCGAGAAGAAGAAGAAAAAGTTAATGAAGTCGTAAAAAATAAAGATGAAGAAATTAGAAATTTGTATTTAGAAATGAGTGCAATGGAAAAAAAGGCTACAAGACAAGAAAAAATATACCTTTTCTTATAAAAAAATCATGAAAACATATTTTTGCACTATTTATTCATATTAAAAAATCAAAAATTATAAGATTCTATTCAGAATTAATTATATAATCGCTGAGCTTCAAAAAGAAATAAAAGACTTAAATAGCAGAGCTATAGAAGATACAAAGAAAAAAGAGCTAATTAATGCTCAAAAAGAGCTTATAAATGGCCAAAAAGATTTTGAAGTCGCTTCTACCAAAGTCGGCATAAAGCTTGAAGACTCCTATAAGAAGCTTGAAGAATCAATCAAAAGTGACGCAAAATCAGAATCAAGCGAAATTAAATCAAAAAACAGCGAAACCTCCAAAAACGAAGAAGAATTTCTCGAAAAAAACGACCCAGTACAAGAAATCTCATCAGAAAAAGACTATAACGAAGAAGAATCCTACAAAGAGCAGCAAGAATTCGAAAACCCTAACGAAGACGTCTACATCCCAGACGACAAAATTGAGCTGGAAAGTGCCAAACTTAACCCCAAAGAAGAAGAAGGCCTTATCATCTCATTTTTGATGAAAATAAAATATTTTTTGATGCAAAACAAACTTGATATCCAAGAATGGGTCAGTGACATCGACATAAATAACTTAACTTAACTTATTAGGTTCTGTATTTAACGCCATTCACGGGGTGACCCCTCCCAGAGCTTCCCGCTGCTTCTTCGCCGCATAGGGCTCGCCGACCGTCTGGGGCCAGTCAGCCTCGATCTCCAGTACGCGCCTCCGGAGCAGTGTTGCTGACTAAGGCGGCTCATGCCTGAGCTACTTCGCTTGAGGACATGGGTTGCCATTCCGAAAATCCATAAAAAATGGATTTTCTGGTAGGCTTTCGGCAAAAAGGAAAAACACGAAGCTTGGGACGTAACGCCCAGTTTCACGCTAGGGAGTTGCCCGATTGGTCCTAACGGACTTGGCTGAGCTTCCCCTTTCCAACTTGCGTGCCTCCTTTCCCATGAGGAAAAAACATTCCCGAAAAGTAAACTTGGGCTAGGCTCTGAGCACAACCAGAATTGCTTACCTAGCATTGCCGTCCGTTTCTGAAATGCAAAACCTTGCCGGATATAATTAAAATATGAGTCGAGTATGCATGGCCGAGAGGCCATGCCCCAGACGAAGACGCCATATTTTAATTATCCAGTGACATCGACATAAATAAAATCGGGATCATCAATTTAGACGACTTACAGACAGTTTTATCACAAGAAGCCATAAATTTATCACAAAATGAGTATGACTGCTTTATGAAAAGATTTGGCGAAAATGACCACCAGGTTTTGGTATCAGTCCTTATAGAGGAATTGGCGAATATGGAAATGGATGATATTTCTGATACCTCTTATGATAGTAATAATAAAGAAAACAGCTGGATTTTAAAGATTGATAAAAGTTTGGTCGAAATCGCCGCATGTGAAATAGGGACACGATTTAATTATAATGTGGTGAGGGATAAAAAAAAATATAAAAAAAATAATTGAATAAGGGTTTGGACGTTTTTATTGAAAATAAATGAAAATTAAGCCAAAATAGGATATATTGAGCTTATTTTAAATTTAGAAGAGTATGACAAGGATTCATTAGAAAAATTATTTACATCAGAAAATATTTTGATAGAAAAAGACTCAATACGAGAAGCTTTAATATTGTCAATTCTTGACGAAAAAGACACTGTGACAAAGGGAGAAATAATAGAAAAGCTTGGATTTTTGCTGAGAGACTGGAAACCTTTGTCTAAATCTGAGATTGAAGGAGTTATTAGAAGGCTTAGAAGCTTGCTGATGGATGAAATTGATGTTATTGGGTCCAGAGTTGAGGAGAAAAGCCAAGGAAATGATTTATCCACTCTGTTGTAAATACGTTATAAATTCTTAATAAAAATCCCCATCTACATTTTTCATATAAAATGGCATAGTCCCCATGAATATCATAATTGAAGAGCTCAGAATCCACCGAATAATCAGCCAAAAATCAGAATTCAGCTGGGCAATGACCCAACTCTTCAGCTACAACCAGTCCATCTACAAAGTCCCCTACAAGCAAGCTCTAGAAGACATGCAAGAAGGCATCCCATTCACAGACCTAAATGTCTACGAAAACCCAGAAACCAGCCAAATTGAAGCAGGCAGCGCCGTTTTTGAAGAATCCATTGAAGAAATAGAAAACAACCCAGAGCCCCAATATAAAGAAGAATACCAAGAGTCCTTTAATTCTGACATAGATGAAAATTAATAATTATTAAAAAATGCTCAAAAAGCTTTTTGATTTTATTTCTTGTAAAAGACCAAGATCTGAAGACTCCTCCAAAGCTCCTATAAAAAAACGTAAACCCTATATTTTTTGCGCAATTTGTAACGACGTGATTTCCCTTAGTTCTACCTTAAGATGTGGCCATTCTTTTTGTGAGCCTTGTATAGCGCAATATTTATTATATAGCGCAGAGTGCCCTAAATGTGACCGATTTGTGAGAAATGCTAATCTTTATCCGTCGTTTTCCTTTGACCAAATAATAGAAGAAGAAATTGGGAAAACTGACCTGGAAAAATGAAAAAATAGGAGAAATGAAGTAGAAATTAATAAAAAATCCAAAAGACTGAGAAGGGCAGAAATTGGGATGAAAATCGATGTCAGGGATTTGGAAGGAATTTGGTGTGTAGGGATTATTAAATGCGCAATTAAAGGAAATAATAACCCAGCTATTTATGTGCATTTTGAAGGGTGGGATAATTGCTTTGATGAGCTTATTCCTTTGGATTCAGAAAGAATCGCACCATTAGGGCTCTACACAAATAAAAATATCCCAAAATATGTCCTGCCGAAACGGGATGGGAACAAACAAGCAGATCTTGTCTATTATAAGCAATAATAGGTCTTAACTATTTATTTTGATAAAAATAGCATAGGAAACAATTTTCCTAAAAAATATTTATATAAAGACATTACGATTACAATTTCACTTGCATGCCTATGCTAGACAAAGACCATTTATTCAAGAAGCGACTCTTGCAAAGACCTTCAGACGGTTGCATATAATGCAAGAATAACAAATTGTAATCTACTTACTGATCTTAAGGACTTTTTGTGTTGATATTATGCCTTTCTGGTTCTTTTCTTTCTTCTAGCCCTTTTCCTACAGCTTTTAAGTATTCTTGGTTTTTTTGAACCTCGTCTTCTCTCTTAAAGTCAAATACTTTCCAGTCATGGTATCCTACCCTCTGTACAGCGATTTTAGGGAATGATATTATTATTGTATATTCTTTTTGGTATATTGGTGGGTAGTGCTCCTTTACAAAGAATGGAAACGGCTGGGTTTCTTTGATTTCTTTGGTGTCTAAATTTACTTCAAAATTGTTTCGGAATAGCCTCATATCAGAAGTTTTGCCACCGAAAATTTGGACGACGCTGTCATTTTTGTTTAGGACACAAATAGGGTGATTTGCGTGCATTTTTAACTTCACGTCTTCGTCAAGTAGAATTAAATCAGGGGATTGTAATAAATTAAAGATAAATTATTTAGATTATTTGAAGATATGTAGATAATTTTGCATAAAAAATAGGAAATAGATATATATTGGAGTTTAAAAAAATTTAGCAGAAAAATATAAGTCTATTGAATAAATTTTCTTATTTGGCACAGCTTCATTGGTGTCAGGATTTATGACCTGTCCTCCTACCAAATACATCTTGCTTCCGTGAATAAAAGTACCTGGCTGGTACAAATTTCTGTAATTAATTGTTTTTTCTCCATCAGCCCTTGTTTCTTGGGCTGTTTCTAGGACTTCCCAATGAGAAGAAGCTAAGTTGAGCCTCATCAGTGGGCTTGGAATAAAATTGTGTGGTGACTCGACGTCTGGATTTTTTACCAATCCTCCCACATAATAAAGCCAGCCTTCAAATTCCTGAATAAACCCTTTTTTCGCCGGAACTGGTAAATCTTGAATATAGTGGTAAATTGAGTTTACTGGATCTAGCTGCACAACTCTGCTTGTTAGCTGAGCCGATTCATCAGTTCCGCCTACCAGAATTATCTTTTGCAATGACGTTAGTCCTATCCCAGCATCATTTCTTATTTCTACCAGACCTCTGACATGCTCTTTCTGGACTGACTTATTTTTGATTGTAAGGACGCTCTTTTTGGCTCGCCTGAGATAAGAAAAGTCAGGGAATGGGATAGGAGGGAGACCGTCTTCAACGTTTGCAGTTTTAGTAATACATGACCCCATATTATATAGTCAACCAATATTTACTAAAAATAAACATGAATTAAAAATAATGCGTGTAAGGCAGGATATTATTAATAGGAATAATTTTTATGGTAATTAATTTTTAAATAAAATTTTAAAGGTATAATCTTATTGAAATAATGGGTGAAGTTTTGGGATTAAGAGAAAGATGGAAGTTTTATATGAAAACAAGCCAAGTTTATTTATTTTTCATAGTGCACAATAGGGATTCGAGCTATATAAGAAGTTTTAGGCCGACTATCTTTTTTACTAGGTGCAGGGGTTGGGGTTGATTTTCCTAGCTGTATCCTCACGAATTTTCCAGTAATTTTTGTCCCATATTTTTCTGCTTTGATTATATCATCTAGCTTTAAGCTTGATTTCGGCCTATTATTTTCTTCTTTTTTCTCAATAGCCCCTATATCACTTTTATGTCTTCTGTGTGTAACTGGTTTGATTTTCATAGAAATGGTAGCACTAGGCAATTGAGAATAATAATTATAACTTCTACTAAAACAAGGCTGAAATATTTTTGCATTATCTGCAGCCCTATAAGGAGAAGTAGGACTATAACTTTTAATTATATAGAAATTTCCCATAGATGGCGCTGTTTGCTCTTGATTTGCCCACTGGGGAATTTTTTTGGTTCGACCAGTACCATATGGTTTGGTCAAACCAAAAAATTTTCCTCATGGGCAAATCAAGGGCAAACAGCGCCATCTATGGGAAATTTCTATATCATATTCCTTGGACGCATTTGAATTTGTATCAAGAATTTCGCTTAATTTAATTTGCCTATGATTTCCTCTCCTTCGATACCCACAGGAAGACATGGAAAATCTCTTTCCTTCATAATCCATTATTTAATAAAATGAGAATTAACTAATTTCTAACTAAACTAGGCAAGTAATCTTTAAGGGCTTGTAAAGAAGGATAATCGTCAATATTGAAGGCTTCACCAGTTACCAATGATAGAATCAGCTCGATTAAGCTCATATTGCCATCATTTAAGATAAGGATATCATAAGCTTCTTTATAAGCGTCAAGAACATAACTGCTTGGCTCGTTTAAAAATCCTATCTTTAAGGCGTCATTGTAGGTAGCGTGCTCTATCATTTTTATGTCAGATATCATGTCTCCTAACAAAATAATGTTTGGCTTCACAGGACGGTCTCGCAGGACTAAATTCTTGTTGAGGGTTCTTAAAGCAGGCTCAGACCAGTGTGTGTATCTTCCTTCACAGTCACCAATCATAAAATTTGAATGAATTTCAAGTTTTTCATGCTCTAAGTATTCTTCTAACCTTTTTTATATCAAAATGATTTTAAAAAAAATCCAAAAAAAAACAAAATAAAAGCTATAAAATTTTATTTTAAGAATTAAATGTTTAAAATTCAATAAATTTGCCTAGAGATCTCGTTATCACATTTTAATATATATAAAATATTTTATATAAAAAAATTGAATGTTAGTGGCTCTGGATTTTCCAAAAATAGTTTTTTTCAATGACTTTGGTTGCTCTTAAAGGCGGAGTAAGGAGACTTCAATGATATTTCCACATCCTGCAGAAATAATGGTAAAAGGAATAAGGTTTCTGTCGCAATGATGCAAAACACGGTCTATGCTTTTTGCTTAAATTTACCATTTCTATTCAAGTGAAAATCTTATTTTCCTTAAAAAATTACTGTATTTATGACCATTTATTCCTAAAATCCTTTAATTATATCATACTCCATGCCTCAAATGCAAATTTGAGTCCATTATGAAATCATAGAGCATGCTTCTGTGGATATCAACAGACAAAATGATTTCATTGCTTTTATCCCATCACTCATGCATAAGTCTTTCTTTTTCGTCGTGAGGTATATGAGGATCTACTTCAATAGGATGATAATAGCTATATAAATCATGGGTTTCTTGAAGTTTGTCACCTGACAGCGCTCCTGCTTCTACGACTTGGTAAGTAGATTTTCCTTTTTGATTGCCTATACGGAATCGACTTAGAGTGAAATCATAATCAGAAATGACCTCGACGTTATGGCTGCCGCCATTGACGAGATCATGAAGCTTTCTGCGAAAAACCTCTGGGTTAGGGATTAATATAGCTTCTTGGTCATTGTATGGAGCAATAATTGGCCGTCTGTGGACTTTGATGTTCGCATTCTCAGATGCTGACATTTTTGAATATATACAGCAGCCAAATGTTCATTATGGCCGATTTTTTTCTGGTAAGTTAATTACTATGATTATTATTGATGCATTTTGAAGGCAAAGAAGCTTGGAATTTTTTTAATTTTTTAGATAAAATAAATATGAGATTTTTTCTGCTAATTTAAAGGATTTCTATTTTAAGTTACTTTTATCTTTTGAAGATTATGGAAACTATCATATTCGTATAGCGGTTATTGGAAAATTAATTTTAATTAATATAAAATATTTAAGCCAATTTGCAAAATAAATATAGAAACGTTTCTATCTAGCAAAAATAGCCAAGCCGAAACTCTTACGTTAAATAACTTTATCGGGTTTTAATAGATTAGCTTTTATTACTTATAAACATTTGTAGCCCAGCTATTGATTAAATCTTAAAAAGACTAATCAAGTAAATATTCAATTTTTTATATATTATATAATAATAATTAACGATATGTATTTAAGGTCCCTTCTTCCATGCGTGACATTCCTCCGCGCTCCGTGAGGAGCCGTGCTGGCACGAGCGAAAAGGATGGACTCCCATCATTGGTTCTCTGAGCCCAGGCCAAAACCCCTGGTTTTCTCGGTAGTGGTTGCCCTATTGGGTCGTCAGCCGACCGTCGTCGAGCACCACCATTTCCAACTCAGCCTTTCGCCCCGAGTTACGCCAGTCTTTGTCTCCGGTTGGCCAGATCGTCCATTTAAGGACTCTTTTAACTGGAGAGACCGCCTTCTTAGTCGTCTAATCTGCCTCCCCTTTTCCCAGCTTATCCGCTTGAGAAAATCCTCAACCGCTTCCGCGATTCGGGGCAGACCACAGTAGCAGCTTGAGCAGGTAAGTCGTCCTGCTCCATTTCGGGCACCCACTGGCTTGGGCGCTGCTGGAAAAAGGAGATGCTACTAAGTGCCCTAGGATCTGGCCCCGATCAGCGGGTCTGTGTTCGTCCCCGGTCGTCACCAGGGTCCAGATACTGCTGGGCTAAGTCGCTTCTCCTGAAAGCCATGCCCAGATATACACGGGTTACCGTCACTGGGAGGACGGGTCGGTCGCCATACGCCATTTTATGTATATTATTTTTTTATATATTAAAAACTGTAAATATATATCTGCTTTTATAGATCATACCAATGAAATAAAATTATTTTTCTTTTCTATGCTAATAATCTCCTATACATTACGCATAAATCTAAATTTTTATAAATGGACGGACTTCCTATTCGGTTTGACAACTTTATTCGCTTTCTCAAGCGTGATGAATCAGGCGGCACCTCAGAAATTTCAGAAAAAACTGCAAAATTCGTTCTTTCGCTAATCAAGGAGCACAAGTTCAATAAAGAAGAAGACGTTCGGTCCCTAATTCGCCTCTTAACACGATTTGGCCGTAAACTAGTCCAATTTAAGCCGCTTGAAATCGCTTTAGTTAACATAGTCCGCCGTGCCTTACACATAATTCGTGAAGAATGCAGCCATATCAAGCTCGATACTTCCCCTCTACAATTAAAGCAGCGCCGAAGTACTTTAAAAACCTTAATAAAGGGCACTGATAGCACCCAAGAGTCAGCAGGACTCAAAGAAATGAAAAAAAGAATCCTTCAGGATGTGCAGGAACTGTTAGATGAGCTTGAAGCACATATGGAAAGAATTGCTGAGCAGGCAACTCAGCATATACACTCTAACGAAGTTATAGTATTTAGAAATTTTTGCAAGAGATTAATGTGGCGGAGGCGACCACCTGATCTCTTGGGAAATTCCCTCAAGCATTTAGGAGATACCTAGATGGAGGTAGCACAGGTACAGCATCCGTAAGATATATAGGAAGAGGTTTTCTCCGTATGCAAATATAATATCTGGGAAAATGGGGATTTTCTTCATGATATGGGGCTGGAAAGGTGCAAACAGCCATTATCTAAGAGATGAGGTCTTATTTCGACTCGAATTAGAGACCTTAAGACAGTAGTTGCCTAGTGCGATAATAGTAGTAACGTCCTAGCCCCACGACCCTCAGAGACCAGAAGCCTCAGAATCAATTAGTTGGTGGAGCCTAAAGCTAGGGAGTTGGTGCCAGCCGGACACCCTTTACTGGACGGATGAGCTTGAAGAGGTGTAAGTCTTCAACTTAATCTAAATATGCTAAATTAAATTTAGATATTTTTATTAGCTCTCTGGTGAATCTAATGCTCTAATTTGATATAAATAATAAAAAATTTATAAAATAATTATATAGAATTAGGCTCTTATGGTATATTTTGACCTTTGGGAAATCAAAAACAGTTGAAAACTTTTTATCGCACGTCAGAGGAAACAGAAAATTTGAAGTTCTCGTAGCTGAAGCCGCCCCTGGGCTACAAGGCCAGCTTATGTGTAAAACATTGGCTGAGCACGGCATCGACACAACCCTTATCGCTGATAATTCAGTATTCGCCTTAATGAGCAGGGTCAACAAAGTAATCATAGGGACTGACGCACTTATGGCAAATGGTGGACTAATTACAAAATCAGGGTGTTATGGCGTCTGTCTAGCAGCCCAAGCCCATTCTGTGCCAATTTTGGTCACTTGTGGGCTTTATAAACTGTCTCCACTTTACCCATTCGACCAGGACACTTTTAATGACAGTCTATCACCCGCATTAGTTAGCTGTTTGCCTGGGGCTGAAGAATCGAAATATTTGACCATTAGTGTCCCTGCATTTGATTATATTCCGCCTGATTTAATTTCGTTATATATAACTGATGTAGGTGGGCATAACCCAAGCTATCTTTATAGGTTGCTGTCAGAATATTATAGTCCTGAAGATTATGACTTAAATTCTTAATAGGAATTTTAATATAAAATATATAGAAAAATAGGGTGAATTTTTATGGGGAAAATAATTTTTTAAAAATGCTGATATTATGGGATAATATAAGATTAGGGTATATTGAGTTAAGAATAAGGGCTATTATGCTAAAAGATTAGTATTTAACTCCTGGCTGTCATGCAAGACAGTTTTCTTCCTATAACTTGTATAGATTTTCCAGCAGATTATAGCAATAATCCCAATAATTATCATTTTAATAGATATACATAAAAATGGTGTTGACATGCCACCCGACCTTTCGACCCTATTTCTTCAACACCAGTAGGCAACGGCCCAGTGATGGAGATTTAGGCGGAAAGGGGTCGGTAATCCTTTATGTGTGTATGGCTGGGTTTTCCTCGGGCCTCAGGGACACACAAATAAAATGGCGACGACACCGACCCGTCCTCTCCCGGAACTGAGGCGAGATTGGGGACCTTGCTGCGGCCTGAAGCCAATCCGCCCATCCCAGTCCAGCAACGACGATCCTAGGGTCGTCCCGATAGGACATGGGGCAAAAAGGGTTTTTCCTCTAGGGACCTCTAGTGCCAATTTGGAGGGCATGGCAGGAGCCGACAAGAGCTAAGGAGTTTAATCCTTAGCTCTAACCCTAGTCTGGCGACATGAAGCACGGGTGGCCCAGTCCGCCTACTTCCGGGGATAACATGACCAAGCCCCATGACCGGAAGGAGCTGAGTGGTAGCCTGTGGCACTTAGGTACACACTGGGAGCAGGGCAAGGAAAGCAAGCGAGGCGTCCAAAAGGCGGAAAAAAGGACCTTCGGTCCTGGCCGGGAGCTACTCTATAAATTTAACTAAGACTAAGACTAAGTCCTCGGGCCTCAGGGAGCTAATCCTTTGGACTGAGAGTTTTTCCTCAGAGTAACCATTGGAAAGGGCAAGGTCGGCCAATGTCTGACGGGCAATATGACCCTCAAACCCTGGAAGACGGTATTTGCCTAACGAGAAACTGGGAGTTTCGACCCAAGTGGTTGGCCCTTAGACTCCAGGAGCCATGGAAGTCAAGACTGGTGCGCGAATCCCCTGTTTGCAGCAGCAGGGAGGGTGTCCGTCAAGCCTCCTCGGGAGGGATGAACGTGTAGGGATGGAAATCCCCGACCCTGAGCGAACTGCGAATCTTAATCTTAATTTAATCATTTCAATAGCTAAAAAGTTTGATTCTTCGACTGGCTCTTCAATTGTTTCATACTCTTCACTTGAAATTGAAGACTTTACTGCTTCAGCAAGGCCGATTTGTTTATTATCCATATCAAAATTGACATAATATTTCCTAATAAACACATCTCCAAGTATCCATAAGTCGATAGGCATCCCTACCACAAGCAAATTGCAATACCCAGACCCATCTAAATCTGCCAAATATTGATCTTTGCTGATCGTGAAATTTTTTCCGTCCAAAACGAGCCGAATGTCAGGGTATCCTCTGACAGATTCACAGTCACACCAGAAAAAGCCATCATAATCCAAAAAGCAGCCGTAAAATCTTGAAAAATAACTCTCTATTTTACTGACCTCTACATAAGGGCCAATAATTAAAGTTGTCCCAGTGTCTACAATGGCTGACCTGCTTTTGGTCATGATTTGGTACTTATCAAGTCAAATAGAGTCGCAGGAGATTTCCCAGTGGCCTCTGTCCCCTATTAAGTTGATATAAGTAAACTGTTCTTCTGTTGAGTATTTTTTGAGGTCATATCCGTCAATTATTAGGTTAGATACAGGTGAAGCTTCTTCATAGCTAAATTGGTTGTCATTAAGGTATACAGAAAATGACGCATTTTGGATTTTTCCTTGATTTTTTAAAGTTGTTATAAAAGTGTCATAGCCGTCACCACCTAAACTTAGGCCTAATATTCCGTCAGCTACAAGGCCTCCAAAATCTCTTTCATAATTAACTATATGATTTTCCTTAAATTTCCTTATAAAAATCATATAAAATGCTGATAAGTTAAAGATAAAGTTTGTGATAGCCATGAGTGTTTAACCCACTAACAGTCGCCACCTTGATCAAAAGGGCAACCTTTTGGATTTCTGATCTGAAAAACCTGTGCAAGGGATTAGCTCACTAGGGCAGAGCTACTGTCTGTGAGGTGCTCAATGGCTCAAATGAGAAGAGACCAATGTGATAGGCAAAGCCTGCATAACCCATCTGGCAGAGACAGGGAAACCTTTGGGTAGAACAAAAACTTCCTATTCGAAAAGTCCTCCCCAGAGTCCGAAGCACTACTCGAAAAGCGGCATATGCGCCTAAGGGGCCAATTTCCATTAGTATCACACCATTTTATTTCAAAATGCTTATAACTAATCTCATTTAAAAAATAATAGTAAAAAAGTCTGATTTTTCGCCTCTATTGTATCAATATCCCCTATAGAGACAGAATCATAGCTGATAATTCCACTTGCATAGCCCATTCCATAGATAAGTTCATATGGGACATTGTTAGTTTCATAAGTAGTAGATGCAGACTTGTCGAAATACCATAAGGCGTAGTGGCATTCATAGCAGCCTCTTTCGACTATATAAAGCCAAGGACTGCCTGTATCAAACATAAGGGCGAACATTTGAGGCGGGGTCCCTATATAGACTACCCCATAGTACTGGGAATTTAGGTAGTTTGTTATTATAGAGGAGGCTGAAGAAGCTTCAGTAAAGCTTGGCCTAGAAAGAAGAAATTTATTCATGGATTCTTTAAACTCAAGCTTGGTTTGAGGCCGCTTTTGGATGTTTATGGAAATTGATGCTAATGCTAGAGGTAGCAGTAAAAATGTCCAATACATTTATAACAGTATTTTATACTTTATCAGCAATATCAATATCTTTATATAGGTAAATAGGTATTTTTAATAGAATTTGGTAACAGTAAATTTTTTTTTAGCATGATTTTTATAGAGAAACTTATAAAATTTTCCTTATAAATGTAAAATGAGTAGAAAAAAATATTAAAAATGATAGAATCTATATAATTAAAAATCTATATAATTCAAATCTATAATTTAAGCTAAAATTTTATCTCCCAGCTCTAAATTTTCGACTTTTCTCTGATAAGTCTTATAAGCTTTTTGAGCTAGTAAGCCAATTCCAGCAGCAATAAAAATCCAAATCACCCAAACATTTGACTGCAAAGATGCTTGAGTCTCCACAACTGATTTTACAGCTGTAGCAAGTCCAATTCTTTTTTGGTCCATATCAAAATTCACATAATAATTTCTTATAAATACATCTCCAAGCAGCCAAAAGTCAATATAAGCTCCCATAACTAGCAAAGCACAATATCCTTCATATTCTATATCAAGTAAATACTCATTAGGTGTAACTTTATATTTCTTTCCTTTCAAGCTGAAGTTAAGGTCTGGATAAGGTGAGGTAGGCTTGCATTTGCATATAAACCAACTGAGCGTTGCAAAGCAGTCATAATAAAGTGAAAAATAAAACTCAAGCTTAGAGACATCTGAAGCTGGGCCAATAATTAAAGATGTCCCTGTATCAACTATCGCTGATGCTGCTTTTTTAGTTAGCTTATATTTTCCAATAGCTACAGACTCACATGGAATTTCCCAATGTCCTCTATCCTGAATTAAATTTATATAAGTGAACTGTTTTTCTGTTGAGTATTTTGCTAAATCGTATCCATCAATTATCATATTTGATAAAGGCTTGGCTTCAAAATCCTTGAAATTATTATCATTAAGAAAAATAGCAAAAGTTGCGTTTTTTATTTTTCCTTGTTCCTTTAGAGTACTCATAATCGTTTTTGCCCCGTCTTCTGCCCTATCAAATCCTAGCCCTAAAATTCCATCAGCTTCAAAGCCGTCCATGTCTTTTTCGGCACTAACCAATAGAAAGCTTTGGTTTTTAACAGATGTGGGATATCCATCACCAATGCCAATGGTCTCAAAACTTACTTTTCCTCTTGCATAGCCTTGCATATATATAGTGAATAAAATGAATAGAAGCATTCCTATTGAGAACTGCTATACTATTTCATATAATAAATAGTATAATAACTAGTCCAATAGGAATGCTTTTATTTATTCTAATTAAATATACTTAATTTAATAGATTTTATTATTAGTTAATTATTTATATTTTTTGGAAAATATAGCTTATAAGGGATAATAGAGACTATGTGTGATATTATTAGTTTTATAAGTCGACGATAATGACTTGTCAAATTGGTTTTTAGCGGAATGGCAAGCTGTACAGTTTTTTTCTGTAACCCAAATCCAAGAACTGCCAGTATCAAAAACAACGCTAAAATTTTGTGGTGGACTTCCGATTTTTATAGTTCCAAAGTATTGAGCATTGAAGAAGTTTGTGATGGTTGATGATATGGGAGAATCTGAGGAGATTAGAGAGAGCCTTTTTAATGAACTATGTTTGATGGTTGAAAGATATTCCAGTTTATTTTGGGGCTTTGGATGAATATCTATCGATATTCTTGCGAAAGCTAAAGGCAGAAAGAGAAACATTCAATTCATTTTTATATGCATAAATTAATGATTGGGTTCACATTATCAATGAGTTTAAGAGAATTTCCATTTACTCCAACCTCCGTGAGTGAACAAAAAAATTTTGTTAACTCACGGAGGGGGTTTAATTTTTTTTTTAAAAAAATTCATATATGAATTTTATAAAAAAAAATTTTTTGTTCACTCGCGGAGGGTTGGCTTTTGGGCAAAAAATAGGGATTTTTCCAATGATTTTGTTCACTCACGGAGGGGGGGAGTTAGGAAAAAATTATCTGCTTCACCTTTTTATTCCTAATTTCTCATAAAATATATATAGATAATTAAATTTCTATATATTTAATAAGGCTATTTAAATTTTAGCGTTAAATATCAAAATAACAAAATTTTCAAGAGATTATATAAGCTTGCAAAGTAAATAAAAAACAAAAGCTTTACTTATATTTATTCTCTTATCAAGTTAATCAACTTTTAATTGTAAAAGCTATGCATTTAATTCTTATTTACCAAATCCTATTTTGTATTATGAGGAATTATTTGCTACTACATATCAACTCTCTCATATGAATTTTTTACTAATTCCCCAACAACTTGGTACTTTTCCTTTAAAACACCAATCCATTTCTCAATTGCATTTTTCATATATGGTGAAAGTTCTGCCTCTTCAGGATCCAGCCCAATCCACTTTTTATCATAATCCATTCTAGCTAAGGCGACTGTAGCATCTTTTCCTGCAAATCCGTGATCTTTGCCTCCTTCTTTGAAACTTTTATCGTTTGATGCATCAAAAATGATCCCTCCACAAGCGAAATAAATTTTCCCGTTTTTTCCCTCATATTCTTGAAGCTGCTCCTTGGTCAATTTAAGCCCATTTCCATAGGATTCTAAGAAAAGTAGAATAAAAATCCCAAAAAAGAATTTTCTCATTTTTATTGTGTAAATTATTTCGATAAATAATAGACTATTCTAGCAAGTAATGATAATATTGTAAAAACTATTTTATCGTCGAATTAGGGTATTAGGCAGCCAGAAAATGCTTTTCTCAACGATAATGCAAGAATTTAAAATTTACTGCCCAAAATTTCTGTTATACCCTCCTTCTCTATACCCTCCTTCTCTATATCCTCCTTCTCTATACCCTCCTTCTCTATACCCTCCTTCTCTATATCCTCCTTCTCTATATCCTCCTTCTCTATACCCTCCTTCTCTATACCCTCCTTCTCTATTCCCTCTAAATTCTCCTCTTCCCGCTCTATACTGTCCTCGATTGCCTCTTCTTCTTCCTCTTTGCAGAGATCTTCTTAGCTCTCTTTCTCCATCAGCTACATAATCCTCCCCAAAAGTTTCATTATCCATTTCTTTTTGTTTTCTCCTATCAAAAGGTACTTCACTTTCTGAACTTTTGCATGAAATATTGTCAAAAAAGCTTGATTTCTTGTCGTATCCTTTTCCTGACTCATTTTTTTGAGGTTTTTCAAGTGGGATTTCTTCTTGAAAATCGAAGTCTTCTTTTAGCTCTTCTTTTAGATCTTCATTTATGTTTTCATGAAGTTCACCTCTAGCTATTTGGGCTTGATATTGCCTCTGATTATGCCTGTTTTCATATCTCTGCTGTGGCTCGAATTCTTTTTCAGGCTGCGGGTTTTTCAAATTCGGCTGATTTTCTTTTATATTTGCCTTTATTATTGCAGAGTCATTGAGAATTGGGGTTGCCTGGATTACTGAAAGATCTTTGATATCAGACCCTCTGAAAATGATAAATTCATATAAATCATTTGAAGCAGGGATCTGTTTACCATCGATTCTCCTATTTTCTGTTCCAAAAGATCTGACGTTTGATAAGGAAACTGTGTGCTCATTTGGGTCAATTGAGTGAAGCGTGCCTTCATATCGAATATCAGACTTGGAGATTAAGCTGATTTGGCTTCCAATGTATGGGACTGTCGTAGCGCTCATAGAAAAAATTATTAGCCTATTAAAAGGGTTAAATTCTGTACCAAATTTTATTAAGAATAGTTAATTTTGGTCGAGCGCTTTTTAGAAGTTCTCTCTTCTTTTATTGGTAAAATTTTATCAATATCATAGTCATCTTCTTCATTGACGACTGCGTGTACAATTCTAAAAGTCCATATATCGCCAACCACAGAATTTAAAATATCAAAATAAAAATCTTCAGCGATTTTATTGTGGATTTTTTCTCTGTCAGTTTTATACAGCTGCTTTTGGGCAGTCAATGGGAGGATTTTCCACATATCGTCTAGTCTGGTATAGCTTAAAGTGTCTTCAATTAAAATTTCAAACCATTCTTCTGATAGTAAATCAGTTATAAGCTCTTCAAATAATAAAATATTCTTTTTGCAATGATTTTTGCTGTTTTTTATATAAATTTTATATAAATTACTTTTATCCAGCAGGGAATAATTATTTTCACATTCCAATTATGCTCTTCATTTATTGCTTCTTGAACAATTTCAGCAAAATTTAAGTCATCACTATATATATCAGAAATTAACTCAGCTAAATACTGTGAGCTTGCTGAATTAAAATTGTCCAATAAAATTTCTTCCATTGCCATTTGGAGTATTTGTACCTGAAAATCAATATATTCTCCATCTTTCGTTTCTTGATATGCAACTGTAGCTACTTGATTAATTTGTTGTGATAAAACTTCTGTTATAAGTTTGTCTAAAATCGAGCTGGAAAATAAAACCAAGCTTGCTGATATCATTTCTCTGCAGCTTTCTCTGACTATATCTTTAGTCATTTTTTCAGAAATTTCGATGAGATATGCTTCTTGGAAATCTTAATCTTAAATTACATTAATGAGGCGACTGCCGTGTTGTTAACGCAGACACCCAAGGACCTCAATGTGAGGTTCACCTGTTTTGTGCCCGTGTGCCCAACAAGCCATAAAGACTTGCCAAAGGGGAAACACGTCTACTCCTTCCCGCAGCCTGCTGCGGCTTAAGTCTTGAGTGTGCGGGCTATGGAATCCTGCGGCTGCTGCTTGAGTTACGAGAGTTGGCTTTCCGAAATTCCAAAAAATGGAATTTATGGTCACCTTTCGGCAAAAAGGAAAATTCCAAGTCCTGGGACGTAACGCCCAGTTTCACGCTAGGTAGTTGCCCGAATGGTCTAGGCATTGCCTGTAGACTCTGCTGGGCTACCATTTTCCAAACTTGGACACCCTTTTCTCTCGAGGAGAAAATCCATTCTAGTCTTTGGGCATGGGCCAGGCTCTGCTCTGCAGAATTGCTTACCATGGCATTGTTGCTCATTTCTGGAATGGCAAAACCTTGCCGGATATAATTAAAATATGAGTCGAGTGTGTATGGCCGGGAGGCCATACCTAAACGAAGACGCCATATTTTAATTATGCTTCTTGGAAATCATTAGAAAGGATTGCATTATGCTGGGCCTCGTCTTCACTTTCAGAACTTTCCCATTGGCTTGGCCTTTCTTCTTCAGCTGATGATATTTGGAAGTTAAAATTTAGCTGAATTGCTTGGTTTTTGGGCTGCCGAATTAGTCTTTTTTTCTTAATTGACAATTTGGTGATTTCAATTCCTAAAGTACGATGTGCGTTTAAAACTCTTGCTTGGAGATGAGGGTTTACCTTGAATAAATTCTGGGATTCTTGGCTATTATTTTTATTTCTGATTACTCTCTACCTTTGTGTTTTAAGCTGGATAAAAAATGTTGTGCAGTTTGGGGGAAATTTAATTATTTTGGATATTGGACTTTCTAATATAAATTTATAGTCATTTTTCATTTTTTCGAAATAATCTTCGTTATTTCAGATAAACTTTGCAATAGGCATTTGCAAATAACTTCTCCAGATTTTGATAAAATCAATAACTTCAAGGCTAATTTGTCTTATATTTTTTATCATTTCTCCAATTTCTAATATAAAAATTGGTTTATTTGTCTCTTCAAATGATTTTTCTTCTAATTTTTTCAATAAGGTTTCTCGATCATTAATAGCTGTGATTACACATAGAACAGGCGCTGAATTTTTTTTGATATTGGAGGATTCTTTTTTTATAGCTTCGAGCTGAAGATTTGACGTTTTAAGGAAAGATAAAGAAGTAAGAAATAAATTTCTATGGAATTCTGGGACACTTTTTGTATTTCAGACCTCATCAAGTTGATTTTTTAAAATAAATAATCCTTTTGGGATAGGCTGGAATTATTGAAAAATGCCTGATTTAGGATTTTATAATATAATTTTATTAGGTAGAAAAGAATATTTCCCTTTCTAGGCTGATTGCATTTTTCATAGTGCCTGTATTAGGACGCAATTTTAACAAATTATTTGTTGAAAGAGATCCAGCTGATTTTATACTTGCTCGAGTTGATGCGGAGCCTGAAAAAGCCCTTTTTACTGCATATGAATTACAAGGAATTTCAGGAAGAACATTACTTATTTTTCCTAACCAAAATCTATCATCTCATTCTGAAAGATGCCTAGGCATGATTAATCGGCCACGAATGCTTTGATGCTTTGAGCTGATAAGATTTGTAGTCATGGTTTTTAAATTATGGAGAAATTACATAAAAATTGTTTTTTAATTAAAATAGAGTTGTAATTAGTTTTCTATGGATTATGTTTTGAAACTAGGGGATTCCATGTGCAGGTCAAATGACTTTGCCTTTTTGATAGTGTCATTTCACCCAAAAATATTTTGCCGAAAATTGATCGAAAATTTTTGATAGTGAGACGTTTGACCGAAAAAAAACGTTAGTTTTCGGGCAAATGTCTCACTATCAAAAATTTTCGACCAAATAGATTTCGATGAAATGTACACTGTCAAAAATCCACGGTCATTTGCATGGAGCCGGGGATTCCAACCTCATACCTCTCGCTTCGAGGCTAGTGACTAGTATTAGGCCATACCTAAATCTCAAAGCCAACTATTATAGATAAGTGCCCTGCCACTGAGAAAATGGGCTGCTCTCGCCATTTTATGTATATACATAAAAATATTTTGCTGAATTTTAATTTGAGATATTTTAAAATTGCATAGGATATTCCATACAAACACTTAAATATTAATTGTATTAAACTATTATTATATTCTCCAATCATTTGTAAGAGCTAATTTTAAATTATTAAATACAGTTATCATTTGCTAAATTTCGAGCTTAATTAGTTTTACTCTTTATTTAATTTTATAAATATTTTAAAAAGATTTACATAGTCAACTTATTTCTCTTTATTTCTTGAGATCTCAAATGTTCTACCAGCATCAAAATTTCTTGCTTTTCTGCTTCACCCATGATTTTCGCTCTCATTAAATATTCCAGAGCTTCGTTTCTTTGTTCTTTTAAAATTTCTTTTTCTTTTTCATAAATCTCGATTTTTTTATTCACAATTTCCAAATCACAATTAATTTCATGGGCTTCAGAAATGGCTGACTGCTGAATAGCTTCGACGCCTACTTGCAATTTTTTTAAAGCCCCATTATAAATTTCTCTCTCCCTAGCAAGTGTCCATTCTTTATTTTCTTCGGAAATTTTTATTTTTTTTATTTCATCCTTTAATCTCTTTATTTCATCTTTAAATTGGTTCTGGATTTCTTCTTCAATTTTGCTTGCTCTGGCTTGTTCTTGTATTAGATTAGATTTAAGCTGTGTTTTTATAGTTCTACTTCCTGAACACCATGCGCTCCACGTTTAACTTAGCACGGGCCGAACCCCCAATTTTCTCGTAGAGGCATTTTCCTTTCATGGTTTGAGTCATACAGACTTTGCAATAACCTCCAGCCCAAACAACTTGCTTACCCAACCCTGCTTAGCTTAGGCCAGATCGCCCTGCCACAGGAAGGACCCTTTTCAACTGGTGAGACTGTAGCTCTTGAGATCTTGCTGAGCCTGTCTTTCCTTTTTCTTCTGGATTTATCTCAAAAAGAAAAGCTTAATATCTTTTGTGCGATTGTAGCAGGCGACCAAGCAGGAAGTCGCCCTGCTCTATCGGACACCCAACATGAGTCTGGTGCTGTTGGCAAAAAGATGCAAAAACTGCCACTCAGCCAGGTCACTAATCAGCAAAATAGTGCTGGACTTATTACTTTGAGGCTAGATCAACCTTGGGCAGCTCCTTGTTAAAAAAGCCATGTTCGAGCATGCATAAGGACACCCGCCACAGGGATGATGGGTTGTTCTTCACCTACCAATTTATTTATATTGTTTTTGTATTAAATGTGTAGTTTTTTCTTGAATTATTTTATTTTTTTCATCAATTGTCGACTCAAGCTGCTTAATTTTTTCTAGATAAGATTTTTTTCTTTTTTTATCTTTTAATGAATTTTTTTCTATAATTTGAGATAAATTAAGTTAATTATTATAGGAAGCCTGGAGATATAATATTTATCACTGTTTAGTCCAGTCTTATTTATTGAATAGTCCTGCCTATAAAATATGAGATTGATAATTTGAGATAGCTCAGTTCTCAACTTTTTTTGCTCTTTCATTAAAAGCTGAATTTTTTCATTTGTCAGTTCTTTTACAGACGAAAGCTCGGATTTTAGCTGTTTTATTAGTTTTTCTTGGGCATCTCTTTGTATTGCTGAAGTGAAATTGATATTTTTCAGCTGCTCCCTTAAAATTTTGATATGCTTAACAAATGCTTCCTGCTCACTTCTCAGCACAAGTAGCTCGTTTTCGTTATTTTTATGGAAAGTCTCCAATTCAATTTGATGCATTTTTCTTTCTTGCTCTAGCTGCTTTTGTAAGGCAGCAATATCATCTTTTGCTAGTGTTATCAATTGAGACTGGTTTTTTTCATCTTTTTCTTTTTTTGGGCTAAAATAATCTTTATATCCAGAATGCGATATAAGCGTTTGCATTTTTTCACGTTCTAGCTTTAAAAGTTCTCTTTCCTCATCTAATATGCTTGACTTTTTACAACATTCATCAAGGACTGAATCAATAATTAATTTTAATCTCTGGATTTCCTGGTATAATTCTTCATTTTCTTTAATAAATTCATCTTTTATTTCTTTATTTTCAATTTTACCTGATTTATTTTCTTCTGACTCCCCGCTCCCGAGCGAAAAAAAAATTGAAAACATCCCTATTTTTTGCCTAAAACCACCCTCTGTGAGCGAATAAAAATTTATTTAATATTATAAAAAAAAATATTTCGATATATAAGTGATTATTAGTATAATGAAATCTTTAACTGATTCTGTTTAATATTAAACAGCTTGCATTTTAATACATAAATTCTACAAATTAAAGTAATTTTTACTTTTCAAATTTTACGAAAATAGATTTTTAAATCCTGAAAAAAATTTACTATAAAATTTATATATAAATTTTTAAAAATAAAAATTTTTCTCCTTCTGTGAGCGAACAAAATATTTTTTATTCTTTCACAAAGATATAGAGTGAGCTATCTTGCAATTTAACTTTTTTTATAGAATTTAATTGTTGAGAATAATTTTTTGATAAAGCTTCTAAGCTTTTAAATAAATTTTGAAAAGTTGTGTGTCTATTTTTTTCATCAATCATCATATTTTTTGATGATTTTCGTTTTTTTATGATTGATTTTAATTTTTCAATTTCATTATCTTTTGCTACAATTAACTCTAACAGCTGATTTTTTTCTTGTAAATGTCTCTCATCAGTGGCTTCTTTTACTTCAAGCAAGGTTTGGTTTTCTTTATTTAGCCTAGAAATTTCAATTTGTGCTTTTTTATACATATCAGAAGAATCATTCCCATTTTTATTTTCAATTATTTCTTCTAATGATTTCACTGAAGATATATACTGCTCTAAATGTTTTTTAGCATAATCAAGCTCCTGCTCAGCAACGATTAAGCGATCTGAAAGCTTTTGATAGTCTTTTTCATTATCTTGAGATATAGATTCCACAAGTTTTTGTTCTGTAGAATAAAGCTGAGATGTCAGCATTTCTATTAATTCAAAATTCTCTTTTTCTTTTTTTTCTGATTGCTCTTCAATGGCTTTAAAGTGAATTTTAAAATTCTCCAGCTCGGTATTTATGCTTTATAATATGGAATTGCTGTCGGAATTTCTAAAATTTTCTGCATCATAAATAATTTTGCAAATTAATTTAAATAAATATATTAAATTTTGTTGATTTAAAAGCTCATTCATAATAGAAACAGCCGAGTTATTTTTTCTTCCTTTTGGTTTCCCTCTATTAGTTTCCTTCAGTGTTTTTATTTCTGCTTCTTTTTGTCTTAACTGAGCACTAATAATCCTAAATTCTTTTTCCAAATTAACAGCATGGAAATTTTTGGCTTCCTCTAAAACTTTTTCATACATTTCATACTCTTTGTTCTGCTCACTATGGTCTTTTAAATATTGCGTCACCTGAGATTCAGAGGATTCTCTTATATAAACCAGCTCTTTTCTCATATTTTCAAGCTCATTTTCAAATATCTGCTCTCTTTCATAATTAATATCCATCAGTGTTTGATTAGCATTTCTCAGTCTTTCGACTTCTTCTTCTAAAGACAGCTCCCTATCCCCAGAAATTGTTATCAGCTGTTCAATCTGTGCTTCTAGCTGCTCTTTTTTAATTTCTAATGCATTTATCCTTTCATTATGAGCTTCTTCGACATTTTCTCTCTCCACTTGGAATTCTTTGAGCTGCTTCCACATCAATTCGTCATGGTTATCTTCAGCTGATTTTACAGAAATTTCATTATGTAAACTATTTTTCTCTCTTATCCAAAGCTCCTCTTCTTCATTTTTTTGCTTTAAAAGCTCCCGAAATCGTTCCTCATACTCTTTTTGAATTTTTTCGATTTTTTGTGATTTTTTGTTTAATTGAATGTTTGTTTTTTCAAATCTTGATATAAGTAAATCCAGCTGAGCTTGGAATTCATTTTCGACCCTTCTTGCATCTTTTCTTGTATTATCCACTTGACGGAGAAGATGTTCTTTTTCTTCTATATGTCGCTTATTTTTCTCTTCTATTTGTCTAGTCAAAATTTCAATTTTTTGGTTTAATTCGCTAATTTTGACTTGTTGAGCTGATTTTCGTTCATTTTCGACAAGGCGAATATTTTCGATTTCTTTTAACAGTTGATTTCTCAAGCTTTCTTCTGACTGTTTGGATTTTGCATTTTTCAAACGGTCGATTTCTGTTTTCAAAATTTCGATTTCTTGTTCATAGATTTCGATTTGTCTTTTTAAAGTATTTTGGGATTTTTGGAAATTTTGTTCAATTTCTTCTTTTTCTTTTAAATATTCAGATTGAGCTTTTTGTAAGAGTTTTTGGTTTTTATCAAGCATTTCTAGAAGGGCTTGTTTTTCTTCATCATGGGATTCATTGGCTTTTAGGGTTTCAGTGCTTAAGTTGGTTTTGGAAACAACTGCAGGGAAGGGGAATGATTTTTCTTGCTGCTTTGTAGTTTCCATATTTGTGAGGATTTCGATTTATTAATAATAATAAATATTTAGAGATTATGGCATTATATTAGTTTATAACTTTTACTCAAACTTCGGAAAGTGCAAATAGGCCTCCTTCTGCTCCACTCGCACAACTTTTTGTCACAATATCTCTTGCATTTATTACAAAATTCCAAATTTGGCCCATCTGCTTGAATTCCTACCATTCCTACACTTTCGAGCCAAAATGCTCGGCTAAGAGCTTCCCAGTTTTTATTATCATAAAATTCAACCATTTTCAATGACTTTTGGCTTCTTAATTTTTCAAGCAAAAACCTCAATGACATAGTGGTTATTTGGTTATTTTTGATAGAAATGATATTAAGTCCTTGATAATTTTTGAATCCTAAAGCTATAAATACAAGTCCGGCATCATATAAATCTGCCTGTACTGAATATCTTTGTTTTTTAAAAAATCATTATAAAATTTACATCATACTGAGCTATTCATTATGCATTATTATAAATAATTATCCGAAATATTTAAAATTTTCAATGAAAATAAACTCCCTATGCATTTTCCCAAAGCCATTGCTCCCTCAAAGCCAATATAATTCGACGATAAATCCAAAAACTGTAAATTATGCAGCTTCGGCAGCAATTTTTCCATGTGTGCGATTCCCTTCATCCCTAAAAAATTATTTGATAAATTCAGTTCCCTTAATAATTTCATTCTAAAGAGCGCCTCAATTAAATGAGCTAGTCCATCAGAGCGGATATTATTTGACGATAAATCAAGTGCTAATGTGCCCTGATATTTCAATAAAGCTTTGGCGACAATTTTGATCCCTTCTAAGCCGAACTGGTACTGAGATAGGTCTAAGGTATTCACTCCTACGCATCTTTCTAATGCATCGACGATGTCTTCAGCTTTTATTTCCCCCAGCGATTTTTTTCGCGGTTTTGGAATGTGCAAGTCTTGAGTTGAAATTTGAAATGAAAGTAGGCTCTCCATTTAAAAAAAGAAAATAATTATTATAAATATTTAATTTGTCAGTAAATAAGGTGAACGTTTCTGATTTAAATATGAAGACATTGAATAGCTTATATGTTTTAGATTAAGCGTAAAAATTAAATCAGATTACTTAAAAATGCCACTTTAAAAACCTTTAGAGCTATCTAGCTGGAATTTTGTGCAGCTTTCTGTTTTCATGATGCTTTGGCTGTGAGAATTCGAAAAACCTTTAATTTCTTTTTTCTTAGTTCGTTATAATATCAAATTTTGTGTAAAAAAAAATACTATAAATTTATTATTATAATTAAAACAAAGATTTTTTACTAGAGAGTTAGTACTTGGAGGCTCATTTACCGAGTTGGTACCTCTAAAAATCATCCCGCTGTCTTTTGAATTTAAAATTCTATCATCAAACCTTGAATTTTCAGTCTCCAAATCTGTAGGATGCATTGAGCTGATATCAATATTTTGGTCCTGAAAATTAGAATCCTCAATACTAGGGGAATTTAGAAAAGCTTCTATATTGTTATTTGATAAAATTCTGCTATCTTCTATTTCATCTGTCTCTTCTAGCATAGGGTGTATGCAGCCCCCATTGTACATCAATTCTCTTGGACTTGTCATTTCTAGATCTTGCTGATTTTCTTGGATTTTTTCTTTAAAAATTTGTTTTTGTTTACTCTTAAAATGGTCTGGGGACGCAAATGGAGCATTATAATTTTTTGAGTCCATTGGAGTTAACATTTTTGACGTAGGAATGGCTGGTTTTATTTCATATCCGTTCTTTTTAAGTAGTAATTTCGCTAGCTGCATATAGCCCGTTCCAGGCTATAGATCGGGCATAGCCCAATCTTTGCCGGGAAACTCGGGGGGTTGCCTTCGTCACTTTCAGGTGACGATTCAACTCCCCGAGTTGGCAAATAGCCGCTATTAAGTGATTTGCCAACTCGGGGAGTTGACTCGTCACCTGAAAGTGACGAAGACAACCCCCTGAGTTTCCCGGCAAAGATCGGGCATAGGCCGATCTATAGCCGGGAAGGGGCTATACCTAATTCAAAGTTTTCAGGGCCTTGAGATAAAAGAGAACGAATTTTTACCATAGTTTCTTCATATAGCGATCCATTTAATCTTTCGAATTCATTTAATGCTTGCTCTATATCTCTTGGCCTAATTTCAATAGAAATATTGCTTGTATCACTTTCTAAATTTGATTCTCAGCCTCCTATGGTTTTTTCGATTGAAAATTTTGAGCTGTTAATAATTTCTGGGTTATTTTTTGCGTTTTCGTCAACTATTTTTTCAAATTCTTCAGTCACATTCAATTCTGTTGCATAAGAAACATCTATTTCTATTGGCGGGCCGTCTCGCTCAATCGCTGACAAATTATTAATGCTTATGCTCTCATCTGGCGCATGGATTTTTGGCAAATCCAAGCTTTTTTCTACTAAAATCGGCTTTTCTAAAACAGTGCTCATTTCGTCTTCAAATTGGTTTAGCTCAGAAATTTGCTCTTTTTCTCTGTTTTTCTTCTTTATGTTTTTATCGATTAATGACTTTTCAAGCTGGTTTACATTATCTTTAATTATTTCTTTTACGTTGTAGACTGATTGTTCAAGCTCTCTGGTTTTTTTATCAATTTCAGCTTCTTTATTTACTAAGTATTTTTCTCTTTTATAATTTTTTGTTTTTTCTTTGTTTTTCATGATTTTTTCTTGTTTAGTCGCTTCATTTGCTTTAGCTTTTTCTTCCTCAGATTTTTCAACGAGTTCTTCGCATAGTTCAGTTCATTGGTTTGAAAGTTGGAGGAATTTTTGTGACAGATCTTGAAGTTTAGATCCCATCGAAACCGGAAGTGTGCCTTTAAGACTTGAAAATAATTGGTTAATTTCATAGCTTGAAAATCGAAGATTTTCAAGTTTATCGAAAGCCGAAATTTCGCTATCCATATCTATATTATGAATTATTTAAATTTCTAAGATTTTACCATAAAATCAAAGTTCTATTGTGGCTTATCTTTAAATATTTTTTAATTAAATATTATTTTAATGTTTCTATTAATTTCCCTCTAAATCATTATTATTCACTTTGCATTAATAAACCTTTTTTAATAAAAACAAACAGAGAATATGGAAGAAATCAATATACCCTCCCATGTAGATTTTTTTAAAGCGCTGCTTCGTGGACTACCAGAAGGAGCTCATTCGTCATATATGACTTCTTTATTTTTTATTGTGTCAGGATTAGATGTTCTCAATGAACTTGATTGCTTAAATAAACAAGAAATTATTGACTGGATTTATAAACAGCAAATTATTCCAAAAATAGAGCCAAATTATGCATCAGCTGGATTCAGGGCAAACCCAGCAACTTCTTCTATAGAAGGAAGCTATTGGGATTATGGGAACTTAGCCAGCACTTATAGCGCTTTAGGAATGCTGTTAATCCTTGGAGATGATTTTTCAAGAATTGATAAAGTAAATTTAATAGGTGGAATTAAATTGTTATAGTTTACAAAAATATATCTCGATTTTTAGCAAAAAATCCAATATATATTTTGAGTATGAAAAAGGATCTATTTTGTTTATTCTAACGCTTAATTTATCTATTATTCTATACAGCAAGAAGCAGGAAATTTCACATCACATAAAGACGGCTTAGAAGCAGACATGAGGTTTATTTTTTGTGTGTGTGCAATTTGCTATATCTTAGACTACTGGGGCGAAATAAACCAAGAAAAAATCGTTGATTTTATCTTACTATTCCCTTCCTTAAATTGGAAATCTTCTTTCAGTAGGAAAATTTTATAGGTGAAAATATTTATTTTTATAAAATTAGTTTTGAACTAATTAATTGGAAAAAGCGGAGCGAGAATATTACTATTATTATTTAACAGTTATCGCACTGAATCTTTTTTTTTTAATTAATTTTTTATAAATAAATTAAAATTCAAAAATGCGATTTTATTTAAAAAATTAAAAATGGTAACAGGATTTTTCGCACCAATTCAAAGGGGGCAAGTTAAAATCTCAAAGCTACGACAAAAGTATTGGCCTATACCCAGGCATAGAAGGCCATGGAGGACTGACTTACTGTGCATTAAGTTCTCTATTTTTACTAAATAAAATTGACGCTTTGCCAGAAAAAGAATTTTTAATTGAGTGACTTTTAATGAGACAAGGAATCGGATTTCATGGAAGAATTGGCAAAGCCCCTGACAGCTGCTACGGATATTGAATAGGCCTTTCTCTGCAGATTTTAGGTGGAATTTCTTTTATTGATATAAATGATAATATTCAGTTTTACCAAGAAACCCAATTTTTCAAAGGTGGATTTTCTAAATACCCTTGCATAGAGCCAGACCTTGTCCACAGTTACCTTGGGCTTTGCAGTATTGCAATAATGGGACATCCACAGCTATCTCCAATATACGGCCCTCAATTTAAGTTAAAAAAATTAAGCTGGCCATAAGAGAGATAGACCCATTAGCCTTTGCCTCATCTTGGCTGCAAAAAAGTCTCCAAAGATCTCAGAAATCAAATGGAAAAAATGGAGGGCTGTTATTATGCATTTCTGATCTGAGCCACCTGTCCCAAAGATTAGCTCTTTGAGCAGAGCCACCGTCTATGAGGTGCCCTGACAGTCTTGATAGGGAGAGATTATTTTATAGGCAAAACCTGTCTAGACAAAGCTGGAACTGAAAAAACTTCTGTGGAGAATAGAGAACTTCCCTCTCCAGCGGACATCCCCAAGCTCGAAGGCCTACTTCAAAGTGGCATACACTATTTTCAGCTTCATCGGGATAACTCCTACCCCCTCGATAGGGTTCACCTCATCATCATCATCATCATCATCATCATCTCACATCATCAATTATTCAGGATGCTTAAACATCCGCAGACCCTTATGGGTCTTTTAAACTTAAACTCCCTTCAGCTTTTGCTAGAAAGATCATAATAGATTGGCCTTTTCTGATAGCTAATGGTTTCTCTCCATAGAAAGCATGAAATCTTTCTGACTTATTGCTTGAACTTTTGACTGAACTTTTGACTGAGCTTTTGCCTAAACTTTTGCCTGCACTTTTTCCTGAACTTTTGCCTGAACTTTGGCCTAAATATTTGCCCAGACCTTGTCTGAATTTTTCTTCAAACTCCTGCTACATCTTTAGTCTCAACTTTAGATCCAACGTTTAGCTCAACTTTCGCCTCAACTTTTGCTTCTATTTTTGCTCCAGTTTTTGCCTTAGCTTCCTCCTCGTCTTTTGCCGTGGTTTTTTGTCTCAATTTTTGCCTCGATTTTTGCCCTGACTTTTGCCTCAACTTTTGCCTCAACTTTTGCCTCAACTTTTGCCTCAACTTTTGCCTCACTTTTTGCCTCAGCTTGCGCCTCAGTGGTTGCCCTCAACGTTTGCTTCAACTTTTGTCTCAAATTTCGCTGCCTCAGCACTCGTTCCACTCTTGTCATGACTTTTTCTTTGGCTTCTTTAGCTTCACTAACACTTTTGGCTTCTCTCCTAGTCTTTAGCTCTGTTTTGGTTGCTTTTGGCAGAACTTCCGCTAGACCAGAAATTAGTGGCACCGGAAGCTCCTTGCATTTGTTCACCACCTGGATCAATTCTCCTTCATCAAGCACAAATCCGTCCATTTCTGAGCCCAATCTTAGCACCATTTCCATAAGTTCTTGCTTATCACCTTCACTCTGATCTCCAAGATCATCTTCTTCGTCTGATAAATAATCATAAAGAATTTCTTCAACTTCGTCTCAGAAGTCTTCATCCCAAGATAAATAATCCGAATCACGGTCAAATTCAGCATCAGAATTCTCAAAACTGCACAATCCTGGTCTCTCAGTCCAGGCAGCTCTGTTTTTGTCGAACCCTTTTAATTCCATCAATCTGTAAAAATAAAAAGTCATAGGGTGCACCTCAGAGTCCTTCTTCCGTCAACGGCACTATTTTATTCCTCTTACGACCCTCTAGGAATCACTGTGAGATCAGCCTTAAGGGTTATTAAGAACCCGCTTTCTCAATATACAACAATTAATTCATAATTTAAATAAATTCAAGGAGAAAATTTTGGAGATAAATGGAAGGGTATTTGTTGAAATGGGAAAATTATGTTTATTTTTGGCAAAGGCGATACTTTATTCTACACAAAGGAGTCCTCTATGTCAGCAAAGCTAAAGGGCTGCCAAGCATCGGAACAATCCATTTAGGGGTGTCACAAATAATAAAAAACCATAAAAAGCCTACAAGATTTTATATTTATTTTAATATAAACTATTTTTTTTAAAAAAAATAGGAATTTTATGCAATTTATTAGAGAAAGTATACATAGACACTGGCATGAATAAAGTCCATCTAAAAGCTTATTCTATCACAGAAGCTGACGACTGATACCGAGCTCTTCTTCATTCTCAATCTGAAATAAAACAGCAGGAATCAGAAATCACCATAAGGCCAAGCTTAATTGATTCTGACAATTCTTCACTCCATTATATATCCACTAAGATCGGAGAAATGTGAAGTGTCCATGCTCAAATAGAAGAAACCCTTGATTTATTGCCGAGCAACCTTGTAAAAAATACTCCAGGGTTAATAAAAGCAAGCAAACTGTGTGGGGACATTAAAAATTTAGCGTCTGAGATGTTAGGAATAATAGAAGAAGACCCAAGCCATGTAAAAAGCTTAAATAACACCGATTTCGGGTCATTTGAGATAACAAAAGGTAACAAGCAAAGCATTTTATTAGCAGAAAATCCAAAAAATATAAATATAGGTAGCGATTTTGAGGACGCACAAAGTTCGGGAAAATTTGAATTGGCGAGTGACTATCACGTAGAATTTACCCCACGTCTGCCTCATAGGACGTGTCTGCCTTATCTGCGTGACCCAACCACAAAATATTATATTTGAAAAGTAATCAAAGACTCCATAGGTCTCGATCTAAGCATTATTACATTATCTTACATACTTAGAAGCCTACTGTAATTCCTAAAAGACTATCTCCACACGCTTCGCCAAGCCAGGAAAAAGCTGGCCTAAAAACAAATTTTTCAAATGCCTTTGTCCCATCTTCAAGGCCCCTGCACACCCTGAGGATCCCAGCTACAGGATTTAATAGTGTGGTTGTTTGCTACGCCATTTTACTGTATATCCTCAATCTAAGTAAAATTGCAGTCCCCGTCTACTACAATGAGCCAATAAGTATGCTGCAAAGAATTACCGAAGATTTATCCTATAACGAAATTATCTTAAAAGCTTGTGATTCTGATAATTCTTTATTAAGGCTAGCTTATGTAGCTTGTTTTGCAGTCACTTCTTATACGTCTAGTGACTACCGAAACATGAAGCCATTTAACCCTTTATTAGGGGAAACTTTTGAGCTTGAAGCCGACAATTTCCATTTAATCAGTGAGCAGGTTAGCCACCATCCTCCGATTTCAGCTTTACATTGTGAGCACCCTAGGTATATTTTTTGAGGCAGCACAGAAATAAGGAACTCTTTTAAAGGGACTTATTTGCTTATAAACCCTTTGTGTCCCACACATTTGGTGCTAAAAGAAACAGGGGACCATTTTTTTTGGACAAAGCCACAGACGAGTGCTCATAATATTATTATAGGGAGGATCTATGTCCAGCATTTTGGTAGGATTGAGATAATTAATTATAAAACTGGAGAAAAAGCAATTCTTGAATTCAAAAAGGCTGGCTGGTTCGAAAAGCGAAAAACTGAAGTCACAGGCTCTGTTTATGACACAAATGGAACTGAAAAATACCAGCTTAAAGGCCACTGAAATAAAGGCATGGAAATTATGAACCTTGAAACTCAAGAAGTCATTGAAGCCTGATCACTCCACCCTTTTCCTGAAAATTTTGAATGGAATTACTATTTCAATGATTTTGGGCTACAGCTAAACATATCCCCTGATCTCTACCCAGCAGCTATTGCACCTACAGATTCCCGGTATAGGCCAGATCAAAGAGCCTTAGAAAGCGGAGATTTAAAAACCGCTGGATCTGAAAAACTGAGACTTGAAGAAAAACAAAGGGCTGCTCGACGGAAATTAGAAGAAAGCGGAGAAATTTATAAGCCAAGGTGGTTTACGCTAGAAAATGAAGAGTGGAAATATATAGGAGGATATTGGGAAAATAAAGAAAAAGTGCTGTTTGTAGATGTCCCAGATATATTTTAAGTCTTTTTTCGAAAATATTTATTTATATTCCTAATGTTTTAATTAGCTTATTCCAGTCATCAATTCTAGGATGCACATAGTCCTTATCCAGTTGCATTATATGTATCACAGAATTCGAGCTCCCAGCTGCAATTTTGTTCCCTGACTTATCAAAATTCAGCTTGTTTAGGGCTCTTTCACCAGTCTTTTGTCTGACAAAAGGAGTTTCTGTGTTTCTGCTTAAGTCCCAGACGTCTAAATTACCATCTCCATCAGCGCTTGCAAACATACAGGGGTGGACTGGGCTTCATTTGGTGTCATATACATAGTCATCATAAGGCTCAATAATTAGAATAGGCTCTGGTTTGGCTTCTTTAAAGAGTTTTACAGTCCAATCGACTGAGCTGGATAGGATTAGGCCACTCTCATAGTCTGGGTGATATTGAACTCTGGTCACTGGCGCACAATGGGCTTGGATCAAGTCTTGTCTTTCTGATAGCATTTGGCCTTGTAATGGTCCTTGGATAATATTTCCATCTTCTGTGCCAATTAAATAATTATATGGCTCTTCTTTAGAAAAATCTACACAATTCGCACTGAAATCGACTTTTCCTTTAGTTTCAAAGGTTTCAGCAGGGCTGTGAAGCATATTCATAGTCCATATACAAATTCTGCCATCGCTTGACATTGAGATTATGTTATTGCTGTGCTCTCCTTCTGAAATCTTTAAGCCTATAATAGGGAAATTATGGCCTTTTGATAATGATGGGCTGCGCTGTACTGGGACTCCTTTTACACGTAAATCCCATAATAGGACTTGTCCACTATAAGTCCCTGCTAAAATAGTATTGGGGTCGTTTGGGTAAAACTGTGACTGGGTCACTGATCCTTGGCACGTCAAAACATGCTTAGGCGATTTTTCGTTTTCTATAGACCACAGCTGCACAAGCCCATATGGAAGTTTCTGGCTTGTTGTCTCAGTTTTCGTATAAGCTGCTAATATTAAATCTTCATATTGTGGAGACCATTCGAGTGCTGAAATGCACCGTTCTTCTTCAGTAAAAGTTAGGCTGCCAATAATTTTATATACCTTATTATGATACTATAAATCCCATATTTTCCTAATAGAACTCTATAATAATTTGCTTTTAAAGGTATAATTTTTCCTTTTTGGTCATTGGTGTCATCAGATTTACTGCTTACTCCCCCCCCTCCGTGAGCGAACAAAAAATTTTATTCACTCACAGAGGGGGGTTAATTTTTTTTTTAAAAAAAATTTATATATAAATTTTTATAAAAAATTTTTTTTTTCGAAATTTAAAAAAAACCTAATTCACAAAAATTGGGAAGCAACAATTAATTTAATTTATAAAAATTTATGTTTTAAAACGCAATTTATTTAAAATTACACAGAATTAGCTCTAGATTTGAATATACTAATTATCACTTATATATCAATTTTTTTTTTCATTAAAACTTTTTCTATTAAAAAAATTTTTGTTCACTCACGGAGGGTGGATTTTTGGTCAAAAAATGGCGATTTTTCTAATGGTTTTGTTTCACTCACGGAGGGGGGGGAGTTTAAAATAAAATTTTGCATTATGTCGAATTCCTCTTCCAAAGACTCTATCATAAGTTTCGTCGATCTTTGCACAAAATCAGAAAAATCAGTCGAGACAAGTATTTTTTCTAGTTCTTCTGGCTCAATTTCTTGGATTTCTGGCTCTACATTTTTAGGAGCTTCTTCAACAGGCTCATTTTTTTCTATATGGGTTGACATTTTGCGGACCCTGGGGTCGAAATCTTCAGTGATCCTTGCCTCTTCTTCTTCATCACTTTCTGAGGCAATTTCTGCTTGAATTTCACGCTCATATGAAATTACTTTGGTTTTTGGAGGAACACTTATAGAAGAAACACTGGACTTTATAGCCAATATTGGCTTGTGAGGCTCAAATGGGTTTGGAGGAGGGTCTATTGAAGATTTTTCTTTAGAGCCAGTTGAGTCAATAGTGCTTACTATAGTAGTTCTATTATCTGTTAATGGAGAAGGAAAGGGGTTTTTGCTAGCGGCATCCAAGCTGTCACGTTTTGCTTTTCGCTCTCTGAGCTCTTTCAGCTTGCGCTCGCGCTCTTCTTTGCTTGCTTTGATTGAGTCTTTGAAGTTTTTAGTTTCTTCAGACATAGTGATAGTAATTATTACAAAATAATTTTTAGAACTATGCAAAATAATGATAGAGAGATCAAATTTTTATTATACAGTGAGTAATGATTAATATTTTTATTATTTTTTTGGAAATGGTTTAAGCAAGAGATATTTTTCTTATTCAATGGTGAGCTGATGCAACTCCAGCTCCTGGACAGAGTTTGGGACTGAAGCTAAACTGAGTAGGAGACGGAGCCTATGGAGTGAGCATTTGTGTCTGGATTGCATCCCTCATCCATTGGCGAGGACTTAGTGTTTTCCTGATAGACTATTGGTAAAAGGTTTTTAACCTTATGCCACCAGCGACAACGAATGCATTAGGTGTACTAATAGTTATGGATACTATTTCTAGCTGGAACTCCAATTATTATAATTTAAATTAGTAAGATTTGATTATTATAGTAAATATAAATTTGATAAATAATTTTTTAACTGAAGAATATATTCCTTTATATTATGGCGATAAAAACTGGTCTGTAACATCAATCCAATTTACTGTGCTTATAAACGAAACGAATGTTTCAGTATTATATTTTGACTTATATAAAGGAGCAATACGCCATTTTAAGTCATTAATTTTCAAAATATTAATATCTTAGTTTTTCCTAGAGTCAAATAAAATGCTCAATTTATAAAAAGGCACAAATTATTGATTCTAGCTGTGATTATTAATAATTTTAGTCACATTTATATTGAAAAAGTAAAACCGCCAAATTCTGTCACCGAACTTATTAAAAAGCGGTAAAAATTATCTAAACTTTTGGAATCAGAATAAAATTGAGGTTGAAATATTGTTTATTATCTTTTATTATATAAATTAATGTATAATGCCAGTAAATAAAACATGCTGCTTATACAATATTTTAAATTACAAATATTCTTTTATTTTTTAGGAAATAAAAATTACAAAAACATCAATTTTATGCTGTGTAAGATGGATTCGATTTTCTATTAATAAATAAGGGTGCCATTTCTAGTTTTCAACAGTTTTACGTTGCTAATATATTAATTTTAATTCAATTCAACAAGTATAGATAAAATTATTTGTTAATATGAAATCGAAACTCCTTTGGCTCATAATATTTACAAATTATCCAAGCTAAAATGGGAAATTGTGAATGCTCCAATCGACAAAGACGAGGCTTACAGAATTTTGAAGATAATATCCGCAATAAAGCTAAACAACATAACATTTCTCAACCGGTTATCTTTGATACAGTTGGTTTTATTTTAATTGATTATATCAAAAAATTTTACCTCTCAGCACACCCCATAAAGGTGACCCTTAGGTGGAGCACGCGCAGGAGCTGAGTCAAGGAAGAGCAAGGCAACGCAGTCCGTCGAAGCCGAACGCTGTATTTGTCCCCTGCCCTGGTGTAAAGTGAATCGATCCAGAGGTTTATGGGCCCAACACGTGGATAAATATGGTAGCAGCCCTGGAAACGGCTACCCTGTAGTGGACGTTAAGCGATATGGATAATTAAGTAAGTAAGATTATACCAAAAAAACATTCGGGATGGGATCAATCGAAGATCTAATTCTTCTAAAAATAAATATAATAATTATTAAAATTAAGAAAAAAATAATTTTTTTAAAAAAAAAATTAAATAAAAAAGGTTAAGGAAAAAAATCGAGAATTATAAAATTAATGACGTGAGATGTTGCCGAGACATCTCACAAGCTCCCAAAAAAGGGAAAAAAAGTGCAGACACTGCTTCCTTTGTAGAAATAATGGGATTTTATGATTTTTACGAGCAAAGAAGTGACTTGACCATGATTGTCGAGCTAGTGTCGAGCGGCTTTAAAATAGAAATTGGCGAAGAAAACGTCATAAAAGCTTTAAATTATGATAAAAATCCTCGGGTTGAGTACTTGTATATTCCTAATGACTCAGATTTAGAAAATTGTACCAAAGGATTTCATGAAGTAATAGAATGGGTGTATGAAAAAAGTGAAGAAAATTGGAATACAGTGGATGTGACACCTCCTGAGGACGAAAATCTGTCAAAGAATTTATATGATTATATTGTAAGTTTTTACAAATAATTAACAGCATTTTGTTAAAAATTATTTTCTGGCTTCTTCTTTTAATCCTAAGAGCGCTTTTAACTTTTTTCTGTCTGTGATAACTGGCCATTTTTGGGTTAATATATACGAAAAGCTGGCAAATATTATGCAAAATTCTTGTGGAAAGTACTTATTTATCTAAAAAACTAGAAAAAATTGGGAAATTAATAAAGAAATTTCAATAAAAGTAGGCTGCAAGTCGACTCATCATCGAAGGCGAGTGGCGATTTTTTGTCTTCTGAAGTCATTGAAATTATCGCTGTTACTTTCTTTGTAGATTTCTTTGAATGCCTCCTATTCATTGTCCGCAAACTTTTTGTCCGTAATCCCATGCTTTTATCTATGGATAATTTTTGTTTAATATTTCCTTTGATATTTCTCACTAAATTCCGTACTTGAAATTGGAACAATATATAACAAATTTTTTTCAACAAAATCTTTATAGGCAAAATACTAATTTTTATGGCCTAGTTTAATGGAGAAAGTGTAAGTAGAACACTAATTAAACAGCTGAAACGCTCAATCTTTCAATTAATTCTTATAAAAATAAATTAAATTCAAGCATAATGAGCTAAATTTATATTTTTTACTTTTTTAATTGGAACAGATTTTTGTTACTAATAAAAGGGGGAGTAAGTTTCTCAAAAATGAATAGTCAGGATTTTCGTCAAATTTAAGCGCCTTTACATAATCAAGCATATCTTTGACTTCTCCTGGACAATCCTTGCAAATATCACTTGTAGGCATATTTTCTTTCATCTGGCATACTCTTTGGAACATTTCTACTTTGGTTTTGCAATTCAATTTTTGCCAAGGAAGCTTGCCTTTTATGAGGTATATCATAAGATATACGAAAGATTCCAAATCGTCCCTTCTGGACTGTTCTATTCCATGGTGAGTGTTTATAGATAAAAATCTAAGAGTTCCCATAACATTCAACCCATCCTTATAAGCTATATGCTTCTGATAACTATTAATGTACTTTTTTGCTAGACCAAAGTCTATCATATAGACTCGTGACGTATTTTCCTTGGCGCCCATCATAAAATTCTCTGGCTTAATATCCCTATGAATATAGCCACATTTATGTACATGTTCCAACCTATGCAAAATTTGGGAACTAATTTCCACAGCGGACTCTAACTCCCTCCGTTAGCGAACAAAATCATTGAAAAAATCCTTATTTTTGCTCAAAAACCCCTCCGTTAGCGAACAAAACCATTGAAAAAATCCTTATTTTTGCTCAAAAACCCACCTCCGTAAGCGATCAATAATTTTTAATGAAAAAATTTTATATATAAGTGAAATTGCTATAACAAAAATCTCTTGATGATTCTGTTTAAATTTAAACAGCTTGCATTTTAAAACCTAAATTTGACATATAAAATTAAAAAATATTAATCCTGCTTCGTGGGAGCAAAATGTTTTATTCATTCATGGAGGGGTTAAGGAAAATTTTCTACTGTTTTGGACGATATTTTCTAAATTACTACCTAAGTTTTCCATAACGAGAATTTTATATGTATTTTGAAACCCATTCCAAATCACTGATGGGATCCCTTTGCCTGCGCAATCACGTAAGGCTTCAATTTCATTTTCAAGCTGAGCATGCTCACAGAACAGAGGCTCAAGCTTTATTGCGACTTCTTCTTGGGTATCTTTGGAAACTCCTAAATAAACCAGTCCAAATGAGCCACTCCCGAGGTGTCTTATCATGTTATAGGTATCGTTTACACAAAAAAGGTTATTCATATAATCAATGTCACTATTTATTTCGTCACGCTAAATGTGGAAGTTCGGTTAGGCATATAGAAATTGCCCCACACGGGAATCGAACCCACGTGTGGGGCCATTTTTGGTACGTGTAAGTCGATGTTTTACACATACCAAAAATGGCCCCACACGTGGGTTCAATTCCCGTGTGGGGCGGTTTTTTGAATTGCCCGAGGATGGCGCAAAATAGCGCCATCCTCCGGCAATTTCTATAATTTAGCCCGATAATAAACTGTAGTATATTTTTTATAAAAAACAAAAGGCTATAGAATATTTTTTATAGGATTTTTCCATGCTCCCATGGAAGTTCAAGCTCCAGTAGAATTTTAAAATGGATAATTATTCGCTTATAATAGAAAGGGTCCTTTTTAATTGTGAACTTTGTAGAGAGGAAATCGAAAATGAATATTTAGAATATTTTAAAATCCATTTAAATGCTTGGTTTGGAGGAAAGATTATCGTAAGAATTATTTTAAAAAATAAAAAATATATAAATAAGTTTCAGTGAATTTTATATATATTTTTCGATTTTTTTGAATTTTTTGGTCAGAATTTATTTAATCTAGCTGATTGTTGCATTTTAAACAGATCCAGAACAGCGTTCAGTAAATATAATAAATTTAAATAATTGGTTTAATGTGGTTTTCTTATAAAATATTCTTAAATTCAGTAAAAACAGTATAAAATAAAATAATAAAAATCTCTCTTAAAATTTAATATTTAATTAACATTTAAAAATTTCAGTAGGACTCAGGTCTTACATCTGACCTCAGAGGGAGAAGTTCACGATTTTTTGAGATTTTCAGCTCAAGAGAGTAGTAGGTCTACACTGAGTCTTATAGCCCTAAGTGGCTTGGGGACAGAAACAAGTCTACGGTTAGGCTGACCCACCTATCTTTATTCAGAGCTGTAGTTCAAGCTGAGGCCAAGAAGTGCAGGACTTGAAGAGTTATCTTAAACTTAAACTTAAATATTTAATTTCGTTATTATATCAGCTTCACTGTAATGCTTTTAAACCTTCATAACTAATTTCAAGATGGGATGCTCTATGTCTAGTATTGTATTCCAACCTCCCCCTCCCAAAGTCCGCCAGCTTTGTTCCAGTCTTTGCCTCAAAACTGCAGACGGCAATATGATCCCAGCAAAATTTTTTAACTTCAATCGCAAATACACTATTCTCATGTCCCATGGCAATGCAGAAGATATCACCAGAGTTGAAAGCTGGGTTCAGCGAGTGTTTGTTCATAAAATAAAAGCAAATGTGATGCTTTATGAGTATACAGGCTATTCTGATACCTCAATAGAGCCTAGTGAAAAATACGTTTATTCAGACTGTGAAGCTGCCTTATGATTTCTTACTGAAATTCTAAAAATCCCCATAAACAGAATTGTTTTATACGGAAGGTCGCTAGGGTCAGGTCCAAGCTGCTATTTAGCTGAAAAATATCCAGAACTAGGAGGCCTAATCCTTCAGACTCCTCTCAGCTCAATTTATCGAGTAATTTTAGAATTTCGATTTACACTGCCTGGAGATATGTTTGCCAATATCGACAGAATGAAAAATATTACTATTCCTTTGCTTATCATACATGGAACCCGAGACGAAATTGTTCCTATGCAGCATGCCAAGGAGCTCTATAAAATCGCCAAAAGTCAAAAAAAGCAAACTTATTATATAGAAGGAGCTGGGCACAACAACATAGAATCTGTTGCAGGGCAGCCTTTGTTTGATACAATGCAAAGTTTTATTGATAGTTTAGATTGCTAATTATAATTTAAATGTCTGAATTAAGCTCTGAAGATAAAAATAAAGACTCGTTCACCAAGGCAAACCAGTATTATTTATCCCAAATCAACCAAATGGAAATTAAAATCAGCGAATTAAAAGCCCATTTAAGTGCAAAAGATTCAGAAATCAGCTACCTCAACGATAGGATTTCTCTGATTGAAAATAACGAAAGCTTAGGAAACCGCAGTGAAAATTTGGAAAAATCGACAGAGTTAAGTGAAGTCGAGCCAAAAATTATTGGCTCTTTTAGCTCTATAAGAAATGCAAATGAGGATATTACTAGTATAAAGCTACAGTTAGATCATGCTATAAGTGTGAAAAAAGAATATGAAGAAAAGTACAGGAAAGCTTTAAGCTCAAGATTTGCTAATAAAAACCCAAAAGAGCTGGAGGAAGAGCTGTATAGCCTAATAGAAGAAAATCTTAAACTGATGAAATCCAATGAAAAACTCAAACTTGAGCTGGAAACTGAAAAGTTAAACAGCGAGCTAAAGCGGAAAGTACTTGAAGATACCATCATTGAAAAAAATGAATTTATTTCTCATATAAATGACCAATATGAAAAATCAATAACCCAGCTTCACAAAGAGATAAAAGCACTAAAGGAAAAACCAAAAATAACGAATTCTCATCTGTCTTCAATGCTTTCTACCCCTCGAGAAGAAGCCAAAGTCCAAAGCTTTTCTCCTTTAAACAGCACAAAATTTGGATATTTAGACAGTTCTTCGTTGGTTAGCACAGAATTTAATACAGACTGCACACAAACGCCTGTAAAATCTATAACACCACTAGGAAATGCTTCAATAAGCAGCGAGTCGCTAAGAGGCAGATCTTATAGTGCAAAAAATGATAAAAATAAGCAAAAAATAGCAAGGCTAAGTGAGGAGCCTTGTAAGAAGCTTAGGCTGAAATTTTTAAATGAAGCTTTAACTGTAAAACAAGGCCACCATGTGGACTATTGCCCCAGTTTTTTGAGGACCAAGAAATTTAGCGGGGCGAATAATCTTGAAAGTTCTGTCAAAATTGGAAATCTAGGACTTTCTAACAGTTTTTATGTGAATTTCAGCAAGAGGTAATTAACTAATTAATTTTGCATTAGCTTTATAGCTTCTTTTATAGTGATGATCTCTTCCCCAGGCCTTGTCAATAAAGCTAGTGACGTCTTTGGAAGCTTAAAACGAATTTTAAACTGATTTAGCTCTGTCGATTTAAATCTTTTGTTTTTTATGTCAAAATTACTGTGCTTTCTTTTCGAATTTTCATTATTTTCTTCGTTTTTTGCATATCCAAAAGTCAGAGCTGCCGATCTTTTAAATTTTTTATTTTTTCTCAATGGCTCTTCTAAATGATAATAATTCAGCCTAAAATCAGTTATAATTTCTTTCCCTGTAAAAAAATTTTCAGCCCAATTGGCATTTCTTTTCATTTTAAATTTATTTGGAGTGTTATTTTAAAATGGAATCTGCTGGTGATCGAATTCCTTTGCTTACAGTAAATGCAGGGCCTAGGGATCCGAATTGGGCAGACAGATTAAGAGAGGAATATGCAGCTTTAATTAGGTATATAGAAATGAGCCAAGCAGAAGATAATGATTGGTTTCTTATAGAGCCAGATGATTCAGGGATCCACTGAAGAGGAAAATGCTGGTATATTCATGAGCTGGTAAAATATGAATTCAATTTAGAATTCGAAATCCCTGCAACTTATCCAGCTACTCCAATTGAGCTTGTTTTACCTGAACTTGATGGAAAAACACACAAAATGTACAGGGGTGGGAAAATCTGCCTAGATATACATTTTGCACCATTATGGTCAAGAAAGCAGCCTAGCTATGGCATTGCCCATGCTTTATGCTTAGCATTAGGCCCTTGGCTGGCTGCTGAAATACCAGTGTTAATCGATCAAGGAGTTATTACTGCTAATTCTTAATAAATTGGCGTTTAACTATTTTACTTTTTAAGTTTAATTAGTCTGGCTCCAATAGTCTTATACATTCCTAGAGATTTTTTTTCTAATAAATTTGTATCCATAGTTTCTAATTTTTTATCTAAAATTGGCTCAAATTCTTCCCAAAATTTTTGGTCCCAGTAAAAATTTTGCGTCCAAAACATCGCCATCATCATTGCAGATTTCGCGTGCATATCATTTATTTTCTTAAGGGTTAATCTTTTAAGCCATGGCAGTCAATCTCTAGTGCAGAATTGATTAAGGGAAGTAATAATGACTGCGAGCTGTTGTCCATTAGCTTTTTCTAGGTTTTCTTCAGTTATGTGCTTAAATAGTGGCTGCATATCAAAACCTAGCTTTTTGTAGCAATGAAAAATAGATGATAAATCTCACAGGTTTTCTCCTAGATTTTCCCTACTTTCTATTTCAGTTTTCAATATATCCCATGATTTTGGAGAAATAATGCTAAGGGGACAATTGATTAATTCGTGAAATAAATTGCTCAAAGATCGAGTGGCTAAAACACTATGATAATTTTCCATCAAAAAATCAAGCGCTTTTGTAATAGCTTTGTGCTCAAAATAAGTTAAAGCATATGCAGTAAATATCTTTGTCACGTCAATTCCTGGATTTTTTAATTGAATCTTTTCGATATTTTCAGCAATTTTTATATAAAATTCATCATTCCGGTAATTTTGTTTTGCCATTTGCCATAAAACTTCAGGAACCTTTGAGCTTTTAACTACCGCTTCATAGCATTTAGGAATTTCACTTAGAAATAATTCTATGATAGGATGATCTTTGAATCTCGATAGATAAACAAATGCTTGTATTAGATCCATTTGATCATATGTCTTAGCCTTAATTATTTTTGTAATATAATCACATATTAAGCTGTCGTTAGAATTCTGTATGAGAAAATTAGTAGCTGCTGATAGTGAATATTTGCAGTAATACCCTTTTTCAGAAAGCTTCACAAATTGTCACCTAAGACTGCTGATTAAATTGTTGTCATTAATTCCTGATTTCCCGTATTCAATAATAAAACCACTTATAGATTGCATACTAACCTTTGACAGATTTTTCAATATAAAATGTTTTTGGCTCTTGAATATTTCAGCTTTTTCATTATCTGGAGAATGGATAATTAAATGCTGCACTTCATATAGCAATAAATCAGGTGAATTTGTGGCGATTTTTTGCTTTATTTTCTCGGTTTCGGATGTGCCGAATAAATTTTTCTTAGTAAACGATAAAAATTGTTTGCTAGCTATAGACCTTCAGAAAACATTTTTTACCAAAAACATTTATTATTATTATTATTTTATATATTAAACAAAACTATTGAAAAATTAATAAATTAGCCAAAATTTAAAAAATAATTGTAATCTGAGGAGCTTAATAAATTTAGCTAAATAGTCATAAAATAACACAAATGAAAATATTTTCGTTTAAATTATGAACTTTCTGCAATCTATTCGTACATTTCTTACATTATCTCCTATGGCTAAAGAATTCGTCCCAACTCGAGGAATTTGTGGTCTGGTAATTGGCTTTAAGTTGAATTGTCTTGGGATCAGTTCCTCTTCAAAGAAAATTTTAGGAACTTCTACTACTGACTCGGAGTAGCATTCAGGCTCTTTTTCTTGGGGAATATTCATCTCTTCTAAGTCTTTTCTAGTTTGCTCTAGCAGCTTCGCTAATTCTCTCCTCCTTTAGTGAGCAAGCACAATTTTGCTCGATTACATAGTGATTAAAATTTTAGCTCAAAATTATAATTTTTTCCTATTTTATATTTAAATCAAAAAATAAAAAGAATTAGCTAAAAGTTATGATATTTACAATTTTTATATATAAAAAATATTTTATACAAAGTAAAAACTTTTGTTCGCTTGATTAATTTTCCCAAAAAGGCAAACTTTTACAATGATTTTGCTAGCGGGTAAGTTTTCAGCAGAGTCTAGAGTATTTTCTTCGATTTCTTGTAAAGGCTTTTGAAACTCCCCTGGGTCATAAAATAATGCATCAGGCTCATATACGATTTTATCTTCATTTTGCTGATAAGAAGGCATATATTTGTTGTCAATTTGAAAATTACCTATAGGTTTGCAATCACTAATAGGCTGATAATTGTTAATAGACTGAGGATTGCACTTAGTCTGATAATTACCAATACTTTGATAATTTCCTTCAAGCTGGTAATTGCCTATTGTCTGATAATCAAAATTTTGATGGTTAAAAGACACAGGCTGTTCTGTATAATGGTAGTTATTGACTGGATTATCTTCTAAAATGCTTACACAGCTTTGAGAATCGTCTGGAGTGTAGCAGAATATTGAAGCATCTGATAATTCTTCTTCATGATAAGTATTATATTTATGCATAGGAGTGCTTCCTATGAATGAAGCTTCAGATAATTGTTTTTCATGATAAGTATTGCATTTATTATATGCAGAGCCTTCTTCCTGCGTCATTGCAGATTCTAAGTCATTCATTGCTTTTTCTAGCTTCCCCTTATATTCTTATTTTATTTTAAAAGCGAAATTTTGCATTAAAATAAATAAATAATTATTTTAGAGTAAGTTACTAAGGCTTTTAAATTGCTCTTCAATTGGCTTTGTCATTCGAATGACTGCACAGCGATTAGAAGGTGTTAAAGACACTTTCGCTTCTTGCATAGATGGGCGTGGCTTAGCTGAAGATGGACGATTATTTGAGTTTTTAGGGTCAACTGCAATTCTTGATGCATTTGATGTGTACTTTTTAGGAGGTGGAGCAACTATTTCTTTAAGCTTTTCTGGAATTTTGCCATTTTTGAGCATTTCTTGTTGTGCTTGCCATTCTTGGCGAGCACTTTCTTTGTTTTTAGATACTAGGGAAGCTTTTCGTTGCAGCTGTTCAGCATAGGTTAAACGATGCTGTGCTCTATCACTTACTCTTTCAATATATATTTTAGACCACTTTTTTATTATTATATTTAATTTTCATACCGTAATTATTTTTTATTGTAATATTTCTATCATATTTTATATTTAATCAATCAAATTGTTTTAACGAACTTCTGCTTATACCCATAAAAATTAACCTGGCAAATAAAAATAAGTTTTTTAATAATCCTTTATTAACGGCCTTCCTTTATTTTTCTAAAGCGATAGTGAATCATCCCATTGTGGCCGCCTTCTCATATTTAAAAGTCAAATTTTATATGAAATTTCCATCGAACTCTTTAACAAAAGACTTAACTCCTGCTCAAAGCTCTAATTAGTCACGAATATTAAAGAAATCCCAAAATGGGCGGTACAATATAAAAAGAAAATGCCGCATTATCCTAACCAGATCGAATACTCTGAAAAGTACAGTGATGATGTCTATGAGTACAGACATGTCCATCTGCCCAAATCCCTCTACAAAAAGATGCCCAGGAACAGGCTTTTAACTGAAACTGAATGAAGAGAGCTCGGAATCCAACAAAGTAGAGGCTGAACTCACTATGAAATTCATAGGCCAGAGCCTCATATCATGCTGTTCAGAAGACCAATAGGAACAGATCCCCAAACAGGGCTTGTTCCACAAAATTTTAGTTTGAGACAGCTAAGAAATGAGTGTAATTAATATGGTTGTTTAATATAAATTAGAAATTAATATACTAATGGTATTAACTTATGGAATTTTTTGATAAGCCAAGATACCACATTAATTTACAAATTCAGCTTTTTCATGAGCCTAAAAACCGAATTCATATGAAAGCGGTCCTTAATTGAAATTCTAGCTTATTTCTTTTGCATTATCCTATTATATAATTATAGAAAAATAATTAAAATTGTTTTTCGCTAATTATATTTTATTGCTTTTAATAGCTGTTTTTATTAATAATGCTGCTTATATTTTATATAACATTTATATATTAAAATAATTCACAAGCACATTATTTTTTAATACAAAACTTTCTGATCAGATTTATTAATTAGCCTTTATTAATGCTTATCTTTCTGCTGCGATTTCTTTTTTCCCAATCCTCAAACGTAAATGACACTTTTCCTTATAGCTGCTTTGGAGATGGCTCCTTTTGTTCTTACTATTACCTAGGTGATGGCATCTGTGACCCTCTCTGTATGTCAGCCCCTTGCAACTACGATTCTTACGATATGTCCACTTTAACCTACAAAGAAAGATTTTCCAAATCAGACTGCTTTGGCTTCTGCGTCGAAAATGGTTGCAACACCACTGAACTTTCCAATGGAATCTGCGAAAATAACAACTGTAACACTGCTGAATGTGGCTGAGAATTAGGCGACTGTGGTTTTTGCAATCAAAATTGCTATGAAAATATGCTAGGCAATGGAGTTTGTGATGAAGAATGCAATACTAGTGCTTGCATGTATGATAATAATGACTGTGGATGATGTGCTGAAAGCTGTTTTAAAGAAGATTTATATGGAAATTTAACGGAATGTAAAAAGGAATGTGATAATAAAGAATGCTTATATGGGAATTATAAATGCACAGATAAATTTTGTGCCCCAGATTGCCCGCCTGACTACTTAAATGATACTGTTTGTGATAAAGCCTGCAATAATGAAGAATGTAATTGAGATAATGGAGACTGCTTATGTGCCCCAAACTGTACAGAAACTGTATTAAATGAGGCAGATTGTAAGAAAAATGACCCTTGTGATAATAAAAATTGTGACTTTAAAAATAAAATCTGTGGGGAATGCGCCAGTGGGTGTTTTAATAGTATGCTTGGCGACGGGACTTGTGATGAAAAATGCAATAATTTTGACTGTGAGTATGATTATGGAGACTGTGGGTGTGCCCCAGGGTGCAGCTCTTATTATAATTTTACAATGCAGGATTGAGTATGAGACAAATCTGACCCATGCAAAGAAAGCTGCCTTGTACCAAGCTGCTTATATAATTATGGAGTCTGCAATGACGATTTTTATATCCAAAGATCAATTATTTACCAAGTTATAACAAATAACCAGTCAGCTTATTTTCAGAATTCGATCTGTGTGGAAAAAAATGAAAAATGCACTGAAGATATAATGAGAAAGGAAAATAAAGATAAAAAATGTGGCCAAAATCAGGAATGTGGTATTAAGGAGTGCGGATTTTGTATGGGGTATTTAACTGATAAAGATACGTGCTCTAATGGATGCTTGAGGTGTGGAGATGATATAAATCAATGCATTCAGTGTAATGGGCTGCAGGTTTTTGCGAATTGTATAGCGAATATATCATGTCCTCCTGGGTTTATGAAATATGAAAATTTTACTGCTTGGGATATGTGCTTACCAGTACCGAAAAACAATAGCCAAAGACTTTTTGAAAATATTTGAGTGAGAGCTCCTAATCAAAATGAGACTGATAAAATAGGAATTGGGACTGAAAAAGATCCTTATAACTCTCTTTCATATGCGTTTATGCATGTTTCTCAAAAATATACAAAAATAAATCTCTTCAACGGTAGCCATCCTTATTTAAGACCCAGCTACCAAAACCCCCTTGCACAAAGCCCTTATGACCCTTTAATGAGAAGCATTGACCTAAACTGGGAACAAATCATCATTCAAAGCGTTGATAAGAGCAACCCAGCAATAATTTCTTTTGAAGACCCCCGCATGATGATCCATTCCAACGCCAAAAAATTAGTCATCAGCGACATCTATTTATCAGGCATAGAATCATTAAAGCCAAACTGTACCTTCAGCAACTGCACTTATTGCCCCTATCTTTTTACACCTGATGGAAAATGATATAGAGACGACCAGTATTATATAGTCAAAAACATTACAGATTTTCCTCAAAATTGCACAGATAATTATGATTTAATTATTATCCAAGTCGACAGTGGCTCATCATTGGAAATTTCCAGTTCATTTATTATGTATTTTCAAGAGCAGTACAAAGCTTTTATTATGTCAATGGGGGCTGTCAACCTTACTAACGTTACTTTTTATAGGATGCAGGCTAGTCCTTTACCTCAGTCAGCAATTATTGTGATGAACTGTCTTACAAATTGTAAAGGAGTGTCTTTTAATTTTAATACTGGCGGCGTTTACTATATAAACTGAGGCTACGAGTACCGAGATGACTTACTCCCCCTCTCTGTGAGCGACCAAAAAAATTTTGTTCGCTCATAAAGGGGGTTAATTTTTTTTTTAAAACAATTATATATAAAAAATTTTATTGAAATTGTTTTTTTCTAAATTTAAAAAAATACTAATACGTAAAAATTTGGGAAGCAAATATTAAATTTAATTTGTAAAGTTTATATTTTATAACGTAATTTGTTTAAAATAAATAGAATTAGCTCGAGATTTCATTATACTAATTATCACTTATATATCAAAATGTTTTTCCATGACAAATTTTTCTATTAAAAAAAATTTTTGTTCGCTCATGGATGGTGGGCTTTTGGGCAAAAAATAAGGATTTTTCTAACGGTTTTGTTCATTCACGGAGGGGGGGAAGTTAGAACAAAGCGGATTTTTCTATTCAAATGGCATAGATAGTGTCATTATATATAATGTCACTTTTGAGTACAACATGGCTATCAGTGGGAATTCCGCTAACAATTTCAATAAATTTATAGAAATTATCAACTCTATAGGAGTTGTTACCATTGATAACTGCTGATTTGGCATAAATCTGGTGAATTATTTAATTTACATAGACTCCCAATCTTTAGCATACACAGACTATGATCTTGATAGAACCTACACAGCCCGTGTATATGACCAAATCGCTTTTTCACTTACAAATACCCAAATTCTTTCTATTTACAGCCGTGTCTTCACACGACGACACTATTTCATAACGACTATTTTTTTTTGGCCCATTTTTTTTCCACCTATTTTTTTAGCCTATTTTTTTTAGCCTCTTTTTTTTTGGCCTATTTTTTTTGGCCTATTTTTTTTTGGTCTATTTTTTTTTGGCCTATTTTTTTTGGCCTATTTTTTTTTGCCTATTTTTTTTTGGCCTATTTTTTTTTTGGCCTATTTTCTTTGACTTTTTTTGGGCCACTTTTTAGCTATTTTTTACTAATATCTAAGCCTAATTCCATACTAATGATTTTAATATAATTTTTAATGTATTTTAAACGATTTTATCAACAAAAAATGCACCTTTAACAGATCTCTTACTCCATGAATACTAATTCATTGCTTTTTAATTTTCGAGAATTTTAGATTTAATTAGGAGTTTTCCACTTAATTTACTCAATATTAATCTCGTAAGGAAATGTATCCGTTACTCAATATTATTTAGTTCTCTTAGCAGCTTCATGAATGAGCCTCGGCAGAAAAATAGGCCAAAAAAATTAGGCCAAAAAAAAATATGCAAAAAATTAGGAAAAAAAAAATAGGCCAAAAATAAATAGATGAAAAAACAACAGGCCAAAAAAAAATAGGCCAAAAAAAAATAGGCAACAAAAAAAAATAGGCCAAAAAAAAATAGGCCAAAAAAAAAATAGTCGATATGAAATATTCGTCTTGTGAAGTAATCATTTACAGCTATTTAACACTCATAACTCATCTAATGGGGCATGTTACCCAAAATATCAACATAGACACCGTCAATTTCTCCAACATCACAGCAGGAGGAAGCGGACTTTTGTATATTGACAGTCAAAATAAACTGACAAAATCTGAATATGACGGAGACATTAGTTATGTCACAAGTGGAGGGGTAAGAGTATCAGTTATAATAAACAAAAGATCAATAAATGTGACTAACGTGAATATCAATTATGTGTATAGTGGATATTATTTGATGCATATAGGACAGATGCCGAATGTTAAAATATCAAATTTAAACGTGGAGAATTCAGGTGACGGCTATAAACTAGCACCAAATGATCAGGTAATTGTGCAGATAATTAATGATCCTTATTCTTATATAATATATCCTTTATTTTACTATCAAATTGCAGACGCAAGCTGCACCTATGGGATCCATATTACTCAGCCTTATAGAATTTCAATAACTGACACTTATATACGAAATAGTACCTGCAAAGCTAATTCGGGAGGTATTTATATATCTGATGGAGATGGGGATTCTTACTTGAACCGCACAACAGTTTATGATATGAGTAATAATATTTCCTCTGGAGCTGCTATAGAAATGAAAAATATAGCTGGAACTATGGAAATTTATTCACTTTATTTTTCAGAAATTGCATATCCGAGTGGAGGAGGACTAAGAGTTTCTGACTCTAACAATTTTACAATAAATAACATTTATGCCCTTAATGTTCTTACTGGATTTGAAGGGACTTTAAATTTCAATAGAATCATATATCTAAATATAACAGATTTTACATGTGAAAACTGCGAATCATTCTGTGGAAATGGTGGCGCTTTAGGATATTCCCCTAAATTCTCTAATCTTGCTTATCCTGCATTACAGCTGACCAAATCTTCTTTTACCAATTGCACTGCGCTACGTGGTGTAGGTGGATCAATTTATATAGAAAGTGTCAGCTGAAATGTAGCTATTGACATCTTTATTTCTGATATCTCTATAGACTCATGCCGAAGTAGCAACGGAGCAGGAATTTATATATCAAACAGAATTTCTTTTCATAATGCGACTATAAAAAATATCAATATTACCAGCTCGTGGTCAGAAAATGGAGCTGTGCTATTCGATGGGCATTATAATGGGTTTCTTTTAATCGATAATTATCAAGCAAAACAAAATGAAGGGCTTTACTGTGGGTTTCAAGGCCTTTATTCATCAGATGGATTTATATTAGGAATTTTTAATACGTCTTTTGATAATTGCACTTGTGATGGGATGACGATGTATATAAGTTCATGGACTTGGGGCACCACAATTTGAATAGAAAACACTAATTTTACTCAGACTTCTCCTGTAAGTCTTTATGTCTCCAAATCATTTGTAATTGGAAATAATTTATACTTATGTATAATAATTTTTCATTAGTTAATATTAGGAGAAATTTGTATGTACTAAAGGTTTTTTATATATATTTTTATAAAAATTATAACTCATTGAAAGTAACTGACTACGGCCAAGCAACAATAACCAATGCGAAATTTCTAAATAATGAAGGAACCTCTGCATATATCACATTTGCAAGTACCCTTGCATGTACAAACTGCCAATTTCTGTCAAATTCTATTGATTCTACAATTGTCGTTGACCAGCAGTCATCAATAACTATACAAAATTCTTTAATTGTAGGAAATAACGTACTCTCGCCAGGCTCAGTTGCAAACATTCAAGGTTCACAGCAGGTGAGCACGATTTATAATACTACAATTATGAATAATTATTCACAATTAGGAGCAAATATTGAAGTAATAAATTCGATTTTGAATATTATTTATTGCTATTTTTCAGAAAATTTAAGCGGCTCTGTAACTCCTGGAATTAATGCAAATGCAGCTAGAATATGCTTTTTGCCTTAATTTTTAGATCATTTTAAGAAAAACCATTCTGTTTTTTTATAAAAAATAAGACAATTATATGCCAGATAAGGAAATAAGTAATTTTATAAGATATATATATAAATACAACCTTGCTCGAAAACCAATATGGAACGATGGGTTCTTTTCTCTATTTAAGCACTGTCAGTGAAGCTACAATTGAAAATTCTGTGATGCGAAATGGAACTTCTGAACAAGGAGGAGCTATTTTAATCTTACTGAGTTCTTTAAATATTACAAATTCGCTATTTTCAGACAACTTATCTCAGCAAGGAGGAGTAATCAATGGTATAACTGGGGCTAACATAGTTATAAATGGCTCAGAGTTTAAAAATTCCTTTGCTTTTTCATCAGGCGGCATAATTTATTCCAATTCGGGGACCTTGCTCCTCCCCTTAGCATTGGAAAAAATCTATCACAAATTAAATGAGAAAAAAATGTTAAATTAATAATTTCTATTAAATTATACAAGAATCTTGATATAAAATTAAAATAATTATCTTCCTCTGTTCCAAAAAAAATTGTTACCTTACAGAGGAGAATTTAGATATTTCTAATAGTTTATTCGACACTTTTAATGCTACAGGAATTTATGCTATTGGCTTATCAAGTATCAATATAAGCAATACTTTATTTAAATATGGCCTTGGCATTTATGGAGGTGTATTATATTCAACCAGCACCTTATCATGCAATATGAATACAGTTGTATTTGAAAATAATACAGCATCAATTGCTGGGGCAGCTATTTTTTTCGAAAGACAAGATGGAATTCAAGGAATTGTCCCTTATAATCTTACCAATACTTATTTTTTGAATAATTCAGCTTATTACGGTGGAGCAATTTACTCAGAAAGTGTTTCAATTAATTTTAATAAAAGTATATTTCAAGAAAATTATGCAAATTCAAGCGGAGGGGCTGTATATTTAAGAAGCACATTAGGCGGAACGTATCAGTTTCAAGAAGGAAACATGTTTTATTCAAATCTAGCTGGAGTAGAGGGTGGAGCAATAAAATGGGATGGGACAAGGCCTGTAATAGATTCGAGCAATATTTGATATAATAATTCTGCTGAATATGGGAATGATATTGCAAGCTACCCTGTCACTATGCAAATGGCGACTCCTTTTTCAGGAAGATATCTTGCAGATAAATATATAGATGGAATTCCGATTGTAGGGACTATTATAAATGTGGCCCCAGGGCAGGTGTTCCCGCAGTCACTTAAAATTGAGCTAAGAGATCAGTATGGCAATCTAGTAACTACTGATAATACGAGCAGTGGTAATTTAAAGGCATATAATTCCACAACTGCTATTTCCGGCACCACAGAAACAATAGCGCAGCATGGTATTTTTAACTTTTCAAATTTCATTATTTCCGAAACCCCAGGATCCATCGCCATGATAGAAATCTCAACCTCTTCAATTGACCCGGAAAAGCAGATATCCTCCAATGACTTCACAAATTATTACAGCACAGTCATATTACAAATTATGCTGAGAAATTGCACATCAGGAGAATTCGATACAGGATCTACCTGCCAAAAATGTGAAAAAGGAAAATACAGCTTAAATCCTAGCACTGAATGTAAAGCTTGTCCTGATGGAGCCATTTGTCCTGGAGGGTCTGTTTTATTAATGAAGCCTGGATATTGGAGATCGTCCGGGAAATCTGATACAATTTATAATTGTCCTAATAATAACGCATGTGCAGGGTCAGCTGATAATAATGATCTGACAGGATCATGCGAAACAGGCTATTATGGGCACATGTGCCAAGCTTGTGATAAAGGCTACTCTGGGACTTCAAATAATATCTGTATTAAATGTCCTGGGGAAGCTGGAAATATAATTGTTCTTATTTTAATTGGAACTGTTTTACTTTTAGCATGTGCAGTTATCGTAAAATCTACTTTGGAATCAGCATATCAGCCACAAAATGTTTATTCGGTGTATTTAAAAATATTCACAAATTATGTCCAGCTTGTGTTTTTAACGACCCAGTTTAATTTACAGTGGCCTGATTATGTTACTGAGCTTTTTAACATACAATCAAACACTGCTACTATATCAAGCCAAATTTTTTCTCCTGAGTGTTTTTTAAGACAGTATGGGGCATCATTAGAAAATTCGTATTACCAGAGAATCATTATGCTGGCTATTTTACCTATAATACTATGGACAGGAGCATTTTTTATATGGCTAGGAATTGCTTATAAAACGAAAAGATGGAATGTATTGAAAAGAGAGCTCATAGCAAGTATGGTAGTTTTGCTGTTCATGGTCCATCCAAATATTATTGTAGCTATGTTTGGGATGTTTTCTTGTGAATATATTGATGGGCTAGGGTTCTGGCTCCAACAAAACTTAGAAATTAAATGCTGGGAAGGCAAGCACTTATATTATTCGCTTTTAGTCGGCTTGCCGAGCATAATTGTTTGGGGACTCACCATGCCTGCAATTGTGCTATTAATTATGTTCAAAAGTAGAAAAAAACTGTCGAAGCGTAAAAATATGCTTAAATTTGGATTTTTATTTATAGGCTATAGAAGAAATAGGTATTACTGAGAATTTTTGATTTTATATAGAAAAATCACAATAATTTGTTTAGCAGTTTTTATATTTTCCAAACAAATTCAAGCTCTTACAGTTTTATTTATTTTATTGATCTCTTTTGCAGCACAGTCTAATCAGCGTCCTTATACTTTAAGCCATCTAAATAATATGGAAACCCAAGCTGTTTTAATAGCAACTTTTACAATTTATTGCGGACTTTATTATTTAACAGATGATATTGAAGAGGTTTCACGAGTGCTGCTATTTGTTTTTATTATCATAGGAAATTTATATTTTATTTTATATTGGCTTTACTATATGACAAAAGCTGCGATTGATATTATTGTTAAATCTGTGCCATATTTAAGAATTAAATACAGAAAAGATGAGCTCCCGCAAAATATCCTGCCAAATGAAGCATTAATAAGAGGTGCATATATCGACCCAAATGATGGAAAATTGAAATATTCACTTATCCAGCTGCCAAGTGAAAGAATCGAGTATCCAGTCGAAAGATATCCTGATATGAATTCACTATATCTTGCAGATCTTGAAAGACGGTCAGACCAAGCTAACCAGCAAGAAAGCTAGCTTTTCTCTATGAAATAATATTCTAAAAATCATAAAAATATTCTAATTTAAGCATATTATACATTTCCTTAAAGGATAGAATCCTTAGTATATTTATGCATAGGAGTACTTCCTATGAATGAAGCTTCAGATAATTGCTTTTCATGATAAGAATTGCGCTTATTATATGCAGGGCTTTCTTCCTGCGTCATTGCAGATTCTAAGTCATTCATTGCTTTTTCTAATTACTGAACAAAAAGTTTTGTAATAAAAATTTTTTATGCGGAAAAAATGTTTATATATAGCCAAAATATCACATTAATGTGCAAATTCAGCTCTTTCATGAGCCTAAAAACCGAATTCATATGAAAGCGGTCCTTATTGCAGTTCTAGCTTATTTCTTTTGCATTATCGTATTATATAATATAGAAAAATAATTAAAATTGTTTTTCGCTATTATATTTTATTGCTTTTAATTGCTATTTTCATTAATAATGCTGCTCATATTCTATATAGCATATATATATTAAAATAATTCACAAACGCATTTTTTAATACAAAACTTTCTGATCAGATTTATTAATTAGCCTTTATTAATGCTCATCTTTCTGCTGCAATTTCTTTTTTCCCAATCCGCATATGTAAATACCACTTACCCTTATAGCTGCTTTACAGATGGCTCCTTTTGTTCTTACTATAATCTAAATGACGGCATCTGTGACCCTCTCTGTATGTCAGCCCCTTGCAACTACGATTCTTACGATATGTCCACTTTAACATACGAAGAAAGATTTTCCAAATCAGACTGCTTTGACTTCTGCGTCCAAAATGGCTGCAACACCACTGAACTTTCCAATGGAATCTGCGAAAATAACAACTGTAATACTGCTGAATGTGGCTGAGAATTAGGCGACTGTGGTTTTTGCAATCAAAATTGCTTTGAAAATATGCTAGGCGATGGAGTTTGTGATGAAGAATGCAATACTCGTGCTTGCATGTATGATAATAATGACTGTGGATGATGTGCTGAAAGCTGTTTTAAGGGTGAGACGTGCAGCAGGGCTGGTGAAGCAGGAGTTGATAGAAGGCTTGGACGGGGCTGACCCGTGCCAAGATGGCTCGCCTACGTCATCAGTTTTGCCATAGGCCCTTTTGGGCTGCGGCACTAGACACCTTAAACACCAGATAATTAAGTAAGTAAGAAAGCTGTTTTTTTAAAGATGATTTATATGGAAATTCAACGGAATGCAAAAAGGAATGTGATAATAAAGAATGCCTATATGGGAACTATAAATGCACAGATAAATTTTGTGCCCCAGATTGCCCGCCTGACTACTTAAATGATACTGTTTGTGATATAGTCTGCAATAATGAAGACTGCAATTGAGATAATGGAGACTGCTTATGTTCCCCGAACTGTACTGAAACTGCATTAAATGAGATAGATTGTAAGGAAAATGACCCTTGTGATAATAAAAATTGTAATTTTAAAAATAAAATCTGTGGAGATTGTGCAAGTGGGTGTTTTAATAGTATGCTTGGCGACGGGACTTGTGATGAAAAATGCAATAATTTTGACTGTGAGTATGATTATGGAGACTGTGGGTGTGCCCCAGGGTGCAGCTCTTATTACAATTTTACAATGCAGGATTGAGTATGAGACATGTCTGACCCATGCAAAGAAAGCTGCCTTGTACCAAGCTGCTTATATAATTATGGAGTCTGCAATGACGATTTTTATATCCAAAGATCAATTATTTACCAAGTCATAACAAATAACCAGTCAGCTTATTTTCAAAATTCGACCTGTATGGAAAAAAATGAAAAATGTACTGAAGATATAATGAGAAAGGAAAATAAAGGAAAAAAATGTGGCCAAAATCAGGAATGTGATATTAAGGAGTGTGGGCTTTGTATGGGGTATTTAACTGATAAAGATACGTGTTCAAATGGATGCATGAGGTGTGGAGAAGATATAAATCAATGCATTCAGTGCAACGGGCTACAAGTTTGTGGGAATTGTATAGCTAATATATAGGAATTGCCCGAGGATGGCGCTATCTTGCGCCATCCTCGGGCAATTGAAAAAATGGCCCCACACTGGGAATTGAACCCACGTGTGGGGCCATTTTTGGTGCGTGGAAGTCGATGTTCTACACACACCAAAAATGGCCCCACACGTGGGTTCAATTCCCGGTGTGGGGCCATTTTTGAATTGCCCGAGGATGGCGCAAGATAGCGCCATCCTCGGGCAATTAGTATATCATGCCCTCCTGGGTTTATGAAATATGAAAATTTTACTGCTTGGGATTTGTGCTTACCAGTTCCTAAAAATAACAACCATAAATTTTTCGAAAATATTTGAGTGAGAGCTCCAAATAAAAATGAGACTGATAATATAGGAAGTGGGACTGAAAAAAATCCGTATAACTCTCTTTCATATGCGTTTATGCATGTTTCTCAAAAATATACAAAAATTAATCTCTTCAACGATAGCCATCCTTATTTAAGACCTAGCTACCAAAACCCCCTTGCACAAAGCCCTTATGACCCTTTAATGAGAAGCATCAACCTAAACTGGAAACTAATCATCATTCAAAGCGCTAATAAGAACAACCCAGCAATGATTTCTTTTGAAGAACCCCGCATGATGATCCACTCCAATGCCAAAAAATTAGTCATCAGCGACATCTATAGCTCATGCACCTTAATAGATCTCTATACCCCAGCAGAATGCCCACCAGAAAAAATATGGTACAGGGCACCTGCATTATACAGTATAAGTCTGATTAGGTACCTTAAAACCATAAATGGAGACTTGTCATTTTCGTTTTTACTTTTTCAAAAAAGCTGAACTGCACAAATTAATTTTGGAAGTTAAAATGGATGGCCAATAATGATCTAAATATTTTCAGGGGCTATATTTATCAGGCCAAAAATCATTAAAGCCGAACTGCACCTTCAAAAACTGCACCTATTGCCCCTATTTTTTAACACCTGATGGAAAATGATATATGAACGACCAATATTATATAATCAAAAACATTACAGATTTTCCTCAAAATTGCACAGATAATTATGATTTAATTATTATCCAAGTCGACAGTGGCTCATCATTGGAAATTTCCAGTTCATTTATTACGAATTTTCAAGAGCAGTATAAAGCTTTTATTATGTCAATGGGGTCTGTTAACCTTACTAACGTTACTTTTTATAGGATGCAGGCTAGTCCTTTACCTCAGTCAGCAATTATTGTGATGAACTGTCTTACAAATTGTAAAGGAGTGTCTTTTAATTTTAATACTGGCAGTGTTTACTATATAAACTGAGGCTACGAGTACCGAGATGGCTTAGAACAAAGCGGATTTTTTTATTCAAATGGCATAGATAGTGTCATTATATATAATGTCACTTTTGAGTACAACATGGCAATCAGCGGGTTTTCTGCTAACAATTTCAATAAATTTATAGAAATTATCAACTCTATAGGAGTTGTTACCATTGATAACTGCTGGTTTGGCATAAATCTGGTGAATTATTTAATTTATATAGACTCCCAATCTTTAGCATACACAGACTATGATCTTGATAAAACCTACACAGCCCATGTATATGACCAAATCGCTTTTTCACTTACAAATACCCAAATTCTTTCTATTTACAGCTATTTGACACTTATAACTCATCTAATGGGACATGCTACCCAAAATATCAACATAGACACCGTCAATTTCTCCAACATCACAGCAGGAGGAAACGGGCTTTTATATATTGATAGTCAAAATAAACTGACAAAATCTGAATATGACGGAGAGGTTAGTTATGTCACAAGTGCAGGGGTAAGAGCTTCAGTTATAATAAACAAAAGATCAATAAATGTGACTAGCGTAAATATCAATTATGTGTATAGTGGATATTATTTGCTACATATAGGACAGATGCCGAATGTAAAAATATCAAATTTAAATGTGGAGAATTCAGGTGACGGCTATAAACTAGCACCAAATGATCAGGTACTTGAGCAGATAATTAATGATCCTGATTCTTATATACTACACCCTTTATTTGACTATGAAATTGCAGACGCAAGCTGTACCTATGGAATCCATATTACTCACCCTTATAGAATTTCAATAACTGACACTTATATACGAAATAGTACCTGCAAAGCTAATTCGGGAGGTATTTATATATCTGATGGAGATGGGGATTCTTACTTGAATCACACAACAGTTTATGATATGAATAATAATATTTCCTCTGGAGCTGCTATAGAAATGAAAAATATAGCTGGAACTATGGAAATTTATTCACTTTATTTTTCAGAAATCGCATATCCGAGTGGAGGAGGACTGAGGGTTTCTGATTCTAACAATTTTACAATAAATACCATTTATGCCCTTAATGTTCTTACTGGATTTGAAGGGGCTTTAAATTTCGATAGAATCATTTATCTAAATATAACAGATTTTACATGTGAAAACTGCGAAACATTCAGTGGAAATGGTGGCGCTTTAGGATATTCTCCTAAATTTTTGAATCTTGCTTATCCTGTATTACAGCTGACCAATTCTTCTTTTACCAATTGCACTGCGCTAAGTGGTGTAGGTGGAGCAATTTATATAGAAAGTGTCAGCTGAAACGTAGCTATTGACATCTTTATTTCTGATATCTCTATAGATTCATGCCGAAGTAGTAACGGAGCCGGAATTTATATATCAAACAGAATTTCTTTTCATAATGCGACTATAAAAAATATCAATATTACCAGCTCATGGTCAGAAAATGGAGCTGTGTTATTCGATGGGCATTATAATGGGTTTCTTTTAATCGATAATTATCAAGCAAAACAAAACAAAGGGATTTACTGTGGGTTTCAAGGCCTTTATTCATCAGATGGACTTATATTAGGAATTTTTAATACGTCTTTTGATAATTGCACTTGTGATGGGATGACGATGTATATAAGTTCATGGACTTTGGGCACCACAATTTGAATAGAAAACACTAATTTTACTCAGACTTATCCTGTAAGCCTTTATGTCTCAAAATCAGTTGTAATTGGAAATAATTTATATTTTTATAAAAATTATAACTCATTGAAAATAAGTGATTATGGCCAAGCAACAATAACCAATGCGACATTTCTAAATAATGAAGGAACCTCTGCATATATCACACTTTCAAGTACACTTGCATGTACAAACTGCCAATTTCTGTCAAATTCTATTGATTCTACAATTGTCGTTGATCAGCAGTCATCAATAACTATACAAGATTCTTCAATTGTAAGAAATAACGTAAGCTCGCCAGGCTCAGTGGCAAATATTCAAGGTTCACAGCAGGTGAGCACGATTTATAATACTACAATTATGAATAATTATTCACAATTAGGAGCAAATATTGAAGTAATTAACTCGATTTTGAATATTATTTATTGCTATTTTTCAGAAAATTTAAGCGGCTCTGTAATTCCTGGAATTAATGCAAATGCAGCTAAAATATATATAAATGCAACCTTGTTTGAAAACCAATATGGAACGATGGGTTCTTTTCTCTATTTAAGCACTGTCAGTGAAGCTACAATTGAAAATTCTGAGATGCGAAATGGAACTTCTGAACAAGGAGGAGCTATTTTAATCTTACTGAGTTCTTTAAATATTACAAATTCGCTATTTTCAGACAACTTATCTCAGCAAGGAGGAGTAATCAATGGTATAACTGGGGCTAGCATAGTTATAAAAGGCTCAGAATTTAATAATTCCTTTGCTCTTTTATCAGGCGGCATAATTTATTCCAATTCGGGGACCTTAGATATTTCTCATAGTTCATTCGAAACTTTTAATGCTACAGGAATTTATGCTTTTGGCTTATCAAGGATTAATATAGACAATACTTTATTTAGATATGGCCTCGGAGATTATGGAGGTGTATTATATTCAACCAACACCTTATCATGTAATATGGATACAGTTACATTTGCAAATAATACAGCATGAACTCTTGGGGCAGCTATTTTTTTCGAAAGGCAAGATCAAAATCTAGAAATTATCCCTTATAATATTACCAATACTTATTTTTTGTATAATTCAGCTTATTTCGGTGGAGCAATTTACTCAGACAGTGTTTCAATTAATTTTACTAAAAGTATATTTCTAGAAAATTATGCAAATTCAACTGGAGGGGCTGCATTTTTAAGAAACAGCTTCGGCGCAACGTATGAGATTCAAGAAGGAAACATATTTTATTCAAATATAGCTGGAATTGAGGGTGGAGCAATAAAATGGGATGGGACAAGGCCCATAATAAATTCGAGCAATATTTGGTATAATAATTTTGCTGAATATGGGAATGATATTGCAAGCTACCCTGTCACTATGCAAATGGTGACCCCTTTTCCAGGAAGATATCTTGCAGATAACTATATAGATGGAATTCCGATTGTAGGGACCATTATAAATGTAGCCCCAGGGCAAGTGTTCCCACAGCCACTTAAAATTGAACTAATAGATCAGTATGGTAATCTAGTAAATACTGATAGTACAAGTATTGGTAATTTAAAGGCCTATAATTCCACAACTGCTATTTCCGGCGTCACAGAAATAATTGCGCAGCATGGTATTTTTAACTTCTCAAATTTCATTATTTCCGAAACCCCAGGATCCATCGCCATGATAGAAATCTCGACCTCTTCAATTGACCCAGAAAAGCAGATATCCTCCAATGACTTCACAAACTATTACGGCACAGTTGTGTTACGAATTATGCTGAGAAATTGCACATCAGGAGAATATGATACAGGATCTACCTGCCAAAAATGTGAAAAAGGAAAATACAGCTTAAATCCTAGCACTGAATGTAAGGCTTGCCCTGATGGAGCCAAATGTCTTGGAGGGTCTGTTTTATTAATGAAGTCTGGATATTGGAGATCGTCAGGGAAATCAGATAAAATTTATAATTGTCCTAATAGTAACGCATGTGCAGGGTCAGCTGATAATAATGATCTGACAGGATCATGCGAAACAGTCTATTATGGGCATATGTGCCAAGCTTGTGATGAAGGCTACTCTGGGACTTCAAATAATATCTGTATTAAATGTCCTGGGGAAGCTGGAAATATAATTGTTCTTATTTTAATTGGAACTGTTTTACTTTTAGCATGTGCAGTTATCGTAAAATCTACTTTGGAATCAGCATATCAGCCACAAAATGTTTATTCGGTGTATTTAAAAATATTCACAAATTATATTCAACTTGTGTTTTTAATAACCCAGTTTAATTTAAAGTGGCCTGACTATGTTACTGAGCTTTTTAACATACAATCGAACACTGCTACTATATCAAGCCAAATTTTTTCTCCTGAGTGTTTTTTAAGACAGAATGGGGCTTCATTGGAAAATTCGTATTACCAGAGAATTATTGTGCTGGCTGTTTTACCTCTCATCCTATGAGCAGGAGCATTTTTTATATGGCTAGGAGTTGCTTATAAAACGAAAAGATGGAATGTACTAAGAAGAGAGCTCATAGCAAGTATGGTAGTTTTGCTATTCATAGTCCATCCAAATATTATTGTAGCTATGTTTGGGATGTTTTCTTGTGAACATATTGATGGGCTAGGGTTCTGGCTCCAACAAAACTTAGAAATTAAATGCTGGGAAGGCAAGCACTTATATTATGCACTTTTAATCGGCTTGCCGAGCATAATTATTTGGGGACTCACAATGCCTGCAATTGTGCTATTAATTATGTTCAAAAGTAGAAAAAAACTGTCGAAGCGTAAAAATATGCTTAAATTTGGATTTTTATTTATAGGCTATAGAAGAAATAGGTATTACTGGGAATTTTTGATTTTATATAGAAAAATCACAATAATTTGTATAGCAGTTTTTATATTTTCCAAACAAATTCAAGCTCTTACAGTTTTATTTATTTTATTGATCTCTTTTGCAGCACAGTCTAATCAGCGTCCTTATATTTTAAGCCATCTAAATAATATGGAAACCCAAGCTATTTTAATATCAACTTTTACAATTTATTGCGGACTTTATTATTTAACTGATGATATTGAAGAGATTTCTCGAGTGTTGTTATTTGTTTTTATTATCATAGGAAATTTATAGCATTTTATTTTAAATAATTTTATTTTTTATATTTTTAATAAACAAAGTATATATATATATTTAGGTATATATTTTATTTTATATTGGCTTTATTATATGACAAAAGCTGCGATTGATATTATTATTAAATCTGTCCCATATTTAAGAAATAAATACAGAAAAGATGAGCTCCCGCAAAATATCCTGCCAAATGAAGCATTAATAAGAGGTGCATATATTGACCCAAATGATGGAAAATTGAAATATTCACTTATCCAGATGCCACGTGATAAAATTGAGTTCCCAGTCGAAAGATATCCTGATATGAAATCACTATATCTTGCAGATCTTGAAAGACGGTCAGACCAAGCTAACCAGCAAGAAAGCTAGCTTTCTTTGTGAAATAATATTCTAAAATAATAAATTTATTCTAATTTAAGCATATTATACATTTCCTTCAAAATCTTCCTTATATCTTCATACGCTTTTTTAGTTAGCCAGCCCGTTCTTTTCTATATATTTTTTACTGTGCAAACTGGCGATAATGATTCTTGGTCAACCAAAATGTCTTTTATTTGGTCATTTTGAATGTCACTTACTCCCCCTATGAGCTAACAAAAATTTTATGGAATAAAATTTTTGATATATAAGCGATAATTATTATAATGGAATCTCGAATTAATTCTGTTTAATTTTAAACAAATCGCATTTTAAAAAATAAATTTTACAATTAAATTAATATGTGCTTTCCAATTTTACGAATTAGGATTTTTTTAAATTTTAAAAAAACAAAAAAATTAACCCCCTCCGTGAGCGAACGTGATTTTTTTGTTATCTAACGGAAGGGGAGAGTTAGCTGATATAGCTGTCCCTGCTGTTTGGGTAAAGTTGAAAAGGTGTGGTCATAAGGGCCTTTAGATGAAGAAGTCATGATATCTTCACGTGTGCGGAAATCAATGACTTGGAAGCAGACACTTTCAGGGTGTTCTCGAGGATTATAGCCAAATCTTACATATGCATTTCTCCACGGGCCACTTTCATAGCTATATGATAAAGATGCAAGTACAATCTTTGCTAATTATTATAGAAATTTTTTAAATATATAAAATTTTATTGAGAATTATCGTTCCCAATGCAAGTAAACTGTATAGAATATACTGTTTTAGATGGTTTTGGGATAAATTTTCTTCAGATAAAGACTGAATCATAGCATTTTTTAACCATATCGGCCTTTCTCTGAAAAATGAGGAAACTTTTTCCATGAAAAATTCACCTTTTTTCATCGGTGGCTTGCAGAGTGGCATAGTAGGGATGTTAGACTCTTCATATGGGATTGAGATTGATTTTATTGGCCGATTTTCTGAGTCAATTTCGGTGTCATCTGGCTTTGATGTCATATAAGGGCTGGATAATTTTTACTTGTAAAAGAAAGGCTGAGCTTGTACAAGCCTATTTTTTGTGTAAGATACAGGCACTAAAAACTCTTTATAGTTTTCTTCATCCTGCACAGCCAAATTAAGCAAAACATTGTCAATATCTTCTGGGAGCTCGAAATCAAAATCTTCTAAATTATTTTCCATATAAATCTAAATTATTATTTAAAATGATAATTAAATCATAAAAATCTAATAAATTATTTATTTAAAATACAAAACTTTCCCAGTAGCATGACTATTTTATTTAAATATTATCCTTATATTCAAGCTTCACAAGTTCGTTTTGTGATAAATCAAAACGATAAATACTAGAATTAGCAAGCAAATAAATAGAGTTTCAACCATAAACTTTACATAGATGAAGACAAGTATACTCAGAAATAATAAAAGTATGCCCAAGACTATTCCAGGCATATTCATCATTTTGGTTACTTTCGTAGTAATAGCCTCATGTATCAAAAATATACCCTCGGCTGTTTCCTGTGCAAACGATTTTTGGTGAATTTTTTATTACTCCTAGGAGTAAAGCATGATAAGTATCAATTATTGTATGCTGCTCTATATTGTTTAAGGGTTAAATCCAAATATTGGTTTAAAGCAAAATCCAAATAATTAAAAAGAATAAATAATATTATGCAGTTTATCATATAAAAACAAATCTTCAAAATATTGGCCTGATATAAGAATTTTATTACAAAAAACTACACAGGAGCAATATTTAGAAGGCTCAGGAATCGGCATCAAAGTTTCCAATTTATTTTTGACTAAATCTAATCTTTTCGCTTTCCTTTCAGTACGCCCATTATAACCTCCACCAAACATATACACGAAATCTTCAAAAAATACAGCATTTGACCCTCAAGAAGTGGCCCCTGAAGAAATAATTTTGAAATTTTTGGCAAGTTCAATTATTCAGGAACGATTGCTTTTTGAATAGTTAAAAGAATCCAAGACATTATTCTCGGGGGCAGGTCTTTTAAAGTTATATCATATTATATCTACTTTTTTTCCACTAAAATTGTGGAATGATAGAAAATTTGAGAGAGTTTGAGGATCTGAGTTTCTTGAGTATAAGTCAATCTTAAATCGTTTTTCACCAAATAAATTGGATTTTTGGCTATTTTTCATATAAATTATACATTTTTATTATATTTGAAATTCAATAATAAAAAATTGCTATTTTATGAGGGCAATAAAACCTATAAAAATGACTGTGATTTCAAGAATGTTGTTTTTCTCTGAAAAAAGTGCAAATGGTACTTTTTTGAATTTTTCGGAATAAAGGACATATAAAATCCTATATCCTTTCAATAGTGAGCAAATTTAAACACAGATAAAGATAGAATTGCATATTATATAGTATATTTTGGATAATAACAAATAAAAAACAATATTGCTTAAAATGAACGTGACAATCAAAAAATTTTGTCTTTCAAAGTAATAGGAAAAAAGCGCACCATAAAATATAAAATTACAAAAGTGACACCATTAGAAATTTTATTACTCCCCCCCCCCTCCGTGAGTGAACAAAAAAATTTTGTTCACTCACGGAGGGGGGTTTAATTTTTTTTTTTAAAAAATTTTATATATAAATTTTATAAAAAAAATTTTTTTTCGAAATTTAAAAAAATCCTAATTCGCAAAAATTGGAACGCAAATATTCATTTAATTTATAAAATTTATGTTTTAAATAGCAATTCGTTTAAAATTGAACAGAATTAGCTCTAGATTTCATTATTTTAATTATCATTTATATATCAATTTTTTTTTCCATAAAAAATGTTTACTATTAAAAAAATTTTTGTTCACTCACGGAGGGTGGTTTTTTGGGCAAAAAATAGGGATTTTTCTAATGGTTTTGTTCACTCACGGAGGGGGGGGAGTTAGTAATTTTTCATCCAATTTTAATTATTTACTTCATAATCATTTTTCTTATACTTATTTAAAATTTTGGGTCCTCTATTTAAAAAAGTATATTATATTTAATTCTTTGTCGCTTTTATCATTTTCTATTTTATTGTGTGTTTTATTCTATTATTTTGAAAGACAAAAATTTATGATTGTATATTTATGCAACTCTTACATTCATTTAAGGGATATTATTTGCCATTGTTAGCATATAATATATAATGTTTATTATACAATTCCATCTTGGGCTTCATCTGGTTAATTTTGCTTACTCTTGAAAGAATATAGATTTTTATATGTACTTCTTTTTTTGTACTTTTTTCATACCAAAAAAACATTTTGAATTAAAGTCATTTTTATAAGTTTTTAGAGAGGGTTTAAAAAAGGACAGTGCACTTTATTTAACCTCACCCATTTTATCATAAAATTTTTAACCTTCCTTTGTCAATTAAAGGAAGAAATTCTTTTAACTTGTTTTTATGTTTATTTTTGTTGCTGCTTTTTTTTGATTCTGGAGGAATAAATCCATAAAATTGTCCTTGATTTAGCCCATAATCATTAATAGCGCCTTTGTAAGCGCTAATGCATTCTTTTAAAGAGCTGTCTAACGATTTGGTAAGCTTTCGTTTTTGCTTTCTGCTTTTCACCCTATGCTCTATAGGGCCTTCAGTTTCAGAGCTGTTTAATACTTCACTTATTGTATTCCTAACCGATTTATTCAATTTTTTCTCATCCAAAATCTTTGCAAGCTCGTCTAATGCTGCTTCTTTTGTCTTTTTTTTCTCATTTTGGCTATTTTGTTTATTTAATATTGACTGGGTTAATTTTTGGTCCACTTTTATATTGGAAAGATATAGAGGGAACATCACTGATTTTAGCATATTTTTCCTTTCATTATAATCAGATGACCTGCTGTCACAAGAACTGAAAATCTTTGATTTTCTTGACATTTTTGCGTCGTAATCACTAGTCTCAGAATCTTTATAGCTTTCTTGCATAGAGCTTACCCTATTTTTTGGTTGTTTATTAAAATCATAAGTAACTGCTGGAGTTGCTAATTTTGACTTATCAGGAATATAATCTTGATGGGTTTTAGATCTTTTGTGCTGCTTTTTAGGCATTTCTTCAGAATCGCTCATATTTTCGATGATTTTTCTTCTTTCTAAACTTTCATATGCCAATGCGATTCGTTTTCTTTGGATTTCTTGCTTTTGTCTTATAGCTTCGTTCTGTATTTCCTGCTTTAAGTTATAAAGCTGCTTTGGATTCCAAATAGGTGGGCCGATCATGTATTAGTTTAATTTTTTATTAAATTTTTCAAAAAATGCCGTAATAAAATGCTTAATTTTCTACTCTACTAATCTCACTTAAATCTTCGTCAAAATGCCTAAACTCTGACGGCGCAATATAAATATCGCTTCTTGATGTAGAAGATGGTCGTCTTTTTAAATTTGAAAGTGGCTTTTTATTATCAGCTTTGTTTCCTACTACTATGCTAATAACATAAATAACAAATAACACTATAATAAAATAGACCCCAGGATTATTAAGCAGCGGAAGCTCGTTAATTCTTGTCAAACTATGATGGAAAGAAAAGCAGCCATTTTCCATTTTCCCTTTTATTATCTTAATACATACCTTAATTTACCTTAATTGTTCCTATTTGGCACAATCTGTGGCGTGCTAAGTGCATCGTTTTTAATTATTTTCTTTTTTCTTTTCGAATTAATATATTCGCAAAACATATTTTTCTTTTTTTTCGGTAATTCCGGCAAAATATTAACATTCTTAAAAGAATTCTGTTTTAGTTGCATCCCAAATGTCATATCTTCTTCAATGCTGCTCCTTGCTAAACTCCCAGCAAATAAAGAAGACCCCTCTGACCTCATGCATTCAAAATTGGTCGCTTTTTTCACATAATAATCCTCAATAAGCTGCGAAGCCTTTTTCTTATCATTTTCTACCTCCAAAACTATTTTTTGAAACTCAATCCTGTCTTCATAAGTTTCATTAATAAAATCCTGCAACTGATACAATACAATAGCCTGGTCCTGGAAAGTATTTTTCATTTCTATAATTTGCTGCTTAATTGACTCAACTGTGCTTAAGTCATCGTCTGGGTCTTCTTCGCTTATCATCGATGAGGAATTGTTTAGTATTGACGTCGATAACTGTATGGAAGCTCTATTAAATTGTGAACTTTGGCCGAATCTGTGTTTGGGGGATTTTAACTGTTCTTGATGCTGTCACAAATAAAGCGTCCTTTCTAATTGTTTGATTTCTTCTGAGAGTTCTTCATTTTCTTTGCTGAGGAAGTGATTTTCATCTTCAAGCCTAATTTATGGTTACCTTTCAATTTTGTGCTGGGCTTTGTCTTTTTTTCGTTTTATGTCGCTGATATTGTCATTAATTCTTTCGAGTTTGTTGGCTAAATTGGCCGAAAGACTTTCGAGCTCCGCAACCTCGGGGTCAGTGTGATCGTAATCTTTGCTTGGGATACTGTGGTAGCTTTCGTCAATACTTAAAGAAAGCCACATATCGCTAGGTCTTGTGCTAGAAGACATCAATTTTAAGCTTATTATTTATAATAAAACATGTCACAAGATCTTGAACAAAAATCAATAATGAATCTTACCCTTGAAAGCGATAAAACGAATGTATTTGACCTAGCAGATTTCACATGAAATACACACACAAAAACAAGAGTTTCTGCTTGAAATGATGATTTATCAAATGACTCTAAACTAAACTCCCATCCTATTGGAAACAAGATCGTGATTAAAAGAAATAAAGAAAATAACCGGTATAAATCAACAGAGCATATTCAAACATTAATCTATCAGAACTATAAAGAGATAGCTAATAAGCCTATAAAAGTAGTAACTGAATCGAGTATCAGCTGCACATCTACAGAGCCAGCCGAAACTCCAAAAATGTTTGCAAATGGACAATGGGTTAAAAATTTCGCAATTCAGGACTCTGAAGTAAATAAAATTTGCCAATCAAGCCATGCTATGACCACTCGGCATTCTTCTATGCTGCAAAGGCGGAAATCTTTTAAAATTGATTCTTCATCAAATTACTTTACTTCAGATACCAGGGAAAGTAGCGTTGTAAAAAATATTTAGGAACGATACCCAGGCCCAAACCAATTTTTTCAGCATTTTAAGATAAAAACCAACAAGTCAAAAACTGATGTAATTAATGTGAAAAGTATCTTTAATCCTCAACAATCAAAGCCAGGCTCTCCTCATGAAAATAAAGCATTTCTTAGGCCATCTAGAACTGCTATCAAAAAAAGCCCACTTTTACTGCTGATCCGAGACTCTGCTATATATACCCAGCAAACCCGAGAATTTTTGCGTCCCCAAACGACGACTTATTCATCTTACAAAGCTCGGAAATATTCCTTGCCAGCCGGATCCCATGATTTAAATTTATCATATCATTAACTGTTATTTTTTACTTGATTTTTTTGTGCAACTCCTATTTGAGTAGCTCTCGCCTTAGCTCCAAAATTAAGGCTACAAACAGTCTCCTCCACATGTCTCATCTCAGGACTTATCTGTAAAATCATAAGAGTCTTGGAATCTCCAGATAAGGAATCTTGCAATAAGTGTGTAAGAATAGAGTTCCTAAATGGGACATGAGCTAGTTTTTGCGACCTTGCAGAAATTACATCTCCAAGTGCAAATAATGATAAGTTTATGTGTTGGGCTTCTTTTTGCCGCTCGCCTTCACTTCCTGATTTATTTAGTCTTTCAGAGCCAGCTAAGTCAATTAGGTGAATTTTGCTATAAATTTCTGTGTTTATTTTTGAATTAATTTTTTTATTTTTTATAAAAAAATATTAATAATAATTTTTATATAAAAAAACTAAACCCTTTTGAATTAACTGCTTTTTGGTATAAAGTCATAATTAAATGGGATCTTGACGAATGTTTATTCATATTTGTGGTCCCAGTAGCTCTTACAGAAAGCCCATATTTCATATACCCAATAACTTCATCTATAGACCTGACTGGCACTATTGTAAGTCCAGGGACATGGTTTCTTTGATTATTGTCTTGTTTGACTTTCAGCTTGGCCTGCCCTTCATTTAATAAATCCCTAATAGTTTCATTATAAACTTCCATCAACGATATAGAAAGCTCAGTGCTTCAAGACGAAGCCCTAGAATTTACCTGCTGAAACACATAAGAAGCTGCCCTGTAAATGATCCCAGGGTTCTCATCAGGCCCTTCCATGGTATAAGTCTTCCCAGACCCAGTTTGTCCATATGTAAACATACATACATTATAGCCATCTAAAAAAGAAGTAACCATATAGCTGAGCTCATTGAAAACGTCTTCTTGGGTTTTATCGGGAGTAAACACTTTTTCGAACTCCCAGGTCCTTACAAGTCCTAATAAAGGGTTTGATACTGTAATTGTGTCAGGCTCGTTAAAATTTAAACTAGAAGGCTCGTCAGGGTGCAATGGGCGGACTCTGCAGAAAACTCGGATATTACCTTTAAGCTCCTGTACAAGGTTAAATAAGTATTTTCTTTCTTTCAAAATGTGATGGTAGTCTTGTAATAAAGAATCGTAATTTTTGTTTTTTAAAGAATTTATGCTTTTGGCTTCATCTTTGGCGAGTTTTACAAGCAGAACAGGCATTTTTTTGGTGATTGAAATGATGAAATCTTTAAGGTCGCCGAATTTGGATTTTAAATCGGAAATTATAGGCAAAATTGAGGGAAAATTTGCAGGCGGGATATAGGAACTTCTCGATAAAATTTGTCGGTTTTCGAGCTGAAGCTGTTTATACCTTTTTAGCAGCTCTTTTAGCTTCATGGTTAATTCTGCTTCTTTTGATGATCCACCCTGTGAAGGTTTCATATTTTTGGCGTATTCGATTGCTTTTTTTGCAGCTTCCATCGCTTTTTTTGTTTTTTCTTTTTCTTCTCTGACTAGATTAATTAAATCTTTCAGTTTCTTTTGATATTCTTTTGTTTCTTTCCCGTTTTTAATTTCGATATCTTGGAGTCTTCTGGTGTAATCGAGCTTAATTCCTTCGATGTCTAGCTCTGCAACTCGCATGATTTCGGCGTCAATGTCAACAAATACAAAATCTTTTGGAATAATTCCTGACATATGATATATTTTTTTAAAAATAAATAGAAAATCTACTGGTTAGACGTCATTCTAACTTTTATATAAAATAGGATACGGCCTTACAAGTGGCTGTATCTATTAAATACAAATGAGAGTATTTTCATTTAAAAAGAATGCTAAGTTTTACTAATTATTTTTATATATAAAAAATGCAATAATTATAAGAAAAAATAGCTTATTTTTTCTTAAAAAGTATAATATGACTCTGCAGCTTCTTTATAGTGGATTAATTGCTGAATGTTATGTCGTTGCTGCTTTTGTAATGATTCTAGCTGAATTCTGGTGTTTTCTAATGTTTTTTTCATGAGATTTAGCACTGAGGTTTCCACTTGGCGGTTGCTTTCTTGCTGTGATTTGTATTCTTCAAATTCAGTTTTTAATGCTGAATACTTATCTTGGAGGTCACTATAAGATTTCAATGGAACAGTTGCCTCTTCTTGTGTGGAATCTTCAGGCAGCCCGTCGTCTTCTTCAAACCCAAATTCAGCTTTTCAGTCTCATTGGATAAAATTATATTTCGCCAGCTCTGGATCGTACTCTTTAGGCTTATTAAAATCTTCCATATTTTTGTATTTGATTTTTATTAATAGAGCCATATAGGAATTTTAATGTTTACCAAATTTAAAAAATAAAGGAGCGAGGTGGTCAAACTTCAAATATCATTTCAAACTTGTAGAGCTATGAGTGTAATAAAGCTGCTGAAAACAAGATGAGGCAATTCTCTTTGCCGTTCTTAATGTTCAAAATTTAAGGAAAAATAGCTCGGAGTATTTTAAGGAATAAAAAGTGTTAAGCAAGATAAGGAAATATTATAAAGAGAAAGCGCTGAAAGGCCAACTGTAAAAATGAGAAAAGGAAATTTTGAGTTTAAGTATGGATAATTTAACAGCAAAATTTTATATTCATTTTTTTAAATTCCTTGCATAATCTTGCTAGCACTTAGATTAGCTCACCTTTGGTGTTTATCTCTTTCGATTAAGAGCAATTTCTGTGTTCTTAGTCTATTAAAATTGCCTCAAACTTTAAATTCATCAAATATATTTCATAGGGCAATATATATATAAAAATTAGTACGTCTATTTATTAGATTTTAAAATAATCCACTGATATGGAAGATGAAAGAACCATAAAGCTGCATGAAATATGAACTAATCGAACGAACTTGAAGACGAAGAACAAATAAAGCCTAAATATCTTCAAGTTGTTATTGAACCAAGAAATCGCCTTCTAGTTGGAATTATTTATTATAAAGATATTAAACCCAATTCTTAATATTTTGAGATGATTAAAATATGAAAACTGAAAAATTTTATACTGAAATAATTCATTAATTAAATATAAAAAGGAAATTTGAAACAACTTAGCACTAGATTTTCTTAATATACATATCTGATTAAAATTCTAAAATTAATCGTAAATAGCAGAAAAAATTACTCAATAGGTATTATATAAGACAGAGAATTAAAAAGTTAAATTCTCAATCTATATAAATAATAACACATCTTATCAATCACATAAAATTAGCTTTTAAAGTATTAAAAAAATAGCTAATTCCTTACATAATGTAACACTTCTGTGTTTCTTTCATCGCATCTATGTCAAGACTCCTACTTTGAGGCCTCTCTTTTGTATTTATTGTTTTTAAAATATTCCTATCCTTGATTTCTGGATACACTTCAGTCTCCTCAGTCATACACTCAGCAGAATTCGGCTCTGGCTTCATTTCTTCCTCATCTCCAGGATTCAAAAGCTCATTTTTATTTTTCTCCCCATTTTTCGCAGTCTTAAACAAATCTGGCTGCTCCGCAAATGGATCTGTTATAGCTTTCCTAACCTTTCTCGCCTTCTGCTCTATAGTATTCACACTAAGTGTGCTGATCCCTCTTTTTTTCTCTACTTTTACATTAGCCTTCATCCTTTTAATTAACCCCATCAAATAATCATAATCTGGTCTATCCTCAAAAGCCATGCTTTTTATATACGCCATCATCAGCACAAGCTCCTGCGGTCCTTTCCTAAAAAGCTCATTGACAGAAATTCGATTTTTTATTTGCCTTATTTCTCGGTCACTGATACTGTGGTCTTTGGAAAGTCATGGTAAACTTCCATTTAAAAAATATGAAAGCATATACATATACGATTCCAAATCATCACGACGACTCTGCTGGATTCCCATATGTGTGTTGATGGAAGCATAATTAGCAGTCCCTACAAACGGCCTATTTTCCATGTATTGGATGTGAAGACCCATTTTACCATTCTGATAGCATTTTGATAAGCCAAAGTCTATCATGTAGATTGTGGGCGAGCCAGCGCTGGGACTCATCAAAAATTGGCGAGGCTTAATATCTCTATGGATAAATAACTTATTATGCAAAGTTTGAATCCTGCTAAGAATTTGTTCGGCGATTTTTAAAACCACCATAAGACTGAACAGGTGCTTGCTTTCTTGGAATTTTTCTTCAAGACTGGGTCCGAGCAGCTGCATTGCAATGTACATTGACCCGTCTTCAGTTCCTGATGCAATAAGACGAGGGAAACCTCTGTTGCCTTGTAGGGCGTTTAAAACTCTGATTTCGTTCTCTACTTGAGATATGTCGATTGATGGCTTTTCGACCTTGACCGCAACAGGCTTTTTATTTGTGCTGTCGAGAGCTCGATAAACTGTCCCAAAATTCCCTTCTCCAATGATAGATTCTTTAATAAATCTGCCTCCTATTGCATCGTCCATCAGGGATCTAAATTATTTATACTCAAACTTCTGAGGGTGATTCTCATTTTTTTATATAAAAAAAAGAGTAGAGATTTTGCATTCAATATAAATAGGATAATATTTCTCTTATATAATTTGAAAATTTATAATCGATTGTCATAACCGGAAACTGAAATGCTTGGCTTTAAGAAGCTTTAAATTTAGCAAGTTTATTATACAAAAAGCTCTCATTTTCTTCATTCTGAGTGAGCAAAATTTGTTTGCTCACTTACTGTAGTAAATTTTTCTTAAAAATATTCCAATTCGAGAAAAAAATTTGTAAAATTCAAATTTTTGAATACAGCTATTCAAGATTTTAACAAAAAAATTAGATAGAAATTTATTTCGTTATAATAATTATCACTTATATATAAGATAATTTTATAAAATATTTTATATTAAAAATTTTTTGTTCTGTCATTATCAAAAAATAGAGATTTTAACAATGGCTTGCTCAATAATGGAGGGGTAGTCAGCATTTGAAAACAATTTTTTTTCTTTTCTCGAAAAAGGAAGAAAAGTATTATTTTTATCTTAATCATTGAGCCATGCAAAGTTTTCGTCATTAATTTTGTATAACCGATAATAATTGATTATTTTTATATTATAAATTTAGATTTATTTAATCTGTAATAACCCCCACGCTAAAATTTGTGAAGAGACCAAAATTTAGCCATTATTATTGCTTATATTTAGTATTACTTATATTCTGAGAAAGGAAATTAATAGAAATTATGAATTTACATATAATTTTAAATAATTAACCAACTTTATAGGGATATTATTTTTTATTTAATTGAAAATAAAAATTAATATTTTTATTATTCATAAAAGTTGCCGTTTGAATGAAATCAGAACTATAGGTATAACTAACTTTGCGTAAACGGAAATTTTAATTCCCTTTATTAAAAACCTAAAAGATATTGTAAAATATCAATTTCGCCTTATTAAGGGCTAACCAAATCAATAACCTAAAGATAAGTCATCAATTTTAAATAGACTTCTAGACTTTATTACATTATATCTAATCTCAACCACGCTTTTATAAGGGAAGATTAATATTTGTGTTAATTAAAAAGCACCAAGTTCTCAATTTTATCACTAGATAATTTAACATATTTTAAGAATTTTTTGCGCGTCTATATCTTTTTCATTCATTAATTACAAAATAGATTTTTATTCTTTTTCAAACTAGAAATTAGAATTAACAATTTATTCCTTGTGCTTACTACTCCCTTTGTGAATAAGGAAATTCTTTAAATTAAATTTAAAAATATTCAAATGATTTTCAATTCTAAATTTTACTTCAGCAAACTATTAAAAATATATAAAATTAGCAAGAGATTTAGTTTCGTTTATATCAAAATATTTTATATTAAAACATCTTTTTGCATACTAAGGAGGAGGGTGATTTTTTTGGAGGGAAGTTAGGAATTTAAAAAGCTTAATATTAATTCATTTTTCTTTCCTATCTACAGCATACCTTAATTTATGCCTACAAATTCATAAGAAAAATTCCCCATCACTACAAGTAGTTTTCATACAAATTTTCAAATGGTGACTTATGTAAAACTCTACACCTCTTAGCATTCTTTTACTCCTATAAGTCATGGATGAAATTACATCTTTTCAAACCCGGGTTATTCTAATTTTTTCTATCTATTTTCTACCAAAAACCAAGCCAAAGCTATTTAAAAATTATATTTTTTATTTTAAAATCCCTATAAAACCCAGAGGATTAAGTTATTTAAATAATTCGTTAAATGTCAATGCACGAAAACGAAGAGCATGAGTTGAAACTCTCCTTTCTTGACGCGATGCGAGAATCCTCCAATTCAATCATCACAAAATCAATTCTAAGAAAAACACTTGAAAATCTCGACAAGCTCGAAAACTCGCTGGACTCATGCCAAGTCTTATATGGAAAATGCCCTTATCAGCCTCCCCACAGCAAAAACACCAAGAAAAATTCCAACAATAACTCAGTCACTCGCAGCATGGAATCTCCTCTGCGTAACCACTGCCCAAGTGTGGTTATTAAAAATGTGAACCAAAGTTACCAAGGAATGTTTAAAAATATGAAGCAAACAGCCTGTAACCAAGATAACATCAGCGAGTTTTCTTTTATTGATGAAGACCGATACACTAAAAAGTGTAAAATTCCTTCGCCTCTGAAAAGATGTCCATCACATAAATCTCCTATCAAAAGATAAGCCTATTTATAATGATTTTTTATTTAATTGATTATTAATTTATTTTTTTAATATTAATAAATATTAAGATTACCAAAACAGCGAAATCAGATCTTCAACTCCTTATAGCAGTTTTAGTTCTGACGCAAGCAAGAACCCAGTAAACTATTCGAAACTTACTGAGCCAATTACTCCAAATTATGCATTTGAGCTACGAAACTCCAATAACGCGCTCTTAAACTCTCACCTTGCAAGCACGCTTATAATAGAGCCGGAAACAACTGAGCAAAAATCGCCAAATTTTACATTTGAAAAAAATATAAAATCGCAAATCCAAAAAAATTGTCAGGGAAATATTAATAGGATGTATTGTAGTATCTGCTCAAGTGAAACTCCAGTAGAAATAACTTTTCGATTGCAATCTCTAGGAGTATGAAAATCTATCCAGTATTTTTTCAGTTCTATTCGAAGCTGTGGAGATGTAAAATTGCTTACCCTCTATGAGCAAGCCAAAGTTTTGGTGGCATTTATTCTATTTTTTCCTATAATATATATTTTTTTCTCAGTCTAATAAAAATAGTTATAAAAAATATTGTATTATAATTCACAGAGGTGGCTAATTTCCATTATGAGAGTTAATAAATATCAAGAAGTTTTACATATTTGCAAAAGGTGTGGAAATGTACTAGCAAGAGTACAAGGACTATAGGGCTAACTATTTAATGTTTAAGTATCCATATTTTCTTATTCCGTTAACAGTTAATTATTATTTACAAATGTTAGGTCTGGAAACAGAGAGAAAACTCGCCCAACTGCTCTACATTTTATCACAGGGAGAAAAACAAGTTGAAGCTGCACGGCAAAATCTGTGCCAAAACCGAGAATTTGAGCCATATAGTGCCTTTAAATTCCTAGATCGAGCTGGTCTAGGCTCCATCTCCCTTATTGACGTTTTAAGCTTTTTAGAAAGAAACCGAGTTTATTGCACAGAACAAGACTGCCAGCTATTAATAAGACAATATGACGCCAATTCTGATGGGCGGCTTTCTTTAAGTGAGTTTACCCAGCTTGCTCTCCCCAGCGCAAATCAGCTTTTACGAGACCTCACACAAGCAAGACCAGCTTATCCAAGAGTTTCTTCTGACGTGGAGTATTTATTGATGAGGCTTTTTGAGACTGAAATTCAGGTACAAAGAGATATGGAGGATTCCAGGAAAAATTTGGCTGAAAGATATGATTTTAATTTAATTGATGCGTATAGGGCTATTGATGTAAGGAGAGGCTCAGGGTTTGAGAGAGCTGAGCTGTTTAGCTTTATGAGGAGGCATGAATTTATGGTGCTAGATGAAGATATTGATGCAATTTATAGGAGAATTGATAATGATGGGGATGGGATTATTAGTTATAGCGAATTTGTGGATGGGCTATTGCCTGCTAAACCTGTGAGGGGGAGCTTGAGGAGCTCTGCAGGATTTTCAGAAGTAAGGGCAAGCTCACCATTGAGGAGGTCACCATCAAGGTCTTCACCGTTGAGGGAGTCTCCAATGAGAAGCACCTATACATCGTCACCTTCTAAAAGTTTTTATGAGCCAAGGGCAAGTTCTCCATTGAGAAGATCGTCGCCTAGCCGTAATGAAATTACTTATCAGTCACCTAGAAGAAGCTCCCCATTAAGATTTTCACCTTTAAGAAGCTCATCTCCTAGCAGAATTGAAAGCAGTTATCAATCAAGATCACCATTAAGAAACTCTTCTCCATTGCGGAGATCATCTCCAAGCCGAACTGATTCTTTATATCAGTCTCGGTCACCATTGAGAAATTCTTCACCTTTAAGATCATCTCCATCTAAAAGTGTGTCTTTTTACCAAAAATAAATAAAATGGAAGTATGAAGATTAATTTCAATATTATTTTAAATAATTAGGATTATGTGCCTCAAGACGGATCCCTAGAAATGTTACAGGACTAAAAAAGGCAAAATAATATATATAAGAAATTAATTTTTTTACCAAAGTCCTGAAAAAAATTCATCAATTAGAAGCCCAGAAAAAACATTTAGCAGCTCAAGAAGAAGTCATTCTTCGGCCAAAAAATCTGATTATTCCTCACCAAATAAATCACGATCCAGAAACGGTAAATTAAGCTACTCAGAATTCAGCATTTATGAAGAAAACGAGCTAGTCAGCATGCTGCAAGAACAAATCAGACTTAACAGAGATCTTGACAAGCTAAAAATCGAGCTCAGCCTCAAGCCCGACTTCAATCTTGTCGACGCCTTCAGAATTTTCGATTTAAATGACAGAAGCGTCATCATAATTAAAATATGGCCTACAGCCATGCGTCTTTGAGCGCATATTTTATTATATTCGGCAAGTTTTTGCCAACCCCGAAATAGGTAGCTCTACTAGGTATAGAAATTGCCCGAGGATGGCTCAAAATAGCGCCATCCTCGGGCAATTTCTATAATCAATTCTGATAATGCACAGAGCCTAGCCCTCAGGAAGGGGAAGCTCAGCAAAGTCTATAGGAAATGCCTAGACCATTCGAGCAACTCTCTAGCGCGGAACTAAGAGATACGCCTCGGGCTTTAAATTTTTTCTTTTTGCCTCGACCAGAAATTCCAATTTTGGGGTAAACTTTCCTTTAACACATCTTTAACACATGCAGAACGTGGCAGAAGTTCATATCATTTCCTCTCAATATTGAAGCCGTAAAGGCAAGGAGGAGACGGAGATATAGAACTCTACTTCACAGATGTCATGCGTCAAGCCATGAGAAAGGAAAGGCGGTGTTTGAGCCTTAACTCTCCAGGTGAATCATCCCAACTCAAAGAATTTCTCCTGTCAACGTTGCACCAATAAGGTCCTTGGTGGCTGCGTTATCAATAGTCAGCAGCCAAACCTGTAATAAGTTTAAGACAGAAGTGCCATCACCACTTTAGACGTAGAAAGCGCAATCCAAGAAATGGCCCCTATCGCCCTCCGTGACGAAGTATACCTCCTAATCCGTCACTATTCTTCTCTCCAAGACGGCCAGTTGCGTTTTTCTGATTTTTCAGAAATGTTTACACCTAAACAAGAAGACTACTCAAGACTTTTGCGGAATCGGCAGCCTTATAACGTAAGTTTTGCCCAGCGTCGACGAGTGTTTTCCCGTGACACCACTTCTTTGTTTATTGATGTCCTTAGGCTTCATTTAGATGCTGAAAGGGTTGCAGAAAGTTTGAGACAAAGATTGTCAAGAAGGCCTGAATTTAATATGCATGAAGCTTTTCAGGCTATCGACAGGGATAGAAATGGGTATATTACGATTGATGAATTTAAGGACATTTTAGAAGATCACAATATTTTTGTTAATAGAAAAGATTTAGAAGCTCTTATGCAGAGATATGATAAAAATAAGGACGGAAGGGTGAGCTATTCTGAGTTTGTCCAAGAAGTGACACCAAAGTCTCCTAGGAAATATTAATTTAATTTCTAATAAATGGAAGTCGCGGAAGCGCAATTTTTGGAGTCACTACACAGCCTGACCACCGCTAAAGATAAAATTTTTGAAATCTCATCAGTGATGATTTCCCATCAAACAACAGCGGCTAAGCATCTAGTTTCAGTATGGCTTCGTGAATTTCGAAATTTTTCTGAAGAGAAAAAGAAGCTTGCATTGCTATTTGTCATGAATGACGTTCTAATGAAAAGTTCTCGAGAAACCAGAAGTGAAGAGTACTTAAAAGAGTTCACTGCTATAATTGACGATATATTGCAAGCCATGATCGAATATAAAAGTGAACAATTTGTTGAGGAATTTAGAAAAATCGTGATGGTGTGGGAAAAACCGGGTGGTCAAGCACGGATGCCAACCCCTCCACCCCCTAATATATATGGATCCCACCCCCACCCCCTATGTTAATAGATCCCACCCCCTCCACCCCCTCTATCATATAGGTAAACATATAAGTATAAAATCTTACAAATAGGACATACAATAAAATTTTAGTTAATTCATAAATGGATTCATAAATAGATTCATAAATAAATATTAATGATCATAAGTATATTTAGCATAGACTGATATAGCCAATATATTAGTAATATATTTAAAATAAAATAATTGCAAAAAACTTGCTACATAGAAAGGAATCAATAAATGACTCAAAAAATATTTTGATATCTCTATAAAGTCTTTTACTCCCCCCATTTAATAACGAACACTTTTTTAGTTCGTTATTAAATGGGTCTAACTTATAAAATTCTTGGGAAAAAAAAATATATAAAATTTATATTAAATATCTATGATTTTTTATATAAAAATTTCAATAAAGGGTTAATAATAAAAAAGTCAAATGATGGCAACATAAAGAGAAAGCGCCTAAATTCATGCGAAAAAATAACTATTGCTAACTCCTCCCTCCGTGAGCGAACAAAACCATTAGAAAAGTCCCTCACTCTTCGTGAGCAAACAAAAATTTTTTTTAATAGAAAAATTTTTTATGGAAAAAAGTTTGATATATAAGCGATAATTATTATAATGAAATCTCTGCCTAATTCTTTTTAATTTTAAACAAATTGCGTTTTAAAACATAAATTTTACAAATTCAATTAATATTTGCTTTCAAATTTTTGCGAATTAGGATTTTTTTAAATTTCGTAAAAATAATATTTCTATAAATTTATATATAAATTTTTTAAAAAAAAATTATCTCCTTCGTCAGCAAACGAGATTTTTTTGTTCTCTTACGGAGGGGGGAGTAAAGCACAATCTTAAGATTATGCCACTATTAGCTCTTATTTATTATTCTTTGCTCGATTATGCTTGTCTTTATCTTACTTTAACTACTTAAAATTTAGTAAACTGTAAAGACTAAATTAGCTTATATAAATTTTTTGTTCGGTATTAAATGGGCCTAAGGAAAATTTTTAGGAAAAAAAAAATGACTGTTTTGTTCGTTATTAAATGGCGGGGGAGCTAGCCTGCATTCTTTGGAAATTTTTTGACCTTTATATGATTTAAAACACGAGGTATGTGCTTGAAGGTTCATTGAAAATATGCTTCCTCGCTAGCAAACTGTATCCGATTTTTTTTATCATCCCTTGACTTTGAATTTTTTATGCTGTGAGCAATTAATACGTTTTATTTGCCTTTAATACAGTTTACATTATATAGGAGGGTGGGGGGTGGGGGTGGGGGTGCCATCTATTAATGGAATGGGGGTGTGGGTGGGATCCATAGATGCAAGGGGGGTGGGGGTGTGATCCATACATACTATCTGAGGGGGTGGGGGTGTGTAGGAAAAAAATAGCCACACCGCTGGCACACCGGTGTCACATCTGTGGCACATCTCTAGTACATATCTAGCACACCATTTTACACGATACGCACACCGCTGTCACATCTGTAGCACCTCTAAAACCCACAGTAAGCACCTCAGACACACTGTTGTCACCCGTAGGCACATAGCTGACACACCTAGACCCACTATAGGCGCAGCATAAGCACACCATGGGCACACTATACCCACCAAATAGTAAAAAATTGCAGACACATCATAAGCACACTGTAGGCACACTATAGGCACATCATCGACATATAAGCACACTATAGGCACACTATAAACACATTATAGGCACACCATGACCCACTATAGACCCACTATAAACTCATTATAGGCACACCATGACCCACTATAGACACACTCTGGCCCACTTATGGCACCATCCACCTAAAACATAGACCAAAATTAAAACCTGGATTTTTCAAATTAACTGAAGAATTAATAAATTAATTAAAAAAATCTTGTATTGGATTAGAAATTATTGAATGAAGTAATGAAAGAATTATTGAATATGTATCGATTATTATTATTGATTATTTAAAAATTATTATTGAATGATAAAGAAAATAATGAAATTTTAAGAAATTATGAAAATATTAAGAGTATTATTTTTGCAAAATAAAGAGAGGAGTAAGGCTTTTTATATAATTAAAATTAAACTTAAAATTAAAATTAAAATTAAAAAATCTAATAAAATCTAATAAAATTATGCTGAAATAATATTTTTTAAGAGCTCATCATAAGACTCCTTCTTAATCTTTTTTAAACAAATGCATTCAGCTTGATAAAAAGGCTGAGGAAAATCGTGCTTAAATGATCCATGCATTGAAATCTTGAAGAAGCCTCTTTCTGGAGGACCATGAACAATAACTGGAATTAGAAATAGATCTTCTATGCCTGCAGTTCTTCTATAAAGTATTTCTCCATCTTGAACTCTGATTGATTTGTTAAGTAATCCATAAAATATATTCCATTGTTTTCTATCTTTTGATTAAACTTTTCAATTTCTCTCTCATGCTTTTTTTTTTTTACATTCTCTACAACACTTAAAAAAACCTGCTCATTAGTTTCAAAAAACAAGATTTCTGGTCTAAAGCCAGTTGTTTTGTGCACTTTTTGCTTGTTATAATAAGTCATAAAGTAATCAATTGCTAGATCCAGGTTAAAATATTGATCCATTGACAAACTATATTTTATAAAAGATTTTCTCAAGCTTGTCCAAATAGTTTTATTGGCTCTTTCAACGCAACCTTGGCTTTGAGGATGATATGGCCTAGGATTAATTGAATGTTGCTTTGCTTTATCGAGTTTTCAAATTCACCCTTAAACTCTGTTCCATTATCTGTTTGAATGATTTGCGGGGTTTTTTTGCATGTCGTGCATATATTTTTCTAGTTGTTGTGCTGTTGTAACTGCCTTTTTATTTGCTATTTTATAGAGTTTTATATACTTTGAAAAGTGGTCAATAAAGCTTATTAAGTATTTGCTTTCAGTAGGTACAACTAGGGATTCTACAATTTGTTTTGGGATCTTTCATAGATCTACCTGAACTCTTTCAAGTGGCTTTGTTGAGATTATTAACTCTGGTGGTGCACTAAATACCTTGGCATGGGTAATCGAGCAAACGGGACATGATGAGATTACTATTTTCGTGTCATTTCGAATAGATTCTCAATAAAATCCATTTTCTTCAATAAGCTTGACAGTTTCTTCAACAGCCAAGTGCTTATTTAAGTAGTTTATGAAAAGTTTTTAGAATATTATTCAGTTCTTCTTCGTATGGGATTCTCTTTAGGCTATTTTTCAAATTATAAAAGAGGGACGATTGACTTAATTCACACACATTTGCTGGAATGTATTTATAGTTTTTTATTAATTGATCTTTTTCATTCAAAGATCTTTCTCTTTTGGTTAGGAATATTTGGATCAGCCAATCTTTCTGGAATATAATGAGTATTGCTAAAGTATTTTAAGACTTCAGCGTATCTATTATCTGACATAGGCTTGCTTGTTTTTGGGTATTTAGGCATTTTTTCGATATTCAACTCTTGAGATAAGTTTTGGCTTATACTCCTATTTAAATCATTAGACAGAAGTACTTCTACTGCTTCTGTAGCTAAAGTACTGTAGATTTTATTATGGTGTTGGCTCTGATTTTGTGAATTTTGATCTTCCGACAACTTCTGAATGTTATTCAAGTGCAATTTTTCATTCTTTTCTTCACTGTCATCTTTCTTTATAATTGAACCTTCGATCTTTATTGGTTGATTTATATCAGCTTTCCAAGATATTAGCTCAGCAAGCAACTTTTCATTTAAATCGGTATTTTCATTTGAGATTGGCGCCTTTTTCAAAGGAAAGAAATCCATACTTTCTTGATTGCATAGCGATAATATTTGATTGCTCTTTGAGTTTGGAGCTTGCTTAGACTTGCCATTAGCCAATTTAACTTTTTTTGTAGGCCTGATAGCCGGATCGATTTTCTTCTTCGTCTATTTTTTAAATTTTTATTATAGTTAAACTTAATCTCTTTAAACTTTTGGATTCATGAAAAATAATCTTTATCTTCTGTGTATATAGTATGCTATAATGATCTATAGTGTTTCATAGGGTGCCATAAGTGTGCCTATAGTGGACTAGAGTGTGTTTATAGTGGGTCATGGTGTGTATATAGTGGGCCAGAGTGTGTCTATAGTGGGTCATGGTGTGCCTATAATGAGTTTATAGTGGGTCTATAGTGGGTCATGGTGTGCCTATAATGTGTTTATAGTGTGCCTATAGTGTGCTTATATGTCGATGATGTGCCTATAGTGTGCCTACAGTGTGCTTATGATGTGTCTGCAATTTTTTACTATTTGGTGGGTATAGTGTGCCCATGGTGTGCTTATGCTGCGCCTATAGTGGGTCTAGGTGTGTCAGCTATGTGCCTACGGGTGACAACAGTGTGTCTGAGGTGCTTACTGTGGGTTTTAGAGGTGCTACAGATGTGACAGCGGTGTGCGTATCGTGTAAAATGGTGTGCTAGATATGTGCTAGAGATGTGCCACAGATGTGACACCGGTGTGCCAGCGGTGTGGCTATTTTTTTCCTACAGGTGTGATCCATACAGGGGGTGGGGGTGTGATCCATACAGGGTTGGGGGTGTGATGTATACATCCAAACTGGGGGGGTGGGGGGGGTTGGCATCTGTGCTTGACCAACCGGGGACTTCTATTTTTGTCCCAGCCTTTACTGCACAATTGAAAAATAAAATCCAAGAAACTATTAATAGTATACAAGACGAGAAATCAGGTGCAAGCGTAATTCAGGAATTTGAGATTACAAGGAAATTGGCTGATCTTGAGTCAAAACATGAAGAAAATTTAGAGTTGGCTAAGCAGCTTGATGGATTATGCAAGGTTATGGACCAAAGCTCACTAGCTTGAAATACAGCTGATATTAAAAGCCAGCTTTTAGAGTATCGAGGGAAGTGTGAGCTTGAGCTGATAGAGAGATCTAACCTCTTAATGATGCTTTCAAGAACTCTTGAAGAAGAATATCAAAAATATATAAGTTTTCCTGAACGCTTAGAAGCTCTTAATAATCAATAAATATAAATTCAGATGCAAAAGTTATGAAATTAAATTTAATAATCATAATAAAAAAAAGTAAAGTGCGGACACTATAGCAGATTTTTATGACATAGAAGCTGCTGGGATTAAATAAATTAGCAGAGAATTAAAGGTTGCTGTAGGTAAATAAATAAAGCTTATTCACAAAAAAATGAGATTTCGGATTTCAAAAAAATCTGATAAAAATCAATAGGGATATTCTCGACTAATATGCCCAAATTTTTTTTTAATTTTATGTAATAACCAGTGAAATACAGTTTCTGATATCATTAATATAATAAATTTACCCATACACTGCTTACTCCCCCCCCTTCGTGAGTGAACAAAAAAATTTTGTTCACTCACGGAGGGGGGTTAATTTTTTTTTTTAAAAAAATTTATATATAAATTTTATAAAAAATTATTTTTTTGGAAATTTAAAAAAATCCTAATTCGCAAAAATTGGAAAGCAAATATTAATTTAATTTATAAAATTATGTTTTAAAAAGCAATTCGTTTAAAATTAAACAGAATCAGCTCTAGATTTTATTATATAATTATCACTTATATATCAAATTTTTTTCCATAAAAATTTTTCTATTAAAGCAAATTTTGTTCACTCACGGAGGGGGTGGGTTTTCGGGCAAAAAATAGCAATTTTCTAATGGTTTTGTTCACTCACGGAGGGGGGGAGTTAGAAAAATTTAACTTCCTTGAAATGATTAATGAAATTTTTTCCTTCTTGCTAAGATAGGAAAGACGTTTTACATAAAAATTTATTTAATTTTTAGGTTATTTAGGAAAATTATTGGCTATGTCTAAAATGATCTAGATTAGTTGGCTGTTTCAATATTATTGTTGAAAAATTGTGTCAAATAAAACCATTTATCATGAGCTGCTAATAATCAATTAAGCTGCCCTTAAAGATATATTCTTATTTATACTTTTTATCCTTACTCCTATAACTAATTAATCCTAATTTTGTTTTTTAATACCCTTTTCAACTCTGCTTATGATCGGAAATCATGTGGAAAATGCTGCATGTTAGAATTAATAAATAATTAACTGGGTTCTCCATTAGCTAACAAAAAATTTTGTTCGATTAGGAGGGATTTTATATATATAATTTTTATAGTAAAATTTTTTTGAAATTTAAAAAAATCCCATTTCATAAAAATTCGAAAGCAAATATTATTAATTTAATTTATAATTGATAATTTAAAATTCAAGCTGTTTAAAATTAAATAGAATTAGCTAGAGATTTCATTACAATAATTATCTAAAATTCTTTTTCATAAAAATTTTGTTCGCTCACAGTGGGTTAACCCAAAAAAAAGAATTTTTCCAATGGTTTTGTTCTCTCACGAGGGGAGTAAGTAAGTGATGGGCTGTTCTCCGACACGACATCGATCACAATTATCAAAACTCGATTCACCGTCAAAACTAGATGCTCCCTGCATCACCCAAGAAAGGTCAATTGAGACTCCTGGAGTGTCTCCAAATCGGAAGCTTCTTCTCGCATATTACGCTAATGAAACCACAATGAATGGCAAACTTAAAGGTCTCTTTGAGGCCATTTTCGCCAAAGAGGAGCTTGAAGTCACCACAATTGACCTAAGCTACCATAACCTCAACGTTCGTGAAATTTACCATCTGCAATTTGTTTTGCAAAATTTCCAGAATTTACGAGAACTGAAATTAAATAACACCGAAATTACCTCAAAAGATATCACGAAAAATTTTTTTTTTAAATTTTAATATTTTATTTTTAAAAACAAATTAAAAAATAAAAAAAGATATCAAGAGGCTTTATTCTTCCTTGGAACTAATGCCTATGATGCAGGTTTTAGAACTCCAAGGAAATGCCATTTGTAATGAAGGTATTAAATATTTAACGAAGCTTTTTTTTCGGACTATGAAATCGTTAAAAGTCCTCAATCTGAGCAATAATCGCTTTGGGGATGAAGGAATTGCGACTTTGTGCAAGGGGCTACTTTCTTTGAGGTGCCTTGAAGAATTAAGGTTAAACAGCAATAATATTTATTCTAGGGGATTGATATTGCTGTCACAAACCTTATGCCAAATTAAAACCTTAAAAAGGCTTGGTTTGGCTGGGAACCCTATAGACTTTGAAAGTGTAAGAGTTTTAGTAGGCTAGATTATAAAAAACTTATTTTTTCTACAAATTTAGGTATTTTAACGTAAAAATAAATCTTTAATACTAATTTATACCCAATATCTCTCTTTGGCTTTTTATGCCTACCCATTTAGTAAGATCAATTCGATCAAATGTGAATTTGAAAGAACTCGATCTTTCTAGAAACGGACTTTCCAAGCAAGTGAAATACATGTTGCCTGAAGGCCAAGCAGTGATAAAAGCCTAAAATTGTACGAATAAATTTAATTCAAATGTTAATAAAAGCTAAATTATTGTGAAGTTCCCATACTTGAGGTGATATGCAGTAAACCCAAAATGCTTCAAAATGTGAGGCATAAAGACAGCCCAAATAAAAATGAGGGCGACTATAACTGTTTGAGATTTTTTCAGGATATGGACAGACTTGCTAATTAGTCTTTCTTTAAGAGTAGTGCCTTTTCCTTTGAGTTCTTTAAGGATCATCAAGATAATAATGTAGTTCCAGAAACAGCTGACTCCATAAAGCATAGAGACACTAATAGCAAGCATTATATTTACGTTGTATTGCCAAGAATTATAGTCTAAAAACGTCCCAATAACGCCTCTACGTTAGTCTTACCGATTGAAAAGAAAAATTGCTGCAAATGAGAATTGAGATATTTTATATAGAAGACTATCAGTATTTCCTTGGTCTTTTAAGATGAGTCTAAGCTGCATTGTAGGGTTTGAAAGTTCGGTAATCACTAAACAAGCTGCTTAAATGTTACTAACTCCTAGGCTGCCTCCATTGCTTGCCAAGTAGGCAGGAAAGCCGCCAAAAATTACAAAAATATGATGGAATCTCATTGCCCAGTCGTGAAGGCCGAAAAGCTCTGCGTATATTGCATCGTACGTAAAATAGCCCATAGAGTGTCCAAGGACTATTATTTGTGATGCATTTGTTGGTGTATCATAGTTAATTCCGTTTTCACTAATATAAACGCTAAGTGCTAGAATTGATGCAAAAATAGAATGGATAAGAGATATATGCTCTCCAATGTAATTTTTCTTTTGGCTGTCAGTAAGTTTTGGTGGTGGAACAACAACATATTGAAGAGCAATATTGACGCCACAATAAAATAGCATTGATGCTAGAACTGGCATCAAATATTCCACGACCATCTTTTATTTATAAAACAATAAGTTAATATTCAATTAAGGCTAAAAATTGATTCCAGAAACTTCATATTTTAGCCGATATTTTTAATATGGTCTCATATAGCAAAAATTAATAAAAGTCTTATAATACCATAATTAAAGTAAATAATTATTTAAGAAAATGAGGCATTATAAAGCTTATTTTTAAGAAATAAAATCGCTAATAGATCAAAATTCAAATATGAAAAACCATTTTGAATCTGCAAGTGAAAGCAAGAAAACTCTTCTTTTAAGATGCAAAGATACAATAGAATCGCTTGAACAAGAGCTTCAACAAGAAAAAGAATTTAGAATTGACGCAGAAAAGCAGTCTCGAGACCTTCTCCGAGAAAACAGTCTTCTCAAAGAAGAAATCGACGAGCTGAATCTTCAAGTAAACACTTTAAAATACGAAATTCAATCCCAAACAGAAGAACTCGGCACATTTCAAAAGAAAAAACAAAAGGCTTATGAAGAGCTTGACGCCTGTAAAATAAATTTGGAAAAGGAAAAAGCCTTTTCACATCATAATCAGCTTGAGCTTTCAAAGCTGCAGAACTTTATAGACCAGCTCAGAGGAGAATTAAAAAATAAACAAGATTCCATTGATGAATGAAATGAAGCAGTCTCCAATGTTGAAGGGAAACTTAGGAGCTATTCTGAAGAAAATAAAAGTTTAAAACAAGCTGTTGAAAAATATGTTGCAAAATGCGAAGAACTGCTAAACCAAAATGAAGAACTTAATGGACTATGGACTGAAGCTATAAACGAAAATAAAGAACTCAAAAAAACAGCTTCAGAGCTTAGGATTGAAAAAGAGCAAGCCTATGAAAAAATCAGAAGGGCAAACATGCAAGTCCATGAGCACTCTACTTATCTTGAAAAAAGCAGCCAAATTTCAGCCCAAAAAATGCAGGAAATAATTGATAAACTTGAAAACGAAAAACAAAAATGCAGCAGGCTTGAAAAAGAAAATATCGAAATAAATATAAAAATTGAGGAATTAAAAAAAAATCTTGCAATTCAAAGAGAAGAGTACGAAAATAAATTTTTAATCACAAAAGAAAAAGAGACTGAGCTTGTGTTTGAGCTGGAAAAAACAAAGCAGCAAACAGAGAAGCAGATTTCTAAGCTGAATAAAGAAATTCTTGCAAAGGAACATTTGATTGCGAAAATGGAAGCAGATATAAGCTTCGCTAAACAAGAATCAAATATGATTATGGAAGCCCAAGCAGCCTTACAAAACAATTTTAAAGAAATTTCTGAAAAAAATTCAAATTTAAAGTCAAAACTTAAAGAGAAAGAAGAGTCGATAAATGAAAAATCAAAAATTTTATTCAGACTTGATGAGCAAATAAAGATAATTGAGGAAAACTCAGAAAGGGAGCTTAATAGCCTATATGATTCTGTAGAAATTTTAAAGGAAACTTTAAGGTCTGAGCTTTTCCAAAAGGAGCAAGACTACCTCAAACAAATCGAAGAAATAAAGCACGACCATGAAAAAATGCTTGAAAAAGACACCCTCACACGAGAATTTGACATGGAAAGCTTCCGAATTGAAGCCCAAAGGTCAAAAGACCACTATATTAAACTACTCTCCATAAAAGAAGAAGAGCTTGACGTCTTAAATCAAGACCGTAAAAAGCTCCAAGACGTCATATATGAGCTAGAAGGCAAAGTAAATGATTTGAGCATAACTCTTGACCAATCTATAATCGAGCGCAAAAAAATTAACGCAGAACTTGTCAGACATAAAGAAAACGATTTAGAATTGTCCAATAAATCAACTATCAGCAATCTTCGTCTGCAAGAAGAAAACGACCAGCTTAATCAAAGAATGACTGAAGAAGCTGCATATTTTAATCAGCTGCTTCAGCGAAGGGATGAAGAAATTACCCAGCTTAAAGACAAATTTGAAGAAAGACTGAAAAAAAGGGTCATGATTTCTCAAGAAAAAATAAGTAATTGGAAAACAAGGCTTAGACAAGAAATCGAATTTTTCAGAAAAAGCGGAACACAAGATATGCAAGCGCTGAATGGGTTTATGGATAGACTGGAAAAACTTATAAGTAATATTTCGTTTTAATGATATATAAATGGAAAAAGAATGGAGAGTCATGGCATTTAGAATTTCTAAATGTTTTGAGTTGTTCGACCACTCGGCTAAGAGCAGGTCAAATGGCTTTGATAAATTGTTGGATATTTTTCCAATGAAATTTTATCAAGAAGAAAAAACTATACTTATTTGAAATAAATATTTCCTATTAAGATAAAAGACAATAACTTTAATTTTTATGAAAATAAGATAAAGACTAATCAACAGAAATATTCATAATAAATAGATATAAAAGAATTCATGACAATGAAATGCTTAATCCTCTGTGAATTAGCAAAACCTTTGGAAAAATCCTTTTTGGGTAAGCCCCCACCTTCCATGAGACAGGAAAAAAACTTTGATAATTAGCTATATTTTAAAAACATAAATTTTCAAATATAAATAATTTTTACTTTGAAAAAATACAATTAATGTAAATTTATTTAAAAAAATTAACCAAGAATTTTTTGTGTGCACATAGAGTGAGGCGGGGAGTTAAAGAAAAAGTTAAAGAAAAAAGAGAGAAAATTAAACAGTTAGAAGAGTTTTCAGAAAGGCTAAAAAAATCTAGGTTTGAAAGGAAAATCAGATTCTATAAGAACGCTTATGATGCTAGAAATAGCAAGCTAAACCACTATAGAGAAATGGCAAACAATAAGCCAATCAAAGTGGAAACTCAAAGCAGGTTGCAGTTAACTTTAAAGACAGAGCCAGGGCGCTTTACTGATTTGTTTGAGCTTACTGGGATTGATGAGCGAGCAAAAACTCCAAATCCTAGTAAATCAAGATTCGGGAAGAGGACTCAATCTACGCATCGGTATAGATTCAAGTCCAATGCTTCTGCTTCTTTAACCAGATCTATAAATTAATAAATTTTCAATTTTGTACTTTAAGGCAAGTGAAAATTTAAATAAATTAATATTTCCCTTATTATTTTCTTTCATTAAAATATTTTAAGACAAGCGTTATTTAATCAAAGAAAACGATAATATTTTGAAAATCTAATAAGGTAGAAATAAAAACGCATTGATCTGCATAATTTCTAAAGGGATCGAGATCTATTATTTTCCAGACTGTATAAGTCTAAATAAATTAAATTAATTCAACAAAGAAGTTTATAAACACTAAAATACAATATAAGCTACTAAAATTTTTAACTAATGTCACTACACAGTCAGACTTCTTCAGATTTTTAGATATAAAATGGCGGTATCAAACAAATATGGGTATCCTCGAGTGAGAAATTTATAAATATAAAATGCTAACAAGAAGAAAGCTTCATGGCTCATCATCATCTCACTCCTTAATGAGAGGTTCAATCAAAGAAAATATAACAATCATCAAAATAACCAAAGGCAAGTCCAGAACTCCCAGGAGATCCTCATCTCCAATTCCTAGGATCAAAAACATATCCAACCTTCCCCTTTCTGAGTCAATTCCTCAAACTTTTCTAATCACCGAGGCTCAATCCTTTATCCCCAAGCCTCTAGCCCACCAAATAATTACTCCAGAAAACCGAAGCATGATGGTAGACTGAATGGTAGAGGTCACCGCCACCTTCTGTACTCCTCAGACTTTTTTCTTAGCTACCAAGATCATGGACAAGTTCTTCGCTGTATTTATTAAACCCCTCGAAACCTCCATGTTACATGTCTTAGGGGTGACCTCAATGTTTATTGCTTCAAAATTCGAAGACAATGTCCCACTAAGGCTAAAACAAATAATAGAAAAAATCGCTCATAATAGACTGACCTATCCAGATATAAAAATCACTGAGCTTTTAATGCTGAAATTTTTTAGGATTCAGGGACATACATAAAATGGCGTATGACGTCCGACCCGTCCTCTCGTGTGACGGTAACCCATGTATATCCGGGCATGGTTTTCAGGAGGAATGATATAGCCCAGCAACATCAGGAGCCCAGAAGCGATGGGCTTAAGCACAGACCCGCTGATTTGTGGCTTGATCATTGGGCAGTTAATCGTGAATCCTTTTCCCAGCAGCGCCCCTAGCCAGTGGGTGCCCGAAATGGAGCAGGGTGATTTCGATGCTCAGGCTGCTCTCGATGGCTTTGCCCCGAATCACGGAAGTGGTTGAGTTTTTACTCAGAGATGACCTGGTAAAAGGGGGAGGCAGGCTAGACTCAGAATCAAGGCGGTCCCTCCGGTTAAAGGGTTCCATTATGTGGACGACACCGGCAAGGGTAGGTACAGTTGGCCTCGAAGGGCGAAGGGACTGAGTTGGAAATGGTGTGCCCGGCAAATGCCTGCGGACACAAAAGGGCAACCCACTACCGAGAAACCAGGGGTTTCGGCCTGGGCTCAGAGTTACCAGAGAGGTGGAAGTCCACCCAATTCGCTTGTGTCAGCACGCTACTGGAAGTAGATACTTTAAATATTCAGCATTAACATTAACATTTAGGATTCAGGGTCAATTTTACGACTTGCTATGATTTTTTGCTATCCTTGGCTACAGAATTTAGATTGCCGCAGTCTGTTTTTGAGACTGCTAAAATTATATGCTACTATTCACAGATTTTTTACTCACATTTGGACTTCAAAGCTTCCCAGGTTGGCTTTTCAGCGTTAATTATTGCCTGCACAAGCTTAAACCAGCATAGTGTTGCTAGCAAATTAATAGAAAAATACAAAGATGGGGAGTCCTTAAACCCAATCATAAAAAAGATAAGAGCCGATATTCTTGATCTCCCAAGGCTTAAGAATTTATACGCAAGTCCTGCAAAGTTTTTGGAGTTTGAAATCGCCTTAAAAACGCCTGGGCCATTATTCAGATTTCTGAATCCTTATGTGGAGCAGGAGCAACAGAGGCTTCTTTCAAACCCAAATTAATAAATAATTTTGCTTTAATTTTAATTCAGTTTTACAACTATAACAGAGGTGTTATCGACTGAGCCAGCTTGAAGAGCTTTTTGGACGAGGCCATTTGCGATTTCTAAGCAGTTCCGTCCTGAAATGTTTCTCAGCTCAGATTCGTTTACTGAGTCTCATAGCCCATCAGAAGCGATTATTAAATAAAGATCATTTGGGACAATTACTCTTCTTGATAGATGAGGCTCACTTATTAATCCACTAGTTTTGAGCATGGTGTCTCCGAGGTTTAATATATAAAATGACGTGGCATCCATTCTGCACTCTTAATGCCTATAGCCAGATAGGAGTGGGGCCTTGTGGAAGGGAGAGCAGCCAGCGGTGAGTGTGTTCGGCAATGCCGGGCTGACTGACAGCAAGCTCACATTAAGAGTAAGGTTATGCCTCAAGAGAATATGGATCTCGGAAGTTGGAAGGGATAGCCAAACAAGGTAAGAGACGTTCGCTTGGACAATTGGTCAATTCTGGGCTACAAGTTTCAGTCTGGACAATAGTCTAACCAGAAAATTCGCTTTTTGACTTTTCAGAAAGGGGCAGCCCATTGGAGACCTAGCGTCTTTACCCCTGCTTCAAGTTCAAGCCTTTATGCAGAGGGAGCAAGACATGCCTTTAGACCGTGTAATCGGATTAGCAAGCAAGAGGTGAAGCGAAGCAAGGAAGTGAAAAGCCGATATGGCTGATCGGGAGCTACTCGATAATAATTTCTGTTAAGCTAAGTCTCCTAGTGCTCTGGTGATTGACAACTGCCCACCTACTCTTCCTGATGATATAATTCCTCCAGATTTCTTTATTCTTTCTACTTCTCTAGGGTTGCTAGGCCGATCTTCAGTCGTTAATCTTTCTACTCCTCGAGAATTAACTAGCACTGCGTGAGAGTCTCCTACGTTAGCTGTATATAAAACTCTTTCGGCTCCTTCTTTGCGAATATAGCAAATAGTAGCGGTGGTGCCTAATGCTAAAAAGTTTCGGGCTCTAAATATTTCGTCAATGTTTTTGAATGTGTCGTGAAATACTTCTCGGATTGTGTTCTTAATTGATATTGTCGCTGGAATAATTAATTTGTAGATAAATATCTGAAAATATCATTTTTATATAAAATTCGTCAGTTGCTGAATATATTTATTGTCCAATTTCTATCAAAAAGGATAAGTTTTTCCTGAATTCATCATGAAAAAAATTTTTGCAAAATTCTGAAGCTTCAAAACCTCCATGGCCGTCAAAAATCGCAAAATATCCTTGATAAGGATTTTCTAAAAAATTATCAATAATTTTATGTCGATCTTCCATAGAATCTCTGTAATTTCTGTTTTGGTCTTCAGAATATCCAAAGCTCACAACGCTTCTAGCAACCTGAGATGATTCCTCGTTCGAGCTTCTCAATCTCGCTAGAGATGCCATTCTTTTTGATCTTGCTGAGTCGCTTTCCATTTTAATATACAATTTTTTTTAGATTTATTTTTAATTAATTGTTTCTGCTTACGCCTGGGCAAGCAAAATATTTTACAGGATGGAATTTGTTTTTTATTTCTAAATTTTTAAAAAAATCCTTAGCAGCAACAGCATAGGCAGCATTTTTTCTTTACTGGGATATCAGTTGCTCTTATAGGTCGTGATTTGAGTTTATACATAATTAAATCTGGGTTTGGAGTATAAGATAATCTTGCTGATTTTCTTGCCCAGTGACTGAAATATGATTTAAATATTGTGGCCTGCTTACCAAAGACCGAATTTAGAATTTTATCTGATTCCTCCTTTCTTTTGGCAATGCATGCACGTCTCCATATATCAAAAGCTTTATAAATGAGATTTTTCTTATTTTTGATCAATTTGCCGAGAGCTAGAAATCTGCAAGCTGTTTTATGATTTCTTTCGATTTCGTTTACCTTTAATTTATTACTATAAGTGAAAAGCTGATGAAACGCAAAACAGATGTTGCTAAGCCTTATAATCTGCAATTTTTGCAAAGAAGATAGCAGCTTAGCCGCGTTTTTTGCTTTGTAGTGGGAAACTGGACCTTGGAGATATTGGAGCTTAACCCTATAGGGTGTCAATTAATTTTCCCAAAAAAATCAAAAATTCATAGGAATTCTATAAAATTTTATATTTTCGAATAAAAAAATTAATAGAATTACTAAAATTTATTATAAATAATTGTTGGCCATATAAATAAAAATGATAAATTTCTCATAAAGTAAGACTTTTCTAATTAATTTACCTATATGAACAGGGGAAGTTAGGGATTGGAGGGTTTTCTCTGGCTTTAATTGAGTCTAAATAATGAAATAGCTTTTCAGAATCATCTTGAGGAATGACTCCTTGAAGGACTAATGTTCCAGATAATTCTCGGACTGCATTTATTGTAAATTCATCAGACCCCTTAAGAAATTGGTCTAGTTCATATAGTTGCTGATTGAGTGTGTCTGGCTGATCTGGGGAACCTGAAAGAGCTTCGATTACAAGTTTAAAGATATCGCCCATAATTTATTAGTTACGATCCGGCCTTATCAAATCCTAATATTAATCAAAAATTATTAAAATAATGAAATCTATTGAGGCTGAAATTTTGACCTCGTTAATGAAAATGCTTTATCATTATGGTACTCTTTTCTCCATTAAAATGATATTCATAAACTTAAGTATTAAAATTATAATTTTGATGGCTTTTAAGCCAAACATATTAGCTATAGTTAGAAAATTATTCATTAAAATATGGACAGTTACAAGCTACAATATAAAATATTTTATGAGACAAAGTTTAAGCATATCGATATAATTATAGCTTGAGCGTCCTTATTAATCGCTTAGGCCTTCAACTCGGTAACCAATTTGAGAGCTTGCCTAGCTCTCCAATTGATGAATCATCATATTATCTAACGGCCATAGCCACCTAACGATCCTTATGGATCATTTTTAAGTCAATCCGTAATTTTTCTCTGCTTCAACTCCACTCCATCACCCTGAATTGATTCTTCAAGGTGCCCAGTTGATGAATCACCTCTCAATTTGACAAATCTGCAATATATCGCAGATTTGCCAAATTTAAAGTTGTGGAGTTGGCTAAGCAAAGAAACTCCCCAATTAGTCAGTGAGCCAGTGGAGTTTGGGCTTGCATGATCCATAAGGAAGCTCAAGCGATATCGTATTTTTGGCTCTTCAATAATTACTAGATCAAGTTTTTAATATATTAAAGGTGCAACATTTTATCAAGACATATGCTATCAAGATACTCAATTTATTTGCTAATTTTAATGCAGCTGCTATTAAAAGAAGATGAACAATGACAGCCCATTTTATCAAAAAATGTTTAAATCAAAAAGATTCCTCACAATCATAAGCTATTTATTTTTAACTATTTCGTCTTTGTAAACTTTAAAAAGAAAGCAGCCAATCACAATATGCACGGCAAAAACAGCAGAAAACCCGCTTATTATGATCTGATTTGAAGGCAAAAAATCACTTGTAAGATCTGCTTAACCATTACAGCTCGCAATATAATAAGTCATGACTGGGAACACAATGATGCTGAGTGTCGTAATAATAAAAGTCCTCAATGCAGTCGGCTCAAACCTGCTCAGCATTTTATATTAATTATATATAAACTATAATTTCCATTGCTATTAATTTAAGTTTGTCCTCTCTCCTCTTTTTTATGCAAATCAGCCAGCTTCGACAAATGCTTCAAGTTTTCGTATAAAATTTTCATACACAAGTCTGTATCCTGCTTAGTCATCAGTGCCCTATTGTGGTTAAGCTGCAGCAGCAATTGAGCATTGTAATCTAAAGCGCTTTGAATGAGATCATCTGATTTTTCTGAGTAATAAACACGTAGGTGCTTAACTGCACATGCAGTGCAACTGCATTTTCCTTGTTTGTAGGGACATATCCAGGAGGTTAGCTGCTCAAGTTTTGTTACGACGTCTTCGTGGTATTGGCCTTTTAAACAGTGCTCACAGTAGCGAATATCGCAGCCTTCAGGAGGGAAGCAGCCGATTACGATTTTATTAGCTCCACAGTGGTGGCATTTCCCACTTTGGATGCCTTCAGCAGCCCTTGGAAATCGGGCTTGGATTTTAGCTAGGATTTCAGATTGGTCTTCCATATTACTTAGATATTTAGTTAATTGAAACTATTAGTATAATGAGGAATCAAGCAACTTAGAATTTAATAAGGGGATCGAAAATTATAGTAAATTTTCATATAATAGATAAAGAAATTAATTTGCAATGGAAGATAGAACCCCACTTAAAGGAAAATTATTTAAAAGGATCCTTTCATTCCATGAAGCAATGCTCGTCAGAAGACGAATCTATAAAGAACTTAAGCAAAAAAACCTATCTGAAGAACTGGAATATGATCTCTACAGATCCTCTATTATTGCTTTACTATCTACTTTCTCTGCAATCTATATATTTCGAAAAGAAGGGTTTCTAGGCAAATTCTTAGCTGGCGGGCTTACATTTAGCATAAGTTTTACCACTTTAGAGCTTTTTTATGAAGAAACCTTTTACTATCGCCTTGGACTTCAAGACACCCCAGCCGGAAAAATCATAAGAAAAATCTACTTCGAGTCTCTTCCAGGCAGCAAGCCAATAAAAGCTTTCAGGCAAAAAGAAAAAGAATACAAAGAATTCAATGAAAATTTTAGGTACAGAGAAGACCCAATGAAAAAGTTTATGGAATATGCATTAAAAAACGATGTAATTAACGAAATTAAGTAGCATTTATCGTTTAACCAGCTCAAAATTATTTTCTTCCATTTCTATGTCTCTTGGAGGTTTTTCTTCTTTTTCCATTTTTGGGTAAACCCCAGCAGGCTCATCAAGGATGCTTGGATTTCTTTTGCGTCCTTCCCAAAACGGCCCAAAGTAGCACATCCTATCTCTCAGTTCTTTGTGTCTTTTTAGGTCACTGGGGTCAACATTTCCTGCGTATCAATTAGAAAAATCAGTCGCATGCTTCTGTGGGGCTTCTCCTTCTACTACTTTTCCGTCCTTTACGTGGAACTTTTTGACCCCAGGGATTTCAAATGTAGTTTTCTTTTCTTCAGGCTCGTCTGGGACTGACATTTCCATAATTATCAGCTTATTATTAGCTCTAGTCTTGATCTCTTCCAGAATTGCTGCATTTTCTATTGTTTCGTAGTCTTTAAAAATCGTTTGGATATCTTTTAAAGCCCTAGTTTTCGTTTTGACTGGGAGAAGCTGAGCTTTAGACGTTAAAAGGCTAAAAAGTGTGGACAGCTCTTTCTTTAATGCCATTATTTATTAAATTATATCAATAGGAGATTTACTGCTATCATTTAGCTCTATTTCAAAAGTAGTCGTACTTTTTGCCATCAAAATTTTTATTTGTGCGTCATTTAGCTTCATCCTTTTGTTAAACCAGCTTTTCTTATACCTGCAGAATCCGCATTTTTTGGCTGATGCTTCTCCTTTGAGCCTCTCTTTTGTGGTTTCACCGGAAGCACACAGAGAGCAATGAAAAAGGCACAAAATGCCTACAAAGAGAGTAAAAGCAAACGAAATTATAGTCAAAATTGCGACAATTGTAGCAATCACTTCTTTTTGTTCTATTAGTGACCGCTTATTATATTCAAAATTACCATCCCCTGCGTTATAGAATAAAAAAATCATAAATCCTGATATATCGATCATCCCCAAAAATAGCAAATTCATCACAAACATCATGAAATATATATAATTTCGCAAGCCAATACAGTTATTTACATATGGACAGTGATGGTCAAACACCTCTACACAGTTATCGCATTTCGCACAATGATGAGAGCGAGGCGGACGGTATATTTCACAAGTGGCACAAAACTTGTGAAGGTGCCCAAACTCAGTGAAAAACACTTCGGCGGTGAATTCTTTGGGGACGTCGCCGAGGGCTTGAAAAACTTTTTTCCTTGGGATAATTCCTGGGTCTGAAAAAGATGTAAGTAAGAAAAATACTATGCTTCCAAAATAGAAAATTCCTGAAAGAATAGGGATTGATATTGTGACATTATATCATAGATATCTACAAATAAATACAAAAAAGCTGATAGGGACTATAGTAAGTAAGGTTAAGGTGAGAATAAAAGGCAAGTTATCTTGTGAAGAGCCAATCATGATTTTGCCTTTGCAAAAAAATTGGTTCTTGCTTGGCCACAGCTCTCAAAGAGATTTAGAGCACAAATCAATAGGCAAGTTCGGGAAATCAAAAGTTTCTGTAATCAGATAGGGCCGCTTGTGTTGGTGACTTGTCTTCATGATTTATTTTATTTATTTAGACTAATAAAATGTGATATTATCTCATATCAGGAGTTTTTATAGCTCTATTATTGTACAGCTGATTCTCTAAAAAATCCCCAGAAAGTCCCCAAACAAAGCGATTTTCTTATAAGACCTTTGATGATAATAATGAGCCTTCTGCCTTTTCTATAACAACTTTCAATACCCTAGCCGACATGTTCACTCATTTCCACTACTACACAAAACCCTCCTATCTCGACTTCAACTATAGATTTCCTCTTATCCAAAGTTTTCTAAAAGAGCTTGACTCAGACTTCATAGCCCTAGAAGAGGTTGACAAATATCCCGAATTTGAGTCTTTTTTATCCTCAATAGAATATAGAAGTAATTTTATCGAAAGAAGCTCAATGAAAGCAAGAGACGGCTTAGTCCTCGCATGGAAGTGGAAAAAATACCATCAAATAGAAACCAAAAGAATTGATTATAATTCTCATTGAAAATGTGACACAAATATTAACTATAAAAAAGACAATGTTGGGTTTGTGAGTGTGTTTGAAGAAAGGCAAAGCAAAAAATTGATAGTAATCGCATGCACACATTTATATTGGGACCCGAAGCTGGAATATGTGAAATATGCGCAGGCTGCAATGCTGATTGATGAAGTGATAAAAATGAAAAATAAATATCAATGTCCAGTTGTCATTTGTGGGGATTTTAATTCGATGCCTTTTAGCAATGTTTTGAATTTATTTTATGGGAAGCCTTGGAAACCAACTGGGAATAAAGAAATTGACTTAGAAATCGAATCTTTGAGGATAAAGCCGTGGTTTAAGTTTAGGTCATAATTAAATATGGCGTCTCAACTTGAGTCTGGCCTCTCGGCCAGACAGTTTCGAGCCCTATTTAATTATATCCGGCAAGGTTTTGCCTAGCTAGAGATGGACAGCAATATCAGGTAAGCAATTCTGGCAGTGTGCAGAGCCTGATCCTAGTCCGTTCTCAGGTTAGGATTTTTACCTCGAAGGAAAAGGAGGCTTGGAGTTGGAAAGGGAAGCCCAGCAGTGCCTACAGGTAATTCCTAGGCCATCCGGGCAAGTCCCTAGCGAGAAACCGGGAGTTTCGCCCTGGGCTACAAGTTTTCCTTTTTGCCGAAAGTCGGCCAGAAATTCCATTTTTTGGAAATTTCCTAGCAGACAGCCTTCGTTACAGAGAAAGTAGCTCATTCATGAGCCGTCGAAGCCGGAACATCGTGCAGGAGGCGCACGTTGGAGATCAAAGCCAGCTGTCCCAGCAACTGGTGGGCCCCGAGCGACGAGAGCGTGGTGGTAGTCCTGGAAGAGCAATCCCGTAGGAGACGTTAAACGTCATGGTTAATAAGTTAAGTTAGGTTTAAGTTTAGGTCTGCATATGAAAGATATGACGGTAAGGCACATCCAAAGTTCAGCAACTTTACCTTGAATTTTAATGGTTGTATAGATTACGTTTTTCATACGTTTGAGCTTAAGCCAAAGAGAATTTTGATGATCCCGAATGAAGAGGTTGCTACTAAGGAAGGAGCGTTGCCAAATAGTGAATATCCTTCAGATCATTTACCTTTAAAAGTTGAGTTCAGTATGAGCTAATAAAATTAAAATATAATAAGAATGGAAAGCCTAATAAAAATATCTTCGCTGAATTGAAATTTCTCAGATATTTGATAAAATAATAGCTATAAAGGGAATTAATTTGTTTAAAATCAGTAAACCAAGTGCTTTCGATTTAGCTTATTGATTTCTATAATATTTTCTATTCTTTATTTGCTCACCAACTAAGAAATTATATTAAATATTTTATTATTCACTTTAGCATCAAATTATCGCTACTTATCGATGAATACACAAAATAATATTTTAATTCAATTTTTTTTGCATAAATACTAAAATATCCATTTAATCATCATAATGATTATCACAGATCGTCCTCTTGAAAGTCCTACAAGTGAATACGATATTTTAGACTCACCAAGGAAAGATGCAGGTGATAAAAACACTGATACTCCCAGAAGGAGACATCTACCTACCGTTTCTGGAAATGAAGAAGAAGGAACCAAGGTTAAGCTAGAGTGGGAAAATGTAAGCTACGTCATATCAAAAGACAAAGACGAAATCAACATTTTAAAAAGTGTCTCAGGCACTGCGAACCCTGGCGAACTCCTCGTTTTAATGGGCTCATCAGGAGCTGGCAAAACCACCCTGTTGAATGTTTTGTCGGGAAGACTACAAAATACTGGAGAAGCAAAAATATATGGCACAATAACTGCTAATGGCACAAATATCAAAGACTTTAACTTTGAGTACTATTCAGCCTATGTGACCCAAGAAGATATTTTACTTCCTTTTTTAACACCTCGAGAGTCTATGCTTTTTTCATCAAAATTGAGATTGCCAGGAACGCACGAACAGCATGCAGAGAGGGTCGAAAAAATTCTCAATGATTTAAAACTAATGAAAGTTGCCGATAATATCGTGGGAAATGCAATGAAAAAAGGTCTCTCTGGAGGTGAAAGGAAAAGAGTTTGCATAGGAATGGAACTTATTTCGGAGCCACTTATTCTTATATTGGACGAACCAACTTCAGGGCTTGACAGTTTTACAGCAGAAATTGTGATTGATTTGCTTATAGAGCAGGCTAGAAAAGGAAGGACAATAATTTCCACAATCCATCAGCCTAGTCTTAGTCTTAGTCTTAGTTAAAATTATAGAGTAGCTCCCTGCCAGGACCGAAGGTCCTTTTCTTCCGCCTTTTGGACGCCTCTCTTGCTTTCCATGCCCTGCTCCCATCTTGCTTTCCTTGCCCTGCTCCCAGTGTGCACCTAAGTGCCACAGGCTACCACTCAGCTCCTTCCGGTCATGGGGCTTGGTCATGCTATCCCGGAAGTAGGCGGACTGGGCCACCGTGCTTCACGTCGCCAGACTAGGGTTAGAGCTAAGGATTAACTCCTTAGCTCTTGTCGGCTCCTGCCATGCCCTCCAAATTGGCACTAGCGGTCCCTACAGGAAAAACCCTTTTTGCCCCGTGTCCTATCGGGACGACCCTAGGATCGTCGTTGCTGGACTGGGAGGGAAACCTAGCCGGACACAAACTACCAGTACCCATTCCAGACCTTTCCCTGGGCGGATTGGCTTCAGGCCGCAGCAAGGTCCCCAATCTCGCCTCAGTTCCGGGAGAGGACGGGTCGGTGTCGTCGCCATTTTATTTGTGTCCACAATCCATCAGCCAAGCTCCAATGTCTTCAATAAATTTGATAAGTTGGTTTTACTCACTCCCCTTCTTTAAATTGGAACAAAATATAGGTAAAATTTACATGTTTTGAGCGCTTTAGCCAAATAAGAAAATTTTTAAAGGTAAAAATTAAATTAGTTTTCAGTTAATATAATGGGAAAAGTGCAAGTAGAATATTATTTAAATAGTTAACACTGAATCTATGAATTTTTTGAATTAATTCTGTATAAAAATAAATTTAAAGTTCAAAACTATTTTATTTTTTTTTGCAAAAATATTAATCCTCCTTTAAATTGGAGAAGAATGTTTTGTTCCAATTTAAAGGGAGGAGTCAGTGAAGGCCACATCGTATATCAAGGTAGAGCAAAAGACTCAAGAAAATATTTTTCAAAAATCGGCTATAAGTGCCCAAGGCTGATGAACCCTGCTGACTATTACATGAGATTGCTCCATGTAGTTGACAGAAAACATCCTACACAAGAAGAAACCGAAACTATAGAAACATTAGTTTCCTCATACAACTCAAAGCTAGAAAATGAAAATGAAAACCCAGAATTATCTGACTCCCACCCTTTAAATTGGAACAAAATATAGGTAAAATTTCCATATTTTTGTAGATTAAATCAGGAAAAATTCAATTTTTATAATAAAATTTTATTATAAAATAATTTTCTAACCCACCTTTAAATTGGAACAAAATTTTTTGTTCCAATTTAAAGGGGGGAGTGAAGAATTGACCCCTTTGGAAAACCGGCACATTTCGAAACCCTCTGGATCTTTTAAACAATTCTGGGTTCTACTGAGGAGGTCATGGATTAATTCAAGAAGAAATCCACTTTATAGCTGGATTTTGTATATTGAGTATTTAGGGATAGCGATACTTGTAGATATACTATTCCCAAATCTTGGCACAGACTATGAATCGGTATATTCCCGAACCATTATACAGTTTTTATCAATGTTTATAGTTTCTTTTTATTCTGCTCAAAATGCAGCTTTAGTTTTTCCAAGTGAAACTCCTTTGTTTTTAAAAGAAACCAAACAGAGATTGTATGGTGTATTCCCGTATAATATGGCAAAGTCCATTGCAGAAACCCCAACGCAGCTGCTAGCCTTAATATTTTATTGTTTGATGATATATTGGACAGTTGGGTGCAATAACACCGATGCAAGCAAGTTTTGAATTTTCGTTTTGGGCCTTGTCCTTATGCAATGAAGCTCAGCAGGGATTGGCTATATTATTGGCTCTATGTGTAAAACAGAGCATTTAGCAATCGCAATAACCCCACTTTTCCTGACACCACTAGAGATGTATACAGGAGTCGTCACAAATGTTGAAAGCTATCCCAAGTCATTTTTCTGGATACAATATTTATCTGTAATATTTATTTAGCCAATGAGATTTGATATTGAAGGGCTGTGCATTAATGAGTACACTGATTTGCATATGGATTGCAAGACCTGCACTAATTGCTATCGATGTGATCCGTTAAATGATATGAAATTCACAGGGGAGATTTGGCTGTGCTTTATTTATGTAGTTTTGCTGGGGATCGGGTATAGGTTTATTGGATTTTTAATTCTTTGGAAAAAAGCTAGTAAATCAAGGGCTTAATTCGTGGGTATTTATAGTATAGCTTTAAGCTATTCTATGTTTAGATTAGATTAACGATGGGTATTTATACACATCGCTTCTTGAAACACCGTGATTTCCGCAGCGAACGCTGTGGGTGGGTTCGCTCAAGGCAGCTGAGTCCGGGCCAAAACTCCTGGCTTCTTAGTATAGGCATTTTCCCTCCTGATTTGGAAAAAACCAGATTTTGCTGGAACCTCAATGAAACAAATATAATGGTGACGTCACCGACCAGTCCTCTCTTGGACTGTTTTCGAGTTTGGGGACCTTGCTGCGGCCTGAAGCCAAACCGAGCAGGAAACGAGACTACAAGTATTCCTTGCACCAAAAAAAAAACTACGTCCGGATATACATAAGGACACTCGCCACGGTGAGGACAGTTCGCTAGTCACCGGACATTTTATGCATATCCTATTCTATGTTTAAATTAATAAACCATTATAAAATTCATGTGTATTTAATAAATTGATTAGATATTTTGATTTATTTATCATATAAGAGTTTCTATTTCATTTGATTTGCAATATATTTATTTTCTATTAGCTTAATTTTTATTAATTTTAAAATATAAATATCTCTTGTAATAAAAATTACATGAATTAGCTTTCTTCTTGCTCAAAGCTTATGCTGCCTGTAAATGGCGGAGGTAGTTCCAGAAGAAGGCTGTGGACGATCTCCTCGTACCCTGAGCACTACCAGGGGTTAAGAGAGTCCATTGACGCAATTTTTGGTCCAGCTGGTTTGGGTGAGTCTCCCCAAAAGATGTCGGCGTCACACCATTTTTGATGATGTCGACAGAAAAGGGCGTTAGGTGGCTTTAGTGATTGGCGCCACATGAAGCGTGAAGCTGAAGCTCAACTGGTTAGGGGCTGAAATAATCCCCGTTAATCCCCTCTAATCTAACTCTCTCTCTGCCTTGCTCAAAGCATACATAAAAAGCAAATCTCTGACTCTCCCTCCATGAGTGAACCAAACAATTTTGTTTACTCACATATGAGGTTAATTTTTTTTTTTTAAAATAAGTTTTTTTAAGACATAATGGCGTTTTCGCGCCAAATTAAAAAGAGATGTCCCCCGTGGGTTTTCCATCAAAAATTGGCAGTTAATGTAGAGAAAAGTAGCACCTGTGCGGAACAAACTTTTGCAGCATGAAATCTGTGTGGGACGTTATGAGTGTTGGAGATCGATGAAGTGAAATTGAGAATTTACAGGAGCTTTTTATGAATTTTTTGAAGTTGAAAATAAAATTCTGCTGATCTTGTGGAGTTCATGATTTTTAGTGACACACCTTGGACGAGATTGTGCATGTGGTGATTTATTGAAAATCAAAAACATTTTAGCAGCAGCATGGGATTGCAATGGAAAGTAAGAATCGGATTCATTAGAGTGTTTTTTGGGGAATCTTTGTTTTTGTGGAAGTTGCTAACTTATTTATTGAAACTTGTGGAAGTTTTGGATCTTTTGTGAAAAAGAAAGAGAGTAATTCTAATATCCATCAACGATAATGTCTTAGTAATAATTTTTTTTTAAAAAATTTTATTTATAGATTGAGTAAAATTTTTTTTTGAAATATGGAAAATTTGCAAACAAAAAATTAAAAAAATTAATTTAATTTGAAATTTATGCTTTAAAATGCATGCTGCTAACAGATTTAGCAAGTGATTTCATTTATAATAATTATCACTTACATATTAAAATATTTTTTCATAAAAATTTTTTATGTGCATAGAGAGTAATTTTTCAATAATTTTGTTAGCCCACAGAGGGGGAGTAAGGCGTTAAAATTTAACTATTCAAATCAGAGTTTTTCAATCTGAATCTAATAATGAAAATTCATAAAAGTAAATTGCCAGCTTTTCCAAATAATTTATATCTTAATCTCGCTTTAAATGTCAATTTAGCTTAATTGCAAAATATGGTGAAGTCTATTTTTCTGATGTGTTCCAATGAAAATGGATTAAATTCTCGGAGAAGAAATTTTCAATGAATTCTGAAAAATTATTAGTTCTTAATAGGAGAAATCGAAAACTAAAGCAGCAGACTACTAAACCATCAACAATCTTCTTAATAAAATTTTAAAAATTTTTAAATTGAAAGAAGGCTTATTTTAATTTGAAATGTGCATTTCTTTTAAAAAAATTCAGTTCTCGATTCAGTTTCTTTAAAAATCTCATAGAATTTTAGTTACTGATGCCAAAAAAAAACAACCGATAAATGGCACTATGGCAAATGCTTTTTATCTCCCTTTACAAAAAGTTCAAATCATGAAATTCAAAATCTAACCAGCCGTTTTCTTCCTTAATCAAAACCTACCAATAATTAATTTAACCTTATCTAAATCTTGAAATTTATTAAAAGTTTCTATCACAATTCCCACTTTAGCCAAAAAACTAAGATGGTCTTCAAAATCTCATAATAAATAAAAAAATCTTCCGAAGCTTTAGTAAGTCCTTAGCTGTCTATAATACTTGATATTTTAAGCTAATTCTCTCTGTATAAAAAATTTAACTTACTTCTATAACACTTATTTTCGACCAGCCATATTACCATATAAACATAAAATGATAACTCCAGAAAATTTCTCCAAGAGAGACGACGATCAAGAAATTGAAGTAATTTCACTAAGGGCTGACGACCCAAGCATCCTACCCTCAAACGATATGGTAGATCAAGTTCCTGAGGCTTCTCACGACAATAGAACCAAAGTCCAATTGGCATGGAACAACATCAGCTACGTTATAGAGAAGGATGGTGAGGAAACCCAGATTCTCAAAGGAATCTCAGGAAAAGCCAACCCTGGAGAACTTTTAGTCCTAATGGGATCTTCAGGTGCTGGAAAAACTACACTCCTTAATATCTTGGCAGGCAGAGTAAAAAGCAACAATAATGCCAAAATCATTGGAAAAATCACAGCCAACGGGACCAATATTAAAGACATAGATTTCGGGTATTATTCAGCCTATGTAACTCAGGAAGATATTTTGCTACCTAATCTTACCCCTAGAGAGTCTTTAACCTTTTCGTCAAGACTCAGAATGCCTGGCACTTACCAAGAGCATGTAGATAGGGTTAACGGGATCATTCAAGACCTCAGATTGATGAAGTGTGCTGATAATGTCATTGGATGCATCTCATTAAAATGGCGTGACGAACCAACCCTTAACTTAACTCCTGTAGCTGACTTCTGCAAAGTTGTTCAGGGATCTTGAGGAGGATGAGTATCTGGTCAGTTTTTACTTGTTTTCCTGAAGCGAAATGTAGCCGACTGCATGCTTGTATCCAAATTAAGGTTTTTATATCAAGAGGGAAATGGGTTCATGAGTTCAAAGGAATATCCTAGCAGAGCTGTGGCTATCCTAAACAATCATGGCTGCTTCTCAGCGTGAAACCAAGAATTATGCCCTAGGCTTCTGATTTTAATTTTAGCTAAGAGTCACCAGAATTTTAACCATTTGAATATCAATGGCAAGTAAACTTGTTAGGCACAGCACGGCGAACGAATCAAACTATCGGGTAGTGAATACAGGCCCTTTTCTGGCAGGAACAACCTTGGTGATGTTGCGAAATGCTAATTGGCAAGCACGTAGGCAAGCGCTAGGGTTTATAGTTGTCCTTCAAAAATCAAAGTAGACTAATTAAAATTAAGTTAAAGATTAAGTCATTGGAAGCATCACTAAAAAAGGACTTTCAGGAGGTGAAAGAAAAAGGGTTTGCATTGGGATGGAATTGATTACAGATCCAATTGTACTTTTGTTAGATGAGCCGACATCAGGACTTGATAGCTTTACAGCTGAAGTAGTTGTTGATTTATTGATAGAACAAGCTAGAAAAGGCAGAACTGTGATGTCGACTATCCATCAGCCAAGCACCAGCATTTTTGATAAATTTGATAGGTTAGTTTTATTAGCAGAAGGCCATCTTGTTTATCAAGGAAAAGCAAGAGATTCGACCAAATATTTTGCGAAAATCGGGTATGAGTGTCCAAAACTTATGAACCCAGCTGACTATTACATGAGGCTTCTTCATGTAGTAGACAGAAAACATCCAACAGAGGAAGAACATGACAAAATTGAAAATTTGGTTTCTTCTTATAGCTTAAGAACTATTAAAATGGCGTGATTAGATGTGCAAGTTAATCTGGACGCAGAGGAGAGCAGCCATATGGCAATAGTAATCCGGGTGTTTTTTTGATCTAGAGCTTCTTCGACCTTTGTTCCTCCTTGTAGATATTTCTACCTGTCAATGTCTTCAGCACTCCATGGAAGATTACTGAGCCTGTGATACGATTCAGACTACCAGGTATAGGAAGCTCACCATACTTAGAGCCCTATCAGAAGTTGTTAGAAGTTTAGGGAATCCTTGCTGCTTGATGGGGCTCAGAAGATAGTTAGAGCAATCTCCCAAGAGACCTCCTCGTTAACATTTTTTGGTGACGCCGGGACTAAAAGAGCAGGTATGAGGATAGCACTTAGCGCCAACGCGAAGCTGTCCGGAGTTGAATAATCCTTGTAGATCTGTTAGAACTTAATCTTAATCTTATAACTCAATAGAGATGGAAGATGATACTTTCGACAGCACAAAACTTGAGCCTTTAAAAAACAAGCACTTACTCCAGACATTGCTTTGATTATTTTTTTAACAAATAAGTTCGAGAAATTATTTTTAAAAATTTGATTAAATAATTTTTTTTTTCAATTAGGGGTTTAGAGATCTCTGCTAACTTTGCTGAGCAGTTTATATTGCTCTTTAGGAGAGCCTGGATTAATGCAAGAAGAGACCCACTTTCCGGCCGTCTTTTATTCATTGAGTACATTATGGTTGCAGTCTTAGTTGACTTGATCTGCAATAACTTAGCCAAAAACTACGACTCTTCCACAACAAGAACTCAACTCCTCTTTCTTTCTATGTCAACAGTAGCTTTTTTCTCCTGCCAAAACGCAGCCATGCAATTTCCAAGCGAAACTCCTTTATTCCTCAAAGAAAGCAAGCAAAGGATTTATTCCACAATTTCTTACTACCTCTCTAAATCAATTGCTGACCTTCCAATGCAATTTCTTCCACTTTTAGTTTACTGTCTAATGATATACTGGGTAATTCCTTTCAATGATTATGATGCAAGCAAGTTTTTTATTTTTTATTTTGTCCTTGTTCTATTGCAAATTTCTTCAATTGGAATGGGATATATAGTAGGCTCTCTAGTAAAAACAGAAACTGTTGCCCTTGCAATTGTTCCAGTCTTCCTTCAACCTTAATTACTTAAATTTATTAGAGAAGCTCCCTAGGATACCACTTGCCTCAGCATAGCGCTCACCGCTTAATTGCCAGCCTGGACACGCTTTCCACTTTATTGCTCACCAGGGACGAGGGCTTGCACTCCTACCGAGAGTCAGAGACGCTGCTTCACCATACTGTACGTCAAAGGGTCGGCTTTCCAGAATATTCGAAAAAGGAATTTTCTGATCGGATTATCGGCCAAAATGAACCTGCAGCCTAAGACGCAGCGCCTGATATCGCGCTAGGGATTTTGCCCGATTGGCCAAGTGGCATCATCTGGCCTTGCTGGGCGTCTCCTTTCCGGCTCCAAGGAAAGATTTCCCCCAGGGGTAAAACCTACATGCGAATGGCTAGCCCGACATTGCCCTCCTCCAAGCCAGGCAAACCTACCAGCCACAAGTATTAGAGGGCAGGCTGGCTCAGCACACTATTTTAATGTATGTCTTTCTTCAACCAATGATGCTCTACTCTGGATTATTCCCAAGTGTTAATCACTACCCACAAGGATTTTCGTGGATACAGTACATATCTTGTATGAGATGGGCAGTAGAGGCGCTTTGTGCAAATGAATACAACGACCTTGGGATGGACTGCCAACACTGCACAGACTGTAGGAAATGCGATCCTTTGCGAGACTTAGACTTCACAAACAGCATTGGAGTATGTGTTTTATATCTCTGTATTCTCTTATTCGCTTACAGAGTGGTTGCATATTTACTCCTATGGAGAAGAGCTGTTAATTCACGTAAATAAACTAATACACTATTATTATAAGCATGGCTTTTAATTCTTTAAAAATTTTCTATTGGTTTCTTAACTCCCCCCCCCCTCCGTGAGTGAACAAAAAAAATTTTGTTCACTCACGGAGGGGGATATTTTTTTTTTTTTTAAAAAATTTATATATAAATTTTATAAAAAAGATTTTTTTTCGAAATTTAAAAAAATCCTAATTCGCAAAAATTTGAAAGCAAAAATTAATTTAGTTTATAAAATTTATGTTTTTAAAAGCAATTCGTTTAAAATTAAACAGAATTTTCTTTAGATTTCATTATACTAATTATCATTTATATATCAAATTTTTTTTCCATAAAAAATTTGTTCTATTAAAAAAATTTTTTGTTCACTCACGGAGGGTGGGTTTTTGGCAAAAAATAGCGATTTTTCTAATGGTTTTGTTCACTCACGGAGGGGGGGGAGTAAGAGTTTCAGTAAAAAATTAGCTTAATAATTCTTTTACCAGTTATGAATTAGATATAAAACTTGACAGCTCTTCTAAAACTGCATGGAAAATCCTTTTAAACGACGCAATTCCTCCTATCTGTCTTGTAAAAATAACTAAATATTTATCCTGCAAGATCTCAAGGATTTCTACCTCAATTGCTAATGATGGAGAGTCCTTACTATCATAAATCACTTTATAAACCTTTTCTCCTTTCCTTGGCTTCATGCTCGCATTTTTCATTGCTTTCCTGACTGCTCTTTCAGTGACAGCAGGGTCTGCATTTGTAATAAAATGTGTCTGTTCTGATTCTTCAGGGTCAAATAGCTTATTCATAGCGCTCCCAGCGAAATAGTTAAGCATCTCAAAAGCGTTCATCACCCTAGGGACTTCTGACGTTTGTCGATAGAGTTCTGGCATGTCTTCATGGTTGTGTTCTGGGTCTTCAAATATTCCTTCTGGCTCTTCGTAGTTCACCACAAACCAGGGGTGTCGTTTCAGCTTCCTAATACTGAGTCTTGACCTGGGATCTGGGTTCAAAATCGAAGAAATCAGCTCTCTAGCTGAGCTTGATATATTTTCTGGCATTTCATAGTCAGCAGATACAATTTTTTCTATTAACTTTGATATCGATTCTTCTTCAAAAGGCAAGGTTCCCGAAAGTAACGCATATAAAATCACCCCACACGACCACATATCAGCACAATTCCCATCATATCCTTGATTTCCAAACACTTCAGGTGCCAAATAGTTTACAGTTCCACAAGTTGTGTGCATTAGCCCTATATTAACGCTATCAAATTTAAAAAGCCCTGACAGGCCGAAGTCGCTGATTTTTACAGTCCCTTCGCTGTCAAGCAGGACGTTTTCAAGCTTGAGGTCTCTGTGTGCTATATTATGAGTTTCGCAGAACGAAATTGCTGAGATAATCTGCTGGAAATAATACCTAGCTTCTTCTTCAGGCATCGGACCATTTTCTCTGATCTTCATAAACAGCTCTCCACCAGTGACCAATTCCAAGACCAAGTAGATTTTGGAATGAGACGACAGGACCTCATAGAGCTTGACTATATTCGGATGCCGGATATGCTTCATGATATGTATTTCTTGCCTTAAATTTTCTATCAAATTATCTTGCTTTATTTTGACCTTGTCCAGAATCTTAATAGCGAACTGCTCGCCGGTCTCTGTGTGTTCTGCAAGCCTCACTCTGAGTGAAAGTTACTTTCCATAGCTGCCTTCCCCTAAGGTTTTGCCAAGGGCGTAGTTTCCGACTCTCTTTATCATTATTTAAAATGGTGCGTGATTTTTATAGTTAAGGAGGAGAAATTGCTAAATCGTCCTAAATATTAAGATTTTTAAAAGCTGTGACATAAATATGTCTTCTGGTTCATATCTAATTGGAGTTGGTGGAGGTTCAGCCAGCGGCAAAACTTCTATAAGCCATAAGATCCAGGAAGCCATTGACAGCGGGGACTGTACATTGATAAGCTCCGATTGCTTCTATAAGGAGCTTTCCCAAAGCGACCTTCAGAACTTACACAATTATAACTGGGACCACCCAGATGCATTTGACTTCGAGGAAATGCAACACTGCCTGTCCAAGCTTCTGAATGGAGAGGAAGTTAATATCCCTGTATATGACTACGTCAATAATAGACGGTCAGATACCCCCATTGCTGCCAAGCCAACCAGAGTCATAATCTTGGAAGGGATTATGGCGTTGTATGATCCAAAGATCAGAGACATGATGGACTTGAAGATCTTCGTCCACACTGATTCTGATGAGTGTTTAGCACGCAGGATTCTGCGAGATACACAATACCGAGGAAGAGACGTGCTTTCAGTCATAAACCAGTACAGAAGATTTGTCAAGCCGGCTTTTGATGAATTCATAAGCCCAATGATGAAGCACGCTGACATCATTGTCCCAAGAGGAGCAGAAAATAAAGTAGCTCTTGACCTCTTAACCAAAAACATTAAGTTAACGATTGAGAGCTAAACATAATTCAAAAGTAAATTAACATAAATAAATTTTTTGTGAATAAATAAGTCTTGCTCCATTCGCTTTTTTTATTTTTTGAATTTTGATGAGAACTCTAGCATTAATAATTCTTTGCCGCCAACGGTAATTCAAAATTAAAAGGAAACTGCTCCTTTATTTATCAGTTGAAAAATCTAGCTTTATATAAAATTTAGCTTACAATTTTACTCAAAATTGTTTAAAATACATAATTGTTTAATGAAAGAAAGAAGTAAAACCCAAAGAAGCAAAAGTAGTGTATGTGAACGACCATCACTTATAAATTCTTCGTCTCAGCTGCTAAGTCCGAGAGCAAGCAATATTAAAGTCCTAGCTCGATTTAGGCCGCTAATAGACTTCGAAACTGTAAAAATCACATAGGCTTTTTCTGATAATGAAGAAATTGTCTCGTTTATTAATTCCAGGACAATCGGGATTTCCTGTGGAAAAGAAATGGAAACGTTCACTCTTGACAGGATTTTTGATCCAAACTCAAAGCAAGCTGAAATTTTCGATTTTATAGGACGCCAGACAATCCAAGATGTACTTGATGGCTACAATGGGACGATTTTTGCATACGGGCAGACCGGTTCAGGGAAAACTTATACAATGATGGGCTTTGATATATACGATGAAGAAGCCAAAGGCATCATTCCAAGGGCTGCAAGCCAGATTTTCGAATCTGTTAAACAAGATAGTGGAGAAATCGAATATACGTTAAGATGCTCCATGCTGGAAATTTATAAGGTTTGAGTTTATTGAATTTCTCTAGCGTAAGTCCTGTTAACTTGATATCCAAATATGATATTATGTATTGCAATGATTTCTTATCATGCATATGCATGCCATTTTGAATGTGAAAACCAAATATACGTTTCAAAACGCAGATTTTAGTGCAGCAAATTCATAATTTGAAATTTCATATGAAAATGGCGCGTATAGCGTCCATAAGAAATTTTATCAACGGATTATAGCAGCTTTGAACAACGGTAGGTGGATCTGCCTAACCGTTAAACCGTTAAAGTCAAAGTTATCGAGTCTGTACTAGACTCAGCTCTTAAGCCAACACTCTTAAGGTGCTTGAACTCCTCTCACTAAGCTCGGATAATAGGACTAGTCTAACTAGCAGGACTAGGCCCTTATCCCTAACTGCCATTTCAAATATTGTGATTTTATATAAGGAAACCATAAGGGATCTACTTGACCCTGATAATAGAGCACTAAGTATTAAGGAGTGTCCAAGAAGAGGCATTTATGTGCAAGGGCTGAACGAGGTCTGCATTGCAAGTGAAAAAGACATCTTAGATGTATTGACCCTGGGGGAGACCATGAGAACTGTTGCGTCGACAAAGCTGAATAAGGCTTCATCAAGATCTCATATGATTTTTATGTTGGAAGTGCTACAGAAACTTCCAAATGACTCAGAAAAAAGAGGAATTTTAAATTTGGTGGACTTAGCGGGAAGCGAAAAAGTTAGCAACTCAGGCGTGACTGGGAATAATTTGGAAGAAACCAAAAAAATTAACTTTTCACTGTCAGCGTTGGGAAATGTGATACATGCATTAGTGTCTAATAGTGATCATATTCCTTATAGAGACTCAAAACTAACTCGACTTTTACAAGAGTCCCTGGGAGGGAACTACAAAACAAGCTTAATCGTAGCCTGCTCCTCGTTCTCAAAATCAATTGAAGAGACTTTAAATACATTAAAATTTGCCATTAGAGCAAAAGCAGTAAAAAACAAAGCGAAAATAAACATAAAAAACTCCCCAGAAAACTACATGAAAATAATCCAGCAGCTGCGGACTGAGCTTTCTAATGCTAAATCAGAAATATCTCTGCTAAAAGAAGAAAAAGCGTTGACCGTACGTGACTACTCAATGAACCAGTCTTTAAACAACTCTTTATTTCTCTCAAAAAACCTCAGAGCAACCATGTCTGCCAAAAAAGATCGCCCAAAAAATTCAAGGCAGTATTCCAGCATCTTATCAGGAATTGATAATATTTTAGACGAAAATAAAGAAAAAAGTTCGATTTTTGAGTCTTCATTAGCCCTCTCTTTTAATAACACCAGTGAAAAGACTTCTTTGGAGTCTGAAAATGATGGGAAATTAACTGATAGAGAAACTAATGATGGGAGAAACACTGAGAGAGACGGCCTTGGGGAGGATTTAGAAACTACCAAGAAAAGATGTGAATTTCTAGAAGAAGAAAATAAAGCCCTCAATGATAAAATTAAGCGCTTAGAGGCAAAAATATGCTCATCTAAAGCTAAGCGGCTCAAAATTGAGCAAAAAGCTCACGATTATTATGAATCTTTACACAAAATTACTTTGCAAATTAATAAAGAATCCTCAAAAAACTCATTGTTATTGAAGCAAAACGATGCACTTAACAAACAAGTCAGGCGACTTACAAACGCATTAAAAGAGCTAGACCTGAGCTATAAAGCCTTTATAGAAAACCACTCAAAGCTTGAAGGAGACATCACATTTGTTGAATTTGAAGACAAATCAGAGATCCATGAAAAGGAAATTCCTAACGAAAGCCATAACACTGAATTAGACCTCAGTGGCGACTTTGAGCTGTGCCTATCACCCAAAAGGCTTTTTATTGATCCCCAAAGTCTTGTCAACACTAGTATTTATGCCCAAGAACTTAAAAACGCCTTAGAATACAACGCTGAGCTAAGCAAAGATATCACCATTTACCAGCTTAGAAATCAAGTGATCCAAGCAGGAATTTGCAACTCTAATATCACAAGAATCATGAATGGACTTGACTGAAAATTGAATTTAGTTAATCAAAAATACAAGCTGAAAAGAAACCTTTGTAAAAATCAATGCGAACAAATTAGTTCACTTGAAGCAATGATTGACAACTTGCATGAGTCATACCAAAAAATAGTAAAACTGCAAGAGCAAATTGACCAAGGACCGAGGAGAATATTAATTAATGAATCAACAACTACTCCTAGGGTCCGCTTTATCAGATCGTTTACAAGCAACCTATTGAAGAATAATATGCAGATAGTTAAATCCCAACAAGAATTTGTAATGAAGTCTTCTGAGTCACAATTCATTTCTTGCCCCGGGTCTTTTATTGAAAATGATTCTGCAGACTCAGGAATTTTCCTTATGAAATATAAAGCCTTGCTCCCCATTTAAGAGCAGCAAGTTTTTTTTGCTCACTCTTAAAGGCGCTAATTTTTTAAAAAAAAATTATTATAATAAATTATATTTAATAGAATAAAATTTGCAAATACTTGAAAAAGAAAAGTCAAATTTAAGATAATTATTGCAATCTGTCTAAAATTTTAATATAATCACCTTTTAGATCTCATTAAAAAATTAGAAATTCTATATATAAATATTTTAATTCTTTCTTTAAAAGAGGCTAATTTCGATTTCCAATGATTTTATTTTCTTTAGGGAAGGTTAGAAACAAGCTATAATCTCCAGCAGCTTTATAATGCCCAGCTAAAAAAAAGTAACCAAGAATTGAAAAACCAAGCCTTGCAGTACCAAAAATTGCTAGAAAAATTAGAATGTGATATATTTAAAGCGCAGAAAACTGAAAGAGAAAGGTGAAAGTCATTTTTCAGTGAAATGAAAGAAAATTGTGAAAAAGAGCTAGTTAGAAAGCAGCTGGAAATTGCCAAGCTGAATAATGTTTTAGGGGAATGAACAACGAGGTATATGGAGCTTCAAGATTCATATGGAAATAGACCAAAGAAATTAAATATGATATTTAAACAAGGAGATGATGTGACGCCAAAATCAACTTTAAATATCCCTGACAATGGGGCATATATGAAAGTGCTGTTCCAGAATTCGCCTTTGAATAGCAATAGAAGGGCAAGTCCTGGGCCACCAATAAGGCGTGATGTTTTGCCTGGGGATAAGACGCCACCCCAGTTTTTTTAATTCATAATAAGTGTAGTGCTAAGTTAATTATATAAAATATATGCATAATTACAATAAATGAAAGCATTCCTACTGATTAGCCCTTATCATACTTATTATTTGAAATAAAGCAGCTGAATCAGTAGGAATGTTATATTTTACCTTAATCAGCTAATACATTTTCTCAAAATATTTATTTTTGGATTTTTCTTAAAAATCATTCAAAAATTAATCTGTGAATACTATCAATTTCATACACAAATTTATATGCAGCCAGTGAAGCAGAGCTTAAAAGTACAGTGAAAAGTATCTACCATTGATTTTCATCTTTTCTTTATTTTAAGCTCATAAATATCTTTTCCCATAAACATAATGTCATCGCACAAAGAAAGAAGCCTTCTCAGAAGCCACACGATGTTTCCCCAGCGGCGTGACTCCACAGCACCATTTCGACGTGACTCAAAAAGGCACGATTCCACAAGCTCAGTCACTCAATTGCCTTTTTCACGTTCTAGCAATGTTAAAGTTGTTGGCAGATTTCGGCCACTCGTAGACTTCGAAATCGTATGTCTTATTTAGGTCCTTCCAGGCGTTCAAGAAATTATTTCTTTCATAGACGAGAAAACTGTTGGAATTCCATATGGAAAAGAAATGGAAACTTTTAAACTTGACCGAATTTTTGACCCAAATTCGCACCAGTCTGAGGTCTACGAATTCATAGGAAGACCTACAATAGAAGACGTCCTTGATGGCTACAATGGGACGATTTTTGCATATGGGCAAACTGGCTCTGGCAAAACTTACACTATGATGGGCTACGATTTTTATGACGAAGAATTCCGAGGCATCATCCCTCGAGCTGCTAGCCAGATTTTTGAATTCGTAAGGCAAGATAACGGAGAAATCGAGTACACATTAAAATGCTCAATGCTAGAAATTTATAAAGAAACAATTAAAGATCTTTTAGATAACGTAACCAAAAGTCTCAGCATAAAAGAATGCCCAAGGCGAGGAATATATGTGCAAGGGCTTAACCAGGTTTGTGTGACCTCAGAAAAAGGGTTACTTGACCTATTAGCACTAGGGGAGACGATGAGAACGGTGGCGTCTACAAAGCTGAACAAAACATCCAGTAGATCCCATATGATGTTTGTACTGGAAGTTTTGCAAAAATTGCCGAATGATTCAGAAAAAAGAGGGATTTTAAATTTAGTTGATTTGGCAGGGAGCGAAAAGGTAAATCATTCCGGAGTTACCGGAAACAATATGGAAGAGGCCAAAAAAATTAATTTGTCGCTATCTGCGTTAGGAAATGTGATTCATGCATTAGTACTAAATAATGATCATATTCCTTATAGAGATTCAAAGCTGACAAGGATTTTGCAAGAGTCTTTGGGAGGGAACTATAAAACGAATTTAATAGTAGCTTGTTCTCCTTCCAATAAATATATAGAAGAAACAATAAACACCATGAAATTCGCGATTAGGGCCAAGTCAATAAAAAATAACGTGAAAATTAACATCAAAAATTCCCCAGAAAATTACATTAAGCTAATTGAGCAGCTAAGAGCTGAGCTCACAAATGCGAAATCTGAAATTTTGCTTCTCAAAGAAGAAAGGCTGCTTACAGAGCCTGGGAGTTCTTTAAGCAGCTCTATATCAAATTCACCTCTCCCAAGGCTTTCCTTCCCAGGCTCAGGTAGCAGTTCTTTATCATCAACAATGAAAAGATTCCAAAACGATCTAAAAATATTTACCTGCCTTGGAGATCCTATTGAAGAGCTTGAAGGAGGCAATAATTCTATTTATGAAGTAGACTCTTTAGCTTCTTCCTATGGAAGCAGCCTTGATAGATCAGGGCTTGAATATGAGCTAGAGTCTGTCAGCTACTGCCAGCATAGAGACAATATGCAAGAAGATCTAGAAAGAGCTATAGATAGGTTACAGAAAAAATCACAATCTTTACTCCCCCCCCCCTCCGTGAGTGAACAAAAACATTAGAAAAATCGCTATTTTTTGCCCAAAAACCCACCCTCCGTGAGTGACAAAAATTTTTTTTAATAGAACAAATTTTTTATGGAAAAAAAAATTGATATATAAATGATAATTAGTATAATGAAATCTAGAGCTAATTCTGTTTAATTTTAAACGAATTGCTTTTTAAAACATAAAATTTATAAATTAAATTAATATTTGCTTTCCAATTTTTGCGAATTAGGATTTTTTTAAATTTCGAAAAAAAAAATATTTTTTATAAAATTTATATATAAATTTTTTTGAAAATAAAAAATTTAGCCCCCCTCCGTGAGTGAACAAAATTTTTTTTGTTCACTCACGGAGGGGGGGGGGAGTTAGAAGAAGAAAACCAAATCTTGACTGAAACAGTCAGAAATCTTGAAGCAAAATTAGCCTCTTCTAAAGAGAAAAGACTTAAATTAGAGCAACAGTCTCACGAGTACTATGAAAATTACCATAGAACTGCATTATTGATCAATAAAGAATCATCTGAAAACAGGCTATTGAAAAGACAAAACGAAAGCCTAAATAGGCAAATTAAGCGTCTTACCAAGTCCCTGAACGAAATTGACTCAAAATTCAAAGCTTTTGTAGAGAGTCAGACTAAGACCATCGATCTGACGTGCGTTGAGTTTGATGAGCGCTCAGAAATGACCGGCCAGGAGTTTCCAGTTATCACAGAAGTCGATGAAGTTTCTGTTGACCCTTGCTGTGATGCCACTAACACTTTTGAGCTCGATTTAACGACCAGAAGTATCACAATTGAGCCTCATAGCTTGATAAACACCAGTGCCTATGCAAAAGAACTGCAAAAAGCCTTAGAGTCCAACGCAGAGTTATCAAAAGACATCACTGTTTTCCAATTAAGAAACCAAGTCATTGAAGCTGGCATTTTCAACGCAAATATGACCCGCTGTATGCAAGGGCTTAACTGGAAGCTTAATTTGGTGAACTACAAATATGAAATCAAAAGAAACCTCTGCAGATTTCAGTCAGAAGAAATAAAATCATTAGAATCAATGCTTGACCATTTGCATGAATCTTATCAACACATGATAAAACTCTATGAGCAAATTGATAAAAAACCAAAAAGACGCAATAGTTCTGACTCCACCGGTCAAAATAAAGGTCACTTAATAAAATCTTTTACAAGTAAAAAGTCACAGGAAAAGTCTAAAGGACAAGACACAGAATTTAAGCAAGAGCCAAGTGTGAAATCTTCAGATTCACATTCAATTGTAGGTGTTCACGGATCGTGGGTGGATCCTCCTTCTGTAGAAACTTCTGAGTTCTATATGAGGTACAAAGCACTGGAAACTAATTTCCATTTGCAGCAGATGTATAACTTCCAGCTGAAAAAAGGCAACGAAGAGCTCAGAAAGCAGACAAAGCTGTACCAAGAAATGATCGAGAAGCTGGAGAATGATATTTTTTCCGCCCAAAAAGCCGAGAGAGAAAGATGGCAAGCGTTTTTCTATGATTTAAAAGAAAACTGTGAAAAAGAGCTGATCAGAAAACAATTAGAAGTAATTAAGCTTAATGAAGTCCTAGGAGAATGAGCAACGAGGTATATGGAGCTGCAAGAGTCAATTGGTATAAAAGGGATAAATAAAGCTGAGATACAGCTAAAAACCTTGCAGGAACTTAAATTATCTACACTGGCTACAGATATGTCAGAAAATTCACAGCTGAATTCGTTGTTTTTGAACTCCCCTCTCAGCATACGATCCAAAATCGAGTCTCCTATAAAGCGGGCAGTTTCACCTGGAGACAGAACCCCTCCAAACTGTTTTTAGCACTATTAATTAGTCAATTAAAATTTTTCTTATAAAATAAAGCCTCCTTAAATTAAGAAATAAACAACGCTCGCAGCCAACACATATGCACTGCTTAAATCATTATATTCAGTCACTGTATTGTAGTAAGCACTTGTATAGATTTCTTGGACACACTGGTCATTGTTTTGGATCTGTGGGTAATTATACAAGCTATAATACCTATATGCATAAGTCAAGTAATTTTTCTGGCTCCAATAGTGCTTCATGCAGTTCATTGACAGTCTTCTTACCGAGTGGCATTTCTTTATTGCATCACTTGAAAGCCATTTGCTTAGAATATTCAGATAGGCTAGGGTTGCAGGGTCTCCCGGGAACTGGCTGCAGTATGCTTGGGCTTGAGGATTAAATCCACATTCACACTCAGAGTAAAATACTGTAGGATTTGGGGTAGTGTTGTAGTAAGTGGAGATGCAGTTTGCATTAGAAACACATTTCACAGGGGGAGTTTGGTCTGATGGGATAAACCCTACACATATATTGTCTGCACACATAGTGCTTGCACACAAAAAGTTTTCAGGCTGCGTGCAATTTACATATTCAGCTTCTTCCCTTGACAAATAGTCATAGCATATGTTATTTTCACAACCAGCCCAGTTCTGGCAGTCATAATCACTTGTGCAGCCTTGTCCTTCTGAATATGGAACTCCTGTTGACAATAATAAAGTGCAGTTGTATCCAGTACCTAATTGAGTACACTTAAGACCTGGGTCACACTCGTCTGAAACTGTGCAAGGATCAGCTGCTTGGAGACCTTGGCATATGTTATCATCGTTGCAATATCCATAAGCACAGGTAGAGTTGCTTGTGCAAGGCTCTCCAGGCCAAGCAGTGTGATATGTAGAAGGAGGGAGAGGGATGCAAGAACTGTTTCCACGGTGGGTTATAGGTGGACAATAAGTAAGGCCTGGAATCTTCCCACAGGGATTTAAGTAGAAACTCGAGTCTTGGTAAAATACACAGGTTTCAGGGAGAAGATTGAGATTTTTATTGCAAGAATAAGAAAAGCAGTTAAGATTGGCTGAAATGAGGTCGTCATCAGTATAATAAAAGGCTGAGGCCAACGAAAGACTCAAGAAAAGTTGAATCATTTATTAGACAAAAAGATGGAGATTAAACGTGAGAATTAATTATTATTAGTCACTCGGAGCCAATGTACAAGTGGCCCTTCCGTTTTTGGCTACCAGAGAATGCATAACTTTGAGCTCGTGGACGTTTTTTACAGTGTCTTTATAATCGAATAAGAATTTGTTGGTTTCTTTATCTAGCAATACAAAGTTTAGGGATCTGTATTGAGAAATAATTTCATTCATTTCGTCAGTTGTGCAAGCCTTCATAAGCTTATTTAGGATCCCTTTTTCACTTTTGAAGCTTTCTAAGCGAGAAATTTGGTCATTTGATAGAGAACGAGCTGATTCCTGCTGAAAAGTCTTAGATAGGTGGCTGGTGTAGTTCAATTGGTTTCTGTTTATTTTACTTAGCTGGGAAGGGATTCAGGAAAAAATGTAAAAAGCTTTGAAAAGCTGAATTGGGTCTTCTGGCATTTTAAATCTTCCGATTGGAAGCAAGATAAAGCTTTTAAATAATTCAATTAGCTGCTTGTCTAAAAGGATCCGCCGAATTTCTGATAAAAGCTGATATGAGGCCGCAGTTTCAGCTATGGACTGCTCAAGGCTGGATTGCTGTAGGGCTCCTGGAAATTTACTTTTTAAATTTGTTAAGAAACTTTTTTTGGCAGCGAGTTCAGCTTTTTTTGCTTGGACAATTCCTCCTTTAGAGCCAAAAACGACACCTATCGTTCTTGATTTGGTTTCTTGGTATAGTCCCATTAAATCTTCTTGGATGTTCAACCTAAAATTAGACTGGAAATGTGGCAGAATAATTGGGGTTTGAGGAATTTCTTGTTTTTTCACAGGAGGAGCCTTTTTTACAACTGGAGCAGGAGTTTTTTTGCCTCTGCCGCCTGAAACTACTTTTCGAGACATTTCTAATGCTTGCTCTAGTCTGCTGTCTAACTTGGGATCTGCACTTTGAGGGTTTGAATTTTGGATTTGTTGGGTTTGGTGAATCCTTGGCTGTTCTTTGAATAGCACCTCTTCGTAAGATTCATTGATGAAATTGAAGAAAAATCCTCTTACTCCTCTTGGTTATCGAGCAATTAAGAAACCTGAAGGATTGACTCTCTTTTATTACCAAGCCATCAATATTAAATTAATATAAATTTTTCTTATTTTAATATTCGAAAAAAAATTTATTGAATTTTTATTTAATCCAGCAAGAATATCCTGTTCAATAATAGTACGGGAGTTAATAATACTTGCTTGTACTCAGAAATCAATGAATTCATCAAAATTTCCAATGACCCGTCCATGGCTGATTTATTAAAAAGACTTTAATAATAGTTATAGCGCTTTCCAGGATGGCGCCATCCTCGGGAAAGCCAGGAAGGCATCCACACGGGAACTGGGAGTTCCACGTGTGGATGCCATTTTGACATGTGGAAGTTTGGATCCCACATTTCAAAAATGGCATCCACACGTGGAACTCCAGTTCCCGTGTGGATGCTTAGTTGACTTTCCCGAGGATGGCGCCATTCCGCGCCATCCTCGGGAAAGCGCTATATATAATTGCTTGGCATGATTTGCGAGTTTACTTATCCCCCTCTCCTTTAAATGGGAGTTAAATAAGGTTAAATTGCATTTTTAGGGTACTTTAAACTCTTCCTTTAAATTGCAACATTTTTTCCCAAATAGGATAATTTTTTAAGTGAAAAGTACTAATTTTTCTTAAATTAAGATTGACCAAATTTAATGGAAAGAGCTATTAGGTGGGCTTCATACCCGATACTCTCAGATATTACGCTTCTATTATCCAGCTTAAAACGCTGAGTACGAAATTTTTTTAACTAGCCGAAGCCCTTCATGGTCATAGAAATTGGCCTTTATCTCATCTGTCCTTAAATCTTCAAAGAATAATCCTTATGAAATAATAGCCTGAAAAGTAATAATTCAATAAATCTAAATAATATTTATACCTATACCATGGAGTCTCAAGCAAAGCTATTGACTTTAAATTTTTGAGAGACATACTTAAATTAGTCTATTAAATTCTTCATTTTAGTATAATATTTTCCTTGGAATAACCCCGTGGTCAAAATAATGGCTTTATAGAGTTATTCTAAGAAAAAACCTATATAATTTATTGCATTTGTCATTTTATTTGCTTTAAAATCTCTATTGTAATTTTTAAAATTCTTTTCTTAATCTGAACTTATTGGTTGTTATTTTGATAGTTTTAATTATAATGACTAGTGAAAGGGTTCCAATAGTAGGCTCAAAAGATTCAGAAAATCTGTTACTAGACTCATGCAAGTCTTGCACAATTTATGAAGAAAAAGTATCATCAAATCATAAGGCTCTTACAACTCCTCTTGAAGTGAGCAATGGATAATCCAAATTTTTGGAAATTATTCCTTTTCATTAGCGATAAAAAATTGTTTTAATATAATTTTTTTTATACAAATAATAATTTTATATATTCTTAATTATGATTATATAAACCTCTATCAAATTTTAGGCACCTTTGTTGTAAAGCATAAATTTTATTTATTAATTATATTTTTCATTTCTATGGAATTTTTAATTTTTTTTTATGAAATTAATAAATGAGCAAAGAGTTAGCAACCTAAAAGAGACTCATGCTCTTATCCTAGAAATCGCAAGAGCCCTGCATCCTGAAATAATTATTTCAACGGATATAACAAGCCAAGAGTTAGCCTTAGATTTAGACTTACTTCACAAAGGCAGAGGCCAAGCATCTGCAAAAGAAGCTGAACACCTCCGTTCTCTCATCTTAGGCCTCAATGAAAAACTAAAAACCTACCAAACAATCGAGACTCGTATTGAAGAATTCAGCCAGCAAGCCAAACAAGGAATTTCAGCCCGAGAAATTTTGCATAAAACAATCAAAGAAACCCTTGAAGATGTTGAAAAAATAAAAATACAGCAAAATGAGAGCTTACTCACTCAATCACTGACTCCCCCCCTTTAAATTGGAACTAAAAATTTTGTTCCAATTTAAAGGGGGGTTTAAGAAAATTTTTTAAAAAAAAAATTTATATAAAATTTAAAAAAAAAAAAAAAATTTCAAAAATTTATCGAATTAGATTAATAAATTTGTTTAATAAAATGCTATTTACTCTTTATCCTTTAAAACAAAGCAAGATATAACTAAAATTTTATTATTAATTAATACGCCACTATTAATTGGTATCAAAACTATTTACACAAAAATTATTATTTTTATTGATAAAAAAAATTAACGAAAAAAAAATTTTAGAAAATTTATTAATCAAAGTGCCAATTTTGTTTAAATAAGATTATATTTATACTCTATTCTTTAAAATAAAGCAAGAGATAAGTAAATTTTGAATTTTTGTAAGAATTCGCATTGAATTTATATCAAAGCTATTTAAATAAAAAATATTATTTTTATCAAAAAAAAATAAAATTTTTTTTGGAATTTTTTTTAAAAATCTACAATTAAGGATAATAAATTTATTTAAAATAAGATGCTCTTTATACTCTATTCTTTAAACAAGAGCAGGATATAACTAAATTTTTAATTTTAGTTAAGAAGAAACATTTAAATTATATCAAAACTTTTTACATAAAAATTATGATTTATATATATAAAATTTTTTATTATTAAATTAAATTTTGTTCCAATTTAAAGGGGATTAATTTACCAAAAAAAATGGAAATTTTACCTATATTTTGTTCCAATTTAAAGGGGGGGGAGTGAGGGAGCAAAACTATTGGAAAAATCCAGATTGAGAGCCAAAAATTTGTATAAAACATTTGATATATAAATGATAATGAAATTTCGAGTTATTTTTGAATTTAAATATTTTTCATTTTAAAGCACTAAGTTCGCATATTAAATTAATTTTTTAAAAATAAAAATCCCTCTTTAGAAACGAGCACATTTTTTTGCTTGCTTACAGAGAGTTAAATTAGAGAAAATGAAAAAAGAAAGAGACCGAGCTATCGAATCCCTAATGGAACAGCATCTTAACTTAAAGCGTAAAATCCTAGATGAAGAAAAAGTTAAATGTGAGCTAGAAATAACAAAAGCAGAGCTAGAAAAAATCAAAGCAGAAGGCAGAAATTTTGATAATATGCAAGAAATGATTTCTCAATTGAAATTCAATGTAAAAGAAGGCGAAAAGAAAAGAAATGAATTAAGGAATTTGTATAGTAAAAGTATTAGTGATTTTGATGAAAAACGAAGAGAAATGGATCGAGAAATAGAAAATGTGATGAAAGATAACTCTAATTTAAGAGATGAACTAAATTCAGCTAAAAAAACAATCAATGAACTGAGTGTACTTAATCAGGAAAAAGCTAGTCAAATTATCAATCTGCAAGCTGTAAATGAAAGCCAAAATAGAGAAATATTGAACTTAAAGGACCAAGAAAATAAAGCACTCCAAATGGAGAAACTTTCAAAAGCGCACCAAGAGGAATGTGTATCGTTAAATAAAAAAATCAAAGCCATTAGTGAAGAATTCCAAGCAGAAATAGCAAAATTAAATAAAGAAAAAAATGAAATTCTCAATAAAAATCAATTGCTTAAAGGCGACAATAATAGGCTTGAAGATACTATAAATTCTCTTAAGCAGGACCTCACCCATTCCTACAATAAGCAACAGGACCTTAACACCCACATAGCTCAGCTAGAAGAAAGCTTAATCCTCCATCATGATTCCTCAGCAATTCAAGATCAACTAAATCAAGTCAGCCAATTTACCTTAGATATCCATAAGCAAGTCTATAAAGAACTAGATGGTATGAGCGAGCATATTTTAGCCCAATCAGAACAAGCATTAGGCCAACAGCGAACTATCAATAAAGTATGCTCAGTTGTCTCAGAAAAAGAAGCAGAAATCGAAATCCTCCGAGAAATGATTGCAGAAATGCAAAAAGCTAGGCCAGTATATGTTCCGGTAAAAGATGACCCTGTTGATGCTGCTATAGCTGAATATATGAACTCTCGTGAGCAGCCTCTAGAAGTCCCATTTGTAAGAGAAGATGAAGGTCTCTACCTTTTTGGATCCAAAAAAGTGTTCATTAAGATTGAAAACGGAAAAATTATTATCAGAATTGGTGGAGGTTTCATGCAAATTGATGAATTTGTGGACGCTTATACTTAACTTAAAAAAATCTAAACTGCTTAGCATCCACTACGGACGACCACAAAAAGCTTCTGCCATTTCTACACGTGCCGGGTAAAAAGACTTCTGGGCCGACCTGCTTCGATTCGCAAGAGCATGCTTGAAAACGGTGCTGCCACGGCTCAAGTGTCAGCGACTTTTGTCTTACTTGACGCCGGTAGCGGCTAAAGGCTCTTTTGCTGCCGCAGATTGGAAGTGGGAAAATCACAGATTTTCAGATTCCCTATGGACAGGCCAAATGGCAGACCCCTCCAAGTTGATTCCCTGTTTTAGCCAGGATATAATTCGCATGCAAAACCAATCCTCATAATTAAAATCGGAATGAGTTGAGCAGATCGGCATATCGGTACCTTACTAATGCCACCATTTCATGATTATGTAGACACTTATACAGTTATTGAGCTAGAAAAATTCGCAGCAATTAAGAAAGCTGAATCTAATCCTAATAGAAAAACCTTTATGGGAAAATTAGCAAGCACTATTGGTAAGATATAAGTAGTTAATGAGCAGACAAAAGGAAAAGTGGACGTATCTCCACAAAAAGCAGCAAAAATTCTTCAGGACGTGTTTGTTAATAATAAGCCTGCTTTTACTACATGTATGGCGATACCAAGAAAAATGACTAGCTCAAGACAAGGGACTATGATACCTAAAGAAAGCAAAGGCTCTGATTCCCCAGTCAGAGTAGCAAAACGAAAAAGCTCATTGGTAGATTTTCGTAGGTCTGCAACTAATCTTAAATAATTAATTTTAAGGTAATAAACTATTGTTTATCGTTGCACCTAGCAGAAATGGCTAGGGAAAGTTTTTCAAAGCTTTCTCTCATCTCTTTTTGCCCATTCTCTACAAGCGTTTTAACACTGCTAATTTCTTCCTTAATTTGTAAATTTTCAGCCTGGAGAGCTTTGATATTTCTCTTCAATAAAGTTATCCCTGGGTCTTCGCCCTTCACTTCATTAGTATCTTCTTCAATGCACATCTGGTAGTAGCAAGGATCAAAAAAGTCTCTATTCTTAAATAGAATTGTTTCAATTTCAATTATCATGTCTAAAAGCTCATGGCTGTCACAATTTGGTAGTTTTCTTGGACTTTTCCAAAAGTGTCCCCCATAATTGCAATAAGTAAATTTAGCATGACAATCATGTTGATCATGGAAACCAAAAAGAAGCAAATCCACTGCATTGAGTTCATATCAGCGGTGTCAAAGTCTCCTACATCAAATCTGTAAGATATTTTTAGATAGTCAATAAACTGAGGGTTATTGTTATCTAGCACCAAAAAGATAAATGCAAAAGAAAGAGTTGAATAAAAAAGGAGGATTAAAAAAGAAGTCATGTCTTTAATTACTTCTGAGATGAGATTTACCATATATCTTGTATTTGAAAACACTCTAAAATAAGCTATTCCTCTCAGCCATGAAATTATGACTAAAAATGAAAGCACTTCGCGCGTTATGGTTGAAGCTGAAGTAGTTAAAGATATAACAAAGTATAAGATTGAAGAAATTGTTCGTGCAATATCTATATAATTCCATAGGTCTTTGATATAACTCAGCGGAGAAGCAAAGAACTGATAGACCTCATAAAGCGATAGAAGCATGCTTAAAAAGAACAAAACGAATAGGAAGCTATCATTTTCAATGAAATAAAGAACATAAAAAGAAAGCAAGAGCATATACAGCATATAGACAAAGGCTTGAAAATACATTACCCAGCTGATTTTTCTTCACTTATAACGAATGATATCTTGAATTAAAGAAGTCATAATGATATTTGGATTTGGAGAGTCATGAATGCTATATAGAAAATCAATTGATTTCTGCGACCCAAAAGTCAGGTCTAACAAAATATGTGAAGACATAAACGCGATAGGCTTTTCTTGTTCTTTTAAAGCTTCTTTGCTAAGAAGATTGCGATTTTCAATGTAAATATTTTTTGATAAGAACTGAACTGGAAGCTGCGCTGAGTTACAGCAAAATTTGGCGAGGTGCTCACTCGTATCTTTTCTAAATATTGATTGATAAAATGTCACTAAAGAGCCGCAGCTTGAAAGATTGAGCTTGATTAAGCTGTCAATGCTCAAATTCTTTAAGGAATAAGGGTGAATCACTAGATAATTATCAAGTGAGAGAATGACTGAGGTGATGCAATTTTTGAATCCTTTTAGTATTGCAATTGATAAAGGATTTTGGTTGAAAACGCTATTAATCATTGAGGAGCCATTTTTAAGTGCCTTTTTCAAGTGATATGGGTAGTTACAATACGCATAAAGATGCAAAGTGTTATTAGTATATGGCTAGAAATCGCGTTATAATAGCGATCATGTCCGATTAATCATTTTCCGTTATTGAGATTCTAACAATCGGCGGCTCTATACCTCTTATTGTATGAAGACGAATATTTTTTCTCCAGTCCCAAATATTAGTCGATGAATCAACAGGCACCAAAATAAGCATTTCTTCGTTATGAGTTATATTCATTGTATAAGTTTTGCAAGTTTCTGTGATTACTGAAATTTCTTTTGTGGTTTCAATATCCCATACCCTTACAGTTTTGTTTTGAGCCATTCCTGCTATTGCATTTGACTTAGCCAAATAGCACATTGTTCAGGAAGTGGAATCATGCCCTTTAAATTCTTTAAGTATAGTCATTGATTCACAGTCCCATAAAAGCACTCTCTTTTCAGTTCCAGTCATAAAATATTTTGTGTCCGGGCTGAAAGCTACCGACCTTATCATTTCATAGACATTTCTGTCTAACTCCTGGAAAAAAAAATATCAATAAAATTTTGCTTTTTTACACTTTAACCTCTATGGAGCAATTTTTTTCAATAAGAAAATTTTATTTATAAAAAATAATTAAACCTAATTTAAGAAAAATGTAAACTGTTTTCACACTGAATCAATAAAATATTTAAATTATTAACCATAATATTGAATAAAAAATTCAAAGCATTGCGCTCAATATATTTTTCCACATTTAATTTTTTTTAAAAAACATTAAAGGTGAAAATAACAATTTTTATAAATTTAGTTTTGGTCTAATTTAATGGAAAAAATGCAAATAGAATTTTATTTTAACAGCTTTCGAGATAAATTTGATTAATTTTTTATTAATTCTTCGTAGAACTAAGCACATGTTCAAAGTGTTGTGATTAATTTACATTTTTACAAAGATAAAAAAATTTTAACCCCCTTAAAACAGATCCAATTTAAAGTGATGGAGTAAGGTAATAGTCGAAATTGTTTTAGTTGGAATGTTTACTTTACTAAAAGTATATACTATTCTTAAAAAACTTGACGGTTTAGAAATCGTCAGCTTCACCAATTGGAACTTATGTTAACGGAATTGCTAAAATCAATAAATAACTTTGCCATTCAAGGGTGTTAAGTTCTTTAAGAATAGTATAATCTGAATAACAATAGACAAAAAAATTTTCTTCGTTTTGAACTTCTCAGCCTCCTGGCTTGTTTTCAATAATATTCTCTGTTTTATCAGTTTCAAAGTCCCATGTCTTGAAATAACCATCTTCCTTGATTACCATTTTAGTTCTATCTAGGGGCTCATTGCTAGTAATAATTTTTGATTTTTCTCATTCAAGCACAGGAAAAGCCAACACATAAAACTGTCTTTTTTTCCCATTAATAAAAACTAAGCTATTGTCTATGCTTTGTGTAATAAAAATTATTTGAAAATCAACGTTTACTGTTTCTTTGTCTCTAAAGCTACTTAAATCATAGAAATGTAGGACTTCTTTATCTGGAAACAGAATAAATTTGTCGTCATTAGTCATGGAGAAGGTGCCAAATCTATTTTGAGACATGAAAATCTCTTGGATCTTTTCTAGAGTTCCTGAGTTTAAAATAACTATTTTTTCGACGTAGCTAATAATAATCATCGATAATTGAGGCTAGAATTTCAGTTTGATACTTTTTGGTTCGATCGCTACTTCAGCAATTTTCTCGCTTTCAGGAGACAAAAGCACTAGTCTGTCCTCAGAGGAAATAAGAGCAAAATAGCCTTTATTTGATATATCGATTTTGGTAAACTTGCCTGAAACCAGCGTTTTTGATTCTCCTGGATCAGAAAAGCTTATCGAAGTAATTTCATCATCAAAAAGAGCAATTAAACTTTTCTTATCCCAAGAATTTTTTAAACAAACAAGATGCTTGCCCTCAAACTTTCGAAATGACTTAAACTCCAGAGAAGGGATACTAATGCAGAAAATTTCATTTTCCCTTGAAAAATAAGCAATTCTTTCATTTTCCAAAACAGCAATTGAAAAAGGGCCAGCTGAAATTTTTTTTTCATCTAAGTGCTGAGTTACAGCATTAAAGTAAAGAATATTACCTTTAGTAGTAGAGACTAAGTAATGGATTTCATCTGAAAATGGCATCATTTCATCCACAAGGAAAGGAATATTGATTGCATGAGGCAGCTTTTTCTCGAACTCCAAAGAAATATTAAGAACTGCTTGCTTCAGGGATAAAAGTTCTGGCTCACTTTCATTTTTGTGAAATAACTGGGTTGTTGATACAGAAGCTTGCATCTTTTGAAAACTTATATTCGGTTGATCCAGCTTCTTTTCAAGCAGTGGCTCCAAAAGGCTCAATTTATCCATTTTATAATAATCATGGTATAAAATTAGCAGCTTTTAAAGAAGCCCGATTTTTATTATCTAATAAATAATTTTGACGATTTACCTATACAACCTTAAATCAGATTTTTTATGCTTTACGCTGGACTGTGCTGGCTAGCTTAAAGCTAATTAAATATGGAAAGCCTTCCACCAAATTATTTCTTTTATTTAGTATTGAAATTCTGTTTTTGCAATGCTGAGCATCCCACATATATTGAAATTGCTAAAGAATATATTAGTTGAACTGATCTTTACTTAGTGATTATAGTATTAGTGCGAAATTTTACTTTCCAAAGCTATTTAAGATAGAAACAGATGCAAAGTTAATTAAGGATCTCTCTTGAGCACTCAATATTACGTCACATGAAAAGAGTTTCCATCCTTGCATCTGATTTTCTTACTTTGCCTGTACCCTCCTACTTCGATTAGACAGGCTTTTAGCTATAGGTATTAGATTTGGATGGTTTTCCTCCTAGCCTTAAGCTCTCTGAATTTGTATGACGCCCGAAAGGTCCCAGTCTCACCTCCTAAGGGTCCCAGTCTCACCTCCTAAGGTTGGTATCGTTATTTGCAGATTTTTGAACTTTACCATTAATTCTAAAAAATATCTATTTATCTAAGAGTGTGCTCCAACATTCGCATCGATGGCTCTTAATGACTCATTGTTTTCGAATAATTAGCTAAGGTAATAGTCGAAATTGTTTTAGTTGGAATGTTTACTTTACTAAAAGTATAATCTGAATAGCAATAGACAAAAAATTCTCTCTCGTTTTGAACTTCTCATCCGCCTGGTTTGTTTTCAATAATTTTTTCTGTTTTATCAGTTTCAAAGTCCCATGTCTTGAAATAACCATCTTCCTTGATTACCATTTTAGTTCTATCTAGGGGCTCATTGCTAGTAATAATTTTTGATTTTTCTCATTCAAGCACAGGAAAAGCCAACACATAAAACTGTCTTTTTTTCCCATTAATAAAAACTAAGCTATTGTCTATGCTTTGTGCAATAAAAATTATTTGAAAATCAACGTTTACTGTTTCTTTGTCTCTAAAGCTACTTAAATCATAAAAATGAAGGACTTCTTTATCTAGAAACAGAATAAATTTTTTATTATTAGTCATGGAGAAGGTGCCAAATCTATTCTGAGACATGAAAATCTCTTGGATCTTTTCTAGAGTTCCTGAGTTTAAAATAACTATTTTTTCGACGTAGCTAATAATAATCATCGATAATTGAGGCTAAAATTTCAGTTTGATACTTTTTGGTTCGATCGCTACTTCAGCAATTTTCTCGCTTTCAGGAGACAAAAGCACTAGCCTGTCCTCAGAGGAAATAAGAGCAAAATAGCCTTTATTTGATATATCGATTTTGGTAAACTTGCCTGAAACTAACATTTTTGCTTCTCCTAAATCAGAAAAGCTTATAGAAATAATTTCATCATCAAAAAGAGCAATTAAACTTTTCTTATCCCAAGAATTTTTTAAACAAACTCGACGCTTAACCTCAAACTTTCGAAATGACTTAAACTCCAGAGAAGGGATACTAATGCAGAAAATTTCATTTTCCCTCGAAAAATAAGCCATTCTTTCAATTCCAAAACAGCAATTGAAAAAGGACAGCTGAAATTTTTTTCTCATCTAAGTGCTGAGTTAAAATCCTATTCATGAATAATAAACTTGGCTGAGCCTATCTGTGTTTGCCACTTAAGACTTTTGGAATCTTGCGAATAATTGATATTGTAGATATCAAAGCGAAATCGCAGCTGCTTTTCAAATGAGTAAGAAATTTTGAAAGATTTGATAAAAGAAGGATTTAGATTATTTCTTTGAATTTCTGTGCGACCTTTTTCTGCTTAGTTTCCGATGTCATCATCTATATAAAATACAGCAGTAGGGTCTACAGTTATGCCTTTGCCAGCAAAAGGTTATTGCATGATACAGAAAGCTCAACAGCTGAGACAAGGTCAAAATCTTCATCTTGGGCACGGATGGGAAGCTCAGTAATTTCTTCGATTTCGCTGTCTTCGTCTGGATTTGGTTTGTAATTCAAATGAGCCAGGGGATCTTCTGCTAGTCACACATCCCATAAATTGCAATTTTTACTTATTCAAAATTTATTAATTCTGCAACTTATCAGATTGTGCTTATAGAATCGCTGCTTAAATAGTCATATTTAAGATCATTTGAAGCAATAAAACTTAAAGCATAGCTCATTCGCTAAGAAATTGACACATTTAGTTTATTTAAAGAATAAAATTATTTTAATAATGTTTCATTAGTTTGCTAACAATAAAATAGATTGAGGGGCTTTATAAAAATCAGATATTTTAATGAGCCTACTTGAAGAAACAGCAAAATTCGATCGCATCCAAGCTTGCAGACTTATTGAATATTGCAACAATAATAAAAATTATAGTGCCTTGAACAACATTGAGATTAAAAAGGTTATCTCATTGAGAAGGGTTTTATCAAAAACTCGATTATTATCAAATCAGCACCACATCCTCGTGAAAGGTATTTAAATATACTTATGCTGTATGAACCCTCGTTAGAAGGGCTTATTGCTAAGAGCGATAGAGGACCAAGTTGCACCCTAACATCATTAATCTCAGGGCTTACGTTAGCCCTAACAAGTGGCCTTTTGGCAGGGGATTACCAAATCTTGCTTTGACTTTGTAGCTGCTTTATCTTTTTTGCATGCTCTTTACCCTTATAAAAGAAGGGAAATAATTGAAATAAATTCGGAACTGCAAGATATAATTAAAGAATTAAATCAAATAGGCAATTTCAACCGAATTTTTCTTAGAAAAACCTGAAGCAGTAAAAAAATGAAAATGGGCAATTCTAAGCAGCCCTGATTTAGATTTAGAAACAAAGTTAAATCTCGCAACTTATGTAGATGAGCAATTTTCTACTACTAAAGGATTGAGGTTTGCTTTTAAACAAACCCTAAAGAGTACTACATTCTCCTACGGAGGAATCATCTTTACAGTTTCTCTTATGCTATCCGTTTACATGTCTGATTCAACAAAAGCAATATTTTATTTTCCGGTTTCAATTGTTATTCTTATCATTGGTATATTTTACATTTATAATTAATTGTTAAAATCAATAGAATTTCTTTCTTTTTAGGTCAATTTCCATACAAAAAGTATTTTTTCCCTTTACTAAGTTTACTAACTGTATATACTGCTGATTCTCTGTAAAATAATAGTTTAAATCTCCAAATCTTCATTTTGATCATCTTTTCATGAACTCATCATAAAAAAGGACTTTAATCTTATAGTTTAGGCAGGCTAGCGTATGAAGAACAGCCATTTCTTTGTCGCATTATGCTGCTCGGGGATAGTATCTTAAAGACAAAATAAAAATTGAACTAGCTCAATGCCCTTTTGTTTAAAACTCCTTTTTCGACTCCACCTCCTACTAACCCAAAATTATACAATGTATTTGCAAGTGGCATTAGTTTTCTGTGACTGTTTTCAATAAAATCATCGTTTTTCTTTGATAGCGTCTCATATACATTATAAAAATTTTCAGAACTATTTAGGAGTCCTATGTATTGTATTGCCGATCTTAAATAATACATTTATATTAAATTATTTTAGTAATATTTAATTAATAAGAGACAAGGGGACAAATTTTCTTGTAAATTAAAAACTTATTTAGAAACCCTACTTTTCTAATAATGATTTTAGGTTTATTAAACCAATATTTTCGTGTTTTTTAATAAAATATTGATTAATATTAAAGAAAATTATTGTCAGAGGGAAAGCTATTGCCATAAGAATCTACATAAGTTTTTAAATCAATAGAATTTCTCCCTTTTAATTCAGCTTCCAAAAAAACGGGAGTTTCACCTTTACTAAGTTGGTAAACTGTTAATACTACTGATTCTCTGTAAAACATTATTTTAAAATCTCCAAATCTTCATTCTGATAATCTTTTCATGAACTCATCATCAAAAAGATCTTGAATCTTGTAGTTTAGGCAGGCTAGCATATAAAGAACAGCCATTTCTTCATCGCATTCTCTTGTTTGAGGGTAACATCTTAAAGATAAAATAAAAAGCGAAACTAGTTCAATACACTTTTGTTTAAATACTTCTTTTTCAACTTCACCTCCTACTAACCCAAAATTATACAATGTATTTGCAAGTGACATTAGTTTTCTGTGATTGTTTTCAATAAAATCATCGTTTTTCTTTAATAGCGTCTCGTCTACATTATAAACTTTTTTCAGAAGTATTTTTGGAGTCCGATGTATTGTAATGCCGATCTTAAATAATACATTTATATTAAATTATTTTAGCAATATTTAATTAATAATTGAGACTAGGGGACAAATTTTATTGTGAATTAAAAAAGGATTTATTGCCTAAAAGCAAGCTGAAATTGCAGTTCAAATTAGTCTTACAATAAATTATTTTCGCTTTTTCTTCGACGATGACCTTTAATTGATTTTTGTTTAAAAACAGCACTTTCTTCTGGGTATTTCGAGATAGCCTTTGAAATACAAGCATTATATGGAGTATCTTGCATTATAAAGCAAACAAATTCGTTGTGTGCTTTACTAGATGCAGTGCTTATCATATCTTCTCTGCCAAATAAATCTGACTCAATGCTTCCTTCCTTATTCATACTCTCTAACAGTAAATATTTTATTTTCTTCAAGTTTTCTGCCTTCATGCGCTTACTTTTTTCATCTTCTTTTTCAATCATATGGATTATATTTTGAAATTCCAAAGTCTCCTTATTAGAATTTTCTTCATTTTCACTTTCTTGACTGACTAATCTGGGCTCGTCTATTTTTTCTTCTATTTCTCTAAGATGTGTAGGATTTATCTCTCCACTGTGTTTAGCAGTTTTTACTGGGGATTTCGTCTTATGACTCTGATCTGTGTCGATTTCCAGATTTTTGTAAGAAAGGGCTGAAAACTATGTTTGATTTCCAGAAATCGTGCGCTTGTGACTGGGCTTGGGGTGCTTTGGAAGAGGAGGCTTCAACGAAAACTCATGCATAGAATAATTGCTTCTATGAGATGGACTTTGGCTCAGTGAATATGAGTCTTGATTCCTGCTTATTTGGGAGTTGCAAAAATTGTGAATTTTCGTATTGGTCTGGTGAATATCTGGATTCTAGTGTAAGGTTTTATGGTCTGTCTTTGGGAGTGATTATAGCTGGGTTATGAGATCTCATTTTATTATTAGAAGTCAAAATTTTACATGAAAATGGTGGAATTAACAAGGAATTAATACAATTTGTGGGAAATTTTGCTTTAATATTTCAAAATTTAATCTGAAATTGAATATAGAAATTGGGGCATATAAAAAGGATCTGATTTGCCACAAGATATGAAAAAAGACTCAAAATATTTGAAATTGAAAAATAAATCAATATTAAATCAAGATATTATCAAAAAGAGAGTAATTATAAAGAAAATAATTTGTGAAAGAAAGTTATTGTCCTATAATTGGATGTAATATAGCTGCACAGTAGTTATATTTCCTTGTCATATATTGAACACGGCTTGGGAAAAAATCGGATTCGTGATTTCTGTCTTTTCCGGATATTCCATATGAGAGCTATAATAATCCTTCGTAAAAGGCCCACCATAATACATAACCCTTGATTCCTTAAAAAGCACTGAAAATAATCCATCCCACAGCATATCTGCTGCACCTCCAACTCTGCTGGGACATCAAATTTCTTAGGATATCTCCATATCTTCAGCCCTACAACATAGATATGTTCAATATTGCTTTTTAGCATCATAGTATTGGTCCCTAAGCACATTTCTTTAATCACATTCAGCTCACTAATTTTAAGCATAGTCGGGGTGTTAGCACAAATTGTTTCCAAAAATTCTTCCTCGTCTCCTGCCCCAATTTCATAATTTTCGTTATTTCCCCACACATAGATTTTGCCTGAAGATGTTAATGCAGCACTTGAGCTTTCTCCAGCAGAATTTTAATCACTTTATCAGCTTCCAGTTTTTCAAAAAAGGGATTTTTCTAGGAACTTCTAAATGGCTGTCAAAATCCTTTTCACCGAGAGCGCCAACTTCGTTATTTCCTCATGCATAAATGCTGCCTTCATCCGTTAAAGCTAAACAATGCCGGCTTCCTGAAGCAATTTCTATGATATGGTCCTGGATTGCATCGATTTTTTTTTTGGGTAGCTCGGCTTTATTTTCTGAAAAAATATCCTAAAGTATTGCGTGAGCGCCATTCAAAGATCTTGCGTAATGGATTTTGAGAGCTTGCATAGCCCCATGAGTAGACCTTTCAGATTCTGAAAGGGCTACGGTGTGCAATTCACCACATTCGATTTGCTTCATAGGTGGAATTGAGGGAACTTTCATTGGACCTAAGGTGAAATTAGATGTGTGGCCTAGCTGAAGATAGTCGTTTTTTCCAAATGTGTAGACATCGCCTGAGCTTGTAATAAACCCACAATGAGAAGGACCAGTTGAGACATAAATTACATCTTCATTGAAATCTTGGTTATCACCTGTCTTTTCTATTCGTTTTGGAGTAAATAATTTTTTACCTGGAGGTTTATTATGACCAGGCATTTCCCTTCACCCCAGACGCAGAGAGAACCAAAATTCCTTAGAAACTTTGAAATCTTCATTTTATTTTAACTAAAAAGTATAAATTTTAAATGCATATTTTGTTGTATATTATTAAAACGCCAAAACTACTATTTCACTCATATCAAAGAATAGATTTAAATAAATTCTTATTATCGGATGATTACTAAAGACCTATTATTAGCAAGTTTATTAGTTAAGTTTTATAAGCTTATTCCTTGTGGAAAAAAATTATTAAATGGAAGCTTGGAAACTTATTGCAAAGAAGCTTGAACCTTTTCAGTACACGGTATGAACCGAGTTCTCACCTCTTGCTATAAAATATAACGCAATAAATTTAGGGCAAGGTTTCCCTGCTTTCAAATGCCCTGACTTTGCGAAACAAGCTCTAATTGATGCAACAAACTCTGATGAAAACCAATACTCAAGATCACAGGGCTACCTCCCTTTGTGCCAAGAATTAGCTAGATTTTATAGCTCGAAATATAATAGAGAGATTAATCCTCTGGCAGAAATAGCAGTCACAATCGGTGCTTCCGAAGGAATCATGTGTGCCCTCTTAGGCATGGTTAACCCTGAAGATGAAGTTGTTATGATAGAGCCTTGCTTTGACCTTTATATACCCCAAACAGCAATATTTGGAGGAATTCCAGTTGGTGTGCTTTAACCCCACCACCAGCTCCTGGAGAAAATCAATAGACTTTAGATTTTGAGAGACTTGAAGCAGCTTTTAACGAAAGGACTCGTGTTTTTATGATAAATACACCCCACAATCCTATTGGGAAGGTTTTCACAAGACAAGAAATCGAAAAAAATTGCAGAGATTTTAGAAAAGTGGCCATATGTTTGCATAATTTCTGATGAGGTATATGAGTATATCACGTATGATGGCAGAGAGCATATAAGTATAGCCAATTTTGGGAACCTCTGGGATAGAATAGTTGTTTTTGGAAGTGCTAGAAAATCTTTTCAGTGACTGGATGGAAGACAAGATGGGCTATAGGTGGAGCTGACGCTATAAAAAAAATAAAGCAGCCCATATGTGGAATACATATTGCTCAATTACAGTCGCCCAAGGCGCTATTGCAAGAATGCTTAGAATCGCTGACGAGCCTTACATCGGCTTCCCTAACGATTATGAATGGATGAAAAACGTATATATGTGAACAACTAGATAATTATCAAGTGAGAGAATGATTGAGTTGATGCAATTTTTGAATCCTTTTAATATTGCAATTGATAAAGGATTTTGGTTGAAAACGCTATTAATCATTGAGGAGCTATTTTTAAGTGCTTTTTTCAAGTTATTGGGGTAGTTACAGTATGCATAAAGATGCAAAGTGTTAATCATATAAGGGAAGATTGCCCTTCATCCATTTCAAGATTATAAATAACCTCTTTACCTTACAACAGCTTGCAAACGTACTTCATGTACTCATATTCATTCCCTGGGCCTAAACATGTGACTTTGCTTACTTTTAATGGGTTTTCTTAATGGTCGCCGCCTTCTTTTCTTTCACTTCCCCGAGGATTTCTGTTTTAACATTATAGTAATATCAAATGTAATTTTATCCGCTAACAAAGCTCGCATTAACCATGCTCTCAAACTTGTACCAACATATTTGATTGAAAGTCTCTAAGCTGGAAAATCGAATCTTCCCATCACGGGTATATCCTAAAATGAATTTATCATCTTCCGTTATTGAGATTCTAACGATTGACGGCTTAATACCTCTTATTGTATGAAGACGAATATTCTTTCTCCATTTCCAAATATTAATCGATGAATCAACAGGCACCAAAATAAGCATTTCTTCGTTATGAGTTATATTCATACTATAGGTATTAACATTTTCTGTAATTACTGAAATTTCTTTTGTGTGGCTTCAATATCCCATACCCTCACAGTATTGTTTTCAGCCGTTCCTGCTATTGCATTTGACTTAGCCAAATAGCACATTATTCAAGTAGGGGAATCATTGCCTTTAAATTCTTTAAGTATAGTCAATGATTCAAAGTCCCATAAAAACACTCTCTTTTTAGTTCCAGTCATAATATATTTTCCATCAGGAGTGAAAGCTGCTGACTCTATCATTTCATAGGCATTTTTGTCTAATAGTCGAGACTGTTTTAGTTGGAATGTTTACTTTACTAAAATATAATCTGAACTACAATAGACAAAAATATTTTCTCTGTTTGAACTTCTCAGCCTCTTGGCATGACTTCAATAATATTCTCTTTTTTATCAGTTTCAAAGTCTCATGTCTTGAAATAACCATCATTCTTGATTACCATTCTTGTTCTATCTAGAGGCTCTAGTAATATTTGTTGACTTTTCTCATTCAAGTACAGGAAAAGCCAACACATAAAACTGTCTATTTGCCCCATTAATAAAAACTAAGCTATTGTTTATGCTCTGTGTAATAAAAATTATTTGAAAATCAACGTTCACTGTTTCTCTGTCTCTAAAGCTACTTAAATCGTAGAAATGTAGGATTTCTCTATTTGGGAACAGAATAAATTTTTCGTCATTAGTCATGGAGAAGGTGCCAAATCTATTTTGAGACATGAAAATCTCTTGAATCTTTTCTAGAGTTCCTGAGTTTAAAATAACTATTTTTTCGACGTAGCTAATAATAATCATCGATAATTGAGGCGAAAATTTCAGTTTAATACTTTTTGGTTCGATCGCTACTTCAGCAATTTTCTCGCTTTCAGGAGACAAAAGCACTAGCCTGTCCTCAGAGGAAATAAGAGCAAAATAGCCTGTATTTGATATATCAATTTTGGTAAACTTGCCTGAAACCAACGTTTTTACTTCTCCTTTGGATTAGAAAAGCTTATCGAAGCAATTTCATCATAAAAATGAGCAATTAAACTTTTCTTATCCCAAGAATTTTTTAAACAAACTCGACGCTTAACCTCAAACTTTCGAAATGACTTAAACTCCAGAGAAGGGATACTAATGCAGAAAATTTCATTTTCCCTTGAAAAATAAACAATTCTTTCATTTTCCAAAACAACAATTGAGAAAGAGCCAGCTGAAAATTTTTTTCATCGAAGTGCTGAGTTACAGCATTAAAGTAAAGAATATTACCTTTAGTAGTAGAAACTAAGTAATGGATTTCATCTGAAAATGACATCATTTCCTCCACACAGAAAGGAATATTGATTGCATGAGGCAGCTTTTTTTCGAACTCCGAAGAAATATTAAAAACTGCTTGCTTCAGGGATAAAAGTTCTGGCTCACTTTCGTTTTTGTGAAATATCTGAGGCATTGATACAGAAGTTTGCATCGTTTGAAAACTTAATTTCGGTGAATCTTGCTTTTTTTCAAGCAGTGGCTCCAAAAGGCTCAATTTATCCATTTTATATTAATTATGTTATAAAATTAGCAACTTTTAGACCTAGAGAAAGCCTGGTAATAAATAGTTTCGAAAATTTATCTATACAACCTTAAACAGATTTTTTATGCTTTACGCTGGTCTGTGCTAACTAACTTAAAGCTAATTAAATATCGAAAGCCTTTCACTAAATTATTTCTTGTTTTTAGTATTGAAATTCTGCTTTTTCAATGCCGAGCATCCCACATTTATTGAAATTGCTAAGTAATTTCATTCGCATAATTTCCCTATGTAAAGAGAGTATAACATTATTTCTTATTTTGGCAATCGATTAAAGCTTCATTCAAATACTAAAAGGTATGGGAACTGAAAAATAGTATAACCTTCATCATCCAAAGCTACAATATTGCAAATAATTTTGATAGATAAATATATCTTAGAAGAATTTTTAGTGTATATTTTCTTAGGTAGCTGACTCTTATTCTTTGACTATAAATCAAGACCATAAGTTAGCTTCTTAGTTTTTAGATAAATCATCAATTATCAAAAGAAAATGGCAGAGATTATCTTGATTTTATCCAATCAAGATCTGAAATCAAGGCAATTCTGTAAAAAATAAGAAAATTAAAATCTTGTGCATTTTCGAGGTTAAATTATAGTATCAAATTAGAGTTAAATAATATGATTAGCCCAACAATAGCCAGGAGAGCTTCAATAGAAAAAGGAAACTATAACCCTGGCTTTGAACAACTTAGCGGAGACTGAGAAGCCAAGAAAAAAAGACTCAAGCCAAGCTCAGAAAAACTCGAATCAACCCTTGCAAAGCTTGCATCAAGCAGAAAAAGCGATTTTCAGAACAAATGGTCATTCCTAATATTTACCGTGAACCTATACAACCTTTTCACAGTTCCTTACTTTTTAGGAATCAAAGGATTCCCATGGTCAGTTTGGCTAGCTTTGGAGATTATATTTGAACTGGCCCTGCTTATCGATTTGATTTCTCGATTTGTTTTCAGAAATTCTGAGATCTGAGCAAGAATGTGGATGCTTCATGAGAAGGAAATGCTTTTGGTAAAAGTATCCCTTTGTCTGTCTTCAGTCCCATACTCCTTTTTGGCGTTACTTTTTGGAATGAATTTGCATGGGTACATTATTGCAGCGCTCAGATCTTTCAAACTTCTGCGACTTTTCCAGCTCTCAACTTTCTTTTCGAGTCAAGAAATAATTGCAAATGCTCCACAAGGGTATTTTATGAGAATTTGCAAAAATTTAATTTTACTATTAGGGACGTTGCACTATTGTGGGATGCTGCTTCTGTTTGTGGCAAGAGTAGAAATAGACTGTGGAAATCAAGGGACTTGGCTTCAGCCTTGGATTGACGGTGGGGCGGAAAATTATGAAATTTATACAGATGCAGTGTTTTGGGCGACTGCCACCTTGTCAACTATAGCTTATATACCAATTATAATTAATAAATGCATATATACTGATAACTATTATCCTATTTTCATATATAAAACAGGATAATGACTAATCAGTATAAATATTTTTATTCATTGCCAAAGTGTAATGACACAACTCCATTCACACTAGCAGAAAAATACGCGTCTTCTTTTATTATGGTTGTTGGGGCTTCTATGTGTGCTTGGATATCTGGGAACATCGTTTTTATTTTGATTACTTTAAATCTCAAAGAATTCGAGGCACAAGAGAGACTGGAAAGGGTCAAAAAATGATGCAAACTTAGGCAGCTGAGCCCAAGACTGAAGGATCGAGTTTTGGCTTATTACTGGTCAATTAGAAGCCGCTTTTCTTACCTAATTGACGTAGATTTCTTCGTATCTTCACACGACGACTATTTCATAACGACTTTTTTTTTTAACCTATTTTTTTTTGGCCTATTTTTTTTTGGCTTATTTTTTTTTCATCTACAATATTTAGGCATAATTCTATACTAATTATTTTAATCTAATTTTTAATGTGTTTTAAACGATTTAACCAACAAAAAAAATGCATCCTTAACAGATTTCTTACTCAATGAATACTAATTCATTGCTTTTAAAATTTCGAGAATTTTAGATTTAATTAGAAGTTTTCCACTTAATTTACTCAATATTAATTGCGTAAGGAAAAGTCTCTGTTTCTCAATAAGGTTTTAGTATTCTCAGCAGCTTTATCAATAAGGCCAGGTAAAAAAAATAGGCCAAAAAAAAATAGGCCAAAAAAAAATAGGCCAAAAAAAAATAGGCAAAAAAAAATAGGCCAAAAAAAAATAGGCCAAAAAAAAATAGGCCAAAAAAAAAAATAGGTCAAAAAAAAAATAGGCCAAAAAAAATAGGCCAAAAAAAAGTCGTTATGAAATAGTCGTCGTGTGAAGTAACCAGATTTCTTAGAAGACTTGCCATGTTCTCTTAAAAACGAAATTTCTGAAGCTATGCATGAAGACCTTATACCTAAAATAAAATTATTCTCATCAGCTCATCCTGGATTTGTGCTAGCAATGACTGAGTGCTTAACACTGCAGATTTTTATGAAAGGAGACTATATCATAAGGCAAGCTGATGTGCCAGATGATTTTTTCTTTATAAAGACAGGCATCGTTGAAGTAATTGCAGCTGACTCTAATAAAACAATTGCTTATTTACATGAAGGCGATTATTTCGGAGAAATTGGGATTCTATTGGATATGCTGAGAACTGTATCTGTAAAAGCTTATACTGCAGCGATGGTATCATCTATATGCAAACAAGATCTTTGTAAAATACTCAATGAGTTCCCAGAATACCAAGATTATTTAATAAGGGTTGCACGCCAAAGACTGGAGACTACAAAAGTTGAAGATTTGGATTTCGGAGATGAAAACCAGATTGAAGACCCAAGCCCAGAATCTCCTGGCAAATCACGTATTGAAGAAGAAAGTCCTCAAAATCAGAAAATTTCTTGTGAGAGAAATTGAATTGGATGATTCTTTTCTGCGAGAAATAATGATCAGTATGAAGGATTTTTAATTGATGCGTTTTCTCCTTGCTTTTATGCGTGAAGCTTACTACTATATTTAAGTTTTGCATTTTATCTGTTTTATATCCCCTTTGCTATCGCATTTCAATACCATGCAGATGGAATATGGCTCCCAATAGATATTATTGCTTATATTGTATATTTAGTTGATATACCTATTCACTTATACACCTCAATATATACAGAACTAGGAACATATATAGAAGATATTCCGTCTATTAGGAAATATTATGTCAATAAATTTTTATGGTGAGATTTGGTTTCTCTTGTTCCAATAGATTTTATCTGTACAGGTTTAGGATCAGCTCAATATGTGCCTGCCTTTTTTAGGATTCTGAGACTCTTCAAAGTAAAACGAATCCTTAAGCTTTCCCAAAGTTTTTTATCCCACTCTCATGCATCCTTGTCGTATTCTAGACTGCTGCTTCTTTTTATTGTTACAATTTACTACAGCCATTTTATTGCATGCATCTCTTATTATTTAGGGAAGCTGCAATACTGGGCTAATCCTGACGCAAGATTTAATGATCAAAACTTTATTAGCCAGTTTCCACTAAATAATTATTATGAACCTGGAAAAATAATTACAGATATTCCTATTTACGATCAATTAATATGTTTACGTTTATGGAATAGGGGCTCTGAGGCGTATTATATGATGCAGGCAGATTGAGATGGATAGCGAAATGACACATCAAAGGAAAGTATGCTGAAATAGGAGTTTTGGTTCTCACCCGAATTGCTGTCCAGATGGGCTCGACAGGTTTTGCCTTCCACTATTTTTTTCTTATTAGGACTATCGGAAACATGGAACAGGATGGCTCTGACCAGGGACCGAATTTATGATCAGATGGGCTATAACAGTAAATTCAAGAAGATGGAATTTGCTGAGCAGTGCAGCATACGCCCGATTGTATATGCACTCAATACAGGCCACCTTTACTGGAGATGAAATAGCGCGTCAGCTGCTTATAACCTTAGTGATTCTTAATCTAATCTATTTACGATCAATACGTTAATTTACTGTATTTCGGATATTCAATAAGCACATCTGGAGCATATGGAGATGTACCAGTGCCTACTGTTGCAGAAAAATGTTTGAATATCATGTTTATGGTATTTTCTATGATTTTAGCAGCATTTATTATTGGTGAGGCTGCAAGTCTTGCCTCAAATTATTATAAAACCTACACTGAGCACACCAAGAAGCTGAAGACTGTCAAAAGCTGAATGAACCATAGTAAGCTTTCAAAAGAACTAAAGAAAAGGGTGCTTGATTATTATGAATTACTCTGAAGCAAGCTCCAAGGCTGTGACGACGAAGAAATCATGCAGGACTTTCCAGAAACCTTAAGAACTGACATAAAGTATTATTTATTTTCTGGCTTGATAAAGTCAGGCTTTTTCCCAGAAGAAGAAAAAGGAGCCATTCTAGCTATAGTAAAAAAATTCAAGCTTTTAATGGCATGTAAAGATGAGCAAATAATAGCTGAAGGCGAACTTGGTCTCCAAATGTATTTTATTCTTGATGGAGAAGTCCAAATCATTTCATCTGGGATTGTGCTAAATACTTTGACCAAAGGCACTGTTTTTGGAGAAATGGCCCTTTTAAGTAATTTTTCTTCTGCAAGGAGAGCGACAGTGAGGGCAAGTACAGATCTGACTATTGCTGTCCTTTTAAAGCATGATTTTAATTTCGTCATGGAGACTTATCCAGAGTTCTCTATTAAGGTGAGAAAATTGGCTGACGAAAGAGAAAACATGAGCAGGATGATCATTCAAAAAAGGAAAAGCCTGGAGTTCCCGAATAATCTCAAAGATGAAGAAGCAGTCATTAATAATTTAAAAGAAGAAGCAAAGTCTGAGCTAGCTGAAAACGAAACAATGATGACTTCCAGAGAAGTCCAAAGCTTTCCACCAGGCGAAATTATTGTCAAGAGGCTAAATATCAGCCTTAGTTTTCTCAATCTCTATAGTTCTCCTGCCAAACATTATATATATTTCATCTTGAACTTATATAATTTCATTTTTACTCCTCTCCAAATTGCATTTGAATATGAATATAGTCCAGCTTTGCTGGCTTTAGAAATTTTATCTATTTTGCTGTATCTTCTCAATAGCCTTTACTATCTGGAGCTTCGCCGTGCTCTCACATCTATTCCAGCTTTACCAAAAGAAAAGAGATTCCAATTTTCCAACCCCAGCAGAGCTTTCAATAAGTTTATCCACAATTTAATACTGGCTATTCCCTTTGCCCTAATTTTTAAATCTAGTGATCTTACGGAGCCAAGGGAACTTGTAGCTATATTTTCAACAATTAGACTGACAGGATTTTATTACATCGCAGGTTTCTTTTTTTATATGAAAAAGAAGCATTTCAAAATTTTCACTTATCTTCGAGTATTTGAAGTAATGGTGGTTTATGTAATGGTAAATCATTTTTGTGGATCTTATTTCATAGAATGTGCTAAAAGAGAAGATGTAATGCACTCATGATTATCAAGAGTCCCATCTCCTCAACCTGAACAATATAGGACTAACAGCTCTGAACCCCTTACTAGGGATACAGTCTATACACACGCATTTCATTGGTCATCAATTGTGGTTTCGCATGCTGGGTATGGATGGGTCGTCAGCAATTCGCCTTCTGAGAAAGCATATAACTGCTTTGTCTTTTTAATAGGACTTTTTGCTTACTCAATTTTGTTTGGGAGCATAACTTCACTTGTGGCAGAACTCTGTTCCTCTGATCCAAAATTTACATTCGAAAATAGCTATTGGTATGTTAAAGATTTTATTGATAAAAAGCAGCTAGGCAGTATTTTTATGGGAAAAATAAATGATTATTTTGACTACTTATGGAGATCAAGCAAAGGAATTTATGATGAAAATATCTTAAAAGAGCTTCCTCCATCCTTGATGTCAGATATTCAGTTTTATAGATATTCTGAAGCTGTTAAGAATGCTAATATCTTTAAAAATCAAGATGGGAGCATTAATGAGCCTTTGGCAAAATCAATCCTCAGGCTTCTGAAAGTCGAAATTTATTTGGCGGGGGACCCTGTTATTGACGCAGGAGAAAAAAGGAATGATTTATTGATCATTCTTGATGGAGAAGTGCGTGTTATCGATTTTAAAGGTAAAAAGACAGTAGAAATCCTCTATCCTGGGGATCATTTTGGAGAGATTCCAACAATGGTAGATCTAATAAAATCTAGTCCAACTTATATAATTGCAGCAAAAGTATCTAAAATAGGAATTTTAGAAGAAAAATGCATCAAGGACCTAACTCCCCCCCCCTTTAAATTGGAACAAAATATAGGTAAAATTTCCACTTTTTTGGCAAATTAACCCCCCTTAAATTGGAACAAAATTTAATTTTATAATAAAAAATTTTATATATATATCATAATTTTTATGTAAAAAGTTTTGATATAATTTAAATGTTTCTTTTTAAATAAAATTAAAAATTTAGTTATATCCTGCTCTTCTTGTTTAAAGAATAGAGTATAAAGAGCATCTTATTTAAATAAATTTATTATCCTTAATTGTAAATTTTTAAAAAAAATTTAATTATTTTTGTTTTTTAAAAAATTGTCAAAATAAATTTTATTTTTTATGATAAAAATGATATTTTTTTTATTTAAATAGCTTTGATATAAATTCAATAAGAATTCTTTACAAAAATTCAAAATTTACTTATCTCTTGCTTTATTTTAAAGAATAGAGTATAAATAACATCTATTTAAACAACAAAATTAGCACTTTGATTAATAAATTTTCTAAAATTTTTTTTTTAAATTTTTTTTATCAATAAAAATAATAATTTTTTGTGTAAATAGTTTTGATACCAATTAATAGTGGCGTATTAATTAATAATAAAATTTTAGTTATATCTTGCTTTTTTTTAAAGGATAAAGAGTAAATAGCATTTTATTAAACAAATTTATTAATCTAATTCGATAAATTTTTGAATTTTTTTTGTATAAAAAATTTTTATAATGATTTTTTTTTTTTAAAAAAATTTTTATTAACCCCCCTTTAAATTGGAACACAAAATTTTTAGTTCCAATTTAAGGGGGGGGGAGTAAGAGAAGCTTATCCAGAGTGATACAGCAGCATAACTGAGCTCGCAAAAAATAGGCTAATAGCCACTTTTTCTTCAGACACTTTAGATGAAGCCATTAATTCTTTTGAAAAAATAAACTCAAAGATTCATAACTGTCCAGAAATCTCAAAAAAATACTACGCTAATATCCAGAAGCTGCTGGAAGCAATTATATCTGAAGAACTTCTAAAGCTATCATCTAATGCATGATACTCTGTTACATTTCTATATATGTTTTTTCTTACCTACATTCTTTTTGAGTTGCCCTTAGAAATTGGGTTTGAAATGGAGTACAATTGATTTCTATTTGGAATAGAAATTATTAGCCTATTGGTCTCTGCAGCTTTTATTTTTGTTAACTTCAAGAATTATTTTTTTTGAAGTGGGACAGATAAAGTTTACAAAGAATCTTCTCTTTGCTTTGCTTTAGATATCTTTTCATTATCGCCATTCAATATAATTTTTGCGAGTGAGCAGATTGAAGATCCTATAGTGTTAATTACCCTCTTAAGGCTGCTGAGGCTTGTGGCTACTTTTAGACTTATAGCATTGTTTGCTAAAATAAGAAATCGGTTGAGACAGTTTTCAGCCCAATTGAAATTTTTGGAAACCATGATTTGTGTATTGGCCTTAATTCATTTTATGAGCTGTTCATTTTTCTATTATAGCCTTAATGAAAGATACTCTTCATGGGTGAAAGATAATGATCTTCAAGATTCAGAAACTGGGAACCAGTATAGTTGAGCGCTTTTCCATGTGCTGAATATTCTCACTTGCACTGGATATGGTGGATTCATGCTTGAGGCAAACGATTCTGAAAGAATTTGAACCATTTTTTTTATTTTCTTCGGAGATATGATGAACGCTGTCATTTTTGGGCTGATGGCAACTGCGGTTGCCACTCCTCAATCTGACTTGAAGTATTATATAGAAAAACTGAAATCTCCAATGTGTGTAGCTAGCTCTTCAGAAAAGTTCCATAGTTTAATAAAGAAATTGGAATCTTATCATGCATTTACAACGTCTTTGAATGTTGTCTATGGGTCTGTTGACTATAGAAATCTCTTTTTATACCTGCCTCGAAACATTTCAAAGTCCATAATTTTCGAATGCAGTCGATCTATTCTTGAAAAAGTCCCATATTTTCAGTTTGAAGATTCACGAAAGTTTTTTGAGCAGATTTCAATATATTTAAAGCCCAAGTTTTTCTTGCCAAAAGACTATATTATTCATAAAGAAAAATCATGTGATGAAATTTTCTTTATTATTGAAGGATCAATTGCTTTGATATCTGCCAATGGCAAAACGATCTTGAAAACCCTCAGAAAAGGATCTCTTATTGGCGATTTGGAATTTTTAACGTCAGTGAAGTCGACATTTTCAGTTATTGCAAAAAGCATGTGCTATACTTATTCTTTAGACAAAAAAGATTTAATGAAGTCATTTGAAAAATACCCTGATGTCTTTGAAGAAATAGAGAAGAGAATTGTCAAGCATGATGGCCTGCCAATTGACATTGCAAATCAAGACTCTGCAAACGATGATGAGTTGATCAAGCTAAGAAGCGCTGATTTGAGGAATGTTCTTGGGGTGCAGGTCAAATGACTTTGCCTTTTTGATAGTGTCGATTTCATCGAAAAATTTTTGGCAAAAAATTTTCGACCAAATAGATTTCGATGAAATGTACACTGTCAAAAATCCACAGTCATTTTGTCATGGAGCCATGTTCTTGATATTCAGACTGGGATTACCGAATTTGATTTTAGTAATAAAGGGAGAAGGGAATCTTTGAATAAGAGAAGAAAAAATCTTATTGCAAGATCGGGCTCTAATTTGGGGGAGAGAAAGCAAAGCATTTCTAAGAGTATGCCAGAAAGGCGGTTGAGCAGAGAGTATGCTCCAATTTTAGATGTTTCTTTTAAGAGCACAGCTCAAAACCAAGAAAGTTATTAAGTATTTTTGATCATAAATTTTTTATTATATCTTATTTTACAGAATTTCTATTATAATAAATAAGTTAATATTTTAGGTTGGTTTTAATGTAAATATAAAACGGCTTTTTGCAAATAAATCAAATATGAAAAAATGCTTCGATACAAAGCGTAGGCGTAAAGTTAATTTCATGCCATTGCACTTCTCCTGAGATTTATTCTTGCAAAAACACTTAACAGGAATACTCACAATCTAGTAGCAATTCTAATAAATTTTTGTAAAAATTATTGAGAATATAAAAAATAGTCCTTAACTTCTTATATAAAACTGATTCAATAAAAGCAAAAATAATAAGTTCCTCCCTAAAACCCTCTGTAACTTCCTCCTCTGCAAGCTTGCAAAAAATTTTTAAATTTTATTTATAATTAATTTTTTTTTAAATTTAAAAAAAATCCTTTCTCACATTTCGAGCTAGACAGTGAATAATTTGTGGCTATTTGATATTATTAAATGAATTAAGTCAAAAATGCTTTTTATCGAGCAAGTAATAATTTTGCCTACTAGTAGGTATAAGAGTAAAATAATAATTTTTAACTATTTATATTGCAAATTGCTCTATAATAAACTTTTCCATCCTCAATTTAAAAATAAGCATATGGCTCGCTCTCACTATATCTTTTAAATAAAATTAAAGGTGCTTCTTTGGATTTTAATTGCTCAAAACAATTTTTTTTCTTCTTACCTTTGACAACATTTTAAAACAATAGAATTGCATTAAGCTGTTTCAAAGTATTTTAAATCATAATTTTTAAAAATATCTTTGAGAAAAATTATCATTGCTTCGTTGGAAAATGCCGAAGAACCTAGGCTTATTTCAAAATTATTTATAAAAGTCCCTATTGCTTAGCTTCAATCTATAAATAGTCGATCCTTTTTGAATATTATGATATAAACAATTGCTCTTTGTTCGTGAAAGGGGTTTTCCTTTCGTGGATATCAATATTTATTATAAATATCTGTTTATTTTATGATTCTATAAATTAGATATTTTAAAAATAGTATTCAGCTAAAGCATCGAAATTGTATTTTATAAAAAATAGTTGGAAATAAATTTCTATTTCAATATAAAACAAAAAAATAACTAAAGCTTTTATTATTTTTTTAAAATTATTGCTTATAATTATTATAGCTATAAAGCTTTGGGAACTAAAAGATTAAAATTTTGTTTTAAAGTCTTTTTCACTCATTAGAATCATTTTTGGCAAAATTTTCATTTTTCTCAAGAAATATGTTTGCTTTTCGAAAAAAGGCAAAAAATAAGCTAAATATATAGCCCAGAAAGGTTTATAGTTCGCCCTGGGCCACCATCGGAGCCTCAACTCGTGGAATTAATCCGACTTCAAAAGTTGCCAAACCAAATCCACGAGTTAGCAAGTGTGCATTATTTGTTATTTATTAACATGTTGAGTTGGTTTTGGCAACTTTTGAAGCCGAACCAAATCCACGAGTTGAAGCTCGATCGGTAGCCCAGGGTGAGCTATAAGCTCCTGGACTATAATAAAACCAAACCAGCAGAAAAAATAGCAGTGACCCATATAATCAAATTTAATTGGCCAGAAATAACTTGCTTAGAGCTTGTATTCGCCATATCAAATGCATCAGCAAGCGCATCTTGCAAAACCATAAAATGCGAAATATAATCAGAATATTCTTTTCCAGATATAAAAGCACTATTGCCAATATAGTAAGAGTCAAAATGAAAAATATTTATAGCTGCCCTAATCCCGAAGTCCAAGACATATTCTGAATATTTAGCTGACTCATAGAAATTTTTCCCTAGTTTATGAGAAATCAAACTCTTAAAATTACTTTCGCACAGCGCATAGCTATGGGTTTTATAATAAGAAATTAAGCTAGGAAACTCTGAACTTGAGTTTGCAAAACTATAGGAGTTTGGATAGTAACCTATGGCAATAGGACGATAGGCATCTCTAGCATAAAAGCCAATTTGTGATAAAAGAGATCGGCGAATGTTTAGGGTCTGAAGAAGCTTTGGACGATTTATCATATAGATTTCGCAGTCCTTATAAAAATAAAGCAATATCAATAAATAGAAAGATAAGGAAACAACACCTAGAAAACTTAATCTCCATATGAATTTCCATGAGAGTGTCGTTTTTATATAAAAATTCTTTGTTGCAGCAGGCTTTTGAGTAAAGCTATAGTCTTGGCCTAAATCAGATCCATGTACTGATACAAGTCGATCCAAAGAAGCTTGTCTAATAAAAAGATAATTTGCTACAACAGTTTTTTTAATAAAATTCCAAAATTTTTCATAATGAACTTTTAAAAAAGCAATAAAATAAAGAAGAATGCCTAAACAAATCATAAGAATAAATATTCCAAGCATCAAAAGCGAATTAATTCTTATGCTGGTTTCTTCAACTCTATTCGTTTCACAATCAACTAAATCTGATAAAGCATTTTCAATGTAATGATACGAAAAACTTAGACTATTAATCATAAGCCATTTTAAATGATTTCTATAGTCAATATCTTTTTGTCTAGCATCTTCTAATAAGCCTTTCTCCTGAATAAAAATTACATGCTCGATAAATAGAGAAACAGTGTCATAAAGATTATATTTTTGCAATTTAAAATCATCCCTTTCAAATTCTCATACTGGAATTATATTTTTTACTACAATATCTGAGCTAACACAATAATTCCACCTTGATTTATCATCAAGGATTGTAGTTTTTAAGTCGCTCAAAGCTTTTACATTGTTTTCTAAATACTCTAAATTTTTGGCCAGCCCTGCTATTCCTCTAGTTAATCCTAAATCAATTGACCTAGATAAGCCACTAATTGAACTAATATAAATCATGATCTGCCCAAGATGGTGAAATGTTTCTAAAGAGTCTGTATGAGTAATATCATCTACCATATATATCAAAATCCCAATATTTGTCCCAACCATAGAAATAACCTAAGTGAAAAGTACAGTGAATAGCAAAATTCATTTAAAATCTTTTATAGCAGCAATAGTGCCATTTATAAATCTATTTGCATTTTCTATATATAATTTACGATCCGTAGTAGAACTTTGGGAAAAGCTGCTTATGTTAGCTTGGTACAGATATTTTTTATCAAAACTGCTTTCTTCATGAGAATTATCCATAATGTTTTTTTCTTCGAAATAATCTAACTGTGCATTTTGGTCAGTAGCAAATGCTTCAATACCTTCTATGATGCTAGGCATATCATAATCACAAAATCCATTTTTTTCTTCACAATTTTTGTTTAACCATTGCTTTATTTCATTCTGATCTCTTAGCACTAAAATATTGTTTATTTTAGTTTCTTTTATTGTTTTTACTATGAATACTAACGCTATTCTTTTATGCTTCAGCTGAATGATAGCTGGCTCAAATGTCTTTAACTTCCTTAAATCAATCCCAAAAGATAGTTCAGATATATGCATGTCCTGAAAGTCACTGATCTTTGACTCAATTCAGGTTGATAATTTTGCAGTATGGCTATAAATAAACCCATCTTCAGATATAAGTATTGATTGCCTCGATGATTTAAACTTAGAAAAAGAAACCATATAATAGGCTTTATCATTGAAAGCTACTATTCTTATTGAGTTCATGCACTCAATAATATGTCCAGTAGAATCCAAAAATGGCAAAGGCTGAGGCTTGTGAATCGAAGTTGTCTTACAATTGAGATAAAATTCTTTCATTTTGTCTTTATGAATCAAGGAAAAAGGCTTAGGGATAAAAATACCAAAATCAGCGCCAACTATGTCGAGGGATGAAACTTTTAGGGTTGAAGCAGCTTCTTCATTCATATAAGAAATAGCTCCAAAAGAGTCAGGCTCGGTTGATATTAATATGAAGCCTGTATGCTCCGTAACTTCTAAAGGTTTTCCGAAATCTCCCATGCCTGATTTAATTTTTTTAATACTTTGCTTTCTTTGCAAAATCAAATTTCCTTCATCATTTTCCCCAAGAATATTTATTAAAAACATCCCATATAAATCAAGCACTTCAGAGTGTTTATTTTTGTGTATAAGACTAAGATAAAGCGCTTTTATTTTGCATGAGAGATCAAAAATTCTATTACTTCAACCAGCAACTATTGAAAAAATCCTATTTTTTGGAAATTAATCCTTTTCGTGATACTGGGAATTCTTTTATAAATTTTATTAATATAGAATGCTGTAAAGAACTTTTTCTAAATCCATTAAATCTTAGAAATCTTATTTTATTATATTTAAATTAGATAAATAGTCAGCAAATTGAGTTTTTTAAAATTTTACTTGCCTTGGACACGAAAGAATTAGTAAAATTACAGATTCTAGATATTTTTGAGGTTTTATCAATAATTTCTGCTCAAAAATCCATTAAAATAATACAGAATTCCTCATCAAGCTTTTTCACTTCCTCACAATTAGTTAAATATTCTAAATGGTCAATTTCTGGCCATTTTCTGGATAATTCATCTTCTAACTCCCCTCCTTCATGAGCGAACAAAAAATTTTGTTTGCTCACGGAGACGGAGGGGATTAATTTATTTTTTTTAAAAATCATATATAAATGCTTTTTTCTTCAAAATTTAAAAAAAATCCAAATTCGCAAAAATTGGAAAGCAAATATTAATTTAATTTGTAAAATTTATGTTTTAAAATGCAAACTGTTTAAAATTAAACAGAATTAGCTAGAGATTTCAATATACTAATTATCACTTACATATCAATTTTTTTTTTCATTCGCAGAGGGTGGATTTTTCTAATGGTTTTGTTTTGTTCGTTCGCGGAGGGGGGAGCAAATATTTTAATAATTTTTGTTTCTGGATAACTCCTTCGGCATTTGATGGCAAATATGCCGTTTTTACAAGTTTTACTCTTGCTAATCTTTGATTTTTGACTATATGACTGATAAAATTGACTTCTCATATAACAAAAAGGGCATTATATTTAAAACCGTTCTGAATAGAACATTGGCAAAATGCTCTAATGATTTCCTCTTTATTATTGCATTTGCTATCTATCAAATAGTGCCTAAAGGCACGCTCAAAAGCAAATTGATTTAATGGGCAATTTGTTATTCTTTTTAGTTTCGAATATTTTTTGTTGACAAAATAGATCATATATATAGAAAATAAAGGTGATATAAATATGCTAAGGAGAGGAAGAGATGCAGGATCATCCATTGCATAGCCAAGCATAAAAAATAATTTGACAATACAAATTGTGCCAACTTTACAGATTTTAATTAGCATTCCTGTTGGTTTATAATAATGCAAAAACTTCAACCCTAAATAAAATAAATATAAGTTCATAACTAAAGATATAATTAAATAGTGAATATACAAGTGCGTATCCATAAATACGTATAGTAAACATTGAATTATGCAAAGTAGTATTCATAATAAATCTCATAAAGAATTCGACCTCGCTCTTATATTTATGTCTGACTCTGAATGCTTTAAATCAGCAGTAAACAGCTCATTGATAAAAGCCATCATAATTAAGATAATCAAAACAAAAGGGCTTAAAACAGTTCCATAGCTTCCATAATCATATTTTGATATATCATTTGCACTATATTCTTGGACTTGATTATTATGAAATGTCGAATATTTAAAAACAACAATTGGAATGAGTAAAAATGGAATAAAGAGAATTGATGTGAGAGCATTGATTATTTTTTTCGCTATGTGAAGAAATATTAATGGAAGGCTTCGGCAAAAATATTTAAGGATGCAGCATAAAATTGTTACAAAAATGGCATAAAATAATAAAGAAAATTCAATGACGTAGCATATACTATATAAGCCAAAATAATTGCATAGGTTGTCATAGTTTAAAATTAATAATGATCTTCAAAACTGTGAGTGTGAGTCTCAGTTGTGAATTGGCATGCTTGGGTATCAGGAAATTGAAACAATTTGAGCAGTGACAATTAAGTCTTTTATGGCTTCTATGGCTATCTGCTGTTTATAAGGGAATTTTGAGGAAAGTTGAGGACTAAATAATTCTATCAAGCAATCCAATATGAATATTCATAGCTTTTTTGAGGCTGTATACGATTTCTTGTTTGAAATCAGATCATTAGACTTTGACTTTTTGGGAATGATATTCATGCGGATATTTTTATAAGTATTAAAATACTTAGCAATGATTGAAGAATAAAGATGTGTCAAAAATACTTTAAAATTTTAATATGTAAGTGAAGTTTTCAATCCCTTAATTTTTTTTAAAAATATAAAAAATTGTTGCGTAATTTCCATTTTTTGTCAAAGCCTTTTTATTTGGCTTATATATTTATATTTGGGAAATTTCATAAAAGTTTTTAAGCATTTTTTAATGTCAAAATAATTATTTAGAATTAATATTTCGATAAGCTAATAAACTTTTTAAAGTTTCATACTGTTGATGATATCGATATCCAGTGAATAAGAAATCATAGCTAATTAAATTAAAATAGACAAAAAAACACTGCTTTAAGTTTTCAATTTAAGACCTGAAAAGTGGCTAAATGATGTAAGTTTACTTTGAAATAATTTTGACAAAAAATAAAAAAATAAAAATAAGCGAAATTAGAATTGTTATTTCTTCTAGCGATGCAATTAATGAAATTAAACTTTCTCCATATCTTCTGAAAAATAATTTCCACTAGTGGGATTAAATTTACAATAATACTGAATTTAGAGTAAAGGCATAAGTAAGGATCTAAAATGCTCGAAAGTGAATTTACAGGGTTAGGTTATTAAAGTTAGGCGTTAGCCATATTGGTGACGCAGTCACCAAAGATCTCCCGATGAGACGCTCTACCGCTTTTCAACTCCAGTCCAGAGGGTCTATCCCTCATATGAGTGCCCTTCCTGTACCTTCTGTCTCCTCTTTGCCTTAAAGCTTCAGTCTTGAGTGCTTATGGATTTCTGCGGCCCTGCTACGGGCGATTGGAGTAGCTTGATTCTATGGATCAGCTCCTTGGAGTCTATCGGGTGCCGAAGTGCCTTCCTTCGACAACTACAGAAAAAAGACTATTATTGCCTTGGCCGAAATCTCCAGTTTCTCGGTAGATGAATGCCCATGTGTCCTCGGATCCAAAAGGACGATGTTGAGCACCTCCATTTTCAGCCACAGGAAAGCAGCAAAAACCTATCAGGATACACATCTCTTGAGCCTTCACTTGATTCTCGGCTCGGAGTCCGTCCCAGTTCACTGTAGCCATAAGGTCTGGACTGTTGCGCCAAGAGAGCAGGTTGACGCGTGTCGCCATTTTAATGTGTGCGAATTTATAGGGTAAACTAAAAAAATGAAAGCATGCTTTCAGCTTTACTAAGCTATTTTACTGTCTTTTTGTAATAGTGATTCTTTTTAATTTTTTTAAAATTTTATATTCATGCCTAAATTATAGTATTATTGGCTATAAGTTCTTCTGGGGATTTCCGGTGTTGCTTGATGTTGCTTTACTAAACATTAGTTAGCTATAGAGCTTAGCTGAGCTAAATATATACATGCTTATTTTTTATGTCATTGTTTTATACCATCTTTATCTAAAAGAAGCTGAAATTGTATATTTTATACATAAAAGATCCAACTGTGCAAATATCAAATATCTCTCTACAAGAGAGATGCACATTTTTGGAGAAAAGAGCATTCAGTCTCTGCAAAACCTGAAGCGATTTGATAGCCAGAAATGGCATGGTATATAAATATGAGCTAACATTGTATAGAAAAATAAATATTATAATCAATATAATTTTGCTAAAAATATAAGATAAAAATAGAAAAAATAGGAACAAAATAGGTCTGATATCTGGATGCTTGGTCTAGCTCTGTGAAATTTTTCTATGAGCTGATTTGGTTTGCTTCTCTTTCCAATACTTGTAGCGCTCTATCAAAAATAGCCTTCGCTTATTCAGCAGAGTTTCTAATTGCTGTAACACAAATTTTCCATATATAGAAATTGCAGATAGTAAATGGCCAGATCTATTTTCGTTGTAGAATTAACCAAGTCTAAGAAATCGGTTGAGGTAAGTCCTGTATAGACGTCATTTTGAACAGTATTTGTGGCTATATAAAATTTTGCTTGATAGTCCGCTCCTAATAATAGGTCATCTTTAGTCAGCTGGGCATCAGTTAAATTTTTACTGTAATCATAGGATGGTAAGTCTCATCCCATCTAAAGTTATTACTACAGCGTAAGCAACTCAAGCCCTCCTTCTTCTTGTTGTCTTACTACATAATCAACAGCAAAGCGTTCTTTGCATCCTTTCTTGGCTAGAACTTGTCCAATTTTCAAAGTATTTTCCATAATAATCTTTCTATAGCAGTGAAAGCATGGCCCATATAAGTAAGCCCATCAGCTAATATTTCATCTTGAACTTATATAATTTCATTTTTACTCCTCTCCAAATTGCATTTGAATATGAATATAGTCCAGCTTTGCTGGCTTTAGAAATTTTATCTATTTTGCTGTATCTTCTCAATAGCCTTTACTATCTGGAGCTTCGCCGTGCTCTCACATCTATTCCAGCTTTACCAAAAGAAAAGAGATTCCAATTTTCCAACCCCAGCAGAGCTTTCAATAAGTTTATACACAATTTAATACTGGCAATTCCCTTTGCCCTAATTTTTAAATCTAGCGATCTTACGGAGCCAAGGGAACTTGCAGCTATATTTTCAACAATTAGACTGACAGGATTTTATTACATCGCAGGTTTCTTTTTCTATATGAAAAAGAAGCATTTCAAAATTTTCACTTATCTTCGAGTATTTGAAGTAATGGTGGTTTATGTAATGGTAAATCATTTTTGTGGATCTTATTTCATAGAATGTGCTAAAAGAGAAGATGCAAATCACTCATGATTATCAAGAGTCCCATCTCCTCAGCCTGAACAATATAGGACTAACAGCTCTGAACCCCTTACTAGGGATACAGTCTATACACACGCATTTCATTGGTCATCAATTGTGGTTTCGCATGCTGGGTATGGATGGGTCGTCAGCAATTCGCCTGCTGAGAAAGCATATAACTGCTTTGTCTTTTTAATAGGACTTTTTGCCTACTCAATTTTATTTGGGAGCATAACTTCACTTGTGGCAGAACTCTGTTCTTCTGATCCAAAATTTACATTCGAAAATAGCTATTGGTATGTTAAAGATTTTATTGATAAAAAGCAGCTAGGCAGTATTTTTATGGAAAAAATAAATGATTATTTTGACTACTTATTGAGATCAAGCAAAGGAATTTATGATGAAAATATCTTAAAAGAGCTTCCTCCATCCTTGATGTCAGATATCCAGTTTTATAGATATTCTGAAGTGTTAAGAATGCTAATATCTTTAAAAATCAAGATGGGAGCATTAATGAGCCTTTGGCAAAATCAATCCTCAGGCTTCTGAAAGTCGAAATTTATTTGGTGGGGGACCCTGCTATTGACGCAGGAGAAAAAAGGAATGATTTATTGATCATTCTTGATGGAGAAGTGCGTGTTATCGATTTTAAAGGTAAAAAGACAGTAGAAATCCTCTATCCTGGGGATCATTTTGGAGAGATTCCAACAATGGTAGATCTAATATAATCTAGTCCAACTTATATAATCGCAGCAAAAGTATCTAAAATAGGAATTTTAGAAGAAAAATGCATCAAGGACCTAAGAGAAGCTTATCCAGAGTGGTACAGCAGCATGGCTGAGCTCGCAAAAAATAGGCTAATAGCCATTTTTTCTTCAGGCACTTTAGATGAAGCCATTAATTCTTTTGAAAAAATAAACTCAAAGATTCATAACTGTCCAGAAATCTCAAAAAAATACTACGCTAATATCCAGAAGCTGCTGGAAGCAATTATATCTGAAGAACTTCTAAAGCTATCATCTAATACATGATACTCTGTTACATTTCTATATATGTTTTTTCTTACCTACATTCTTTTTGAGTTGCCCTTAGAAATTGGGTTTGAAATGGAGTACAATTGATTTCTATTTGGAATAGAAATTATTAGCCTATTGGTCTCTGCAGCTTTTATTTTTGTTAATTTCAAGAATTATTTTTTTTGAAGTGGGACAGATAAAGTTTACAAAGAATCTTCTCTTTGCTTTGCTTTAGATATCTTTTCATTATCGTCATTCAATATAATTTTTGCGAGTGAGCAGATTGAAGATCCTATAGTGTTAATTACCCTCTTAAGGCTGCTGAGGCTTGTGGCTAACTTTAGACTTATAGCATTGTTCGCTAAAATAAGAAATCTATTGAGACAGTTTTCAGCCCAACTGAAATTTTTGGAAACCATGATTTGTGTATTGGCCTTAATTCATTTTATGAGCTGTTCATTTTTCTATTATAGCCTTAATGAAAGATACTCTTCATGGGTGAAAGATAATGATCTTCAAGATCCAGAAACTGGGAACCAGTATAGTTGAGCGCTTTTCCATGTGCTGAATATTCTCACTTGCACTGGATATGGTGGATTCATGCTCGAGGCAAACGATTCTGAAAGAATTTGAACCGTTTTTTTATTTTCTTCGGAGATATGATGAACGCTGTCATTTTTGGGCTGATGGCAACTGCGGTTGCCACTCCTCAATCTGACTTGAAGTATTATATAGAAAAACTGAAATCTCCAATGTGTGTAGCTAGCTCTTTAGAAAAGTTCCATAGTTTAATAAAGAAATTGGAATCTTATCATGCATTTGCAACGTCTTTGAATGTTGTCTATGGGTCTGTTGACTATAGAAATCTCTTTTTATACCTGCCTCGAAACATTTCAAAGTCCATAATTTTCGAATGCAGTCAATCTATTCTTGAAAAAGTCCCATATTTTCAGTTTGAAGATTCTCGAAAGTTTTTTGAGCAAATTTCAATATATTTAAAGTTCAAGTTTTTCTTGCCAAAAGACTATATTATTCATAAAGAAAAATCATGTGATGAAATTTTCTTCATTATTGAAGGATCAATTGCTTTGATATCTGCCAATGGCAAAACGATCTTGAAAACCCTCAGAAAAGGATCTCTTATTGGCGATTTGGAATTTTTGACATCAGTAAAATCGGCATTTTCAGTCATTGCGAAAAGTATGTGCTATACTTATTCTTTAGACAAAAAAGATTTAATGAAGTCATTTGAAAAATACCCTGATGTCTTTGAAGAAATAGAGAAGAGAATTGTCAAGCATGATGGCCTGTCAATTGACATTGCAAATCAAGACTCTGCAAACGATGATGAGTTGATCAAGCTAAGAAGCGCTGATTTGAGGAATGTTCTGGATATACAGACTGGGATTATCGAATTTGATTTTAGTAATAAAGGGAGAAGAGAATCTTTGAATAAGAGAAGAAAAAATCTTATTGCAAGATCGGGCTCTAATTTGGGGGAGAGAAAGCAAAGCATTTCTAAGAGTATGCCAGAAAGGCGGTTGAGCAGAGAGTATGCTCCAATTTTAGATGTTTCTTTTAAGAGCACAGAAAGTTATTAAGTTTTGATGATAAAATTTTATTATATCTTATTTTAAAGAGTTTCTATTATAATAAATAAGTTAATAGTTTTAGGTTAATTTTCGCATAATATATAAAACTAAATAAATTAAATATGAAAAAATGCTTCAATACAAAGCGCAGGCGTTAAGTTAATTTCATATCATTGCTCTCCTGAGATTTATACTTGCAAAAACACTAACCCTATCTAGTAGCAAATCTAATAAATTTTTGGAAAATTATTGAGAGTATAAAGAAGTAGTCCTTAACTTCTTGTATAAAAATGATTCAATAAAAGCAAAAATCATAACTTCCTTTGCTAAAACTGTTTATAACTTCCTCCCCTCTGTAAGCCTGCCAAAAAATTTTTTTAATTTTATTAAAATAATTTTTCAAATTTGAAAGAAAAGTTAATTTAATTTATTAAGTTTATGTTTAGAATGCAATTTATTTAAAAGTCAAGAGAATTAGCAAAAGAATTCATTATAAACATAATTATCACTTATATACAAAAATATTTTTATATTAAAAAGCAGCCTACGTAGCTGAATCAATCTTGTTTTCCCTAATTCTTTTTGATCTTAGCTGTAAAATCTTTTTCTTAAGAATGAGTTATGAAATAATGAAATAAATAATCTCTCATGTCCTGCTTTTTATTTCGTTTGCTATATAAATAGCTAATAGTCAATTTTCCTAAAACCAATATTTTAGCATTTGAAATAACTTTCAAATGCAATCTACGAAATACATATAATTATATCAGAATAATTAGATTTTTTCAAGAAAAGGCCAGACTTTAAGGTTTTATGTGCGGAATTTCATTAATTAATTAGTTAAATCCCCTCACTCTCGTGAGCAAAGAAAACTATTAGAAAAAAGCCTATTATAGCTAAAAGCCAAAATAGTTTTGATATTTAAATTACTTGTTTAATGAGTTTGCTTTTATATTAGAAAAAATTAGCGGGTTCGACAAAACCCATTTAGTCGTTTATTACAGTTTAATAAAAAATTCTGTTACTCTTTTTGTTTTTTAGGCCATTTTTCTGATTAACTTAGTTTTTTATTTAGTAATTTTGATCGATAATTATAATAATGATGGAGCTTTTTCCTGAAGAGTTAACAAACGCTTTTGAATTTAAGGATCACCTCAATTTTGGAGGTTATGGAACTATCTACAGAGCCATAAAGAGAAACGATGGGAAAATGTACGCAATAAAGGCTGTAACGAGAAATAGCACAGGGTCAACCTGGAAGGATATTGGAGCTGAGTTGCAAGTACTCTCATGGGTCAATCCATATAAGCTTCGCTTAGACTCCTTTTTTGTTAAAAACGATACTTTCTTCATGGTCATAGATTATTGTCAAAATGGTGACCTTCTTAAAGCCATAGTTGATAAGATTCATGCCCATGAAATGTTTGAAGAAGACGAAATCTGGAAATATTTTATCCAGATCTGCTTTGGGCTCGAGTCTTTGCACTACAACGGATTTATTCATCGAGATCTTCATCCACAAAATATTCTCTTACTCCCCCCTCCGTGAGTGAGCAAAACCATTGGAAAAATCGCTATTTTTTGCCTCGTGAGTGAACAAAAATTTCTTAATAGAAAAATTTTTTATGAAAAAAAAATATATAAGTGATAATTAGTATAATGAAATCTCAAGCTAATTCTATTTAATTTTAAATAAATTGCGTTTTAAAACATCAATTTTATAAATTAAACTAATATTTGCTTTCCAATTTTTGCAAATTAGGATTTTTTTAAAAATTTCGAAAAAAAATTTACCCCCTTTCCGTGAATGAACGCAATTTTTTTTGTTCACTCACGGAGAGGGGGGAATTAGATCAAAATAAAGACATTAAAATAGCTGATTTTGGCACTTCTCGCTCTTTACTGACAAAAACAATTCAGGGTGTTGCCAGTTACCAGTCTCCTAGGACTCATAGTGGAGATCTCCAGGTTAAAGAAAGTGATGTTTGGGCAGTCGGCTGCATTTTGTATTATCTCTGCAACCTTGAGCATCCTTTTGGCGATAATGTGAATAAAATAAAAAATGCGCCTTATAAGCCGATAAGAAGCGAATACTCTAATGAACTGAGAGATTTCGTTGATTGGTGCCTAAAAAAAAGGCGAACAGAGAGGCCAACAATAGTTAATATCTTAACTAATGAGTTTATAGTCAACAAAACTCTAAGCTTAGGCATTACAATTCCACAAACATCTGCTATGAATGCAGCTATTTGCCAAATTCAACTTGAGAAAGAAAGGGAAAGAAATGAGCAGCTTAAAAAGGAGCTAATTATATTTGGAAAAAAGAATAAGGTAAAAATAATGGAAATTAAGTCGCTTAAAGAAGAAATAGCTCGCTTAAACAGCATAATAAATGAGAATAAAAAGAGGAATGAAGACCTGCTTTATTCTCAAGATCTTATCAAAAATAATGAAGTTATAGACCCTCAAAAGATCCTTCAAGAACTAAGAGAGAAGAGAGCTGAAATTTTAAATAGACCAAATGACCGAGAGTTAGAGCAAGACTTTAGGAGAGCCTGCTCAAAGTGCATTAGCGATGTCTGTGCTGATGATCCAGCCCTTCAGCAAGCTTACCAAGATTATATTAATGCTTATCGCCAAAAAACATCTCTTTATACAATTAACGATGATGACAACAGAAGTAAATTGATTATTTATGATACAGAAAATGATAGGAGGGAAGATAGGATAATAGAGACCCCTGAACCACTGGATAATACAACTTGTATTGCTCAGCTTCCTAATGGTAATTTATTTTGCTATGGTAAATACCCTAGCTCTGGAGTTTCATTGATAATTGATGAGGATTATAGAGTTCGGGAGCTGCCATCTGGAAAACCTTGCAGTCGTTCATCAGCTATCTATTTTAATAATAGTGTTTATTGCTTTGGAGGAAATAATCGATGAAGTTTAACTCTATCAGAGAGATTTGATTTAAATGAAAACCGATGAATTGGATTAATGCCACTGCCGCAAGCTGATGATAGTTGCAATAGTGCAATATTTAACGGGAATATTGTAATTTCTGGATGGAAATATAAAAAGCTTTTGAGGTATTCAATTGTTAGCAACACTTTCGCAACAATTCCTTATGATTTTCAAGATAAAACATCCAAGATTCTTATAAGTACAAGGAGACTGTATTTAATTGAATGTGGTGATAATGGATCAATCTATGAAAGTGAATTGTCAAATGATAATGCCTGGAGACGAATTGGAGACTCAATAGTAGATGGTTTTGTTCAAGTTTATTTATCATATAATAAAGAAAGAATAAACATTGCACACTTTTCGGGTGGTGATAGTTACTTCAAGTTTAATTTAGAGGCAAAAATATTAAACAAGCTGCATTAAAATAATTTGCTAATAAATAGTTCTCATTTAATAAATAGGCTTATTTTATTATAGTAATAATTCGCATTTCCAGGATTTACCAATGGTTTTAAATAATAATTGCTATAAACTTATGCTTAGAGGAAATGAAAAAGTTTATGCACCCGAGAAAAGGAGAAGGATTTTTGAAAGTGTTGAAAACAATATTTTAGGTCGGGCCCAAATAGGGACGAATAACATGCCAGGAGATTTTTGTCAGCCAAGTATTGTTCGTTATAAGAGTTGCCTTTACTTCGTTATATATAATAATGGGCTGTGGAAATTTGATCTTGCTTCTAATTAAGCTTCTCTGGTAGGAGCTGTTCAAAATAAAGGTTTTAGAATTTTAATAGCACTCTATACTCTCAAAAAAAATAATAATCAATTACTCTCTATCTATAAGTTAGAACTAGTTATTACCTCAAATCTAATAATCAAATTTTATTTAAATCTGCATTTTTTGGAGTAGTTCAATGCGATCTTGGCCTAATACGTTGTTAATAAAATTGATATCATTTTCAGAAAGTTTCCATTCATTCTTAGTAAAACACCACCTTCTTGATTTTCTTGCTTCAAATTATAAGCCGTATTAAAGTCCTGCAAAGCTGCTTCTTCTTGGCTGAGATTATTAAATACTCTAGCTCGACAGCACAAATGCAAAGGATTATTGGGTTCAAGTTTGATTGCCTCATCATAGCATTGTATTGCTTCTTGACATCTCTCTAAAATATTAAGAGCATTGCCTTTTATATTGTAATACTTGGCATTATTAGGATTGATGTTGATTGCTTTATCATAGCTTTCTACTGCTTCTGGATATCTTCCTAATTCATTTAAAGAGCATCCTTTCTTATCTAGTGATTTGGAATTTTATTTAAAATAAAAAGCTTTTAAAGCGAATATGAGCTATTATAGATCTATAAATATTTTAAGCGTGTTAGGGTGTTAGGGTGTTAGGGTGTTAGGGTGTTAGGGTGTTAGGGTGTTAGGGTGTTAGGGTGTTAGGGTGTTAGGGTGTTAGGGTGTTAGGGTGTTAGGGTGTTAGGGTGTTAGGGTGTTAGGGTGTTAGGGTGTTAGGGTGTTAGGGTGTTAGGGTGTTAGGGTGTTAGGGTGTTAGGGTGTTAGGGTGTTAGGGTGTTAGGGTGTTAGGGTGTTAGGGTGTTAGGGTGTTAGGGTGTTAGGGTGTTAGGGTGTTAGGGTGTTAGGGTGTTAGGGTGTTAGGGTGTTAGGGTGTTAGGGTGTTAGGGTGTTAGGGTGTTAGGGTGTTAGGGTGTTAGGGTGTTAGGGTGTTAGGGTGTTAGGGTGTTAGGGTGTTAGGGTGTTAGGGTGTTAGGGTGTTAGGGTGTTAGGGTGTTAGGGTGTTAGGGTGTTAGGGTGTTAGGGTGTTAGGGTGTTAGGGTGTTAGGGTGTTAGGGTGTTAGGGTGTTAGGGTGTTAGGGTGTTAGGGTGTTAGGGTGTTAGGGTGTTAGGGTGTTAGGGTGTTAGGGTGTTAGGGTGTTAGGGTGTTAGGGTGTTAGGGTGTTAGGGTGTTAGGGTGTTAGGGTGTTAGGGTGTTAGGGTGTTAGGGTGTTAGGGTGTTAGGGTGTTAGGGTGTTAGGGTGTTAGGGTGTTAGGGTGTTAGGGTGTAGGGTGTTAGGGTGTTAGGGTGTTAGGGTGTTAGGGTGTTAGGGTGTTAGGGTGTTAGGGTGTTAGGGTGTTAGGGTGTTAGGGTGTTAGGGTGTTAGGGTGTTAGGGTGTTAGGGTGTTAGGGTGTTAGGGTGTTAGGGTGTTAGGGTGTTAGGGTGTTAGGGTGTTAGGGTGTTAGGGTGTTAGGGTGTTAGGGTGTTAGGGTGTTAGGGTGTTAGGGTGTTAGGGTGTTAGGGTGTTAGGGTGTTAGGGTGTTAGGGTGTTAGGGTGTTAGGGTGTTAGGGTGTTAGGGTGTTAGGGTGTTAGGGTGTTAGGGTGTTAGGGTGTTAGGGTGTTAGGGTGTTAGGGTGTTAGGGTGTTAGGGTGTTAGGGTGTTAGGGTGTTAGGGTGTTAGGGGTGTTAGGGTGTTAGGGTGTTAGGGTGTTAGGGTGTTAGGGTGTTAGGGTGTTAGGGGTGTTAGGGTGTTAGGGGTGTTAGGGTGTTAGGGTGTTAGGGTGTTAGGGTGTTAGGGTGTTAGGGTGTTAGGGTGTTAGGGTGTTAGGGTGTTAGGGTGTTAGGGTGTTAGGGTGTTAGGGTGTTAGGGTGTTAGGGTGTTAGGGTGTTAGGGTGTTAGGGTGTTAGGGTGTTAGGGTGTTAGGGTGTTAGGGTGTAGGGTGTTAGGGTGTTAGGGTGTTAGGGTGTTAGGGTGTTAGGGGTGTTAGGGTGTTAGGGTGTTAGGGTGTTAGGGTGTTAGGGTGTTAGGGTGTTAGGGTGTTAGGGTGTTAGGGTGTTAGGGTGTTAGGGTGTTAGGGTGTTAGGGTGTTAGGGTGTAGGTGTAGGTGTTAGGGTGTTAGGGTGTTAGGGTGTTAGGGTGTTAGGGTGTTAGGGTGTTAGGGTGTTAGGGTGTTAGGGTGTTAGGGTGTTAGGGTGTTAGGGTGTTAGGGTGTTAGGGTGTTAGGGTGTTAGGGTGTTAGGGTGTTAGGGTGTTAGGGTGTTAGGGTGTTAGGGTGTTAGGGTGTTAGGGTGTTAGGGTGTTAGGGGTAGGGTGTTAGGGTGTTAGGGTGTTAGGGTGTTAGGGTGTAGGGTGTTAGGGTGTTAGGGTGTTAGGGTGTTAGGGTGTTAGGGTGTTAGGGTGTTAGGGTGTTAGGGTGTTAGGGTGTTAGGGTGTTAGGGTGTTAGGGTGTTAGGGGTGTTAGGGTGTTAGGGTGTTAGGGTGTTAGGGTGTTAGGGTTAGGGTGTTAGGGTGTTAGGGTGTTAGGTGTTAGGGTTAGGGTGTTAGGGTGTTAGGGTGTTAGGGTGTTAGGGTGTTAGGGTGTTAGGGTGTTAGGGTGTTAGGGTGTTAGGGTGTTAGGGTGTTAGGGTGTTAGGGTGTTAGGGTGTTAGGGTGTTAGGGTGTTAGGGTGTTAGGGTGTTAGGGTGTTAGGGTGTTAGGGTGTTAGGGTGTTAGGGTGTTAGGGTGTTAGGGTGTTAGGGTGTTAGGGTGTTAGGGTGTTAGGGTGTTAGGGTGTTAGGGTGTTAGGGTGTTAGGGTGTTAGGGTGTTAGGGTGTTAGGGGTTAGGGTGTTAGGGTTAGGGTTAGGGTGTTAGGGTGTTAGGGTGTTAGGGTGTTAGGGTGTTAGGGTGTTAGGGTGTTAGGGTGTTAGGGTGTTAGGGTGTTAGGGGTTGGGTGTTAGGGTGTTAGGGTGTTAGGGTGTTAGGGTGTTAGGTGTTAGGGTGTTAGGGTGTTAGGGTGTTAGGGTGTTAGGGTGTTAGGGTGTTAGGGTGTTAGGGTGTTAGGGTGTTAGGGTGTTAGGGTGTTAGGGTGTTAGGGTGTTAGGGTGTTAGGGTGTTAGGGTGTTAGGGTGTTAGGGTGTTAGGGTGTTAGGGTGTTAGGGTGTTAGGGTGTTAGGGTGTTAGGGGTAGGGTGTTAGGGTGTTAGGGTGTTAGGGTGTTAGGGTGTTAGGGTGTTAGGGTGTTAGGGTGTAGGTGTTAGGGTGTTAGGGTGTTAGGGTGTTAGGGTGTTAGGGTGTTAGGGTGTTAGGGTGTTAGGGTGTTAGGGTGTTAGGGTGTTAGGGTGTTAGGGTGTTAGGGTGTTAGGGTGTTAGGGTGTAGGGTGTTAGGGTGTTAGGGTGTTAGGGTGTTAGGGTGTTAGGGTGTTAGGGTGTTAGGGTGTTAGGGTGTTAGGGTGTTAGGGTGTTAGGGTGTTAGGGTGTTAGGGTGAGGTGTAGGGTGTTAGGGTGTTAGGGTGTTAGGGGTGTTAGGGTGTTAGGGTGTTAGGGTGTTAGGGTGTTAGGTGTTAGGGTGTTAGGGTGTTAGGGGTGGTGTTAGGGTGTTAGGGTGTTAGGGTGTTAGGGTGTTAGGGTGTTAGGGTGTTAGGGTGTTAGGGTGTT